TTTACCAAGGTAGGAATCAAGGTATACCCTCAAAAAATAATGGATTTAAGATCTAAAGACTTTAATGATTCACATATCACTATTTATAACAGAGATTTTGGGATTTTTATTATTTAAAAAGACTAAATTGAAAAGTTTAAGCTCTTAGATATAAAAAGTTTTAACATAATTAAGAGATTTATGGAATAAAGGATAAAAAATGTATATATTGCCTTTATTTGTTAATCCAAAATTGCTTTCAATTATTTTATAATAGCCTAATATTTCAAACCAAGCTTTAAAAAAATGAAGATCCTTAATGCCAAGATACAGTAGCAAATAGACAATTAAATGTGAGGATTTAATTATATTAAATTAGACCTATAAGACCTGTGCCTATATATCTTTATTAACGGATTATTTGTAAATAATAAGGATTTAAGTTCATAAATTAATTATATTATTATTTTGGATAATAAAAAGCCTACTAGCCAAGATAATAAGGTCCAGATTACTGGAAATATCATCCACTAATTATCCATTAAATATAATGATGGTTGCATAGGTGAAGGACACGTGATCTACTTAATCATCAGGATTCCCTTTAAATAGGTTATTCTTTTTATCTACTTATATAAATAGATCTTTTCTTCCTTAGATAATTTAATATATATTATCTTACCCCATTACTTTACTTTATTTATTATATTATTTCTTTTTATTTATATATATACCTATCAATATTAATCAATATTATTAGATAATTAATAACATAGATTAACAAGATTAGAAAAGTCATTGCTACAATAATTCAAAAGACCTTATTATAATAATATAAACAATATTAATATATTTATTTCTATTTAAATCACTTTTATATTATTCTATTTATAATAGAATATCATTTTATCTCATTATATAATCCTTTTAAATCTTTATCTACATATTGTAATTTAGATTTTTCATCTTTTATATCTTTAGATTTACTACCTTTAATTTTTATATATATTATAATATCATAAAGGAAAAGCTTAATATAGGTGCAAATATATATCATAGAAATCAACTCAGTTAAGCTGGAGAATATAGATGAGCTGTAAGAATTAATAAGTTACCTCCCTGGCTGAATAATAATTTTTACATAACATTTTAACCATATGGTAATAAGATGGGAAATTATTGATTCTTGGAGAACTATCCTAGAATAAAAGGCAATTTAGGTGTTATTTATGTTGGTAGATTTTGAGATTACCGATAAGAATGTATCATATGTTTGCATAATTAAAGAAATAATAGATAAATATTAGGAATGGTTTTAAGGCTTTATGATAACAGATTTTACTAACATATCAAGATAATTATGATTGGCATTGAAAATCATGTTAATGTAATAGGATATTTATATGGGGTGGTATAATGTTAACTATGTAGAAGTGTTTGCCAATTTCATATTATCATGTAAATTATCAATGTGGAATTCCGATGAGTTAGAAGTAGCAAAATGGAGATGGCCTGATGTATTGGTGTAGAAGGTATTAATATATAATATTGAAAAGGGATTGGTTTACCTTGAGGCCCATGTATCCATACGCATATATGCCATATCATAACAACAATCAACAATCTCTAATCCATAGATACCGATATATACAACAGGACATGCAGATTAAGATCCAATTTTATTAATAATCCTTACTGAACCACTACCCATTTACCTATTTTATATAGTACATAATCCACAGGGAATGCCGCCTCTTACCCATAATAATCCATCATTACAAGGACCCATTACTTAACCCCCTTTTCAATAAGTGTCTAATTCTTATTTAACCTTTCCTTCTCCATCTCTATAAGGTAATTAAGGTAATCCTTGGTTATTAATAACCTTTCTTCCCCTTTCCTTATTCCAATAAGGAATAACTGTATCCCCCTAGGCTACCTCAGGTAACAATTATCCCAATACTCCAGTGTTTACGGCTCAACAGGGGTATAACCTTTGATATCCCTATAGTAATAACTATATGTAAAGAGAATAGCCTAACCTGTCAATACTAGGAAATATATCCGGATCCCCTGGACCGTCACTGGGTGGTCCATATATGATACTGGCGGTTCCATTTAATATCAGATTAAAAAGAGGAGGCCACCTTATCAGAAACTTCAGTTCCTCCTCCTAGATGACTTTATTACCTATATTAACAAATAATTAATAAGAATAGGTACCTATGCCTATTGGTAATTAACAAGGTGATATATACTATAATATTCCTTTGGCATGAATTCTAAATGAAATATACTTATTAATAATTATTGATTACTTTAAGAAAGCCTAGAATAATAAGAATAATTATATAGGTAAAATATATAATATTCTTGAAAATAAATTCCAATTTTTTTTAGATATATATTATATAATTAGAATATATTAAATATAATTTTATATTATATTTTCTATCATTTTTATAAGAAGGGTAGTAATCTATTTCCTATATAATGTGCCATAATATTGGTGTTTTATAGATATATATCTTACTATAGAATAACATTTTAATATGGAATAAAACAAAATCTAGTATTATTATAATTAGATTATTATTACCTTTTTTGATAATAAAGTTAATAAAAAGAATAAGGGAAGGTCTAATATGGAGATATTTAAGATCATATTAGATAAACTATTATTTTATTAATAAACTCTTAGGAGAAATTTTAGAGGAGAGTAATAGTTTATTATAACAGTATAATGTGCTTACCATAGCATCCCATAATTATAGCATGCCTTGTTTACTCCATTGTATTGATTTAAGGAACTAGTTAGCAAGTTATATATGTCAATTAATATCTATGAGAATCTAAAGGGAATATGTTAATATATAATTAATAATAATAATGATGAAGATATTAATTAATTCTATATTAAAAGAAGGTATTATCATAGTGACAAAGGTGATAAATATTAATTAAAAAAGGTGTTACAGAGCTGGAAGCAATAATGTTAGGTATATAAAAAGGAAGGATACTGGTCCACAAAACATTCTAAAGAAAATTAAAAAAAAGTTAAAGGTAGATAGAAAATCAGAAAAGGATAAAATAAAAACAAATATATTATATTTTTAATTAATTATAAAAGAATTGAGGAAGAAAGTTCTGATTCTGAAGGTAATAATAATAGCATTCCCATTATTAAATTAGAAGAAATAGACATTAAATAGTACCTGATCGTAGTATATCTGGTAAACCAAATATATTAATATCATATTATATCTAGCCTCCATTTTGACAAATCTGAGATAAGTATTACTTTTATCTTAGATCATTATATCAAAAATATCTTCTAGGGGATTATTCCTAATACAGGCATAATAAGAATGTCCATAATTGGAAAGGGATAATGTTAAATCCTTATTAGGGAATTCCTTAAATATAACTTTAAAATAGATATTAACCAAGTTAAAAAAGTAAATATCAGGTTTGGTAATGGACCTCCAATCGAATTACTGGGAATGATCATGGTTAATATCTCATTTGGATCAGTTAACTTTTATATTATAAAATTGGATATTCCTTTCTTTATATATTTTAAGGATATGGATTATTTAGGTGTATACTTAAATAATGTTATAGATTAGTTAATTGGAAAAAATGGAATAATAATTGTAGTTATCCATAGATAAGGATATCTATAATTTTATTTAAATAATATAACTTATTTTATAAAACCTGAATTATAATATATTCATATTTATTTTAATTATCTATTTATAAATAAGCTATATAATTTATTGGACAAGGCCGGCTATAATATCAATATTAATAATATCAAAGAAATTAATAAGTTCTATCATCACTATTAAATCAAAGGTTAAACTCTTTAAAGATTTAGGTTTAACCTAAAGGACCTAGATATGGATTTTAACTATAAGGTAATTGTTGATATAATGTACTTTGATAAATGATTAATCTTATATATGATTAATATAGTTATGGGCTTTTAGACAATATATTTTATAAGGATTATTTTGGTTAAAGAAACTTGGGAAATGCTGAAGCAATGCTGGATCAATACTTACCTTGGCCTCCCAGACATCGTCATATACAACGCCAATACCAACTTCGACAGTATCAAATTCAGAAATAAGGTCTGTATTGCTGGAATTACCTGTAACCAAATATTGGTAAAGATATATTAATTTATTGGTAAGGTTGAGGAATATTATGGTCCCATCTGTAGAGTTTATAAGATTATAATGGATGAACTTCAGGGCTCTGGTTCAAAGGTATTATGATTCTAGATGGCTGTCAAGGTGGTTAATGATATTGTCAATCTGGATAGCCTTATCTTTATTTTTTTGGTCTTTGATGTTTATCTAAGGATCAATATAGACTTATCACTTATTCCCTTGTAGATCCAGAGGGTATAGATAGTCTAAAAGGTAATGGTAGAGATCAGGAGGATTAAGGCATAATGTTCTATCAGGGATGCTATAAATATATAAAATGATCTTAATATTTAAAGAATATTCTTTATGATATTTTTTATTAGTAGTAAAATCCTGGTCTACTAAGAAAAGGAAGGATAGAAGGGCCTTTACAAAGTTATCGTGGCTATTGATAAAGATGTAACTATAGCCTCCAATGTTTTTGGCGGCATATTGACATTTAGGAACTCCTATATTAAACCATATATCCAACCCAAGGAAATTCCAGTATTGATAAAGAAATTTAAGGTTTAGTTATCCCTATCTTTATTTAACCTTAACGATTTTAAAATTATCCCTGAAGAAGATCTTATATATATTAATAATATTTTCTATATTGTTATTTTATACTTTATTATCAAAGAATAGAATAATCTTACCCTTATGCTCAAGCTATAAGCAGATAGAAAAATAATTATTCCAGGCAAATCATATAAGGAATTAGATATAAAAGAGATGAACACTTTATTTAAAGAAAGCATCTTGCAACCTGAAATATATGACGAGGCAGTTTACCAAGACATAATGATCTTCAAATCAAAAATGGTTTGCGAAATCAAGGCTAGGAATACTTCCTTTTCCTATGAAAAATCACAACTTGTGGTCCAAGGATATGGTAATCTTGATAAGGAATTTATTATAATATATGCACTTATTATCCAAAGGATAAATCAATGGTTAATATTGGTTCTTGTCCCTATATTATGCTGTTGAGGAATGAAGATCATGATATAGGATATAATCATGGCATATATTCAGTCTAAAACACCAATATAGAAGATGATCTTTATATGATTATTGGCTGAACTAAAAGATAAATACCCTGAGGGAATGTTGTTGCAAATTGTCAAGCCATTATATGGCCTCATGGAATCAGGCACTTATTGGTTTGAAACTTATTTGCGTTATTACTAATAAAAGTTGTATATGAAACCATCAATCTTTAACCCTTATTTATTAATGGTGGACTTAGGCCCTTTTGGAATTACAGGCCTTCAGACAGACAATACTCTCAATATAGGCATTACAGAATTTCTTGTTGCTGAGGACGCAGCATTTGCTAAGGCAGAAATCAAGATATGCCCTCAAAAGGTAATAGACTTAGGATCTAAGGACTTTAATGGTTTATGCATCACCATCCACGACAAGGACTTTGGGGTCTCCACTACTCAGAAGGGCTAAGCTGAAAAACTCAAATTCTTAGATGTGAAAGGCTTCGATGTGGTTAAGAAATTTGTGGAATAGAGGGCCTGAGGTGCGTATATCGCCTTTATTTATCAATCTGAAGTTGCTTTTAATTACTTTACAATAGCTTAACATCTTGAGCCAGGCCCCAAGGAAATAAAGGCTCTTAATGCCAGGATATAGTGGCAAATAGATAATTAAATATGAGGACTTAATTATATAGAATTAGACTTATAAGACCTGTATTTATATATCTTTATTAACAAATCATTCGTGAATAACAAGGATTTAAATTTATAGATTGATTATGTTATCATCTTGGGTAATGAAGAATCTATTAGCCAAGATAATAAAGTCTAGATCACTAGAAATATCATTTATTGGTTATTTATCAAATATAAATATATTACTTATAATGTCTTTATTAATGAAATCTATGGTATGATATAGGGCTTTAACATTGGTTATGTCATTTATCATATTATCAATATAATTCTAAAATGCTTTTCATTTACCAAGATTCCTCTTATTCTATGTATTAATTTTTTTTCCTTATATCAATATTTGGTATAAATGGGTAGTACTAACAAAAAGAGATTAATGATTGATTTGATAGCTTTGAGGCAGTTATATGAGAACCAAGAGATAAATAATATCCAGTGGATTTATGACAGTTATAACCCTGTAGATACCATAACAAAAGCATCCCTAAATAAGGCTATAAAGAGGCTAGTGAAGGATAACTAAATTAATTTGTGACTAGAAGGATGGGTAAAATGTGCGGCTAATAATGAATTCATAATTGATTAATTGTGAAAAGAAAATAGAATGAGTGATGGTTGCATAAGTGAAAGATATGTGATTTATTTAGTTATTAGGACTCCCTTTAAATAGGTTATTTTTCTTATCTATTCATATAGATAAATCTTTTCTTCTTTAGATAACTTAATATATATTATCTTACCCCATTATTTTGCTTTATTTATTATATTATTTCTTTTCATTTACGTACGTACCTACCAACATATAAGTATGTCATTTATAATATCTTTGTTAATAAAATATATAGAATAATCTAGGATTTCAATATCAACTATGTCATCTATCATATCATTAACATAATTTTAAAATGCCTATCACTTACCAAGATTCCCCTTATTCTATGTATCAACTTTTTTTCCCTATACCAATATTTGGTATAAATAGACAATACTAACGAAAAGAAATTAATGATTAACTTGATAACTTTAAGGTAATTATATAAAAACTGAGAAATAAATGATATCCATTAGATTTATGACAGTTATAACCCCATAGATATTATGACAAAAACATCCCCAAATAAGGTTATAAAAAAGTTAGTAGAGGATAATTAAATTGATTTACAATTGGAAGGATAGGTAAAATACATAGTTAATAACAAATTTGCAGTTAATTAATTATAAAAAGAAAATAAAATAAATGATGATTATATAGATGAAAGATATGTGATCTACTTAGTCATCATAATTCCTTTTAAATAAGTTACCTTCTTGTCTACTCAGGTAGATAGATCTTTTTTCCTTAGACATCATAATATATATCGTTTCACCCCCATTACTTTATTTTACTTGTTATATTGTTCTTTCATTTACATACATACCTACCAACAATAAGTTCTTTACCTTAAAATTTTAGGTTAGCTTAATAAAGAGGTTAGGGGTTAAACAGAAGCTTTCTACAATGGCTTACCCTCAGATTAATGGCCAAATGGAGTAATTGAATCAGATATTGGAACAATATTTATAGAATTATATTAACTATAAATAAAATAATTGGATGGAATTCCTACCATTTGCTATATCTTTATATAATACTTTAGTCAATAATACCACCAGGATATCATTATAGGAAACACTATATAGATGATAAATAAATATAAAATAGGAATTATTAATAAACAAGATTATCCCAGAATTAAAAATAATACCATCTTAAACAAAAATATTTATTATTAGAATTCTAATACTATAAATTAAACTTAGAAGATGTCTTGAGTTTTTATAAAGGTAAATGACAATATATTATAATAAGAAAAGAATTAAAGGATTAATTCTATATAAGGGAAATAAGGTTTATCTCTTATAAGATAAATAACATTCTATATTAAAGATATTTCAGATTTAAACCAAGAGATTAAATAAAAAATTAAATTTTAAAAAACTAGGATTCTTCTTAATTAAAGAAGTTTTTTTAAGAATAAACTATTGATTATAATTATTAATAAATATAAAATTAAAAACTAATATATTTTATATTATTATGTTTAAACCAGTACCTGAAGATACCAAATTTAAAGGAAATATTAAATTGAAAGAAGACCTAAAAGAATATAATATCAAAGCCATCTATGATTCTAGGATTATTAATAATTAAATCAAATACTTTATTAAATAACTTAATTATTTAAAAAAGAATAATACCTAGGAACCATAAGAATATCTTATAAATAAGAAAATTTAAAAGTTAATTGAAGATTTTTATTATTAGAACCTAGATTAACTAATGATAATAAATCAAAGTTTACATCTTCAAGGAAAAAGTTAGAAAAAGGATTAATCACAAAAACTATATTAATTTACACTTTAATGTCATATTATTATTCCCTTGCCAGACATTACTCCTTTTCTAACTATTCTTATTCTTCTAGCTCCTCCAGGCTTTGGAAACCATATTAAAATATCTTTAAGCCTTTTTCTTTTAATCATTCCTTTTGCCATCTAAGTTATTTAATGTAAACTAAGGCCTTAGCCATTTTGATATAAAGATATTTAAGGGATTCTTTAGCTTAATATTCTTAAATGGATAGCCATTCCTCTTTATTCTTAAGCTGGGAAAAGGAATTAATAAAGATGTCCATCTTATTACATTAACAATGATATAGAACATATTCATTATATTTCTTAGATATCTTAATTGCCATTATATATTTAAGATTATGGTTAAAATAGTATAAATATGACATAATATCTATATTGAAACCAATCCTGTTAATCTATTCTAAAAGCTCTATATATTCCTATCTTTAATTAGTGTATTTATGTTTTATGAATAGATTAATAGATATGATAAAGATTAAATTAAAAAAGACCTACCAAGAAAAAGGATCTTTAAGGATAAAGGAACTAAAGAAAGGAAAAATAATGTTATAAATCATATAGGCCTACAGGGATATAAGATCTTAGAAGAAACCTTTTTCCTTGTCGAAATGGGATAATAATAGTAGGAGTATATGATACATGACATAGATAAATATGAATAAGGGTATCTAATCTCATCCAATGAATATAATATGGATGAATATAGATAAATATATCCAGTTTTATCCAATAAATACAATAGGAAATGAATATAGATAAGGAGATCTAATTTCATCTATAAAGAAGATAATAATAAAGAATATCTATATAATTATCATAATTTTCCTATATATCTAATTATTCTTTCATAATTCTTCAGTTATTAATCTAAGATTATTCTTTTGAATATAATGAAAGGATTCTAAGCTTCTTTGATGAATAGAACCAACTTAACCACTTGACCTATTACTGATATTATTATCTTTAAATCAAGAAACCCTGGATTAGCCAATCCAGCAACGACTATACCTCTTCAAGGGATAGGTTCGTCACACATAGAGATAAATAAAGAAGAAATCTCTGAAAGTCTTTGTTTAAAAAATAGAAACCATTTAAATAAAGGATATATATCACAAACTAGTTTAGGGATAATTAGTTAAGCCATAAAGCAAAAGCTTCCCAGTGACCAATTGGTCACTATTCCCTAATTCTATATTATATATATTATCCTATAGTTTGGAACATAATATCATACCTTCTTTCCGTAAAGTATATCCTTATATCATACCATATAAGGAAAATTAGGTCTCATATTTCCTGGTATACATATTATGTTATAAGATGGATAAAGCCTTATACCTATATACTAAAAATATAATACAGAAAAATTCCAAGGTTCTGAACTGGTGATACCCTTATTAACTAAACTCTTTTACCTACCTATTATTAATATTATTTAAAAGTTTAAAAAATGATAAAACTTTTATTTAATAACTATGGGAATTAAATCTATATCTCCTATTTTAATAAATAAAATTAATCACTATATCATAAACTAATTTGGGGATAACTAATTAAGCCATAAAATAAAAGCTTCTCAGTAACCAATTAGTCACTATTCCCCAATTCTATATTATATATGTTATCCCACAGCTTGGAACATAACAATATATAAGAAGGAAATCTCTTATATATTTAATTATTCTTTTATAATTCTTTAATTATTAATTTAAGATTATTTTTTTAAATATAATGAGAGGATTTTAAACCTTTTTAATGAATAGAATGTATTTAATTATTTAATTTATTATTGATATTATTACTTTTAAATTAAGATACTGTTACATTTTAAACTATAAAATAATAATTAATTAATCACTAAGAAACTTTTATTTTATGATTTAATTAGTTATCCCTAAACTAGTTTATAACATAATAACCAATTTTATCTACTAAAATAAAAGATGTAAGTTCAATTCTTATAGTTATTAAATAAAAGCTTTGTCACTTTCCAAGCTTTTAAACAATATTGATAATAGGTAAGTGAAAAGGCTTAATTAATAAGGGTATCATTAACTTAAAACCTTAGAATTTCCTTATATTATATTTTTAATATATAAATATAAGGCTTTATTTATCTTATAACATAATATATATATTAAGAGATATAAGGCTTAATTTTCCTCATATGATATGATATAAGGATATACCTTATAAAAAAAAGGTATGATATTATATTCTAAACTGTAAGATAATATATATAATATAAAATTAGAGAATAATAACTAATTAATCATTAGGAAGCTTTTGTTTTATGGCTTAATTAATTATCTGTCATGAACTAATTTAGGGATAACTAATTAAGCCATAAAATAAAAGTTTCTTAGTGACTAATTGATTATTATTCTTTAATTCTATATTATATATGTTATTTTATAATTTGGAATATAATATCATACTTTTTTTTTATAAAGTATGTCTTTATGCCATATCATATAAGGGGAATCAAACCTTATATCTCCTGGTATGTATATTATATTATAAAATAGATAAAGCCTTATATCTGCATATTAAGAATATAATATAAGGAAATTCTAAGGTTTTAAGCTAGTGATACCTTTATCAACTAGGCCCCCTTGCCTATCTATTATCGATATTACTTAAAAGCTTGGAGAATAACAAAGTTTTTATTTAATAACTATAGGAATTGAACCTACATCTCCTATTTTAATAAATGAAATTAATCATTATATCACAAATTAATTTAAGGATAACTAATTGAATCATAAAACAAAAGCTTCTTAATGATTAATTAATCACTATTCCTTAATTTTATATTATATATGTTACCCCACAGCTTGGAACGTAACATTATCCCTAAATTAGTTCATGATAGATACCTTAGATTAACCAATCCAATAATGACTATACCTTTCTAAGGCATAGGTTTGTCATATTAATTTAAGATTATTCTTTTAAATATAATAAAAAGATTTTAAACCTTTTTAATAAATAAAACTTACTTAATTATTTAATCTATTATTAATATTATTACCTTTAAATTAAGGCACCTTAAATTAATTAATTTAACAACAGTTATATCTTTTTAAGACATAAGTTCATCATAAATAATCATTTTTTATTAGTTTATAACAATTTATTTATTTAATTATAAATTTAAATAATTTAATAAATTTAATTATCTTATATAAATAAATCTGATAAATTTTCCAGATCTTTAATGATTATCCATGACTAACTATAACATTTCCACTTTTTAGGTCTTTAAATGGTTGCTTATCAGCTGGTTTATAACAGTAGCATAAAAGGAGTAGCTTTTCCCGAAGGGACTTAAGGGAAGAGGATATGGCAAACAGATCGTAAAAAGATTATAGCTATTCAATATATTGCCTTATCCCTATTTTGACAATTGACGTGTGTCTATTTAGTGATAACTGCTTCGATCTCGTGCCCGGTGACGATCAAATCATCGCTATCGATGTCGGTGGTTCAGTCAATATCCCGCAAGAAGGTATAAACTTGATAGAGAAGCACTACAGTTGATGTTTTATTCTGCACTAGTTGTCTTCTATGTATGTCATTTTAAATGGAAGTGCCTTAATTCGGTCTAGAGAATGGCGTCATAAGAAAATGACCACCGTGCGAAGTTTCCTAATGATTGCAGTATCATACTGTACGGTTTAGCCAATAGAATAGACTTGTAGAAGCCTTACTAATATTAAGGTGGGTATGGTACTTTTATGAACGCCCTTATGCTCCCCCCTTTAAAGTAATGCAAATTGGGTATGGATTGCAACACGACATCGGCCGTTTTCCGAATCCATAACCGGCTTTTCGCCGATATCATTCCCATCTCATCCGGAGATAAGTCGATTACAAATTGTTTAATTGAGAAACTGTTTCATAATTCTTCGTTACACGTCACACACCAGCAAAAGAAAAACCAAAAACTCTCCTAGTATGTCACTCGAAGAGGAAACATTCCGGGCATACACCCAAGCCCAAGGCAGCAATTACGCTGTAGGGCGACCCGGGTATTCCCCAAAGCTGTACGAAATTATTATCGGTCATCATACCTCCACAGGTGGGCAGCTCGACACCGTCATTGATGTCGGCTGCGGAACTGGCCAAGCATCTCTAGACTTGGCCACCTACTTTACTCATACTATTGGCCTAGATCCATCAGAGGGTATGATCAGCGCCGCCCGCGCCTCTGCTAAGTCAGCGAACTTTCCAATACGTTTTGAGGTATCCGATGCTGAAGCACTTGGCGTTGATCTTAAGCCACCCATCGCCGATGTCAGCGTTGACCTACTCACAGCAGCTACGGCAGCCCACTGGTTCGATATGGCACGCTTTTGGACAAGCGCGGCACGTGTGTTGAAGCCCGGCGGTACCGTCGCTCTTTGGGCGAGGACTGGAATGGCCGTGGACCCCATTAGGACGCTAAATGGTGTTGCAGTCAAAGCCGTGGTAGATGAGATATTCACTAATGAGCTGCAAACTTTCTCCAAGCTTGGTAGTAAATTAACACGTGATCTCTATGTTGATCTACCGCTGCCTTGGACCCTTAATCCTCCCGTTGAAGGATTCGATCAAGGGAGCTTCTTCCGGAAAGAATGGAACAAGTACCGAGATGGTAGAAATAACAACGATCTTGGCACGGGAACGATAGTCACGACTGAAGAGTTTGAAAATTTAATAGGTACAAATAGCACGGTGACTAGATGGAGAGAAGCACACCCTGACAAAGTTGGCACAGAAGAAGACATAGGAAGGAAGATGAGAAAGCGAATAGAGAGCCTCTTACACGAAGCGGGTGTGGAGCCTGATGAAGAGGTCCTAACGGGGCAAGTGGCAATCGTACTGCTAATGGTGAAAAAAGATGTAGCATAGAAGTAGCAGCCGAAATGGTATGAAAGCTACAGTGTACAGTATTGTTGCGTAGATTGTGACATGCATACGTGTTTCGAGAGCCTTAAACTATGAAAGGTCGAAGTACTAGGTATGCTCGTGGTTCCCTACTAACAATCTTATATCCCCTGTAAAGCCAATGACTATAGGTACGCGCCTTATTTATGAAGCACTCAATTCTGAATGGAATTCCATAGAACATCGACCTTTTGTATGGATGAGTCCACGCGGCGGTACGCAGATGATCAAGTTTCCGGCTGGGGGAATAGCTCCTATTTCTCCACCCCAAGACGACCGCCCTTGTTCCTGTAACCTACCTACCTAGGTAAGTATCATATAAATTGACTACTCACCGGACCTCTAAATGATGGAACAGAATACGGTAATTCGGAGAGGATTGTTCAATATGAATCTATTTAATAGATTTGTAGCGCGAAATTATTCGTACAAAATTCGCCTTATTGGAAAGAAAATTTTGACTTTGAGATAATGTAATATTCGAGGGTTATTTTGCCGATTCACTGCTCAATTCATCGTTCTCTTTGTCTCCGAAATCGCCGGGCTAACGATTTAACTGGGTTACCTGTGATACTTTGAAAAGGCGAAGTATCTAAATTCATCTTTTCGAACACATCTATCACCTGCCGTGCTCTTCGCGAATTCACTTTTATGGGTTTGGATCCGTACTCAGCCATAATGCAACCCAGCTCATATGATTCTTCTCTTGTTATATCCATCTTCGTCCATCCAGATACGTTATTCATGCGACGAGACACTGGAATCCATGCCATCCAGTCGGTTTCCTTGAATACCATACTGAAGCATACATCCAGTGGTGTAAATCCATTGGAGTCGACGCAATTGGGATCCGCACCAGCGCTAAGAAATTCAGTAGCAATAGCAGGAGTTGCAAGATGAAGTGGTGTAGACCAACCCATGGTAAAGTCGGCCTGGCCATGAATGCGAAGACTACCTACTTCTTTCCACGGTCCAAGTAAGTCAAATATTCGCCGCAAGAGATCACCCAGAGTTCGAGACCAGTCGTTGGCGGAATGGGTTCGTAACATATAAAGTAGTGAAAATATGACATCCAAATCCCCATGTTCATAATTCGATATGCCATTGCCCGGTCCACCAGCAATGGGATTGTAGCTAGCCTTAAGAAGGATTGTGATAGCCTCCTCCCAATCATCACAACTTCCAAAATTGATTTCACGCGATCCCACCAGGCTCAGCCAGAGTAAAGGAGCATTGTTTCCTCGTTGCCAATCTTCTTCCTTAGAAGTGACCCATTCCCTAAGAAACAAGAGCAGAGAAGAGAACGCTGCGAAACTAAGGGGCGTAGAGAATGGATTGAGCGGTAATAACATTTGCTTGACAGCCCAAGCGCGTGTAAGTGATTGCAAATCGTATTTGCTCATTCCAGACACAAATTCCACCAGGGTACTCCCACTAGTGATTTCTGCAGCTCGAGCATGGTTGATAAGAATCGACACATCAATATCGTTTTGGTCGATGTCTCCTTCAAATGCGGGCTGCGAGGCAATAAGATATTTCGAATGGAACATGTGTCCATTCGCGTAATTGTTCTTAACCAAGTGCTCCAGGACGACATCCTTAAACCCGAGACTGGTGACAAATTCGTAAACTGTTTGATGCATGACCTGAACGCAGTTTAAGCCGTCAGCATCCACAAATATCTCAACAAGTCCACCGCCCCACGTAAGTATTTCCTGCGACTGGCGCTTGCCCAGACCTTTCTCTTCGTCAATTGGTATGCTCTCAAGCACTCTTCTTGCTTGGGCATATTTGTGACAACTTGATACCGCGATAGCCCTCCATAAGTAGTCTAATCGAGGGGAAGTCTTCCAGGATTTTATCTCCGAAGCTCGTATTATAAGATCCAAGAGCACATACGTTTCCCAACGACACTCTGCCGGTATTCTTCTGATGGTTTCCTCGTAAAATCTTTCTAGGTCAACAGGGAGTTCACGAACCACAACTCTTAGCTGCTCTAGCGAATTTGATTCAAAAAGAACTTTGTGTTCCAGGTCTTTGATCACCAGCTTCACCCATAGAAAGACTCCAGAAGCACGTTCAACGATCTCGGGAACTAACGTCGTGGCATAAGAGGATAGAGCAGGACTTGAGGCCATCGTCCCCATGCAGAAATTCCGAATATCCTTTGTCGTGTACCTTTGGAGACTAAAGCCTGGGGTATGGTAGAAATATTCCTTGAAAATTTCCTCGGGTCTGCTAGAAAAACAGATTGAGACGCGCGTGGCAGAACGAGCAGACATGGTAAGCATAGAATCCAAGAAGCGACAAATTAACAACCTTGGGCCGTCAAACTCGTCTAAGGCGTCTAAAAAAAGACGAACTTGGAACCGAAATATATTTTGGTTTAGAAGAAGTCGAAAAGCTTCCATCAGCGTTGGGATAGTCCATTCGGGGAGAAACCATCTATCGGGTTGGAGTGTGGGCGGAAACAAGGGGTAAAGGAGGGTATGAAGAGGGAGAGCACCCTCTTCTTTAATTATCTGACGTATAATGCTTCTCATGAGGCCCTCTAGAGATTTTTGGATCGAAGTACCTCGGTAGTAGAAGAAAAACCCAGCCATCACCGTCATTGGTTCGCCGAGTCCTCTTACGAACAGCGACGTACGATAATCCTCTAGGATGAACCTCATTAGGGTGGATTTACCGGATCCGGGCTTGCCATGTATCCAGAAAATTCCAGTTCCGCTCTGGAGCCACTCTGTAAAGTCATTATTATTGTAAATCCATTCAAATGTTCCTTTATACCAATTCTCAATCAGACTCACTCGCAAGTCGAGATCGGGAGCATCAATTGAGGCAATAATTTCTGTGTTACCGTACGTGTTAGTTAGGTAATGCTCATAAATTAGGAATCCCGGGACTCTAAATTCACCTTTCTTACTAGGACCTTTTCGAGGTAACTCCTCCCTCGGCGCCTCCATCACTCCAGAGTCTGTTAATAGTTTTTGTGGACCAGAAGGTTTTACCTCTACGGTAGTTTGGCGTGGCGTCTGAGTTTGGGAACGGGATTTAGATATATCCCGAAGTTTGGAATATACAATTCGAGAAGCTGAGCTATTGCGCGGGAATTTGACCATATTAGAATGGTTTTCAGGGATAGGGAACGTCTTAGTAGGGTCTTTGTGCTCGAGACGACATGTCGCGGAGTATGGATCTACAAGTAAAGAAGGGGGTCCGTCACTGACCCAACCCGTACCTTCGGAATTTGACTTTTCAGGCGACTGTCAACGGTAAAGTCTCCATATGCGTACGTGATGCACTTACAACGACTGTGGGGGATAAACGAGTCTCGTAGGCCCAGAAAATGGTAACTTGACTGAGAAATGTCGTGCCCGTGAAAGCCTTGTCCATCTTGAGCAAGTAATTCGAATTTGGCTTCAAATCTTGCACCAAAGTCTCGTTAGGCTGTCCCTCGGCGATTGCGAGGAGATGTGATTGGTCCATCCCTAGATTCGGGACGCCAAACATGATAGCCCCGTGAATCTTGTGAATAATATCGCGGTTCAAGGTATTCCTAGCATCAGCGATGCGCACGAAAAAGTCTTTGAGAATGAGGCCCCCCAGGCTATGTGCAATGAAGACTATAGGCTTCGCAGACGGTTGTCTCCACCCACCGACAGCGAGATTTTCGATTAGATCCTTTGCGATGTCGCCAAGTACTAGGGTAGACGACCCATCAACCAAACTGGAGTTTTGGCCGTAAAGAATAGCTCTCATCCCAGGGACATGAGTTGGCGCTTCATCCCGGATCCACATAAACGTTTTATCGTCTCCGTGAGGCTGCCATGACCCAAAGGGATGGCTCGCAAGACCAGAGATAGCAATGCAACTAAGCACCGGGGATTAGAATGTAAATATCCAGTTAACGATTAACTCGAGGGGGTAAAGCCATAATTACGCACTCAAATTGGTGCAGCTCTCTTTTTACGTCATTTAGAGGTGTCAGACCTAAAAATTCGCAATCCAAGGTCAAGCCCTCACAGCGGCAACAACGCGAGAGATCCCATAGCGTCCCTCGGAGCTGCGGATCAATTGACTGGATCGCCGAAGGTACGGAACGGAATTGTAAGGTAGCAACTTGAGGCGCTGGATGTGACCAATGGTGCAATGAAGTCGCCAGTGACCGGACGTCGATATCATTAGCAGCTAGATCGGGAAACCCCTCACTTAGCAGCTCGGCCACATCACTCGTCGTCTGGATTTGAGAAGGGACTCCCTCCAGACGAAATACCTTTCTAATCCATCTCCCGGGGCTCATTGCCACTAGCCGTTAGTTAACAATTTTCTGATAGTCATGAATGCTATTGTTAAAGACAATACGCAAGACTGTTGCAGTAAGGGTAATGACAGTTCCCTTTTTGTTCCGGAACAATGTAATTCCGTCGAAATCAACTCTTCAATATTTAAGGAGCCAAACCAAACACCGCCAATCATATCCTCAGAATTGCCCTTCAGTTCTCGACTTTTTGCTTTCGCATTCTTTCCCATAACATATCTCAATGGCATTCAGTCACTTTTCTGGAAGGTTTCCAGCCCCCTCACGGTTGGGATACTGTTGTTCTGCATTTTTGTCGGGCAGAAGGAGAAGGTTATAAATACAGTTCCACGGGACTTATATGAAAAACTAGCACTATGGAGAGAGTGGGGCGGATGGAAGGCTTGGAGTTGGAAGATGGGTTATAAACCGACAGCGACGGACATAAAGACGATTATCGGGTGGTAGGATTGGGTGGACACAGCATTAACCAGGCCGGTTTTCCTTATGAAGAATAATATCTTCTTATAGAAAATAAGAAGGGATAAATGCAAGCTACGAAGTTATAGCGTATCTTTCCTTTTTTAAATATAAAATATTCATTAAGCTTGTTAATATTTTTTTATTTCATAATATACTTTTTCTTTTTTTTTCTTTATAATTAATACACCCCATAACCATAACTACCCAAGCTTCTTATTAACATATTATCATATTTTCTAATAACTTTAAAATACCAATAGCTCGCGCTTAATCATAAGTACATCTCAATACATGTATCATACAGCCATGGGGGCTTTTTCACTCTAATCCATATAGAGATGCACTCTTAGGGGTTGTGTTACTAGTCTAGGAATAAAAATTTTAGCGGGTCAATTTATAAGGCTCTACGAATACTACTTACATAAATACCCGTAGTTACCTAGGTAGCAGATGACCAAATTCATCTATATTAGATAGTATTCAACACTAAGTGTTGGCAATGTTACAATGAGGCTATGTAATCTCGATTGGTTGCAGTGATAGTAACATCTCCGCAAGACACCTAATTCTATAGGCTCTCGCGAAGCTGACGTGTGGCTGAGTTAGGAGATCTCCGAACAAACCACCTTTCGTTTTTTCACAGTCAATTAAATATACAGACTCTCTCCATTATACATCGAGAGGCTATGCAATGAAGTCTGTCAATATAACCTAACAACGCCCTGTCCTTGACCTGGCTATATACCCACAAAGTAAAGACCACTACATGACATCTCGTTATAATTGAAAGTTGCGATACTCCTGATATCCGCATTCCAAAATGTCGGATACTTATTGCGGAGAAGCCAAGGGTGAAAAAGACGCGACCGCCATTGACTACAAAAATGAAACTGATCGTGTCGAGTCCTTCAATAGTAGGCCTTGGTCTCTCGTAGTTTCTCCCTAGTCGCAAAACTAAACAATACCTACCAGAAACCGATTCAGCGACCCAAACTAGGCTTAGATGGCCAGCCCACAACGCCGAGAATGGCAAGAACGATGACCAAGAGTGGGATATTGTCGAGAACCCGGACTCGACGGACGAAGTCGATACACGTGGCCGACGACATACATCTCGAGTGCATTTCGATATGACAGTAGGGTTTCGGCAACGGAAATATACATTGTTCTCCCTCGACATGAGTTACACATGCCGTGGCCATGCAGACGCGGCTTCTATGAGAGTTGAGGAACCCGCTGGAAATCAATCAACTGAACAATTATTGGAGAAAGGACCCATTGAGGGCAGCGAGGAACATAATTGAGACATGCGATAATTCTTCTCTTGCCCTAACATCGAATATCAAAGTATGCATTATCTTAATATCAACCGAGCCAGCCACTTTTAAGGACATTTTTTGCGATTAACGCACACACCTTCGGGGAGTAAAGACCCTGTAGCATGTTAGTTTTTCCGGTCGCATTATTTCTCATTGGTGGAAGTAAGTTATGACACGGATCTAAAGTCGCGATGCTCCCAAAAACATGGTCCGACCCTCCGTACATACCTAGGTAAGTGCTTAGGTAGTACTGTACCCGATCAGAGAAGCGGGAATGTGACATCGGCCAACTATTTAGGTGGATTCAGTGGCTAGATCACCAGGGGGTTTAAATAGGCTAATGATCGTTCGCAGTACAAATACCTCCTACTTAGATATGATCAACAAAGTAATTCAGTATTCTCTATTCGAACCATGGCTTCATACTTTAGATTATTTGTTTCGGTTCTAGCCGTAATCCAAGGTGTACTCGCAGCGGTGACGTTTACCGTCCCCAAGCAGGCACATACAGGATCCTACAAATATGCGCCTTTAGACCCAGCACCAGTCGGTATATCGTAAGTTACAGGGTACCTAGGTATTCTTATTGTAGCGGATGATATTTACTAATGCCGTTGCAGCTTCGAATTCTTCGCTTTCCCGTCCTATTTCACCAACGTGAGCGCTACAAATCAATGTCTTTCCAATTGGAAGGATCTCTCCGGGGTCTGGCCGCCAATTCGCATCGGAGGTACCACACAAGATCGGGCTCAATATGACTCTAAAACTTCGGCCTATGTTGTTTATAGTGTTTCCAGCCCAGCTGATGCACCTGCGAGCCTCACATTCGGCTCCAGTTTCTTAACTTTGGCGGGGAGCTATGGCGGCAGCGTTGTGGTCGGGTTAAACAGGGGTAAGAATCAGATTCAGAACACGATCAGCGCCGCCAAAATTGCCGTGGCCGAAGTGAAGAATCTCCTTGCTGTCGAACTCGGAAACGAACCAGAATGTACGTCCACTCCCAGCAATGTCCATCATCGTAGCTGACTGACTCCTAGATTATTCCAGAAACGGTCAGCCCATTGCCTCCGGAAGTTGGTCCCCGGCTATTGACGCCGCTTCTCAGAATAATTGGGATATATCGGTAGGATCGGCTGTAGATAAGCGGCCAATAATCCAAGCCGGGAACTCCAATGATTCTCCTCCCACATGGGGCGCGGCAGAGTTGATTGCGACAGAGAATGCAACCGTAAAGCAATACGTCAAGACATACGCGCACCACAACTATCCTGGGGGAAGTGTAACTTCCTTAATGAGCCATAAGAGTATCTCCAGCAACTTACATGTCTTTGATGCTGACGTAGCGGCCGCCTTAAAAGAGGGCAAGCCATACGTGTTCGGCGAAACTAATTCGGGTACGTGATTCTGAGCATACGCACGTAAGGAAACAATGCTAATATAATTGACAGTATCTGGCGGTGGCGCGGCGGCTGTATCGCCAACTTTTGGTGCGGCCCTGGTAAGTAACATTAGAAATTCTCTCTTTTTCGATATGCGACAGAACGCCCTACCGAAAGAGACAGACACTAACTCATGGACATAGTGGACAATGGACTATGTACTTCGGGCAAGCTACAGCAATATATCGCGGACGTATTTTCACCACGGCACTGTCGGTAATTGTCAGTATTGTTTCTGGGGAAGATATAGCATGGGTGCCCCTTACTATGGCGCGTACGCAGCGACTGCCTTGCTAGCAAAGGCGTCCTATCTCACAGCTCTTGACGACGGCTCGAACAATTATGCGGCATATGTTTCGTTTGATTCCAATGGTGCACCACTTCGGGCACTGTTATACAACTCTGATTATTTCAGTGGAAGTGGTACTCGATCCAGCCAATCATTCCAGCTTCAGGGACTATCCGGAAGTTCCGTGAAAGCCAAGAGACTCACGGCAGATAGCGCTGCGTCCAGAGTCGATCAAGGTGGAAAAGTTACTTTCGGAGGCCAGACTTTTACCGACGGAGACTGCAAAATTGCCGGGTCTGAGAGTATTGAGACATTGGAGGTATCGAACGGGCAGGCGACGGCTACATTAAAGGCTAGTGAGGCCCTCCTAGTATACTTGCAATGATCTAGGCCGCATGATCAGTTGTACGGCTACTATACATTTCCAATTAGGAGGGAAAAGGTATCGATGGAATTTACTTATCTTGACTGTGCAATGCGTCTCATTATCCACTGCCACCATTGACACCATTGACCCCATGGCATTAAAGGAACGGAAGCGGAAAGTAGAGAGTGCATTCAGTGTTCCACCATCTTGGTCAAGTCATCAGAATCAATTGTCACTCCTATGCAGTTTATACGCGGCCGAAATGCGCATCCGATTTAATTATCTCGTCTACCTAGGTAGATACGACCAAACTGCGTAGTGGTTGACATCTGCCTCCAATATCAACACCATCAGGTATCATATTATGCCATTTGTCGGGAATGACTATCCTAGGTAAGCATCCATTATACCCTCAAAAACGATCCTTGTCCTTTACAGGGAAATCGGAACCGGTGGTCTTCTTATACTGGTCGCGTATGAAGTCAGAGATCTGTTCATCCTTGGCTTGCTCGGCAGCGCTTTCATTGCTTTGATCCCCTTGACCCAATACATGTTCTTGGACCCAATCAACTCCTATATTATTAGAAGAGGTTCGTTAGCCGAAGAAACATAAATGCTTAAGTGAACGAATAGGTCGCCAGTATCTGCTGTTGGGACTAAATCAACGTACCCTTGTCAAGAGCATCCTCATTTTTCTCACTTTCTTTTCCGCCTCCAGCGAGTGTATTAAGTTTATCCATAACACCGCCGCTCGACTGCTGCTGGCTATTCTCTTGTGTCTTGTTTTCTTGCTCGTTCTTGGAACCGCCGGTAAGCTTGTTGACAAAATCCATGGTGATGCGTCTGGGCATGCGTTAGATACAGAGTGAAAATTGACGATAAAAGAGTGGATTGAAGTATCAACCAAAGATGTAGGAGAATTCGAGGGGGAAGATGTAATTGAATGTCGCAGAAGGATAAAGAGGACTTGATTGCGAATTGAATAGACGACGTAAGTGGCGCGGTGCCCACGATGATGTCACTGTCGAATGAGTTCTTTCTTTTGTCCTTGGCATGTCGACCTAAACATCTTCAAACATTCCAAGATTATTGATGGCTTTAAGGTACCTACCTAGGTATGTAAGTACTTCCCTTTAGATCTATGGGTCTTTTATCAGCCAGGCTTAGATGAAAATAATTCCATTGATGTTTCTAGATCAAATGATCTGCGAGATGTATTGCTTGATCTTTACCCACTCAAAACATTGAACCAGGATGTAAATAACTCGAGAGGTCACGATAGGTGCAAGGAAATTGTTGTAAAGTTGCTGAGCTGAAAAATAGCGGGTCGTATTTTTCCTACAACACCTGAGCAGCGTTGCTACTGCGCAGCTATATGTACCTACCGACAGCTAAAATTTCAATACTTGGGGAATCCATGTATGTCGGAATTGGGGGACACTATATACTTGTACCTAAGGCGTACTGTACATCTAGGTAGGTACATGGAGATGTTCGTTGCCCGCTACTACCCCGCTGCGGCTGATGTAGATTTAGAGTCTCTACCCCACTATCATAACAACGGTGCGCACCATACTTAGGTGTACAGCTGTGATCATTCAATGAATTGTGCACACAAGAGGGGGCACATGCACTCATGATCATGTAGTAAACACCTACATATCTAAATACATCAATAATTCGATACGTTATAGGACCAGGTGGTTCCATACATCATTGAGGCCTATTCTAAGCACCAGAGTACCTAGATATGTACGGTAATATAGTACGCGTGATGCGCTGGATGCACATGCACACATTTACACACGTCCCTACATATAGGTAGATTGATTCTTGCATAGCATCTTGTTAAACAAAGCCTTCAGATCAGTATAATCCTGCTTCATGTAGGCTGTTAGATGTAGCACGCTTATATCCGTCTATTGCATGCACATACATATTTAATCAAGGTAATTAAGATAAGCTTTGATTGCGCATAAGAATTTAAGTTACCTACACTGCAATATTGAAGGTTCAATGTTTAAATGTGTGAAATCCCATGTACAACCTACAACCCTATTCCCAGCATCATGTATTTGAATTTGTAGGTACCTTGTGTAGGCAGGCACAATTCAGGTAGCACACATATACGTACCAAACATACATATACCTACATAAAACACAAGGCACTTTTTTTAGTGCTGCAGCCTCATCTTTCCAACCTTGAAAGCTCCCAACTCACCTAAATTTCTAAATTTCTGATGTCCGTAAAATCCCACTACCTTCGTCCATACCTATATCCCTAGGAATATACAGGGAATATATCAACAGATACGAAGACTCGCATTTCTCTATTTGGTATTATTTTCAACCCTCGCAAACATTGATAATTCCATCATTGTATCAGCCTAGACGAAACTCCTACATGATATGAGACGTTGGCCTATTTCCATAACAAACACACTTAAGGCTCGGCACCCCAGACCCAATCATTTACTTACATAAAAGTACCTAAGGTCGAGTACCTAGGCATTAGTAGGGCGAATCAGTTGGTTCCTTCTTATCAACTGCAAGGCGTCCCTCCACTAATCAAGTGCAGGTGATCCAACACTTCACCAACACACCAGCATCGCATTTTAAGCATCGTCGCTCTCTCGATGCAGCAATAAGCAAGTCCTACAAGGTACTCGGGTACGTATTATAGATATCGCCTAGCCTCACCTGGGTACTCTCTTATTTATCTTTTATTCCCCTCTAGGCAACCCATGGTCTGGAAGATGTTGTAGCCTACCTACTTGAGTAGGGACATCCAATCAATTCTAATGTGTAAATCCTCTTGACTGACTACATATTTACAGGTTGTGTCTTACCCCGCTTAGCCTGCCTAGGATAACATCCAGTACTTAACATCGTGCATCGTACATCGTCTATACGCAACTCACAAGGCCGAGTCTAAATCCTGGAACCGAGAATAAGGAATCAAGGCAGAAAGCACAGGACGTCTTTGAGTTGACTTTCGAGGCTGGAGGACGTTTTATATGTTTCTCTACTAAGTAGTTCGCCCTCGTCCGTGTCCTCGAGTTTACTGGGGACTTTCCTTAGCAATCAGCAGATTTTAGGTCTCCGCCCCCTGCACAGTGCGCTACTTACCCATAGTGAATGGTGAATGGTGAATCCACCATCGACTGATACAGTTTATCAAAACAAACAAAGGAAAAAAAAAAAACAAATAGTTTTTTTTTTCCTTCGAGTTTACTAGCCCACCTAATCACATGCGACCAATAGGCACCAAGACCTATCGCCTAGACATCTTATTTGTATGCTCCCACTAGATGGGTTCTATCTCAACCGGACAACCCCGAGACACCGGCCTCTTATCATGGCACCCAATCTAGAGACATTCAAGCATATTTCGAGCAGGATTAACTTCTTCCGAAATCACCGCCCGGACCAGAATTCTACCGATAGTGAGAAATCGCCCCAACATTTACTTACTCAAATACGACCGCCGTCAATATCAAGTCTCAATTTCGCATCAGCATCAGCATCAGCACCAGCGGCATCGGCCTCGGACTCAGCTTCGACCTCAATCTCACCGTCCGCAGGTCCAGCCCAGGCCAAAAAGACCTCGGAAGTTTCGCGTAACAAACCGCCCACAATGGCTTTGAAACAAGGTTCTAACTTGCCCCGGGCGTCAAAATCAACATCCACGTACACGAAAATGCCAACTTTCTCGAGCACATCTTCGTCGATCTTTGCTGGCTCTTCAGCTGGTGCGCCCGCCACGAACATGGTCGCTGACGGAAGTTCGCTTCGGGTGGAATCAGCGGGAAAGCCCTCAGCAAGCAATAGTAAAATGCTCAGTCAGGGTCTTGGTAGCAAATATAACCCTATTGACCTCACCGACAACACACCCGAGAATGATTTTCAACCATCATACCACTCTACTTTCGAGACTCCTAAAGCTCTTAAACAACATTCATGGACTCCAACGGCAAGTCTCCCTCATACAGCACATTTCCATCCAACAACCCCAGTAGCTCCGGCAGCCCCGGCAACGCAGGATTTTGTTCATCCAGGTCTGTGGGCGCTTCCCGGGTATCCAAACCATTCTTACGGACCCATGAAATACGACGAGTTCCCGCCAATGTTTGACACTTGGTCGTTAGCCGATGCCGGGACGTTCTGGGATGATCCGTCCGTACCACCTGGAGCCAACACTCCGTCGCTGGGTCCACCAGAATACCCGAAACCCACAGTTGATGAGATGGCTTTTCAAAACTCTGGATCGTGGTTTAGTAAGTGGGCGGGAAGTAGCCTAACCCCACCCTTCCCATACCCGAACTATCCTCAACAACAACCAAACCAGGGACCGCAGTTCGGGGGAACGGCGATGGATGTGGACAGTCCGGAGGATAGCAGTGAATCTTCGGCGGATCAAGATGAACTTCCGGAGGAACCCACCGCCTCCAACGAAATATTATCTAAACTGGAGCCGTTACAACAGTTCGTCCGAGAGTGTCTTCGCCGAACCTGCCCCAAATGCCCTACCAAGAGAGCATTAGACGCCAAGGATGTCGTGAACATGACGACAGGATGGGCCAAAGATTCTGGTGAGTTCCAAGCAGATATGCGATGCCAATTGAGGCGTATTCTAATACTCCGCAGATAATATCGTCCTAGGCACGTCGTGTCAAGGCCGATTTTGTCAGGCATTCACGTGTCTCGGCTGTGGAAAGGCCATATACATTACAGGAATGGGAAGAGCAACGAGTAGCTTCTTCATATCCGGAAAAAAGGTCGCCGTGTATTGGTGCTGCGATGACGGAAGGCTCGCTGCGATTTGGGCTCTTGCTTGCGGTTGGAAGGCGCCGACACCCAAACCCCGAACCGTAACCCGCGTGGTCAATAAGGTCCGAGAACGAAGTAACACCAAGTTCGCCACGACTCACGGCGGACATAGCCATAGTACGCAACGCACGCCAGCTAACGCCAAAGGCATTGGTTACGGTAGTGAACGACCAGAATATCATCCCTTCAGCTATTTCCAAAGTCGACTAGCTCCTCGCCCGATCCCCGAAAGGCCCATAGATACTCAAGAGGATTCCGTACAGGAGGCATATTTCAAACTCTTAGCTGCGCTGCTTCCTTCGCCCACTGGAAGTACTGATTTTGACTTTTTGCCTCCTTTTTATTTCTCGCATATGCTTTCCCGCAGTCCTCTAGTAGAGATGACCGCTATGATGTTGAATAATGGCTCGATGGAAGAGATGTCCCGCCATTGTCGGCTTCATGACGCCATGTTAGATTTTTTCGAGGCATTAGGCAATCACCCGGCAACTACTGGGTTATTGTATAATGACCGCAACTTGTATCACGCGAAAGGCGGAAGCCTCTTGGAGGTTTCAATCCCTCCAGTCCACAAAAAGGCCAAACTGGCCCCCAAGGATACCAGTAAACCTTTAACAACATTATTGGAGAAAATGGCAACCCAGTCGCGGACAGTTCTTCGCCATGCCAGGGCCAATCCTACCGAGTTTCAAAATACCGAGGGGCGGGATCTGCTAACGATTAGTCAACGGTTAATTAATCTCTCCGCTCACCATATGAGCAATATGCAACTTCTCCAAACGGAAATGGATACGAGCGACGGTGAATCAATTATCGACTTTTCTCAGTGGCATCGCGAAAATAATACTCGAGACACTCCTGATGAATCGATTCTGAATGGCTTCGCATTCACGCGAGAACTTGAGAGAATGTCCAACGCGATCCCAGCCCGTGGAAGAATGAAGAGGCTAATTACTGAGATCTCGACGCTTCAGACATCTCTGCCGGAGGGTATTTTTATATGCCATGGATCATCACGACTAGACATCATGAAGGTCCTCATCATTGGACCCAAAGGTACCCCTTACGAGCATGGATTGTTCGAATTTGATTTGTGGTGCCCCCCAGACTACCCAAATTCGGCGCCCAAGATGAAATACAAGACCACAAATAACGGAAGAACGCGATTCAACCCGAACCTGTACGAAGATGGCACAAGTAAGTAAACACCATCCCAGCCCAAACTAGCCACTTTACTAGTAGAGATGCGGCGGTTGCAGTGGAAACCTTGGGTGATAGAATGTTACTAACAGTCGTGCCGAACAGTATGCCTTTCCTTGCTAGGGACATGGTCTGGTGAGCCCTGGAGAGCCAATAAGTCAACTATACTTCAGGTACTTGTGAGTATCCAGGCCATGATTCTCTGCGAACAGCCCTGGTACAATGAACCCGGTCGAGAGTTAAACGAGAACAAGTCTCTATCAACGAAATATAACAACGATATACGCAGCTGGACGTTACAATATGCCCTGCTGCCCTGGATCAACGCACTTAGTGCCAAAAACACAGATCAAGGCGCCAGCTCTAGCTCTACTACAAGTGTTGAACCACTCTGGAAGGAAACCGCTCGATTGTTCTTGTGCGCGAAAGCTAGGGACATCATAAGCTCATCCAACCAGGCAGCTTCCAGATCACGAAAGATGGCGTTACAAGGTGTCGCAAAGACCGTTGAGTCGACCCTTCGAGCAAAGGGTTTTGTAGATTGAAGCACTCAGGAAATTACCATGATGGTCATTTCCGGCCTTCTTTTTCTTGCCACCTGTTTCCGCGTGGCGCAAGAAAAGGGCCAGACTTAGGCATTAGTTTCGTCGAAATGAACATAGAAAAACAAAGATATTTGGCCTCCCCACTCCTGCTGTCGCACGAATCCGAATCCGACAGGCCACCAGACAGATCGGTGGCGATAATTTTGCGAATACGGCTAGTACCTCGTCAATAGGGACGCCACAAATACCCAGGAAGAGTACCGTACCTAATCCAGGTATGTACCTAGGCATCCAAGAAGAACGTTGGAACTGGGGAATGATATGCGTAACCAACCATATGATGGATTGCGCATGCGGGGATGTATCAACCCAGTATATTCGTAGATACCCAGCCAGGTAGTCAGTCATATGATACATGAGGACGATTATGCTTGCAATCCTAACGAAGATATACGGACGGATTCTTTCGTAGGGGTACGGCCTAAATAAATGATTTCTGAAACAAATGACTCTGTTCCGTTAATTGACTTGTTGTGTGACGTCGTCTCTCTGATTCTAACCGCTTAGTACATCGTAGTCTAAATGACGTATTTATAAAATCACATAATCAACCTGGAAGATTTAATAAGTATTGATGCAATTTTACAACTTTAACTCGGAAGAGCCATACCATTGCTTCCACAGGGGAAAGGCGGTGGCCAACCGATGGATTCATAGAACGAAATAGGAAGGAGAACAAAGTACAAAACGGAGAACGGGGTGACTTTACCTCGGTGAGCCTTTCCTATAATGCCCAAGGCTTTTAATTTGCAAACGACATTTATAACCCAACTCGACCTGGGATGTATGTACCCAATCCTAGGTACCTACCTAGGTGGGTATGCAAGCAACCTTTCGATGGTATAGCAAGAGCCGGCTCGTCCTGTCATAATAGGGCTATTGACCCTCTCCGAATGGATAATTGAACTTAAGCAGGCCGATCAATCCACCAACCCAGCCATCATCGTCCTCAGCTATACCATCCCTCTCACGATCGCCTTTACTAGGGGAGCGAATAACGCAAGGTACTCCTCCCGCCCAACTACCATCAGAGGTGCGGCCGACAGTCTCGCCCTCAACACGAATTTCCATCCCAATGGTTACCCCGGCCCTTCGCTTGCCATCGATGCTGACTTCAAGTTCGCGCCCACGGTTCTTATCGCTCAACTTCAAAACGACCTTGGTGTTCAGAGGTAACCCAAGAGGCCGAAAGCTTAGGCTACGAGCACATATAGGGGTAATCAGCAGCGTCTTGACTAATGGATGCATGATACTCCCACCAGCGGATAGCGAATAAGCTGTGGATCCTGTCGGGGTGCTGATCAAGATTCCGTCAGCAACGGCTTCTGTTAAGAAGTGATTGTTGACATAAACGTCGATAATTGCAAGGTGCGGGTTCGGACCACGGTGAATAACCAATTCATTCACGGCGTGTAAAGATCGTGGCGCAAATTGTTCTGGTGAACCCTCCATATTTTCGAAACCAGGGGGCATCTGAGGAATGGGTTGCTGAGGTTCGGCAGTCGATGTGGGCATGAGTTGCTCGTTCATGTTGACACCTGTAGCATCGTAGACTCCAACCTTCAATCTATGGCGCAATAGGATCTTACTAGACCGAGTAAGTCCCATACTCTTCCCACGAACACCCTCCCATTTGCTGTGGAGATGCCCGTCGTCCTTGTCGGTGCGGCCATTAGATGCGGCTTGCGTGTGTGGTCCCTGTAAATCAGATACGGCGACGCGGCTGCCACTCATATATACCTCGCGCCAAGCACGCTTGTATTCTTCAAATTTCCACTCTCCAAGAAAGCCGAGGGTTCCCATGCTAAAGGATAATATCGGTGGGACAGATTCGTGAAGGCTGAAGAGGCTAGCAGCACGCAAGATAGTCCCGTCACCACCCAAAGTGGTCACCAAATCAATCTTACCAGGGAATTGACCCGGATCCGAGGTATATATGGGGAAAGGTAGCGATTCATGAATAGCGGAGGCGACCCGGCGTTCGAAAACAAGATTCAGATTTGGATACTCGCTATGAATGTGGTTGGCAAAAGAAAGAGCGGAAACGGTGACCTTGGGAGCGTGAAGTTTCGGGATGATCAGGATATTCCGCGGAGGCTCTGGCCATTGTAGAGACAGTAGTGAAGAGGTTGAACTCTCCTCGTACTTGGGCAAGATGCGATTAGGGAGAGTCGAGATGTCCAGTATCTCGCGACGACAAGAAGTACCTGAGAACGAGCGCGCTCTCGGGAAACTGTAAGCAAGATGCCGATAACCACTAAAAATGCTCGGCCGAGACATTTCCTGGTGCAAAACCCACCCAGAAAGATATTCCCCGGTATCCTACCACTCTAAGAATCATAGGCGATCTATTATTCCTCGGCTGCTACAGTTAGCTTAGCACCCCCGCAGTTCGCTCTTTAGTGTTCTTGAGAGAAGGCGAGTGACGAATGTATAGGTTGTTAAGAAAGGTCGTGACGAGTCGCATTGCTCATGCAGATGAATATATGAGAAAATAATGTGGGTAGATAACAGTAAGTAAAGCACATGCAGTACCCTCGAGGCCCCTTCTCTTGTTCCGTGTCCAACTCCCGATGATTAAAGACGAAATAGAGAACAAAAATAATCGTAAATGCTCCTCGTCTGTCGACTCACCCCATGATCAAATTCGCACTGTTTTTTAATGGAATGTATCGCGAGTCTCATAAGATCGTATATTAACTAGAAATTTGTCCCCATTATCGACATTTCTCCTGGCGTTGTTGTGAATACGAACAGAGAGGCTGAATTGGTAGTGGTGTCAATACGATGATGTATTGTATTGGGAAAGGAAAAAAAAATAAAAAATATTAATAATAATTCTAAATCACGGACGGAGTACTTAGGTACCGAGCCGTGTTGTGATACAGTACATACTGTAATTTCTACTGTATTATGATATCAGGGCTCCCTAAGTACATGTACATACTTAACAGAGTTGATAACTCTGAAGCTTCCATACATGCACAGTAGATAGTGCAATACATCAATGCCTAGGTATTAAACTCAAATGATTTCCATATGACAATAGTAAGATTAGGTAAAGTAGGACCGAGCAAGCGTGAAGCTATTCTATCTTCGGTCCCCACAAATAACCGAAAAGGGAAATATTAACAGTTGAACCAGTTAGACATCACGAAATCTCCCCGCAGTAAAACTCATCAACATTCATGAAGTCTTTTCAATAAGAAACGACGAGTGAATGACTTGAGTGTAATTCATAACCTTATAAATCCATCAGGGTATATAAGGTAGGTAAGAGTCGTGAGTATATAAAGTCTTTTTCTTTCCCCCGAGTATTTCAATATTCTTAAATCTAAAGATCCTCAAGACATTTCTTTCTCTCATCCATCAACACACACACACATACACGCACATACACACATATATATAGGTACCTTTACGGAAGATAATATCAACCACAAAACAACATGGTTAAATCACCCCTTAACGTCGGAGTTATCGGCTATGGGTAAGCCATCTTCACATTCACTCGTAAATCTTTTGAGGAGGATTGCACTCACTAACTAGCTCGTCAGATTGTCCGCCACCATATTCCACATTCCATTCATCGCGACGACGTCCACCTTGAAACTTCATTCCATTCTACAGCGCAACCCCAACTCTTCTTCTTCTTCAGCTCCTCGTGACCACCCTGATGTCAACCATTTCACTGCTCTGGATCAATTCCTTGCCGACCCAGATCTCGATGTTGTCGTTGTTACCACTCCTCCTGACACGCACGTCTCCTTCTCTCAACAGGCACTGCAAGCAGGGAAGCATATCTTTGTAGAGAAGCCGTTTGTTCCGACCGTGGCTGATGCCAACGCTCTCATCGACCTTGCCAAGGAGAAGGGCCGCTTGATCTGTGTGTACCAGAACCGCCGTTGGGATGCTGATTTCCTCACGGTCCGAAAGCTGCTGGCGGATGGTAGCCCACTAGGTCGGATCGTCGAGTTTGAGACACACTTTGACCGCTACAAGCTAGACAAGCCGGCCACATGGAAAGGTTCGCTTGGAATAGAGCAGGGCGGTTCGGCGCTTTACGATCTAGGCACTCATCTAATTGACCAGGTGTACGTGCTATTCGGAATGCCCCGAAGCGTCTTTGCTACGTTCGCCAGTCAGCGAGATAGCATCTTGATGGGTCCACAGAACTTAGATTTAGAGCCCGATAGCGTGACAACCCAACTGTTCTACGACAATGGCCTGGTTGTCTTCGTGCGCATGGCCGGTGTAAGCGCCGAGGCACGACAACCGAGGTTTTGGATTAGGGGAACCAAGGGTAGCTACCGTAAAGAGGGTCTTGACCCCCAGGAGCCTCAACTCAAATCCGGAATGAAGACAGATGATGCGAAATTCGGCTGGGAAGACCCAGAGTGGAATGGAAAACTCACCATTGTGAACAACGACGGCAGCATTACTATGCAGGACCACCCGAACGTTGAGCCAGAAACCTACAGAAAATTCTACGACCTTTTTGGCGAGGCCGTTGTTCAGAATAGCGAGCAACTTGTGCCCGTACCAGCTTCGCAAGCGAGGGATGTCCTGAAAGTCATCGAGGCTGCTAAGGAGAGCGCAAGGAGCCGGCGCGTCGTTGAGTTATCTTAAGGTAATATTTTAGCAAACCTTGGAAGACACGTGTAGAAGACGGAATTTTTAGCATATTCTTCTAGTTATACACATATCTCCAGAGAATACAATACAAGTGCTGGCAATTTCTGCTGTCCGATTGAACATTCGCTTCGACTCACCGCTGCAATGGAATTAGCCAATCGTCCAAACAAAGGTTTCGTAAATTGTAGAATCAAACTATCAATTGCTCCTCTATCTCACATGCTTAGTCCTTAGGGTTAAGTATATGGACCACCACAATTCTAAAGCCAATACACGAAGCTTTAGAACAACTCGTCCTTAGGTAGATAAGCAAGTAACTTGGGAATTAGCTGGATTGTATACTACTTACCTACCTAGGTACCTAAGGTAGTGAATAAGTGATAGTGTCACTCACGAAATATCAATATAGCCATTTTCCAACCCACGAAATAAACCCACTGTGTAATGATAATATTCATGAATAATTCGCTTACCAACTACCAGACGCTGGTACATAGGATGATAGGCCGTGAAAACAAACGAGTAGAGATGCATTGATACCACTCCTCGCTATGCTAAAATCATCAATCAAATCCAAAACTCCTGACCCTACCCCATACCTACGTACACCCATCCATAGTATCGTTTCACGGTCTATTCTCGTTAGTATTTAGCTAAAAAAAGAACACCTTCTAGCTTCGTATCCGTTGCTTTTGCCATGGTTAACATGATATGAACATGGACAATATCCCCGATACGCCTTTGATCCACTTCGGCTTGGTTAACCAGCGCATTACAGCGGAAAGAATCGACTAGCGGCGAGCGAGGGCTCGTACGACTCTGAGCATAAAGTTGAATATCAGACCAAACAGGCCGAGCATGACGAATATCCTCATGAATTCCCACCAATATCGAGTTCGAACTTCTGTCTCGATATGCCCTTTTATACCAGCTCCATTGGCCGGGAATCGACCTGTTGAGACGTATTGTTCGAGTAAAGCGTCCTTCTCGTACCATCGTTCACGGAGCCATTTATCAAACTCTTCCTGGTTGTCTAAGGGCATGTCGGCCAGAGCAAACCGCCTCCAGTAAAAATTCACAGACTTAGGAGGTCGCCCTTGGAAGTAAGTGCTCGATAAAGTAAAATAATTCTCGCCAAATTTCCCGCGCCTAGAAAACGTCAACCGGTCAATATCAGCAACGAAAAGGTTATATAGAAAAGGGCGACTACGTACGGGACACCTTCGTAGGCTACAGTACAGTCATATACGTAGTCCACCGTCCCCTTCAATTCGCTGAGACAGAAGAACATGCCGGTACTGCGAGGTAGCATCAAATGCTGCATATCTCGAAGACCCATTTTGGCTGCCCATTGAGCCGACTTATCACGGCCGTTAGAAGACAAATTCGTTCCTTCAGGGAAAAGGAGTAACCACATCGGATTGAGATATCGATTTCCGTCAGGATCCAAATGTCGGGATTTTAATTTGCCAAGCCTATGGGCTAGGCGGGGCCGATCGACAGCCATCTTGCGAGACATGAAGATGAAGCCTAGAAACATGCAACCCGGTCCGATGACAGGAATCCATTTCAAGGATTCCTTCAGGATGATATAGACGTGCCCATGCATCTGAGGGATATTCGTATATCCAACCCACCATAGATATAACCAGTCGGTGTAGATCTGCCGAAAGTACTTTCGTTAGCTACTTACGCTCGTCTTGATAGGGCGTCGGGGTGGTGCAGACCTGGTGGTTTGCGATCATGACCATGCGCTCCGGAAAAGCGCATTGAACTCTACCGTCCGGAGTCAAGCTGAATTGCCCCGCAACAGAGGCATCACCACTTATTCTTATAACCGTCGGTGCCCACCATTGGGTCATGGTAGTTATCAGCAAGCCGAAAGACGCCTTCGTTAAGGACATGTAGGCATAGTATAGGTCGCGATTGAGATAGTATATCGGAGCACCAAGGATCTGAGTGATATGGATGCTGCAGGCGTATTAGAACCACTCTGCTTATACGAAACTAGCTAACCGGCAAGCGGGAGTCATACGTTAAACAGCTACTTGCAAAGTATATTGAAAATGATAAGGCGCGAAGGAGTGCTCTAAAGCGACCATATTTAGCCTCACCTGCGGGGTGGGCAATATCCGGATCTAAGGCGGGATCGGTATCATCGGCCGTCGAATTGGGCTCCGATGCCTTCTCTGGAGGCGGCCTTTGCCGCAGTTCAGCAGCAGTCATAGCGTAACCAGATTAATGGCGCCAGTAGCGATTGATTCGGGGGGTTGGATACGATAGGTAGTCGTCGTAACAAGCACAAGCAAAATGTATAGGTTGGAGATGCGGTCGATAATGTCAAGGACTTTGCAGGTATCGTAGTTGAGTACAGCGAAATGGTGTCACGAGAGCGAGCGGGTTGCGATACGGTTTGACATGCTAAAGAGGAGCGATAATACACCATTGGTTAGCCATGGAGAAGATAGAAGAAAGGAGGATAGGGATTAAAAACTGAGGGACGAGTGGCAGAGAAAGATGCCTAACGGTAGATGTTGGCGAGCGAGTAGGTGGATAGGTGGATAGGTAGATAGGTGAATAGGTGAATAGATACCTGGGTAGTAGTAGGTAGTCAGAGATTATCGGGTTCCGTGTGAGACCGAAGTTACCGATTCCCACCATGAGCTTATGCAATGGAAAGTTGTAGTGTGCCAAGCCAAAGGACAATATATTTGCCTAGGTAGAATTGAAAAGGGATTATACCTAGTACAAAGAAGTTGATTATTTACCGATTCTTTCTTCGGATAGGTAGGTTATTCATGACACGTCGTCGTCGTCGTTAGAATTCGAGGTCCATATTGGAGGGGGGTCTCGTGAGCAAGTACTATGGCATTTAGGAAAAGAGAAAAATGATGTAAGGCCCGATTCGATAAGGATAGTGGTATGGGGGTCTGAATATGGATGGATATTGGTCTATCTAGGCAGTACCTAGGTAGGGGAATTACCTAGGTACGCGAAGTGGGTTTTGCAAGGGACGGCGTGACTCGGTACGCAGACTAAGACGGAGATAAAGGTCGACTGATTGATTGAATAATTGATTGATTGTCTCTATAGCTTCATGTCGGGATTAGTGCGCGTAAATACAAGAAGGTAACAGGTAGAGTAGTAGTTGATGTGGGAATGGGTGAATTAATTAGGTATATAATGTAGGAAGACAAGTTTCTTTGACTGACCAATACATGTATCAAGAAAAGAATGCTGTCCAAAGCGATGCGACATAATGAATGCAAGAACAACACTAGCCAGGCAGCCAGGGTTTTAAACGTTACGGGAATAGGGTTTAAAGTCAACTTTAAATAATAGGCAACCACATTTATGTACTGTCGGGTACCTATAATTATTATCATCACAATGGATTGATGTACCTTCAATGTTGAGAGCTATGTATTTATGTATTTGCATGTAGGAAAATGCGAAATGTACGACGAAGATGACGATAATGACACGTGCCGCCAGCTCGTTTAATATAGGCCAATGATCAATCTCCTATGTTAGACGATATCCTACAAATTGATAGTTGCCCGGCAATTCTTTGCAATTAAATAAATATGATTGGTAAAGCAGGAGTTGATTTGGAATATGAAGGTATCGTGATTGTTATTAGTGATTCAAAGATTGAATATGTTTACGACAACATTGAAGGGAAAGAGGGAGCACTGTTGTTTGCCTAGCAGATGTACCAACTAATCCTAACTGGGCGTTCAAGGTAACACCTTCAATCATTAGAACGGTACGAATAGCATAAGTCACGCGCGCACTTACTGCACCAATCAATCCAAGAAAATAAAGACGCCCATCCACATTGAAACTCTATCGCATTCAAAGTTCAAGTTGTTCTTGCGGTACCTTCGGCAGGTAAAACATCCAGGCACACCATGATGATGACGCGAGACGTGGGGTAAACGTTCCTGCCTCCTAGATGCCTGGGTAGGAACGGATTCGGTATATCCCCGGGGGTAAATTGCGCCACACCAATTTCATCTCTCAGAAACTCCGTGTGGCTGCTTACCGCGGCGTCAATTTATGAATTCGAATCCCAAATAATAGAGAACCGGATTTCGAGACTCTCCGATACACTAGGTTCTCTATCGTACCCTTATGATATATCCTATATCAGATTACCCTTCATCGAAATGACCACCCCTCGATTTTTATCGTATCCCTCCGAATCTCCGGACGTAGCAGTAGACGAGTCATCATCCCGTGATATCCTCATATTCTTCGTATCTGGAAACCCCGGAATCATTGGTTTCTACGAGCCCTTTCTTTCGACCCTAAGAGGACTCATAAATGAGACGAAATCACTCCAATCCTCCCGCTTTCAGATTTATGGCCAGGATCTAGCCGGTTTTCGCGATGACGACCATGAGCCCTTCACGACTCACAAAAAGCCTTACGATCTTGAATATCAGATTCAACATACTCTCAAAGGCCTCAGCAAACTACGGGTCGAGTCGGGCCCACGCAAGGGACTCCAATTCGACGAAATCCTCCTCGTCGGGCATTCCGTAGGTGCATACATTGTACTTGAGCTTTTCCATCGGCTCCTTAATAACGAACAATTGGCCTCACATTTAAACTTAACTTCGGGTATCCTATTATTTCCAACCATCCACCATATCTCGAGCTCATCCAATGGCTGGAAGCTTGACCTACTACGTCGGACACCGGTACTAGGCGATAATGCCTATCGTATCGCACAGGGTTTCCTACATCTTGTCCCACGACGCGCCTTACACTGGATTGTGCGCGTTGTAACGGGACCTTCAGCTCATGGGACAGAAATCACGACGAATTGGCTCAAGAGCCGAGATGGTGTGTGGCAGGCATTGCACATGGGCATGGATGAAATGAAAGTCATACGAGAAAACACCTGGGACGACGAATTATGGGAGATTTCCCACGACGCAAAGGCTCACGACAAAATAATCCCAAAATTCTTCTTCTTTTTCGGCAAGAATGACCACTGGGTTGCGAATCACTACCGAGATGAGTTCATCCAAACAAGACAGAAGCAAGTAGAACGAACAAGACTGATAGTGGACGAAGGCGACATCCCACACGCTTTCTGTATAGGTAAGTAATCGAATGTGTGTTAATGACCATAAATAGTAGTTAACATGTAGTACAGATCATAGCGAGGTCGTCGCATCGAAAGTCAACCAATGGATTGACCAGATATACGGCAAGAATTAATCTTCATGGTTGAAATTTCAATTCGCGCAAACTCATCGTCCGATGAGAACTACGTCAGACCTCAGCTGATTCATTTCATTTGCAGACTTGTGTTACAATATCGACCATACCCACAAATACATGGAATTAAAAGCGATTAGAGATAAATAGAGAATTAATCGATAGCAGTCGCTAAAATACAATAGGTACACATGCGTATTATCACGAATTATGAGATGTACAGAAGCCACTAGACACATAACACTTACTATCACCAAAAGACCTTTATCGAGAGACAGCAATTCAAATGAGGAAACGAGCAAAATTATTACATCTAATATTCAACGCAACTAAGGCACCGAGGCACGCGTCCATTACCCAATGTACTGACACGGCTGTTCAGGGATTCTGCTTCACGATTCGACATAGTACCCCAATCTACACTCATCAATATCAGAGGCTATTACATTATCCTACAGAAGTCTAGTACCAGACCAGTGAAGCAGGTTTTATTAGCTAGTTTTCTATCATCATGACACCCACTCGATCAACAACGACACATCGGTCAAAGTGTACCAACAAGATTGTGAAAACATTTCCGATTGGTAGGAAACACTTGACTACATCTTCAAAATCCATTTACAACAACACCATACCGGCACCAGCTCCCATAGCAACCAACACGTACAGGCTGACAGCCATGTCGCCCATAGTCACGAAGGGGGTCATACGGACTGATGCGGGAGCGGCAGCGTTCTCGCTAGACTCGCTTGTCTCACCAGTGGAAGCGGTGCTAGCGGAGCCAGCGGTAGCAGTGGCAGCAACCGCGACGGCAGAGTTGGCCTTGGCCAGGGATGACTTGCAACTGCGAAGTGTTAGCATAGGCGCACGTAATGATTGATCAGGAAAGCTTACGAAGAGTCAGAGCTTGGGCTAGAAACGACCTTGGCAGCACCATCGAAGGAGCAAGCGTCGCTAGAGCTGTGCTGGTTGGTGTAGTATGTGTTGAGTACGTGAGCAAGCTGCTGCTTAGGGCTGCACATGCTGTACGGGCCGAAAACACCAGTCTTGGGGTCCTGCTTAATACCAGCGCAAGCGGAGGCGTCGTGTGAGCAGACGTAGCCGAAGATATCACCGAAGTCTTTCTCGGCAAGATCGTCGGCGGGGACGCAAGAAAGCGAGTTGTACATGCAGTCGCAGAGGGAGTTGTCGGGGGTGGGAGGAAGAACCTCAGAAGCCTTCCAGTTGTTGGAGATAGCTGGGCAGGCGGCAGGTGAGTTGGTGGGGTTGTAAGCGGCCATAGAAGTCGAGGAAGGCTTGACATCAGCGAGCTTCGACTCGAGAACCTTGAAGTTCTTCATCGGGGTTGCCGAGTTACCGCTAACCTTGACCAGACCTATGCTACGTTAGTCGTGATTACATGTACTAATATTTAGTCGCTTACCGTAGTCGTTCTCTTCCTCGTGGAACATGTATGCAATACCACCGCTGAAGACACCCGACATCTGGTTGGAGTAGAGAGCAGTAGTCTCATCCCAGAGACGGCCATCGGCACCAGCACTGTTGCAACCGTACTCGGCGAAGAAAACGGGAACGGAGAAGTTCGAGAAGAACTTGACCTGGACGTCGTAACCAGACTCGGTGAAACTGCTCTTGCCACACCAAGAGTAGATGTTGTATCCCCAGAAGTCGATGGCTTGTTCTTGCTCACCACAGTTGAAGTACTGAGCCATGTTGGCACGAATTTCAGCATCATCATTCGCTGCGTAACCGACACCCATCCATCTGCCACCGTTACCGATCTTGTCAGATATGTACTTCTTTACGTCTCGCGTAGCAGCCTTGACGAAAGCCGACGCACCAGCTAACAATTTCCATTAGCACTATTCACTCCAAATCAACCTCAGTTCAATTGGTAAGTCCACTTACTGTTGGTGTTGTTATTAGTGACCTCGTTACCAGCGAAAAAGCCGATGACATTGTCGTACTTGCCGAGGTTGTCGACAACACCCTTGTAGCGGTCGAACAACTTGGTGTTCCAGGCCGGAGAATCACGGTTGATGGATAGAGCCGGCTCGCCCAAATCGGCAACAACGTAGATGCCAGCCTTGTCTAACATCGACATACATTCACTATGGTCCGCCTTAGGGTCGATGGCGTAGGTTCGAATGGTGTTGACACCCAACTTCTCAAGTAGTGGAACGTCACGCTTGCAGATGGTTGCGTCTGACAATGGGTCCACATACTTGTTGCTGTTGCTGCTGCTACCACCAGGACCACCGCCGGCTTCCTGCTGGTAAGCAACACCTTTGATGAAGAACTGGTCACCGCTCTTGGTGAAGAATTTAGACCCCTAGTAGATTGTTAGTGGCCAGCGTCCACGTGACTTGATGATATACTCGGACATAGCCTATAGTGGCGCTCAAGTGGTGCCGCTTACCTTCATAACAATGGGGTCTACTGCGGCAACATTGCTCGCAAGCAATAGCGAGGTAGTGAGAGCTGATCGGAAACCCATCTTGTAATGATTATTTGTTATCGATGCGTCCTTCTATCGTGATATTATCCAAGATGTCGAATAATTCTTCGTCCTAAACCGGATTGTCTAATCGAAACTGTGAGGCTGAAATGGTTGGTCCACTCCTTCTAAGTTCCGTAAAAAATGACGTAGATAACGTATTCTTGATATTGCCTTCCTATTCTTGAAGATGTACCTCTTTCTCGAATACGCAACCAAGCAGCGATGTGATGATAAAGAGTGTGTAAAAACTAAACTGTGTTAATGAATGTGTGTAGTTGGAACGGCTCGACACCTATTCTCCTTCTCCCGACTTGCCAATTAATTACAAGGGATAAAAAGGAGTGAAATTGTCTTAAGAGAGTGACTGGAATTGTGGCATGAAGGGAAGACCTCGAATTCGAGAAATAAGAGAAAAATAAGGGAGAGCCGAGAAAAAATAGTTGCTAAATATCAGTAAAGGAGACAGCTCCCCCAGTTCATTAGGAGAGATTAAAACTGGTTCTGATCAATGGAGCTATTCAGTCGAATCTTCTGATTGGTTAAAAACGATGGTAAAAAGACCGATGTAGAGTAGTCGAGACTGGGGGTATTTTTGCGGGTAGATGAGACAGGGGTATAGGGGTACAGGGGGTATTCCAGGGGAGTTTAGTTCCTTCTTGACTTCCGAACAAGGTGCTGACCGTTTCCAAATTAGAGAGCCTTCTTCTTTCCTTTCTTCTTTTGCCCTCATCTTAGGGAGGCTAATGCCTACAAGTACATACAAATAAATAAAGCATGTGATAATTAGCTACACATAAGTATCTATTTACATACCTAATTCACTTCCTATTTATAATGATATAATTCTTACAATTATTATTTTGCTTCTTATTTGATTTCTACGCAGAACAGTGGAAATGAAAAATAGCCTAATTCTCGAAAAATATTTACAGTGCACATATGTATAGATAAGGAGGTTTGTCAAGTGCTGGTATGGTATTTATCGTACCTGTCGATCTCCGAAGACAAGGGAGGCCTTGCAAGCTGTATGCCGAGACCAAAAAGGGTTCTCGAATTAGTGGGACTTTCCACATTAGGAGGTATGTTATGAAATATTTCGCTGGCTCCATCACAAGCGAGGCGCAGCAGTAGCATTAACATGGCACTAACACTGGGCATTTTGTTGATACTAGTCTTCTAGGCATAAATATAGCGAATCTATAAGTACTTATTATTTCAGTTCTGTTAGTATCTTGACCCACAAGCCCAGGAACCAATTACTTTTAATACGGGAAATGCTCTGCTACCTACTCAGTACACCAATTCGATCCATGGTATCCAATAAACCAATCGCGGAACTTCCCCCCCAAACTCTTTCAAGACTTCAAATATCAAGTAAGAGGTCCGCTGCACACCATCAAAAACGTACTACAAGTATATCGGTATATGTTTTGAACATGAAAGTTGAACTGATTCGTTCTGGGAAACCAGCCTATCCATATAACTATGACATATGGTTGAATCGCTGAGAGCCTGCATCCACCTACTTTAGTATGTACTTATGTACTTAGGCAGCTCACATTAGCAGCATTCCTTGTATTGTACCGAGTGCCAAGAACATCACTGTCGGTCACGTCAGTCTTGGATGTCTTATGTCTCATCTAAGTAATGAACAGCACGGAGTTATAGCGATCTTCTACGATTTACAATCCTCCTTTATCCACTTCCCGTGATCATCGATTTCTCTCTAACATGCTAACAGGCTAACTAATGTAGTGTGTACACTACAAACCCAGCAGCCTACCTAGGGTATCTAGCTAGTCAGCTAGCCACCACTAATGAAGCTGATTACACAAATTAGCGACCGTTTCAACTCCGCCATTCAAATATTATCAGACTTGATTCTGTATCTCTATCGTGACGTCTTTTCTTATTCGCTAGATTGTTACGCAGTAAATTGGGAAACACGATAGGTAAGGCTTACATACAAACTTAGGTACTATTTCAATTCCACCATCATTCCTATAGGATTATGAATATTTAAAAGTCATCATGCCATCTTCGATCCTAATTCAATAGGTATGGACGGAATATGATAAAACTTCCCGTGCTACCTACATTAACTCAAAGACACTTCAATGTTTCCTACAGTTCTTCCATGCTCCTAGTAAAATAATTAGAACCGTAGCACGTCCGCCGCTAGTCGGCCTCCGGCTTTATGGCAGTAAGACAAAAGTGTGATGTATAAATGTTGTTCCCGGACTATCAACACCGTACGGGGCAAGATCTTCGACCACAGCCGCGCTCCGATCCCGTCCTGTAATCAACGATATTTCCTTGCATCTGCTCCGCTGTGGCTTCCTCTGTGGAGCCATCGATGATCATTCATGTGCGTGCTTGAGAGAGCAAACATCTCAAATTCCACGTGCACTCGAATAATATTACTGCTGGTTACAGAGATAATTCATAATTTGATAATCTATGTAGGTCCCTAGGTATCAGGGTAGTAATTAAGTAGTTAAATTATTGTTATGCTCCTCGAATTATGTCGTTCACCTGTGGTTTGCAATCCACTAATTCCCTCATAAAAAATGAGGGCCTATCTAGGTATTATCCCAATTTGAAGAAACCACTTTCACCCTGAATATTATGCACAACAAGCCATTAAGGAATTGTCAAACGGTTCACAAGCAATCAGGAAACACCCTATTTTTAGGAGTACCTACCTACCTCATACGTAGGTAGGTAAACTAGAACGTTTATCTAACAAAAAGATGACTAAGTCCATTGCAAGACCCTAGGTAGGTTATGCAAACAGAGCTAATCGATTACGTGTCTGGTAACTAGTAATTGCTTAGTTATGTGATTATGTGACCCAAGTATAGCGGTAAACGAGAGCTTCTTATGAAACAGGCTCTGTATTCCTCTCCAAACATCAGGATTCTAGTATATGATGCTAATAACAGGAGGGGACGATTAGAGCGTAAAGTATCTAGCATCATAGTTGATACCTAGGTAGCGAGCGAGGCGTGTGACTATCATAGATCTACCTAGTTTTAAGCCCAGTGGGCGGCAAGAGGCCGATCGTATCTTGGAAGATGCGCCCTAGTTACGACGTTGGGCGAAGTATCATCTCGCCCACATTCTATCTCATAATTCATGAGGCAGTCCACATTGCTATAAAAAGCGTGGAAACAACATCTCCACGAAGGGAGAGTTACTCATCATCCCCACAACCGACTTTTGAAGGGACGATTGTGCCCTTAATACTTTTCCGTTCTTTTTTTCGGTCGATGCTTCTCACCCGTCCTCCCCAACTTTTGTAACAACCTCGTCACTGCTGCTGTCGCTGAAGTTATCATCGGCGACGAACGCCGCTGTGCCATTCGAATATTTGCACTCCATATATTCGGGCATTGGCATAATAGGATAGTGCCTATTTACCACTTTCGCGGCTCTGTCTCCAAATGCTGCGTCCCAGGGCATCTTCATAGCGGGGGGGATACGCCACCCTAACTCTGTGTTCCGGAGCCAGAGTCGCACCAAATGTCTTGATGAAGACGTACCATCTTCATACGACTCCCGAGCATGCAGGAGACTCAAGTTATTAATAAAGACAATGTCCCCAGGCTGCGTCTCGAGTTTCATTTGATGTTTTTCCGCAGTCCTTTGGAGCACTGCGAGAGCCTCCTCTTGCCCTGGTGTAAGATCCGGTATCGAGCCGTAACGCGCCAGGGGATGGGGTCCGATGCGAGCCGGATCCATCGAAATCACCAAGTTATCATCATGGTATTCCATGAGTGGACACAAGACGAAAGGGGGGTCTTTTTTCGAACTTCTGCAACAGGAAGTTAGCTAGCATGCTCAGTCTGGAACCAATCTTCCGATCTCATGGGATAAGTCAAAATAAAATATCACTCACGTCTGTATCGGCCAATTAGGCTTGGCCAAAACATGGAGTACCCATGGATTTGACTGGCGCAGGTCGTTGTATATGGCTGTCATAGACGCCACGCAAGTGTGGCCCCCCGCGTCAGCCCGATCTCGAATTTGCATCGAGAGGATTTCGCACCCCATGTCATTATGGAATGGCTGGAAACTGTTAACCAGGGTCTCGGGTCGTATGATTTTTGTTCTGTCCCGACGTCCATCGTAAGGAGAGCTGCTTACTTACCAATCGATCGCTGGTGTGAATCCCATGGCGCTTCTCTTTGGGTACGGTCCAGGCCTTAGACTCGATAATATGTGCTTTTGTTTGAATCAGCGAATGATGATAGTTGACATGGGACATATGCAACGTACATAACATATCACCTTTGGAGTTCTGTACTCCTCGTTGGTCCCCAATGTGGCTCGCAAGCCCAAGGAAGATGACGATCCTATCTTCAATGCTGTAGTCCTCCCACCTCAGCCCGCGGATTATAAAAATTCCGCTACCGTTTAAAATCGCGATAGTGGCTTGCTTTAAATGACCTTCAAGGGTTGGAACCCGGAAAAGCTCCCGTCTCACTTCGTCTCCATCAAGTTCTCGCCCTATACAATGGTTAGCTAAACGCAGCGAGATACTGGGGGGAGATCTACCATTGAATGTGTGTAGCCCATTGCATATTTCGCATATATTGGCGTTACTAAGTGTGAGGATTTGGCCTCGATTTCTACCAGGCTCGCATCCGGACCAGTTCTTTGGTCCATCGATAAATTCCGGGAATCCCAGAGGCGGCTGCGCGATGCTGCTCCGCTGCCGGGGTACGATATCTGCATCAATGTCAACCTCCTCGTCATATTTCCACTGTTGCTGCAAGCCTGTAGGGCTTTCGGGGGCGGGCGGAAGTAGACGAGCTGTCATTTTTTTCCCTTTAAGATATACGTGCTGCAGAAGTTGAGATGCAAATCTGGTAAAAGAGGAAACTCCATCATTTTACATATAAGCTAAGGTTGGTTCCAACATGCCTCTTGCTGTTTTCTCGTATCTAAATACACACGATTATTCATCCAATAACCAAACGATGTATTCTCGGTCTATTTATCATTGGCCTATGAGAAGCCTTTATTATATAGAGCCTTATACTTTGAACCACGAAGCGAGTGAAAGGAATGGTTACGGCGGGACAATCTCCTGATGATTTAGTAGCATATGGTAACAAGACAGACGGATGTGGTTGCACGTAAACCAGAATCGTGGTTTCCGTGGGCACCGTCTCGGCCTAATTCCCGGATGAAACAAAAGACATCGTTGTAGAGATGGATAGTCTCTCCTTCAACGGAAGGCTGTTGTCGCGGATAGCGGAATGGAGGGTAGGTGAGGCCTAATAATAGATTTTAAGAGAAATTTTTGTTTTTAAACAGGCTCTAATGAGAGACTTATTATCATGTAGGTGTGGCCCTTTTCAGGGTACATCGAAAAATAAATGTTTTTTTATCTGATTGAATACTAGAGTTCCAATCATATCGAATGCGAGCAGTCGAAATGAGCATCTTTAAGGTTACGAAGAAGCAAGATCGGCCTCACATAGGGCGGATACATGATCCTCTTAGCAGCGTCGGCCTCTCTCTCAACAAATTGCTCGAACATGGGAGGGCAAGCTTTTCACACCTTCTCCTCCCCCCACGAACCTGAGGAACCACTGTGCCTGACGTGGCAATCGGGAAAACCGGAAGGATACCCTTGCTGTGAGGCAAGACTAATATAGGATAATGATTCTCTGAAGCCTCGACTAATTGGAAAGGGAAGATTCAGGAAGACTGTTAGGGGGAACGTCTGACAGCATCCGCTCTAGTGATTGGTCCTAGTTCGACTTTCTTATGTCGATCGCGCATGAAGCTATCGTCAAGGGATTCGTTGGGTTGAAACCGGTGAAGACGCGGCTAGTCTTGGATCTTAAGATCGCGTAATTGCGGCATAAGACGGGAACACGGCCGCACGAATCATAATAAATTGACAAAATAGTCATAGATATCAAGATGAAGTCGATTTGATTCTATTCACCTACACTATTGAGTTTATATCAGCCCATATTTGGTTGCAAATTTGGGTGACAAATGGAAGCTCATCGTGATAACTGGCAGTATTTGATGAACCATGGTAATATCGCGAGTCAGGCAAAAAGTAATTCTTTCGTATCATGATGTAATATTACAATGCATGGCTTGAATATGGCCAGCACTATTCTACAAAGGACAAGGTATAATGTGAGCCAATCCTTTGTCTTAACCTCAAGTATGTGCTCTGTGCTATACATAAGACGATGTGTTTCAGCCGGGCGTTTTTTTTGTAATATGTACCTACCTAGGTACTTACGGGAGACAGGGAGCGATGTATTTATGCACTCACATTGGGGGCCACGGTACACAGCATCGGAGTATGATAATGGATAGATTGATAATAAGGCATGGGGCTTCGAATCCGTGGGGGCTTGTCCTATTTTGTCGAAATCGAGTGGCTGGTGGCTGGATTTTTTGCTTTTCCTTTTGCCCTGCTCTACGTGTGGTGGGAAAATGTTGTTGGTATTTTTTTACAGACCGCCTGATGACCACTAAGGAGGGGATTGGAGGATCGGGGGGCTCGGCGATTAGTATTATGTATATACACCTCTTCAGATGAGAAAATGCATTAGCTTACTTCTCTCATAACATCTTGCCACGGATCATCATCATCGTCATCACACAACTTCAAGCCATCACGGGCGGATACGTGCGCGACTTTTCCGGCTGAAGGATCGTCCTAAAAAGCATCAATTTTTTTTTTTTCGTCCGGTGAGGAAGGATTAAAAAGTATTGACTCTTGAGAAACCCATTGTGCAGCATCATTTCTGCAACGAGAACGAGCTGACCGGGGCGGAGTCTCTCTTACGCACATTTCTGTATTACCAGACCGGCAACTACCCATGACTGGTTCTTGCTACACAGTCCATTTTCGCCGGTTTCCATTCAATAGAGAAGTGATTGACCCCTGCGTCACTCTTCTTCACCGGCCGACGGCGTCGCAGTACTCTTGAAGTACTTGGCCAGGTACAGGGGAAACCGGCAGTTTTGATAGACGCACACGCATACACACATACGCACCCACCCGGGGACAAGACCCGTTGAGTTGTTTCCAGCCAGGGAATGAGATCAGGTCATTGTTGAAGTGGAACACGATGAATGGAACCGAGGTCACCGCCTTCCAGTCCATTTCCACCTTTGTTAATTCCCCTTCGGCGCACGGCATGGCTCCCGGGGTCGTGTCAATTGATAACGCATCATGTAGGGCAAGGAAGCGACCCCGGACCGCCTCTATCCCTCCACCAGTCAATTCTCACACTTCTTGTGCTCCTTCTACTTCCTCGAGGATCGCAAAACCCAACAAGACTAAAAGTTCTGGCCCCAAATCGTCATCACCACCGTCGTCATTGGCCGTAGCCTCACTCGGGAAGAGACAGAACACAGCTACCGATGCTGACGTTGTGACTTCAATTGCCGCCGCCGCCGCTGCCATCGCCGCATCCGCACCAGCGGATGAATTTGGAACTTTTAGGCACCAGAATCCTGAGACTAAATGGGACCCTCCCATCCCATCGGCCTCCTTTCGTTACGGTGAAGAGTTTGTCGTGCCAAATACAAGCTCCGTGACAAGAGATCACTTTATCCTGTCTTCTAATCCCTCCCTCACACAGGGTCCAGGTCAAAACGTGTACGACTGGCCTTGCGACAACCTAGACACATCGACCTCGAACAACTTATGTCGTTCAATGTTTCATCCGTCTCCTTATCTCACCACGCACCATCACGTACCACAAGAGAACCCGTTGACAAACGACTATTTGACCGATTACCAAAATTTCACGGCCAATACCCGTAGCGTCCATCCTTTGCCTGTTTCTAGTCATTTGAATTGTGCGATCTCGCCGACCATGGCTATGAGATTCGAACCTCCCCTCGGCACTCATAACACGGTGGCGTACCACATCCGACCAGAGGAGAATGGAATGGAGGATATCCAAAATGGCTGGTCATTACTGATTAATGATGGGTTACCGAGAGAGGATGCAAATCCCGTCGACTACGACACCCTCGAACAGATTCCCAACCCCCCAGATGGCATAGCCTCGGCGGTTTTCAAGAACGATGCATGGGAACAATTGAACCTACCACACGTAGATAACGTTGCAGTGGACGAAACCCGTTCACCATCGCAGCCTGAAAAGCGATCACGATCCCGGTTGTCGATGGAGAACCGGGCCAAGACGGGCAAAACCCGGAAGCTGAAAGTAAGTTTTGAATTTCTATTTTATTTTCTTTTGCCGCCTTTTCCACCTTCGCGCGCTATGCGACAACCGCGTTCGTCATCGGCTGACGTGTCTGCGGGCCTGTATTCGATGCCGCATGCAGAAAATAAGAGTAGGTCAACTTTCAAGCGCGTGAGATCTCGACCGAAGTACCATTGACTCACTCTTACTAGTGCAACCCGGATCTAGAGAACCCTGAAGGGTCGGATTGCCTTACGTGTCAAAATATCAACCTAGAATCAAAGAAGGTGATTCATAGACTTCCGTGTCTGCGGTGGAAGTTGGGCGAGGTTGTCATGTTCCGTGATGGCGGCCTCGGACTGACAACTAGATGGCATGGGCTGAAGATGAAGGATCTTGGACCACGCGACTGGACTTACCCGAACGACCCGCCTCGTAAAATAGTGGTGACTATTGGTTGCAAGAGACAACCAATAGAACTTCTGGTTCGAAGATTCAAACTTATCCATGGCGACATCACACATAAGGGTTGGATCGATAAGAATGGGGTTCAGAGAAGGATCGAAATACCACCATACGCGCTCGCGAGTATACACGAAACCGTAAAACAGTACAAGAAATATGTATTTTGTAACGCGCGTATAGCTATAGACGAGTATGCTCACAAGGAAGGGGTGGATCCACTAGTGCAGAAGACATACGCTGCTGCGTGAGTACCGACCCCTCTCTATTGTATCGAGGCCGTCTATTATCCCAATTCAATATTGCAGTGGGCATTTTGGCACTTCTAGTAAGGAGACCATCCACGGGGAGCTAACTTTTGCATGCTTAACAGGTTGGAATACGCTATAGAGCTTGAGGTAAGATCATACAGGCAAGCGAGGCCCCGAGACATTCGAAGCTTTACTGACGAGTGTCTTTTAGCAGCAACATCCTTCTCCAGCAAATGGGGACGACGTGAACCCTTCAGTGTTCTTGAACCAATACTTCAGTCTGTGGTTTGCAGTTAGTGAGTATCACGTCAGCCGTATTTTGATGCTTGGTTGGATGGCTAATTTGGACCGATAGGGAATACACTTGGGTCGTCATTCATTGTGGGCGATGATACACTCGACATGGAACCGGTAAAGGATGAGGATTGTCCGTATCGCGGGACGGTGTCGATACCACGGATGATTCCGGTACAATTCGATTCCCTTGGATATTTGAAACTACTGGCGCCGTGGAGAAAGCTAGTGCTCGAAGGGCTGTGGAAGATGACGGCGAGCAAAAATCCTAACCACTTTTACCTTATTTACTTGACGGTATTCATGATGCTCCACGAAGTATCATTTAACTGCGCCGACAGAAAACGCCGTGCTAGAGAGAATAGTTTGGTAAGTTATATGAGCGGAGTGGGTTGGTGGTGTTGTCTTGGCTGACAGAATATAGAACCGGCCGTATGATTTGCTTAAATTCGTCGAGGAGGTCCAGGAAGGGGCTAATATCATTCTCAGCCATTGGCATTATTATAAACGTGATGTTAATGAGATGGAGATTGAATCTGAAGAAAAGAAAAAAGCAGTTTGGGGATCATTGAGTTCACAAGAGACACAACTCATCGTGGAAACGCGGCAAGCATACAAAGAGCGAGGTGAGAAGCTTCTGACCTGTGCAATCGGGGGTATGCTAATAGATGATAATAGCCGCCGACCGGACTTTAGAACCGATGACGTGGGAACATGATCTAATGTTCGTATCGCAGATGTTTGAAGAGAACTGGGAGCCTAAGGATACATTTAGGCGCTAAAAGGTTGACGGAAGGTGAGGAACTTTGGGATATATATGCCTGAGGACTACCAAGCACGGATCGTAGGTTGTTTCATGTCCACATGCCGTAGGTATGAATGGGAGGGGGTGGTTATGCTAGGGTATACATGTACCCCCGTTGCAGCGATGTTTTACGATTGTAATGACCTCATTAGCATATTTTTCTTGGGATTGAGGGCTACTCGAACTTAGCTGGCATGGAAGATCTGAAGTCTATTAAATATTACAGCGACTATATATGTGCATTCGGGCGGCACGAGACAATACAACATGTTGAACTTAAGCTGTTCAAGAACCATGAAAACACATACTTAGGTACCTGTATCTTTTCTACTTAGGCATTGAGGGGTTTTTACTGCGAAGCATTAGTAGCCGTAAAATATAAATTCGACGCAAAAGTGGTGATTGAAAACGAAAAGGAGAGAATGTATGTTGTGGAAGTAAAGTCAACCAGTATGAAGAAGGTACTTGGTACTTGAATAGGGGGTGGATGTTTATTAGGGGCAAGAGAGAGAACGCACTAGAGAGATTACATAAGAAACGGATATTCTTATCATGCCAGTTGGTTACTTATCGGACCAGCTGATAACAGCCGAAAGACTGGGAAAAAGTCGCCAGATCGCATCAATACTTTTAATACTTCGAATACTTTATACTTTAATGGTTTATTGTTTGTACCTCGAATTTTCAACTTTTTAACTTCTTGACCAACTTCGACATCAACGTACGTCATCGTCACTTACCAACAATATCCGATCTCGCTAGACATTCAACTTTCCGCAAGAAATAAACAAAAATACAGCAAGGTCGACTACCTGTCGGTTGGGGTTTCGTACGTATATCCCTACAATTTCTATTCCGATTTGTTACTTTGCGAAACGAGGAACTTTGTAAACCGACAACCATAGCACGAATTAATTGCTATCAATAGGACAAGACATAATCTGAGCTTCTCAGCTCACCCTTCCCTCGGATATACCCACCGATCCATAACCTGTTTAAACGATTACCACGAAACTTGCGCCGTCATCATGTCTTCCGAACTAGAAACCTTCACCATGCTGCCTTTGCAGATCGACTCGCAGACCAAGGCACTTACAACAACATCGAGCTCCCGCGCATTACAAAACGAACTTTCATCACTTAACACATTACACCGCTCGCTTCTTGCCTTAGAAACCCCGAACCAAGTCCCACCGCCCCCGGTGCCTGTGAACCCCAAACGCTCGGCCAACGTCAGCAAGCTACGAGAGAGTGGTAACAACGAGTACCGAAAAGGAAAGCATGCCGAAGCCGTTAAATTCTATAGCCTTGGTCTACAGATGGCCTTGACCCGACCGCTATGGGAGCCTCAGCAACTTGTACGAGAAGAGGTTGCTGCTCTCTATGCCAACCGTGCTCAGGCTCACATGGCCTTGCAGAGTTGGGCTGAAGGTGCTGCTGATGCCGAAGCTAGCGTTGAAGCTAAGCGCGTCGGAAACTCCAAGGCCTGGTGGAGGCGTGGTAAATGCTTGACCGAGATGGGACGACTGATCGAGGCCAAAGAATGGGTCAGCAAGGGATTAGAGATGGAAGGTGACGAAGGCGAGCTGGTGGCATTATTGAAGGATATCAATGCGAAACTAGAAAAGGATAGTTCATAAAGAACTGGTCTGAATCATTTCGTGAATGGCGTTTGGGGAGTTTATGGGTATATTATTGTTTCTTAAAACCCCCTGTTTGTCCTCGACATCAATCCTACCACCGAATCTCGAATGCGAATTTGCGCTGTTTATAATCATCCCAAAGTTGCGATTTAGACCGTGTGAAAGAACTCGAAAAATATCAACCTGCCTGACACACAGATGACTGTCTACTGTTCGAATGGTGGAATAAATATTATTCTGTAGCATATGTGCCCTGCTCCTCCTACGTATCGTGTAGGTAGATAGGCTCTTCCACAACCTACAGCATACACGTCCCTTGATCTTCTATGACACCTCATCTGCGATCTGGTGGGAAGACAAGTCCCCTAACCTCGAATATTGTCATCCAACAATAAACAAGAGCCCAACCAATGCAGATAACCGTGAATACCCTCCAGTAATGAGAAAATAGTATCCCTCTCAACCCTACCTATACAAGACGTCCCAACCAAGAAAAAACAACGTTGAAAGAGGGGAAAAAAAGACTTCAACTCATGGCTATGGCTATCGCTCGTATGGTATCATCCTCTAAAATGCCGTATTGCTCACGTCTTATTCATTTAATCGCATTCTTCGTTCACTCTATTGTTGCTTCTCCGGGTCTTGTTCTTCTTTTTCGGGGATGCTTCGGTTTCTGGGTCTCATCACGGCGTCTTGGCTAGTCATGCGACGGTCGAGAGCGCGATCGAGTTTGGCACCGAGAGCAAGTTTGTTCAGGTTGGCTGACTTTTCCTCGGATAATACGACACGCTGTTGCGATAAAGCCTTATTTTCCATACGCGCAAGTCCGGTCTCTATGTCACGAATTTCGGCATGCGCTGAGTCGGTTGTCTGTACTGTCGCGGCCAGCGAAGGCGCTGTGCTATATGTGCTGTAGCGCATCGAGGCGCGAGGAGATCCGATCTGGTAATTCATCGAAACGTTAGCCATCAATTCCGTTTTTTTTTTCTCTTTTCCTTTTTTCCTATATTACATCTTAAGTAATCACAGGCTAGGGAGCTGAATAATAAAATGGTAAGATTGAAGGTGCGCAAGTGAATACATCGTGTGTAAATAGACATGGTTGCCTGTAAGATAGAGAAGGAATGGGGGGTAATGAGGGATAGGGGAGACGAGGATGACGGAATTAAAACCCATTAGAAAATACAACAATGGCCCTTTATGGCCTTCAAGAAAGTAAAACGTACAGTAGAGGGTGCCATAATTGGGCGGGATGAATCCAATGAAGTAGGCATTGTGTATTGCTTGATATATATCTAGATTTCTTTCTAGTTTTGTTTCTGTTTCCGTTCCTGTTGCTCTTGGGTTGTTCTTCCCGCTCGATTGACGGCTGACAGGATTCGCGACAAATTTAATGGCGATTGCTGACTGTATTCGTAGGGTGGCAGTGAAGGGGTGGATCGAAAGTTCGAAACAGCGCTATGCAAGGATGGGCCGACGAAGCCGGGATGAAATCGATGTGAATGACCTCAAAAGTGCGGCTGGAATTTGCAGGTGGAGTTGTTTCCAGGATACAAGCTGAAGGTGGTACTTTGTTAATTACCTAACCAATCACAGCAGGAAAAGGCAGAAATGGATTGGTACCTAATTCATGCAGGTAGTGCAAGATAGAAGTTATATGTATGTCGATAGGATGAGAAGGATGGAAGAGAAGACTGAGAGAGCCCTACCTAGGTAAGAGGGGAGGAGAGAGAAAGGCTGAAGGTGGAAATAGGGGTCGCAAGCGCAAGTGTAAAAAAATAAAACCGACCAAATCAAACCAAATAAAAAATAATAATTGGAAGAAAAAGGGATAGTGGTGTGTTAAAAATGTGCAGGTCGCTCGTGGGAATGGTAGTAATTGTACTACAAATAACTGCAAGGTCATATCGAGCGCTAACACCTTAGAAGAAAACGCTCAGGACGGGGGTTTAGAAAGCTGATAGATCGTCATAGCGATCATAGCGATATTATATCATAATACATTAGAAAGATGTAATTTACATAACACTCTCATTGTCTTACCAGGTTTATCGTCGTTCACTTCCGACCGTAATGAATACCTACCTACCTACTATCCAATAAGTCAAGGTAGGCTAAGAATGAATGAACACAAGTATTGGAATTTTATCTTATGAAAATCCCAAGCCTCTAAAACCTTTCAAACTGTTCTACCTTGTCTCACTTTCAATACCGGCGGCCACATGGCTCTGTACTAGTCGGGTACTAGTGTAGGCGGATTGTCCCTGTTCCTCCCATTATGCATGCAGTCAGCAACCGATACATAACATTATCTATTGGCGCATTCTATTCAACTGGAATAAGTTAGCTTAGTATGCTTAGAGCCTTGCCGTGGGACAGTCTCAAGGGTATTCAAGTCAAGGAAGCCTAGACGAAGCGACCATCTACTTGGTTTGGTTTGGTTTCAAGAATGCCATGACCTCGCGTGCCATTTCTCTTTCGTATTTATTCCTCGTCACCATATGATTTTCTCCACTGGAGTGAAAGCGCGAAAAAAAAAAAAAAAAGAAGAGGTCCAACATCACCTACCACATACCTAAAGCATTATGCCTCTCTAGCTCCCCCTCCCCCCTATCCCGAAGATACCCTACCGAACCAATCCGGAAGGATTTCACTAATTTACATCACCTTTATGCTCGGATGTCGCTGATCATGCTACACGGACTCGGTACTATTGGAAATAGCCACAAGAACACGGCTGTCGCGCATGAAACAACATACGTATAGTCAACTACGCATTGAGTTATTAACCCAGCCATCTACATTACGGCATCTACGTATCCCAAGGTCTATTGAGATCCTGGATTTCGCGTGCCATCTACATAATGAAAGATGGATCGGTGTCATTTCCCTTGTAATTACCAGGTTCTTCCCCCCTCTTTTATTTCAGTTGGCAAGGAGCTTCGCGGAGTCCCAGCACGTGGCCCAATGATCATCGCGTCGATCCCACAAGATGAACGCCATTTATCTCTTAACAAGTCCGAACCGGCCAACAATATCTATTGGTAGCTAAATCATCAAGCAACCAGACAACCCAAACGAGCTCGACTCTGATTGAGGGGATCCTAGCGCTAGGTAGGCTAGCAAGCTGGGTATATGTAGGTGATGAGATGCGAATTGCGCTTACATATGAAAAAAAGAACATGGCCACCCCATATTATCACACATGCAGGGTCAACCATCACAATCAATACGATGATCAACTCACCAACCAGATCTTTGCGATAGCCCCTCTTCACCATCGGAAGTTTGGATTGCTGACATTTGCAAAACACATGGCCAAGGGGGTCCCGGTCAGCTTCAGCCTATCCCGCTGTTTTCGTCAGACCTGCATGCTGAGCACGTGGCTGTAAGGTAAGCTCAATGCGACTCTACGGTGTTATTGGCGGCCTATGGTGGGTAAACAGGTAGATAACATTAGCATGGGGTGGGTGAGTACTTTTATATGGGTGCAATTACCTACCCGTAGACTTGTATAACATGTATTTCTTGTACGGCAACATTCATCCCTCCTTCCGCCCGAGCGTTTCGAGTTGTCTGTACGAAGTAACCAAGGCGTACATTCTTCAATGTTACTACTGATTGAAGTACAAGGCAACGGAAGCTATCGGAATGCCACGAGACCCGGTCCGGGCGCTAGATTGAGCCAACCGTCATAGCAACGACCGAACCCGGTATGAAGTCGAAGTCGCGGTAGCGTTGTTTTGACGACCTACCTACCTAGGTACTTATTAATAATAATCCAGGTACCTCGGGTAATACATCAGGCTAAGTAGCTATCTCGCCTACCTCTTAAGTTATAAAGGTAGGCACTGAGATTGTTAGCTTTTATATACTAGAGCTCATTGTATTCTTAATTCACGTCGAATATTGAAACGAGACCCAATTCCGATTGCACCCTTATCATCAAAATCACAAGAGGGGTCATAATCAATCGAACCGTGGTTGTGGCGTCGGCTTAAAATAACGCATTATTTCTCATCAAACCTGTGCATTGCCTCCTGGGTACACATGAGAAGTATATATCCATATTTGAGGTCTTGGATTAGATTAAGCATGCAATGGTGGACTCTCATATAACTGGAATAACTCTTGGCTGCTAACCACCATGACGAGATTTCGGCCCATCTCACTTTATACAATACGAACTGCTACACAACTTCCGCCAGCCCTCAACCGAAACAAATCAGACTAGCCTAATACCAAAAACCGAACCATATTATTGACTCGAGGATAAACAATGATGACCTTGGCAAACCCTCCCGATCTTCAACCAGCCCTTAAACCTACTTAAGTACCACAAACATTCATTGACATACAATATCACGTATCAAATCGGTTCCGATCAAGTCCAAAAGTGAGACTAATAATCTAATCACCTTATTATGAATGGGTTTTATGCAATATGGCGATCATGTCTATGTTGATACACTTCGTTGATACATTAGGTACCCGGGCACCTAAATAGGTAACTTGAAAGTTCAACTCACTTTTACTTTGAGCTATATGATATGTCTATCAAAGATCTCATCTCCATCTCGTTCTGCTCACGGGGGTTGGATGATACCTTATTAGGTTATTATCACCCAGCTCTGCCTTCAATCGTAACTGACTGTTTTACCGAATGAATGGCCTATTACCAAATATTTGAAAGTTGTCAGAAGATTTGAAGCCCCTCTTTCCTCATTTGTATCGATGGCTGCATTTACTCAAAGCTCTCCCCCTTTTTCCAAGCGACTTAGGTACCTGGCCCTAATGGAGGGTACCTGCATATATACAATCTACTTAATGATGACCACGGCTCTTGTGCGGTTTCTTTTTCCCAGTCTGGGTTTTTTGTTTCTTCGAATACTCAGTTCCCGTATCGTGACTAGACCGACGAAGTCCTCGGGGGCTTGGATTCGTTGTTGGCGATAAACTAACAAGCTCTGTTTCTTCGGGAACAGTAGGGCAACTCGTGTTAATGTGGCTGAAGTCGTACGCTGTTCCTCGCTTGTGCGCAGAGCTCCGAGAAGTGCTGTGAACCTTGCGGCTGTTTTTCCCCTTTCGAACTTCCGCAAACGATATTTCCGGACTCGTTCCTCGCGACGTTGCTGTATGTAATCAGGAACGGGTTATTCTTATTCTCGTTTCTAGCGACGATGATGCGGTATGAAACTTACCGGAGGGACTGCACGAACTGCAGCATCCATGGCCGCATGGTACTTCCATATCCTCAACCTTCCTGGTGAGCGGATTCCAGTCCACCCTACGGCCCAGTGCGGTGCACCATCCCTGGGTGTTGGGGCCTTTGCCGCATACACAGCAATTCCAACTCCCCAGTAGGGCCTTGAAATTGCAGTTCTGCAGGGGGCAGTCGATGTTGGTTGGCTGTGGTGTCGAGTAGATCGGGTTCGAGCAGGGTGTCTCATATCCCGTGTCTAAGTCGAACATGGCTTCCGGACAATAAAGCCATTTCACCGATGTGTGCGAGCAGGGATGGTAGTGAGGATGTCCGTGACACATTGTCGCCGGACCTTGGCAGTACGGGGTTATAAATGACGACACGAAACTATGAGGTCTGTCTTTTTTGCAGAAATTGGCAAACTGTTCGATATAAATTTCAAACCTCGGACGTCCCGATCGCTTTATATACGCTTACTTGTATGTACAAGTAAGGACGTGTGTATTTCTCCGGCAGCAACATCAGCGCTAGCAGCCTAAGAATGCATCTGCTACATACAGGTTCCAGCCTCGATCATCCTTGTGTCGACGGCGAAGAAGAAGACTCGTCACACCTTTACCCAGCGCACCACTGCAGTACGTTAGGAGAAGGAAATCTCGGAGCAAGGATCAGCAACTCTTTCGTATTGGTGAGCTGCCCCCCTTAATCTAGGAGGGAGGGAATCTTTGTCTCGGGTAGCAGTGGATTAGTGCGACTATGACGCCGCCAGCAGCAGGCTACAGTCCAATCGCGATATTCGCGCTCCTCTAAGGTCAGTCCATCTATGCTTACTATTCTTTACCCTCTTAGGCGGGTTCACTATTGGCTGATTTAACACATATTTTGTGCATCATGTACAACACCGTATATTGCCGAATATTAGGCTTCTATGGGTATGAATGTTGCGTACTATACGCGGTCATACTACTTAGGAACCTAGTTGCTTTTCACGACTGAGACCAACAAGAAAATTTTAGCCACTTGGCGTCATGGATGGCTCTATCGATCCACCAAAAGACTGGTCTCTGGGAGTCGTAGGCCGAAGGCCATTGCTTTTGGACCGAGGGTTCTCTATCATGGCAGCACCTTTCAGATAATTCTTTCTCTTCTCTATCAACTTCCTCAGAGTAATTATATTGAACCTAAATTCTAGTCAATAGCGAGATTTCTCAAGCCCTATTTAAGGGGCTCTGATACACGATTCAAATTTCCAAGTTGCATTCCCCTGCCATGTAATGGGGTGACTCTTCATAAGATATTCGTTCAAGCCTCGAGAAATCTCTTCGAATTACCTTCCTATTGTGTTCTTTGTGGCTCTCCTGGATGGTGTCTTAGGCTCCAATCCGGATCTCGCCACATGCAATTGTACCCTAATTAGTTACAGCTACAGAAAGGATGCATCGAGACTAAGATTCGACTGGCGACCGGTCCCCATACACAATAGTCGTCTTCCCTGATTCGTACATCGAGCCCCCAAGGCTTGATATTAAAAACTCCGTTCTCCTTAAAAATTCGCTAATACGTCCATCATAATTGCTTCGTAATGTACTGGATCTTCCGTTTATTGCACCTCAGTAGCCGCTTCGCATGTTTCACAGCAAATATGCCCACATCGATATTCTTGCCTATCAATTATCATCACGCAGCTGCAACGGCCTATATGATATTAGAAATCGCAAAATATATCTCTATAAATCAAAATGGGCTTTCGAAGTTCACATACCTTGCTCATTCCACTCTTTACCACACCAGCAGCAATTCCAATAACCCCCTCGTTCTTCAAAAGGGCAATTTTCTAGGGGGCATGTGGCTTGCATCCCGAACTGCGGTGGAGGTGGCCAAGGCACAGCATTTCGAATAGTCCTGTTACAGGTTTTCCGTTCCTTGCGTGACTGTCGGGATGGCAAAGGAGCATCTGAGCAATAGAGCGTTCGGGTGACGACGTGTTCGCACCGGAGTGTGTAGGCAGTTTCAGTGCACATGGTGCGATTCTGTTCCAAGTTATCTAGAATTATTTATGACTGTTAAGTGAGAGAAGGAATGGATACGAATATAGCTTGACTCCGCAGTTGTGCTTATACTATCTAGATCGTGAATTTGAATCTTGATGGTTTAGTATGATGAGCGATTCTGATATTTATATTGATATTCATAGTCTTGAATACATTACAAATCGACAAGAGAATTTTTATAAGCATCGGCGACCAAGCTTGTTGTGAATATCTATAGACTTGGAAATATTGATCTATAACTTAGAGGAAATAGTAACTATTACTCATACTTCGATCTACTCGCCTGCCACAGCCGAGTCATGTTCCGAAGCTTTGGTTCACATGGTGGATAACCCGATATAGGTGGCCATCCGCTCAGCACTATATCCGGTTATACGCGAGATGATGTATAATAGATCGGGAAGCCACAGCAATGCGGGAACTTAGGCTACTTCTGGAAAAGCAAAATAATCTTTACTGATTTCCCTGATGACTGGCAGAGCTAGTAGAGATTGTCATACATGGGTAATACTAGACTACCACGTGGCGAAGTCGCCGACCTCGTCAAGAGAACCCAATAATGCAACCAATACAATCTAGCTTGGCTTCGAAACCTCAACCAGGGGTTCACCCTCTCAATGACTATGGTTCTTCGTTTTTATCCTCTCGTCCAAGTATTCCCAACAAAAAGGAGGCATAAGCTCAAGGGAATAGAAAGAAACGTATATCTTCAACCCCACGGGGATTACCATGAAGTATCTCCATCGGCCTACCCTACGCACCCCTCCTATGCACAATCCGAACGACAGTTATAACATATAGCGTGGTAGCAAAGAGAATCAGGGATCTTCTTCATTGGTCGAATACACCATCGGAGCGTGTTTCCGCCGCGATTACACTGGCAGCAGATCCAGCGTCCACCAAGATCTTCCAAACGGCAGCTTCCGGAGCTGCATTGTTGTGAGATAAGGCATCCACCAGCCGCGCAAGGGCTGCCATAATCGGATCCATCTGGGAGATTGTACAATGGAGCGTAGACAAGTGCCTCGCATGGTTGTTGAACCCACAGTTCTCCATTCTCTTCGTGATCGTGGCTGGGGCCGCCCATTGCGCTTGAAGTGCCTGTGCCTGTTGTTTCAGGTATTGAATTTGGGCAAAATGTATAATGCACTTCGAATTCAACGTCTCTTGTGCAAGGAGCCAGGTGATGGTAATGGAGATAATAGTACGTGCACATGTTTGCTTTGAAGAAATGAGGCTAATTTGTCTATAGTCGCAGTCGTATCAGCGTCACGTATAAGTTTTCGAATAAGCACCTTGAGATATACCTAGGTAGAGTTGCCGTATACTACGAAACGCGGTAGCATGGAGCGAGGGAGATAGTATAGAGCAATTAAAAAGGAGTAGGCCGAAGGATGTACGTAAAGAGCTTGATATATCGCTAAAGTCTTCACTCGCTGGATGGGTGTCCCGTTTTCTGTAGTCTTAGTTCGATGTCTGCCGTTAGGGGGGCGATAACTTCTTAGCGACATTGCAATGGGGGACTTTACCGGTGGTCTTGGACATATTTATGGGCAGTTACAATATTCATTACATGCCTGGCAAGGACATTGCGACTCCATGGAGTGAGCTCATTTCCGTTAAGGCTGAGTTGGTGTGTGTATGGCGAATGAATCCCAACGGGGAAACAAAAGACATCTGACCATCATCAACTTCTAAAAACGGAACCCTCGCCATGTGAAGATCTTACGATAGTACCCAAGAGGCTTTTCTTGCCTCTATCATAATAGCGTGCGGCTACTGTCCGAACCGTCGGCCATATATCCTATTTGGTCCCGGTCTTAACATACCTAGGTATTTACACACGGAGCCGGCGACCACATGGCTCACGTAACAGAGGAATAACTACTATTTGCCGCCGCGAAGTATAAGACAAATTGAGACATCGCCAGATCCTCATTCGGGAGTATCGCGTGATGGGGGTAGTAAGAACTAGAATCCCAAGTTACCAATTATGACTGATCCAACATTCGAAAAACTGGTATTCTAGATCTCTTCGAACCTCAGCTTGATAGGCTAGCTTACCTGCGGTCCGAATGTAAGAGCTTGGATGGTTTGCGGTGGAATTTTGGTCTCAAGAAGCGAGAGCATCTGGAAGATATGGCTTATTGGGACCGGGATTCTTACTTCATATGGTGGAAATACGAAAATAAGGGACATCTAAGGTGTCACTGTCTTGCTTCACTTACAAAGCCCTATGTAGATAGTAACACTCGGGTCTCCGTATTCACCGATCGGATATAACTTTAGAGCGAGCCGCGTATAAGAAAGGTTCTATCACATGTTCTAGGCCGCGGTACTTATTCTTATCATTCATACTGAAAATATAGTAAAAGTATCGTTGTTTAATCCTCAATGAATTCACCTATCAAAGGAAGCCGACCTCACACGAAAGCTCAGCTCGGGGCTTACTATCGTGAGACAACAGCACCTCGCCGCGGCGCACTGATGTAACTGTAGAACGTCAAGGTTTACTAGATCAACCTGACAGTCCCCCAAGAACCATCGGGTGCTAAAGCTCATATTTTGAGAGACACTACCAAGATATAGGTACGTGTTCTAGAACGAATATGTTTAGGTAGTAATTTGGGTTTCGAATATATATTCTCGACTAGTCTTCCTGTTTCTGGCGGCATCTTTAATATTTGATCATATGCGGTGCCGAATAGAGGTGGCCTATCTAATTGCGTATCTAAGTACGCTTTATATTTAGGTAGAAAACGAAGACTCACAATATCAGTAAGGTATGGGACGGTGGAATACAATATTGGTCCTCTACTAAGACTGGTGGTATTTTCGTCTTGGTTCAGGGGTAACACAGTGGCTTCGGATCATATAGAACGGAAATTTGCGGGAGATGAGGTACATATGTTGGTATTGATATTTATTTCTCCGTCTAATGTTGCCTCACCAGTGTTTATCTACCTAGTCACCCGAAATGGTGCCCATATATATATCTTCTGGAATTCAAACCTCTAGATTCCATTGATAACTACTTGGGTACCTGGTGGGTACGCTTCATTTTCTATGCATGAGGTCGGTCTTACTTTCGGAATGGAATGTTGAAGGGATCGCCGATACTAAGTAATAGCAGATAGTGCTGTGGCTCCACCGTGACCCGACGAGCCATAGAACAACCGCCATCCCTCTAAAACACGTTGCCCCTAGCTCTCTTTTCGACTGTTTCTAGCTTCTTAACGTTAATATTCTTCCAAACAAGTACGCAGATAATAGTTAGAGGAATAAGAGCGGAGCCGACGATAACCATCTTTCTCATGACGTCGCCGTAGGCCGCTATGACGGCATCCCGGATTGGAGTACCAATTGGATATGCCATCTGCTTGTTTATATCCCCGTAAATCGCGGCCGTCATGTTCTTGTTTTGCTCAGGGAGGAATTCGTATAGCTTCTGGGGGAGAATATTCGTCCAAAGACCACCCGCTACGGCGTAGCCAACGGAAGAACCGACAGATCCGAATAAGCCGTAAATTGCAAGAGCGACGGCAACGTCTTGGTGCCTTACCGACGCCATGGCAGCGAGTTCTGCCATCTGCCCGATCATACCGACACCGAAGCCGACAAGGACTTGACACATAACAAGGTATCCAACCTGGGAGGAGGGTACTCTGAAATAGATCAACAGGGCTGTGCCGAGTAGATAGATAGGTATAGCCGCCATAGCCGGGTACTTAACGCGTCCAGTATAACGGATGTATCTTTAAGAATGTTAGCGAACAAGTCCGAAACTGACAACGCATATTACACTTACAAGGCGATAAATGGACCAGTGAAGTATGATGTGAGAGAATAAGCATTCAGCACATAGTTGGAAATGCTAATGCTTAGGCCATGAACGACCTGAAGATAGGAGCTATAATAAGCATCCCAAACGCTACGCCGCAGGTCAGTCTCGAGTGAAATTTATCGGGGTTTGGGACAAGGAAAATTGTCAACTAACAAAGTTGTCATGAAGACGACGAAATGCGACAGCACGGCACCCAAGAAAGTTCTATCTTTGAGGAATTCGAAAGGGAAGAACTTGACTCGGGAGAAGTATCTTTCCCAGATGACGAATGCAACGAGACCGACTACACCCATCACGATCATAACAATGATGCTTGCGCTCTGCCACGAGTGCGAAGCAGAGCTGACAAGGCTGAATGGAAGAGTGATGAGTGTAAAGCCTCCTGAGATGAGGACTGCGCCGATAACTATATGCAACAACCCTACATCAGTGACTCGAGTTTCTAATTTTCAATTAAGAATAAGGCCTACTCACGATCGAATTCGGAAATGTAGTACAAGATCGATTGTATAGTGGTACGGTTGGCTTTCGGGCGAAGGACACCGAGTTGTTTCGCTTTCTTTTCGTGGTAGTAGAGGATAGCGACGACCGGGAGGCACACTACAAGTAGAATGATGGTGAAAGCTCCAAATGCCCATCTAAAATTCACTCTTTGATAAAAGAGCTCTGCGATTTTCGGGCCAGCAAAAGTGGTCGCGAGATTTGGGGTCGAGTTCAGGGCAAAAATGAACATTCGGTTCTTCAAGGTAGTGATATCTGCCACGAACACGTTGATAATGAAGCCGAGAGCAACCTTTCCGACCCAAGTGAAGACCTGAGCTGCAGCATAGGTTTCGACATTTTGGCAGGTTGCCTTCATAATCATACCGACGGTAATAAGGAGTAGCGATCCAACGAAACCCTCCGCACGGCCTCTGATGTCGATCAATTTGCCCAGGCTAAGTGTGACGACACCACCGATGACTCTTGCGGCAATGTTGATGACCGCTAGAAGGCCATGCTTCGAGAAAGAGGATGTAACATACGGTGATAGAGCAGTGTCGATAGACGATAATAGCGCAGATACGAAGGATACGAGCCAGAGACTAAATTATCAGTATTTAACCGCAAGGGCTTTCGAGAACAGTCAACATACAGGGCGAAAGTAGACCATAGAGATTTCTTAGACCAAACTGTGGTAATGGCTTCGATCCGTTTAACGCCTTCCTGCACGTGCGACGAGTCGTCGTCTGTGTCGGTCTTGGAGTCGTCCGGTACTTCAGTCGCGGGTTGGTTTTGCAATATGTCTTTCTCGACATCGCGACCGCTAGAAGCGTGCGCGCCCACTGGAGAAATAGTCGCCATAGTGGTATGTGTATCTTTGGCGAAGAGGGACCACTGGATCAGTAGGATTTGCGCTGAGATTGACTTCTAAGGAAGAGAACTTGATCCCTGACGTTCGTTAAGAAGCGATCGGCGCAGATTACGGGATACCTATATAGTTATCACTACCTAGGTATATATGTAGTACTACCCCTACCTGCCAAGGCTTTTGCAATCGCTTTCCGTCCTACGGCTGAAAGGCCGTGGAACGATTACTGGCATAGTGAACAAGGGCCGATGGCGGATAGCCATGTGGCTTGACTTACGCCTAGATTCTCATCCGTTTTCTCTGCATGTTTTAATGTTTTGCTATACTCTTATTGAATAGTAAGACCGACAGCCAAGATGATAGTTTTGACACCTTCCCGAACGTTGCTGCAGCCGCCGATGATCGAGATACAGAAAATTTTTATCAGATCATCTGATAAGATGGCCAGTGGATGTTGATCGCAGGGTTCCAATGAGGCTAACGGGGGTTAATCCTTGCTGTATGTGATATCAATCGTGCTTGTAACCTATCATAGCTTAGGGTCAACTATGCTCCGTTCGTATACAACGTGGTATTGCCTACCCGCCGCTTTGAGCGCCGAAACTTTGGTCCATTATTACCTCTTTGACATCTTGGCATTAGTCAATGGCACTAACCGACGACTGTTGGACGTTAGTTCGATGAGACTAAGAGCCTTCTCTTCGCAGTCTAGACGGAGACTATATATTCGGACGCCTTGATGATAAAAAGCGAAGCCATATTCCGAGATATCTTCGGTCGTATTTGTCACGCGCGGACGAATTTACCTATTCCGGGATCGAGTTAGAAGATGGATTATACGTATTGGGGGTCCTTTGGTTCATGCTTACAACCATTGATAGCTGATTCCTATGAGCAACACCTGTTAAATCAAGGCATAAGCAGCTTCATGGAGTATAAACTTGAATCTAGAAAATGAATGAACTAACCTCTTACGCGAGAACCGAGGGTTGGCCTAATATCTGGACCCGATCGCATGGTATACTAATATTCTTGGCCTAGAAGACGAATGCATGGTAAGCTTGGTAATTTCCGATTTGTGGAACGTCCTTTATGCGCTATTTATAAGGCTAGCGACAATGCGAGAAAATATGGCTTCGATGAAAAATATTAGATTAGTTATATTCACATGTGATTATATGTCTTAAATGCCTCCTCATCCAGAGCGACTGGGTGAATCGTTTTGCGTCTTGAGACGGATCGGTATGCTACCATGACACGATTAGGAGTGTGATGCTTAACATCTCGTCACCACCACGATTATGCCGTAATTCTACGAGATATAAAACTCATAGGGTAGCGGCGATGCCGAGAGCCAAAATAGCTAGGGAGCTAATTACTATGGTGGACCCGGTCGAGCTGACTGTGGTAGGGGTGTTGGTGGCGGTAGAACTGGTACCGACGTTCGAGGTGGAGGTTCTGTTCGAGATAATAGTTTGACTAGGCGTTACTGAGGATACGGAGCCGACCGAACTGCTGAATAGGCCGCTTGACGCAAGGGGGGAGGTGGTGGAGGCTGTGGATGTTGCTGGCATAGAGCTGCTACTGCTGCTGCTACTAGCATTGGATTGGACGGCGTCGCAAAAAGCACTAACGGCTGGTAGGACTTGACTTGTAGCTACTTGAATACCGCAAGCCCTCAGAACACAGCTGGTGCCAGCTGATGCCACCGTATTTTTGTTCTCGCCTGGAAACTCTCGGTTAATGTTTTCCCCTTCAATATTGAACCTGTAAATAGTATGGATGCCATGATAACAGGGATTACTCTTATGTATAGTCGGAGGAGAGGAACAGGACATAAAGGGCAAATACGTACAGATACAGATATAATCATCAGATTCGCAATTGGTACTACCAGCCCTTGCAGTATCGATACAAGGCAGGGCACATTCAGGAATATCGGACAAGTACTGAGCAGAGACAAGGGCGATTAGAGCCACGATAGGGGTAATGTATCTCATATTTCCAATGCTAGAAGACGAGCCTGGTATAAATTATAGCGACGATAGGTACCGGGCCAACTTGTAGTTCGTAGCCGATGATATGGCGTAGTGTGAACTGATTCAAGGCTTGGACTCTAGGTCAAGGAGTCCGGGTTTTATAACCTACATCGGTTCGGTGCAATATCATGTCTTTTAGACCATTTACCTTCCGACTGCCATACTCTTAGAGGTAGATATCCTAGTATCATCTCCATGAGGAAGAAGCTCGGTCAATAGAGGCTGGTAGTGTATTAACCCTTGGTATATTAGCAGGATTTGCCTTGGTCCCTAGGCCACCGAGGTATGTGCCAAAGACAATGGACCAATAATGATAGTGGGAATTACCCCATATTCTTTCACATGTAGACATCTTAGAACAATTTGGGATGTTTAGCAAGCGGGGATACCCTCAATAAGTCTAGTTTTCTGCTATGATTCCAAGTTTCTTGCGGGTAGGCATTCCGATGACGCGTCAATTCGCGGGGAACATAGATTTCGAGGGGAACCGTCATTTTGATAGTTGTATCGCGTCGTAAGGCTTATCCTGGTTACGGTCGTGCTGAAATAAAGGATTGATATAGGAGAGTGAGGCTATTTGGTTAATAATTATGGTATATTGATACTAAGTAATGATATTGGTATGTTTAAGTTGCTTGATAAATTTAGAAATAGAGAATTAGGTACTAGGCTGCTAGGTTCTAGGTTAGTGAAAGAGGATTAAGGTTGAATCTTGGAAGATCTGATCTGCAGACAAGGATGCTACGTGCAATTTTAATTATTCTTGTGTTACCCGAGTTGACCAGTCAAATCTATGAAGATTTTATACACACATAACATAAATCAGCATAGTAATTGTGCTGTTATACTGTATCTCTCATAATCCATCGCGTTTTTATGTGTTACCAGATGAAATCAAGTTCTTAAAGTAACAAGATTTATGCCCTTCTCCTATGATTCTTGGCCGACAAAAAACATACGGAAGTTGATATACTAATGCAGGTACCCAGTTGCTTTCCAACACAACGGTTCAAGTTTATATTACGATGTATTTTGTTTTTGCATATGCTGGATTTAAGTAATAGAATGTCCAAGTCGCGTAGTATTCTTTTATCGTGATATAGTGTCGGAGCTACCCCGCCAGGATGCCCCGCGCCGAATTATTTAACTTGAATACCTCATACTTTATTAGTGTAGCTCTCATCTTAGCTCTCTATTCATATTATTGTAAATGCGCAAGAAAAGTCTCGTCTGGATGATAATAATAACAGAAACAAAAGAAGGATTCGATCGATAAACTTGATTGGAAAGACTCGCGACAAACCCAGTATCCTAGCTCTATCATCGAAATGGAGTTCGATACTAAAACTCGTATGTATTGCGACATTATTCACTTAGATATAATAAAAGGGAGAGCTTCTAAACTGACTGACTGAATATCTCCCAGCACCCTATTTGACTAGCGACAAGTTGTCCTTCGCATACATTTCCGCTCGAGATAGATGGCCCGTGATAGTTGTCAGTTTATCACCTTCCGCTTAGCACAACCGCCTTACTGACGTTTCGCCGTCAAGACCCAAGCCGTCGACGATCTATATCGCTCCGTTTCCGAATGCCAAGATCCCGAGAAACAAGAGGAGGGAAAGAAGATAATAGAAGAACTGTCTCGACTCAAATATGAGCTACAACATGATCGACAGCTTACGTATGTCATACCGGCTTCATACCTTACTTATATTATCCTATGTATCAAAGGATGGATAGTTGACTGGCAAAATAGACCGATACGAGACGACGGTGGTGCCGATGTAGCCATCTACAACCGCGAACTAGAGCAGCTAGGAACTCCAAGTTGGTTTAATATTCCATGGCTCTTCTGCGAATGTTATCTTTACAGGTATTAATCAACGTGCTGGTGCTATACATCGGAACAAAATGTGGTCTGTACTAACAAGGTAAAGCATAGACGCCTCAACACGTCCTTTAGCCTATCAAAGCACTGGAAGACCTACGATGTGTTTTACCGCCAAAAGATCAAGACCTTCCGCTCGTCGAGACCCGCAGTTATCGAACTTGCCGCCCGGTATAAGGACCTAGTAACCCAAATAGAACAAGATAAATTCAAGGCCGGCACCGGCTCCGAACATGAAGAAGCTGAAAAGATACTCTTCTTCGAGATGTGCGAGATCTGCTTGTGGGGCAATGCAACAGACTTATCACTGCTAACCAGTCTCACATACGAGGACATTCAAAAACTACAAGGGTCTGAAGCTAGAAAGGCATCTGAGAAGAATATTCTTGTGAATGATCTAGGAGCCACTTACGAAGTGTTGAAAAAGGCCAAAGACGAGGGTAGAAAGGAACGTCGGGTGGATATTGTATTGGATAATGCCGGGTTCGAACTTTACGTGGATCTTATTCTAGCCGGCTACCTATTATCATCCGGGCTTGCGACTCTCGTTGTTCTCCACCCGAAGTCGATCCCCTGGTTTGTGTCGGACGTCTTGCCAACAGACTTCGCCGCTCTGCTCAGTGCTTTAGCTGATCCGAGACGATTCTACGAAACACCCTCCGAAGAGGATAAACTGCAAAACAATACCCCCTCGCCATTGGCCGACAAAGATGTCACAGATCTTGGCTTTCTCTTCCAGGAGTGGGCACGTATGCACGCTGAAGGCCAGCTTATCATGAGACCTAACACTTTCTGGACCCACCCGGGTAGTTATTGGAGGCTTCCTTCAACGGAAAAGGATCTGTACGAAGATTTGAAGACTAGCGAGGTGGTGATCTTCAAGGGCGATTTAAACTATAGGAAACTCACTGGTGATGTGAGTATATCTATTATTCTTGCCGAATTCTTTTTCAAGCTGGATGTACTGACCAAAGAAAGGCTGCATGGGACCCAGCAACTCCCTTCACCGAGGCAATCGGACCTCTTGGTCCCGGCTCTGGAGTCAATGTTCTCGCCCTTCGGACATGCAAGGCTGATGTTGTCGTCGGGCTTAAGCCAGGTCTAGACGAAGAAATCCTAGCCACAGAAGGTGGAGGTGGAGATTCTGGCGCTAGGAAATGGGCATGGAGCGGTAAGTGGGCAGTTGTATCTTTCTCGAACGGTAAATAATGCTGCTTATGTGTACATGTACGCGGCAAACAATTACAAACCCTAGATCAAATAGACTATATCCTCACTGGTCTTTGTAATTTCCAATTTGTAATCATCTTACCTACCTAGGTATGTTCATATTCCCCATCCAGCATCCAGAAATGGAGAAGGACCTCCCATAAGCAAGTTGTTAAATGCCCATTGCTTGGTCTGGGTGGATTTCGTTGTATGAATTTTCGTAATTATAGGAACGCGCCAGACAACATGGGGTTAAAGCATATCGAAATCATATTTTATTACCGATGCCTGTGTACCAAGGACAAGGACCATACCGCCGATTCTCCATTAGCCTCGAAGCGTTTCCATTCCATCTCGTCGTGGGTATCTGTACTAAAACCAAAACGCCAACACCTATTATCCACGCATCATCGCGTCAATCCGCATCGCCCGTGGCGGATATAAAGATGCACCATTTAGAACTAGAATCGGAGCTTCAGTAGCGCCACGGTGCCTTGCCGGATCATAAACCAGCCGACCTCCATCACAATCCACACGACCTCGCCGGCGATCTATTCCTTGACTTCGGTCGCCTCGGCCTTAGCGTCGAAATCGGCGTCGTTATTCTTGCCATTTTTCTTTTCGAAGATGATCTTCTTTTCTCCACTATTGGCCACCACTTTGCCGTCGCCGTCGGCGCCGGATGACAATCTACCGTAGACATAGCGACCGGCGAAAAAGGTGGCAGCAGCCCAAGCCCAGAAAAATAAGGCGATGCTGAAGGTAATGAAGAGAGTGGGCACGAGGAAAAGAGTCGCGATTCCGATCCAGAATAGCGAAAATAGGAGGGCGGAGATGAGCGAGACGGCGATAGTGGTCGTGGCAAAGCCTGCGAAGAGGAGTATAGGTGCGAGGGAGAGAGCGAGTTGGAAGGCGACAAAAGACTAATGGTTTGGCAAGCGACACGGTTAGCATAGTACCTCCTTAGGTATTATAACCAATTGATCGGCTGGATACGTAAAGGACAAAGCTAAAAGCTTACAGATAATATAGGTTTCTCGATTGAGAAATCATAAACCCAATTATAGGCCTTTTGTCGTGTAGGCGGGCTTACGACTCGATCGACTTGGCGCTGACCGTAGACAAGCAAATCATTGGCCCTGGATCTAGTACGAGAAGAGATATCGTCGGTCGCCATTGTGGAGTATATGGTGCTACGAGGTGAGGAGATGTAATAGCGATGGGATGCGACGAGTTGCAATTGAGAGATAGAGCGAATCGGATTACTTCAATTGGATCTGAAGATGGAGCGAAGATCCCAATGGGACCTTAGGTGGGATGTTGTAAGAATCGAGAATTAATTATAGAACTACAAGGAATTCCCTTATGACTACATTTGAGAAGAAAGAGGGAATTGAATATTGAATAGTACGAAAAGAAATTAAATAAAAGTAAATTTAAAAGAAGGTTCACGTTAAGATCAATCCATACCAATGGTACATATATGTAGCACCTGCCATTACGAAATGGCGAGATCTGACCTAACGCGGGCTGCGCGGGTTGAAGCTGCTTTATCGTGGGTGGGTACCTAACCCCTAAATGACGTAGCCCTAGAGTTTACCTGTATTTGATTACGTAAACAGGTTTGTTGGAATTTCTTCGTACATATGTAGTTTTGAAATGGCTACATAAATCAACTATTCTTCACAATTTCGCCAATAGCACCACGATAAAATTGACATCCAATTGAACATACCGACGCGAGAACCGACTTTCTTCGCTCTAGTACCCGATTAATGTATAGGTAGGTAGCTACGAATGTATATTCTTCTCATCGATTCTCTTTTGCTGTTCCTCCGGTGGAAGAAGTCCGAATGTTTCTACATCTTCATCCCATTTTCTAACACACTCAGCATTCCAATTACATCTTTCCACTTCCCCATATATCGGGTGGTTAAATCGAGGATGTCGACTCGGCCAGTTTGAAGCATGATAGTGGTGTTTGACGAGTGCACCTCTAGCATTATGGTTGCCAGAGTCCGAGTGACCTTGTCCTGCGGCGAATGCCTCGACATTTAAGACCAGCATACCTCTGACGGCTTTTGACTCGTCCAAATTATGGAAATCATCCCAAGTGATGGCAGCATCGCCGCGCCGCCTATTCATGTCTTCCAATATAGCAGCGGTAAATGCAGATGGGCCTGTACCGCTTATCACTTCGTCAAAGTCTAGAACCACTTCGCCAATCGGTACATTTTGTTTCTTGGCAATATCCGTCAGCCACCTTTCGATCTTTTCTACTAGTCTCAGCATCACCGGAAGTCGGGGTTTTGCCATGAATGTCCACTGACAAAATGATTGCGATTTCCTGCCGAGGATATTGTGGTCCTTATATTGCGGCTGGTCAATTTCTACCCCAAGTACCATGTCGATTTCTGATTCATCATATCGCTCCGGGATAAATCGATGCACAGGCCGAAGTGCTTCGACGTCAATATCAGCGTACACACCACCTTCCGCATACATAACAAGATAACGCAGAAGGTCCGCTTTAATTATCGTTGCATTAACTGATCGATACAAGTCGATAATATCCATACGATTGAATCCTTCGGGGCCAAAATGCTGTTCGATGTAGTTCATGTCATTGTTGTCCGTAAGTACCTCGTATCTAAAGCTAGGATTCAACATCGTCCACGTCTTGGCCGTCGCAGTATCTCGTTCTTCAAAAGAGAAAGGGTCAATCTTCCAAGTTTGCCATATCTTCCTTGGAAAGCCTCTTGAGTAGTCGGATGACGAAGGCTTCTGTGATATCGAGCTTCGTTTAAACATGCCGCTCGGACTCGGCACCGATGGCATGAGGTCGATGTTGAGGAAGACCAAAAAAATGCATACGCATACGAGGTACACTGGGATGGTTCTTCGTAGCTGCGTTGGGATGCGATTCCTAAACTTCGCGGTGGTTGATGCCAATCTAGGCGATAATGGTGATATGGGTGCGTTCATCTTGGCAATGGACCTGCTTTCGAATACAAAGATGAAGTAAGTCCAAATCAGGGTCTGTGTCCAAAGGAAAATCGATGACTGTGATAAACTCCGAGAGTATTCTTACCCCAGAGCGTTTACCCCTACAACTTAAAGCTGACGATACACCGACATCATCCCTATACGCCACTGAGGTTACCACTTCCAAACTTCCAGTCGTAGAAGCAATCTAGGCACATATATGCCTGAGGCTTCTGAGCTAATCGGGGATAGGTACCTTGTGGAAGAAGCTATACCAAGGTCAACATTTGTGACGAGCCAGGTTGCACAGCATAAACTTGAAAAGAGCTGGTTAGTACTCGTCCCTTCTCCTGACCAAATACAGTTAACGCCCACTCTATTTCATACATTCAGAAGCTACGAACAGGCGGCGATCTAAGTATCTTATCCCTGCAGATGTGTCGCTAGGATCTTCCGTCCCGTGTAACGGTAGTAGTACCGAAGCCACGGTTCATCCTATGACCCCAGATGAACTAGTATCTAGGGGTCGTCCGCACGGTTCTAGGTGTTCGTATTTAGAACCTTCCTATTCAAGTATCACGTCCATTCTATGGCAGGTACGATGGCTTATGAGCCGCGGATGGGAGCTGTTCTTCGTATCACATGCGTAAAGATATTCGCCGGTTCAAATTACCTAGGTATGTTCTATGTGGATAATTAGCTGACTCGGCCGTGTTGGCGGTACACCTGCAGCGCCACTTAGCGCCCGTTTTACAAGAGGCGTGCCAATCAAGCCCTGATGTAGTCGTATATTGGTCATGGGCATATGTCGTGCCACCGTCACCTTCGACGGAGGTTTTCGTGCGTATCTACTTGAGTATGTGAAGACACAATGTATCGCCGATACCTTAGATGGCAAACTTGCACGGATGGAAATTCGATAGCCCGCACGGTGATGTACGGGTGATGTACGAAGTACGATACAGTGAACTAATAACGACCACTGTATAGGTGCATGTGCTTGGCGAGCTAGCTTGTATGAGCTGAGTTTCGACCTGTTATTGCTACAAACTATCTTCAAATCATTCAAGAACTTCACCACCTCCCATGGAATTTTGATCCAAGGACATCAAAATACATCCCCTCCTCGACAAACTCAATCTGGTATGGAGACGCCAGATAAATATCAGGATATACTAGATATTAGGGAATGGGGAGAGATCGATGCCAACTGGAAGCCCGCGTCGCATCGTTCGGTGACGAAAGGCTTGAGCTACTTTAAAAAATTACCAAGGCCGATCAAGTCCCTTCTATCGCTGCTATGGCCCAGCAAGAAAGGGGGCACAGGGAACCTACGTCCGACAGCATATTTAGATGGCTTACGGGGTTTCGCAGCTTTCTTGGTGTATTGGCATCATCACCAGTTGTGGGCTCATCACCAGAACGAACCTTTCGAGGATGCGTTTGGATATAATAACAAGCATTACCTCGTCGCTTTTCATGGAATACGGACTTTTTTTACTGGCGGCCACTACTCCGTCTCCACCTTCTTCGTCATTTCTGGCTACGTTCTATCGACAAAACCATTAAACCTGATACATAATCAGGAGTACGTAAAGCTTGGCGACAATGTGGCATCTGCTTTATTCAGACGATGGTTACGCCTCTATCTTCCGCTCATTGCTGTGACTTTCCTTTACATGACGTCGTGGCATCTCTTCAAAATATGGGCCGTTAATGCCCAGCCCAAAGGGACCTGGATGGATGAGCTCTGGTTTTGGTATGTCGAACTCAAGAATTTCAGCTTCCTGTACAACCAAGGTGGTGACCCTTGGATCAGCTACCAGTACCATGCTTGGTCAATTCAGATTGAGTTTAAAGGATCCGTCGTCATATACAGTTGTTTACTGGCGCTTTCGAGGTTGACTAAAAATGCCCGATTATGGTGCCAAATCGCCCTAATAATCTATTTCATGTATGTTGCAGATGGTTGGTACGCAGCAATGTTCATATCTGGCATGCTACTCTGCGACCTCGATCTACTCAACGCAAGAAACGAGCTCCCTTATATTTTCACCAAGTTAAAGCCGGCCAAAAACTTCATCTTTTACCATCTCTTCGCATTTAGCATCTATCTTGGCGGTGTCCCATCCGTCAATATGGATGTTAATCGCCTTAGGAATTCACGGGGTTGGTACTATCTCTCGTATCTTAAACCCCAAGCCGTATTCGACTATAAATGGTTCTACTTGTTTTGGGCGGCGACTTTCCTCGTTGCCTCTATACCCCGGATTCCGTGGCTCAGGCAATTTTTCGAAACCCGATTCTGTCAATATCTTGGCCGCATATCTTTCGCGCTATACTTGGTACATGGACCTATTCTGTGGACTATCGGCGATAGGTTATATACAGCTACGGGATGGTATCAGGATGCTCAACTGACCAATATACCTTGGTGGGTGGACGTACTCAAGTTACCTAAGATTGGTCTATTTGGACTCGAGTTGTCTTTTCTGGTGCCACACGTTATTCTCCTGCCACTTAGCATTTGGGTAGCTGAGCTCGTCACTAAGTTGATTGACGAACCTAGTGTTCGATTTACGCAATGGTTGTATCGGTACCTGTTACCTGGGCCAATTAAAACACAAGGAGGATTCCGAGGTATCTAGCAAAAGTAGATGTGGCGTTAGTACTAAGTGTAGCAAACATTCGTCAATGGGGGATGAGCTGATTTGAGTTTCCCTGATTTCCAATGAAACGGGCTGAAGAATGGTGAATGGTAGTGTAAGTGGCGTCGTTTATGCCTTGCCGCTCCGAACTTGTGTAGCCAATATAACTAGAAAAAGACCGAGACAAAGGCTACAGCCGCTAGCACAAGTAGTGATGGAAAGTCTTAGTGGTGGACGTAGTTGGAGACTATTGCCCGATTAGGAAAGTAATCGACGGTACGGTAGTGCTACCCGAGATTCAGAAGGGAGGGGGGAAGGTGTGAACTACTTGTAAAGCTTGATTAAAATAGACAGGGGAGGAGTGCGGGGAGGCCATGGGGAATGAACTAGCACATGTCAAATTATGAACTTAGCTCGTTTCTTATTTCCCCAAATTCTTCACCCTTACATCTTCATCATCCATTCCCTGCATGATGCTTACCTAGGTAGGTACCTAGGCAGATACAATCAAGACATCTGCATGGTTTCCGGTATTGTGACAATGACTACGGGAAATCCGCGACAAGTTACACCTGCTGGACATTGCATGAATGCAGGAATAAACAGGGTGTCAAACAAGGCATAGTGCACGCACCATAATTGCCGAGACCAATCTCCAGCCACTCCATACGGATGTATACTAATACCAATGTGCAATACTTGTTGATAGCGTCCGGTTGTTACACTGCCTGACTGCCTGCTGAGAAGAAGATACACCCAGAAGGAGCTAAAAATCACGGTCATCATATCCATCATATTCACTGTTGACCATGGTTAAGTATGGTAGGTATTCGACAAGCTGTCGCCTTTGCATCATCGTACCAACACGAGTCTAAACATTCCTCAAAATATGCTGACGAGAGTTTTGAGGCGTGCATTGATTCTTGGGCTATTATCAGTTCTACTTTTCTATACCATCCTCCGTTACATAGATGGCCGTCCCGTCATCTCACATTACCGCGTCCAAGATTGGATAAAACGCACGTTTCCTACTGCCAATAACCTCATCAACCTAGAGCAACAACATACTCTTAACGGCCCAGTGGATTCAGGAAGTAAGAATGGCGCCAATAGCGATATTTCGCCTCAAGTACTACCAGGCTACAACGAGAATGGGGATAATATCGTCGACGGTCCCAATTTCAATGATACCCACGTCGTATTGTTCTCTGTTTCAACACCAGACAATAAATATTTCAAGCTCCGTTTCGATGACAAACTTGGCATAAATCCCAACATCATCCCGCACCCTTTGCTTGAAGATACATGGACCATTGTGGCGCAACAACATGACCCAGCAGATATAACGCACACTCAGTTCACTGAAATGGTCTGCGACGCCTCATTCAACCAGGATAGTAGTGAGCTCAGTTGTCTGTTTCCCCCTGTGCCATTACCGATCGTCCCGACTGGCCTAGGTAAATGCGAAGGTGAGCTTGAGTACGTCAATCTGAACACTGGTCCCCATGATGCTAGGGTCTTCTACGGCCCTGTATCGCCATTCATAATCTACGGGAGTAATTCGCAATGGACGTGTTTCGGACAATGGATGCAAGACTTCCGAGCGTTAATAAACTGGGAGAGAGAGCAACAGTCGGATCAACCTTTTCAGCTTGGGACTGAGCTTCATCGGCCAATGCCTTACTTCCCCATGGAGAAGAACTGGTTCCTATTCTGGGACACCGACGGCCGAATGTATGCACATTATGACGTCTCACCTCACCGAGTATTTGCGGCGCTCGAAGTTGACGCGTCGGTGGCATCGGATTTGGCCCCTCTAGCCGCAGCGGCTGGCGATGGGAAGTGTATGGAAAAGTACATGCCCAAAACAGGACCTTCACAAGAATCAATTCATCAAGCAACTAATTCGCTCTCTATAACCATGTGCCGACAGACAGATCCGGAGTGTTCACCGAGTGACGCCAACACATTCATATTCACCATCTTTCAGCATAAAACCTTCTATAACTTCCATAGCGTGTACGAGCCATACGTAATGGTGTTTTCACAAATGCCGCCGTTCCAAATTTACGGTATATCCCAGAAGCCATTATGGATCTATGGTCGTGACACGCCGGACCGAATGTTTTACGTAACGTCAATGAACTGGAAGAAACCAGGTCAGAAATATCATGGTTATCTGGATGATATTTTATTCGTGGCGTTTGGAATAGAAGATAGCGATACCGCTGGTATCGACGTCTTGGTGGGTGATATATTTACTGATCTGGGCCTGTGTTCTGGGATGGCGGCGTGATTCTGTGTTTGAATGACATTGTAAAGCTATCTGCACAATTCTAACAATGTAGACTACCTAGGTAGGCTCTATTTCCATTTTACCTGTAATATGCAGGTATATACATATAGATTTCTGATATTCTAGAAGTGCAGTATTGCTCAGGATTTAGGGCTTCAAAATGTAGCGGCGCACCGACAAATCCGATATCTATAATCCCATATGTACCATGGAGATCAGAACTAATGGTAATATTCCCCGAGCGTCGCGTTAACCGCAATGCGCAGCCGTTAAGTGATGCTGTGTGCCCATAACTCCAGCTCAGCTTCTCACAATTCCAGCTATGTTGTCGTGGCAGGCTTCTAGTGGTTCTTCTTTTGGCTAAGCGAGATAGGATTTCACAAGGCAAATTATTCAGGTATTTCATTCGTATTGAACTAAGGATGCCTATGGCTCAGTCGGCTTATTTTTCTAGTAGCTTCATGATGCTCGCCGAATGAAATCAATTTTGCTGTTTACTAAGGATCATGACATGCATAACGCTTCCGTCTATCGGTTTGTTAATTTTATAGATGCCCAAGCAAGTATGTTTTAAATATGTTCTAGGTATTCTTCATCTTCATACGCTGTAAACTTCATGACATGGTCGGTCTGGCTACGTCAGACTGACTATGGATGTAGATACACACTTAACAATGCCTAAATGCATCCCAAACATGCATGTCACTGGTCTAGAACACCAGGACCTAAAGCATCTGCTTACCTAGGTACCTCGGTAGGCACGTAGTATTGTTACAAAGGCCGGAACCGGGCCGACAGAGGTGAAGCCCTCGGGTCCGAAGCAAAAGCCAGATAAAAACACGAGTCTTACGTCGTATTTTGGATTGAAAAAAAAAAGCAATATTTCATGTAACAGATGAGAGCACAACGTTTAGGCATGATTGAAAATGCGTATGAATTAATGCAGGGTAATAACATGTCCTAACTGAGAACCCACCCTCTGACGCCTAACTCCTAATGCGAGTCTGTGAAGACGTTTCTGAACTACCAAATGCAACAGGCCGTGGCTATATGTTATGGCCAATGCTTAAGAATCCCGCAAGTCTACTGACGTTACGGGGTATGCGAATAGAATCGTGAAGTTGGTTTCTGAGAATGACGGGTTGAAATCGGCGGGTATGCGCGAGTATCGTACTGGAATCTTGCCTATTACGCAAGCTAGGGCTCTCCCAACAATCGAGCAGTGATATCACCCATATATGCCTCCTCTAGCTCGTAATCCTGACCGTCGAGTCGATCAATGCCGAAGAACTGGAAGGCCTCAACAACTCGGTCAATGTCAAAACCCATGTTGACGAATCTGTTAATAAGATCCTTGTTGTACCCCTGGTATCTGTAGTATCCGGTTAGCCAAACAATTGCATCACCGCCATGCTCGCTAGTGTATTTTTTTTTTTTTTTAAAAAAAAAAAGATCGTACCTGCTATCGTCAACTTGTTGGGGAGCGACGGGAGTCCGGGGGTGAACGGATTGAAAGTTAGGATTTCGAGGGGCATTGGCGTGAAGTACAGCCCACTCGTGTGCCTTCTTGTTAAAAGCCTCCCGATCGTTAATCATCATCTTGGCTACTTCGGCGTCTTGGGGATCCTTAGGCTCGGGACTTTCGAAGAGACCTTGGAGGGACAAAAGGGTTGACTTGATTGTGAGGACGGGAGACCAAGCAGAGCTGAGAGTGTCGAGGCAGATAGCTCCCTGGATGTATTTGCGTCAGCTTATAATAACCATAGTAAGATGATAAGGAGACTAGAATAAAAAAAACTTACCGTCTGACTGCTGATGTTGGGATGCCATACTTTGGTGTCAAACTTCATAGTAGGAGGCCGAAAAGGATACTCGTTGGGGATCTTGACGTCGACAATGAATTGACCACGCTCGTACGGGGTACCTGGGGGACCGGGTATGCATGCCTTCAGGTGTGTGAGGTCGCCGGTGTTTCCAGCAGGCTGAGCGGTGATACCAGAGGACCTAGAGTCGGCTTCTATGTCGGCTAGCTCCTTTGCCACGCGACGCGCTCTACTTGAAGCCATGGTTGGCGAAATTACGATACGTGAATGTAGAGGAGTGGTCGGAAATGTCTTAAACAGCGACTGAGGCTATCGGCGTAGTGAAGATACAGTATGGTATGGTATGGTACGGCGTATCGAGTATGTAATGGATTCGCTTGTGGGGGAATGTCTATACAAGAACCACGGTGAGGTAGATGAATGTGAAGAAAATCGGTCGGACGGAGGGAGAACCTTGTAAAAGACGAAAAAAGAAAAAGAAAAAAGAACTTTGGAAGAGACGATGGAAATGAGTAAGGGCGGACGCAAGGTTGGAAGGAAAGAGGGATGAAAATAAAGATAACAGCCCCAGATCGTTCTATCCTCTCTCCGATTTCCTTGGAGTTTATTCAACAAACCTTGGAAGGTACAAGGGAGGGGGCTTTTTAAGTGGAGGCTGTACGGCGCATGTAGGTACCTAGTCCGCTGCGCAAGGCTGAATAATATAATAGTAAATAATACCTATGTAATAATAAAAAAGAGAAGAGTGTGGAACTAACTCCGTGTGACTCTACTTACTACCTAAGGTTGATTGATACCTAGGTAGTTAAGGGGAAAAAAAAATATTGATGAGTTGGATTACACTGTCGCCGTCAATACCACGATACTAAGGTACAAACATACCTAACAGTGCTAAACCAACTCATGAGACAAAACGGTTCGCCGGATTTGCTTGACAGTTGTTACTTACATGAATCTTGTAACCCCGCGATTGCCCCGCCGTGATTAGTCCCTCTCCTTGTTTGAGCATCATACAGTATTTAAAATTATGTAATCTATCCACTCTTAACATTTAGTCACACCTTATTGGCTAGACACATAGATAGATTCAACTTTATTGAAGATCTTCGACCCCACCAGAGTTAGTACCCCACTATCTCTTCACTTTTTTTTTCAATCATCGCCGCTTCACATCTACACCAACATATCCAACGTATAATATTGAACATCAACTTCTATCAATACCTATAACCCATATACCACTAGTATTATACAACTTGATAAATATCCGCCTACAGCCAGTGTATAGATTAACCACATGCGACTTACACGATGGCCACCACCACGATAACATCGACCGTTCGCAAGAAGGATATTAATCTTCCACCAGAGAACGAACGATTCCTACGATGTTGCGCCGATATCGCGAACGCTCTTATCGAAGATCATGAGACCCCAAGAGATCCCAAAAATCCTAAACGGGATATCAACCTCAATAGCCTTCGTTCCAAATTCTCGAGGAAGCACAAGATTGCTAGCATGCCACCGCTGACTGCCATCATCGCTGCTGTTCCCGAACACTACAAAAAATACATCTTACCGAAGCTAATCGCGAAACCTATCCGTACGTTTAAAGGTTATATTATCAATTCTCCCCCGCCGTGCTGACTGAAATCTAGGTACATCCTCTGGCATCGCAGTCGTCGCTGTCATGTGTAAGCCGCACCGATGCCCTCATATTGCGTACACCGGCAATATCTGCGTTTATTGCCCCGGCGGACCCGACTCCGACTTCGAATATAGTACACAGTCCTATACAGGATACGAACCGACATCTATGCGCGCCATCCGTGCCCGATACGATCCGTTCGAACAAGCCCGAGGTCGCGTCGACCAACTCAAGTCCTTAGGACACTCAGTCGACAAAGTCGAGTATATCATCATGGGTGGCACGTTCATGTCTCTACCCGTCCCTTACCGAGAGGAGTTCATCTCGCAGCTCCACAATGCCTTGAGCGGTTACCAAACGACGAACGTCGACGAAGCGGTTGAGGCTGGTGAAATGAGTAACGTAAAATGTGTTGGTATTACTATTGAAACTCGGCCTGATTATTGTCTCCAACCACATTTGACTGATATGCTCCGATACGGCTGTACGCGCCTGGAGGTCGGGGTTCAGTCGTTGTACGAAGATGTTGCACGAGATACCAATCGAGGGCACACTGTGGCAGCTGTCGCTGAGACGTTTTGCCTAGCCAAGGACGCCGGATTTAAAGTTGTCTCACATATGATGCCTGATCTACCCAACGTCGGCATGGAGCGCGATCTAGACCAATTTAGAGAATATTTTGAAAATCCAGCATTCCGAACTGATGGGTTGAAGATATATCCCACACTAGTCATTCGCGGGACCGGTCTTTACGAGTTATGGCGGACGGGTCGATATAAGAATTACACACCTAACGATTTAATCGATATCGTTGCTCGAATATTGGCACTTGTTCCTCCTTGGACCCGAATTTATCGAGTACAAAGAGATATCCCGATGCCGCTTGTCACGTCAGGCGTTGAGAATGGAAATCTAAGAGAATTGGCCCTCGCTCGAATGAAGGATTTCGGCACCACGTGTCGTGACGTGAGAACGCGCGAAGTCGGTATTAACGAAGTCAAGCACAAGATCCGCCCAAATCAGATTGAGCTTATCCGTCGTGATTATACAGCTAATGGTGGATGGGAGACCTTTTTATCTTATGAAGATCCGAAACAGGATATCTTGGTCGCTCTTCTTCGTCTACGCAAATGCACGGAGAAGTATACCTATCGTCAGGAATTGATTGGCCAGCAGACCAGTCTAGTTAGAGAACTTCACGTTTACGGAACCGCCGTACCCGTTCACGCGAGAGATCCAAAGAAGTTTCAGCACCAAGGCTTCGGTACTCTTTTGATGGAGGAGGCAGAACGTATTGCGCGTGACGAGCATGGAAGCGACAAGATCAGCGTCATCAGTGGAGTTGGAGTGAGGAGCTATTATAAGAAACTTGGATATTGGCTAGATGGTCCATACATGAGCAAATGGTTTGATGGTCGTCCGCAAGAGCAATCTTGAGTCCAAGGAACATGATTTCGTACACCATATCAAACGTACTTTGAAGGTGCCTCGTCACATTTGCATAGGGAGGAGTTCAAAAGATTCTTACGATAAAATTCCTCGAATCTAAAACCAAATTCTAATGGTACATGATAATGTCCAATGTAAGCATCCCCATGTCTACCTACTCCCTACACAATCTATCCAAGACGTAGCGAGACTAATGTTCTCGTAGTAGAGGATGGTCGATCCTTTCCAAAGTACAAATAGCGACTATTATCTTGCCGACCGCCACCCCTCGTTCGTGTTTACCGTCTGCGCAGATTTGCACATCTATCTTTGCTTCAAACTGGATATCCGGATGTTTTCTTGCTGTCGTCTTTCAATTGGATATTCCTTAGTCTTCCGTGAAAGTCGGTCCCGATTTTGCTAAAAGGCAGCTCAATAGCAATAGACGCCCAAACCACCATCACGCCATTTGCACTTTGAACTCCATTCGGCTCAAACCTTGTTAGGAATTCCATTGGCGTCGTATTGCCAACTTCGAAAAAAGTTTGGTTACCGCGGAGTGCAAGTGTCACGTCTGTCCAAGCGTTGAGGGGCAAGCTGTAATTGAGTGGGAAACGATTCCCACCGCTGACTAGGGTAACATTATCTCCTACCTCTAGGGCGGAATCACTGCTGTAGAAAAGGGTGGAAGGCTGCTGCGAAGTTGGGTAGATAGAAAACGAAAGCGTGGCATTTCTACCTTTACTATTGAGGGGAGTCTGGGTTGCGCAGTCCCCATTCAGGTAGAGGGTACCATTCCGGACCATGCAGCCGTTTGTAGTGGTGCCGTTGTAGCCATTTCCAGAGTGGTCAAAAATTTCACCCGCACTACCATCCTCGAATTGGTAGTTTGCAATGACACTCGAATTACTAGGGATATTGCGGTCGAGGTTTTGTGCTGGAATTACGGAGTGTAGCTGGTCAAAAATTGTGTCATATTCTGCCTCTGAGATGTTGCCTCCCCATTGCTTATCAGCTAAGGCTGGCAGCGCATCCCTCCAAGCATGATAGGCCTCAAGATATGTCGAAGTGAGCGGCCCGAAGTCGTTCCAAGCAGCTGCTATGTGCCCTTCTACCAGCGGGTCGTCTTTAGCGGCGTTGTTTGAAGAATTCGCCGTGTCAAAGATATTGGGCGAGAATGGGCCACCATCTGGGTTTCCGTTGAAGATGAGCTGCTTATGGAGCGACGTGGGAAAATAAACGGCCCATTTTTCGCTGACATACCAAGCAAAATCGGAGTTAACAACATTATACCCATTCCGCACATAGTCAAAAAGTGCGTTTCCCAAGTACGGTGCCCAGAATTGGATGGATACATTTTTATTGACATTGCTACCCTGGGCCGGCGTCAAGTCAGCCCAAATCCGTGTACTCTGGCCTGTCTCGTTTCGGATAAATTCAGTGAGATCATCGACATAATTTGTGTATTCGACTACGCCTGTTGCAATGTATTCGTCGGCTCCGATTTGAACTCGCTTGGAGTGAAACCACGGAAGGAAAATGTTCCAGATTGATTTGATGGTCGGCATCGTTTCGGGGTGAGATAGGTTTAGTAGAGACAGGTTAATTAGGCTATCCTGAAGCGCAAGCTCGGGCTTCCATTGAACAACAGCAAGTGCGTGTGCGGGCAAGTCAATTTCGGGAATTATAGTGACGCCTCGTTGGACACATTCCTGTTGTATTCTCTCGAAGTCGTCTCTGCTGTAAGATTCGTTGGCACGGTTGTTGAGGCCTTTAACTGCTGGATCGTCGGACCAAAGCCTGAATGTGGCATATAATGATAAGATTTGGTCTCTTGTCATTATCTTGTCGTTTATGAAGAGATTGTCATTAAGATGGAGGTGAAATACATTCTGCTTGAAGAATGAAAGATACGAACACATCTCAACGATGAAGTCCGGCGGGTAGTAATGCCTAGCAACGTCGAGCTACCTAGAATAAGCAATAAAGTCGAGATAGACAGTTGAGATCCCTTACCATAACCCCGCGAGTAACCCATCCTGGAGCGTCGACGCCAGAGCCATATGGAAGAAATAACTGATTCGTCACGGCTGCATGAATCAGTGATCTAGTTCCCCACCACACACCGAGAGGACTGGCGCCAGCGATTGTGATGCCAGTTTCGTTAACTGTAAGCGTGTATCCTTCGCTGGTTTGGCGGCCTGCAACATCGAGGTACCTGTCTTTCTCTTGGTCAAGTGTCAGGAAAATCGAATTGTGTGCGTCGGTGAGTTCGCTACTCCCTAAATTGAGCTTCAAGCCTAGAGATTCCTCCAAGTCCTCTTCGAAAGTCCGGGCGAAGTCGGATAGGGACGGTGGGATTAAGGTATGCCCTTCGGTGTCGGTTGCCGATTTATAGCGATCATCGACGACTATACTCTTCAAGTGATGGAGGTCATAATTGCCCGAGTTGCTTGGTAGGAAAGGAGTCGTTGGAACTGTTAAGAGTTTGGAGCATGCTGCATCATATTAGTGTGACATTCACATGAGTCGGAATGAAACGCCACGTTACTGCCAACAGACGAAAGGACCACCGCGCTTAAGGCAACGACGTGTGGGACCTTCATCTTACCTGCGGTGGGCGACGAAGGGAAGTTTGGCGTAGAAGCTTAAGCTCGGCTGATGAATTCACAAGCACGATGGAACTAGAGGCGTACGCCGAGTTTTGACCGGCCGTTGAAAGGGTCCTGGAACTTCTTACATCACTTTTAATATACCTTTTTATACCCTCCAAATATCAAAGTAGGCAAATCAAACACAGCATATACTTCAGCCGCGTGCCTGATAACCGTATAAGGCATCGGTTTACGTTGCTACGAGCATATTGTCACATAGTATCCAGGTCAAGCAGCAACCATATTTTGAATAGTTTTGGTAGTGCTCTGCAACGTTTCCACTACCGCAGAAGGAATCTTCAAGTCAGGCCTCATTGCAACACAGACAAGGTTACCAAGTTGCAAGTTCACTTTCCTATGGTGTAATTGCGCGTCTTCGTCATGGTTCTATTGCATTGCGATGTTGGGGCTAGTTGGAATCAATGGATCGAACATCACCAGGGTCTCCCGCACTTGCCCCCCTTTTTATCTCCATAGTTGGGTAGCGAATACGGAAATAATGCGATTGGTTAGATCGGATCGCGCCCATTGATATTACAAGAGGATTCAACTTTTCATTTCAGCCTCCAAAGGCATCTTGACATCATACGCCTTTACTGGTCTGTTGTGGAATGATAGGCTTCTTGGTTGGCCTCGCCTATCGTGAATGTAAATCTTGAAACGAATTCAAATTATCGTATCCACAAGCGGCTCTACCTCAAGATCATCGTCGTTGATATATAGAATACGCTTTTAATATACGAAAAATATGCCCTGCTCTATGTGTGTCTGATAGATGATGCCTTAAGGGTTATCATAGGCTTCCACCTTAGATAAATAGAAAGACTGAAGGTAGGTAGGGAAGCGTTGGCGAGAAATTCATGTCAACTATGTTCATAGCGTCGTAATTTCGTGCCAACTCCGAGTAACGCGTATTTTCATTACCAACTTTAGTTCACGATGGGTTCGGACGGTCCTTTCGGCCCCGTGGTCAACGGCACCCAGATAGTCTTCTTCGAATATCGCCCTAACAAAACTGCGGCCTTTTCGTTTATTGCTCTTTTCGCCTTAGCAACGTTAGGTCATTTTATTTACTTCGCGCTTCGTGCCTGGTTTTTTCTTCCATTTATTTTGGGCGGGATCGGTTTGTTCTCCCATATACAATACTTGAAATTATTTTCAACTGACGTCTTTGATAGCCGAAACGTTTGGGTATTATGGCCGCGCGTGGGCTTCAGATTCACCCGATGAACTCGGCCCGTTCATCATGCAGAACTTGCTCATTCTGGCGGCACCTCCTTTCCTAGCAGCGACCATTTATATGACTCTGGGCCGGATTATTACCTCCCTCGGGGCACAGCGCCGTTCGTGGATAAAGCCGAGCTGGATAACGAAGATATACGTCCTCATCGATATCGGTTGCATCGTAACCCAACTAGGAGGTTCGGCGATTCTCGCATCTGGGGACCCATCAGCTATCAGCAAGAGCAAAACAATTCTACTCGCCGGCTTGATCACCCAGATCGTCACGTTATCATTCTTTGTGTTAAATTCGTGGCATCTATACAGCCGATGCAAGCGAGATATGTTCCTAGTTGCTGAGAAGGACCTGCGATTTAACTGGCACAATCACTTCAGGGCTATCTTGGTTGTGGCGCCGGTAATGATCGTGCGAAGTATTGTGCGGACTGTCGAGTTCCTTCAGGGTAATACGGGGTTCGTTGCCTCGCGTGAGGTTTTCATTTATGTTTTCGATGCGTTTCTTATGTTCTTTATAATGTTGGTATTTCTCATTATTCATCCTGGAAGGCTTGTTCGGGACGCCCGTCGAATTTGACGAAGCAGTCTTTGGTTGCAGGTTTTCATGTGTAGGATATATCCAAATCTATTAGCATTGCCGACGAAATAATACTCGATTTGATTTGGTAGAATATAAGTCTAAGGCTTCTCTTCCGATGGTTTTGTAGTTGTCGATAGCCCTATATAATAGAAAGGCAGGTACCTATTAAGAGGGTAGTTCTGGGTAATATGCTGTAAAATGCAGGGCACTGACAAGCCTGTATTTAACCACTAATCTGATTCCCTCAGTGGTAGAGGTAGCTATTGTGGGGTCATACTGGAAGCCCTGGAGTAATTGACTGCCTGAGGCATTAATGCTTACTTGCTTTTTAGGCCTACAAAACTTCGTTATGATTCCCGGTCAGTAGCCTAAACCTTGCACCTAGCACATACCTCCTCCTTCTCTACTCTATCCACCCCAGTACCAATATAATTATATGTTCATTGTATCTTGCGACTTAGTCTTTAGAATAACACGCCGATACGTCGTTAATTTTGGCTGCTTATTGTCTGTCACCGCAAGAATGATGTGGAAATCCAATTATTGAATAGGTAAGGTAGGTCAGCTTCTTAGCAAAATGTCCCGGCGCGAAGATGATCAAGAAGCAAACTCACATAAGCTCTATCCGCCGTCGCTTTCACAATTGCTCCCTTCTCATCCTGGGTTTCGAGAGTTACAAACTCATAGATCTGGCCGAACGGGCTTAAAGATATTTCTTGGTATGTGAACCACCGGAAAGAGAGGTCATCGTTATCTGGATCCCAACTTGAAGACGCGTCAAGTACAATCGATTCTCCGGCTTCAAACGGCACATTCATGGAATATGGTCCGCACGTTCCATTGACCACCACAACCGGTGCATGATTACCATCTTCATATACATCCGACAACGTCCAACCTATCCGCGCCGCGAAGTCATTTTGATAAGCCTCGCGCCATCTCCAGATTGATGCCTGCGCGCTAACATATGTGGCATTTTTGATTCCGATAGCAACATCTGCTGTATTGGAATACACCAGCGATTTGGCTGAAGTATCCATCGGACCGTATCGACCACCCCAACTACCCCATTCGGGATGTTCGGCATCACCCAGACCGTTTTGAACAAGAGGGAGAAAGGATGGTGTATCGCCCTCCATGATATTGGTAAAATTGGGATAATACGCGCCGAGTTGCCCAAGTCGGATGTTCCTCTGGAGCCAATCATTCATCACAAGAGACTCATCAGGTCCGCCCTGATCGAAGCGATAGTAGTTCTCGCCGGATATCCCAGTCCACGTGGCTGTGTTGTACATGCTAAAGCCATGTAACGATACAACATAGAAGAGCTTGGGATAGCGCTCGCGGACCCAGATGCCCGCGTCATCTTGATCGGATATGGCATAAACACGTAAATGAGAGACGAAAGTGCCCAATTCGGCTTCACTACGAATCTTCGACACATGGTTCAAAGCTTCCGCAAGGACGTTGACGCCTCCCCAGGCTGCTAAGTAAAGAGGATCCACAGAAGAAGCAGCATCCGCTTCGTCTATCAGGCGGATGGCCGCATCGCTCAGGTTCAGCCGAAGCGCAGTGGTGCCATATACTGGGTGTCCAGCCGTAACTTTTGCTAGTAACGTCTCCTTCGAAGGAAACTGGCTCTCTGTTGGTACGTGACTATTGAGATTGTGTACGACGTCTCCATACGCTTGCAGAATTGTGCGTGTGGTATTGGCGTTTGTAGTATTTTTAAGCCACACGGATGTTACAGCAGCGATACCTTTAATATCTATTTCGTTGCTGTAGGTAAGTAGTCGTACCAGACTCATCTGATCATCAGGTTCGTTCCCTAGGTCTATTAGAACAAACAGCCGTGGCTTCCGCAAGTATCGCGATACTCCACATTGTGAGGATGTGTCGTTTACAAAATTTCCGGTAGAAAGTGTCACCCAAGGGAGAACTGAGAGGGCCAAAGCAATCCTGAACAGCCTCATATTAGTGACAGATATTATGTATAATCGTATATAGGATCGTACAAAAGAACAGGAACCGAATACTTGAAGAAGGGTGAAGCACGTCTAATCTCGATTGTATCAATACTGAGGACTAACTAATAAACTTGTAGCGACTACGCAAGACGAAAATTCACAATTACAATACTACCTAGGTAGCTATGCTCATCCGAGGATTTTGGGTCGAGATTTGTACGATCCTATCCTTCCATACCGGGTCGGCCCCACAATACCTAGAAAAGTTGCATTGTACGAATATTTCGTATTTAGGCGCCTACGATTGGATGCTCTCCGAACTACCACATCAACACATGCGGAGAGCCGACGGAATGTACCGGCGCCATTACGGTCACGATATGCCTAGGTCTCGCGATATAAACGAGGGGTATGGATTTTCAGGAAATCCTGGCAATTACACGTCATGAATATGCCGACACCACGCTTTCAGCAATGTAGGTTGGGAATTAGTCCAGCTGTAAATTGGGGTTTTTACTAACGAGGTTGTATTTACTTGCCGGCTTCTCCAATACGACGACATAATATAGCCTTAAACGTCGTATATTTTCTCCGCTCGCCAACGAGGTACCGTATTTTTCGTAATGTTATGCTATGGGAAGATTACCTAGGTAAGGCAGGTTTACCTAGGAACTCCTAATAGCACCGAATATGCTTGTAGCTGCGCAACGTTACTTTATTCTACTCCTTCGAAAAGAAGGCAGTACTAGCTATTAGCAACGATGCTGTTAGTCAAGTAAAACTGGTTCAATCTCATGTCCCTTTGACGATTGATTAAGCGCCAATCTAGGGGATTAAAGGTACATTCCCATGGCCTATTAACTAAATGATTTGATAATACAACCAACACCTTGCTCTTCTATCCCAAGATATTCGATATCATGGACGGTCTTTGGGGCCTTATTATCGGAGTTTGGCTTCTCTATAGCCATTCTTTCCTCATTTCAGCTCAATCGCTACAGTCCCAGGCAATTTTGACAACTCGAGGGAACAGCACTGCACTTCAAAATATTGTGGAATGGGACGAATACTCTATATACGTCCGCGGAGAACGCGTAATGTTTCTCTCAGGAGAAGTTCATCCTTTTCGCCTGCCATCCCCTGGACTTTGGCTGGACGTATTTCAGAAAGTCAAGGCGATGGGCTTCACAGGAGTCTCATTCTACGTTATGTGGGGCCTGATTGAGGGCGAACCGGGCCATATCCGAGCTGAAGGCGTGTTTGCTCTTGAAGAATTCTTTCAGGCGGCATCCGAAGCTGGTATCTACTTGTTAGCACGACCCGGCCCATACATAAACGCCGAAGTATCTGGGGGTGGGTTTCCCGGATGGATCGCGCGTAGCCAGGGTGAAATACGATCGGACGACCCAGATTTCGAGAATGCAACAAAAACCTACCTCTCGTCAATCGGAAGTATCATCAGCAAAGCTCAAATTACCAACGGCGGGCCAGTGATTCTTGTCCAGCCTGAAAACGAGTATAGTTTCTGTACCGATTATACTTCCCCTGGCGGTATAAATGCATGCCTTCATAAAGGTTACATGGCTTGGGTCGAGGACGAGCTCCGGAACGCTGGGATCGTAGTACCCTTTCTGAGCAATGATGCCGTGCCATTGGGGAGTTTTGCTCCTGGATCTGGCACGGGCGCAGTTGATATCTATGGCCTCGATGACTATCCATTCCTATGGGGAGGTAGCTGTGAGTGAAATAGCAGCCCCAAATTCTACCTGTGTTAACTGACTGCAAAGGCGCAAACCCCTCAAATTGGTCTCGTGGGCAATTCCCCTTGAGCATGTTCAACTACACGACACATCTAGCTTTTAGCCCGGAAACGCCATTCGCAGTTACTGAATATCAAGGTGGAGCGCCGGATCCATGGTTAGCTTATTAACCTGACGCCATTGTATCAAATCCTTACTAACAGAAGATAGGGGTGGTGTAGGATCAGAGCAGTGTTCAGCTCTTATCAATAACGAATTCGCACGAGTCTTCAACAAAGTTCTTTATAGTATGAGAGTTTCCTTATTGAATTTCTATATGGTGAGTATAATACCCATATCCATTTAACATTACATGATCATACTCAAGAAATTTTTTTTTTAGATATTTGGTGGTACAAACTGGGGAAATCTTGGCCACCCGGATGGTTATACTTCCTACGATGTGGGTGCAGCTATTAAGGAGAACCGGCAATTGACCCGTGAGAAATATAGCGAACTGAAACTTCAAGGCAATTTTTTCCGCGTTTCTCCTTCATACTTGACGACCGTACCGGAGGATGGAAGCTTTGCCGTTTACACGAACACAAGCGAATTGGTCGTGACACTTCTGAATGGACCAGGTACTAAATATTATGTGATACGTCAGACCAATTATACCTCTCTGGGCATGATACAATATAACCTAACAGTGAACACAAGCTCGGGGAATATAACCATCCCTCAGCTTGGCGGGGCACTCAGTTTGCATGGTCGGGATTCCAAGATCGCCGTGTCAGATTATCCTGTTGGTGAGGTTAACCTGGTGTATTCCTCAGCCGAGATACTCTCTTGGAAAAAGTACCAAACGAGAACTATCCTAATCCTATATGGAGGCGCTGAGGAAAATCACGAGTTCGCAGTCCCCGCCACTTTGGGATGCCCAACCTCTAGTGAAGGAGTCAGCTTCAGATGCGAGCTTATTCAAGAGCTCGTGGTGGTTCAATGGGACGTTGAAGACTCCAGCCAGATTTTGTATTTCTCTGGCGGTTTTGAAATACACCTTCTATGGAGGAACGAGGCTTACAATTACTGGATCTTGGACCTTCCTGCACCTGATCCGATAGGGCTCTACCCTGCCCCCGTCCGCAATGACTCCGTGGACTCTTCCGTAATTGTTAAGGGCGGCTATCTCATGCGAAATGCTTCAATATTGGACGATTCTTTATATCTGGTTGGGGATATCAACACGACTACGACAATCGAGGTCATTGCTTCACCTATCACACCTAAAAGAATTTTGTTCAATGGCGAAGAAATCCAGATAACACAATTGAACCACTCTCGAATCACTGGGATAATCGACTATGTGCCGCCGACTATCGAACTACCAGATCTAACAAAACTAGAGTGGCGGTATATTGACTCTCTTCCGGAGCTAGGCCCGGGTTTTGATGATTATGGCTGGAGTGCATGTGTATCACCGACCACAAATAATACGCGAAACTTAACCACGCCATTTTCGCTATACGCTAGTGATTATGGATATCATTCTGGATCTCTATTATATCGTGGTCAGTTTATAACCACCGGTAATGAATCGGCCTTCTTCCTAGGGTCGCAAGGAGGCAGCGGTTTCGCCCACTCAGTTTGGCTTGACTCCACATTCCTAGGTTCTTGGACTGGGGGTCCTTCTTCGTCCTATAACCAAACCTTTCCATTTCCCTCTAAATTTGAAATGGGTGAGAGGCATGTACTAAATGTATTGATCGACCATATGGGGCTACATGAGAACTTCGAGGCGGATGGCCAGGGGATGCGTGAGCCTAGAGGGATACTCTACTACGGCTTGGTCGGACAGCCTGATCCCCTGGTACTTTCTTGGATCGTGACTGGAAACGTTGGGGGAGAACAGTACATTGACCACAGCAGAGGCCCTTTGAACGAGGGTGGTATATGGGCGGAGCGAAAAGGATATCATCTCCCCGGAGCTCCAACGAGTAAATGGGAAAAGCGTTCTCCTAGTCAGGGCTTGACTTCTCCCGGGGTCGGATTCTTCAGCACGGAATTCGATCTCCAAATCCCACTAGGATATGATGTTCCCATCAGTTTGAGAATTGGAAATAGTTCGTACTTAAACGCGACTCAGAATTTCCGGGTCCAGATTTTTATCAATGGTTGGCAATTTGGAAAATATGGTATGTCCTCCTTTTAATAGCCTTATAGGATCACACACTAATTATAATGCCTTTAGTCAACAACTTGGGACCTCAAAATCGCTTCGTACTCCCAGAGGGGATTCTTAATTATAACGGTACCAACTACCTTGCACTCACCCTCTGGTCCCTGGACCCATCAGGAGACACTGTCGAGGATCTCGCTCTCGAAGTCGACGGAATAATTCAGAGTGGCTATAGAAAACCGTATTTAGTAGAGGGCAGCTCTTATTCTGAAAGGGGATTTGGGTGATCTTTATTCGTGGTCACGGTTACTGAAGATGATAATAACAATTGCCCATGCGTGTAAGCCCTAGGAAAATAGCTAGACAGTTATATAAAGCCGAGCAATTAAGTGTCTTCAAATGAAATTGAATTGCGAAGCCAACTGGTTTTGCGCTGTTATTGTAAGATTTACCCCTGCCCATTTAAAAGGAAAAAAGGAGAGAAAGAATAGGATAGCATGATGGTGGTGTGCATGCTGTGTATTTTACACCGTTTTAGTGTTGTAGATACAGAGTACAAGACCGCTAAAATTGACTCAATTATAGTGACGTTTAGCACACATCTCCCTGCAATTATGGCGCTACCCCAACTACTGCCTCGTCGCCTCCGCCTACCTAGGTAGGAGGTAAATGCAATAAACTTAGGCATGATTATAGAATTCAACACGCTACAAGGTCAGCGTATTCTGCTGTATTTCCCTTATAGTCTGGGGTTACGAACCACTAAATGTAAAAGGCCTAAAGCGCCAAAGGCCAGCCGAAACATAGCAGATTATTCCTTAACTACAACACACGTATCAACTAAATGCTACCTAGCTGGGTGCGATATCACCTATTAACATCCACCAAAAGCACTCATGTGCACTGATTAAACCCGCGGTTGGGGGAACTCATCCAACACAACAGCATCACCACTTAGAGTGAATTTAATCGTGCTCTGTGTAGGAACATCGAGAAGGAGTTCATAATCCCCAGGGTATAATACCATATTTCCACTTTCGTCTACTCGGGATAAGCTCCCAAGAGTGAGTTTCAATGAAGCCTCAGCCCCTTGTCCGGGTTTAATATCACGCAAACGCGTGTAAGCAGCTAGGGTCTTCAAGGGATAAGGGCGCGGGCCATACTCGCCTGTTAGGAACGCTAGAGCGACGAAGTCAGAGGTGGTATTTCCCGCATTAGTTATCTTAATATCCACGGAAGAAAATTCGCAGAGATCTGGGTAGGCGACATTCGTGGTGTTGCACGTCTTGATAAGTTCTGCAATGTCATACGAACCCAAGGCATCATTGTCCTGGAAGCTAGCCACGAACTTGGTATAATGTAAGCCGTATCCAAAAGGTAATACAGCTTTATCATACCATCTGTATGTGCGTCCCGGGTTATTGGAGCTTGGGCGCAATGTCGTATCCGTCATAGGAACAGAGTCCACATATGAAGCCGGGTATTGTGTTACGGGAAGCCGACCAGCAGGTGCACTTTTTCCGGTGATGATGTTGAAGAGAGCTGTGCCGCCATCCTGGCCTGGAAACCCACCCCAGAGAATGGCGGAGATCTTGTTGTTGTCGAGTAGCGGGGTGTCGTCCAGCTGATCCCCTAACTGCGCTACAACTAAGGGCTTATTCAAAGCACCTAACTTTTCAATTAGGGCGAGTTGAGCATCAGGCCAGGCGATACTGTAGCGGTCGAGTTCTTCGGCCTCGACGCTATTGTCGATACCACCACAGTACACAACCACGTCAGCTTTTCTTGCAGCGGCAACGGCAGAGGTAGTCCAATTGTCAGAAGTTGAGGAATTGGGAGCGATAGGCCCATCCGCATAGTATACTTTAATACCAAGTTGTTCAGCTGCGTATAAGGGATTATGGTACCACAGGGGATATCCACTGTAACCACCCAACATACTCGCTGGTGCGTTGGCCCACATTCCGATAACCGCAACGCTCCTGTTTTGAAGGTTTAAAGGTAGTATTCCGTCATTTTTCTTTAGGACCATTGAGCCCTGGGCTGACTGCAAAGCTAAGACCAGTGCCGAAGGAGTACTGACTTCAGAGAAGTTGATATCGCGGTACGAAGATGCAGTGGCAGGGTCAAAATAGCCAACTCGGACGAGACCTTCGAACAATCGCGCTAAGGCTTTGTCAATGGTCTGTTCTGAGAGGAGCCCTTCGTCGTATGCCCCGGTTACATTTGTGACATATCCAAGTTCACAGACAGTATCGGTCCCGCGTTCGTATGCTATTGCCGCTGCGTGTGGCTTGTCACTAGCGTAGAAGTGGTTGGCCCAGATGTTCTGAGTCTCTTGTTAGTTCCCTATAATAGAGTGCTAATGTCGCTGAAAGCGAAGGGCATAGCATACCTCTATAGCACCGCAGTCGCTAGTGATATAGTTGTTGTCTTGTGTCCAACCCCAGTGTTCACGCAAAATATCGTTCATCAAGTATGAGTTTGCACATGCTGGAGTGCCGTTGACGGAATTATAAGAGCACATAATAGAGCCGACATTTGATCTTGCACATTCCTGGAAAGGAGGAAGATAATACTCAGAAAGGTCCTGAAGCCCAACGATCGCGCTGAAATTGTATCGATCAACATCGCCCCAGGCTTCAAGATCGTAGGCCGCTAAATGCTTGCATGTAGCAATCACTTTTCGGATCTTTTCGTCGTTACCCTCAAGACCCCGAACGAATGACTTGACATAACCCTTAATGCGGAAAGGGTCTTCGCCAGGTGTCTATTTGACGATATTAGCCTTGAATATTCAGGTATATCTGTGCGTTAGTCTCACTTCAGAACCCCGACCCCATCTTGGATCTTTGTAGGGGTTAATATTTGGCGTCCAGAAATCCAGACCGCCATGGCCACCGTTACTAAAAGCCCTAGCTTCAGTGCTGATTTGCTCTGCAACTTTCTCGACAAGATCATCGTCAAAAGCGGCGGATAGCAAAATGGGCATTGCGAATGAAGTCGCATACGAATATGACCCATTTTGAGTCCAGAAAACACCAGCTGAGCCACCGACGCCGTGGAGTCCTTCGGACCACCATTCGTATGGGGGAAGACCGATTCTAGGGGCTCCTGGAGTTGCACTACGTTGTGTTATGAGTTAGTCCACTGAACTCTGCTATAATGCTATGAGGCTAGGTGGGTAGTGCGGAGCTCACTCGACTAAGAGTTTCAATTTTTCAGTGATGTTTAGGGCTTTTACCACTGCTGCGGCCCTTTTAGAAGGGCTGGCTTCGGTATCACACGCCGCTGTTTCAGCGAGGATAGATTCGGTACAGTCGGGGTAGACCATCTTATTGTTATAGGACGGCGCTGCCCACACTGAAGTGGTAAGCAGGCCCGTGAGCACCGCAATCTGGTGAATTGGCTTCATCGCAATAAGTTGATCTCTACGATCTATGAGACTATGCTGATGATTACGAGTAGTTACAAGACATGACACCCGTAATATACTACTTAACGTCTACCTCGCCAAGTAAAATCCTTAGCAAATACGAAAATCCATCTTAACTGTCTATACTCTTTGACATATTCTTCAGACGTCACGTCACATCTCGCATCATGTTAACTTGATGTTACTTTTGAGCATGGCAGGGAAAACATACGAATAATCAGGTTTACTGCGATGTTAGTAGACTACGTTGCAGGGTCGGTTCGTACCTAATGCCATGTCAGGTACGAAATAAGAGATATACGAATACCTACATTAGCAACGTCGCCAACCAATCTGGATAGGATTTGGTGGGGATATATGTGATGTAACAGTAGATCGAATAGCTCGCCTGGAATGTTCTGATCCCCCGCGATCTATGCTGCCGAAAAATAGGTCGTAGATACGCGTATTGCAATACGACGACCAATACGGTGAAGGGGTCGTAATTCTGGGGGACATAGCGCTAAAATTATAGCGTGCTACAGCGGGTGCCTTCCGGAGCATATCTCATAACAAATGAGCCAATTAGATTAAGGGCCAGTTACCAATTGGGAAGTGCCTGGACTATAGTGCTATTGCTGTCTAACTGTGCACTGCAATGAGTTAATAGTTCGATAGGCCAATGATGAGATAACCTTAACTATAAATATTTTATACATGATGTTATTAAGGCGCAGTGCATTGACCGTAAGACTCACATACAGGCACTTGTGGAACCGGTAATAGGGAAGGTGATTGTTATAATGTTCTGTAAGTATAGAGAGCTTTGGGTCTATTGATGCTAAAAACTAGCGAATATGATCGGTGCTTGCAAGTGTCGGGTATCTCTATTCGTCGTGCTATCCAACCACTATAGGTACCTAGGCACAGTACTTTCAAGGAGCGACGCTCTACAACCCACCATAATTATAGCGGGGTTCCAGGCCATTTCGACGCCATATCAGTCGTTAGCGACAAGCTGTGGGTGGATAACAGCGAATTCTTATCCTCTCCGACCGAAATTCTAAACCTAAGAAAAATAACATCAATTGCTCATACCAAACCACACAATGAGCATCTAAAACGCGTACCCTTCCATCATAATTAAGCATGCTCAGTATGCTCGACATGTTCAACAGTAGCCTCAACCTTCTCCGTCATCAATTCCTTGACGCCCTTCAATAATGCAACAGCAACGATGGCTAGTACGACGAAAGGGATGACACTCGCCCAAGCTAAACGGTAGGCGTGGGCGTATTCCGACCTGCTTGCTTCGACGGCTGCAGCCCAAATCGTTGGTGTCGCATCATCAACCCCCGATCCTATATTTCCAGCATCCAGTGCCTCTATCAATGCCGGCACGCTACTCGAAGGAAGTCCCGCATTTACGGCTGCACTGCCAACTCCCGCCGCGTAGTGGCTGCTCAACCGCCCATTGATAATAGCATTGAGGACAGCGGACCCGAAAGCTCCACCGATGGCTCGTGCTGAGAAGCCAAGTCCTGTTGCCGTTGACAAAAAGGCGTGAGGCGCCGTAAACTGTATGGCAGCTACAAGAAGCATAAGAGGTCCTGCTTGACCGATTCCTGAAAGAACGTTAATTCCTAGTTGCGCGGAACTCCATGTTGGCTGGATACAAGCGTAACAGATGGTTCTGGTCTACTTATCAGTCAAATGTTCATACCAAACTCATATCATGATGAGACACTTACACGACGAGGAATATCGTAAAGGTAAAGAGCAGAGGGACTTGTAGATCCTTATATCGCGTAGCATACCAAGTAATGGGGACCGAGGCGAAGAGAACGGGCAACTGATAACTCAATTGTCGCACCGAGATATGCCAGGAGTCGCTCTCAAACCCCAAGTTAAGTGCGATCTGTGGCACAACCGAGTTAACAGCGCTGTAAAAGATCCAACCTTCCACCGCGAAACCGAAGACCGAGTAAGCAAAGTTGGCGTTCTGCCTGAAAAATACATGTGCAACTAGACCATCGGATCGACCTTTCCATTCTAGTGGTGTTTGCTGTCAGTTCATCGCCTTTTTTTCCGGGTATCGACTATTTACTCACCATAGAGACCAAACCCAACCAACAGCGCCAGACCTAGACTCAGTGGTACAGCAACATGAGGACTCGACCAAGTATAGGCCCCTCCAGCCCAGTCGAGCGCGAGAAGTAGAAGAGTCGTACTGCTAACAAATAATGTAGACCCAATCGGATCACAAGCCCATATATAATCTTTCAGTGACATTTTGGGGTATTCGATATGCTTTGGCGGCCAGTAGAAACAGAGGAGGCCCAACGTCGTGACGCCGTGGAACACAGCTTGGATCCAGAAGACTAAAATAATAGATTAACGACCGCCTCTACCGATTTATTCGACGTCCAATCAGGAGTTCAAGGGCAATGCCCGACAATTTATGGAAGGAACTTTTTAGAATGGAAAGACTCACTATACCGCCATCCGCCGGTATTGACGTTTGTGACTGCGCCGGCGCCGAGAGAGCCGATCCTAATTCCTTTAGCTTCTCGCTCAAGCAATTATTCAACGAGCATATGAACTTACAGCCCACCAACAGCTCCTCCAACAAAGGCAAAGCCGTTCGCAAGTGCACGATACTTCAGGGGTAAGATCTCGGAAGGAATGGCCTGTACGATAGATATCGTGGACAGCGTAGTTCCAATGAGTACACCACCGCCTATAAGCATGCTCATTGATGTTGCTTTGGCGGATATTACGGCTCCTACGAAGGCGATCAACGGCGGTATCGCTGCCAGGTACTTTCTATCCAACACATCAGATAGACGCCCGACTATCGGCGAAAGCACAGATTGCATGAGCAGCGGACCCTATGAATTCTCTATTAGCTTCATGACATTAGCGAGCGAGAGCAGTAGTGCCAAGTACCTGAATGACCCAGCCGGCTATTGAAGCATCTCCTAGATCACGAATGATGAAGGCTATCACAGAGCCCGCGGCCACCACGACGAATACCTGGGCTGTAACTCTGTATACTATAGTCAGCATAGAATGACGAAGACAGATCAATGCCCCCTTGAACCCACGCGAAGCAGGTAATGAATACCACAAGCTACATGATCGCCAAGTTGTCAGCGTATAGGGTTCCCCAGATATTGCCAGCTTCTCTAATTCTTACCCATGATCTCCAGCTCAAATTGACATGATAAGCTCCTTCAACTGCTTCTTGTTCTATCGGCACAATCTCAAGCTCTTCCTTGTGCCCTATTTCAGGTTTCTGATCATCCACTGAGCTCACCGCGAGCTTTTCTTCGTCTGTCGACATGATCGTGGGCGCGATACGTGATCTTTCGAAGAGAGAAGTTCACAAGATACAACAAGAGGAAAGCCGACTTCCAACATTAAAATTAATGTAGTGTTTACTGCGTCACTCGAAGTACAACCCTGTCGTCGCTCTAGATATATGCCAATGATCATCCACGCGTCTCCCATAGCGTGTAACATCGGTCCCATCAATCCATCCCAGATTCGTCCAAGTTTTGACCTTCACGTTCCAGATGTGGATATACCCACCTACCTATCACGACAACTACCCCAACTTCTTGCTATTAGAGGAATGCGGAGACCCCGGATTCTATACGGCAGTTATATATCTATAGCATCTTGATCGCTAATGAAATATTCCTGCGGGGTCGAGACCAGGGGAGTTGGGGGCTACCCTTCATTAGCACCTACTCATAACCTCGGTGTAAAGCTAGCGAGTTGCGGTAGATTATTGAAAGGGGCCGACAGAAAGGAGGTATGTCTTGATTATCTTCTCTAGCAGTTAATTGGCTGAATATATAGGATTGAAAAGATTTGCGCATGGTTTCCCGATTGACACCATTTTAACACCCATCAATAAAGGGGGTTGCCCTAAGATGCCCTCCAATAGACAGCCACTTAAATGCTTGATTTATAGATAGGTGAGTAGCTAGGCAGTTATACCGGTATAGTATCGGCGATAAAATGTTTATATAATAGCTGACTACCTACCTACCTACCTGGGATTTAGATTCACACTGAGATTTCATCTTAATTCTTATACCCTAGTCTAATATGGTGCCTGATACCAAGGTATCTCGTCAAAACGTGCTTGTACATTATGCTCTCATGGAGCCCTGAAAATGATACTAAGTTCTAGAACACAAGTCACCGAATACACATAATAGTAGGTATTCAAAGTCATGTCGGATTGTTGGGGAGACAAATACAACAAGATACAATGCACTATTCGCCGTCCGCCTTCTCCGTCTATCGTAGAGTTAAGTAAAAAACACACAGGATACTCTCCTGGCAACAAATGCAGCTCAGTTCTGCCAACCGCGCCACTTGTTTCAACAGCTGTTTTGTTGCGAACGCAGCATTACACATATACCTGACCTTGTTGACTCGCAACAGATTATACCCGTCTAGGTCCGCAAGATATCTAAATGCTGCCCCTTTCTATCTCGATGAGAGACAAGTCGCCTATAGTAGATCCCGCTTAACAAAGGCCTCCCTCATAGCTCGTCCTAGACCAGCAGGCGAGCGTTCTACCACAACACCAGCAGATTCCAAGGCCTTGATCTTGGAGTCAGCACCACCCTTACCACCAGATACGATAGCACCGGCGTGACCCATTCGTCGTCCCGGGGGCGCGCTGATACCGGCGATGAAGCTGACAACGGGCTTGCCACCGTTGACAGTGTTGTTGGCCTTGAGGAAATCAGCAGCATCTTCTTCAGCTGATCCACCAATTTCTCCAATCATGATGATACCGTCTGTCTCCTCATCTTTCAAGAAAACATTAAGGCAGTCGATGAAGTTAGTACCGCTGAAGGGGTCACCACCGATACCAACAACGAGAGACTGACCAAGGCCGGCCTGGGTGGTTTGGTTGACGGCCTCGTAGGTGAGAGTACCGGAACGAGAGACGATACCGATGCGACCGCGCTTGTGAATGAAACCGGGCATGATACCGATCTTACATTGGCCGGGAGCGATGATACCGGGGCAGTTAGGGCCGACGAGACGGGTCTTAGACTGAGACTTGAGGATATCGGTAATGCGAACCATGTCTTTAAATGACTGTTAGGAATAACCCTGGCCTAATTCTTCTAGCACCACAATCTAAGACGTACCATGCTGGGGAATACCCTCGGTAATGCAAACCACTAGAGGAATTTCGGCAGAGACGGCTTCCTCAATACCTGCGGCGGCTAGAGGGGGACTGTATATGAGCCAGATGTGATCAGCGCCTCTTGTCCTCAGAACCCCCTGCTTCAAACTAGTATTCGACACTTACGGCACAAAGATGGCAGTGGCACTTGCGCCAGTCTCCTTCACAGCTTCACCAACATTGGCGAAGACGGGAAGACCTAGATGTTCCTGGCCAGCTTTCTTGGGGTTTGTGCCTCCTACGACCTTGGTTCCTATTCATGTAACCCCATTAGATTCTTTGTTTCTCTTCGCATAAGGATATTCGTAGGCTTGGAGGTGAGGTATAAGGTGTGTTTACCATATTCGATAGCTTGTTGGGCGTGGAAACTGTGAGCATTCGACGATCAGCACAAGTCCCTTGTGTTCTTTTATAGGGTATATAGAATAATATGTCAAGGCATGCCAAGCATGTGAAAATCGAATAAATAACTCGATCCAAGTCCTTGACGGTGTAGAGTGCTGGGATAGAATCCCCTCGAGAGGATTAGGGTCGCTTACGTTCCCTGCTTTCCGGTGAAGCCCTGGAAGATAACCTTGGTGTCGGCGTTAATGCGCAAGTTATCGATCGTTTGGGAATAAGGAGAAGTCGTAGAGCTATAGGCTCGTCGAGAGAGTTGGCGCAAAACGGCGGCACCCGGCCGCAAATGTCGAGAGAAAGCTTGCATGGTTGTAGCAATTGACCTATAGGAAGCTGTCGAGAAGCTTCCAACAGATGAATAGCTTGTTAGGAGGTAAAGAAGTGGTAAGGGGTGAAAGAGTTATTTACGATGATGTAAACTCGAAAGAAAAAAAAAGAGTTCAAGCTACAACGTCTATCAAAAAGTTAATTGCACCGTTGTAATACCGCAAACTTCAAACCGACACTTACCCAGTAGTAACCCAGTAGCTGCACATGCACAGGCCACATGCGCCGTATTATGTAATGTGACGACCCTGGTAAACCTTGTATTTTACCGGGCTAGTCGGGTTAGAAACGCCGGTACATCCCGACGTTTTCTAGCACCAGCTTACCTAAGTCGTCCCTTATGTAATTCACTTGCCCATGCCTATGCAACGCGTTTCCTTTTGGACGCCTAATGTTGGCGCTAGATCCAATTAAGTAAGTACTAGGTAAACCAGCGAGCAGTTACAACGAGCTCCGAACCTTCAACTCTCAATTAGTTCGCCTCGTCGTTAAACATTCAATCTCGACGAAAAAACATACTTCCTTCGTTATCAACATCATCCATTTGTTGGTATTCCCGGGTCGCCTCACCATCGTGGGCCTACCACTCTTTCGTTAGTGTGTCGCTCGTATCTATTTAATTCGTAAAATTCTTACTTCGACGTAAACCAGCCTTATCACCAATCGCCTTACATCACCTCACACCCATCCAGGCAATAGCTTGTCAAGATGGTAAGTGGATATCATATTTACATCTAAGCTACATCTACGCGCTGCTAACATTATGCTTAGGGACAAAATCAATCTGGTATGGGTGGCCCCGGCCAAGATGGTCGAGATGAGAAGGACAAGAAGGTATGTTATCATTTATTTGGTGTTATTGCATCGCTCGCTATCTTCGTGAGCCTCTCGAATCCAGTTGCTTACCAATCTTGCTTCAACAGAAGGAGAAGCCAAAGTACGAACCACCACCTCGCCCAACCACCCGCATCGGTCGCAAGAAGAGAAAGGCTGCTGGTACTTCGGCTGCCGCCAAGCTTCCCGCAGTCTACCCGACCAGCCGATGCAAGCTTCGCCTACTTCGAATGCAACGAATCCATGACCATCTATTACTCGAAGAAGAATTTGTCGAGAACCAGGAACGTCTACGAAAAGCGAAGGCTGCCAAGGACAACACTGGCCCGGCACCCGATCTCGACGCCCCTGATCGGATGGCTGACGAGCGTGGCCGAGTCGATGACATGCGTGGTAGCCCAATGGGCGTTGGCACTCTAGAGGAAATGATTGATGACGATCACGCTATTGTTTCCAGCACAACTGGTCCCGAATACTATGTTAGCATCATGAGCTTCGTAGACAAGGATTTGCTAGAGCCAGGCGCATCCGTGTTGTTGCATCACAAGAGCGTTTCTATTGTCGGCGTTCTTACCGATGACACGGACCCAGCCGTCAATGTCATGAAACTCGACAAGGCCCCAACCGAGTCATACGCCGACATTGGTGGTTTGGAACAGCAGATCCAGGAAGTGAGAGAATCCGTCGAACTACCCTTATTACACCCCGAGCTGTACGAAGAGATGGGTATCAAGCCACCCAAGGGTGTTATCCTCTACGGTGCTCCGGGAACCGGAAAGACGCTACTGGCGAAAGCGGTCGCCAACCAAACATCTGCTACATTCTTACGTATTGTTGGAAGTGAGCTGATCCAGAAGTATCTTGGTGACGGTCCTCGACTTGTCAGACAGCTTTTCCAGGTATGTTCATGATAATATCAAAGGTAGTTATTGAATCCTATGCTAATAATAGTTCTACAGGTCGCTGCAGAGAATGCGCCCTCGATTGTGTTTATCGACGAAATCGATGCCATCGGAACGAAACGATACGATTCGACATCCGGTGGTGAGCGTGAGGTGCAACGAACCATGTTGGAGCTACTCAATCAGCTAGACGGCTTTGACGATCGTGGTGATGTCAAGGTTATCATGGCAACCAACAAGATCGAGACACTCGACCCCGCATTGATTCGACCCGGCCGAATCGATCGTAAGATCCTCTTCGAGAACCCAGACCAGAACACGAAGCGCAAGATCTTCAACCTTCACACGAGCAAGATGAGTCTCAACGAGGATGTTGACCTGGATGAGTTCATCAGCCAGAAGGATGATTTATCTGGAGCTGATATCAAGGCCATATGTTCCGAGGCTGGTTTGATGGCTCTACGTGAACGTCGTATGCGGGTGCAGATGGCCGATTTCAGGGCGGCGAGAGAGAGAGTTCTTCGTACCAAGCAAGAGGGCGAGCCCGAGGGTCTGTACTTGTAATAGTATCACGTATTGTATTCTAGGGATCATGAAGAGGAGGGAAACCACCGGTGGTGGCGGACGCGCGTCTGCGGGATACGGGATGGAAATAGATGATAATAGGAGACATTAGCTACTGTTCCCCACCGCCAAATATTCTCGTTTTCCCCTTGAGATATGGATTATTTCCATCGCTTGTCTTATTCACAACGCTATGATTATTACGCCATAACGTTTGGTTTCATTCTCATACCTTTTCCTTAGCAGTATTCGTCAAGAAAATGAAGCATAGTGCTGCATAATACCATATCCCGGATATGCCCGACTGCAGCTTCCATTGCTAGAACAAGAACTTCGCCTCAGAAGCTTCCAGGTTAGCTTAGCTTCAACGTTCCCACTAACTAAGGTGGGTAGGTGCATACCCAATCCGTTGGATATCAGGCAGGTGGGCGGCGTTGGATAAGTGTGTAACCAATTAATGTCGGTATTAGAAGCTGCGCCTATCAATATTATAGCTCAAGTGTGGCGATGACATCAGCCCATAACTTTTTCCCCCCTCCATCATTTTCTACTATTTCCATCATACAAACCGTAACGTATTATACGAAATAACACCTCGGCTACCTCTCGCTACCTAACTTCAACAGGTTTCTAATTCATATCTTGAAAACAAGCTTGTCCCAAAAAGCTATCGTCCAATAATATCCTAATCATCTAATATTCTAAGCCACATTTTACACGCGGAATCTCGATTGAGTCAGGTTCAGTCTTTTTTCCTATCGCGGTTTGCGACTTATTACTCGGCCTCATATTCGAGACTCTTCCATCTTTACTTCATACTATTTTGTTATTTTCTTACGTTTAATCTAACATAGAATATCTTGTATCTCTAAGGGATTTCCCCCTTACTTATAACCCGAACACAGCTTCACCCAAACTAGCTCCAGAAGCTATTCAACTCTTCATATTCAGGCAAATCGGTATCAGTAGCAATGAGCGCACACCCAAGCCACTCGCCTCTCCCAGGCGACAATCCCAATTATTACGCCGAACTCTCCGGCGAATCGGCCCCATCGCATCCACCTCAGGCTAATCAAAATCAACATGCTCAATATCCTCCACCTCCGGGTCCTCCGCCGTCTTCCGGCAATGATTCTCAATACTACCCTCCTCCTCCACCCGGTCCCCCTCCCACAAACCAAACCTACGACCAATATCCCCCTCCTCCAGGTCCGCCACCAGCCAACACCGACCAGCAATACTTTCCACCTCCTCCGCCAGGTCCTCCTCCAAATGACCCGAACTATCTCCCCCCACCGAGCTACGAAGAGTCTGGAGGTGGGGCCGGTGTTGTTGCGACCGACGAAAAGCTACCGGCTCTTCCACCGCGCCCCGTCTCTGCGCAAGGAGGACAGTCAGTACCGCAGTTTGCACCTCCTCCCACAGAAGCCTCAGTGCCGTATGCGGCAGCGGATCAACATGCTCAACAACATCCGCCCACAACGAGCGCGGCGCCACCATCACCTTCCTCGTCGAAATCTGGTTTCGGTCGTAAATTGTACGAATGGGGCATCAAGGCCGGTGTCCCGATTAACAAGTTAACGAACAAGCTCGGATCAGAGGCTTTTTGGCCCACTACTATGGACAAGGAATGCGACAAGGCAGCAAGAATTCTAAAGAGTTTCTGTAGTACGTTTCTTACCACCCTTTTCTAAGCCGTATATAAGAGAAGAGAGCTAATATTCATCTTATTTTCAGAGGATGGTTTCTACGCGACAACATCATCCACTCCTTCATCGAGTCGTCCGAGCTCCTCTTCGTCATCTTCTGGACCGAGTGGCAAGTCCAAGGCACTCGTCAAAATCCCACAGCCTGTTATCGCCAATGCTAAAGGTCTTGCCATTTTCACAACGTTCCGGACCGGGTTCCACATATCCGGCGCCGGCGGCTCTGGGCTCGTGGTTGCACGGTTGCCAGATGGCCGCTGGTCGCCACCTGCAGGTTTCCTCGTTCACACATTAGGCGCGGGAGTTATGGCCGGACTCGATATCTACGATTGCATCTGCGTACTTAACACGCCCGCAGCCGTTGATGCATTTGCGCGCCCACGCCTAAGCTTGGGCGGGGAAGTCGCAGTTGCGGCTGGACCTATCGGGGCAGGCACGGGAGTTGAAGCCGCATTGGGAAAGAGCGGCAAACCTGTTTGGAGCTACATGAAGACACGCGGTCTATATGGTGGCGTACAAGTCGACGGCACAGTCGTCGTACAGCGACCGGATGCTAACGCCGCATTCTATGGCGTTGACAAGATTAGCGTGGATAAGATATTAAAGGGTGAAGTTCCAGACAACAGCGGTAGACCCAAGCCCAACTCCGGCACCGAAAAGCCTAGCGGCAAGAAAGAAGAAGCAATCGTACTATGGCCCGAAGGCGCAAGACAGTTATCCGAGGTGTTGAAAGCGGCCGAGGGCAAAGGCGCAGATGAAGGTGTTATGAAGGAACTTGGCAATCAACCTACTCCAGGCGATTTAGCGCCCCCACCGGACCAACAGCAACAACAGCAAGGACAATATTTAAATCCCAATCCAGGTGATGAGAAAGGTCATGTGAGATTTGGTTGAGTTGATGAGGTTTTAGGTTATAAACAGAGATAGGAGGTGACGATAATGAGTAGAATGAGTAATAACGTACTTAGACATTGAGCAGTTAGATTACGAGGCTTTAAAAATACGTTGAGATAATTGCATCTTATACCATAGTTGTTTTCCGTGGTGAGGGGATTCTAAGAAACCAACAATATGATTGACCCCATTTATAATCGAAAGGTTGTGGATAAATCGCGTACCTTACAGATTTCATTTTTGTGATTATACAAGAGATATCACTTGAATTATTAAAAGTTATTAGCTGCCGATATAGAATGTTCACCGGATGTTCATCTTAGGCTAGCTCGGATTTGGAGTCCGTCCCTCGGAGATGGACGATACCTTTTATAAGGCCAGTAGTCCGGATTTCTACTGTGGCTTCCGCCTACATTACTATCTTCCTGAGATTAGGTTCCTAAGTATGCTTCATTTCAACACGATAAAAGATTTCGATTTTGAACGAAAATTTCAGTTTCCTGGACGATGAATGTCGAGTTCGCTGTGGAGGGGTCTCCAACGATGGCTCCAATTGACCTTTTAATCGGTCGGCCGACGCCGCGTCTACAAGCAGCAGATAAACTAGCTGTCGCATCCCAAAAAGTCTTATTAAAACCTGAAAAATCTGATTGGGCTTTGACATACGGACCCGATCATGGCGAAGATGATATTCGCGATCATGTTGGTGCTTGGCTCACTCAAAAGTACAAGTCCGCCTCCAGCCCCATTACTCGGGATCGCGTTATCATCACCAACGGGGCGTCCGGAGCACTTATTGCGATACTGCAGAAGTTTACCGACCCATTATATACACGCCGTATGTTCCTTGTGGAACCTACCTATTTTCTTGCACTTCAATCTTTTCTAGACGCCGGTTTGGGTCCAAAGATGCAAGGTGTCCCCGAGGATGATGAAGGGATCGATCTAGAGTTCTTACAAGCTCGAATAGACGAAGAAGAAAGGAAACACGCCGATAATACCCCAGGAGTCGACGTCCCTTCAACGAAACTCGAAAGTCACGGATATAGGAAGCTTTACAAGTATGCGTTATACGTGGTTCCCACATTGTCAAATCCTAGCGGCAAGACAATGTCGTTACACCACCGTAAAGCCTTGGTCGAGCTGGCTCGCAAGTACGATATTCTTCTTATCGCAGATGATGTCTACGACTTTCTTGCCTGGCCGGCGGATGACACTATTCCACACAAAGACTTGGAATTACCACCAAGGTTAATTGATATCGACAGACAGACGCCTGGAATCAGTGAATGGGGCAACACTGTGAGCAATGGGTCATTCTCAAAGTTGGCTGCCCCTGGCCTTCGAGCTGGATGGTGTGAAGCAGCACCCAACTTCATCTACGATTTATCTACAACGTAAGTGCAATTATCTTTCCCCAATTGCGCCATAGACATTCTTACCTAATGACTTGTGTTTTAGAGGAGCGACGCATTCTGGTGGTTGTCAATCACAATACACTTCTTACTTACTTGACGACATGTTAGTTTCTGGTGTTCTAGAAGACCATGTGCAAAACACCTTGATCCCAATATATCGAAAAAGGTATAATGCTCTTGTAGATGCAATCAAGACCTACCTCTATCCACTTGGAATCAAGATATCAACTGGAAACCCTTACGAAATTCGAGCTAAAGACGATAAGGACAGCGATGTTCGTACTCAATTAGCTGGTGGTTTTTTCTTATATATAGACTACCCATACGATGAGGCCTTTCCCACAGCTGCCGATGTCATCCGTATTGGTCGCGACGAGTTTTCCCTAAGGATCGCATCGGGAGAACTTTTCACGGTGAAAGGGGATCCTGAAAGTCTCAAGAGAGCGCATGTCACTTTCAATCGGGGGACTAGACTTTGCTGGGCGTGGAACGAAGAACAAGTTCTGGTTGAGGCCATTCAGAGGTTAGCAAAAACGATCGAGCGCGCAAAAGAATGACATGTGGGATCATCTAAGAAAGGGGTTGAAATTAGAAGAGACAATTCTGTAATACCGAGCACAAGCTGTTGGACAGGGATAATAAAAGGAAAAGGAGGATCGGGTAGATATACGAAGAGGCGTTCTTCTGTCTTACTTGCGAGGTTTCTCATCGGAGTACCGAGACATTCCGCAGCTGACGGCATTGAGTACACCACATTAGCTTGTTAAACAGCATCGGAATGTTGAATTCCTGGATCCTGGAAAACCAATGGAATTACATAGTAGCGGTCAAGGGTAGCTTAATCCGGGGAAATATGAAACAAGCATCATTGCGCCCCGCATACATTCCCGTCTTTCCTCCGCCAACCAATGCTTCGGGGTATTTGATCATGAGGTCGATCATCGAAGCAAGGATATTCATCACAGGTACAACTCCAAGATTGGTTCAAGATGCATATTGGAGACCCAGTCTGCGTCATCGTACCACGTCGTGACCATACCTTCGTATATGTGTGACTTGATTAAAATAGGAATCTCCATTGTCTTTGACTTATAAATAAACTTAGCCGAGTGTACAGGTACGCAGCTACAGGATATTCTCTCCACGCCTTCATGAAATAAAGTTCAGCGAGAATGCGCAGCCAATTCACAACTACGAGCGCGCTTTTTGTCTTCGATCTCCTCGCGGGGGTCACGGCTCTCCCAGGATGGCCGGGAGGCGGGACGTTGGTTAATGGTAACGCCGTACAATTCGACCGGGAAACATGGGAACGGAATCTTGCACAACCAAATGCAACCGGAACTTTCTCGGTGATTGGATATGACATATCCCAGAAGTGGCCGAGTTCACAGGTCGATGGTTGGACATTGTCCGTGAACGTCAGCAGCGATGTACCTGATTCTCAGACGCTCAATCCAAACAACGCCACCGGTAAGACGTTCACTGGTACCAGCATCTTCCTCAAGGCTCCGGATAGCATTCAATCAGCTTTCACAAACCAATCGGCCTTAGATGAAACCACTTGGAAGATATGTGTAGCAGTGATCCCCAATGCTCCACAGGAGGATTCGTCGACTAAGGATAACGGAACGTGCGGATACCTTTCGTCGCAATGCATCACGGACTTACAGCAGGCTTATGCGAAGAAGTTCCCCGGGAGCGAGGATTGCTATGGAACTCCGCCATCAACACCATCGAGTTGTGGAAGTTCGGTCAACACCGCTAATTTCCAAGTGCAACGTAAGTAGCCATTAGTTTCATTATCTTGTCGCAATTGAAGGATGTACTTACAATACATATAGAACTTCCTCTTAACTCCGTCAATGGAACGGAAGTATATGTCACAGCTTCGGACAGTCATGATGCTGGGGACCAAACGGCTTGGAATAACGCCATCAAGCAAGCCTGGCCAGTGTTGACGCTTTGGGGATACAACACGCGCGCTAAAGCCCCAGATGGCACTTTGCCACAAGTTCAGCTCTCGTGTATTCGGGCAGATAATGTTGCCGCCGGGAGTGAAAAACCCTCTTCAGGATCTAGGTATTACGGTTCGGCAATGTTTGCTATTGGTGTCACTAGTTTCGTCGCATTATATGGTTCATTTTAAGCGATACGGAGTGTTAAATCGAGTAATAAGATTCGAGGCTCGGTGTAAGATGATATGTCCGAACGGTGCCGGGCTTACGGCGTTCTGTAGGTTTCCTATTAGTTATGATCACGTATCTTAGTTCTAGTTTTAGTTATAATGAACGGCGTACCTCTAATAATGCCTTAGGACAACGGGAGCTCTGATAGTTATAAAGCTTTGAGGGCGCGCTGTTTCCTTTCGATGGGAATTTCGGCGTAGCAAGCCCCCTTCTATTTCTAACGATAGTACGAAAATGTCTCAAAAGCCGGCTATTATCATCGCCCAGGGCTCGTGGGTGGACTCCGCTAGGTACAACCCATTGATAGAAAAGCTTCGTGCGGTAGGATACACAGCTGAACACGTCAAGTTGCCTTCGATAGGTAGCACCGTAACTCCACTCCCTGGCTTACCGGACGATATTGCTGCGATTCGAAGTGTCCTATCTCGTTTCAGGGATGATGGAAAGAAAGTGCTCATTTTGTGTCACTCTTCGGGTGGAGTTTCTGGTAGCAATGCCGTTGCTGGATTCGATAACGTCAGTGGCGTTATTTATATGACGGCGTTTATGCTTCCCCGCGGGAAATCTCTAGCTCGATTAAACGATAGCGAACCTCCACCATGGATGGATGTTCAAGTTAGTTTAACATTTCCATATATCCGTCATATTCATGTTGTGTTAATTTATTAAAATCAGGGAGATCGGATATTTCTCCGTCAGGAGATGTTGGCGAGTGTCGCCTACCACGACCTCGACGAAGAAAGCCAATCGGCAATGGCTCAAAACGTTTCGTATACTTCAGCCGTTCTTTTCGAAGGAGAATCGGAATACGAGCCTTGGTCTGAAGGCATACCTTGCGGATATATCTTCTGCTCAGAAGATAAAATATTGCCTCCGCAAATCCAGCAAGACATGGCAGCACAGTTAGGGCCTGAACCCGTTACTACGACATTGAAATCCGGCCATTCTCCATTCCTAAGTGTGCCAGATGAGCTTGTTGCAGCTATAACGAAAATGGAAGAAATATTGAGTCAAAAGTTGGTAGTTTAAATTGTAGGTGGTCTTACTGAACCTAAAGAGTCCACAAACGAGAGCTCGGTTTGGTTTCGAGTTTGTATTGGCGTTCCCGAAAAGCTGTGGTGGATGGAAAGCCTTGCAGGGTGGTTACAACGTGTCTGCCAAGCTTGCTGGCGGCACCTCCTTCGGTGTTCTCTTTTGATTATTATTATTAAGAATAGGTTGATACGACTTTACGAACACTCGGCCACAATAAGCAGCAGGTGCAGAAACGAATCTAGGCTGTAATATTATAGTAAACCTCCATACTCAGCTTACCAATCCATATGGTTTAAACGGAAATCGTTCACTACGGCCGACGGTTATAATCAGCAAATAGTTGGAAGTCCGTCGGCCGTAACTCCGGTCGAAGCACGATACGCCGTACGTTGTATTAATAGTCGAACCCGCAAATTCCTTATTCGTAGTTGATCGTCGCCCTAATTTACACGTGTAGGTCCCCTTGCAATAGATATAGTATTAATTAGGTAATGATATAGCAGAAGTTGATCTCCAGAAGTTAAACCCGAAGACTCCCGACCTTGCCAACATATCGCTTAGAAACCCATGTATCAAGAGTTTACCTTAATTTGCCGAGTTTTGTCCAACCCCCAACTCCTTTGAAGTGAAGTCCACAAGAATTAATGATTGCAATAGGCTATCTGCGGCTGAAACAAACCAACGAATAAGGAATCTATACTATTGATGGAATAGCTTCAGTGGCGATGCATGTTTGAACTTACCTATACTACCTAGATATTCTGCACCACGTTTCGAGACATATGTGGAGTACCATAGACGTGGGACCCGAAATGTGTCTGCCTAAATTTTCTGGATACAGCATCCATCGATATATACCTACCTACATTAGGTAGGTAGGTACCTTAAGTACATTGGTACGTAGATATGTTGTCGAGGCATAGCAATGAGTATAGTTATTTGAAGTTCTCGAGGTTGTCTGTCGAGGTTGTATAGAAACTCAGCGGCTTAGGAACCATGTATTCACACAACGTCCGAACAGCTTTGATTCCGATTGCCTTTCTTTGGTTGATCATTCTATATTGCAATTGCTATTCAGCCGTATTGACATCACCTATTCACCTTTCTCGACCCACTGCTCCCGCTTGCCCGAAATCAAGATCACAGACCGATATTCTCGTAGTTATCCGAACCGACTCGACCGAGGCCCACAGGAAACTACCAACTCTCTTCAATACTGTTCTTAAATGCATCCCAGACTATGTGATTTACTCAGATGTGGAAGAGGAGATAGAAGGCCACCATGTACACGACATCTTAGATCAAGTCGACGATGCGCTAAAGAACACAATACAGGAAGTTGACCAATACAACCAACTTCACATAAGAACGAGAGAAGAATCAAAGTCATTGAAAAGCGGACCAGAGAGAGTGGCCGAAGATCAACACCAGGGACCCAACACGTGGAAATTCATTCCAATGATCGACCGAGCCGCTAAGCATAGACCAGATGCGAAGTGGTTTATCTTCATCGAGGCGGATACATACATATTATGGCAGAACTTGTTGGACTACTTATCCAAGTTTGACGCAGAACGACCTTATTATCTTGGGAGCCATATGCATATTGGCGATGTTCTCTTTGCTCACGGAGGGCCAGCATTTGCATTAAGTAACCCTGCGATAAAGAAGATATCCAAGTACTGGAGAGGGCATCACAAAGAATGGCATCGATATACTAAGGAGCAATGGGCAGGGGAGTGGATAGGGGATATGATCGCAGGAAAAGCACTGAAAGAGGAGGGAATAGACTTGGTCTGGACGTTTCCATATTTGCAAGGAGATAACCTTGCCACATTTGAGTGGAACACATTAAAATCAGACCAGCGACCACAATGCTCCGCGCCGTTGACCTTCCACCGTATGTCCGGTGCGGAATTTTCCAAAATGTGGCAATTTGAACAAGAGAGACTTCGTAGGGATCACGCCGAGGACCTTCTCCACTATCGCGACATCTTCAAGCGTTTGGTATACCCCGAGATTCAAGCCAGGCGCAGAAGCTGGGACAATCTATCATTTGGAACAGAATATAGCGACGTGTCTTTCAAGAGATTTTCAGACGGAAAAAGAATCGGTCTTTCCCCTGAAGAACGAATAGCTCAATTCTCCTTTGAGAACTGCCAAATTGCGTGCGACAGCATACCGACGTGCATTCAATTCTCCTTCTCCCCGGGGAAGTGCATGGTCTCCGACGAGTTGCGGTTAGGATACTCCGAAGATCCCAGACCAGGAGCGGTGGACGACAACGCGGACTCAGGAACTCCGGGTGCCATCCAATCCGGCTGGATTATGAGAAGGGTTGCCTCTTACATGCAAGAACTGGACCGATCGTGCGACGGTGAGAAAGGTAACCACTAGATCACCTAAGAAGAGAGTAACAGGTAAGCATCGAATCATGTAATTCATTTGTGTTAAGCAAAGTCACCTACTAACTGCACGACTACAATTTTCAGACTAAATTGACTTGAAAAGTCGCACCCGCCGCCCGAATCCTATCCAGAAGATCATCGCCTAGAAACGCCGGGGTAAGACAACCGCCCGCGACATCGTTCTCCAAGCGTCTATGATAAAGCAACGACGCAGCTCCCTCGGCCAAGAAAAGCGCAGTGACGAAATATGCACCAGAGGGATACGAAAAACTTCCATACGCGCGAGGAGGTTCGTTATCGTCGCCATACGTATCGGCAATAGCTACGGCTTCGAACTTCACCCGGTCATGTCGCGTCTTCTCGATGTCGGGTCCATCGCCGGGAGCTGGGAGGAATAACTTCGCGATACGCCGGAGCGGGCCAACTTCAAGAAAAGCGCTTAGAAGCGCGGTTTCTAGCATGCTTAATAGCCCCGCGATGGTAGACGAGACTTTATTGTACTCGTTATACTGGAAATTTGGACCATAGTCCTGGCTGGTACCTTGCAGCAGACCCCAGGTCCTATGCACCAATGCCTGGTTTTGGATGGCGCTAATTGATGATGCGGCCAACAGACCAAGGACGGGGTCACGGCGTATGCCTAGGGCGTTTGTTGGAGTTGAAAGTTGCGTTCCCTTGATTGGGGATAATGCCCAGGGTTGTTTTGACTCTTGAACAGCCTGGGGGTCGAAGCTACTTCCAGCCATCATTGTCGCAACGGTTCCCCCACTAGGGGAGAGACTACATCGTCTTTATTAGCGACCACAGCGATATATGTAATTGAATACCTACTTACGCAAGACTTGTGTTAGATAAAATCACTTCCTTCGTTGTTCTTGATGTCTTCTGGGCTAATTCCCGCGCTGTCGCCCATGCGAGAAGGTCTTGCGGTGCAGTAAACGCTCCACAGACGTGGATAAGCTGTTGAGACCGATTAATCAAATGGTCGCTTCCTAGATTCGAGGCGAAGTATACTCACAGCAACTCCAGCGTTTACAGCTGCCTCATGATACTTCTCGATGAATGTTTGGAGGAGTGGTATGTCTCCTGCCCTAAACACGGATTAGTAGGATGGACAACTGAATATGAATACCTAGGTAGACTTACACATCAATATAATCCGTGCCATTCGCAATACAAGACTTTACTACCACTTCTCCGACTTGCCAGTACAACACGACACTAATGCAGACCTTGGTATCTTTGATAATTGAATCGACTTGACTACGATCATCCAGAGAAATCACCTCGATTTCTTTGCACCCATCTCAAGTTAGCTTGATTCAATACTGCGAATGGACTTCAACGAGTCAACTCACCAGGTTGCAAGCGCTCCGGCTCCAAGTCCCTCAGCCTCTTGGCAAGAGTTTCCAACTTAGATCTGGATCTACCAGCAATGGCCCATTTCAGACCGGTCGGAAAGTGTTGGACAATATATTCCGCCGTCAGTGACCCCGTGTATCCATAGGCTCCGAGAAGTAGGGTATCATATTTTCTTGGCTTTCTTCGTTCTTCCACTGTCGCTCCCATGGTATCTTTCTTGCCAGGCGGGTCTGAATCATCTAATGCGTAGTCGATCCTATCTTTATTAGCGGGTATTGGTCTATTTAATAGTTCTTCTAGCGGCGGGCTACATGATGCCGCGCCGGGCTAATGGTTACGTGTTGTGTTATGTTCAAACTTGTCGTCTATGGTTATCCCGTTCTGTTTTAATCCATGCGAGTATTGGATTGGAACGTTAGAATTATTTATACTACGATCCATCGAATTACTGATTTCTGGCTGCTGAGGATGAGCTCTAAGTCATTAACAATGACGTGATAGCTGGGGTAGACAGTGGCCTAGTTACTGGGCTTTTTCAGGTATGTCGGCTTGGTTAGTGAATTGCTTCAGCAGTCCGAATACCGCCAAATCCATTAAAAGGGTCGCTGTAATATGAATTCCTGGGTACTACAACACTGGCCTCAAATTTCCTAGGGTGCTGCGAAAAGTCTCCGAGAAGTCTCCGACGTAGATTCGTCGATCGCGAAGGACGTTAAAGTAATTATAAATCAACAAGTAGGATCAGTAAAGGATCAATTATCTTAATCTACAATGGTACAATGGAACCTATACGAATAATCGTATTCAAGGTTCGCGTAGAGTCGATGCGACAATATCGAATGCTTCGTATAAAGCTGGCATGGTAAAGATACCTAGAATCCGTTAGTATGCGAGGGTACAGGCGACAATGTTTATGTCTTCAATTCACCTTAGATACAACCGAAGACATAAATGTCGGTTGGTAGCCAATGTATTTTTGCATTGGGGCGAAAATTAATATCCTACCCATTCTCCGACAGTTAAATAGTCGTGGTCTTGTAAGTGCGTAAATCGAACATAGAATGGATGCTACTATCGCGGTACTCATACAGGCGATCAGGTAAGGTCGGCTTCCCTCTGTCGTCTCTGTAGAATGGCCTTGATGCAGTCCACGTTATCTACCCCGATCGCATTCCGCTGCTCGTCCTTGATTTTCCATACATCCATAATATCCTGTTTAATCCGGCGAAGCGAAGGAAGGTGGCGAGCTTCATACATAGCATCAATCCTGTCCCGCACAAACTGGCGTTGATCGGGGTCAATCGTTTCGCAGCCAGATGTCCAGAGAGGCCAAACTTGAGCGGATACGAGAGGCGAGCTAACCGGGACGGAATCGAGATGGCTGAGACAGCTACGCACATGTTTCAGCGCTATAGGATGTGGCGCACCTTGGTTATACCACACTCGGTAGAGGTATACGAATGCAGCATGTTTGTAGGCCTGTACCGTAAGCCCCGCATCCCCTATTGTACCGTCACTCTCGTCCAGCGTATTGAGTATCTCCTCGACGGCGCGGCCACTCGCATCAAGTTCTTCACCAACTTGACTCCGCATTCTACTGATTTGCCCTACGATTCGTAGGACGGAGGTAAGCTCTCTCATAGATTCTATACCCTCAATGGGAAACCTGCCGTCAAATTCGAATACCGGACTTGTACCTCGAGAAACGGAGGTCAGAACGTCATAATAAGAGAATAGGCTGAGAAGAAATGAGGCGTTCGAGCTATTTCGCCCATTCACCCCTCCCTGGCTGATGAGCGCCTTTGCCCCCGATAAATGGTCAACTCCGGTATCCATGATGAAGAGCCGGTCGGAAACCTGCAGCATTAAGATAGCTGCAAGTGATAACTCCGGGCTATCAATCTGAATTGTCTGTCGCAATGAGGAGACAGCGATAAGTCGATGACGAGTCGCTAAGGTATGAAGCGAATCATCGTTTTTCAATATCGCTAAGTGGCAAGCTGCTATGGAACACAGAATAGATCGAAGGGCTATCGAATGCGATGTCATCGGGCTAAGATGAATAAGAAATGGATTTCGAGGGGCCGATACCATGGAGACCATCGTTGCCAATGTCGTTGACCAATGATTAAGCAGATAACGATCCAGTGGACGAACATCGTTTGGTATTATGCATGACGGGTCCGGCTTTATAACTTGGCGGGAAGGGTCAGGGACGATAGTCTCATCGTCGGGAGAACGTCTTTGATGTCGTTTGTTTTTGGTCAGCTTTGATTTGGATAACCCTTCGGGGGTTTGCCACTTGAGTCTAACTCCATAACCCTTACATGCCTTATTAAGTCGAATGCATCTACCACAAAACGGCTTTTTCTCGTCGCACTTGTATCCATCCTCTCTACAAGTAAAGCAGCCCGTCCTTGTTCTAGAGAATGGCATGTTATGATGAGGGTTGATAGATCATGGAATAAAAGATGAATAGAGAGATACATCTGACTACCTATCTAGGTAGGTAGATTTGAACGTGGGGCGGACGTATTAGTCAGCTATTCTAGAACCTCAACCCTTGACACTCATACAATTTTTATTTCTTCCTCTCAATCAACCTACTCCGAATCCAATGCTACTCCCTCACTCATTTCGCTGGTCGTTATCTTCTCGCGCATCCTATTCCATCCATTTATGCCCCTTGGTAGATTCTTTGGGTGGCCACAGCATCTCTGAATATCATTATTATGACCGTTGTCGCAGAAACCGCGTGATTGGTCGCAGAGGCACACTGGGCAGATTGACCAATTTTTTCTCCCAATTTCCATAAATTCTTTCACAAAGGCGTGAAGTTTATGGTCTTGGGGTAGTAACTCACTTGCTATATCCCGTGCCTTCTCCAGTAATTCCCTAGCAGTATCCTTCCTTCCTCGTGAGATATAGTGTCTCGAATGGTCGATAAGATAAGATATCTCCCAAGTAGACCGAGGGTTTGAACCTTCAACCTCGCTCTTGAAGTGATTATACCACCACTCGGCCTCTTCAAATTGACCCAGATAGCCATAATAAAATCCCATCCCCATGTCAATGACCCACGCATTGTATAAATCAAGGGTGTTCGACCAGTGAGGATCTTCTAATTCCTTCTCGAAATCCTGAAGACATTTTATTAGTTTTGTATCTTGGTGGGTGTTCTGATAAAAATAGCGGAGACGCGTTAAGGTAACAATATAGTTCGGACTCAAACGATATTCTAAGACGTCCGTTCGAAGGATATCGAGAAGCAGATTTTCCGCCTGTTGTGAATATTGCTGTGCGAAAAGCCGTCCTTCTCTTGGGCCAATGTATAAAATCACAAGATCCATCTTATAAAATACCAAGTCATAAGGCGAATCCGCGTCACTCGCTTGGGAAACCAGGTTGAGAAATTCCTTTTCCGCCTCATCGAAATCCCCCTGATACTGTAAGACTAGAGCGACGCGTCTTACAAGATCCTTTGTAGCGTGAAATACAACATTGGGATCATCTGCAGCCATAGTTGAGAGCAACCCTTGCCTGGCATTGGTGAGCATATGATAGGCTTGGTAAACTTCGCCCGCATCCATGTACGCTTGGCCAAGTCGCGCAAGGCTTCTCCATGTCCTTTTATCCCCTTCACCTAGAAGATTTATATGGGCGTGGTAGGATCTGTGGAGTTTCTCGATGGCAGTAGCTTGGTCGTCGTTCTCCGATGCAACGTTAACAAAATCTATCAATGTCGCAACCGTTTTAACGTGGACTGGTCTTAACAAGGCTCCAAGACCATCTATAGCCTCTATGAATGCAGGTCGAGCTTTTACATAATCATTGTCTCGTGCATATGACGCGGCTTCTTGAGCCAATGCGAGGAAGTAATTGGAATCATGCCCTTCCCAAAACGCCGGTATCATTGGACCAAACTCTATTGATCCAATGCTGGGTGTCGCAGTTCTTGACCTTGGCAGCTCTTCTTGATACAAAACTTGTGGCGTATACAGAGTAGCCGCTATTGGAATAGACGGTCTGTAAGTGTTGTATGAGATACCGGATGGAGTGCCTATTGTACCATTAGCATTGGATTTACTCAAACTCTTGCTAGAGTAGGCAAACTAACTTCCAGTTGGCGATGGAGGGTCATGAGGTGGATTTTGTAAGTGACGCCTGACTTTATCCATAGGAACCGGTTGTTTATTATTGGTGAACTGGGTTTCTTTGTGCTCCTCGAGTTGGCGCCTGCGTGTCTTTTTTTGAATGAATTTTACTTCGCGTGGCTTGAGATTCTTGCTTAGGCCCCATTCCCCCAATTTCTTTTTCCATTGTTGAGTACTATTGATTCGGTCAGTCTTCAGCCACATTAACTCCAGTCACTTTTTTCATACCTTGCGAGGAAGCCGTGTTCAATTGACATCAATTCTCGAAGCTCTTTGAGTGTCTTGGAAGAATGTTGCGTTTCAATTACTTGGCGGTGTGTCTCCCACTCCGTTCGACCGATTCGTCTAGGTTGATCAGGTTCAATCCTGACTTCTTGAGAAATAGTTACAGATTCAGGATTATTGATCAACGTAAGGTCGTGGACATCCATCGACTGGACTGGCAGGGTTTGGTCAAGGACTTCCTCTAAGATTCTCGGTGTGCTGGCATTGGCTTCGTCAATCGGAGGGCGTCCAAACTCCCAATCCGGGGCAAGGCTAGCTTGTGTCCCAAGCTGGAACTCTATAGTATCGAGCATTTCCACATCCATGGTTAAAAGGCTTAGTAGTGATCAAGAAGTCCCATATAAGTCTAGCAATATGATTAGGTGTCTCTAGGAATGAAAAAGGAAGATGTGAAAACCAAGTTTCCAGGGTTGAGAGCCGCGAGGAATATAATTAGGAGCATATTACGCCCGGAAACATTTGGGAACCTTTGTTTTCTGTAGGGTGGTTGCACTGCATTATACTCTACCAATAAGGCAAGACGCATCATCAGCCATTTCCATAACTTGCATACATACCTAAGTATCTTTGTTTATTTATTGGTTGGGATTCCTAAAGATCAGCGGCAACCTTTCGTTAATGAGCAGAAATAAGCCCCATCCCAAAGGTTCCCAAAATATCCATAAAGAATTCATAGGTACCTGGATACCTACCAGGTACCTACGGTATGTCTCCACCTGTAATAATATCTAGCCTTACAGGATCTATACATATTTCCAAGTTTTACGTACCTACCCAAGCGGATAGGAAATTGTTAAACACACGCGCATATACATGTAGGTACCTAGGTACCTATGGAAGCTATGCAGTACCGCGTCTCGACAAACATTAGATTGGTGATACTAGATCTCAAAGGTTCCTAAACGTTTCCAGAGGTTCGCAAAGGTTCAGTTCAGTCGTATTATGGACAGAAGAACGAAACTCGGTGGACTTTACGCCTAGCTATCACGCATTGAAGGAAATGTATATAAATACTAATGAATATCATGGCGTTCAACATTCCAAGGCCGCTTCAAGGGAATTTATATCATCATTGAAACCATTCCGTCCATCACCCATATAATAAAAAGCCCAAATTCGCTTTAAAAGACCTACGATGTCGTCGCCAAGTGGTCCTCAAGGTCCCTCTACTCGAGACGCCAAGGATGGTGATAAGAAACAGGTATGGATATCATCAAGTCGAGGAAAACGTCGTATTCCCTAACAGAAGACTTCCTTTAGGAAGCTCAGGGTATGATGGTCCCTTCTCGCCACGTTACGGTTCCCCGTCCTTCATATGAAAAAGGAGAAACCGTTGGCACTCTTAAGGACCTTAAGAAGCATGATGGACACGACAACGACACGCAAAACATCATGCTTCAGCGTTGGCTCCAGGAGAGCATGGATGATGAGCCGTACAATACCATCAACTCGGTGTCAGTCGGCTCTGGTCATTCTCAGAACCCGTCAGACAAGAAGGACTAAGTAATGTCCATGCGGCTGGATGATATGTTAACTTGGCTCTTATTGGAGGGCCGCGCATGTCTTTTTAGATGAACTTGTTATGGTTTACCGTTGGTTATGTATTGAAAGCAAGGAATCGGTTTTCGTAGGGTCGGATATGCTACATTCGTTTAACTACGGAGGGATTATGTTCATGGGTAATAACCTTTCATTATCTATTATCAGGGCGATCGTTTTGGTGAGGATAGACGTAGAGAATTTAGGAATTATGAATACCTAGTTTTGAATTGATTTTGTCCCGACCCCCTAAAGGATTCGGCGGAAAGCGGGGCAGCTCGGAGACCGGCTGTACCCGGCGATTTCCGCTATATTTCCAGCGCTAAAACAGCCAGTCACTTACTGCTACCTGCCGTGAATGATACAGAGCTCAGCTGATTCTCGACTACTTTTCGCCATGTGATTAATTATATGAAGCTTTATGATTTCTTCCTTTTATATTTCATGAAGACTTCTTATCTCAATACTCATTTTACGATAATGCCACTCATATTCTAAGCTTGAGACTTAAATATTTCCAATACGACAGCAGAAATTTCCTAATTCCCTAGTGGGAAAGGAACAAACTCCGCCAAGGAAACCAAAGACAACAGATAGAAATAATTCTATAATGGCCAACCTCGTAACTACAGAAGAGCCATCGATGGACCTCCCGGTCATCGACCTGGACGTCTATCGGAGCAACCCAGCCTCTAGCCCCGCAGTACAAGAAGAATGTGCACGAGCGGCACGGGCACTGATTACTTACGGCGCTTTAGTACTGCACGATTCGCGGGTATCCGAATCCGATAACGAGGCCTTCCTAGATCTACTAGAAGACTATTTCGCGCAGCCTGATGATGTATTGCGTCACGACGAACGCCCCGAGTTGGGGTACCAAGTTGGTGTGACACTAGAGAACACGGAGAAGCCTAAGTGTGCTGTAGATGAGCCGTGTCTGCGTGTTATTGAACGCTTAGCTCCAGCTGAGCGACCGCTGGATGTAGCTGGTCACCAACCCGATCCTAAATGTCGATTTTTTTGGCGCATGGGTGAACCCGCCCCTTATGCTACGCAGTTCCCGGGTCTCAACGCCGAAAATGTGATTCCGGAAGTTCTAGAGATTAGGGAACGGTGGACCCCGATTATGGAGACATGGGGGAAGAGTATGAAGAGCGCGTGAGTGATTACATACAATCCGGAATTTTCTTTAAGTCTTCGCGAAAGTGCACTGGCTTGCTAACATTAGATGTGTATGAAATAGTGTCTCAGGACTCGCCGAAATGGCAGCAGTCGGTATGGGTCTTCCCGCCGAGACATTCACTGACGCCGGGCGATATGGGTACGTCTAACTCATCTCTATTCAAATCAATTCCCCCAACTCACACAACGCAGCCCGCATCTCCTCGCCCCCACAGCCTCAGACCTCCAAAAATACGGCAAAAAGGACACCATCCTCGCCGGTTTCCACACAGACCTCAACTTCCTCACAATCCACGGCCGCTCGCGATACCCCGGTCTACACATCTGGGCACGCAACACCGGCCGACGAATCGCAGTCAGCATCCCACGCCCCTCCCCAACATCCTCCGGCAGTTACCTCCTAGTACAAGCCGGAAAGCAATTAGAGCACTTAACCGGCGGTCTCGTAAAAGCCGGATACCACGAAGTAGTCGTAAACTCCGCGACTCTAAACACAGTCGCCAATCGACAGCGCGAGTATCCCGATAGACCCCTGGTCAGGATTAGCAGTACGTTTTTCTGGCATCTGAGCAGCGACTACGATTTAGCGCCCGTACCCGCGTTAGTGGAGCAAGCGCGCGCCGTGCGGGCCGCAAATTTTGATCTTGGACGGGATGAAGGTGATGAGGTTGAGTATGAGCCTATGAAGGTTGGACAGCAAGTTCAGAAGTATGTTCCTTTCGCCCCCATCTTTTGACTTATTTGGGGGTATTATGCTAATCCAAAGAATCAGTGAACTAAAGCATATTGCGCTTCTAGCATGAGGTAGAAGTAGGAGGTAAACACCAGTATAGTGATTTATGAAATGAGACAACACTCTCATTAGCTTCGACCTAAATACCACCGGAGTGACTTACAGTACCCCGCATTCGTAGAAGCGCTGCATATGTATTCTGGAAAACTACATTTTGATCTAAGAACTTACGCGAATATTAAATATCCCTGCAACAAAGACGCAAAGATGAGTCTGGGATTCAAATTACCATCCGGTCCGACATGATACCTGGACTTGGTACACAATACGATGACCCCACTATAGGGGGTTAGCTCATAAACGAATACGAGAATCAACAATTCTAATGGCTCCATAGGGAAAGTCGAAGTCATAGTAGCAAAACAAAGGAACCAGTCCATATATCTTTTCCTGCCAAAGTCGTACTCAATGTAGTCTATAAGCATAGATGCACCAAACGCCACGCAAACCAATTCCCAAGTCGGTCCACCCCATCAACGAGGTTTGTTGGTACCCATGCACTAAGACCAATTGTATCCCAAATTACGCAATTACACACGCTTGTAGTCTGTCCTTATTCATCAAATGCCCATCGAGCTTCACCGTACCGAGCCAATGAATATCACGAATTACGGGATGTAAAATAACAGGACGTAAATAGTCGCTGTCTTAGTATCCTATTTCCCGCCTTGCAGGAACAGGCGGCGCTGGTTTCTTGGCCCTGCTTGGTGGCGGCGGTGGGGGAGCCTTCTTGACAGACCCTGGTGAAGCCGATGTACGTAGACCGTTATTACTTGGGGTGCGACTTAAGCTTCCATAACTCGTCGCGGGACTTTCGCTGCGATCATATTCTGGACTTCCACTGCTGGTGGCCGTATCATATTCGTCGACATACACATCTGGACTCAAATTCTGATTTGTCTGGATTCTGTTCACCGGGCGTAGATTGTTGCGAAGTGCTCCCACATTGAGTGGTGGTGCTGTGGGAGTTTTGCGCAACGACTCAGGCGGCGGTGGGGGAGGTTCACGGTACGTGGATTGCCTTGAAGATGGACCCTCAAAAGCCCCACCGTGAGTCGAGGCGCGATTGATACTCGGTCTTTGTACCTCAGGTGACACTGATCGACCAGCGCGGTAAGGACTGGATCGAATGGGCATACGGACTGGTTCGGGCGCTGGTTCTTCATAGATGTCTTGTCGGCTTGCCCATTGTTCGGTACGATTATTGCGCTCGGAGTACGATTGAGCCGTATTACTTCTGCTTCGGTTTGTAGGTCTTCGTGAAATGCTAAGCTCGCCGGGGCGAGGGCCAACTGGTGGTTGACCCTGACCAGCCACCCATTCCTGCTTCACGCGTCGAAGTTCTTCGGCACAACGTTCGTAGTAATCGAGCTCAGAATCGAGGAAGCATGTAAGGTCACGGACGGAGTCGGCCTCCGCTTCTTTGATGTCTTGCATACGACGGAGGACATCTTCGGAAGACTCCTCGTACTTGGCTTTCGCGGTTCGAAGTTCGTCTTCGAGTCTAAAATCTTCGCGTTTCGTCTTCTGCATCTTAATCATGCAAGCGTCATATGTAAGGCGTCGGTTCTCGAGCTTCTTGCGTGCGGACTGGCGAGTAATTGTTAATTTACTAAGTCAGTTTCATAAGGGGGCCTCTGGTAACGAACCTGGTACTCCTTCATCATTGCCAATGATCGTTCTAGTCCTTCTAGCCAGTAGGATGTAGCATGTGCAACGTACGTTTCTTGGATACCAGCAATTCGTTCATTGCCTCTACCCATAGCTGTGATACATTCCATGGTTAGGTGCTGTTCGCCATATTATTCTTTTTCTTGGAATAAACATACCAATTAAGCAATTGCCGAATTCAGAGTCTGGCTCGAAGTCTTCACCATGGGTCATCATTGTCCGGCCAAGGTAGCTAACAGGTAAACCCTTTTCCTTGTCCTCGAAGGTTTCGCCTCGACGGGAGAGCGATTTGACGTAAACATTCATGGATTTCTGGAGGCGATCGTAGCCTATAAACATTAGTTAGGCGGGCAAAATATGGGACTAATTGACATCGAATTCATACCATCATGTCGAAGAGCCATCTCAGTTTCTAAACTCTTGAACTCGTCAGACTGACTCGTCTTGGCCTCATGGCCCATCTTCTCGCCAGCCCATTGAAAGGCACGATCGATCTTCTTTGTGAAATTCATGTTGACGGTATTCCTCACGGAGGTTCCTAAACTAATTGGCCGTCTAAACGAAAGAAAGAATGCGATATATGGTTATGGGAGTCCTGCCACCAAACGAGAGAAAAGTCCAAAAGAACGAGAGACCTGGTCGGTAGGGGAGTATTAAGTGAATGATATCGGACGACAGGCTACTCGATATAGAGGCGATATTAACTAGGGAGCTCTGGGGATAGGCTTGTTAACCGTCTCGGACGTGGAGCTGTTGGCGTATGGAATGGGGAAACGAGCTGTAGCGTAGTGGATCGTAGGTGGAGAATCGGATCTGGCCAGACGCGTACGTGTAGATCAAGGGGAAAGGGGGATATGCGGAATAGGTAGTCCGTCTGATGATGAGCGGAGAAGAGCTCCCGGCACTGGTAATAACTAATTGTTTTGGTATATATATAGTATCACGACAAGTCTTGTAACAAGATAAGAAAGAAACGAAAGGAAGAAAGCTTGCTTTTTTATTGAATCTAACGGGTGAGTGATTCTGTCACAATGGTGTATTGTATTGCTCGAGGAACGAGAGGGAGAAAAAGATGAAGAACAGATCAAAAACTAGAAAAAAGGGAGAGGAGCAAGGAAAGTTTAAACCTGTTTTAGGCCACGGACGGGACCAGGATATTTTATCAATGCAAGATCGAAGGTGGCAACTACATTTTCTGGAATAGGAGGTTCGAGTGGTTGGAGATTGCCCACATCGTAAACCATGCAGGTGGTTAGGGAGGGTGGGGAAGGGTCGCGTAATTGGATAAAATGGAGGAGGTTAACATCTGTTATCGACGCTGTAATTAAGTACATTCCATATGATATTCTCCTATATTAGGTACATCCAAGGTCTACTGGAGGTTTCTAAGGTTTAAACGTTGCTTTTTATGGTGGATCCGACTAAAAAATCGCTGGGAACTCGACTCTACCAAACTCAAAACTCCAAAAAAATAAACCTAATTGATACTAGATGGGATTCATGGAAAGGACGACAATTACGATCATGTATCTAACAGCAAGGGAAACTTTATTGGTTACCGAGATCAATTTGATTGGCTTTTACCACCTGCCGAATGTACCTATCGAGAGGTAGGCTGTGCATAGTCTAGGCTAGGTACATCGAAATATCCCCTGCTTACGCGCCATCCGTAGGGTTTACCAGCCCACTTTCTTACTGCAGGACCCTGAAATCCCTCGAGAGCTACAGGTTTTCTTTCAGGTACCGAAAGTGGGAAAACAACAAATCAACGAACCATCTAATTTCTTTCAACGTGATGTAGATGTTACCTTTACCTTACAACCATCTTGATCCAGTTAATTGGTTTATCATCTCCCTAGGTCAAACAACCGATTCGTATTACACTAGAACTGCGCCTCGTTCTACCCGTTTCAACAACCGCGCTCGTTATCCACTGGACTACTATAGAAAAGGACGACGTTGCAGAAAATTAGTTTAGTTGTCGGATCGTTGGTTTAGCAGGGATCTCAGAGCAAGACATCTGCTTACATGCGTACCTAGGTGCCTAGGTAGCTTGGCGGAATATCCCACTAGCGTATTGTACAGATAATTCAGAATTTAAATTCCCCTAGCTGACTAACCCAACTAATACTTCCTTCCGCCCTCTTGCAAACACTCAAAACTTAAGGATGGAACGATAAAGTTAGTCCGTTTAAACAGTTCTACATAAGAGTTTCTACCAAGTAAAAGCCTTTTGCAATCAGCTAGATAACTTAAAGGTATTGATTTCTTTTTCCTGACCACGATCAACGCACTTGAACAGACATCAACGAGTCGTCAATACAAACCTCGATGAGCAAGGATTCGCCCTAGATATTGACATCATGTCCCACGTACAAATGAACGCTACAACGGCAATAATTGACGTCCTAGATTTAAGATCATGTTTGTATTTCCGGTATAAATGCATAACTAGGTATCAAGATCTCCGCAAGGATGCTTAATTCGTCTCATCCTGCCTCATTCTAGCAGTCTAGATATATCGCTCTACTAAACGTTATAGGATTGAAATCGACGCCTAATAAAGTACTATAGGGTCCAGTCAAGTCCTAAAGGATTATTATATCTGGCGCGCGGCAATCGAGATATCTTCCAAGACTTAGCCTCCCGCGTAACGCCGTCCATGCTGACCGGCGGTTATTGAAGCACTCTCCCTTTCTTAGTCCTAAACCGTTTCAGCCTCAAGATATCCCTCTAATTGCCGATCACACAGCATTGTTTATCTGATCGCGAGGGTTGTGACGTAGTCTGTCATGCTTCTCTCCGCCCAGGCGCGACATCATAAAAGCAAGCATTTTCCGACGCAGATATTGTTTCTCAAATACCAAAAGAGCAAGTTTTCATCATATTTAATATCTCGTAGGTTCTCGACGTCGATCCCGTTGTTTCACGAATCGTTCATGCTCTAAACCATTGTATTGGATTGATCTCACGTCATCAACAGTTGATCCGATTGAGATTCAATCTGACTTCGCGCAGTCATTTAAATCAGCCAGTCACCCGCTACTACACAAGAAAACGAAGCACACGACAATATTAGCCTCTTATCTTCGACACAATCCATAGCAGCCTGCCTACTAACGAAGTCATTGTGAAAACAGGTTATCGTCTATTCTAATTTTCTGCAGCTACTCAATTGTTTTATTCAACCTCGGAAATGCGGGCATGCCATCACCAATAACAGTTGCGCTCGCCTTAAATGCTGCTATAGTCATCGTACACTATATAACTAGCAGAAACGACGGTCCTTAACAGGAGCACAATGGTAATTAAAAGAGACAGCATTTGAATTGGGAGCTCGCGTCAGCATCGCACGTGTTTATAACTCACGATTCCCTCTTGATATACGCCAAGCCAATCCAATGGCTAGTCATATTAGTACGCCATCTTTCGCTAATGTGTATAGAACTACGATTTAATCCACGTGGGAAACTATCGCTATACTCAAGGTATGAAATGAAGACGTTAGTAAAAGAGTTCAACCAACTGTTGATTGAATAAAAAACAACTAAAATGTTGGAGAGACCGAGAAAATTGCCTAATGGAGACCGCCGACAAACGATGGATGAACCCTGGATATGCCAAGGCTTTCTGATGCCATCCAACTGCATATCTTTTTGACCTTGAGCTCCCACGTGCCAATGAGATTCGCCATTCGACAGCTTTCACAGCTCGCCGCCAAGACTGCCCTGTTCCTGTACCTGGCTTATCGGGTTAAGCGACCTAGATTCCAACAGGATCTGGTTGTCTGGGCAAAGTCGAGATGCTCTTCAATTATGTAGGCAGATAGGCTAGGTAGTGGTGGTACCTGTGCCGCATAACATCGCGCGGATTTTCCTTGTTGTGTTACTATACTTACATTTTTGCTTAGTGTACGGAATACCGACGCTGTGGTCATTGTTGATGCAATATTGAATCGGGAAGGAAATTCAAGATAAGTTGGAGTCGTGCCAAGCTCCGTGACATCCTGGTGTTGTGGATCGCATTGCCTGCAAAGATATTTATTTAAAAGTCAGCACATCTTCCAGCTTATCATGTAGGTAAGGAACGTCCCAGCAGCTCTCTCGAGGTTCGTGGTTGAGAGTCAAGCGTTTTTTCGCGCCTCTCGTGAATCGTAACAAGAGTGCAAGCGACCGACTAATTGAGCTATTTCACGATGGTTCGCTCTACTTCCCTTCATGCCCTCACTTGCCTCGCTGCTGGGTTTTCTAGTTTAGTTTTGGCCGGGGATTCATTATACAGCAAGCGCTTTTCAAAGCGTTTCATTGACTCAGATGGAAATTACAATATTTCCTTCTACCACGTGAACGACGTCCACGCGCATCTTGACCAGTTCGCTTCGGCAGGTACTGATTGCACAGACCCGACGAAAGGGTGCTATGGTGGTTACGCTCGCATCAAGACAGTTGTTGAGGATACACGACCAGAACACAATGACAGCTTGTGGCTAGATGTAGGCGATGAGTTCCAGGGTACCCTATTTTACACATACTATGGCGGGGAAAAGATCGCCGAGACCCTCAACCAGATGGGAATGGATGCTATGACCTTGGGAAACCACGAATTCGATGGCGGTGATGACAAGCTTGGCGATTTCCTGAAAAACTTGACATTCCCGATCGTCTCTGCGAATATCGTCTCCAATAATGAGAAGCTCAACTCCACTATTAAGCCATATCACATCTTCGAGAAATATCAGCTGGCAATCATTGGTGTAACGACCGAGACGACAGCCGGTATCAGCAAGCCGGGCAAGGGCACTCAATTCACCGACGCGATCGCAGCCGTGCAGGCTTCAATTGATGAGATTCGAAGCACGACGAATATTACTCGTATCGCAGCTATCACGCATATCGGCTATGAGCAAGACAAAATTCTTGCACAGAAGACTACCGGTCTTCAGCTTATTATGGGAGGTCACAGTCATACGCTTCTCGGTGATATGGAGGGTGCCGAGGGCAAGTATCCTACTATTGAGACCAACCAGGATGGCGATGAAGTCTTCATTGTTACAGCCTACCGATGGGGCGAGTACCTAGGCTACATCGACGTCACATACGATCCGCAGGGCAAAATCCTCGCCTACCACGGCGCTCCAATCCACCTAACGAACACGACCAAGCAAGATGAGGATCTCCAGGCCCAAATTGATGAATGGAGGAAACCATTCGCGGCATTTGCAGCCGAAAAGGTCGGTACCACAAACATCGTGCTTGACCAATCTACTTGCCAGAAGCAGGAATGCACTCTTGGTGACTTAATAACCGAGTACGTTCCGTATGAACCCGCCGAGCATCCGTATAGAATACTAATACCAACTTTAGTGCAATTCTCCAATACCGTCTTGATGGTGGCAGCGATGCCGCCTTTGCCCTTGTGAACGCAGGCGGTATCCGTGCGACTATCGATGCTGGCACTGTTACGCGTGGGCAAGTTCTTACATCTTTCCCATTCGGAAACGCCGTCGTCGAAGTTAAATACAGCGGCCAAGACTTATGGAAGATCTTCGAAGGTCTCGTTAGTAAGATCAACCAGTTCAACCAAAAGGCTGTTACCAGTTTCTTCCAAGTTAGCCGGGGAATCAAGGTCGAATACAACCCCGATAACGCCATTGGTCAACGTCTAGTCCGTCTCACAATCGGCGACAAGCCAGTTGACACATCAGCCCTATACACGATCGTGACGGCGGATTTCCTGACGGGTGGAGGTGACAACATCCTAGAGCAGATCCAAGATGTTGTTGTCCTTGACACTATGGAGGAGGTATTGGTTAAACATATAAATAAGACGAGCCCAATTGACTTTCAGCTCGAAGGGCGGATTGCAATTGTTCAAGGTAGCGCGGACGGAAATGGTAGTGCTAACGGTACAATCCCAAGTGGTGCTGGGCGAGTAAGCGACGTGGGTTCGTCGGTTTCCCTTTTAATATTCACGGCTTTCCTAGCCGTTGTAGTATCAGCATAATGGTACGATGGTATATATAGAGGATAGACTGGGGAATTAAATAAAGATACGAATCAAAAATGGGTTTCGTTTAGGGAGGGTATGCGAAGTACCTATATATATGGGTGTTTATAGGGCAGTTGCCTTCCAAACGAACATTGAATGCTTCCTAGGAAATGTTTAAGGTTCCTCGTACCTTCCTCATATCCGGTGGATGTTTCTAATACCCCCATTCATTTCCTCCTAACTCCCCGTCCCTTCCTGCACACTCGTCCATCGTCGCATCATTTCACCAGCAATCAAGTAACCTGCATTTTTATTCCTGTCATGATGTCTCATCAAAACATTACCACGCCACATAGTGAGGCAATTCAGGAAGGTCGAGTGGTGTACTTAGGATGGATTGGACGGGATCAATCTAAAGAAAGTGTTGTCGTGGTTGTTCAGGATAAAGGGTTTCGGCAATATACTTTCTATTGGCGATTTTTTGAAGATACTCGACCAGAAGAACATAATGGTTGGTGCCACATCGAATTCGCAGACCTAGATTCTGCCAAAAGAGCAGCAAATGTTTTAAACCACTTCGAACTTCACGGAAAAATCTTAGTAGCAGGAGAACTTAAACAGTGTTTTGTAAGTTGAAAACTCAGGAGACCGAATATTTCCAACACCGCTCACATTCTGTAGACCTCGAAAGACGTGGCGACGAAACACAAGAACGCACTGGAAAAACACCGGACGGATTATAAATGAGAACATGATGTCCCAAGGACCATGTTGGGAGGACACGAGGTTTATAAAACCAACATCAATTTGCGAGAGCACGCCTGGCGAAGGCGTGCGAGACGAAATTGGACCGGAGCCGATTGATCCAACTGGTTTCGTGCAGGAGTCGCTTCAAGTAAAAATTCAGCAAGGTAGAAGTGAACGGACACGACGAGCTTTCCTGTTTCGGGATCTTTCGCTAATGTGGTGATTTTCCTGGGGTTAGATAGCCGAGGGATATGTACTTGGGTAGCTTGGCTTTTTAAGGAGTCTATGTTTTTTGTTCCTATATGATGGATAGGGCTACCGCTAGTTCACGATCCCATTCATATGTTGCAATGCTCTACGTTCATAATATTGCGCAAGTCTGGTTTCCATAGCTATTATAGAGGGCATAGAACAATTAAATCAACGATCGATAACCCACCACCTTTTGATGTCGTGGGGTACGTATCTTGTCCTAATCCTTCGATATCCACCAACTATATGAGCGATATTAAATATCAACATCCGATACGCTTCCTCTCTCCTGTGTCTCGCTCGCACTATCCTTAACTTTCGCTCGTGCCTTGTCTAAAGACTTCTTCACATCCGGTTGTTTGAACAGACCGTCAAGTCTTTCTGGCATGTTTTGGAAAAACGGCAAGTCCTAGAATACGTTAGCAAAGGAGAGATATTGTTGAGTAAGTTGAATTGCATACCATAATCCATTCTGGCTCAATAGCGGTGATCGTTTGGATGTATTGCTTGCCGCCCGTGAACGTAAACCGATTGTACACGATCCATTCGATGTCGCCCTCTGCTAACATACTGTCCCAATGGATCAGGGCGGGTACGTCGTGATGTATGGTTTTGCATGTGCCCTCTCCTGACACTTTGATTGCTGCTTGATGGAAGAAGCTAAGTGCCAAAGCTTTCCTAATCTTAATTTCGTAGTCGGGAGTGCCAAATGCGGCCGATGTGAAATCGTATCCGTATTTCCCTAGCATACGTGCAAGTTGTTCTCGTATTCGGAGGACCTCTTCCAAGATGCCATATGAAAGAAAGTGATCCATACACCACTTCTTTGGATCCAATCCAGCCCCCTTCGTCGCTTCTTCTTTCTTAGTCTCTTCTTTCTTCATTCTCATATATGCATTAAGCGCATTGAGATATGTGAGATGATCGGAGGACGGATGGCCAAACTGTGCTCGTGCCAAGTCAGCGACATGCCTTACTGAGCGAGGGCGTACAAAAATTGACTGTTGCACGCTCATGAGAGTTGTGATGGAAAGTATCTCCCAAGAGCAGTTAAGACGCTCTGCTTCACGGATCGCTAGGTACCAGGCTGGATCTATTGGAAACCGAGCCGCCTCCCTGCCCAGTGTTGTGATTCTGGCTGTCTCGTCGATGAAACCCCTTTCAAAGTGAGGTTAGCCCAGCATCATGGTATATGAAAAAGTTAACTAGAGTCATAAGAAAAGAGGCTAGACTCACAAATGATACAGGTCCTCCAATCCACTTAGGTAAAGCTCGGGATCGGGAGGATCGATGAAGTTGAAGGATAGTACATCGTCGAAGCCTAGGTAGTTGAGCAGAAGTATGGTGGATTTGGTCTCGGACCTTAGAATTGCAGGCTTAGTCGATACGGGGAAAATCTCATCAAACGCTTGTTTCGTGTACATTCGGAAGCATTTCCCCGGCTGTGTACGACCCGCTCGACCAAGTCGTTGATCTGCAGAAGCTTTGGATATAGGACCGGCCTGTAGTATTTCCATACGAACTCTAGGGTTGTAGACTTTCTCCTTGGCTACTCCAGGGTCAATGACATATCGAACGCCAGGAATAGTCAAACTTGTTTCCGCTATATTTGTAGCACATATGCACTTTCTGACGGTAGATGGCTTGAAAATTTTCTGCTGTCTTCCAAAGGGGAGATTTGAGTACAAGGAGAGCACATTCAAATCTTTCGTTACGTGCCTAATTGTAGTACAGGCTCGCTCTACCTCCTCCTCACCGGTCAAGAAGACAATGATGTCGCCTTTTAGTAGATTTTGGTGTATATGTCGCACGTAAGAGATGCATGCATCGAAGTAAGAGGAAGTGGCCTTTTCGAGATAGTAGGTGTCTACAGGATATGAGCGACCAGGAATATGGAAATGGGGCGCATTATCGAAATAAGCTGAAAATTTATTACTGTCCATCGTGGCCGACATAATGATTACCTTCAAGTCTTTTCTCTCCTTAGTTAGGTTCTTCAATAGAGCTAAAACCATATCGGTATCCACGGTCCTCTCGTGAGCTTCGTCAACAATTATGCAGCTGTATCGCTGTAACTTGCTATCGGAGAGGAAATATTGAAGTAGAATACCGCCAGTTACGTATTTTAAGCGCATATCAGGATGATCCTCGACGGTATCAAAACGCACTGCGTAGTCCACTTCTTTGCCTAACTTGACGTCTAATTCATCGGCTACGCGACTTGCGACAGAAGTTGCAGCTAATCGACGAGGTTGAGTACACACAACACGTCCACTCCCCGGGAATTCATCCCAGAGAACGAATTGTGGGATCTGAGTCGTTTTCCCAGCGCCGGTATCTGCCGTAAGTACCATGACTTGCGATTTCTGATAAACATCAAGGAACTGCTGGCGATGCTTATAGACGGGTAATTGGCGACGTTCCTGGAGTAGATTGCGATAGTTGTTTGAATATTCTTCATCTCGAAGAGGATTCAATTTGCCATCCTCGATATGACGAATATCGTCGGATGTGACCACCTTCCCCCATGAACATATGCTCATTGACTCTGTTTCGGCGGCAAGTCGGTCCATCGTGGCGTTGAGGAAAAGTTATTGGAATTACTGAAGGTTGGAAACGATTAAGATGCTGCGAGAAAAGAGACCGGTACCTACCCTAATGGCCTAAGACTACTTGAAAGCAATGGTTGTGTCGCTCTTCCCTCTTTTCTTTCCTGGAAATCGACATATCGCAACTTCTCCTAGAGGGGAGTACCTTCCCCTAGTTCCTGCCGTCTTTTCCCATGCCCCATCCATGGTGATTGCGGTGATTTTAATGATGTACCTATATCTGGGTAATTTCTAATCTACTCAATTAAAGACCAGTTTTTATTCTTGGAGTAAGACTATTAAGTAACCTATAATTTAGAAAGTTAAGAGGGCTTAAAAGAAAGAAGAAGTGAGGGTAAATAAAGAAGAAGAGAAGGTCGTAGTTGTAACTGTAAGGAAGGTTGGAGCTATTATAAGCCCCAACAAATACACTTTATAGCGGGTTAGAGCACTATCCTAGCGTATCGATAATAACAGTAATTGGCGTGCATTCTTATTTACCTTCGCATTTATCTTCAATCCATTCAGCCATTGTGTTTGGCGGATTCCAACCAATTTAATATTCTAACAGTTTGCCAGCCTTCTATTAAAAGAGGAACGAAACTTTTTAATCGGCCAGACAAAAGAAATTCAACCTTTTCTTTCATCAATCTGGAAAATCCCCCTCTCAAATACGGTTATCCTGTTGCCGACAATTGCGAACCTCTCTAGTCAAGCTAGCTCTCTTGCCTGGGCAGAAGACATACTGACCAGTATCGCCTTTCAGCGTGTCGACTCATGATAATTCTAGACTAGCTAAGAAAGAAACATCGACGGTCAATATGGCGACCGAAGACGCTAGGTATAGGCAATCTAGCCAATATCGGCTGTGGTCATTCGCCCCGTCGCATCTCGCAACCCTTCGAGAAAAGACTAACGCACTCGCGAAATCTCACATCGCCAACCGCTTGCGCGCTTCAGACCCGACCAACCAATCCCCGCCGAACTTCTTAACCCCCGAAGAAGAGTACACTCTTCTTAACCACTTTACCCTCGAACTATTGCGCGCCGCTCCCTACTGCCAACTCCCTACCGACATCCAAGCTACCGCCGCTATCTTTCTTCGACGCTTCTACGTCACAAATAGTGTGATGACCTATCCGCCACAGGAACTTATTAAGACCTGCCTATTCTTTGGGTGTAAGGCGGAAGGTTCTTTCATACGTGTGCAGAAGATCGCCGATACCTTCCCTAACACGACGGGCGAGATGATCCTAGCGGCCGAATATATTCTTTGTCAAGGTATACGCTTCGCTTTCGACGTACGACACCCATTCCGCGCTTTAGAAGGAACCGTCATGGAACTGAGGAGCCTGGGCGACTTCGACGACGACAGAATTAACAAAGCGCATCGACGGACTAGAGAGATCCTTAAATTTAGTCCCTTAGTTACTGACGTATATTTCCATTATACCCCGAGTCAAATCATGTATGCGGCACTGGCGATGGCGGACGAGGAATTGGTGCAACGCATGCTTCAAGAAGCCTTCTCTGGCCAAGGCGAGGAAGCTAAAAATAAAATCTGGGGCGTGATACAGGGTTGCAAAGAGATGCTGGAGAGAGAGCCTCCCGAGAAGATGGCCAAGTACTCTAATGACGTGAGTAGATCCTCGTATACTAGTAAAACGCTTGCCACTAACAGCGAGAAATAGCCGGAGACCACCAAGGCAATGAAAGCTCTGAGGAAAAAGCTTGCGAAATGTCGAGACCCCGACAGAGTCGATCTCGTCGCTCTACAAAAGGCGCGAAGGGAGCAGGCTGCCCAGAAACCTAAGGCCAAGGAGGATGCCGATGGAGACGGGAAGGTATTTGGGAATGGAACACTCGACGAACGAGAGTCAAAGAGACGGAAGGTGGCACAAAATGGAGGAGACATCTTCGGGCCCCCTCTGTAAAGACGATCCCAAAGCAGAAGAGTCACGGCCCGAGCCCCGAGCAGCTCTTTAAACCTCCATCCAAAACTACAACATCTCGATCTTAGCTTCGATAGGGGCTACGATCATAGAGATGCTGATAGACGACCGATGCCTCGGTTCTGCGCAACGATACAACATGCCAATTTCGCCTCATGGCCATTGAAGCCGACGCTTCCTGGTGCCATACACCATGAAGTGGTAGTTGGAGGGACATTACTGGTAATGTATAGTTGCAGATTGTACCTCAATACAGGGGTAGGTGAATCATGAATAATGAAGATAGGATGATCTGGGCCTCGAATAATGAACGAAATCACGAAGTATGTTAACTAATTCTATCTTCATCGCAAAATTTTATTTACTGCGTAAGCTCACGGCTACCACTCAAGACTACTCAAGACTACACATAGTCGGATGGCATATCTCGGTACTATACGCTTAAGTATCTAAACAAGTTATGCTTCAGCTTTAAGTCCTTCGATCTTCTTCTCCTGTTGCGTCTGTTCCTCAAGAATTACATCGGCCGGAATGCGATCTGGCGTGGAGTTTACAAGGACCAACATTGGGCCCACAGCGGCAGCCATTAGACCGAGTGTTACGCAGCTAGATATCTGTGTCAGCACAATATTTGACGGTATATCGGGCGGAAGATGAATGCATACAATCCGATTAATGGGTCGGCCTTGATCTGGGTGTTCATTCCATAGGAAATAGCTTGGCCGACGGCTTCGAGGCATCTATTTATCGTATTAGCGAAACGCATTAGCCTTTTTCGAATCGCGCAGCATACCGGAAAGCGGCACCGTTACGGACGTTGGCCTGCGCATCCGTCGCGAAGGAAGACAGGAGCCAGTACATATATGACTGCGACAAGGGACCGGTAGTCTGTACGAAGAAGTATGGAAGAAAAGATGTGGCGTAGAGAGACTCGTCCCAATCGATCTTGCCCGGGCTGCCAGCGTTGAATTTTACTTGCATGACTATCGACCAGATATACACGCCTAGGTTAAGGATTACGACGGTGAATAATCCTAGCTGCGCCCTGCGACGTTGACTGAGCGACTTCATGTCGAGAATGAATCCAAGGCCAAAACATCCAACACTACATATATGTTAAGAGGTGGTTCCTAAGGACGGGGGTTAGGCGATTGGGACTTACATGCAGAAGAACGGCGAAATTAGCGAAGACAGGGCGCGCGCGCGTACAGAGAAATACGTCCCGAGGTATGTGGACCAAGTACCACTATATCAGGGGTCAGCTTCGAATGCCACGGGGGAATGAAGCATCCAACCTATAGAAGAACGACCAGATTGCCCAAAGAGCCGAAAGTAGAATCAACTTCGACGACATGGTGAACCTGATGAGCTTGAATTCTTGCTTGAACGTGAGCTTCTCCGAAACAAGAATACGTGTGCCGTCGGATCGGACGACTCGCTCGAGGGGAGAAATCAGGAAAGCGAATGGAAGACTAGATGGATCAGCATGTTGTGTTCTCAATCGAACCAAGTGGCGGTACTTACGCTAGACTCTCGATGATTAGGAACGCAATATAAGTGTCGGCTGTAACACCACCAACTGCCCCTTTCACGTGGTTCTTGGACAGGCTGGGATAGTCGTTAGCATTGCGATCTCTGCCATGGGCAAATGATGGAATCGAATAACTTACTTAATAGCACCCCCAACCAATTGTCCGAGATTCCGCGCAACAATCCATAGGGCTAGATACTTGCCACGAGAGCCGGACGGCGCAAGCGACATAATCGTTCCAGATTCTGCGACATACCAACAACCACTACCGATTCCGGTGAAGAAACCGCCGAAAATTAGATACTGCGAAATATCTGGTGTTAGTGTTGTCTCCTTGCGACTTGATGAGCTATCTCGTACCCATTGCGTTCCGAATTTGCTGTTGCAATAATACGACGAGCCACGTATAGGAAACGAAATAGCACCGATAACCAAAGCCCATTTCGTTCCGAGCTTGTTGACGATAGGACCACCAAACAGGCAGACGGTGGCAAGCATGGCATAGTTAATCGCAGTCCTATCCATAGAATTTCTATTAGAAACATGTTCCTTGAATTTTCGTAACTGATATGGGACATACGCAATATTGGAGGTTTGAGGAGTTGCTAAACCACCACCACCCAAGCCCGCAATCGCATCAGCCATAGCTGGACCACAGAATGCCTGCACGCTTAGTAGAAGCATTTGTGTCAAACTATGTTGATAGATGCGCTTCCATAACGGGACAGCTTTTCTGTATGCATCCATATCGACTCTTTCATCGGCGTCAATGGTTGGGTTCATAGGGAGCGAACCCTGTCCCCGGAGGGCGTCGTCGTTCCCACCGGCGTGGGTGTTGGGAGGGGCGGCATCGAACTTAGACATGGTGCCGATTTGTCAGGAAGCATTGATTTGAGAAATGAAGCTCTTTGATGAACATGCACATGTTCTTTCACTGATATATATGTACCCCCAAACACATCGCGATGTTTAATGCCGAGTATGACTACCCTTTCCCTTATCAGGGGCAGCTTCGGTAATCTGTGGATTCCAGTTTCTTGGATGGCCGCGTAGATAGATAACCTAGGCTAGATCCTTTCTCCAAGCTGGGGTAGACATAGCTTGGGGATCCCCGTGTGCCTAGGCATTACGGGATTCGAGCAGGGGACACACGCGAGCGATATGATCTAATTAGGAGTTAGGTAACAGCTCTCGGACGCTTCGTTCGGCCTATCTTGACTAGAATGTTGTTAAACTATGTTAGGAAATGATAGCAGTCCCGACACATGGGACTCTATTCTAACCAATAACCCACGAGAATTGACAGGGAATGGTTGCTAGGGACGTTGTCGCCATCGTCACTTGTCCCGTTCTGGTAATCGTAACAGTTGGGCCCACAGGCCTTATACGCTACTATTTAGTGTGCTATAAGTTCCCGAGTCGAGGGGTAAGTACCTAGGTACATAACTCTAGGTGCGCGCTAGGCTATCAACATAGCGTAGCGACTAGATAGGGGCAACGGATAGAAGAACAAAAAGCGGCTGATATACGACCTCGGAAATCTTACGATTAGTTGAATTCTAATGTTAAATAGTAAAATTTCTGAGGCTATCCAAGTTGAGTAAAGATAGCAGTCCGGGACGTAAATCGGTAAAGAAAAGGTCAATGAAATCTCAACTGGACTGCTGATAATTATATCCCCCAACGTTCCACTGTCCCACTCTCCCCGCAGGCCCAATTTATAGGCGGGTTCCAGCGATAAAACTATTAGTAAATCATCCTCGTCACCGTCTAGCCGGAGCCCTTACTACACCCTGGCTCCGAATAGCTGGGAGGGCGATGATTCGATATTGTTATTGGTATCGTGCGATTCATGGCCAAGGGTTGCGATTCCGCTTCGTAAAGTTCCTTTACTCTTGAGTTAACTGTATTATATAACGTCGTTCATGATCGCGAGTACCTAAATTATGGGAGGTCTCCAATAAGAGAATTCGAAAGTGTTCACAGCAAAATGGCCACATCTCGCGCAAACACAAAAGTCGTCGTCGTTGGTGGAGGAGGTACGATCGGCTCTTCAACTGCCTTGCATCTTATACGATCTGGCTACACGCCTTCGAATATTACGGTCCTTGACACTTATCCTATCCCTTCGGCGCAATCCGCCGGCAATGACCTTAACAAGATTATGGGTATTCGATTACGGAATAAAGTCGACTTACAGCTAAGTTTAGAAGCGAGGGATATGTGGAGGAATGATGATTTATTCAAACCATTCTTCCACAATACAGGTCGCGTAATTCAACACATCGCCGTATTCCGATATGAAATTCTAATGTGAAGTAGCTTGATTGTGAGGGGACCGAAAAGGGTATCGCCTCCCTACGGCGACAATATCAAGACCTTATTGATGCAGGTGCTGGCCTGGAAAAGAGTAACGAATGGTTAGATAGCGAGGACGCTATTTTGGCGAAGATGCCATTGTTACAGCGGGATCAGATAAAGGTGAGCGCCCTGACCTGCTGAGTGGAAGTAACACAAGCTTACAGTAGGCGCTGTGTAGGGGTGGAAAGCCATATTTAGCAAAGATGGTGGATGGTTAGCAGCAGGCAAGGCGATTAATGCGATCGGAGAAGAGCTACGAAAACAAGGCGTCAAGTTCGGGTTTGGAGGGTGAGGAAGAAGTCACTCTCATACTGGCGCATTTCACTAATCAAAAGGGCAGTGCCGGATCTTTCAAGAAGCCACTCTTCGTGGACGATGGAATTACGTGTATTGGCGTTGAGACAGTGGATGGAACGAAGTATTACGCTGATAAGGTGGTGCTGGCCGCCGGAGCTTGGAGCCCAACGTTAGTGGACTTGGATGATCAATGTTGCTCTAAGGTGAGTGCATTAAACCCCTGTCAGTAGAACATTATAGGTGCTAATCGTTCTCTACCTAATCATAGGCATGGGTGTATGCCATGATACAATTATCTCCCAAGGAAGCGGCCGAATACAAGGATTCGCCAGTTGTATATAATGGTGATATTGGATTCTTCTTTGAGCCCAACGAGTATGTGAAGAGCTTCCAGGGCGTGCTGGTGCAAATAAATGCTGATAATCTTTTAGGGATGGGGTGATCAAGGTCTGCGATGAATTTCCAGGCTTCACCCATTTCAAGCAACACCAACCATATGGCGCCGATAAACCCAAACATATTTCCGTCCCTCGATCTCATGCAAAACATCCTACAGATACATATCCCGATGCATCGGAAAGGTCCATACGTAGAGCCATCTCAACGTTTCTTCCGCAGTTTCAGGATAAGAAACTCTTCAATCGGGCGTTATGTTGGTGCACGGATACGGCGGATGCAGCACTTCTTATCTGTGAACATCCAAAATGGAAGAATTTCATCCTTGCGACGGGAGATAGCGGGTAAGTTTTCGAGTATCTGGTGATTTGTTTGTCGCTTCGGAATTTAATGCTGACGACCTTAGGCACACGTTCAAACTTTTGCCTATCATCGGCAAGCATGTTGTCGAGATAATAGAGGGCAATCTTGCTGAAGATCTCGCTCATGCATGGAGATGGCGGCCGGGAGGTAATGCTCTGAAATCCAGGCGTGCGGCGCCCGCTAAGGATCTCGCTGACATGCCTGGCTGGAATCACGATGAAATTCCACCTAGACTGAAGCTATAATGGAGCGAGCGAAGGAGCCCCTAGACATGCGACATAATGCCCTATAATACCCTATAATCGAAGTTGAAATATCACTACTTGCATCCCTAACATACCTGTTAATACTTGAATATAGTGGTATAAGAATGCACCTAGAACTCTCTTCTGCTATATTCCCTTAGCGCTGCCATATTCACTAGGTAGGTATAGAGTGAAGAAGAAGAAAAGGAAAAAAAAAACTGCTAATACCTAATGCTATAATCTAGTGTATTCCCGGAGAGTAGTGGCGCGCTGCACTAAATTCACAGAGCTATAGGTACATCACTGAAGGTTGCTTTGGCCTTGACAGTGCTGTGTTCTAGGCTTTAATATTCTGCCAAGGTGAACCTAGTACGGCTCGTGGATAGCAGGTTGGTGGTCAGAGTAGCACCAAATCAAAACTTCATCGCTGTAAATGGTCGATACCTGTTCCAAAATAGGTGCCTGATCGGCCACTAATCAACTACCAGGTAGGTACCAACTTACCTCACTGGCTGACTGGCTGGTCACTGAACGGTCCCCTGTTTTCGCAACTAAATCCCCAGGTTTCTTCATGCCAAGACACGACGCCCAGCTTGAAGGATTCGGTTACGCACCGGCGGTAATCAAACCGATGTCTACCTAGGTTAGTTACCTACAACCACTGTCGTATCAGGAGTCACACAATAGGTTAGACCGCCTTGGCCTGCAATGATACCTGGCAGCGTGGTATCAATAGGGAGATATGACTTCTAACCACCTCCCTAATCGAGTATCGAGCTTCCCCGCGATAACAAAGACATGCGACCTGGTAACATGCGGAGAAAAAAACTAGGTTCTTATATAATATCCCTGGTATAGAAGGATGGCTTATCATAGAGTTCATAAACAAGATGATTCCATAATCCGCATTGTCGCGCGTGGAAACTGAGAGGATATTATTTGGAAGCGCATGTCGCAAAAGTCGCAAATATGGCTGACCCCGAAGCAGGGAAAAGGGACGAAATCAAGACGAGCCCTACAGAAAATCAGGATGATGTTATCGGCGACTTGAAAGCGGAACAAGAATTACGCAATATCGGTACTCTTGACCGCAAACTCAAGTCCCGACATGTTCAGTTTATGGCATTGTCGGGAGCCATTGGCACCGGTCTCTTCATCGGCAGCGGCCAAGTTATATCTCTTGCTGGTCCACTATCTGCTTTTCTCGCATATTTGATCACGGCCTTCAATGTTTACTGCGTGGTCCACAGTTTAGGCGAAATGGCAACTTATCTCCCTCTCCCTGGTGCTGTCCCCGTCTATGCTTCTCGATATGTCGATGAAGCGCTAGGTTTCGTTCTGGGCTGGAATTATTGGTATCAACTCGCTATCGGTTGCCCCATCGAAGTCACAGCATCGGTCGTTGTCGTGGATTACTGGCCTAACGATGTTCCCAAAGCGGCGCTAGTCACTGTCTTCCTGTTCGTGATGGTCGCCGTCAATTGTTTTCCGGTGCGCATATATGGAGAAGCCGAGTTCGCATTCGGCGCCATTAAACTCACGACTATTGTCGGATTAATCCTCCTCATGTTTATCGTTACGCTGGGCGGAACTCCTAGTGGCGACAGGATTGGATTCAGATATTGGAACAATCCGGGACCGATGAATGAGTACCTAGTCGATGGGTCACTTGGGCGATTCCTCGCCTTTTGGAAGGTCTTCATTCAAGCGACGTTTTCTTATGGCGGCTCAGAAATGGTGGTCATTGCCAGCGGTGAGACCGAAAATCCAAGGCGCAATATTCCCAAAGCGATTCGAAGAGTATTTTGGCGAATTGCTCTCTTTTATGTGCTCGCCATTTTTCTTGTTACTTTGTGCGTATCATCGGAAGACGGTCGCCTCTTGGATGCTATTCAGAACTCGGCTCCTGGCGCCGCAGCATCCCCTTTCGTCATCGCTATTGAGAATGGTGGTATCAAAGTCTTACCCTCCATCATCAATGCTGTAATTCTTACTTCGGCATGGTCCGCCGGTAACTCATTTTTCTACTCTTCAACGCGAGTCCTCTACGCCGCAGCACTAGACGGAAAAGCCCCGAAGATTCTAACCTACGAGAAGTGGGGAGTTCCATACGCTTGTGTTGGCGTAACTACGGCGCTCAGCCTACTATGTTACATGAATCTAAATAACCAGGGTTCGGACGTTTTCTTCTGGTTCTCGAATATTTCGGCCGTTTCGACGCTGATTGTGTGGTCGTCTATTTGCGTGACGTATCTGCGTTTCTACTATGGTCTTCGATATAATGGGATCTCGCGCGATACCCTACCATACAAATCGCCGCTTCAGCCGTTTATGGCATATTTCGCTATTTGTTTCTGCCTCATTGTCGCTGTCTTCAACGGTTACGACGCTTTCTTCCCCGGGAAGTTTAGCGCAAAGACATTTGTTCCACCTTACATCGACATTCCGATTTTCGCTATTTTATTCCTCGGCTACAAGATAGTTAAACGAACGAAATTCATTAAGCTAAGCGATATGGATCTATGGAGCGGCAAGGCAGAGATCGACCGATTAGAGGGGACGTGGCCAGAAGTTAAGCCGAAGAATTTCTTGGAGAGAATCTGGTTTTGGATTGCATAAGGATGCCCAATTCTACTCAACAGTATTTGAACAACGGGTGGCTTTACGTTCGTGTGAAATTCATTATATAACTATTATACAGGCGAAATAAATACCTCATTATCATATCTTTTCCACGTTTCCCCGACAGTCATAGTCTCATTTTCCTTCATACATCTTCTCAATCTTAGACGTACATATCTTCCGACAACCCCGCTTACAAGTTAACAATAACGGCCGCACCACCAAAGAGGGCGGCAGCGCCAACAGCACCGGTCTTCATGGGCATGGCGAGACCCGAAGAGCTAGAGGATGCAGCTGAGCCGCCCGCCGATGTGGCAGCAGGGAAGGTTGTAGTAGCAGTCGAAACACCGCTAGTAAATGGGACACCATCCGATGCAGAGCTAGCGCCACTGAATGCGGGAGTAGCGGAAGAAGCAGTTGTGTCTGGAGCCGCTGAAGCGTTGTCCGGGTTTAGGACCCTGTTTCCCGGATGATTAGCGATATATGGTGAGAAATTATTAGCATGGAGCAAAAACTTACTCATCGATGACATGGGCGACACCATTCTCCAAGAGGATGTCGGGAACAGTGATCTTGGCAGAGTTGGCATATACCGTGCCGTTGAGAACGGTGATGGTGATGTTCTGTCCGTTAACAGCGGTGAACGTGGTGTTCTGCAGGTCTGTGCTGTAGTTGACAGAGCCATTGATGACGTGGTAACCGACGATGCTGGTTAGCTGGTCCGAAGTAAGGTTGCTGACGATGCTACCGATGGCGTTAAAAGCATCATTGTTGGGCGCGAAGATGGTAATATCATGCGTGTTAGCAACCGAGTCCGTCAGGTTGGCGGTGTTGATAGCACCCTCAGCTGCAGTGAGGTTTGCGTTGGAGAATGTGTCCGATATGTTCTGAGGGATGTTAAGGAAGCTGTCGATCACGTGGATCGTACCGCCGGTGAAGTTGACATTCTGAATGTGTTAGTGGGACTCTGATCGTCGAAGATGTTAGGCACTTACGGGTGTTATGATGGTGGCGTTCTCCTTAAGGGCTGTGAAGAATGTCACATTGTTATTGTCAAGTCGGGCTTCGACAACTTGGCCTCCGGTCACATTGGTATAAGTTGTGTTCGTCAGCAAGGTAGGGATGAATTGAGATTCGTTCCCGAATGTGTAGTTGTGGTATGTGCCGTTGAGGATATGGTAGTTGAACAGCGCCGTTAGATACTCGGAGTTGGTGAGGAGGGAGGTGGTAGCGTTATCGCTTGCGAGAGCACTGAATGCATTGTTGCTGGGAGCCAAGATGGTAACGTTTCGAAGGTTGCTCAAAGACTTTGCGAGATCGGAGTTCGAAGCAAGAAGAGCTATCCCCATATTAGTAATGTTATTGACGACGAAATGGTTGTGCTAACGCACCATTCAGAGACGACAGTGTCGAGTTCTGAGAACCTAGAGCGTCAGTCAAGCTGGGGGTCTGAGCTGAAGCCAAAGAAGCCAGTGCCAGCGGGAAGAATTTCTTGTACTGCATGGTGACTAGCCAACAGAAACCGAGATGTGCAGGTTGTGGTTATGGTAAGATGCAGCAAGTGTCTCGGAAGGTGGCTCGATGGTTGAACTCATATGATCCGCGAACGGAATGGACTTGGGGACGGCCCCTCCTCTTTAAAGAGGCTCTTCGCGACATCAGATGATGGCCATCGCGGGGTCCTCGCCGAATACAAAGACCCGATGAAGTCATGATGTGGATGATCAGAGCCAAGACGGCGGAGAGACCTTGTTGTTGTACCTATTGTTGTACCTGAAGCCAATCAAGTCCGGCTCATGCTTCAGCTTTAGTGTACGGCAACTTGCTGATGACGAGTCAAATGCTAACGGAGGCCACTAATACTTCTTGTTTAACCCGTTCGATCCGAATGATCAGCCACATTTCGCAGAACGGTTCTCCAACTTTACTTCTATTGACTGAGACAAAGGATTACGTACTTGCTATATTGCTACCGTCATCTACAAGTACAAACTATTATGTTCGAATCCAGTATACACGTGTATGCTGTAGGATCTCCGTAGAAATATTGCTCGCGGACTTTTGAAATGGCTGCCCGAACACACAGGGAGTAATACTTGGTATGAGGAGTACCTAGGTATGTTAGTGGATATTCGGTCATGAAGTTGATGTCGTCAAAAAAGGACCGGATTAGTTGACAGAAACGCCGTAGAGCGCTAACCGTAGGCTAGAGAGGCGTCGTTAGTTCTGCTCCCCGCATTTCAGGAATCGGGTAGGCCACGTAGGGCGGCACCTTCAGGGAAGATCGAAGTGGCTTGGTAGCTATCTTGTTCCAAACTTGGTAAGTCTATGGATCGATCGACGGACCCAGGTGCCAATACCTACTCTAATGGCTGCGGCTGAGTGTGTAGCATGCCGGCTAACCGAGAATATGTTCGAGACTGTTGTTTGATATGAGCTTGTAGCTGCTTGGGTATTGCTTTAAACAATCGGGAATAATGCGCCTACCTAGGTACCTAGATGGTTAATTTATATTGCAACCCGTGTCCATACTGCCTGCAGTCCTGCCACTGTAAATTACAGCTGGATCACTAACATGTCATATTGTATATGAGCTTTGTTTCGAGGGACGAAACATGCAAAACTCCGAGACTATAATAATAGTGCGATCGTCTAAAACCTAACTAAACGTCACAATCCCAAGTTTTCTTCAAGTTTCTGGCTAATAGTATCTAAATATGGACTAGCGAATACCCGCCTCAGTAAAGAACCCTTATCCAGGAAACCTGCTCTTTTGTTTGAGCACTTACCTGAATACCTAGGTACCTTACCTAGGTAGATACCTACCTAGAAGCCCGGTTAGTAGGTACTCACTATGCGAGACAATGACGCCCAATGAATGCTTTTGGTGGAGTTGGCGGGGCTTTAACTTGGAACACAACATATTGTCTCATTTAGTCGGACGATTGCGCATTGGATTACCTCTAGGGTGCCTCTACGGACCGTCGATATAGAGCCATATTGTATGGCCCTGTAAGTGGAAGTTCATGGTATTCTATTGGATGTCACGGATTGTGTATTACTCACATGGCAGGCGCCATATAACGAATTGTTTGAATTTAAATGCGGATCTGTCCCTTTTCACTCAATGATTCTTCGTTGAATCGCAGTGTCTCCAATTCCTTCTGATCCTGTTCCCGAAAATCTAACCATGCCGATACCATAAGGATTGTTGAGAAAAAGGATATCAAGAGGCTAAGCCAACGCGACGTTATTCGGCAAGCGTGAGGATTGCCCTCGTCGTCTGATATACCGTGCAAGCATTCGACGTAATTCTCGCTCTCATGGTGCGTGCCGTTATTAGCCGACGCGTAAAGGAAAGCTGCGAAAGCAATGGCGGCATTCGTGCAAAGGATCGCATATAGTGTATATCTGATCCACAGCTTTGTCTATGGCAAAGCCCTCTTAGTACTCAGTGTCTGTATAGTTCACAATCAGTTGCCCTTACCCGCTTTGACTTGTTTCGCACTACTAATAAGAGGAGTATCTCCAATATCATGGACACCACCACGCTAAATGCCGAGCTCAATATCAATAGATCTTCGGTCGGTGTATATGGTCCTTTAAACTCGGACAGCAGCTTCAATTGTCCCCTTTCCGTCCACATTGTAGCTGGGCCGCTAATAGTAGTAATGAGGTAGATCAACAGGCGGCGAGTATATCGAAATCTCTAAGTTGCTAAAGTGTCTATTGCTTGGCGCTGATATTCCTTAACGATGATACGGCTAGTTCGTTAGGATGGGAATAGTAGTTGTCGTCTCGGCATGTTTCTTCAAATAAAAGATGACTATGAACTACGAACCACAAACCTCAACGAAATTGTCCTCAGCCTTCATTTAAATGGTGGTGTTGGGAGATCTCGTATTTTTAGGAATATGTCTGCCTATGATTGTCTAAGTTTTGGTGACATGGGAGGATCATCACCCCTGAAGGCTAGTTGCTTGGCGTAGTTGGTAGGCTATGTAATGTCGATGCGTCCATTGTAGCTAACAAGCTATCTAGGTAGAGGTAGCATAGCCGCATTGGGGTAAGATATCAGGGTAGCATAGAGTTTGCGAATGAAGTCTTACGAGAGGATGTGACGAATGCCGAAGAGTCATGTAAGCTACAGCGTTGCATGCCCGCAGAGGTGGGGGCCATTGTGTCCCGGATAGCGATCGTGGACACCTAGTGCCGATCCGAGAGCCATCTTCCGAGGAGAGGTGGAATATGAGAAGCCAACGTTAACATAATAATAGACAATAACATCATGAGCTTATATCAACATGAAAATCTCCATCGGTCAAAGATGTCAGTAAGGCTTTGGACGAATACCCTTGGTTAATGCGAAGATATGTCCCATGATATTGACTCCGTCGCCGGAACCCCCACCTTGTATCATGTAATCGAACCGTTCAATAACTGGTCTATCCTCTTCACCACCTATGCTGTAGCTGCTAATTCCGGCGTTGTTCGTATCCGAGGCTTGACCGTAAAGCGCCTCGCTCACTTTTTGAATAAACATATCCTTAGTAATACCGTCATCTGAATCCTTTGGCGCTCGTATCTCGATAACTTCACATTCGTTTTCATCGATGTCACAAGGGCAGCAGTAATGACTTGAAAGGGGCCATTGGGATACGCGCACTTCGATATATGTTCGTGGAGGGGAGAACAACGCATTCGGTATATCGTGATCAGCTTGAGCTGCCTCTCGAATTCCTTGCCAGATAACTCTCTGATGCTTATTATGTGCGTCGCGAGAGTGGTAGTTGTTGTATGGTTTCTTGGCCTTAATCTTTGCAACCGTCGCAGCGGTGTGGGTTTCAACTAATTTGTTCAGACGACTGAATTGAAAATTATGAATGCCTTCTCTGTAACCTTCGTCACTGGTCGTTTGTGGGTCCAGCATTTCCGGGTCGTTTTGATCATCTTTGTAATATGAATCGTCAAGTGGGATAACATAAGGCGCGAATAGTGAGCAACCGGCGCCTGCCATGGTTCGGTTTTGTGGACGATCTGAATATGAACGTCTTAGTGCTAGGGCGGGATTACTTGCCCGGGCAAAATAACGAGTTATCCCGAGATTTGACGAGATCCTAACTAGAAAAATCATTGTTTAAGGGTTGGAAAATGTCAACTTATATATCGTTTTTACAGTATTAAATAAATGCATTAGATTATATCGATGATGACTCACGCGGTATGGAAATAATCCATTTACGGCTTCAAGTTGCAGTTGGCTATGGCTCTCTAGCCAAATAACCCTGGACGAGGTCTAGCATAGCCCCATATGCTACTGTATGAAGGTAGTGCTGCATCGCGTTGTTGTAATCTGATATAGTATCCTCTATTAAATACACTTCTAATTTTTCTAATGTTTTCTAATGTTCAAGTAAACTCCTCTTTGACCATGGAGTCCAGCAGATTCGCCGTGTTTATCTTCAGCAAGACGGCTGGCTATAGGCATGAATCAATTCCTGCGGGGATAGAAGGTATTCAACGGCTTGGGGACTCGTCTGGTGCATTTACGGTCGACTCATCAGAAGACGCATCCCTAATCAATGCCAAAAACCTATCGCGCTATGCAGTCGTCATATTTCTACAGACCAGCGGCGACTTTCTCACAAGAGACCAATTGGTTGGGCTACAGAGTTATGTGCGCAGCGGCGGAGGATTTGTTGGTATTCACTGTGCTGCTTGTGGAATGACGAGGGAGCCTTGGTATAACGAACTTATTGGCGCTGTCTTCACGGACCATCCAGAGCCACAACGCGGGGTTCTGGCAGCCGAGAATGAAGACCATTTTATCACTTCCAGCCTGCCAGCAAAGTGGGAATGGTTTGATGAATGGTATAACTTTGATCGAAATCCTCGCGCAGTAGTAACCGTGCTGTTATCTATTGATGAGAAGACATATACAGGAGGCAAGCACAGCGAAGACCACCCTATTGCCTGGTGTCGAGAATTTGACGGTGGGCGCTCCTTTTACACGTCGCTGGGTCATTTCGACGGTGCGTATAGCGATCAGAAATTCATGAGCCATATTTTGAATGGGATATTGTGGGCAGCACAGAAGACATAGCATTGATGTAAACAAATTCCGATATCTAAGCTGACTGATACTTCTGCTTGATGATTTGAATATAAATTATCATGATACTTGGCAATGAACATCACTATTTCTACTGTTTTGATTCCAGCCGCTTAGGTACCTAGGAGGTGGTGGGTGAATGGTGAGGGCTGAGCACGACGCCCTGCCGCCCCCTAACCGCTTCGACATTCATCTCCCCGCACGTAGGGTACAGCTTTTTATTTGGCTTCCATTGTTAGTGGATCCTTTGTAGGTGTGGAGTAGCTAAAAGAGCTGAAGAATACACCTAGCGTCGCATAAATACTACCTACAACATCATATTCTTTGCGCGTTCTTCGCGGGGATATCCATCGTTTCTTCTTAGCTTCGCATCCTTCACAGCCATATTTCAAGATTTAAAGTGGGAATTTCTTCATTCGCACCTAATCAGATCCGGAGATATTATTCAATAATTCCTTATTTCGGTATGAGGCTTGTCGTGATGCTTACTTCGAGTCACCTGTCCGTCCGAGGGCTTGACCAGGATACGATTCCAGGGTGTAATGGGCACCTGGAGTGATTCTTCAGCTCGGGAGCTCGGAGCTACATCGCTTTAATTATACCCGAAGGATGAAGAAATATAAAGAATGCGCACCTATAACCAGCCGCGCGAGCAAGTCGCGAAACGCTTGGATCCATAGCTTCCGTTAAACACGGGAACTAGGAAAAATGAAGGCTCAAAACATCCTTGCTGTGAGCGTTCTTGGCTGTTCGTTCGGATTGTGTCAAGATAATGTGAACTGTAGCGCTCTCCTGCCCCTCTCCAGTATTATGATTCAAGCTGAATAACTAATGATTTTATTCTTTAGGGATCTCCGTGAACGAGGACAACCCATCCTTTAGCCTGTCTTCCTCTAATATCTCCTACCAATTCCACGTCGATCCGTTAACATTGGACTTGGTCCACGATCATTGGGGCGCATACGCAGCTGAAACCGTTCCAGATTTTGACGGCGTGATATCTGGATGGGGTGGACCATACACCTACCGTCGACGCGAGTTTCCTGACCTTGGCCGTGGCGATTTTCGAGTGCCGGCGATCCATATTCAACATTCTGATGGTGATACCGTCTCGGCGTTTTCCTACACGGGCTATGATGTTAGTGCTGGTAAGCCGTCCCTGCCTGGTTTGCCAGCCACGTTCGGCGGCGAGGGAGATGTATCAACACTTATCGTACATTTATACGATAACTACTCGAATATCTCGGCCGATCTATACTACTCTATATTTCCCCGATATAATGCAATCGCACGCAGCTTCCGAATCACAAACAATGGCAGTCAAGATGTAACCATTCTAAGAGCTAGTAGTTGGAGTGTGGATATGCCAAATGAGGAGCTAGAAATGATTGATCTTCATGGTGACTGGGCAGCGGAGACGCGCATCAATAGACGGTCGGTCGTTTATGGGGAACAAGGGTAAGTCAATAGGCATCTATTCGGTTTTCTTTATGGTAAGACTAATGTCGCGCATAGCTTTCGATCTTCAGTAGGCTACTCGTCGCATTTTCATAACCCCTTCCTTGCTTTGGCGCCTCCAAGTACTACCGAATCGCTCGGCCCCGCTATTGGTTACTCTCTGATTTATACTGGTTCATTCTCGGCCGATGTTGAGCGCTGGTCTACTGGCTGGGTTCGAGTTCTTCTTGGTCTCAATCCCTTGCATCTGTCATGGCCCGTAGCTCCAGGAGATACATTTACCTCGCCCGAGGTAGTTTCTGTCTATTCTGAACATGGGTTAGGCGGAATGTCCCGGTCTTTCCACTCGCTTTATAAGAACCATTTATCCCGATCAAATTACACATTCGAGACTCGACCGCCATTGTTAAACTCTTGGGAGGGTCTTGGTTTCGATTTTAACCAGACTTCGATGGTTAATCTGGCCGAACAGGCGGCGGAGCTTGGTTGTACCTTGTTTGTCAACGATGACGGATGGTTTGGTACGGATTATCCACGCAACAATGACAGTCTAGGTCTTGGCGACTGGACCCCTAACCCAGCTAAATTTCCCGATGGCCTCGGTCCTTATGTTGAGCAGGTAGACAACATTACTATCAAGAACTCATCGGAGCATATGGAATTCGGATTATGGGTTGAGCCTGAAATGGTCAACCCCGACTCGGATTTGTATAAACAGCACCCAGAATGGTGTATGCACGCGGGCACCCACAATCGTACATTGCAAAGGAATCAACTTGTCTTGAACCTCGGCCTTTCAGAAGTTCAGGAGTATATCATTACAGTCATAGAGAGAATCCTAGATTCTGCTCCTATTCGGTACATTAAATGGGACAATAATCGTGGTATGCATGAGATGCCATCCCCTTCCGCAAACCACGCCTACATGCTAGGATTATATCGTGTTATTGATAATCTCACGACTGCGCATCCTGAAGTCTTGTGGGAAGGATGCGCCTCTGGCGGGGGAAGATTTGATCCCGGGTTGCTTCACTATTGGCCACAGAGTTGGACAAGCGATGACACGGACGGCTTGGAGCGCCTGTACATTCAATTTGGGACGTCATATCCTTATCCTCCCTCATCTATGGCTTGCCATGTAAGCGCCGTCCCGAATCATCAAACTGGTCGGACCACCCCCTTGGCTTTCCGAGCAGCTGTAGCCTCTATGTGCGGATCTTTTGGCTTCGAGTTAGATCCTTCCACGCTAGACCAAGACGAACTCGACGCGATTCCATCACTCATTGCTACTCAACAGAAGATTAATCCTATTGTGATCAATGGCGACTTCTATCGTCTGGCGCTTCCTGATCAATCTAACTGGCCTGCAGCAATGTTCGTTTCCCCAGAAGCTGATTCGGCCGTTTTATTCGCCTTCCAGATTCGCTCTGCATTGAAGCCGATACCCCCTCCCCTAAAGTTACAGGGTTTAGACGCAAACGCCAAGTACAAAGTCGGCAATGGGACTTGGGAACAAACATGGTACGGATCGACTCTGCTCAATGTTGGGCTCAGTCTGGGTTGGCCACAGGCGGACTATCAAAGCATTATCCTAACACTTGATAAGCAGTAAATAAATTAACAAAGCATGCTCATATAATAAGCGCTTATTCGATATCGGAGTAAACTTCTAAGACCGTATAACGAGACCTTGCCTATCCCCGTCGTATTCATTCCTGGCCCACGCCCCCTCACAACTTCCTTTATAGGGATTTCCAGTCAAATGCCTTTTCCCATGCGGCGGCAACCTTCAGGCAAGTAGCATCGCCATATTTGCGGCCTACTATTTGCACCGCCGTGGGAAGCTTCACGCTTGGGTCCTCACGAGCAGGGACAAACCCAACTGGCAGCGAAAGAGCAGGATGACCTGAATCTATTTTTAACACAGAATATTAGAGTTATATTCGAAATCCCGAGTGAAGCGGCGCTGCTTACTATTGAAAGGACAAGTATTCGCGATTAACCCAATCGTTCTCGTTAGGAAGTTTAGGGGACCTTCATCGGAGTCCGGTTCGGGTAATCGTGGTGGTGGATAGGGCAAGGTAGGCATAACTAGAACGTCAAATCCCTTCAATGCCTTGTCATAGTTGTCCTAGATCCTAGGTCAATTCGGCTATGTTGATGAAGTGACACGGAAGCTCTCACATTAACTTGCTTTAGGAGATTCATAGCTTTCCCCTGTATTTTGGCGCCATATTTCTCTTGAATCCACAGATACCCCATGTACATATTCGAAGCCCCGGGTCCAAGGGCGTCGAATTGAGATTGAGTCAACTTAGGCCCCACCAACTCAGCTCTATCCGTAAGATACAACTGCTTTCTCCCATCCATGTCTCCAAGCAGAGACTGTCGCCCCCCTGATAAAGGTAGCGCGCATGTCCAGAGCAATGGAGCTTCCTTGTGCGAAGGTATCGAAATAGTACCAACTTCAGCCCCGAGCGATTTGAATCTCTCGATTGCAGACATAACAGATGAGACAACGTTTGGATCTTGCCCAGGAACCTCGAAGCCTTCGGACAACACACCAATCTTAAGACCTTTAAGCATCTCAGACGAGTCTTTAGCAAGTAGGGCATCCAAAGGAGCCACAAATTTTAACTTATCTCCTTCAAGCCCGAAAGGTGGTTGGCGGTCATCCCACCCATCCGGCCCCGCAATCGCCTCGAGGAACAAAGCGCAATCTCTCACATTCTTCGTCATCGGCCCTGCGTGGTCAATAGTTGCATCCAGACTCAGAATACCAGTATATGGGACTAAGCCCCAAGTTGGTTTGAGACCCACTACACCACACGAAGATGCCGGGATACGAATGCTTCCTCCCTGATCACAACCAAAAGCGAGGTCTACAGAGCCAGTCGCGACCAGGCGCCCCGACCCGCTGCTTGAGCCGCCAGCACTGTACCCTTTCGCGTACGGGTTATGAACTTGTCCTGTCACTGCCGTACCGGACATCCCCTCAAGGCATGAATTCTCGCAAGCTACGACTCATCAACAAGGCGTACACGGTACTAAAAAGGAGCTTAAACAAGAGTATCATACCAGCCTTGCCAACGATTATCGCTCCGGCATCCAGGACTCTTGTAACAACAGTCGCATCAATCTCTGGGGTCCAGTCGACCATTGAAGTTCCATTCGTACAACGAACCCCGGCAAAAGCCATGTTATCTTTGAGCGCTATGGTCCGACCCTTTAGCAGATCGCTAGTAGGACTCGTGCATTTCGCAGTCACCTAACCGCTCTACTTATCAGAATCTTCTACTAGTGTGTCGCATCGATCTTACCTTCGTCGCCCACGCTCCAAATTCATTATCTTCAGGGATATGAATATCTGTCCGTGGGTACTTGGTGAGATCAGGACGTGGTAATATGTCCCTATCATCTTGTAGAGACGCAATTCCGGCGTCCAAGGCGGATATCAACGTGCTGTAATTTTCAAGGAGAGGCTCAGAAAGTTCCAGACCGGCATTTGAAAGAATGGGCCGTAAATCATCTTCGGTAACTCTTTTGTCGGGTGCGCCTAGCTGAACTACCGACATTTTGATCTGGTATACACGAAATACACGAGTCTTTCTTATTACTGTAGTAAAATCACCACGCTTAGAGTAACATATCAAGAAAGAGTCCAAGAGACTAGAGCAGAGAGGCATGAGATATACTTAAATATTGACTACTCTCGCTGGCTTATCTCTTAGCCTTAATACCCACTTAACATCGCAGGTGGGGTATATCATACCGAAAAGGGGGACAAGGAGGGGATGTCGCATTGTGATCCTGCGTCTATGAGGATCGAGCAAATAACAGTTGAGGGAGTCCCTACTTAGACGACCGATCAAGATGCTGCAATCTGTGGTGTAACCAAGAACCCGACGTTATCCTATCAGCTACTATACCCATATCTCGATATTCTTACTAATTCTATCATGGTATGGCTATACATATCTCCTCGTGCAGGTCTTGTACTACCTAGGATAGGGTAAGGGGTATGGTTATATGCGCCTGTTGTCTTAGGTAAGCCTACGACACCCCTTTACCCTACCCCTATTTTGCTCTGTCAGCTTCCCTTTACTTCGATCCAGCTCATTATCCGTCTATAGTGCCTAATTTAAACTTCACTAACCTGATGATATTATGTAATCAAAGATGACTTAGATTTTTCGCAGTTCTTCCAAAGCAAAAGTCCTCATTATGAGAACTATGACTACGGTCATTTTCATTGCAAATACTGCATTATAGGTTTTTTATCACTTTATGTTTATCAAACATCTTAGCATTATAAACATTTAGCTATTCACGTATGGAATCTTCATCTGAAGTTAACATGCCGCTGCTCCCGCATCGCACAGCCCTACACAGCCCATCTGACGTTACAGAGGGTAGTGGGGATTGAACCACACCCTCCTACAAGGCAGAATGGGAGTGATATGAGAAGGGAACATAAACAGAACGAATTCCCAACTACTCGAGTTCAGGATGAACCATACTTCGTCGCAATGGAGAAATCTGCGAATACTGTTAACTATGATCCCCTGCCTTCAGATGGGTCGATGATCCGCTTGGTCACAATCCTTCCCGGTGTAAAACATAAAAAGGTCAAATGCACAGTGGCGAACTATCCCTTTTCCAAATTTTCCAAAGGCGCAACTGGAAGTGTTGAGTACGAGGCGCTATCATACGTATGGGGAGACGCTTCAATCACAAATCCTATCACACTCAATGGCCAGCCGTTTCGGGTAACAATAAATCTCGAAGCTGCGCTACGCGCATTAAGACTACAAGATAAAAGAAGACATGTCTGGATAGATGCGATGTGTATCAATCAGACCAATTTGCAGGAGCGAAACCAGGAGGTCCGACGCATGGGTGATATCTATAGCAACGCGCGACAAGTTATCGTATGGTTGGGCCGCGAGGTGGAACCTGGAGATGTGCACATCTCGGATGATCGTGTTACTCAAAAGACTCACAGTTTATTAAACTCCTTGGCAGATGCGAGCCCTCAAGATCCCGATGCTGCCGCACGAGTTTTAGATAGAACGGGAAATACTATGCAAGCACTATTGCTTCTGCATAAATTCTTCTATCGCCCATGGTTTCAACGCATCTGGATCTTGCAGGAAATAGCTCTGGCGAGGACTGCAACGATCGTATTCGGTGGCCGCGGGATAGGTTGGGATAGACTTCTACAAGCTGTCGACGCCCTGCGCAGACTTCAGCTTGGTTCGCATACGCATATATGGAGACTGAGCGGCGGAGGGGAAGCGGATCGCGTGCAGAGGTGTTGGATGCGACGTCGAACCGCAACATCACAGGGCGAACTAGAGCAATCCATCCACTTTGAACTAGCCGACCTGCTGTGGCAAACGCGCTTCTACAAGTGTACTGAACCTAGGGATAGATTATACGGTATCCTAGGTTTAGTGAAGGGCGATTTAAGCGGAGAGAAGTTACTTGAAGTTGATTATACGAAATCCGTCGCCGAAATATTCAGAGATTTGTCCATTTTTATGATCAAAGGGGGAAAGCTTAGTCATGTCCTTTGCGCCGTAACAGAAGATACTATAGATGGTTTGCCGTCATGGGCAACGGCTTGGATTGCTAAATTAGAGGGTACGACAGCCTCGAAACTTTCGAATGGCATCGTGATGCACATGCAGTCCTATGAATTTAAGGGTATCGAACAACCGCCAAACCCGCCACGCCTCTCGGTCGATTCTCAAAGGATAACGATCAAGGGATTTATATTCGATGATAGCATTCGGCATGTTAGTAAACACTTCAATCAGGGTGCTACCACCGACTACACCCTTGACCGACGGGCTAAGTTGATTCGCACGCAGCTTACTGGATGGCAGGAAGATATGGAATGCCAGCGTTGTGCACAAGAAATATTCAAAACTCGAGCTGAACGATGCGAGGCCTGGAAGCACGCTATCCTTCATGAGTTGCCAGGCGACAAGACCGAGCTAGGCCAACATTATGACCTATTAATGAACCACGAGGATGAACTACCATCAGCAACCGAGAGTGCACTGATACTGCGCCTTGTCACCGATCTAGATGCGAACCTAGGGCTTCATTGTGACTTCCGAAGGCCTTTCATAACACGATCAGGCCTCATGGGTAGTACGGGTACGAGTTGTGATGTGCATCTTGAGGATAAATTATGTGTATTTGTTGGATCGGCTGTGCCTTACCTCCTTCGGCCTATTGATGAGGCCAAGAGGTTGTATCGCTTCGTCACTTGCTGTTGGGTACCTGGACTTCTAGACCTCGATTTGGAGGAAGGACAAAAGAGGGGGCTATGGAAAATACAGGATATCACCCTCGTTTAATCACAAGGGAGGTGCGCACTTCCAGATTAAGGCGCATAAGGTATAGCCCCAGGTGGGAACGGATTTTGTCCAATCGTGACTGCGAAAGTTATAGGCTTTTTAGCTGCTACTGCATAAAGCAAGCTCCGATCGGGGGTTGGAACGAAGCTATATGTTCTCAGGGGGCTGGGGCAGTCTGTTTCGCGGCATATTGCTTTCGACCCTCCTCTTTGAGCTTCTCATCGTCTGGGCGACGAAGCTCTACTTGGGGCATCATGAACCATGCGACGAAAAATGCGAAAGCTGCTAAAGACGCCCCAACAATGAATATCACCCTAAAACCTTGGCGATATGCAGGCACAAGCACCGAGCGAATATGTTGAGCATCGCTTGGAGGTAAAGATGAGAGATAAGACTGTGGACTGTTGAGAAGGTCCTTGAGATCGGCTTCGCTGATACTTAATGATGACAGAGATTTTGCCACGATATTGTTTCTGGGTGCCCAGGTCAGTTTGATAATTCTGATAAAGAACCGTTAGTTCCGCGGGAGTTGCTTACAGTAGAGTACCGCAGATGGCAAGACCGAATGTTCCACCCAAATTCCGCACAAAACTAAGACGACATCGTTAGTTAGATAAGAGATGCGGGTTCCAGGGGGCTCACTTTCTAAAAGACGTCACCACGGCCATATCGCGTCTCTCTACTCCAGCCTGACAGGCTATAAGGGCCCTGCACATAATCAGCAACTTCCAGTTTCACTATAAAGCAACGGGTGGTTTCGAGCCCTTACGGCTGTAGCGTATTTCCAACACCCACACCAATGATTATCGCATATCCTATTTGCTTCCCAAGTCCTGAGGTTTCATCCAATGTCGACATCAATCCAAGGCCAATTACCCAACATACCCAACCGAACAGAATACACTCGCGATACCGCCCAACCCAATGAACCACCAGGCCGGATAATGTACTGCTAAGGGTCTGGATAAGCGTGATGGGCAGTAACATGGCACCAGCTTTCGTAGCCGAATATCCATAAGCAAGCTGGTAAAATGTGGGTACGTAGTAAACTTGAACGACGAAATTCCAGCCATTAATAGCCATCGTTAGGCATGCCCCATTGACGATCTTAGACTTAAAGATATGTACTATGTTGGTGATCAGTCATGCATCAGGAACGTTGAGTTGAGAACTGACGTGGTACCAAGGGATAACGCGGTCCTCTCCACTGCCATAAAACAAAAGCGACGCAGAGCACAAATCCAGTTACCAATGTCGCAATGACAGCAGATGAATCCCAAGGATATTCAGAACCTCCCCACGTCAAGCCAAGCATGAGAACAGACACGCCGGCGAGCGTAAGCGCAATACCCAGAAAATCGACTGCTTTCAGTTTCCTATCAAAGCGTCGGTCAGCATGTGATAACTCCACGGGGCCATCAAGTCACTTACAATTTCCAGTCTCCCTCAACTTTCTTGAGCGGCATGATGAACACAACGCAGCATGTGGTCAACAAGGTAAGCGGCAAATTCAAACGGAAGATCCACCGCCAAGATTCTTCCGAAATAGAGGAAAGCGAACCTCCGATCACAGGCCCGATTCCGTTAGCAATAGCAACAACCGCTCCCTAAATGATCTGTCAGTTGTCTGATCTCTTAAGAAGCGAAAGGGATGCACGATATCCACATACCAGGATGCCCTGATATTTACCCCTTTCCCGTAGCGGCACCACATCGCTAACAATTGTCTGAGCTATGGTCATTAACCCACCTCCACCGATACCAGTGAAGCATCGGAAGATGATCAATTGTGTAACAGTTTGGGCGAGAGACGATGCCAATGATCCGAAAAAGAAAATCGCCAACCCGATGAGGAGAATCACTTTGCGCGACCAAATATCCGAAAGCCTCCCATACAAAAGTTGACCGACCGTTGAAGTTCTAGTAATGCGTTCAGCTTGTAGTTCAATGCCGATAGGATTGGTAGCGTTTCAAATCATCAAAACTTACATGAAATATCCGCTGGCAATCCATGATGCCTGATCGCTAGACTTCAAAGAACCTGCGATGATGTACAAACTCGCTGCTAGTGTAGTCTGGTCCATGAGGGCTAGCAAGTCTACGCTAGAACACGCCAGGAATATCTTCGAGCAATCAGCATACCTAATGAACAGAATCTGCATCGGTGGGGACTCACCATGATAATTGTCTTCTTCGGAACATAATTGGTCTGCTCGTTGAAGACATGGTGAGCCTCGGTTTCACTTTCAGAGGTACTTTGAGGTCCTGTGACTTCGGGTTGCTCTCCTTCAATGGTAACGTTAATGACACCGTCCGATTGGGACCGGTGTGCCGCCGCACCCTTCTCCATGGTTATGGTGGTTACAGGCGCGTGGGATGTTCAATTCATAGAACGGCTCGAGTGAATGTCTAGTTTGTCATAGAATTCAAAATGAGAAAGCAAGAGGCGAAGGGGTAGCACCATATAACCTGCTAGAAGATGCACCCTTGTCAAGCTAATATGCACTTTGCTCGATGAGGTCCTCAACGATCGATCGGCAGACCTTGATGGCGACCGAAAAAAAAAAATATGTGGGTAGAACAGACCCGTTAGCAAGGCCGAAAAGGTCCCCCGTCACGCAATATCTTTTCCAAGGTAGAAATCAACACGGGATAGAATTGTCCTAGGTACAATCATAATAATAATAAAGACATAGAGAGTTGAATTTAACAATACTCTAAGACGGGAAACAGTAGTGGAGCTCCGAGCCCGAGTTACCCACTCCGAAACAGAGCAGAAGAAGCGGTGGATGCCAGTAATGAGTTAGTTATTCTTAGTAGAAAGCCAAGCTTACAAGAGACACGCAAGCAACACGGGATCTTATTATCAAAGCGCAGCACACAAGACATTTCCAAGGTTTATGAAGAAACTTGAAGAAACTTACAACTAAGCCGAAGTAGACATACGATATGTATGCATCCATCCTCGATACTACGTCAAGGGTCAGCTTTACCACCTCACTATCCACAAAAAGACATGGCCAGGGGGGTTGTCTCAGCCTCATTGGTCGGAAACGACCTCAAAGTGCCTCGTACAGGGGTTCGGACGCTATACTGTAACCTATGTGACCGCAGCCCGGGAATGGGGTCACGGAGCCAGACGGGCTTCAAAGTCTATTTGCCCGTGCTAAGGACATTGGACGACGCTCATTTATGATAGCTCTTTGCGTCTAACTCACCCGCGTTCGCGACATGTCGATCATCGGCCGGCCAAGACATTCTGGATGAAAGAGAACCATGTCGATTACCGAGAAAAAGGGGAGTAAGTCTGGACTGCTCCACGATCGCGTCGCTAGTTTTGGAGGTATATCCATGAAACAAGCTCATGATAGGTAATTGGTCTGAACAGATTGTGACGTGCTCGGGAATGTGGATGTGACTAAAGTACTAAGATCATAGTCATGCCGGGGCTGCTACCTACATCAATAACCGTTTTACATCCTTCGGAGCGAAGACTTTAGGAGATATATTTTACCTGCTGCCCTTCTTATCAGTTACCAGTTCTAAGTTTCCCTCGGGTGTGATACCTTAACCTTTTATTTGTGGTACGGAACGGCCCGAGCTGACAACATAGTCGATCATGTCGAGTAACAATCCCCTAAACATTTACAAGGGCCCTAACTCGGTCCGAGATTACTTCGATCCGGATTCAGCACCTCCTCTACCTCTTGTCGAGATACCGGATAGTCTCAACCCATACCGACGCGATGGAGTGAGGATATATGCGAAGATGATGACGATGCATCCAGCCAACAATGTGAAGGCGATGCCAGGTAGGTGTTATTGGTTTAACACTCTAGACGATTGGCAATTCTGACAAATTCCGGCAGCGTTGAATCTTCTAGAGAAGAGTGTAGTGCCGGGAAAGACAAATACCATCATCGAGTATAGCTCAGGTTCCACAGTCATCTCCATGTCCCTCATATCCCGAGTATTTCACGGCATACCCGACGTCCGTGCATTCCTGAGCAACAAAACGAGCACAGCTAAATTGCGATTGATGCAATTCTTTGGTCTCGATATGTGAGATCCCATTGCGGATTTGCTGTCTTGGAGGGTTGTTGGTTAATTATTTATTAGTACTCTCTTCGGTGGACCCTCCCAACCCGAGCCCATGGATGAACGGGGTGGAATAAGGGCCGCTCAAAGAATGGCAGAAGATAATGAATCAATCGTCAATCCTAACCAGTATGAAAATGACGATGTAAGCTGATGTCGTCTTCTCATACTATAATCAGCGAAACTGACGGAGAAATAGAACTGGAAAGCACATGTTAGATGGACGGGCCCACAGATCCTTCGACAACTACCGGAGATAAACTTGATATGCGCTGGTATGGGTACATCTGGTAAGCATCGTCGACCTCTCGAGAGTTACATCTCATTGACTGTCCTTAGGAACCGTAACAGGCCTTGGAACATATTTCAAAGAAGCCAAACCCTCGGTCTTTTGTTTAGGGTACACCTTTCATCCATTCACTTCAATTGCCACCTAGGTAGGAAACCGGCTAACAAAGCATAGGGTCTGCACTGCAGCGGGCGATAGGGTTCCAGGCCCTCGTTCATTCGCCCTTCTCGCTCCTGTCGAATTTCCTTGGAAATCAGCCGTGGACCATATCGAAGAAGTTGGCTCACACGATTCTTTCTCATTATCATTAGATCTATGCCGGGAAGGAATTGTATGCGGCCCTTCTTCAGGGTTTAACCTCAAAGGACTTTTCCAATTCATCGAGAAACATAAGGCCGCAGGAACGCTCCGAGACTTCGCGGGCGAAGATGGTGAGATTCACTGTGTATTCCTCTGCTGTGATTTGCCGTACCAGTACATCAACGAGTACTTCGACAAGTTAAGCCCCGAACACTTCCCGACTATTAAGAATGAGGTAAGTGTTGACATTCCCAGATGAAGAGGCTCGATCCGGACAATCTGTGACAAGGATGCTAATTTGGATATTAGGCGTTAACAAAAGTCGACCTTTACCGATATGATGAGGCGTGGGAGAAAGATGCAGCGGTTGCGCTTCCTCAATTCTTAGATGTGAAGCGAGTTCCAGCCCAAGATGTGCCAACTCCGGGTCTTAAGCCAATAGTAACGGGAGAGAATGACATCAATAACTCGATAACTCTTAAAGAAGGGATGTCCATCATCGATCTTAGGCAGCCACTCGATTTTGCGAGGTTCAATCTTCCCGGGTCAATCAACCTGCCGTTTGCGGAGCTATCCAGACCCAGCCCATTCTCGGACCCGGAGGTACTTGAAGCGCTATGGAGACGGCTTGACGGACACTTTAAAACTCCGAGTGACGAGCTACTCCCATTGGTGAGGAGCAAGCGGGCACTGCTACTCTGTTACGATGGGAACAGTTCTCGCGTCGCGACCAGCGTTCTTCGGGCAAAGGGTTATGAAGCCGATAGTGTGCGCGGTGGATTCCGAATGCTACAGGATTTCGACGCGAAACAAGCCAAAGGTGACCATATCTTCACCTCTAATCCAGAAACTAAACATGGGGTTGCAGTGGCGCATGAGGTTGAGTTAGTAATGCCTTCGTAAGTTGCGGTGGCGTGGTGCAGTAATGATATGGGGAAGTTCGGGGAGTTTGGTTGGTCCGCGCCGGATGGTTGCGGTTTTCGCACGGCAGTGCAGGTTGCGGCATGCCGACTAGCCACAAGGGGTACGATGTTGCGGAAAAGGCGGATATATATCTAGGTAAAGCACCTGTGCGCTTTGAATGTAGCAGGGATAGAAGAAGCTGGAGAGCGGGATAAGTAAGTACCTTATTTGTCTGTACGTGCGTTCGGATGTTTGTATATGTATATCCTTAAGCGACAGCAAGCTATATGATATTCTTCTCGTATTGAAATGACCAATTAGAACTGAGGTATGTAAGCAGCTGGAAACTGGCACATGCCATTTGTGGGAAATGCTTATGTTTACTAATTGTCACCCTGCTATACTACCCATCTGGGCTGAGCAGGGAGTATAATTGGAATCGGATAGTTTTTGAGCCCGTCGTTGTCATTATTCTCATCATAAAATACAACCAAAAGCGGGACAGAAGACTTCAACCTCAACGAGCTTGCTGTTAATTTTATGCATACGGAGACTTTTAGTATCGTCCATGCCGTAGTACTTAGAGCAATATATAAAAATAATAGTTAGTAAGCTTTTATCGTATCCCTTACATATAATAATTATACCGATCGACGGTGGGGGCTGGTAGAATACAGCACTGATCACATACGCAGGGAGAATGTTTACGGCCATATGCGGCGCAATATAAGTGGTTTATACCTGGGTATTCTTACATACCGGATCGAACCATCCCGGATTCTTATTCGTATCCATAACCTGTAGATGTCACAGTTTGGTAACGAAAGAAGAAGGCAGACTATAAACTAGGGAGTAAAGGCTCCTGATATAAATGGGAAGTTGCCGCCACTGTATGTGGGATACCCCAGGTAACTTACTGGGAACTTGCAGCAGTTGTGTAACTAGAATAGCTCCTTGGGTTCACTTCCCGATCCACTGTCTCAGTTCGGGTAGTGGGCGCGAAAAAAAATACGTTTTGAATGGGCAGCCTGGAGTCTCACGGTTGTATCGCACCCGAATAACGGCAAAGACAAATCTCAACCATGGCTGCAGCAGAAAAGCCGTTTCGGGCGATTATCGTGGGTGGTGGCCTCGTCGGCCTTATGGCCGCACATATCTTTACGAAGGCAGGCATCGACTTCGTGATACTCGAACAGCACGAGGATTTGATGCCCGAGCTAGGTTCTCTACTAAGCGTGTGGCCCCCGACATTCCGCATCCTCGACCAGCTAGGCCTCCTCGATGAAGCGTGGCCAGTTCTCGAAGAAGTCGGGGTTGGGTGCACCAAGTCTGCTGACGATGACTCCACTTTCTATGAAGTTCCCATGAATCAAAAATTTAAGGAAAAGTAAGTCCCGCCCCGAACGAGAGAAAATGAGGATAAGGGATAGCGCTAATCGCATCGCATTTAGCCATGGCCACGGATTGCGAATTACTCATCGTCCTCGTTTTATTGAAGTTCTATATCGACAATTACCCGATAGCGCGAAAGACCGAATCAGGTTGAAGAAACGCGTAGTTAGTATTCAGGTGTTCGACGATAGCGTGAGTGTTGAATGTGACGACGGTACGACCGTCAGGGGGTCAATCATTGTTGGTGTAGATGGCGTTCACAGTAGGGTTCGTCAGTGTATGCAAGCGATGGCAAATGGCAAACCACCCCCAGACAAATCGGAAAGACCGGGTAATCCATACGTTACAACTTATCGAATGCTCTTTGCAAATAGTCCAATTCTACCCGGGTTGAAAAACAATACCGACTATCAGTGCGCATCGGCTCGCGTGGCGACCCAAGTTGTAGTCGGCAGCTCTCAAGCTTGGGTGGGCGTATACGAAGCGCTGGACGAACCCATAACTGGGCGGGTCAAATACACCGACGAGGATAAGAAGAAAACGTTGGAGAAATGGGGACACCTTTATATGGCTCCTGGCTGGAGAGTGCGCGATGTCTTTGCTTCGAATGTTGATGGCATTGGTATGATCAACTTGGAAGAGGGTCGAGTGGATAAATGGTCCTATAAGCGCGTCGTCCTCGTAAGCGATGCTGTTCGGAAGCTATCGCCCCTAGGCGGACTGGGCTTCAACAGTGGTACTCTCGATGTTGTTGTTCTCGTTAACAAACTCCGACGCTTGCTTCAGACGACAGCATCTCCCAGCACGGAAACCCTAGAAGCCTTATTCGTTGATTACCAGAAGGATCGGTTGAAGGACGAAAATCCAATACATGAACTCTCAAGTGATCGCACACGAGCAATCGCATGGCTCTCATTTAAAGACAAAATAATGACGAAATATGTTGTCCCTTGGAGTCCATTGAATTGGTATGCGTTTAAATACGTCTTTGCACCACTCATCTCGCGGCTGCCCGTCCTATACTGGTTAGAAGAGAACGCGCTTCCCAAAAAGATACGAGTATCCTATATCCACCACCCTACTCCTAGCGGTCAGCGTTCAGTATCCAAGAGTCATGGGTCCTCTATCCTATCCATTTCCGTCATTGGCCTTGTGTTAGCTGCTATTTCTGCGATCGGATTTCAGTACTCTCGAAGATTATGATAGTGATGGGACGCAAAGTCGGATAATTGTTGCGAAAATCGATTCATAATGAAAATACTCGACTCTTATAATATCCTAAACTCCTTTTAACCCCTGCGTAACCCAATACCGATGATAAAAATTCCCAAGTCAATATGATCTAATCACTTACCTTACGAGATATTATACCATAATCATATGCTACCCTCGATATCTGAGGCCGTATTTATCAAAATGTAATTCGCCGCCATCCGCCGCACCGAGATACCTAAATGTTGGTGGCGTTAGCTTAAGTCAAATCATTGGATGATATATAAGGCCATACATTGTTCTATGATCAGTTTCACGATCGAAGCCACCCTTCAATTCCCAAATATCTTCCATATCCTCTCGATGCTTGGTCTTCGGCTTATTCTGAGCAACGCGTAGTTTCTCGAAATACACGTACGCGGCGTAGAATACGGTACTCTTAGCGCCTGTCTTAGCACGCTTTCCAGCACGGAAATCGGCGAGTTGTTTTGATTGGATACCCTTGATAGTAGTTGCGTGTAGCTGGGCGTATAAGTCGCGACAGAATTGGGCCTGTGTGACGTTTGGCAGCTTTAGATGCGCATTGACCTTCCTACGGATCTCGTCGCAGGAATCGTAGACACTGACCGAGTCGGTTTCCTCGCCGTCCAAGTGTATGTTACTAATATCAGGAAGCGACGCGACCTTCGCTGCCTTCGGGGCCGAGCTCCCCGTGTTAGAACTTGTAGAGGCTTCTGCTTGTTGTGTCTGTCTTTTCTTTGTCTGGCATTTTCAGCTTCATGACCTCTCGTTGCCTAAACTATGTCCACACATTGGAGTAGATAGAGTTATTGCATTCTTCATAAGTTCTAGATTGTTTGAGGAAATTATTGAGAGAATTTGTGTTGGAATTACGACCACCGATAGCCTGAGCAAATCCTGTTTTCCTCATAATGTCAGCATCGGGGAGTTTATTGATTCGATTGCGTACAGCTTGGCAACTAGGCTTAGGTTCGTATTCAAAGTCGTCGGGCGAGATAATATCGTCCAGGTTCTGCTTATAAGCCGCAATTTCATCTTCTAATGACAGTTCTGCTTTTCGTTTCTTACTGGATGATGGGCCGCTGGTTGCAGCGCTTTTCGTCCGTTTGGCACCCCCCGGAACGGCATTTGGCCCAAAGGAATTCGCTTCTGTGTATTGTTGAAGGGTCATAGTTTTATACTCTTCAAAAGTAAGGCCCATTGCGTTCCTTGCAGCGTTATTGCTCGATAATTTGTCGCTAGCCGCCGTTGCGGGTAACTGGTTGGCACGATTACTCACATCTTCAAGAGCCACGCGTTCCTGACGTGACGTAGTTAGCATGACGAAGTCCTATTAGCTTAGCATACTTGTACGAGTTAGCTCTTACCGGCATGATGGATCATCTATTTTCTGGTAGCCTAAAATTGTCCTAGAGAATTTCGTTTGCGAAATTATCGTATAGCAAAAAGTTAAGTCTTATAATACGCGTTCGCGTCATTGCGATAAGCGAAAAGAAATAATGATAGTACTAGAGGAAAAGCTAAGATCCACCGAGTCTCTGTGCTTAGATCGTGTAATCGATAAGGGGTAAGGCAAGGTGGTGAAACTTCCAATGTCGAACGAGAATGAAGAAAAACACCCTTGATCTGAAGCAATACCTTTTTTATCCGTTTCTGGTTAGAGAATTGCAACATGTGGAAAAGCGACTTCTAAGATATATGATAGGGCAAGCCAACTACCAGAAGGGCCCAGAAACGACCTATCAGTTTTCTCGTAAGTTAGCCCGTAAACTCTTGAATATGGGTGATACCTTTATCGTGTATAATACGCAAGTCATCAATTCTTTTCCCGAATAGGTAATTTCCTACTTTGGCAAGTACCTAGGCAATCGGTAATGTTGGAAATCGACTTGATGTTCAATTGAGGTGACGAAAGCGGCAAGGCCTATTATTAGATTGATGCCATGTTAAAAATTTCTAGACTTGATGTACGGATGATGATCTTCCAGGTCTTTGGAATTGCCGAAGCAACCCCACACAAAATTCATATGGCTATTCTCATCGAGTGCGACAATGTCATCTCCTTTACCGGTTTGACATCATATACTAATTCGTATATAGGGAGGGGGAGTCTGCCCTGACTGGGCATCTTTAGCCAAGAAATGTAATTGTCTTGAATAGGCTTCTCTCTCTATTCTGTGCTAGATTTTTTTGGACGAGATTGAAAATGTTGAGACTTACTCTCTCCGCCCTGGGGCTTCTCGCCGTCCAGGCGGCAGCGCAATGCACTCGTGAATCACTCATTGCTGCGACAGATAGCCTTCTCGCGGCACAAACCGAGGGAAAGCCCGATGGCATATCTCCCCTGGCCGAAAGTGTCACCTATCTGGAGGCGTTCAAGACAGCTGATATTAAGACTGGTATCCTGTCGCATCCCCTCAAGATCGACTTCAACCGTAGTCTCCACGACACGGTTCAGTGCGCGACCTACACCGAGATCGTCGTTACAGACAAGACGCACCCGTATGTCATTGGTACGCAGTTACGGTTCGCCGACGGCAAGATCGCCAATATCAGCAGTCTGGTCACGGACCAGGGAGACTGGCTCTTCAACGCCACTGGCACTTACTACTGGGCATCCCGCGAGAAGTGGGACCCGATCCCCGAGGACCAGCGTGATTCCCGAGAAGTGATTCAAGCTGCAGCCGACGCATACGCCGACCTATTCAACGACAAGACTGTGCAGGTCCCTTGGGGCACCCCTTGCGCACGTCTTGAGGGCGGCTCGTACACTGGAACGGGTTCGGCCACCGACAGCTGCAATGTTGGCGTTCCTAGTGGTAAGTAGTGGTTAATTAGTATACGGTCTGGATCAGCAAGTTACTAAAATTTCGGATTTATAGGTGTCAAATTGAGCAACCGCCGCTATGTTATCGACGAAACTCTTGGTGCTGTTGACGTCTTCATTGACTTCGCGACTGTGCCCGATAGCCACGAGTTCCGAGTCGAGAAAGGCAAGCTTCGTTATGTCCACACGATTACTGTGATGGGTTAGGTATACGGAAAGGAAAAGTCCTCCCCTTTTAGTGAGATTGTTTAGTCTTAGAAATGGGGTTAGCTGAGAAGGAATGTCTCCGATATAAGTCGTTATACAAAAGCTTCGCCTCATTTTGCAAGAATACAGCATGCGCAGTATTACTTTCCGACTGCTCAGGCGCTATTAGTGACATGTCTAGGTAGAGTGATCCCTACTAGCGACAACGCGAGGGGGTTAATAGGGCATAGCGGGGTAGTCCTAGGGGGTGTAGACCCTGAAAATCCCCACCCCTGAGGGCGTTCCAATGGCGATCCTTGGGCGTAACTTAGGTTCCTAGGCATGTGCTGACCATTGGATGTCCACTTGATCGTCGAGATAAAACCAGATACAACAAAACTTCCCTTTTTTTTTTTTTCAAACGGTATTTAGTAGAGGTGAGTTGCCAAGGGCAAGAGAGATGATGGGTAAAAAAGAAAAAAGAAATATCCCGTAAGAATCACTTATGAAGCTAAAGGCGGGTTTTGCTTGACTTCAAGAAACAATTTCGGCTGATGGCTAAGTCATCAGCTTATCCATATGGCGACACCAGAAGCAAGGGTCTACCATATTCTTAAACTCATGAGAATAACTAGGTAACTGACGTGTGGTGATAATAAAGGTAGTAAACGATAAAACAATAGAGTGTATATTATACACGAAAATTAAGGAGGCTTTGAGTGACAAGCGGACAGTATAGTCTTTAGAGACGAGCCAGATGTATTGCGCAGGGCGGACCAAAAATGGGTGTAAGTGAAGATGATGCATTAGTGAGAAAAAAAAATGAGCCGAAAGAAAGAAAGAAGTAAAATAAGAGGATGACTAAGTAACTTATTAGTAAGCAATATCTTCATAAAGCTACATGTAAGTATCAAGTAATTCGCCTAATCCACTGGGAAGTCACAGGAGCCACAATAACCAACGGAATAAGCACATGGCGAGTCATCGTACCTGCCCTTTTTTTTAGTCTCACCGCTATCGTATCGCCGATAAATTTGACGATAGCGACAAAGTTGTGCGGTAAGTGGGTCGCGATACGGGATCTATCCCGTTCTAGGCCCCCAAAAATAATCATTTTCGTCTCACTTTCACCATTTTTCTCATAAAATGCTCAATGGCCTAATAATTCTTTCTTTTCGTCTTTGTTCCCTTTTTCTTTTCGCTCCGTCTATTTCTCCTTGTCTCTCATTAAGAAAGTCATTCATTCTCAAGACGGACCGTGAGTCTTACCGAGGACTCCAATGAGCCGAGCGGGTCTTCCGCTGTCTCCCACGAGCAGCCTACCACCTCTGCGTTCGTTGGTCTCACTCAACGAAGAAAAGATCTTCTCAGCCCTAGACAACCTACAGGAGATCTACTGCCCTGTCTCATTATCGCGGGCTGTCAAATCACAACTCGAACATGGGAAAGCTCATAATATTTTGCCAGAGCAAACTGCCGATTCCGGTTATGTGTCCGAGGATGATCTATGCCCGGACGAAGATATAATAGATCCGGAATGTGCTATCGATGCGCTCCGTGCCGACGTATTCGAACGCAACTTCGCGATCCGCTGGTTGACAACCCTAATCGCCCGTGTCGAGGAGTTGAAACTAGACGATGAGGACGAACATGAACTAATTGTCGACAAAGCTTCCTTCATACTAGCCTCATTCACTGCGCCAGCTGAGGAAGATGAAGAGGAAGATACAGGGATTACTCGCGACTTCTCCTTCGAGCTGACTAAGGGGTCTGATGTTCAAAAGGCGGTCACAATAAATGTGCGCCTTAATGATGCTCCACAGACTACCACGGATCACACCGACGTTGGGTTACAGAGCTGGGGCGCATCTATTGTTTTCTCCGATTCGATATGCACCACCCCAGATCGATTTAGTCTCACTAAGGATGCCCTCGGCCCTTCGCCGCGTATCATAGAGCTTGGAGCCGGCACTGGACTAGTTAGTCTCGTCCTCGCTAAAGGGCTGCCACATCTCGGTATCACAAACGCCACTTTGATTGCGACCGATTACCATTCTGCCGTGCTGGCCAACCTAGAGGCTAACATCCAACTCACCGAAGCAGAAGTCAAAGCGTGTCCCCTTGACTGGTCGGCCCCCATCTTAGCAGCGCCGCTCGACAAACCAGCAAATGTGCTGGTAGCCACCGACGTCATCTATGCACCTGAACATGCTATGTGGCTGCGTAATTGTGCGACCCTCCTATTAGCGCCTGGGGGTGTGTTCTGGCTGCTTATGACAATACGTCCAAATGGTCGCTTCGAGGCGGTTGTCGATTCCGTCGAGGCTGCGTTCCAGGGAACGAGTCCTAAAAACCCAGAAGGTCGGCATCTTGCCATTTTAAGCATGGAAAATGTAGAAAAGCGCCGTGGTATTGGCCGCGGGGATGAGAGTGGTTATAAACTTTTTAGAATCGGATGGGCTTAGACAGATAGACTAGAGCTAGGGTTAGAGCATAGAGCACAAAGCATAGAACATTAGATGATGCATAAAGATAGCATAGCATAGCATAGATGAGGCGTAGGGGCGCGCTAGATACCTTGGATGCTTTAATAAGACCGATGATTTTCACATATTTCTCCCCAGCAGCAACTTACTATCATGTGATGAATGTCTCACCGGTTAGTTCTCCCATTCGATCTTGCCCGTCTCATCTCCCTCTTATTCCATCAGTTGCGGGGAAAGAATGGCATCATATCTTGACAGTGCGAGAAGCTTCATCAACGGGTATGAAAAATGCCAAGAAGAGGAAACGGAATACCCCACCCCCCGAAGTTCGGCTCTTAGGGAGGGCGTGCGCTTAGTAAGTACACAAATAGGGGAACAAGTACACACCAAGATATTGACACTGTCAGCGTTACTATCGAAGAAAAAGCAAAAGAATATGTATGAAAAACCCTATGTACCCCATTCCCCCAGGAATAACCCATTATCTATACCGCCATGTACACCCAACAAACAAAATCTTACAAAAAGATTATTCGGCTCTCTTGACCGAAAAGGGGTTTGGCGTGAAGATATCATACGGATCGACTCTCTTCCGAATCTGTTGCAACTTCTCATATTTGGCGCGATCCTCATAATAGCAGTGCCAGACGTTATCGAGATTCCAATCTCCCCATGAACCCCAGAGCACGCGACGATCCTCCTTGGAAAATAGCCCATTAGGCCCGATCGCCTCCGCGTCATTGACCTTCTGCCAATCATTGGCCCGCGCTTCAGTCTCATCAGTATGGAAGCAGTCCATCACACAGCCAAGACTAGTATCGCGCCAGCTGAAAGAAGTGCCATTGCCCGCATTTCGCGCGAACATCGAATTCACACCGCCGAAACATTGCATCTGCGCCGAAAGCCAACACCGGTTATGCTCGGGCCGCACGATATCATCGATGCGCTTGACCATCCACTCCGACCACTTATCCGCGGCGAGCGTACGCGAATTCGTCACATAAGTGCGCTTGACATACTATAACATGAGGTGTCAGCCCTAACATCGCCACCGTAAGAAATTAGATCTGTCTCAGGAACACAAGCGCATAAGCGGTCTAGACTAAGCGTTATCCAGATCCAGATGCACTGAGACACGGCAATAGGGGGAAAAGATGTTTCGAATACGTACCGGATGTTCGAACTCGCGCACGTTTCGGAAGATCCAGTCACCCGTTAGCTGAGACATGGGCTTTTCCTCAACGTCGCTGTCACCCAAGATCCAGTCAGACCCCTCCTTAATGCGGTCGAACCATGACATATCGCACACGTCGCCGCTCTCGAGCGGGACCCACTGCGCGAACACGACGATAGTGCGAGGCCATGCAATCATACCGTCCTTACCATATAACTCTGGATGTGCTCGCGCCATCCACTCATCCAAACCGGGACATAAGTCCAAAAGGGGGAAAGCGGAACTAAGGACGCTGATGCAGAAGTCGTAATTCCGCGGGAAATTTTCGTTGTCCGACATCTCAACCAGGATATCTGTGAGACGCTTCAAAGTCTCTGTATCGTAGAAATACAACGCTTTCATGCCCCTAGATCCGTTGTAATCTTGGTCGCGATGCAGCTGGATGGTGAAGTGGGTCAGAACGCCCAGATTCCCCGGACTACCGCCTAGGAATGCCCAGAATAGATCGGGGTCGGTCTCCCTAGTTACTTCCTTGAAGTTCCCGTCCGTATCGACGATCTCAAGGGAAAGCACGTGGTCACCAAATAAGCCGAAGCTACGGATTAATTGGCCATAACCTATGATCATCAATCAGCACCAGTCGTCTGTAATAGCCGGCGGTACGAGTGTATGACCTGCAAGCTGCAAATTACACCTTACATGATCTCACAAAAAGGAAAATCGTGTCTTACCGCCAGTTTGAAGATGCCCACCAACATGAACATCGATGCACTGCCCATGAGGAACAAAAAGCTTGTTTTCGGTGAGCCAGGCGTTGAAATCTCCTAGGCTCCAGCTGACGCTGGTACGAGCATAGGATTTTCCATCCTTTTCGAAGATGGTTCGGTCATCGTCTCCTTGGAACGAATTTTCCAAGTCAAGCTGGATATTCGGGGCGCTCGTAGATGAAGCTCCGCTATATTGATGGCCGCCGGTTCTCACGGCTACCGCAATGTTCTTCTCCTTCGCATATTTCAAAGTTAGCACGATATCCTCCTTAGTTTTGGGCTGTACAATCAACGCCGGGTTGAGATCGCGCTCTTTGCCGTAAGTTGACGTAGCATACTGATACTTGACATCGTCGTATTCTTTCGCCCCTGGGATGTATTGATTGCCGCTGATACCTGCAATAGTCGCCATAATTGGTTTTGTTCTCGATTTCTTTGTTATCTTCCATTTTTTCCAATCAAAGGGAAATTTCCACCGTTTTATCCTTATAATTTTTACTTTTTCTTTCATTTTCTCCTCGGAAAAGGCTCTCCCTTAGCACAGTGTGCATCGAGACGTATCATGTGTAGAATGCAGCTGTCAACTCTCAGAATTGCGTAGCACCTAGTCGTATGTTAGGTAAAAAGTCTGACCACCATCAACACCTGCTGACGTACAATAGGAGATCTCTCTGTGATACTTTCACTTATAAACTGGCCTATAATGCATGCTGAGAGCTGTGTAGGTTTGATAGAATGCATATGCCCGACAAGGTAATAGGGGAAGAAATCGATCGGATACCCGAAATTATTTCAGTCGAGTACCGGCCCGTCAGCTAGAGTTGGACATATAATTTACCATCCTCAAATGACTTTTCGTGTTCAGCTTGTTAGTTCTTAAACCTGTCAGAACGACAAGGATGACTTGCAGCGGCAGCGGCCCTTACCGCCCGATCTCTCAGCTGATTCGGTGCCACCGGACTGGCGAGAATCCTCATCCTACCCTAACTTAGGCTTGGCGATAGGAAACAAAGCAGGCTGCATCAGCAGGTATACCATTTCTATCTCACAATTTGGTCATTTTCATCATTTTCATACTTGTTAGAGCGTAAGAATTAAGCTAAATGACCCCACTAGCTTACTATTGTTCCTCTAGAGCCTCATCAAAGTGTTACAGCCGATAAATACCAGTGGCAATAAATATCGAGGGATCATGTGCTCGCGAGAGCCCCGCGACAGCTGATAATATGACTATATTCGCGTAACGCAAGTTCAAATTCTCACATCTAATTCAGGTCACCAGTATCGCGGCAGATAGCCCTAGGAGTTTTTGATCCGATAAGTCATGAAATCTCAAAGATAAAGTCTAGTATCATATCATTAAAGCAACTATTATCACCTACCTAATCTATAAGTCTTTATTAAGCTTGTTCATTGGCTCGTTACATGAAATCGAATAACTCTTTGGCCTTTTTCTTCCAGTTAATCGAATTTATCTCCAAGAAAGTAGCGTTCAACTGCACCATTATTTCGTAGTCAGCCTCCTGATTTCTTTGTTGCTCTTCTAGTTCTATTGTCTCTGCTGACTCTAGCATTGCGCCCGCGCTCCAAGGGAAGACGTAGGGCCCAAATCCCCCTGCAAAGTTTTCTTCTAAATCTGTTAGATCTATTTCTTGTGTCATGGGATCTTCCTTGGGAGTTGTGATAGGAGTAAACCCGGGAATATCTACGATAAGCTCGCCATCACACCACCATGTGGACTCCTCGGAGTTGGGATCTGGCGCTTGCGACGCTTCGTCTAAGTCGAAATACAATGAAATGTAGTCCGTCATGGTCCTTTATAATCCCTTACTAGAGGGAAGCGTCGGCCAATAGAAACGCCGTAAGATTGGCAGAGACTGCAGATTTTAATAATATCTGCAATCCCTTTTTCCTTCTCTGTTGGTGTCTTTAGATAATGATAGAGTGTAATTATTCCTTGGAAATGGATATGTGGTCTAGATCGTTGGTTTGACAACGGACTATATGCTCTCCTCAACTTCTTTAATATTTCCGCACAAGGATATTGTAACAAAAACAGAGATAATAACGACAAAGAGTTTACGAACAATGACTATTCAAGACAATGTATTATTTCACATTTACTGTATGGTATATGACACGATAGTTGTGCTTGTCTTTTGAGGTTGCTAGTTATTATTTTGGGTTTGCCCCTTTGTTATCTCTTCAGGGAGACATGGTAGACGATTGATCAAATTCCTGTTTCTTTCCTCAAGCATAGTAATATTTATTATTAAGTGTCACCTTTTCCTAAGTATCTTTTAATTGAGGAATGGCTACTAGGCACATAGGTAGTACCGCGCTATGTATATACCTGGTAGGTAGGTAAGCTAGTAATCAGGCGGCGGAGAATCCGAACGGGATTATTCCCAACTCCGTGAGCCGGAGCCGATGGTGATTTCTCGACCGGATGAACCCCTCATGATCGGCAACGAGTGGAGCATTTCCTCACACGGGTATCTAAGTTGAGGTAAAGAGCACTAGGCACGAAATATTGAATCATGAATTTCTTTTAGTTAATGTACTATCTGAAATGTCTGGGCGGTCACTTAGGTACTTAAATAGGTAAAGTCTATTCAAATATTATGTGTTTTATCTCGAAATGCCTCGCTACGCATCTTCCGAATACCTTTCTAGGTAGTCATAAGCCTGTATTTTAGCGGCGCTATGCTATAATTACAGTAAGCACAATGCTAAACCCCAATAAGCTATAACGAGTATAGCTTCTATAACTGACCAATTATCTCGTTAGCCATTTACTAATTTGGTAACCAACAAAGCGACCTCATATTCGCAGATTAACTTCTTACGAGATACGGGGATGACAATGATGTGCAGGAACACATGATTACCAACAGGTATATTCACCAAAGACCCCGGCCCAAATCGTTCCAATCTCATAGGCGTTATTGATCGTTAACATTTTACCTAATGGGTTACCTACAAGTACCTAGTACAACAATGGGTCTCAACCTTGACTACTGTAGAGGGCACCTATTAGTGGTTGAACAGAAGTTCACTTTGAGTGTTATTAGACCTGTTGGTTCCCGTACCTCCCGCCTGATGGTTCGTTATAATCGTCATGATTGTAGCGGGGCTCAGCGCCTCATGCCCTGCAATTTCAGCACGTTTTTGCTAGGGTATGGCCCGGGGCGGTTTAGCGAGCTAAACCAAGAAATTTCATCCACTAAATCTAGTGCGAGCAAACCAATGGATAGGCAAAGAGGAGACGACAAAGCGGACTCTATATAAGGAAAACAATCTCTACCAAAGTAATTATTTACTGCATCATTCCTGAAGTATTTCTTTGCTTCTTCCACACTATAAAACGAATCCCGATAAATTGTATTACTCATGCCCTACCGAATCGAGCCGGGTGGTACGCCTCAGGGGTAAAATAAGACTTGACGTCCGCCTCACCGTTCTTAATCTGGTAGCTGATGAAGCTATGAAGCCCCTTTCCGTTCGCCAAGCCCCTGTGCTCGCCCACCACCTCTAGCATGCGCAGGTATTGATCACAGTATGCACCTCGACCACGAGCCCTCATCCAATCCATAAGACGATACGCAATTTCAAGGTCGTCTGGGCCATACATTCGAGCAGGGAGGTACAACTTGATTTCTGGCTGGGGGTTTTGAGGTGCTATATCAAAGAAGTAGACGAAACATTCGAACAAATTCTCTGTGTCAGCCCACGTCTTCCCAATGGGGGGCGTGATAGGCATGTTGGCGTGTTCGGGGTAATCGCTCGGTACTCCGATAATAGCTTGTATAAGGGAGCGTAAGTCTTTCATGTTCGCTTCAGGGATATCAATGAGCCCTCCCATCGTCATGATTTCTTTTAAAGATGCGAAACTGGTGTGTGGTGTCATCAAATAGAACTTGAGTCGTGACTTGCTGGGTTTTACATCATCCATAGCTAAGACACTAATGAACGTACACAGTTAGCAACCTCCTATGACACTTAGGGCGCGAGTATTTTTACATACATGGGTTTCATTAGTTTCCCTTCCGGATTGTTAGCGAGGAACTCCATCAAATTGTCACGGCAAGCGTTGCTCGGGCCAAGTTTGGTAATCGCATCATCCCATTCCTTTTTAACCATAGAATCGCCTCCTTCGAGTAGTTTGAAACACCTAGGAGCAAAGTATGATTTGAGGCCGAGTTTCCCAGCAGGGTTATATTCAACAGCATGGAGGAAGTATGAGGCCGGACGATCTTCCTTCTCCAGCTCCCTAAGGAAATGTCGCGCCCAAGTAAAATCTACGTCCCGAACAATGTGTGATACTGTTTGCATATAGTCAAGTGAGTTTGCGTGGTTTAAAGGGTTACTATTTCTATCCGAGCCGGGGTTGAAAGGCTCCCATGAGTACCGAATTTCGGGTTGCGAAGTAGTTGTGTTCCACTTCCAGGAGTATTCCAACGGCGAGCCTTCGTGTGCCATGACGGCCTTCCATTTCGGAACGCCATCGGCGTCGGGCGCTGGTCCTAATCGAGGGACCTGCACAAGGGGTTAAGTAGATTGCTCACGTTGTGGGCGGAATGGAGTGGCTTACAATCCAGAGGTAATGAAACAACAGCACCTCGTATTGTCTTTCCACGGTATAACCAGCAGCATCTAGCATATGGGCCATGTGATAACCCGTAAGTTGCCACCAGAATTCGGCATCACGATCTTGAAGGGGCAAGCATCTTGTTACTAAAGAGTCCCACACCTTGGTGGTGCGCCTTGCAGGTTTTCGAATCGTCATCGCGGGCGTGGAATTGTTACGAGGATTACTCCTACTTACTCCCAGCTTCTGGGTCTGGAAAAGAAGCCTGCTTAAGTATTGAATCGCTTATGGCTCTTTTCTCAGCCCTCCTTTGTACCTCGGTATTCCAGTAGCTATATAACACCCACCAATATGCCCTATGGGTGACATTGCATCCTAGAAATACAGAAACCCTCCGACGGCGAGTTCCAATGGGATACCTATTTTTATCCAGGTGTGTCTGGTACCTACGCGTAACGCTCTTGATAACGAACTGCTTCGTTCAACAAGACTATACACAAGATCTTCACCGTGGTATATCCCGCGCGTCTCACCGGAGTATTTCTTGGGTTCGAACTAAAGATAATGCAAGGAACGGAATATCTCTTTCCTTAACCATCTCACGTTAGCGGTCCATTCCAATATTCAAGGTAGTTGGGCTTATTCAGTATGGGCTGTTATTGCGCCTCGTGATGATGGATGTTTGACAAAGTTATTATTTAGCATAATAAACAAGATTGCTAAGTCGCCGGAAGGTAAACCTCTCACGGCAACCTATTCATGTAAATAATTCCATATCGCCCAGGTATGCAGGTAAATCCCGTATTACGACCAATCGTTTACATTGGCTACCGCACAAAGAAAGGGAAAAGAATACACGGGCGCGGGACCGGTAATAGGTTCGTAATACGTAATATCAATAAGATATTGAGATGATAAAGAAACTCCGTCTTGAACTCTGGTTTTTGAGGCTGACGTTAGTGGCGGTGAAAAGGGGAAGGGGAAGGGGGAAAAAGGCGTTTGTAGTCGGTGTATACTTGAATACCTAAAGGTAAGGTACCTATGCAACATGAAATGCAGTTGGTTGTTAATATATACTCGAAGATCGATCTGTTACCTAATTCGGGTTTGTTAGTGGATACCTCAGTGAGGAGCTTGGAACCAACAGTCACATCGAATCTATACCTACCCGCGTTAGACTGTCAGTGAATATTACGGAAAACCTAGACCAACGGTCTTATAGTGACTGCCAACTCATAAAACCGAGTTTATCTTAAGAATATTCGGGCGTGGAGTTTACGGAAATACGATTTCCGGATGATTAGTTTTTAACTAGATATCTTATACCGAATACCGCGGCGAAATTCGATATATAATCCAAAGCCCGACTATAATACATCAAGCTACTAGGTTACTTAGTAATTACAACGTTCGCTTGTCTATAACGTAGGTAAGATAAGAGGATTGTTTATTCCTAACAGGTCTTTGAGTCTTAGTATGCTTTCCTAAAACAGTTGTCTTATCTCCAGATCTTACGGAATCACGGACTAATGCTACATGAAGCAATAACTAATCACCAACTCGAAAGCCGAACCAATCATGTCAACAGAAGAACGTCCATCTTTGGCTTGCAGGAATGCGCCTTGGTCTCCTGAGACTACCATTCATTATGAGGGTTCTGATGCATTTACGAACGCAACAAAACGATGGAATGCTTACGGGGCTCCGAAGTTTTGTGCAGCAGTCACCCCGTCAAATGAGGAAGAACTTGCCAACATCGTAAGCCGATTGTTTATTGCCGTGTTGTTGAATATATTGTACTAAATTCTCACAACCCACCGTTAGGTCAAAGTAGCCAATGCCGCGAATATACCATTCCTTGCTACAGGGGGGCGACACCACTACGGCACCACATTATCAAAGCTGCAGAGTGGTCTAGCAATTGATTTGAGCCGTCTTAATCAGGTTAAGGTTGACAGCGATCGGTCTGCTGTAACCGTTGGGGGTGGAGCGAAGATCCGTGATGTTCTTGGACCTGTTACCGAAGCTGGCTACCAGATTCGTAAGTTCCCTACCTCAGCTTATCATGCAAGTACGAATCCGAGTAAGATCTTAACGTAACTTTCAGCTTCGGGTGCTTGTAGTGGTGCCGGATTTATCGGCTCTGGCATTGGTGGTGGAATAGGGTATCTGCAAGGGGTCCTCGGTCTAGTCGTCGACGCCCTAGTCTCTGTCAACGTGGTTACAGCTCAAGGGGAGTTAGTTCAAGCATCCGAAAATACTAACGAAGATTTATTTTGGGCTCTTCGTGGAGCTGGGACAAATTTTGGAATCATCACATCTGCAATCTACAAACTTTCTAAGCCTGTTAATAATGGGCAAGTCTTCTACGCTGACGTGGTTCATCCGGCTAGCATGAAGTCCGAATATTTTAAAGCCGTGGAATCATTCAACGATGGAATGTCGCCTAAGCTCGGCTTTTCTAGCGCTTTGTTCTGGGATGCCTCAACTCAAGAAGTAAGCATTGAACCCCCTTTTCCGATTCTTGTGTAACCTGATTGCTTACGATGATGTTGGAAGACACAAATCCTAACTACGTTCATATATGCGGGTCCCGAAGAAGAGGCTCGTAAGGAGCTTGCGCCGTTCTTCGACCTAAATCCGGTAATTGCTCGACTTGAGAATATCCAATCTGACCGCATGCCGGAGCTTATAATCATGGGCATAACGGAGGCTTCTTGTAATACCACCGGAGGTCTTCACAGCATCCATCCGGTCTGTGTCAGAAAGTTATCGGCTGAGACATACATATCAGTTTTTGACAAACTTGATACGTACTACAAGACCTATGAGGACGTACGTGCTTCGGCCGTTATCTTAGAGGCCTTTTCGAACCACGCGGTAGCTGCCGTGCCAGATGATGCTACAGCATACCCCTGGAGAGATGCTAAAGGACACTTGTATGTTACTATACGGACCCATCTATTCCCTCGTCACATCAGGTCTCACCTCTTATTCCTTCTGTTTTCTTAATAGTTTTTATCTCTCTCTATCCTGGACCCTTTCTTAGGTACCTAGGTACCCACAGATAAGCCTCGTCTTTGCTAACGGCTTTTTTTAAATTACAGTATGATACAAATGCGTTGGACTGGTTTGGATAATCCATTCGCCAAAACAGCCAATTCCTTCGCATTAGAACTACGCGGTGACATCGTCGCTACGTCAGGATATCCGGAATTATCGGCTTATGTGAGCTACGCCTGGGGTGATGAGACACTCAAGCAGAAATTTGGCCCACACAAGCTCTCTCGTCTCCTAGAGCTGAAGAGGAAATGGGATCCTGATAACATTTTCAGATACTGCAATCCCTTACTAACAGAGTAGGGAATGAACTGAAGGAGCAGCCCCTATTTATGTTTCTCATATTGCTAAGCTATAGAAGTAGAGTAGATGATACAGGATCTTCAAAATGTACCTACAAATAGAGCAATAGGGTTCTTATGAACTATTTACACCATTCAAATCCAGATATATATATCTAAAATATCGCGTTGTGCGTAAAAGGCGTGCTCTTCATCCAGAGAACAAGTCACCCCGGTGTATTGCATATCGTAGATTTTGATTTCTGTTAGAAGGCTATACTGGTTAAGGTACTGAAGAGGTTCTTACGTCATCAAAGATATCCCTTTATCACGTGATATTATCAGGGGGTTCTCGGATTCTCAACTGGTGGCTTGACTTGGTCAATTCTTATTGCAAAATTTCGTCAATTTAATTGAATTGAGTATCATCTTTTCCACAAGGGCATCATCGAATTTGAAGCACCCGAAAACTTGTTTACTCACCCGGCGGGTACCAGGACAGCTAGAAAATTCATCAAGAACCCATGATAAAATGGATACATTGGATGGAAGAAAAGAATGGACTTTCTTCGCTGTTGGAACAGAAGTACCTAAGCCCTGGGAATATGAGGGGTCAAGGCCTGCTTAGGTCAGCCCTCAGGGTGTAGTAAGCAATTGATCAAAGAGGATCATTCACCACCGCCTATGTTTCTTTCAGCCAGCTGGGAAATCTACATAAGTAGGCTTTAATCCATGACCATGTATCCGTGACGATGGAATCTTGCGTCAACATTCGGGTATAGAACATATATTCGGCACCAACATCTGAACAGATTTTCATACAACTATCAACATTCATAGGCTACTCATCCGACCGTAAGAGGTGAACGAAAATCATTGCCTATATTTGTCCACCTGCTGGTACTTATCAGCCCCGTTCACACCTACCTAACAGCACGATAGCGGCACGGTATACCCCTAAAAAGGTGCCTAGACTAGCTGCTGCACCAACATCAACATATTATTGATTCTGTCATAACTATAATCGACATAATCACGGTATATTTCTCCTCCGTCAAGGCCAAACATGTCTAAACCATCACGCATTGTAGAACTATCTGCGAGGATAGCCGCCAACACAACTAAAGTCGATGATTACTTAGCAGCCCATAACCTTCCCACACCATCATTCGATGTAGATGCCCCTCTTCAATCATTAGTCCCCGGAACCGAGCCCGATATCGCGGCCGCCCGCCAAGCCGTTATACACGATACCCTCGAGCTACATCAGCTTATGCTCGGCCCGCGTGAGCATCTATTCAGCTACTATCCCACCCATTTATCAAGCCAACAGGTCATCGTTCGGCACGGCCTAGCCCGTCTCGTCCCCATCGACGGCGAAGTCACCTTCGCCGAACTAGCCGCCGCTGCGGGTTTAGGCGAGACACACGTACGCAAGCTGATTCGCCACGCGATCAGTCAGCGTATTTTTAAGGAACCACGCCCGGGGTTCGTAGCCCATAGTGCCAATTCACGCCTACTAGCCGAGAATTCAGATGTCGCCGATTGGGTTGGTTGGTGCGCCGATGAATCCTGGCTCTCCGCTTACCACACTAGCGAAGCTATAACCCGCTGGCCTGCATCAGAAGAACCGACTGAGACCGGCTTCTGCATTGCAAACAAGACCAACCTCCCTATGTACGATGTTCTCGCCGCCAATCCTGCACGGGCCGCTCGCTTTGCCGCTGGTATGCGTTTATACGCTGCGCGACCTGATCTTCACGTCAGTCACATCGTCAATGCATGGACGTGGGGTGAGCTGCCACCAGACGCTACGGTCGTTGATGTCGGAGGCTCGCATGGTGAAATTGCGATTACTCTAGCTCGTGCATATCCTTCATTAAATCTCATTGTACAAGATATCAGCGAACAGACGATTCGCGAGGCAGATGCGCGCAAGCCGACGGATGTGGGCGATCGCGTGCGCTTCATGAAGCATGACTTCTTTAATGAGCAACCTGTGGTTGGCGCCGACGTATACCTCTATCGCGGATGCTTCCACAATTGGTCCGACAAGTACGCCGTGCGCATGGTACAGGCATTAATACCAGCGCTGAAACCCGGCACACATCTAATAATTAACGACTACGTCGTGCCAAGAGCTGATGAATTATCACCGGGGTTAGCACCGGCCATACGAACCGCTGACCTTCAGATGATGACATTATTCAATGCTGGCGACCGAGAACTAACTGAATGGGAGAATCTTTTCACGAAGGCAAGCCCTGGATTTGAGTTCAAGGGTGGAAAGTCGTTCCCAGGCTCAGCGATATGGACTCTAGTTGCTGTGTGGAAAGGAGTCTAGATGGCATCAGGTGATGTCGAGATACGCTCTTCTGTCACAACAGGTCTCAAGTCGTCACCAATTTGTCCTGAGGGCTTAGGGTATCAGATCTTCATTTCAACGAGCTAGGCGCTCGTTTTGCGAACCATAACCCCTAAATCCGTCCCCCTACCACCTAGGTACTAAAGACAGACGCTCTACGGTAATCTATCGAAAGAATGCAACATAGATACTACTTCACCCAAGTTCTCGGTGATATTACCTGTCTATGACCATTTCTAGGTAACGATAACCTAACAATGCGACCACACAGTGAGATTAGGGCAGATTTTTTGGCAGTTTCACATTAACTAAGCGCCACACGAAATTCAGCTAGAAAGCATGCCAAAGCGCTTGATTTATAACTACGAATTTTCCGCCGACGAAAACACTCGACCCCTTGAAAAAACCTCCACGATTACGGCTGAGACTCAATGAGTTCGATAACGTTATGGTCAATCCAACTGGCAATAGTCCGCTCACACAATGCATCGACCCGTTCCTTAGTCTGCAAGCTATAAGAGCAAACGGGCCAAATGATACTCGTCATGCATGAGCGCTTGTACTCGATCATCAGTTCCTCATCGTTGCGATCAAACTTCGGTCCACCCAAGCGGTGTAGAGTCTCCAAATAGTGGTCGAGCACCTCCATCTCATGAGCGCGACGATCCTCAATGGTGAACATGGAAGTGAGGAAGTATACAAGGTCGTGGAAGCACGAAGCGAAGTGAAAAGCTGACCAATCCAGGAACCGCGTGTGGCCATCCGCAGTAAAATATACATTTCCTAGGTGTGTATCGCCGTGTTGGAGCGTGCGGAACCTGGGATTACGCTTAGCATAGTATTTTTCTTGTACCTTGCGTATACGTTGACCGTCCGTCATGTATTCTGGCATTTTAGGTCTCCCGGGTTCTCGTACGACACTATCCCACGGCGTAGCGATGAATAACATAGCTTCATCATAGTCATTCGTAATCCCTATCATACCCATTAGCTCTCATTCAAGTCGGAATTTGTCAGCCTGAAGCGTACAGGGGTAGTCCTCTTGGCTCTTGCCCCAGAACTGGGCATGCAACCCCGCGATCTGAGCAGCACCATCCAACACTTTCTCAAGAGGATAGGATGCCGCTTGAGGGGGAAAAGTACACCCCTCGAATGCTAGATCTGACATAATAGCAATGCCTTGTCTTTCACTTGTTCCACCCCACCAACCCTTGGGATAGCCCATATACTTGATAGATGGAGCAAGCTTGGCGAAGAAGTCGGCTTCGCGCTGGGCCAACACCACAGTCCATGGCTGAGACCTAACCATCTCAGGGTCGAACACACCCTTCACACATATGTGCGCGGGCCTTGAATTCGGATCAGCTACTTCATCCACATATTCGATGGAGAAGAATAGCTTGCTGCCTGTGCCGAAAATAGTTCGAGTCAGCGAAATTGATTTGACCTTCTGTCCTAGTTTGGACTCTAGCCATTTTGCTGTCACCTCTTCGGGGACCGTTGGCAGCTCATCGTTTGATTCCCCAGTTGTATTATCCATATCTCCGTCGCTGTGAGCAGGGAGGGGAAAGAAAAAGGGATAATAGAAAGAGGTAAAAGAATATGACTGAGAGAGAGAAGTTCACAAAAATCAACTCAGCTTCAAGTCAAATATAACTAATTCTATCGCAACTTTCTTTTTATCTCTACGATTGAATCACTGAGCTTACTAATTGATATCATTCTATTTTATAGAGAAGCTTACATCAGAATATCATTACTATAAAGAGACTGGCTGAATGGGTAGGATTGAGACACATAGAGCGGGGTGAGCGCCATCACCGTCATTATATTTGCTGACGTTATCAAATACTCAAACATGATAAGTCAGCCTCTACGACGATTTTTTTTTTCTTTTTTTTTCTTTTTCTTTTTTGCAACATAGTTCTTGGTGTACCGGCGATGTTGAAAATTAGCGAGGCCAATTGAAAAGCCTTAAAGTGGGGTCTAACTAGCCCATAAGAGTGAACCTATATGGGGAAGAGACAGCGGCGGTGGATCTGAGGGGTATCACGTGACAAAGTAACAAAACACAGGTGAATCCGTACTGCAGTCGTTAGAATGGCGGTAAATTTATATCTACACTCAAGTATATATCCTCAAGTATTCTTAATAGGGTGTACTTAAATCTTTACCATTTTCTGCAACCAGCAACACCTAGATTGAGACCATTACATTCAAGATCCTTAAGAGCCTCTATGAAAGAAACCCTGGCTCTTCTAGACATGCCCTTGAGAATATTGATAATTTAGTAGTTATCGAGCAGATAGTATCGTCAAACAATCACTAGACTCTCACCACCATACATAAGCTGAAATTGTAACTCTTGGTGCTACTTTAGCAAAGGGTGCGCGAAAAATACACCGGATTAACAGTCCTGGAAGTCGCAACAAGTCATATCCCTAGTTAGCTACCTACTTGTCTTACTAGTTCTATAAATTCTTAGGTACCTGCCTCTTCTTAAACGCGTAGAACCCAATCCAGGGGTAAACCCCACCCCTGAAAATACAGGTCTTAGTTATACGGGGATATATATTAGATATCATAATTATTTTCTTGATTGTAAGTAGACCTCAGTAGTTCGTAGGGGGTAGAGAGGATGACGTTGTAAAAATAAGTGTCTTCGGAAAAATGTGGCGCATTTTACCACAGTTACGCAGTTGTCGCCTGGCTATATAGGTTGATGCACATACCTACCCCTAAACTAAAGTACAATACCTCTCGCTCAACTTTCAGACGATGTAACCAATGTTATTTAAATTAACACTATGGTTTTGTTTGCCTTTGTGGTAACAAAGTGATTGGGAAAGTACATAGGAGTTCTCGCACTGAACAACATTGTCTGAAGGATGATGCGAAACCCACCTCAGCTCAAAGAGGATTCAGGTGTTCTCGCCTCAAGAAGTTAAAAGAACTTGTGCCTCCTAATGGCAATGTATCACGCCTAACAACGCGCGTTATTACAAAACACATATGTATCAGCAGGCAGGTGTCCAGGTAGGTAGATGCTTCAATGTTCTATAGAGGGGACTTGGTTCCACGATTATGCGAAAATAAAAATCTGCTTCGCGGCACCCTTGATTAAACGAGAAGTAGCCATGTACTTGGTCCCGTAGTGATTATTTTAGTGTTCGTAATAATTCAGCACCTACCCGATAATATCACCATTGAAGTAAATCTAATCTCTTCTCTTGTTTTACTTTTCATACAATCTGCCAGTAGACTCGTATACAAGTCTATGTATACAAGTCTGTGGTAACCCTGGGCTATCCAGTCTAGTGCAAGCCGACAATAGTTGCATTTGTTCCCTGCCTGCTGTAATCCGGCGAAATGGCGTCTACATCGTCGACTCCCGCAGCTGAAGACAGCCAGTCTTCACCTGATGTAAAGGTTACTTACGTGATCTATCCCAAAGATGGAACTAACAAGGCCGATGTTGAGACCGTCGAAAACTACCTTAAGTTCTATTCTGAGGAGTCAAGCTTCTACACATCCCAAACGAAGACCGTAGGAGTTAACTTCTGGCTTGCGAAGCTCTCCCATCGCCATGCGCAATTGCTCACTACGGCACTCGCGAAAGAAGTGAGTCAGATTATCAGCTCAAATTGTTTCTAAGTCGCTAATAATATCATCATGCCAGACTCACTCGATTTATCCGCAGCTTTTCGGAAGGGCTTCCAACGTTATCAGTCAACACCCCGACCCTACCACGGCAATCCACTATCAAGACTACCCCTTTATAAAGGAGGCTCCCATCGACCATCTTGCGTTTGTCTGCCAGGAAGAAGGAAGGTCTCTAAAAGACTATCGAAACAGATACTACTTTGACGACTCCGAACCCCTCCCTGGACGTGGTGTACCGGTTTATGTTGTAGACACGGGCGCAAACCTAGATCACAAGGTATGATGTTCTTGTCGCTTCTTCCTATTTTTTCAAAGCCACAACATGCTGACAAAGCAAATAGGAGTTTCGCCGTATTCGCCAAGACGTCGAATGGATCCACATTGGTGAGGATATCAACGCCGAGGAGAACGCCGAAGATGATTCGGGTATGGATCCTCTTCAATTATGCACCGAGGGTAAATCACATGGGACAGCTATGCTTAGTTTGGTTACCGGAGAACGCTTAGGAGTCTCAAAGGCTGTGAAGCCTTACCTTGTCCGAGTTCCTCGTTGTAGGGTACCTACAGTAACCAGTGGGAACGCATCCAGTGGTGCCACGCTGGAACATTGGCTCGAGGCTGTTAGCAAGGTCTGCGATCACCTAACGGAAACTAGCGCTGAGACCAAAGCAATCATGTTGATGGCCTTTCAAGTTGAGCGAAAAGCATTAGTGAGACATGGTGTAGACCACGCGAAAGGGTTCGATTGTCGAATATTTTTCCTTCTCCAAAACTTGGTCAGCATGGGTGTCTTACCCATTACTGGCGCGGGAAACAACACTCAGATGGGGGTAAATGCTTCTTCCCTCCCTTACGAAAAGAATATATGAGAGTACTGACTATCCCTAGAACAAAATTGATGGCCTCCCCGCTAACTTTGGTCGAACTAACTACGAGCGACAAATTCCCGAGCTTCTCGTCGTGGGAGGTATACACACAACTGAGTTCAATCTAGTCGCTCAAACCGACTTTGACCGTGGTCTTCCTCATATATTCGCGCCGGCTTTCGGCTTACGTGTTGCGAATGGTAACTATGCACAATGGGCTAGAAGGGATGGTAAAGATGGCGAGTACCGTGGGACAAAAGGAAGCTCATGCGGTAAGTCGTAAAACCGGTAGAACGATTAACTCCGATTACTAACGACCGCCGAATCTCTAGCTGCTGCGATCACGGCCGGCCTCGCCGCCTATTTCTGGCGGCTCGTACAGATTGGCAGCTTGGGGCTCGCCGACAAGAGTCCGTTGGGTTTGAAGAATTACATTATATCCGATGAGCTCAAGTGGTCGAGATGCTCTGACGTCCACGGAAGAGAACTTCCTGCTATCTGGAACGGCGCCATCATGCCTACATTGTCTGAACACGTACAAGCACAGTTACCACCTCCAGGCCTATGATGTGGAATCGCACAAACCCACAGGAAAGTACTAGCATTCATAGTCACTATTCCCTAACATCATTTGTTCGCTGCCAGTCGAAACAAAACCACTGTCGACTTTTCCTTTCTCAACTTTCAGCATTAACGCATAGCTCATTGGTAGGTAACCTACCTACTTGAGCATACCCAGATATCACGTCCTCACATTCTCCGCAACAGCTTGCAGGAATACTTTTCTTTTGTTTCCGAAGAAGACTACAGTCATTTTCTTTTCTCAATGGCTGGCAACGGGCTACATGCGTGTAAGGCTACTCTTCGATTCACGTCAGTTGCTTACAACCGAAGGGTCTTTCGGATCCCGGACCGTGAAGTTAAGTCAGTTCGTTTCTACTTCCAGGTAGTTTATCTATCTAGGTAGGTAAGCATTAATGATACTCTATCAAGCCCACGATGGAGGGTCGTCCTCAGACCAAAGAACTGTTGCCGATAGTTTTACTACGGATGACCTCTAGCTTGCCTTCTAGGCAACATGACTAAGGCCATCACAATTGCATTGTTTTTACCGATGATATAGATAAATAAAAAAGGCGTTAACCACCATATTCTTCTTCCTGATCCGTGACAACCCCAAAATATTCAAGCCCCTGTAAGCAAGACATACGTTTCCATCTAGTTCGTAGGCGACGATCCGACGCGAATATCTGTCCCTTAATAATAGCTGGCGGTCAGATTGCTTTGGTGTGAGCTCCTTAGATGCCCTAGGGGAAGGCCCTACAGCAATTATGTCGAAATTCTCCCTTATTTGTAGATTCTACTAAACAACAGAGTTTCGTGGCCCCTTTTACCCCTATTCCCTGCATGACTCGGTGCTTAGTCAGTAGTCTGCCACGTGGTACCGAATTCAACCGGCTCACCACCCGAGCCGAATGCTTCCTTCCTTTCCATTTAACACATGTCTACCTCCAATACAACTCTTATAATGCAATTCATAATATCATCGAAACCATCGAATTATCAAAGCGTATAAATTCCCTCTCATCGGTATCGCATCGGATTTAAGCACAATGGCGGACTCTCCCGGGCCCCAGCCCTTCGTCCTAATAGTAAGCCATGCCCTAACCGGACACCTAGCCCCGATGCTCCGGATCGCAGCCTCCCTCTGCCAACTCGGGTGGGACATTTCCTTCCTCGGACCAACTGCGCACCGCCACCGCGTCGAGGCCGCAGGCGCGACATTTTTCCCTTTGCGCGACACCGCCGATATCGACGACAAGGCGTATTACGAGAACCCCCCTGTTGAAGGATACACTTCACTGCACTGGGGCGAGCGTGTGATGATTGATTTACGCGTACAGTGCCTTGATCCGTTACCGGTGCAATGGTCCTATTTCACGGATGCCTTGGTGTCTTTACATTCTCGCGACCCATCGCGCGGCGTTGTGTTACTCGCCGAGGCGTTCTTTTATGGTGCTTTGCCCCTATTCTACGGCGCATCTTTACCAAACGGTCTGAAGGTGGAAGATGTATTGCTAGGCTCAGCATGTGTATCGGTAACGGTCCCCGCAATCCGAAGTATCGACTTGCCGCCAGTGGGTTATCCTTTCTCCTTCGATCCATCAATCGAGGGTCGTGCGCGGAACGCGAAGTTATGGGAGAGAAGTTGGACACCCAAGGCGCGCAATCTAACAGCACTGTTAGACACCAAGATGCGGGAGGCTGGCGCAAGTCGCACCGTCAACGAAGTTTTTCTCTCGGGAGCAAATTACAAATGCTACGAGACCATCTTTCAACTCGGAGTTCCCGGCTTTGAGTACCCTCGCAGCGACTGGCCTTCGGGATTCAAGTTCGCGGGTCTTGTTCAGGGACCACCCAAGTCTGCACCTCAAGCACCGCCTAAAGACCCTGATTTTCCTTGGTGGCCTGAGATAGTCGCTAATTCTTCCCTCCCACCAACAAAGCGGAAGAAAATAATTCTCGTCGCGCAAGGAACCGTAGAAATTGACCCTCATGATTTGATAATCCCTACGTTGCGCGCGTTCGCAGATAAAGCCGACAGTGTTCTCATCATCGCGATTCTCGGCTGGAAAGACGCATACTTGTCACCGGAGCTCTATGGGAGCGACGAAGTCCCCACTAATGCCCGTATCGCCGATTATTTATCCTACGATGCTGCGCTAGCGCATGCCGATGTTTGGGTTCACAACGCGGGCTTCGGCGCTGTGAACCACGGTATCGCAAACGGAGTACCGATGGTCGTTGCAGGCGAGGGTATGGATAAAACGGAGAACTCGCGACGCGTAGCATGGTCTGGTACTGGTGTCGATCTCGGATGTGCTAGGCCCTCGGTTGAGCAAGTGAGGGAGGGCATCGAACGTGTGCTGCAAGATGAACAATTCGCAAGGCGCGTACAGGAATTGCGGAAGGAAAGCCAAGAAATAGGCTGTTTTAGCATGATTCATGATGAATTGCTAAAGTTAGCAGAAACGAAGCCCGGAATTAAGCAACGAGGCTAGAGGTTTCGGTGAAAATAGAAAGTGAAAAAACAAAGCCTGAATTAACTACCTGTTCCTAGAGAATATCCACATGCAACGCATAGGTGGTATCAGAGCGACCAAGTTACGCCTTGCAAATCCCTAACGAGTAATCATTTGTTTTCCCTCTTCCTTTCCCCTCCTCTACAAACTGGTAGTTAAAATCAACTCCAGACTAGTCCACTACCTGGGGGCCATATTCATGGTTTTCGTATATTCATACAGCAGGTACACTAGTCGGCAAGAATGTGCGGATCGTATGAGTAGAATTTGCTCTAAGAAGCCCGGCTGCCCTTGTGTACCGAATATCGACCGAGTAAAGGATAGGCCATAAGATACGGCCTTTGCTGTAAAATCTACAATTATTCAGCTAGAATAAAGGGGCGCGGGGCGACAGGTCTATCGAGCTGCATCCTGGGTCTCGGGGTAATAACAACCGCCGGCGATTACTAGGTTCATTCGAGTAAACTGGACTTTGCGAACAGGTGTCTTCTTTGTGGGGAATGCGCTGATCTGATCTGGGGTAATCATCACGTCTTTGCCCTTCCTCTTTCCCGTGCCGCTAGCGGTACCACCAGTAGGCTGCGTCGTCTGGCCGGTCTGCTTACCATCGGCCTGTCCACCTGCAGCTACAATCGTGCCATCGCCATCCTGCTGGTTGGCGAGGAGGCGACTGCCCTCGGACGGCATCTCGACGTCCCATACGCGTATAGTGTTATCTTGGCCTCCTGATACGAGCATATTGCTCTCCACGCTAAAACTCATTGACCAGATTCCACCACGTCCGTGCCCGCGACAGCGCTTGATACGTGTACCCTTCTCAATATCCCATAGGAAAATATTGCCTGCAATATCGGCCGAAGCGAGAATCTTGCCATTTGGCGCGCATTCTAATGCTGAGATATACTCTGCGTGACCAGTGAAGATTCGAACGCAGTCTCCGGCAACGACTGACCACATGCGAATCGACTTGTCTGTCTCATCAGACGCTGAGAATACGTAGGTACCGTTCGGATGCCAGGTAACAACCGAGATCGCGGTATCATGGCCAACCATGAGACGAAGGGCTGAAGCATGATCTTGCGACCAAACCCGCACTGTTTTATCCCACCCACCTGTCACAAAATAATGCCCGTGGGGACTCCAAGAAAGTGATAGAATCGGGCCATCATGGCCTCTGTAAATACAGAGACAAGCCCACACCTCCAAGGACCATAATCGTACCTGGCCGTCAGCCGAACAAGAGAGAAGTAGTTTCGAGTCCGTCTCTGGTTGGGGGTCACCCTCGTAAATGTTACGATCCAAATTTCTAATCGAATCAGAGAATGCGATAGAATAAACAGGAGCGGAGTGTCCGATGAGCTTGCGATTGTTCGTTTTGATATCCTTCTCGGGGGGTAGGCGAGATTTCAGGGCTTTTCCGTCGAAAGACCATACTCGGATGTAAGACTCCATTGTTCCTACACCAATAAGTTGTTGGTCCTTTGAAAAGTCCATGCACGATACCCTAAATGAAGAGTCAACAAATATCCCCATGGTTTACCAGTAGCGATGGTACTTACGTTCCGAGATGATTATGAAATGTGTTCATGGATACCGATATTCCGGGGCCCACACCACCAGTCCGACCTTCGATGCGATATCGATCACGATTCTCTCGTGCTTTCTGCATCTCCATAACCACATCTCTGGCGCGGGACGGAGGGTACGGGATATCGCCGCGCTGAGGGGAATCGCCCACTTCCTTCTTAATGGGATGCAGGGCATTGAATTCTTCCAGTAGCGACGTTGTTCCTTCTCGAGGGGGACGAAGTCTATCCTCTTCTTCCAGTTCAGCGACAACATCACTCCTCAGATCAGGGTCTATCGGAAAAGGGCCTAGCTTCAGTGCGGCCGTGTTATCCAGGATAGTGCGGTTCGCAAGACCACTACGGTTAGAAAAACCCGGTATGCCTTCCTGAATGTCGACTTCATCCAAGTCTAGATGTCGAGCGCGGCGGTAAATAGCCTCGAAGCTGAAAGGCTCGATAGGGCCACGATCTACAGAATCGATACGGCAATGTTGTTGAATGATGTCGAGAATTATGGCCCCGCCTTGATCTATATCGCGTTCTAGGAAGTGAAAGAGATTTCCGATCAAGAACTTGCTGATAGGAATGAGGTATTGATTTTCCAAGTAGGATTTGGCAAGATCGCTGTCTCGAACATGCGGAGGTAGAGTGATGAGTTGTAGGGCCTTTAACTCATCTGGATATGCTTTCTCGAAGCGGCCTCGGACCTGTTCCATAAGTTCCTGGGCATGAGCAGAGGAGCCCTGGCCGACAAGCCTGAGGTAGGAATAGATGAAAATAGGCCAGAGGAGCTTGCTAAGCTCGAACTATGTTTTGTTTTGATTAGCTTGCCGATTTCCAGGCAGCCGATAGAAATACAACCCACCTTGTAAACATCGATTCCTCTTTCTACCCAGAGTTCATAATGTTTGAACGCGGTCAAATACTTTCCAGCAGGAAGGAACTTGTTAGGCGCAGACGTATCACCATTTTCTCTCGGCTTTCCAGTTTCGTCGAGATCCTTCACCTCTTGGCGGAATATTTCCTCAGTTCGTCTATACCCCTTCTTAAGAAGATAATCGGTCACCTATAAATACTATTAGCCTCACGTATTTCTAAAAACAAAACAACACGTGATAAGAGTTCAGTAGCATAGGTGACGCCCACAAGTTGGCCATCAGTTCTTGTATCTTTGATGGGAGGTCGGGAACCACCAGAACGGGCATTGGCGGTAGACATGGTGTATCATTCTCGTCGGAATTTATTGATAGAAAAAATAATGACGAAGGAGGTTGTAGAAATAGTTCAAGGACCCGTCGTAGAAATTATGAATACTGCGGTAGAAGTGGTTGTGAATGGTGTGCTCTGCTGGACACGGGAAGAATAAAAAGGGTAGCGATAGGTAGCGCCCGCGTAGGTAGTGATAGCTACCGCGGAGAGGTACGGTAATCATTAGAAGGAGCAGCGGGATTCTTCTTCGTGTTGCGCGGGACATAGTGGGGCCAGTAAGGTAGGTACTCCGACAAAATAACACGCCGACAACATTCGAGACGCGGGGGGTCAAAAGTACTTCAAGTGTGGAGCCCCGAGACGAGTAAATTAAAAGTAACCTACTATCTGATTTAAATTTTGGTTATTGGCCGACGTAGATGATGCGCCAACAGCGGGATTCGGAACGGCGCCCGGAGTCGTTGAGGGTTGCGGCTGGGGAGTAGTGAAGCTATTCGCAGGCGCACCCCCAGCACTCGTCGGCGCCGCGTTAGACATTGTAAAATGCTACGCCGTAACCAAATTTCGAACGCAGAATTGAATAGCCCCGAGTTGTATATTATTATGCAATATAGTTTCGATATCCTTCTCGCGATGTCGGCGACGATGCGAACGTATTCGATGAGATGAGGAAAAGTCACAAAGTGATGGATGAGGCTCGCCGGATGTGAGAGATTCGCTGTACGCCGTAGGTACAGAAGAATTTAGAGCTACGCGAAAATAAGGTTGGCTTCAAGGCCCCATATATTCCCCGGGCTAGTACTCTTGGCCCCACCTGCAGGATACTTTGCAGGTACATCCTAGCTTCCACGCATGGGCCACATTAGATAGACGCACAGAAGAACCTTAAGCTACCTAGGTACCTAGGTAGGTTTACAGGGCGTATTATCAAAGCTTCAGGGCTCCTGCACATTCCCCGAATACATCCATCAATTCAATTAATATACAAACACTAAGAAAAACAATCTCATTCACGACTACCTAGGAAATACTAAACTTGAATATTTCATTCGTATTAACACGCTGAAAGCGTCTCCTCGCTCAGAACTCAAGTATCTTCAAGATTCGCAATGGAGAACACTGGAGAGCAAGCTCCTTTCGTACCTTTCACCAAAGCTGAGCGCATTCAGCAGCTAGGTGAAATTGACCGAGTTCGTTACCAACAATTACTCCTACTCGACCTCCAAAGCTAACACATAATTAGGGAATTGTCAGCCTTTTACGTTCCGCTGGTGCAGCTATTCAAACCCTCGGCACGCAACAAGCCCAAGGCGAGGATACCATTATGACCGAAGACAAAGGCCAGCAGTCCCAGGTCTTTCAAGATTCCTTGAACGAGTTCCTACGCACGCTCCGCACAGTTAATGTCGGCATGAAGCGTCAGATTTGGGGACTCGAGGAAGCACACATTATCTCCCTAGATAAGGAATCGCAGAATGTTCGAGATGAAGGCGGCGAATCCCAGGGAGCTAGCCATCGCAATGCCCCTCTGAAGCCGGACGGCGACGGAAAGATAGGCGGACTTGATGTGGGATGGCTCAATAGCCGGAGTGACAAGGTTGAGAGGGACATGGAAGCCGACCTCTGGAAAGAGGCAGAATTGTACTTACGGCGACTCATAGAGCAGAATGATGCCGCTGCAGATTCGATTACGGTGGCGAGTCATGTACAGACTTACCTATAATCAGCTATGGTGTTTCTCATGGTCAATTTCGGGGGTTAGGAGGCATCAGCATTGGGTGGCGTTTTTGGAGTTACGTATACCACGGAAGTTGGGTTTTCACCAAGACCATCAGTCTTAATTTTAGTCATTAAGGCTTATATGAACTCGTCGGGTTCATGGTCATTTTCTCATTCGTGAATATATATTGCTAGTGAAGCAACAAAACGAAATAATCCAACTTGGAAAGCTATAGTGAGCGATATAATCGATTCTTTAAATTATTTACCATAAAATCATAGCATGATTCCTACCTAGGTACTTACAATCAAGGAACCCCTAATTTTACGTGTAATAGCGGACGAAATGTCTATGTTTCTCCTGTAGGAGCTATCGTAAATACCCCTGTATATCCAATACAGCACAGTTAGGTACCCACTATATTCAGGCCCCCCACTATAAAGAGCCCTGGAAGTCGGAGCAGGCTGCCACCACCGTACCGGCAGCAGCAAGCCGAGTGCTAACGTAACCCCCCAAAAACATCATACCAGTAGTAGAGAAAGCCCGAGCTTTCTTCGGTTACATACCTGTAACTCGCTTTTCTTCTGTATAACAATACATGTTGACAACAACCTCAATTACACCTTTTCAAATTCGTCGCCGACCTTGACATAATCAATATGGATTTAGGAGAAGCAGGCGATTCACCCTGGGGCGGTATGGTTACCTCATACTAATTTATTCACTTCAGTTTACCTAACGATCAGCAGATGTCCCGTCTCAATCTTCTTCGGTTCCTCCGTCATTCAACCAAGAGGGTTCGTTTAACTCCCTCTACCTTGAAATAAGTTTATCGCAGTCGCTAAAAACGGCTTAATTATATAGATAGCTCGACCAAAACCCAAGATATCGAATCGTCGCAGCAATCCCAATCTTCCATCAAGTCACCTACAGGACGAGGTCCAAGGGGTCCGATACGACGACTAGTAGCTCAGTCTACAAAACTCGAAGCCGCCGATGATCCGTTAGGCCCATTGGGCCCCCTTGGAGGAAATGCAGGCCCTGGCGCAGATGCGCAGGCCGACGAACCGCCGGTTCCACCGCAGAAGGAACAGATGGTAATCCGAACAACGATGCCGCAACAAGCGCCAAAGAGAGCAGGCCCTTCTGATCCTCACCGCATCGAAGACGATGAACTTGAAAGACCAACAGGCCCGAGAGCCCCTCCTCCCGTCCAGGCTGCGCAACCGAGCCCGATCAGAGTTACAGGCCAGCCAAGTGTCAGCATCGAGCAGGCAGCCAAACCAATCTTCCAGATTTCTGTTGGCGATCCGCATAAAGTTGGAGACTTAACCAGCTCCCATATTGTTTATTCCGTTCGTACAAAGGTATGAAGGGAAATTGATAGGCCAATCTCAGCTCTGACGATATTCTAACTATAACTAGACTACGTCTAAGGGATACAGGCAACCCGAGTTTGAGGTAAAAAGAAGATACCGCGATTTCCTATGGCTTTATAACACAATGCATGGGAACAATCCCGGTGTTGTAGTCCCCCCGCCTCCTGAGAAACAAGCCCTCAACCGTTTCGAAACCAACTTCGTCGAATCCCGCCGAGCCGCTCTAGAGAAGATGTTAAACAAGATTGCCGCCCATCCGACACTACAACACGACCCCGATCTAAAACTATTTTTGGAAAGCGAATCCTTTAATGTCGATGTCAAACACAAGGAGAGAAGAGAGCCTATACCCGGAGAGAGCAAGGGTGTCCTAGGATCCCTCGGTATCAATGTCGGAGGCGGTAGCAAGTTTGTTGAACAAGATGATGTAGGTCCGATTGTCTTCTACAGAAGTCTCATGTCTAACAATTACAGTGGTTCCACGATCGACGAGTTTACCTTGACGCACTAGAAAACCAACTAAAGGCCTTAATGAAGTCTATGGATACGATGGTCAATCAACGAAAGGCTATGGCGGAAGCAGCCGGGGAGTTCTCTGCCTCTCTACATGCTCTTTCAACCGTGGAGCTAAGCCCTTCTCTTTCCGGTCCGCTAGATGCCTTGTCAGATCTACAGCTTACCATACGAGATGTATACGATCGACAAGCTCAGCAAGACGTCCTAACCTTTGGTATTACCATCGACGAATACATCCGGTTAATAGGTAGTGTCAAGCAAGCCTTCTCGCAACGACAGAAGGCATTCTACTCATGGCATAGCGCTGAGTCGGAGATGCAGAAGCGCAAGTCTGCTCAAGACAAGCTCCTCCGGCAGGGACGATCCCAGCAAGACCGACTCAACCAGGTTGGTGCCGAGGTTGCTGATGCCGAACGCAAGGTTCATCAAGCCCGATTGCTATTTGAGGATATGGGCCGATTAATGCGGTCGGAGCTTGACCGCTTTGAAAGAGAGAAGGTTGAGGACTTTAAGTCCTCTGTCGAGACATTCTTGGAGAGTGCTGTTGAAGCGCAAAAGGAGGTACGTTCAATATTCCTTCTAAATATCCATACACGAAAGCTGACTTCATTTACAGTTAATTGAGAAATGGGAAACTTTCCTGATGCAACTGGACGCCGAGGACGACGAGACAGTGTTCTATCGCCCGCCTATCTACCAGGGTAACGATAAGGGCGCTGGTCGTGGTGATACCGCGGTGGATCGAGCAAGGGCTACCATTGATGAAGACTCGGATTAATTGTAGTTTTGTAGTTCCACCGTTGAGGGTGTTTAAAACTTGATATCCTTCATACAATACAAATGGCGAGTTCCGGTGCTCCGAGTCTTTGAACAGATGTATACATAGATGTACAATTGCTATGAGTTGCTCGTCTCTAGAAACCAGTTCACGCAATAGATGCGCGTGATAAATTTCCCTCTAGGTAGGCCACTATCTCTCAACGGCTCTTAGGAGTATCCCACTATCAGCTCCGTATACCCGGGTATACAACAACTCAACATTGTCATGAACTTATCGCCCGTAGTTCCATGGCCTCGGGTTCTCGTGACAATCGCCTTAATCGCGAGATACACTCTATTTCTTCTTACCCGCCGCGGGCGCCAGCTTCTTCCTAAGCTGCTTCGCTTTCCGGGGCGGCTTCTGGCTCGCAGAATACGTCGAGATCAAATCACTCAATGCATCATACCCAGCCGATTGCGCATCCCTTGTCTTCGCCTCCGCGTCTCCCTTCTTTCCTTCCTCTCCCTTCACCTCAGCCTCCTCCTCTGCTGAAACCGTTCGTTCCGCATCCCATCCTCGACCGAACTTATTTCGGAAAGCAGCTAGTTTACCGGCCTCGTCTACCTCGACGTTTTTGAGGGAGCGATCATTCGGTTGCCATAGGATGTGGTTTCGCGAGTCTTTCGTGCTTTTGTATAGACCGATTGGACTTGTCGTACGTTGGGTGTATGTTGATCCGTCGGTTTGCTGTACGAGCTGGGTGAAGCTGTAGGGGCGTCGCGGGCGTCTTATTAGGGTTGCTGCGCGGGAGGGAGTGTGGGAGAGGGGTGTATGCGAGGGTTTTGCTGTTGGTATGGATATCGAGGCGTGGTGGGTTAATGTGCTGGTTGTTGGGCGCCTCGGGAGGGCGTTGGGGAGTCTTGTCGCCATTTTGGCGAGTTATACTTATAAGGCCGTAGTGGTTGTTTTATGGCTTGGTATTTCGCGAACTCAATTGGATCTTTTGTGAGATATGCTGTCTTTTCGCTAGAATTGAGATATGAAGCTCGACTTTTTAGTGGAAAATCGCAGAGTTGGAAATTTCAATTCGATTAAAATCGCCGGTCCGTATTCAACTGCCAACTCCGATATCCTTATCGTTATCTCTTATCTTCTCTCTCTCTCTCGATATTCTTCAGCTTGAGCTTAGTCGAGACTTAATTATTTCTAAACTTGGACAACATCGAAAAGAAAAAGAGCCAATTCCGGCTTCAGAAGCAGAATTGATCCCTATGGAATGAAATGAAGATTCCTCGTGGTCTACGGTGGACATTCAAGTCTGCAAAACCACGAAATGTCTCGTTTCTTAACACAACCGGAGCTCCGGTGAGCTTTTCCACCAAGTCCTCTCTTGGAGGGGCTGAAGGACAAGCCCGAGGTGAGATATTTAGGGGATGAATATCTCTAAATTTACTCTTTTTAACACGATATTCATAGCAGCCACTACTCCACAGTCGCAAGATGGCGAGACAAGCAAGAGGCCAGTGAAACCAGCTCAACATGCGCTATCGAGTCCCCTACGCGCTGTGATGCGCCAGCTGCCACACCCTGTAGTCGTCATCACGACCCTCGAGACTCCAGCCGAGGCCAACGGAAGAGCGGTTGATCGATTACCACGACCAATTCCCCGAGCTATGACCGTCTCTTCATTTACATCTCTATCCATTGACCCAGTTCCAAGGGTCACCTTCAATGTTACCCTTCCGAGCACAACCCATCAAGCCCTCGTTCAAAGCCGCAGATTCAATGCCCATATCCTCAGCGGCGACGACCATGGCGCTAGGATAGCCGATCTATTTACTCGGGGAAACAGGGCGTCCGAAGATACAGATCTAGGTGTTCTCGCGGGTCTAGAGAAACTTGGCGCTGAAATACTAGGACGAGAGCAGTGGTTGCAGGAGTGGGAGTCAGGAGAAAATCACAGGAAGATATCTCTAGCTCGGGGAAATGCTTCAACCGGACCTGACACTGTGCGGCCTAGTACGTTACCCGTATTTCGAGGTCCAGGCATCCTACACGTATTGAAGTGCAGATATCACCATCTAAAGCCTCCTGTAGACTGCGACTTCGACCATCACGCCATCATCATGGGTGAAGTCTTAGATATTATATCCGGCGAGGCTACAGGTGATGGCGATATCGCGCTTGCTTATGCTGATAGAGCATACCGACAGATGGGACGCAAACTCTTGAAAAGGCCGGCCACTGACTGATCAAGTGATGTCTTCCTTCACGAAATCTCTACACAATTTCGATGTATTTAAAGGCAGCAAAACTCACCGGAGACGAAGCCGACATTTTTAATGAAAAACCATTTATCGCATGCTTAGTATCTAGGTATCTATCTTCATTCTGTCGATACCCCTATGCAAAATGTTGGCATATTAAGCAGCCAGGCACATAACTCCAAACAACGACCATAAATAAGCAATTTGCGCCAACAACAATACACCAACCATAGCTCCCGTTGATACTCCCACCGCTATCTCAAGACGACGGAACCTCGATCACTAGGTCCCTCTTCAGTCTAGTAACGATTTCATCAAGATCACCCCAAAAGCCTTCAAAGTCCTCATCCAATTCATCGATCTGCACCTGTAGATCCGTGACCGTATCACTTATATGACCTATCAAATCTCTGTCTCGTTCCGATGTTTCAACCGACCGTTTCCGTATAGATTTTGCATTCCGTCGCAAGTTATTAAGCTGCCGTTCGAACTCTAGCGCTCGCACACGCAGCTTCTCGGTATCTGTCTCAACGGTGCTGATGCGTGATCGTAGGATATCAAGTTCGAGGAGCGCATTCTCAACCTGGACTAGTCGGTCTAAGATTTTGGTCTGGTGTGTCGTGAGGCTTTCGAGCTTTTCCAATTTCCTGTTGATCTGGTAGATCTCTGAGCGTTGAAACGCCAGATTGCTTCCGGGAGGAAAATTGACGGGAAAACTGCTCTTGCGGCCGCATTTGATAGTTATGGGGAATTCACCTCCCTGGGACTGCGGCATACTGTCGACGAAACGAGGTAGAGCGTTTCCTCGACGCCCAGAGTTACGACGACCATTAGTGGAATCGGGAAGCGGCCCCTCTGCTTCACGTCGCGTCTTAGCATAGAGCTTCGAGGTCGTGGGATCGGATTTTTCGTCGTCTTCATGGATGCTTTCGACGGGCTTCGGTCCATTAACCATATCCCAATCCTCCATGTTCTTCATGTCTACGGTACCAAGGGTATTATTGGCTTGTGTTAGCGCTAGGCTCTGTGTTCGCTCTTGGTTGATGAATTCCGAGATTAGAACGAAGTCAGAACTCGAAGAATCGTCGACGTGTTTGGGCTCCGAGTCTGGGTTATACATGTTGGTGGAATCAATAGATCTAGGCCGACCCTCGTAAATGGATTTGTTTTTGCTGGATACGTAGGAGAGGATGGTTCTCTCGCCTGGCGACGATGTTGGGATTAAAAGGTCACCGAGTCCAAATATACCTATCCACGCCTATGGCAACGTTTGTCATAGGTGTCGCTCACTCTAGAGTGTTATGATGTTTTGCAATATTCTTCAGGGAGCTTCAGGAGTCTATGATGTTTTAAAGACGAAAAAGTCTTAGACGTACCTCGACTACACTCCCCTTTTATAAGCACGTAAACGCACCTAACAACCCTTAGAGTTTTCACGTGTAAGCTATACAAAATCTTTTGTCTCTAAGGGTTCATATACGTAAGATGCGGCTAAGGACGTGCATGTTCCTGAGAGTTTGTTGCCTTGACGAGTAGAGCTTTGATCTCCTACAAGCCCTAAGGCCATCAATTCTATGTCAGCCAAAGAGCATTCACATTCTAAAATTTAAATAGTAGAATCCACGACTAATTATTACTAAGTAAAGCTCTGTCATCAACGATATAGACGAAGCACCCCCAAGAGGTACCTAAAAGCCAGCTGCCCGGTGCTCATAGCGCATAATACCTGAGCGCTGGGCTTCCAGATTACATCATGTGGGTTCATTGAAAAGGATACCAAGGCGTTAGAAGGACGTGTCTTCTTCTCTGGGCCTTGCGACATAAAGGCGTATAGGGGACCTAAATGCCTACATATTTCAACCAGGGCCAAACATCCCACCCATATATCTATGCATAGTGTAGAATCGTATCACTAAGTTGCTCGACTACAAAATATGTTATAAGATGTACGATTTTCAAGATATCAACTGCCATAAACTGGATGTAGATTTATATTCGCTCGAGTTTCTAAATTACTTTTTGTGCCAACCAGCCAGGAGGGGGTATCTGAAATCACCTAGCCGGCAGCTTACAACTCGATCTTCACGTCCTCTTCTTCCTCGCCACCGTAAGAGCCTTTGCGCACTCTAAAGTCGGCTTTCAGATCTGTCTGTCTCCAATCAGAATTCTCCCACAGAAAAAATGCCTTCCCTACTCAAAAACAAAAACAGTAGTAAGACCCCTTGTCGCCCACAAGCAACCACTAAAACCAAGTAGTCGGTAGCAGAATGAAGTAAAAGGGCGAATTATACAGCAGTAAGCTCAAACACGGGTGCCTTCTACGGATAAGGCAACCGGGACTCCATTAGAAGAATGATCTGTGCACCCAACGACCCCGAAACCTGCTGTCCAAACCTGTGAACGCCGGTAACCTTTTTACAAGCATTGAAAAGATGATGATAGTAACAAGAAATATTGTAAGCGCAGAGACTTCAAGTCTGCCCCTTCGAAGGAAGTGATGGTATATCGGTAGCGGTGCGAAATGTCGACTGGGCGGCGGAAGAAGGGCTAGATCTTGATGCGACGGACAGTTGACCCGCGAACAAAGGAGATAGAAAATTGAATAGCGGATGCGGTGTTGGTAAAATAAAACAACGCTGAATGTGGCCAAAGTCCCAGAGAGTCGTAACGTCGTTCAGGTCTAATCTGATCGTTTGCCCACGTCAATGGTGTGCTTGACAAATTGTAGAAGAGATTCGAGAGGTTATATATATATATGCATACCGTCCCAGACAGTTCACATGACAATACAGCAACCACAACTCGATTTCTTCGTATCTTCTTCGGGTTGTTCCATCTGTGTCGGTACTCTGGGACTCTGGCCATTTTGGTTGTGCGGTTGGATCGAAAGCGGGCTCGCAAGAGGAGTCATATTAGGCGTGCCCGAAATTTTAGGCATTGTCGAGTATGAACTGGTACCAGGACGACTCATATTTGGACTCTTAGCGCCGGGCCGCAATGGCCATTCATCCTGCCTCTCTTCGACGTCCTTCGGCTTCTCCAATTCTGGAGGTCGTAAGAAACCTTCATCATTAAGAGGACGGAACTCCTTGTCATATATGTTTCCGAATTTGCCCTCTTGTTCCCACTTCTCTTGTTGTAATCTTTTCGCAACAGTAGGAAGCAGTTGCTGATCCGGTGGTAACCGGGGGTCAGGTTTGTATGCCGACACCATCCACGGCGGATCACCCTCCGGCGCAGATTTAGACACTGGCGGCGACAATTCGCCGGATCGGGTGGTTGGTCGTGTTCTGGAACCACTGCGAGTATTTGTACCTGATCGAGTCTTCGGTCGACCTTGCGAGGCTGTCTTTGTCGGTGCAGAGCTTTTCCTAGCCCCGGCGGCATCGGTTGCCGTCGATTTTTTGGGCGAACCCTCCGTAACAGAGCGCTTCGAAGGTTGGACTTTCGGGGGGTCATCAAACGCGTTGGAGCTGCCGCTCCGCGATCGTGGCTTCGGTAACGAAATCGAGGCTTCGTCGTCGAGTAGGGGGAAACTCTGCTTTCGCGTCACAGGCGCATCTCGTTCCAGATAATCGACGGGAATCGGAGCTGGACTCAGTTTGGCGACTGGGATACGAGATTTGACACTGTCTTTTGTTACCCAATATTCACCGGGATCTTCGGCTATTTCTTCTGGGAGCCGCAAATCCCAGGCGGGTACTTCAATTTCAAGGGGTTTCTCAACACTCAATTCCGAATTCTTTCGTGATCTTGAGACGGGATGCGCTTCTGAAGCATCAGTACCTCGCCGATGACCGTTTGCTTTGTCCGGGCTACGATCTCGCCTCGGCCTGCTTTGAGCCCTCGGTTTGGGAAGAATAATACCAGCGGCTTGAAGTTCCTGGCTCTCTATCCTAGCTAACTTATCCCGGTGGATCCATTTCGAGTGTTCATCTTCGAGATCCGAGGGCGAAACATCGGCGTTCGGTCGCTTGTGATCAGATATCGAGGTTGATTGACTTGTGCGGGTATCTAGTCATAATTAGCGAGATTCCTTATTCACACTGCCTTCCTCCTCTTATTATGGGAAGATATAAACCGTTCTTTCAAGAGGGATCCAACCTTTGCTTGATGGGTAGTTGTCTGTCGCGTAAGGATCATAGCCTGAGTCCCCGTTTGTATAATGGGAACCCCCCTTTACGCCATTGGTCTCATGTCGTTCTGTAGATAATTTATGTGGCATAGAGCTCTATACAAGATAGCACAGTACGTGTTAGTTAAATGATACACAAGGGATAATTGTAAGAAATATACGATATGTAATATGAGACAGTAGGGAATGTAACTTCGACGATGGTAGTGATGGCAGCAAAAGGAGACTCACGTCATGATTAGAAGAGGTGTGGTTCCACCCCGAATGATCTGCGTGTTCACTAGTCGGAGGAGTAAATGTCGTGGTACCCGAGACCGCTGACATAGTTGCCATTTCAAAAATTCGATCAGCGACGATCACGAGTAACAACGCACCCGTGAAACTTGAGATGCTGTCGATCGATTCTATCCAGTGTTACGAAGAGTGGCCGATATAGGAAACCAAGAGTCAAATGACGATCCACGTTCGCCTTTTTTTTTTTTTTTTTTTTCTAATTCGAGGTTACGCGAATCGCGGAGGATGCGGAGAAGGAACGAGACTTTAAGAAAAGTGTTGGCGCGGCCGTGGTTGTGGCTATGTCGGTGATAGTTGACGGTGACGGTGAAATCGAATCAACTTCGAGCGACGCGATGGAGACAGACAGCAGTCGCCAGCGGCTGTCAAATTAGACCCGACGAATATCGCGAGGAAGGTAAAGGCAAGGAAGTAGTAGTAAGTAATAGCAGGTAAGATAGCTTGAGAAAAAGAGTGACGAAGAATAGAGGTCGACCACTACGAAAAAAACGGCGTGTGATCTAGTGAATTAGTTGATGGTTATCTTGGCAAGTTCCCGGTTTAGTCGTCCACGACGGACCGGCCCCTATGGTTTTTCTTCTTCCTCTTGTCTTCCTGTATTGTCTTATCTTGCCTCGTCCTTGTCTTATTGAGAGCTATCGTGGAGTTTGGTGAGGTAGGCGGATCGATGTCGCTAGGTATTCGGTTCTCCTCCCCAATCGTCAACCTCTTTTTTTTTATCGATCTTTACACGTAAATTCGCTTGATTCCTTGGATCCTCCCTTCTCACACGCCCAGTCCTTGATCCAATAGGAAGACAATTGGCCTCTCACGAGGGGATACAGAGTGGTGAAGGAGATAGGACTGGCGGACTGGGTGATGGACAGAAAGGTGCGTGAGGCGTGAGGCGTGAGGAGGAAAAAAGACCAATGCAATGGCTAGGATGGGTTCAGGAGCCGGTTCGTGGCGTGGCAGTGGCAGAAGCAAATATTGTGGTCCCAGGGCCTACGAAGTATAGTACAGGCTTGGAAAAGAGAAGGAGCCGGGGTTGGTTGAAGGAAAGCGATTGGGTGATGAGATGCATGCGGAAAGGGGATTGGCCTGAACATTCGTCGCTTCCACTTTTCTGTCTCTCCGTCTCTTCCCAATTGCGACAAATTACAAGTATTAGGTTCAACCTTGAATTGGTTGAGTTGGCAAGGGCAATGAATGGGAAAATAATTTGGTAGCTTAGGGGGGAAAGAACAAACCGTCCACGCATAAAGTTCTTCAAGTTCTTCATTTAGATTTAGGTATACTTTAGGTACATTACCGGGTGGCTTTCCTAGGGGTGTTACCCGTACCGCGTTTATCGTCTTGTGACTAAACCCGGATTGGGTCACGACTTATCCATTTATGTATTAACTTATTCCAATTGGAATTTGCTAGTTTCCAGTAGCACATGGACATTAAACTAAGAAGAATGTATCTTTTATACCGAGAACATTTCTAAATGACTTCATACAAATACCTAAGAAATACAATATACATGTACAAATCTATATAGATATGCAGATCAATCCCTCGAATCTACCAATATATGTACATAATGGATTTAGACTTACATATTTCCAAGATTATTAAAGTTGTCGTGCTTCATCCCGTCTCGACAATCCGATATCTTACATGCAAGAAATAAAATAAGGTGGAAGAAGGACCCCCCCATGGCTGGCTCGGACTGCCCCTGAATTTAATAAAATGCACTGTGGAATGCAACATTATAGTGTTACGCCAAGCCTAGATGTGACAAGGTTCGGTAAAATCCTAGCCGTCTGATTGGTATTGTGCTACCATCTGCGCGGGGTCATTAAGAAGCTTTACACTGTGCTTGGCATAGAATTTTCATATGGGTTGCACAGTTCTACCCCAATATCTCCAACTGTATTCTAGAATACATTCCATGTAACCCAACCCCCCGGCTTCTGCTTCTCAGACATTTTCTCTTTAACCAATGCGGGACCGAGCTTCAACTTTTTCTTACACAACCAATTATTTTATTTTTGTTCAACACGAGACAAACAAGCTCACAATGCCACCTATCATGATATGTTGTTAATGTCGTCCATACCCTCGAATAAATCGTACCAACCTCATTATACAGATGGTACTTTATTTTCATATCTAGGTACGCATGTGGGCGAGTACAATGACCAACACCTTGAACAGCTATCATTACCATTACCGTCATTATCATTAGATACTTCATAGAAATTATACAATACGAATCCTCAGAATTATTGCCTACATCCTTTCCTTTTCTCTTCCCTGATTCCCCAATATCAGTTTCTTATCTAGTGACGAATGTCTCCCTGTGTTGTATTCATGGAAACACAATCACCTAGTTTGAATAGCTTAGGTGATATGCTCCCAGCCGTTCAATTACCCTTACTTTATAGGCGCCAATGATGGAAATAGGATATAGCAAATATCAAACATTATGACCGAAGGGAAAGACCGCCATAGCCAACTAGCTACGATGAAAAAGTCACACGTATCCTCGTCACCAGTTCATCAGCGGACCCGGAGAACACGAATCGTTTGCATATCAGACACGCATAACTGCACAGTGAAGCTTCCGAAGGGCGACGTACTTATCCATTGCGGAGACTTGACGAACCAGGGGAGCTTCACCGAGCTTTCGAAGCAAGTGGCATGGCTCGAAAAGGCCGATTTTGAATGCAAGTTGGTCATTGCTGGAAACCATGATATCACACTCGACACCGCTTTCTTCGAACAGTATGGAGATTACTTTCATAACAACACGCCACAGAACATCACCGATTGCCAAAACCTTTTAAAATTATCCAAATCTCTCACCTACCTCGAACACTCGAGTTGTACAATCAGACTCACCTCTTCGTCTGGACCGCGAACTATCTTCAGTGTATTCGGTTCACCCTTTATCCCATCTTGTGGGAAATGGGCCTTCCAGTATCCCCGCGAGGACTCCACCGTAGCAGAGAGAATATGGAACGATATTCCACTTGATACCGATATCCTTATTACACACGGGCCAGTGCGCGCACACGGGGATGAATCTCGTCATAGAGAAGCGAAGGGCTGCGAGATCTTACGACAGGCGGTGTGGCGAGTACGGCCACGTATAGCACTTTGTGGACATGTTCACGAGGCACGAGGCGTACACCGCGTACGATGGGACCTATCAAGCAAATCTATTCGATATAATGAGCTAGAAACGAACTACCAGTGGGAAGATCCAGGTGTAGGGAACCAGAAGAATTGCTTGGTCGACCTCTCGGCTAAAGGCGGATTGCCCCTGAACAATGACGGCAGCAAGGTCCTATCACCACAATCACTGCCTATGTCTGTTTCCGAAGTACGAAGTTCCAGTGGGTCTACAATCAACAAACCAACAGACCCAGAAGACGCAGACCCGGGCATCGGTACGCGGGGACTTAGCGGGAACCCAACGTCCGCTCGGAGTGATGGACCGGCGTTGATCGGGCGACTCGGGCGCAAGGAGACGTGTATAATTAACTGCGCCATCCAGGCAGGTAGCTATCCTCATTCAGGACCGCGGCGGTTACACAAGCCTATCGTCGTCGACATCGACTTGCCTGTCTGGGATCATAATATCTAAATATTTGGCCACTCCGAAGTTTCCGGGCGTTAGCCACTCTCGCATACGTGCAACGGGGCTGTGCTTTACTAAATCGCCCCTTTAGACTTTGTCAATCCTTGAAACTTCGCAATATCAATTCAGATAGGCAATTCAGTGATGATATTGTCGTATCTTTCGGGCGGCGCAAATCTTTGAGCCTTGGTTACGATTAGCACTATTGTGGCAGTGGTTTCTGTCCACGCGTTTACGCTCTCGTTTCTGCCTGTGTAAATAGAATGCGGGTTTTTGTCGCCCTTGCCTTCGCCGCTTCCAGTAGGGAATCTAAGCAAACAAGAAGATATACTATTAGGCGACTACGCAGATTGAATACGGGATACACTACGTGCGGAAGAGGCGGTTATAATTGTGGCAATTTTGGGCATACTCCGTGAACCCGGCCCGCGTTACGATTACAACCACAAAAAGTCTCCCTGTAATGCATAGCTCAGTGCTCATCTATGGTGTCATTGTCTTGCCCTAAGTATACCAATGTCTTAAAGACTTGAACGTATCATGCGCGAAAAAAAAAAGTACGCCACCCTGCCGGTAGTCAATCTGTCTCGGATCTACGATTTCAGACGTCTAGACGCCCAATCCCGTACAGACGTTGACAGATTTCACTTGTTGGCTCAGCCTGACTGAGACCCTACGAAGGCTATGAAGGTTACAAACCGATAGATACCGTAATTCAGCTACGTAAGGTGGTAGATAAATTACAGATTATAGTGCGTTCTTTTTTTTGGTCGGTTATCATTTAATCTATCAATTCGGCTCGTATTTCATCATGTTACTCAGCTTAAGGCGAAAACCCGTAAAAAAAAAACTGCCATTGTCGAGTATTTAGCTGAAGGTCAATTGGAGCTGAAGCTGAAGTCAGACATGTTCCTCCATCCGCCGGGATTGACCCTCATTCAGAAGATCACAAACTAACACCATTAATGCAGGGTGATGCAGGCCAAAGTCGTTGCTTACGGGGCGGCGGAATGTCAACCCATCCAAACAAGTTGCACGATGTCTGGGCTTCCTGCTCATCCTTACGGCAGTATGTACAAATCTAACTAACAATAGACAGCGCGCCAATCGGTATTGGATGGCAATAATTACCTCTTAGAGCGCACAGCACAGTAGCTCGCGCAGTGGTAGGGAGCTAGACAGGTAGGCAGGGAGAAGATCGTGGAAATTCCGCACATTCTATCACATCCGATAGCCGGTGTGGAGGTACGTATCATGTATGTGCTCTGCTACCAATGTAGGCTTTACTTTCCAATGGGTCTTGCGATATTCAGGGTCACACTTGGATCTGCAGGAGAACGGAGCAGTCCAATCGTTGACAGGATGATTGCTTGTAAACCCACAATGCGTCCCCATGTAGTTTCTACGTGAGAAGTAAATACGGAGTAGCTTCAATCGCAACGTGCAGAAGATGAAGGAAAAGTACGTAGGTATGGTATGGGAAGGACCCTGACGCGGCCGGGGTGAACGAGACCCTTGATACGAGAGGGCCAGATTCAACGCGGGGGGGGCCGCGTAAACATAGATCACGCCGACTAAGAGGAAAGGAAAGAACCTTAGGGATCTAAATAGTAAGAGCCGTAGATCAGATAAATGAAGTATTAGATCAATTTCAAGTGAACAGGCAGCGTATTATTTGTCTTTACCTCTTTTTGTACAGCCTCAAGAAAAGTGACTGAGTTAGGAGTATACTCTATCCTCAGGGGATACTTTTTGGTAGGATAGGGCGCTTCATTATGTGATAAACAATGACCAATGATAAATCTGTCATCTGGTGCATGATGGATTTTTCTACCTATCATGATGATGAGGGTGGGGGCTAAAGGGGGTCTATGTCGCTGCATCTGCAGCTATCCAATAACCTCCGAATGGGATGCATAATATATAGTACTATAGAAGATACAATCAAATCTAGTTAGGGGTATCTACATACTACATAGCAAGATGGAATAGATGAACCAGGGAGGGAGGCATGTCACCTGCACCGCTTCTTCCCCTTGACTTGCGGGTCCTCTTCCAATGCGAGTGATTGGACTAGACTAAAAGTTGTGAATGGCTGCGACGAAACGCACCTGTCAATGCTAACAGGATTTAGATGGAGACATCTTTTTGCCTATCTACCTATTACAACGTCGATATATGCAGAAGATGGGACGAAGGGGGAAGCAAGCAGGCATAGGTGCATACCTAAGGTCGAGAACTGGGGAGGAGCTAGAATCCTGAAGAAGCCTCATAATGTATTGTATCTAGTAGTAGTAGTAGTAATAAAATGGGTAGCAGTAGCAGTAATTGTAATAGCGTAGCCGACCGCGCGTGCTTATCCCTCACCGACCATGTGCCGACTTGAAGAGATGATCACCTTGCATCATGTTGCACTTTGAACGGGAAATCGTCAGGTACATACCCTCCCGAAAAGGCTGGCTTCATCTTCCTTTAGCATGCCCACCTATTTCTAGTATAGTCAGCTTCAGGTGTTGTCCCGTGATCGACCAAGCGATGAAGCGGGCGATGCCGTAGATGACGACGAAGCTCCAAGGGGTTTTCCTTGAAGCTCTATTAGCTTTCATAGCTTCAAAGACGATCTCGTTGTGGCCGTTGGTCTTTTCCCTCATCAAGTAATTACAAGACAGCTTATCTATCGCTCATTCGTTTAGGAATGGCTTGACGATCTGTCGATGAACTCATCATTAACCCCGCCCCCGCCTCATACGTAGACGAAAAACAGGAGGATCGTGGAGACCTGGCAAGGATAATCACGCACATCATCCCGATATGAGACAAATCGGAAAGATTTTACCAGCAGCCAGGACAAAGCTCACATAATTCATTAGGTAGGCAATAGAGAAGAGCTTCACATGTTGGTAACCAAGGAATTCACTTTCCCATTTTCTCTTTTAAGGCTCGTCAGCTTTCTTTCGAATTTGGTTCTCGGTGGTAAGAATCATCTTAGATAAGTAGGAACACAGAAGATCCACACAGACCCTCCTCCCCCTCTAGGCCTAGTAACGGGCGTTACCATTTGCTGGTAACTTGCATAATCGATTATCCCTGAGCTCACACACGTTGACCGCCGATACTGGCTCATCCTGATTCATAGTGGAGTGCCCAACACCTAGTAGAGGAGAATCCAGGTAAGAAAAGCTAGCCGAATGTGGCCTTTCTTGACCCTCAAAAGAGGCCATGAGAACGAAAACGAAACCGCGGATCCCACGAAAGAGTCTAGCCTACCTAGTACGATACTATATACGGGTTTCTGTCGATAGCTCGGAGTAGCTTCTCTTGCTTTGAATGAACTAGTTCAAGGCTCTGGCCGAAGCGTGGGCTTGGTTCCATAGCACCGATCTATACCCACTCGTTGAGAAATGATTGGTCCAGAATGAGGTTCTAGTTGAGATCCCCTCTCTTAGCTTCATAGCTTTCTTCACCCTCCTTACCCCCCATCTCTTAACCAATCCTTCCCGTCTGACCTTCAGAGCCACTTCATCTCACCACACCATCTCTGTTTTGTGGCCAGATGCTGAGGCCTCGTGCGACCTTCTTTCATGCAGGCTCGTCAACGAGAGGTCCTGCAAGCTGTAAGCAACCTATAGATCGTGATCACGCTTCTTCATTACCTAAGTATGTAGCCGCACACCATCTTGATGTATATTCTGCCCATGCGATAGTCCTAGATGTACCTGCTTTTATACCAGAATACGATTGGTTCCCAATTCCGTTAAAAAGGGACCACCTAAGCAGCCAACTTCTTTCCATTTAGATGCGAGTGTGACAAGCTACTCTGCAACAAGTCTGTGATGAATGGACAATGTAACCGAAAAAGCATTGGCATGGAGCTGTGGACCGAGTTGACTGGTCAAAGTTCGCGGGGCCATTGGGTCTGCTGTACCTATCACCGGTTTAGACCAAGGAGAAGAACAATCAATTTAGTCCAATAAGCGCTCGAAGCCCACGAGTACTTTCCCAGGTTCGGGAATTTATAGAGACGAGATGTACTTCCCTGGCTATCACCTGGCTGCAGGGTGAGGACCAAAAAGGAAAGGTATCATATTTACCATGACCATACATGAACGACCAAGTTGCTGTTGTTCTAACACTCTAGGACTTCGAGATCGTTGCGAAAGCCGTAGATCGACCACATTTAACCATTTAATGCTGATGAAGTGTGTGAACCCCTTCCCATAATACCTTTTGATCATATGAGAGCATTGGGCATCGTGGCTCAATTCATGACAAGTTTCGGCCTTTAAGAATGGGCATCAAACAGGTGAAGGAAATAGTAAGGAAATGAATTAGGGCCATCAATCCAATGCTAAGAGCTCAAGTGTCTCGTCTAACAGTTTTTGCATTTTTCTATAATATTCCCAAATAGAACCGTTTGTCCAGTCGGACCCGGGACCGGTAAAGGACCGGTCCCATACATATGAGACCAAAGATACGGTGTAAAAAAGGCAAAGATGATAGCCGCGAGTGGACGAATAATAAGTAAACCGTCCGGGTAAGTAACACAGCCCATTTGTTAGTGGAACCATACAGAGAGGTATATTCAATGCTTGGGCATCCACTTGACAACGACTAATACCAATGAATTAAATAAATATCCCGTAAGCGACGAAGCTCTTCTGGGTTCTACCGGGTTCGTCGAATCGTGACCTTCCAATTGACCCTATACGGGGCGAACCTGCATAGGAGAGGTAATATACACGGCTATCCTTCGGCCATCATTAGCTGTAGTTGTCTACCACAGCCCTTTCCCACGATAGTAACAATTAGCTTGGTGTTGTAAATATTTCGGGGTAGTATACCGGCGATTTGAACTCCACTGATATTTCAATTGATCATCTTTCTGATGCTTTAAATACTATCGCAACTTGGATCAGCACATGGATAGACGAGAGGCACAAGAAATGCCCGTAGGAGATGAGAATATTCGTCCTTCACCGCTGGTTTCGAAACTGGATGGTGATACCAAGACTCTCTTTCTCCATAGGAACTTGCATATAGACATGTACATAGATAGGATCTTGATACATGCAACAATAATAATGTACCAGGTATACACTATGCTATCGTCTCCCCTCCCCACAGCTTGCCTACCATCGTCTCCGCTCGACTGTCGGTATTCTTCGAGCAAGGCTAAGTCGCCAATATATCAGTCGATCTAAAAGTCCCCAAACCAAGAATCCCATTTTGGAAAATCCGCATCGGGTCTTGTATCCGTTTCTATTGTATTCGCCATCATCGCATTTATTGCCACCCATCTAAAGTAACCCGACATCTCGACTTACACGAAAAAATCTAGGCTGGACCTATTGGTTCTTGAGGGGCCAAGCCAGCTAGCGATCGTGAACGCCTAGCAAGGACAGCACCGCATCTGCCACACACATACTGCACATACCACGCTTACGCACTCCGTTTCTATTCATTCATTTTTTTGTCCTATTCTAAGAAAATTGGATTGACAAACGAGATCACTTCAGCTTCAAAATCGGGTCTTGTACAATGCAATTACCCGATTGCCATTGTTCTAACATATTTGATTTACGAATTCCATTGTCACAACTTGACTCGGGAGCGCGAATTATTTCATTTCATTTTGTTTTTTGTTTTTATTGTTTTCTAATAAATCATTTCTCAACTTACACAATTATACCAACATAACCGAATTCGTCATTCCTCATCTTTTGTATTGGCTGGCTACTGTTGCACCAACATTATCGAATACTTACACATAACACTTAACAATTGTCATTGTAAAATTATTTGCTTCAAATATTTCAACTGAACCCGAGGTTACTTACCTCCCTGGTATTTACAACTCACCCACGCTGGTTAAAATTATCATTATCATTATTATTCATTCATCATCTATTCTTCCAACTCCCATTCGAGATTCTTCTGTTTATTAGTACACGTCGTCCTTACATCTCACCCCACCGACTTGGCCGAGACCATTCGCTAAAACCACGTAACTGGCCAATTTTATCCAATTCTCGTCGCCTCGTTATTTCGTCTGTTCGTTTTATTCGTCTTGCTCAGACGCTGGACATCCCACGCAAGGCCTATCTATGCGACAATTTCACATTACCATACCTTTTGCGAATTATCCTATGCCATCCTACTCTACCTACATATACGACTAGATAAGTTTGGTCGGTAGTGGTGGCATTGGTGATAGTAATAGAGGTAACAGAAGAAGTAAAACAGTATTAAGAAGTATTATACCTGGAGTAATACTTACATACATCGACGACGAAGAGGTATTACCTAAGATCTGATTCTTCGTTCTTCGTTCTTCCCTTCCCCCTCTTCAACCGACTTTGCATCATTTACGGTCGTTGAAACCCCCCGCGCCTTGGGCTGGACATCTCCGACGCGGTGTAATTCAGTTCCTGGCTCCCCTGGCGGAATCCGAAAGACCCTCGGCGAGAACGAGGGCAAGACGGATAGACTGATTACGAACTTGCGACCTGCTGATTGCTTTTCTTCCAACTCCGTCTTGTCCGTGTTTTCTTTTCGATCCCGGTTGACCCTACATCAACAAGAGATACTTTGTATTTACTTATTTATCTCTTGCACATTGTTTCCTTCTCATCTATTTCCCCTTTTGCCGTTCAGTTACATACATATAATTCCCAAGCATCTATTCCCGATATAATACTTTAGATGGTACTTGTTAGTGTAGGAGCGGTACTTTGACTCATCGCTATTTTGCCACTCTAAAAGAAGTTACTCACGCCCCGCCGTATCGTACATCAAGTACTTTACTTGGCGTACCCCCGGTTACAGACGCAGTAGCAGTGCAGTTTGCAGTTACAGGGAGAGAGCTGGCCTGTCTCCGTTAAGCTTTAACATAGCCGTAACCGTATAAGGGACGGCAACCGCACGCTAAAGAATTAGGGCTCCACACGTCGCCTGTAGCGGACAGGTAGTGGCCACTGGACTGGAAGCACCAAGCGGGCGAACAGTAGGCGCAGGTACCCCCTGGCTCTTTTGAACCTGTACCCCCGGTATCCTTCGTACCTTTGTACCTCGGTTTTCAGGTACTTCAAATAAGGTACTTCCCTAACAGAAATGCACTGAAAATAGGTGTGCCAACAAAAAGGGGGTACATAAACGCTAAGAGACAAGAAAAAAAAAGAACGCTAAAAAGGAACGGGTCGGCGACGCTTGTCAGAAAAAGGCGACAGGAGCGATAGGATAATCATTTCCTAAAACTTCTCAGGGCAAAAAATACCAAGTCCGCCCTCACTCATCACCCATCAACTCTTTTTTTTCGCCCTGTCGCAATCGTCAATCCCCCCCTCTCTCTCTTACCCTTCTTTTCTCTCAACCCACCCCATCCACCATTCTAGCCCATTCCCACCAACAAGCAAAAAAGTGGCTAGAGTGGCAGGAACTAGGTTAACTGGCAAGGTTGTTTGTATGGTTGTTTTCTGTTTTCTGTTTTCTGAGGAGTCTGAGGAGTGGCTACTATTTTTTCCTTCCCATACCCTTACACCCGCACGCCCTCGACCCTTTTACGGTATACGCTTGGGTACATAGATACTTGTCTACACATCCACTACTCTGCTACTTTACCTGCTAGGGTAGCAGTAGTATCGTGCTTGTGATCGACGTTCTATCCTAAAAGGTGTTACTACCCGTCAAGCCTCAACAGCGATCGATCCCGCTTTGCTCTCGTCTAGAGGTACATTATACACTATACACTATACCTATACCTCTTAACATACCTCCCACTCTCTCACATCATACACTCACGTACATACTCCTCCTATCGATATCTCTCTCTCTCTGTCTGTTCCCCCGTCTTCTTACTTACACTACCCCATATCTTCATCTATCATCACCACCCTTTCCCCCTCTCTATTCCCTCCCTCTCTTTTCTCGAATTTCACCCCCAGGATTCCGTGACCTCATCAAACAGGATACGCAACGCCATCTTTTTCCAAATCTCGACCATTATTCGTCTGTCAACCGAAGAAAACCAAAAGCTTGCTTTATGGCGTGGTCTTTCACTCGAAGTACCCTTCGTTAGAGTCAGTTCTTAATTGAATTTGACTCTCCCATACTTCTCATACTTCTGCTTCTATTACTTTTGCCCCCCATTCTACTTCGAGCTAGGTCTGTTTATACAATACGAACGACCTCTATTGTATTAATTTTATATTGTTATCATTGTTATTCAAGCCACATTGACTATTTCTCTATCTTCATCCCTCGCTATCCACCTTGTCCAAGCCCCCCCGTGTCGCGCGTATCAAACCACCAGCATCCGATCCGCCTTCACCGCAGTCTCGTCTCCATGCAATAATTCTCCACTTTCACTCTCGTCACCGTCTTTTGGTCGTCCCAGCGACTACCTAGGTACCACTAAACAACAAACCCACCATCTATTCTTCTAAACGTCGCTTGCGATACGCTTCTTTTCTTCCATACCAACAACTTCCGAACGACATCAACCCGCGAGCCCAACATGTCGTCTCTTCCTCCCGACCCTTACAAGATCCTCGGTGTATCCAAGGACGCCCAGCTGCCAGAAATTCGATCCGCTCACCGGAAGCTGGTCTTGAAGTGCCACCCCGACAAGGTCCAAGATCCCAAGTTAAAGGAGGAGAAACAGAAGGAATTCCAACAAGTCCAACAAGCCTATGAGTTGCTGAGCAACGAAAACGAAAGGATTAGATACGATGATAAAGTTAGACTTGAAGAGCTGAGAAGAGATAGAGGTATGACGTCGACTTCAACGTCGTCACCTCGCTCTTCGAAGCGCCATGAGACAAAATACTATGATGTACGCGAAGCAGAGCCGCGACCATCGACCTTTGCGGCCTCCACCAGCCCCCACAATGTTTATTCCCACACACCTCCGTCGCGTTCCTTTGACGAGGAGATATATGCTAGGAGATTTGAGGAAAAGCCCCGCTCCGCGAGAAAAGCTGCGAGCTATGAATATGAGAGAGAGAAGCCATCTAGGAAAGAGAGCGAGCGTCAAAGACGGAAGGAGGATGAGGAGTGGACTCGCGAAAAGGAGAGAGAAAGAGAAAGACTTAGAGACATCAGATTGATGGAAGAGAAAAGGGAGCGTGAACGTGAACGTGAACAGCGAGAACGTGATGCGTTGAGAGAAAAAGAAAAGGAGGCAGCAGCCAAGAAAGAGAAGGATCGGCGTAAGGAGGAGCGAAAAGAGGAAAAGAAGAAGACAGAGAAGGACCGCCGCAAGGAGTCCGATGAGAAGCACCGCCGCCACAAGACCCCGTATGTGGAGACGTATCCGGACGACCGGGAAGAAGTTATTTACTCGACATCTTCATCATCCAAGACGGACAAGAAGAAGTCTAGCAGTAGCCGAAAGTATGACGAAGTCCCGGAACCACCGCAGTCATCACAGCCGCCACCAACCACGGAGCGAGAGAGGAAGAACTCGGCTAATTTGGAATCTGCAATTCGATACTTGAACAGGTCGGGCGCGAAACCCCCGTCCCTCGCCCGGGCGCAAACGTACCATGACTCTGTCAGCAGTGGTATGCGGCATATAGCCCCAATCGCCGTCCCAACACCACCGCCTGCTGCCGCAGCGGCTTTCCCGCCCCCACCCCCAGCTGATATTAGAGATGCATCGCTAGAAGAAGACGGGGTGAAAAGGTCGTCGGCAAGGCCTCGCCGCATGTCGCATGATACCCCTAGGTCGTCGAAGGAGAAATCCTCGCACAAGAAATCCGGATCTTCCAGGGATCCAATTATCGTGGATGCTGCATCTCCTACCTCTCGAATCATACCTACTTTCCAGAAGTCTCACTCCATTCCCATACCTCTTAACCGCTCTAGCACCGACTATTCTCGTCCGCCTCCGGCGGCTGGTCTGGAGCGTGCAGCAACTTGGATGGCAGACACTGGCCATGGTCGAGACCGAAGTCGCTCGCGTCATGCGCGCTATACTACGGATGAGTCGTCTGAGGAAGATCGGGAACGTCGACACCGTCGAAGCCGGCGAACAACGCAGTCTCCAGAGCCCATGCCAGCACAGTCGACCAAACGATACACAGTTACCGCCGGGAAAACCGTCCCAATACAAGAACTTTACCTAGCTGAAGAATCGCCTAGGAACTCTAAAAGGACTTATGCCATGCCTAATACTTCTGTGCGCCGCGGCGAACCTCCAGCAAGTTACTATGATGACGTTTTCGAAGAGGAGCCACAACCAATATTCCCGAGCGTCAAATACTCAGCGACGTTTGATGCCAATGAAATTAACTTTAGCGACGTACAGCATTCGCATCATCACCGAGAAGAGGTATACTAATAATGTATGGGACTCGACATCTACCGTGGCGAACGATATATTGTGCCGTAACGTAATCTGGTCCTTGTATATTTTCAAGATCTTTTTTATTTTTATTTCTCTTTCATCGTTCCATTTCGATTTCGTCCTTTACGATTCGGATTTGGCGTTTTGGATGGGTTTGGGTGTTTTGGTATCGTGCCCAGTCAAGAAACTTCACGAAATACAGTAACGACTTGATGTCTTCCCGATGAGCTTAGAAAAAGCAAGGTGTGGACGGGCTAGGCAGGATTTCTCTCGCCTGGTCCCTAGGATTGGAGACTTTCCTAAGGCGGGGCGAGCAGACTACCTTTGTGGTTCAGTCGGGCTTACAGTCAAACGGGATTTCTATTGCCGGAAAAGCAAACGATACTTTGATGCTCAAGGTTACTCGAGCACACGACTCGTAATGCAATTCGCCGCTGTCCACACCGAGCTTAAGATGGCCAATCATGACAGCACACAAATTCTTCTGGTCTAATCGTCCGGCCCCCATCAGCGAACTTGCTTGCCGTTTACGCCGTTTTTCAGAGTCCACGAGTTTTACGAGAGATGTTTTATCGTTGTCGGATTTCCACTTGTTTTTCTCCCGTCAGCTTTTTCGCGTTTTTCTACAATCTCACACATCTATATACATATACACATAACATTGCATATGAGGAGCAAGAAACCAGGAACCAGGCTGGTTGGAGGGGTTGGTTCCCATTATTTTCATCTACCTTGTTTTCTACGGGGAGGGAGTTCTCTGATCACAATTTGATCCTCTCGTCCGTTCGTTCATTTACGAGGCGTTATGCAGTCAAGGGAAGGAGGGGAGCATTCGCGGCTGGCAGGTGGACAGGAATTATCTATTTTACTGCACTCGATCGAGGCTACGCATATCAATTAACGCACGAGACGCATGGATGAGATATATGTTAGCAGAGCATATTGCTCTAATCATTTAGAACATGTCAAGTTTTCGTTCCGCATGACGTGACGTTTGTTTTCGCTTGTCCTGTTTCGAGAATGAATTACAAGAGCCTCCTCAGCCAGCTGATGTTTTACGCGCGTTTCCTTGAGTACGTAGGACTTATTCTACGGTGAACTACGATACCCTACCTAGGTACTCTAGGTATGCGATTTACCTCTACAAATCCTACGAAGTTGGCTCTAAATTGTATACATCGAGTGTATTCTTGCTTACTATGGAAGATGATGGAATTATGGAGATATGAATTTGTACACATTATTTGTTTCAATACACTATTAGAAACGAGATTTGACGTTTGAAGGATTCTAGAGATTAGATACTACATTACAATACAATACAATACATCATAACATCATAACATCATAACATCATATTTACCTGGAGTAACAACGAGCGTATTTAGAAATAGAAATTTTGAGGCGCGAAGGAATCGTCGTTTGTGATAGTGGAGGTGGTAGTGATGATGACGAAGACGGCGACTCCGCCTTGTACCACCATACCTACTTTAAAAAGTTCTATATTACTTCGCTTCTAGACGATTATGGATCACGTTGAGAGGGGTGGTGGTGTGCAAGTTTCTTTCCCCTCATTTTTTTTTCTCACCGCATTTCTATTGTCCTTGTATATTCCCCTTTTCAGTGTTAGCGCTGAGGCGCGGGTGTCCTGTCCACTTAGAGGAAGAGATGGTGTGGGAATGTGGCGCGGCGCGATGGTGTAGGTGTGCTACCCACGTGCTTACCCTACCGTATCTTAGGCACTTGGGGACGGACGGATGGTTTCTGGGGTAGGACGGGCAGACGGGACGGAATGGCCTAGGCTAGGTAGGTCTCAGATCTTACATTAGGTAAGGAGTGGCTGGGTGGTGAGTACATAGCCCTTCGGATCCGTGCTGCGTCGTGGAAGTGGCTGGTATGTCGTCCTACTGTGATTTGCGATTCTTTTGGTGCTTCGTTGCGAGGCGTCATGGTTAGGCGGTATTTTCATTTGGAGTATGTTGAGGCGACTCATGAGAAGTGCCTCTTTGCGAGTAGACAAGTCTAGAACATTATAAACTACCTAGGTACCTAGTAGATACTTACGAGGCCCATAAACGACCTGGAAAACACTTCTTACCTTGACTCTATTCCATTTCCTACTTCTGTTGAATTAGAATCGGAGCCGAAGCCGGAGGGATCGGAGGAGTCGGACGGCCGGTCCGGTGCTCCCGGGGTCACAAGACACTCCGGAGAAGGAGTAGTCTATTCTCGGTATTTGTTGGGAATTCGCACCCATTTTCATCGTGCTCAGAGCACCATATGGCTTAAACTCGAACTTGAGCAAGATTACGCGTACCTTAATATAATTGTGAAGAGCACCATAGTCGACCACGTAGCTCGCCTCTATAGCCGTTCGCTTCACCATGTGATGTCATCAGCTGGTCTGCGGGTTTGGGGCATGGTAGTTATTAACGATGAGTAACGAAGGCAATGTCGATATTATGATGACTTGTCCTTGTTCTCAGGGTCTTCATGCGGCTGAACATCCCCCTATGACGTCCCCACTCTGGAGTAGTGGACAATGGAGCCTGGGGACTGCATCTCTCATACGCAGAAGAGTCCTCGTTCAACCCACATATATAGCTGCAATCAGGGTCCCATGCCCTGCGAAGTGGTCCGGGGAAGCGACCCGCCCTACGTAGTTTCCATGACACAGAAGGACAACTATACGCTAGACGCAGCAAGTATAAGCGGCGACTTTACATATTTCTCCGCATTGGCAACAAAAAAAAAATTACAACGTTCGTGGCGTGGCCGGTTGACAAGCGCGCGGATGTCCTCTCCCCGCAATCTGCATCTCCATTCGTCGGGTTCGGGATATGATCAACATACGAGCTGCCCTACCTATATATAGGGTCCTAGACACATACATGCGTGGCATACTTAGGAGTATCACTCTACGTGGACGAACTTCGACCTTGTCGTTGGCTACGCTTCGTGGGTATTTTCTTGTCGCACGTGCCGTTATGATGCAAGAAGGCGGACCTTCTAAGTCTTCATAGGATACCGGTTGAGTCAACTACCGACAGGGTAGCATACCCGAGCTAGGGCTAGGTAGGCAGGGAGGCGGGTCAGGTTTCGTTTTCTTCGTTGATGTTCTTCGTGACGTAAGTTGGGAGATGTTTTGGTTGTTGATTGCTTGATATATTGAGTATAGGAGGATTGTTATTGGGTTAGATGTATACACGGGAATTGATCGGCAAGGGGGTCGTTCTACTAATGCTGTTTCGACGCTTTATACCCCCTGAGTGATTCTAGAACTTGATCAACGCTGGGATGTGCTATAAGTTTATCAATCAGGGTCCTAGCTACCTAGAAGATTTACTTGAATGTAGTAACTCCTCGGGAAAGTATCCTAGGTTGTTGTAACGTAGTAGTTATGACTATCCTCAGTTCGAAAGTAACCTTAGAAGACATACCGATGAAAAGCCCCTCAGCCGTTTGTCTCAATCCTATGACTGGATGTCCTAAAAAACTCGAACCCCCGTTTTAGCGGGCTTAGTGAACACTGCGAGCGTTAGTGAATATGGCCCATACAATCTACACAATCAGCATAGCTCTCTCGTACCTACCTGTGTACCTACCTAAGTATACCTAATGTATGCATGTAGAATAGGGGGCTCAAAGTGATGCTGTCCTTCCTATCAGTTTCCATTCGATGAATAGTAGTTTCCTCTTCCTATTTGCTGTTAGCTAACAGTTCGTCTAGTCTTTCTTGTTAGAGACTATGTTTATCAGGATCAACCAAGAATATACGTCTACTAAGGTTTACCTTCAGGCTATATCATTCAATTGGAACTTCCTACCTGAGTATGCCAGGCAGCAGACATCAAGCAACGTTGGATTCTACCTTACTAGGTGCTTAGGTAGGTGAACTTAATGGAATTTTAAGGCTTATTTTGATCGGATGACGGTTTAAGGGAGAGTATTATTACTGTAAGGTTTGACTTAAGTTCAATAGACGTTTGCAAAGCCAGTTCAATAGATGGTAACGACGTTGTTGCGCGAGGAACTCGCATCCCGCCGATATGTGAGCATTGTTTTGGTATAAATACGGGAACATCCTCTCGTCTCTTGTTTCTTCCTCCGTGTTCCCTTCACAATTCTCTACCGGGTAATAACACTACTATGATATCCCCCATCTCAAGATCCCTTGGTCAAAGCGACACCACACTTTATTGAAGGGCCAATATTCCCAGAACCTACTGTCTGGCCCATCATTCTTCATCCCAAGGAAAGTTTTTGTAACGAAGATCTAGAGGACCTATACGGACTTCTACAATGGAAACTCGATGTATACGTACTACCCACGACTGTCCGTTGGTTTGCCCCCCCCCGGAAGAGAGTCAATCTAAGGAGTGCTTTCGAGAACCACGCAATCTCACCCACATCTTAGGGCTGTCTCGTTCCGCCTTGAATCAATGTGCTGCAACTGGTAGCGCATCTCTGTAATGGACCTGGAGCAGATGCTCCCTACCTCACCATCCCACGTTCAAACCACCCCCCTTTCTCAGCTTGATGAACCTCTGCATCATCCAGGTGGGCGTGTGTAAGCTCATCCTAACTTATCGCGAGAATTTTTCTCTCGGCTTTGATCACAGCTAACAACGTGGGACTAGTTTTCGAAGAGAACAAGACCTATCGACATTGGTGATGTTACGGTATTGCCTGGCCCTCCGGCCGTGCTTACTGCCCTGTGATATGGCGGCGTGACTTCTGCCGAGGCAATGGAGTATCTTGGTCTTCCCGCGCGGCAAATCATCGCATCTATGTTCACTATAGCATGGGGACTCCGTCTATCCGTCCTCCTACTACTATACGGCGTTCCACATCAGGAAGAGACGACAACTTCGACAGCACGCACGTGGCACTCGCCTCCATAACCGAATAAGAATAACGCGAAATGCGACCCGAAGCCCGAGACTACAGTATATGCGAAGAGCAACAAGCTTCTTGGGTGTTTTTAGATTATTGGTGGTTTGAATGATAGAGATGTGGAGAATGCGTGAAAAGGAGAACTCACAAGACGATCCCTTTCACCCCATGTCTTGGTTTGTGTAAATTGGAAATAAATTCCGTTGCCCACTGAATATGATCAGCGCCTAGGTAGAAGAGAATGCAACAGGACGAGTAAATATTATGAATGTATTCAATCTACTTCATATCCGACCTATCGATGAAGAGAGCAGGGGTATATATCTGGACTATGCAAATGCAAATACAAAATAATACAAGACCAATTCATACCTGACAATATGGTATGGTGTCGGCATTTCAAGACGATATGCCTAGGTGTTCTCCAATGTGTATGTGATACCTCGTATAGTTGATGTAGACCTTCTTTTCCAACTTCAGAAGTTCCTCTTATGAATTTCAAACTGCCTACCGTATGCAGAATATTCCAATACAACGTCGCAAGTGAAGCTCGGATTAAACAAGCACGTAGAGCGAACATATCTATTTCCCGTTAGTTTTCTAAACCGAGGTATAGATCTGGGGGCAAATCTTACCAAGCTCAACCCCATAACCATACTACACCAAAACAATACGTTATTCGCCGTCTTATGCGTACGGATCCATTTAGTGCGTTGGAGCATGACGATAGGTAATTGCAACATCTGACACACGAAACCGTAACCTCGGATCTTCTTGGTGATGCAGGCCATGACGATCTCGTGGCCGACGGCGGAGATGAGGAAGGTGATGATAGTAGCGTAACTACGACCGACGCTGGGCTTTGAAGTAGCGTATACGTGACGGCGTAGGAAAGAGTAGACGGGGACGTTCCACTCGCGGCTGAACTCCATCCAATCGGTACTGTTCCACCAGTCGCTGTAAAAGTGTCGATCGGCGAAGCGCGTGATTTCTCCAAAGGCGCCGAGTACGTACTCGAAGATGACGAGGAAGACGAGTAGGAATGTTAGCATGAAAGGGAATAGAAGCCAGGACATAGTCTCGGCGAGGATAAGTAGCGTCTCGAGAACCGAGGATGTGTTATCTAGACGCACGGTCGATTCTTGGAGAACGGGGAGAATGAATTCTTCGGAGATGATGGTGAGGAGGAAGATACAACCGAAAGTTGCGACGATCTTGGCGATTAGGGATGTCCAGTTGATCGATTCGTTGCGTGGGTATTCGAGTTCGTAGCACAGGGTTGGGCAGAGGAGGTAGTCGATGTAGTTGGCCCAGGAGAGGTTGCGCGGGTATGTTACGTTGCCGATAGGACTTGTTAATTCGCGTGCTAAGTCTTCGCGCAATTGCGCTAGACCGTCATCTTCTTCGTTGTCGCTGTCGACTTCTAGTTCCTTGTGCGCTAGCTTACCCATTGGGTTGTCTACGGAGGGGTAGACGTAAGCCGGAGCCTTGGAGGCGTTATGGGGTTCGTCGAGGGCGTGTAGTCGTTTTTCTGTTTCTGACAGATGGCCATTGTAGAATGCGTATGAATGCATCTTCATAAGTAGAACCATGGTGTGTAGTAATAGGTAGACTTGGGATGTCCATGTCCAGTTCAGAACGAAGGGAACGGCGATCCAGAAGGCTAGCCATATGACCTGGTAGATACTCTGAATCGCCATGCCGCCCTTCCTCCATGTCAGTGCCCCCTTGCTACTTCTAGAGATCTTATGTAACGGCAAGCTGATAGCGGTACTCGCGACCATGAGGACGTCGGCGATAGCTAAATGCCATAGTTTCACGGTGAACAGCGTCCATATCTGTACACGCAAAGGATATCCAGTATCCTTATAATTGCGCAACATGGTAGTGATACCCATGATAGCCAGGCCAATCCAGAATAAGTTGAAGAAGCCATGGAAATCGCGGTAGTCGGATTGGGGATCGAAGTGGGAGACTCGTGAGGCGTACTCGATGGTCGGGAAGAGACGTCGTCGCTGTTCTGCGCGAACTTGCTTCCGTGCACTAGACAGAGCTTTGGTTGACGCAGGAGCGTTTTCGGGGATTGGTGTCGAGCGACCACTAGGAAGGGGATTGGGGGTTAGCAATGGTAACTGTAGACATTTAGAGTATAATAGCTCACCTCGTCATGCCTGATGGGGTAGCATCTTCGTTTGGTGGTTCAAGTTGTCCATTGATGGAAGTGTTACTGTGTTCTCTTACTAACTCGGCGACTTGAGAGTGTTGCGGCTTTCGAGGCCGAGGTCGTAGAATATGATCATGGCCACCATTCACCTGAACGTTGGTGGAAGACATGATGTCTACCTCGTCTATCCGTTTGCCTCCCCTAACTTAACCACCTCTTGCAATGTATTAGTTCTTCGATAGTAGCTAATGGTGAAGCTTGGGGGTTCGAAAGCTTTGAGGTGGAGTATCAAGGGGAAGACAGCAACCGGTGTAAGCTCTCCAATGATTATATATCTGGGGATGAGGGTTACTATGGGTTTGGTATCGGCGAGTCAGGATTATATGTTGGATATATATTGTTTGCTCTGCGGGGCGTTGTTGTAAGCTGGTTGCAGTTGATTTACCACACTTCGTCAAGAAGAGAGATGGTGTTGATAAGGAATTGTTGAAACAATTAGAAAGAAAGTAAAAATAATAATAAATTCAATAATTCATAAAACCAATGCGGAGACGAATACAAATGTATATGATTAATGGTAGTAATAATATCGCGAACCAGCGTCATGCATCGGTCGATCTACGAATACGATTATTCGGTTTTCATAACTTGAAGAGAGAGGGACTTGGAATAGGCGACCGTTTAATGTTTTAGTGAAGAAAAATGTTGTCATTGGGGAAGAAACAGTGCTACCTTAGCTGTCTGAGTGGTACCTATGGTGGTATCTAGTTGCCTGCTGAAGCCGCCATCGATTTAATTCCGTCAGAGGCTTTCTAGGCACCCTTACCTCCCCCTAGTAGCCTACAATTAATCCTTGCCTTCCACTATTTTCAGGGGAGAATTGACGAGGGAAGCTCTTTTAACCCCACTCTCGACTCCACTCTATTATATCAAGTCCAATCCAATCAATTGATTAGTACCATTGTTACACATTTGACGTCACAACCTGGAATTTTAGCCTTTTCATTGGTTCGTAGGACTAGGGTTTACGGTCGCTGGCGGGTGTTTTAACTCTAACCATTGAATTGGGTCTGTACGACGTCAGACTTTCTTCCAAGGATCAACATTGTCATTTCTTTCCTCTTCTCATTTCTTCCACTTGTTTATCTTCTCTAACCCAACATTGAAGGACCGGACGGGAACTAAGAGTGCCGAATTTAGTTGTGAATTATCACCATAATGCACCACACCACCAAGTTATAATGTCGAATGCCGAGATACGGATCCTGCAGCTTATAAGTAGGTATAAGTATGTACTAACAATCGGACCCGAGCTGCCGAATTGAGACAACACGTCCTCTACCGACTTTCCCGTTTCTTGATGTGTACCACTATTACCACTAAACTATTACATTATGCCTCCTCGGGTGCGGGCCACTTGTACTGGTGACCCGGGTGGTCGCTTAGAAGATGCGGCTGTCCAAAGAATACATCCCGAGCCGTAACCCCCTCGCGTTCGACTTCGGTTCTAAACAGTCCCCTTCTTCGTAACTCGGGGATCACAAATTCGATAATATCCTCAAAGGACCCCGGGTTGACTACATGCGCGAGATTGAATCCGTCGACATCAGCAATCTCAGCCCATCTCTCAAGTTCGTCGACAATTGTCTTAGGGCTGCCAATGATTTTTGGCCTATCGAATTTAGCCATCAGCATCATCTACTTCATGCATTTACATCTTAGGGATCACTTACATCATGCCACCCACAGTCAAGAACTCCGCGATTCGATTCTTTGTCCACGTCAGGCCTTCCGTCCCTGGTACCGTACTTGACCAGCGACTAATAATCGATCGAATCGCCGGCTTGTCAACCAAGACCAAATCCTCGTCATCCCCGTACCCCGATAAGTCGTTTCCCGTCCACCCGCCGAACAACGCAAGCGCGCCTTCGCGATCTCCGTATGATAAGAGCTCCCGGTACTTAGCCTGCGCTTTCTCGTCCGTCTCATCGACGATCAGCGTGATACCTGTTAGTATCTTGAGGTGCTGCGGGTCTCGTCCAAACTGCCTAGCCGACTCTCGAAGATTATCCACCGACTTGCGAACAAGTTCTGGTAGCTGTCCACCTACAAACACCGCCTCGGCGTGTTTCCCGCCGAACTCAGCTCCAGCTTTAGACGTTCCAGCTTGGAATAAGAACGGCGTTCGCTGCGGTGAGGGTTCTGCGATATGCGGGCCTGGCACTTTGAAGTATTTGCCCTGGTGGCCAATTGGACGGACTCGTCCAGCTACCGCGAATAAGCCCTTCTCGCGATCTCGAACCACCGCGTCATCTCTCCAACTACTTTCCCATAACTATTGAAATAAGGTATTTAGTAAGTAACTACATCCACAAAACGGATTAATAGGACTGGCACATACCTTGTATAAAACCTCCATATACTCCTCAGCGATACGGTAACGCTCATCATGCTCAATCTGCGTCTCCAACCCAAAATTCCTCGCTGCGCTCTCAAGATATGACGTCACAATATTCCACGCCACTCGCCCCTCAGCCAGGTGATCAACAGTTGAGAACCGACGCGCCATGGCATAAGGCGCATCATATGTCGTCGAAGCCGTGACACCGAATATCAAATTCTTCGTAGCGGCTGCCATAGCGGGAACAGTGTACAATGGATCGTTAACAGGGAACTGCGCGCCTGATGAGAGTACCGGGTCCACATTCGCAGGGCCTCGGTATACGTCGTATGCGCCTAGCACGTCGGCTATGAACATAGCATGGAAACCGCCTTTGTCAAGTAGCTGTGCAAGCTCGATCCAGAAGCTGAGTTTGTTGTACTCATCCGTTCGGTTGCGCGGGTGTTTCCATAGGCCTGGTGATAAATGCCCCGGTGTTGTCATCACGAAAGCATTTAGTAAGAATTGCTTCTTCGGCTGAGGCGCCGCAGCTCCGGTATTTTCAGACGATGCCATTTCGATTATTTTGCGAACTCCGTTCCTAGCCGCGATGCGCTCAATAGGTAGTGATACTACACCTGGTGCGATTTACGTCACTTAAAGAGCTTCTAGGGTGTTCAATCCTAAGCGTATAAGGAACTTGTATTTTTGCCTTTGAACAAGATGGTTCAGTAACGCGAATAGAAAGTATATACGTAGTTTTACATTAATATAACAGGTCCAGCAATTTATATCCCTTCAGACTATACTATAAGTACAAAGCTCGCGATTGAAGATAGTAACCCCTCGATCTGGGTGCTACCCCGATTCTTCTTCCATCATGCTCCGCGCGGATTGCGTGATGGAGCTATCCTGTCCATACCTAATCCATACCAATCATCGAAAGCGGCCGGACTCGGAGGTTTTATACACTAGGCCGTTGCCTTCTAGCATTGCAACCCCATATTGTGTGCGATTCGTGATATTGGGAGTCCGTATCATCATCAGGGTACTCCCCCTTCTTCCTCTGCTTTCTTGGACCCCCTCTACCTCCCCGTGAAGTTGCAATAATGAAAGCTATGTTGATATCTCCCATGTAATCAGAATCCGAGTCATTATCATCGCCGGGAACTATAGGGATATTTTCCGTGACGTCCGCATCGTGACCAATTTCATCGGTTAATGCGAGAAGAAATGATCGTTTCAAATAACGGCCCCCCCCTTGTGTCTCAAACTTGTTTTTGAGCCGCTTTCCGAGGACTTTACTAGGATCTTGGCGATAGTCGTAGATTGCCATTGAAGGGTGTATTCAGTTCCCCTTCGACATTGTTATAGAAAAGAAGTACTAGTATGTCTCTGAGAGAATGAGTAACTATAGGTGGCTAAGCGAGTATGACCGGCGGATGAGGCCAGTGCAGGATGCTCAGGTGACCCATTCGTTGAGCTCGCGGTCTTTCTCAGCTGAAGAAGAGAAGGAAGAACAGGAGGAAGAGGAAAAGAAAGAAGGAGACGAGAATGAAGAAGAGGAGAAAAGGGAGGAAGAATGATATGATGCCATGGTACCTGGCAGGTATCTATAGTTCTTCGAGAGAAGAATGTAGTATTGTTTTTGCTTGGGGATCTTGAGATGAGAAGAAAAGATAAAGGAAGAGAGGGAAGAGAGGGGGGACGGGGGGTTTATATTACGAAGTTGTCATTCAGTTGGGAAGTCTCGACACTGTCAAGTTAACGAATTGAGTTGGCTTTAAAGTTAGTAAAGACATTACAAACGTTATGCGAGATTGACTATCTACTATTGAACTCAATTTGATTACAGGACTTGTCTGCGGCTTCCCGTCGAGTTTAATAGTGATTTATTAGGTTCAGCTCCTATATGTATCGGACCTATCAAGTGCACTCTGTTTTCTCCTTTTTCTTTTTCTTCTCTTTCTCTTTCTCTTCTTCTTTTTCTTCTCTCTCTATCTCTTTCCACTGCCTACTTGCATGTGGGTAAAACTATACGACACAACGTCAAGAAATGAGGGCCATACTACTATGGTATCATCCATCACAAGAGGAGTGTCATATACAAAGGCCGGAAAGTGCACCGGGCGCAGGTTCCGAGCTGACAATAATAATAATAGATGTCTAGATCCGCTGAATTTCATATATGCTTGGAGCCGAAACATCTCGGGTCGTCGAGTATCTCTCCGGATTCATGACTCAGTCTGTGGGACGATATAACGGAGCTCTGCAGTATCGAAAGGGTTCTAATATTATCTAAGCTAGGTAGAGAGCCTATCATGGTTGACACGATCCGACAAAATGCCTCCTAGGTCCCTAATCGAGGGTCGACGTCAAGGAGACATACAATCTCCCAATTGCCAAGATAAGTGCCTTACAATCCTTGACCCCCTGAACTTCGATGATATCTATTTAACAGATGGTTGTAGATCACTACGTACAAAATCTAGCATACCGCTTCTTCTAACGTTGTCTGCGGCATTTCCGGAGTCGTGCTCCACGGATCTTGTTCTCGAAAGCACGACAGCAGCATATCCACAAACCATCTATTGATGACACGAGTTCGATAGGAATTCCAGAGCTGACCTGGGGCTTCCGTATGGTTTCCCTGTTTCAATCTTTCCCTTGTGGTCTCTCGGTCCTCCCATAGAATATGTACTCCTTATAATTGGTGATAGCTGCAGATCTATATGCAGCCACCTCGAGTCGCGAACCCTTGTTAGCCAATGAATGCAGCCACGCGAATACCAACATCCCCTAGAAACGTTAGTGTCCTACGGCTTCGATAGGTTTCTTGTAAGACGCCACAAGCGCCACCGTCTATGCCTTCTGGGAATATGCCTGTTAAGCTCGTCTACGTTTGTTCCCCTATTGGGCCTCATACTGGTGTACTTGTGACCCGGAGTCCTAGCCTGCAGGATTCAGAACTAAAATCCAGGTAGTGGGGAGAAACAAAATGCAGAAGGGGGGTAGGATAAAGAAGGCGGATTCTTGGGATCTGCATCTCGGGGCGAGACATCCTGTTAAAGAAAACTAGAAAGTGAGACATCATCGGTGTAATGTGGGGGTACAAACGCAATTCAACTCCGAGTCCGATGGAAAACGAGATCATGGCGCACGGATGAGGAGTCGTTGCGCCTCATTTCTTGGCAGACGCCTAGGCATTATAACTATGTAGTCTGTAATTTGCCTTCCCCGTGTCTCGCTTACCCGCTGTCGGAACAGTGAAAGCTCGTGGATGTAACCGGCACACAGTATCCACGTCCCTCATAAGGTGATATGAAAACCGACACGACGACGGAAATAAGTAAGATAATAAGAAAGAGGTGGGATAAAGATAGGAAGGAAGGCCCTTGTGATCGTCTAAAGTCGTACCGCTAGTGGTCGAAGGATATTGCCATCATGGGGAAGTGAGCCCGTTAGGCAATACAAGATGGAAACCGATCTATCTCTCTGACTTGAAAGGGAGCCCATGCCCTCGCTCTTGAACCCGAAAGATGGACGACTTTACACGTTGTAGGACTACATCGTCTTCCCTACAGGATCTATCATCCACGTCGGATCTTGCACTACCCCACGGGAAAGGCAGCAGCAAGGATGCGGGTCGCGATAATAGGCGCAGGTCCTTCCGGCCTCGTGACGCTCAAGTATCTTTTGGCTGCGGAGAAGGCTTTAGGGGCAGAACCTATTGAAACTCGTCTCTTTGAATCTGAGGCTGGAGTAGGGGGGACGTTTCTTGCAAGAACGTATGAGGATGCTGAGGTATTCTGTCTAATATTCTTAGACCTTAGACCAATATTCAATACCCCCTTTTCAGTATACTAACATTGACCAATAGCTAGTGTCATCAAGGCAATTGACCTGTTTCTCTGATTTTCGATGCGGAGATGATGAACCAGATTTCCTCAGCGCAAAGCGTTATGTGGAGTACCTCAACGAATACTGTACACATTTCAACCTATGGCCACACATGACCTTTTCATGCCAAGTGAAGAACACGGAGAAGCGAAAGGAGGGCGGTTACACCGTGGCATATCTGCTTAAAGGAGAACAACACATGTGGGAATGTGACGCAGTAGCCGTTTGCTCGGGTCTACATGTCGAACCAAGTATCCCCAAGATTGAAGGCATTGAGAAAGTGCCCCTAGTGCTTCATTCTTCCAAGCTAAAGACAAGAGATCAATTCGGAACTGGAAAGACTGTGCTGGTGTTAGGCGGTGGTGAGACCGGAGCTGATGTCTCACTCCTTGCCGTCACTTCACCGACGAAGCGAGTCGTGATGTGCCATAGAAACGGCTTTCACATTGCACCAAAGGTAAGCATGCCACTTTTACCAGACTCCATAACTGAGATTTAATGTACCATAGAGAAATCCAAATCCGCAATTGGTTTTTCTCCGGCGACCAAGTCCGCTCGCCCGCCCTCAAGTCCCCATCGATGTATCCCGAGCCAGCCTCTTCGATACCGCATACGTGCACCCCTGGCTCAGGAATAGCAATCTTCTATGGAATTACTACGATTGCTACGTCAAGTCAATTCTTTGGACATCATGGGGCACCACCGACGGGTCGGACCAGTGGATCGGGGGAAAGCCTAAGGGGTGGTCTACATCCGAGAGTATATTTATCCTCCCTTATTTTCGGGTTCTATCTATCTATACTGGCACTAACCTCGCTGACTCACTCAGTATTCTTCAATAAATCCGGGTACAAGCTCTCTCCCTACTTCAACGCAGCCTGGAAACCCCAAAGACCACAAAGCATAGCAGAGCGCATCCGCTCCATGCTAATCCAAACTCCCGACACCATCCCACTCACCCGTGGCCGCGAAGTCGACCTCGCGCCCTGGCCATCTCGTATTAACCCCGACGGCACCGTGGTCTTCCAAAATAACGGAAGGCCGGAGTATTTACGCATCAAGGACCAGATCATCAAACCCGACATCGTCGTCTTCTGCACGGGATACACATACGAATTTCCCTTCCTACCCGGGGAACAGCACAATCCGCGGTCCTTCGAGGGTCGGCTGGTCCGTTCAATATGGCCGCGCGACGAGCCCACCTTGGGCTTCGTCGGTTTCGTGCGGCCGAATTTAGGCGCCATACCACCACTTGCCGAATTCCAAGCCCAACTTTGGGTGCTCAATTTACTAGCTCCCGGGCGGGTTGGTGGTGGGGCGCCGTTGAGGCTGGAAGATGAAGGTCATTATAAACTTAAGGTAAAATCAAATGCGCGAATCCGATATGGTGTTGACCATGAGAGTTACGCATACCAACTTGCTATGGATATGGGGGCTGCGCCGTCGTTTGGAGATATCATGCGTATTGGCTTCTCAGCTTCGTTGCCTTCCCCTTTTAAGAGGAAACTCCAAAATGGTAGAGATGACAATGCTAACAACAGCAATGGCGGGTACTGGTATAAATTACCTCTCACATGGGCGCTCAGCGCTAATTTCAACACCAAGTTCCGGTTACTCGGACCATGGCAGTGGGACGGGGCGCTCGAGCTCATGAGCACAGAGCTCTGGAATACGGTCGCACGGAGGCAACTATTTTTCGGTCATTTCACGCTTTCTGTCATACCAATGTTTGTTTTCGGGCCTATCAGCCTTATTGTGTTTCTTTACGCCACTTTGTATCAGTTTGTTCAACGTATAGGCTTATTAGGACAGAGTAGGTAGCTTGCTACTACGCCGAGCTGCAGTTCATGATATAGGATATTTACGCTTTCAAGTTATAAAATATGTATTGTGGTGGGTGTCAGTACACTTTCTTAGGGCATTGAAGCTATTGTGGACCGTTTGGAATATTAAAAAAAGGGGGTCGTGGGGAGTGGAATAAAAAAACCTCGCTTAAAAATTACTCAGTAGCCCACACAGTAGACCATACTTAGAAAGTAACTAAAAAGTTTAGGCTACTCCGGATGAATCCGAAATAGTCTTGATCGAATAGATAGTGACCCCGACCCGATTTGCTATGAAGAATTAGTACTTTTTATTCGAAATTGCTCTTAGAGATGCTTGAATCCACTACTTACAACGGATAACCTTTCGATCTGGAGTCGAACGCGCTACCGTTGCGCCACGAGGCCATTGTGATCTGACGATGTTTTTTCCGGGAAAAATAAAGGTATATATACCTCAATTTTTCCCGATTTTTGCAAACGTTTTCATCCTCCACTTCCTTATTACATAATGAGTTATTTACCGAAATCAAAAAGAACTCTGGTTTATCCCTTGCAGCAATAGCCATGACTTAAAATTTTTAATAAATTTATTGGGCCTAACTACCTATCCATGATAAAATTCTATAGAAAAAGTCAAGCACTATCCCTAATTACGGGATTTGTCTTGCCGTCATAACTCATGAGATAACCCGGAAGGAGAAACATCTCCCCAGATCTCTTTTCGCTGCCATTTATAAACATAACGCCTGCGATTGAAGAATTCCACGGAACAAACGAAAGAGGGGGGATGATAAAGCGAGTGAAAGCGGTAACCTATTATTCCCCCGGGAAAATCTCACCATTACCTACCAAGTCCGTGAAATTCGCATAATCCGGCATGTCCTGCTTTGTCCTGAAGACTTCTTCCCACTCCGCCCAAGACGGAAGGTCGCTGGTTGTGTCTTCTGTGTTTGCGATAACTATATTTGGTGATATTGCGTCATCCTTCGATGTCGGCGGAGGATATCCTTGAACAGCGCATGCCTTGGCGGGGGTATTATTCGACTGGTCATACGTGAGCGATGGTATGTTGTCGTATGAAGGCACGGAATATCCATCTGGCTGTTGCTCGAACCGTTGCATAACCTTGAGACAAATTGTCATTTCCAAAGTGTCTTGTTCGTTATCATTATTCTCCTCTAGTCGACGGAGAATGCGAGTCTTGATTGCCTTTTCGCCTCCTGTCCTATCTTCTTGTACGTTGAGCCTTTGGTGGACATCGTTATAGTCTGGCGGCAATTTTATCAGTATTGGCTGAGTAACCGTGGTTGACTCACTCACATGGAGATGGCGTCTCTGCATCTGAGTCTAATTTGAATATGATGCGATACATCTTTATCCATTCATCTTCATCTGAAGTACCTCGTTGCTTTTTTCGAATTTGGGCGGCCTGGGCCTTGTCAATAGTCTCGACGTTAACATTAAAATATTTCTTTTGACATGGGGGCTCTGAACGATGGTGTTGTTTAAGATCCGAAATGTCTTCGAAATCGGCCAAACAACGATCGCATCTATAGCTAGATGAGCAATGAACACGGTGGATATGTTCTCTGTACTTTACGTTAGCTATGGATTCATCAAGATATCTATAATCAGGGGGGACAACGACGAAACTTACTTCAGTCTGAATAGTTTCCAACCGGGATTGGATCCAATACATGCTTTCCAAGTTTTCGAACCATATTCAGCGGGATTCCGCAAGAAAAAGGGGCAGGCAAAGAATAACTCTTGGGTTGTTCCTATTGGTTTGGGAACCTCTGGTGACTTTTGGGGGGAAAAGTCTAAGGAATTTCGTTTATTTTTTGAGGTATTTTGTGCCGAATTTGCCTTCGCTTTGCGTGGCTTCTTCTTTCGTTGGTCTCCCATATCTCTGGGACCTAGAGCATCATCTAAAGTTCGTCTTCGGCCATGAGGGCCTTCAGGAGGTTGTTGATCAGATTGGTGTGATGTTGTACTCGGTGGGTAGTGGCTCGGAACATTATCCGTAGCTTGTGTATTATCAACTAGGGTGTCGAAGAAATTTGCATCTTGATTTGCGCCATGTGGCTGCTCGTTGGCATTGGACCAACATAGACTCTCAGGTGATACCATCATTGGATCTAGATAGTCAAAATCATCAAAATTGGGTGTTTGGGCCATATTGGCTCGAATCATTCGTTTTTGGCTAGCTAATGCTAGAAGATCGCTTTGGGGGAGGTTTGTGAGTTTAGAGGTTGGCCACGGTGGTTTCCGTGGCGATGGGATGGCTACAGTGTATATTGGATCCTCCAAGCATCTCTGCCGAAGACATTGTAGTTTTTCGACGAGGAATGAGCTGCTAGCTCTCGCCTTCCAGTCGGTAACGAGGAGATGGTCCTGCGTCAAGTTCAGCAAGTCAATGAGGAAAGGACTCGCTTCTCTATCACTGGCAAGTTTGTCGATCCACTACATAATTAGCCAGATATCACTTGTGTAAAATCATGGATCTTACTGTTATGACACCTTTTGAGAGAAGTGTCTTTCCTGCGCCAGGTTTGCCCTCAATCCAGAAGAAGCTGTTGCCCTTCTGTTGTCCTTCGCTAGCTAACCATGTAGAGAGGGCTCGAGATTCAGCGAAACACTTAACCCCTTCCCAACCACGAAGCAACCAGGTGATAGACTCGAGAAAAACGCATCCGAGGGACCAGATATCGTAGGCTTCGTCCACGGTCCCCTTTACGTCAAGCTCGGGGGCACGATACGTAGGTGAAAACCCAATTGGGCGACTAGAGTCTTGCCTTCCTTCCCGAATGTGAAAACGCCCTAGACCAAAATCACTCAGTACTAGGGTGGGTTGTTCGAGGTCAGTGTGATCTTGGAAACAAAGGAAGTTCTCAGGTTTGATATCTCCATGTTGCCCTTGTATTGGGATAGTGACCGGACTAGCACTATTTTGATGTTTGGTTGTTCGTCCGTAATGGATTTGATATATAGCAGTAGCGATTCCGAGAAATTGCTCTGCAAAATGTTGACAGAGAGAACTGTCCAGTGTTGGCGTAGGATTTTGTTTCCAAAACGAGCGCAGATCGCCGCCTTCGGCCCAGGGAAAGAGGAGGTAGAACGACGCCCCATGTCGGAATGCTGCTAGGATGTTGACGATGTGAGGGTGTGAGGAGGTTGCGAAGTGCTTAAGAGCGGTAACCTCACGTTGGAAATCCTCGATGCGACAAGATTGTAGCCTCTTCAATGCGAACGTGGAGTTCCCCTGTAAAAAGGTGGATATTCAGTATAAATGTATAAATGTATAACATAGTAGTGGTACTTTCTGACATACCTGTGCTCGTCTGAAGCTGTTGTGTGACGGATGGAGCTTGACTTTGCGCACGCTACTATACCCCCCTATTTTGGTAGACGGCGTTGTGGGATCGTCGTCCTCGAGGAATGGAAGGATAATTTTGTCGGCGAAGCTGTAAAGAGCAATGTCATCTAGTCTTCCAATTACCGGACTCAGTACTACGTATTGAGTCCTGATAAAAGCTTCAATAGAAGACATGGTCCAGTCACTGAAGCACTGCTTGAGTGTTGCTGCCGCTGACGGGGTCTTGTGTTGGTGGGCCCATGCGTCCAAGAAGCCGTCATAGTCAATCGGGAGTAAGGAGTCCGTGAACATTCCCGTTATAAATGATGGCACACAATCTACTTTTCCGAGGAGAACTAAGATGGCGAATATCCTTAGGAAAGGCGCTGGCCGATCATTCAAGCATGTTGATACTGCCGTGATCGGCCGCCGAGTCTCCTTCAGAGATCCTTGATCAATAGAACTTTCAATCGGGGTTCCGAAGATTTGTGTGGTGTAGTTATCAAGGACAGATGTGGGCAGTGAGGGCAAAGCCCTTCTAAGCTCTTCTTTCACCAATGGCGGGGTAAGGGCATTGAGTTGATTTTGTGGCAGAAAGGATCTTGAATTGGAATCGAGTGCTCTGCACATTGACTTGGTGAGGTGGCGGGAGAGAGGATGGGTAGGAAGCGGTAGTTCGGCGGCGGCGGCGGTGGTGGTGGTGGCGGAGGAGTGTGTGAGTGGATGGATAGGGATATGGTCTTGGTCCGCGGAATTAGTTACACCGAAACTGACGGTATTCCGACTGGGCGGACGTTCGACCCACGGGCAACAGCTGAGGTCACTCGGCCTCGAGCTGGCCCTGATATCCCCTTTCCTATCCATTCTGATAACACTCGCTCCTATACCAGGAGCTCGGAACCTGCTTGCAAATCATCGAGATGTACCCAGTGCCTGTGACGGTATATAATAGTAAATATGGGATGTATTGAAGAAGGTAAATTGTAATGGAAAGGATAAGGACAAATGAGAGAATTGGGAGGAAGGGAAAGAAAATGGGGTTGGAAATTTGAATGGTTGAAATGATGGTTCTATTCACAAACGAGATTCAGTACCAGTCAAGCACTCTGCAGTTATATATGGTGGTTACCTAGGTACCTGGCAAGGCTGTAAATGTAACGATGCGTTATTGCGCACCTGCGAAATACACTTCCCCTCAGTTCGCCCGACCAAGAAGGGAGTTGAACTTCAACATAGATTCGAAAAGAAGAAAGAAGAAGAATAACTTAAAGATGAAAATGAGAGGAAGATGAAGATAAGAATGAATATGAAATAAAAATATATTAAATCTAATTATCTAGGTAGATTTAAGTTATCATTTGAAAGTTAAACTTGCGACATCTCAAAGTACTCCAGTGGGTAACGAAATAACGATGCTCATAGCCACAGCTACTACATATGTAGGTAGAAGCCACTCGTTACACCAAATGCAGCATGCCGGTCGAGATACGTTGATACATCCTCATGCATGTATAATCCGACATATACCAATTTGCTTAATGTTATGCATTTGTGCAATCAAAATCCACTACCAACTGTAATTCGTATAACAGAAAATATCGCCCCCATTTCTGCCCCTATTTCCTCACAACAAAATATGCCGGGAAGAAGCCCCCTTCCAATCTACAGCAAATCTGCTTCTAGATGCTTCGGTGAAAGACGGAAGATGCCGCCTTTTCTTCATATCCCAGTCAGCCACGGCGCTAAATGGGCATAGGAATGCAAGTCGAGCCGTGTGTGACCATCATCAATCAATCATTACGAGCGCCACTTACCTCCATTATTTGTCACATGTGAGACATTATCAACGGGATAGTTCCGCGGTCAAAGGAGTCGATAGAAAAAAAAAGCAAGTAAGACATACCCACAACGACCGGTGAAGGGACTTGGATGCGGAATACATTTGATTTTGTATATTTCTGTAGAAAATGATAGATATACAAGGCCGTATCAACATAAACATAACGGCGGTATGAGTCAAGATTCGTCTTATCCCTAGTAGGAGCGAATCGACATCCGATTTCCAAAACCACAACTCCAACGCTGTCCAAATCAAAGCCCTGCATAGTGGGTATATCGCAGTGTACGTACGCCGGCACCAGGGCCGGCGGCCTGTTTCCAAATAGCATAACTCAATGATGGTATAGTCATAACGATAAAAGGACCCAGGCGCTAATGTAAAATTCCTTTCTGCCCTCTCACGAAATCTTTCGGTATCGCTTCCAGTGCCTTTTGCCATCTAGCATGGGCGGCATCCGCTTGTTCAATGTCGCCTGCTTCCCTATACCAATGTTCCAATCGCTCCAATTCGCCTAGTAGATAGCCCATGTCGGGGTCCCACTGACCTTCCATTACTGATACGATCTGTTCAAGGTAGTGAACCGATAATTGATGGTTGGTTGCCTTGTCGATTGGGTCGTCTTTCATTAAGAATTGATTTCTGTGATAATGAGCTAGCGAGGTTACTGCAATGTAGACGAAGAACTCGGTATTGTATGCGATGCCCTTCGTATTCTCTAGGACGGTATTAGCGAGTTGGAAAACACGGTCGCCTTGCCATAGCGTCTGATTTCCCAAGATTAACAGCTCGGTGGCTTGGAAAACTGTTAGTTCTTCAATAGCTGTTGGCATCGGACCTTGGACAAGTCGACTGAAATCACATCGGCTTTGGAGTTGGCGATACGGTTGGGATCGATATTGGTAGGCTCTTGGAATAAATAAAATAGGATATAATCTCGGCAGCGTATCGGCTGGGAGACCAGTATTTTGTTCTTCAACAAGGAGTAGTTTTTCCGTGCATTCAAAGATGAAATCCCAATATTCTTCGTAGTCGTGAGTGCTCATGTATTTCCAGATTCCATGGAAAAGTCGGGCCAAAGGCCCATCGATGTGCACAGTAGCTGCGTACGCCGCGAGATATCTCCAAACCTCTTTGACAATTCCTCTATTCGAAGCGTCGAGCATAGTTATTAACAAATGTAAGAGTCCGTATATCGATGGCTTTTTAAACATTAGGTGTAAGGATTTGAAGCCTTGCTCGCACATAGCGCCTCCCCTTTCGTAGTGACCAACTGAAAACAACCAATCGGCGTTGGTGATGTCTGTGATAGCGCAACGTAGCTCATCACCGCGGTAGTGTGCCGCGCAGGCGACCAATGGTGTATCGGGCGGGCAGTACCAATTCCAGGCTAAATCCCTTGCGCATTGTAATATTAATTCTTGTAATGAGAGATTCCCAGGGGCGTGTAAGTTCTTAGGGCTCTCGGGCGGCGGCGTGAGAGCGCGTAAATTCTCGGGGAGCTTTTCGGCCAGACCAGGCTCAACAAGATCGTATTGTGAAATGCCTTTTCGTTTTAGATAAGCTTCGATGGCAACCTCCTTGCCATTGCGGTGAAATGCTGTACGTTTGCCCACTGCACTTCGCTGGCGTTGAAGCTGGAGCATTGCAATGACCTCTTTCTTGCTATTGTTCTTACTAAATCCCCACTTGTCAAAGCGCGACTTATACATCCTCACCCTGTCCAATACCGTTAGTCAATATAACCCAAGGAGGAAACTCGGATTGGGTAAACGACTTACGTCGCTCTAAAACCCTTCTGGCGCATTATCGCCATAACTTCTTTCAAAGGTCGATTCTCTTCTAAATACAACCGTCGTATCTCGGCTTTATGAGTCTCCCACACTTGGGCGGAATGTTGCTGGGAAGGATGCGCCTCTCCGGTTTGTGACGAGAAGACAGTCTGCATATGTATTGCTGTCGGTTTAACTGGCTCGGTATCGTGCTTCGAAGAACCGCCCGAGCTGTTTGACTCCACTGGACTCGGCTCGCTGGCTGGAGACAGCTCTGGCGAGCGAGTCTGCATTACCGGAGTTACTGAGCCCCGGTAAGGAATTATCATTTTGGCGTTGGGATCCGGGGCATAGTTGTTAACCGTGAAACTAAAGTCGCTATGCATTTTGTTTTTTATTTCCAAGAAATTCGGGATCGTCCTTCAGGCTCATAAGTGTTAAAAGTAGATGAAGAGGGTCTGGTAAATCGCCCGCGTGCGCAACCGGGGGTTGTCTCGTCTGTAAGACCTGACCGGCGGATTTTCCTAAGCGCTAGTAGGAAGAACGAAGAACACTGGAAGAACTCGATAGGCTTTTGCGAAGTAACACCACATATAGACAGTATTTCGACGATATACAGGACGCAAGGTAACACTGAGGCTATACCAAACAATTCAAAAAGTGAACGAGTGAACTGATATACTCAGGATGGTGGGAAAGATGAGCGAAGCCGCTAGCGGGAACGAAGATATTAGAAAAAGTGACTTGTCAACTTAAGTCTCAAGTAACGTAAGACTTCACGGGGAGGGGGAGAAGACAAGGGTCAATATCGAGTGGGGCGACTATATAATCCCAATGAGTATTTTAATAGAGTAATTTGTAATAGATAGTCAGGGCTAGAGCAGTTTGAAAAACCGAGAGACTCAGGAGAATAAGAAAAAAAGAAAAAGAAAAGACTAGGTATATGCCTTGCATTGACGTAGTGTTGGTCAGGTCACGATACCGTAGCAGTATGTATGTGTGAGCACACAGGCGAGGACGTACTAGTCGTGGTATGCCCTGTATGCCTGTAGGGGTGCCGGGTATAGTCTTGGGTTTCTTAGATCGTTGTGGAGTATAATAGAAAAGAAAACCGTTCGACTGGTGGCCGGGATTCCAAGAGTCTAAGTCGTCTAAGTCGTTTAACTCGGTGGAGTGAGGTAACTTCGCATGCCTATTTCGTCTTAACCTCGTACGTAGCGTAGATGACCTCTAGCCTTCTGCCGGCAATAATAGGGTATATTAATGGCCATAGCGGGAACAAGCCCTTGTGAAGATGGACTGGGGGGGAGGGGATCGCTGGGTTTACAAGGTGCTAGGCGCAGTAGGAGTGCTAAGAGTGCTAAGGGGGGTAACAAAGCTTGGCTGCACCCGCTTACGCCGAGTCATGTATGTATGTGCATAGGGGCAAGAGGAGGGGACAAGGATTAAAGAATGAAAAAAGGAGATAAAGAGAAAAGAAGTAGCCGACAAACAAGATGGGATGGAGATGGGTGGGAACAAGACAGACAAGATTGGAATGAAGAAGATGAAAAGGAAGAAAAAGGGTATACCGTGTGGGGCTGAATCTTACATGTACGAAAGTAGGTACGCACATCCTGCTGATGTACGTACCAACATACATACATGCCTGGGGATGAAGATTCAGCGCTGACAGGTACCACTTACTACGCGTGTTGTAGTAGTGTGTAGTGTAGTATAGTATAAGATGTGTCGTGCTCTCCTCTTCCATCGAAACAATTGCAACATACACTTGCCTTGCCCATACCCTGACAACAGCATCCCATTACCCATCACCCCTTGTCCTATTTCTCTCTTTAGCGACTTTCATTAGTCAGTCTAGGACTCAACTCGGCCGGCGGTTCGGATCAGTTTTCCTAATTCTCTCCACTTTGACCCGCCACCTCACTTCCACTCTCTTTTCGTGTGGCCCCATTTCTATTACCTTACAGAGTAAGGCTAGGTTGGTAAGAGATAGGCACGTCCAGTTAGTTCACATTAGCGCAATGAATGAAGATTGATCATGGGTGTCGCCAATTGGGCTGATCTGTCCGTGTCCTTCATTTGCCGCGCATCCGTCGATGAAATATGAAATGGTAGGTAGTTCTTAAGCCACACCCGCCCGCTTCCAAGAAGCTTAACAAATGTATTTGCCGGGCCGTATTTAGACCAATAGTTGGGTCAGTGCCCAGTAAATGTTCCGGAGGTCGCCCGACGATTTAAGACATCCACATTGCTTTGTGTACGATAAGGCTGCGGCTGTTCGATCCCCCCTTACATTGGGTAGTAGTAAGTAATCATAGCATGAAGGTTTAGATATAGATATAGGTAATTTATGTAAGGATATGCACGGGAGTGTTCAGGTTCGTAAGCAGAAGGTGGGAGCACCGCAGGAGTGCATAAGTGCTATAAGACCCACGTGGTCCATCGTTCCAGAACCAGGTACAGGTGCCTCCCCAGGGCTCCAGCTGTCGCAATTTTTTGATACACCCACCTGGGACCTGAACTAGGTACCCGGGGAGGTGGTGGTATGGGTGATATGCACGTGGAATTTAGGGGAGTTTCTGTGAACCCGCTTAGGTAATTTCTCATGATTATCGTCAACTGCCTCGGAAGAAGCCATCTTGGTTGTCGGCTGGGAATTGCCGATATGTTAGAGAAACCGGGACGACTTCCTAGCTTCAACACAGATATCGGTTGGGTTAGTACGCGCGTAATAATAATTGAAACAACAATTAATGACCATAATGTGTGATGGACCTAGTAATTCAATTAATTGGTTAGGTAGTCGTGTCATAGCTCGCCTCGACTAGCCTTATGTGTTATTGCTGCTCTTGTTGGCCTCTTTTTCCTCTGGCTTCTTGTCGTCCCTCTTGGTAAGGATCTCGTCGACAATACCTATCTCTTTCGCCTCCTGAGCCGACAAATATTTATCGCGTTCCATCATCTCTTCGACGTCTTTCAGATTATACTTCTCTTGTCCAAATGCCGCATTTAGATGCTTTCGATAGATTTCGTTGACTTGCTCGCGCGTCCGCTGTATCTGATTCGCATAAATCAGAATGTCGCTTGCGGGACCCTGTGTTCCTCCCAGGGGTTGGTGAATCATGATACTACTGTGCGGCAAGGCAAATCGTTTCCCTTTCTCACCCCCCGTAAGTAATAGCGAACCCATGGAAGCTGCCTGTCCTAGACACACGGTAGATACCGGCGAGCGAATATAAGCCATCGTGTCGTAGATGGAAAGACCGGCTGTCACGGAGCCCCCGGGCGAGTCTATGTACATGGTGATTGGTTTATCAGGGTTATCAGATTCGAGCCAAAGCAATTGCGCGACGATCGAGGCCGATACTGTGTCGTCTATGGGTCCGTTCAAACATATTATTCGTTCCTAGACCGCCAATCGAAGTTAGACAAGGGATCAAATACGGTAATTAAAAAGTAAAGGCAGTAAGTAGGGGCAAACATACTTGTAGGAGCTTAGAGAAGATATCATCTGTGCGATTGGATCAGTAAGGTAACTGTTGACATGTCGCCGAATTCAAGGGCTTCGTTACGAACATGTTCTCCAGCCACCGGACTATTCAATCAGCTGCCTGACCTCTCTACACAGATTCCATTGACCTATCTTACAGTGACTTCTGTTATATATGGTAAAGGAACAGCTCCTCGAGGAGGTTGTATCGGGCCGGTCGGGAATTGGGAGAAGTGTCGGGTGAATTGATTTGTGGTTCTCGTCTTTGTCGTCGTCGTCGTAGTTGTCGGTAACGTTCGAAGGGCTGCGCGCCAAAGCGGTCGGTGGCAATTCATGGTAGTCGGAGTTATGTCGAGCGGTTTTAAATTGGAGAGTGACAGGATTAAGTATGATGACGAGATACTAGAAACCATAAAAACTGGAAGGAAGATTGTTGATTTAACGTTTTGAAGCGCTCACCTGCATATATTACATACGAACTAGCAAGCTTCAGCAGGTGCGATAGATATAAGATGCCGTTCGGTGGGGAGCTATGACGCTCAACGGCTAAGTACCTAGGAGGTACGTACTCCCCCACTAAGTGGGATGATTTTCGGCGGTAACAATGTCAATTAAGGTTCCAAGGTTCTTTTTTGGATTTCATTTCGTTCATTAAAACATTTAAGCATAGAAAAAACATTCCAATGTGGTTATGAGACTATGTAAAGTACTGCTCTATCGCAGTGCCAATTATGGCCAATATAATACAATTATCCCACGCGTCCAACGCCGATACTTTGCAGCTCGAAAACGAAAAGATGACCCTATTGAAGACAATACCAATGACGAACCGCAAGCGAGCGACTGGGAAGATGCTTTCACTATCAATTCAGAAAACAAGACGATAGGGACAGCCGTAGGCGATCTACCATTGTCGCCTGTAATGGATCCTTCATTCTGGGAAGCGAGGCAACGACATTCACGTCCAAAGCCAAAAGCCGGACGCCCTCAAAACTCGGTCGAGCGCCAGCTCCGAGCCAATCCGTTCGGTAACGACAACCAGATAAATGCTTTTTCTACTTCAATTCTAACCAGATTCTATAGCTGCGGCCCTCGCGACACCTATACGCATGTGCGCCATAACCCAGACACGACTACCAAGTTTCTTCCTTCAACAATTCAAACTCGTTGCTCACCCCGAGACCGGCGCCCCGTGGTTGATTCCCTATAAAGACCTACCCAAAGAAAATGAGTCAGCCGAAGAACCAGACAGCCAGGGGGCATTGGAAGCCATAGATGACACAATACAGACGAACATAGAAGAAACAGAAGTCAAGCCGAGCAATCCCCAAGAACAAGAGCCCACTTCGACGGCCGACGAACGACCACGTGGCCCAGGATCCTATGTCTTAGCAAGACAAGATTTCCTAGCTTCTTTCAAAAGGAAACAATCGGGGTTCGAGAGCGCCCCGAAACGCCTAACGGGAGGAGGCGGAAGCTTGAAATATCTAGCTAACAAAGTCGTCTGGCGTGAGGACATGGACTCGTACATTCTACAAATCATGCGGCAAGATATCGTCAACGACATACTATACCTCTCCAGACTTTGCACGGAAGGTGGGCGGTATTATATCGTCAAATGCTACGGTTGGGATGATGTCAAGTTCAAGCACAAGGGCGCCGTGCTTTGGTTCGGGCCAGAGGGCAATGAAGACAGCTCCAACGTACCCGGGCAATTTGCGACATGCGAAACCCAAAAGACAGGCATCCAAGGCGAGACAGTCTACATGAGTCTAGCTGTACACAACATGCCAATGCTCCTAGGCGAGGATGAAGCAAGTCGTATTCAAAAGGAGGCCGGCGCCCTGAAAGATGGAACCCTCTTCATGCTTGCAGGACGACGGACGACGAAGCTACAAATGAAACTTTGGAAACTCCAAGGGTATATGGCAGACTATTCAGGGTACACGGACTTCAAATTTGACCAACAGCGTAAATAAATTAATAAGAAATTTATCTGTCATACATATCTTGTTATATAAGGCGAAGAAGTCGACGTGTTGCGTTATTGAAAATAAGATTCGCAAAATTATACCTATCTAAAATTACAATGCCCTCTACGAATAGCTCGTAAGTAGAAACTTACATAGATATGTCAATAATTAATACATAAATGCATCAATACTTTAGTGATGTGGCCAAATAATTCCCTTCGATATATGCACGTCTAGTTTTAGCGAGAGGTTAGTAAAGAAGATGGTGATGTAGGTAGGGTTACGTATTTCATACCACAAGCGACAGTATCACAAGTATCTTGACAATTAAATTTCATAGCGAACTTCATTTCCTCTGTGGATCAATCCGACCTCTAACCATCCTCGTAACGGCATAAGTGTGTAAAATACATGAGGAACACCGGAATGCATCAATCAGCTAGCAATAACTAAACCCTGCTAGGAATTATCACGCCTCCATCCCTGGAAAGGCGAAGAATTATTTGGGGGATATCCACCCAAAAGATGATGTCTACCGGAAATAGCCCCGAAACCATCCAAACTCCGAAGAACTTTTGCGATTTCCATTTCCATTTTCAGTCCCTTTAGTCGACCTCTTCCATGGCACTGTCACCGGTCTCTGCGGCGGCGGTGTCGGCAGTAGCCGGTACCTCCTCGACCTCGGGTTCCTCATCCAGGTTTAGACCAAGAGAGACGAGCTTGTGGATACGCTCAGCGAAGCCAGCGGGTTCCTCAATAGTGAAACCGGAGACTAGCAGAGAGGTCTCGAAAAGAAGCTGGACAATCGACTTGACAGTCTTGTCGTTCTCGCCATCGGCCTCGACCTTCTTCTTGAGCTCCTTGATGATAGGAGACTTGGGAGAAATCTCAAAGGTCTTCTTAGAGCTCATGTAGCTGCTCATGGAAGTGTCACGGAGAGCCTGGGCCTTCATGATACGTTCCATGTTAGCAGACCAACCGAACTGACCAGTTCGGATGGCACAAGGAGAGCCAACGAGCTTGTGAGAGACAACAACCTTCTCGACCTTGTCGCCGAGAACGTTCTTCAGCGATTTGGCAAGGCTTTCGTATTCCTTCTCCTCGGCCTCACGAGCCTTCTTCTCCTCCTCGGTCTCCTCAAGATCAAAGTCCTTGGTAATGTCGACAAGCTTCTTGCCTTCGAACTCCTTCAACTGAGTCATGGCGTACTCATCAATGGGGTCAACCAAGAAAAGAACCTCGAAGTTCTTCTCCTTGAGCGCGTCCAAGAAAGGAGACTTGGAGACGGCCTTGATAGACTCGCCAGTGATGTAGTAGATATTCTTCTGGTGCTCAGCCATGCGGGTGACATAGTCGGCCAGAGAGGTTTGCTCGTCGCCAGACTTGGTTGAGTTGAATCGCAGAAGCTTGGCGAGTATCTGACGGTTCTGAGAATCCTCGTGGATACCAAGCTTCAAGTTCTTAGAGAAAGCGCTGTAGAACTTGTCGAACTGCTCCTTGTCTTCGGCGATCTCGGTGAACAGCTCAAGGGCCTTCTTGATGATGTTCTTCTTAATGACCTTCATGATCTTGTTCTGCTGGAGAGTCTCACGGGACAGGTTGAGAGGAAGATCCTCAGAGTCAACAACACCCTTGACGAAGCTGAGCCACTCAGGGATGAGATCAGTGGCATCATCGGTGATGAAGACACGACGGACGTAGAGCTTGATGTTGTTCTTGGTCTTCTTGGTCTCGAAGAGATCGAAGGGAGCGCGCTTGGGCACGAATAGGATAGCTCGGAACTCAAGCTGACCCTCAACAGAGAAGTGCTTGACGGCAAGGTGGTCTTCCCAGTCGTTGGAGAGAGACTTGTAGAAGGCGGCATACTCCTCTTGGGTGATGTCTTGAGGGTTGCGAGTCCAGATGGGCTTCTGCTTGTTGAGTTCTTCCTCCTCGATAGAAGTCTCCTTGACCTTCTTGGTCTTCTTCTTCTTCTCCTTTTCTTCGTCCTCGTCATCAACCTCCTCGATCTTGGGCTTCTTGTCGTCACCCTCTTCTTCAACCTCCTCAGCCTCAGCATCCTCATCGGGGACTTCCTTCTCAGTCTCCTTTAGGACGTGTAGGTAGATGGGGTAAGAGATGAACTCGGAGTGCTTCTTGATGACCTCCTTGATCTTGCTCTCGTTGAGGTACTCAGTCTGCTCATCCTTGAGGTGAAGGATTAGCTTAGAGCCACGGCCAAGGGGCTCGCCATCAGTGTCAGGCTTGACGCTGAAGGTACCACCAGCAGACGACTCCCAGATGTACTGCTCGTCATCGTTGTGCTTGGAGATGAATGTGACTCGGTCGGCAACAAGGTAAGCCGAGTAGAAACCGACACCGAATTGGCCAATCATAGAAACATCAGCACCAGCGGTCAAAGCCTCCATGAACTGCTTGGTACCCGATCGAGCGATGGTACCCAAGTTGTTGACAAGGTCCTAGTATCCAGCGTTAGTAATTGTGAACTATGAGATTAATATTTGTATACTCAAGGTAGTAACTTACAGCCTTAGTCATACCAATACCGGTATCACGGATAGTCAAGGTCTTGTTCTCCTTGTCGGGGATGATGTCGATACGGAGGTCCTTGTTGGCCTCGAGCTTGCTCGGGTCCGAAAGGGCCTCGTATCGGATCTTGTCGAGAGCATCTGAGCAGTTGGATACTAACTCTCGTAGGAAAATCTCCTTGTTGGAGTAGACGGTGTTAATGATGAGGGAGAGAAGCTGAGAGATCTCAGCCTGGAACTCGAACGTCTCCGCCATGTTGAGTATGGATGTGAATGGAAGATGGAGTCTGTACGATCAATGGGTTAGTATGATTAAATTACAGTAGAAGTAATTGCGGGGAGAAAATAGGGAAGAATAGAATAGGTAAGGAAATATTGGTTTGGTGCTATGGCATTTACAAAATTGGCGGCGTGGCGGGGTAGACAAGAAATTCTCCAATACACGCAAAATAAAGTGCGACCGACAAAAAGTCGCAATTACAGTATCCCCCAATAAAATATTCCTGTTTCTAGAATATTCTGCGAATGGGAAATCGGGAGAATAGGGGATTTACTTGTGCAGAGGCAGATGCAAATGTAGATGTTGGGTAGTAGAAAGCAATAACAAGGCTGAGGGGGCGGGGGAGCTTCGGACGGTGATGGTGATTTAAGTCACTTACCAGAGATGATGTTCTTGTTTTAATGGGAAAAGACGGCTTGGGGTATCACAGAAGAAGATGATCTCTTTTCTCGTAGAAGGATGAGAAGATGGGAGAGGATTTATGATTGTTATGGGAATGAAGAGAAAAGTTTGAAAAGAGGTGAAGGGGAAAGAAGAAGTAGAAGTATGTTCAGTCGACTCGCTGAAAAGTCGCAGCAGCTAGAAATGTTCTTCACAGCTCTTTCTGTGCACGGCCCCACCATAGTTTCTATCGAATTCTATGGTTTTTCTGGGTGCTCAACCAACGGAATGTCGCTTCCTGATTGGTCGAACCGCGCCTCCAGGGCAACCGGCGTGAATATTGGAACCGCTGATTGGCCGAATGCAATAATAGCGACTGGCATGTAACTTGCAAGTGCGAATCAGTTTAAAACGTCTGGAGCCTTCCATTACCATCTATCTTAGGGGTGCCTACCGAAGCCTATCCGCCTACCTGCCTAGGTACCTATTTGCGGTCCGTGCTTGTACATACAGTAGTTTCTCCAAACTTCTGGAAGGCAGCTCCCGACCCGGTACGCCTACAAACAATCAAGCCTGTCGCTGCCTAGATCAGGTGCTTTCAATAGATTGAGTTGCAAACGAGGCGACGACCCTACAACAATAGTGGTGATACAATTGGTTCGTAACTTTAGGCTTCATAAACACTTAGGTCCCTGCATGCATCGCAACTTTAGGTACCTAAGTATTTATTGATCCAGTGTCGGGTCGCATGATTATCGCATTGCAATATCTAAACCTTTTTTCTCCGGTCCTATGAAAATATTCTACGCGATTAATTCTCTACAATTGAGGAACTAAACACTTAAATGGCATTGTGATATATCTACAAGGTACTGTATCTGCCCTCATTCAACCCAATATTTCTCCACGGGGCAGATCAATCTGTAATTTCCCACTTGCCGTAATAGGCAGTAAGGCTGACCCCTAAGCTAGCTTCAACTGGCAATAGTTTGAATTGATTGGTTGTGAATAGAGAAGCTTCGTGGTAAAACGCCGGGATGCTCCACTGAGGCTATTGGTGAGGCTCATTTTTTAAGCTTGGCATAAAATTAGTGGCACAGTCTCGATCTGCCACGCCTTCCAGCAACAACCCCGCCCTCTATTCTTGAATCTTCCAGTGGCATTGCTACATATTTGTAGGGGACATCATTGGAGCCTTCTTTCCCAGCAGGCCAAAATGAGTTCAATATCCACCTAGATATTCTTTTCGAAACTCACCTATCGATTTGTTGGCTTGTCAATTCCGATCGATGGACCGCGAGATCTGACCATCCGCCCGATCCTTTCTCCTTCCCCATGGTGCGATCGCGAACTTGCTGGTTACACATCACTAATAGCCACTCCCTCCCTACCTCCTCTCTTCTTCAATGTCTATATCTGATAATAAGAATTTGGCGAAGCTGAACCTACTCGTAGAGCCGCTATTTATTTCGCCACGACGATGAAAAAAGGGGGAATGGGCTTGCAATGAGCTAGCCTCGTAAAATCGAGATTCGATTATCGGATATATGACTAGGTTATAGTATCATAATAAAACTATGGAGTCAAGGCTAAGTGTTCCGTGTAACCTGTATAAAAATGATAGTTCACAAGTTAACTCTTTCATACCTAATAAGGGAGAAATTGGGCGTGGTGCTATCGAATGTTATTGATACCATCCAGCCACGTTAGAGTTAATCGGGAGAGGCTCGCAATGGCCTCGGAAAGAGCTATGTACTACCTGAATAAGATACCTAGGATTCATGGAAGGAGGCACCAATATGGGATGAATTTCTTTGACTGGCACTGTCTCCTCTCCTTCTTTCCTAAGGCATTGAGGAGTCATTAAGTTTTATTTCTGGGGGGACCATGCTCACGTGGAAAGCAAACTTGGAAGGCGGGAAGCGCTCATACCATAATATTGATGTGTATTCTTGATTCGGCTCAAACCATAAATTTCTACTCTTCTATTCCTTATTTAAATTCTCAGCATCCCTAGAACCACGACTACTTCTACCTGGGTCATCAAATCCGAATAGAATTGAAATCGCAGTCAACATGGCGCCTACAGCTGAAGAGGTCACCGAAACGCCAATTCCTTATGTCGAAGGCCAAGTCTTAAGCTTGAAAGACATAGATGGAAAAGAATTGTCCGTAACTATTACGAAAGTATATCGAGTCACCATATCACCTGTGATGGAGGTTCAGATCCGAGCAAGCGGCGAGACCGAGTACCAAGAAGCCGTACTTAAAATGTTCGACCGTCGCTTTGGTGAGGACCGATACTTTTACGACGACACGAAGCGTGTGCCACATACCGAACAACGAGAAGCTGCGTGGCAGGAGTACGTGCGTCAGGGATTAGAAATGCATCTCCTCACATTTATCGAGAACCACAGGAAGGAGTTCAGGTTAAAGCGTATTCGGTATTTAGATGGTTATGATGACCCCAATGAACCAGAATGGATGAGTTTCGGCAAGCATGAGGCAATCTTTCATTGGAAGGCGCACGCTAAATACAAAACCGAGATCGAGGCGTATCACGAGTTGAAGGAGCTGCAAGGCCGACGTGTTCCTCAACTCATATCAACCGTAACTCTAACCCTGCCATCGGATCGACCCGATCTCCCGCCCATCTATTTTGAGATTCCTGGTATCTTGCTCCAGAAAATCAACGGCTTTACCCTCTCGAAGATGTTTCGCGAGGTTGACAATCCAATGTTATGGAAACAGATCACCCAAGATGCGATCGAAGCAGCAAAATACGTCAATCGCGCCGGCGTCATCAATTTCGACATGCGACTCCAGAACGTGGTAGTAGCCCGGTTGGACGATGGCGGATTTCAACCTTTCATGATCGATTTCGCGCAGTCTACATTCAGACGGAACTATAAGGACACGGATAATCCCCAGGATCCTGCTGGTTACGAGTTTAATGCCAAAAAGATCCGCAACCCAGGGGTTATTGCGATACTTGCGAGCGATAAGGCCTGGAGAAAAGAGGGATGCAACTTGAAACTCGAGTTCAAGTAACAAAGGGAGGACAATCTACTGAAACACTGGACTTGATGATTTGACTAGGAACTAAGAGGTAACTATTTTTGGTGAAATGTTCACCCAAGTTACCAAGGTTGCTACTTTATACGATCTCACTCATAAATAGCATCGCTTTCGGATTCGGTTAAGTATATAGACTATGATAGATGAAACTATACCAAGTGGAATAATCCATACCCCCATGCTCGTAGTCTCATCCTTCGGATTTAGTACCGGTGAAGAGTCATCCGGAAGATTACGTAAGGTAGATAGTGCAGCCCCTAATTGTACTTAGAACTTCTAGTTACTATAAGGGGAGATGAAATAAAAGAGCAATAGGATTCCTAATCGAATAATGGAGAAGTGAAGATTTCGAGATACTTTTTTGAAATATCAACTTCCTACCAAGTCTAAATATTTGCGGGAACCCCACCAAAATGGCCTCATTGGAGAATTTGTTGGAGTCCGCGGTGAAGGATGGTACAACGTCTGGGATTGTGGTATTCGCTAAGGATAAAGACGGTACGTCTAAAAGAATTGGTGGCACCTATTATCATCCATCCATCCTGACAATATTAATCAATTATTTGAAGGCAAGGTTGATATCGCAAAGGCGTTCTCACCTGAGAATGGGACGCCATATAATCTGGACAGTGTGATGGAGATAGCTTCCATGACCAAGTTCCCTACGTCAGTTGCCGCGTTGCAAATTGTTGAAAAAGGCCTTATTACGCTTGACGAGGACTTATCGCATCTACTTCCAACTCTTGCAGAACAAGGTATCTTGATTTCTGTGGCAGACGATGGAACTCCGACGACGCGCAAACGGCAAAACCCCATCACGTTGCGCCGGTTGCTATCGCATAGTTCTGGTGCTGGATACTATTTCCTGGACGCGGGTCTTGGCAAAATACGAGCCACGCAAAAGGCGCCCAGACATACAGTCGATGAAGCTTTCGGCCTACCGCTTTTGTTTGAGCCCGGAGAGGGTTGGGCGTATAGCCCTAGTCTCGACTGGGCCGGCCTACTCGTCGAAAAGTTGACCGGATTGACTTTGGACGAGTATATGGTTAAGAATATCTGGGAACCACTAGGCGCCCATAGTTCTACTTTCTTCCCCGATCAACACCCCGATATCAAAGCTCGCCAAGTGCCTATGGCGTACCGCGATGATCCCGATGGGCCGGCCGTCGAGAAACCCGATGTCAAAACGATTATTTCGGGATACAAACATTGCTTCGGCGGACAGGGTTTGTTGTCGAGCATGGAAGACTGCTTCAAATTGGTGTACTCTCTGCTTGTGGACGACGAGAAAGTGCTGAAGAAAGAAACGACTGCGTTGCTCTTTACGCCCCAATTGACGTCTGCGAGTAAAGAATCGATGCACAAGTTCATGGAGACTCCTGCCATGAAGGTGATGTTCCCGTCTCCGGTCGGTGTTGATCGGGACCATAGTCTTGGTGGGTTGCTCATTGCTGGTGATGGACATGAGTATTGGCGAGAAGGGACGGTGATGTGGGGTGGTGCGGCGAATCTTAACTGGGTATGAGATTAAGTCGATACGCCTTTCGTCGTTTGCTAACAATGGTATAGTTTATTGATCGTGCTGCTGGAGTGTGTGGTGTTTTCGGCACCCAACTTCTACTACCTAGCGACCCGAGAATGAGGAGCTTGATAAATGCTTTCCAAAAGGATGTTTACAGGAGAGCGGGAAAACTGGAATAAGAAGAATTTCCTATAGATGTACATTGATGATTAATTGATACGTGTATCTACCACATAAACAATCTTCAACCATTTCGTCATTGAACGAACAACTTACGCCAATTTCCCAACGCCTCCCCAACCATTTTGCCATACCCGTCTACCATTACAATCCCCACCCATCATATGGTTTCATAAGTTCATTGCTCTCCACGCCCCCGGGAAACTCCTCTTCACCAAGATGCGTAGTATGCGCCCAGGGCTTAAGACCATTCTCCTCTCTAATCGTCTTAGCAAAGCATCCGCTCCACCCCTTCCTGGGGTACGCTTTATTCACATCCTCGCGGGTAACCGAATCAATTATCTGAGGGTTAATGCCCATATTATCGTAAATAGTAGCAAGCTGAATAACTTGCCCAAGAAACGTGATCTTCCCCACGTTTCCCAAATCCTGGTGTCGAATAATAGCCTCGGCCACAGCTTCAGCTTGTGCTACCGGCGCACCGAGCTCCTTGATCAAATTGAGCGCTAGAATACCCCCGTAGAATTCGAAGGATAGGAGCGTGGCGCGTAGGTTCTCAAGTGTGGTACCGATGTCGTGGAGGAGACATGTTAATGCCCATGTTGAGAGTGAGAGCCGGTTGAACTCGGCCGGGAATTGGTCTTTGAGGATGGAATATCCTGGTTTGTTCGGTTAGCTTAGGGAACTCAACGCAGCCTCCAACTCAACTTTGGGGTAGATTTGGCATGTGACTGCTTTCTTACCCCAGTGATATACTCGCATGGAGTGGTTGTATGTCTGCTCTATGAGGTGCTTCTTGGCATATTCCTGAACTTTGACGACGACGGGGTCGTCCGAGGGAAAAGGGACATCCTTCGCAGTTAGGGGGGATGGCTTATTGAGATATGGCTTTCCGTTAAGAATGGCATTGCCGTCGACCGGAACGGCGGTCCAACCGTGCTTGGCAATATCTTCTGCAGTTGCTGCTGGTGTAGACGACATGATTGCGAGTTATTGTTGTGTTCCAAACCTATACCCTGTTATCTTGAATACGATATCATATATAGGTCCGGGCTTCCATCTTCCTTTTATATGATCTATATTACCGATGACGGAGCTTTAATACAATTATTCTTACAAATAGTTTTAGTCAGCTTTTAGTGAGGTATATCTATGCCGAATTACGTTTCTTGGTCGGGGTTTGCCATTGTAGAATTAGGTAGGTGTTGTTTATTAAGACTATATAATTCCGCGGGATTAGTCTTCTGGTAGTATTATACTCGAGTCTGTGACGTCAGCAACTTCAGTACGACTATAAACTACATGTAGGTGCTAGGCCTGAAGCGGAGCTATGGGTATATAGTTAGCGAAATCATTGCTATTGCATCTCCGGTGACTCTTTGATTTCAACCTTTATAGTCATTACGGCCGGATTCAAATAGGGGCTCGAACCCAATCCCTGAACCTAACAGTGCGTTTACTAATATCCGTCACAGTAGGATAATAGGCTGTGCCTTGGCATCATTGATATCTCGGGATGTCGATTGATGAATTGACCGTGACCGGTCCAAGACGATGCCATGAATACAGAAGGGCGCGTCGTTATGAGACTGGTCATATCAGAGTTCGCGATATGCGCCCGAGATGGGTTCAAACGCTTTCGTCGCATTTGTCTCGATCAGAATCTTTGCCAATTAGCATCTGTACGAGGTTCCGGAGGTAAAATATCGACTAAAGAACTTACCGGATTTCGTAGGAACCTGCTCTTGTCATATATCGAACCCATTTAACACTGGAATAGTTGCTCTTCTCAAAGACCTTTAGGTATCGCACTAGTAGACCGGAACTGGTGAACATGAGAAGACTGAAGTTCAAACTGAGGGGTGGACGCGACCAGGCCTTCTGGTTCGTCATGCTCGTGAGCTCTGCTTCAGCGCTTAGAACAAACTCGCTCTGTCCAGTAAACCGACCGATCTTCCAAACGATGTTATTCTCACTTGGCTCGTATTTGGCTTTTCCCTGCGTACAACGTTCCGTGATGCGAGCGGTGTTGAGGGGAGTCGGGATGCGAACAACAACGTTGGTAGCAAAGAGCTTGCTGCCGAAGTTTGCCTTAACGCCAATACTATACTCTACTTTGGTCTTGCCAACTTCATTAACGATGGCGTGCACCTTGAAGGGTAGATTGACGTTTTCGGTCGCTCGATATCGCATGAGTTCGAACTCTCCGTCGGGTGGGATGAATGAGATGATACGGTCTGAGTCGAATTTGCCGAGCTTCACGCATTGATGGAATTGACAGTCCTCAAGGGTAACACTTCCGGCGGCAGCCTTAGTAGCTTTGGTTCCAAGCCTGTTTCCACTTGGCAGTGACTGAAGTCCGTCATGATCTAAGAGAAGTCGGTCGTTGAGTCCGAATTTGCATTCGGGTGTGCCTGAGAGATACGCGCGCATGATAATCTGACCCGTAACATCGGCGCGAAGAACGGTTCCGGTGGCAGACATCAGAAGGTTCACATCCTCTATTACGTCGACGAAAGCTTCGTTTTTCCTATATTTAACATCCGCTTTTCTCCACGATAGAGCCCCGGTAGCTTGCATAGTAATCTTGGCAGAATTCTCGGCGGCGCGTTCGGACTTGACACCTTCGGTGGTGATGTACATCTTGAGGGTATCGGTTTCGGTGTTCTGGGGATATCCAAAGTCGATGATCTCTAAAAGCGCATATAATATTAGAAGGGGATTTCCATCATTGTGTAGCAATATCGCATATCTTACCATCTAATAGCTCATAAACCAGTACAAAGTTGTTCTTAACGGCTTCTTCATCGAATTTACCGAAGTATCCCCTACCAAGCTGGATCAGCCGGTAGAGGAACTCAAAGACGAGGGCGGCATTGGCATTGCTCTTGGTGATAGCGACTAAATAGATATTCTCGTGCTTAACATGACTAAAGGTGGTGCTACCGAGGGTGAGGATAGGTGATCGAACTTGAGGATTCGAGATGACTTGAATTCGAAAGACGTCGGCGAGACGAGGCCGGCAATCATTTCGAAAAGCTCGGAAGATGAGGTTCTCGCCCTTTTGGTTGAATATTAGGATGCCGGATAGCATCTTGCCGACCTCGCGACTCAACCCTAGTCGACGAAAGAAGGGTACCGAGGAGTCGTTGTCGGGATGTTTGCTTCGGGTTAGGAATTAGAAATTAAAATTAGGGAAATGGTTAGGGGCGACGGACGGGTGACGCCGCTGGCGATGAATAGAGTTACCACAGTGGAATTGTGGGTGTTATCGGCGTTATCAGTCCCCCGCGACCAATTAAACTAGCGTTGTTTATTCCACTAAACACGTTGATAAAACAGCCCCGGAAGGTACCAAGGAGCCACAGTAGGCCTGTGGGATTCCCCTGGACTAGTGGGCTAAATTAGTGGGGTCATCCAACAATACAGCACTAATTCAGTGGAATATTCACGCCGACCGTCTTTCCTTAGTGCTTCTCTTCTTTTTCTTCCTTCATCATTTTTATCACCATTTTAATCATCAGTATAACTTCTGATAGTTTAGACGTATACATTCCCATTTTCTTTAACCACTTATAAAACCATTACTTCTTTTCTATATTCTCATATTGAGTGAAATGGTTGCCGGAGAATCCAGGAATCTTTCAGTCCTCAACTCTTCCATGCTACGCTCAGGCACTTATTAGCTGAACTAGTACGGCTTCGTCTGAATATATTAGGTACCATACTCGGTCTTGTCAGCTACGATCACTTAATCGCCTGCTTTTCATATCATATTACCAGACAATATATTACAATATGTTTCTATCCCCACAACCCGGTTCACTCTGTACGAATTCCGGATTCCGAAGACTACCTTGTTCCAAGCTGAGAGTCTAGATTTCAGCAAAGCCTGCTTATAACATCTTGCCAAGAGCGGGTTGGATGTGACCCTTCTATACCTAAGAAAGAGGTAGCTCAACATGGATGTTATAAGACTTCTGGTCTAGATCATCATGAGATCACTACTCTAAAATGACTATCACCATCGTGAGGTTACCTAGCTCCGATGAAGCCGCTGTCCCCATTTCCGATCGAGGGTACAGCGTACTACACCAGCTATAGGAGACGATTACATCGAGTCCGTGCCCGCCGCTACCCCAAATTCCCCTCGCGGCATGAATTCCCTATTTTGGGTTCTCCAGGGACATCTTCCGAGATGACTCCCGAACTTGGCTAGGTCTATTCCAACGTCCTGTGCTCTATTATGTGGAACACACCAACTACCCTCTATCGTGATTGGAGGACCTTACTTGAAGAACTAATAGATCATAGATCATGATTCCTTCGTTGGAGATATCACCGTCTCCAAGTGCCTTGACAACTACACCGGTGCTTCCTAAACTTGGGTCGCTTGTGATAGCTCGAGTTCTGTCTACCGTTTCTATACTAAAATCAAGCCTATTTCACGGAATAGTAAACCGCGTCCCCGTGTCTGGTGGAAGAATCAAGCGTATCTAGACTAAATCTCTGAGATCACACGAAGAAAAAGTCAATGCTACGTAGGGGCTCGAATACATCTAGCGAATAGGGCCACAGTGTCTGTATTCCCGCCTATCCGATAGATTTCAGATTCAGGAAGGTCTTAATTATGATAAAAAGGGACCCTGATCGCACCTCGTAAGGTAAGGAACTCTACTCCACCACGCTCACAAACTTCTCTTCTCTTGTCCAAAGCCAAGTGGTACCACCATGTCCGCAAAGAAGTTTCTCGTTGCTGCTTTGAGCTCCATAGCTCTAGCGGTCCCATTCGATGGTGTAGTTGAAGATCGTGCAGCTTGCGCTGCCGCTTGGTATGTGCCCTACAGGCTCCTCAATACATGAATTCCTTTAACTTATACCGTTATTAGGGGACAATGTGGTGGTCAAAGCTGGACCGGTGCTACCTGCTGCCCTAGCGGAAGCATTTGTGTCAAGTCGAACGATTATTATCACCAATGCGTACCAGGCGCTGCGACTACAGCTGTTACTTCGACGAGTACTCGTGTCACAACACCCGTATCTACCCCAAAGACGATGACAACTAAGCCTACAACAACTATTGGCAGCAGCACAACTAAGGGTTAGTGACCATCATTTAATAGAGAATTGTTAGAAGTAGTAACTAACTTTTGAATATGAAATAGTACCCACGACCACTGCTCCGGCCGCTAGCGGGACAGCCGCATGGTCAGGAAACCCGTTCTCAGGCGTCAAAATGTGGACCAATTCATACTATGCCTCCGAGGTTTCGGCATATGCTGTTCCTAGTCTGGGCGCCGGCGCAGCAGCCGTTGCAAAAGTGCCCAGCTTCATGTGGCTGTAAGAAACCACTTACCTAGGTACTCATTAGTCTATTTCTACAGTCTTTTCTAACATTTGACATAGGGATACCCGAGACAAGGTTGACTTAATGGCGCAGACCTTGGCGGATATTCGTGCCGCCAATAAGGCCGGCGCCAACCCACCTAATGCCGGAATTTTTGTCGTCTATGACCTGCCCGACCGTGACTGCGCGGCGGCGGCGTCAAACGGCGAGTACTCGATCGCTGATGGCGGTGTTGCAAAGTATAAGGCGTACATCGACGCTATCGCCAACCTCATCAAGACCTACTCTGATATTCGGCTCCTACTTGTTATCGGTATGTTCCATAAATCTTGATCCTTTTCTTCGCTAGCTAATAGCGTGACAGAACCGGACTCCCTAGCCAACTTGATCACAAACTTGAATGTAGCGAAATGCTCGAACGCGCAGTCGGCTTATATGGAATGCACACAATATGCGATCAAGCAGCTGAACTTACCAAACGTGGCCATGTATCTCGATGCCGGCCATGCTGGATGGCTCGGCTGGCCTGCGAACTTACAGCCGGCCGCCAAACTATACGCACAACTATACAAGGACACAGGATCGCCAAAAGCGCTAAGAGGTCTCGCAACAAATGTGGCTAATTATAACGCTTGGCAAATTAGCACATGCCCGTCGTATACTCAGGGCAACAGCAACTGTGATGAATCGCGGTATGTTAACGCTATGGCGCCTCTCCTGAGCGCTGCTGGTTGGGATGCACACTTCATTACCGACACTGGCCGAAGCGGAAAGCAACCCACCGGCCAGCAGGAATGGGGACATTGGTGCAACGTGATCGGCACAGGTTTTGGTACCCGTCCCACGGCTGACACAGGATCCGACCTTCTCGATGCGTTCGTTTGGGTTAAGCCTGGTGGTGAGTGTGATGGTACCAGCGACACGAGCGCTACACGGTATGATTACCACTGCGGACTATCGGATGCACTAAAACCAGCACCTGAAGCGGGTGCATGGTTCCAGGCGTACTTTGAGCAGCTGTATAAGAATGCTAACCCACCCTTCCAGTGAAAGGTGCGTTAGTAATGATGTTCAATTCTGCTTAATAGTTGATGCATATATGAGTTATAAAAAAATAATGGGCATGAGATTTTTGAAGAATTTATGCCTGTGAAATTCCCCGAGCATATTAACCACTGAGAATATAGGCCACACGTTTTCATTATTATCCTCCCTTAAATATTGGACATTCTAGATTACCCAAGAGCATTCCTAAAACATTGGATGCTCGCTGTGCCTTTTCCCTACTACTGAGCATATACAAACCAGTCAACTACCTAGGTACCCATACCTCACCACTCTTCGCCAGCCTACCTATCTATCTCCTCCCAACCACTGCGACTTGCGACCGCACCGGTACATTCGCCTCCCGGCCCGGAGTCGGGAATCCATCAACCGGTACACCAGCACGGAACAGCAGGCAATGCGACGAGCCACCAAAATGGAACATACCCAACTGTTCGCCCTTCCGCACCGCCTGTCCCTGCGCAACTGTGATCTCACAAGTACTAACCTCATCCATACCGACGCCTACAAACGCCATCAACCCCAACGCCGGGTTATCCGCTTGAATGAAAATAACCGCCCGTGTCGCCAACGCAGTTAAATACCCCTGCGCAACACTAATCCCACGCGTATCAATCTCGCCCGATCGATTCATGCTACGTTCCCCCTCCACATAACCCCCCGCAGGACCCTCAAATAACGGCTCACTGAAATAAGTACCGTCTTTGACGAATGCGCGTACGATGCGGCCTGAGACGGGGGAGTGCCAGCGGTGGTACGATAATGCGGAGAGGAAGGCTTGGTACACGGTTGCACCGTCGAATTGGGCTGCTAGAGGGTCTTGGCCTAGCATGTCTAGGACGGAGTATGGTTGGCTTTTGATCCAGAATCGGTCGCGGAGTTTGGCGTGGCGCGCTATGTTGTAGACTTTGGATTCGCAGGCGTTGGCGACTACGTTGTCGTCGTCGGGGGAGGCTAGGGGGCGCGCGTTGTCGCGGAGTTGGCGGGTGAAGAAATCTATTAAATGGTTTGTTAGAGTTGTATGGGGAGTTTGGGGGGGGAGTGGCCTACCATCCCAGGAGGTATAGCCGTAGTGTTTAGCTGTCGGGTCGCAAATGTACATGTCTTCGAACCGATGCGATGTCCCGAGCGGTGCGTTGGCGACTTCCATTAAGTCCTTCACGCCGTGCTGGGAGAACCAGCCTTGTTTGTGTGATGCGAGGACTTCGGCGGATTTCGGAGACTTGTTATAAATCGATGATTGTCAGTCTTCGAGTAAGATTCATGACTTCTCGCTGGGCTCGCAGGCTTACCTTTAAGAATTTGCCCCATTCGTTCAAGATTTTCTTCATCATCTTGTTGACTTCTGGGTCTAAGAAGGCGGCATGTCCACTATGTCCAGTCAGTCAAAATCCCAATCACGGGCACGAGAGTAGTTAGTCTGACCTAGGGGTAGCCATCACATAGTCGAAGATTCCCACCATAGGGACGCCGACCATGCCAACTCCAAAAGCAGCATCGGTCCATTGGGGAGCTTGTGTGAAGATATGGTTGAGGACGTCTAACATGTGACGATAATCCCGAATCTGTTTCTTCGTACCCGTCGGGTCCTTGTAGTACGGTTTCTTCAGGGGAATTTCTTCCCACATTTGATTGAAATACATATAAATGCGCGAGTTTCCCTCAATTAGTTTCTTGAACTCCTTGAGAACAGAAATTAGCTCCTTTTTGCTGGATTTGTCGACATGTTCGATTTGCGTCTTCAGCCATTCGTGTTGTACACGATGGTCCGCCGGAAGCCAGGCACCATGTCTGTAAATGATATTTAGCCATTGGTACCAGTAAGTGGAATTACGTATTCATAAAAAGGTATTATTATTAATCTACTAACCTATGGGTGCGATGTTCCTGGGGAATATCATGCTCATCTCCGTGTTGGTGAACCATTTCGGATTATTTCGGGATGTAACGCCAACGAGCTATTTGGTATATATGAATGAATAGTACCTAGGACCGTTCCTGAATTGCCAAGAGCAACCGTCTTTTAAAGGTCTCATATATCATAAGGAAGCGGGGTATACAATCAAGGAATGCCATTGTATGAGAGTTCGAAAGCTCAATCATGATGTAATGTTTGTGTATGGCTGCAGGACGATCAGTAAGGTCTCTCTACCAAGTAACAAGGGGAGAGCTGGGTTTTACGCGGCCTTAACGATCAAACTAGAGGAATTCTGTACTTATTATTTAGGTTTCTATAGAAAATAACCAGTCAGATGATGTTTCGTTCTCCATAGGTGACAAGTCGATTTCTCGTAAGTTATCGTCAGATTGGGTACCTGGGGTAAGTCACAAAGGGACAAATATCAATGACGCAGTGTTCTACTGCTAAGATCATCGACATCATGTAAAAGTGACCCCTAAAAGTTGGAGCTACTGCTTGAATACAGCGCTCTGTTAAGTATTATTACGCTGATTGGGTCGCTAATCTCCAGTTTCAGTCCGCCCTGGTTAGCCCTAAAACAGTCCCAGTGGCTTGACGCATTAGGCCTTTTGCATTCTAGAGAGCCGAATGTCCCGCGAGAAGGCGTACTGGAGATTCATACGAAACTCTCTCCCCTAGCCAAGACCTCGGGACAACTTTCGTCTGGTCACCAGAGTCCGTGTTGACATCCGAAAGTTACGAAATTATGCATAATTCGGACGATAGAGCAATGTATGTAAAATGATCCTTATTTAGTACGTGGCAAGCCTCTTCTTTACGTTTTCAGTTTCATTGAACAGGCCTTTCCCAATCCATATTCTCAAGCCATTGCATAAAATCATTATCAGGTCCCAAGAAAGGAGATTCCATACCGAAACTTAGATCCGCCATCGTCGAGTCCATTGTTCCGGGAACGTATAAACCATAGGGATGGGATGGTTCGATTAATGGGACATCGGAACTTGATGGATCAGACTGTCGACTTTCTGGACGCGCGAGCAGCTCCTGGGAAATTTGAAACCGGTCTGGTAAGTACTGGTGATTCAAAATCTTATCGAGTATGTACGTGATGACTTTGCGCCCTTGGTCGCATATACTATACGAACCATCCGTGGGACTAATGGCTTCCAATCGAGCCGCGAATACAGCTAAGTCCTGAATCGTCTGACTTCTAGGTAGTAGAGGTTCCTTAGGATAGACGGGGAGCTGCTCCTGTTTCAATAACTCGACTGCAATAACGGCTGCACTTCGCATGCCCTGGACGGCGAGAAGAGAAGCAACGTCCGTTTGAAATAACGTCCCTAAATCATGACGTTGGCTCATTAACAAGATATCCTTTAAAATTAAGCGCGCAGTATGTATGAGCTTCTCGGAAGATGCGCCGGCTTTCCGAATCAAAACTCGTTGGAGCAGTAGGTCATTTGCGCGGAATGCTTGTCGAATGACGATCGTATATAACATCTCCATTGGTGTTCTGCCTTCCGTCTCCATAGGGCCGTCCCTCATTTTCTTAATGAACGACGGAAGACCTTCAATATGTTGCTGGCTCCTCTTTTGAATATCCTCGGCGCGCTGTAGAATCTCATCGCGGGAATATCGACCAATAGCTAGATCGAGTATATCTTCCCTTTGTGGCGCGAATCCTAGCCATGTCTTTATCCAAGTAACGCGGCGTATCCTACCAGTTGTATTGAATCCCCTCTCGTCGAGACCAGCGAGTGCAATTGCTAAATCATCTCCACTGAGGACTATTTGGGATGAGGTAAGATCTAGAGGTGGCTGAAGATTGCAGTATCGATGCGAAATCCTAGGAGGGCGACCTAAGAACGTTGCTGTACCAATCTCCGCGCTGTAGGTCTGAGCGAAGAACTTTTTCCGCATCTCCACGAGAAAGAAGGGTATTTTATCTTCTGGTTTAATCCCCTGATGCAAGCCCATAGCAACGGCAGCGGCTGTAACCTCGCCGCATTGTGTATATGTGACGTGACTAGTATCGCCCTTGAGTTTTGCGGATAAACAATAATTTTCCATGAGCAACCAAGCAAAAAGATCATCTACTGTTTCGCATTCGCGGCAAAAGCTCAAACAAGCCTCGGATATCTCATTCATTTGCCTTGGGAAGGATGAGTGCGCCATGTCATGATTCTTAGAGAATCGATCCGAAGGTTCGGGGGTACTCGCAGACTGGCCGGCAATTGCGGCGACAAGGCCAATGACTTCCCAGCGCAAATTGGGACCGGTCCCAGACCGTGCCCATTGCTGGGCCGTAGTGTTCTCATCAAAAGTGATCGAAGTTTGGGTGTTACGCCATAGCAGTTCACATAACCGTTGGATTTTTTCGGGATTCTGGTCCCTTAACTATATACACAACGTTAGCACCTTGTGGATAGGCCGAGGCTTCACTTGGTTACTGTCTCTCTAAAGAATTGAATATGGGAGTAGGGCTAGAATAGGTAGTATTTTTGAACGTACCACATCCCCGAAATGGGAGAACCCCCAGAGCCATTCTTTCATAATAGGCTCTATACAAATGCAGCCATCATCCTCGCATATCTCGTACCATCGAGATATAAAACGATTTAGTATGTGTTTGTCTTTTAAGAAGGACAGCACTTTGCAGCCCTGTGCGATTCGGTCGTGCGATAACCTGACCTTTTGAACGTGAGAACACTCTAGATCAGAAGGAGAAACACAAAAACTACCCAATCCATCTGCGAAAATGGATACGTGGGATGTCTCCCCAAGGAAACCTGACTTCCCGGTAGGATTGATGATATCTTCTCGAAGTTGCAGTGGCGGAGCTGATGCTGCTCGGTGCACTTCGCGTGTCACTACCTCGGTTGGGCGTGGCACTGGAGTCTGAGAAGCCAGGAGGCTGGAAAATTCTCCACTGGGCGCCTCGATAGACCGTACGATGACTACCGAATCTTCACTGTGTACTGATGCAGATGGCGTCGGGAGAGATGTTTCCCCTTTTCGACGGCTCTGTCCCTGGGTGTTATTGTCTGCTTGACCCTGCTGCGAGAATCGGGTGATACAGTTAAATGATGCACGATCTAACTAACCTGAGTAAGAGGATTCGGATGGTAGATGCATTGATCAACACATCTCCTTTTGATACACCTTCCACATGCTGGGACAACATGATCACATCTGAGCTTGGACCGTCTACAAGGTTCACACGATCTAGATTTGATAGGGATCTCGAGTGAAAACAAGCCCCGGTTCTCTAGCGACAAGATGCACAATCTTCAAGGCAATCCGGAGGAAAACATCTCACGCATAAGAGAACCCGGACATGATCTCACGGTATCCCTTAAAGTCAGCTAATGCAGGCCGGGAGGAAACGGAACAGGGAGGCATAAAGATGCATACTGCAGTTTCCCATTACGCCTATATTTCAAGGTCAAGGGTCGATTCGAGGGCGTGGCTTGCAGATTTATAATTTGGCCACCAGGTGGCTGCTGCGGAAGACAACTCATCCCTGAAAATGTCTCGGAATTGACTTGAAATCTGGAGACACGGACCCGGGGCCAAGTATCGGAGTTGAGTGTAACTTCAACGGGTTCGGTAGTTTCACTCTTCGCAGATGTTTCCGATATCAATCTATGGGGAAATTATCTCCGCCTATTACTTTGGTAATTAGTAGGCGGATATGTAGAAGAGAGAAGAGATCGGAATTCGTACAAGAGAATGGATGCTTCTCTCGTGAGAGTAATGTACAAAACGGAGTAACGAACTCCGAATCTTTTTGCACGCTCATTGGCGGAGATTCGTCTCTCGGAGTTCGGCATATTTCCTGAAATGGTAGGTCTGTTGGTTGAGCTGAAATATTAGCGTACGCCTTTCGCTCTGACAAGCATTCCTAAATCTTCAACATTCTTCGAACGTAATCATTTCGCTGGAATATTACTTGATTTATATACGTTATATACCTGCATGTACGCCGTTACGTACCTTCGTTACGTACCCATGGCTTGGCTTGCGTGCTCTTATGTTTTATTCGATATCATGTTCATCGATGACGTTTCGTAGGATTCGCAATTGCCAACGTCTGCCTGTTTTGGAACGTTGGATCGTGTTGGTTGGAGATATAGAGCCTCATCTTTGATCTTCCCGTCCTATAAAGTAAAGATCGATTATCTTTGCCTTCTATCTAATCTCTGGTTTCTTTTTTTGGCCTAGTATCCCAGTCGAGGTCTTTTAATGGCCTAATGCCACGATCGTCGGATGGATGTTGTTTGAAAGCGTACCCCGCCACCAACACCTCAAATATGAGGCACAGCAACAACTCTTTGAACATCTACATTAGCATTACTAGGAATCTACCTCTCTGGGTATTCGGATATTCGCTGCGACTTCGTGGCCTAGCTATGACGGCGTCGCGAAAATGGCACTCTGATTCAGAAGGAAATTCCCGGTTTGCATTGATGCTAATATCGAGCAATCCATACCGCCTGCGTGCCGCGAAATACCGAGAAAAAAATGCTAGCGAATCGTTATCATATGAAAATTACTTAGTATAATATGTGGCCGGCGAGGTAAGAAAGCGAGGTTGCGCCTGCTGTGATGGCGATTCGGCTTAGTTAAGGCTCTGTGCCGCAAGCCGGCATGACAGGCCGGGATCTAATCAAGAACCATTGACACGGCCCAGACTCGTGGTCACTATTTTTAGTTGGCACACCTAGGAGCGCAAACCTCGGCGTCGATCGAATGATGTAGGAGACTGGCCTGTGCTATTATGATCGTCAACCTCGTTGACTATGCGCTTCTATTCAAACTTATTCAAGACACCTCGTCTACTACGGGATATGTCTAAACTAACAAGGTGGGTTCGATGGATAGGAAAACGGCAAAGCATAACAGATATGGTAATTTGGAAATAACAGGAGGATATGACATAGTTACCTCAAAACAACAGATGTCAAGTTGGATGTCAAGGGACAGAAGATGAGTGAATGAAAGGTATAAGTATGACCATGGTCTTCGAAACTTCTGCTCAAAACAACAGCAACAACAGCAAGAAAAACAACTCGACAATAAGAACAATTTTGAGAATTACTCACAAAAACTGTCTTAACCTAATAGCTCATTCATTACCCCTGGAATCTTTCATCAAGAGCGCTTCACTTCGATAACACTTGGACGCAATGCATTGTATGAACCCTGGGCATCCATCGGTTATTTGCACCTGCTAACGTGACACAATTGTAGGCCAAACGCTCATTCAAATCGTCTCGGCCTTGGCTCTGACTTCCACCCTCGTTGGGGCTGCTCCATCCAACAACCCATCTCCCCAGCCTAATCATGTAGAGGTTGGTCGGATCAGACAAGCATTCAGAGGCTTGGGAAACATCACAGTCGAATGGGTTGATATTGGAAATGGAGATAGGAAAGCTCATATCGACAAGGTGCAAATAAGCCCGCGAGCACTTACAAATCTCGACCAGCGCTCAATCAATGTGGACCCGTCCAATTTTCTTTCCAAGTACTGGAAGCACGGCGTTAAGAAGACTATCGCGGGGTACAATGGTTGGCAGACCTGCGTCGAGGGTGGCAGTCAAATCGTCCCTCAATTCCTCAAAGACACGCTCCCAAGCGTCTGCGAACACTTTCTCAACGAGATTCCCGGCAAGCAGACTCTTAATGCTGGCTGGGATTTGTACCAGAAATCCGGCATTCGAGTGAACCCTACTAAGAAGAATGATAAGAATGGTGGAGAGCCAGGTATCCTGAACTGGGGGCTGTAAGTGTTCCGAAGCCTATTATGTTAACTCATCTAACTATGAGCCTGTAGTGGTAGGGTGGACTCTTCTGCCGCGACCTTCGATAAGAAACTATGCGATGGGCTGATTGACTCCATCATGGCCCCACAGTGCCTGTGGGATGGCGATACTGCGGGTGTTGTGGCCTCCGCTGCGGGTTGGGCTATGATGGCCGACCCCGATAGGGCCCAGGGCGATTAAATTGCGACAGAGAGAAATAAGACGGGCACATCTTTACCAATTGTTTCATTTCTTTTGTTTTCATCAACTGTATCAATATGTGTCAGTGCTCAGGGCAGCCATAAGAGGCAGGGGAGGAATTTAGGACAATGGGTTCGGGGGGGGGTTTCGGAGTTAGGCATATATCGCAAATACATTCGCTTTTTTCTTCGTCCAAGTAATACTTGCTTTGCTATGATCTCCTCGTTTAGCTAGGATATTTTGTCAGCTTACCGGGTTGAGATCTAATTCCGGGAGGAACAAGTAGGTGTTCACGTAAGCCATCAATCTTACATCGTCCCCTGACAATGTTAAAGGGCGATGTAACACAGTAAGAAAGGGGACCATAATCAGGAAAGTTCTTAGACTTCGGATCATTGAACATTACTATGGCTGTCCTCAACTAACCTGTTCCGATGGGGCAAATCTTCGCTACCAAATTGCGTTGTCACTAGGGTTCTGGGCCATGCAAGTAACGTCAATCATACCGTACCGTCAGAGCATGGTGTGGCATACAATTCGTATAATGAGTGCGACCTAACACGGACTTTACCTAAGCGTGATTAAAAGCTTGGTCTGATGAGTACATACTCGGAAAGCAACCCTCCCGCAATTGCTCCTCCTGCTAGCCAGAACCCGTATCTAAACCACCACCAGCAACTTGCAGAATCTTTGAGCTCGACATTGGCGATCATAGCGCCTAATGATAGTAGAGACCCTCCACCAGCCATCGCATGGAATGGTATTCCCATATTAAGCAAGCTACCACACGTATATAGTAGCGCAACCATACATCCAAGAGACAACCACAGTAACGGCTTCGTGCGATCTCTAAAAAGAACGGCGATGCTCTTTAATCCTACCTTAATATCGTCCTTGACATCCTGATGCGCGTAGATAGTATCGTATATTACTGTCCAGAGGACACTTGCGAGTAACAAGCTCGTAATCGATGGCTCTGCCCAGAAGGTCTGTTTCCACTCGCTTTCTGCACCGAAAGGTCCTCCAGTGAAGGGCTTAAGCCCCATTGCGCAAGATCCCATCATTATACCCCAAGCTAGACAGAACCCGAGTACTATCTGGGCGAAGTTTGTGTGTCGTTTAGCCCAGGGATAGTAGAACGTGCCGATAATATTTGGGGCGGCGTATATGGCACTTCCTTGCGGCATGAGGAGCAGGAAGGAAGCCGCGCCAATGGCTTGGGTTACCGTGAAAATGAAGGCGGCTCGGGGAGAGATAGCGCCGCGAGGGATAGGTCGCTTACTCGTGCGGGCAATGGATTTGTCGATGGGGGCGTCGATAAGGTCGTTCCAGCCGTGGGCTGCGTTGGAAAAGAAGAAACTTCCGCCAAGCATTATAACACCTGCGTATAGGACTTGTGACACGGGCGATCGTTGGATAATAGCAGCAAGCATGATACCGAAGAAGTGAGGGAAATAGATTAGGAAGAGGGCTGCTGGCGGGCTCAGCCGCGTTAGCTGAACATACGGCACCCATGACGCAGGAAGACGCCCGACCCAGCCGCCAGCATGCCCGCCGCCATATTGTTGCGCGAGGGCATTGTTCTGGAAGGAACTTGGAGCCGTCTTCTCGGCCGAGTCGTGAGGTTTTGCGTTTCCGTTACTCGTCTTCTCGTTCATCGTAGGTAGAAAAGACCCAGAGGGTATGGTGAGATAGTTAAGAATAGAGAGGAAGCATTTTTCACCTTTTCCTCCATTTTCCCAAGAAAACGGCCGAACCAGCACTACGAAGCGAAGCTACTTATATTGGCAACCATCCTTACACCTCGTCCTTCGGCGGGAATAGACGCTAGTCGGGATAGTCTGATAGTCCGGTCAAGGGGTGAGGGGGCCATGTATGCAAACACGTGCGCTGAATCCTTTTCACGCCATGTGTGATGATATCTTACTGTTCGTTGGATATGTCCTTTTACGAAGCTTGATCTGTGTCGACTAGCCGATGAGGACGTCTTGTTAACCTCGTCATGCTTTTTCATAGGGCTGGGTCGTACTAAAAGGTAATAGGTAGCCAACGCCTCGGTAACATAGGTACTAATACTCCAATGAGCAAGGACATGCCCCTCTGATCAACTGCAACCTAAGAGCGGAAGGAATCACGATGCACGTTGATGGCAGGACCCGATTGACGGGAATCTAAAAGTCAGCTCCTGAAGATAATCACTAATCAACCCATAAAAACCATTTCGGGCCATCATCTAGCGCGTTCTTAACTATAAACGAACTGGACATTTGGAGATGGACCAATCGGCCCTATCACCATCCTAGCGGGCGAGTGGGACTAATATCCGTCTAGTCGGGCACGTTCTTGAAGTGGCCGAATATTTAATTTGCAAGTGATAGATAACACATTGTGCTGAGAGGCTCTTGGCCTGCAGTGGAGCGATCATGCACTCCTCACAAAATATGAATACCACGGTGTCATTGGGGCGTCACGATTGGGTCGGATCGGTTTCAGCAGATACATTACTGGTGATCAGCTGAGAGCCGCAGGAAGAAACAAATTTTCAGCTTTCGTTATCATCGGAACAAGTTCCTGTAAGATACATTCCATATTTTCGCTGCCTCAACATGTGAGCTATCGGATGCGTGCCGCCTGAAAAAAGAAAAAAGAAATACCAATAATAATGAAGATCAGCGTTAACCCGAAGCCCTCACTAACCCTTTCTAGCTCAAGCGTAGTTTATGCAAACGCCATCTAATTACTAATGACTGTGCCCAGTTTATAGCTACATACTGTCCATTAGTTCCCCTCAGTTATGCTAGGAACATAGCAACTCTTGCTGGAGAAATAATCTGCGGACAGTTGGTGGATAATCTGCCTTGAAAGAACACCCCTGCCGATATTGACAGTAATGATGTAGACCGAACTACCTCGATGAAGGCATATTACTTGTTTCGCGATCCATACCCATGTTGGGCTCATGGACAGGGCGACAAGCCACGCGGACTATGCTTTATGGCTTGATCCTTTCTCGTATTACGGAGTATGACTTACAGCCCGTTCTATACTACCTTTCATATGGATACAAGAAAACCGGGCTTAATCTTAGCCGTTTCGGTAGGTAGACGGCATAGGGGGCTGCTCCGATTCTCTATTGCCTTTAGGGCTGGACTAAGCCCCATGAACACTCATATGCTTTAATATGTAGGACTGGGGTCGTTCGGGAGTCCAAAATTAGTAGATCTCTTCTACATATTAGTACCGGTATTTATATCAGTACACGGACGTTGAGCTGGCATGAGCAGGTAGCTCGAGTGAACGACCTAGGCCCTCCGGCATTATACAAGATAGCCATGGCTCGTGCAGCACTCCAAGTTTTAGCTGGCTTCACGCTTCTTTTTTGTTCAGCATCGGCATCTCAAGACCATGCTGTATGCAATCACATCAAGTCTCAACTCGGTAACGATATCGTATCGCCTACCGAGTCTACATACGAAGCTTTAAGTACCGAGAACTGGTATGATTCACAACACATACAGCTCGAGAAAACTAACTAACCTATTGATAATATAGGTCACAGACCGTCTGGGCAAAACCTTCATGTATTATACAGCCTACGAATGCCGATCAATTATCACACGTTGTCTCCACCGTGGTTGACTGGGGAGTCGAATTTGCAGTCCGTTCTGGTGGCCACTCAGTCGTGCCAGGGGCCGCAAACATTAACGGTGGTGTACTTATCGACTTGGCGAACTTCAACACCGTCGAATATAACGCAGACCAACAAGTTGCCGTTGTCGGCTCCGGGCTCCGGTGGAAAGAAGTGTACACTTCCTTAGACCAGTACAACGTGACAGTTGTTGGAGGCAGAGTTTTGGATGTTGGTGTGGGCGGCCTAACTCTTGGAGGTGGTTTGTCCTACCTCGCCGATCTCTATGGTCTGGTCTGCGACAATGTGGTTAATTACGAGGTAAGAGAAGCCCTAACTAAACCTCGAAGTTCTATGCTAGTGCTGACCTCAGCTGTGATTGTGCAGGTTGTGACTGCGAACGGAACCATCGTGAACGCGAACGCGGAGTCGAATCCTGATTTATTCTGGGCTCTCAAGGGCGGAGCTAATAACTTCGGTGAGATATACCTAAAGTAGTATTAAACTGTGATGGAAATAGTTGTTTCTAACATGTGAACAGGTGTCGTTACCAAGTTTACACTAAAGACTTACGATATTCATGATGCATGGGGTGGCGTCAGAGTGTACTCGCTCGACGCCCTACCAGCATTGTTCGAAGCCTTATACCAATACCAATCCGTTGCGAACAAGGATCCCTACGCGAATATCATGCTCCAAGCCTTCCCGACCAATGCGAGCATCGGTGCCATATTGAACATTGTATACCTAAAGCCCGAACAAGAGCCTGAAGCGTTTGCCCCTTTTCGGAATATTACACCCCTAGCCGACCTGACCAAGCTCCAAACATTGACGGAGTTGATGCTTGCGGCTCCTGTCCCTGAGCTGACTCGGTAAGTCAGCAGACTATTCTGTCCCCCAAATAGTTCTTAGACTAATCTAATTTTGTAGTGTCAACTGGTTCAGCGCCAGCTTCACCAACGACAAAGAAGTGTTCGACAAGGTCGCCGATCTCGTATCCAAATCCCCTGAGTTAGACGACCTCACGAACTTAACAGCGGGATCCTTAGCATTCGGCTGGCAACCAATATCTAGCAGTGCCGTTCTCGCAGGCCAAGCTCATGGTGGAAATACCCTTGGCCTCCAACCCGTCAACCAAACATGGCTTGTGTTAGACGTCGGTTGGTGGTCTCCCGACGATGATGAGCTAGCACACAACTATACGTCAAGCATCATTAATAAGGTCAACGATGTCACTAAGAGCAAGGGCCACTATCTCGACTACATATTCATGAACGACGCTGCTGCCGACCAACCCGTAATTGAGCATTACGGGGCGAAGAGTGTAGCGAAACTGAAGAAGACGGCGAAGAAGTATGACCCTGACGGGGTATTCCAGGACCTAGCTTCGGGGGGTTTCAAATTGCCATGATATTAGGGCTGTTTTCCTCGATTGCTCTTTAGAGCACTTTTCTTCTGTAAATATTTGAGATACCCTCTGAACCGACGTCGACTCAACCTTTTATTTGTAAGACGTGTCAGTGATCATATACATATTTGTTCACCAACTACCCAGATAGTACCAAAATAGGCTATCATGAATAGAAAACATGCCAAAGTTTGGAGGTATCGAGTATCGTCCTAGTCCGTGCGCAATAACCCCCGGGAGGCCTAGCGGTCATGGCAGCCGTTACTAGTCCACTACACTAGGTGAAATGAGCCGACGAACCACGCTACTCATGGTAGAGCGGATTCCCAAAACACATCTAGTCATCCAGACTTGCGTGTCGATATCGACATAGAGCTGACTGTGAGTCGGCTTTTTCGAGCCACGCAGGTCGCGTGCTGGAGACTTCACAAGCTGAAAAGTAAACTGTAGAGAATAGAGAAATAGGTGTATAGTCGAAAAGTGTGACGAACAAGGGCCGGATAACTGCCTATGGAAAAAACAAGGACGATCAGTCCTATCCAGCTAGCCCCCCCTAGACTAGCTGATTCTAGTTCAGCCCTAGCGTATAATACTATTGTAGATGGCCTGCGATGTAACACAGTTTGGATCCTCCAAGGAAATACCCCTTGTCTAGTGCTGGACGCCTTGGAACTTGACTTGCTTGGATTATAGTGGTGGTATCGTATGTTTTGGGGGAGAAATTTCGAAAGGACTTCGTCCACAGCCGGTGCCTCGGCGACTAGAACCCCTGTTATGATGGAATTAAAGTCGAAAACTGATAGTACCGAGCCGCTAGGCAAGACGGATCCGTATACGTATACAGTGCTTCACGCCCTGGTGGTTACAAAGAGATACGGAAACGCGAGTGAAAAGCAGCAGACCAACTTAATTACAGCGTTGCAGTATAGCTGCGACATACCTGCGTCTCGTGCAAGAAAAAGGAAATTCAGGAGCAGCTGAAAAGCATTTGAACCCAACTGAACGAGCACACCAGCTTGTGGAGTATTGGCAGACCGCAGCGAGACAAAATAACGCCATTATTAATGTCCCCAACCCCTAGCCCTGAGATCACATATTAGTCAGGGTGAATCAAAGCGGGATATCATTACGACAGAATCTGAAAGGAGAAAATATCAGCCGGGAAGAGAGACCATGTCTGGGGATCCGTATCTTGGACGCGTAATCACGGCGTAAGTGTAGCCCGTCCTGCCAGTCCCTATTGCTATGGCGCCAGCCACGGGCGTTTTGGGCGTTTTTTGAGGTGCAATCACGAGTGCTAAAGATGACGATCTTCGTTCGCCCCGCTGCAGCTTCGAAGGTGGCATAACCACGCGGGTCATCACCCATCCGTCTCATCCTGATCGCATCTTCGCATACGAAGTGACTTTTCTCCTACAGCACCCACGCGTTGTCGCTGTCGCAGCGCAGAAACCGCCATTACACTTTCATCCTCACCAGGATGAATACCTTCAAGTGCTTGAAGGACGCCTTGCTGTTGAGATCGAAGGGAAAGAGCGTGTGCTAGTTCCCGAAGATGGAGAAGTGAAATTTCCTCCATGGACAAACCATAGGTTGTATTCGCCGGTTTCTGGAGGTGCAGATGATGACCTAAAGGTGACGAAGTTTTTGCTTTCGGCGGAGAGTACACCCGAGTTATTCAGGCTCGACACGGTCTTTTTCGAAAATTGGTATGCATATCAAGATCAGATCGTCGTGAAGGGCGATAAGATCGATTTAATACAGGTTATGAGTGTAAGTTCTCCTTCCTCCCGGTTCGGATTTTCAGACTTCTAATCGATGCATCTGCAGACATTTGACGCGGGCGGTTCCTATCTTTCGCTTCCACCTTGGATACCATTTAGTAAAACATCAGCAAGAGCATTGGGAATTGTGGTAGGTAGATGGTTGGGAGGCATCTTGGGATATCAACCGTTCTATCGGAAGTGGACGACAGATTGGCAATCGGCGTGTCACAAAATGGAAATGTCTGTATTCCAGAGACGATTTGCAGATCGATCTAAGGTAGATTGAACAAGCTTTTTGTTATATAGATTGAGTAATTGCCGTGCCGCAAAGCGACATTTATTTATGTTGATTCGCTGTATATACGACGTACAATTACTGTTCCTGTCCGTGAATGAAACGTCGGATCCGTAGATATGGAATTGAGCCGCCAAATGTTTCATTAAATCCAAGCATGAGATCTTCCAATGCAACTCCAAATATTCACTCTTAGTCATGTCAATTAAATGTTCTCCGCCAACGCAGTATTTTCTTTCGAGATCTTTGCCCACTCGGCGCTCTTGACCCACACCTTCTGTTGCTCGTCCTCGTCCAAGCTATCTGGGGAACTCGACTCTCTCTTGAGCTGATTGAGATAACCACGCTCTCCTGGATATGCCTTATTCATGGCGACGTCTATGACGTCGACAGCTGCCTCATCTGTTGTACGGAGGGATGGGTCTCTTAGGCGAAGGAGCGGTCGCAAAGGTTGAAGAGCAAATTTTTGAACGAGACGAACGAATAGAGGTGTGTTTGTGCGTAGAGCACGCGAATCGGTCATGTTCCCAGGATCAATCACAATAGCGGTGATCTTGTTCAAACCTTCATTCTATGAGGCGTGTCAGTTACATCTACACGACTTTGGTGGGATGATGTGAATAAGTCGCTTACCTTCTCTAGGTATCTGTTCAATGCGTACCCCCACATAAGAATGGCTAGTTTGGAATTGGCGTATCTGTTGAAGCCGCGCCCTAGCTTGTCGGCATCTGGGCTAGCCTTCAACATTGAATCTATATCATCCGGAATCCCGGGAGGGTACTTCTCTAGACCATTGCGGCCGGGATAGTGTCCATCGCTAGTGAAGAGTAGGACACGGCCACCCTCGGGTCCGAAGCTTCCTAGGAGTCGGAGAACTAGGGCGACGTGTGAAATATGATTCACCTGGATAGTCGTCTCAACTCCCTCGGAGTTGAACTCGGGATCGCGAGTCAGGTTCCAATAAAACGCATTGCAAACGATCCCTGCGAGAGGTGGTAGCTTCTTCTCTGAAATCTCTCTAGATACTGTGTCGGCGAAGTCATGAACGGCCGTGAGCTTTGCTAGATCAAGTTGACGGATGGATGTTTGTGCTTTTGGAAAGTCAGCGATTGTCTCACGAAGCCTCTTGGTGTTAGTGTCCGTATCTTCCGCATTACGGACAGTTAAAACTGCAGTATGATCTGGGTATTTGGATAGTAGATATTGTACAGCGGGGATGGCAAGAGAGCCATTTGCTCCTGTAATAAGGATCGTGCCCGTCATAACGTAGAGTTTACGTATCAATATGCAAGACAAGCTCAGTAGTATTCGAGGCGGATGCCACTGGAGTTGCTATATTAGTGAGTTTAGAAGCACCTAGTGGCCAGCGCAAGCCTCGTGAGTGCGGCAAGCCCTCCATTTTGTAGCTTCAATACCTAGACAGGCCCTGGCATTAGAAATCTACGGGTACCGAAGTAGCCAGGGGTAGATTAAGCAATAAAGAGTAAGTAGGCTCGTTGCTTCACGGCTGAACAAAGAGCTAGTGGAAAACCCTTACCGGATAGGCCTAGTTTAGGACGTATTATAGGGCATGATGATAAATACAGAATACCTGGGTACATTCTAAAGCCACATTCTCGATGTAGAGCGCTTCTTTTCGCTATTTGCCGGCGCCATAACAAGCCATTTCAGGACGCCCGGTACACTCTGTGCCGCTGTACGGGATATTTTTACAAGAAGCTAAGATGATTAGTCTATCTAAGTGGCTTTTCTATGTAACGCTATAATGTTGAGAGTATAAAATCTAGAAGAAAGGACAGTAAACTAACCCTTGCATATTGTTTATTCATACTGTGAGATTAGACAGCATGCACCTACCCTAGTATAGATAGGCGTTCATCTATGCTTAACTAATACAAGTATCAGCTATCCGTCTCGTGTAAATAGAGTTAGCTTGAGTACCTAATTTACCTTAGCTCAGTATTGTCGAATCTAGAGTATACGATAACCTGCTTAGGTGTTTATAAGAGTACTGCGCATATATAGCATGAGTATAGGAATTATTATTATGATCAGGGTTGGGGAAATGCTAAATCTAGTCGTTCATTTCGGCCTTTAGAATAAGTCCGAGAATGGGATGTTGGTTTCGACAAGATGTGTAAGCGAGGGTATCGCGGGGACCGGTTGCGTGTAGTTAATTATCTAACATGCCAAGCCGAGAGGAAGGGGAACAAAATATGTTCAAGAGAGCAATCTCTATTACACTTGAGGCTTAACTTATAGTGTAACCTGTACTGTTAACATTAATATCGGCTGACTTACATACACCCTTGATATAATCTAGTGAGTAGATGATTGCCTAACCCTATGTGTATATCAGGTTAATAGTTACTGGCTAGATTCGACAGAGAACCTAGAGTTTCGAGCCCCCCTTGAATCGATTTCTATTTATTACTTTATGTAAACCGTAGTTGATATGAATAATTTAATAGAAATGACTTATCATTGTTAGTCGGTATTGGGGTGTACATATAATAGGGAGCTAGGACCTCGAACCTCGAACCCTGAAAAGAAAGGATCAATTGACATGAAGACCCCTGAATTCATGATGACGTCAATTTAGTCGACTGGTTACACTTATCATGATATCAGTCCTATACATTTATGTATACATACCCAACGTGGATGTATCGTGACGTAGACATTGGAAAGAAGATGAAATGGATTAGAATTGAAATATTAAATTGTAAAGTCACGAGAAAGACGGTGACGGGACGAATTGATGCCGATAGTGAAGTGGATTTCTTAAGTGACGTTGAACTTTAATGTCAACTAAGTTTACTTTTTCGCGTGTTCTATTTAGTAGCCTAATCCAAAAGCGGTATGAGATTGGATTACTGGAACTGAGTACTTTCTTGTTTACAAAAAGTAGATAGAAAGGAACATTAAAGAAATACATACGTACGTCACAATTGATGATGAAGTTTGAAGGTAGCAGTTAAGACCATTCTTGGTGATGATAATTGTTATTATTATACCGGTATTATTATAGCTATTAGGTACATATCTAATAATAGACATCATAGTCTTTTAGCCGAGTCAATGGAACACACGCGCGATTGACATGTTCATGCGGCAAACCGAATGTTTGCGTACTGAGGTACTTGGGTACTTGTTGGAAATATACTTTCACAGGTCGTTTAGCGCCCGTTGTAAACCGCCCTAAACCAAAATAACAACCAGACCTGGGCAACTGCGTCACACAACCCTCGTCACCTGGGCACCAAAGCAACTGCACGCCCTACGTATGGACCAATGATACCTTCCTCAGCGGCACGAATGTAAAGACTTAATTTATGTACATATGTATTTAACGAATTAAACGTTCATACACCGACAAAATCCCTGGAACCTTGTCTCTACCTGCCCTGCTACCCCAGTGAACATCATACCTGCCCTCCGCGTGTAAATCTAGTGGTACATCCACGCATACCTTCTCCTCTTTGTGCTGTATTGTACTTGTCGCATTGTATTATTGTACATGTCTTTTGCGCTTGCCCTACACCACAATTACTTGTACATACCTTCCTAACATTTGATTTTACAACAACCTTGACAACCTTGGCTACTGCTACCGTACTGCTGTACTACATGTACTACATAGTTTTGGAGTTGCTGGTATTCTCCTTCCAACATTAAACCATTAAACATTAGGGAACATAGGAATCATCAAAAATCAATTCCCCATCATCAATTTTCATCACCCATCCCATCCATCCCTCCATCCATCCATCTCCGCAACTGTCGTCGCCCACCTTCTTCCACTTCTTTATTTTGCGACAACCCATCTGTATTCCCTCTTTTTTTTTCTTTCGCGGGGGAAGGAAAGCGACAGCCGGTCACTGCGCTCGTTTCTTTTTTTATTGTCATTCTAGTTTTCGCGTCTCTTTTAACAAGGGTATCGTACGTACATCCTACTACTTACTACGAAAACTGACCGACCGACCGACTTTGTTCTTACCCCTCGATCCACTCTACCACTTCTAGTTGAACCCCCGTCGACCCTGTTGAATCCTGCGAAACCGATATATCGTCATCCTTCCAACCTCTACCTACCCTCTCCACCACCGACTACCTATCCAACCCATCTGCCTCACTTATTTCCTCGGCCAGCACGAATGGACAATAAAGTCTTTGCTGGTCGTGCTAATACACCTACTACACGGCCTCCCGCCCCTTCTCTCGATGTCATAGCCGCTCGTAACTCCGCTACAGCTGCTGCTGCCGCTTCTGCCGCTGCCCAGAGTAGTACCAGTAACAACAATATCAACGTTGCTTCGGGCACAAATAACAATAACGCACAGCCTATAAACATGGCGGAAGAATCGAGGGACTCCAGGTCTTCCTCGTCGACAAACTCCCCCGTTCCGGCGGACAATGAAGAATCCGACTTCTTTCATGTCGCAAATGATTCGCAATCTTCCTTAGGAGTCGTACCCAACCTGCAAGAGATGCAAGTCTCCGATTCGGAATGCCAACCCACCGTCGCCGCCCTTCCGAGCGAGATCCTTATCAGCATCTTTTCTCGCATAAACAATCCGAGCGAGCTCCTAAATTGTATGTTGACCTGCAAGAGATGGGCTCGCAACGTAGTCGAAATACTTTGGCATCGTCCCACATGTACCTCGTGGCCGAAGCATTCGTCTATATGTAACACACTAGGCCTTGAGAGACCGTATTTTACATATACCGATTTCGTCAAGCGCCTTAACCTTGCCGCTTTAGCGGATAGAGTGAACGATGGCAGTGTCACTCCACTCGCTGTCTGCACTCGTGTCGAGCGCCTCACCCTAACGAACTGCCGGGAGCTCACCGATCGAGGATTAATGCCCCTAGTGGCGAGCAACCACCATCTCCTGGCGCTGGATCTATCCGGCGATATCGGTATCACGGAGCACTCTATTTTCGCCATTGCCGAGAACTGTCGCAAGCTTCAAGGCTTGAACGTGTCGAACTGTAAGCAGATATCGGACGAGAGTATGGTCAAGCTTGCCCAGAATTGTAGATTCATCAAGAGAGTTCGTTTCCCCTTTTCACTCCCCCCCGCTAGCTTCCCAGATATATTTCCTATGTATTTCTTATTCTTCATTCTAAACGAGCATTACCTGTTTGCTAACCCATGGCCAACAGCTCAAATTAAACGATTGCGAGCAGCTTCATGATAGTGCCATCCTGGCCTTCGCTAATAACTGCCCCAATCTTCTTGAGATCGACCTTCACCAATGTGCGAATATTGGCAACGATCCCGTTACTGCACTACTTGCTAAAGGACAATCTCTTCGAGAGTTGCGCCTAGCGAATTGCGATCTCATCGATGACAGCGCATTCCTCTCTTTACCCCCTAGCAGGGCTTACGAACACCTCCGAATCCTTGACTTAACCTCGTGTACCCGATTGACGGACCGCGCCGTTGAAAAAATTATCGATGTTGCTCCGCGATTACGAAACTTGGTCCTGGCCAAGTGTAGCAATATCACCGACGCTGCTGTCTACGCCATATCCCGTCTTGGCAAGAATTTACACTATGTACATTTGGGACATTGTAGGCACATCACGGACGAGGCAGTCAAGCGCTTAGTGCGTGACTGTAGCCGCATTCGTTATATCGACCTTGGCTGTTGCGTCCACCTAACAGACGAGTCCGTGGTACAATTAGCAAGACTTCCGAAGCTCAAGCGCATTGGATTAGTCAAGTGTAGCAACATCACGGACGACAGCATGTATGCACTAGCTGGCGCGAACCGTCACGCCCAATCTCGCCGTAATGCAGCGGGGGGTACGTCTAGGAGACACGAGTACCATACCGGCAGTTTAGAGCGAGTCCATCTCAGCTACTGCACAAACCTGACTCTTCCGGTAGGGCTTGATTAACCCCGCAGATATTATTGGTCAATGCTAATATAACTACAGAGTATTATCAAGTTGCTGAATTGTTGCCCGAAGCTTACCCACCTAAGTTTGACGGGCGTCCCCGCTTTCCTGCGAGATGATTTGGAGGCCTTCTGTCGCGAAGCTCCGACGGGTATGTGTTTTGTTTTCCTCCCGATCACACCGTATACTAAAGTTATCTTCAGATTTTACCGAGCATCAACGTGCTGTATTTTGCGTCTTCTCCGGTCAAGGGGTTATGGGTCTTCGGAACTATTTAAACATCCAACCCGAGTTCGAAGAATATCGAAACCTATATGCTGGGCAACGAAGACCAACCTTCCCAATAAATCAAGATGGAGCCCAGGGCCAGGCCCAAGGGATTACTCCGGTGCCGGCCCCCGATATTGATGGTTTTGACGACGCCGACGGAGTCGAGGATGACGATATGGGCGATGGTAGCGAAATTGCCCTAGATCCAGGTGCTTTCGGCGATAACCAAAACCTAACGAACGGAGCGAACATGACGATCCCTCCTCCGCCTCCCCCACCCCATACTAATATGATTTTTCAACTTTCACCTCCACTCCCGCTACACCTAGCTTCTTCTACTGTCGCCAATACTCTACCAGCAACTCAAGCAGGTCATAGCGCTGGGGTCCCCATGGGTAGCACCCCCGGCCCGAGTACTGCTGGCCAAGGACTATTCGCGAGCCAAGGGTTGGCCGGTCCTAGTACGGCATCCATGCAAGGCCAGGTTGACGAAGACGACACAAACAACGGGCGATAAATCATACCTGTTTTGTTCTTCGCACTGGCCAGAAGCTATACATCTATATAAATGCGCTCGCCCAAATCTGCATGACTGCCGTCAAACTGCATCACCTCAAAAACAAAACCTGGGCTAAGTCGACATCACGTACTTTGTTCCTATCAAGTTAAATCATGCCTAGTGGTATAGTACATGCAGAACGTCGGACTTTCTTGGCGGACGACTTTGTTTTTGCCCTTACACAACTATTGACTCGGTTATATGAGTTGATTTGAAATTGTCGCAAAACCCTTTCGCGGTAAAGAGCGACTACTTATGTGGAAGGGACGCGTTTAGTTATGACCCTGGATTGTTAGTAGTCCCGAGTTGAAATCAAACGGCAATCATGATTCGGAGGGTTAAGTGTTATACTTCTTCACCTCTTGTATGCGTATGATTACGCATTACGCACCCGACACGAACGTATTGGAGATCCCATAGGGCAACAATTTACGAAGTGTACGAGGGTGGCGTCCAAGAAATGGACATTGTCTTGTTGGAATCACGAAAGATACCATGTTGAGTTACTGCTGGCGACGGTGTGGTTACGGCCAACCGATTTAGCCATGCAACGAGTTACTTGCTCTCCTTGCTTTAGCAGTTTGCGATGAATTAGAGATTTGCTAAGTGCTCTAGCTGGCAGGGCCATCATCCTAGCAGATAGCTGCTTAATGAATAGAAATTGTTTACCAAACGTTGATTTGTGTTACTTTAATATTTCAATCAGATTTGCTATGCGAATACCATGTTGACTACGTAGATATACATGGATCTTCATGAGAGGTAAGCATAGGGATTAGAGTGGATCGTAGCACCCTCCGGGGATTCCACCGACTGAAGTGGGTAATCAGCCGACAGAGTTCCGGATTGACATCATGGTGTATCCAGGTATGACGGGAAAGACGGAAAGTGCGAAGCAATTTACTTGGTTGTCTGGATGGAGTTTCCGCGAAAGGATTACGGCGGATGGCGGCTTATCGTCCTCGGGACCGAGCAACGATAAGATCCACATTAACGGCGGCATTCGGACCCGAATCCCTTATCTATAAAGCTATCAATTTATCGATAAACTCGGCTTATAAGTATGAGCCCGGTATCTTTCTCGGTGCGCTCCAAAATCTAGATCTTTCTTCTAGGCAGCAATAGATTACCGGTTACACGAATTCGGACACTGGAAAACTTATGGATCTCCGCTCCGTCTGGCCATACCTTCCGCTGGACTAATCAAGGAGTGCAAACTAAAAGTGTACGAATTCAAGCTGAAAGTCATAGCTAAAATTATTCCTTGATATGGATGGTACTATTAACCCCCTTTCAGTTAAGGATTCGTCGTCGATGGAATGATGGGTCATACGTAAACTTGACTCATCTCTTGGGGGGCTGTCATTTTTCGGACAATCCACAATGTCCATTAGCCCGTGGGCCTTTAGTGCCATGGACTATATAAAGGGCTATGGATCGCCTCTATTTTGACAATTTCGATGTAGTTCATCAAGCAAGTATATCAAACACTTCAATCTACACATTATTTTGCACAGCTAGTTTTTAAAATCTTACTATCACTTACCAGAACCACTCATCCATAATGTCTACAACCACCAACCACCCCAAAATCGCAATCATAGGCGCGGGCCCCGTAGGCCTAACCCTCGCCGCGATACTTCACCACAATAACATCCCCAGCGCTATTTTCGAGCGTGAATCCAGCGCCACGGCCCGATCGCAAGGTGGCATGCTAGATATCCACGCCGATGCGGGGCAGCTTGCCCTTATCGCCGCCGGGCTTCTCCCCACATTCAAAAAATTCGCCCGTGTGGAAGCCGAAGCCCAACGGCTTATTAACTTCGACGGGACTGTAGTCCTAGATGAAAACGAAGAGCTCAAGAATGAGCAGGGCGACATTGAGGGTCGTGGAAGGCCTGAGATTGATCGTCGGGATTTAAAGGATTTACTTATCGCGGCGTTGCCAAAAGATACGGTGCGCTGGGGTAAGGGTGTCAAGGGTGTGGTTCCTGTTGAGGGGACGCAGAAGTGGAAGTTGGATTTCCTCGACGCTGGTAAAGAAGAGGATACTGAGGCTGGCCCGTATGATCTTGTTCTCGGCGCGGATGGTGCGTGGTCGCGCGTTAGACCGCAACTTACGGGTGTGCGACCGTATTACTCGGGTGTTATCGCGCTTGATCTGTGGATTACGGCGGAGGAGCTGAAGAAGAGACCGGATGTCTCAGCGTTTATTGGACGGGGTTCGTGCATGGTTTTCGGCGAGGGAAGATTTTTGCCTCTGCAGGTTCATGGTGACGGGAGTGCAAGGGTCTACAATTGTGTGAAAACTGGAAAGGGAGGTGTGGATGAGAAAGTACCAAGCGCGAGGGAGATGCTTGGGCTTGAAGGGGAAGGAGAGGTCGATTGGTCTGATGCGAAAATGAGGGAGAGATTTGTCGAAAGGCACTTTAGCGACTTTGCGAAAGAGATTCGTGATGTGTCTCTTGCTATGACGGACCAGCCGCTCCTAAGGCCGTATTTTATGCTCCCCGTCGGCCACCGGTGGGAGAATCGACCCGGTCTCACGTTACTCGGAGATGCGGCGCATTTAATGACGCCGTTTGCAGGAGTGGGTGTGAATGTTGGGATGGTAGATGCGAAGGAACTTGCCGAGGGCATTATCGCGTATGTCAAGGGAGAGGTTGATGGCTTGGATAAGGTGTTGAAGACGTATGAGGAACGCATGTTCGAGCGTGCGAAGGAGAATGCGGAGTTGACATCGAGGATGATGGAGGTTGAGTTCGGGAAAGACGGGTGCGCGAAGGTGGCACAGGTCATGAGCGGTGAATGGGCTCCTTGAATAGGGAGGGTTCGAAAGGACTCGTGTTGGGTTGTGGTTAGTCTGTTGAATGTTGAATTGGAACAGACTCGGGGTAAGGCATGGATGATTGATTCGGTATTATGGGCATTTCCACTCTTGCATTACGGAAGGAGTTTAACATAGCACTAGCTAGTAAGTTAGATAAGTAAGTAGGTAGTACAGTATCATTTCCGCTCATAAATAATAATAATCGTTAAAGAATCACTTTCCTCTCCCCGGCCGTTAGCAAGATTGGAAATAGGGGTCTTCGAAGTTGAAAGTCATCCACAACTACCAAGTATACATATGAATTTGTAGATGCATTGTCATGAAGAGTACCTGTATATCATCCCACGAACTTCTCTCGAGGCCAGATGCTATTTTAGAACGAGTTATTCGTTATTCGGCTGCTGAACTGAAGGGGCTCGTCTCCTTGGTGTCATGGTGACCATGCCATCTAGGTAACTCTTGAAATGGACAATTTATTAGATAGAAATTATAACCTCGATGAGAACGAGACGGATTATCAATTTCAGGGGAACCATGCATAACGGCTACTACACTGACACGTGGATGCCAGATCTATATTCAATATTCAGGGCTGTCTACCGAGGTAAACATGCAAGGTACTATTTGGGGGTCAGTGTTTAAGCACTCAGCCGTTCCAAGTTGAAATCCGCCAACCAGAAGTCAATAGGCAGTCGAGAAGAACATTAGCTCAGTTTCGGCAGTTATCTTATACGATAAAAAGTCTACCCCATGGGGGAAATGGCTATGGCATTTTGACCCCGGGCCGTAACTCCGGCACGGACTGTGTTGCTAAGAGTTATAGCCTCCTCGAAAAGCTCGTGATAGCAAGTAAGGAAGTTTGATTTGTGGAAAAAACAATTCATATTGGGGTCCCCGGATTCTGACCCCCACCTTCAAGATGTATATATAAGTGTTAGTTTCTAGTTGTCTTCTACGGGCTGAGTTTTCTTATTCTGGGGTAACTGCCCAAGTAGCAAGTAAGGAACACGTCGAGAAGCGTCCCTAACCAATTAAAATAACAACCATCAAATGCGACTCACGAATGCTTAAATCTCGCAACAATTTTCGAATACCTCCTTACCGAGACGATAGACGAACGTGTTGAACCGTGAAGAGTGACCTTTGATGATATTAGGCATTGTTAAACGATTGGAAGTTAGGTGCACACGTGGTACACAGAAGGGATGGAATGTAATATGATATACCACGATGGAATCCTACCGAATGTGGATTGCAAGGCCGGATAAGCATGCTTCAGCTGGGCAAACGCAACAAACAATTGCGACACCTATCCCTTACCGCGGTGAAAGATGTTGACCTGACCGAACATTCCTTGTTTAGAGTCCCAAGTCGTCGACGCCTCAAATCTCTGCTCGAACCCTCGCGGCATTCTATTGTTTACAGAAAGTAGGCAATCAACGGCTCGATATATGGCCATAAAGACCTGGTTGCGGCATTTAATTCCATGATGATAATAGGAATGACACATGAATTGTCTCTAGGTAATCGCCTAGATTCTCAGCTCGTGTCACCGATCGATCAATCGGGCTCTCGTCGCCGGGGTATTAGCTCCGCATTATCAACGATATTTTACTTAAGCGAAGAAAGCGATAGATAACCTAGGTAGCGAAGAGGGGCACACGATGCGAAAAGAAATTGCGTGGAGAATCCGGAGATCGCGACATTTGGGGATAATGGAGCACGGAGAAGAGGGTCAAAGCAACTTGCCCATGGGGACGATGGTTTCACAACTAACAAAGAAGAGATTCTTGCAATTCGCCGAGTAGACGACAAATGGGGCTACTATCCCCCAGGACTGGTAGCGCCGACGCAGTGGTTCGCTCCAGCATTGACGAAAGACTGCTAAGTGGAGCGTTGTTAGTCTTCTGGAGATTGAGAATTCTGGAGACTGGAGAGTCTGGAGTCTGGAGTCTGGATTCTGGACTGTTATTAGTGGGAATGGGTACGACGCCACGTGAAAATTCTTTCTGGAGATTGAAAAAACAATGGCGATTGGTCGCTTGTAAGTCTCATTCCAGCTCCTCCATTTTTTTCTCCCTTTTTTCACATCGGCTAGGTCTAGACTTGGGACCGGTAGACGGGTTTTCTGAATTCGGGTCGCAAAGGTTACAGATACCACATGCTACATACCTAGGTAGTAGTAGTAGTAATGTTGGAACATGGCTCGCTTTCGCTCAGTAACACGTGTGTCGCTTATTTTGGTTACCTAGATACATATCTCCAACATTGTTCAATCCTGAATTAAAAGACTATTCCAAATTCGAAGTTGATATGTCATAATTTTCGATCTGTTTAGATCTTGATGTAATATGTTGACTTGTAGCATTATTTTGAAAGTAAGCATACGACATCGAACATCTGTAGCCAGATTAGTTCGCATTGGCATGTAATAGTTTACATAGGAGACGAATGACAATTGAGCTATTACTACAAGATCAAACTAAACTAGCCCGTTGATTTCATTGATACTAAAAGGAGATGTCATGTTCGAGCCTCCCGTCGATCTTCTATTATCACATCGTCTCTTAATTCGGTTAGATCAGAGATGCGATCTGGAACTAAAGGGACCGATGTTCTAGAAGGGTGAACGTTTGTCCTATTTGACAAGTAGGTTGGAATGATGTCGGTATTGTTCCGCAGCGTCATGAATGCCAAAGCTGGGATAGGCGCAAGCAATGATCGATTAATGCTCTATATCGGAAGCTTCTTAGCTGAACGCCACTCCCGCTAATGGGATTGTCCCCAAGGAGCCTATTACAACTACAGCTAGACGATGATGCGTAGCGCGTAGTGTAAGTGCGCGTAGTATAGAGTCGTAACGCATAAGGGTTATAATATACAGCAACTGTTTCGACGCACGCATAATCATCTAAGGCAATCTAAAAGTTCCTAATATTAGAATTGTGACCTGTGATATCTAGGTCAGTGTGCGTGGATACAGTGCTACAATTTTAGGAAAAAGGAAGAAAAGAAAAGAAAAGAAAAAAGGGAACGCCTTGCAAGGGCACTAAGAACGAATAGGATTAGTTCGTTCCGCACGATAGAGAAGAAAAAAGAGCGACATGGGCATCTAATCCGTGAAGGGTAAGGATTTGCGCACCAACGATGACTAGGGGGAGCGGAAAATTCCAGACAAGTGATTTTATGGTCTGCCTGCTTGATTCTAGTTACGTGGTATTTGATCTCGTAACGCCATTGCGCATACGTACCTAATCTATTACCCATAGATAGTACATCTTCGGATGGTCTTCGACAGAAAGATACATATTCTACCTAATTCGGGCATCGTTAGCGCACAGGTCTTATAACATCTCTCATACGATCTATCAGATTTGCCTATCTATCATGTTGTATTAGATATTATGGTGATCTGTGCCTTACAGGGATTAACTCGAAAATAAGAACTTGATTACGAGACAGCTTTTACGCTATGCTCACCGAGCATCAAGTTTCAACACAACCATTTTCTCAATCTAATTAGGTAATATGAAGCTAGGATATTTCTTGCCATATCGTATTAGGGGATAGCGTCGGGGCTCGCCGTGTAGACTTGTAGTTCTCAAGATCCAGTCACGTGTTGGAAATCGTCGCCAGAGAAAAGATAATAGGAGAGTTGGATCATGACTTTATTAAGTGGAAAAGGAGGGGACCCCCCGGGGGTTGTGGAGATGAGTAATGGGGCGTAAGGGGGGTGCGTGGTAGCAAATCATAACAGAAGATGTGGGACAAAATGTGGACAAATCTAATTAATTCTCCAATAAGAGATTTTCTTTCAAAATCGTTAAGGAACTTTTTTTTGAGGAGTGGAGTCTATCTTAGGATTGGGAAATTCCCTGTTAGTAATATACTAATTTCACCGAGTTGGGGACGACAACAGTCCCATGACAAACTCAACTAAATCCTTATGTATGTACTTCATTGTTGCAGCTGCTGTAAGTTTGACAGCTAAGCTTGTTCATATTGACGTATGACTTATTCATATTACAGCAACAGGAACAACAAACTATGATCAAACAAGTAGTCAGCTGGGCGAAGGCCAAGATCTCGAAGTCTTACTTCACCATGAACAGATAGAAGCGGCAAGACTTAACTAGGGTCAGATGTTATTTTATCAACTCTAAGACGAAAGAAGATTAGAAGGAATAAAGGAAGAAAACAATCGCAGAAACTGGAAAACGATGGGGTGAAGATGGGGAAATGGCGCAGCGCACATGCTAACCACCACGATATAGTCGAGCTAGGTAAGATTAAGAATAATGCCTTCTATCCGGTACCAAGCTAGCTCAGTTTCCCCGCATGGCCTGAGAGTATAGACGAGACGAAAATGAAGGCATCGTCGTCATAATTCACGGATATTTGCCCAACTCTAACCGGAACCGGTCTAATTTTCCCCTTCTCCTCTTCCCCTCATTTTTTCCCCTCTCGGCGACTGCTGGCTGAGTCCAACAATGTTAGAATATAGCTATCTCATGTAGGTGGCGGCCAACGGCTTAGACAAGTACCCGAACCAGGTCGGGTACAACACATTAGCTTGGACTTCACACCGCTTAAGGCAAGTGAGACAAATATTCATTGTACTCGGGTGGTGAATGGTACCATATACAGCCTCAGACCTAAAAAGGTACCTACCTACTACCTTTTATTTTACTGCAGTCAGACGCTTAGTTGCTGAGGAAGTATGTTTGTAAGTAAGACATATCTAATCGGGTCCTTACATTAATATTTTGTACTACCATACTTCGCTGTATGCTGGGGCGCGAAAAGCCTATCATAAGAAGAATGCCGAAGCAGAGCCAAACGTTCTTCCTGGGAGATAATAAGGTACGGCGACGCAACCTACCTAGGTATTCTCAAATTCTTTTAAATAGTTCTCACTCGGACACGTCGGGCTTTCTATGTCTGGGGAATATGGGGAAGAACAAAGGAATACTTACCTGTATACTTCTATTTATCTAGGTAGGTACCCTTGCTTCACCTGATGATTGATTGCTCGCTCATGAGAAAAGCCTGCCATTCACCAAACAACAATTTCTTCCCATCAAGAGACCTATCGAAACCTCACACCTTTATTGCTACATATCATCCCGCCTATCGCTAGCCGCATCCGTCGATGCAAACACCCCTGCCGCTCTATAGGCGACTCCATCCACACTTCAATCATTGTTTCCCGCCAAGATGCTCACTAGTGGAGTTCATCATGGCAATTCGGCCGCTTAGTATCTTTGCCACGGGTTCCCTGGCAGGTTTTTTTTCACGAGAAGGGACGTTAGACCATGTCTGGTACCGGCGCGCCGAATCATCCCAAGCCTGGCTACCAAGTCCGTGCCTAGCACCCTTTCTCTGTCGCCATCCTAGTTCATGGATAATCCTAGTACGCAACGGATTCGTCCACATGGTGGATCACCCTGTTCCATGGGGTCCCCGTCTGGGGTTATTCGCGCGAAGCTCTAGTGCAAGTGTAGGCGAATTGAGATTGGGATTGGGATCATCCTCCCAGTTTGCAAGCAATCGCGCACACACATGCTTCCATGGCGCTCCTTTCGCGCCGTTAGTATAAGTTTCGGCCGAAGCCCATGTTACACTCCCATCTTGTCTCTTGTTCCTTTGTCCGCTCTTCTCGAGTCGAGGTTTCGCTTCCTAGGTATAATCACAAGACGCCGGAGCTGAATACCTCTTCCCTCGTTCCTTGGCCGTGGCCTCAAATTCTTCAATTCTTTTCATCGTAGTCCATCCCACCATCTGCTACTCTTCACACCGAGAAACCATGTCTGAAAAGCCTACAACTGACTTGTAAGTGCTCTTTCTGTCTGAGCCTATTGAGCAATTCGCAAGTGTCTAACTCATCCACTATAGTATCGAGCCTAAGGGCGTCGAAGGCACTTACCTTGAGAATGGTGTCGATGCTACTGAGCATGTTGACCTAAACGCCAATCTTGAAGCGAGGTAAGCATCCACTCCGCCATTTCAAAGGCGCCGAAATCTTCCCATCTCGGAAGACACCGCCCGCCTACACGGCACCGATGCTGTTATGGTGCGACTAACACGTGATCAATCATAGAATCAAGAATCCTCTCAAGGGCATCCCCCGCGAGCAGCTGATGCGCGATGTTGAAGCGTTCGCCCACGAAAAGAACCTAGTCGAGTACATTCCAGTTCTGCGCAAGGGCGCCCTCGTCGCTCAGAACCCCAACGATTTCGAAGACCTAGATGGCGAGGAAGCCCTCGACGAAGTCGAGAAGACAGTCCTTCGCGATGAGATTCTACACCGATGGCGCATGCCGGCGCGTCTATTCTTAACCATTGCAACCTGTTCCATTGGTGCCGCTGTCCAAGGTTGGGATCAGACGGGAAGTAACGGTGCCAACATCTTCTTCCCTGACTACTATGGTATTGGCTCTAAGTCCACCCGGGACCGAATTGTAAGTTCCACTATACCAATGCTTCTCTGTAATGGCCCAACTAACCGTTTGCAAGCTCGTCGGTCTCGTCAACTCTGGTCCCTATATTGGAAGTGCTTTCATTGGTTGCTGGCTTTCGGATCCCATTAACAACTGGCTTGGTCGTCGTGGTGTTATTTTCACCTCTGCTCACTTCTGTCTCTGGCCTGTCATCGGTTCTGCTTTCTGCCACACATGGGAACAACAATTAGCTTGCCGTCTGCTTATGGGTATCGGAATGGGTGTGAAGGCTTCAACTGGTTCGTAGCTCCTTATTCGCGCAAGACGTGAATCCAACCGCTAACATTTACTAGTGCCCATCTACGCTGCCGAAAACGCCCCCGCTTCGATCCGTGGTGCTCTGGTTATGTCCTGGCAAATGTGGACTGCTTTCGGTATCTTCCTCGGAACTGCCATCAACCTTGCTGTCTTCTACCACCCTCTTAACTGGAGATTGATGTTGGGCGCTCCCTTCATCCCGGCCGTCCCTCTATTATGCTTGATCTACCTGTGCCCCGAGTCCCCACGTTGGTTGATGAAGAAGAATCGCTACGCTGAGGCCTGGACGGCGATGAACAAGCTCCGAAACAATCCGATTCAGGTCGCTAGAGATATCTACTACATCCACGCCCAGTTGTCAATTGAGTCGCAAATCATTGGCAGGAGCAACTACATCACTCGTTTCACTCAGCTATTCACCATCCCTCGTGTGCGACGTGCCAACATTGCTGCTTTCACCGTCATGATTGCGCAACAGATGTGCGGTATCAACATCATCGCCTTCTACTCCAGCACTGTCTTCGTCGAGTCCGGATACACCCAGTTCCAAGCCATGTTATGCTCATTCGGTTTCGGTCTAGTCAACTGGCTCTTCGCTTTCCCTGCCTTCTGGACCATCGACACTTTCGGACGTCGATCTCTGCTTCTCTTCACCTTCCCTCAGATGATGTGGACCCTGCTCGCAGCCGGTCTTTGCACACTTCTCCCCCTTGGAACAGCGAGAACTGCTCTCGTGGCTCTCTTCGTCTTTCTGTTCGCCGCTTTCTACTCTCCCGGTGAAGGTCCCGTACCTTTCACATACAGTGCTGAGGTCTACCCTCTATCTCACCGTGAGGTCGGTATGGGTTTCGCTGTCGCCACTTGCCTAGGATGGGCCGCTGTTCTCAGTATCACTTTCCCCTTCATCCTCGACAGACTACAAACTGTCGGTGCCTTCGGGCTATATGCTGGTTTCAACTTAGTCGCCGTCATCATGATCTTCTTCTTGGTGCCTGAGACAAAGCAGCGCACCCTCGAGGAACTCGACTACGTCTTTGCTGTGCCCAACCGCAAGTTCGCCAGCTACCAGGTCACCAAGGCTCTTCCCTGGTGGTTCAAGCGCTACGTCTTCTTCCAGCGCAACGCTGTCCTCGAGCCCCTTTACCGCCGCGACGACGACGAGACCTCGCACCCCATCCGTGCGAGCAAGTCGTAAATACATGCGCGAATTGGAATTAAATAAACGGGAAAAGGTGTTGGCTGGTTGGCTCTGGGGGTACAGGCGGTGGCAGGGATGGTTTTACGTGCTCGGGTCAAGAGCGAGACCGGGTTACACGATCATTTAGATATAAATTCTGCGAATACCCAAACTTTTCATATTCTAGATTATTATAGGGATTTCCCGTATACAAATCTATCGTTTAACAAATATCTTCAGTCTTCCTCTGTGCAATTTCGCCTGTGAAACATGAGTTTCTAGAATGCTTCGTCGACATTTTAACCTTACATGACTCCTAAAAAGGGTAAATCCTACACTTACTACGTTTGGATGGCCCCTACTCGGCCATTGGCTGGAGGGTCTATACCCGTAGACGGAAATAAACCACGCGATTGACCCCTCGACCCCAGAGTCGGGACTTAGCCTGGCACGATACCCCCCCTGCCAGCTAACCAAAACAACTGCCTAATTGTTCCACAATTCTGTTGGTGATGGATTGCAAGCACAAAAGCTATTCCCGATGAAGTCATATTAGGATTCTACCACAAGCCTCCGCGAAATGAGCATGGAATGACTCGGGGTTCCCCTTTTATTCTCATTATACCCTAGCTAGGAGGATTGAGTCTATACTAGCGCGAATGATAGTCCATTTGATGATCTTAGGGGAGATTTGATGGAAAGAAAAGACAAGGAAATCTCAAGAGTGCAGACGTGAGCAATGTTTAGAGTAGCCAACGTAATAAAAGTAGCATGATAATCTATGTATACCGTAAGTGAGTGGAATTCATACCCAGATCTTCTACTTATGTTTTCCTTCAATGTTTTCTTCGCTATCCTCGTCACTATTTTCACCGTCCTCCCCATGCTCCTCATGGTCCTCATTCTCGCTCCCATTGCTATCATCGTTACTGTCACTTCCATCTTCCTTACCATTATCGTGGTTTCCCTTGTTGCTATCCCCCTCCTCGACACTTCCATCTACGTCTTGCACTGCTGCCGGCTCTACTGATCCTATTATTTGCCTTATCTCTTCTTTCGTGACTTTATCTGTATCCCTAGGGTTATCCAGTCGTTCATTCCTTAATTTCCGAGACTTTTGATCCATCTCCGCCCGCGTCAGCTGCCTCTGAACCAGGCCCCGACGTCTATTTCTAGGCCCGCGGATAATCTTCGTCTTATGCGTAGCTTTTCGCCCTGACGGCATACCTGGATATAGGAGGGGACTAATGAAACCCTCCCAAAGTAAATGTTTGTTGCGGCTGTAATGGTCTTAAAAATTCTTTCTTAGTTGTTCACAAGGTTTTATAGAAATAACTAATAATAACAATAGTCGGTAAGGTGGGAGACTGATAAGTTCACCGACCCCGGCAAGGTCACAGGTTTCCTGGGCAGTGGCCAAAGAAATTCTCGAATAAATGGAATCTAGGTCTTTTCGATACCTATTCACAACGGCGGGCAATATTTCTAAAAAGAGGAACCGGATGAATCTATTCGCAATGGGTATGATGACATATATTCCATAAGGAGTCCCCCGGTATTTATACTATCCCAACGATTACCAAATATAGGAATCTCGTTTTGAGTTTTGCGACGAGAATTCGATGATAAGTTGTCTTATGAGTTGGCCTATTGCGTCGTGTCTACTTTGCTTCTTAGAAGCCCAATGGCAAGCGATAAGTCAAGGTGGCGTGGCGGCCAGCTACCCTGGGATTGTTAATCCCACGATCACCTGGCGAGAAGGCTTTCTAACAATGTTTTAAAATATTTAAAAAAATATAATGGCGCTATATCGTCCATTCAGTTTCATTTTCCGTCTCATAGCCTCTTCTCCCAGCGAAATAAATAGTCTTACGCTTGGTGGCCATGTTTCAGAGCTAAACATGAAGACAACTCCTCCATGTTCATAAATGATATTTGTAAGATATCTTGGGAGATACGAGGGCTTCGGCTATTCTTTCATAACCATCGAGCAGGTACCTAGATAGTCTAGCAAGGTCGGTGATGGAAATAGAAACTAGATTAGTTTATTTTGATTAATTTGAACTTCTTATTTATCCAGGTATATAACGCAGGCAGAGGCTTTTACAATTTGAAAAATCTCCATGAAAATATTACAATATACATAACATACCATATCTGAGGATTAATCCGATCGTCGCCCCTCGACTCATCTTCCATTAGACTTGTCTCGTTGCAAGGAAATAAGTAGTCTACTCCTATTGTCTTGGCACTTCGCCCCTCACAAATATTATCGGTCCCGACGCGATTCGAAGCATCTTCAAGAAGTGCGGTGAGTCCGACATTATTTATAATTTTAGATGTGTTGGCTCTATACTATACGCGTTTGCGAATCCTTCTCCTAAAAGAGTATCCTCATATTATGTGAACACATCCAATCGCACAAGTTTTACCTACGTAGTCGGGGCGCGCTGAGATTTGCTGACACAGGTCCAACATCAAAATGAATATGCGCGGGTGTTACTGTGACACTCGCAGCGCTCCCGCCTTACCCCGTTCGCTTTAACTGGCCGATCTAAAAGCTGTGTTGCTTAGTAAGGTAATTAACATCCTATTGCAATTTTATCCGTCAATTTACCAAACAGAATGTTACGAGGTTTTCGTACGTTGTTTGGCGCGCCTTTTGGGTGTATTTGGAGAATCTCACGCCCCTATACGGAGTCGAACAAGCCAATATTATATGGAGGAACGAGCCCAATTCCCGGTGGTTACCCATAGAACTTAATGTTGCCATTCACTGTTAGAAATTGCAACATATGAATCATACAAGATAACTAGGTTAAAATTCGAAAGTGATAGGTTAGACTCAACGAAAACTTTGTGTCGTAACTGTGGTTAAGCCAAGACTTACGTGAGTGAGCAACGCCATCGTTATAGGCGTTGATCAACGTTTTTCATTGGCTTCTCACGTAATACCATATGTTATATAAGGAAAGTGGGTTTCACCCCTATTCGTCACGAGTAAGTTGTTGGTTATAGACATCTGGTGAATAATATCATGATACGGGTCGTATTGCGTGGAAGAAAAAAAACTTCCTGAAAGATCGTCGCGGCTGTCAGATCGGTCAAATTGCCAGCGCAGCCATGTGGTGTCGGCGTCTTCGCGGTTCATGACAAATGTGCGATGAATGCGTTGTTGGTAAGATTATTTAGCGACTCTATTGCCAGTTGCTCCACAATCGAACTGCGGCTGGTACGATGGTGGATATCCTGGCGACGAAAAGTAAGCAACTCACTTGCGCCCAGGACGACCTACCCATAGATTGAAATTTTTGTAGTATTGGCAGCATCGGATATGTTCCATCTCAGTATACCGAACGATGATCAGAGAGAAGTCGGGACAGCGATATTGGCGAGGAGGATCACATATGATAGATGTTGGAAAATTTCGATATCGTTTTTGGTAAACCAAGAAGCGATCTAGGGTGTTGCGTTGTGTATAAATGATGGCAAGATGCCGCGCATTTGGATGGGAATTTCAACACAGCATCACAAAGCATTCGTCTCTTAACAGTTTTTCGCACAATAATCTCAACGATAACTCCTCGCAAGAATACCTCTCGGTAAACTTACATCATTTCGTCAAAATGCAGTTCAGCCTCAGTTCAGTCCTTGTCGCCTTCGCGGTCGTCTCATCCGTAGTCGCTACTCCCACCGGTGGAGATGAGGCGAGCTCAGCCCCTCAGAAGCGTGCTCAGAATGGAGTAAGTACCGATAAATGCCACTGTGTAAGAAGACTCATGAGACTAACGTATATATCTGTAGGTATGCAACGGCACCTCGTGCAAATTGCAATTTGTGAACTACGCCTGCACCAGAGGAACTGTTAGTGAATATCCCTTTTCAGAAGAAGGGCCTGGGAACTAACTTGAGAATTTCTTTAGTGTGTTGGCGACGGTGCCGGTGACGGCGCTTGGTGCACCGTTGAGGAAGGCGGAGCGGCGAACTGCCCACACTGTGGAGATGCTAGCCTTTGCGCCAACCCTTGAATGTCAACTTGAAGAATGCACCCGGTGGTGATTCATCGAGATTACAAGGTACTATTATCTGGGGTTCGGTTGGAATATTGGGGTATATATACAGATCGTGGGGTTGGTTGTGGTGTGTGGGTTAAAGGTGTCGGGATGGTTGAATCGGGGATGGTTGATAGATGTCACTCGTTTTTCAAAATAAAAGTAAATTAGGTACCTTGGTACCGGGTACCTAACATTACATCATTCTTTTTTATCTATTCCATCTATCACCACGTGCTAAAATACATGATTTTAAGAAGTGCGTAAGTTAAGGTTTAAAAGATGGTGGTGTGTGCTTTATGAAGAGGGGCATATATGTCGGTGAGATCGTGCACTTTTTTATGCCAAGTGGACGAATCTTATGCTTGCATAATGCCTCGTGGCGGTAGGGTAGCGCGGTCAATCGGTGGATCGGATCGTGAGTCTCGGACGCCTTTAAGCCACAATTTATTTTATTAATTCGGCTTCCGCGGTAGCGAACCAAAGCCTCGGATTCGTTTCATACAAATCCAATCATTAGTCCTAACCATAAATCTGCAGCGCCAAGCCCTGCAAAGCCGCAATTATATCGATGCCGGATATCCGAATCAATTAGTCCTGTGCCGATTATCCAGCTCGTATCCACTCATGGTCCGATCATGTCGTGTAACTTGAGTCAATTCTTTATGGGCAAGTTCGACACAAGTTCGCTACGAATGGCTACAAATGTATTCTTTGAGTTTCGTTTGTCGCGCTAGCATCATGTAGGACCACTTAATCTATCAAAGTCAGGAGGGAACCAGGGGGCTGTGTATGCCCACGTCAGGCAAGCGCCACACAGTGACAAACAGGTGGGACAGGACCTCACCAACATGAGGCAGCCGCAATCATATATGTATCACAAGGACGTTCCTTATACTTAATTCAAAAACCTTCATTCATAACCGCCTCGCCTTCTTTCTTTCTTAGACCAAAACATTAAACCTTTCTAATCTTGACCAAACCCAAGCGAAGTGACTAAACATTTAGACATCAATCAAGATGGATCCACGTTTCGCCAACCGAGAATACGGAGACGAAAGACAATACGGGGGAGAAGCTAACTCCTATTACCGAGACCAGAATAACCCTCAGGGTTCTTACTCCGGTGGTGGGGAGCGACAGCAAGGTTGCGGTCAGGAATACGGCCAAGGCTACAACCAAGGTTATGGTCAGCCCAACAACCCGCAATACGGAAACAACTACGGGCCTCCCTCTGGTGAGCGATACGGTGAAAACCGCCAGTACAACCAGAATGATGGTCCCTATCAATCCGGCCCGAACCAAGGTCCCAACCAAGGCCCAGGCGGTGAGGACGGGGATCGCGGTTTGATGGGCGGTCTTGCTGGCGCCGCAGTCGGAGCCTACGGTGGACACAAGATGGGTCACGGTATCATCGGCGGTCTAGCCGGAGCATTCGCCGGTCACAAGCTAGAAGACTACGTGCATGATCGCAAGGACAAGAAAGAGGAAGAGGAGAGATATGAGCACCAACACTCTGGACCGCCCCCGGGCTACTCATCCGGACACCACCATGAACATCATCACCACTCCGAGCACCGAGACCGATCGCTCGGCGGGGACTACGCCGGCAACTTTTCCTCGTCGTCGTATGATATTCATCTCGAGGGAGACTACGACCTCCGCGCCACCTGTAAGGACCGAGATGGAGAGGGTCGCGTAAGCATTTTGAACCTCGACAATGTTCTTAGCAACGAAGACGGTCGTTTCCGCTGGTCTAGAGGCAACAGCGGTCCTAACACTATCACCGTGCAGCAAGGTGACACCTTGAGGGACATTGCCCGACGATTCAACTGCAGCTACGAGGACATCGCGAGGAGGAACGACATCCCCAACGCCGACATGATCTACCCAGGACAGGTCCTCCAGGTTCCTGGTCAGTCATCCGGAGGGTTCAGTGCTTCGGCCCGAGACATTCGCCTAATTGACGGCGGTCGGGTTTTGGAGGCCGAGTTGAGGGACATTCGTGGAGATTGGCACCGAAGCCGTATTGAGCTGGACGAGCGCATCGGAAATGATGGTGGAAATCTGCGATTCGTTTAAGTGAAAGAGTGGGAGGAAGATTTGGCTCGGAAACGAGCAATAAAACTTACATAGCCAGCGCTGATTTACACCCTTGATAGCTATAGCTATATCCGGTACCTACCTAGGTAGAATGAAGATTATGTTTCTGATTTAATTCGTCGGCTTTTCGCATCCCAAGATCCCTTAAGTTAAGTAACTAGGTAGACACTCTCTATAATCGATCGCGAATAATATCTTCTCATTTGCTCGTTCGTTAAATTCCCGTTAGTGGACAACGCAGGGGTGTGTCTACCGAATCACTTGACTCGGTCGGAAAAGGGCTACGATGTCGTCGCGTTCGGTCTAGGTACACCTACCTACGTCAGTACTACCTTAGATCTCGGCTTAGTAATATTTCCTAGTATGCCTAGGCACTTTAGAATATGTAGCATCGCCTTCAACCTTATTTAAATATAGCTTTATTGGCCCTTATTGGATCGCAGTGGTCCAATCGGGAGGCTGAGGAAGGTGCATAACGAGGTATGAATGTGGAATATTGAAAACATGAAAAGCTATGCCGTCTCCAATCTCTCGGGATCGGCCAATGATCAAAGCAAGGTATCATTTTGAAGATCAGAGAGCTCAAAGATTGGTCCGCGGCGTTGCGGTGTGAAAAGGTAATTCTAGGGTACTGTGGCAGAGGAGGTATATTGGGCATAAAAAAGCCCACCCTTGCGCCTTGGGCTGAGATGCACTGCGATCTATGCAAGGCTCTTTCATGTCCAATTTGTCAAATGGATTGTATCTAAGTGCTTGCCTTCCTACCTGGAGCCTCGGCCACCATTCTGCCTTTTAGGGGGGATAATGATCTGTATTAGGGTGCAGTCCGAGCCGCTGCAGGCTGCCGCACTTGGTACGCCTGTGAACTTTGAGAGACCTCAGGCTTCTTTTCTTTCAACTCCGCCTTCACATACTTTTTTAATATGCGAATTACTCTAGTAATCCATGTTGCCTTGTACCTAGGCATAATAAAGTTGACGTTGAGCCTTACCTAGGCGAGTTCTGATTTGATGCCTTACCATGTGCTAATGATGGGCTACCTGTCTGCCTATAGGTTGGCGACCTCAAGGCAACGTAATACGTAGGTAGGCTATCAAGGCGGAGCAAAGCGTAGCTATAGCCGAATAAATGAGCTATGTGTGTAACATATTGGCTGTTATACTAGCTAGTAAATCCATGGGCGGATTCCTGATACGTGTATTTACACCGAAATCATCATGTACAGTACCTTGGACAATACCAGAAGACAATCCCTTGGGCTTGCTTCAACATACCCGAGTCAGCCTTGGTGTGCGGAGGGTACTTCAGGCTAATGCCCTCGGAAGTATATGTCGGATGGGTTATCTCACTGTGCTTTGGAATATCGGAGGTGAGATGAACGTAGTTAAATACCTAGGTAGAGTTTCCAGGCTGTTTACCTCTCTTAGGCGATAATTCAAAAATTCCCAAGACACAATGGAGGCTTTCGAGGCGATAATGTCATTGGGTGACAGGGAAAATTGGTGAGTTATTCAACATCCTGCGAGTTTCGAACGCGCGTACTAAGATGATAGTTGCCCACCTACCATCATCCCGGACCCGCACGGGACCTGGAAAGATAGCGGCTTAAGCGAAATAGTTGAACACAACGCTACCGACGCTTCCGTGGATGAGGAGATACTGCGGCCAAACCTAAGGGCTCAATCTGGCGCCACTGGTCTTCGAGAGATCGAGTCATTGTTTGAGTCTCTGCTCTCTAGTGAACCAGCGCGTTCAGAAAGGCAGTCTAGAACACATCCTAAGTTCCCTGGTGTGACTGAGATTCCAACGACATCCTAATTCGCGGGACTGCTTGGAGAGTTGGAAAAAGTTTTGGACAAAGGTTCATCTAAGGGGACACCTAAGCGGGGGGCGCATAGAGAATGGGAAGCACTTCATTTTGCGGCGCAGAAGGGTAATGCTGCTCTATGTAAAGCGTTTATAGAAAGGGGAGCTTTGGTTGACTCGCGGGAAGACGATAACTGGACCCCGTTGATTTTGGCTGCCCAAAACGGCCATCTCGAGGTGTGCCGTATCCTTCTTGATGCCGGGGCGAATCCCAACGCATCTGGAGATAGTCAGCGCACCCCGTTATTACAAGCCGTTCAAGGAAAACATATCGAGGTCGTCAAGCTTTTGCTATCCAGAGGAGCGGACGTGTCCCAGCCAACCAAAAGGTGTACTCTAGTAATGGCTGTGGTAGGTATCAAGCCAGATTCCGACGAGGGCGATAAGCAAATTTCCTTGGAAATCGCGAAGCTTCTCATTGATGCTGGTGCAGATATCAATGAAAAGGATGTGGATGAAGATACTCCTCTCAAGATGGCATGTGGCGCGGGTTTTTTGACTATGGCTGAGTTTCTGCTCACCAACGGCGCTGATCCGAATACGAGGGATTCAAACCATAGGACATGCCTTCACATAACTTCTTTTCGAACGAATCCGGATATTATAAAGCTGCTGACGAGATATGGAGCTGATGTTAACGCCGTAGGGGATACAATGTGGACATCGCTTCATTTCGTAACTCAACTTGACAAGGAACGCACCTTCGAGACCGTACAGACCCTCATTCAAGCCGGAGCTGACGTCAATATCTCAGGAGCACATGAAGCTACACCGCTCTATCCAGCGGTCCAGGCAAATGGATACGATGTAGTCGAGCTCCTCCTCAATGAAGGCGCACATCCCGATACAACCACGATCCAAGGAGTAACGCCCCTCGTTGTGGCTATAAGGGGATCTAACCTTGACGTCGTCAATCTACTCCTAGCGCATAAAGCAAGAACAGACATACTGGATGAAAATGGGTTTAACATTGTTCATTCTGCTGCGATGCAGGACAGCGTCGAAGTATTGAAGAGAGTTCTTGAGACAGGGGCCGACAAGGATCTGATCAGTACCGATGAACGCAATTTACGACCAATTCATTTGGCTTCCCAGAATAAGAACGACGAAATTTCCATGACGCTTTTGGAATACGGAGCGAAGGTTTAGGAACTTTTTTTTCTTTCCAAATAGACAGCTTGCGTTTGGCGTGATAGATACTAGAAGCCCTACCGTTGTGAAATTCAAGTCTTTTTCTACCCCATTTATCAGTGTCCGAGCATCAAACGTAGAAAAGCTAATGGCTTACCTGGAAACATTTTCTGCTGGGTTGGACAGGCAGCGGCCCTATATCATTTTGACGTGTCTACCGACGCTCTATTCTGGGCGGAAGTCTCCTACAGCATTCGCAACTTGGTTCTATTATCTTTTTCTACTGGGGCAGCTGTCCTCCTATGAATAATGAAATGCGGGTCAATGTGGCCACTGTAATCGTCAAATGGGACTCTGAGATTTGCGAAGAAAACAAAACTATGTATTTTCCCCAATTTCTTTTTGTTCTTTACTTAAAACCTTTCAAATGCCACCAGAACTACCCAGGTACCCATATGGTTAGAGGAAAGAGTCGTATCTAGCTACCTAGGCATTGACGGTGGATAGACAGGGTCTATCGCAATCTATCGCGTATGGCCAATACAGTACCTAGGTAGTAAATGGATGCGGGTGTACGCTGTCACGTTCATGTAGAAGTCTGAGGACTCCCAGCTGACAATATTTCCAACAATTGATCACTAGTGTTTAGTTAACAAGTCGATTACCGCAGCGTGATTTCTTTTCCTGGCTCTCTCGAGTGGTGTTTCCTGATTAGTACCACCACGTATAGTTACGTCAGCGCCACGTTGGAGTAAGTAACGGACCACATCGGCGAAGCCACCTCCAGCCGCTCCGTAAAGAGCAGTACGGTTGGCGACGTCTATCGCATTCATATTGGCTGTTATCTCGTCCGTTCTCATAGACAGGAGCTCCACGACGGTTTCGGCCTTACCAGCCCAGGCGGCCCAGTGCAGAGGCGTCTGTTTATCTTTATCTTGGGTATTGGGGTCTACTCCCTTTTCTATCAGGAAACGAGTCATGGCAGCGTCTCCCGAGTAAGCAAAAATGTGTAAGGCTGTTTCTGAGCGACGCCCTTTGAGCGAAGGAGTGATGCCGAGCTGGATCAGTTTACGAGTCGCATTCGAAAATCCACGCCTCGCCATTTCAATAATAGCTTTCGACGCGACTGGGGTGGGGATGGCATACTCCTTCATGTTATGTGTAAAGAAGCTAAATGCAAGCTCAAATTCTTCGGTAGCGTGAGCCTCAAGTTGTTTTCGAAGCTCGTCGAGTTTGAATTTAATTGACATGCCGGAGGCCTCTTTTTGTACTTGCTGCCTTTGTCTGGTGTTGGATTCTCTATAATATATGTTAGTCGTATGGAACAAAAGTACGCCTTGTAGTACAAACTCAATTTGTGATAGGCTCACACAAAGCTGTTCACTTCTGAGCCACGCAGCAACAGCGCTGGGTAGAAATCCTGATTTATTCTTGCGGAGGGAATAATGCGAAAGTGCTTTTTCAAATGGCCAATTGGCTTCTTGTAGAGTGAGGCGAACGATCTCTTCGTGCTCCGCAGGAAGAGCTGCAATAGCATGAAAAGCTGTGCCTCCCGCTAAATGTCCCTCCTGCTCATCCATAAATCCGCTGCAGAGGTTGTCATGGCATACGGAGATGTGCTGATGACAGTATTTATACGCAAGGGACATGATGATGGTAATTTCGCTAGGGCTGAATTTGACCCGTTCCTTTGCCATAAGTGGTAAGTATCTCGAAACGAAATGCGTTACGACTGTAGATGCCAAATTGGGGTCAGTGTCTTTAATCATGATTCTCCAGAAACTTTCACTCTTCCAGCTTGAAGGAGGTGCCGAAATCTCCAAGTTTAAGGGTCAAACTATTACGTATCTCAAAATCCGATTCTTTTGTCTTGATATTCCCTTGTTTTCTTATGGCAATAAGAACTAGAGCATGTGCAAGTCAATAAAAATTTCCCGTCCGCTTAGCTTTGAATCAGGATGAGCTCATCTCAATGCTTACTATTCCCAGGTTTGATATCGCGATGTATAATTGGGGGCCAAGGCTTTTCAAATCTCGAGTATTCGTAGACAAGCCCGTCTTGCCGAAATACTTTGAGTCCATAGTGACACCTAGTTAAAGCTGAGGCAAGGCCTTCAAGGATATGCCAAGAAAATGCATCAGGCGAACCGCCCCTATAAGGTCGTCTTAGCGATTTCTTCCTTTATCCCAAATTCCAAGGAGTCATTCCAAACTAAGTGCCTTACCCAAAAAAAGGACGAAGATGCAGAGCGCATTTTTGCAGGTCGCCGCACTGGCAGTATTCGGTGTAGATATGCATTTTCGTGCTGCTTAATTCATGGTGAACATACGCCAAAATATGCGGGTGGTCAAGATCCATGTAACTTCTTAATTCCTTATCCGTGTCTCCGATGTGTTTCTCCCGAGCAGCCTTCGATGTGAAGTTATGGAATTTTATGACTTTCTTCGCATATTGCTGTACTAGTCGTGAGCGAGTCTTCATGATTTCATACATATAAATTTGGGAGGACGAACGCCTTGGCACAATTCACATTCAACCATAAATACATCCCCATATGCTCCGCTACCTAGTAAATCCTCGGACTTAGTACTCGCTTTGAACTGGTGTGGTTGGCAGCGACCTTTATGACGGTAGAAAACAACAACCCCAGACAGGTCTTCGGTCGTTTTGTCGGAATCATGTTGAACTTCTAATTGTGATACCCCTTTAAGTTCCTTAGGCATCTTCGCAGTTTGCTATGTGCTTCGATTGAAACCCGCCAGATTCAAATTCAATCTTGCCATTATGTTCCATAGGTCGCACTAACATTCAGGCCAGAAAGAAAGAGGCAGCACCCAGAAATCTAGCGAAGGTTTTGGCAATCCCTTAAAAGTCGTAGCCACTGAGCCACCTAATGCTCAATAAGTCGGGTACTAAGCTGATGGTAACTGCCCCGGTTAGATTCAGCCCAGGTAAGGCCTCCAGGCTTCAACGACCCCGGACAATGAGCCTTGCCAACATGGCACCAATAAAACCAACGGTATCCACAATATATTCCGCAGTCACTTGTCATACCACAATACTCTGGTTACCTTTTTGCCCTTTTGGTCTTGGGCTAGTCCTATTTCGCAATCAAGACGAATGATTTTAAGCCTTAAGATGTTAGTATTTAAAACATCAAACTAACCCAAGAGCAGGCAGGTTGCTTGTCTCAATATGAGCTGAAAAGCCGTGAAGTTAAACATTCTGCCCGGCTATCGACAATGGCGGAGCTCGGCCTAGCAGTAGTATCTCTCACATTTCAGGTGTTTGCGGGCTGTATTAAAGGTATGTGAAGTTGCCCTAACGTATCTGAGGTAGAACTTGAATAATCGGTTGGTGTATCTCAGGGTATCAGCTGCTTTCCGAGGCTTCCGATCTCCCGAGGGAATATGAATACATGAGAGTGCGACTCAAAACAGAACAGTTTCGTCTCCTTGACTGGGCACATATCGTCAAGATCTCAGAGGATGACGATAATCTCTCGGCTGGGACGGCCGAAAGGGGAGTGTTCCTGGAAGTTCTTCAGCAACAGCAAAAACTCCTGTTCCGATTTGCTCAATACGGGGAACGTCTAGAACCACTCGCAACACCAACAGCTCCAGAACCAAAATTGCAAGCTAGCAGCGCTGACGCGACTTCGCATCACGTCCGTTTTCCGCAATCAAAAGATCTTCTACAGAAGGCGCTGTTGTATATACATACAACACGTAACCTCCCTGGGCGACTTCGTTGGGTAGTACACGATAAGGCTAAAATTGACACACTCCTCGGCAAACTTGCCGATTTGAATAACTTCCTCACGGAATTCCTCAACAAGAACCAGGTGGGGAAATTCCTCGAGCTTCAGGTATGTTGAGCAGTAGGATTGTCCTCACTAGAGTACGAAGACTCATAACTTACACGAGAACAGGCCAGGACAAATTATGGGATAATGCAGCTTAACTCCAACGTGGGTCAGCTATTGAACATATTCCAAGCAACACGCTCGCAGATGTCACCAGAGTCGGCAAGAACACGTCGTATTGACGACCATGCGACTACTCGGCCAACAGGTCTCAATGTCGGGGAACGTCCAAAGACAGCGCCAGTTCCGTACGACGACCTAGCGTCTTTAGCCAAGATCAAGGCCCTTAATCTCGCCATCGAAGAAAGCAACCTGACAGACCCGCTCGCCAAAAGATTTAGGGCTAAAAACAGCCAGAGAAATTACATCAGCCGAGTTGAACGTAGCAGACTTGATATTCCTGGATGATAACCCACAACCACAATGCGTACTTGAAAATCCAAGAACAGAGGCTATTCATCACCGCAATTAATCAATTGCAGGCGACAAACATGTCTGGATTGAATGGAGACGGTTTCCTGGCGATGAGAACGGCTGGCCTCATCTCCACCAGTACCGAACAGGCTGTAACCAACAAGGAGCAACAAACACTACCCTTGATAGTGATGGCAGGATGAACGCTCGCCCAACCGCACTTGTTGCCATGTTACGCCCTCGTGACAATGCGGAATTATTCCATGCGTCGCCGTGCTTGGGTTATTTCTGTAGCTATACACCTGCTGTTGCAATGTCACGAGCTGTGATTGAGGTCGACGAAAGAGAACTCTGTTCCGGTCTTGTCTTTGAGAAACCACACGGCTGTGATCCTAGCGTGCGTCTGGCATCATTGTTAAAACTACTCCGGCGCCGTTCACCACTGGTTCCCAGTCTAACGCAACGCGTAAAGCTGGCACTTGCCGTGGTCGAGAGTGTTGAGCGCTTGCACGCGGTTAATTGGCTTCACAAAGGCTTGCGCAGCTATAACATCTTGTTCTTCGCTGGCGACAACAGGACTAGCAAGAGAGATGCCCATGATCATAAATTCGACTTGACGCAGCCCATTGTTTCTGGGTTTGATTACTCACGGCCAACGAAAAAGCAGCAGTGGACGGAGAAGGCGAAAAAAATCCAGCCCACGATATGTACCGCCGCCCAAAGGTGCAATCGGAGTACGTATCGGCCGAAGTAACAGGAACGGCAGCTGAAGTCGAGCTAAGCTTTAAGAAAACCTATGACTACTACAGCCTCGGTGTCATACTATTCGAGATCGCACGTTGGCAGTCCATCGATACGATCCTAAACGTAGATCTCGAATCGGCACAAATAAAGCACACCATCACGGTGCGCCGACGGCTGCTGCATGAAGAGCTGCGGAGTGTACGGGGATGCATGGATGATGTTATGCACGACGTTATCGAGACGTGTTTGACCGGTCCGACGGCGTTTGGGCTTGATGATACTAATGACGAGGTAGATCCAGAGGTCGCGGCGCAGTTGCAGCGTGAATTTTATTTTAGGGTCGTGGAGAAGATTAAAGGGATTTGTGTTTGACGAAAAGTCAACATTTCGGATGGCAGCCGGTGTTTGTTGAACCAGATGAGAAGTTTTGCGTCTATAAGTTGAATTGAGCGTCGAAGATGTATTTTCTAGAATTCAAGGTACCCAAATATCTCCAGGTAAATTTCAAATCAAGCGGGGATAAAAGGTCACATGATTTTGTACGACACCAGCCTCCAAGTTTATTTCAATTTCCCAAGCAGTTGTGATAGAATCGTACCTTCCAGAAATCCTTTGTGGGAAGGTACTGGCCAGGTATGAGCAACCTTAGAATTTAGAAGTGAAACTCGACGATATCAGTTGGGAGGTACAGCCCACTACAATGTTTCAGGTACTGTGCAAGTATTTAAGAATTTCTCTCAACCTCCTAGCCGTCAATTGAAACCTAAGAAGTACAATATCAATTACGGCTTAAAAGCGAACAAGAAAAAAAAACCAAATAAAAAAATAAGAAAAAGAAAGCAGAAAACACAATTGACCCCTACTTATCACCCTAGTATTCAAAGCCCTGGCGAGGGCTAAGACCAAAATCACGACAGACCCTAAGATGATAGCCTTGGAAGATACCTACCTAGGTACCCTTCGGAAAAGACTGAAACCAATATTTGCCTACCCTATTTATACTATCAACTCTGTTGAAGAGTTGAATGGACGACGTTTGATATTTTAAACAAAATTCTGGCCTCGGACTAGGTATATGTGGTGGGCGTATTTGAATTCGGTGGTAAATTTGTCGTATATGGCTTTGGCATCGATAAAGGAGTAGAATGGGGGGACCACTACTGGGGAACGCCGGGAGATACGTGAAGAAAATCGGCTCGTCGGCATCTCAGTCAAGATTAGGGACTTGTTAATAGGATTAGGTCGATGGCTAATGGAATGGGTTGACTATTGTAGTGGCTGCAGATACCAATATTCGCAAATCCAGCGCCGCCACAAAAGGGCATAATGGTTCTACGTGTAAGTAAGATCTAGTCGGAGGGCTCGATTGATTTGATTCATTTCGCTACCAGATATTTATATACATAGGTAGCCCAGTATATACTCGTTTATATCACAGGGTTGTTATAACCTATCTAACTCGCTAACCATCCCAACAATGCATCGTGGAACATATCAGGCTCCTGAATCTGCGGCGCGTGTCCTAAATTAGGGAATTCTATCAAATCCGCATTTGGTATCGCAGCGGCAGCTTGCTTCCCTAACACATCATAATGGCCTAGTTTAGCCTGGACGTCCGGTGGGCTCCATTGTTTGCCTAGAGCCGTGGTGTCCTTATCACCTATGATCAGAAGGGTTTTCGGTTTCAATATGCCAAACTCATAAACCACCGGTGCGCTCAGGGCCATGTCAGTGATAAGAGCTTGGTCAAAGGCAAACGTGGACGCTTCACTGCCTTTGTAGATGTTAACCAGCATGTTCACCCAAACATCGTACGACTCGTTCCAATGCCCCACGTAATATGTCGATTGCTCGTACGCTCGAATCGTGGTGTAGTTGCTAGCTGCCTCGGAGAGATAGAGATGATCCACGCTCATATACGGCACACCGAGAGCTTTCCAATCTTCCAGCCCTATGGGATTCACCAGAACTAGTTTTTCGACGATTTCGGGGAACATCAAGCCGAAGCGCACAGACGTCATACCCCCCAAAGAATGCCCGACCACAGTCACATTCCCGATGTCCAGGGCTTGCAACAGATTCCTCGTATTATACGACAATTGCTGTAACGTATATTGATACGATTCCGGTTTAGATGACTTGCAAAAGCCAACTTGGTCCGGTAAGATGACTCGGTATCCTATCCCCGCGAGTTTTCTGGCGGTCGCCTCCCACGTGGGCCCGCAGAAATTCTTCCCGTGTAAGCAAATGGCGACCTTGCCGTTCGGCTCAGATGTCGGCGCAATATCCATGAAAGCCATTTCGAGATCTTGATGTTGAGAAGTGAACTTATACAACTGTAATGGCCACGGATATGTGAAATTTGAACCGTTTAGATCACCTGATGAAGGCGCATCGCATATAGTTCCTGATTCTCGTGCTGCTACATGCTGGATGGGCGTGACGTACCCCGCGATGATAGCGGCTACAATAGTGAGGATTTTCATGTTGTCGCGGGCGTCTAATGCTTCAGGAATGCAAACTACAAGCCCTTTGACGCTTTAACACCATATATGAAGATGCTGCTATTGTCGCCGTCATTGAGCTAGACGATATTCTATGATTTTGTTTATAAACGAAGCCAGCGATACGGTGTTTATTGCTGCTAATAGTACGAAAAAAATGAACAACTTTCTCCAAATTCGATAAAATTTACATGGATAATTGGCAAATTCAGTATCAGGCACCGGAAATCCAAAATAACAACTCGCATGAAATCTTCAACCCCTCATTGGATCTAGACGCGGCGGATTCGCGAATATTTGGACATAACGCCGAGCTCAATCTACCTATGTAATTCCTCCACGTTAGGCATGGTTAGATCATCGGAAAATGTGCTTAGTATCGGTATAACGCACCGAGGCGGTCCTAAAATACTTCCTGTTTTAGTAGGTGAGTAAGTGTTTAGATATCTATCACCATCTTTGACTCAGCTCCGTCACAGCTAGGTTGACACTGCGTGGAGAAATACAATGCTAGTAACACAGATAACTCCCAGGGAAAGACCTGGGGAATAAAAGCAGATTATAAAGAAATCTGATTGTCTTCATATTCAAGAACCGAGTCTATTTCAAACGCGAATGATGCCGGTAGGTATTGACGCAATGATCCAGAGATATATTGATTGTGGTGATGAGTCTGGGCTTGTTTACTATCAATACGATCCAACAACCGAACTTACTGTGTTCAGTGCCGGCGATCAATGGGGCGTATGCATATCGATCTTGGCCAACTTGGAGGTATAGCGGAGATGTCGCTTAGACTTAATTGAAAAACCACCTAGGTAGCTTCCGGATCGCGTTATAACTCCGATGTAACCTCAGATCACCATGGAGCAGGAGTTTCTATCCTACTCTGAGCTTTCTAAGTGATGACAAGTTGGAGGTCTCGTGGATTATAAGGTGTCAATTCCTGACGACGCTTCTTAATAGAATCGTTGCCCTAAATAAGGTATTTTGGACCTCGATGTCGCATCATGTTGAATTGGACATAGAATTTCGATCGAAAGGTATGCGCAAGCCTTCGTACGCGCACACTACGCAAATCTATAGGAATTACTTCTAATTGCGTGCCTGATTGATGGACCGAAAATACCCCCACGTCTCCGTTGGCCGTTTTCGTGTGGTTTATTGGTGGGTTAACTGAGTACAGTATGATCGCCACTGGAGCTTGTTTCGGAGATTCAATAATTCCTGAAGCAAATTCAAGGTGAGGAAATGAGTATCGGCGACCTGAGGTTTTAGTCTCCCGAGTCTGGAAGCTCGATAGACTTGGTTTGTAAAGCCAAGCAAGGGGTTAGTCATGAGGTGATGATGCGATTGACCTCCTACCGGTGGAAAACCAATGTGTGATTTCGATACGACCTCAACCCAGTGTTCCGGTAACACATCCATTTATCTCAACTGCCGTTTCGGCAGCTTAATATGTGCTTTTAGTGAGCTATAGTAATACCAATATCCTTAAACTATATGAACTTGATTCAAAGCTTCTCGTTTAGGTAGCTCATAGTATTACGGATTTGGAAAGGACGAGCAGACATAAGTTCCAATATGAGCCTCATATATACTAGATAGTTAGCCAATCCATACCTAGGAAACTCCTGGATTATAGTACGAGATTCGTTGCCGAAATTTGACGTTTGACGTGACCCATGGACACAACAGGGGAGAGCATGTCTACGGACAGCAATGCCGTTGATATAGAGGTTCCTTGCATCGTTTTCTTCGTGTTGACGCCGCTATTTCTGGGCATGCGACTCGCATCTCGACTGAAAACCGGTTCAGGCCTAGGATGGGATGATTGGATGATAATGGTATCGTGGGTATGTCGACTTTGGGGTGAAATCGATGAATTGAGTGTCATAGCTGACTTCGTGACCTTTGAAGGTTTTCGCTCAGCTCGTATCGGGCCTCTTGATCGCAGCTTGCATGCATGGTTTCGGACAGCACTACTACATCATTCCAGAGTCGGAGAAAACGTTGACGCTCGAGATCTATTATATCGCACAAGCGTTCTATAAGCTTACCCTAAATATGACCAAGGCGTCTATCCTCCTATTATATCTTCGAATATTCCTGCAGCGATGGTTTAGGATATCGTGTTATGTGGTGTTGGCTATTATTCTGAGTTATATGGTGGCGACAACCGCCTCGTCTATCTGGCAGTGTACCCCAATTAGCAAAGCCTGGGACAAGTCGATACCGGGAACATGTATCAGCATCACTGGAAATTGGTATGCGAACGCAGGTTTCTCTATCGCGACGGACATCACTATTTTGGTGCTTCCTATGCAACCCATCTATGGATCCAATCTGCCGACGAGACAGAAATGGGCATTGATGATTGTGTTTGCCTGTGGAATATTGTGAGTTCTGATTCAAGAGTGGCGGAAGGGGGGTTGCGAATGAGCTAACTGTGGTTGTTAGTGTTACCATCACGAGCATAATACGTATGCAGACCATTAACTTCTCGTCGACTAGCTCCGATCCTACGTATGATATTGTATCATCGACTTGGACCGTCATTGAAGAGAACGTCGCTATAATATGTGCGTGTTTGCCTATGTGTAAAGCACCATTGAACTGGTTGTTCCCGTCGATGTTCACATCTAGCTCGAGGCGCACCTCGAATGGTTATAAGCCGCCGAGTCAAGGCACAGAAGAAACTAGCCGGAACATATGGCGTCCAATCAGGGGTGATAGCGAAATGTTGAGTACGCGTGTGACGTCTGTCCAGTGTCGGAAATCTTCCAACGCGAATAACAGCCAGGAATACATGTTAGAGAATACGATCTCAACGGATCATGGTAGTGATGTGGAGGGTGGCCGGGGTATTCGAAAAATCATACAATACGACATAACGGTCCATACGTCAGGCGAAAGTAAAGAGCGTGTTTAAAATGCAATGATTGAAAATGATAAATTCACTTGGATTTATGGGGCGTTATAATGAATAACCTTCGTTTTGATCCCTTCTTGTGTATGGGGTAGACATGACGAAATCAATAATGAGGGTACTGGCGTATATGGTTGGACATGGACTGTCGGCTGTGAATAGATAAATGAGCACGATAAATGTATATATGATATCAAAGGCATCAGGTTAAGAAAAAAAGAGATTCAACGATATTTTCAGCATCCTAACTCCAGTTGCAGAAGTATAATTGCTTCAATCAATGGTTAGTAAAGAAAAGGAAGGGGACGGCGGGTGTCGGTGGATGGATGGAGTTAAGTTGACCCGCCGATGACGTACTTGAAGTGGGCCTCTAAGTACCTTGGTATAGTACCTAGGTATTCAATTAGAGGATGCTGTATTTTTGAATTGAAGCTTACCCACTCTTTTTTATCCAAAGAATGAATTATCGATCTCTCAATTCAATCATTCTAAGCTATTGCCCACGATGAAACCAATACGTTCCTTACCGACGACGAATATCATATTCAAACCTCTAACTCCGCGTCCATGCCGTGGCCCGAATTGCCTACGTGGCAACCTACAACAATGCCGAACGTTCCTTTCACGCAAGCGAACATCCTACCGTGCCCTTGAAGGTTATAACATTAATCGCATGCGCTCCGAATCATATGACTACTATACACGACGGCGAACCTTTCTCTTATGCGGTGCGATATCTGGTTTCGTCGGTATATTCTACTCATCCTATTTACTCTACCAAAATATCCAAAAACCTACGAAGTTAGATAGCGGATTACCCGACAAACTAGACCCTTTCAGCACCGAGGCTGGCTCGAAGCGTAAAACAGTTATTCATGATGGTGATGGGACAGAGCTTGTACCGACGGGAAACAGCACCGTTACTACATTTCCGCGACTACTGGATCTCGAGCTTGGGGCCTCAGAAGGTCAAGAGAGGATCAATGGTGTGGAGTATACCTTAGTTGGACTAGGCGTAAGAACGGTGAGCTTCTTGGGTATTCAGGTGTATATGGTGGGATACTACATCGCAACACAAGATATTGCTGCTATTCAATCGCGCCTAATCAAGGAGATAAATCCGATCGCGACAACATTGGTACCCAACGAGAAGGAGGAATTACGCAAAGCGCTGCTAGATCCAGTGCGGGGAGAAAAGCTGTGGAGTGATATTCTATTGGAGGTCCGCCCACGCTCCCTGTTCAGAGTTGTCCCCGTGAGAGATACCGACTTTCATCATTTGAGAGACGGTTTCGTGCGGGCAATCACTGCGAGGTCACAAGGCAACAATCGTGACTTTGGAGACGAGTCATTTGGAGAAGCTATGAAAGAGTTCCGAGGTTTATTCAACCGAGGCAAAGTACCCAAGGGCCGTGAGATGTTGTTGGTCAGAGATGCTGCTGGGCAGCTGACCATTACCTTTGATGCTGGCAAGGCCGGTATGGGCACCATCGGACGTGTCCCTGAGGAACGGGTATCCCGATTGTTGTGGCTTAACTACCTAGCCGGTAGTAAGGTTGCGTCTGAACCGGCAAGGAAGAATATTGTCGAGGGCATCATGGAGTTTGTGGAGCGACCTGTGGGTACCGTCGCGACACAAGTGATATGATACATATGCCGGACTCACCTATAGCTGAAGGTTGTACGTTATTTCTGAGCGCCAAGGAGTTGTACATTTGGTGTATATTATGCAGCATTCCATTTCACTCTACAGTGTCATTCAGCAGAGAAGCAGCATCGTGATCATGCCCATTATTGCCCATTTTTTACTCTACTACCTACCAGCTACTTGTCTTCTTCGGTAATGCAAAATAGCCCGGATGATTCGAAAGAGATGTTACTTGGCCGGGTATACTAGGCTAAAGATCCGAATGCGACAATCTCTTTATTCACCTCCTCGATCCGAGTTGCTTGGCCCCGTTTCATCATGAGAAAAAAAAAGGCACTCGTTTTTCTTGCCGGAGTCGGTGGGCTGTGTGAGAGACGGACGTGGCAGATCATAGAGACCCTGACGAAATAAAAACACCTGAGCTTGGGGTCTGATGTCAGGGAGGGACCGCCTTGGCTGTATAAAATGCAAATTAAATGGTCACGTCGTAATGAATGTACATGCAACCGCAACCACCAGTTCAGTGAAACCAGGAAAGCCGAAAAGCACTGATCGACTATACCAAAGTTCCTATTATCTCCTCCCCATCTCTCATGCCCTTTTCCGATGGCTAGACATTTCCAGATGTTCCCCTCCAAAGACCATTCTCGAACACTCGACTGTCAACTTCTGACACAAGTTAAACCGCGTCCGAAACGTTCGATGCCCGGGCTAGACTCCGAACGCAATCATCGGGATGTTGGGAACAGCTGGGACCATCGGCGTCATCCTCGTCCCGATCGTGCTAATTGCCATCATCCTGGCTATCTGGTATTGTCCTTTTCGGCACGCGACTCATTCCCCTTCTGGTGCGCCATTGCCGGGCAATACCGGCGCGACGGGCAACGGTGGTGCGACGAACAATCACAGTGCAGCAGCGGTAGCAGCAGCAGAAGCTCCTTACACCACGCCTTCGTACGAGCTTGAACCTCATCACGATCTACCACCACCGCGATCTTCAAGGCTATCTAGGATTTCGGAGGAGGGAGGACCCTTTAACCACATGGTACTTCACAAATGACTTCTATTCGTACGACCTAGGATATCCTATCTATTTTTTTATCGTTTCAATTTCTGGCGCGGATTCCATTCTTACAGAAGCTCCATTTACCTGCTTATCCTCTGTGTAACCTCTACTACGGTAGCTGCTGGAGCTTCTGGTAGGTCATCTAATGGATGAGAGGAGGCCCCACGATCATTCAAAGACATGCGCTGAAACCTTGAACAGTGTCTTTTCCATAACTTCATGAAGGAGTTATGTGATGTTAAGGAAAACACGATACCATTTGGAGTTTCAGGTGTTGTGACACATACACTTACGTTGAGTATTCGAAAATCATGGTGTCTGAACCAGTCACCTAGTTTACGTTGTTAGCTATATCACTAGTTATTGCTTCTAAAAATAAAGCACGCCCGGGACAATATACGAGATTCTCAAATACCTATGGTTACCTTGATCCTTCATGGACTAGCTAGTCCAGTGGTAGTTCTAGATCCTTACACGTGAACCTACGCTCAACACTAAGGTATGAAAACCTGCTCGATCCATCTCAAAGAGTGTCCGAAAGGGTTATAGTGAATAACATCCCCTGATATTCCTTCGTTATTGGATAAACGTCCGTAGATCCGCCTAATTCAATTTGCCCGCTTAGAGGATTCGCTCAAGGATATAGAAAGAGGTTCAAATAAGCTCTTGGATCCAACCCGATTCCCATGCTCTAGACAACGTTGAAAATAATCTAAACTACGTAGAGCAAGATTTCCGCAGGGTTTTGGTATACGGTAGCGGGCATGCAAGGGTGAGCTATATTTATATTCCGAATAGTGTCCGAACCCGCTCATAATCATTGGCTCGGACACATTTGGCTATGCGTTGAGATCAAGATATATATAAACGCTGACGCCAACTACAATTCGCAGGATTGAATTATAGAAATTTGATATTTTATTTCTAGCGCATGTTTGGTATCTATTGGTGACCTAATTGACGATAACTCGCTTGTTGTATATGCTAATCGAGAAGGACAACTTCAGGGGTAGCCCCTCGAGCGTTAACCGTAGCGCATTTCTTGGTATCACGCCTATCACCGAAAGCCTTCAGAATAACGGTTGCCGTCGTTTGTGGCTCGATAGCTTCTATGACGTAATCACAGCTTTGATTGAGGTCCATGGAGTCATAGAGCGCCGACTTCGACTAGAAGATTCTTGAGTTCGTCTTTGTTCTTGCCCTGGAGGTCCGAGTTGCCGCCGATGTGCTTTTTGCCAATCCAGATATTGGGGACGGTGGTTTGGCTCGAGATCTCCCTTAGCGCATCTTGAATAGCAGATCCGTCGGGTACTTCATCCAACTCGACTACCTTGTACTTTGTACCGAAACTGTCGAGGAGTCGTTTGGAGGCGCTGCAGTATGGGCAGTAACTTTTGGAGAATACAGCTAGAATGCGAAAGTGTTTGTTAGCCAAGGTCTCGCGGCGCATAGCGGGGAATAGAGAGTATTAGAGGTAGGGTACCACCTATTGACTCAAAATGGTATCCAAGGGTGGCGCGGAACAAATCCGACTGGGAACTTACCGACGGCATTCTCGTCAATGATGCTTTGAGCTTTGGTCTTTGCGTCGGCCATGATGTGCGATAATACAGGTGTGGATGTGAAGAGTCTGCGGAAAGAAAGCATGAGAATATCTATCAAAAAGAAGAACCGAGGGTGAAGATGGTGGGGCAAGTTGATTTATATACAGTTACACCCCGTTTCGGTACAATGACAGAAACAGAAGGATCGAAGGGTCGAAGATGGCGAATTGGATTTGTCATATGGTAATACAAATCTTGTCTTGTTACCCCGGTTTTTTTGTCATTCGAAAGAACTACCCCTACCCTGCTTGCCTATCTAGTTAGATAAGTAGGTACGTCTTAGTATAGTGTGGTTATAGTGTGTTATCTTTGTATCGGATGAAGGTTGTCGGCGAAATTTTGGTGTATGATGCCGGTCCGGGAATTGCACTAAGGGGATGACGGCAGAAGACGCAATTGCGATTTGAGATCATAGGTGACACAGATGTGTTACCTATAGGTACAAAGACGGGTAATCATTTAGAGATACTTAGGTACATATATATGTACCTAGATATGCAGATATAGACAGCCAATATTGAAGTACATTAATATTAGAAACTGTGCATCATAAAATTTACGAAATTCCGGAATTATACATTTCAATTTTGTATAGAGACTTCTGGTACTGTGAGTCTCATAAACGTATTTGCACCTATCAATTACAATACGAAGATACATATCTTAAATCTGATCTTTGATGCTGTCGAAAAAATGACGCAATGATTCCTATTGATAAAAAAGAACTGTCTATTGTTGGGACTCGAAGCGGGGCTGCTGGATCGGAGTCTTTTGAAAATTTGGTGGGGCAAACCTTAGTTTGGGGGACTAAACCTTAGCTTACATAACAAAATTCAAATTCTGCCACCGCTATTACCTAAAATGGGTTGTCCTTTTTCCTACAATTCCCAGCACCCCTAGTCCAGCCTTGTCCGTCTGGAACCAACCACTAAAGCCCCGACACCTGGCTTGCCAATTGGTAATTTCTACCAAAGCGCCGAAGCGATCTTTTCCGTCTCGCGCCAATAACTTTTCTCCTGCCTTCTCATTGTTCAACTCGTTATCTTACATACTGCACATATTCCTTACAACACCATCCAATTGTGAACCAACGAGCGACTTGTTCTTTAATAGCATTGGTGCGTAAGAACTACATACGTACTCAATCTTTATCGCGCATTCGTGCATCTCGCTATATTAGTACCGGACCAGTTGCACAATCGATAGATGCAATACCTTAGCTGTGGAACTTGTCCTTAGAAACGACCCAATAAGAGAAGATCCTACTTGGTGATTTTTGAAGGGAAGATCCATAAGCAGCCGGTCCTTCGAATCGCATGACCCAACCTAGCGACCTATCGTGGGTTCTGTCTTGACCGAACCGTTTTGCAGTTGACAACACATCATCGATCCGCTGAATAGTCGAAGCAATTGCATACATTGCACACATTGTGCACATTGTACTGCGTACTGCGTACACCAGCCAAGCATAGAGCCAGACGGACTAAACAGTATCCAAACCAAACAAGATTAGGGCAGACAGACAAAGGTTGCTGCATAAATCCTGCAGATCTCTGCCTACACGTAGAGCCCCCGAGCTTGCCCCACGATTATTGTTACTATAGGTTAAGTACCTATACCGGGAAAAGTCGCAACTACAAACCTTGACTTGTGTGGTAGTAGGGCAGTAGGTGATCTAAAAGGTCATCAGTGACTTGTGCAGAAGTCCTAGAGACATATGCACAGCTCCGTTCCGAGATCACTTGCAGCCACTCAACTCAATAACCCACACGATTGCTTGCTGTAAGTCGCGGTACCACCTGGTGTATCCGTGGCTCCTTTCTCCGCAAGTTAAAAGTAAAGGAACATCGCTGGGTGTCCTCCGGGACAACCTAGCTCATCAAAGTGGCTTCGGATCAGGCAATCTTGGCATCTGTTAGTGCCTTCAAGAACCTGACCGCATTACTACCACCTTCATTACAAACTTACCTCCAGGCAACAGTCGGCCAACTCTCGGAAGCCGTCACCGAATCGAACGATTATCTTGCCTCGCAAGGAGTCTCACCGACCTTCTTATATTCAACCTTAGCTGGTACCGCCGCCGCTTTCGCCGTACCCCTCACCATGATGTCCCGATGGAATCGCTGGATGGGCTCCAGCCGAGAAGCCCTCTCACCTTATGCCTCTCAGACGGACGCACCTCACGTCACCGATGACGACTTTAGCTATATCACCTCCGAAGATCTTGAAGAACATACCCTACCATCTCCTTCCCGAGCCTACGATCCACAGAGTCGACGACCCCCGCCCAGACCTAGCATGGATGATGATGTGATATTGATCGTCAGCAATGGTGTTTATTATCCTGTACATTTCCCGGCTTATTCAATTGGGGACGGCAAACTACTTGTCAGCGACGTGCGGGATCGTGCGGGGTTAATCATGGATATCAGTGAACGCCGGGCCCGTCGCATGAAGATGGTATACAAGGGTCGCCGCCTCGATGAACTGGACATTCCCATCCGAGATTACGGCGTCAAGAATAACAGCGAATTACTTGTAACAGTACCCGAGGGGAAGATAAGCGACGAGGACGAAGAGAGCGGTAGTGAGGAAGTCGTTGTCACTGAAGACCAGAAGTCCAAGAAGAACAAGAACAAGAATAAGAACCGAAAGAAGAAGAAGGAGCGTATCAGCCCTCGTGAGAGCACTGCAAACCTGGAAGTACCCAGCCAGCGCGACCGGCAGGGAAGAAAACAGTCTCCAGATCCGTCCATCCACCCATCTAGAGTACCATCTCCCGCAGTGCCCTCAGGTCCTGTGGAAAAGCTAGATGCCATTCGATCTCATTTTGACACGAACCTCCGCCCGCTTTGCCAAGAATTCATCAAGAACCCTCCGAGGGATAAGAAGAAGTTGGAAGATGAGCATCGAAAGTTGAGTGAGACTGTAATGCAACATGTGCTGTTAAAATTAGATGAGGTGGATACAGGAGGTGAGAAGGAAATTAGAGCAAAACGAAAGGAGCTGGTAAATTACGTTCAAGGCTTCCTGGGAGACATTGACGAGAGGCTACCTCCTTCGATCCGACCCAAAGGACGATAGTTTGTACGAGCATCGCCAGGATAGTTACTTGTTGATTCTGGCCCTGAGATTATAATGGGGTTACGTTCATCCTGATTTTATTTGCCGTCGCTGTGTAGACTACCTAAATGCTTGGTAGTTTAGCATAGTGCAAGCTTAGATAGCACCTCGTGGCTTTGGCTTTGGCTTTGATTTCGAGGTATATAATACCTCTCGGCGGATACATTTGCGCGGTGTATAGGAGCATTATCTGCATGCTATCACGAATAGCGTCATCGGTCATACCGAAAGACCATGCAAACCGAGAAGAGGTCGGTTTGATGAAGCATTGTTTATTGTAGCGTAACAATAAATGCATAAATAAAAAACCAAGTAAGAAACAGGAAATATCTATTATAGTGAGAAGAGAAACCATAATAAATGTATCATTCAAAATGGGTCAGGTGAAGCAAATTAAAATCATGTGAAAATGTTTCGAGATGTTTTGCGATCTATCCCTCGTCGGTGAGATCATCGTAGGTACAAGATGAGTGGATAGGCTGCTCATGTGCACATGTGGGTTCGAACTTTAAATGGCACGGTACTTTGGTGTTTGTACTGGGCTATCTGTGCGTGCCACCTGGGATCGGCTGGCTTTCAATTTTAACAAACTATGATTTTTGTTAGGTTATGCAAACCCTAGAGGTGGTCTAGGCGACTAACCCTCTCGCTTCCGTGTAAGCCCCACCATTCCGAAAAGAGATTAGTGAGATTCTCCCACGGAGCACACTCATTCTGTGCGTTCCGATAATTTTCAACATCTTTGTGGACTTTGTGGTGAACCTCTTTCCAACCTTTGCGACCATCAACACCAATATTCCGCGACCTACTAACCCACCACTCAACAGCGAGGGATAAAAAATTCAATAGGTCTTGGACGCATATTAATTTAATTGCGCTCTTGATCTATTTTATTTCCTCCTCTTCTATTCTTTCTTTTTTTTTCATTCACCCCGCGAACCATTGTGGTGACGATCCGGAAAGATGTCGTCCTTCGAGTCTGTTGTGAGTACCGATACATTATCATTGCCTATTTTGTTATTGTGCATTTGGAATTTATTCAAGGTTCTCTGGGAACGTAAGATTATTATTTGAATTGGGCTGGCTGGCGGCAGAACATCATTGCGAATTGGAGATTGGAATATCACGCGAAAATCGATCGATACATGAACATGAGGCTGATCCGGATTTACTTTTTTAGGTCGTCATTGATGGCAAGGGTCACCTCCTTGGTCGACTCGCCAGTATCGTCGCGAAGCAGCTACTCAGCGGTCAGAAGATCGTTGTCGTCCGCTCCGAGGCCCTCAACATCTCCGGCGAGTTCTTCCGCGCGAAGCGTACGTAACACCCTTACAATTATTCATCTACACACCCCGATTTTGAGGAATTCGTTGGACCTAAGTTAGACCTGGTTAAGAGCTTGGGAATTATCTCACCGAATCATTGGCGGAAGATAGAAAAATTAGAGGATAATGAAGCTGATGTCGAATTACAGTCAAGTACCACGCCTACCTTCGCAAGATGACCCGATACAATCCTACTCGAGGTGGTATGTTTTCTCCTACCCGACGATTTTGGATATACCGCGCCGTATACCATGAACGACGCGAATAATCTAATAATATTTCTTAGGTCCCTTCCACTTCCGTGCCCCGTCGCGAATCTTCTACAAGGCCGTCCGTGGCATGATCCCCCACAAGACTGCCCGAGGTGCTGCCGCGTTGGAGCGACTTAAGGTCTTCGAGGGTGTCCCCCCCCCTTACGACAAGCAGAAGAAGATGGTGGTTCCCCAGGCTCTCCGCGTCCTCCGACTACAACCCGGTCGCAAGTTCTGCACTGTCGGCCGATTGAGTCACGAGGTTGGCTGGAAGTACCAGGATGTTGTTGAGCGGTATGTTATTCATGGATTTACTATCGGCGGGCTTTTCTCTTCTCCATATGAGAGAGAAGAGCGCCAATTAATGGCAGAGTATTGGCTAACAATCTAAATTACAGACTAGAGGAACGACGAAAGGCGAAGGGTGCGGCATACTACGAGCGCAAGAAGCTCGCCCTACGACAAAAGTCGGAAGCCAAGAAGAACGCCAAGGTCGACAGCAAGACGGCCAAGGCTCTCGAGTCATACGGCTACTAATTGTTTCTTCATCCTTCTGCATTTTTTCGGCTCACTAAACAAAAATACCAACACAATTCCGTCTCATATTGCAACTAGATCCGGCGTGTGGGTTAGGGAATCTCGATCATCACATTTGCTCTTGTCATTACCGCGCGCAGTTCGAGGGAAGGCAGGGGCGGTCATAGGGTTGGGGATATGTCACCGGCTCCGGTCCTGTGTTCAATAACGAATTCGTCGTTCGGACACTGAATGAGAAAAACGACATCAACGAAAGAAACCTGTGCATTTTTTGATCCCCAGTGTGATTTGTGATTACTGATGTGAACGATGTCGCCAAACTACACGACTCTCAAGTCTCACGATAATACTTTTAACTAACACGTCTATTCTTAGGCATTTCTCGAAACATTCTAGATACTTGGGGGGTCCTAGCTACCTGCATGACTAGATCGAATTGACGTCATGGTGTCGATCCCTTCTCCCCCTATATCATGAACGCCGCGAATAAATTTGAAGCATTGACTTCGCAAGCTATTTGTAGGTCGCGTCTTAATTTTTTTCCTTTTGCCTTGTTTAGTTCCTGATCTTAAATAGAGCTTAAAGTGTTGTGCTACAAGTGCTTCTCGCTGTTCAAAGGAATACCGATACGTACGCCGACAGAATACACGACAGCATCCTAAAATGGCTTCAATGTTAAGCACGCGATAACATGTTCACCAGAAAGCTTCATAAGTATACGATAAAAAGGAAATTCTGTGTTGTGCCAGAGACCTATTAAAACTGGATGCGTCCAGTGTAAGTAGTAGTTACAGTCCTGGTCTTACTGTTCCGATGTCTATAATCCTTCATCCTAAGCAAACACCTCATAGCTAAAGCACGATATCTTAAAAGTCCCCCCCTTAGAAGCGAAGCATGATCATTTTCCTCGTTACTCGTTACTCATGGCTCGTTATCCCTTTCGATGGACAACAGGATCTCCGATGCAGTATCCGGTTCGGTAGAGCAAGTGTCGGCAAGTGCGTCGTTAATGTGGTCGGCGGCAATTGCGTGTTCGAAAACGATTGGGATCTTGGGTGCGCAGGTGCGCCGGTGATGCTTGGCCGATTGTTGGGGAGCGATTACCAATGAACTACACGGTTGCCGTTACGTTGTCCGTTGCTGTTACCTTCGGTTAGTGAATCGCCGACATGAAAGATGGGAAATACGGGAAGGAGGGATGGATGGACTTACCGGTGCATCTCAACGAGGCAGTGCTTGACTTCACGCTCGACGGCGTCAATGCGAAGACCCTGTAGAAGCGGCGGTTTTGTTAGTTATTTTCTTTTTGCGACGTTGAGGTAAAAGGGGTAGAGGATATTAAAGTGTCGACAGCAGGAGTAGACTTACCATGAAGGGAACGGTACGAACGATAGAGAATTGGGCGTCGGAAGACAGAGTCGCGTTTCCCTCGTTGTTCTGCGACTGTAGATGTTAGTTTATTTTTCTTGCTGCGACGCGGCACGCGACAACGCGCCGTGGTGTTTATTGGAAGTTTACACGGTCGGGAAAATTTGTTTCCAATCGATTTTGGATAGGAGAGAGAAGAGTGAAAGGGAGTAATAAGAAGGAAGTAGAGTAGAAAGATATTAACTATGAGAATCGATTACTTACCTGCATAGCAGGACGAACGTGATTGATGGTGAATACACCATATTGTTCGGCGAACAAAATTCGTCGAATGAGTCCGTCGAAGTAATGGGTCAGATTCTCCAGCTCTTCAAGGTGGAAGAGGCGACGGTCGCTTCGATCCTCAACGTTGTAACGCTGAAGTAAATTGTGTGCGAAGACACGATTAACGACAACAGGTCCAAGGTGCTTGCTGAGGTCGAAAGAGCGACGAGCGCCCTGGGCGTACACGTAGAAGATCTCCTTCATCTCGGGGACCTGGTAGACGCGAAGATTGCCGTCTTCGTCCTTGACACCAGCGATCAGGTCGCCGATGGCGGCTAGGACACGCGCCTCGGGCATGATGCTGCAGAGCTGGTTCTGGCAGTGAACCCATTCCGCGTTCACCAGCAGCATGCTGCTGGCGGGAACACCATTGACTGGTGTGTGGGTTGGCGTGTACGGAGGAGCGCGGGGGTTTAGGAACGAAGTAGGACGATTGTCCTGGGGATCGTGGTAAACAAGAACCATTTTTACAATACTTGAACGAAGTTAATGGTTGAAATCAAATTGAAATTGATGAAGTGGATTAATGATGAAGGCTTGTAACAATGGCAGAGGTTTGAATGTAGATGGGTAGTAACAATTCTAAGATGAATTGCTGAATTGTGGCGAAGAAGGGGGAGAGGGAAGGGACGTGGTAAAAAAATCTCGGGGAGGGAAGATTTTAGTAAAGGAAGTGTCGAGGAAAGAGATCGTTAGAAACAGGAATATTTTGGTCAACCACAAGGTAGAGAGGATAAACCTTCACTGGTTCCTTCCAAATGTTGTCAGGGACGAATTTTGAAAAGAGTCCTGCGGAAGGTAATGGATGCGGTATGGGGATGAGAGGGAGAGTTGCAATGGGCAACCATAGAGCTGCGGAAACCAATGGGCTTGAGTAAGAACTCACCTATATCCTTACTTCCTAAGGTACCTACGCGTTGCCTAGAGGTATGAAACGAAATATCAGTTTCCAATCGAATAATGACTGGATGCCTAACGGGGTTGAAGCTTGGAATGGTCGAGGATTTCGCTGTGTAAGGAAGGACTAAGGCAGGCCTCAACCGAATGAGGACACCCTCGTAATATGTATTTAGCTGTACATAACCAACTACAACAAGCACAGACCGCCATAGAATTAATATTTCAGAGGCAAATGTATTCATTGGTACTAGATTATTAACTCAGGAGGGCACTCGGGGGTGTCCCTGAAAAGTGTACTTGCCCAACCAACCTGTTCGCCCATTGAAATAGATAAGAGGCAGGTACCCAGGTAGGTAGATATTCCAAGTACCCAGGAGGTAAACAAGATATAGCACGCTCAGTAACTGAAAGACACACCCCCGTTGGCACTGATAATACTGCCCGTACACCACCCAGCCTCTGGGCTGCATAGAATAGCTACCATACCAGCAATCTCATAATCGTAGGCAGCACGACCACCGAAGCGTTCCCCAATCTTTCGTACCTCTGGCGTGTCACACGGCCGTAGTGCTACTAATGGTGCACCGGAATTAAAGACGGCCACACGGTCCTTCATAGCATCTGAGGCGGAAAGGTACATGTCCGTCATGACGGCCCCGGGGTTGATAGTATTGACTGTAGCACGCTCGGCAAGCTCGTGACACCAGACGCGTGCCATAGCTTCTAATGCACCTTTGGTACCGGAATATAGAGAAGTGTGCCGGGTGCCAACCTTGGAATTGACACTGGACATCATCACAATCCGCCCTGATCGATCCGTTGGTAGGTATGGTAAGGAAGCACTCGTTAGAAGTATAGGCCCCATCACGTTGACAGCATACATACGCTGAAAATCTTCTTCAACCACATCTTCAAGCGGTCCAACTATCCCAATACCAGCATTGTGGATGATAATATCAATTTGCAGCTTGCCCGTCTCAGGGTTTGCGAAGTGTGTCTTGGCTGCTTTGACGATATTGTCACATTCTTCTCTCTTGCTGATATCTGCCCGAACCCATATAGCCTTGACACCATGAGCTACCTCTAGCTCCTCGCAGAGTTCCGAAGCTGCTTGGTCGGACGACGCCGTAGCATGATTCACGATAATATTACATCCCTTGCTAGCAAGATTACGCACAATTGCCGCGCCAATGCCTAAATATGTCAGATGCTATCGATACTTCAGAGAATTGTGCCTTGAGAGAGGAAGACCAACTTCTCGCCGAACCAGTTACAATGGCAAGCTTGCCTTCGTGGGCCCTATGCACCTGAGACGGAAACGATGACGATTCGCCTGATGTTGACATATTAAAAGCGTAGGGTAAAGAGTAATAATGTCCTGTTCTGTGGAACTTACCAGAAATGTCCCGATTTCTAAGATACCGAGGTATATTATACGAAATCATCGAATGATCTATCACTTCGCCAGGAAGTATTGGATGTAACCCTTATACATCTGCATGCCTACACTTGAGGAACACCCCACCAGAGTTGAAGGGAACGGGAACTAACTAAGTCCCGGACGCCGCCTTGATCAACGATGTATATTACGAGATGGTGGACGAACTACTGGGGCTATACGAAGTAATCGGTGATCCGCGTCTGATATTCTTTAGGATATATTGGTACAGACCAATCATAGCGTTACATTGCTTTTCAGCAATGACGTTCTTGGCCTGAATGCCAACCAACAGCTCGCAATTTCATTCCTTTCGATTTATAACCATCTTTGGAAATCCCGTCTTACTTTCATACCCCTCATTTAATTAGAAGGCCTCCGTCGATGGGCAAACAAATCCCTGTCACAAAGGACGACGCATCGGACGATAACCAAAGCGACCCTTGCGCAACCTCGTGCGGCATACCAAATCGGAACAAGGTGGTGGCTTGACGGACGAATTCTTCTTCGGTAGTTCCCATGGTTATCAAGGCATCGGCGCTCATTTTAGACTTGCTCGCGATTAGCATCATTAAAAAAATACACAGGATCCAAGCTTCAGGACAGGAATCCTTACATAGATGGGTCCGGGAGCAATGGCATTAACTCTGATACCATGAGGTCCCCCTTCAATTGATGCATGTTTCGTCAAACCAATAATAGCGTGTTTTGCTGATGTATATGCTGGCATCCTGGGTTGAGGCTTGAATGAATTAACTGAACCGATGTTGACAATTGTTCCTTTCCCTCCCTGCTTGATCATCTGCTGCATTTCATACTTGCAACAGAGAGCTGGACCCGTCAAGTCGACGTTCATGATTTTATTCCAATAGTCCTCGTCGAAGTCAATGAGTGGCGTACTATCAGGAGTTAGGGCAGCGTTATTGACCGCAGCATCCAATCTACCGAATTCGGCCACAGTCTTATTCACGAGATTCTGTACGTCCGCAGATTTCGATATATCAGCTTTGACGAATATGACATCGCCTAGCCGGGAGAGCTCCTCAGCAACTTCCTGGCATTCCTTTTCCTTGATGTCGCACATGACAACCTTGGCTCCAGCTTTTAGAAAGATCTCGGCTGTAGCCCTTCCCATTCCCTGAGCCGCACCAGTAACGATTGCGACCTTACCCTTCAAGACGGGGAAAACTTGGGCTTCAGCAACATCGGGCATGGTGATAAAAAGCACCTAAGTAGTATCGAGATAGTAGATTTCTATTCAGAAGCGTCGATTTTCGCGAGGTATTTTAGCGGTGGTATCTAAGGAATGTAGAGAAATAAAAAAGCTAGAGATCGATAGCGATTCTGGTCGTTATGTACATGCATCTCCAAGCATTCTTCAACACTGACCTTGTCGAATGATCAACGAATGCGCCTTTGGAAGCGTTCCTTTGAGCTTGCGCTGCAGATAAATGCAACTCACCATGTCATCCTATCAAAATCCTCCAGGTATGGCTGAGAATGAAGTTGGTTGTGTCCTTGCAGTGCGGAATTACGGAGGCTATCCCAAATGTAGTACTGATTTGTTTCGAATTACCAACACATCTAAGGAGTTCTAATTATTCGTCAACATTATCGCAGCCTCCTGGTCCTATTCCGTTTGTATTCGATCGACATGCTGATGAGGTGGGTGGGAGAGCGACTTGAACAGTAGGATTGTTGCTAGGGGAAAGAAGCAACAGGAGGAGAGAACGGGAAGTGGGGGGCCGTCGAATACAATATGCTGAGCCGTGTGGGACACGGAGTTCATGGTGGCTTTTCGCACATGGCACTTCGGCTTCGGAGGCTTATCTTGACACCTATTGACGTGGTTCCCCGTTGCCTATGGGGTTACTTTGGCGGTGTTTAGTTTTGCGGGTGGCGTTGAAAAATTTTCTCGACTCAGCTGTGGCTTGCATACTATCGTCACCTGTATCACGTTGAATCTCCGCCATTCCTGCGCGAATTCTTGTATATTTCTCCTTTCTTTCTTCTATCTTGTAGAGAGCTGCCCAAGATGATAACTCCCCCCATGCAGGACGCGTGGAAACATGATCCTTCTAATCACTGGCACCCTATCTATCGCCTAGGACTTCTCTTCACTGACGATCGATTTCCCCGGAACCAGGTCGGATCCAAGCGGCACCCTTGCTTGTGCAGTGTGCTATGCCGACGCTTGCATTCGGCATTTTCCTCTAGGTAACCTGGAATTTCCCGGTTGTTTTCCTTCGATAGTTGCAGCGACGCACAGACACACGATATTAATTCGACTTGCATGGGTGGATGGGATTGGCCAGGTCAAGCTTCTCGGCAATCTCGTTAATTTCTATTGATCGTGTTTATTGTGTGATTGGAGGGGTAGCTAGTGCCAGCACTGCAGTCCTCGGCCATCCGATCGATGATCGTTTGATGTTATTTGGTAGCACGAAATCGACATCCTTGTTAACTTCAGCCGACACGAATTGAGTAGATGGGTACTGTGGAGGAAAACAGCGCTTCAAACGAAGGGGGCAACTTTCGGAACTTGTTACGAGAACAGCAAACAGACATTTCCGGCAATCCGCAGCCTTGTAATGGTTGCGTTATGACCACTGAGAGTAGCCTTAACAACAATTATACTTGTCTGGGTACCTACCTAGGTAGTGATTCATTTTGCTCGACTATTCTTATCAACAGCACCGGATTAGATGATGAAAGGCGATTTCTCCTGTACGGGAGTTGATACTATCTACACCAGAAACTTCTTCAGACCTTTCCACACTTGACAACCTCTTCAGGTTATCAAGGATCTTACGGGCGTACGCTATCATCTAAAGACCAACGCATTGTCATCAAACTAATAAACCCGCTGCTAGTTGACTAGTGCACAGAGTGATTAGCCTGTCGATTCTGCAAGGGATTTCGTCCTGTGATCTAGAAATTAGAGCGCGAGGAGTACATTTTCGACAACACCCCTCAAGTGCCCACAAACAAGTACTCACCAAAGCTAGAGCTGTCCTTGCATATAGTATTATCATCAATACACATAGCGACCATATTCTATACTATATAGTGAGCTAGACTAGAACTAATCCTGAATCTTGAAATGATTGTTTGTTACAAGTCCTTAATCGAATCATTTCACTCATCTTTGACCATCCCTTCATAAAACTTTTTATAATGGAGATAAATATATACTATATATATATCTATTGCGATTTTTTTGTAATGTTGTTGGGGCTATGGCCGGACCCAAAACTCTAGTAAACTAGCAGAGGCGTGTTCTTCCGTCTCGAAATTGGCTTTAAAATGGCTTTGGGGGGAGCCGGTGTGATGATTATCACAGTTCTTTCGGTGGAAGTTTTTCTTTCTGCTCTATTCGTCGCTTTGAGGTCTTGGACTCGCAAAGCTCTAAAGGCAGGAATCGGCATCGATGACTACGTTCTTGTAGGAACTTGGGTAATTATAACCACGGTGATCCTCAACGTCCAGAATTTAGCACTAACGTGGTTTTACAAGGCCCTCCAAGCAGTTTTTGTGGGATGCACCATCGCCTCAGCCTTATATGGCCTTGGGCAACACGATACAGATGTAAGACGAGAAGACAGGCGAACGTCTATCAAGATAGGGATTACTGGCCTTGCTGTGGTGTCAACAGCTGCAGGTACGGGTAAGGTGGCGGTAGCCCTATTCCTAATGCGTATTGTCGTATCCGTTTGGTAAGAATCCTACCTACGAAACTATTATTCAAAGAGCCTGGCTAAGATAAATGCTAGGCACAAAGCATTTCTGTGGTTCTGGATCATCACTACCATGGTTTGGTCAATTTTTCTGAGTGTTTCGTGTTTTGTTCAGTGCATACCGGTCGCATCTCTTTGGGACGAACGCATAAAAACCTTCAGATGTCCTCTAAACTTGGCGGTCATCTCTATCACTGCATGTTGTGAGTAACTAACAGCGCTGAGAGGGATTGAACGATAACCAACGTGTCTTACATCGTAGCTTGGTGTGCAGCAACAGATTTCTTCCTAGCAGCGTTCCCCTGGGTCGTACTGTGGAGGTTGAATATGCGGAGGAGAGAGAAAGTTACGATTTGTATCTCTCTCAGTTTAGGGGTGCTGTAGGTCAAAATGTTCACTTCTTCTCTTCTCGTAGGTTTGAATGGTTCTGGCATCTGTTAACTGCTCACAGGGCGGGAATTTGCGGGATTATTAGAATCTTCAGCATCAAGGGGCTGAGCCACGAATCCGATTATCTATGTATGTTGGTGATATTGTTGCTTTTCGGGATGCTTACAACTTATACTGACGAGGAATATAGCTGATACGACAAGCGCCCTCATCTGGACCAACAGTGAATTGACCATCACTCTCATCTGCGTATGCATTCCTGTATTACGACCTTTATGGGTACGGCTCGTTGGTCGCACATTCCCGGACCGGTACTCGAAACGTCCGAACAAATCCTATGGACTCTTTGCTGTTGCTATTGGAAGAAAACCAACTAAGAAGACAGACACAGAAGTTGGCCTAAACATCGTTTCGCGGCCGGGGGTTAAGGCTATGCACACAACTATAGTAGGTGCCAGTAGGCGTCAGTCTGGTACGGGAAGCGAACAGGGTATTTTGCCGGAGAACAATGTTATTAAAGAGACTCGAGAGTTCACGATTGTTTATGAGGGTGGAAGTTCTAATATGATTTAAATGGGTGTTCTAAGACAGCGCTGGGCGCACCATATTTTCTTACCCATAAACGCGATTACGACGAAAGATATGACGGAATATAACGATAGAATCATATGAAGGAAATTTAGTTGTAATGATAAATGTTTATGTGAACCCTAGAGAAAAAGGGACCGTAGGATGCGCCGCCGAGTTTTCAGAGTCCCTAGATACGAAGGTACATAGGTATCTATGTGGTTAGCTGAGTATGTTGGAACTTCGCGCTTTCGTTTCTCTCTTGAGGCATTGAGTGATGGTTCGAATCGTTCGTGATTTCGTAGATAGGGGTTGCGCTTAGTCGAGTGGCACTTGGTATTGAGTGTGGGTTGTAAGGTCAGTTAGCTCAAATAAGCCTCACCCCCTCTTGTCTCTCCCGGATTGATCTGATTAATATACCACATTAACTATCGAATTTGGCCAGGGTGATCCCCTATAGGACGACAAGTCATTAACTTCAAAGAATTGTGGGCGCAAAAGTGTACTCTTGGGCCAGCTGGAAGTTATCGGCCCTACGATTAATGAGGCTCTATAGAAGTGTAAATTCCAAGTTTCTCGTGGCAAAACCTGCCACTATTCTGTCTATGAACGGAAATCGTTGATTCGAGACAGTATCCGTAATAAGTAGTCACGTTGTAACACCTGCTATACCCAGTTGTATCGGGTAACACACCTTACGTGTGCCCGAGTGGAGCGGAATGCGCGAGCCGAACCAACCTACATGAGATCACCTTGCCGTTGCAGATGTGGCTGGCTCTTACCGCCTAACCCTTGTACACCGGGGCGCCAGAATGAGATTGGTATGAAACCTCGACCGGTAGATGCCGTGTTCCCGTAAGCTACAGTGCCGTGACTTATGAAGATGCTGTCATCAACGGTTATGTTATTTCCTGTTATTTTGTGTAACTCTTGTGTATTATGCTAGCCGACGAAGTAGGGAGGGTATATCGAGTGCCTTGTTTCGGAAAAGGCCCTACTGGCCCTAACCTAGGGGGTACCTGAGCCGCCTTTAAACGTCATGTCTCACAAGTTGCCCTATTTTTTTTCATCTTACCATCCACCATGATTCACCCCCACTCTAACATAAACAATTTCGCGATCCGCAAACACTTCCTTCCGCTTCCGGTGAAAAGTGAATGTTTGGGCACCACGAGCGACGAGCCGTCCTGCAATTGTCCCCAAAGTAGGCTATCAGAGCGTATGTTGCATAGGGTGTGTGTTGTCCCGTCATTCTTACGCCTCTATGTACTAGATACCTACCTAGGCACCTGGATAGGTACGTAAGTACTTAATTACCTACGTATAGATCACCTCTTGGCGCGGGTTCGAAACGCCGCGTGCCGACCGAAATGTCCGCACCAGATCGGCTTTCCTCTGGGGGATTTGCGGGCGGATTGCGGGGGACGGAACATCGCGACATTTGCTGTAGAACCCTATGGGCCCACATGAGTCGGTCGCCGGCTCCTGACGTGAGCACTAAGACTGCTGGTAGGGCTATTGGTTTACCCGAATGGTCTAACGTAGATGCGCCATCTATGCACCGTTTCGCGTCGTTTTGCACCCTATATGATGCCGTAGCCTTACGTATGAGTATCACCAGAAAGTCGGATTTGGTGTTCGGCATCGGCATCCGTTTGGAATCCGAAAGTACTTCTGCGCATCACTCATGTATACATGTATGTTCACAGGCAAGTGAGTGCCCCATCCATGAAGAAGATCTGACCATAGACAGGGGTAGAGATTCTTGTGCGTGATATGTGCATAGTCTTCCATGATATTCTGAGTTTCTTCATATTAAATCGATAAGCAAGCTATCCTGGGCCGAATCTCTCGTCATATGATTACCTGCTCGGCGGCATCCCTCTTGCTCCGTCTTGTTTCGGCACCGGAATATTTCCGCCACTCGGGGAACGAAAACGAGTTTGAGGGTCTCAATTGAAGACTTCATTCAGGTAGGCACGATACGTTCGTTGTTGTAAACTAATGGCCGTGGCAGATTCGATCAATTTCTCACGGTTACATTAGCACATGAGTGGAGAACGAATTCGTATTGGCCCACTCGAGTATGTGGCGATAAAGAGACGTAAACACGTTTTGACTTCAAATCTAATAGAAGGGCTCTTCGCTAAAATTCGGCTTTCCGATCCCATTTCGCCTCTTTTGATATACCTTATGGCGAGACTTGACCATACCCTTGGATTGGGATGCCAATCTGGTTCGGGGCTTTTTTTTCCGGCTAAGTGGGATGTTAGGATGTTCGGAGGCTTTTGACGAGGATCCACTATGGAAAAAGATACATAGGTACCCGAAATACTGCCTCGCCACGACTGCTTCAATTTGAATCAACATAAGGCCAAGGATGGGCATATTATTCTAATGAATCTCTTACTTGGAATAATGAACGGCGAGGCGGTACGGTCGGGAATGGATGGCTCCTATAATGGCAATGCTATGCTAATTGCACATTTCGATACCTAGCCCGTTAAGTGTTAAGTCGTTACGCCGCGGACGTAATCTTCGGCACTACACAACATGTTGCAGATTTGCTCTTTGTGGTTGCAACTTTAACACAAATAATACTTCCCAAGTCCAAACCTATCAAAGGGTATTTCGTAGGGAGAAGGAACTTGCCTCGTAACACGGACGAGTAAACTACCTAGGCATGCAAGATGGCACGTCAGGATTACTTCTTCATCCATTTAAGGCAATCCTTCTACCCCCACCCCCAGCTATCTACCTGATAACAAACGCGTATGATTCGGGGAGAAAGGGAAGGTCGTCTTAGTAAGTATTTTTGAGAGTTGGAAAATCGGCCCTAGATACTACATTAGATAGGTAGGTATATTGGGACACCGAATGACATGGCGTATCTTGGTTCGACTTTGGACCCATATGGGAGCTTCATTTTTATAATATATCATTTCACCGTTTTATACTACGTGTTATTAGCTGAATTCAGTGGTAGGCGGCTCAGGTTGATATGCAATCCGTACAAGTGAAGTGCAAACGTCGTATGATATCAGGGGCTTAGCAAGGGGAACACGCGGCCACTAATTTAGTCGCAGGAAAGTTTATCGTTATATGCATCGAACATATCACATCTTCATTGGTTTCGCTAGGGTATCGCTGACATCGCCGACGCCACTGACACCGATGCCGATATCGCTGGCGTTGCACGAATTAAGCTGACCATGTAAGAATCCTTCTTGCTGTTGTGCAACCCGGGCAGCTGTACCTCATAGGTGAATCAACTCGCGCATTATACCCTAACCAAGCGTGTCCAAACGTATCCAGACGACGAGTGTGTCAAATATTTGGGATGTCAATTACGATCATGGATGGTGAATGGTCAATGGCGGCCGAATAATTATGTATGTAGCGAGCCCCTCCGGTGAGATCCAAGGTGTATGCGTATGTAGTCGATATCAAAAGAAACGGGACTAGCCAGTTATAAGTTGAGAGGATGAAGTGGCTGTGAGAGAAATTTAATTAAAATGTCCATGTCAGAGACTTTTTGTGAAGGAATGCAACGTCATCACATGCAAGAAAGCTCTAATGCTATACGTATATACAACGTTCTCCTGCAGGGGACATAAGAGCAGCCAATCAGAGGCTGATTGGGGTAGTGGTCTAATACCTTAGTCAGGTATAGATCGTCCTTTCACCCATGATCCTTACAGGGTTAAGGTGAACGTGGGGGATGGGGGTGGGGGGCCCGGTCAGTCCGGTGTAGCTTTCGGGTCCGATAAGATAACTTTAAAATGTTTAGAATTCCGTACTATACTAGGGTACGTACATGGTACATATTGTCGTCAGGGGGTAGTTAGAATGCTTACTCTGATAGAATTCTTCCTACATACCTCGGACGGACTAGACGGCATATATATAGTCGACATATGGTGGCGGAATAGTTGCAGCTCCGCACTAGCGGTGTGTTGGAATGACAATGAGCCAATAGCATGTGACATGTCGAATCTGTAGCAGACCGCATGAATGGAACATTAAACATGAGAACATGGAGTATTAGGCGATGGAACCAGTTCCTAGAATTTGTGGATGGGGTATACTACCCCGGTAAAGAAAGAGCAAAGAACCTGTAAGGCTGATGGGGCACCTCGGACTTTGGCTTTGGACGTATCGGAGCCGAAGCCAGTTTAATTGCCTACATAGGCACTTTAATAAGTGGAAGCATCGGGGCGTTTCCCGGTGTAATTTCTCGTTACCTTTACAAGACCCTTTTTTGGGCACGTTGGGTTGGTTCGCTAGTTGAGGAGTATAGGTCGCTGGATGCGGTCCTATATCGCGCGGCCATAGTGGCTAATCACACTGTCTAAGGCCTAGATTCCCCAGATCCTGTGCCTGTACCACCCTAAGTGTAAGATCTGGCTAATTTAAAGGGTGGCACGGATTACCCGTACCCATTTTTAAGCTTATGTTGGAGAATTATGTTGATTCCCTCAACGGCTGCGTACTTAGCATTTTATATTTTCATACCAAGGGTAAGTACCTACCTAGGGGTAGCTAGGTAGGTACCCGGGCGGACCAGGAGGTAGTTTAGGTAGTTACCTACCTACCTAAGGTAACTTTGGAAATACCCGTAGCAGTTAGGTACCTTGATAGGTAACGCAGCACTCTCTTGTTTATTATTGTCTCACAGATGTTAACCTCATATACCGGTAAGAGCCACCTAAGTATGTTAGTTGCAATTCATTTATATATGTGCAAATAAGAGACTTTATAACTGGCTAACTCTTCTTCCATCGGCTTCGCTAAAGTGCGGACAGGTGAAAAGATAGCCCGTCGCGAGTGCTGGTTGTTGAATTATACTTCCGGAGCCTCGATCCTTTGGTCAATTTTTAGTGTATTCGTAGGATCGTGGGTGTCGATGCGGAGAAGAAGCTCATTAGAAGTCCCTTATCTTAAAGCCGAGCGTGCTGTCTCATTCGTGTATTATGTCAGAATGGAACGACTATATGCACTGAACGGAGGGGAAGCAATGTGTGCTGACTGCTTGCCGCTTGCTGCTTGCTTGCCTCCTATAAAAACAGCATCGACTCGTTGACGCATGTTTCGTCTCGATCAGGAATGGCCGATCCTTAACACGGGATAAACTTAGTCAGATAGGATTCCGTCTAATAAAATCCCCGAGCTACCTCTCCAACCCCTAGCATTATAATTGCTCCATGTAATTGCCTTTTACTAGTATATGGACCCAATGTCTCTCCAAACTCCCTCCTCCAGTGGCCAATCGCGGTCGGTAGAGCGTACCGAACCCCTGAAGACGAGCGGACGGTTACGTTCGGCATGCGACTCCTGCCACCAAGCTAAAATCAGGTGCTCTGGTGGTAATCCCTGTCTGACTTGTTTGGTATCTCGAGGACAATGCTCTTATAGTCCAGGAAATCGACTCGGTCGGCCAAAAGGAAGCAAAAACAAGCGGGCTGTGATAAAGGAAAACAAGAACAAAAGGGAAGAGACACAAGAAGGCAAGAATAACAATGGGGCCAATTCACGCCGTGGATCAGACCTTGTACGGAAACAAGAACCGCAACAAAATCAGCAGTCAGACCCGATGCCTGTCGACTTCAACATTGAGCAAGGATTCGACACCAGCCTCCTTCACGACCTTGGCTCGGACTCCTCTGATCTTTTACTGAACCAGAACTTGGCTTCCCTCATCGATTCGATGAATGGAACACGTGTGCACACCAGCCTGGAAGAGGGCCTAAATGCATCCTTTGCCCAGGTAAGCAAATCGGTCGACCATTGCGAGCTTTTTCGGTCCTTGATTATTAATTCACCTTCTCTAGGCTTCTGCTGCGCTTGTGCCCTCTTATCATGACCTGTCCTTTGGTACGCCGGATTCTTCCGTATGCGACAGCGGATATGCTACTGGTACTGTCAGCTCATCCGCTGATGAGACGACCTTACCCAGCCCTATAGGCGGTATCTCCCCCGGCGGCAAGCAGGGGTCTATCAGCACTAATGCATTCATCTTCCCCGAACCATCTCACTGTTCATGTCTACAGCAACAAGTGCAGCTAGTTTATCAGCTAGGCGATCTACAAAGTTCTCACGCTAGCAATTCTAGCGTTGATTGCGTTCTTCACGGAGTTCAACTAGCTCAACTCCCTTGGAAGGGTTTAATGGAATGCAGCCGGTGCCAGAGCAAAGAAAACCATAAAGATGTTTTTTTATTATTTGCCACAAGCATTTGCATCCTTCTTTCGTCTGTCCAGAAACTGAACGCAAACCCACGCCAAATTGATGTTTCACCTGAGGCAGCCTTGGGATGGAATTTTCCAGGCGCCTCGGGCGTAGGAGTCTCAGTGGGCAGTTTCGAGCTAACTGGAGATACTAGGGAGGAGGTTATCAGCGTTGTGATTCGCAGGTCGCTTCAAAGCATTACTGGCGCACTGTTCTATCTATGGGAGCGTGTCGGTGGGCCCAGATCGCCGCCAATTTCTGACCTCAGCAATGGGGGTGGGGGAACAAGCAACACTTCCCCGGAATCCCCTTTCAGTATACTTAGCAGGAAAGCCGCCAAATCGCAGCAACCGTCATTTCGTCGTGGCTCTATGGCCTCGGAAAAATTCGGTGCAGAAGATATAGGGGCTCTCCTCGATAGTTTACAGCGTATGATGCAAACTATCAAACAGGATCTCCAGGTTTATACTTGATGGTACGGAATTAAATATGTATAATATGTTTACTACGCCGACACCTCGCTCGGCCAGTGTTTGAGCAACACTCATTGCTCCGTGTCAACCATAATGTTTCCGCAGTAAGTAAAAGCACATTTCTCGCAAGGCGAGAAAACTATTCACTAATCATATTTCTAGTTCACAACACCACCAATCTTACCATCATCTCTTGACATGGGCAATGTGATAGATTTCTAGGGAACTTTTGCGTTCAATGGACATCAGATTGATATACAACCGCGTAATAGGTCAGATATTCGTTTGATTAGAAGATTGAAAGTACCGAGGTAGGAAACAGGGTAGGAACGGGAAATACAATCAGCTTAGTCAGCTTATAGAAGCTCAGATGATATAGGAACCAGCGTGCAATGACTTATTGTACCCATTTTCAGATTATGTCAATCATCTATCTACTACTTTACGACAAGCACACACATTATGGAGTTGTATTATAAAAATAAGAGAGTTGCCGTAACCTGCCTATATTATTGCGATGATGAAGGCCAAGTGCGGTCACTTGTATCACTCGAGACATGTTACACCCAATGACAACGTCAGTGGTGCCTCAGCATTCATTCATTCATTTACGTAAGCGTAACAGGGCCATCGGTAAATCCCACATAATACAGGCCTCGCAATCATTGTTTCATACCTTTCTAAAAGATTGTTCTTCTCTTCTTACTTTTTTGACCTGTTCAATCCCGTAGCAACACTCGACACTACGACCTTACATAAGCTATAAAGACCATAGCCACCTCTTGGCATTGACTAAGCTCTTACTATTCATGTCAATGGCACTCGACCGTGGATAACTAAGCTTATTGACTTCATCTGTATTGCTTTATATGCCAAAGACTCCTTATTTGTATCCACCAACAAGGTGTGATACCGGATAGCCTATCTAATTCACTTGCTAAGTATCAAGATAACATCGCCCTGGCGAGTCTCCTCCTCCCCCCCTTAGCCAATACCTCCATACTTGCTTCAACAACATCGTATCTGGATATGTGAGTCTCGGTCCTACAGGTGTACGACTCTGCGCAGACTTACCGATAATCGTGCTTCAAACGTTCATCAAACGTAGTCGGCACATCTAATGGTCTGGTTAGTCATAGTATCAGTCGTGGAGACATTAGGGGGCCCGAATGATCCAGAACATTCGGGAAATCGGCAATCGACACGTACCCGAGCCTGGAGGGTCGGCATATTGGCGAACTCTGGCCTCTACATCCTTCTCTTCCCCCAGACGGACTCTCGATAGCGACTGGATTCTCGATGCACGCAACCTGCGGACTTTTTCGAAGAGGGCAAGCCGATTAGAGACGTCTTCTGCGCGTTCATTGCAACCGAAAAGGACACCTAGCGCCCCCGCATCTTCGATAGCTTGATTCGCCCCTTGTGCACCAAACGGAAGCATCTATATTATCTCCCATGTGAGTCCCGCAGGTTCAATAAAAAGCGAGAAGATGTAGGTGGGTGTGATGGCGTACCGGATGAGCAGCGTCCCCAATTAGGAGTACTTTCCCTCGATGCCAAGATGGGAGCGGATCGAGGAAGAAAAGAGGCCAGTCAGTGACATCGGCAGCCACACTACATTCAATGACACATTAGCAACTCTGCCGGTCTTCTGGCGAATCTAGCTGAAAACTCACTTAACCAGATGAGTCAGACCGGGGTGATAATGTCCAAACTGCCTTAACATGCGAGCTTTCGGATCTTGTGATCCTGATTAGTCGTTCTCCTTGCGTTGCACTCTAGTGCGGTCGTGTTTGGCTTGCTTACCATCACCATCCGCGTCGAAGGTGTCATGAACGCCGGCGAAATTCTGAACCTGCCCGCTGTAAGTGTGATCAGTCAAACATTCTCATGCGCAACACAGTGAAAGAAATACGTACTCTCGACAAGTATACCACACCATGTGACGCTGTGTCTCTGAAGTTGTATCGGCTAATACACTATTTCCTTGTCCTTTCATCTCCATCAATGCATGAAAATGAGGGTCATTTTGTAAAACCGGCGTGGGAATCATGAATCTAAAGGCGCCCATGCCAGACGGGATGGGTTTGGGCACACCTTGATCCTTTAGAACGGCGCCTCTTAGGATTGAATGAAGCCCGTCTGCTCCAATGATAAGGTCGGAATAATGTCTTGTTCCGTCTTCAAGGATCACATAGCCTTGGTCTGCATTAGCCTCTACTACACGCGCTCCCAATTGAAGATCTAAACCAGACGTTATACGGAGAAGTTCGCTATGTAGATCAACTCGGTGAACTGTATAGAATGGTGCCCCATACTCCGCACGGGCGTTTACGAGTTTAGCTCGATGGAGAGGCTTGAACGAAACGCCATCTAATACCTCGAACACGTTCATAACGTCCACGCGAGCTCTCTTAAAATCGAAGCCCAGACGGGACAGAACCCGTTCGCCGTTCGGGGTAATGACGATAGCGGCGCCTACTTCGGCTGCGAAGCGGGACTTCTCCAGGATCTGTATTATGTCGGCATACTGGATTGACTTGGAATCTCATTTGATTCGTAGGTACTTAGGAAGGTAAGCAGCCACTTTATCTTACCTTCACGGAATGGCCGGCCTTTTGCAAGGCGACGGCGGCGCAAAGGCCACCAATGCCTGCGCCGACGACGATCACTTGGAGAGTCATCTTTTCTTGGGGATTTCTTCGATGAGTGGCTAATATTATGATCTAGGTAATCGTATCGAATATGTTGTACAGCAGAAAAGCCCCGAGACTTGCTTGCGCCACGCAAGCCTAGTTTTATGTGACAACTTCTTTGAATTCAATTGGCCGGCCGAGAAGCACACACGGGCTACGAAAAACAGGCGTCTTTTCCAGTCAAACGACACAGGTCGTTTGTTGTGTGTTGTGTGTAGTTATTTTAGGAAGTTAGGTTGCTAAACAAATGCTACTTTTAAAGAGCACGACATGTTCACTTATATGGTTGCGCAGGTTCCCATTGGTTGAGAATAGTAAGATCAACAATCAGGTACCTAGTAGCGATTCCGATGAACAAAACAAGATGCTTGATGCAACGCCACCTCGATTTTATTCGTCGTCGCTAAGATGGAATTGATCAACAAGGTCTTCTCCTTGACGATAGCATCCGGCGCCCCCCTAATTCGCAGGGTATTTGTTCTAGTATCAGGTCAGTTAGGCGCATGGTACGCGTACTATTTTAGCGTACCTAATTAGAAGCGCGTATGGTAGAATAAAGGATTACTATCATTTTCACTCTTACCTTGGGCTTTTACAACGAAGGACCTTCTCGATAAGAAATAGTTAATTTATTCATGCTTATCAAGAAATCACGACGATCGGTCAACCTGCATGAGAAGTCCGAAAACCACCCGGCGTTATCCCACGCCAACCCGGCTTGCTATCCAATCCGGGTAGTTAATAAGACGACCCGCCATGAGGCGCAGCGCGAACGCCGAACTTAGGCATGTACCTAAAGTAGTGATACCGGACCGGGGTATGGTGGAATAAAGTTGGCGGGCCGAGCCGGATGATCTGATAGAGTTCACACTAATCTTCCCCCTATGTACGTATTGCGCTAGAAATCCTAAAGTGACACAAGTCAAGGTACCCACCTATGTGCGTGCCGGTACAGAAGGTAGGTACGTAATGATTTGAACCAAATATTGGGGTTGTATACTGCTATTACTAGCTAGTATTGTAGCGAAATACCGTGCTCTGAATTAGTTCCCTCCCTGTCGTCTTCGACCACTAGCATCGGATATGCGCCTTTTTGAAATGAAAAGCACGGCACGGAGTTTCTAGGCCATTGAAACCCTTTGTTATACCTGCCTGGGGGTACACCACGGAAGGATTTCGGGTTGAGTTAGCTGCATATGCAGGGAGCCATTGTTGTCCTACGCTAGCGCATGAGCCCAGTCTAACCCCCACTGTCGGGGGGATAGTCAAAGTAAATCCCCCATCCCCCATTACTTTAAAGTCTAAAATGACCTTATTTACTACCTAGGTACCTAGGTAGGTACCTAAGTGTTAAAGGTATCGACCAAGGAGTGATATCCCTAGTGCTTGTCAGGATACAGTCGGAAATATTTGTCATGTAACCTTGTTAAGGTTAATTTATGGGTCTTGTACTAATTTGGCAAGGTTGTTACGCCTAGGTTCTATCCTTGTGACTGTTGATTTCTAAGGCCCTTGAGTGATCTAGGCCTTCTGTTTCAGAGCAGGTCTGTTATCATGACCGTCTGGATACCCAAATAGGTATGTAACCGGTATACTCATTACAACGTACTTTCGAGGGTTTAGATGATTTATAGATTGGTCTTCTTGGAATTAAATTAAAGCTGATAAAATCATTATATAATGGTGCAAGGTATACTGTAGGTTACATTCTCTAAAACGACCCTCTGATTCTATAAATGAATTATTTGGTAGCTTAGAGGCGCTGTTCAAGACTACCTTGATATGGTTGCTGATCCGGGACAACATCATAGTAGATCCTGTACTGCGTCTGTACGTACCCCGGTCTAGCATGGGTATCTAGCTGGGGTTTCTTCGCTTATTCATGTAAACACCAACATGAATGAAGGATAATGGCGACTATGCTAGTAGGCTAAGGGAACGATAACGATCTATCCCCCTAAAAGTGATATACCAGAATGGAATATCTTTGGCTAAAAATAATCGATGTCACCTCCTGGGATATTCGCTCTATGCTCATTCTAACAAGGTCGAGATAAAAACAATGGCCGAATACGGGATACCTGTTGGTCGGGAAGGTACTCAGCTAGGAAGCAATTGAGATTATTGACGGATTAGACAGGTGGAATTGTGCAGATGTTTTTTTGTACAGCCTTGCTTGCTTCATGTTCTATCCTACCCCTTTATGCGGCGCAATGCTACGGTGTAGGACGTTTGCGAGGGCCCTGTCTTTCTAGACTATCGTGATAGGAAGTAAGCTAGGTCAGTCCTATAGCCACCAGCAACGCTCATCGACGAAAGTTAATGGGATGAAACGTCATTCTGAGCTCGATGCACCTGCTATGTCCTACCGGATCGAGAAAGAAATGCCGAATGGGCAATTTTCCTCTTTATACACCCAGGCTGCATCTATTCCCTGGTTGCTGTCCTTTTCAAATAAGTTCTGTAATTGTTTGATAAATAGTAATATTACTCACTGGTAATAAAATAATTCATTCCGTATCCCTTTACCGCGTATTGTATGTGGTATTGCCCTTTTACTTTTTTGACGTACGAAACCTACAGGTCCTTTGCAGCATGCATACGAACGCCACAAAATCGGCTCAAAATGTTCTGCTACTATTTGGACCTCAAATCCCACGGCTTGTTTCGGGTCGTCTCAAGGATCTTCGCGGGACAATCCTTGGGGATCTAAGACTCGGGTTTCTCATCCGAATTGTGCGTGAACTACCTGCGTTATGGGCTGCCACAATTCGCCCTGGCTGTCCCGACTTTGCGTCACTCACTAGAGCCGAGAATCAGCTGCAAGAACTCGTGGCGTTTTTTGAGGGCGAGACCGAGGAGATGTCCGGGTTGACACCACCTTACAATATACTTCTTGCCCCCTTGACGGTTATTACTCACATTGCCGAATATGTACACTTCAACTATCAGGGTTCGGCTCAGGGGTTCTGCATTGGATTCCTTGCGGCTGCTGCCGTGGCATGTGCGCGGAATGGGCCCGAGCTCGAGAAATGGGCAAGTACTGCTATTCGGTTGGCTGTCTGCATTGGAGCTACTATCGACTTAGACGAGCAAGAACGATCAAATGGAGGGGATAGTAATTTATCCTCTTGTAACTCTACTTGGTCGATTCGCTGGGTGTCGAATGCGGAAAAGGAGCGTTTCGAAAAGGTGTTGAGTTTTTTCCCCGAGGTAGGTTATTATGAGGCTGGGATTATTCCCCACCCCCAAATCACCGCTCATGGCTTACATGATCTGCAGGCATACGTGTCGTGCGTGACAGATGTGGATAGAATAACGCTCACAATACCAGATGGTGACTTTGCGAACTTCTCCAAGAAATTGGCAGAAGGGGGACTGTCTGTTCAGCCAGTTGGGATATTTGGACAGTATCATAGGACTACACCGGATAGAGAAACAACGGTGGAACAGCTGAAGTCACTGTGTCACCATAATAAGGACTTTCAGTTTCTGATATCTGAGCAATTGACCTTGCCGCTAAGGTCAACCTCAAATACCGAAATTATCACGCAAGGGCTGATCCATGATATTGCTTTAGAGAGTACTTTACTGGATCTTTGCAGGTGGCATGGGACAGTTCAAGCAGAATTGAACACATGGGATGATCGACCGGTAAATGTAATTGCTGTTGGCAATACTCCAGGGACCATCCCGCAATCCCTCAGAGGATTAGTTGTTGAGGCTGATGAATGCTTGGCTGTGAACGACCAGGCCCCGTCGCTGTTGAACGCAACCCCACCTTATACTGGTATGAACAGCAACTGGACAACAGGGCAGGTAACACCACATAGTACTATCCCCCCCGGAGTGGTGGGGACAACCCAGCCAGTAGCTGTGATTGGAATGGCATGTCGATACGCCCAATCGGATTCCTTGGAACAGTTTTGGTCTTTTATCAACTCTGGCAAAAATGCAACTACCCCTGTGCCTGGAAATCGATTTAAATCTGAAGAATTGTGGCGTACACCAAAGGGACCCTTCTGGGGCAATTTTCTGCAAGATGTTGACGCCTTTGACCACAGATTCTTCGGTATGTCTGCCCGCGAGGCGGCATCCATGGACCCGCAACAGAGAGTCTTGCTCCAGGTGGCATATGAGGCTATGGAATCGGCCGGATACGCGGATGGTGTTGAGTTGCCGAACCGTCCGGTGGGCTGTTATGTAGGTGCGGGCTATGTCGAGTATGAGGATAATGTCGCATCAGATAACGCAACCGCCTTCTCCGCAACTGGAACCATACGAGCCTTCATCAGCGGTAAAATCAGCCACTACTTCGGTTGGACGGGCCCCTCGGTTGTGTTTGATACAGCGTGCTCTTCCTCGGCCGTTGCCATCCACCATGCTTGCAAGGTAAGAGATTTGATGGCGCGTGTCGGGTTGTATGTTATTGATCCTAATATTATTGCTCGAATAGGCCCTTCAGGTCAACGATTGCTCGGTCGCCATCGCAGGTGGTGTCAACGTCATCACAAGTCCTATTTTCTACCAGAATCTAGCCGCCGCCTCCTTCCTCAGCACGACCGGAGCGTCGAAAGCGTTCGATGCTCAAGCAAATGGATATTGCCGTGGTGAGGGTGCCGGCATACTTGTCCTTAAGCCACTCGCTCAGGCTATAGCTGATAATGACCGTATCCTTGGTACTATCGTGGGGTCTGCGGTTAATCAAAACACAAGTTGTAGCCCGATTACCGTGCCAGATTCGCAGTCGCAGAGCGAGTTGTACCTTCGGGCCCTTGCTGGTGGCGGAATATCGCCTTCAGAAGTATCATATGTCGAAGCTCACGGGACTGGTAAGTCAACAATGATTCCCTTTCCATCGCTGACAGTGTGAAAAGAATACTTACTGTTCCAGGAACCCCTGTGGGTGATCCCATAGAATGTGCCAGTATTCGTAATGCATTCGGCGACCCCCATCGTACACAGGAATTAATAATCGGATCTGTCAAAGACGTCATAGGTCATACCGAAGCAGCATCAGGCGCGGCGGGAGTGATTAAGGCACTGCTCATGATGCAACATGGGATAATCCCCAAGCAGCCCAATTTTACTCAACTCAACCCGAAGATTCCCGCATTAGAACCCGACAAATTAGCTATTGCTTCCCAGGTTCGCTCCTGGCACACGACTACGAGGCGGACGGCGTTGATTAATAATTACGGCGCGGCTGGAAGCAATGCCGCTATTGTGGTCCGGGAATATCGCCCTGGCTTGGCGGCGCAAGATGCCATCGATACGGTATCGCATAATAATCCAATAGAGTATCCAATCTTCCTATCCGCCAAAACAGCGGAGAGTCTACGTGCATATGGGACTGCATTGAAGTCATTCTTGGACCGGAATCCCTCAATCGCGCTGGGTGACGTAGCTTACAACTTAGCATGCAAGCAAAATCGAAGCTTTGAATACACATCGAGTTGGACGACAACAAATCTCCCCAGCCTGCGCCAAGAGTTGGAAGCTATAGTGTCTGGAGCGCGCCCCTTGTTGCAGCGAAGTACTAAGAAGAAGACGGATACGTCCCCGTGGCCAACACCGGTGGTGCTCTGCTTTAGCGGTCAGGCGGGGCGGAGTATCTGTGTCTCACGGGAACTTGTCCAAAGTTCAACCCTACTGCGAACGCATCTTGAGAGCTGTGATGAAGCCGGGCGTGCGCTTGGACTGCCATCATTCTTCCCGAGGATTTTTGACCTGACCCCAGTGGAAGACTTGGCTCTGTTACACGTCATGTTATTCTCATTACAGTATGCAAGCGCTAGAGCTTGGATAGACGCGGGGCTGCGGGTGAGCACTCTGGTAGGCCATAGTTTTGGCCAGCTAACGGCTTTGTGTGTAGCCGGTAGTCTGGATCTGGCCGATGGAATTCGTCTAATCGCGGGTCGTGCTCAATTGATGCAGGAACACTGGGGTGTAGATCCAGGAGTGATGTTGGCGGTTGAAGGGGACAAAGACAACCTTGAAAGCCTGCTTAAAACAGTCCATGAAATAGGGGCTGTCGATATCGCCTGTTTCAATGGCCCGCGCAACATCGTCCTTGCAGGTGAAGTGGTGGCTATGGATGCCGTTGAACGTATCTGCCGAGAATCACCAAATCTAAAGATAATCCGTTTGGCTAATAGTCACGCGTACCACTCCCGTTTGGCGGATTCGATTCTAGACAACCTCCGAGACTTGGCCGGAACCATCACTTGGCGGAAGCCCTCTATCCCAGTCGAAACGTGCAGTCCTGGCCAGAGTTGGACTGGTATTGATGCGAACAGAATTGCGGAACATACACGTCAACCCGTATATTTCGGTGAGGCAGTTCAACGAATTGCTGCCAGAAACCAATCATGTGTTTGGTTAGAAGCAGGGTCGGCATCTCCTATTATCAGCATGGTACGCCGTGCTCTACCAGCCACACGAGGTAGCGATAATGATGTTCTGCTGCCAATAGAACTGGGCCGTAACAACCCTTGGAGCAGTCTCGCTAAAGCCTCATCAAGTTTATGGTCCGCTGGTTCGAACGCGGATTTCTGGGCGTTTAATGGATCGGAAGGCGATCGGTACCGATGGTTGGATCTGCCTCCTTACCAATTTGCCAAAACAAGGCATTGGATACAGTATCAACCTCATCGGCCGCAAGCCGCTATCGAGACTCCAGTCCCTAGCGCAGGCCCACCGGAATTACTACAGCAGCTCGGGGACGGGGATGGGGAATATTTGTTCGCTGTGGACCCTTCGCATGAAGTTTTCGAATTGAGTGTTAAAGGTCATGCTGTCGTGGGGCAAACATTATGTCCGGCCGGCCTGTATTTTGAATTAGCCATTCGAGCGGCCCAATCCCTCCAAAATGCTAAAGAAAAGGGCAGACACAAAGCGCCCTGGATTGAGAATATGCGCATTATATCACCCTTGGGATTAAAGCCCAACGGAACTCTCCGTGTTAGCTTGAAACAGGGTGCTTCTCAAGACGGTAACGTCTCAAAATGGAGTTTCTCGTTCTTCTCCTTTTCTGATATCTGTTCCCGAGCGCTACCTCCTTCACAGCGCACAGTTCATGCTCAGGGAGTAGTAACGCTCCTCGAAGTGGACGCAGCAAACTCTCGGCTCAAATTCGTCCAGCGACTTCTAGGGAGATCAAGGTACGACCAAATTGCCTCATCACCTAGTGCAAGTCGACTAGCTGGGGATGTGCTCTATAAGATTTTTTCCCGTGTTGTCAACTACGCACCATATTACAAAGGAGTTCGCAACACTATTGCCTGGGATGGAGAAGTGGTAGGCGACGTGGTTATGCCACTCGGCAAAGAAGCAGAGCTTCTAGGAACTACCGTGTCTAACCCCTTAGCTATCGATAATTTCCTGCAAGTCGCAGGTATCCACGTGAACTGCTTGCTTGATAAGAGTAACGACGACAATGTATCCGTATGCAACGCTATTGGCGAGGTTATCTGGGGCGATGGTTTCTTACAGGCCGATTCCGATAATAGGGTCGGAGCCGCAGGGCCTCTCACGACAAGGACATGGCGGATATACTCAAACCTAGAGCCAAAAGGCAAAAATACCCTCGTAAACGATGTGTTCGTGCTGGATGCCAAGACCAACGAAGTCGTGGTGGCTCTGCTAGACGCAGAATTCACCGAAGTGCCCCTTGTTTCGTTGCGAAGGGTTTTATCCAAGTTGAACCAGAACACGATAACCACCGTATCATCCGAAACTCCTCATCTCCCAACCGCGCTAGTCCGCAATTTTGCGACCGAGGAATCGCCAGCTGTGGAAAGCTCCCATAACGAACGGGCGCGATTTGACGAACAAAATGGTACGGACCCATTGCCAACATCTCAGCCTAAGCTTCCGACTCTTATCGCTACCTCGGGCGTCGATGATTCCGTTCGAAAGATGTTGAGCGAGATATTCGGAATGAGCGCGGATGAGGTGAGACCGGATTCGGACTTGGCAGAATTAGGGATGGATTCGTTGATGATCACCGAGATATCCGGCGAGATCCGAAAGCGATTCAGTGTGAATTTATCTATCGATGACCTTCAAAATTTGACTGATGTCCAATCTCTCGCTCAGCTTCTAGGGGGTGGTGTGCAGGCACCAGCGCCAGAGCCCATGCCCACATCAACCGAAGAACGTACGACGCAGGACAGGTTAGCAGGCCTCGAAGGAATACCCAACGGAATACTTAACGGCGGCGGGGAGACAATTGAAGAACGCGAGGTCGATGGCGGCGTTGCAGTCCTTGGTAGCGACTGGCTTTCGATAAACCGAAACACGTTTGACAAAGAGGTGGAGAACAGCGGTTTCGGTCGTTTTCGTGAAATCGTCTACCCGCTCCAAGCACAGTTAGTAACCGCATATGTCATCGAAGCATTCGCGGCGTTAGGCAGCAACATACGAGTCTTAGCTGCTGGAGAGATTCTGCCGAAGCTCAATTATCTTCCCAAACATGAGAAACTGGTTGTGCAAATGTTCAAAATCCTAGAAGACGCGCGATTGATTGCGGGGAGCGGCCTAGCTACCAAGCGAACGGACCACCCAGCGCCTAAGGCATCAGCCCAAGCGTTACACGACGCCATCGTGCAAAAATTTCCCCACCATGCCGGAGAACACCAGCTTTTACGCACAACAGGTGCACAGCTAGCCGAATGCCTCACGGGTCGAGCGGATCCCCTAGCCTTGATGTTCGGGGATTCCAAGGCGAGGCAGCTGATGGAAGATGTGTACACTAATGGTCCGATGTTTCGAGCCGCTACCTCATTTCTCGCGCACTTTTTAGTCGATGTGTGTGGGCGCTTCCAAGGCAAGCGGGAAATTCGTATTTTAGAACTCGGCGCCGGTACTGGTGGAACAACCAAGCATCTCATTCAGAAACTCGAGAAAGGCGCGACAGGCCAAAGGATCGTCTACACCTTTTCCGACGTCTCGAAATCCCTCGTAGCTGCAGCTAAAAGAAAGTTCACTAGTTATCCGTTTGTAGAATATGCTGTCGTGGATATTGAAAAGGACCCGACCTCGGACCTCCGAGGCAAGTATGATATAATTATATCGACTAATTGTATCCACGCAACCGCGAGCCTTGTTCGATCATGCACTAATATCAGGCATATGCTACGGGAGGATGGGATGGTCTGTCTCGTTGAGCATACGCAGAATCTGTACTGGTTTGACTTGGTCTGGGGATTGGTGGAAGGATGGTGGGCCTTCGATGATGGCCGCACTCACGCCCTCGCTTCTGAAATGCGGTGGAAGAAGGACCTGTTAGCGTCGGGTTTCCAATGGGTCGACTGGTCAGATGGTATTAGCGATGAAGCGAAGATATTGCGTGTCATAGTGGCATCACCGTCGCCCCAAAAGTCGACACCAACGGTGAACAACTCAGAGCAAGAGATGGGTAGAGCTCTCGAGGTGGAGGAGACTGTAGTTTTCAAGCACGCGGGCCCTTTGCCATTGTATGCCGACATTTACTACCCGTCTAACCTTCAAACCTGCAATCAAGCACGGGCCGTTGGTGAGATTCCTTCCCGGTAGCGGTTCTTATTCCAGAGTGCAAACCTATGCCTTAGACGACACAAAGACTAACAGAAATTTGTCTATTTAGCTCTAATGATACACGGCGGTGGCCATGTGATGCTATCTCGTAAGGACATACGCCCCAAGCAAACACAGATCCTATTAGACGCTGGCTTTGTGCCTGTTAGTGTAGACTATCGCCTTTGTCCAGAGACCAACCTACTAGAGGGCCCTATAACAGATGTCAAGGATGCTCTTAGCTGGGCTCGCAATACTCTACCATCCCTCTCTAGGAAGCGTCCCGACGTGCACATAGATGGCAGCCGTGTAGTCGCCGTCGGCTGGTCAACGGGAGGTACCCTGGCGCTCAGCTTAGGCTGGACTGCCCCTTCAGCAGGTCTACAGCCACCACAGGCTATCCTCGCATTCTACTGCCCAACTGATTATGAGGACGAATGTTGGTCTCGGGTGAACAAACCCTATGGCGACGCAGCACTCGCGATAGAAACATATGATTTATGGGAAGGAGTTTTTGATTCACCCATAACATCATATAACCCGCCGGCCGGAGCAAAGGCAGCCGGTGGCTGGATGGCCAAGGATGACGCGCGCTCGCGTATTATTTTACATATGAATTGGTACGGTCAAACTGTTCCAGTTTTGGTCCATGGTTTGAAGAAGGACAACCAGAATGGTGTACAATACGGGATGCCTTCGCTACCAACTCCCACACCTGCGCAGGTACAGGCTATAAGTCCATTAGCACAGATCAAACGGGGTGCTTACCGCACACCAACATTCCTAATACACCCGTTTGAGGACGACTTGATACCCTGGCGACAGACCCAACGCACGGCAGAAGAATTGCGTCACAGAGGTGTGGAGGGAGATCTACGGCTTGTGGGAAACGCTCCTCATTTATTCGATATATATCGAGGCTATGAAATGAACCTGGAGGCTTTCAAAGCTATTAAAGAAGGATACAACTTTTTGTCGAGATATACCAATAGTATCTGATTGTGGCTTCGTTGATTCTGAGGCTACTAGGTTACCTCTTATATACCTACAGGCGAGGCGCCAGTACTTGAATTGATACAGTACATAATCTACTCAGGTACCTACCTAGGTAGGTAGGTAGTCTTAAGACTAACTTATTTGAGCATATGTCCTACCAAATTAGGAATCATACCAGGCCCAGGCAGTCACCCTATTGGTTGCCACTGCATACTCCCCCACCAAGGTCATTGCTATCCTAGTAGCTAGGTATCTAGATACAACCCGCAAGCATGGTAAATGTAAATACGGGTCAAATACTCCACCAGCATCCCACCAAATAATGTATCTAATCATATAATTTTGATATAAATATATCGTTCCATATTTAAAACAAAATTGAAAAAGGGGAGGAAATCGAGGGGTCCTGAAATAAGTATCTTTCAGTATGAAATAGGGGTTGAAATGTATGCGAGGTATAGAACTAGACAAGGTCTTAGCCCATATTTGCATTTACCATGCTTGCGGTGGATTAGCTAGTTTAGATTTCTTAGAAATCTTTCTTATTGCCTCAATTGCATTTTCACCCCAAGCGATCAGGGAGGGAGGCTACTTTCAGGGTTTAGGCAAGGCGGTTTAATGTGAATCACTAGCCATGAAAACAGGCCACGTTAAAGAGCACGAACGGAAGTAGGTATATTTAAATATCCCTAGGCACTGGAGCTTCTGGTGACATATTTGTAGCTACCTAGGTATAAATTAGGACCTGTTTGGATTATGACCACCTGTGGCTTCGGGAGGAGGACGCTTATGTTGAGTTAGCATCATAGATTCGTATCAAGCAGGGCTTGGGATAATATTACCTCGCGTCTGATAAAGAACTGCGCGCCGATACCGAAAAGAACATCACTTTGAGACTTATTATTGCCTTTCGCAGTGTCGTGTGGAGTAGCTTTGTTCAATTCAGGTGACGGAGAATGGCGTCTCTCGGAAACAGGTTTGGGAGAACCGCTTCTCGCCATCATACTGCAGTTATCTTGGTTGCTAATACCACATTATTAACTCTCACCTCACTAGCCCGTTATCTTACGCAGAGTGCAGTGTGTAAGAATGCTTTAGGCCTTCGAAAAAAGAATATAAATCTACCAACAATATATACCCGAAGAATATCTTGAATACGGGCGTTCGATGGTGGAGGAGGGAGGGGCGGTGGCTAATGGAAGGGTATTACAGGATAGATAGGTTAGAAGTACGAACCTCGTAGGCATTTCTAAGAAATTATTGTAATCTCTTAGTACAGAGGGGGGAGACTCGATTGATGGTTTATAGTGATACTGTGTTGGTACTAAGGTAACTGACTGTTATTTCTCTAGGTTTGTGCTTTGGATGAAGGGATTAATCATAGAACGGGGTAAAAATCCTAGGCGGCAGGGCAGAGTTTTATACAAGTCTAGAGGTCACGTCGGTAATAGGTTATGTGAATGATGGACGACACGTATGCAAGCTTTGAGAGCGACTTGTTTAAGTCAGTCGAGTGGAATTAGGTAGGCTACACATCAAGATACCTCAATAAGGGGGGGTGTGAATCGGAGGTGGTGTAATTTGTTCCTTCCTCGCCGAGTTCTATCTACATCTAATGTTGCCTATCATGGGGCGTCTAGCCCACGACAGAAGATATGGGCATACTTTTGAAAGAGCCGGCCAGGCCGGTTCCAAAGCACGAAATAGGAGCGATACAGCACCAATGGTTCTCACCCGGTTCGGTGTGGTTATTGTGAGAAGGATGTGAAAAGTCCTTTTATCTTGGGCCCGAATGGGCACATTTAGTCAGTCACTGAGGGTCTCGAGTAATTCATTGATTGTTGATTGGAACACTGCGTTTTGACCTCGAAAATCTCGGTTTGGCGGCCCATCATCATCAAGCGCCACTATATGACCATTGGAGTTTTTTATGTACGCCGATGCATCTTAGAGATGATGCTGACTGCTACTGGTTGCATTAGAAGGCATAACCGGAGGGGTGGACACTGCCTACTCCTACCCTCCCACCGTGATTCGTCAAAACCCTTTTGTAAAGTAGTGATGGGGGGTAATACAATGATGCCCAGCATGCATTCCATACAAGTCAGTAGGACAAATAGGAATGCAAATTGATGACTAAGGTATTATTATGCTACGATTGGCCCTTTTTTTCTGCCCTAAACTGGTTGGGTATCGGAAAACGATCGCCGCCTTGTTCGTCTAGTTTCTCCGTGGTTCCGATGGTTCGCGCCCAGTACATGCCTAGGTATGTATCACGCCAAATCAAATCAGCCATCAGTAAATCCCGCGCTTTAAATTGAAATAATATTTTGTCACAAAAGAGCATCTAAAATTTATCATTGATCAAAAACTACCACCACTATCAGAACTATGGACCTTGTCGACCTACTTCCTCATTCTGACGCTGAATTATTCCTTAGTATACCATGGAAAGATCGCTGGGAGTGCTTCCGGTCTGTGATCATTCAGCTCTACCTGGGAAAACATGGTCCAGAAGGCAAGCCGATGACTATGAATCAAGTGGCAGAGCATATGCTTAACCACTTTAGGTTCCGTGCCACGTTAGTATTCATATCTTTAATAATATGCAGTGAAAACTTTTATCCATTTTATGAGATAACTGAAATTGCTATTTTATTCTAGTGTGTCTCAGTATCGAGCGAAATTTCGCAAGTGGAATATTCGTCGACGAATCCTCACAAGTGAGAAGCTCGAAATTGGGAACGCGCTCGCAAGGCGATCGCATCCTGAAGCGAGCACATCAAACGTGACACTCGGTCGAGGCGAGTCTGAGAAGGAAGTTGACACGAAACAATTGAAAAGATACATGGGGGATCAAATACGTCACTATCGGATTGAGACGATAGCGCCTGGGGTGTAAGTGTGTCGCGACTACTGATTGCATTCACTAATTTAAGTACCTAGGCTCTCAGAGTGGAATCTTCCTTACGCAGCATTCGTTGCTTCTCTGGCCAGGCAACCCGACCAGCCTTCTCCCTTTGGACCGGCGTCTGCAACACCAGACTACGTGAATATCCATAGCCCTGAAGCCACCACTCCAACTAGACAACCAGACGGGCCGTCCCCGAATATGGAACTTGTCAATAAGAAGGCCGTTTTAGATCAATCGAGCCTCTTTTTACAAGGACGTTTCAAAGATCTCCTCATACGATGCGAAAGAGAAGACCGCATGTGAGATTCTGACATAATTTTTACTGCCGATTAGAGCTAACCGGCTACAGCATGCTAATTAACTACTTTCACGAGTTCTACGTCCATTCATTTACTGTAGCAAAGTACTGGGGCAGGGGTCCGCGTGTTTGGACCGCAGATATGGTGGCTTCTCTAACGACTGATGCTGCTAGTCCTCCAACTCCTGGATCGCTCATGAGCGTTGGCTCTGCTCCATCGCCATCTCACAATAGACCAACCAAAGTCCGCGTACCGATAACTATCTGTCGATGGTCAATCCACGTAGGAGATGTGGATTACGAACCCATTGAAGAACCAGATCTTGTTAGGCAAGATGCATTCGACATCCATGATACTTCCTCGTGGCCCCAGTGGCCAGAGAGAGATCTACCAAAGCACCCATTCCCCGAAACTATTCAGAACTCAATCGCTAATAGCTCCTTCACTGCCACAACTCCTGAGAACTTACCAGTCTCCGCGCAGTTAATAGGAAAGTCCCTACAAGAAAATCCAAGTATGGTGCTCGTGGATGCCTGGAAATTCGCTATCATGGCTGGGAATGTAGACCTTCTAATTTCACTTTCTAACAGAAGCGAGCAAATTCCCTCAGACATTGATGGTATATATCCCATGCACCTTGCTGCTGCGTTCATGGATGGCGGTCATCATTGTTGCGGAGTAATCAATCGCCTTTGCTGCGCTCTAGGCGGGGACTACATCTATTTCCACAACGTGAATAATCTAGGGCACACAGTACTGGATGCGCTCATGATATCGATTATCCGCTCGCACACAGGTATCAGCCCTGAACGTGTTAGCCCGGACTTTAGTCCTCCAAATAGATATCCTGGAGAAGAAAAGGATATCTGTGGCAGATGGGACGCTGATTCACCAGCAGTTCGTGAACTCTTCCAACGTGGTATCCCACGTATACCCATGTCATGGAAGCATCCTTTTTGTCATACTGCCGCCCAGGCTATTTGTCACAGTACCATCGCCATTTTTGGTTCGCCCGCATCTCCTGATATCAATACTCGGAGTGGGCTATTCATTCGGCGTTGCGGTAACTGCGGATTGGAACTAAAGCTTGGGCCCCTTCATACTCTTATTGTCGTGGCTTTCAATCTAGCAAACCAAGGACGACCGGGAGAGACGTTGTTCGGCGCATTAGCCGTCCTTGTATGTCTGCTTAGGCTAGGCGCCGATGCCACCCTAAGCGTGCAATCGTCAGCCGAGGATATACTGGGACAAGTACAACACGGGATATGTCATCACGAACCTCTAAATGCTCATGAATTAATGCTTAAGGTAAAGGAAGACTATGTTCAACGCTGGTCCCCAGAGTGCCAGATAGGATGGCGGTGCATTCTTCAAACACTCCGCTTGGCAATGAAAGGTAGGATTCAAAGGGAGAATGGCGAGCCAGGAAAAGACTCGCAGCGAGATTCCGAGTCAGAGGAAAATTCAGAGGAAGACTCGGAGAGGGACTCAGAGGAAACCTCAGAGGCGGGGTATTCGGAAGGGGACTATTGCTTCCTTGACGATGATTTACACGGTGAATGGTTGCGACTGCCCTGCGGCAATCCAGAACTTGGGCAACTCTGGGCCACTATCCAAGTGGAGCTCCTTACATATCGTAGGACCAGTGTTGAGAAGCCATGGATTTCCGAGAATTTCTTGATGAATGTTCTTGAGGCTTGGTTAGGCGGAAGATCGGTGAAATTTCATACTCCATTGGTGGAAAAACCAATGATGCGGAATTATACGCTCTGTGGGTGGTTTCGCTCGAGCGATTTCGTTTGTTCCATTGCTGAAGAGGTGTGTGAAGAACACATAATGAATATGGATAATTATGGGGGTATGGCATCGTTTATTGAGCGACCTAACTTCGTAGAATCTTGGGGAGAAGTCATGATGCCGGAAACTCAGTGAGGGTTAATGGACATTATTCTTTGATGGCGAAGGTTTGTGATATTAAATTCTAAGCTTGGGTTCATACCTAAGACAGTGGACTTGACAGCAGCCAGTAATCCCGATGCCAAGCCCACTTACCTTCTTCAGATCGCTATTTCGACTCGCTATTTGTCACCGGGGGGAAATCACCTCTTTACGATAGCATGAAGGCAAAGTCGCCCGTATTAACCAAATCACTGGGTATTTTGATTTCCTCCATATCAGTTGACTTATTCATTGACTGGCAGACAATCATGTAACGTTTGGTTGAACGTGGGCGAACGAACAGCGGACGATAGCGACGCCCAATCAGCGCTCAGAACAAACTAACATATTTCCCGATTCGGTATTTTTTTGTACCTCTCCACTTTTATTCAATCCTTGTTATCGCAATTGACAATAGAAAATTCTATTTTACAGCGTGAGCACATGATAAGTTGCGACTGATTTCACAGTGCAGTGTCGCACTTCAATAGTGAGGCCGTCCGTATAAAAGACACGATTACAATACCTTCAGCAAGTGCTTAGTAGGCAAACTTATGAAATTGTTCAGAAGTTATTCGATGTGACTTAGGAGTTATTTTCAATTGAGTGGATACGATTGCAGTACGCCTCAAATAGCGTTGCAAACGCATGAAATCATATGAACAATCTCCATAGCTCATCCCATTTCACAGTTTAAATACTTCGTTGGTCCCCATATTTCCCGATTCATATCGGTGTTGATAATGAAGTTTTCCATTTTGAAGAGGATATTAAACACTTATCACTGTGGAAACCACAGTGTACCTATCCCTAAAGGAGAATCGAACGTAGCCACAGGATCTCCACGATTACCGATTCCGCACTGACTTACCCTCAAGGGTATTTTATATATAATGGGGTGGAATTCTCTCGTCTTCCTCTCTCTTCATTCCCCAGTCCAGTCTGATAAGGATTACTTCTTCGTTCCACACCCAGACTACGTCGCGGTTCCGTAGCTTACTTCAAGTATTTTAGACTTACGACCAACCCCTCTAGAAATTGCGAAAATGCCTTTCTGGGGCAAAGCCGATGAGATTGTCCGAGCTGCAATAGCCAGGTACGTTCGCGGAAAATTCTTAGGAGGCTAGTACTCAACGCAATACTATTTAAGACGTGGCTATTAACTATCAACCAATAGATGCGACGAAACACGCCGGTGTCACCTTGAGAACATCCCTCCCGAGTTAAAGAAAGCCATCCTTAGTTATGCTGGTGGCAGCTCAGCCGTCAATCTCGCTCTAACCGGACCCGTTCTGTATCGTACGATAAAAGACGATGAGACTTACGCTGCTAATGAGATCGTCAGCGGCGAGGTCGGCTTGGACCTTCTACCACTTGCAATCACGCGAAGATGTGCAGAGACAGAACAACGACGATACAGGGGGGTTCCGTGGGATGCCCCGGCGCGCATCATGGCAGTAACAAATTTGCTCATCCGCGTTACACGAAAGCCCCTTACTCGCTCCAGGCTTAATTTCTGCCTGAAGGAAGCTAAGGTGTTCTCAGACTTCCACTCGACAGCCTGTAGGTATGCGCGAATCTTTGCAAGCAAAGCCTTGCGTGAAGGTCCCCGTTCGCTTAAGCCCACAACACACCTACCTTCGGTACCCGACTATGTGCTACGAGTCACGGATGGGGAAATGAATCGCTTTATCAAAGCGCTCTACATATTTCAGATGGCATGCGACCTATTTCCCGAGCATATCGAGAGGCCGTTCTTGGCTGGGCGAGGCGAGGATTTATACGAAGCTGAAAAGTATTTCTGGACGACCTTTCCACCGTGGGAACACCAACAGGTTCGCTGCGTCCAGGATATGATGCACGAGCATATACGAGATAGTAAGTTGAACGGACTCAATACTATAATCTGATATTGATGATTTTCCAGTGGTATCATGCCTCCCTTCTAACGAGATAATCGGAAAGTTCGTCATCATGGAAGGCCTAAGTTCGGTGCAGAAGCTGAGTGACCAGGGGCGTATCGAGGAAAAGCTCAGGGAGATGGAAAAAGACGATAAAAACGAAGATTTAGAGGAAAATAGATCAGAAGCCTGGTTTTCTGAGACTGACGAGCCTTGGCTACTCTTCGACGTCGAAAACTATGAAGTCACCATGAATACGAGAGAAATCGTGGAGAGGAATAAGGATGTCGACCTGGGTCCGGTAGGATCTTGGCTCCACACGCTCATTCAGCGCCTTCTCTGGGACCCTATGTTCCTACCTGGTAAAGATGCATATTTTAAATGCGATAGTTGTATGACACGGTGGGGTTACGTTTTTTGGGACCGTAACAAAATCAGCTGGCATGCGTATGATAAGATGCCTAAGATTGAGGATATGGTCAAGCTTTCCAATGGAACCGTGTTCGACAGAAACATCTTTATGACCCCGCTTAACTTTACTGGGCGGCGTAAGGGCTTATGTAAAGGATGCCGGGGTGACTGGTTTATGTAAGGCCATAGATGAGACGAAAGGAGAGGTCCAGTTAATTTAGCTATAGCAGAAAGAAGCATTCTGAGAAGAATGGTGGAGAATTCTACTCCTTTTGTATTATATATTTGGCGATTGGCCACAGGATAGCCAAATTCTCATCTCAATTCATGAAAACCACACGGCAGCCACGTTGAGCTTTTTACTGGTTGATTTTGTCTTTGACCTAAGCTTTCCCCTTTTTTTAATCAAGACGCCTAACTCATATCGCAGCCAGAACTATTTATCCACTGTGTAGTAATACCACAGTGCAGTAAGCTACATCAAAATTAACCCTAAATAACATTTTATATACAGTGTAGAACTCCGAATTTGATGTTTGCCACAGTGTGAAGCTACTCCGGGGGCTGATTATGCGCTGACCGGTCGTCATGATGCTTTTATATATATACCTGGGCATAATTTTCCCATCTTCCTTTCGTTTCACTCTACTTTTCCAACTCCAACCTAAGAAGCATCCAGCTTACCATCACTGAGATTCTTCTTACTCGACACCTGGACTCTAACGTGAGCGATACACACCAGTATCATACATAATATCTTCATTCCGTCTCATCCTTTAAATCCTTTCTCCTTACCTAGGTAATATTAGGCATCGTTGTCCACGCCGAGCCGGATATTCGCCTTGCGAGACCGCGCTATTATTGGCATAGGCGTAAGTACCTATCGTCGACTAAATAAGTATCGATGGCTTCATTTCTAACATCGGTCACAATATAGTCGTCGCATTCTTACAAGCGATCAAAACGATGCCTTCGCAGCTTAGCGCCAAGAAGGCGGTCCGAGCCGCAACTAAAAGGTATGTTCCTAATCCATTCTAATAACTATTGTTTGATATAAAAAAATAAAAGGCTAACCATCCCATTGTTTAGAGGCGATGAGAACCGCCGCTCCAGATTGGAGAACCTTGCCAACGAACTCCTCACCGCTATCATCGGGTGGAGCGACGCTGCAGATACAATTAACTTGGCCCTGACAGGCCCGGTTATGTACCGAAAGATAAAGTACAACGAGCTCTATCTTTCTACTAAAATAGCAATCAATCGGATTGGTCTGGACCTTCTTTTGTTTGCCTCATCACTCGTGGCCACCGATTCCTGGCGCTTCTGGGATTATGACGCCGATTACCCAGAGATACAATCCTCGTTTTCGACGTTCTTCAGCAAGAGTATTACGGCTGGGCTATCATCGAAGAAACGGCCATTTCCCCTTCGCGCGACTAAAAAGCTGCTCAGCTTCCACGAGACCATCTGCTACTATGCATCGACTTTTGCGGCCTCGGCCATACGTAAGGGCTATTACCACGCCGAGACAGGAGAGAGTGTACGAAGCGAGCCTGATTTTCTATTCCAAGTGTCCAGCGAAGAAGAACATCGCTTCATTAAGGCACTTTACATTTGGCAATTGGGTTGCAACCTCTTCCCCCGAAGAATCAAAGCACCCGGCTTTTTAGACTTCCAGGCGATGATGTTCAACATGGTGCAGGAAGGATTTTGGACAACATTCGCGCCATGGGAGCACCAACAGGTCCGGTGTGTCCAAGAGATGATGTATGAGCATCTCAGGGATGGTGAGTTAGATTGATAACGTTTGATCATGATAAACATATACTAACGATTATCTAGTCGTGTTCCGTGAATCCGGTCGGACCTCTTCGGACGCAAATATCGGCAAGGTCCCTAAAGGGTTCGTTTACCAATATATGATCGAAGAAGGACTTCAAGGTATCCGAAAGCACGAAGTCCAAGGGACAACGGTGAGATCCTTGCTTTATATCGGCCTGTACAATTTTGAAGGTACAACAACTCATCTAGGGAGACTCAATTCCCTGGGGCGGCATTTTGAGGAACCCGTGGGTTGGTTTTCGGAGAGCGATGAACCGTGGATGAACGTCGACCGAGCCACGAAGACCGTTAGCCTTGACACCCGGAACATCATATCGGCATTTCACGATACTGATAGTGATTCCGGTCCCCTCGATGCTTGGCTTTACACACTTCTCCTGAAGCGCATTGGCGACGACCCGATCTTTAGCACTCACGCCACGGCGCCATTCTGGTGCGAGAAAGATATGAGCAAGTAGGGTTTCGTCTTTTGGGACAGGAACAAGATCTAATGGTACACCCGCAATAAGATGCCTACCACAAAGCAAATGGTAGATGCTTCCAAGGACATCTTAGTTAGCAGGGAAGATTTTGTGGATTGTGAACTTACCTGGGGTCGGCGCCTTTATTTCTCATAAGAAGCACCGGCGTGGTAATGGAAGTGAAAATAAATAAGAAAGTCAAGGGGTTGTTCCTGTTAGACAAAGCATAGCCGCCCCAGGGTGAGCGGATTGCTATGGGTTATGTATATGCAGATTCACTATTATTTAGTATGAAGAAATCTAGCGATAAAACAACGAAAGATGTGATTGATTCCTAACTCATAATGAATCAAGTGAGGAGGTAATCAGCTGCCGATCTCCGGTCAAGCTGTAATTACCAAGTAGGTATCATTTGTCCCTGGGGTAAGCACCCAAATTCATAACAACAACGCCCCCTATTCAACACTCCAGATCATGACAAACACTATCCTCTTCTCCCCCCCTTTTTCCTTCCGGAAGTGCGTCGCCTGTTAGCCTCCTTTACCACTCAACTTGTGACATATCAACCGGGTTGGCCGCCATACCCCATCCCGCATCTTGCTCAAACCATGCAGGGGAGTCATCCGGGGTGTCGTCAGGGATATCGTCGATGCTGGTAACGAAACGAAGGGGAGAGCCCTGTCCCTTAGCCAAGCCAGGACGTAGATTAGGGTTCCCAGCACTGTCCAGGGATGATCGACTCATAAGCCATTCTCGATAATCGCGATATTGCTCCCTCAGGAGAGTACGGTTCTGACGATAGTGAAACTTCATTCCAACCCTGCAGATATCTACCGCGCTAAAGATTTGTTGTTTGAATATAGCGGTCAGTCGTGTGACGAAGTCCCGCGGATCCAGTTGATCTCTGAGCCACTCCAAGTGGTAAGCTTGGTCAGGTTGGCCCTTGAAGTTGTAATGTGCGACCAGGATAGCAACTCCAGCAGCTATAGCCTCGGGGTCATTCATGGGAATTAGAACCACATCCTCCAACTCAGAGTCTAGGTTCATCTGTATATAGCGGTAATTTCTGATCGGCGCTAGATTCTTTTCGAGAGCCTTCTTAAGTCTCTTAGCCATCAAATTGCGCACCAGCTGCTCGTTGTTATCCGGGTCATGCAGGCGCCACTCAACAGGCAGGCCCTTAATCTGAACCGCTCTGAAATGCTCGTTGCCTTTATTGAACTTGAACTGAATGTCCGGGAGACGCTTCCAAGGCCCTGCAGGTAGATCCAGGGTCAATCCCATTTGTTCAGATCTATCTGGTCCTAAAGCGTCCATAAGTCTGCCTCGAAGGACTCGAAGTCTAAAGAAACCATCTATGCGCCTGCCCTCACGCTCAACTCGCTCTTCTTCGAGTGTAATGCTCTTCTTTGGAGATATATCGGGATTGTCAACCGGCGAGTCACTTAGGCCCGACGCCTCAAATCTTTCAATCATGCCTTGCCAGAAGAGGTTGCCGGTTTTCCAAAGCTTGATGTCGAAAAACTTTTTCATTTGACGAGCGTTGAGCATCTGTAGCGTATGGAGCTCATCATCGGTTGCGACAGCTAGGCCACCGTGAGCGCAGAAGCTTTCGAAGAAAATGTGAGGCATTTTGGTGAAGCTCCGTTCTTTTTATTGATTAGCCTAAGTAGGTGTGAGGGGTGATGGCATGCAGTGAATGAGAAAGGCCGTGAATAGCTTTGTCGTGATAGTGGGATGTGTTGTGAAGATTCTAGAGTGCTTTGTATTTCAAGGAGAGAAGACAAAAGGCGAAAGGTGTCGAAAACTGAATAGGATGGGTGTACTTACTCTGGAAAGATCACTGCATTTAAGTTCGCGGAACTGACAAGCGAATAGGGGAAAGCGTTGCGTGAGTGTTGCGTGAGTCGACTGTAATAGGCGAGAGTGTTGCGTGTATCTACTGCGAGAAGCAAGAGCGTTGCGTGAGTCTACCGAAATAGGCGAGTGTTTCGTGACTACCGTAAGAGGCAAGAGTTGCGTGTGTCTACTGTAAGAGGCGAGAGTGTTGCGTGAGTCGACCGTGATAGGCGATAGCCCTCTAGATCGCAGAAACGAGAAGGAGCAAATATCGAGATGAACCCGCCAATGCCGCCAATGCCGCACATGCGCAAAGATTCCAAAACACGAAATCGTAATGATATCTTTGACCAGCGTCCGAAATCTGCAAAGTATTAGATAACGGAATATAGAAAGGGGTTGATGAAATAGGGATAGGTGAAATATGTATGGTAGAACTAAGAATTAATTTTAAAGGGGGAGGGTATATTCAGGGAAACTTTTGAGAAAGGTAATATTTCAGTTGGAAAACGAGTACCTAGGTACGTACGATCGAAAGGTATGTACAGCAATGTGACCATTGAGCAGTATGGGACGAATAGGTCTCAAGCGATTTGGATGGGCTACCCCTTTAGCGAAGCACCGGGAGATGAATAAGACGAGAAAGAGATTTGTGTGTAATAGAAAAGAATGATATATTGGATCTATATTTCTTGCCGATTAGGGCACCGGAGTGAATATGATGCTGTAGCTGCGTGGGTAGAGGAAGAAAAGAGTGCGACGAGGAAATTTTGCAGAAAGAACAAACCAGAAGAGGGATTAATAGCATTAAATGATTAAAGACGGACGACCAGCGTATCAGACGAAATAGATTTCAACTTTGGGGTGTATCCAGCCAGTTGAGAGATAACCAGGAAGTTGCCAAAACTTGTGATCCTACACATCGTATTTAAGTAAGTAAGTGGGAGGCCTTCCACTCCGCTTCGACGAATTTCAGGGATTTATGACCCCTATCTACGATCCCAAGATACCTAGATGAAATAGTTAGCACACAAAATTTGATTTAAATTCGTAAGGAATGTGCTTACCACCCGGATCGGACGAGCCTCCAGAGGCTGACTCAATTAATTTGGGTATGATGACTTTAGGAGTCAATGGGCTCATTAGACGAAGATAAGAATAGTCACCGGATAATTCTAGGTATCTAGGTAGAAGCTAGTCAGGTACCTAAAAGTCATCGAGATACATATTCTAAACTTTAAGTACATAGATACTTCCAAGCGAAATCCCACGCTCGTCGATTCAGTTTAAGGAACGAGCCCGTTAGTTGAGCCCTATTCGTAACTAGGTAAAAGGGGTAAGCCACGTGGTAGTTAACGGATGCACTCTAAAATACCAATTCACATGTAGAAGGTGCCCCCCTTACGCAGGGACCTACCTACCTAGGTGCCTCCGCTTGACAACTCTGTAAACTTTGATAAGTCTACTTACTAGTATCTTACATAATTAAGTACCCGCATGGGCTTTTACAGAAATAGGTATTGTGTATTGTGGGAAGGTGCGATTATCGTCTACCTTAGCCCCTATTCGAGCAGGGCAAGATTCAAATCACCGAACTTCATCACTCCTACCTTTTTCAATGAACTCACTCCGTAGAGAAACTTCCATCTAGTTTTATAAACTATTATTCTACTGTCTATGCATATGTTTACGCCAGTACCTATTTCAGACATTTAATTCATCCATGCCTTCGTTCTCATTAGGTATTTATAGGAAGGAATAAGAATATCTACTTCCATTCTATATGGCTAAGCTGAACCTTTCTAGTCATATAAAAGGAAAATGTTTATAATAAAAACATAAAAGCACATGAATTTTATACCTATATCTAGAAAGACAAAATGATTAATTGCCTATGTGAGCACGCTCGACTGGAATTATTCGTCGCGCGGTTCGAAGTACTCATTTTACATCCTATTATCATATTCGAAGATGAATACCTCCAGCCCCTCTTTCAGCGTCTCGGGACATGTATAAAATCCGCCTCGAAGGTATATCTGCGTTTCTGAATAGGGGAGAGCTTCATGATGACTAACATCTTACATAATACCGTGATATTACGCTCTCGGAGGGATTATTCCGCCGGCGTTTTCCCCTTTTTATTCGCGCTAAGCCACAAGTCCTAAAAACCGATCCATTCCTGACTGACAAATCTATTTAGCCCGAGACTACATATGAGTGGTGGTAGGTACCTATCAACATTTAAATCCTCCTAGCTCGATTTCGATATGTACGATGATGAATAATCAACATGGATTCAGACAGGTTGAAGCAATTAGAAAAAGCCGAGGCGGAATTACACGTGAGAAATAATATTTTTTATTAGGACATTGATTGATTATGCGGTTTATCTTTGCTAACATAATAATAGCGTCGTCGTGAACGTGGGAGACTAGCGCAGCGCGCATTTCGGAAGCGTCATGGTAAAGCGACACAGGATAAGCACACTGAGACTCAGAAGTTGAAAGCTGCTATAGAGGAGATCGTCCGGGTAGTACGCCGTGATGATCGTCCCGAATTGATCCGAGCTGTTCGGGAAGCAGCCGAGATGACTGGGTCGGATGTACAGATATCCGATGATAGTCCCGGTACTACTGAAAGGGCTACTATGAGGCCGGCGTTACCATTACACAACTTGGGCGATCTTGTGCCCCTTATTGCGGATCCACCACCTGGGCTGACAGCGTCGACCCAAGGAAAAGTCGCTTTTAAGAATAATTGGCTGAATTGGAACCTCAACTATCCGGTGTCAACTACATCTGGAGCTAAACTGGATTCGGCACAAACAAGCACGAGACCGGGCTATGGAAATTGGTTCGAAACAGACCGATATATACGAAACGACAGCCCCCCTTTAGACATCATCCCATATCTCGGCACGGGGATGACGACGTTTGCCGGGCGATTATTCTGGGCCAGTGGAGAGTATCTACTCCATCTTTGCTGGCAGGCTGAAGCCAACGAGAAGATAAACCCGCGCGTCGCAAGGGAGGCCAATGAAAGGATTTGGAATATGATTCGACATTCACAACCTCTACACAATGTACGATATATCATAGCCTTGGCGGAGGCGCGCCGGGAGTTCCGCGACCGTGGTTTCATTGAGGGGAATAATCCAGCGGGAGAGGCCGACTCGGGTTGTCTTTTGAATGAACATGTAGTGGCGGACTATAAGGCAAGAGGCGAGGACCCAGCTGGTTGGTTATCTCCAATAGCTGTCGAACAGGAACTTCGCAAACGCTTGAGTCAAGAGTCATACAAGCAATTTGAGACGGCACTGGAACGCTGGGGATCAAATGAGGCAGAAGGACCAGTCGCCGAGGTGGTTCAATCTCTGATTCAGAATCTAGTAACAAGTTTCGTATGTTTTGGGGATGGACCTCGGTGGCACACTGACTTTGTGGCGGCCTTATTCGGCGGGCACGTTCGGGTTACGGCGGCATAAGACAATTCTCACAAAACGAGAAGTTCAGTGAAAAAATAACGACGGATAGGGGTTATCGATCACCTATAGGCCTATGAAAATTGGCCGTAGGTCTATTCCAAACTACCTACCGAGGTATGCTTGGTTGTAGAATTAGTTTGGGATCCGGAAGAAGAATTATCCCTGGTGAGCTTGTCAACCTCTAACCACCTAGAGGTGGTGTAAAACATACGATTATGGAATTTGGTTTAATAATTCCAGTTTCATTGCATATAGGGTATCGTGAAGGAATCGGAAGCGACACGTTATGTTGTTGTCCGAGAGTTTCACGACTTTGAAGCTTCCTTGGAGTATCTTTCTTCCCAGTCATCTTGTAACAGGTGTAAGCAATTAAGCACACCTGGACCGGCCTTTTTATCAATAATGTCCCTTTGGTATCTCGTCATCTTTCTTAATACATAATCGGAAACCGACGCTTGATCTCTCGCCTCGGGGCGGCCAATTCCAATTGAGATGCGTGACCAATGCGTTCCGGGGAAGTCGCCGATTCTGAGACTCGAATTGATGCTTTTGATACCATTGTGACCTCGGTGGCTTGCGTTCCACTTTCGTATTCGGACGTGACCTAACTCCTCTTCGAGATCGTCGTGAACTACTACTAAACTAAGCTCGCTTGGCTTCAATTGGTGATTCTCCAGCATTTCCTTCCAAGCCTTGGCAACCCAAGGACCAGAGACATTCATCAAGGTTGGGCTTTGCACCATGGTATAGGTATGGCTGGGTGAGGCGAGGCATGCTTTCCGGCCATATCGTTCAGACGCGAAGGGAGGTTGGGATGCGCCGATTAATCTTTGCGCCGAAACGAGTGCGAAATGACCGGCGGAGTGGAGGCATTCGTAGTATGGTGCTTGGTTGCCCAAGCTGACAATCAAGAAACGAGGATCGAACATGTCTTGGCCTAGCTAAGCCATAATATGGAGAAGAGAATGATCACCTACCACGTTATAAAGAGTGGATGTTTACCTAGGTAAGTTGGAAGGTGTTGCGACGCCGATAAAAAGAAAAGAAAAAGAAAAGTCCCAATTGAAAGGAAGCTTCAGCCACTAAGAAATCGGCGGGGCATAGAATGTGCATAGAATGTGTGGCCCAATTGGAGAAACGAAGAGGTACCAAGTACCAGGTAACGCGGGGTTCAAAGGTGCCGTTAACCGTTTCGTGGCGCAGTAAGTTTCGCTGACGTAGCACTTTCGGAGTTCATGATTTCACTTGGCTCAGCCACTTTTTCTTGCCTGTGTTGTCTGCCTGTGACCAATCCGTCGCCGACAATAATTCCTGAATCACCCAAGAAAAAACACGACTTTAATCCTCCAATCCTCTTCTTCATTTTTAATACAAGTAAAACACCAATTCCTGCGTCATTCCCAATTTATGTGTCCTCACTTTGCGAAACCATTGTTTTCAATTCACACGATACCCGATTATTCGACTATACCCATTTTACAGAGCGAAACAAGAAAACATCGCGAAAATGTCGTGGGCAGGTATGAACACTCTCAATTAGGCAGAAAGTTGATCATACCAACTTGAATTTTCGTTAATGGTGTACTTCCTAGGATTCAAGAAGAACGTCAATCGCGCGACGACGCAGGTTATGATGAAGACGGGCCATGTCGAAAAGACGAACGACCGCGATTACGAAGTCGAGGAGAGACGATTCCGAACTATGGAGGCTGCTTCGCTACGACTCCAAAAGGAAGCAAGAGGATATCTAGATTCGATACGAGGTGAGATTATAATTGGCAGTGTTGAATGGTATTCGCAACAGCAGGTTTACTAAGAATTATTTGTAGCCATGACAGCATCTCAGATGCGCATAGCCGAGACGATAGATGCTTTCTACGGCGATGCGGGTGCTAACGATGGTGTCAGTCGAAGCTACAAGCAGGCCGTGGAAGATCTAGATACCGAGACAATTAAAGCGCTAGATGGTCCCTATAGGTATGATCCAATGAGCCACTATATGGGAATTAAAGGTTAACAAATATTAGAACGACAGTATTGGAACCTATCACCAAATTCTGCGCATACTTCCCTGATGTCAACGAATGTGAGTCTTGATATGCTATTCCGATCTTCAACCGCTGCTAATACACGCATATAGGTATCAAGAAGCGTGGTCACAAATTACTAGATTACGATGCGCTACGAGCCCGAGTCAAGAAGCTAGCTGAGAAGCCCGACAAGGATGTAACGAAGCTCCCGCGCACGGAGAAAGAGATGGAGATAGCAAAAGCCGCCTATGAACAACTCAACGAACAACTATCCTCCGAACTACCCCAACTAATTGATCTCCGAGTGCCGTATCTCGACCCTAGCTTCGAAGCCCTCGTCAAGATTCAACTCCGATTCTGCGCCGAAGCTTACAGCAGAATGGCCCAAGTTCAGCAATACCTAGACGCGGATACTAGGGATCAATATGCGCAGGGACAACTGGACTCAAGGGTTGAACAGGTTCTGCAAGAGATTCGGGAACTTAGCATTAGCGGGACGGTATAAAAGGATTGCGATTGAGTTTGAGCATGAAAACGCGGAGTTGAGGCTTCTATTTCTCTACTAGGCGTGGTACGGTCTGGGTTGGCATTTTCGTAGGTAGATACCTACTTTGGAACAAATCCCTTCGTGATTCACGGGTCGCGTTAGATACCGATAGGGATTATGGTCTTTCGAATAGAAATTGCGTATATTTGAAAGTACTGACTAGCATTGTATTCCATCAAGGCTGCACTGTCCATACCAAATGGCCAGACATATTTTACCCTATCCCATTATACATATCTACCTGTATGTATTCTCGCTTAGATCTGTAAAATGCAGCTGCTATATTACGTAAGATGGCTGAGATGTAGACGGGAACCTGGCCAAATACCCCGCGTAGCCCAATCATTCCTTCACACTTCTACGCTGACCGTACAGGCAGCCACCAGCCACGAGGTTCTCCAGTCAAGAAACATTAAACCATGGATCCATTCACGGCCTTTGGTATAGCCTGCAATGTCATCACCGTCGTCGATGCAGCTATCAAATGTGGTAAAACGATTATGGAGCTCTACGACTCGACAAGTGGCTACACGCGAGAGACCGAGGCCTTACTAAATGCCCTCGGCGACTGGGAGGCTATAAATAATGAAATGGAAGCGGCAGAGTCTCAATTACGCCAAACAGATACGCATAAGAGCCTTCAGGAAGCTACCGCCAATTGCGCCAAAATATCACGACAAATGAAGGACATTGTCATTTCATGCGTTCCAAATACTAGAAAATCTTTTAGGTCCGCTATGAAAGGAATGATCAATACAAAAGCCAACAAACAAAAAGTCACGCAGCTACGCGAGCAACTAGAGCAATCCGGGTCTAGGGTGACTTATCTAGTCGCTGCTGCTACTAGGTGACTCTCGCGGCCTACGCACTCATACTGTAGTCTTTACTAACATCTACCGGTATATGATCCTCAGGTCCGACGTGACACAGATTTTAGTCAGACTGGAACAGGCCCAGTCAAGTCATCGCTCTGCCATAGAGAAACTAGATGACCTAAAAGACTATCTTGATCCTACGAAAGGCAATGAACGCCTTTTAGAGGCTATTAACTCTATAAATGCCGTATCTAATGAAGTTTTGGAGGCCGTTATGCACGAAGTGATTGTTCGAAGCCTCCGAACTAGTTTCCCCTCTGCAAAGACACGCTTTGAAGCTGTAGATGATGCTGAGGCAGGAACCTTCTCCTGGATCATTGAGAAACCTGATAGGATCCTGGACATGGAAGAAAACCTTCAAATTAGCTTTGCTGAATGGCTGAGATCGGGATTAGGGGCGTTCCATATCGCTGGTAAACCAGGATCCGGCAAGTCGACTTTGATGAAACTCCTTGCGACTCATAAACTCACTAAAGAGCTACTCAGAGATTGGGCTGGGGACAAGCACCTAATACTCTCAAATTTCTTTATTTGGCGTTTAGGTGGAAGAGACCAGAAGACATGGAAAGGCCTTGTTGGAAGTCTACTTTATGATACAGTGTTACAAACACCGAGTATCACCAAGATTCTCTTTTCAGGCCACTGGGAGACTGGGCAAGCCTGGCTGAATCATAAGGCCAATACAGTCATACACTTTTCGGATTCCGAAATACGCGCTGCTTTCGACAAACTTATTAATGGTCCTGAGATTCATAAAAACTTTCGAATTTGCTTCTTTATCGACGGTTTGGACGAATTCCAAGAACCAACAGAGTCCTATAATGAACTGGCTGGAAGGATAAAAGGCTGGTCGCAGGCATCATCAAGTACATTAAAACTCTGTGTTTCGAGTCGAGAATACCCTTCCATCGAGCGCGTGTTCTCAGAAACCCAAAGAATACATTTACATAAACTAACCTCCCGTGATATCAACCGATTAACCCAAAGGAGGCTCTGTACGAACCCTATATTCGTCGCTCTACGGCGAAGAGAAGGCCCCGGAACTGATGTCTTGGTCAAAAGGATCGCAGCCGAAGCTGAAGGGGTCTTCCTTTGGGTAGTACTTGTTGTCGCGCTAGTCCAGGAGGAATTGGCTGCCCTTGGTGAGAATATTTCAATAAGACACCTAAGCCAGATACTTGACCAAGTCCCTAAGGAACTGGAAGATTTCATTGGCGAGATTGTTAAAAGAATCAATAAACATCATCACGGCAAGGCAATGTTATTGCTTGCTATGGCTCTACGAATGGCTGGTCAAACTATTGATGATGCACCACCTTCAGGGCACGCAGACCCATCGGATCATCTAGCGCCGTCGGAGAATCGCGAACGGCTTTTGGTGCGCGATACCAAAGCGGGCGAACTATCTGTACTAAGTATATCGTTATACTTTGAACCATACGGACCGAATGAAACCACCTTCGATCCGGGATTTGTATCAAATAGATGCCTATCTGGTGTTCATTTAGTGAACACTTGGTGCCGTGGTCTCCTGACAGTCCAGGGAGACTCTGCTAGATTTAGCCATAGGAGTATTCCAGAGACCATCCATCGCATTCTGAAAAAGCAAGAAGAGCCGAAGATTACCGACAACCAAGTTATAGAAGCAATCCTTAAGATGGTCCTCGTGGAAATACAGCTGCCAAGATATGCTTTAACATTCAAAAGACCCGATAGAATCGAGTTTATGGTGTGGCTGTTGTCACTTACTAAGGTCCACCAAGAAGCATTCCCAATCCTCCATACAATTGAGAATGGAACTCCGAACCATCCTTCAAAACGTTACTATCACATGGGAAGCTTTGCGCATATTAATGGGTCAGATTATACCGACGAAAGTATCCTAAACGCTTCGGCTCGCATCGGGTTATTTGATTTCGTTATATGGGAGATTGAAAATAACCTGGAGCTTCCTGAGCATACCAACAGAATAGAATTTCTTCTAGCGTTTGCCACCTGGAGCACCCTTCAAGGTACAAGTTCAAAGAACGAGTTCCAGCTAGTCCTGGACACTTGTGTACGAAAGTGGAAAGAATCGTCTTGTAACCCTCCTACTCCTTTTCCTTGGACTTTAACGTGGCTTGACTTCCTCATGTACTCAATCTTTCGAAGGACGCTTCATATATTTCCAAAATATGTTGGTTGGTCCCTCCTTGAAAGCTGGCTTCAGATCGGGTTAACTTGCCCTTTCACGCTGGCAATTTCCAAACCCGACCCTACCGATATTTCTGGAAATCCGAGACCTGATGGCCTCAAGCCCGGCACCATCGGGATCTTGTATCCCAGGATAGACGGCTTCGAGTCGATAACCGGCGTGTGCTATAATTGGAATCTGGACACAAGCGGGCCCTCAGCCAAGGGGCGAGGTCCAGGGTCAGTAAGTGATCTCTGGAGCCTCGCCCACGCCGATGGGCGCGGCGGTCGACTCAATCTGAAGGATTTGATAGTGTTTCACAAGCCTGAAAATAGCGGGCGTCTATTGGAACTATTGGAAAGAAACGACACCTACGGTCCAACAGAGTTCGGAGAATTACTACTAGACATCCAGCAAAGTCCACCAGACGAAAAGATACCATTTACTTCTGGTTATATAGCGGATGGACGGATCCGTCCGGTTGGTGGCAGCACTACCGAGCACCCGGCCAACGCGGTTGACTCGGAAGTACAACCATTACCACCCCCGCCTCCAATGGACCAAGAGGGAAAGCTTGACCTCAAGTTTGATCTTAAAGTTGTCGGTAAGATCTCCTTTCGTAGATTAAGGGAGTCATGAAGACTGATAATTTTAGGCATATTCTTCTCTGCCATAATTTCTTTCATCCTAGGATATCTATTAAAATAGGGTTACGTGGTATTAAGGGAGCGTTTCTAGAGTTTTCTTAAAGGATTCCATGTAGACATTATTTTATTTCCGTGGAAAAAAGTATGTAGGTAGATATCATATGTTGTTAATTCAATTAAGGGACAAGAAGACGGATAAATTATTGTTTTTGTCCCAGAGTGGCGACGGCTGTCCTAAGTCACTGGTCGCGGCATCCAACCAACGCCTTCAGTGGATCAATCTGGTAGTTTTGGGCTACGACCCTTGCCTTATATAGTTTCTCTTTTGAGTGTCTAGGGGATACTATGGCCAAATCAAGATCCTTTGTTACCTAAGTATCAATAACCTGAAACTGTCTAGCCCTGAACACCAGGGTGACAGGCTTGGATGGAATTAACATCCAGATTCTTCAGATAATGTGCTTTTATACGCACATGAACGCGGCGCAAATCCATGTGTACGAAGCAGTATCTCACAGCGAAAGCGTCGAAAAATAGGGGTAGACGCCGGATAGCATATTACATAATACAAACTACCACCATTATGCAAGCCAGCTGCATTACATAAGGTAAGGGGAGTTGATTAAGTAAGATAAGATAATTATGTAAGGATTCCTGACATAATATCCCCCAGCTACATAAGCTCTACGATTACGTCAGGAAGCTGCCCACGTGAACTTGAAGATTACATAGTGCTATTCATTACATAACACAGCTCGTTCCATAAGTTGGCAACCCCGCCAAAAAATTGAATAATAATATCAATTCTTCCTTTTCACAACTTCTATTTACGCCCGTTCAACAACAGTTTGACGCAATTGATGTAGTTCTGTGGCGATTTCCACTAGACAGGAAGTATAATTGGATGGACAGAATTCATAAAAAGCCTGTGAAAATCGCCGTCATATACACTGTTCTATATCTATAGAGCGAGATTCATGACATCTCCTATCAACGCGAAAGCCTAGGCCTTAGGGAAGTGTAACAATGATTGATACCCAATACACCATGTGCCTACATATCAGGTACCAATGTGATACCTACCTTGGTACTAGGATACCTCAGTTTATAGTATCTCTGTAGCCGCATGAAGCCCATCCATAGTCTGCCACTTATTAGTGCGACGATTCCCAACCGCCAATTCCCCCAAAAAGCCAGGGTAATTATTTCACATACAAAAGCCACCAACGTAGGCACCCTACAGAGTGGGATTCCAAGAAAGTCTGATCACGCCGTCGCTAACATTCATTAGAAAACTATCATGGAATCTAGTGCCGCCGGCGGAATGCGTGTTCTCCCTTCGGCTCTCGAAAGAAAAGAGCACAAAGTATTTAATGAGCCGGTCCCCACAATCAACCTACCCCATAGGTGGGATGAAGAAGGAATATTAGTCGACAGTTCAAGGCCGAAGCCATGCGATATTTGCTCCTGGGACGGTGATCCCCAATCACTCTTCCAAGGTAGTAGATCAGTTAGCGGAAGCCACGCCGTTTCTCCACGACAGGACTGCGCCTAATGCTGACTACTACGTAGTATTTTACATGGAATGGGAATCTTGGGGGATTTTGAGATTATGGACCTTTCCCAAGGTGATCTATCTTTGGATCAAGCGAGAATTCAATTCAGGACGTACGACCATAAACTCCACGCTGCGGCAATATCTAGCAACGTTGACTCCCACGGGACACCATTTGAAAGCTACGATATTCCTATACGCCGACGGACGTATGCCGATGCGCTGTTCGAGGAGTCTTCCCAATGGGCACGAAAGCGGATTTCCGAATGCCTAAAATCTCACGAGTCGTGTCAGCAGTACCATCGAAACCAACGAGACGCTACCTTTATACCTTCACGGTTAATCAATATCGATCCTACGAAACTGGAAGGGGATGTTGTCCTTGAAACTCGAGACACCGTTCGTAAGGGTCATGTTGAGGTACCTAAATATGTGGCACTTAGTTATTGCTGGGGACTGTACAAGCCTGAATGCTTGACTACTGCCGAAACGGTAGCAAGAAATATGCAAAGGATCCCGTGGTCAATGCTTCCCGCGACTTTTAGGGATGCCATCAATTTTACGCGCTGTCTCGGGATAAACTACATATGGATTGATAGCGTCTGCATTATCCAGGGGGATAAAGAGGACTGGGTCCGTGAAGCGGGGTCGATGTTTGACGTATACAGAAATTCTTATGTAACACTGGCGGCTCTGTACGGCGACTCAAGCGATCGAGGCCTTCGCTCAATGTCAATGCAAGACCAGCTTGTGAAAATAGCGGATTTAGGTTGGGAAAAAGATCGATATCCCGTTTATATACGACCGGAGCCTCATTATCTATCAGGGTATTTGTCGGATATTCACGAGGATGCAAAGAACACGCTCAGGGCCTGGGGGCCTCTGTTCTATCGGGCGTGGACTTACCAGGAGCGCATGATTGCCCCAAGAGTTATTCTTTTCGACAAATCTGAGATTATCTTCCAGTGCTATAGCACCGCATCTTGCGAATGCGGCGCCATAACGGAAGAGTTGATGCGTTCAGACAGGGCGCAGAAGTTCACTTTTTTCGACTGCGCAATTGATACTGACCGAAAAAGTCGCTCTACTATCTCGCATTTTTGGAGAAGCAGTATCGCAGGAGAGTTCGGGGGGTTAGACATAACTAATCCTAGCGACAGGTTAATAGCTCTCGGGGCTATTGCTAAGCAATTCCAAAGAGCGTTCCCTGGTGAAGAGTATTTGGCTGGCCTGTGGTCAGGATCGTTCATCCAAGAAATGCTCTGGTTTTGTCCTGACTTAGATGCTGAGCTTTACGCCAACCGAAAGCAAACCTTGAATAGACCGTACTCCTTGCCAACTTGGTCGTGGGCATCCCTAAAAGGCAGCATGCATACCCATGTCGACCCACCGGACGACAAAATTCTCGCAACGGTCGTCAAAGCAGAATGTCAGTATGGAAATGACAATCGGTTCGGTATCCTGAAGAGCAGCTTCTTGATTTTATGTAGTAGATTATTACCCACTGAGATTAAATGGGCGGGTTTCGGTTTCACTCTCTGTCTTGAGCTCAATGCACTCACGTTCCTTTGGATGGATCATGATGGTACTGGGTACCAGAATGACCCCGAACGACAAGAAGTCTATCTACTTGAGATGGTGTAAAATGAAGTCGAAAGTTATTACTTGGTGCTGCGTCGCGGTGAAGATTGCGACGGTCGTATGTATTACAACCGGGCAGGCATTTTAACCTTCAACGCGGTTGGGAACCAAAAGGTGAAACATGAATGGGAGGATATTTGGAAAAAGAAGAGCGTCGTGTCTAACTGCGAGATCCGCTAGGGTGACCGTGGGTATTCTACTTCGTTTCTCGTCCGAAGTGGTATTTTTTTCTTTTTTTTTTTTGAGAAAGAGTTGAGTTGGTCAAGGAAGACTTGAAGTTCCTTTGGACGGTTTTCACGGGGCTATTCATTTAGTTTACTGTTTCTAAAAGCCATCGTGTCAGCTAAGTACCTAGGTAGGCCCCGCCCCATGGCATTCATTATTCGGCCGACATGGTTAAACCCTACACTATGAGGGAAGCAGCCAGCATTACCAATCCCCCGAACCCATCTATCCCTGAGCACCACTCCTCCCAACTCGCAGTACTCCTCGATGGAGTTTTAGCGTCTATGGACTGACGGGATAACCACGCATCGCCGCATGAGAGCTGACTCTCGTCTAGTTTGACTATCTCACCGTCAGCGGCCAATCCGAAGGAAACTTGGATCCCAGAATCCCTCTGGCTTTCTAACTTCCATGCAAATTCGTCGCCCGCTTCCCATAGTTGCTTCCTTGCTGGTAATGGTGCCAGGGCAAAGTCTGATGGGAGATCGCACATGGCCGCTGGCTCAAAGTAAATAAGCATGTTGACTACTCGGTATACCACGGCTAGTCTTCACTATTGTTAGCTTCCACTTCTAGCAGTTCGACCCGATGGGAAAGAATGGGTAGGTGTCTGACCTTCGTCTTGATTCCCTGAAGACCCACTCTTTCCAGCTTGTCTCTAGCCCGTTATTACAGAGCGCGCACTGCGTGTGGCATATGATATCGCTGCGACTTATTTGTTGGGCTATTATCTATATCGTTTCGTTAGACATAAGGTTCTTAAAAAGGAGGGGAGGGTAAACAGGTCTTACAACTACAGCTTTTACCAACAAAAAGTCGAAGTTATTGTGGTCGGTTTCGCCCTCATCCAACCGTAGGAGGACATAGATGGTGAGTGCTTGCATGGCTGCAAGTAGTTCCCATCTATTGAAGTTTTGATGCTTTTGGAAAATTACGAGTTAGCTTTCAGCCGCCGCCCCGTGGTCATGGGTGTTCAAGCATACCTCATCAGAAAATCGTTCGCATTCGCGTCGCACATTTTGCCAGAACAGTTTTCGGCTCCCCTGTATTCCGTTACCAATCATATGCACCAGACTAATACAATTCGTCAAGGGCTCCATGTGAGCATTTTCGACATCTGCGGATACTAAACTGGGGTGAATAAGGGGCGGAAGAGTGTTATAGCGCATCATCATCAGCGGATAGGACTTTAGTGTGTGGAAAATCAGTTTTGGTATCCTCTGCGTCCCGGTTTGAACTCTTGGTCGTTGGATCAGCGATCGGACGCTCCAATTTGGTGTTGCTGGTATCGAATAACTTGCGGAGGAGAGACCGTGTTGCAACCCAATCGCCTGTTCTATCGAAGGTGTCGAGCAACAACCGGAAGACGACGACGACGACGCCTGGGGCAGATAAGAATCATTCGTCTGTGTATGTAAGAAGTCGATGAAACCAATAGTGGGATCCCACTCGGGATACTCTTCTCCAAGACCCACCAATTCGGAATCTGGCGAGGTGAGTGCGATGTCGAGGTTGTTTCCGCTACCATGGCTTAAGTCTTTAGGGTTGTCCATAATGGAGGGCGGGACCGTCGACGGAGGTGCCATTTCGTCTTGCCCAGCGGGGCCATCATGTCCTTTCCGAATCTCTAGCCTTTTGGCTTTAGATGTTTTTACAGGGTATTGGCATTCGATGGATTTGCTTATGCATCTCGAACATTGAGGGTGCTTCTTGTCGCAAGCCGCTTTCCCTTTTGCGCAAGAAGTACAAGACCGGGGTCGGTTAGTGCTACCGGTTTTTCGAGACCGACAATAATAACCATGTCTCTTCAACGTAGACTCTAAAAAATAGCGTTAGGATTAATGTCAATTATAGCAGAAGTTGAGAAGCAAACGCACTCTTGTCAAACGGTTTATTACACTCTTCGCACCTTAGAACGAGTTGCACATCGAAATCGAATCCATCCATTCCAAATAGAGCCTGTAGCCAATCATACAATCTGTGCACGGGTTGCGTTTTCGGAACTTGGAAATAAACTTGAGGTGACAATTTGGAAATCCCGTCGCCGGAAATCAGCTGATGACCTGATGGATACATCGCATTTGTCAGCACTAAACCAGATCCTTCAAATTGGTATTGTCCGCCGGGCGGGTCATTTTGTACCGGGGGTGGAGTATCGTCAAAGAACTGTTAGAAGCGAAATTATGGGGCTAAACAGGTACCTAAGTACTTTAGTACGCCTCTTCTACTATTGTGACCGTTTGATTTAACGTATATCTACGTGACTAATTGGTTTTTTGAAGTTTGTAGTTACATCAATCGAAGTCGTTTCGTAATCTGCGTTGATGTCCCCCCAAATGAGGCTTCTCCGGCCGGACACTCTAGGGGCACCAAAAACTACCGAGACCTTCGGCGATTGGAGATGGGAAGAACGATAAGTCCATCAGAGTGAAGTAACCTTCGCGAAGTTCTCCAAGGACTCAAAAGGGAGATCAGGTCATATCTCAGGCGACTCAGTATCTGAAGCGTTACAGTGACCCAAACAGCATGCGCTTTATTACGTCGCCTCGAAACTGACCGCTATTACTATTACTAAGGTAACTACTTCTCAACATATTGTATGTCCGTACAATTTGTCCCGAAGGTTATTTGTTCTACATTCCGCATGTCCCTAAGAGGTTTGCTTGGACTAGACACTCCCTCTTACTTCGGCGTTAAACATACCTAGGTACTAATCAACCAAGTAGGAGCTACCTGGACCTCATGTATAAATATCAGTATGAATCGCTTGAAAGGTATGCCTTCTCCATCCATCACACAATCAACATTCTCACAGACATCAAACGAATATCCAATAATAATTATGGCTGAGAAAACACCTTTCCCTTCCCCAACCAAGCGATGGCACACCACAGCCCAACCATCCGCATCCCACACTCGGCCTGAACTATCCGCCAAAGGCAAGTCTGTGGTAGTCACTGGAGGGGGCACTGGCATCGGTGGAGAGACAGCTCGTCACTTCGCTGCGGCGGGTGCGTCTCGAATCGCCCTTCTTGGTCGCCGAGAACAGCCCCTTCTCGACAACAAGGCGTACATCAAGGAAAAGTTCCCCGGTGTCGAAGTCTTTATCAAATCCACCGACGTCACCAAAGAGAGCGATGTAGAGGAGGCCTTCTCCCAGTTTGCCGAGAACGGAAAGATCCACGTTCTTGTCCACAGCGCGGCTGCAGTCGGACCCAGTAAGGACTTCGAGAACTCTGTCGGCGAGGAATACCTCGAGGGTATCAATACTAATGTTGCGGGATCTTTCTGGGTCGCGCGATCTTTCCTTCGTCACTCGGTGCCGGATGCGGTCGTCGTCGCTATTAACTCTTGGGGCTCATATTTGAGTGTCAACAATAACTTCGCTTCTTACTGTGTCGCTAAGCTGGCTACATACCGTCTCTGGGATACTGTCGCAATTTTGAAACCGAAGCTGTACATTTTCCATACCCAGCCGGGTGTGATTCTCACTGAGATGAACTTGAAAGCTGGCGGCGCTGAGAGCTTCAAGAATATTAAAGCCGACGATGGTAAGTGGCTCATTGGTTTTATTGACGTCGTGGAACTAACTTGGATTCAGTGTCTCTACCTGCCAGCTTCAACCTTTGGCTTTCTAGTCCCGAAGCTCGGTTCCTAAAGAATAAATTTCTATGGTGCAACTGGGACGTGGAAGAACTCAAGGCCCAAGCCAAGGAAATTGAAAGCACTCAGAAATTTAGCATTGGACTTGTGGGATGGCCGTTTGAAAACGCCAATTAGGAGACCGAAATCGCTGGCTATAACCGCGCATCAGAGTAGATTGATAAACAAATAGAGGCGTGGAGTCGTCACATATTTTTCATTCTCTACCACTACCCGTGACATTCTTTGATCCCATCTTTATGCTTGCGATTGATTAGATAATATGCCAATGCGATTTTACGTTCCCTGGCAAAGAGTATTCGAACAAACAGATTAAGGCACAGGTGACTGTAAAATAAAACTAAGAAATAGAGTCCCATTCAGACGAGATAAGGCAGCATGTTGAACCTATGGGGCTTCTTAGCCAGTGTTCCTAGTGGCATTACTATTCCGTGACTACCTACAGATGGGAAAAGGGGGTTATTCATGGTATCACGTGATTCGAAAAAGGGGCTTAGCGGCCAGAAGTGCTAGGTTAGCCGGGAGAATGATAGCAATGGCGACCTCTATAGGAAAGGCTCGTTTTGTTTGGATAGCGATCACAGGAGTGACCGACTTTAGTTGCAGCCATTTCTGACTTTTGCAATCCCCGATGAGATACAGAGTAGGGTCTTGTGTAGCGCACTAATAGAACTCAGGCAATGTTCATCTTTCAGTGAATCAGTCGACGTGAGTAGCCTAGCAAACCGAGAGATGCTTCTCTCCCGGTAGGATGGATCTATAAGAGCATACTTGGACTTCCCGCTCAATGAAGAAATTTACCTTCAACATCCCATCCTCGACCCGTACATACTACCTCAACTTGGAACGTCTCGCATTGTTCCTTGGAAAACGACAAGACGTCCGCTAAATCTCCCACTATCCACCCTTCACCAACTCAACATGGAACCCATGCCGTTCGACCCAACCACCCACCCCATGCCCATCGGCAATGATGGAGCCCTAACCCTGCGCCCACGCGTCGGCTACAGGGACAACCAAGAATCGCCCCGAAACCAAGTCCAATCGATCCCCAGCGAGGAGAACTGCTGCGTCTGGATCATGGGTCTTCCCGCGAACTGCACCTACACCGAGTTCCTCGGGAAACTCCACGGCACGGGCAAGATCTGGGCAACCTACATCAACCCACCGACCGACTTCCACAGCACCGCAGCAGCCAAAGTCGAATTCTGGAACCGCCGCGGTATGCGCCGGCTCTTCCAAAAAGTACACGCGCGCCAATTTACATTCGGCGAGTACCGACCGCACGTAATCATGAACCGCGTGCGTAAGTCTGGCCACGTGCGCTCAGCCGGGTCTCGAGCAATTACGATCCGAGGACCGTCCTCGCTTGTAAATTTCGAGTCTTTAACCGCGTTTTTTGGCGCGCGATTGCGATATGAACTTGAGTTCGCGAATACAGTCCACGACGACGGCGAGCAGGCTACTATGCTCTGGGCTTTTGGTTCGTACCGCTGCCAGGCGAAGTGGGCGTACCAGAACCTCGATTCCTTGAAGCAGGATAATCCGATCTTGGAGGAAAATGAACTTTGGGGCCAGGTTACGGTTAGCTGGGCGGTTGACCCATGCTCGACCTAGAACGAGTGCTTGGGCAACTACAATAACCACTAGCATGTGGTTAGTAGAGGAGTTGTGAAGTGGACTGGATAAACCATACCTTGAATAGGAGAACATTATCATATTTGATATTCGTATAATGTATAACGCAAATAAATTGTTAATTTCCTGTTGCGATCATCCTGTAAGAACCTTAGTAGCTTCGGTTGAGGGTGCCGAAAAAAAATACTAAGAATTTAGAATATGGAACAAATCGTGACAATTGTCGTCCCTCATTAAATTGGAAGTCATAAAGCCGGAGGGGTAGATGTATAACGTAATCAATTCGAATATATACAATTTTCTCGTAGTACCTATTTACGCGCGATACCATATAGGTATCTCATCCATCTCACCCACCTAGTAGTCGTGTAGTCCGGGAGACACCATTTTATCTAACAGACCTGAACCACTTTGCTTTTTTTTTTTCATCATTTTATTCAACCCACACAACAGTGCTTAGACCATCCTCCTGCTGTGGCGTTCCGGGTGTTGCGACAGCGAGGTTCGCCACAAGATCGCCTAATTTTCCGGTCTTGGGGTCACGCGCGATGATAGCCACGTTGCTGCTCGTTTGTCCACCGACAGCAACCAAATCACCAGCCTTGTTAATAGAGAAACTGCGGGGGAACCAGGCATGCGCGGGAGTGGCCTCGACGAATGTGATGTCGCCCGTGGTAGGGTCAATGCTGTACGTGGCTAGGGAATCGTTCTGGGGACCAAAGGTCTCGTCGGCTCGGTTGGCCGCGTATAGGAAAGTACCCGCAACATGCACCTCGGCGGCTTTGGAACCATTGGGAGCGGCATGGCCTTCGGCATATGTTGGGAGCGTCTGCTTTCTCTCAAGTGTCAAGCACCCATCGTCTGGGTAGGTAACAGTCCAGGACGAGACCGAGTTTCCTAACTCGTTGACTGTGTAGAGCCTCTGTCCAAGTGTGGATCCAGTGTGAGGGGCCCACCAGGCACCGTGGCGGGGTCCGTCACCTGCACCAGCTACACCAGGAGCGCACGCCGTAAGGGCGCCGGTTGTAGCATCAATGCTGAAGATGCGGATTAAGTCCGCACCTAAGTCCGGAACTATCAGGTATCGTCCAGTGGGATCAAGCTGAGTAGCGTGTGGATGAGGTGCGTTCTGTCGTGCGTTGGGACCGGGTTCAGACATGTTGAACTTCACTCTGTTCTGGACGATCGTGCCATTGCTAAGAGGAAGCTTGTATGTTGTTACGGTCGACGGGTCACTATCAAATGTTAGTTCATACTTCCAATACTTGACATAGATAGTGACGTACTATTCGACTGTCGCTATGAAACCGTAGCCATCCTGGTCCCCAGAACCATACGGCGTACCGTGGACACTAGCACCAGCAGTAACGGCCTGCCCAGTTTGTTTTAAACTTCCATCGTCTCCGATTGAGTAAGACGCAAGCAGACCGCTTCCGTTCCAATCCTCATCGACACAGTACACAGTGGTAGCGTTTGCATCCACGTGTAGCCATGCGGGAAGTGTTCCACACCCAGAGACAGATGATTTGCTGACTAATGTGGCATTGCTTCCACTTCCAGTGAAAGAAAGGGAGTAGATCTTTCCAGTGTAGTGAGCCGCGAGAAGGTTGGCGCCAAGCACCTCAGGTGCGAGGCTAAGAGATCCTAGAATCAACGTCTTAAGGGATGCCATTGTGAACTATACCTTACACCGCAGTGAGGCGACAGCGCTGAGAAATACCAAGACTAAACGAAGGTAAGGATGCGATCAAAAAGACAAGACTTCTTGAGAACGATGCGAACATGTTCACCTTTGAGGTAAGTGATTGGCATCGCGAGGATGATTGCGCTAAGACGCAACTGGTACTGAAAGGGGCGAAATTTTCCAGTTTACAGCCTCAAAGGCAATGTCGCAATCAGTAAACCGAAGGAAGTTCGTCGCGAACAGATTGCTCCTAGTGTAGGTAAAGTCGGGCAATAGCTTGGCTCCGCGAGCGCAAAGGGTAACATCTCGGAAGATCATCCCGATTGTGCAACGATCCGGACAGGAGGAATTGCGCTCGGCAGGGGCCTTTGAGGCTAATTGGTTTGGTACCTCATCTGTGTAGTCCACCCTAGCTTAATTAAGAATATCGAGAGGAAGATCTCGTTGGCTAGACGGCTCTCTGTATTCTGTTCGATGTGACGATACCCCAGACTACCCCCACACTCCCCGCGACGATCCCGGAGGCTCGGTCCTGCGTCCTGATGGACAGATAGCACATGGGAATTAAGTTGTCTCTAATTACAGCCTTTATTCTCAGTTGCGAGCTCGCAATACGCGTCTGGCGCTTAGAGATTGGAGCTTCTTGGCGGGAGATTATGCACCCCAACTTAAGACATAGTACCTGGGTAGGCTCGTGACCTAGTAATTTTTCCAGACGCCTTTTGATATGATGCACGTTGGAGCGCGGATGTTTCAATCGTAAGACAACCTCTAACAGCCGCTTGTGTATCTCCTATTTCGAGAACCGGCAATTCACACCGCTTAGTCCGCTCGCCTGCCACAGGGAGCAGGAACTTGCTAATATGGCGCATGATGTTCCGGAGGATCATATGTTTAGGCCAGCCTTTTAGGACGCCAATCTAGTAAATCATAGCTGTAATCCTCCTGACCCGACTTGCCGAGTTTTAATCACTTATCCGATATTTGGATGTGCGTGTTCGTATTGGGAGGATCTAATAAGGCAATACCTAAAGTTAGACCATCCGGATATCCCTAGGAGCAAGAGGCACATCCGAGAGGTGTTGAGACATATTAGCTAATAACGGTTTAGCGAATACCTGGCAACTCCGAGGTTCATGTGTCTGCCTGGATGCTAAGTCATGGTGGCTATGCTTGATTAGGTGCCATATGAACATTTTGAACCAGGCCTTCTTATAGGCTGTGTATTATACCGTAATACAGACAAGCCAAATTGCGAGAAGCCGAGGTGATCGGCTACATATCACTTGTTTCGATGGTACAAGCCTTACACGGGTCAAGATTTCCACGTATCCACCGCTTCGCCAACAAGATCTGGCGCTTGATCGGCCAATCCCCGGTGGCATTCGCGCTTGGAAACCTCCCAACTCCCGAGTTTGACGGCCAAGGATCGATATTAAGTGTCGGACCACCTAGCCCTATATCATCGCTTGTTGTGCATCCGCTATAAGTTAAGTATGAACAACAGTCTGCGATATAGATGCGTTGTCATTCGACTGGTCGTTCGAGCATTCAAAGTCCTCCTAGACGGAACTGGCCGGGTCGAGGGTATAATAATCTCTGAAACACTTCAGAGACCCGGGGCATCTTAGGAAAACTTGACGGTATTGCAACCTCAAACATTGCTTCCACCACGAGTTGTCATCAAGATGCATTCGACAGTGGCGTTCTGCCTTGGGCTTATGGCTAGCCTTGCCCAAGGTGCCGTGTTCAACAAGCATGCTGCCTTAGAGGACTGCCTGGCAGGTAGCTCGACGGTGGTGGATGAGGTTGGTTCTGATGACTATAACCGGGACATCACGCCCTTCAACAAGAGAGTCCAGTTTACGCCGGCTGCTATTGCTGTGCCGACTTCGGTAGAACAGATTCAGAGCGCTGTGGCTTGTGGCTCGAAGTTGAAATACAAGGTTACCGCCAAGTGTGGAGGGCATAGCTATGCCTCTCTGGGTCTTGGTGGAGAAGATGGTCATCTCATCATCGAACTAGACCGGATGAACTCCGTCAAACTCAACACTGAGACGAATATCGCGACAGTTGAATCGGGCGCGAGGTTAGGTCACCTAGCAGCGGAACTATCCGCTCAAGGAAATCGGGCCATTTCCCACGGGACTTGTCCTGGGTGAGTTAACTTGACGTCATAAATGAAAGCACGAGCTAACGAAATAGTGTTGGTATTTCGGGCCACGTCCTGCACGGCGGGTTCGGTATGAGCTCTCATTCACGCGGATTGGCCTTGGATTGGGTGATTGGATTAAACTTGCTGTTGGCCAACGGAACGCTCGTTCACGCTTCGGCGACGGAGAACAAGGATATCTACTGGGGTCTGCTTGGCGCCGGGTCGAACTTTGGAATTGTCACGAGCTTTGAACTCAAGACTTTTGAGGCTCCCGCGAATGTCACTTGGTTTGTGGTGAACTTGCCGTTGAAGAAAAACAATTCGGTGGCAGCTTTGGAAGCGTTAGAAGACTATGCCCTGAACACGATGCCAGCCGAATTGAACATGCGCCTGTACGGCACTCGCCAATTCACCCAATTAGAGGGCGCATACCAAGGAAACAAGAGTGATCTTGAATCCGCGCTCGCTCCTCTACTTAACAAAACCGGAGGTACACTGGCGGCATCCGGGACGACCACTTGGATCAAGAGTCTTGAGCACTTCGCTACCATGAAGTTAAACCAAACATACCCTTATACTCAAGTGGTAAGTGACCAGTCTTAACGCGAAAGTATCCATATAACTAACGTCCATTTTAGCAAGAGGATTTCTATGGTAAGAGCTTGGAGCTGAAGGGCTTGAATGGATCTGCGGCTAAGAACTTCGTCGACTATTGGTTTGATGTTGCCAAGAAGGAAACGGCGCATTGGTATATCCAACTAGATCTCCACGGAGGAAAGAATTCGGCTGTATGGAAAGCTGATCCGGAATTGACATCGTATGCCCACCGGGACAAGTTGTACATCCTTCAATTTTACATCACGACCAGCACCACTGCGGAAGACGGATTTAAATTTGTCGACGGTTGGGCATCGACGACAACTGCTCCTCTAACAGCGTCTGACTGGGGAATGTACTTCAATTATCCGGATACGAATTTGAACCGAACGAGAGCGCAACAGATGTACTGGGGTAAGAATCTTGCCAAGCTTCAGCAACTCAAGGCGGAACTCGACCCGAATGAGCTATTCTACTACCCGGTATCGATAAGCCCGGCGAAGCAACCTGAGCTCGTTTAAGAAGGGAATGATTGATAAATAAGTGGACATTTGGGGTGTATATAAGTGAAAGATACCATATTGAAGAGATCTAAAATAAACGAATAAATTTCCGATTCACTCATGAAAACAATTGTTCATAGATCCACTGTCGCGAATAGAATTAGGAGAGTGCCGGTGGAAGCGCAAGCTTGAGACGAAATTTCACGATCAAGAGGAGAACAAGAAAAGAAGATGAAGACTGAAAGAGAAATGGATATTTCAACTTTGGGGGATTTTCTATGTATTATGTAACAATCTACCCCTCATCGATAGATGACATAATGAGACTTCATTACATAATCATAACGCGGGGCAGTCACATGACGGGAAGCTTAAGCATGGCTCAACATTCTCAATCGGGGAAGTCAATTTCCAAGTTTTTCTCCTTTTTTTAATCGCGGAATATTCCTGGATTTAGTAACACTACCTATACCATACCTTGGTATGATGCAGCATACAAGTCCTACTTATAGTCCTAGATGAGGCTTATAGTATTTGTTCTTCTCACAGCCTCGTTTTAGAAATCTCTGACTATTTTATGACCCAGTGATTCCTTATTCTTCGTGGATAGAAAAGCTCGTTCACCGTCCCCATTCCCTCATAACGGATCCTCCATTGGTTTATTCCATCTAATTTCCAATGAAGCGCATATAATGGATTCCACCAGTACCGATGAATACAGACCTTGTTATATTACATACGACTCATTTCCTGAATTTAAGCAATCTTGGAAACGTTCACTCGCCGACAGTGCCCCGACTTTGCGGGACGAATTTCCAGACTATCATCTATCCGATCCGGAATCTCTTGTACACACACGTACACAAGCATGTACATTTGATATCGGGACAGGATCATCTATATACACGCAATCGATAATTCCTGCAATAGTCAGAGCGAAGCATGAAGTCATCCTTGTAACTTGTTTCTGGGCTAAGTCGCCTACCCTAACCGCGCTGAAAGAGACCCTCGAGAGACTTGCAGAATGGCGCCGCCAACGAATCCAGGAGATCCGTGCTTCTAACCCCAACGCAAATATTTCATCATTGAGAATACGTATATGCTTTTCATCAAGGTCTTTCTTCCAAAAACTATTTCATACATCATCGAGAGATGGATATGTATACCCCCAATCGACATGGTCAAGACAACTTGGCTTGCCCAATCCTGAAATTCTGGAAGCTGGCCTTATTGACCTCCGCATTAAGAGCTTATTCTTCTTGCCATTCAGCGTGATGCATCCGAAATTTCTCATTGTTGATCGGGAAAGAGCCTGGCTTCCTAGCTGCAATGTCAGTTGGGAAACATGGCTAGAGTTCTGTGTTGAGATTACTGGAGACGCCGTAGATGGTTTAGTGGAGTTCTACAGACACGTATGGGATAAGAAGCTCGAAAATATTCCTCAACCTGGTTCGGATGATGCATCCCGCAAGCTCCCAAGTCCACGCTTGGGTGATCTTCAGTTGACGTCTACTTTGAGCACCGTTGGTATTTTTGAAGGCCTTTTGCCGGATGTTTCAATCCCGACAGTGCTTCTGCCGTCTTCCCATCATCGCAATCCCAAATTTGACATTATTCCGTGGCATAATTCACCATCCCCGCCATCGACGCCTCTTAATGTTGCCATTCTGCTACTCTTAGACATCGCAAAGCATTTCATTTATATCCAGACCCCCAACCTAACATCTACGGCGGTAATTGATAAACTTCTTGAAGCCCTAGAGCGAGGCGTCAACGTCGCGATAGTCACAAGCAAGAGATTGATGATTCTAGAGCAATTAGTCACCGCAGGAACAACGACTTCAATCTGCGTCCGCTCGTTAATTCAGAGGTATGACAGACTTAGGACTCAGTACCAACAATCGAAGGGGACGGGCAATCAAGCAACCCCAGATCAGTCGATTGACATCGAGGCACAACGGCCTCCATTAGGACGTTTGAGAATCAGTTATTTCCGTCCGGATCCAGACCACGAAGATAAGAAAGCAAGCGAAGAGCCAGTACAATCACATATGAAATTCACACTTGTAGACGGTCAATATGTTGTTCTTGGGTCTGGAAACGTAAGCAATTCCCCAATCCTAGAAAACTTGGCGAGCGAATAATGCAGAAATGCGTCGTGCAACATTACGGGTGATAGAATCATACTGACTGACAGAACTGTAGATGGATCGCGCCAGCTGGTTCACAAGCCAAGAATTAGGAATTATGTTTCATTCGGGGAAAGTCGCAGGCGCATTGGCCTCCGCTGTTGGTATAGCCCTCAGTCACAGAAAAGAGCATGTTTTTTCATCAACCGCAGAAGACGACGAAGAATCGGAGCGACAGCCGAGCTCACAAGAGTCCACAACCAACCAGGATTATCAACATAGTAAGAAAACGGCAAGTTACGTTCAAGGGGAACGATCCGGGATGTCGCGGTCCAGATCAGACTTCTCCGCATTTGTAACTTCTAGGATGACCTTTGAACGATTCATGAGTGGGAAACCTGCCAATCCACAAGACGGTCGAAGTTAGTTACCCATTAGCGCGGATGGGCGGAGTTCTTGGACGATGGCGTTGCCCACATCCCACGGGTTCCCACATGGAAAGCCACGCGTTTGGTTCGAGTCCATACCTCGGTTAAAAAAAAAGCCGCATCAATAACGAGTATTCAGCCTTGCGTTTAAGTTCCTAAGGCAGACTTAAGAAACTTTAGTATAGAATACGAACGTTAGTCTACCCTCGGGCGAGAAAAATACAAGGCGTGAGACTGGTATTTGTTCTAGCGGTTTGAACGCTCTGATTCACTATCTTAGGTGGCACACATGCAGAATGAGACCTTAACGAGACCCCTGTCCCGCTATCCCACCCGCTAGATACGGCTAGCTGCCTGCCAAGTATGAACCCGGTACGCGGTAACAACAGCATTACCCAGAACTCGGTCACGAGGCCTCGATAATAATCACTGTTATTTCAGTGATTCAAGGCTGTTTGGGAATAATATCAGCGCTATCAGTAAGCTGTATCAAGGCTGATGTGAGATTTCTTTCCTTTCTCGTCGGCTTCTTTCGTCATCGTCAGAATCGTTCCCCGTGGAGATCGAATAAATGTGCCGTTGACGCTTATCTGGTACCTGGGGCTAGTTTTCACCGGTCGAAATGATTTCTCACATGCAGTTCGATAGGCCTACCCTTGCCCGATCGCTGATCACCGGTAACCGTCCAGTCACATCCCCAGTTAGATCCCTGCGTTTCTGTAGTAGAGCCTAGAACCAAGGCACCGGAATGGGCTTGGCGGCATCTTATCTCTCTCCCACGCCCTTTAAACTGTTGCGCAGGCGGGATTCCTTCCTTACTCCCTCTATTTTCTAGCACTTTGCTGCTACACCGAATTGTCTTATCACGTAGCCCGCTTGGGATCATCCCGCTGTTGCAGGAACACAACTCCAACCATTAATCACCGCCTATGGCATTCGTGGCCGAGTTCTTTTCTCTTCTACTGAAAGGAATTTTCCGCAACCTGGACACTGTACTTATCATAGGTGGTTACTCGCTTTCCGTCCGCTGAATGGTCCTTTATTTACTCCGAGACAAAGAAACTCCGCCATGGCATCTTCGGGTGTCGATTATTCAACCACCTCACCGCCTAGCTTCGCGGCTAGGAACGACGCCCTAGACACAGAGAAAATCGCTCCGGGACGTCCTAGTAGCCACGTCGAATCGCTCACGACAATCAGCGACGGCGATGGCACACACCGCAAGCTCAAGCCGCGCCACATCCAATTAATTGGTATTGGTGGGACAATTGGGACCGTGCTTTACGTTCAGATCGGCAAGCCATTGTTAGATGGAGGCCCGGGAAGTCTCTTCATCGCCTTTTCGCTATGGTGCACCGTGGTTCTCGCTGTAACTATGTGCATGGCTGAGATGGTGACGTACCTACCGATCTCTTCCCCGTTTATCCGCTTCGCTGGCCGCTATGTAGACGAGGCTCTTGGTTTTGCTGCCGGTTGGAACTTTTTTATCTTCGAAGCCGCTCTAGTACCATTCGAAGTCACCGCGTGCAATATTATCATCCATTACTGGAGTGACATCGTACCAGCTGGCGCAATCATCGCAATTGTCCTTGTCCTGTATGCATTGGTCAATGTTCTGGCCGTAAAATGGTATGGCGAGACCGAATTCTGGGCTGCTCTTGGCAAGGTCCTGTTGATCATCGGGCTGATCATTTTCACATTTATCGTTATGCTGGGTGGGAACCCCCAGCATGATCGGTTCGGCTTCCGGTACTGGTATGAGCCTGGGGCGTTCGCCGAATATTACACCAGTGGTTCTCTTGGTCGATTCCAGGGCTTCATGCAATGCTTTATTTCAGCCTCCTTCACCATCGCCGGCCCCGATTAGTGAGTAATATCCTGTACAACCTATGCTTTTTCCATCGCCCCGGGAGGATCCATTTTTACAGCAGACATCCCCGCGAATCATGACCCGGAACCCTTGGACCCGCCAAAGTAATACTTGCTGACCCGCAATGCTCTAGTGTCTCCATGGCCGCCGGCGAAGCTGAGAATCCTCGAGTGGTCATGCCTAAAGCTTTCAACGCTGTATTCTATCGATTGACCGGCTTTTTCATGCTTGGATCTCTATGTGTAGGAATTTTGGTTCCATACAATGATGCGGAGTTGACAGAAGCTTTCCTCAATTCCAGGCCGGGCGCAGCAGCATCACCATACGTCGTCGCGATGCATCGGCTAGGAATTCCCATACTCCCGCACATAGTAAACGCCATGGTTTTGACTGCCTCTTTCTCTGCGGGGAATAGCTACGTGTATTGTGCTTCCCGATCGCTTTACGGACTAGCTCTTGAAGGAAAAGCACCTAAATTCCTAACAAAGTGCACGCAGAATGGTGTACCCATATATTGCGTAACAATTGTCTTGTTGATTGCATTATTGGCATTCCTTCAAGTGAGCGAAAATGCCGCTGTGGTGCTTAGCTGGTTTGTCAACCTAGTAACTGCATCTCAACTTATCAATTTCAGTGTCATGTGCGTTACGTACATCTGTTTCCATCGCGCATTGAAGGCACAGGGTATAAGTCGTGATACTCTTCCCTATAAGGGTTTCCTACAACCCTACGCAGCTTATTATGCTCTATTTGCTACGTTTGTTATGACATTCATAGGCGGTTATACGGTTTTCTTGCCAGGAAAATGGAATGTCCCGACGTTTCTCTTCTCGTAGGTGGGGTATTCTTAGCCATCATATAACTCACAACTAACGACCGCGCTAGGTATACCATGATCTTTGTCTGTCCGGTACTCTTCATTGGTTGGAAATTCTTCCATAAGACATCATTCCGAAAGCCTTATGAAGTGGATTTACTTAAGGACGTAGCCGCGGTTGAAGATTATACCAACAAGTTTGTTCCGCCGCCACCGAGGTAAATGCGACCTATTCCACTACCTATTATCCATTACTGACCGTCGTAGGAATAATCTATCTAAGTGGCTCAACTGGATATTCACGTAAGGACATCATGCCGTGTGAGGAGGACGTCCGGAAAAACCACGACGCCGACGGGGGTTCCCTTGCAACATCTCCTTCTCGCTATCTGTCAATGTTCTAGTTACCTACCTAGGTAGGTGGCCATAGGAGTACGGTACGACACTTCATATGGTCAACATGGGTTTTTCAAAAATCGAATGGTTCCTGGGCTTCAGTAGGTGTATTACTAGGTATGCATCGGTAGCATAATTCACCTTTTTTGATAGTCCCCTTATAGCATTATCTTATACGGGCTCCTGTATTCCTAGCACACGTATTGGAATTGACCTACTTTTGCCTGAAAATGATATCCCCTAACAATGGCGCACCCAGCTTCAACTAATTCTCTATTGCCCCTTTCTAATAGTGGGGGCGGGGTTACTAACGCAGTGAATTTCCGTCATAATGGCGCACAATCGCAACCAACAATTGTCACTATCAACGATAGCGTAAACATACGATAACGATGTTGAAGAATAATAGATTACTCACATGCCAAGTTTGTAAGTAGGATATTTGACGGATAGGTATCAAGGAGCGCCATAACATTATACGACTGACATGCTGAAATGGGGTAGTTTTCGGAGAGTGCAATCCTATCAAAGTAGTTTTCAAACGACCCTTACCTGGGCAAACATTCGGCTTTTATGATCCAACATGCCGCCATTTGCGCTGTAATTAGCTCCGATTATCTACAGTCGTAACCGGAGATAGTAATCAATTGAACGCCGGGAACCGAGCTAACGGATGTAAATCCGGGTTACGTAAACAAAGATATAACGACTTTTGTTGGTAACGGAGTTATCGCGTCTTGGAGCCTGAGCTCTACCTAAATCTCAACCGGATCTAGGTACTACATCGCCGGGCGGCACATGTATCTTCAATTATTAAAGTCAGTACTGACGCTGGACGTCGGTATTTTGTTATACAAAGTAAGATCACTTTCGTAACTAAATGAAGCAAGCTCTGTGCAAAGTCTCACGCCATCTTCGAATAGGCCATTCTACTTCATCACGCGCTAAAGTATCATCGCCATCTAAGAATCGCTCGTCTACCCCTATCAACAATAGCCAAGCTCGCGAATTCACCATGGCTTCTAACTCCTCTCCATCTCTCCAAGGCAAGGTTGCCATCATTACCGGTGGCTCCAAGGGTATTGGCAAGTCCTCGGCTATTGCTTTAGCGAAACTGGGCGCTACTGTGGTCATCAACTATTCCTCCGATGAGCAAGCAGCACAGGATACGCTCGCCGAGATCAAGAAATTGGGCGCGGGTGAAGCACGTCTCGTACGCGGAGATGTTGGCACCGTAGCTGGTGTACAGGCACTCGTCAAGGAAACGGTTGACGCTTATTCCAAAATCGATGTGCTCATTCCTAATGCTGCTGTTATGCCAATGAGGGACCTAGAGCATACTACCGAGGAAGACTTTGATCGCACATTTTCTCTCAACGTCAAGGGCCCCTACTTTCTAGCTCAAGTAAGTGTCTCTAGATTTTTTGGGGGGGGAGACGAGTTACTGACATATCGTCTGGTAGGCTGCTGCCCCGCACATGCCTCGCGGTTCGCACATCATCTTCATGTCTACCACTCTATGCACCGCTTCTACTGTTATGCCCTCTTATCTGTTGTATAACAGTACGAAGGGTGCTATTGAGCAGATGACACGTGTGATGAGCAAGGATCTAGGTCGCAAGGGCATTCTCGTTAACGCCGTCGCGCCCGGCCCCACGGGAACCGACCTCTTCTTCCGTGGTAAGAGTGAAGAGTTGCTGAAGACTATCGCTGGGTTTAACCCTCAGGGACGTATTGGTACGCCAGATGAGGTCGCGGAGGCTGTAGTCTTCTTGTCCCATTCGTCTTGGGTCTCGGGACAGGTGCTTCGCGCAAACGGTGGCATGGCTTAGGTTGTCATATAGCAAACTATTAAATTGGAAATAGATAGTCTAACGAAATTGAGGTTATGGTGTTTTTTTGCGCCAAAAAATTAAGAAACATACCATTGTTGCATGAAAAGCATTAACCATTTGTTAGGAGCGCGCGTAGAGCAGGCTTCAATCTTGTTGTGAGTCCTTATTTCTCTGTATGCCCCTTTTGGTGTGTAATAAGAATGGCAACCTAAATTAACCCCCATTATTACAATTGATGAAAAAGAGACCTGCACGAAAGTCAATTAATTGATATCTTAATTGATGGGCCGATTACATGTTGGGTGTTTTGTAGGCCCTGAGGGTGCTTGGGATTAGCTCTATTCGAGGTACTTACGGAACGATATTCAGGGAGCTAGGTACATGTTTCTTTTTTTCATGAGGGGTCCGCCCCCTGGAAATGGAGGAAAGAAAAGCATTTTAGGCCTTGCCGCCCTTCCAGATGTTCCAAGGATGACCTCTGTAGGCTGCCCTAGCGAACAGAAACCCCACTACACCCACTATCATGCCAAGTGCACAGAACACCTTAAGCCACACATAAGAGTCCCGTCTTTCCCCGTTTCCAGCATCAACCAACACACCACCCACAGGTTGAGCGATGAGAACTGATGGGGCGATAATAAGATATACGGCGCCCAAATACTGCCCATATTGGCTCATATCGGGACAGACCTGAGCTGCGAGGGTGGGCACCATAGATACGAAAGTACCTGAGCCGAATCCGTAGAGTGCTGCGAAAACAATGCGCCCCGTTTTCCATGGCGCTGCTATCCACACGCAAAGAACCAGTATCACCGAGAAAATGCTAAATGCGATTGTGGTGTTGAAGCGTCCGTAGCGATCTCCAAGCCATCCAGGCATGACCCGACCCACGGTACTGAATAACAACATTAATTGAGCTCAAGGTGTAGTGAAAGTAATTTAGGAAACTGGGATGGAATAACGTACCTTGTAGCACTTAGGATAACGAGTAAATTGTTGGCCGAATGCTCACCATCGCCTGCATCTTCAGCCTCTACCACAAGATAATTGTAGGGAATAAATACGCCTAAAAAGTAGAAAAAGCAGGCCACAGCAAGGGTATAAACGGGGCGAAACATTAGAAGTGACACGGGAATAAGGCGTGATATACGAAATGGCGACGGAGAATGACCTGATGGCTGCTGTCTGCGCGATGTGGTGGCAATAGCCACAATCATAAAAACGAAATACGTTAGGGCCACAGCACGCATCGTCCAGGGAAACCCAATGCGATCGAATAATACCGGGATGACAGCCGTACCGATGACGGCACCCAGAGCACTACCAGCACTCACGAGACCGAGTGCAAGACCCCTCCGAGCTCGAAACCAGGTGCCGACGGCAGTAGTACCGGCCATAAATATGGCGCCTGTACCCATAGCACTCACTATGCTCTGGGTAGCGAAGAATTGGCCATAAGTGTGGCAGCTAGCAGCGCCTAGCAAGCCGCCGACGTGTAAAACAGTGCCGATAACTAGAATTACAGTAGGGCCTAGGCGATCGAATAAGCCACCGAAGATAGGCACGCCTAGAAACAGCATGAATGTCTCAGTCGAAGGAATCCAGCCTACAGTACTAGCGCTGTAATTGCTTAGTTGGTGGGAGCTGTAATAAGCTTGAAAGACGCCGATACACGTAATCCAGCCAAACGACACAAAAAGGCAACAGAAGCCGCCGACCACGGCTAACCAACCACGAAGTGACTTGTCAAGAGGAGGAAGTTCATCGGTAATAGGATTAGTTGTGAGATTGGGATGAGGGCCACGGCCCGACACGCTGGTAACTTTCTCAGCATCATGCATCTTGCTGGGATTTAGAGGTGTTGACGATTCCATTTCGACTAGTTGATTGGCTGCCCATATCAACCTTTCGGTGTCAACCTTTTTTGACCTTCCATATTTTCGAATATCTCCATAGCGAGCATTTAGGGGATGCAAACTGAAGCTTGATCTGGAATTCGGCCTCGGATTTTGGAGATGTTGGTTTGAAGTGGGGCGTGTCAAAATATTAAATCCAGGATAGAAGACGATATGACCCCATATTAAGTATCAGGGCATGGTGTCGCGTTCGGTTTATATGATCATAACTCCGTCAGCCTGTTATGCTGCTATGCCCCAACAATGTACCTAATCTAAGTACCTAATCTTCACAGTTACAGCGGCAAAAGGCCCCTGAATAACCAACACAGAGAGGAATTACGCACTATTTACATAAGCGATAGCACCTAAAGCATCACCTACGCTGCTAGGGGGGGCGCACGTTCTTCGGCACCCGAATTCCAAATCTCTATCAACACAACCTTTTTTTTTGGCTCTCTTTCGTTTGCAAGCACCAATTTGAATAAGGACATGACGAAGAACCCAATTGAAGAACAAGTGCGGGACTAATAGATATTAGTAGAGCCCGGAATGCTCGGGTTCCTAGAAGTTCATTGATCGCTGTAAGGCCAAAGCTGATGTGAGAGCCTGAGTAGGTGTGAAAGAATTCTGAGGTTGTTTGTTATACGCATCTTATATCTTGTCTGCAGACATCATAGGGCTTTTCGCACTTTAGAAACTCCCCGATGATTGTGCAAATTCGAACCATAGCCGGCCCGAAGACCTCGAAATCCGAGTGAAGAAATCCATAAGGAAACGGACATACCAAGAGACAGGGCACTCGATTGCCTACTATCTATTGAATCATGGATGTCTCGTGCGACGCTATCTTACCATCTCCCCATAACGTTATCGAGTCGTGCTACGCGATCACATCCCACCTATTCAAATCAAGGTGTTTCACAACGACAAATTTCGCGCAATTGGTTCTGTTATAACACTTTCTTATCATCGTCGCCATGCTGAGATAACTTTTTCATAAATCCGGGAGGAAGAGTTCCGATATATCCAACTATGATTATCATACAATCTCTAAAGTAAGAGCTATGGAGCAACGTCTTGCGATTTCAGGGTGAGGTACTTAGGATAAGGATATTCTTAAACAGTTAAGAGCCTTCAACCCAGCCTCGGATCTATATATCTTCTGCTGGCACGATACACCAACCCACGTGCCATAATTAGTCTTGATTCATTTGAAAAGTCCCCTAGATGCAGGAGAAATCCGATTTTATGTCTCGCAGAGATACATCGGATGACACTACCCAGGAACAACGAGGTCGGCAGCTTCCTGGGGCTGCCTGCGACCAATGCCGACGCCGGAAGCTCCGGTGCGACCGTCAGAAACCGCAATGCGGTGCTTGTGAGACATCAGGCATTTCATGCCGTGTGCCGGACACCAAACTGACGCGGGGCCCCAAACGAGGACATCTCAAAACAATGCAAGAGAGAATTGGTGCGGGGAACCATTTTGATTTCCTGGAGGAATAAGTCTGCTGACGGGACACAGCTGCTTTGGAGGAGGCACTACAGGAGCAACGATCTAAGCCGTCAAATCCGCCACCAGTTGAAGACCCATCGATCAAAGATACGCCTGATGCTGCGTCAAACATAGGGGACATAGGGAATTTAGGAGGAGATGTAGGGGAAATGGGAGATACGAACTCAGCCCAGCTATCGTGGCCCCTAGATATGCTAAAAGAGGGTGACACCTCATCCACTACTCTTCCCCTACCATATCACGAAAAAGTCGAATACTCACCGTTGGACATCGATCTGAACTGGTTTGCATCTCCCCACAGCTCAATCGACGCTCACTCTAGCATCGTGAGCCCTATTATTCCCAATATGGCTTGTCCTAGCCCATTCATACCGTCCGGCTCTCAAACCCCGGCGAATTCCAGTGGGGCTTCAGACGATTCAATCCGCATCGCAATTCCCAGCCTCGTACAGTCCGACCTGTAAGTACGGATGTTGGCATATCACGATCGCTTTTTCCTGCCCCTCTTGGTAGCGAGACGAGGAACTAACCTTTTTATAGCGATCAGCTTTACATAGATCGAATACATCCATTTGTTCCCATTGTGCATCACGGCCGTTACGCTGCATGGAACGAAACCGATCTGGATTCGCTTACAGAAGCACAAACCGCTTTGCGATATGCGATGTGGACGTTAGCCGCAGCTTCCGCCTCCGCCTACCACACTACGCTCCGAGACCTACTCTACCATCGGACACGGCAATTTGTCGAAAGTCTCGATCAGCGGAGCGGTTCTAATGATATAGTGGATACAGAACTGGTTCAGGCCTGGCTCCTATTGTCGAGTCATGAACTCATGTGTGTCGGCTTCCGTCGATCCTGGATGAGTGCCGGGCGAGCTTTTCGTCTCATTCAACTAGATCCTACATGGACTACAGCAACAACACCTATCCCTCATAGCGATGGAAAGTACACCTACCAGGCACATTGGGTCGAGGCTGAGCAGCGGAGGAGAACATTCTGGTTTGCTTACTGCTTGGACAGGTTTATCAGTTTACGAAACGGATCGTCTCCGACATTTAGTGAGCGAGTGAGCAACACCCTATCCCCATGACACCATCACGACCCCTCAATGCTAACGTGTTGTAGGTGCCTGTGCGGCTACCCTGTCCTGACCCGGCGTTTCAATACGGACACCCCATAATGATGGACTTTCTCCCAGATATCAATGCCATAGCTTCTAGCGTCGCTTCTAAGCAAGGTATTATGTCGACCTTTGGCTACTGTATTGTCGTGGCTACAGTAGCCGGACACGTATTGTCTCACAGGCACCGGGCTGTTGTTAATGTTACGAACGATTTGGATGGCCAGGCCCTCCAAATGAATATTGACTTTTGGGACCGCCATGCTTGGCTTGACTCGCTTATCGCCTACAATATGGGCGTCTTCGCTATGCATCACCCACCAGCCGCCCAAGAACAAGACCCTATGTTACTGTTTCTAGCTATGGCATGGCACGCGGTTACGCTCTACTTATGGAGCACAGCGGAGAACATTCCTGCCCTAGCGAAAGATCAAAAGTATGCTGTCGGAGTTGAGTTTTCTCAACAGGTCGAGGGCACAACGCATGAGATGCTTCGTTTGATGGGAAAGCTATCGGGAATGAACAGCTGGAAGGTATGGACCGCGCACTTGCATCATAGTACTTCGGTTCGATCCCATTCCTAGATACTTACCGCAACGTGCTTTTCTAGATTCATCCGCTTACTACAATTCCGATTTCACTGTGTGCCGAGCTACTCACATCTCGGCCCGATCTCTTAGCAGCCTTCACCCAAAAGCTTAAAGAAATTTCGAAAACTACGCACCGACTCGGACTTCTCTCTGCTGCAGGCCCATGGATGTGTTGATGCAGTAAAGGCTTTTCCATTATGCATCCCCAGCCCGAGTTATACGGTGCGAGTTGTTTATTATTGCTACTGTATTTCACTACCGGTGAGTCTGGTTTGTGCATGCTGAACCTCGGTGAGCTTCCAACGCAGGTTTACAAACGGCCACGCAACCATTTCGGCATGTTATTACTTCCCGACTATGGCTTTCAAGGAGGAGTTTTGATATGGTGTCTCACCTCAGCACATGCTTATCTGGATGGTGCCCAGGTGGGTACATCGGCGATAACTATATCTATTATGCAACAGGCAATTTACGCATTAGACTTAGTAAAAATAGACGGTTTACAATCCCGGAAAAGAGATATATGTATTATGCCGACTCAATCCACCTTGTAAACACGTACCCTTCTTAGGCTATCTAGCTACTTATGCCTACCTAGGTAGGCAAGCTTTAAGCCCACGTATGTCAGCCTACATCAATAAAGCCACCAACGGATTATGATATATAATACGAAGCGGGCTGAATGTCCTGATTATTGGAAATATGTCATGGGAAGGACTGACTTGTTCCATATATCCACTGAATAGGTTCTGTATGTGACTTTGCCTTGTCACAGCCCACCTTTAGAGCGGTAGATCTACTCAATTAAACTGCACTTCGTGCACATAAGACATCTCGGGACGGCTCGTGACGCTCGGGTAGGTACCCCCACAAGACCTGTCACAAAAAATGACATTTTCATAGCCTATGGTGATGCTTCTGTAGGCACCTATTCGACGCCACAGCGCACTACGGACCAATGATTTCGCTTGCCGAAAAGGGGCTAGTATTTTGATACAAGAGCGAGTGTATATTGATCAATAGTGAAGCTATGAAAAGCGAACGTTGGATGTTTCTAACTACCTAGGTGCCTAATCCGTCAAACTCGATGTGCGTCGACGCAACCCAGTCCACCCCAAAACAAGTGTCTTAATCTCCCGGGTCAGCCTCTCTTCCTGGATAGCTCTAAGAGGGTTGAAAGGTCCTGATACATGATTACTACATCACTCGATGCGGAGAACGCGCCAAAGTTGATGTTCATTTTTAGCCTCAACGTTTCCCGAATAGCTAGAGATCTGAGTTCTATTACAGCCTAGTCAGTCACTTTACTGAGTGGCAAGGCCATGGGATTGCTTTGAAGAACTTACGAGTTGGCGGAGTTGCCGTTCAGAAGGTCCACGTATGTACCAGTACCGACATTTTGGATCCTAACTGTCTTAGCAAATGCATTTCTCGACGGAACGTGCATATATACATAATTACTCGGCCGGCAGGATCAGCGCTGACAAGACGCCAAAGTTGGTGGAGGTTGGTGTTGTTTGTCGCGGGCCCGCTGTAGCCGTTGATCTTCGTTCCGTCAGCCTTTCCTCCATTGAGGAGGTCCATATTGGCTACGGCAAGGTCAGCCCAACTTCCATGATTTTGTAAGGAAGACTTGCTCTCCGATTGCACGTTTCGAATTACTCATGTGGGCCAAACGGCGCTATTATCGATTCGATGAAGTGTCCAATGCTGGTTTTCACCAGCGTGGTACTGGTACCCAATGATGGGAGTGGCGTCGGCCGTATTGCCTTACAGAGCGAGTTAGATGATGCCAAACGGAAAGGAGTAGAAGGTTTACCTTCAGTAAGGTCGATGCAAGTGCCAGTTCCATAGTTGAAGAAGCAGACGACGGCTCCGTCGAGAGAATCAATGTAAGACATGATGAATGGATGGGCAAGTACCTAGGTAGGTAATACAGTAGCGGAGGAATAGCTGGAATTTGTTGGTGAAGAGGAATTAAGCTTCGACTGGCGGTCTCGCGTTATTATATACCTATGAGAAGTTTCTAGAGAGGGTAGGGCTAATAGGGGCAAGTGCATATTACGTATTGGCATTAGCAAATATAATTGACATAGAAGCAATATTCTCATGCCGCCATCCGAAAAGAGCTTTGAGATATTTTGGCGTCTGGCTGAAGTCCGAAGTCGTCAAGATCGACGCGGCGTGCCGCCATATTACCTCTCAGGTGCAATACATGATGCCAGCAAATGGGGACTCTGTAGTTACTCTACGATGTGTGCCACAATCTGACCATGAACGATGCAAACAGGTCGCAGTAGTATTTTAAGTATGGTGCCTAGATGGTTCACAAGGGTACTCCGCAACGTCTACCTAGGTACCTACATATTATAGACAATACTTCTTGGTAATTAGATGGATAATAGTTACTACCACGGATTGTGACTGGTGACGATGTGATGAAGTCTAAAGGATCTTGCTAAGCAGAAGAATGCGATCATCAATGGTCCGGTTCCCTAATTGAGTTAATTAACACTAAAACAAATACTCGCTAGATGACTCCGCAGAGGCAGAAGGTTAACAAGTAGCAGGCGATATCGTTCCTTAAAAAAGCCTTACGAATTTATAACTATGGACGTATCTACCTAGGTACTGAGCCGACGAATTCGATTCGCTGATTTCAGCTGTACTTCGGACTAGGACTACCTACGAATTGTCTTCCGCGATCCCAAACTAAATTAAAGTAGGTAGACTATCACTTTCTTTCAATAATAGGCCCCGTGGGAGATATAAATTATACACCTTGTTGTGTATTTCGTATCAAGGAGGTACGTCGGAGTAGTAAGGCTGCCGCATACTGGCTGTCTCAAACGTGACCACCCATAGTTTTTGCCTACCAATTCAATAAAAGTTTTACGTTTCAGATCGGATGCGTACTCACATCAGGTACCTCAGGTACCTAATATAAGCAAGCTGAATGGCTTGTTTCTATTCGCAAAAGACTCATATGACGATCTAGTAGTGGCCTACCCTCTTCAGGGACTTCTTCGGAACCCCTTTCCGGTAGCAAGTATCCACCTTGAACTCGGGAACTGCCGTATGGTGCATTAGCGGGGTGGGGTTGGGATGAGACACGGGCAATATTTAGAGAAAACTATTCGGCGTACTACCTAATTGTTGGCTCCCGAATTGCGAGTGTACGTGACATTCTAGTGGAAAAGGCGTATCGAGCAAGGTGTGTCAGATTTCTACGAAGTAATGATAATAAGATTTAGTCACCTCCAATGCCCCTATCACATCATAAGATACACCGTTGACCGAAGCACATGAATTCAACTTGGCAAGTTGCTTGATAGAATATCTAGATACCTGGCGTAATATGTATCTATTAATATTAATCCTTCATAGAAAGTTGTGTCCTAGTACAACCAGGTAGATTTGCCAGTGTATAGGTGCCTCATTCGAATACAACAGAATTAAAGGCGATGATCGACACCGCGACTGAGTCATGGATGTTGTTGATGTTATCGCGAGTTGTGTAACCATGTAATTAAGAGGGTCTTTTTGTGTCCTTTTCTTTGAATCTTTCCTTCTTCTTCTTCTTCCTCTTTATCATTTTAATAAGAAAATGATTAAAATCTTCTAAGTCAAGGAATCTAGGTCAAGTAATAGAAGGTTAAGTATATTAATATCTTAATCTCTTTTACCTACCTAATTGTGAAGGTCATGTATGAGTAGAATGATGATGTATTAGGAAAGAAAGCTAAGTTTTGGAGTGTGAGGAGAAATACATTATAACCGGGCGTCAGCTCATCACGTTATGTGACGTGTGAAGCGTTACATCTCCCCTTTCAACAGAAAAGAGAAACACGCAAACCTAGCGTTTACCGTATCGGCCTCCACGGTTCTTCGGTGGGCGACCACGCCCTCGTTTTTTGCCGCGATTTCTGCCTCGGCAAGCTTCTGCTCTTCCTCGTCACCGTTGTCGGCGACGGCATCAGCGGGTGGCGCGTCTGCCTTTCTCTTGGCGGGGGTGGCTGACGGTGTACTAGTTTGCAGAGCTGTGACGGTAGTGGCTTTCGCCTTAAACAGCTTCAAAACCTCCTCCATGGTGGTTTCCAGTGAATTCATCCTTGATCCCAGATCCTTCATGCCTTTCAATAGTTCTTGACGGGTTTCTTGCACTTCCTTTGTTATTGCTTGTTGGATAACTTTCACTAGGTAGGCTTTCTTGGGGTTTTTAATATAGTAAATAAATCCTTTTGTAGCTAACAAAAAGTAGTCTGTAACTGTAGCTGTAGACGACGTAGTTGTAGATGTATATATAAATAAAAACAATGCAACCTACGTACCTACTTACAACCACTTTCCTATGATAACTGTCGTGTCATATTATCTATCAGATCTGATTTGAACTGTTATTCTATAGAAAATCATTTTACAGCTCAACAACCGTTGTTGACCGACAGCGGGCGGCATTTAGGTACGTACCTGTTAGTAGTGAGTGCAAATGTATTCACCTGTTGGTAGCTGCGCCGGAATATGTTTTAGTGGTGAGATTCTTCAGGCTATCAACACGAATGGACTTCATCTAGGCGATCTGAGGTTGGATATCCGCAAACGGTTCGAGCGCTTTTACCTTCTCGGGTTTTGTGTGAAAGATACCCAGAATACTCCCAATGGAGGCGGTATACCCAAGGCTCACACAGATATGAACATTTACATCGGCATTGGGGTCGAGCAGATAGTCGATGAGGCTTTGTATTTGCGCGGAGAAACTGGGTTGGAAGTAGAAGACCTTGCCGTCCCACATGGGGCCTTGTTCAAAGACAGCAAGGTCGAAACTAGTGACGATACCCAAGTTGCCAGCGCGATCCACAAGTCCTCATTCAATTTGGCGTTGGCGTTGGCAATCTCTCCATTAGCGAGTACAATTTCGTAGTTGACGAGGCTGTCGCAAACGAGGCCATGTGCGTAGGAGATGTTGGCCGCCTAGAATTCTAGCATTAGAACGTAACCAATAGGCATGTGAAGATATGGGGACTTGCCTTGAACGGTATTTCTTCCAATTCCACCGCTCGAGTGTCGATTCCCCGCAACTCCAAGCCTTAGAGCCTCCAGTTTCTCATATACCTGCCCCATATTCTCTCGCTACGATCGAGACGATCTTTTTTTCTAGGATGACATCTATGCCTTGGAAATCACGTGGATGAATCATGAGTCCATCTCGAGCATTCGCAATTGCGGGAGTGGTTTGTTGACCCGAGCCGCAAATAGCAACAGTGGACGGGCCGCGAAGGACTTAATGGCTTTGACTACATCGGCAACTTGAGATGGTGATCTCGGAGTTAAGAAACATGCGGGCTTAAGGTCGCGTTCGGGCTCGGTGAAATATGAATTGATGATCTCTGTATAACTTCGCTGTCTGGGAGGAGGATTAAGTTAGCTGAGATCCGCTTGGTAGCTTCAATTGCATCGGAGATTGACATTGTATGGCATTATCGTGAGGTTGTATCGGCGTATGGGTGGTACGCTAGGCGGACACGAGAGCGGGGGCGGGAGGAAGTGCAAAAGTTGGGGGTGAGTGATCGACGGACAGGGGAGCAAACGGGTACCTGTCTACCCGGTGACCTGCCAACCTACATACCTATCTAGGTAGGTAGATGGTGGTTACACCAGCCTGGTCCCAGTCCCAACACACATCCTATACGACATAAAAACCAAACCTACAGCAACTGGCCCCCAATCATAGGGTTCCTTTGCGTAGTAATGTTTCTGTTACATATTGATTAATTGGACGGCATCTAATCCGATCACTCATCTCAGTGCTTAATCTCACCTGGCGGCTGAGGCCTTGGAGCCTCGTATCCTAATCACGATGTACCCATGGCACATTTCACTCGCTGACCTGTGCAACTTTTAGTTGGTGCAGGTAATTGGAGATGCACTAACACTTATGAATAACTTATAACTCAAGCAACAAATTTGAACATCTTGCATAGCCAGGGGGTAAATGTAGGGTTGCACAACAGATATCTAGGTACCTAGGTATGTACCCAGAAGCACTCCATAGTCTCACCTCTAGGTGTTTACTTATCCACTTGTATAGGTACCTCTTACAAGATCATACCTAGGTATGTACCTGCGTAGCTAGTACCGTATTCCTAATCCAATATATACCTAGACAGGGAACTACCTAGGGGTTAGAGGTATTCAGTATAATGTCCTTATTCTTTAGCCTCACACCTTTGTATAAAAACCGCTCAGGGCAAACTGCTCGGCAATACCAGTATTAGGTATCAGATTTTCGTCCTTACCATTGCTCCAATCCAATAAGTCTCCAAAATTGCCAATAGATGACCGGAGGCTTGAGAGAAGCTTGGATTTTCGCAGCGAAACTTTCCATCCTGCTGCTGTAGCTGGTGTGCAGCTGACAATGACTGCGACGTTCAATTCAACGGCACTTTAGATTTCTCGTTAGCGACTTCTCTTCACGATGAAGCCTTCATTATGAGAGTGAAATTAGGGACTCACACTGTCAAATATGAGACCGCAACATTCCACGTGGAATCCTTCGTCTCGTTGCGCCATAACACAACGCGGAAATAGAAGACGAAACAACTGCTCACGACTCCACTATTAGAGTAAGTGGATATCCGGCAACTCGGAGAGACCATAACTAACATAATTGCGGTCAAGAAGACCAGAAATAACCCGACTTTCTTTCTCTGTGTTGTCTGCAGTTTTAACAGAACTGGGAACGGTAGCGCCAAGATGTACAAATCAGATACTATATCGACGAAGCCCATGATAACAAACGGAATCTGTGCGGGCTGGCTCTCGACCATCAAAGCGAGATCCCAATGCTCATCGTTATGTGGAAAGTTATATATGACCGAAACTGGGACGAGACTCCAATAGGCACAAAATAGAACTCCGATCCCGAAGTAGCAGCACCATCGCATCCACATTTTGACGCCAAAGAGGCGTAGATACATGGTCAGGATCGCAGTTTTAGCGAACCACATGGCCGGCCCATAGATAGTTCTTAATATCGCTCTACGCTGTGAAATATTAAACAGTCTCCTTTTTATAGAATGATTCCTTAGATAGTTATGTACTTACTTTAACCCAGGATGCATCGATTGCACTAAGAGGAACATCCCAAATGTGCCGGGCCGTAGGAGTTGCTATTAAGTTCCGAGTCAGTGCGTGTGATATATGAACACTAGGTAACTAGGTAGATATCACTATACCTACCCGACATAACCACGGCACTGTACATAGCTGCAAGCACCCATGACAGAACGCAACAGTCTTAGGTTCATCTATTGTGAGATCAAGAAAAATTTTAAAGTGGAGAAGAAGAAAAGGGGCTCACAGTCATCAAGCGCAAGTCTCTTGTATATCTTGAGATGAGTAGGGATTCGAAATGAAACGATAATAAATGAAATAATGACCAGAATAATTATGACCGAGTAAGTCTCCGTTTCAAGGGAACGCGGATCTACGAAGTTAGGTGCCGACCCGTCAGGATTCGGTAGTAATGGGGTCTGTGAGAGATTCGCACCAGGCGGAATTTCTACTGACATGTTGGTAGCGAAAACAAAGGCTCGATATCGAGCAATATATCTGAGGTCGTAATGGGAGAGGGACGCATAATTAATAATCAACGCTATTTAGATACAATTTTGACCTGTTTCTTAGCCTTGTCTCTCAGCGCCCAACGAAAGGGGAAAATATCTAAGTGACTACCTGGGTAGCCACCAGGGCAGCTTCATCTCGGTAGCCATCTAGGTAGGTACAAGTGAGGTACTCTGCGAGTCTGTGGAACGTATATCATAAGGATTCCATACTCCCTCAGCCTGCCTCGCCTATATGCATCGATATGCTACGAGTACTTATACTGTGATTGGTCTTATCCTTCGTTCTACCACCCTACCCGGATATTACGCTAGGCTTATAAAATTAAGGAGACTGGATCTTTCTGCAGTTAGAACGCCCCCAATTACCTTGTCTATGTCCATGAGGTAGCTGCTACAGGACGCTTCCAGTCCATATATGCGCATATCATCTCGTCTGTCACATGGCTTTCCATGTTATACTTGTTGGCGGTATGATGTGACGAGAACCAACATATCTTTGGGTAGTATGCGAATTCGTAGCAGATATCTCTATCGACTGTGTCTACCTATGGGTGGGAGAGCTCGCATATGTATATATAGTTCCCACGAGCCATGCGATGCGACTTTCATACCCTTCGTACCATTCCTAAGTATTTCATTCTAACCTAATATTGAATCCAGCGCCGCAGAAGTGTAACTATGTCGACATACATCTCAATCACCATTCTATACGCAGCTCTTGCATTGGTAGTCTTCTACCTCGGCCAGAACCATAAATCACATGTAAGAGTGCAATATGAAAGCTCTTTGGACGATTCTAACTGCTATACCAGCCTAGCTTTGCAAAGGCAAGCGAACAGCTATTTCAATATGCACAAAAAAGGGTGAATGCCTGGAGATATCTCTTCCGAGGGGCAGATATGATCACCGTCGAGTACAAAAAGGCAATACCCCGCGTAAATATCGCCCCAATAATGGACAATTCTAATGTACCATAGGCCCGCGGCAATGCTTTTGAAGTGCCTGGACCGGATCATAGTCATATCTTCATTAGCTCTAATGAGCACATGGACGAAATACGCAAGGCTCCCCGTGATGAGCTTTCTATGTTCGGTGCAACAAAACAAGTAAGCCCACGCGGTATCCTATAAGGCTGTCTGTTAAATATTGGTAGATGTTCCAGCCTGCATATACCATGCTAGGCCACAACTGGCATGACGAAAGGGGAGCTGAAGGTATTGGGTACGTCAGAGCAGTCGGTACTCTATTTCCCAGACAGCTCCTCTACATTATGAATGACATGCAAAGGATTGTGGGAGAGTCCTTCTCGGCTTTTGCAGAAACCAACAGATCTGATAGGAGTAAGCGAATGCGGCTGAATGATATTGGGTGTGAGCTGACAGCCAGCAAGGTTATCTGGCCCTCCCTGCGTATGCCCTGAATAAGAAAATACTGTGTAAGCTGAATGGTTTTTGCTTCTTTGGTAACGAACTTGGTAAGTTCGCTATCCTGGTTATCTTTACAAATATCTGACAGATTACAGCACAAAATGAAGTGTTCATGCAGAAAATATTTGAATACAATGAACTGGTCATATCTGCAGCAGAGGTTCTAAGGGTCATGCCGGGGTTTATGAAGAGGTACGTATTCGTGGCCTGCCAAAGGATATTATCGAGATCTATAATGATTCTAATTCTGTACAAAAATATAGGTTCATTGGACCGTATCTCGGCAGGCGTACAGATGTGCAGGACGCGGTGTTTAGCATGATAAACGATCTTGTCACAAGGCGGCTGGAAGAAAAGAAACTCGTAGAGTCAGGCGAGATTTCTACGCCACCACCGGTATGATACCCACAACATGCAGCTAATAGCTTGCCTACCTAGGTAGGTAGGTAGGTAGGTAGGCATATGGATATTTGACTCATTATTTATAGAACGATATGATTCAATGGATCATTGACACAGCACCAGCCAAGTTGGGATGGGGTTCACGTCGTATTACGTATGAAACAATTGCGATTTGGTTTGGTTCCGTCCACGCCTTGTCTGCAGTAAGTACCACCTCGGGTAGGATTCCGCTGATTATTACGTCTGACTTTTCTTTTTCATGTAGACTGTTACCTATGCTCTTTTCGACTTGTGTGACCATCCTGAATACGTGGAGCCGCTCCGGAGAGAGGTCGAGGGCTCCGATTTTGAAGACTTTATGAAAACGACCAAGGGTTTACCGCTTATGGACAGTTTCATTAAAGAATCTTCTCGTCGTAGCCCCATTGAAGCAAGTACGTAGTATTTATATATAGGTCTCTAGCAATATGCTGATTGTTGGTTTAGTGTCCGGTCGGCGGCAAGCATTAAAAGACTTCACGTTTTCGGACGGGACGCAGATTAAAAAGGGTGACTGGGCCTGCGTCCCAGCAAAAGCAATTCTAGCCGACGAAACATATTTTCCTAATGCCGCTAAGTTCGAAGGCTTTCGATTCGCCCCTCCAGAAAAAATCCCCCATAATGTGGAAACTGTGTCTCAGCCAGAAGGTCCGTCCAGATACTCCGATCTGTCTGAGAACTATCATTCGTGGGGCATTGGAGGAATCGTATGGCAAGTGAACATCCCTACTACTGATTTCGAGAAATATTTCTAATGATGATTCCAGCCCCGGTAGATTTTACGCCTCTATAGCCACTAAATTGATCATGGCTCATGCCCTGAAGAACTTTGACTGTAAATTATTGGATAAGAGCGTGGAGAAATCCACTTCTTGGCGTTCTTACGTTCTGCCGAAAGAGAGCGTGCTCATAAACTTCTCCCCACGTAAGCAAGAAGCGTGAGCATCCGCCATTGGTCTAAGTGAGGTACATAGGAATCGCTCCACTGGGCTACATAAGTATCAGGATTCTAATTAGGTTGCACAACAACGTCTGTCTGAACGAATATTGGAAGGATACTTAGGTACATACAATAAGAGAAATAGGCATTGCTTAGTCCTCTCCTAGCCCAAGGTACTTATTAGCTAGACATCTAATCGCTTATGGCTTGCTAGGTTACACGAGGCTCACACCGGTGAGCATCAGAAAAAAAGCAACCTGAGACATGATGCAGATCAAAACCGGTGTAGTCGAATGTGATGCTTCCTTACAATAAACATCCAAAAAAACTATTAGAAAAAAGTATCTTTTAATATGTAAACTTAATGGCTTAATGCTTTTCTCTAACGGTAAATCGCAGAGCCTCATTGACTTCTGCCGACTGTTAGGTACGGGTGGGTTACAATATTGGGATGATCCTCATACCTATTGTTTTACTCCATTTCCTACGCGGAAAAGCTTGGGCCAGAAAACGGACAGGTACAATTTTAGGGGACTCGATCTATTAGATCCACGTTATTTCCAGCTTGGCAACCTTGGATATCGGCACCCCACACTCATGATAGAGCGGAGTGACAGGGGGTTAAGTGTGTTTCGGTGGTAGGATGCATTGTGCATTTTTGAAGGGAAAGTCGGCTTAACTTCCAACTTACACATAAGTACCTAGCCAATCAGAGGCTCACGCTTCACCAAAGACGAACGCGCGGGAAGACTTGATGTAGAGTAAAATCCGTGAGTGGTATTATCGAGTCCAACATGTTGGTGCAGATTTAAGCAATTAATATATACAGCCTCGTCTGCTAGGTAGCATCTAGGAACTCCCAAAGTATCTCACCTAACGCCATAAAAGAGCGTATTCCTATCAGGGAAATGATTCTCGCCCACATTTCCCTTTAATGCTTCTAAGCGGCTACAAACGCCCGTTTCCTCATTTCGAACACTGAGTGTTGGTATCACAAAGCACAGCCAGGGCCAGCCTAGACGAAATACTGGCGTCGTACAACACAAGTCAGGCTCTTTCCCTTGCTAGAAGCTTTGTTCTCGGTGTTCATAATAGAAATGTGTTAAATCTACGGGTAAGGATTTGCTATCCGACTATACGTGAATTATGTTATGTATGCTTGATCGTAGTTTAAGACTCAAAACTTTCTGCTCTTCACTTCTTTTTATCGTACGTAGGTAGTTTACATACGGTAGGTGGCTATCTGGTATGATCTAATGCGCACCTCGACACAATGGAAATAAGTCCAAGCATATCGCAAGATGGCGAGAGAGGCCGAAAAACAACAAGAGATGGGTCAAAAAGTGTAGAGCGACCAATCCACACTCCGTCGAGGTTAGCTATATGACTCCTTATCTTATGCAGATTATAGGTAACTAACTTGTCAGGAACATCATGAGTATTGCATTCCGAAATCTCAGTGTCCATGCATTCGGCCAACAGACGGGATACCAACGCACCGTTTCGAATTTTATCGGTGCATCCGCAGTAATGATGGCAAACTGTCTCAGAAGGGGGCCGAAACTGAGAATTGATATCCTCCATGAACTTGACGGGATCGTCGCAAGCGGCGAGATGCTCCTAGTACTTGGGAATCCTGGGTCCGGGTGCACGACAACTTTGAAGTCTTTGGCGGGCCAGACATATGACATCTCCATAGACAAGAACGCAATCCTAAATTACCAAGGTAAGCACTTCTGGTACCCCCATTGGCGCTATGGTGTTCTTACATAGGGACTAGGCCTATCCTCGAAGCGAATGTTCACCGAATTTCGAGGGAAAGGGACATATCAGGCCGAATTCGATATACACTTCCCTTCCTTAACTATGAGGGAGACCCTTGAACTTGCTTACAAAGCAAGATGGCCTCCTAAGTATTGGGATGTCTGCCAGGCTACTGTCGAGTCTGATGTTCGTGCTTTAGGTCTTTCTAAAGCGCTTGACACTAAAATGGGAAATGCTTACGTCCCTGGGGTTAGCGGTGGAGAACGTAAAAGAACAAGTATCGCGGTATCTATTATCGGTCCTCATCTAATTCTTCAGCGCCGCTAATTCTATATAGGAAATTCTTCTCGGCGATAGCGTCTTTCAATGCTGGGATAATAGTACTCGAGGCTTAGATAGTGTCAATGCTCTTGACTTTATCAAAGCCTTGCGGCGACGTACTACAGAAAACCGCTCTGTCGCCATTGTGACCTTGTATCAAGCTGGCGAAGAGATCTACGATGTAAGCCAATCGTGTGAGCAATTAGTCCTGGTAAATTCGCGTCTAATACAATATAGCTATTCGACAAAGTGACGGTGTTGTACGAGGGGCGACAAATCTACTTTGGGTCGACTCGAGACGCCAAGAAATATTTTACGGACCTTGGATACGTCGTTCCTCCTAGGTCTACAACTCCTGAGTTCCTTACGTCTGTGACCAGACCAGTTCGCCTGCGCCCGGCAACGAAGGACGACATTGGATGGCTTCCGAGGGGCGCTGCAGATTTCGCGCAGAGGTGGAAAACCTCCCCTGAATACGCAGCATTGACTAGAGAGATCGATACGTACGATAGAGAATACCCTCTCGGGAACGAGACTGATCTCCGACAAATGCGTAGGGAGTTGAAAGGGTTTGAAAAGAAACGGTTAGCTGCTTTTGAGTCGGACTCTCTGCTAAGAGCCTAGATCTGCTAACATACGGTAGATCTCCCTACGCTCTACCCATTCCGAAGCAGATTGGATTATGTGTTGATCGAGGGTTCCTTCGCCTACGTCATAACCTAGTAGCACCAATATCAACCATCATAGGGAATTTCGTGGTTTCTCTCATACTCGGTAGTATGTTCTATGACCAAGATGAAACATCTAATAGCTTTTTTGGTCGTGGAGTATTACTGTTTTTCACCAGTCTAGTTAACACCACATTGGCTGCCTTTGAGGTAAGGAACTAACTGTCCATATTAACCATAAAGTACACACGGCTCATTTATTCTAGTCCGTCGCGCTATGGGATGACCGCCCAATTATCGAGAAGCATGTCCAGTACGGATTTTATCATGCCTTTACCGAAGCCGTAGCCTCATTCGTCTGTGACTTGCCCAACAAGCTTATTCTCACATTTGTTTTCAACTTTCCGCTCTACTTTCTAAGTAATCTTCATCGCACTCCCGGAGCGTTCTTTACGTATTATTTATTTGGTCTAATGAGTCTTCTCAATGGGTCAGTGATATATAGGTCTATGGGGGCCATGTCTCGGACATTAGCGGGGTCTCAGCCGCCTGGTGCTGTGCTGGTAGCTCTCTTGACGATATATAGTGGGTTTGTGGTCCCATTTCGGGAAATGCGCCCATGGCTTCAGTGGTTTTCGTATATCAACCCAGTGTACTATGCTTTCGAAGCTATGGTTATCAATGAGGTGGGTATTAGTTCAATTCAGTGTATGGGCACTACTAATGCTTTCACTAGTTTTCCGGACGTCGTTTCGAATGTGCGAGTGGGAGTATCATCCCCCAGCAGTACGGAGATGGGTTACCGTTTATTTGTAATGCCGTTGGCGCTCGGCCGAACGAAACATTCGTAACCGGTGATAACTACATTGACGCACAGTTCGGATTCAAGAGACATTATCTCTGGAGGTTTGTTAAATGATGTTCGATCATGTACGCAATGCCCATAGCTAACACATACAGAAACCTCGGTATTTCTTTCGCTATATTTGCCGTTTGCTCAACTGTCTACCTCCTCGCCTCCGAGTTCATCACTATGGTTCCACCAAGATCAGATGTCTTACTATTCCAGCAGGGTCATGTCCCATCTAACCTTCCGCTTGAAGATGAAGAAACAGGTCCAATTCTTCGAAAAAGCACCGAAAAGATGAAGAACGAAGACAGGCAAAGTAATTATGATGTTCTCGGTACCAGCAACGGAGCCCATCTTTTTTGGAGAGGTCTCACCTACAGAGTCAAGATGGGTAAAGAGTACAAGGTCATTTTAAACAACATAGATGGCTGGGTTAAACCGGGAACTCTCACAGCCCTTATGGTTAGTGTCACTACTTCCTCTACTGTATGATATCTCATTCTGACCGTCTATTAGGGATCGTCCGGAGCCGGAAAGACTACCCTCCTTAATGTTCTCGCTGAGAGAGTTAGCATCGGGGTAGTCACCGGTGACAAAGTGGTGGATACACGCTATCGGGATATTGCGTTCGCCCGAAAGATCGGATACGCCCAACAGGAAGATATACATCTTGATACAGCATCTGTTAAAGAAGCGCTCACATTTAGTGCTTTACTTCGACAGCCCGAGCATTACTCAAAGGACGAACGACTAGCTTATGTCGACCATGTCATTGAGGTGCTCGAGATGCAAACATTCCAACATGCAGTGGTCGGTAGATTGAATGTCGAGCAGAAGAAGCGTGTAACAATCGGGACAGAGTTGGCCGCTAGACCAGAGCTCCTCCTATTTCTCGATGAACCAACAAGCGGTCTCGACAGCGACTCGTCCTGGTCCTTCTGCACGCTGCTAAGACGATTGACTGATAATGGACAGGCAATCCTATGTACTATACATCAGCCATCAGCTCCCATACTCACGCTGTTTGACAGACTCCTATTCCTTAAGGAAGGGCGCTCGGTGTATTTCGGTAATTTTGGGCCCGAATTCCGGACCTTGATTCAGTACTTCGAGAGCCATGGGGCACGAAAATGCATGCCTCATGAGAACCCTGCTGAGTGGATGATGGAAGTAACCAACATGGACGACACCGGACATTCACTAAAGTGGGACGAGATATGGAACAGTTCCTCAGAATGTGCCGTCATAAGAAGTGAGTGCGATCGAATGAAACAAAAGCTATCTGAGGTCCCAAGAACAGAAGTTCCCAACGAGGGCCATGTTACTGAATTCGCGACCCCCTTCTGGTATCAACTCAATCTTGTGACCAAGAGGGCTTTCCAGCACGATTGGAGATCGCCGACCTATCTTTACTCTAAGACTCTCACCACATTTGGCTGCGTATGTATTTTTCCACGGGGTCCCTTCAATCCCGAGTTCTAATACCTATTTTCTTAGGCATTTATCAATGGAGTAAGCTTCTGGGCGTCCGGGATATCGGGAACCACATCCCAAGATATTCAAAACCAGATCTTCTCCCTTTTCCTCCTTTCTACGATTTTCGGGACACATGTACAGCTAATAATGGAACGATTCTACCACAGCCGAACCCTCTATGAGAACCGGGAACGTCAATCTCGGACGTACTCGTGGATCGTATTTCTTATCTCGAATGTGGTAGTTGAGCTCGCATCGCAAACTGTGATCAGTGTCATTGCGTATGCGTCGTGGTATTACCCCCTGGGTCTCTGGAGAAACGCGATACACCAAAATCAGCTCAATAGCCGCAGTGGGCTCATATTCCTATTAATTTGGTCTATGTTTACTCTGTTCCAAACTCTATCCCAGATGCTTATGACTGTTATGCCTGATATTCCAACGGGTATCAACAACGGAAACCTCCTATTTATGTTATCTCTTATATTCTCCGGGTAAGCTCCGCCCCTCATTCCTACATCTTATGAAGCGAATATTGATGAGTTCGTAGTGTTCTCGTGGCACCTAATGCCCTGCCAGGATTCTGGATTTTCATGTACCGGGTGACTCCACTTTCATACTACATGTCCGCCATCATGGGAACTGGGCTCTCAGGCGCTCATGTCACATGCACCAACGCATCAGTGGTGAGGCTGGACCCTCCCCCTGGCCAGTCCTGTAACGAATACCTCAATTCCAGCGGGGTTCTAGTCCAAAATCCGAATGACTACGCGGGTTGCCAAATCTGCTCGTATACCGACGCTGATCAGTTACTGGACAATTATGGTATACACTTTGAGGATCGTTGGTGGGAGTGGGGTGTCACAATTGCTTACAACGTAATTAACATAGCACTCGCAGTATTGCTCTACTGGTCTGTAAGGGTACCAAAAGGGGCAAAAAAGCATAATTGATTGAACGGCGAAGTGGTATCAATTCCTTTGGAGTTTGGGGACATCTGATTTTAGAAAATTCATAAATCCCATCTTCTAATTAGCTATCAATTCTTCAGAAATAACCATTATTCTAGCAACAACGATTTTACCCTTCAACAACCGTTTTCAGAAACCACCGGGTAACGCTTAGGCAATGGGGTGCTGATTTTGAACAAGGTGGTGAAAATGTCCACTACTGTAAAGGCGAATTCTAAAATCCTCAAGTATCGGTAGAGCGGAGGAAGTATATGAAACAGCATTGAAAACGCTGAACGAAGTGGGGAAGCTTCTATTTTCCATCACTTTCGAACCACTACCCGTATCTACCTATGATTGAAAATCCAATGGCTCAGGGTGACAACTGCCTAGGGCTTAAGCCGTCGGATAGTCCCCCTTATTATCATACTATTCCATACATCTTGGGATAGCTCCGACGACGACGAAGAGGTATTTGCTACTAACAAACAGGCCATCGAAGCTATAAACGAAGCCAAATCCAAAAACGCATCCGCAATTACCGATATCTCAATTATACATTCCTTAACCAAGACCCCATTAGCTCGTACAGACCCGACAGTAAAGCTTGGCTGCACGCTGTACGATCCCGAGGGGTTTTTCCAGATCGCAGGTAAAGGACCTTTCAAACTCTCAAAGTAGACCACCATTGCTTTACTTGGCCGTGCCTATTTATATACCTAATTAAAGGTGGCCAACACCGCCACGTAGACAAGTTATCGCCGATTTCATCCAACGCGCCATCGCACCCTCCGCGAAATATTATCGATGGGAAGGCAAATGTCGCCTTAAAACCATTCGTCTCGCGTGCTTTCGCCTGTTAGGCACATGTTTGATAAATCATCAACTTATGCTGATTCGTCGACTACCTTGGTTTGCTAAGCGGTACTAATCCGACTCCATGCACTCCGATTGCTTTACCTAAGGCAATATATTTAACCCAGTACTGTTATATGTTTGAGGTGCCCTTTTAGGACCAACTACCTCAAAGAAGGGCGTGCTTTCCCCGTCTCATGTCATTCCTCCTGTCCTCCCTTGCGCAATAATGGATCCTTAATCATACCACCATAAACCGCGAACTAACGAACCTTTGCCATCCCCTTACCTAGGTACTCTTTAAAGGCAGAATAAAAGGGAAAAGCTTCGCAAGTAATTCCTTCATCACATTTTCGTCAGACGGTCACCTACATTATACTTCAATCAACTTCGGGGCAAATCTGACCCGATACCCTCAAAAATGGCAATCGAGCAGGCACTTAACAACCTTAGGAAGGTTTTCGCGAATGATCAAATCGCTTCACCAGGCACGGGGGCTTACAAACTATTAAACTACGAATATCTTTCCATTCGTCAAAGTGAATACGCCCCAGACCACGGACGATGTGGCAAAGTTTCTTCGCATCGTGAAGACCAACGATGTGCAGTTCGCTATCCGAGGCGCGGGTCAACAGCCCCTAGAGGCTTGCTCCAACATCGAAGATGGCATCACTCTTAGTCTACGCCGACTCGCAGACATAAAGCTCAAGCCTGAGAATAACGTCGTCGCTGTTGGCGCTGGCGCTCTCTGGGGTCAGGTGTACGAGAGGGTGCAAGCTGCAGGGCTTGGCGTAGGCGGTAGTAGATCTGCAAAAGGTGGTATAGGCGGCCTCTCGCTATCTGGCGATCTTTCGTTCTTTTCTACACGAGAGGGTTTCATTTGCGATAATGTGGTCAATTTCGAAATCGTCCAGGCCAACGCCACGGAAAACGAAGATCTTTGGAGGGCACTCAAAGGGGGTGGAAACAATTTTTGGCGTCGTAACACGCTTTGACCTCCGCACCTTTCCTCAAGGCCCCTTCTGGGGTGGTTTTATCTTCTACACGGTCGCAGATAATAACTATCAGGGTCAAGTTGAAGCTATGGTAAACGAGCTTCGCAAGCCGGACGCCTCGGATGAGACACATATAATGGTCAATGTAGGCTACTCGAAGCAGTTTGGTGGAATTGTGATGGGACTTAATGAGATTTACTATACCGGCCCCGATGCCGCTTCGGCCTACGGACCCAAAGACGGAAATACCGGCAAAGTTCGCGTACCAGCTATGCTCGAGCCCTTTACAACAGTCAAGAATCAGGTGGAGAGCCTTAACTCCCTGCGCGTAATGACCCTAGTAGAAGGCGCTAGCGAACATGCTGTGGCATCACAAGAGCACGTACGCTGTGCCTACATGAATTGCACGGTGCGGGCTGACACAGACACGCTACTTGCCGCCGCCGACATCTACACTAAGGCTATCGAGCCCTTGAAGCCCATCGAGGAGACCACTACCTGCTTGACGCTAAATGGCTACCCCAGCTCCGTCCTCCAAAAGACTAAAGAGCTAGGGGGGAATGTACTCGGCCTAGATAGAGGGGAGTCGCTGGTGTCGGTGCTTTTGCTGACGTATTGGAAGAACAGGGAGGATGACGAGAAGATCATACCTGTACTGCGGGAGGCCCTGGATGATATCGAAAAAGACGCCGATCAACGTGGCCAGAAAGTCCCGTATGTCTACCTCAACTACACGTCTAACTTCCAAGACCCATTCACCTCCTACGGCGAGGAGAACAAAAAGTTCTTGCAGGAAGTTAGTCGAAAGTACGATCCTCATGAACTATTCCAGAAAAACGTCCCCGGTGGACTCAAGCTATTTGCATAAGGCAGATCACCTAAGGATATTCTATCTTCAATAATGAACGTCTCGCCCTCTCGGCATTGTCTATAAGCTATACTGTATGGAAAGTTATAGAGTCTGATACTTCACATGATGTAACACTCTGCAGAGCTAAACTATTGACTTACTTGCGTCTTATCGCCCACCTTCGGTCGTTGGGCGTTATACTATGCCGAATAGTACCTACCTAAGCAGGTAAAAGGAAATGCATTGTATGGTGTCTCAGAGGCTGTGACACTTCCGCTCCAACCAACTTCACGATAGCTTGCACTAGGACCTAGGGGGGAGTGACAAACTGGGTAGGTAAATGCATTTGAGATTCTTACTATGTTGACTGGTATACGGTTGTAAATGTATCCTTTTGAGTTAGTTTAGTTGAGGTAAGCCAAGTATCGCAGTCGTAGAGTCGCTCCATCTATGGGAACCTACCTAGGTACTTTAGGTAACATGGCGGGTTGTAGCCAGCCTGCTAGCGTATTGTTAGCGTAAAAAAAGGAATCCCGTGGTCTCGTGCAGCAGGAGTAGTCAGTCATGGCATGAACCCCGACGAAAATGCCCCAACATTAGGCGCACCTATCGTTGATACTTATAACTTAACTTGAGGCATAAATCTTGCTGCCAAGTGGTAGCATACCCGAGACGGGATTATTCTGAATACCCACCTTCCCACCGGCGACCCTCCGCGACCGAAATCTGGGGAGAGGTTCCTCCTATCAGAACCCATCATTTAGTCCCTAAATTTCCCAATTCAGAAGTTCACGGAGGCACGGTCCGCTATAGCCGCAGAGCAATAGAGAAAATCGTCACTATTAATCTTCACTTTTCCCAGCCAAATGAAATTTTGATTGACACTAAGATTTCTTTATTCGGATCCAGGATAATATCTAAATTATAGTTGTCATAATGGTCAACTTTTACAGTGCTGTCTGGAGCTTCTTGCTCTTATCAAGCTCCGTGTGGGGCTACGCTAATCCCGGGGCATGCTCCGGTACCTGCGTGAATACGCACGATCCGTCTATCATTCGGCGATCCGATGGCACTTACTTTCGATTCTCTACCGGCGGCAAGATTGCCGTCCACACCGCCCCCGATATCACCGGACCTTGGACGTATAAAGGTGCGGCCCTTCCGTCTGGTTCATCAATTAATCTCGGTGGAAATCAGGATCTTTGGGTAAGCACTAAAATTGACCATGCACTATATAGAAGAGAATGCACACAGTTATCTAGTTGCTAACATTGAAATTAGGCACCCGAAGTCGCACTAATTGGTAATACATATTATCTGTACTACTCCGTCAGTACGTTCGGAGTTCAAGACTCTGCCATTGGCGTTGCGACGTCTTCCAGTCTAGATGTGGGTACTTGGACTGATCTGGGGTCCACCGGAATCCGATCATCATCTGGCAAAGCATACAACGCTATTGACCCCAACCTGATCAATGTTAATGGGGCTTATTACCTTACTTTTGGTAGTTTCTGGAAGGATATCCACCAAGTATCAATGAAGAGCCCGCCGAAAACTGTAGCGAGTGATAGCACTGCCTACCAAGTCGCTTACGATTCTGTCAAAACTGATGAGGAGGGCGCCTTTATCTTCAAGCATGGGAACTACTACTATCTCTTTTACAGCAAAGGTCAATGCTGCGGTTACGACTCAAACAAGCCAGCAGCCGGTGGGGAGTATAAGATCATGGTCTGCCGATCCACCTCAGCTACTGGTGGTTTCGTGGATGCTAGTGGCAAGGCTTGCACCAATAGTGGCGGTACCGTGGTCTTGGAATCACACGGAAACCTCTATGGGCCTGGCGGGCAAGGCGTGTATGATGACCCAACGCATGGGCCTGTTAGTACTCCGTTTAATTACCTACCTAAGTACTTGGGTATGTATAGGACATACTTTACTAACCTTGTCTTCCAAATAGATTCTCTACTACCACTACGTCAACACCAACATAGGATACGCAGATGGGCAGAAGCAATTTGGTTGGAATACAATTGACTTTTCTAGCGGTTGGCCTGTTGTGTAACTTGGGAGTAGAGCGTGCCACACAGTCTTGTGTATACATTACGCAGGTTAGAAGACAGCCACCGTAATTAAATTCGAACCCCCTATATCCCCCTGGACCCAACCCATCATACACCCAAACTTGAAGTGGCCCGTTGTTTTCTCTAGTAGCCGTCCTGCTTTTGCCGCTGTGAAGTAAGGTTTTGGTCGACGATAGGCTTGTAGTGTCAGTATTTGATACTAGGAAATATGTTAGATAATTCCAGTTAGTAATGGTAAGAACTCTTGCGCACCTAGATATTTAATTGATTCAACGTCTCAAGAATCCTCTGTATGAAGATTTGGCCTTGTCTCGATCCAAGTACCTCCATTCGCTTTCGTCAATTTATCTATCAACTCGGATTCTTCTTCGTACGTTGCGAAGCAAACTCCAATCATTGTCTGTGGGGATAATACGGCTCTGAGGATGCGTAGCCGGTGGCTGTCTAGCGTTATGTAGCGTTGGTCGCCGAAATCGACGATACGAAGGGGTGGAAGTGTCGCGATTATTGCTTTTCGCTCTTCTAGTGAAAGGCGTCGGAGTGCCTTGACTGCGATCTGGATGTCTCTTCCGTCTTGGAATTTTCCCGCTGTGGAGTCTCGCGTCCATCCAATGTTGCTGATAGGTATTTCGTCGTCATATAATATCGCGGTAGTGTACATTGTGAAGGTGATTCTTATTGCCTCTGTGTGTTTAGGTAGTTCGATGTATCGTAGGCAAATTTCTTGCCAGATAACTCATCAATAAAGAGAAACTTACCAAAGATATAAACAGGCCTCTAGGCTTCCAGGAGTTCAGGGCCGGAACCGAATTAATGGCGAGTACGTCACAAGGGTCTCCTTGCTGCCGATCCAGGGGACAAACAAGATCCTGGAGTATTGGCCTATCGCGATGTAGCCTCAACATGAAATGCCGTGGCATCTCCGATTCTCCAATTCGGGCATCGTCGATAATGTACAACGTTGGGCTGCCGGCGGTTAACTCGGTTTAATGTTGTCGGGGTACGGAGGTGCGGGCTCTACCGGACCGCACTGTACGGACGTTGACGGCATCCCAGCATATATCTTATATGAAGAGTTTTCCAAACTCCTTATTACCCGAGAGTAATAACAGGAATCTTGATCTCATACATATAGGTTTATACTATTACTATTACCCCGGAATTATCTCCAACCTTGTGGTTAACCATTACAGTCTATTTAGAGTGTTCAAACACCAAGACACTAGCACTCTAGAACGACTCGACCTTACTTATTGAAAGTCTATTCTTTAAACCATACCAACCAACTATTTATCTATAATGTCATATATTCGCACACTTGAAGTTGTTTACGACGATAGAAGGGGTGCGGTTGATGGGGAAGATATCAACAAGGGCTTCGGCGGTATGATTTCCAAGTCTAATACCCCAAGCAGTAACTACCCAAGGATCAACAACTAACCCATTCTAGGAGAATATGTCTATCTTCGGCCTCACTACACATCCAACCGCGATGAAGCCGCCTGTGGCTTTTCTCTATATACAACCTACGTCGAAGACCTGTGCGCAACCAGCATATCTAAAGGCGATGGTCGCGATCTCCATCGGTATATCAATGTATACCACAAACTTGATAACGAGAAGACGAGGGTCGTTAGATCCGTGTACCTTCGGGAGAAAAAGATGGGAGACGCTCAAACAGACGATCTGAATAGGGGGCGGAAGGGGCGATACCTGTATCTGTGCTGGAAATATGCGGACTAGGGACTTGTGGAACATCTAGAACCTACTCAAACTACACATCACGTAAATCTTAGTAACAAGAAACATATTGACAAATTCAAATCTTCACATCAGAGATCTCATAATAGCTTCCTATAGAGGTAGCTAGACCATGAAACTCCTCCTTGACAGTACCTTGCCCCTTATTCTTCTCTATGGCGTCGTAGACCACCTAATTTTCATAAGTAAGCTGGGGTTGTGCCATACGGCGCTAGAACCGACTAGCGGCTCCCCGTGCGGGAAATCGCCGGCTTGATTCGGCCGATTTGTCTATTTTTGACGGAATATTCGTGCCCAACAACACTTCGGACCTCATCGGGCTCGGCCCTAGATACACCGAAAACCAACTCCTCTTCGCCGGGATTGTGCCAACAAACAGTTGAATACCCCAACCAATTTAAGTAGTGATGTCGTAGATAGGACAATTAGGGGTCTTGTTTTTTCTGGCAGCGTCGCAGTCTAGTCTAGTAGGGCTGTGATTAGGGCGACAAGTAGGGTTACTCAATAGCGTGGGAGTACCGCGATTTGTTTAAGATGCTGGGGTTTCACGGCGACTGCCGAAACCTATCGGATGGTACGTCATAACTTTAGTTGGAGATTCAATAAATATTACGTCGTAAAATTGAAACCTTGATATAAAACAAGGAGTGGGATTACGGAGAGAGTGCCGAAAGGGGTGGTGGTATTGACACATAGTTAAAGGGGTTACTCACAATTGGCTTCCAATCGTCTCAGGGGCGGTTACCGTATTAGGGTAACACAACCGAGCCTTTTGTATTCCGAACATACCAACCTAAGCTACAGGTAGTCTCCTACGTGAGACAATTCGACTCAACTATTCTTTAAAAGAACTTTCTAAACGTTCCTTCCATACAGAAACATTATCCATCCCTTCAGCCAGATCGCCGAATTATCGCCGCGAATTGATTATGCCTTCGGTGCCTTAACTGCCTTCGCCGTGAGTGCCTTGCGTTGGGTCTCGGCAGCGAGTGCGGCGTTAGCTCCGCGCTTGGCTAACTTCTTGTCACTTAGAGAAGGGCGTGTGGAGGGCTTGGTGTGCTTGCGACTCGAGGTGCTCTTGTGGGGGTTCATCTGCTTGCTACCACCGTGAGGCCTAGTTCGGTGCTCCTCCTCCGGCTTCCATCCCCACTTCAACAAGACCGCATCAATATCCTTCTGAACCTGCTTGCGCGCGTCATCTCTCGAAGTACCGCTTCGTAAGAGCTTGTCGTACTCGGTATGAAGGTGGCGAACATGCGCTCGGACGGCAAGGCTGGCCTTCTCGGCAATGCTTTTGGTCGCTGTTCTTCCGACTCTGCCGCTGTGCTTTGTCGTGGCGTGCTTAACGACAAGAGGGAGCTCCTCGGCAGGCAATTGGGGGAATAGCCCGAGAATTGCGCTTTTCAACTTAGAGACCGTCTTGTCGTCTCTTCGCTTAGTTGCTTGAGCTCGCGAGGCATGCGTTGCCTTCTCTTGTTGCTGAACTTTCTGATAGACTGCGATCGGCACTCGGATGCCTACTTGCTGCTTCTTATTGTCTAGGACGACGTACATAGGACTGTTCTGCTCCTTGGTCTGCTTGCGACAGTTCATGGTGATGTAGCTATTTCCCTTCGGGACGAACATGTACCCGCGCGGGATCGGGTCGCGGATGGACACAACCTTTTCCTCTGCGGTCGGTGCCATCGTAGTAAACTAGTAAGGTAGGGTCTTATGAACGGGTATACTGGAAAACGAAAATACGGCGAATTCTGCTCATTACACTGAACGTCGAAGATGGTTATCTTGCTGATAACAAAGTATTGAAAAGTTATAAAAGAAATTGTCTTGACTAACAAGTAGCAAGCAACCCTTACAATTGGTTGTTGACGTGAAAGACAATTAAGAATAAAGACGTTGTTTCGTGCGGTGGTTGGCGAGCAAGAACTAGAATCGTGTTGTTGCTCGGGTACTATCTTAAACAACAAGTCATACTTGACTTGGAAACAAGTGGCACTCGCCAGGTTAAGGGTTATTGCCAGTTTACCTATTCACTAATGTACGGGGGTTGGGCGGTCCAAGCACCTTTCACGCCGTTGTCGCATACTGGAATTCACACGGCTGTGATCTATGCGTGCAAATATGCGCGTTCGGCACGGGATGCGTGAACGGCGGCAGCCACCATTTTAGTTCCCACCTGGATAGGTACTTCAACCGGTCAAGTAGGTTACCTAAGGTGTGTAAACACGCCATGCATACGACGACGATAGATCTATGTCAGATTATTAGCAGGGTTTACTCCAAGATTATATTTCATTACCATCAGAATTGGCTGATACTCAACTATCTAATAGAGCAAGTTCGATAATATTACCTAGTACGTAGACATAAGCTTTCGAACCTATTATAATAAGACTTAGATAGCATCTATTTGCTGTACGAGTAGTACGCGTATTAGATATAATTCATTCGAGGAGCTGACTGCTGTATAATGATCTAGAGGGGTTGTGGGCTAACCTGCTCATGGAGTTTCCCAACCCTATACAAAATACCTAAGAAATTTCCATCACACATTACAAGACTTCATGCTACTCGTTCCGGGGTCCACCGCTGCTTGCTCGGCTATGACCGAGATCGTTTTGTAAAAAGTCTCGGACTAAGATGTTGAACCGCGTATCTCGTGTCCTCACAACCTCGGGCGTCAGTTTGCTTAGATGTCTCTCCCATGCCATCTGGCTCCAAGCGTGGTAGGCAACTTGGTCCTCATAGAGGCTACCGCCATTCCTATCTATCTCTGCAGCCCACTTTCGCGCCTCGTCCGAGCTTAGCTGTTCATGCATGAATTCGATGTGATGCCAAGTCCACGTTGGCCAGAAAAAAGCATTCGGAGGTAATGTACAGACTTCGTCCGGATGTTCCTGCTCTAGCTCTTTGGGAAGTACGACACTGTGGTAGTTCCATTCCTTGGAAAGATCGGCGCCGTTATACTCTGTCAACCACCTCTTAATAAAAGAACTATTCTTCCGAGCCACCATGATAGCGTTACAGAGACCATTTCGATTTCCACCCTCGTGGCCTAGGATTATATCACGCGGCGATTTCAGAAGATTCGTGAAGGGTCGGAACCCAAATGCGTCCATGTCCATGTAAATGCCACCATGCTCTTGCAACAGCTTCAGTCGGAGAATGTCGGACACATGCGCTACTTGCCAAGTCGCGTCAGGCGAACTTTTCAGCCCCGCCGTCTCTTCCGGGGAATGGTAAACCAATTCAATATCATCCTTCAAATGCCGTATCCACGGATTCGACAGAGGCGACGCATTGGGTTCAAGGGCGGGCGGGTCTGCTAGATAAGTGTAATGGAGGAATATTTTTTCTGCTTTCATTCCCACGATCGCGCTTCGTACGGCTAGGTAGCATAGAAAGTCGAAGGTACCGACGCTCGGCTTATCATACGGGTTGCTAAGCCCATAAATGAAATGGACATGATTTGGTATGGGATCTAGCTCCCCATTGCTATCGGTGCTCGATCGAGGTGTACGGCCGTAGAGGCAATCGAGTTCGTTTTGGGTTGGTACGAAGTCTTGTTGAACCTTCCATTGGTAGGCAAATGGCAGGGTTTGTCGTATTCGATCGCCGAACTGCCTTATTGTCGGGAATGTAGAAGGGTTGAATAAGAGAAAAGCGAGGACGAAAGGGATGAGGTAATAAATATGGCGACGGCGTGGAAATCCCATGTTATGACGATGCATGTGAGAAGTGCAAACTTGCAAACACACGGCCTTCTGAAAAATAAATCAAGTCCTCTGTTCTCTCCTATCAGTTTCTATGTACAAAATCTGGTAGCAAGTAAATAAGTTCTGGTCGAAGTAGTGTAGCCTGGGAGAGATTTGGAAAAGGACTCTAAAAATCGACAAGGGGTCTTAATTTGGCAGTCTTGGCAATCCCCAGAATATTCGGCTGTTGGGAATCACCGATAATATCTCATCACTAGTGATAGTATGGTAGAATTAGAATGGTAAGTGTCATTAGAATCTATATCACGAAGTTTGATCTTAATGTTGAATAAATGTTGTGAATAATAAAAGCTAGAAATGTTTATTTGATGCTTAAAAAACAGCTGGAACTCTTTGATAACCTTAGATTTACTTTCCGCTATATCCGTTCCGTTGCGCATGGTATAGAGTTACTTGTATGCAGTGTTACGCAATGTGGGGACCAAGTATAGTTGTAGTAGGTATAAGGAGTTGCTTTGATGGATGATGTAAAACGCGTCGCAAGTCTCGAGTTATATCGCTATTACTAAAGCTGAATAGTTGTACTTGTATGGATTTTAATTAACTACATACGAAATAGCAATTAAGAGTTAATGAAAATATTTGAAGCTATACCGAATTCACTACTACGTAAAGAGCTGAGATTCGGATTGGCAGTTGCATACGTAAAATGCTACTTAATAAAAGGTACTTACGACGCTAGGACTAAAGTATACCGCCATTGCAGCTGGGGGAAAGGATAAAAACTGGAATAGGGGTCACCTTGCACGTGTAAACAGCGCTAAAAATAAGCTATTCTGCCCTGTCTGCCCTACGCCAATACATTGGAGACGTATATGTAGGTACAGCTATACCAACCATGGTTAGGGGAACTGTAATTGTACATCTTAACATGCATGGAAGGTACATAAAAAATAGGGACTCTTTTCTTACCGATTTCATGAACAGGCAGCCATATTTAATTTATTATACACCGTAGATGGCTTCGCAATTGTTTAACAATTACAACAACATCAACAAGGATATTGTTGTTTCAATTATTACACCCACATTACACATGAGTTAACCACAGAAACGAATCCATATACCTCTCCTTACGACGACGATGTCGGTGTTGCACCGATTCCGAAGGAGAAGAGGAGGATGGCATCAATCTCCATTTGTCTGGATCCTCGGAGTCGCGTGCCTCATCGAGATCACTCTTCATGCCGCCCGCTTCCGAGTGCCTATGCCACCGCGCGAACTCGATACACCTTTCTATGCTTCGTGCCAGGAACCCCCCGCGACACCTCCTGACACCCCGCGCGAGAATGCTGCTATTGTTATGTTGGCCCGTAACGAAGAGGCTGAGAAAGCCGCCCGCTCTGTTCGCAGCCTCGAAGAACGATTCAACAAATGGTTTCGATATCCTATAGTCTTCCTCAACGACGAGCCGTGGAGCGACGACTTCATTCGCGCTATCAATGCCTCTACGAGCGCACCGACCTTCTTCGAGAACTTTCCTAAGAATACATGGACGTTTCCCTCTTGGATGGACAAGGAGGCTGCGCAAACAAGCATGAAGAAACAAGGTGACAGCGGCATATTATATGCAGGGAAGGAGACATACCATCATATGTGCAGGTTCTTCTCTGGGTAGGTTTACCTGTTCCTATTTGCGCTCCACCAATTCCTACAATACTATACCATTGAGAGTGCATATATACTAAGACATTGGCATTGCAGGAGCTTCTACCAGATCGAGGCGCTCAAGAAATACAAATGGTACTGGCGACTTGAACCGGACGTCGAATTCTCTTGCTCAATTACCTACGATCCCTTCGTCGAAATGGCCCGCCATAACAAAGTATACGGCTTCACCATATCCCTATGGGAGGAGCCGCGAACCTGCCCTAGTCTCTTTAGAGAAGTCTCCGATTGGAAAGAAAAGAATAATATCCCGAGTAGCCCCCTCTGGAAGGCGGGCATCGACCCATCCTGGGCGCCTTGGCCATTCCGCAGTCTTTTCAGCTGGTTTTCGCATCGAGACCGTAATGGAGATAGGTGGAATCTTTGTCACTACTGGAGTAATTTCGAAATCGCCGACCTTGACTTCTTCCGCGGTGTCAAGTATCAGGACCTTTTTCAGCACCTGGAACATACTGGTGGTTTCTACTTTGAAAGGGTTCGTACACACTAGCCAGCACCATCACGGGAAAAACCGTCAATTCCTCATTCAATTCGGTGTATAGGTTTACTAACATGTTATTTCTCAGTGGGGTGATGCAGCAGTCCACTCCCTCGCCGTCAACATGCTCGCGCAACCGCACCAGGTGCACCACTTCGCCGACTTCGGGTACCGCCACGATTGGTACTACCAATGCCCCGCCAACGCGCCAGGGGGTCAACTCCCCGAGTCGAAAGCTCTGAACGATGTTAAAACAAGCTGGGCCCCCGAAATCTCGGGTGGTCTGGGCTGCCGATGCGATTGCGACGGCCGTCGGAATCGAAACCATGCTACGTATTGTTTACACAAGCTCAAGGCACCGAATACGGCACACCGCCCTTGGTCTACTTGGGCGCTGGGCTTTCTGTTTTAGATGATATACCGGAGTAATTTTGGATTGGATATTTACGAGATATATACCTTTAAAAAGAGAAGAAGATACAACGCATAAATAAACTTGCGGCTGTACTGGAAGCGAGCGGTAAAAGCTCCACGGTTGCAGAGACATTCTACGAGACAGGTACAGGCACCGTACCGCGGTTTACAGAACTATGATGACTCCTCCCATTGGGTGGCGGCAATAGATCGTAAGGATCGCCGGGTTAGTAGTCTTAACTCAACCTAGGACTACCTTATTACCAACTTAGCCCCTAAATGTTATGTACGACCGACCGAAGATAGACGAGCGGATTCGCTCCGGGGGTTGAAAAGGGACATTGTATGGGTACCGAGGCTAAAACATCGGGGTATTCGCATATGCATAGAATATTGTATAATGAATGAAAAGCACCCAAGCATCACGTTTGGAGATTTCATAAGGATTTACTCATTCGATTTATATGCTCGTTTTAGCACTCTCATTGTGAGTACAGTAAGAAGCATCAAATAGGTAGATACCCTTGTGCTACTGAGATAAAAATCTTCCAAAGTGCTCCCAACCCTTTGGGTCCAGTTCTTTCGTCCAAGTAACTTGCGTAATCAGGCCCTTTTGCTTGCTGGGGGTCGTCCTTAGCATCGTGTCGCAAGACCACCTAACGACCTCATAATCCGAAGGGTATCGGTCTGGGATTTTCGGGTTGGTGGTCGTGGTCTTCGATTTCGTCTAGGTGTTCTGTTTCAATCAGCGAAAGGTGTAGACACCAAGCGCCCATATTCCGCCGGAGCATTCTACTCGTATGGCTCGAGTAATTTCGTCTTGCTTGATGTCCGCGGTGAAAATATTCGCGGCACACAATTCACCCTCTTCATTCGAATCATGAATCATCGTCGCACGCTCATGAAATGTCATCATTATCAATAGCCATATCCTCATCAGCCGTCTTATTCGTCTCCGCCGTCTTCTCCTCAGCAACATCTACAAGCGCAATACGAAGTTAGCCTTCCATACCAATCTCAACACCAACGCTACACCTATACGTACCCTTCATCTCAACCTCACCCTCCGCCTCCATCTGCCGCTTAACCGCGTGTCCCATCTTCCTCTCCAGCTTTCTACGCTTCTTAGCGCTTAGCGCTGCATTCGGACCGCTAGTAGGTAATATTCCAGCGCGCGCGCCTCGCTTCGCATCTGCCTTTGCGACTCTGCTCTTGCGCTCGAGAGCTGCGCCCGCATTGCGCTTTTGGTTCTGCTTTCGCGCTTTGGCGGCGCGGGCTGCGAGGCGGTTTTTCGAGGGGCCGTTTGGATTCTTTACCGACGGCATGTTCGCGGGCCAGAAAATTGACTGAATAGTTTGATTGGGAGTTTGCGATAGTTAAGTTTAGAGTATTGTAGGTGTTTAAATATTCTTGTCGGAAAGAAAATTGAGAACTCAATTCAAAAATCTAAAAAGTTTTAGTGGGGTCCAGCGGAAGGTTTCCGTGCCCCTCAGATCTATGCTTATGTAATGAGAGCAAGGTTGTATGACTAAGCGAATCCTTCCCCTATTTCCTCCACTAATCGATTACATAAGTGGCTAGCTGACTTTCCTTCCTACATCATCATCAGCATCATCGTGAATAGTGGCAAACGGCTACTTGACCGGGTAGGCTCCGAGTATTGTTTTTTTTTTTTCGAAAATCCAAACTAAAATAAAAAAAACGAAAGAAAAAAAAGGGGGTGATAAGGCGCACCGTTACTTGCCCGAAGACAAGCCAGAGGGAGCCGAAAAAGCATCATCCTGACCGTTACCACCACTGAGGATCGAACTCTCAACCGGTTTCCCCGTCACATTGAAGAAAGTACTGCCCAGTTGAGCCAAGCCAGGGTTACTCCTCTCAATTATTGAAATCCTATAATATTATTATTACCTATCTACACATTGCTTGGGTTCTAGAGATTTAGTGGGTGGATGATCCTCGTTGACTGGAGGTTGGGTAGGTAGCCCGGCAACTGGGAAGCTATTCGGGTCACACAGCACTAGTGTTTTATAGACGCTAATGTCAGGTCTAAGTTGTGAAGTGTCTGCCTAAGGATACCTTGCGGGACTTGATGATAATTATCGGAAATGAGTTCGACCGCGACGATTATCACAGAGTCCCTGTGTAGGTTCTGTCACCAGTTCGTTGATAACCTCTTTAGCTTCAATTTCCTCAAGCAAGAAACCTATCCGACGCCATGGCAACCAGTCGGGTCAGAATGGACACCTGAGAAGGCCTGGGGGGATGTCTTCCATCATTATGAAACATTTGATGATCTTTCCAAAAGCGCCGAAACTTGTGAAGTCTGCAGTGTCCTCCACGCAGACCTCGCGCAGATGAGCGCGGACTTACGTCAAGGTTGGCTGGGATTATATCCTTTTTGGTCTACCGGTCGCATGGGAATGAACAAACTGAAGGGACACTTCCGCGCTGGATTCCGTGACTCTTTAGGCGAGATGCCCTGGGGAAGCAGTAAAATTGGGAGCATTCCGTTGCATAGCTTTAGAGTCTGCAGACGTGTGCCCCTGAAAGAAGGCGAAATTGTTGAATATGCGGATGCTCATAGGAGACTCCCGGCGGTATCATCAACCCTCCAGCCGTCCGACATTCCTCAGGAGGTGGCTAGCTGGGAGCGCGAATGTTCGGAAACCCACAAAAATTGCGCTGGGCTCGGGTCCAGTAGCGAACTACCTACAAGGGTAATCGATGTTGGCAAGGCTGAAAATGCACACATTCGTTTATATGAGTCGAGGGGCGAAAAGGCACAGTATGCGACTCTCAGTCATTGCTGGGGTGGAGCGATTCCCTCCGTCACGATACAAGCGAATAAGGCGGCAAGAACCGACATTATAAACATCGACGAACTTCCGCAAAATTTCAAAGACGCAATTCAAGTGACTCGCGCCCTAGGGATTCCATACATATGGATAGATGCACTGTGCATAATTCAAGATTCAAAGGAAGACTGGGATAGAGAAGCTAGTAAGATGTTTTCTGTTTACGCCGGCGCCTCATTAACTATATCCGCACTGGATGCGACAGCAAGTACGGAAGGCTTCCTCAAGCCAAACAGAGTACCCTTGGCCATAATAAACGATGAATACGGTGTCCAGAAGGTTTTTCCAGATATCAATGAATATCTCGTACGATGCCCACTCACTACTCGAGGATGGTGTATGCAAGAAAGACTTCTAGCACCACGTTTGCTTCATTTTGGGAAGGAACAAATATTCTGGGAATGCCGCACGGACTTCATATGCGAAGATGGGCGGAGAATTACTGGAGACTCGGATGGGCACGTCATGGCAGAGTTTCTTAGAATCAGAAGAAGCCTTGGCATATCCGCCGATCCGGGGACCGACTTATTTTGGTGTTACTGGTATCAATTGCTAGGAGAATACACCACGCGGAAGCTCACTGTTCCTACTGACAAGCTACCTGCCGTGGCCGGAGCCGCCGCCTTGTTTAGAACTCCGAGGCCCGATTCGACATATGTCGCCGGCTTGTGGAAAGAAGATATCGTGAGAGGTCTACTTTGGTGTGCTCATTACGATCATATGCCTGGCCGAAGAGTCTGGGGAATCTCAACGACGGACAGGATATCTGTTTTGACTAAACCCGCTAAGAAACGTGCACCAAGTTGGAGTTGGGCTTCCGTCGACGGACAACTCGATTTTTGGGCACGTAAAATTGGCGGATTTGTTGTGGAAGCTTTAGGTGTCACAATGGACGCCGAGAGGGAGGGTATAGCGAGCGTAGCGAGCGGGATAGTAAAACTTAGAGGCCTCGTCACGCGGATGTATTACCATCCCCCTCCCGATAAACCCGGTCTCGATGTGGGGGCCTTGACATTTAAGCGGATTGATTCTCCTGAAGATGAGTCCGTTACACTGAATGGATGTGTCATGGATGTGGATCGCCGCTCACCACGGTTTTGCTGGGCGATAGTAATGGCGCAGTCCATGAACGATTGGTACCTGCTCATACTTCACAAGCAGAATGATGGGAAATTTCAACGAATCGGAATGTCTACGTCAAAGTCGGTGAAGGTTGATCCCGGAAGATTCGAAACGAAAGAGATTGAAATCGTTTAAATATCTTTCACGAGGTTTCATTGAACACCGAGGTTTGAACATTATACTATTTTTCATTACTTTACTCGAGGGGATTTCTACCACTCAAGTCGGTCATCGCATACTAACTTAACATCGTATCGTTCGTTCCCTTTCCAGACCTTCGCGCCCGAATTCGAAGACGCTACAAAACTTCTTAAATCAGTAATCATGCTACCCGGTCCGCTTGCATATACGGTTGTTGATCCCCTGACGGTACTCCCCACGAACTCTTTAACTAATTTTTCGAGGTCGGGATGCCTGTCGAATCCTTGTCCTCCAATTCTCTGGACGTTGAGGGATGTGTTGGTCCTAACTTCTCTCACCGATGAAGTGGACGAGGATACACCAGCTTCTTTAATTACCGCCTCGTCCTTTTCTGATGCATCGTCGCTGATTGACGGGTTTTTGCTACTCGCTTCTCTTGTCACGTATATGTGAACTTCGATTTTGTGCGCCTTCGCGGCTTTACGAATAGCGTTGAGCTCTTCCTCTACCCAACGCGTGTCGTCCTTCTTTCGAACCGCCCAGACTAGTTGAACCTTTCGGTCTTTTACTTCGGGTTGCTCGATTAAACCTAGCAGAACTGGCAGCACGTACGTAATTCCTGTTCCACCAGCTACGCACAACACGTTAACGTCGGGCGTTAAGTCGTCGACTATTGACTCTCCGTAGGTCCCCGACAAAATGAGGGGTGTCGTGGCAGTGGGCGCTTCAGCTAATTTCTTCGCGGCCAATTCAGCAACCTTCTTCGTCTCGCCCTTCTTCGCTCGTATAATGTACGAGTGTGATACAAGACCATCCCGAACCTTCGGCAGATTCAGCGGCGTAAACGGATGCGACTGCCATATGCTGCATTCGGTGAAGCACAGGTAGAAATGTTGTCCAATTTTCCACGCATCCTGGGGATGGTTGAAATCCATTCGTACAACATCTCCGTGTTCCGCATCGGGGAAATGCGTGAGGGATGTATGCGCCGCTTTAAAGCCCATCGACCCATCAGGTAAATATTGGTAGTGAATCAGAGCTGAGCGCAAATATCTGATGCCTCGGTCCAAGCCCCAAATTGCTAAGCCAGGAATCAAAAAGCACTGCAGGTTCGCCCAGTGGCCATAGCAAGCCCCGATATACACCATTGCTAAAACGTAATGCGACTTTCGGAAGAATTCGTAACCGGTAAGACGAATGCCCCATGGGGTGCTCAAAGCGAAGAGCATTAAGAGCAAGATCTGGGCTACCACTCCCCAGATTATGTATAACTGCACGATCCATTCTATCGCGACTTTGGGCTGTGGTTGGTAGAGCCGGACTTCGACAATCGTCCAGCCAATGGTATGTAGTGATCCTTGGATAACGATTATGTAGCCCAACCACCGATGAAGAAAGTTGAAGCTTTGGTACGGGAGACCGGTTAGCAGAGATAAGATCGATTCTCTACTTGATAAAAGAACAGAGAATGGTGTCAAGGCATAGGCCAAAACACCTACTCGATCTGCGAATGGGCCCAGACTCGTTCTCGTATTGTAAAGGCCAGGATTATTCTTTATCGGCGTGATCCATGTCTGGTACGTGATACCAGCGAAACTAAATATGAATAAATAGGCAGCCAGAATTGTCAAGATGAGAATTTGGAGTCGCGTCGTTCGGCCGAAGATCAATCGAACTGAGTCGGGTAATAAATATTTTCGAATCAATGAGGCGGCGGTCCTCCTTATTCGCGAGCGTCGGTCGATTATTTTCGCTAGTCTTTCGCTATCGCCCGCAACCACTTCGTCTGCGCGTGGAGATGGGAAGACCCGTCTTCCGATCGCCCACAGCAGGAGAATACCACCAATTATCGCCCATAATATGCCGGAGTAAAGCATACTCAGATCGTGGGATTCGTAGACTTGATCAAGGTAGGCGCACGACCCTGCATCGTTCGTACACGGAACCGCTCTGTCGACATAACCCCAGTGCTTTTCCAAAGACGACGCCTCGCTGAAGTTCTGGATGTGGCGCGCGGCCAGATGGTTCTCTACGGCCGCCATCTTGCGCGACTCAACGAGTGATACCGTAGGACGTTGGTCGTATATGACTAACGAACAGACGAACGATTGACACGACCCAAAGAACGGGAAAGCTTTTAGTTATTAAAGCTGCAAAGTCTGCAGACTAGCTTTCGCCCACGTTGATCTACATATGATCTACGGTTGTCACCGGGAGCCACTCGACGCGATCATAATACATATTATAAGTATGCGACTGGTCTAGCTGGTCTAGACAGAACGCCGCCTAGCCGTCCAACCGTCCCACGTCGCACCCGTGTGCCGGGGCGAAATGGTGCCATCTTGATAATCTTCTCCACCAAGAAGAGCAGAGCTTTCTATCACAGACCTCCGGCATCCTATGTGTTTTGCTAAGAACTTGCTCGGGAATACTACCATGCTACCCCACGACGTTGTTCGAAACACACACCGTCCATGCCGTTAAACCTCTGAAGGGAAAGCCTGAGAAAAATTGAGCACGTTTTCCAGGGGTCGACGACGGCTTGGCGTACATGGGTAGCTGTTCCAAGATAGCCAATGGTGGCCTGGACCCGCCGATGGTTAAGGCGACGAGCTGTTGAAGAATCGACTTTAATGGACCGAATGGTCGGTCGTGTATCCACTTCGCCTGCGTCCGTCCTTCGATGCGATCATCTGGGTTCGTCAGGACCCGCTTGGTTGGTCTTGGTTTGAGGGGCGACAAGGGAAATGGGGGTTTAGTATTTTATCTAACAAAAGGCCTTTGTGGTGTATGCGCGGTCGCCGCGCCCAGCCAGTCCCATTTTCAAAATTCGATATCGACCTTCCTAAATTGCTACATCTTGCTCTTATACCCTCACTCTCTTATAAGGCGTCATCATCTGTTATCTATCTTAAACGGGTGGCAACGGGTTTCAAAAGATATACATAAGAGGGCGAGAAATCAATCCCATTGTTATTTTCGCATCATCCCAAGACAAGACCAATCCGTACAAGCTTATTCCCCGTTCCAATTGCGGGACACACCGCGTTCGTCCCTCCGAAGCGCACGCAACGGGAAGGTTATAAATTGAATTTTGCCGGCGTCCATATTAACCGCCAGCATGGACCACAGCCATATGGATGACAGTAGCAACGCTACATGCACGCATGCGGTATGTTGTGACTAATTGAGATTGAAATGAAGCCGACTGGATAATAACTGACCGAAAATAGATGACATGGAATTGGAACACTGTTGGTACATGTATGGCTTCTTACTTAGTTATTTTTCAACCAACGAAAACTAGTATTCGCGATCGGTGTTAACATTTCATAGGTTTTCTTGCGGAGTCATGGCGCGTTGAGAATGAGGGAGGATTTGCAGCATCATGCATTGGTGTCTTTGTTTTAGTCATATGCCTCGAATTCCTTCGTCGATTGGGCAAGGAATACGATAGCTTCATATTACGACAATTTCAACAACACGTAGCGGCGCAAGCTCGCGCATCAAAGGCAGAGGATTCATGTTGTTCCGACACGCCGGCGCTGGGTCCGCAGGTCGTTACTTTCAGGGCGGCGCCCCTGCAGCAGTTGATCCGCTCTGTTATACACGCCCTGGCTTTCGGTGTCGCTTATATACTTATGCTTATAGCTATGGCGTTTAATGGTTACATCATAATATGTATCATTATTGGTGCTGGTGTTGGGAAGTTTTTGTGCGACTGGATGATCGCGAAGGTCGTTATTGGGGGAGAGGGTGAAAATCAACCAAAGAAAGCAGCCGGTTTGGAAGAAGCGTCTGTATGCTGTGGTTGATGATATCGTTAAGTTTTATACCCACTATGCATTTGGTAATAGTTTTGCGCAGGGCAAATGGACGTTTTATGATAAACAATTTATAGAAATTTGTTCGTATCCCACCACCAAATGTCCTAGACAAACTAAATCCTTGATATGGAGCCCAAGTTGGTAAACCTGTTAAAGATGTCGGTGCCAAGCAGAGACTAGAAGGTAACTTCTTTTAAACATACTTATTACATCTATCTATCTAGTAGCCTATCATTACTTGCATGTGTCAATCCCCCAAGAAGCGGCTATTTTTAGATGTTCAAAATACCAAGAGACTTGGATTGACGATCAAATATTAGGCAATATGAAAACAACCTTTCCGACACAAAGGACCTTGCTATGTCCTAGGACTATAGGAAAAATATGTCTCGGTCTCGAAAAGGGAACTATTAACTCGGAGGCCAACGCCTTGGAAGTTCTTACGTCTGAAAAGGGGTACGAAGTATATCGGCGTCCAGAGTCCTAGGTGGAGGTGGCATATATGATCAAGAGCTGTTAGTCAACCCTGAGATGAGGTTGTGGGGGATACTTGCCTCACCTCCAATAATCCAAAAGCCACAAGACTCAAAGTCCAATCCTTCATCCCCATAACACAAGCAAGATGAATTCCATTATCTCCACCCTTGCTACCTTCGCCGTACTCGGCTCGACTATAGCCAACCCAATCATCCAAGCCAGCACGACTTTCTCGTTCCCAACAAATGTAACGGGTAGTATGACGCTCTATGCTCCTACCCAAACTCCAACTTTGCTCCCAGCTCCAGTGACTACTTCTTCTCCTAACGCTCCGAAGGAGCTCTCAATCTGCTGCTGTTGCCTTTTTGAGCCTCAACCCGAGGTTCCCCATTACATAGCCGAGTGTCCGAGGGACGGCGTACATGCTGTATGCGGTGATGAGGTCCCTATCGACTCGGGATACACGCTCGGGGGTCTGGAAGGGAAGCCCGAGGAAATTGCGAGGGTATGCTCGGAGGTTAGATGCGGTCCTGTGAAGTTTACGGGTTAGTACACCTCTGATGGACAATCGTGGTCAACTCACAGTCGAGGAAACGTGTAAGGATGGAGATAGGATTGGGGGCCATTTTCATTTCGATTTGACGAAGGAAATCATTCGCGATTCAATTCCTAACTATTGGTCACAATACACTATACCCTTGTGACTTCGTCCGATCTTGTCTGGTTGTGAATATTAACTTCGGTGGGAAACACTCGGATTCTCGGAGGGCGCGCGGCTCTTCGAAGTTGGAGTATAGAACTAGAATCAATTGAAAATGGTAATTGGTGCGGTTCTAGAGCATCTAGGGTATCACCAGAGTATAAACCGGGTTAACTTAACTAAAAACGGGTGCGGATTGCTTATTGTGATCGTTAACTCTATTGCCGCGTCATATCCTGGGAATCGGGAACAAATCAATGACAATTAGTTGATGTCATCGGACATCTCCCGGCACCGTCTATCGGGGCCCTTTCCTTGTTCTAAGAAGGATATAAAATAAACATTAACTTCGATAATAAATCAATATTGAAGTCACCAAAGAACCATAGGCAATTCATCGAGAATAAAGACCAAAGTTTACCCCTAACCCCTTTTTTACGCGACCATGAGCGACCCAAATAACCCCAACATTCAGCAACGCAGCACGCCGCAATGGGCACTCTACCAAAGAGAACTATTTTGGGCCCCGAACGATGATAAACATGCACCGTTTAACACACGTAAGTTATAAACCAAACTTCTTCATTTTGACAATGATTAACATATTTGCGCAGACCCCGACAAGCTCAGGGAGACAGCCAAGGAACGCCTGAGCCAGTCCGGATGGTAAGAGCCCCACCCAAAATAGGGGCTTCACTATCACCACCAAGACATAATCTCACAAAATTCTAGGCACTACGCATCCTGCAACGCAGGCCTCTCATGGACGCACTACGCCAACCGTCAAGCATTCTACCGACACCAAATCATCCCACGTATGCTAGTCGACACAAACCACCGGGACACCGCAACCACCATCTTCGGCCACCGGGTCTCGGCCCCCATCGGCTTCGCTCCGATCGGGATTAACCGAATCTACCACGCGACCGGCGAACTTTCACCCGCCAAAGTCGCCGGGGAGTTAAACCTTCTATACTGTTTAAGTTCAGCCGGTAGCTACAGCATCGAAGACGTCGCTAAGGCTAACGGAGACGGAAGTCCGCGTTTTTTCCAATTATACTGGAGTCCCGATGATAGCGTCGCGTTATCGATGCTTAAACGCGCTGCGGATAATGGGTATACGGCTTGTATGCTGACGACGGATACTTGGCAGTTGGGCTGGCGACATGATGATGCTGCGCATGGGAATTATGCGTTTTATCACGAGCACGGGGCTGGTGACCTTGGATTGCAAGATCCGGCTTTTTTGAACCGGCTGCGTGAGGCTAAACTCGATGCATCGGATCCGAAGGATAAGAAACGCGTTGGCGCGGATTGGATTGATAAGCATATTTGGCATGGACAGGCGTTCTCATGGGAGCGGATCCCGTGGCTCATGGAGAATTGGAAGAAATTGAGTGGTGGGAAGCCGTTTTGTATTAAGGGTATTCAGAGCGTGGCAGATGCAAAGAAGGCGGTTGAGCTTGGTGTTGATGGGATTGTGGTTTCGAATCATGCCGGACGACAGGTTGATGGGGCGATCGCGAGTTTAGATGCGCTGGAGAAGATCGCGGAGGCCGTCGGAGATAAGATTTATGTGAGTATTCACTTATTTTCGCGTTTGCACGAAGATGTTTATGATGCAATCGAGAATCATGGCTAACCACTGGGAAATTAGATTATGTACGACTCAGGAATTCGCGGCGGAGCCGACGTCTTCAAGGCACTTGCGCTCGGCGCCAAGTTCGTGTTTATCGGACGCCTATGGGTGTATGCCTTGAGCTCCGGCGGTGAAGAGGGCGTGAGACACGTTCTAAAGGGTCTATTGGCAGATTTTGACATATTGATGAACGTCGCAGGGTATCCCGACTTGAAGGGTATCAGCCGGGATGCATTAGACTCGCTGCCAAAGGGTGCTTACTTCCCTTCTACTACCGAGATGGCTTGAACGCCGAATATCTTGGGTAGGATTTACGATAGGGGAGGATAAATAGCTTGCGAATTGTTGATTTCTCGATCACGTAGCAAATAGGGTCGAATAGCTGACAAAGGGAATATTGATTGTGTCTCTGTTAGATATCGAGCGAACGCAAAGTTTCCTTCAAGAATTCAAGTCGATTCATCTTCATATATATATTTCCAGCATTAAACTTCACCCATCCCCCTTTTCTCAATCCCCACTAGCGCTTAACCAGTAACGTTAAAGTAGTTAGCAGCAATAGGGTCCTTAAGACCAGCCGCGGTGATAAAGTTAGGAACATTGAAACCAGACTTTTGACTCTGCAACATCTGGCTCGCGGAAGCGGGGATCTGCCAGTTCTCAGGCTGCTCCCAGAGGAGGTTGGTGTATCGGTGTGGGTGAGGGGGGTTCTCGGCTGGGGGCGCCGGAGCGAACCAAGCTACGGGGCCATTGGCCGTGGACTTCAGGGTGCTGACACCATCGGCGGATGCCGAGCCGCTTGACTTGAAGTCTCGGATCACGGTGTGCAGGTACGTGGCGGGCTGACCTTGCTTGGGGTTCGCGAAGTTGGTGGACCTGTAAGTTTTGTTAGGTATAGGGATCTGGTTACATTTATCGGAGATACTAGACATACGCGTCAAGATCTATTATATTATTAGCTAGGTGACTATTGCAAGCTGGGGAAATAGGGGCTTACCGATCAACATCCAAATGTAGGTGCCATTAGCGGGGATGCTCAATCCGATGGTTGGCTGTCTCGAGGTGTCGGACTTCGAGAGTGCCAGACCAGGAGTAACGGACTTGGTGCCGAAGGTGACTTCGAGCTTCTGCGTGACAGCCGGGGTAAAACCCTCTGGTGTCTGAGCGGCCGAAATGCCGGCGAAAGCCAAAGCAGACAAGATACTCGATCCCTTCATTTTGAATGTTGATGTGAATAATGGTAAAAATCCTTTACGTGAGGCGTCGATCCATTCTCTCGGTGTAGTCTCCCAGGATCCGGGTCAGATATAAATACCAGCCGCCGTTGAAGGCGAGACCCTTACGCAATAGCTTATGCGGAGCTATTTACATTGCCTAGAGGTAAGTAATCTACCTCAAGCCAATTCTAGCACCGTTTGGTGTATATAAGCACGTTGGCTAAATAGGGAATTTACCTGATCGGGCTCGGTCGCCTCTCGTGCATGGTCAATCTTCCGGCTTGGCGAATTAGATGTAAGGATAACCTCAAACGCGGAGTCCCCGCAAATTAATGGCAGTTGGATATGTTGTCTAGCCTGGATTATGGTGTTGTTGCCGATCAGTATTGCCTCGCCACTTTGTGGGGAGCTTCACATACCCAGTGGTTGAGGAGATCTGGGCGGGACCAATGAAACATCACGTACGAATTGTTCCGGCCGTCATTCCTAGGGGCCCTTGCGACTAGGGCATGGTATCCGTAGATTAACTACAATGTTGATGTCAGTTCAATATGCGGCTCTAGATGATGATCTACCATTGTTATGTCTGCGGAAAGAAGGTAAACAAAAGGAACTTAAAAGCAGAGTGCGATAAAGCACCTTTCCATAGAAATCACAGTAAACCCACAAGGAAACATGAAAGAGAGGGAAAATTATCGAAATGTCTGAATTCAGTGCAGTATTTACAGCAACACGCCAACCATTGACTATCGTAGCGGATGTTATGCTGCCATGCATTAGAAAACAAGCAGGCGTATCGGTCTATTTGACCAAGCCATCAATTCCAGCTCCGAGCCCTATTCCCCTGTGACAACATCGCAAACCTCTCCTTCTCCCCCCGCGACGACATCGTAGGCCTTTCCTCGGTTCAAGCGCCGAGTCGAGTGTTAAAGATCCAGTACATAGTCTTGTACGACTTACGGCGCAACATATGTAGTCGCCACTGGTATCCCTTCCCCTTCGCTCGGCCAAGTATCTTCATCATAAGCACACGCGTCCTGTCCGCCTTAGCCTTCATAACCGCCAATCGCAGATCCTCCAACTTGTCCTGCGTGTACACCTTCCAAGTATCCGCAAAGAGCTCCAAGTATCGGTCGCGTATGCGAATAATGCGAGCTTGCGTCAAAATCTTCCTCGCCCTCCACGGTCGAGTATTCATCGGCGGGTCTCGATGCGGGAAGGGAGGTTCCGGTCCAGGAGGAACTTTAAGGAACTTAGCTACCTTTCGCGACTCGGCGCGGAATTTCTGCCTCATGATGTTTTCCTCGCGCTTCGCTTTGCGGATCTCGTTATTGGCTTTCTTCTCCGCGAGTAACTTCGCCTGTCGCTCCTTGTAAAGATCTTTCTTAGTCTTCGGGGGCGGGAATCTCCGTCGAATGTGGCCCATTATAGTCGAGATAGAGGGATTGGGTTGGGCGTGGAGGATTATGTTTAATTCCTTGCAGTCGTCTTCCGTTGCATTATTGATTTCCATCTCGCGTAAAACTTCTAGGGTGACGACCGGGAATCCGGGGTGAGAAGGGAAGTCTTCCAGTATCGCTTGGAGGTTTGACTTGTGTAAGATGTCGTTCTTTAGGGTTTGCATGTGGATGATTTCGAGCTCGGTGAGCTTCGTAAGCATAACGACTGCGCCGACACTACATTCGGCAATTTCCTTCTCTATCTTGGCAAATTCCAACTCGTACTGCTGCCTTTTACTTTCAACAAACTCGACATGTTCTTTGATAGCCTGACTGGTTTGCTCGAGGTCGCGCTTATACTCTAAGCTAAATTTGCAGATCGCTTCGATATCGATCTCATCGTCATCTACCTTAGGAGCTTCGGCATTGGAGGTCTCATCAGCGGTATCCTTCTGGGAGGTAGAGTCGAAAGTTTTCTCAGGAGCGGTCACCGTGTCGTCGTCTGTTGAGGTTAAATCTGACACGTCTTCTGAAGCCATAATGCTCTCTGATGTCAAAGAAGGGCCCGTAGGCTCCTCCCTTGATGGCGTCGACAGTGTTTGGCCCATGTTGATTAAATATGCTTCGGGTCAAGAAGTAAAGGTGAAGAAATAATGAGGTAGGAAATTGGCCCCGTAAGGGAAGAGAAAGAATTATGAATGGCTTTTTTGGTGGGCACCGACGACGCGGGTCTTGTACCTAGGTCGCAGGCATGGGTTTGGTTTTTAGAGTACGCAAGATTGGCCTGCTTAGTCGTTCGTACCGCGAGCTTTTGGACGCCGAGAAGTTCTTGGTTTCAGTACCAATGTAGAATACATTCAATGTCGTGATCATTCACAAAGCTACATGGTTAATATAGGTAGGTGATGTTGCTAGTAACTCGTAATGTTCGTACCAAGAACCCAATAGCACTGTGGCAAACATACAGTATTCAGTCTCAATCGTTCTATTCTAGAAGTTAGGTCTGGTAACGCCGTTCGTGGGTACGTTGGCAAACTCATTCTTTATCTTGTTGGCACTGGGTACCCTCTCGTATACCCCATCCAACTCGCACCGTTTCTATTCAATCACATTGTATAATGATATCGGTTTGGAGACACCGTAGTGTTTTATTCGAGTTGCTCGATTTATAACGCGAAATTAATGCTGGTGCATGCTACATCGTTGATATACAGATATGTGGAATTCGAATAAGGCCGCTTATGATTTAACCCCCCCAAGACCTAGTCCAAACGCCTGTGGCCTATGCAATATTAACAAGATTGCTAACCTCTCTAGGTCGATTGTAGTCGTTACTCTTGAGAATCGCTGTTTAATTCGACTCGGCGGTGATTAGTGAGCTATCCCGTCGCTATTCTTTCCCACGGTACTAGGGCTGTTAAGGCCGCTACCATCATCTCTCGTGTCCCTTACGCCTTCATCTTCATCATCGCTCATTAAGCCTTCCAATTCAAATTCTTGGGCATCCCTTACAGGCACATTTCCATTAACACGCGGTCCTAATCGACCATTCGCTAGATCCTTATTAGGAAGCGCCGGTGTGGCGTTACGATCGTATACACCGAGAAGAGCATTGGTGAAGAGGAATACTAGAAAGGCGAGCGAGTACAAAATCAATATGTAGGCAACGTGGTCCATGCCTGACGCAGCAACGAGAGCCATTTGTTCTTCCGTCGCGCCCATGAACAAGAATCCGGAAGCATAAAGCAACTATAAGAATCATTAGCGGGACCATGTAATTGAATATTCCGAGCGCGGAAGTACTCACAAATGCGGGGACAAATTGAAAGCTACTCGTCTCACGGCCATCTTCAGATAAACCAGGGCGATCCCGAAGAACAAATGATACCTCGATCATACGAGTGGCACCAGCAGCCATGAGTGTGTATCCAAACATCTTGTGGGTTTCAGCACTGATCATCAGCTCTTGGGGATGAGCACTCATAGCCCAGCCAGTGATCAAAATAACGAAACCGGGAATGAAATTGCGTTGAGGTCTGCCGTCTCGGTCTTTGCTTAACCAGATTCCTGCCAGACCTGCAGCCCACCATACGATACCCATAGTGGTATGCTGCCAATCATTCTTGACCCAAGCGGTACCCCATCGGTGTTCGGTAAAAGTGTTAACAACTCCCCAGGCGGCGATAACAGAACTGTCAAAGAACTCCTGGGACCGTCCGGTACGCCTGATCCATAACTGCCCAACTAATAATAGGATCGTCAAGAGGATACCGTAGGCAATGAAAGCACTACCCATAATGAAATGGGCGAGACATTGACCGAGATGATCACCCTGACAAAACCCAAGAGCCGTGATACCACCAAACAACATTTGCGTCCAAGATAGGACAGGTAGAGCCTTCCCGACGATGCCGTGTCCTATCTTCACGAACCGTCTTATCTTCCCATTTATGCCTTTTTCGAGATGTAACTTCAAGTATATACCCATAAGAATCTGGAAGAAGAGGACCAAAGAGATGGGCGACGCAAATTTGGAGTGGACGTTATCGTGTCGAAATTCGCGACCGCCGTGCATGTGGCCCAGGGCGTATCCGACGATCGCCAGCGCTGTGCCGACTACTTGGACGGGGACGTGCCATCGGGACTTGACGATCTAAATAACAGGGAATATCGATCAGAATGCAGATCAGTCGGCGGAGAAAGAAGGCTGTAAAATGGAGAAATACATACCCCAAGAACCATACCCAAGGGAAAGATAATACCCCAGGCGAACATCTGTATGAAGATATGAACCCATAATGTTGTGTCCTATGCGAAATATCAGTTTCCGACGCTTCCGTTGCAGTCAGTCCGGTCGTATTCTCTTAGAACGTACAATCGGCTCAACCGAAATGGCTTGCCCATCTTCAATATGCGTAGAACTATGATCGTGTGCGGAAGCCATTGGTAAAGCAGCTAAAGCGAATAAAAATACAGAAAAAGTTAAGGAAGACGAAGCGGTGTTCGCCATTCCATTGAGCCTCCGTCGCTCCATGATGTGTTTCGAAGCGAGAGAATCCGGGCTGTCTGGGCTGTCTGGTCCCAAGCTGGGTCGGGATTGAACCCCCTTGAAGGCGACGTGTTTCGACTATTCGAGGCCAGGGGGGGTTCGTAATGGAGGAAATTACCAAAAACAGAATAAAATCAGACGGTACAAGTAACAAGAAAATAGTACATTTCAATTTTGTCAATTATCGAATCAATTGTAACAGTTTCAATCCTACAGAGTGTGGTCGTCGTTCGAAAGCGGTTGAAGTTGAAGAGGGGAAGAAAGTGATCAAGACAGTTAAGACCGTCGGAATTTATTGTTAAAGTTGTTAAAATTGTTGATCTTACCTTCGATTTTCCGAGGCGCGAACCAAGAGAAATGTCAATTCCCTTCCTGCCGACACTTCCATCCACGTACTCCGTACCTGCCTCTTACACTTTGCTTATACTAAATGGGTACCTTTAATGTTCTGGACTCACAAAGAATTCATAATTGCGTCAGCTTAAATCCCTTGTACTTCGTTGTACATGTATTACGTAACCTTCTCCCCAGACAGCTCAGAGAAACTTTACCCATCGGAACGGGAGCGAGTTGCATAAGTGTGCATTTGGCGGCCAATCTTCGGTAAGTGGGCCGATGCATAATCTCTAAATTGAAATCTCGCTACTGTGATTGGATGGGAGTGTGTCCGCCTAATGTGGAGATTCCTTGTACCTTACGTACCTCTTCTTTTTTACGAACATTTGAAGTTCAAATTGATTTTGATTTTATTTTTCACTTTTAACTAGCATCACTTCATGTATTCTTCAATACGAAACTCAAAGTCTTTAGCCAAGCCAGGATTCCCCTTGCTGAGAATATATAACTATCGTACTTCGTATCTCATTATTTTAGAAGATATTTTTTTTTTTTAAAAACATTTGAAGGTATACCGATAAACCGACTTCATGAGCTAACAACCGTACAAACCGTATCGGACCCAGAAAAGCAACGTGGATGAGCTTAGACAACAAATCAAATAATTTTATCGCCGCCGCTTCTGCCATTGCTACTATCATACTAATTCCCTTCGTTCCTCTTCATATCGAGACAGATGCACATAGCGGCAACGATAGCCATATCCATATTCGGCGCGATCGCGACTTTGTAAGTCTGTTGGTCACCTAGAAGTTCCCGCGCATTCCAACGGTCTCGGTAGATAGCTGCGACAGCTTGTCCGCTAGCTTCGTCTGTGATTTCAGCTCTGGTGTCCGTCCAATCGCCCTTCATCAGGAGTTCCTCCTGTTGCCCTGATGATGAGGTGAATGTGCCTATGAATTTGGAGCCACCCACTATAACACGCCATGTTAGTCGCTAAGCCACATAAAATACGATAGGTTCGGGTTGCCTCGGCATTCAGCCAAGGTATCAGTGGCGTGACCGGACTTACACTTAAATTTGCTCTTCACCTCAAAGATCTCCTGACCATTGGCGCCTTCGGCGTAGTATGTGGTGTGTATGCTCAAATGTCTCTTGCGGATACAGAATAGTTGATTACCACTCATATCCAAAACGTTCATGCGCTGGGAGAGTGAGAAGGTCTCCCCTGACACCTTGAAAATAGGCTGGCCGTTGGCGAGACTGATGTCGAAGCTATTCCCAGACAATGACACGACCTTCTCCTTCAGAACCAACGTCTCAGTTTGCCTCGCGATGAAGGGCGCGAAGACGCCTATCGGCCTAGGAAGGGGGGCTAGCTGTGTATCGTGTCCCATCTTGAATGTTGTTTGCTGTTCTGAAGGTGGAGTAGTTCTTAGGGTTGAAGATTTGTGAGTGAAGCAGTGATTAATATGGTATGTGCCGTGCCCAAGTGTATGTATTTATGGTGAAATTTGAATGACTATACAGAATTTTGGGTTACATAGCAGTAGCAATATATACTTTCAAGTCCTTCGTACAATTGCCTATTCAACACCCGTTGTGGAATGTCGATAGCTGCTCAAGGCCTGCAGATTCAGGGAACCTATGTCAGCTAATTACAGCTAGATACGTCATTTAGCCAATCAACGACTGATATTCAGCGGCAATGCCCCCCTGTTCATCCGCTAGATGGAACCTGGATCCGTTCGAGCTTTTACAGCTGAGAAGCTTGTCCCACTTCAACACCCACTATACAATGCCACAGGGCATATTTTACGAAGATTTGTATATAAATAGGCTGCCTCAATACTGGGGAAAGCCTGGGGCTTATGTAATAGTTAGTCTACAGATGATCGGCAGCGAGATCGTCACCAAGACAACAGTTGAATCTACGGAACCAACATCTCCATACCTATTCCTAATTAATCCATAGCATCCGATAGACGCGTATAATAGACCTTTTATCAAATTCATATTTGTACATAGCGATAAAATTAATTTAAAGGAACCTGATACGAAAATATCGTATCTAGGACTCAAGCAAGGGGCTTCAAATTTTGTACCCAATATCCACTCACCGTCGCATCGTCGCACCGACGTGAGCAACTCTACCTAAGACGCGTGTAACACACCTCTGCTCAATATCACCATGTTAGGTCATTTCACACTACGCCATATTCCCCCGCTCTTCGTCGCCTGTTCGGCAACTTTCGGCGGGCTATGGCCTCTGTTCAACGCGAAAGCTGCCATGCTCGAATTCGGTTTTCCTACGCACATCGCCAATTCGCCCCCGACGTATCCTGTTATGATTACCCAATCTATTCGCACTAGCGCTTTGGGGCTGATTATGCTCACTTTTTATTCTCAACAAAAGCTTGCGGAGGTTGATACCGTTATGGCTATTATGGGTACCTACCTCGGCGTCGCGGATAGCTATGCGCTATGGGCTGATAGCCGGGGCAAAGCTGTTTTCCAGCTTATTTCTGGGCTTTTAATCGGTGCTTGGGGGCTCGCGGGGTTGACTAAAGGACTTTGAGACTGCATTCATACCTGTTCCTCGAGTCATTTGTTTTATTTGGCTTGTATATAATACCCACGGAATTTCGATTTGTTTTGCGTCGAAATGAATTCATTACACACTCTTCCAGCTCCGTGGACGGCGAGAGAATTAAGTAGAATCACGAAGGCATCTCTGTTCGAAAAAACTTTATGTTCAGCACCCTCGCGGAAAATAGTGATCGCGGATAGTATAAGAGTAAGAAGCTACAACAGCGTCACCCGATGGTTTCTGAAAACGGTTGTTGGAGGGTAAAATCGTTGTTGCCAGAATAATAGTTATTTTTGAAGAATTGATAGCCAATCAGAAGCCAAGATTTTCTGGTTTTTTTTTTTTTTTTTTTTTTTTTTTTTTTTTTAAAAAAAAAAATTGGATGTTATTGATGGTATCGCGAGTTGTGTGACTATGTAATTTTTGAAATTATTTATATAAGTGTTTTTTTGTGTCCATTTTTTCGAATCTTCATCTTCATCTTCATCATTACTCTAATTAAGAAGAATGATCAAAGTTTTCTAAACCAAATAATCCAGGTCAAGTATATTAATCTCTTAATCTCTTCACCTACTGCCTTCACGTTGCCTTACTTTGTACATATAATCGTGGATTAGCTATCAAAGCGCCTAAATTTAAGCTAAATTTTAAGGCTCTAACAGCCCGATGCTACCCTACCCAGGCACCTAATGTAATCAACAAACTCCCTGTAAGCTCCTGTAAGCCCCTGTAGGTACCCCTAAACAGACCTCGACCCCGCGATTATGTCCAAGTTAGCGGTGTGGAATAGGTAAATGGCCCCTAGTAAATTATAGTTTAGAAATACCATTGGTATCAGTCCCAACTTTATGCTCAATAGACCTATTATGCGCCTGTGTAGATTGTGGCACGTCAAGTGCCGGGTTACGAGTAAAGAAATTGACTGGCTTGAGATGTACGCTGACAATCTCAACAGGCCTATAGATATCAGTCAGCTTAATGTCAAATCGCTAACACTATTCACGATTTACTCACATAACCGGAAAATCTTCAATTCTAGGAATGTGGTTTAGGCCGAACTGCACCCAAACGACTATGTCCTCATCTTCAACGTCCGCATTGTTGGTTGCGATCCAGCTTTTTATACCGGCGCCACCACGGCCTAGAAATGATGGGTAGATTAGCACATAAGTACCAACTAATACGACTGAGAATTGACTGAACGAATTTACTTTGGTTCGTATATTTCCCACCAGAGAATAGCTCATCTGGTCGATATTTTGTGACATAAATGTGATGATCGGCGAATTCGGCTCTTTTGGCGTTGAAACTCGATGAATGGGCTAATAAGGGCTGCATTGGCGGAAACACGACCTTGTAGGAAGCCGGGAGTCCATTGACTGCATTGGGCATGTGGCCGTTCTGTATCATGTAGGTTCTACCTTTCGCCGAGTCAAGATCATATCCACCCTCTTTCGTGATTGTGTTGCGGACGGCGCGATAGCCAGTGCCGTGCGGATTGTATTCATCGATTGGCATAGCATACGACTCTTGCGCAATGAGTGATTGTCCATCTTCATAGCTGCCTAGCGCCGGATCGATGCGCAACGAAAGGATATGTTGATGATGTGCTGCTAACACGCCGGGGTGCACTACAGTGCCAAAGTCGACATTGACGCCCTCATCTACGGCTGATGTCGAAAGAATACCGGTTGCACGAACTTGATATTCTAGTTCCCCGGCTTGGTTCAGAATGAACATCAGAATATACTCGTAGTTTGACACCGTTAGGATACTTTGAAGGACGAGTTCTCGATTTCGCACCACGAAAGCATCTAAGATTAGGTATGTTTAGCTAAATGTCAAAGTATCGAGGGAGGCAACTTACTCTCGGTTCGGTAATTAGTATGCTTCCAGCCAATCCCGTTGTCTTGCTCATGGATGCAAACCGCGTTCTCCTTCACAACCGGTGTACCATCCCGGTCGCAGACAAGACCATCTAGATACGTAATCACACCCAAACAATCGCAACCCAGCTTTAGATCATTGGCTACCATCCCGGCTCCGACGTCACCTAAGTCGAATGCCATTTTCCGATGGTACGGTGATCTCGGGTCTCCGTACGGAACGGTCATCTCGCTTAAACTAACTCGGTAGAAGAGCGGCTTACCATCATATCGGACATCTCTCAGTACAAGCGCTTCGCGGTATGTAAAGCCAAGCCGCAACTCCCATTTCTGCCAGCGTAGAACCCTATCAGAAGAGATGGTGTACGAGGGTCCATCCGGCTGAACCACGTTAAGCCTCTTGAGATCGGTTCTCAATTGAACAGACTCAGGAGTATAGTCATTGGGTGGTATCTCCTTATATGCACCATGTTCCTTAGTTGTATGGTCCGCACCGGTCGGCATATGTTCTACTGAGACAAGCTTCATCTCCGTCGGATTGAAAACGGCCGAAAAGGGCAATGGACGAGCATAATGGTTACTATCCAATTTTCCCTTTTCACGAACAAACATATATACTTGATATTGGCGATTTAGGTCATTAACTCCATCTGACCCGAATATCCAAGGCTCCGGAATTACCTCCAAATGACTTGGGAGGTTGAGCTTGGCGATCTCCGCCTTAACTTCCGGAGCTTCCATAACCGCTTTCTCTACCTCCAACACTTCCCCAAAATCCGCATTGCCATGCACACCAGTGTTGCTGGATCTTTCAACTTTTTTGGTAGTGAGATTGACATGTGCAGCAAAGAAAGTCGTCTGTGGCTAGTCAGCTAATGTTGTTCATCCGGGTCGAAGAGTCCTATATCTTACTGTACCCCTCAAATAATACGGGCAATATGCAATTCTATCGGGAGCTGGGGCTTTTTGTCCTGCATGTTCTGCTTCCAAGAATTGCTTCATTAACTTTTTATCGGGTTCATCTAACGTGATGGCTTTGAATGACAATATAGTTCTAGGGTGTTGGGCCTGTATCAAATCCCGAGCTTCAATAATCTCGGCGGCCGTTAAATCCGCGAAAGGGTGTTGCGCCATGATGGAGTAGGTTGGTGACGCGATGTAAGAATATCTAGGTCGCTATAGCTCTTCTTTATATCTTAGCAAAGTTGTTAAACCCAGGCTGGAGGTGTTCTCTTGTTAGATAGCGGTAGTTGTGTATAAAAGATAAGCTTAGAGTGCTAAGTCTCGAAGATGCTAGCTGCTAATCCAGATATAGGTGCCCGCATAGAACGGTCTTCTACCTCGGCAGTGAGAATGGCGATCAACTCACTTTGCTTATCTACAGGCGTTTGCTATGGCCTGTTAGGTCCGGAGCGCACGGCCCAACCCCACTCCCTAGACTCCGTTTACGGGCAGCTTATCAACGCTGAGTTTCCACTCTAATATCCTAAGCCGGCGATTGGATTGGGGATAGTAGGTATCGGTCCGGGTGACTGCTGTTTGCTTGAGTGTGATACGGCCCGAAGAGTAGTGCTATGTTGCTTTGACTTGAAAGAGACTGGTATGGAAGGTTGCGATAAGTTGACAAAGCGGTACCCCTGACATCACGTACTAGCCCTCCAGCACCATTACCTAGGTATTAATCGGGATTTGATATTGTTAGGGCGTGAATAATCTTGGAGAAGTCTTGGGACTTCTGCCATCTAGCGCATCGGGTCACTGACCTATGAGACGCACTGTTACGCTTCATTGTTTGCTATGAATGTTAGAATTGGCGCCTTTAGGTGAACCCTGCGGGGCACGCCTTGGGTTGATACGCCGTCGTCACGCCATCGCGGGTATTAGCATCGATTTCTGGTTCATTCTTCCCCAATTCCTCACGACAGAATGCTTCAAACACATCTTTCCATAATTGTACACTCTTGTATTCGCTGACAATATCTGGAAAATTGCGCACTGCATCCCAAAGTCGCTCGAGCGCTGCCGGTTCTTCCTTAAGTTCAGTCATTTTTGCCATATATGTCCGAACGCTAAAGACAACGGCCTTTGACCGAGGAAGTCGGCATAATGACTGAAGCTCCGTGCGTATCCAAAGATCTTCGATTCGTTTAACTTCGGGATAACTTTCGAATCTATCGTGATGAAATATTTCCCCACATGGTTGGACGAAGAGGTTGTTTCGCTGAATAGGTGAATTGACCTTGAGATTAACGAAAAATCTTTCAAATTCTCAGTATTATCGATTCCCAAATCAATGATAATACTAACCTCTCCATTGATTTCTTCAGCTTCTCCTTCCACAATGGTACTGGATCATGAATTTGATGCAAGGGCCATCCGATCTTCTGGTCGAGCCGCCAGCCAGTGGGGGCAGCTAGGAATGCCCCGCGTCTGCTCTATCGTCAGCAATCAGTTCTAGAGAAGACCATTTCAACGCTAAAAACTCACAGATAATAAAGATCACCCTCTCCCTGTTTGAGTATATAGAGGTCATCCATTACCAAAAGAGATGCGGTTTCCAAGGGATGACGATCATATGGTGCTTTAATCCGATATCTCTCACCAATCGGAATAATGATTATTTGATCACCCTCAAGACAGAACATATCCGGATATCTCCGAGTGATATACGTCACGATAACCTCGAGCAATTCTACCGCCGCCTCATCCTCGCCATCAAGATAGTCGACAATTGTTTCTTTGTCCTTCCTTGAGGCATACTCCAACTTGGCTTTGTGCTCTATTTCCCACTGATTGTCGAAGGTCATCCAATTGTCTGGGTCCAGCTTTCGGAGGCCCATTGTAAGTTGGTATTTTCCAGCTTTCCAGCATCTGGGCCATTCGGGCTTGTCATATATAGGTAAGCCCTTAAATGGAACTATATTTGATAAAAATGGTAGTTTTATTTCATCGCCTCCCCTTGAGTTCGTGTTTGTTTCCCTCTCTTTTCTCATCCGTGAAAGTCGCCTGAGACCAACTAAGATTCCTAGCAGTAATGAGGCTGAAAGAGTCCATACTGCTAAAAAGGAAGCATTATTCCGAAATTGAATAACTAGACTTGCTGACATATTTAGCAGTGATAGTACAGTTTCTCTGGACAGTTGTTTCGGGAATTTTGTTCGAGAGAAGAGCCCTCTACTTCGTCCTTACCTATAGGGTATATACATGATTGGCCACCAAATAAGTCGATGATATAATCTTGCTTTCCTCCAAGCCACGTAAAACGCCAATATTACATTGTTCTATAGATTTATTGGCTCGTTACTTCCCTAAATGCATCCCTACTCGGCCTGAGCGTTAAACATACCAACCAACCTACTCGGCCTGAGATGAGGGGGAGGCGTTTTCGGTCGGGATGTAGCATACATCCCCTGAACGACTTCGAAGCGACAGATAGGAGAACTCCCGTTACTAGGATTTCCTTGCATTGGCAAAAGCAAGTACCTCCTTGGGCTATAACGCCGAGATGTGCACAACTTGGATGGTGCGTGATAGAGTATTCCGCATTTTCAGCGTTACGCTGCGATACAACCTCAGGATGTAAGTAAACATCGGTATATCGTGGTGTTGTGCAAGCCGCCTGGGCTGCCATGGAGACCATATGCCGTGGCGCGTTTCCATCGTTGATGTTCGAGTATAGACCAGATTTACAAGAAAGGTATGGATTAATTATAGATGAGACGCCACCAAGCGCACCCCGAAGCGGTGTCCGTTCCTACTTAGTTTCTTCATTATACCGTGAAATAACAATATGTCGCCCATTGTCACCGAGAAAATCAACTCGGAGTCAAGTGCCGGCGATATTAGGCAAGTAGTTAATGGATATAGCGATGAAGTAATTTCGGATGACGAGTTACTTCGTCTTCAGGGCCACGAAGCCGTCCTAGAACGTAAATTTACAATTTGGTCGGCTTTTGGCCTTGCATTCAGGTCAGTCTACTCGATAGAACACCGGGTCTCTCGCACATTAAATCTTAAATACAGCGTCACAAATTCATGGGTTGGTTATCTTAGCAACTTCGGGCAGAACCTCATCTATGGTGGTCCGCAGATGGTCATATTTCCCCTCCTTGTCGCTACACTAGTTCAGGGCTTCATTACAGCGGGTCTAGCTGAATTAGCGTCTGCATTCCCTTCTACAGGTGTACGTTTCAACGGGAGCCTACAATTTCATCATGCGACTAATATGTATTATCAAAGGGCCAATATCATTATGCTTACCTCCTTGCTCCTCCTAGATGGAAAAAGCCTATCGCATACTTTACGGGCTGGTTTTCTGTTCTGGGTTGGTGGATTATTACCACCTCGGGCTGCTTTCTTGCGACAACTTCAACACAAGGGCTTGTGAACTTTTGGATTGAAGATTACATCGCGGAAAGATGGCATGGCTACTTAATATTCCTAGGGGTCATTGCGACAACTTGTAAGTTATAAATGTTACCACTCCCGGCTGAAGTTCGATGTTGGAATTGACATAGTCTTAACCAGCATTGCCCCTTTTTCTTACCCCTAGAAGAGTTGGGTGGTTTACTGAAGCTTGCCTCTACATTTCGGTATCTGGATGTCTCGCTATTCTTGTCATTGCTTGTGTCATGCACCAGCGTTTTTACCCTAGCTCCCGTTTAATAGACAACACTTTGGGAACAAGCGGGTGGTCTTATTCGGAGGCTTGGTTTCTAGCTATTGGAAATTCAATGTGAGTGTGCATCCCCAATAAAATGGTACCTATCCAAGTAGGTAATATTATTGTCTAGTATTTACTCACAATCTACTCATAGGTATGCCTACGTTGGGACGGATGCCGCCAGCCATGTCGCAGAAGAACTACCACGCCCCAACATACGGGTACCGATGATCATGTGAGCGCATTTGGGTCATTTACTAGAGATTGAATAGGGCTAATTATACTTAAAAGGATTGGGAGTATTGCTCTAGGATTCGTCACTACATTTTCCGTCATGCTCGTCCTGATGTATACCATGTCCGATCAAAGCGCCGTGATCAGTTCAGGTCTCCCTTCAGTGCAGATATTCTACCAGGTAACAGGGAGTAGGGCGGCTGCGACAGTGATGCAAGTCTGGGTAATACTTGTATTTTATAGTGAGTGATTTGCCCTAATTAGTGTTTTATTTCTTACTAATTAGTACCTAGACTCGCTATGCTCTCAGTGGATTGCATCGGGGAGAATAGCCTGGGCCTTAGCACGAGATGTAAGCACCCAACCCCCGCGTTCGCATGTTTTAGCTACCTCTAATACTGTTTATAGGGAGGCCTTCCATTTTCACAATACTTCGCTCACGTTGACGAAGGCCTAGGCTTTCCTCTACGCACTACGATACTCGCAATAATATTTTGTGCTGTCTATGGGCTCGTATATCTTGGATCAACCAACGCATTCAACTCTATTGTGACATCGGCAGTACTATACCTTGTACGTCCAAAACTAGGAAACTGCATCGGGCTTGGCTAATGAATTACACGTCTATGCAGAATATATCGTATGCTATTCCGCAAGTGGTTTTATTGTTCCGCGGGCGAAGCATTCTTCCTGAGCGCCCGTTTCGACTAGGACGGAGACTTGGAATATTTTGTAACTTGTTTTCCCCATTTGCGGTCATTGTCCTTGCTGTTCTGTCCTGTTTTCCGGTCAGTCTTCCGACGACTGTTGAAAGTATGAATTACTCAAGCGTCGTGTTGGTTGGCTTGTTGCTAATTATCACCGGTATCTGGCTTACAATCGGAAAGAATTTCAGAGGCCCAAATGCGGACTTGCAAGTTACAAATATGCTATAAGGTTTGAAATATAGTAGGAGGCTGCGCTGTTTTCGTGGGAGGGTTTCGGACTTTCTCCGAAATATCTAGATCATCGGAATTGCCGACGGATACGGAGCCGATCCGACAATTCTCGTCGGAGTTGGTCCGAAAACCTGTAAGCATCGGAACGATCCGATACGAACCTTCTCACAAGACAAACCTATCTGTCGTTGAACCATAGTGCACACTTACCTATTATTATAAGATACCTAGAATTTTTTGTAATCCTGGTTTATGTGTATTTCGGTAAGCTTCCAGAAGCGATGTCCGAAACACAGTCGCCTAACCAATGCCTCCATGGCCTCTATTGAGCTATTTATTTCTTAAAGCCACCGAGTTTATACTAAATATATTACTGGGAAATTGTTATGAATATCTACTGAGCTACCTAGGTATTAATAGCCCAGTGAACGGGGTCGATAGTACGGTTTGGCGTTGTGCTATCTTCCGGTACGTACCTACTCATTCCAAATTCGTAAACGCCACTCAATCTAATTGGTCAACTTACAGATAGGGAACAGGGATCCAATAGCTCACCCTGTAGTTTAGCGCTATTCTCTCTATAATTACAGCATAGATCCAGCCTATAACCAGGCATTTTAGGCGCTGCGTCTCTGGCTGGCCTATTAAGCCCTTCTGTTGGCAAGATTTGATTTCTCCATGTTATCCACAAAACGATCTAGGGACCGTGCCACGATCCTATGTCCCATGGTAATGAGTTGGAGTAAAATGAGGGCGTAAAGTTTAACAGTGCCAGCCGGCGAGAAGACTCCACTGTACACGCCGTTCGATTAGGGGGTAGATCGATGATAATAGTAAAGAAACATAAAAGAATGTCTAGGGGTTTCGTAGTAGTTTATCATCTAAACGATATGCAGTTTTTATAGCAGCTTAAGTATTAATGTAAGCTATCTGCTGAGAATCCTACTCTTTTCGCATCCTCCTTGGTATACCAACACCTCCAAGGCTGTTTCTGGCATGTTTTCCCTCTATTTTCTAGGTTGAACTAAGCCCTACGAACCCATGTGCTTAGGCCCAATTAGCGGGTTATGCCCCGCCCCCGCAACGGAAGAGTGCATTAGCTAAAGCTAAGAGATGATTCTAGTGTGGAAGAGCTCATGAATGTCCAGTATATTATGGTTTTCAAGCCGTGAAAAGGCGGTACAGACGCCCCGGGAATAGCTACCGCGCATTGGAAACTCCCTATAGTTCGTTCGCGGGTTCGTAATAAGCATCGAATCCAAAATCCTCCGACCATCCGAACCGAGCCCCACTATATTAGGGCGACGATGGGTCTTCTTGGAGCAATCATTATTTCCAGATTCCTAATCTAAAATTGTGTCTACCGTGATATCTTGCTCACAATTCGGAGAATGACAAGCAGATCCGAATAGTCCATAACAATTCAACGCAGATTTATAATCCTCCCATATCCAGCCTGTCGCTTTTATTGAATCATTAGTCTAATATGCCTCTACATTTGGTCACATTCGGCTCTTCGCCTTCGGGCCTACGCCGAGCCTTATTCAATGCTGTTCAGAGTCAATGTCTAATATTCGCGCCGGGGAGTTCATGATTCTTCATGGTGGGAAGATGAAATGAATATAAGCCAAAGTTATCTTTGAGTCTTCCTTTGAATTCTCTCTTTAATTTACTCTACCTAGGTAGCTGTATCATGGAAACGCCGCCCGTGAAACTGCGAACCCCGGATATTTCGACCCAAGAATCTGACACGGCAGCTAAATTACCCACCTCCGAAGATATGATCACCTCGAAACAAGAAACAAACGGCGACATAGATACAATACTCCCAACTCAAGACGAAGAAAACGACTCCGTAATAAGATGGGAGCAAACCCCGAGCTCAACTCTCGTGGATTGGGATGGACCAGACGACCCCCAAAACCCCCAAAATTGGAGCTGGAATAAGAAACTGTGGACGACAGTCCTGATTTCAATATGCACATTCGCCGTTTCGTTTGGGAGTAGCGTACTTGCTTCAGCAATAACCGTCCTCTCTAAAGAATATCGCATCGGCCCTACGGTGGCCGCGCTTTCCATTACGCTTTATGTCCTCGGGTTTGCTGCTGGCCCTTTGGTTTGGGGACCGGCGTCTGAGTATGTAAACCCACCGACAGAAGATATCTCTACTATGAATACCTGCTAACCGGACCTCATGATCTAGGTATATGGGACGCTACTGGCCGTTCATGATCGGATACATAGGTTTCATGTGCTTCACTGTCGGTGTTGCTTGCGCCCAGAATTCGTACACAATCATGATCTGTCGCTTCATGCAAGGTGCATGGGGTGTCTCGGCCGTGACGGTTACCCCTGGGGTTATAGTGGATTTATGGGATGCACGAACGCGGGCGCTGGCAACGATAGTGTGGTCAATGACAATAATAATCGGTCCAACCTTTGGCCCCATTATTGGAAGCTTTACGGTAAAGAATGAGAATCTCGGTTGGCGATGGACAATGTGGTAGGTGTCTAAGTAATCGATTTTACGGTCTAAGCTAACCATTGACAATATAGGTTTACCCTAATTATGTCTGCTGTCTCCTTCGTCTTAGTTGTCGCTACAGTGGGTGAGACGTGGGGACCGATCGTTTTACAGAGGAAAGCTGCTAGGTTGCGGGTTGAAACGAAGAATTGGGCCATTCATTCAAAACGCGATGAGGTTCCAGTGGAGCCCAGGGCGCTTATACGGAAGTATGCCCTAAAGCCACTGCAGATGCTCGTGTACGAGCCTATTCTGGTGGCGATCACGCTTTATAACTGTCTCATCTATGGAATCATATACCTTACATTTGAGGTGAGTTAAGTAGATCCTAGATTAACAAATATTCTGTTAACATATTACAGGCGTATCCATATGCTTTCGGAACGGTCCGAAAATGGGAGCCTGGAGTCTCGTCTCTCCCTTTTTTATCCCTTATGGTTGGCTATGTTGTAGCGTGCATTATCTCAATTGTCATACACCTTCAGGTCGTAGACAAGAAACTTGCCAAGGGTATGCACTAAAAGAAGCACCCTTATAAAATGAGTAGCGACTAACATAGACTTAGGCATCCAGCCAACTCCAGAGGATCAACTCCCAAGTATGATAGTTGGAAGCTTTTGCCTTGTTATTGGTAAGTTTGAAACTCAAGTTTAGAGAAACATAACTAATTTTCGGGATTTAGGTCTCTTTTGGTTCGCATGGACGTCTTCCCCGGATATTACTTGGGTACCTCAAATTATTGCTGGGCCATTTATCGGTTGCGGTGTTAGCTTAGTGTTTAACCCCTGTATTACGTACCTCATAGAGTGCTATCTCGCCGATGCCAACAGTGCTTTAGCGGCCAACACCATCATCCGAAGCGCTGTAGCCGCTGCTTTTCCACTTTTTGCGACACCAATGTATGCGAATCTTGGTGTTCCTTGGGTATGTTCAATTTAGTTATGATCTCAAAACGAAGATGTTATACTGATATTGATTAACTTAGGCAACCTCACTGCTAGGTTTTCTAGGAGTCGCATTCATACCTGCTCCTATCTTGTTTTATTTATTCGGGAAGAATATACGCAGCTGGAGCAAGTTTGCATCCGAGATATAGAGATTCTCTTCAACCACTACAACCAGCGAACTTTACCACAATTTGTTAACACCCAAGCATGGGATTAAATTGTAGGCTTCGTTTAACGGCTGGTATGGATAAATAAATTATATGGAGAATCGCAGAAAATCGCGCAATATTGCTAGCATAGAAATCAATAATAGATTTATTCCGAAAGCTCGCGCTTATACGAGGTAAAATTTATACTATATAGCAAAATTATAGAGAGCTAAGCGCTAAATTCTAAATGTTTTAGCACTCCAGCGACACAATACAGTACCTAGGTAGGTGATAAAACGTAAATACAGCGCTATGCCTTACGAAATCGGAGGGTATTTAGCAGCAGACTATGACACCATGCTACTGTGAAGTTTTAAAAAAAAAAAAAAATAATACCATTCTTTCTCACCACAAAAGCCCTGAAGCCTCAAATATAGGAATCTTATATCAAATAATACCGATCAATCATAAGTTATTTATGTCAATAGGATCTTCGTAATTACTCGATATGTATGGAAAACGAATTGTGCTCATATACGTAGCTAGGTAGGTAAACGTTTAGAGCGATACTGTCAATCGAGTAGTGATTCTCGCCCTATTGTTATCCCTATCTAGACCTATATTTTTGGGCGATCGGCATCCAATCCTCAGTTTGATCTTCCTCCCCGCAACCTTTCATAATCCAAGGATATCTGCCTCTACCTACCGGCTCTCTATGCACATGGAAAAACAATTAAAACATCGGCCTCTCTGGAGTACGAGGGGCGAGTCTAGTTCTCCTAGGAGGGGTAATCTGATCATCTTAGCTCTGTTTTTATTGAATACCGCGTGGCTGTTAAGAACATGGCTATTGAACTATTCAGAATCTAAGCCGAATCTAGAACAAATCCAGCAATGCGCAATTGACAACCTTCGCTCTGACCTATCTTTTCTTGACACGGCAAATCCCATTACAGCCGATGAGTTCTTAGAAAGGAGAGATCGCCTGGCGCGTGCTTTAGTCGCGTCCGAGGTTGATGCTTTTGTTCTTGAGCCAGGCTACACTTTTCAGTAAGATCATATCCACCCGCGGAGGCATCGCGAACATTCTAACACAATTGAACTAGATACTATGGCAACACTTCACAGAACGACTGGGAACCATGGGAGCCAGAAGAAAGGCCCTTCTTGATGCTTATCTTGCCCCTGATTTCCGAGTCTGGTGCTATTTCTGCCAGGACGGCATTTCTTGCCCCGCATTTCGAGGAAGGTCGGGTCAGAATGCTCAACATCCCATCCCGCGATCCCGAGTTAGATATCGTGATTTGGGAAGAACACTGGGATCCTTACACTACACTCCTAGAGTCGCATCTTTTCGCCAATGTTAAAGCTAATGGGAATAAGAGAAAACCGAAGCTTATGATAGACGAAGAGATGCGAGATTTCATCGCTCGCGGTCTAGCAAATACCGGCTTCGAAACCTTCGGATTGAGTCCGGAAGCAGAATTGATAAGACAAATCAAAAGCCCCACCGAAATAGAAGTGCTGCGCGCAGTAAATACCGGGACTGTTGCAGCGGTACGAGCGATGCGCCCCTGTCTTGTTGCGGGGTTGACTGAGGATGAAGTACGAGATATTCTTGATGCATCGTTGCTATCTGTCGGATTCGGTTTATTCTTCAACATTGTGCTTTTCGAGGAAGATGGCGCCCTTCCCCATGGCGGTTTCGTGGTTGGCAAGAAGAAACTAACTCATGAAGCTATGATTGTGATTGATGTTGGGTGAGTATCTTCTCTAAAGTAGTGGGAAAGGCGAAGACTTACATCTTACAGCGCCCATTATTTGGGGTACTCTTCAGACATATGCAGAAGCTTCTTCATAGACCCTGCGCCAGAATACGGGATGTCGTTAGCGTCCTTGATGGAATTGATCGGCCTACATAGCGGACCTTCCCCGGGGCCAGGCAAAGACACTGAACTATATGCTGAAAAGCTGAAAGTATGGGGGGTCGTACTGGACGCTCAAACCGCTGCTGCGGCTGAATTTAAAGCTAATAACACTGCTGCGAATGTTGATCTCGCCGCTCGTAAAATCATCGACGAAGCTGGATACGGCTACGCATTCACGCACCGTCTTGGCCACAGTATAGGGGTTAAAGGTATGTAATCCGAAAATACAAATAGACCATACATGCTTGAGAATATCTAACGTCCATCTAGCACACGAGTCTCCCTATCTAAATAAATGGAATACGAAAGTATCTATGCGACCCGGTATGGTTTTCACCAACGAGCCTGGAATATATCTAGAGGGCAAGTTTGGTGTTCGCCATGAGGATATATACCTTGTGAAAGAAGACGATGATGCTGAATTGTTAACTGACCGCCGAGCTATTAACCCTTATAACCCCTGAGAAATGCGGAATCCCGAGGGAAATTCTATGCTTGGGCTTTGGTTGTTTATAGCGAGGAAAGCCTGCAAATAGCCATCGCAACTAAAGTGGTAACGCCTACCAGAACTCTGGCGGGGTTTCTATTGTACTGTAAATTCGATACATGACTCCTAGAGTGACACCCAGGCGGCCAACCCGATCGCTGTAATTATAGCGAGATACGCGCTAGGGTTCAGTATGATTTTAGTCTTGGCAGGCACTTCCATGTATCCATTCCGTCAACTAGGTCTTTAGTCTATTGAATGCACGTGCTTAGGTACGCAAATCAATACGCAGTACGATAAAATTATGCCTATGATATATTAGATTATGTATAATTACAGGTGGGCATTCCCTTGAGTAAACCTTACCTAAAACGAAAGTGGCTAGTGGATTTGTTATCACTCTTTTGAGCCCATCCATTGCCGTGTATCCCCCTGAGACTTCTAAATCAGGTTTCATGCCTACCCCATAATTTGTCTTCTCTAACTTATTAATCGGGGCTTCCTCTCCAGCCGTTTGTTCAGGAAGAGGCGCTATTGGCGCATTATCTAAACAGCTAGAAGATGCATCTAAGACGGGTTGGGGAGTAGCCATATTTCTGTCGATGAGGTCAAGGAGGCGCAGCGCATTTGGTGGGTTCATGTGCTCAATGACCTGTTTCAGGGCGGCCAGCTTTCCATATGAAAATAGGAAACGAAAGAACTTCGACTCTGAATCGCATTCATACCCATGCTGGCGTATCTCGGATGCCCAGGCCGATATAGTTGACTTCCCAGCAACTACTGGCGTTGCGGTTCCCACTATTTTCAGCCATTCCCTGGGGCCCTCGCCAGCAATAAAGGAGATGCCTGGATGCGCACCATATTCTAGAAATATTTCTACCGCATCGAAAGCCGCTGGTACAACTATAGCTTTGTAGGCGAGATATAACCATATAGTCGCATTTGAGAATTCAAGAGTGGGAAGTTTTAAGCCTTTATCCTCGCGTATGATAATAGCTCGGTTTGGAGAACATCCACGCCTTAACAACCAATTTATAATGGTCAATAGGTTATCCTTAGCCTTAGCGTCTGCCTCATCTATCTTGCATAACGCGAACAGAAGTAGACAGCCATTTTGGATGTCCCTATTGAAAGGGCAGTCTACGGAATCGTCCCAAGACGTGAAAAACTCATATAAGCCATAAAAAGCCGCGCAATGGGCAACGGACAATGTCGACCCCGTTCGAGGTATACCTAGGTACGGTGTGGGCAAATAATATCTCTCATTAGTGAAGTTACTTGAACTTGAAATGGAATGGGGTCATAATTCAGATATGGATAATCCAGATTGCAAAGTGCTGCGCTACATCCACGTTGCAAAGTGATGGAATTGGCCTTCGAGACTGCGCTGACTATGTCCACCAACTCCCAACAGAGGGGATTATCGCCAAAATGCCAGCGATCTAGGTTAAAGGAGGCGGTTTCACCCACGAATGTCTGGCAGATGGCACCAAGGACATCAAACCCTTCACCTTTGGCCATCAGGTCTTTTGAAACAGCGTCCTCTTCTAGGAATTCCGGGATGGATCGGTGGACAAGCGCGATACGCTGTAACAGAGGCGCAAGTAGTGAAGCGCCAGATCCACAGCCTGGTATCTCACTTAACGTGACTACTTCGAGGAGACCTTGAGAACGTTTATACAACTGTTTGCGGGCTCTTTCAATTCGCTGATTAACAGAATTTACATCAGTTGCGAGAATTCGTCGGTCTCGAAAGTCAGCTCTTGAGGCGAAAAGGGGATCCGCGTTGTAATCGTCTAGGAGAGAGTATCGAAATAAGGAAGGTCCCATGTTCTCTGCATTCTCTAGGAGCGTAAATACAAATGCGAATGTACGAGCAGATTCAGCCTTGTCGAATTCATCGATGAAATTGAACAATTGGCGAAATAAATATTTGATTTCCTTTGGAAGAAACTTGACCTTGCGTTGGAGCTGCTCTAACGTATCTCCATTGTCGCAAGCTTCATCCAAAAGCTTCACAACTGACGCTGCCCATAGAAACACACCGGATGATTCTTCCGTAACCTGAGATATTAATCCGGCTGTCCCTCCGGTTTGGTGTTCTAGTTTCAAGAAATTGTAGTTACTCTCCAGCTTTTCTTTCACGAATTTATTGATGTCGTTTACTGTCAGATCCTGTAACCTGAGATTCTGTGTCCCAGCAAATTTATCCAGAAATACCGTGTGTTCTCTGCTTGAAACGCAGAGCTTTAGCTGGGTCGGCGCTTTTTCAGTCCAGCTCAAGATCAGTTTGATCAGCTCTTTAAATCCCTCATTAGGGGTCTCTTGAAACTCATCGAGACCATCAATGGCTATGAAGAAGCACCGGCCGTGACACCGCATGAGGTTCTCCACCAATAGATTAAAAGCGTTACTAAGAGAATCATCTTCAAGATGGAGCTGTACGGGAGCCTACCAAGGTAGTTCTTTAATACGGACCCAGTCGTCAGGGAATACGAGAGGGACAAGATCGAGGCACTGCTCAAGAATTTCGTAAAGAAGAGTCTAAAGCATCCCTTTAATTGAATTCACCATTTTCGTACCAAGTTTCCAAAAAAAAAAGTATTTGGCGCTAATGAGCTCTCGTCTAGCCACCCAAAATTTCAAGAAGTGCTTTATTTTCTAGCTCTTATATATAAATTTCATGAAGGTAGACTTTCCAGACCCCGGTTTCCCGGCGATATGGAATACCCCCCCCAGACTTAAGCCAGTCTGTGAAGGTACGATTGCCCTTCAAGGCCTTGGGACTTTTGTTTGAGTTCTCCTCGAAGATCCATTCAAACGTCTCCAAGTGAGCCTTCGCGACGTTCTCGTACCTTCCGTGTGACTCTGAAACGGCGAGGCTTTGTAGGATCTGCTGGCTTCTAGCTGAATTTAAAGCATTGGTAGATAATTGCAAAATGTTAGCTAGTTGATTCGTTGCCTCTCCTCCGATTTTATATAGAGTGACTCCACGCTCTAACGAAATGACGTGTCCTTGAAGTGTTATCAATGTATCCTCATTGGCCTTGCCTGTATTGGTAAGCTCGTTTAGGCTTTTGATTATGTCTGTCCTGGATCAAGTGTTATCATCATTACTCTTAAGAGATAGAAGAGACTAACCCCATCATCGCGGTCAACTGTAAGTGGAAAAGTTCGCGGCACTCGTCAATCCGTTTCTTCAGTTCCCTTTTCTCGGCGTCGCGCCATTTACTTTTCAAAGTCACAACTGCACTTCGTCTAAACGAATGTTGATCAACGGTACCTTCGTACGTTCGATTAAGAATCTCGAGTAACTTGCTTGAAAGGCTATGACATTTTCGCGCGACTGCATCCATGGCCGTCTCAGCATTAGTCAGTTGCAGTGCAGGCTTCGTGGAAACTAAGGATTCGGAAAACATCTTGAGTTGTTTGACGACAAATTGAAGCTGGTCATCTTCCCTTATCATGCCGGATATAGATTGAGAAGCTTCGTATGCATTAGATATAATTCCATAGGTCATTTGAATGAATGAGGCTATGTTAGCTGCTATACCTAGCGCAGTGAAGGGGTCCATAGCTACACAAAACGCGATGTTGCTGAAACAATAACTTTGAGGCGTGTGCTTCTTTTCGCCTTTTGCTTTCAAATTTCTAAGAAGAGGAAAGATGAAATGAGCAGAAAGATGGAAGAAAAAAATTTGCTGTGTCCACGGGGTCAAAACGCTACCACATATGGCCCTGCCTCGACATCTTCAGTACCTACCTACCTACCTAGGTAGATGCCGAGGCGCATAACAAGCCAATCACATTGTATGAAATCTTTAGCTTGTACTTAGGTAGGGACCGCGAATGCGGACTGATGTTTTAACTCTTGATTTACGGAGTACTATCTAGTTATTCAAGCAGATGTGAGAAATCTTAATGGAGAGTGACTAGGTACTGACTAATCCACTAAGTAGGAACATATCTCGTCCAAGTATATACCCGAATGGATATCGGGGTATTTTAGTTAATGATGTGATAAACACGAAGACCTTCCATATCTTACCTAGCTTCAAATGACCAAATTATGTACCATCCAGGGGTCATTGTTTATCTCGGCTAGTCGGATCGTATATCGTGATAGGCACTGCGACGCTGCATCTTGGGTCCTGCCTAAAGTAATAACAATAACAATAGGTGCTGATTATTGCACAATGCCAAGCGGAGTCATATCTATGGGGTATATGCTCGCACCACCCTCGCTTGAACTACCATGTTATGATTCTTATTAACTTGAGGCTCCTCTCAAACATCTTCAAGGTGACGACCTAGTTAGCCTAGAATAGCCTACAGTCACAATGGTTCAATGCGGTGCTGTCGCAGGCTTACTAGCTCTTGTGTCTACAGCTCATGCAATTCAGAGGCATCCACTGCCTATTAGTGAGCTTGCGAAACAGGTAACATACTCTTATCCTCAATGCCAATACATACACATCACTCCAGCTATTACCACCATCGTGCCAAATAGTCAATTAACTAAAAGCTAACGCACATGTCCGTACTAGATCCGTGGCGGAAATACTCACGACGTCTTCAGCGCTAGAGATATCGACCCTCAAGCTCTCTACCCCGAGTACAACCTCACGACGCCAATTGACCATTTCCACAACGATTCTTCCTACGAACCGCACTCCGACGGCACATTTGATTTACGATACTGGTTCGACGCACAATACTATAAGCCGGGTGGTCCAGTTATCGTGCTCGCGGGCGGAGAGACAAGTGGCGCCGACCGTCTACCATACTTGCAGAAAGGCATTGTTTACCAACTCGCGAAAGCGACAAATGGTCTCGGTGTCATTCTCGAGCACAGATATTACGGATCAAGCATCCCAGTACCAGACTTCAGCACTGAGAACCTGCGTTTCTTGACCACCGACCAAGCCTTGGCCGATACCGCTTACTTCGCCCAAAATGTGAAATTTGCCGGTCTGGAAGATGTGGATCTAAGCCCTGAGACAACACCTTGGATTGCATACGGTGGTAGCTATGCGGGCGCCTTTGTCGCATTTCTGCGTGTCTTATACCCGGATGTTTACCTCGGCGCCATTTCGAGTTCCGGCGTACCTCAAGCGATCTGGGATTATTGGCAATACTACGAAGCTGCAGCGGTTTACGGACCCCCTGCGTGCGTCGAGGCTACTCAGAAGCTCACGCATATTATTGACAACATCCTTATTAACCAGACCGATTCGGACTACGTCGCGCAACTCAAGGCGGCGTTTGGCTTGCCCAATGTGACCTACAATAATGACTTTGCCAGCGTTCTGAGTGGCGGTATCTCCGGCTTACAGAGCCTTAATTGGGACCCTACGCAGAGCAGCGACAGCTTCTTCCTTTACTGCGGAAATGTCTCGTCGAACACAGTGATATATCCCGGTACGGAAGAGCGAAGGGCTTCAGTTGAAGAATTGATCAAGGTTGGCGGGTATGAAGATGAGGTGGATACTCTTGCGAACCAGTTCTTGAATTATATCGGCTACGTCAACTTGACCTCCGTTTCTAGTTGTCAAGGATCGCAAGATGCATGCTACAGTACTCACGACTCGGACTTCTACTCCCAGGATGACATTACTCAGACCTGGCGATTATGGCAATACCAGGTCTGCACCCAGTAAGTTTCCCAAGACACCCAAATATCATGAATCGACCACTCATCGCATATTAGATGGGGTTACCTCCAAACTGGAAGTGGTGTTCCAGAAGATCAATTACCTTTGATTTCGCGTACAATTGATCTAGATTACTCATCACTAATCTGCCGCGACGCCTTCAACATTACTGAGCCGGCTGATGTGGAATACATCAATAGGCTTGGTGGGTTCAACATCAGCTACCCCAACCTTGCCTTCATTGACGGCGAGTGGGATCCGTGGCGTGCTGCCGGCGTACATGCGCTCGAGGTACCTAAGCGCAATAGTACCCCGAGCGAGCCGTACATTCTCATAGACGTAAGTCCGCCGCGCGTACCGAATTCTCCTTATTAACCACTTACCAGCGTGCGGTCCACCACTGGGATGAGAACGGTGTTTTCCCGAACGAAACAACTCCCGATTTCCCACCAGAACCCGTTGCCGACACCCAGAAGCAGATTGCGACCTTCGTACAGGATTGGGTTCAAGATTTTACTGGTAAACGCTAGGAACGGGTGCTTGTACTTGCACCTGTCAACCACGAAATACTGACGGGAGTAGCAGGTGAAATAACGAAATCGGATGAGCTATGACATGCCTATAAAATATTACCAGCGAATTGTAGTAATATGAAATAACAGAGTTATGTCAAGCTTGAAGCTTCATATTTCCTAGTGATTTCTCGCAGTACCTGCCAAGTCGTGGGTATTGGATTCTCCTATTATACCGAGCCGCGGGGTACCGACCAAGAAACATGAAACGGAAACCTCTTACCAGATTCCCGGTTACGTCAGGATGACAATACTTCGTCTACGTAGGTAGGTTTCTTATCCCAATAATAGTAACGCGCACGTTCTCGGCAACTTTCGCTGGAACGATTCGGTAAGCTACTTATCCCTGTTTGCATTATTTGATATTCTCCGGAGTCGATCGGCTGTTGGATTATCTCAAATCCAGCCTTAAGAACTGAAATCACGATAATCATGTCATCCCACTTTTTCTGTCAAAAATACTAGAATATTTCACAAGCGCCCCTTACCTTAACCCCAGCGACAATTACATCCAATATTTACCATAACTCTTAATTATATTAAATCCAAATCAGGCTCAGATGCGCAGTTTTTTTTTCTACCCGACGGCGTGTGTCACCGAGCTAGCCAGCAAAGCTCACTCCGGCTACCCAACCACAGACCGCTATAGGGCTTACACGGTGAGCTCTGCGGCGTAAAATCGCGAGTTTTAGATTATGCAGTCGGAAATATACACAGCCCCAGACGACATACATTACTAAAAATGCAAACAGGTATGGACACGTCAATCGGGCTGTGCCTGAAGGAGCCGTTCTAGACCTCCGGCGCAGAAATTCATTCTTCATACATCGGAACTCGCGTTTTGTAACCAGACACGATTTCGACTCGAGGCTTTCGAAGACGGCCCTCGGCCCCCGAGCACTCTACATTCACCGGTTTTCCAAGCAGGCAATTAGATATGTGAGAATATGTACTCTTGATATTCTAGCGAGCGGTATAGCCCGAGCTATTGATGCTAAGGTTGCGACGATATATACAGGTAAATGAATGTTTCAAATACAAAAAATGCCTCCAGACGCCGTCGAATGCCAATGCCGCGGGATATCTCGGGTGTGATAAGATAAACCAAAATAAAAATAAAAAAAAACCTCCCAACCGACATAAAATCCCATAAATAACTTTAGCGACCGTTAATAGATGACATATTGCATCGTCTACGCCGCCGAGATAATCTTCCCGTAGGGAATACCCCCGCGCTCGTACACAGCCATGATATCGTTCGTCGCGCGCTGGAAGGTACCCGGCCAGTACGAGGCTTGGTCCGACAGGTGCAGGGTCTCAGTCGTCCACGTTACTTGCCCGTTGCGGAGCTCCGTGGAGAATATCATTTTGATGTCAGCCTTGTTGGGCCAGTCGAGCTCGCTTACCGCCCGGTCCTCGTCTGTCATGAATACAACCGCGAGATTATTGTTGATCGACGCGATTTGTGGCGCCCCTGCGTTGTGCTGCGAGGTTCGGTAGATGTCGCTGCGCGAGCCCCATGTGTTGCCGTCGTCGTACGAGGTTACTGTTGCGAGGTGGAATAGCCCGTCGCCTACTTCGAAGACCATGACTAGTGCGTCTTGCCCAGTTCCGGCGTCTTTGGTAGATACGATGCCTTGCATACCGTCGCGCACTGTTTGGGATCCGTGTAGTTGTAGGTTTACCGGTGTGGTCCAGGTACTTCCCTCGTCGCTGGATAGCGCACGGAATGTCTCTTGGTTGTTTGCGGCTAGCTCGCCTGAGTACGTCAGCTGGACCCTGCCGTCCTTGCCTACGCGTAGGAAGGGTTCCCATAGACCGTTGGGCGTAGAGGTAGCTGCTTGCTCAGCGGCTTGCGCGGCGAAGGTCCATGTAACTCCACCGTCGGTGCTGCGGCATATTGTGATGCGGTAGTAAGTCCTAGCACCGCTGGAGTCTAGATCGTGGTTGCGGAACGCAGCTAGGATGGTCCCAGACGATAGTTGAAGCAAGAATCCATTGTCCAGGTCCCCAGTGCTTCTGGCGACCTCACCGATCTGAGAGAAAGTCGCGCCGTCGTCGCCGCTACGCGAGACTACTAGGACCTTCTCGCCGTTGCTAGAGGTGGTAGCTATGGAAAGCACACCGCCATCCGAGAGTCGAGCTAGACGAGGGTATGTGCCTCCACTGCTCACTTTGCTTTCTGCGGAGCCGAGGGTGAAGGAAGCACCGATCTCGTTGAACTGAGTTGTGGTGTCCCGAGCTGTGATCCCTAAGGGACTGGGTGAACGTCTCTTCGAGGCATCACCAACCCTGCCAATAGGACTTGATGAAATAAGAGATATAAAGCTGAGGCAGCTAAGCAATATGAACGAGAGGGACAGTCGAGCCATGATGTATATGTTAGAAGAGCACTCTTACTTAAGAAGTGATTTCTCCCAACTGTCTTGTAAGAGGATATGGCTTTACAAAGGTTGACGGAAGACCCAAACATGAAAGACATAGTACTGGAGCAGGGACCTCTTATATAGAGTTCGTCCAAAGTCACGGACCTCGAGCCGGCTTAGTGTCTATAGCAAACAAAATTCTCACGCAAGCTTTTGCGTCTTTTCTTGTCTCTACCCCCTTACCGCCCCCAATCCTCCATGACACCGCATGGTGTTGAGGACCCCATCTTCACAGGGAGGGGGCGTCGACGGGTTCCTCGACGGGAAGCATGGCTGACGTGCGGAGCCTCGTGGGGAGGAGTCATGCCTCTTGGTTCGGCATCGTATAATCCTCTGCCACGAATATCATCAAATTTCCTGATTGGTTCCTCCAGGCTGTAAGGGGCGCCAAGGAAGTAACGATGCTTCAGCATGACCGGTATAAAAGGAATAACAGGTTAGGCTTAGAACTAATGACCAGCCAACAGAAAGCTGGTAAGCAGGCTTCTGTGACTCCAACAGGTAACATCACATCAGACGGGTACAGTTCACTAGTTTAATCTAGATCAGAATAAAGGGGGGTTTGGGGTTTTCTAGATCTCATCTGCTTCGCGTTGTTGTTTTTTAAAGATTCCATCTTATGATTTGGTTTAATGACTTAATTCCGGAACCTGTAGGAGGCGTTATTTTTGGGCCAATTTGGTGATCATATTTATATTACCTAACGTGCCTACCTAACCAAGCCTCCCTGTAGAATGGACTAGATTTACAAGATTTACAGGTGGATCTTAGACACATCGGCCGAAAAGCGCATTTTCCCCAGTTTATTATTATCAAATCAAATTTAACTAAATTATTAATTTGTTTTCTTAAATCCGTGTTGTGGTCAGTTTGGTATTTCCCATGGTTGCTTGAGGAAGGCCATAGGACCATATGCGTAGTACTTTGTGGCTTCGCTGACGTTGGACTAAAAAGAGAACTAAAGGATTCCAAAGTTATTTGTTGTACAGCACAGCACAGCGCGTGGAAATGGAAATGGGGTAGCGGGGATAAGGTCCGGTGGCTCAAGGGTAACAGTGGAACTACCCACTAGCTTAACATTGGGCTGGGTTTTCCCCCCCTCTAGTTCCCCTAGTTCCCCGGATACTCAGCGCTAGGTGTATTACTCCCGCTAGAATTAGGTACCTTACCTTGGGCTATTGCAGCCAACCAACCGGCTGGGTTTCTTGGGGTTTCTTAATTTAAACCTAATCGAGCTGTCAGGGCAAGTGCCGAAGCATGTACATATATGTAGTATTGCGACATTGGATCCACTGACATTTTCTCTTGGGTTCGGGGGTTCAAGGAACAGGACATGATCACTCTATTTACCTTACATATATTGAAGTATGATACCGGTACTGCACACGCGACCCGGGAACCCGGATCCCTAAGTCATAATTACGAAATCGAATATATATTAAATCTTGGAAATTCGGGCAAGGCGTAAAAGGACCAGACTAGAACACAAACCAAACGTGACACGACTTAGAATTGAGCGGTAGAGAACGGTAGAACGGGATCAGAGCGGACCGACAATAAACAAAAAACATAAGATTACAATCCGAAATACCGCTTCCACCACATACACCACACAACACATACACATTTTGTGTTACTCTCGTAACAAAATATATGCCGGTAAAGCCGAGTCTAATTTGTTAGTCTCGAGCGGTGCAACTTGGCGTGATTATGCTTAACAGAAAGTAATAGAACTAATAGAACTAATGAAAAGCCGTACACCCCCGTAGCCTGCATCCCGTAGCTAAGCCTTATAGGTTGCGCTCCGATGCAGTTTTCTTCTAGTTTCCTCTTTTGAACTCTCATAAAGCTCACAGTAGGCTGTTGAAGGATGGCATGCAGAAAAGTATTTGTAACGAAGTAACCCATTAAGCGGCGTAGTCGCCGTTTATTCGCATCTGGCGTAGGTCATGAGGAGATCTGCATAGTCGCGTGGCATCCCCGCGTTGGAGTAGGGTATAGTAAGGGTATTCCGACAAGACCCGACCAAGCCGACCAACTTGTTGTCAGTCATCCGCGCACGAATAGCCACGCTTATTTCCCCAAAATGTTTCATGTTACCGCGACCATGCCGGGGAATACCTCGGTTGCGGAGAATAAAAAGAATCTACCAGGTAATAGGCGGTTAGTGGCGGTGTGCTCGCTGGCAGGTGTTATATGTGCTATGCTATTGAGGGTATCACGAGTCCTATTGACTATGTCCTAGGTTCCAGGTTATAGTTAACTTAATCCGTCAAGCCTATAGCTGGTTGAGGTTTAGGTTGCACATTTTGTATTGTACAGCAAACACCGGGGGGTAAGGGAATGGGTAGATGTTAGCGGTGAAGGTGTCATTCTTGATGTTACGTGCCATCGGGTTTATTAATTTGAAGTTGCGATGACATGAAAACAAGTGTAATAATGCTAGATATAGTGCGACGGGAATCTATAAGAATCATGTTTAGATTAGATTAATACCTAGTAGTTTAGTGGTATAGAAGAGAATTAAAAAAGAGTTGCATGTCATCATGCCCCACACTTCTTGTGTAACTTGAGTGAGTACCTAGGTAGATAGGAGATTTAATAGCAACTTATCCGGGACCGAGTAATACCTCAGCAAGTACCTAGACAGGTGGACAATTGAAGTACCCCGCAAGTAGTTGTTGAGTATCACGAATACCACATGGTCGTTGAGTCTAAGTTTACCCATATCTCAGGCTGGGGTGTTCTAGAAAAACGGAATAATTTCATTCCAGTCTCTTCTGCTCGTTACTTTTAGTGGGAGTTATCATAATCTCAATGCCCTTCAAAATCTCCGGTACGAATTTGTTATAGTGTTGAATCTACAAAAGTACCACACATGTACTTACCTCTTATCTACCGAAGTACCGAGGTACATAGCCTTCTTCTCTCAACCACCTCATTTCTCACCAAGTCCCAATTCCTGAATGAAAATATCCGCTGCCTTCTCACCAATCATCATGGCGGTATTAGCTAAGTTGGCACCAATATTATGAGGTGGAATACTCATATCAGCGATTTTGAGTCCTTGGACTCCATATACGCTGAGAGCCGAGTCGACAACACCGAGCTTTTCGCGGGGTGCCAACTTGCAAGTACCGATCGGATGCCAGGTGGAGTCCACATGATCATGTATGAATTGTTCAATGATTCTGTCATCTTCTTCGGAATACTCAAGCGTCTCAGTTCCTGTTTCAATTCGGGCCTTGGAACCGGGCGGGAAGGTGGGATGAAAAGCGGATACCTCTCCCCGGCACACACCCATACGGCGAGCGATTTCCCGTTGTTTCTTGTACGCCCATATTTGATTCTTGATATCAAGATTTTGAGCATCTGTGAGAAGCCCAGGATCAAAATCTACTGGATCATCAATTCCAGGGCCGGTAATATGAATATGGCCGCGCGAAAAAGGATACAGACTAAACGTGACGAGGGACATATACTGCCCGGGAATGGGGGCGAGGCTAGGGTCGAAGGGGAATCCTGAGACCGGTGACATTATCATGAAAGGCTTATTCGGGACATTTGCGAACTCCCTATTCCAAGCTTCCTGGAATTCTGGACCAAGGCTAGCAACATCGGCGTCGGTCGGTCGAAGCTTGGCTTGGGCGTCGACGGAATTCCAGCCTAATATGCCATCCCCTCTCGCAATCAGTTCTTCAGGCTTCACACGGCCAGAGTTGAGCCCATCCATGCTCTCTTCAGGAGGGATATCTGAATAGTATGGGTACATCATGGAATTATGGTCATCATAATTATGACCCACACCGGGAACCTCCGCGACGACTGGCACTCCGGCTTTCTTTAGAATCTGGAGGTCTCCTACACCAGACCTCTCAAGTAATTGCGGAGTTCCCAAAGATCCAGCAGATATGATAACCATTCTTCTAGCTTTAACCACTCGAGAGTTCTCTTGAGAAGGTGTTGTTTTTGGCTGAAAAGCAGGGTTGGGCCTGTAAACTACCCCGCTAACCTTCTGCCCCTCGAATAGTACGCGTTCAACTTGCGATTCAACAAGGACATGTAGATTCGGATGCTTGCCATCCTGGAGCCTAGGATGAAGATACATATGGGCCACATCTTGTCGCCGACCTTTTGGATCGACGTAACGCACGGCACGCATTACGCCATTGATGTTGTCAAGTGTGTTAATGTCCTCAATCTCGGGCCAGCCAAGTTCCCCTAAAGCATTTATGAAGTCGTTCTCGAGCTTTGGTGCGCGAAAGCTCGTTCCGGATACCTGAATAGGACCGTCGTACCCATGACGATCTCTTGGACCTGGTCCATGATACGTCTCGAACTTGAAGGCGATTAGCTCACATCATAGGCCTTCACGGGTAGCGACGTTTGGCGTACCTTTTTCATGTATGGCAACAGCTCATCTGCTGACCAGCCCGGAGCTTTCCAGGAGTCCAAATCGGATCGTACTGCGCGGCTATACATTGCCATGTTTATGGAAGTCCCTCCACCAAGGATATGGCCGATCGGTACCGCAGCTTGTCGGCCAGAGAGCTGCTTTGACTTCGGCCCTTGGAGAATTCGGGTATAGTCGTTACCCGGAGCCAGGTGAGTGAACCAGAAGCCCAAGTGAGTAACAATTGGAAGTTCATAGTTGTTCTTGCCGCTTTCAATAACCAAGATTGATAGCGTTGCGTCTGCATCGGAGAGTCTACTCGCGATTATGCAGCCGGCACATCCGCCTTTGCCGAATGTTAACAAGTGTGTTGTGTCAACAATAGTGATGAGTGGGGAATGTCTAACTTGCCTCCGACAATGATAACATCCACATCCTGAATGTCACCAGGAAGTTCCGTGTATAGTCCCATGATTTACTAACGTCCAGTTACGAATTTCGACTCTTTTCTTGCGTAAGCTTGGCTAAAGGTGTCTATCTCCTGACCGCTGACCTCTATTCACAAGAAAATCATGGGACTAGCCTCCTGTGCCTCTGGATCTTCTTCGGCTCAACCTCAATCAACAATCCTACTGCGGCACAGTTCACCTAGTCCACCAGAGCTGAAAATTGGTTATTAAGATACAAGTTTTAATATTAAAATATTATGGCATATCAGGATATATCATATTTATGGGTATTTGCACGGACCAAGGCGTGTTTACGGTGGAGGTGTTTCTCGTTTGTTGCCTCTTTCTTCAATACAAGATCCTTCCATCCTCAATTGACAAGATGTTAGTTTTCTTCACAGTTTGATGCTTGTAAAGACAATAAGACTTGACCCGGACAAACAATATATTAAATCCTATATAAGTTCCTGCCCAGCTGGTTATTGAACCTTTTTTGGACAATTTTCTGATTTGGTCTTTTAGAACAATCACTACATATCCGAAACTCGACAGTACACGATGACCCTAACAACACCACAAATAGAATAGCTACTTACTTGGCGTGTGGAGCCTCCCATCTTGAAAGCTTTTATTGTGCAGCTCTTCAATGTCATGAGGCACTATGCTGGCGTAAATGTGTAAGACGGCCGGTTTTTCTTGCGCGTAAGTAAAATATAACATGGCATCGGAGGAAAATGCGAGGCCGGAATGGTCGGAATACTACATCAGCTCATCCGCACCGACCTGAAAACCCTGGCGCGCGTGGGGCTCAAAATTCTGGATTACCATGCAGATGCTCGGCTGCCGAGATCGCGCCGATTCTAATGGGAACGGCTGGGAGTTCTTGCTTGCGTAGGTAGGTGACGGGTGTATAGATAGAGGAAATGGTTACCGGCGCGGCAATTGATCTCAGTGACGGTACCGACACTACCCGAGACGGATGAGCCATTAGGAAAACGTCGACGGCGGACTCCCGACCGTCGTTTGAAGCCGTTCAGCAAATTATGACCCCCCAACTCCAGACTCGATACCGATGCGCTAGTATTCATTTGAGTCCGTAGTGATGGGTGCGACACTTGCGACCGTAATTTCCAACGTCGGTCGTGCTGTGAATGCCGTCTCGCACAACTTTACTTTGGACATCCTTTTCGCTTTCGTAGAGGGTAAGATGGTCTATATGTACCTGTAGTTTGCCTAGGTGGCGTGATTAGTGATTATTTTGCTCGCTCTCCATTCCGCATGATGGGTGATTGCGAGACGAGGCGCAGGAACTGGGGGTGATGATGCAACACCAACAAGTACTGAAAATTTGCTTTTCCTCATGCGGGCTGCCGAGAATTAATACAAGATATCTAAAGCAAAATTGGTTTGGGATTCAAAATCTTCACTACTCTTCTAGGACCCATATTTAAATACGGATCTCGGGTACTCCCTTCTGCAGCTGTAGAAAAGCCTTAGGAATAACCCTAAGGATACACGTAAATCTGGGAATTGTAGGCCAAAAGATGACCTGTGTAGCGCCTATCAGCCTATGGTCAATGGAGGGCTATAGGTTGCACCTAATCATCATTTAGAGACCCTCAAGAGACAGCGCTTTGACCCCCCAGCCTAACTATCGGGCAGTCGGGGTTTTCCTGCAGCATATATTTTGTGGGTTGAGAGCAGTGTTCTCTCGATCTGATCTTCGAACGAAGATCCCTAGGGGTCCAGCAGATTATTGGCTAAGCTCGTTGAGAAACGAGTGTGAGGTGAATCGAAACACGAGAAATTAATTATTTCACTATGGCGTTCTGTATACTAATAACCATTGCCTATACCTTCCGTCTTACGCCGAATGCTTTCCAAATTGTGTCAGATTAATCAAAAGCGTAGGCACAGCTCTAAAATTCAAGACCCCCGCCCGATCTGCGCGTAAACGCCCATTCTGCATTCCTTGAAGCAAGCGTCACATAGTAGCTAGAACGGCGGGTAGATACTCATACAGTGCATATAAATAACGATACATTCTGACATTTTTGATCGATTTGAGCTTGACACGACGTGTTGCTTATCATTATAGCAAGGAGAAAATACGCTGCAATGCTACATGTCTTAGATGTACATCTGTGTCAAGCGACAAATATTATGACTTGAATTCACTCGTGGCAGATATCGAAATGTCCATATTCCACGACTAAGAGGTAAGAAATGATACCGGAGTAGCTTTACAGCTTGCATCCGAAGCCTTTACTTTGCTTATAGGTGGCAGCATTTTTAGAGGGCCCTAGAGGCATTCATAAAATAGCAAGTATACCTAGGTACCTTGAAGTATCCATTTATATCTTACCTTTTTTGGCTTTTAGGGAGACTCTATTGGTTGAATCGTCGCAACTAGTCTAATTTGATTAGTTACACATTTATCTAAACTATAGAGCCAGCGGTGATTGAAAGCAAGAGATAAGTCGGGAGCACTACATAGTATTCTCGGAATCATAGATTTTTTTTTTTTCAGTGCCCGTAATCTCCCAAATCGCCACGGCTCATACCCGTAAGTTGCATTGAATGACATGCTACTAGACATATTTTTAATGTATAACACAGGGAAGCACTTCACCCTGCTACATGGGTCGAGCCTCATCCAGATATGATCGCTGTGGGAGCGGTACTTCGAGATCTTCAACATTCATTCACGCTCAAAAGCCACGAACGTAGGCGTAGGAGGTACTACCAGGTTCCCCCGGTCAACATAGCTCAGAGTGGCTTTTTTTAATATTCCTCTTTGCAAGTCAATTCTCTCACCGGCATGATCAGTCATAGTATTCGTGAAACCAGGATTTACTTTTTGGATTCGAATATCCCCACAGCCCCGGCAAAACACCATCGGATTTTGATCGCCAAATGCTGGACATCCGTACAATGAATCCTCCGATACTTACCTGAGTAGGCGATCCGTCCTTGGGCGCTTCTAGCCAAGAATCGCAATCCACCGATGGCAATACTTAAAAGGGGAGGATGACTAGGTAGTGGGTGATGAGAACGGCACACCCTCTTATACCAACTCGCTAGAAAATACTTGTAACGGTTTGCGTATCTAGCGGGCAAGCATGCCATTTCAAATTGATGGAATCGCGGTGGTTACAGGTGCTGGTAAGCTCCCTATTAACCTCGATTGCTTCCCTCTGATATTCCTCCTATTCGTGGTAAAATTCTAATCTTAACAGGTAGCGGGATTGGAAAGGCCTGTGCCCTGGCCTACGCTGCGGAAGGTGCACGAGGCGTCGTAGTCGCGGACCTGAATTTTAACGCAGCTACACAAGTAGCGCAGGAGAGCAGGGCCATTGCAATTAACAAGGAATTCATAGCGGTTCCTATAATAGTCGATATTACTAATACTTCGAGCGTTGAGAAAATGATTTCTGCAGCGGTGGAACACTTTGGACGCATTGACTATCTCGTGAACAGCGCAGGAATCGGCACAAAAGAGCATCGGACCGTCGACCAAGCCGATCTTTCTCAAATGAACCGATTTTGGCAGGTTAATGTCATCGGTACCGTTAATTGCATCCAGGCCGCTACAAGGGTGATGAAGAATCAAGATATAGCTACCGTCAATGTCAGAGGGGCCACCCGTCAGGTCGGTCGGGGCGTCATCTTGAACCTAGGCTCCGCCAATTCGTACATGGCAACTCGTGAGGGATCTCCGTATATCGCCTCGAAACATGCCGTAATGGGTTTAACTAAGAGCCCTGGTAAGACTGCCGCTTGTAAAAACCATCAAAAGAGTTATTACTAAATACCATCCAGCTTTGGATCTTGCCCAGCATCAGATACGAGTCAATGCGATTTGTCCTGGTTGGACTAGAACCCCCATGCTTGAAGACGCTATGAATGACAGCCCAAATTTGTCTGAGACAATGATGAACTCCGTTGTGCCACTAGGCCGGACCGCAACGCCAGAAGAAATCGCAGATGTGGTGGTATTCACGACCAGCCCTCGGTCTAGCTATGTCACAGGTGTTGGTTGCATTGTTGATGGGGGAGCAACCCTCCAGGTCAAGACTTACTAGAATTTACACATTCGGTACCTAGGTACTTAGAACTCGCTTAACTCAGCGCGTCTCTCTATATTTATTATATATCCGTAACCGGCAGTTCTAGTTAGTTCCTAGTCCAATACTATATTTTTCATATAACGGGGACGATAATCAAGTGATTGGGTTAACAATGTCATGATGTACCCAAGTCCCCGTGTCTGTAGCCAGCCTTACAACAAATCACACTGTGTTCTAACAGTGCGGGAAGAAGTACTTACGAGACTGTCACCATAAAAATGAAGAGTCAAGAGGTATTCCGTGCATGAATGCTAAAAATACCTCATAAATCATAAGTACCTAGAAAGTATCTATTAAAAGCAAAGAAGAAAAAGCAATACAAGTCTGATTGAGGATGTATAAGACGCGTGTCAAAGCCGGGGGAGAAAAAAGTAAAAAGAAAAAGCAAAGCAATAAGAATCGTCCACCTTCATCTCTGCTGGCTTTCATCTCTTCTTTACGTGAGTGCAATTCAAGCGGAAGGAGGGTGATCATCGTCAGAACCAACATCGCGACAGTAATTCTAGCGCATGCGGAACTATGTTGTATTCGATGTAATACACGTTTCTTGACGCTCATATTGACTTGCCATCGTACCAGTTGTCTTTTGTTTGGTGAGCCCCTATCCAGCTAAAGCCACGCTGAGGGGTAAAATGAAGGTATGATTTTCATTATTCGCACTGTAGCCATCCCCTGATATGCCCCACCGCACGTTATTAACGAAATTACGTAGTACGATTGGTGGACAAGTATGCTACAGGTACCAAATACCCAGGCACCCCTAGTTGCGTCAACTTCTCCTTCGACTCCTAATTGAATGTACGAGTATCTGTATCTCCGACTAGCTTAATAGTCCGATATCATCACCGACAATCTTCCACCATCGTTAACAAGGATAAACCCATTACAGTACGAGCCGGCCCGGCTAGCAAGATACAACAAACTACCACCCATCTCCTCATAACCCCCAAAGCGCCTTGACGGAATGAATTTGGAATTCTCGAGGCCTTCTGTACTTGGATCGCGTCCAGACATCAGGCTAGTGGCTAGGTCACTCGGAAATACTAAGAAATCGGAAAAGCTATCAGCCATAACTTTCCCTCCACAAAATGAAACGGAGGTATGGATTTACTTACAGCCGGGCGCCAGTGCGTTGACTCTAATTTCGTATTGGGCCAGATTCGTACTGGCATGCTTGGTAAGGTGGATTATAGCTGACTTGCTACCAGAGTATGCGGGTGCCGACATCCTTTCCCTACTGAAGCCGGATAAGCTTCCGGTGATAACGACTTGACTCGGTATCAAGGGAACATTGCTGCCCTCTTTGGATGGCGCACCAAAGCCTCCATTCAAGGCCTTTTTATTACCAGCATCGAGCAGTTCCAGGAAGGCCAACAAAGTGAAGTAAGTCGCAGTCACGTTGATATGGAAAGCTTCCGTGAAGTCTTCCATCAATACTTCCTCGAACAAGCTTTTACGAAGTTCCTGGATTGTGAACTCCGGATTGAAGGAATGGGTAGGGCCTACTATTCCGGAATTGGCCACGAGCAAGTTGATATATCCTACATCATTTGTGATGAAGTCAACAGCGGACTGCAGGGACTCTTTCGAACCGATATCACATACTATGGGGACGAAGGCTGGATCCTGAGACGCTGAACTTTCTACAACTTCCTTTCGCCTGCCAAGCAGATAAACCTTCTTTGCTCCTGCCCCTGCAAGAGCCTTCGCCATCATGAGTCCAATACCTATTGCTCATTAGGTGGAGACTTTAGCACATGCAAAGGGGATTCTTACCGGTAGCGCCACCAGTCACTACAGCCACCATACCGTCCACTCGAAACAGACTCGTTGGGTCCATTGTGAATATTTGAGACTATCGATGGCTATTTTCTCCGTGTGCTATTCGTTACTCTAGGGGGCTGGGTGTTCGTTCAGCATTCCTCCTCAAGAAATCCCGCCTCTTTATAGAGGTAGAAAAGTGACACGGCATGATGGTATGAGTATTCATGTTTAAGTCCCTAAAATCCGACTATACAAAAGCCCTAGGGTTACCATCCTCTTTGGCATTGGCACTTCCAATCACTGGGGACCGTGAGATATAGATAGTCAAAGTATACTCGTTTAACCCGCAGTGAATTCACCAAGGGTTGATCGGAGATAATGTGACGTTATGTCCGCTTTGCGGATGGTTATCCGCCCGATTCTTATAAATGTGGGGGATTATTTTATAAGTAGGTTAGCGAACTTGTGAGCTATAGGAGACCTAGACTGGAAAAGAAACGACATTCGAATATCTCTTTCCGTTGAGGTAGTTCATACCTACCTACCTACCTAGGTAGGTACGTATAAAAGCCAAGCCTTAGTTATATTCTTTGCAAACCCTAGTTATCCATTCAATTCGGACAATAACAACAAACAATCAATTTTGTAGGTATTTCGAGTAGCTTGGCAGGGCCAGGGCGTAGGTTTAGTATATCTACGGTGTGTGGTACTAAGGGGCATGGTGAATTTCGTACCTAGTTAAGGAATTACCCCTAAATTTAGGCAAGTGACTCGAGCCAAACCTTTAAGATAATTTTGACAGTTACAATAGAATGGTGAAATACTGTCAAATACATTGTTCCTCGACTCCTTTGTTTCGATACATAGGTATTGCATCTTTGTTCCACATTTGTTTTTCCTCGGTTTCTTAGTTTCTACAAAGGAAGATAGATTAGTTTCAGCGGCTTCGTTTCCAGGCCTTGTGCTAACTATATAAGTGGGTGATGCAAGGCCTTTTGCATCAAAGCTTTTATTCAAACTCGTCTCATATCTTGCATAGGACTTCCATCTAAATAAATTGAATTTGAGATAATCCATAATTCTCTATCAATCTAATTCTTCACGCATAACATCCAATAACATCCAGCCGACATCATGACTAGCCCTGTCACTACTATGGAATCATCCCCGGTCCCTAGGATTCCGCCTCAGTCTGACGAGATGATCGAATACGAGTCTATGGAAATGGTCATACCGCACGTTGAGGACGTTCAGAAGTACAACAAGGGCGGTTTTCACCCAGTACATCTAGATGATGTCCTCAATGGGCGATTTGAAGTTGTCCACAAGCTTGGCCAGGGTGGATTTGGCACTGTCTGGCTCTGCCGCGACTTAAACCTGAAAAAATGGAGAGCAGTGAAGATAATTGCTGCCGATCATTCATCGAAGGGTACCGAGGAAGAGATATTTAACCATCTCCGATCAACGTCCTACGACGGAGAGATAGAGGAAAACCATATCGTTACGCCATTGGAGCAGTTTTGGATAGAAGGGCCCAACGGCCGTCACTCCTGCCTCGTTTTACCTGTCCTTGGGTTGGATGTAGAAGGTTGGCGCCTGTATCAATGTGACTACGAGGATGAAACCGGCCTCCGCGTTAAAAACATATGCCGACAGATCGTTGAAGCCTTGAACTTTCTTCACAACAATGGGATATGCCATGGTGACTTCAGACTGCAAAATATTCTCCTTGAGATCGAGGGCATTGACGATTTGGATAGAGAACAAATCTACGAACTGATGGGTGTGCCAGAGTTAATAGAAATGACGACGGTCTCGGGCGAACCATTAACGTTTAGGGCTCCGGAATACATCGTATCACCTGCAATCCACGGTTGGTCGAAGAAACTTGTAACAGATTCCGTTGCAATCATTGACTTTGGCGAGTCCTTCTTTTCCCACAATCCCCCGGAATCAACGGGTATTCCATCTGTATACGCCGCTCCCGAAATCCTGTTCCTTGGTACTGGCGTACCGGGATTTCCGAGCGATGTATGGTCATTAGCGTGTACGCTTTTTGAACTCCGGCGATCAGCACCGCTTTTCTCATCGTTCTCCGACGCTAGCATTAGGGGGACGATTTGTGAGATGCAGCAGTACCTGGGTCCGTTGCCCGAAAAATACCGAGACGTTTACAGTCATATGCTTAGATCCGTTCCACGAGTAAAGTTAGACGAAAATGGTGAATATCAGCGAGTTCCTCCGGAGCCTCCGAAGCCGCTGACCGAAGAGGAGCGTCAAAAGATAAAGGAGTCAGGAGAAGAGGAAGCTGAGAGACAACGGCAATTTATTGCGAAAACCGGCTACTCCGACATGTTTGAGGCCATTCTAGGAAATGAGAAGACAAGGTATCGCAAAATTGACGCACCTAAACGGGAACAGATTAAATACAAATATCCTCGGGAAGACGTACTAGGGTTATCCGACCTTTTACGTGGGATGCTTAAATACGAACCTGCCGATCGCATTACCATGGCACATGTCCTTCAACACAGTTGGTTTGACGAAGCATACGTACAAGCCGCCCCTACAGACCCAGAATCTCGGGCTAGCCTTCGCTGTCCACCTACACTCATTACACTCGCATACGTCGTGGTCATGACTGTATGGGCCATCGCCTATGCGGTGGGTAAAAGGACGGAGGTCCTTCTAACAAAGATGGCTGATGTGGTATTAAGACCTGCACCAAGATAATCAGGGACATTGCAGCGTGTCATTCAATCTATACTTAGTAAAACGCACACAGGATACATTTCGATTATGAGGGAGCATTTCGCGTAAGTGGTTTTATGACAATACCCCTTGGGCTGTTTTAGGGGTTCGGTGGGTTGTATGCGTCAGTTGGTTATCTGCTTGGTTAAATAGAATTATTTTGTATGCTTCCGTAGTCTTAAATTACAATACTCATGGTCAAAAAGAAAGAAAAACTGAAAAGAAAAGATGTTGTTTGGTTTCAAACATGCAAGTGTGTTTCTCCTCATGAAGTTGCGGACAGTTGATGCTATATATACATAAAACACTCTTCTAAGAATCTGCATGGACTATAATTATGGCAAGAGATATGACATTACCGTGCCAAAGAATAACCAATACATGCTCGTTCCGATTCATACCCACTGTATTTAAATAATTATGACATTGCGGTTTGTGATATTACAACGTAGTCAGGCTTATATTCTAAGGCGGAGTACACCGTATGCCGAAGATTCAAAGCACCTGCAATATCAATTCCTAGGCAAAACACAGAATATTGTATGGTTGTTATACGGCCTCGAAGGATTAAACGGTTACATGGTAAAGACCCCTGCAATATCTCGATAGGCCAATAGGCAATATACTGTACTGATAACTCACAAGTTGGAGATTTCTATATCCATTCACTGTTGCTTTGTTTATTGTTCCAGGTTAAAAGAAACGCAGTATAAGATCATGTTTTGGTGGAGGGTATGGGGGAGGGTATATAAGGGTTCGTAGTGCTCTGCCGATTGGTATCTTCAAGTTCCTAGGAAATTCTCTTACCAATTAACCTTTTATAGTATTCTACCTAATCTATCGTGTCCCCTATCTAAGAATCCTTTATTAGCAGTAGTAAAAAAACAATCTCTAAGAATCAAAGTGACGAAATATATACCTAGGCACAAACAGTTTATTTTTGAACATGAATACCATAAGACTTCATAGGCTTTGTTATAAGTATTGAAACAAAACAATCCGCCTCGAATGTCATCAAGTAAAGAGTATTGTGATAATGCTCATTGTCTCCTTTGTAGATGTGCAGCCAATTTAAACATAAAAGTTGATTTTCAGCACCAAGGACCACACGATATGCCACTGCATGAATTAAAAATATTATCACCGTCTAGGTTTTCCTACTCATAAGTATAGCATTATGTATAATTGGAAAAATAAACCCCCGCCAGCGATTATCTGGGTCAAAGGTATGAAACTTGGGCCCGGCGCACCGCATAGCCCGGATTTCCAGTCAAGAATTGACCAATCGGAGAGGTCTACAGGCGAGGGGACTATAGAAAATCCAATGGTACGTTAAGTCTACATCTACCACCAAATATAATCCTATTATGTAACTAACATTTGATGTCTAGGTAGTATGGCCCTATCCCGCACGGCCTGAGGACAAACCCATTGAGCAAATCCTAGCAATGGAGGCTGTTATTAGGCAAGAGACAAAAGAATGCGGCTTAAGTCATGTATGGATAGCGTAAGTGTATACCATATCAAATCTCTCAGAAGGGAATTACTAATAATTTATTTGCAGGGCTGATGGTCATCCTTACAGTACAACAGCGACAAGAGGTGGTATACGAGTTGCATCACTCGATGATTATCACGTTACTATACGAATGGGGTCGTCAAGTACTATTTGCAACTTACATGGCCACTTGTATCTAGTTTGCGAAGATGATGATATAAGGAAGAAAGTAACCCGTGTGATGACAGAAAAAGAAAGGGGCATAAAGAATGGTAAGAATCCTCAGCTATGGATTTGGGGACGCTACCCGCGAGAATGGCCTAGAGCTCATGTAAAATTCCCAAGCCCTCCGTATGAAATTATACCAGATTCAATACTAGACAAGCAGCAGCGCACGAAGGAGAAAAGTAAACCATATACATACTCGTAATACCCTGGCGCCCCGCAATCTAGCCTCAATTTCAATCGTAGCATAGGTAGACTAAAAGGATTAGGTAAATAACATTAATTGGTACTAAAATGCTTATTTTCATCCGGATCGGAAGATTGGGTGATGTTTCACTACCCTATGGCAGAGTATCCTCAGAAGGTATCACCTGATTAGGTAATTTCCAGCTATCAATAAGTGCTAATGTATTAAAATTCGCAAGGCGTATTCAGCATAGGGAATTAATTGGATCCATGAATGTAAATAGCCAGAATGGATTTATAACCAAGCAGAGTTATATAATAGAATCGTGGTGAAGACGAAGGAGACTAGGGATTCTATTTTAGTGTATACCATATGTTCTGGAATGCAAAGCCAAGAAATATATCTAGGTATAGTATGGAAACGTTACTGTAGGGCTGTGCTATAAACCGGGGTTTTCGGGGCTTCAACCAATTAGCATGCCGTTACGTGGGATTCGGATGGGTCTACAATCTCACGATCTAGCGTCGTTGTCGACGGCTTTTACGACGAATAACGGCGCAGCTTCGTGAGCTAAAGTGAAACCTCGTATTGTTCACGATATCCATATGAATATACACCGCCACGGAATGTTCGAGCTGACATCGTTCAAGAGCATAAATAAAGTCGTCGCGCGCCTCTGAATATGTATCATTTGACTTGCATCCTCATCCAATTCACACATCAGTCGTTATCTAATTCGTAATTGAATTCCAATAACATAATAAATCTAATACCTAATATCCGATTATCGTTATCAACATTCGCTCAGCTTTACCATTCAACAACCAAAACTACCACACATTTAAAATGCTCGCCTCAATCTCAATCCTCTCCCTCCTCGCTCTCGCCAACGCCAACCCTGTCCCGCGCTCGGCCCCTCGCATCATCAAGGGCAACGCCTACCAACTCCAAGTACAACTCCGGGACCCACTCAAGGATTTGAGCCCCGGTGTCTCGGGTCAATACCTAGCGGGGTCGCACGTTGGCGCGGGACTTAACATCGCCATTGTCTCCCCGCACGAGGACAGCGGCAACTACCCGCCGTTCTACAGCAACGGCACGGCGGAACAGGGCTGGACATCAGTAGTCAACGACCTGGGTACCATCTACCCGTGGGGCGTTAACGTGCAGGATGCCGAGTCCACGGATGCCACGTACCCCGGCGAGCACGACGCGGATATCAATGTCGGGGGTGGATCTAACGGTATCGTGCTCACCAAGATAACGATCGATTCGGGTATTACGGAACCCGCGCTCGGCGGTCTGGCTGCTGGTTACTATGCCGTCTGCAATCGTTTCATTGGTTACTCGAGGGCCAACATGACCGTTGTCCGATACGTGTACGAAGGCGAGGATCTAGCTGATGGCTGTGTTGGTGTTAACTTCGTGCCGCTGTGCGCGACTTTGAACGACTTGCCCGAAGGCAATGAGTGGACTCATGACTTCGTCCAGGAGGTTGACTGCGTTGAGATTTAAGAGTTGGATATGCTAAGGAGAAGTAATACCGGGAGGAAACCCGAAGCGAAATTTTAGATACCAGAATAGTAATTTGTGCATAGAAGGATGCATCGCGTTTCGGAGTTTGGTTTTTTTCATCGATAGGTTACACGATGAGGTGCAAGGACCTCGGGAATGAAGTAACGAAATCGCTAGATAGACTAGGAGCCGAACCTTAGGTAATTTTTGAATATTGTGTCAACTACCTGGGTAGAAGTCCTTAAACTGAGTAGATCTTCATAGTCGGATGAACCGAACTAAGCTAAGGATGAGTTCATCTCAAGAATAGCTTTTGTGACAGTCTCGTGTTCATGGCGCTGGAGGCGTCGAATATTGTCTCAGAAGGCTTCGTAAAAAGTACGGGAGTCCCGAGTCCCCACCCCAACCTTTCTCTTTCTGTTCCTTTTCCGCCTCCCACCGCATTTTTCCCTCTGTCTGATACTTTTTCCTTATAGACCCTACTGAACCTCGGTATGGGTCTGGTCAGGATCGTCGTCGTCGTCGTTGGTTAATCTAGAAGACTCCGCTAAGATCTGATCGATGACTTCTTCGGCCTGTTCCGCTGTCGACGGCACGCGTGGCCCAAATCTTTCTATTTGAAACAAAACATGTATTAGCTGAGAGTGAGTACCAATGTCTTAGTACTATTCAATAGACATGCCGACAAACTTCTTCAGGAATCCTGGGTCTATATCGCCCGAGAAGGACGATGGAGGTATGAAGACTGATTTTGTGCGAATGTAGAATCCGTTCGCTTCGCTTGGTACGAGTCCGTTTATTCCGTTTGTTATAAGGGCTTGAAAAAAGCAAAGGGCGCCTATATGGCCTAGATAGGTAGGTAAGGAACCAACCACCTAGACCACCTGGGTGAGTACCTAGGTAGGGTACCTAGTTAGTGAGCAGCTCAGCTATATATAACTACTACCTACTACAACATCCATTAATAAATATTCTTGCTCGCTAGCCCTTCCACACTAAGTTCCCAATAACAACATATTGCTAAACACTCCTAATTACATTCTAGAGTCATGACTCGATAGGAATCGAACCCAAGCCCCTATTTAGATATTTATCCAACATCTACAACTACCACCAATTGGCAGGTATTGCAGAAAAAGAAGAATGAGGGGAACGCCCCGAAGCTTCACAGTTGCCTTAGGCGCGCAGGCGCTACTCACTTCAGGGGTGCAGGGCTTAGATAGGACGGGAATACAGCATGGCTTGGGCTCCATCAGTGCTAATTGGCGCTGTAGCCCAGCTAAGAATTAACCCCGCCGAACCCCGCATATTAGCTAGCAGCATAGCGCTTAGTTATAAGGAACATGCGTGCTATAAGACGCCAGTCTTTTACTGGTGAAGTGCTGAAATTGAAAGCTCTATTCTACATCGAAATACTTCAGAGCGAACTTTCAAGCCTGTTTATCACGAATTTCCAAGGTATCAACAGCGATCTCCTCGTCATTCGTCAACTTGGTGCTATTTCCATGGAAAATCTTAACGTCTCCGAATATCTCATCAATTTCTTCTAACGATTTACCTAGAAAATTGTTAGTTGCAGAATCTCGCTCAGTAATGAAAATTACGTACCCTTTGTTTCTGGATATGCGAAAGCGAACACAAGGGCGCAAAGCGCATTGGTAAGAATGAAAAGAATCTATAAGGTACGTTAGTCGATATTTCCTACGCGATTGCAAAAAGGACATACGTAGTATTTCCATCCCACAGCTGCCAGAGCAATTGGCGAACATTGAGTAATAACCAAGCTGATAGAATAGTGAATAACCTGGACAAGGGCGTTTGCTTTTGCTCTAAGTTCGGTAGTGAACACCTCAGGCCTGCGATTGAACCTATTAGTACCTAAGTAACACGTATTTTAGGGGGAGGGACCCACGGAATAATCCAGGTCATAGGCCCGAGCAGCGCTGAATAGTTAGCTGAAACTGCAAAAATACAGGCAATAAGACCCCTCTGTGCAGCAGCGTTAGTGGGCATTCCAGGCTTCGCAGGGTACACCGCAGCAATGATGGTAATAATCATGTAGCAAAGCGACAGGAGCGAAGAGCTTGCTATCAGGATCTTCTTTCGGCCAATCTTATCCACGAAGAATAAGGATAAGAGACAAGCTACTGGAGCAACGGAGCCGTAAAGGCCACTGACGAGCAGCTGTTGGTCTTGGCCAAACTGGAGAGTCGCGTAAATTGCAGTCTGGTAGTACTGCACGAACGATATGCCTGACAACATAGCGGCTGCCCATACGAAAGATCCAACAAAAAGACGTTTTCGGAATGATGGGGTCTTGAAGAGGTCCTTCCAAGTGAGACGACCTTGAGCCTTAAACTCTTCCTCGATGTTGATCTGGATGGTACCGAATTCAGTGTTGCACCATTCTTCGTTAGATCCGTCGTAATGGTAGTTGTCGAATGCTTTCTTCGCCTCTTCGTAACGACCCTTTAAGCATAACCATCTCGGGGACTCGCCGATGAATAAGACACCGATACCAAGCAAAAGCGCTGGTATACCTTGAATTGCGAAACCGAGTCTCCATTGATTGGGGTTATTCCATCGACCTTCGCCAACACCGGTCCATAACGCGACGAAGAATCCCCAGGCGACCACTTCATATCCAATTAGTATCATTCGCGACAACCTCATAGCGGGTATAACGCTCACTCATTTGGTTAGCCGCCGTAATCTTTGCTCTTTCATGAGTCTACCATTAATATCTAGGTCAGTAACTGTCTCTCAACGCACTTATATATGAGTACATACCTTCGCAATCTCGGCACCAAAAACGGGAGCGACTCCCGTTATTGTCCCGACGGCAAATCCAACTAGTAAACGCCCAACGATGACTGTTATATGGATGTTAGAAACCTCCTCAAGATCGCAACTTTGTGTTGTGCGTACGCATGGCGACATGAGCTGCTCCAGCCATCAGGGCTGCCCCAATTGCTCCCCATATGCATCCGAACGATATAGCTTTACGTCGACCGAACCTATCACTTGAATATCCGACTGAAGCGCTACCAAGCCAAGCTGTGCTCAAAATTAGTATAAAGATAGCACACCGAGATTCGCGGGGACGATACTTACCTCCAGCTTGATAAACAGAAACAATCGCGCCTTGAGTCGCCGCGTTAGGATGCCCGAAGTGGCTCAAGAATGATTTTAGTGCTAAACTCGGTGTAATAATACCCGAATCGCTGAAGTCATGTTAGACGCGAAACGAGCGACATCGTATCAAGGCAGGATGACTTACTAGCCATAGAGAAACCCGCCTATTCCCAAGAATAGGGACGTCAAGAATGGTTTGCTCAGTAACTTCTGATTCTTCATGATTGCAAGACGTCCAAGTATAACAACTTAGGAAAACAGAACACGACAAAGTTCGTATAGACGGATCTATATGGGTTTAAGTATCGCCGCGTCAGCTCGAATAAACCACGTCTAGACCCTTCATGCAATCCGGGGTCAACACCCGACTACCTGGTTCACGGTAGCCTGCCAAGGTTGCTAGGGGCGGGGTATAGGGGCGCGTACTATCATGAACCATCGCGTAGGCTTACCCCTTTTCAGGTACTATTCCTCAGCTTTCAGCCTCTCAATTTTTAAATTTCTTCTTTGTTAACCTCGGAGAGTAGGTTCTTGGCAAAGACTCAGTGCAATTTTATCATTTCGGCAAATTGGTTGGGGCTAATCGAAGTTGATATCCCATAACAACGAGTCATTCATAACTACCCCTGTTTATACCCGATATATCGGAGTAATACCTACCTACCTACCGAGTATAAGTAAGGTACGCCAACAAGACGCGCTCAAAATATAACCCTTAGCACGCTCCTATCGGATCGTCTAGATTACTAACCGAATCTAGATCCCCTTAGAGGATTCCACCCAGGGGGTGACTATGCCATGGGGTTGCGTTACTCCGCAAACCACATGGGCGTAAAATTTGGGGGGAATATCCACATGGGTTTCCCCGCCAAGGTCGGCAGTTTGGATGGGCATAGCTACATAGCTAGCGAGCGAATAGCGTCGGCTACTCGTGTTTCCTACTTGTGCGAGGGGAATCCTCTCGTGACGGGGTATTTCATTCCTCCATTGCCAACGGTTCCGCGTTCTCAAAATATGGTTAGGTAGTATAGAAAATGTTCGCCACGATCTTGAGTAGTATAGGCTTTGCTGTGGCATTGTCCTACTTAAGTTTAATATCTCCAAGGGTAGGTGGTTAATGATAAGGTATTCTAAGAGGGAGTAAGCTGACGAAATTGAAATAGCTACTTCAAGAATGGAAGATCTATGCACACCGCAAAGAACTTCCACCAGGCCCTAAGACCATCAAATCCGGCATTCGAAAACCATGGATATGGTTCAGGGAGTTGAACAAAGAATACGGAGATGTGGTTTACCTTCAAATGGGGCCGACGCCGACAATCATCCTTGGCTCCGCGCAGGCGGCATGGGATCTACTCGAGAAACGCGGCGCTAAGTACTCATCCCGACCGCGCTTCATCATGGGCGGTGAGCTCTTATCGGCAGGGATGCGCGGCCTCATGGCGCCGTACGGACCTTTCTGGAGACGTTGGCGGAAGCTGCTTCACGGCGGGTTTATGCAACGCCAAAGCGAGACGTACCGACCGATCCAAAGTCTGGAGTCAAAGGTCTTGATGCGCGATCTAGTCCAAAGTCCCCTGGATTTCCGAAAACATCTCCAGCGTTACGCAGCTTCAGTTATTGTCACGGTCACTTACGGACGAAGAGTTGAAGATGTAGAAAATGATATCGTGGTGCGACGAAATGACGAGTCGATGGATCGTTTGACTCAAGTCAAGTAAGAAACAAGACCTATTGCTTCTGCATTAATATCTAACCTTCGCGATTAGCATTCCCGGAAAGTACGCAGTAGAACGATATCCGGCTCTTAAATACATACCCAGCATCTTCGCGCCATGGAAGGCCCAAGTAATCAAGCAGCGACAAAAGGACATCCAACTCTACACACAACTCATGGACGAGATCAAGGAAAAGAAGGCCAGAGGCGATTTGCCAACATGCTTCGCCAAGCACCTCCTAGAGGAACAAGAGAATTTAGGAATGTCGGATCTCGAGATTGCCTACGCTGCAGGCTCTCCTTTTGGCGCCGGGGTGGAGACAGTAAGCTCACATCTCTCACATACGAACAACGTTGAAAAAGGGGGCTCGTACTAAAATTTTGCAACACAGTCAGCAGGTTCGCTAGCTAGTTTCTTCCTGACATGCGTCAAATTCGGGCCTCGGTTCATCCCTAAGGCTCAAGAGGAACTTGATAGAGTGGTAGGTAACGGGCGGCTTCCCACATTCGAAGATATAGCCCGCATGCCATACGTAAAAGCCATCGCTTCGGAGACGTTGCGCTGGAGACCAATTGCTGTGTTGGGAGGAACACCGCATGCGAGCACGGCGGATGACGTGTATAGGGGGATGTTTATTCCTAAAGGGAGTACCATCATCGCACCCCTGTGGAGTAGTAAGCGCGCTGAATCCTCTAATATGTTTCATCCTGCTAATCGAGCGCTCATACCTAGTCCATCTGAATGAATCAGATTTCCCTGAACCAGATGAGTTCCGACCGGAACGGTTTTTAGAAGACCGTGACTACCCCGGTCCGTTTGGTCATAGTGCCTTTGGCTGGGGAAGGCGGATATGTCCCGGAATGCACCTTGGCTCCGCGTCTGTGGAACTGAACATCGCGCGAACACTTTGGGGCTTCAATATCAGGCCTGCGAAAGATATAGACGGAAAGGACGTTGATGTCGACATGTAAGTGTTCCTTATCTGCGTCACTCATACTGTACTGATAGTATCATTTAGATTTGCGTTCTCAGATGGATTCAACTCGAGCCCACTGCCATTCCCATGCTCCATAACGCCGAGATCTCCAACTCACGTGAAGGTAATCGAGAAAGAATATCAGGAAGCCATGGAGCCGTTGAGGAGGTATACTGCAGTGACCAATAAGGTGTCTTAAAAGACTAGCCTATCAATCAACTGGGCACAACTTGGGGGGATATGATGTACGACTCATCGGTGTGACAACTATACCTAGACCTATTATCTCACATAAACTAAAACGAGAAGGAGAGGAATAATCCGGAGTTGAGACTATCCATGTTTGAAAAGCGTGATGTTTGAGAGCGACTAGCTCGTCAGTCTGTCGTGAGCACTTTAACTTGAGTACGAGTTGACAGAGGGCCTGGGTGCCTATGTACCCAAGTAACCATGCAGCGGAGACTCCAGTGGTGGCAATCGCGTGCGCATTGAATTACCCACATAGCCCTAAATTCCCTGTGTAGAGCGGACCGTCCATAGCAGAGACTGGAACTGAACATAAGCGCTTGAGCCTTGACCAGCACTAGGAAATCAATTCCATCTAAGTGGACTGGATACTAGGGATTGTTGATGGCTTCATTATATTATTCGACGATAAATGTCAGGAGTCTTACAATTCGTGTCCCGTTTCACCATCAAGACCATCTGGGTGTTCAGCCCAATCAAAGCCGGTCACCGCTATAGGACCGTTGAGAAAAGAGCTCCCAATAATGCGACGTTATATATTTGCTGACGCCCGAGGCAGGCTGAATATTAATCATATGTCAATTTGCGCGATGTCATCAGCAAGGAAGTGTATGACTAACCCAGTTATTCTTGTCGGCCAAGCCGATGTATCCAATCACATCAACGGTATTCTCGACCCATGAACAGGGTAGATAACCTATATCGAGTTAAAAACTCGTGATGGTGATGCCGTACTAACACGGAGTATAAAAGAGAGGCTCGATCTGTGGAAAATCGGTACTCATATACTAGATTTCATATTGACGTTTTTTGCTCTTCTTGATCGTCACAGCTGACTCTTATGAGAACTTCAAATGCAAAGCATCGAAAATCTCAATCGCAACATATGCTGGGTTTCGAGGAAATGATGCGAGCCCCGCTCAACCGCCAAGACGCACAATACACCCATGAAAGGGACCAAGTTTCCGCATGCTTATATTAGGTAGTATTCGGTTCTGTTCACCCATGCCCAATCCAAAGTCCAGCTTTCCCGGATGAGGGACTCTGCAACAGCTAGTGCTGACAGAGTATTGGATAGTTCAGCAAATCATGTCTAGACAGAATGTCTTCTAGAAGCTCTTCATAGCCTATTTTATGTAAGATGGCCCCGGCATTTCCACCAGGGGGTCCCACAGCTTCAGCTACGATCTTCACTGCCCCCTGAAGAGGGACTCTGGTGTTTTTTTTTCTTGCATCTTCGACTTCCCAATGTTATCTCGTGCAGTTTCTTCCCCTCCTCCTGATATTTGGATTGTCAAGCGTCATCTATGGAATCTAGATGATATCGTTTCTTTTTCCTGCCCTCGTCTCGATCTGACGAAGTCTTGAGTTGAAGCGTCAGCAAATCGCAGATCGTCTGTACCCTGAGTTTTGCTGCAGCAGCATTCAAAATGCGCTCCGCGACGACCTTTCTGGTCATAGCGTGCGCTTCTACGCCAAGCATAGCTCTAAGTAAAGGTCGTCCACTATGGGCACGAGGTGTGAATAAAGAAAGTAAGATAATTTCACCATCTCCATCAATTTGAGTTATAAACAGATTTCGACATGGCCATAAGAAGCGATCATGAAGCGATTTTTCTTCGGTCTTGCTTTTGGACCCATGTAGCAGGTGAAGGATCCCCAATTGTTGAACTATAATTAACACAATTGGCGACAGATGTGGTACTGGCAGATTGCACTGGAGCAAATAACGATCTATCATCCGAAGCCGCATATTTCGCGAGTGCTCCAGACGAATCGCCAGATGATGTCGCGACCGTGTCCACTGGACGGCATCAAGACTGGGCGAACACGACAACGTCGGCGTTCTACACGGATACGGGCACCACGTTCAAGGCCAATTTGACAGTAAAGGTCGATCCTGGGGAGTATGCCGGGACGGCAAACAACGGGTATGGCAACTTCACGTGCTGGCAGACAGCCCCGACCTACTTGTACAGCCATGCGAGCAGGGACTGCTACGCTATGTACGAATGCAATCACCAGAGTAAGTAGACATTTCCTGTTCCTAAAGTTGAACTCCAGCACCCTATTGCGAGTGCAGTGAATGGCGATTGGGCATTCCACCAGTAATCAGCCGCAGGGTAGGGCTTAGTGTCGTAAGTTCATTGCTTCTAGTATATGGCTAACCCTATGACCTCTAGAGCAACTTGTTGCTTTGCCATCAGCGACACCAACCGCAAACATCACACCCACACCGGAATCGACGTCTTCAACCAATTCGGGGCTAAGCGCAGGTGCAATAGTCGGTTTGAGTATCGGTGTAGCTGTTGGAGCACTACTATTCGTCGGAGCAGGTGCTTTCTTACTTTGGCGTCACTGGCGCTCCAAGAAGGAAGAGAAAAATGTTCCCGACGTCGAACAGAAAGGGCCACAAGGCGGGATGGCCGATATGCCAAAATATGGGCAACCAGCGGCCGCGATATGGCAGGGACCGGGGACGAGAGAGCTAGATACGCCAACCGTCTACCATGAGCTACCTAACGAGGAGCGTCCGGCCGAGATCCAAGGCGAAGCTATGAGAGGAGAGCTTGACAGCAGTCCCGCAACGGCTGAGCTCCATTCTGAAGATTTACCGCCTCGATATCACCACGAGGGTGGTGCGTCACCGGGTGCTTATGGCCAGTTTAAAGGGCCGACTTAGTAATGAGATTAGGGATGAAGTAAGACGAGAAGTACTCGATGAGTCATTTTCCGGCGCCAAAATTCTATATCGAAGACTTGATACGGAGTCGTGATGGTGCCGGTGCTAGCGAAAGGGGCGTAACAGCTTCGGGACTAATTCTAAGGGAGGCATCCAAATCGGCTAAGGGTTTTTGGCGTTAAAATTGGAGGAAAATTGAGCGATTATTTAGGCGCCACCCGCAATTTCGAGGTTTTATCGACTATTATCCTTCTAATCCATGGAATATCTAAAATACGGCTTTTGAGATTGTCAGCAAGTGGGTTTGATCTTGGAGGGGAAACAAGCCATGGATCGATGATGATCAATCGGAATGGTTAACGACATTCGAGAAGTCATCGAAAGGGGTTGGTTTAGCACTTATAATGCCTCGCCGTCACGAGATATGAATCTCGAAAGTGTATAATATTCTTAAACAGCATCATCTGCAGTCCAATCCATCATTAAGGAGGGATAGGCCAAGAGTTTCTAGGTATATCGATACTTGCTCTACCAAGACATTTCATCTTATTCTCGTGGCTGAAGAAAGAAGCGTTACGACGAAACTTGGGTTGAACCTATCATGAGAATATAGCTGTAGGTATCATTAGTTATGATACCGGTTTCGTCCCAATAAGCCATATCTATAACTTACCATGGATTCAATAACTAGTATATCGCCGCCATTTTTGAAAATCTGCCCGTTACCTATGGTGTATGGTTCGAATTCCCGCTGCTAGTACGAGAGATCGAGACGACGAGATATCGCGTAAACGTTATATATAAGAAATTTGACATATAGTGAGTAGTGATTAGGATATGATTCGAGCTCATGGTTCTCATCCTCCCTTGAACGCGTAACTGTGTAGCTGTTTGTGCATTCCTTGGCCTCGACACGATTGGAATATTGTTTTGATTCAGGGGTTACAGCACAAGAAAAAAAGATCTATAGCACGACATTAGCGCAAAAGCCAAATATTTAACATTATAAGTTCATTAAACTTAGATATTGAGTTCGTACTATTGGTGAGTTTAGGTAGGTAGTGAATTGAATGGTGATAACAGCTCTGACGTCAGCAGATTTGGTAAACCGAAAGCGGTGACAATGGACCCGCCCCCACTTGCCATTTTTCTTAAGGCTCTTTTTCTTGCCTCAGGCATCAACTGACCCATTATTCTTACTATTGTTAAGAATTTTACTTGTGAAAGAAAGGGTGAAATTTTCGATGGACCCCACTATTCAGCCCCACTAACCTATTTCACCCACCAACGAGCCACTGCGTAAAGAGCTTGTACGGTACAGGTAGGTACAACACACAGCCCGGGAACTTTTTTTTATCACCCCCCGCCAAAGATTCCTCCCACTTATCATTTTCAAAATCTCACCAACCTAAACCAGTCCACGGAGGATAAATCTTTTTTTTTATGGTTTTCCTCCTACGCGCGACTTGTGGTACAATTGATTCTTTCTTCTTTTTCGAATAGAATCATTGTCCACTCATTATCCTTTCGGTTACACGGTCACATTTGCTTGTGATTGTTTTTTCGACGGGCTTACGGTCGCTTTTTCGAGAAATATTATAATACGAAGCAGCCTAAGCGGGGTACATTTCCGTCATTTTTTTAACCCATCGTCATAATCATCATCCATCATCACAACCATCTCTTTTCCCTCGGTCGGTTATAGACAAAAATAAGGAAAGGGAATTTAGAAATAAATCATCAAGATGGTTTCCGCATCTAAAGAAAAGAGACTCGCCAAGAAGGCTGCCGATGCCAAAGAAGGCAAAGGTGAGAAGAAGACTCTCGTCTCTAGATCCAAGGCTGGATCTAAGGCCGCATCCAAGAATGCAAGCGCTTCTGGTTCCGTCGCCGGCGACGACCCTCCCGATCCCAACGACATCCCTGCGACCGACGATAGCAAGATGGAAAAGGTCAAGGCATTGTCGGATCAAAAAGATAAACATGGTTTGTCCGACCGCATCACCACTGGTGTCCTGGCATCCGTAGTCACCAGCAGGGACGTCAAGATTATCAGTGCTAGCTTAACCTTCCACGGTCGTGTTCTTCTCAATGAAACCGACCTAGAGCTGTCTTTCGGTCGTCGATATGGTTTGTTAGGTGAGAACGGTTGCGGAAAGAGTACCCTTCTTAAGGCTATCTCTGAGAGAGAATACCCTATCCCCGAACACGTCGATATCTACCTTCTCAATGAAGGTGCTCCGCCCTCCGACTTGGGTGCTCTGGAATGGGTTCTCAAGGAGGCCGAAAAGGAGATGGACCGTCTAGACAGACTAGCTGAACAGCTACTCGAAGACGAGGGTCCCGACAGCCCTGTACTAATGGATATCTACGAGGTATGTACACCACCCTCAGCGCCATCTCACCGACATATGCTAACAGAATGCAACAGCACATGGACAAGATGGATCCTTCCACGTTCGCTACCCGAGCTTCCCTTATCTTGACCGGTCTTGGTTTCAACAAGCAAACCATCCATAAGAAGACAAAGGACATGTCTGGTGGTTGGCGTATGCGTGTCGCCCTCGCCAAGGCCCTCTTCGTCAAGCCGACTCTACTACTTCTCGACGACCCCACCGCCCATTTGGATCTTGAGGCTTGCGTGTGGCTCGAAGAGTACCTAAAGAAGTGGGAGCGAACTCTCATCCTGGTCTCTCACTCGCAAGATTTTATTAACGGAGTCTGTACCAACATGATTGATATGCGAAAGCAACAACTCATCTACTATGGTGGTAACTTCGACTCTTACGTAAAGACCCGAAAGGAGCAGGAAATCAACCAGATGACCGCGTACAAGAAGCAACAGGAAGAAATCAAGCACATCAAGGAGTTCATCGCCAGCGCAGGTACTTACGCCAACTTGGTGCGACAGGCCAAGTCCCGACAGAAGATCCTCGACAAGATGATTGCGGATGGTCTTATCGAAGAAATCAAGGAAGATAGAGAATTCAAATTCAGATTCACTGATGTCGATAAGCTTCCTCCTCCTGTCTTGTCCTTTGATAACGTCACATTTTCGTACTCTGGCGAGGCGAAGGATGACCTTTACCGCAACATCGACCTCGGTTTCGATATGGACTCCCGAACAGCCCTTGTCGGCCCCAACGGTGTCGGTAAGAGTACTCTCTTACGCCTGATGACGGGAAAGCTCTCCCCCACCTCTGGATCCGTCCGTCGTCACACACATCTTAAGCTCGGCATGTATTCTCAGCACAGTGCTGAGCAACTCGACCTGACCAAGAGTGCTTTGGACTTTGTCCGCGACAAGTACCGCGAGAAGTCTCAGGACTACCAATACTGGCGCCAGTGCCTTGGACGATATGGTGTATCGGGTTCCGTACAAACCGCCTTGATGGGTACTCTATCCGAAGGCCAGAAGAGCCGAATCGTTTTTGCTTTACTTGCCATTGACTCGCCCAACATGTTGCTTCTTGACGAACCCACCAACGGTTTGGATATCCCAACCATCGACGCCCTAGCAGACGCCATTGAGAACTTCAGTGGTGGTGTCATCGTGGTTTCCCACGATTTCAGGTAAAATTTCCTTCATCTAATTTGAGCACTTTCGAATACTAATAATATGATAGATTACTCGACAGGATTGCCAAGCAAATTCTAGTGTGCGAGAACCGAACGATCAAGCCTTGGGATGGCTCGATAGGAGAATACAAGAACTACCTCCGAAAGAAGATGTTGGCTGCTGGTGCTGTCTAAGAGGCATTAACTCTTCATCGTTCTACCCCATATCCGATTTGATTAGGCCCGTAATTGCATTCGCTCGCGAGAGGTGGTATTCACACTTCATATAGCAGTACGGGATTAGGCGAGGCATACATAGGAAGTATATGTGCATGTGGTCGCGGCTCGGGGGTTCATGGATTGGACAGCGAGGCATTATTGGGCCGCCGGCCTCGGATTTTTACATCAAAAAAAGCTTTGCTTGCGAGAAAGGAGGGCTTTGCTCTTGGCGGAAAGGCTGGCGCAGGTGTCGCGTCGGGCTTTGCCCTCTGGAATAGACTAGGCGAATTTAAAAATGAGTTCGGAAATTTATGCATATTGTAAAAGCTATTTAATGTGACTTACTGGTGTTCATTGTTGTCTGTATGTGTACCTAAGTAGTATGATTGCGATTCTCAGGTCGTCATATCTACGGGCCAAATGATCGCAAGATGTAATTAAAGGCAGTTGAATTCACACAACAATCACAATTTTTTCACTAGTTCATCAGCACATTGTTCTGAACTTGATAGCATCGTATTCCCTTGTACCTACTCGATACCAGTAGGCAGCACGTATATATAGGGTACCTAAGGTACACAGCCTAACCCCCCTCACTCAGCCATCACTATCACCACCCTCAACCCAACACATCCCGATCAATTCATATCGACTCAAATTCAACGCCATAACAGGCATGCATGCACGCATTGCTAAATCAATCGATCGACCAGATCTCGTACGTAATAGCACGATCCATAGTCGTCGTCCCTTTACCATAATCCTACAACACGATACGACTGTTCTTTCGTTTCGTTGATCGGTCGGTCCACGTATAACACATTTTTAGAAAATGAAATTTTGTTGTCTGCGAGAAAGAAAGTGAATCCGTTTTGCACGAGTCTAGCCATGTATTAGTATGGCGACATTTTTGAAGACCATCCATCCTACTTCTCCTCCCTCTGCTCCTTGTGAAAAAAGAAAAAGAAACGCAATGTAATGATTAGCTACTAGTGCTAGCTCTATGAATATGTGTATTCGCGCCACCTAGACAGCCTTACCTGCCTTTGCATATAATCGATGCCTATGTAACGCCGTGATCCCTTCTTATTTTGTACAAGGTCCGAAATTTCCGTATTTCCGTACTTTACTCGGGTAGCAACCTTAACCAGGCAATTGGTTAAATGTCCATCTCTCCGTCAGCGATGGCGAGTCGCTGTTTCGTTGTCTTTGCTTTCTTGCTGCTTCCCTTTCTTTTCTTTGCAGCTTTTGCGTCTCCTGGCTCGACTGGTGTGGCGGTACCCGAAGGTTTATTACCATCATCAAAATGGCCCTCGCCTGTAATAATAATTAGTATATCTACCTTGAAATAGCGCACATTATATGAACTTGACTTACCTTCATGATACATTTCATCCAGACTGACTGCCTCTCGCTTCCTCTTATTGCCACGCTTCTTGCTTGCCTTGTCGAGCTCACCGCTTTCAAGTAATTCTTTCTCGCGTTGTTCAATGAGCTCGGCTTGTTCATCATCGGCGAGCCACATAGCAATATCACGGTTGCGGTTCTCAGGCGGGCGACGGCCGCTAAAGTCAACACCTCTAGCGCCACCTCCTTGGATGACCACACGTTGTACTTCCTCCTTCTGCATCGCACGTTTTCTGATACGTTCTTCAATGGTGCCACGCGTGATAAGACGATACACTGTAACTTGCTTCGTCTGACCAAGACGATGCGCACGATCCATAGCTTGAGAATCAATGGTAGGATTCCAATCACTGTCGTAGAAAATGACCGTATCGGCAGATGTAAGATTGATACCTAGACCACCAGCGCGTGTTGAGAGTAGGAAGACAAAAATATCGGGGCGAGTTTGGAAGTCATGAACAGTGTCACGACGGTCCTCCAGTTTCGTAGAACCATCGAGTCGACAGTATTTGTAGTTCCTGTAGGTAAGATATTCTTCCATAAGGTCGATCATCCTCGTCATCTGGAAATACAATAGCACACGATGGCCTTCCTCCTTGAGCTTGAAGAGTAGTTGATCAAGCTTAGCAAGCTTTCCGCTGTCCGTAACAAAACGGCGCATGCTAGGGACGGTAATATTCGTGAAACGTCTCTTTTCTCCATCGGGTTGGGGCAGCATCGCAGGCGACGGGTAGCGCTCGATCGGAATATGCTGTGATACCAATGCTTTCTCCTCAACCGCAGTAGGTCCATATAGAATCTTACGCATAGGTTTGTTAAACAGACTGTCTTCGCGTTCACTGACAGAGACTCGAGTTCCTTCACATAAGACTTCAATGGGGGGAGCGGAGGCGCCAGGTAGGGCAGCCTGTTCCAATCGACCGAGACCAGAATCTCTCCAAGTTCCTCGAGAAATATTCATGAGGTTATCAAGTATACCTTCCCTCGTAACTTCAGCTAGTGGCTTGCGATCCGAGCGAGCCGCGATCTGAAATAATGCATGTGCAGGTGTATAGTTCTCCTGCTCTGACTCGTCGTATATCACGTTCATTCGTGCAAGTCGGTCCTTCTTTCGAATCAAGTCGGCGGCTCGCGAGAAGATGTCCTGGTGACTAACCTTGTAAACCTCTTCGGGGCTAGCATCCGCAAATCGTAAGAAGGAGAACGTCTTTTTACCAGAAGTGTTTTCGCGAACATTTTCCGGCGTCCAAATGTTCATCAGATGATTCAGGTATCTGTTCTTGAATCCTGCCTTCTCGTTGTCCTTGCCGGCCTTGTACAATCGGCCACCTTCAATCCAGACAAGACGCGGCAATTGATACTCGATGAGACTTCGAGTTGAATAGCCGACAGGTACGTTATTCCCTTCACGGACAAAGGAAGCAGTTTCGGCAAAGTAACCCGCGAAAAACGGGCTTGATGTGTCTGCACGCTCAAACAGATCAGGATGGTTGCAGACCTTTCGGAACTGCATAACGAGGTTCATCAGTGTTCCCGAATCCTGATCATCTCCAAGAGTTGCCTTCTCGATTAGATCCATAATGCTAATCTGATTTCGCAAATTCCTGTAGTAAGCACGTTGTCGGTAGGTGAGTTCACAGAACACGTCTTGTTCAATCTTGTCACCCAACTCCTTCTGTACATGTTTCTTGACACGACGCAACATAAACGGCTTAAGGATCAAATGTAGTCGCCTAAGCTGGTCCTCGTTGAGAGTAGTGTTGCTTTGGGCGTGTGATTCGATGTCCTTGGAGAACCATTCGCTGAACTCGTCATGTGAATCGAACAAGGAGGGCATAATAAAGTGCAGAAGGGCCCAAAGTTCTTGCATATTGTTTTGTATAGGAGTACCAGTGAGAAGTAGTCGGTTACGACAGTGGAAGCCAAGTAGACACTTCCATCGTGAACTCTGAGAACTCTTGATAGCTTGTGCCTCATCGAGAATCATGTACTGCCAGCGCATCTTCTGGAAATAAGCGACGTCTGAGACGACAAGCTGATATGATGTCACAAGCACGTGGAAAGGAGCATCCTTTCTGTAAGTATTGTGCTTGCGATCCCAAAACTTACGCAAAACCTTTCGGTCACCAGCAGTACCCCAATATGGTAGGACCTTGAATTCCGGGACGAACTTGGCGATTTCTTGTTGCCAATTGTGTAGAGTAGAAGCCGGCGCAACGACAAGGTATGGCCCCCAAATGTCGTGAACTTCGGCAAGGTACGCCATAACGGAAATGGACTGGACCGTCTTGCCGAGACCCATTTCGTCGGCTAGAATACCGTTGATACCTTGTTCGTATAAATTGGCAAGCCAGTTTAGACCCTTCAACTGGTATTCCTTTAGCTGGCAGTTCAGTAACTTGGGTTGCTCGACTGTCACATCGCCAAGACCAGTTGGGTTCTGGAAGTTCATTTCTCCATCTTCATCCATATCATTGTCGGCTTTATTGAAACTTCGTGCCTTGGCCTGGGCTTCTGCAATAGCATTTTGCGCATTCGCCATGGCAGCTTGCCTCAAAGTCTCCTCGTCTTCGGCTTCGAAGGTCAGCGAATTGAAATCCGTAACCTTTGTACTGAGCGGTCCAGATGGTTCAGTCACATCAACATCATTCGACTTGGAGACGGCATTAGCGTCCGGCGCAATATCCGGATTGTCGGTGCTTCGTTCTACTTCGTCCGTTTTGATCTTCTTGCCGATGAAGTGGGAGTACAACTCCGTCTGGGAGATCAAGAAATTGAGCTTCCTCTTCTGGCGGGCGGCTTCACGGTCAGCTTCCTCCTTGCGAGCATTTTCAAGCTCCTGGCGTTCCGCCGCTTTTCGTAAATCTCGTTCCTCACGCTCGTTACGTTTCCAGAAACTCATCATATCGCGCATACAGCGTTTAGCACGAGCTTGGAGATCTTTTGTACCCTTGTTAGTCCGGAGTTGCCAACGTTTAGCTTCTTTGGAAGCCAGTATAGCCGTCTTCTTAAGATTCGAGGCCTTGGTAGTATAAGAGTCGCCTGCCATTTTGTATGTTTTCGGAACATCCTTGCGGGCCATGTCACGCCAGATCTGGTCGTAGATCTGGTTGTAACCTTTAGATTGATATTTGGTCTCGCGGGGATTGGGGGCGGGTTCGTCAACCGACTTCTCTTTCTCCTTTGGATCCTTGGTACTAGTCTCCTTAGGTTCCTTCTCCTTATCTTTAGGTTCTTTGGATGAAGACTTGTTCACCTTGATTCGGATCTTATTCGACTCTTCCTTCGTGGGCAACTCCTCACCAGCATCTATAGCAGCCTGGGCAGCAATTGCCGAGTCCTTCTCCGCTTGCTTCTGTTCCTTGGACTTCTTAGGTCGGTTACCACTGCGACCTTTACTCTTAGACTTGGTACCATTTTCCAAATCTGTAGCTTGGAACGTTGACATGGTGCCGCCCTCAAGATTCAACTCGAGTGGAGCCAAGTTGCGTGCTGGACCTTTAATACCTTTCTGCAAGATCAGCTTGGTCTGTTGAGCCTTCTTGTTGGCACGTTCGGCATCACGCAACCACTTTATGCGTTCACCCTCGTCTTCAGCGGCAAGTGCTTTGGCCAAGGCCGCCTCCTTCTGTTCGATTGTAACCTGCATGGATTTCTCCCGGCGTCGTTTTCGTTGCATATCTTTCTTGCGTTCCTTCTCGGCAAATATCTCACGCTCTCGGACCTCTTGTAAGGCATCATCATAATGTACTGTATCGAAACGACGCTTGCCGTAGGTGGCATGTTCACGCAGCTTGCCTGATAAAGAGGCCGTGAGGTCGCTTCGCCGTTCAAACCGAGATCGACGTTCTGCGTGCTCAATATCAAGTCGTCGCCTCTTTACAAGGCCGTAGAAATATTCTTCCTCATCCTCAAGGTCGGATACGTCAATATCGTCCATCTCGGCATCAAGCTGGTCGATTAGGGTTTGTATCTTCTTCTCTTTTTCGGCCGAGAGAGCCTTCGGCTTTACTTGTCCGTTCGGTAATCTCTTAGGGGCTCGCGAAGGAGTATCTTTAGCGTGATTCGCGGATGATCGACGCGCATCTTTCTTGGAGCTGCCTTCTGAGTCCTTGAGGGTTGACTCGCGTCCCTTACTCTTACGAGCCGGCTTCTCCTTTGGTTCCGCCATGATTGGGGCTTTGGGCTTCGGAAGGGGTTCGGCGCTAGACAGGATGTTGGAAAAGGACATCAACTCGGCTGTACGACTAGGGGTCTGGGTCTAGAAGAAGAGATAAAAGGTTAGTAAAAGCAATTATCAATATGCTACGATCCAATGATATTTGATGAGACAAATAGATTGGGTTTGGGGTTGGGTATTATGTGATACGCTGTGAATGGGTACTTGTTGGACAAACGCACATTTGATGAAGTCGGCTCCGGATTTAATAATGAAGGTAAAGATGGTGCTGGTGTAGAGGTTTGTCGGTTGGTCGAAGAGACAGAATCCAACGCCGCGCGATTATGATTATGACGCGAGGGGGGAGATCCCAAATTAAGGGCTTTGTTAGACGGGCTGGTCGGGCGGGCGTCGTTCTTGGGATGGGAATGAGAGTGAGAATGCGAATGCGGACTTCGTGGGTATTTTGCATTTACTGGTGAAGGCGACCCGTAACCGTTACCATTACCATTATTATAATATTGGTTGGATTCGGTTTTGGTTTGAGGGAAATCATAAGGATCGGGTCGCTGATGATGAAGACGAAATGTTAGTCGAGAGAAGTTGAAGAAAATAAAAGGTTTTAAAAGAGGGAAGAAGTTTGATGGATCAGTTCCAGATGGAACAAATTGGTCGTAATCAAAAAGAATAAAAAATTAAAGATTAGGTGGTAAAGTAAATGATCGTGGTCCTTGTTCTTCCCCTTAGGTGAACACACCAACCTAAGGCCAAAAAAAAAAGACGGGACTGAATGTTCGCACTGCCACTAAGCAAACTTGTGCAGTATTTGCGTATTTAGAATGCAATTGAAGATAATAATTGTATATACGGTAAGGAAGGTGAGATAAAGTGTAAGGAGTAGGAAATAGATTGGAGATGATCATAGCAACAACTATTACTATTATCTTCCCAATTTGTCTTTTTCCTCTTTTCACTGGATTATTCTTGCTTTTTTCGCGTTCCTTTCTTCTCCTTGAAGTAGTGAAGTAGAAGGAGCAATAAATGATTGGGAGAAGGGAAGGGGGAAAGAGAAGGCTTGCACAATGTCACCTCTGACACCACGTAAGATGCTTAAAAATGGGATGTGACAGCAGATCTAAGTCATCCACGATGCTTTTCCGCACTGAGGTTTGCGAGTGGGTATTGAATGGGTATCGTGAAAAATTGAAACTATTATTTTATTAAAAAAGCTTACCTGTTGTTTAGACCAGTTGTCGGAAACTCTCCTTTCTCTAGTGGTATCCGTAAGCGGATCATAGAAGCTCCCTGACGATGTCTTCTCCCTTGACGACGATCGTTGGTGGTGGTAATCTGGCGGCGACAGATGACTGGATGTCTTGGGAGGTTGTAACGGCGATGCACTCGCACCATTTGTAGACGACATTGCGGGCGGCGATGCCATTAAGGAGCTCAAGGCTCCCGGCGGAGGAGCCAGTGGCGGCAAGGTGGACGTGATAGCTCTTAATCGCGACAACGATGATAATTGATGCGACGCGTCGCTATAAGGATGCGCCAATGCGGTTATGATGGTAGCGGGAAGATGTGTTGGTTGCGGCGGTGGTGGTGGTCGCGTCGCGGATATTGTTGGTGCGGAATTCGTGATCGAGGGCGATCGTGATGGCGTCGCTAATGTCGGCGATGCGGATGTCGTGATGGAAGAAAGAGAGAAATTGTTGGTGTTGTTATGATGGTGGTGGGTTTGGTAGTGGTTGTGGGGATGGTTATTACTATTTAACGATGGGGAATGGAGAAATGGTGAAGGTTTAGAAGGGATGAAAGGAGAAGAGGAAGAAGTATTGTTGGTTGTGGTGGTGGTAGCTGCAATAGTAGTAGCAGTTGTGGCGGCGGGCTGACGAAAATCTAGCGATTGCGATTGCGTCGAGGTCGTGACGGTCGGAGACGTTCTCCTTGTACCGCCGATGCTGGTGCTGGTACTGCGGTTGCTGCAGCTTGTTCTGTTTTTGGTTCGGGTACTAGTTCTGGTACCTATATTGTTACTTACGCTTGCGCTTGCACTTCTACCGACACTACCTCCGACAGTAGCAATATTCCCATTATGGGTTTGGCTACTGTGTGAGCCCGTTGCTCTATTTGGTTGATTGGTATGAGTATGAGTATGAGTAAGAGTTTGGATTTGGCCGTGATTATTAGAAATAGAGGTATAAATGTGGCCGTGAGAATGAGAGTGGGCTTGAGTAGCGTGGGTAATAGAATTGGAATTAGCATTGGCGTCAAGGTTTCTCAGATTGGCTTCGCCGCCGTTGGAATTGCTGGTGCCGCTGCTGCTGGTGCTGCTGCTTCTTCTTCTGGTGGAATTGGAATTGGAGAAACGTGGTCCCAGCGTATCCGAATATGTCATCCCCGTTTCTTCTGTCCCCGTCTCCATCCCCATCCCCATCCCTCCTATCCCCATATTATTATTTTTCTTAGACCCTATTCCTGATCTTGACTCCGACCTCGACCCTCCTGTTTCTAATTCAAAACCCGACTCTTTGGATCTTGACTGCGATGTAGGAGCAATATCGTCACCACCACTACTATCATTATTAATGTCGCCACTCGAATTGGTTTTTATTGTATCGTCATTGTCGCGATCCCGAATATCGTCGGATTGTTGAAGTACAGTCGCATGAAACCCATTCGATGCCATCTTTCTTTTTTCTCTTTTTCCCTTCCTTTTTCTCTCAAACTCTCTCACTCACATAAGGTGCCTACGCGTTTAAACAACCTTCCGTACATTCGTACATTCGTATATTCGCGATTGTTGCACTTCCCACACAGTTTCCTTCCGAGGAGGGATCGGCGATTTGATTTCAAAAAAAAAGGATTTGTCTTATGTTCCTAACTCATCGTAACTTTAGTGCGACGTGGGTTAGACCGAGACGGAAGCGTCAATTCCTTCACATGTACTAACTATAGTTAGACAAATTGGATGAGAAGTGACTTTGACCTAAGTCAACAAGATAGAACAAGTGAGTATCAGTTGTCGCCTGACTATTTAATAGCCAACAATGATATTCCTCGTTGACAACTAGGAAGGATAGAAGAGTGTGGCGTGTGTGATTATGCTGTGACTATACGGAATCGAGGCAACCCCCCCAAACCGGTGACGTCGTAAACGTGAACAGCTATAAAGAAGTCGACCCTATGTACCTACGTATGTAGTAAAGACGTATTTAGGTAAAGAGGAGCTAAGGTATAAAAAAAAAGGTAAATGGCATGTATTTCGTCCAGGTACGACTTTTCTTTGTCGTAAAGAGTATGCGCAACGACGAAGGAGAACCACTTCCTAGAGATAAAAAAAAAAAAGGCCTTCAACAAGGGGGTAACTCTCCGGACTGGCAGTTAATTCCGTGGCGGTTCAAGCCGGTTGGGGTGAAACTCTGAATTTGGGGGGTAAGGTCAAATCATAACCGGTGATACATGCAGAATCGTTGAAGGTGGGCGTTACATGATAGGACTAGAGCTTATGGTGGTGGTGAATGCGACGACGCAGATCGATAGCGTGGAAGAAGATAGAAAAAAAAGAGGAACTAAGTACCTATATCGAATATATGACGATACTATAAAAACTAAAGGAATGGGATGTATATAGAAAAGGAAGATAAAATAAAAGAAAAAATAGGTGATAGTAGACAAGAAAGGAAACGCGGTGAGGGAAACGAGAAGTAAAAAAAACAAGAAGAGAGGGAAAGAGAGTAAAGTGTGGAAGAGAGAATATGCAGGTGGACTCGAGGTGAGTGAGGATGGCCAAAATGTGATGATGACTTCTTCTACCGTATTGAATTGTATGTATCGACAAGTACCTTTTTTTTTTAATCCGGTCAGGTCAAGTCAATACGTAGAGGTAAATACCCAATGAGGATGCGTTATAGGACTGTGGACATCATCGTGTATCGTGTACCTACCTCCTTCCATGGTATAATGGGATCGCATGGCATCGCATCGAAAATGGGGACATTGATTAGTCCGTTTTTGTAAACTGCCTACTGCAAAGCCCCAGTCTGGTCCTCCTGACAAGGCAACAACGACGGGACTTGGATGGGACTTGATGCTGTCACTGCCATTGCTAGTGCCCAAGACCCAGTGGCCACTTACTTTTCGCACATTCGCTCCTCCTCCGCGCATTTCTCACCTTCAAACTTAGGGCAGTAGCAACAGGGCAGCAGGGCAAAATGAGCATTAGTTTGGCAGCACGCAGCAGCAGCTACAACTCGCCAAGAAAGTCAGTGACGATCGATCCAGACGGGGGTCAGGCTGGGGGGGTATTAAAAAGCTAGACCAGGTCCAGACCCATATTCTAGTAATATTCTACCAGTCACAAGGTTCCCATGCGAAATCCGAGAAGAAGAATTCCTCCACACAAATTGTCCAAGCTCTTACTACCCCTGTCTCCCGCTCACCCAATTATACCAATTATAAACCCCTGTTCCCACTCTCGTCTCCGCACTACCTTCACTGGTTGTATTGTTATGTATTGCGACGCTGGAAGACCCAGACGGTAAATACCGCCAAGGCTGCAAATTCGAAGGATGTGCCTTATATACATTCCATACAAGAAAAAGAGAAGAAAGTGAAGATGATGATGATATAGCAAAAGTTTTATTAATAGTAATAATAGTTAAGTGATACATGAATGTTTAAGATAAATAGACAAATGTACATATGTAGCTTAGTCCTAACAAGGATATAGGTATCAAACTTTTCAGCTAGTCAAATGGGAAGAAGAATGCAGGTGGGGATAATTGAAAGAAGTTTGAGTTTTTTTGAGTCGCGCATCGTACGAATTTATTAGGTTCATTGGGAAGAAAAGAAGAGTACAGGGTTGTCATTTGCCATTTCCATTTTACAAGGTCTCCAAGTTCTTTCCAATCGATAAGGCGGACGAGCCACGAATCTCCGGTGCAGCCGCAATTTACAATACGTGCATACGACGCGATAACACACTAATCCATTTCGGGTTAAACGTGGATCCTATGCCAGGGGTGTTCTTCTCTTTCTTTCTTTCAGGCCGAACCAACTTCCTCCAACTCGTGGACCTTTACCAACATAACACGAAACAAGATCGATGCAAAGCCCTCCGTAATTGAGAAGATTTTTTTTCTCTCCCCAGAAAATCATCAGGCATATCGTTTCATGTACATCTCTACGATTATATCATGTATCATATTCCATACAATTATGTAGGTCTCGTGAGGCTATGCTATTGGATGATCCTATAAGCAAGTTTTACAGCTTCTACGCATTTCTTTATATTAATCACTGATTTTCAACCTAGAATATCGCTTCATACCCCCATTACTATACCATGAGGCCTGCAGCCACCATTGTGGATTAGGCTACCACACATTTTAACCAATACATTCTTCGCTTCGGAGTTTCCCGCCACCACGAAATAATATCCTCTCCAACTCAGCGAGGGGCGAGCAAGACATTTCCCATTTTCTCGATGAGAATTATTATCTCCGCTCCGTACTATTTTATTTTATTATGCGGGCGCACCGCCCACCTATCTTCGCTCGGCTCCTTTTGTCAATTAAATTCAGGATCCTCGTATCTTCCTAAACTGCTTACGAAGCCAAGTCCTAGGTAGGCACAGATAGACATAACCCCCAGATTACACGGCCAGGCATGAAAATACCATCAATTATTCGTAAGTAGTGCGAATAATAAGACAAATACATTTCATCATTATCTATCCTATCCCCACATAAAAATAAGAATTCCCTCCTATTTCCTTGGGGAAGAAGCGAAAAATCTCGCAAAGAAAAGGTAATTGTAGAGAACGAGCGACAAGAATAGAAGAAAAAGTATTCATCCGATCCGATCCCTTCCGACCCTTTCTTTGTACGTCCATCTCCGCTCTCAGATTTTTTTTTTCTCCAATGCCCCCTCTCCTCCTTTCCGGGTACTTAGCGATTAGTCCAATACGCGATGCAGAGCAGCGAAGAGAGAGTAGAACAGCCCAATCCAATTCATCTCATCTCATCAAACTACACGCCAACTCCGTCGCACACGCTCAACATGTCCATCACCCACGGTATGCGCCGTAGTAGCGTAGACATACGCCCCATCCGACGCCACGGATTGCGGGTAAGTAACCAGCGTCGTAGGAACCGGCGGTGGTGGTGACGCGGGATAAGAAACCGTTCCCGTTACTACACCAGTTGATGATGTTCCACCCACAACACCAGTCTCCGTAGTTCCAAGCGGGAAGCAAATCTCACTTCCACCGTAGCCCCCAGAAACACACGTACTCGCGGGTAGAGGAGTTGATAGCGTAGTCGCGGTCACGGCCTCGGTGCTGCCTGTTGAGTATGTATAGGTTGAGACTATTGGCGACGTGCCAATGCTAGGAATTGGCGCGCTGGTCGGGTAGTCAGGGGTTGGGGTTGGCGTGGGGTGTGTCTCAGTGCTTCCTTTTGATGATGAGAGCGTGCTGCTGCTAGTGTGCACTGAACTTGATGGGTGTGGGTGGGTTAATGTTGAAGTGCTGAGCTCTGGAGGTGGTATGGTTGGATATCCAGTCACCGAGAATGATGTGCTGCCAGTTTCGGCGCCTGTGCTTCCTGTCGAGTAGGTTGGGCTTGAAGGCACTAAGGGGGTTAGAGTTGATGTGCTGGTGAAGGTAAACGGCAAGGTTGTAGGATATCCGCCTGTTGAGGATCCAGGTTTTGAGTAGGTGCTACTAATTGAGCCAATGCTGTGAGTCGAAGTCGATGGCAGCACGGGGATGGTGTAGCAGATAGAAGTAAAGCCACCTCCGTAAGTTGGCTGCTGGATACATGTTGTGGATCCAGGACTGCTTGGCGTGGGAATAGGTGATGTAGATGTCTCAGAGTGAGTCGTTCCGGTAAATGATCCGGGATATCCAGGACTTGATGTGCTGAAAGTGCTTGTGCTACTTCCAGGGGGAGATACCGGATAGGACCCAGTGCCCGATGAGACCGGTGAAGTGCCTGTTACTGGAGAAGTCGACGAAATACCGCTGGTATAAGGAATAGATCCGCTATGACTCCATGATGAGGACGTTCCGTAGCTAGCAATTGGCGTGCTGAACTCTGGAGTACTTGACGTGCCTATGGTGACGGTGGTACTCCATGAGAACGAATTGCTGGTGCTAGGTACAATTGATGGGGAGGTCTTTGTATCAGTAAAACTAGAGTAGCTATATGTACTTGGGCTAGTTATTCCAGTGCCAATGGACCCTGTACTTGGTGACCCCTTAGGAACCGAGAACGATGACGTGGGATAGCCCCCAGTCCCAGTGCTCCATGTCGGAGATGGCGAGCTTGTGTAGGTGTGGGACCAAGTCCAGGAGTTAGAGCTAGTCGAGTTTGTATAAATACTTGACGTCGCCCCGCTGGAAGAATGCGGGATAGAAACGCTGTATGTGCTTGAGATGATTGGGACAATAAGTGTGGAAGTAGATATCGAACCCGGTGAAGAGGACCAACTGCTAACCGGATATGATGTGATGGATAGATTTCCAGTTGACCATGGGCCAGTGGTTGGGAACGTTGCTGATGTACCAGACAGCGTTGTTGACTCCGATGAATAGGTAATAGTTGAGCCGGGGCTGGTTGGTATAGAAATACTTGCGGTTGATGAACCAGACCCTGTCGGGTACTCATCGGTACTACAATAAATTAGTATATAATTTTATCATTAACAGTATTTACAAGAGGAACGTCTCCACATACCATGTGGTGTCTGGTGGGACAATTATCGACGAGCCTATACTTGACACAGTAGTACTATGAGGTGGAGACGAGTGCGTAAAGGTAGTGTCGGGAACGGTCTCAGTATACGTCGAACTTGGAGAGATGTATGGGATACTGGACGGTGAACTTTGAGTAAGAATTGTCGTTGCGCTATAGGTCAATGTCTCGCTGGTCGTAACGGTGGTGCTTGATATAATAGTTACGATAGTGTTGGTCGAGACACTATAAGACTCGACAGATGAAGGAGTTATAGGTGATGTTCCGAAGGTAGAAGTAGGATACGCAGGAAACGTCGAATGCGTCTCAGAGCATCCAGCATATACTGTCAGCGTCTTCGTGCTCGCGCTTGTGCAGTTACCGCCACAAACCGTTACCGTACTTATTACGGTGCTTGCTTCGAATTTCTGAGGGAAGGCATTGGTAAGGACACAGCTAATCAGATGTTAGTATAGATTGAGTACTAAACACGATTTGAGGGCCATACCCCAGGCCAAGAACGGCCAAGCCAGTGCTGGTGGTACGCATCCTAAAGATCTCGATATTGATATCAGGGGTAAAACGAGTGTGGGAGCCTCAACTTGGCAATAACCTTATGGAAAATAACACATGAAAACATCTGGGCTGGCTACACCTTAATATATAGACCTATATACAGAACAATATGACTTACACTGCATTATCGCGTTTACAAGACATCAATGTCGTTTTCGCCATATCATAACAGCATGGAATACTTGGTTAAGGGGTTTAGGTGGGTCGATATTCGTATACATCGGGACAGCCTTAGATCCATGCAGCATCCCGACGGAACCAAGCTTCATAGCATGGTTATCTGAAATTGAGACGATTTTATGTACCTAGGTATTCTACTTAAGCGTTCGTTTACCAGCCATCGTAGCACAAAGCTCAACGATCTTCATCAGATTCATCACTGCTTTAAGACAAGAAACCTCAAACACTATGGCTCTCGAGCGGTTCTTTTAAACTATTGGGCGGTGCTTAATTACCATATGTCTTACGAGCACGTTGTTCGATAGTAGACACAAGGTTATTCGTGGTTTCTCAATAGCAGAGACAATATTAGAATTCGCTTGCAGTGTACAACATCGTGGGGCTTCGGGACGGATCCGGCAACTAAACAACATTATCACGGTTGACTACTCCTAAAATTTATGAGATATTCCTCATTATGGTGATTGCCGATAACCCGATCGCTTAAGATTAATTAACATATCGTTTGCTCAACAAGACGTAGGTTGTCTATGAACTTGTATACCCTAACATCCGTAGCAAACAGCATCGGTCCAGCATCTGGACCGGATCTTGTTCAACGTTAAGTCATATATTAGCCCCCTGGCATCCAAGTTATATCAATTCAAGATTTTGAGCGGGTATAGATGTAAAGGTCCGTTGCACCAAGCACCAAGTTTATGCGGAGTTACGGTGTTTGAAAGCTATCTCGTCTACGGTAACTAGAGCATAGAATATTCCCTAGGTGGTCTAGGCAGCTGTTGTCACTCTTAATATGTTGGTAACACTTGTGGGTTGTGTATCACCAATGATGCAGTCATTCCCTACGAATTTTCTTAGATGAGCTGATCGACAGCAGCGGGAAAGTTACTTCGTTCGTAATTTAACGTGCCTTGCAGCTGCTGAAGCTGCAGGTTACCGATGCCGTCCGACAAGTCACTGTGATACGGATGCATTGGGCGATCAAATCGGTTGAGAAGGCACGTTTACGACGGAGAATTGGGAGGTAGCGTTCAAAAGCAATTGCGGATAACGGGTTGATACTCCATATTATATAACGTCATGGTATCGTGCATATGTCGAGGATTCATGGTAAGACACCGGTAGCAAACCGGCCGTTGGTTGAGTACATGAGTAATATTTGGTAGGTGTTTAGGCGGGTAGTCAAAAGCAATAAGGGTTTAATTCACGGGGCAAAGGGAAGCTGCTTGCCGTAGATCTACGCTTCAGACATAGAAACTTCCGAGCCGCCAACGATGTCGACACCCGAAGCACACCTGGCTCGACTGCGTTTGTATGCGTTTGAACAAGTACTTAGGTACATATGCTGGCTCACCGGTGAGTAGGTTTAGTTACGGGTAGACAACCTTAGAACCTTTTCATCGGCCGAGACCCTATACCCCTGTTATGTGTTGGTCAAAATGATGTATTTGAGGTTGGTTACCACCAATTAAAGACTAGGATTGATCCCAGCAGCGATAAATTCGCCTCAAAATGTCTCTCTACCTTGTTTACTTGAATGGGAGTGGGATCGTATACGAACGAGCCTAAGGTGCCTTTAGAATTTGTGCGAAGAACCGTGTGACTTTGACACAACATTCAATGTCACATAAATCCGTACTCCGAAGAACAATATTAGGTAGAGATTCGCTCGTGGTCAGCTTGCTAGAAGGTTATTCTGTGTCGAATACTGATAGGTATGGACGATAGGTCTTTTGTAGGGACGCCTTATGGATTGCTTGGCACCTCGTGCCGAAAGCATGGAAGCTATTAGATGACACGGCATACGACCTAAAAATCGGCGAGCTGAGCGAAGCTTGATGCACGGAATAGATGCCTGCATACATCGGGGACATGGGCGTAGCTATCAAATACTAGCCTAATGATGGCTCCATGCATAGCGGCGGCTACGTGCCTACCGAGCCACATGTTGAGTCATGGCGGACGCATAGAAAAGCGGGAAGCAACAGTACATCGTTGCGGGGGATCGTCTATCGCAAACAGTAATTTCGTCGGGGTATGTACCTAGGTAAAGAAAGATCCCACGATGGTGAAACTGACCTCGGAGAATGAAGAGATGGTAATGCAGTTGTACATTACCTGGAAGCAGGTACGGAAGGGTAGGCTTGGACTCGTTCGAGATTCTTACTCGTAGTTAACCAGAGGATTGCCCGAGTCTTTCGCAAGCTAAGGTACGATCTTTCGTATTATACCCGATTGGCTATATACCTATGACTCATCCTTCAATCCTTGTTGTAGTTGTTTTCGATGCGGCGCGGCATTTATCAGTGTAGTAAGGCTAGGGATCTTCGCTTGACTTCAGACAATCGCGCGTAGGCAGGTAAACATCGTGGACTCCGGAAGACCCGGCAGTCGTGGAATTGAAAAACATTGAGGCAGAGGCATGCCAAGTCCCTTAGACTCGAGTTCTAAGATATGACTATTAAAACGATTCGGCAATCGAGATTGATTTGTATTCATTGAATTGCTAGTGTTAAAGATAGGGGAAAGGAGGCCATTCTTCAAGGAGAGGAATTTGGGTTCAGGGGCCATGAACTGGTAGAGTTGAAGGGCTGTTGCTTTTATCCCTCACCGACCACCTTTCTAAAGGGACTTCCGATGTGCTGTGCGACGATAGCTGCCTGTGTAAGTAGGTACTAGGTAGGTACCACTATGCTAGGCCTTAGGGGAATCTCCCCGTTGGCCCGTGTGTAGAAACCGGTCGAATGACCAACATATAGCACCACGTAGTCGCAGAGATATTGACCTTAGACAGCATGCTTATGGATCAACTCAAAGTCCGATATGAGGTTCGATTATACGTCGAATTTCAGCTTTCGGTCGATCATGAGGCATTTGAATAAACCAATAGTGTATGGGAAGATGCCGGAGCGACAGCCGCGGAGACGCAGTTCAATTTCCACCATTCCTCACGAGCTATCGAGCTGGCTTTTCAATCACAATAATATTATCACGCCGAGAATTCTTGGGACCTTACTGTAATAGACGATCTTCTATTGCGTGAGACAAATTGAAGCTGGTGGAGATGTAGGAGAGCCTGAGAGGCGCAATATTCTTGGGTGGCGTATAGTAGCGCATGTCGGTATAAGACAGACCATTCTCAAGGGCGCTCGAAGTCTGTCGATCATCATGAACAGCCATTCCTCTGCGGGGTGAAGACAGACAACTATTGACGGTTGATTGCGACGATGGCGTCGCAGGGCGTAAAAGTAAAGAGGTGTCGGATAGCAAGGAACACGCAGCCAGAATTTCAATATATAAGTCTGGTCGTCAACCGTACCTACTCATCTTTTCGCAGCATCATCAGCATCACAAAAACCAAAAAAACCAAAGCACTCTCTCACAACACACATTCGTTTAAACAACATCATCTCATCAACACTCGCTTCAGCAACATATTCACTCATTTTTCAAACTCACCAACAAAACCAACCAAACGTTCAACATGCAGTTCACCATCGTTGCCGCTCTTACCTTCGCCCTCGGCGCCCTTGGAGCTCCCCAGCTCGGTGGTCCCCCCAACACCAACCGCATCCCTCCCGTTCCCGGTGATGTCACTGTCGGCCAGGCCGGTGACACTTGCGGTTCCGACTTGGACCTCAGCTGCTGTGACAAGGTCGACCAGTCCGGTGACGCCATCAACGAGGCTAGCGGTCTCCTCGCCGGTCTCTTGGAAGGTGGTCTCGAGAATGGGGAGCTTGGCCTGTTCGATGGCTGCTCTAAGTTGAACATTGCTGCTGGTAAGCTTATCCTTGTTCCATCATCCTATCTTCGGTTTACTGACACATGTAACAGTCATCGGTCTCAGCGACTTTTTGGAAAGCCAGTGCAAGCAAACCCCAGCTTGCTGCCAGCACTCTGGTATGGAGCAGGTAAGACATCAATACACCCTCAACGCTTTCCACACTTACGCTAACGATTAAGGAGGACGGTCTTCTCAACGTCGGACTCCCTTGCGTTGCCCTTGGCAGCGTCTTGTAAATGCCAGCCTCGTTTCAATACGACTCGCATAACTGGAGCATAGCATTAGGGGATATGAGATATGTTGGGATGTAATGTTGGGGAGAGTGCCAAATTGTATTGTTTAGCCTGATTTCAGTGATTTAGTAATTCCAACTTCAGTCGCTCGTTAACCAAGCCGTCTTTACTCATCTGTGATTTGATATTTTCAACATGTTCCAAAGTCTCTGCCGCTCTTTTTTTCTTTTTTCCTCGCTTGTCGCATGCTTGACCTCCAGCAATCATGCACTTCTCTCCATCCGTCACCACGCTGCCCCGCAACGCTCCGTGTAATCCATCACACCCGTACTACCTGATTTTTCCTATCGTCTCAATCCCGAATTCCGATCCGTGTAAGACACTGCTCGCAGAGCACTGCCGGATTGTATTTATATATCGTGAAGCCGGGTTTCCTTGGCTCTAACGAAATCAAAAGTTTCCATCCCACATGGTATCATACCTAACGCCAAAATTGGATATCAATTATATCATAATGATCGTAAAGTCGTACTGGATCAAGTAGCGCCTTGTCCAAGTTTTATCTCGTTTTTTTTAAAAAAAAAAAATCTAGAATATCAATGTCCCTTCGCGGTAACGGCATCAACTGCCAATTGTTTGACGCGACCAGAGTAGAGTTTCATTACGTGGCATACGGGGTCGCCCCATATTTGACCTCTTAGCTGCTCATCGGAAGCCCTCTGCGCGATGACCCCTTCGCTTAATCGTTTTTCGACGGTTTTCGTTCGTCTGAATTTCGGGTTCAGATCTCCGGACCTCAGCACCACAATTTCTCCTGCATTGCTTAAAGAGCTTTCCGGAACCTTCCATATTGGACCTGAGGGCTTTGGTTTGCTTGACTTCGAAGATGAGTGGGATGATGAGCGGCTGGACTTCGCAGACGTCTTTGACGTTTTCGAAGTAAGAGATGTACTGGAATGATTACCATGAGTTTTACTATGTTTTGAAGATGACCCTTTCGAGGGAGGAGGTTTGGTGGGCGGCCCTTTGCTATCGGTTGGGGCTGGGGCAACGAAAAGTTCGAGGAGGCTTTTGACATAGGCTTTATCGGCTCTCGCAACAGGATCCCCTTCATTAATGAAGCTTAAAAATGTAGAATTTCTGAATCTGGATTTCGTAGGGGTTTGTAAAGGCGATAATGAAACGGGTGGCGCCCCGAATGTGATGCAGTGTATTTTCTGAAAGCAATTCCTGAGATGATTAAGCTCTGACGACGCTGTCGTAGACGTGGATAGCATATGTGCATATAGAAGTGCGGCGATTGCACCTCCAGCAGAATGCCCTGTAAGCAGAAGTGAGTAGGATTCACATTTTCGTTGCGAATCCTCTTCTAGAAATTGACGGAGTCTGGCGGCAATTTGGGGGATCATCTTGCGTGCTACAGACAGGAAGCCTGCATGGCATAGATTATTTTCATCATCCTAATTCAATTAGACAACTAGGTCAGACGTGACGAGCATCATTCTGCTTACAAGGAATCCGGTAGGAGCTGTTGGGTTGGTATTCAGATTCACGGACCAATCCATAAATGTTGCTGTTCCTCGAATGGCGAAGACAATGGTGTTCATATCATCTATTGGAACTGTCTTGATACGCATCGCTTTGGCACCGGTCCTCCAATCAGCATCAACGTGAAAATCACGCTCGTCCCCTCGTGGACTCTCGTATACCCTTTCTGAGTACTTCGCCGCCAGACATATGAGAGGGTATTTATGGATAGATCTAATTAATGTCAATAGAAGTTATATGGTAAGTCAGTACCAAAAGTTACTTACATATTAGCAGAGGATAGGTTGAGCGGCAGCTTTGAATTTGCATATAGCTCTACCTTGGCGAAATGACCTCGAGATGCAAGTGACGAAGCAATTGCGGCCGCCTGTCCTTTCGACGTTTCCTTTTTATTACTCTTCTTTGCATGTCCCTTAGGTAGGATGACCTGTTGCTGGAGTTCACTTGGTGGGGTGGGTGTTGAATTGGGTTGATAAACGAATAAGTCATTCTCGTCGCCAATGTATTTGTCCCGGTCAATTAACGTCATCACGTTGTTGAAGTTGCTATAGATTTGGTCGAACATCGCGGCACTCTGGTTGAGTAGCTGAGTGCCATAGGCATGCCACGGAGGGAGTCCATCATTCAGTACCTGGTGTGCTATGTTTCCGGGAATCAAATCATTTGCTAAATTAGCAACAGGTCCAAGCTTGAGTCGGCTAGCCGCACAGGCACCATTGCTATAAGGATAAGGTGCCGCCAATGAATGGGGTGGATGAGCGTTGGATGGGCCATAGTAGTATTGATTTACGACAATAGGTGCATATTGTTGCTGGTTGTGTGAATTATGGTACTGAGGTGGTGAGGTTGAACTAAGAGGCAGCGTGTTGTTCCAAGTAGATGGCGGAGGATGTAAATAGCCAGCGGGTTTCCCAGGGCCGACGGTTTGGCGTGGTCTGTCATGAGGATTCCATTGCTGTGGTACTTGTGACTGTGACGGAGCTGGTATGGATTTGTCGATCATGTATTGAGGGTTCTCCGGCGACTGCTTCTTCTTGGATCGGGTGAAGAATCCCATGTTGATTCACTATCGACTAACCTATATTCGACATATAGGTGGTACCTAGGTATGCGCTAGGAATTCTACAAAGGTGCTATAAAGCCAATGGGCGTGTTCATCGACATATGGTATTTTCAGCTCTTGGAATCTAGATATTGGGATATGAAACACAGAATTTCGGGAAACAGAAAGAAAACTAGATAGACTCCTAGAGCCAGAGTCGGACGGGCAAAGGAGAAAAAATGACAAGAAATCAATGTAGTTCTTGTTAAATGTGTCACAGCATTGGATCAGCCCATCATCAATATTCTACCTACTTACACAATAACCATCCCGAGTTAAGCCAAGGCCAATGGAGGATATCGAAGCTGGTGTGCTTTCACAGCGGGTATGCCTTGCCGTATATAGAACACCGATCCTGGAATATAGCATCTCTGAATGTTGATTCGCTGACAGATAATCGCTCAGCCCCAATCATTCTATCGGGGATGTGGTGACTGTCCTCCATCGAGGCAGGTTCGGTAAAACAGCAGACGAACCATAGGCTTTAGATATAGACTTATGCAGGTAACCTTGCAGGTTTGCCATGTGAATGGTCCCCGCAAAGTGTTCTGGGGCATATTATCGCGGCTTTAGTAGAGAGCCTAGAGCTCTAGATGCTTAGCTTTGGTCGCTTTGGCGATGCTTCGACCTCGGATTTCCTATTATCTCTAAGAGTCAGAGCTCCATGCATAATGCATACTGCAGTTAACCGCCGGTGACGGAGAGGTCTTATTAGTGAATTTCAAAGTCTTAGATGTGAAGATAAGAAGCATAATGTCTATATACCGGGAAGGTAATATTGAAATGGATGGTAACGCCGGATTTGACTTAGATAGTTACTGTGGACTTGTGGGATTGGGTGGCAAAAAAAAGAAAAAGAAAGTGGAACAGTTTAAAAATCACCACTTTGGAGAAATCCGCCCTGAATGGGTAACACTAAGCATCCAATGTGGGGGCTTATGTAACGCCTACGCTAACTCATCGGTCTGATCGGTCTAAATCTTAAGCCACCGAGGAGATTGGGAAAGCCACAGAGAGAAATAACTCAAGCCTCTTTTGAATTATGTACATGGGTACTTAGATACCTGACTACGATACAGTAACATGGATACCCCTGTCCGCCGCATCATGCAGAAACATCTAAGGCCTCGGATTAGGAGGGATGGTTATGCGACCTGATTTGGACAGCTCAATATCGATTTGAGTTTGAGTGCACATATTGATTGATACATCCAATACATTCCATAGATACATTGGGTATACTTAGTTTCTTACAACAACCATTTTAAAAGAGATGTCTTTCGAGATATCATGGACTTTGTTAGTTTTTATTCCACTCTTTCCCCTCCTGCGGTGTGTATTGCTGCCAATACTAACCCTAGAATGTAGTGGTCGCGTCTCATAGCAAATACCCGGCTGTCTTCGGGTAGCTCCAGCAAGGATGCTGCACGGGATCCCATAAGGCGCCGCCAACGTTACGAGAAAGAATATGGCCAACTCTTGGTTAGTCTTACTATTATCTCTCTTCTAAGAGTGTCGCTAATCTAACCAACTGCCTAGCACATATGGCGAAATTGTTCAAATCTTGTACGAGACGAAGATGCCGCCGAAAATATCGAACTACGCCTTCAAGGGCTCACGAACATTCTCGCCGACGAATCTCGACGACCACTACCTCATCCATGCATATCCTTCTCTGCCACGAAACAGATATACGTCCCGATCGCGAAGATAGCGACAACTTCATATAACGAGTGGATAATCAAAGAGGCGGTGCTGTTTTTCGCTACTCTTATTGAGAGCGAGGAAGAAGCCTTTGTAGAAAGCGACGCGTTTTCAGCTAGCTTGACCAACCTTCTCGTTCGTATCACAGGCGCCAACAGCATTCGATTAGGTCCCGACACAGAAGTCAAGGTTGTCGAACTAGCCTTCAATATCACCACCAAGATCCGACTCGAACCCCACATCCTCTCAGTTTGGTTTAAATCACACCCCGAAAGCCATGCAAGCAATGAGAAGGCGAAAGATCAAAGGGAGAAGTTTGCCGGGAGAACACAAAAACAGGATTTCCCCTTATTCTACCTGCTGATGGACTATATACATCATGAAGGGAAGATTGGTGACTTTGCCAGAACTGGTTTACTATATATCATTGAGGCTGCTTCCTCTTCCGTGGCCCTTGAACAGTGGATAGTGGAAAGTGATCTTTCGACCTTGATGGCTACCGGGCTTGGTGCTTTATATAGCCAACTGAGTCGAAAGCTTGTCATTGATCACCCACCAGAGAATCTGCCGCCGATTCTTGCCCTGTCCGACTATCAACACCCGACCTCCACCTTTGAGATTGTTAGTTCTTGCAGCCCGGATTTTCAGCTGCACTTAGAAACATTCCTTTCGCATTTGTTATTCTGGCAAGATGTTCTTAACCACTGTCGTTCAGTGGAAGTCAAATCAACACTCCTCGAGCATTTTCAAGTTATTTTCTTACAACAGTTATTGTGAGCATGAAGTATAACCCCGCTCGGTTAATATGCTAACCCCTGAAAGATACCCTTCTCTCTTAGAGTCCTCAGATGTCGATGGCGGCTCTTCAGTTGCCGTCCTAACGTATCTTCGTCGCATATTAGAAGCATTAGACCACCCCGATATGATCAATCTTATTCTTCACTACCTTCTGGCTCTGCCCGATACAGAGTCCTCAGCTCCGTCCGATACCGAACCATCCATCAGCGCCGCACGAAAACGAAAGTCTATGGATCTTGCTACAATGATGTCCTCCAAGGTTGAATCCAGCTATACCCCCCTCCTTTTTAATCTGGTTGATTTAATTCATTCTTGTCTCAAATCGCGGAACCAGCAGACAGTATGCGTGACGCTTCAACTTGTAGCGGCAATCCTTAAGAGGCATCATCGCTACGCAACTACAACTTTACTTCGTACCGAAATTATCGATAGCAATGCTTCTCGTAGAACTGTGGGTGCACATCAACAGGAAGTCGAATTCCTCACTGCCTTAGCTGGATCTGTTGGTGGGCAAGACAACTTCGATGAGATTTACGACAATATCTTGAAAGATAGTATGACGCGTGTGGAAGGCCACCCTTGTTCTCTAAAGCTTGTCGCGCCAAAAATCTCAACGAATAACCATAAGCTGCCGGCGATTCCTGATAGCCTACCTGGAGCACCCCAGGATGTTCCGCCACATACTCTAAGTGTTGATGATCCGCTCTTCAACAGCATTCTAGATCTTCTCGAGAACTTCTTTATGAACCCTGTCGATATGAATCTCTCGGCTACTGAGACTATCATTGATCTAGCAGTGTGCGGATATATATCCGTGGAAGGATGGCTTCTCCGCCATCCGAAGCAGTATTCGTACAATGAAGATACGGATGAACCTGCATCTCCGCCTTTGGACCCCGAGTCACCCTTATTCACCGATTTTGAAAAATTGAGAGCGATTATGAAATGTCGTCGTCGGCCTCTCTGGCAATCATCAGCTCTACCTCGAGCATTATCTGTTTTGGAGTCTCTTGCTGATCAAGTCGACTATCTTAAAAGTTCTGTGCCAAGGTTCGACGAACTTTTACAACAGCGCCGAGAAGCGTTTCAAACTGCCGATGCCGTCGTACTAAACCCACCTAGCATGCGGCCGGGTTCTACCACAGGCGCTTCACTACCGGATCAAACCAGCCAAGAGGGTTCCCGTGCAGAGTCGCCAGCTCGACCTAGTGCCCTTGAAGGTTTCCAGAGGATGTTGTCCGAACTTGGGACCCCTAGTAGATCAGGAAGCCCTCGTGGAAGGAAGGAATCTATCCGTTCCAATACTGGGTCGGGAGCGCCGGGTGGGTACGGATTCACATCACCTACCCCTAAGTCTGTACCTCCCCATCCACCTAAAGAATTTCCCCTGAATTACGAAAGTCCAAGTAAAAGTGGACTGGGCCGGTCATTCTCACCTGGAAGCCACCATTCTGGTCGGGATAGCCCTGTAGCTAGCCAAGCTGCTGCATTTGCGGCGGTTGACCAAGGAATACTGGCTCGACAAGTCAGTCTACCGGCGCAAAAGATTGAGGCAATTCCGTTAAACTTCGAAAGGAAACAGGGAAGCAATTCAACAGAAATTAACGAAGTAGAAAATGAGGAAAGCGAGAATAAGTTGGCGACGGAAGGGCAGGACCAAGAAGACGAAAGCGAAATTGTGGATCAATCTATTGTCCCAACGCCGCCCGAAACACCATCGGAAGCCAAGACGGCTTCGGTCTCGCATATTCTTACCAATGTTATTATCTATCAACAATTCTTGCTAGAATTGGCAAGTCTAGTACAAGTTCGGGCAGGGCTCTTTAACGAGGTTAAGTTTGCTTAGGGAGGGTTAGGTTAGGTGATTGATAGGTATACGTGGCTGTCACGGGTGATGGCGATCGTGTCGAGCTTACGTTCTTGGAGCATCAAGGATACCATATTTTCATTGGCGCCAGAGATCGCGCCTCGCAGGAATCGAGTGGGAGACGACTTTGGGGTGAAGTGAAGCTATGCTTGCATGTTACGGGTTCACGACGTACATTTAAGGAGTAGGAAGGAGACAAGACAGAATGCGACTGTCTGCTTCACGGACATTATCATCCAAATTCTTTCATGATAGATACCATTTATTATTTCCATTTCTTTTCTATCCCTGTGACACTGCTACTATGCTACATACAGGATCTCAGAAGGTACCTCCGCGGGTATGCGCCTTCAAAGGTTGCCAAGCGTTCATCAAAGTGCAGGACAGGATCGTGAACTCTGGTGTATGGTCTCGTTTCGCCACGGGAATCAAGGAGTCTGTTCAGGTAGCTGTGGATTCGCGTTGACGGTCTCGTTCTCTACAGGCCTCAAGAGCTTGGCGGCGTATCGGTTCTACTCCGCACAAAAACGCAGTGATCAGTGTACAATGTCCGTCAATGTAGCATTCCTCAATGTCAGCACCCAACTCGACGAGCCATTCGAACATCTTGCGTTGCCTATCGAGGAGGGCGCGTATCTCGAACGGAAGCATGACGCATGCTTGGATGGGGAAAGGAACACCGGGATATGGACGGTCGGGCCTGAGCTTTGCTCCGGCATTGAGAAGCGTGGCTGCGTGGGCGTACCTGTATCGCTGGAGCGCGAAGGTAAGGGGGAGAAGACCGTTAGCCTCGTGGTTAATATCGGCGCCAAGACTGATTAGCTTCTTAAGCATGAGGATACCCTTGAATTCCGTGGTCGCTGGGTCTTCACCGGTCTTGTACTCCGGTATCGCGCGATATAAAGGGCTCTTGTTCTCCCAATATTGTACGTTGACGGATATTCCTTTCTCGAGCACAAGGTACTCTACCAATTGAAACATGTCAACTACCACTGCGAGGTGGAGGGCTGAGTCGTAGACCATAGGCTCCGGAAAGGTGTATGCGAGGAGAGTATTGGCACCTCGGCGGATCAGGAGCATCGCGATGTCCTTGTGCCCGAAGCCAATTGCCATTCCCAGATCTGACGTGTTATCGTCAGTGACGGTGCCCAACTCTTTGTCCTCATACTTCTCCGCTAATTCATCCCTTGCAAACCCCTGGTTGAGCGCCCATTCAATAATGTCGTAATGGCCAAGAATGCTGGCCTCAGTCATTAAATCTTGCCAATTCCACCAAAATCTCAGCGCCTCTGCTTCGTGAGCAATTCTCAGGACATTTACATTGTTATGACGGAGCGCGTAATGCAGAAAGTCGGGCCGGCCGTGTGTTTCACTCTCACGTTGATAGAGAATCGGGTTGACGTATTTGTGTACGTCTTGATTGACATAAGACAAGTTTGCGAGATCTCTTACGCTCAGGACGTAGGCCTGCTTCTGCGGATCCCAAGACGTTGCAATCCATTCGACTATTTCTTGTATGAATTCGTCCGAAAGCGTTTCGAAAAGGTCGGTTAGGCTGAACATCGTGATAGAAGTTGACTGTGGTATTTCTTGGGAACTGTGAGATCCTAGTCAGCGAAGAAATAAATGGTGGAAATGTTTTTTTTTTTTCTTACCGATGAGCATGATCAAGGAGACGAATATGCGTGGGCTTCTAGTGTGAAATGTGAGGGAATACCAATAAGAAACAAGAGAATCGTATTTCGATGAAGGAATTGATAGTCAGAATTAAAAAATCAAACCCGATGATCTTAGAATGCGTCGACTCGAGTTCCAAGACTGATGTTGCAGGCAAGGGAAGACCAAGACTTCCCGGAGGATGGGCTCTGATGGTTGAGGGATGCCCGGAGCGAATGAAACTTCCTCAGGGTGAGTAGAGATATGAGAGAAGAGTCAAAAAGGATTGGAAAATTGATGGACCAGAGTCCCCGAGTGTGGGGCCGTGTTGAATTGTTCGCGATGGTTTAAAATACGGGACCAACGGGGGGAAGGAGGGAAGAACACACACACTTCCCCCGTCATACTAAACCCCGGTCAAATCAAGTAAAAAAATATCTGTATACCTACCTGTTAGGTGCGTATTTGACAGTGTAAGTGGGTTAATCCATGCATATACAAAGTTCGGGGGGTATCTAGTTACTCATCCTTCAAGAAATGAAGGCCTGCCGAGCCAATTACTCCTAACCTGCTAGACCACCGCGTAGCAGCCAACCTATCTGCCTACCTACCTATCTCACAGATACCCAGATGAGTATGTACCTATGCAGTTAATATGTACTTGAGTCAATCCTATTGTAACTGCTCCTAGTTCCTACCTAAGTACTTACGCGTTGGCCTCCCTAGATAGGTACCTCCCTGTTGAATATCTGAAATAACAAGCATCTACAAATTTTCAATTGGCAAAATTTATTTAACCACCGAGTCAAGCTGGAAATTAGAATACACAATTATCTTGGAAATTGCAGATTGAATTGATCGATCCCCTGAAGCTATCTTCTGGTGCTATACTTCATATCGTGATCTGAGTGGAGACTAATGCTGTAAACGCTTTAACTCGGGAAACATGAACCAGCAACCTCGCCGGGAAGCGACATTACCATTGACCCTTACTACCACGGTGGCCCCTAGTTCTTACTCTCAATCGAACCAAGCTCCGCAAGTCCCTTAAGGGCTTCACGAGCCTCATCCCAAGACGAGTCCCCATAAAGCGCCGTCCTGAGGTAAGCCAAAGTCACTCTCTGAACCGAAGCCAATCGCTCAGGACCCTCATCCTGCGTCTCCTTCCCATCCCACCCACTAATACCCCCAAGACCATGCTTTCCCCCCTTAACCCAAAACAAGTCCTTAGGACCCGAGGAGAGGTAGTAACAATCCGCATGCCAATCCGCACCACGCGAGGTTAAATGCGGGCTCACATCTTCGTCTCCGCATACAATAAGCGCCGGTGTAGCCATTGTGCTAAAGTCAGGTCCGTAAAAAGGTACCATTTTATGTCCGAATTCCGACAGCTCATCGCCTGCTTTCCCGGTACCGGTGAGTATGATACCAACCTTGACGCGCTTGTCGAGTTTATCTGTCACTGTCCCGAAGCGCGGGTCGGTGTTCTGAGCGCCTAAAAGCATGGATGCAGTCCATGCGCCGAGCGAGTGCCCGGCAACCGCAACTTTGTTGCTATCCCACCTTCCCTTAAGTCCGGGGACCGCTGCTTCGATAATATCGAGTCTGTCGAGGATTCTTGTGATATCGTCGGCGCGGTCTTGCCAGTAGTATTCCTGGCCCGGCGGGGCTTGAAGCTTGAGGGACATGGAGGATAAGTGGGTAGGTTGGATAACTACGAAGCCGTGCGCGGCCCAGAATTCTGCAAGAGGGGTGTATCCCTCGAGGGAGTTGAGGTGGTTGCTCATGCCCTGCCCATGGGAAATAATGACGATGGGGAGACTAGTTCCAGTTGCGGGAGCTGTGACTTTGACGTCTAGGTCGACGGGGCGGCCTGGAATGGACAGAACGAGAGGGCTGTAAGTATATACGGGAGTTTGAGGGCCAAGGGGGATTTTCTTCGCGGCCCCGGCGCTAGCGTGTTCGTTAGATCGCATGATGACTGTAGAGGTGATTTAACGATTTAATGGGTTTCTAGTAATTGTTTGATTCTTATTTGTTCTGCTTGATGCATTTCAACTAGATCTCTATTCAGCGATTACAGCAACTATATATATACACGAAAGAAAGGAAACAGAAAACGGTCTTAACAATGGATTTAAGAGGACTTAGGAAATTCTTCGCAGTCAATTGTCCGGCGTCTGGGTTTCGATGCTACTTATAGTGATGCAATGATTTCGGTGACGTTGAAACCATGAAGGATGCTTACGTAGCTACGGAAAACATCAAGAAGTTAACTCCCCCCGGCTTTATCGGACAGTCGGACTGGACCTGAAAGTAATCCTCCACATTATGCCGACCATCTCATAGAAGATGTAACCCTGGTCTAGCGCTGAGCTAGGGCCAGTGCCAAGAGATTAACAGGGTGTTCATAGCATTCTTCGTCGATTGGTTCCAAACAAAATATTTAAATACCTAAATAAATATTGACATTCAAGAGTCACGATCGAAGACGACCAATTTGAAAATCGCAAATACTGGATTACCTAAGCTATTTGAATAGGGGTAAAAGGGGGTGGCTTGATTATATAACCAATGCTTGCTTACGTTATTCACTTCCAATCAAGTTAAGTAATGTATTGTTAGTTAAGCATCTGATTACTTAGGCACCTTAGGTAAATATTTTTAGTCTTATATAATGTGAGACATGCCCGATGCCTTGAAAATTTGCCAATGGCGGACTGTATTGTTTTTCGGGTTCTCAAGTACCTATGTAGACAGCTTTTAGGCCGGTAGGTAAGCGTTATAATTTGGTGAGCCAGACGCAATTACGTGTCGCCCGTTCCCTAAGACTGGTCAGCCGGAGTTGAGACCTCGTAATGAAGCCAACATCTTATAAATCCGTACTACACAGCGTAAAACAAAACCTATCAGAAAGGGACATTCTATTACTACATCGCACGATCATGCCTGTAATGTCCGAAGTACAAAAAAGGAAAAAAAAATAAGAAAAAAATGTACGCGTGTGGCTGTAAGCATCTTCTATTTAGCCGGCATAAGGTCCCAGCATACACGAGCACCTAAATAAAGAAATTGTGTGTTACTGCAGATAAATAAGAAGGCCTCGAACATGTCATTACCACGTTGTTATTTAACGTTACTTGCGTGGATGTTTTCTCGGACGTGTGTTACCTTCATTTGGCCTCGGAGACGGATCCCTTACATCTGAGGTATCCGGAACGACCGCTAGTTAAATATCATGGTCCCCTCCGATCTTTGGTGGTAAGAATAGGATTAATCTAAATCATTCCGACCAGATTGTTACTTCACAAGATGAAGTTCCGTAACTCACTTCTGATTTTTCTCTCTGGCTTGTTGTCGCAAGCCGGCACCGTGCTTTCGGAGGACCCTCCTCTACCTCCATGGTACCCGCTGAAGCCATGGGAGATCAGCTCGCTCCGCGCGCATAATCCCCGTAATGGACCATACGGCACCAACGCCACTGGCCTAGAAATCACAATCTCGAATCCCTACTATATCGCCGCCGGCCCTGCGCCTCATGCATCAGGTGGCGGCTACATCCAATTTGAGAAAAGCGTGGCCAACTGCGATGTGCATTGGAAGGTAGACGACCGGACGCCATACGGACATCTCCAGGACACATGCGCGGCGGAAGCGTCCGGGTCGACGCAAGCACAGTGGAATATAACGATCAACGAGATCCAGGATATAGGAGAGCACTACATTAGTCTTTCTTTCTCGTTGACTTATCATCTACACGCTTATGGCAGCGATTATTATAAGATGATGTCGGGATCGATCTTTGCGCAGGTTGGAGATAATTTAGAGGGAGGATGTGATGAGAATGATTATTGTTCGTATACTATCAAGAATGGAAGCGCGCCGCTTTTGATACAACCGACCTTGCAGGAATGCAGATATGCGTGTGGATAGTCTATCGGATTGAAATAAAAGACTAGATTATATCTGCGATGGATTTATCTTAATAGTATTATTGTGCCAAGAGTGAGGAGTACCAACCTTCCCCTTTTTTACAATCATGAAATGCCGTAATATATCTCCGTATCTCCAACAATTATCTCCAACAATCGTATCGTCCCTACCTAGGTAGTTCGGGGTAGACTAGGGCGATATACTAAGAGCTAAATAGATAAGTTGACAAAGGGAACCCGGAATTGCCCCTGGTCATGATAATCACGAGCGGGGTTAGCCGTAGATAAGAGAAGTCAGCTATATCGGTGAGGGGATCACCAGGAATACACCAACCGGGTAACCTAGGTAGAAATAATATGTAAGGATACCCCAAGATTTATTCAGAAATGGAAATCTTCTTTCCTGTTCCTACTTTAAGTATTTCAACGTCATATGAGTGCGGTGCAGGATGAATGTCAACCGATTGGCTTTCGCGCAACGCCATGAGCGGACGCCAGAGGAACGCGATCTCGTTCGGAGGTTAGATATCTTCCTTATGACTTTTGGATGTGTATCTCAAGGTTAGTAATTATCCGTATGATATACCTGCTAAAATGACAAAGCGCTAACATTAAAATTCATCTTAGTTATCAAGTGTATGTTTGTCATATGATTACCTCTCCATGGGGGGGATGGAATTAGGTATCAGTGCCCTAACAACTTGTCAGATCTTGATCAGCAAAATATCAGCAATGCCTATGTTTCGGGGATGAAAGAAGATCTCGCCTTAAATGGTAATGAACTCAATTAGTAGGTCAACCACCATATAGTATTCTCGCGCGATGAGTTTCGCTAACTCGAAATTTTACTATTAGTTTTACCACGTATTTTAGTGTGGCGTATTGTATTATGTTGATCCCGTCGCAAATTATCATGACCTATGTCCGACCGAGTTATTGGCTATCCGGATTGGAAATATGTTGGGGTTTAATAACGGGATTGATCGCTCTAACTCACTCGGCAAAGCAAGTCTATATCCTTCGTGTCTTCCTTGGACTTTGCGAGAGTTCTGCTTGGCCGGGAATGATGACGCTCTTCAGTAAGCCCCTGGAATTCTCCTGGTGTCAATAGAAATGCTTACCCCTCTGATTTATAGTGCATTGGTACACGCCGTCGGAATTGGCGAAAAGAATGGGATTCTACCATTCTTGCCAAGCATTAGGCTCCATGATGTCTGGCGCGCTACAGGTTGCTATCATTAACACCCTGCATGATGCAAATGGTTTGGCAGGATGGCGCTGGCTATTCGTTATAAACGGAGTCATGACGGTAGTCTGGGGAGCTTTGGGGTTCTTCTTATTGCCTGACCTGCCGAATTATGTCAATCCTAGAGCATTCTGGTTCAAGAAGGGCCACGCGCGACTTGCGATGGAGCGTTTGGAACGCCACGGACGAGCTGAGCCAAAGAAGATAACCTGGGCTGGTGCTAAGTATATGACCCGTCTATTCGCCTTAATACCTTTGATGATGCTTACCGAATTTAGGCGTACTGTTCTCAATTGGGTGACTTACTTCATTGCGGTTATGTACATTGCGACTGTACTGGCACCTTGGGGGTATGCCTACTTCAATCTTTTCCTGAAGAGTCTCAAGAATCCTGATGGCACTCCCGTGTGGTCGACATCTCTCGTCAATGCTATTCCGATCGGTGGTGGTGCCATAAATGTCGTCTTCGGTATGCGCAGGCCGTCCATCTATCTCTAGCTAAGCTAATCGCCTTCGCAGTTTGGATCTGGGCCATCCTGTCAGATATGTTAAGAACAAGGTGGACGTTAATTATCGCACAAGGTATGGGGTTCACGTACGTTAAAAGTCGCACCGATTAATCTGACAACTGTACAGCATTAATCGGTCTTATTCCATGCATCGCGATGAGCATCTGGACTTCGCACCCCGACTCGACCCCACTAGCGACCGCATACGCCAGCTATTTCATCTCCTACCTTACGCTGGGTACTGCACCCCTGATCATGGCCTGGCTATCGGATCTGTGAGTTCATGCATTCTGTAGAATTAATAAGGGCGACAGCTTAACTTCCTCAGATTACCTCAAGATCCGGAAGCGAGGACTCTTATCGTGGGAGTTGCCATCGCGACGTATTATGCAGTCTCGGCATGGAGTCAAGTTCTCGTCTGGCCCGCCGTACAAGCTCCTTATTGTATGTTATTCGTAGTACCCCCTCCTCGAATGCGAATCGGACTGACATTTTCAAGATAAATATGGTTGGCAATCATCGATCGCGCTTTGGGTTCTGGTCATCATCATGACAGGCCTTCTCCGATATATTGACGTGAAATATCTTCGGTATGACCCCGCTTTGTCGCAATTAATATTGGAAATCAAAAGTTGCGTATGCTAACAAAAAATAGTCCGAAGCGAGAAGAGTTCCATGCGACTCTTATTGTAGGCTCGAAACCAGGTAGCCCCGAACCAACAACTGCTGGCTCAGACCGTGAGGATAACCCAGAACCATCAAAGACCCCCGCTGTTATTACACAGTCCTGACGGGATTTTAACGGCATGGGGGTGTATTTGGAACTAGCGCGAAGTATTGATCGGTATAAAGATTCCAAGAAATATTCTAAGAATGTCGTATCTGTCAAAGCCGGGTCCTGTATATGTAGATATCGAGGTAGTATTACTGGTATTGGGATGTACCCTATATTAGCATAAATCTCTTAAATTATGCTAGTAACAAGGAATTAAGAGTTAACGATGACCATTACGTCATCAAGCTCCCTTCAAATTACGTAATGTTTTGCAAGGAATGTGTTCAAAACGATGTTATTGTTATCTTTCGATTAGGCGTTTAGCGTGTTTAATTGGCGTCATGTCGCGTTTTTCGGATAACGGTAGCTACTAATAGAGCACTAAGGTGTCCACTATCCCTGAAAATAATGGTGAGTAGTTGGTTGACTAATTCGAACGAAAGTTGCAAAGATTTGTTTATTCTCGTGATTATCTAAGATGAATTTGTGTTACTGATAGATCTTCGGGTAACTATTATTCCGGTATCGACCAGGAGGATCATTATATAAGCTGAATCCCAGTACCATCTTTTCTATTTCTGGAAATTATTGGATTCTATTGGAGTCTCACCGACTTCCTTCAGCTCCAACTCACGTCAAAGGTGTGGAGTTAACATGGCTTGATTGCAACCTACGAACCTACGCCAACGGCAATGTGCTGCATGTTGGTCTGCATGTTAGTTATATTGGCACCAATTACTGGACCCGGGTACCCGGAGACGTGCTTTACTGCAGGGAAGTTAGCATGTCCGCATGTATGATAGCCATGTGGTGTTGGAAAGTTCCGACTCCGAATGACCCGGTGAGTAGATGTCTGCAATCATAAATACCTAGTAGGTAAACACTCGGAACGATTTATCAAAATGCGGGCAGTGATTCGTAATTGACTATCTCACTATCTAAGTATCCGCGCAACTGTGAAAAGAAACCGAAAAGAAATACCATAAACTCCTCCCTCTTTTTTTTTCTGTTTTTTTAGTGGTTTTATACCATTAACGAATCCACCATGGTTGTTAGAGTGCTCATGCTTATCCACCGAAAGTCAGGTCTGACTCCGCAACAATTCCAAAAGCATTATGAAGAAATCCATATGCCCTTAACTAAGGAGGTCGCCGGAGAGACATTCCCCATTTCGCATATTAGACGATACATTCCGCGGTCTGTGTCGCCGCAAGATTCATCGACCGAGAAGAAGCAGTATTCGGCCGTTGTCGCCTGGGGAAACCCAGCAGATGTCGAAATCGATTGTGTCACGGAATTGATATTCCGAGATAAGAAGCATTTGCAGTCGTATTTTGAAATGCCTCATGCTCCTGGTGCCGCAGCCAGATTAGAAGCAGAGGCGGAAAACTTCGCAGAAAAGTATACCACTATCATAGTGGAAGAATGTAGGGAGACGTTGGGAATGTCGAAGTTGTGATGAAATGAATTGGCAGTCAGCCCAATCGGGCAACGCCACGAAATGATACCCTTGGTCGAAAATAAGAGACAAGGCAGGGAATCGAAGTACAGCAACTAATGGAAGGTGTAACACCAGGCGATGTGGACGTCATCAAATTTGAAGATCGATAAATTCGAATTTGGTACGAGGGTAGAGATGACGAACATTGGTGGCTGTTTACTCCTTCGTTCCCACTCCGAACAACTCGCAAGAATCCATTACCAATTGGATCTTGGGGATCTCAGCGCGACCCTCGAAGATTTTCGCGAAATCAGCTAGGATTCTATCGAACCGGAAAGGGTCCCAGAGATCAAGGTTGCAAGGCGGCGCATTGTTTTGCGTGCGGTGATTATTGTGCACCTCGCGAAGCACATTGAACTTGAAAGACGGCAAGAAGCCATCATCGTTGAGGTGATCCTTCATGGCAGCTCGGAGCTCTCTGAAGCGACAGCCACACTTCTGGAACGGGGCAATGATGTAGAGGACTCGGAGTTTCTGGTTGCGAGATAGGCAGTCTTTGTCGAAGCTGTGAATACCGTCGGTGTAGATATTTACGAATTCAACAGGTACTCGTATAGCAAGCTTCTGAATGTTGAAAAACCAATGTTCGTCGGGTAGACCCTCGATCTCACGCTTCTGAGTGTCGCGTGGATAAACCACGCCTCGGAGCAACATAAAAGGCGGTAATGGGCGTATGCTGTCCAGACGGTGGCGACAACGATCAATTCCGAAAACGAAGACGTCGTAATTGAAGTCACCGACCAAATATGGTGATAGAGTCCTCAGGTTTGAACCGGAACCCCCCCACTCGCTCCTGTTGTACAGCGTGCCTTCTTCTAGAGCACCTCCATGCCCACCAACGTGGAATTTGCCTCGTAGTCGGAATTTGGTCAATAGCCTGTGGCCATTTTCGACGGTCGCGGGAGCATTTATTGCAACATATGGGGCGCGGAGAATTTTCTTGCCCGGGTGAACATAACGATACCAACCCTCATAGGAGCTTCGCCCACCTCTGCGGGTCACTCTAGTGGTAACATTAACAAAGATGTAGTGTCGGGTTCCCTGCTTAAGCTTCTCGGTTCTGATCTTCTAGATCTCATCGTTGAGCTCTTGAGGGAGGCTTGAAAAGCCTGTGGGAGCTTTCTCAGGTTCCATGGTTGCGACTCTGCTATTCCATCGTATTAGTATAACTTTGTTAGAGGCCATAGACTTGGAATAACAGAAGAGGGGAGCAGCGTCGGTAACAAGCTGACTAAGTCTGGGTTACCCGCTCTACCTAGATAAATATGTGGGCAACGAATGTGTTGTCATAAGGAACCACGTGATGAGATAGGAAATATAATAACGAACTTACCGATACCCTCCAACGTCGTATGGATATCAAGCACGCAACGAGAGTCGATTTTCAAATCCGAAGGGTAGAAAGAATTGTCTACTGTTTTGACAATGTTAGCGAATTAGGTACGTTTATTAGTACGAAGAATAAAGCTGCCAAGTCCTTTCTTAAAAATAATAAAACAAAATGAAGAAAAACGTGTCACTTCGTGTTTCCTCGTGTTGATGTGCTGTTTATGTTGTTATAAAGGAAGCGATGCGCAAATGGTGGGAGAGTGGATTTGGTTAATGAAATCAACAAACCCATAATTGGGTAGAATGAGAACTGAAGAAACACTTAGGATGTGAGAATGGCCCTACAAGAACATACCTGGATGGAGCCTAGAGACGCAGCTGGTGCGTACTTAAGTGATTTCAAGGAATCTGGTGGGAAATAAGCAGCCTTTGTCGTATGCGGCCGAAGCAGCGTTGAAAATAAGGTGTCTAGAAGATGATAGCTGCCTGGGAACCCCTGAAGAAGTCCTCGAGGACTCAAGAAGGCAACGTTTTATTTTTGTCAATGAGGTTAACTTCCAAGGTTTTCTTGCTCTCGTTGACGAAACTAGAGAGGGGGTTAGGTAAACAAAATAATTATTTGAGGGGAGAATACCGGGGTGGTCCCGTAAAAATTTGACTGACAACCCTAGAAAGCAGGTACCCACGCGGTAGCTACCTATTATATTGCTAACCCATTTCTATTTTGATATCTGTGTGGTTATTTCGGGTACCTCTATAGGTACCTACACTCAATGTATTTCCCTACCGGGGTTGTAGCCCAATCCCTTTGCCTTGAAGAACTGGCAGTACCACGCGCGAGCATAGAATAAGCGGCAACTGCCCTCACGAGAACCCCACGTTGACCCGCATAAAGAATCACCTTATCTATTCGAGGATGTCCCTGTCCTGCTCTAACCTTCTCTATGGTAGAAGTTTGTTTCATGCGTGTTTTTTATTATTGTGAACATGTACTAGTATCACGGACAACGGAGTAGTTTAACAGTCTTCGTCATTGGAGTCTTCATTCAACTACTTGGAGATTAGGTATCCCTACGATTGTAAGAGAGCGTCTTCCGTACTATGATAAGTAGGCAGGTATATACAAATAACTGGGTGCACGATGGTCATAGACATTAGAGGCTTCTACCCCCTTGGTGCTCTCAAAATTTCCCAACTTGATGCGAGAATATTAAATGAAGTGGGATGTCCCCTGGGGAATATATTGATGGGATTATTCTATGGCTAGTAGTAGTACATATTTTGGTACAAGATAAACTTGTGCTAGATCAGGCCTGAACCTTGGGATGGTTTTTCCAAGGAACAAGACCAGCCTTCCCTTCGAAGGGGATGTATTCCAATATGTGCGAATTGGCCATCAGAGGACCAAACCCCTTTAACGCCATGCTCGTGAGATCCAACCAAGGCGTGACGAATCGGTCGAAAAACCAACCAAACCACGTGCTCCAACTGACCATTCGCGTCATCATTGCTCCTTGGTCAGTTATTTGACGGCCTATCGTTTCTTGAGTGCTCTGGTAATTATGGAGGGCCTTTTCTAACGCATCGGCTGACCAATCAGGACTTGAGCTCGATAGGCTTTGTAATTGGTTGACAAGTACGGTGGCATCTTGCATACCGATGTTAACCCCCATTCCGTTCATAGGGGTCATTTTATGTATAGCATCGCCCATTAGGACGACTCGGTTGTGGTACCATTGGTCGACAAACCCCTCCTCCAAGTGCACCAAAGAAGCTTCGCCAGGCGTTGTAGCAGCCCAGAGGTCTTCGTACCTAGTTTTAGGGAATAAATTGAGATCGAAATACCTCCGGGCTTCTTCTTCGAGTTCTTGGTCGGTAAATCTGCGCCGTCCGGTTGTTGGTTTGGGCAATGTCCTAATTATACAGTAATAGATAAACTCTTTGCCGATAACTGCTTGCGATGTCACACCGGTCCCGTGAGTTTCCGCAAATAAGCCCGTCTGACTCTTGAGATGTTCGGGCACTGGGGTTCGTCCAAAGATAGCTTTAAAGTTTGCTATCATGGGATACGCTTTTCCACCGTCTACGTCATCCGTTGACTCACGGATGAGTCTACCCATTATTTCTCGTGTGCGAGAGTGAACCCCGTCGGCCCCTATCACCAAAGAACCTTCCTCCACAGTACCATCGCTAAGGCGAACGCGCACTCCTTTATCATGTGTCTCGATATCAACTAGGCGGGCATTGGTCCGTATTCGGGTCTCTCGTTCGGGTAGGGTATCATAAAGGACTTGAATCATCTCGCGTCGTGAAAATCCAAAGGAGGGGTATCCGAATCTTGATGGTTAAGATGTGAGTCGAACATTCGGCATATTCGGCTATGAGGGGTAACTCACTTTTCTTCGATTGGTTCAAACAACTTGAATCGGACGATGACAGTTCCATCTTGTAATGTGTTGATTTTGCTATTGAGGTGAGTCGATAATTTTTCGACACGGTCGTATAATCCAAGTTGATCAACCAGTCGTACTGAAGCAGGAAATAGGACAATACCGGCACCCTTATGGAAGGCGACGTCCTTTTGTTGCTCGAGAACGACGTAATCGATATTTGCTTTAGCGAGAGCGTGTGCCGTATATAATCCTACGGGGCCAGCCCCTATCACGATAACTCGAGGTTTACTAGACATTATGAAGATGAAGATGATGGAACAATGGAACGACGGTAGAACAAACTGTTCAAGTCGTTGGGTATATAAAGTACATGACGCCCTTACATCCGGGCCCACCCGAAGACGACGCAGCGATGAATTTTAGGATCCATGGATGATTCACACCAAGGATTCGTAGTAGGAAAACGTACTATCATTTGGTAGGGTAGGACTTAGCTGCTAAGCTGCTCGAATGAAGTCCCCCGTCCAGGCTAAACCGTGAAAGCTAGGGCTGAAGACGAGAAGTATACTAAGAACTAACCAGTACGGGATAACGGTCTCCCCAGCACATACAGTTTAAGCATGGATTGCGTATGATCCTTTTTTCAGCTCTTATTTATTTAATACTTGCTCGGCCGAGAGAGAAAAGGGGGTGATGTATAAAGCATAAGAGGTGTATTAGTAGGTAGGGTCCATATTATGTATTTCCTAGTTTCGCTCTTGCGGGTTTTTTTCGCCCACTTTTTCAACACGACGTATGCGTTCCATGCCAATTAGGAATCCGAGCAAGATCTGATTAGCTACCCAAGCTAGGGTAACTATTTAAGTGTCATTCTAGGCTTTCCATAAATAATACGCTGCACGTTAGACTTGATTCTCATTGGCTCATCCACTGTAGTAGTGGCGCTGAGTCATTAGAAGTAGCTTAAGCGAATGCGAATAGAAGGACCGGGAAGCAAGATTAAGTCGCATTTAAGTATACCATCTCTCGTCAGAACGATCGCAAGTAGATAGATGTTAATAAAGTAGGCTATCTATATGACTGTCCACCTATGAATAATTGAATACTTAGGTAGAGATGTAAAATGGAATACTCAAGATTAATGCTTTGTGATTAGGTAAATTGAGGCTGTAGAAGCACCTAGGTACGTCGGGAATAGCGGTACCCATATTATCTAATTTGCTATATCTTATTAACATGGCTATCCCTAAATGTGGGGCCGTATACTTGCGGAATACCCTCTAGATCGTTTACTACATGCAAGTACCCACATGTACCTGAAAACAAGAACTTTGGGGGGTCATTTTCGTCTATTTCGAAATCTTCCTCTATCGTCGATGTGATTCAAGGTGCTTGGTCGATAACGTGTATCCTAATGTACCTATGGGATTTAAGCACGGGATGTTGCTGCGTAAAAATGTCTTAGGGTTATCATGTACACAATGTACATACAACCGGGATACCCGTTCCGATCGACTTCCCAGCCTTCCTGACCTTCCGATTAAGAGTCAGGTCGGATGTGGGAATAGGAATCCGTCGTGCTACCCTTGATTCGTAAGCATCTTGCAGGTCTCTTATGTAAGTGGCTATAATAGGTACATACCTGGGCGTTGCTTACTTAAATATTGCAGGTACCTAAGTAAGGCGCTGAAACTCGTGTCACCAATACACGAATTCTTGCAGCGGTCATCTTTGAATTCCGAGTAAGCGAACAAATCAACTGGACAATCTTGAAAGAGCTTAAATCGATACAGATTAGTAAGCAATTCTGGTGAGGGTAGAAGAAATGGAATGGGAGTGAATACAGCACACCTCTCTGCTCAGGCCGCCTTGCCCGCCCTGAACAGCCCTACAACGGATCCGAATACGAGACCCACCGTTAAGAGCTTCCGATTTCTACAGTGATGGTTTCATTATAGGGATGAAACTTCCGAGACAATCAAATATCGATAACAAGAAAGTCGGCGAGAAAAGAATTGGCTGATTCATTGATCATCACTGCAAAATACCTGACAGCCTCCTCGCTGAGTTGGATATCATATCATGACCTCTGTATCCCACTCTCTTTTCATCCCAAATACCTGCATGAGTTGCTAAGGTAGGCAAGAATGGGACGTGGACACGCGCGCTTGTTATAATCCGATGCAGGCTGCTGCATACTACTATCGCGTCCCTTAGCTACGACGCGGGCGCTCGAATCAGTTACTCTGATCGACGAGAGCCTGCCTGTTCCTCAGGCAACAATAATCGGTATACATGATCTAGACGCTTGAGCTGCGTTAAGCAATTACCATGCAGTCCAGTCATGATCTTCTTCATCGACCCCGCAAGAAGGCATACACACGCCGCATTATCTAGGGATTAAACCAGTTTAAGGCGATGGCTGTGTATTGAACTTGGGGGAATTCTGCCTGGCCCGAGATCCACAAATGATCTGTAAGGAGTTGGCGGTATGAAGGCCCCTGGAATATCATAGGCTGGATAGCATTATGGGGGCCACGCTACCCCAGTCTTCGATAATCCTCAATTGCCAACACAAAGAGCTGGAGGCCTTTGATGCCTATTCTACAGCTATCATATCGCCTACTCTATGAAGATGGACTTACATGATTGGATTGGAGTCTTCCGTTGATCGTCCTAGTTAGTTCGCCTACCAAGTTACCGAGTGACTCAGTCCGCTTGCATGCCGATTTTGCGGGAGGCCAAAATTCATTGAAGTCCTAGACGTGACTATCAATTCTCTACGGGTTCTATATATACCAGCACCTATCAACCACCAAAAAACTTACAATGCCTCAACCGCGCTCTCCTTGTTGCAGTACTATCGGGCACCGCAATTTCCCACCTGGTTAAGATCATAACATTATCCCCCTTTCAAAAAACCACAAATTCACAATGGCGAGAGGCAAGGCTTCAGGAAAACGCGCTCCTCGAAAGCGTCTGCAACCACGACGCACCCGTGACGAGGACCCCTCCTACCTAGCTGCCCAGAAGGAAGTAGAGCGACGTGAGCGAATCCTCGCCGACCGCCGTCGGACTGAAGCCAAATGGCGCCCCAAGATTCCCGAAGTCCGGAAGCTCAACTTCGAGAACTTCAAGAATCGTTTCCAGGATCTCGAGGAGCCTGACTATGCCATTGATGTCCTTATGTCTGGACCGAACCTTCAGGCTCAGATTCGACGTGAACAGGCTGCCCGTCGCAAGGAGGATTTGGCTCGTAACCGCCAGAAGTATTTACTTGCTTATGGTATCCCCCGCGAGCATGTCTATGTTCCTCGCGTTAAGAACGACGTACAGGACAAGATTCGAAAGGAGAAGAGAGCCGAGGTTGGGCAGATAGACGATGGTGATATTCAGCGCATCCGTATACAGTCGCAGCCTGTTCTTGGACATCTTACTTCGCTCCTCAATGACACCGAACAGCGGTCTACCCCTCGTACTTTCGTCAGGCCTTTCAAGGCGTTGGTCTACTTCCAGCCTAAGATGAAAGAGATTCTTGCCACTCTTGAAGAGAAGTGGGCTGACTACGAGGAACTCGACGAAGTTGAGTCGGAGAAGGTGAATGAAACCCCAGAGGAGGTAGAAATTGTCGACGAGGAGGATGCCAAGGACAAGGAGTCTGGCTCCCAGGGTGAGGATGATGACGAGGATGACGACGCCGAGTCGCTCCTTTCGGTCGATTCTAATGCAGAGGACTTGGACACTGCCATGGATTCGCCCGAGGCTCTTAGGGACAGTGAGTGACCTTTGGAACACACCTTCTACCCTTTCACCAAGAATACTTACTAATCCACTATTGTAGTGCGATGCTATGTTAACTTCATCGACAAGGAGGTTATGCCCTTGCACAACCGATTCGAAGGCACCGGAGCCGACAGAGTCAAGTTCGATGACCTATGGAGTTTGTTCCGGGTCGGAGACCTGATTTACATGCCCGCTACTGGAGAAACGGCGGGCCGCTACCATGAGGTGTGGCGCGTCTACCGAGTCGAGATTCCAGAGGTGGAGGCGGCGTACCCGTCGAAGCTAGAATGGGAGTTTTTCTCAGACGAGCTTCGACAAGACAAGAAAGCTAAATTCACCATTTTTGCCTACTACATCGACCACGATGGAAACTCTTTCGGCGCTGTTCGTCACAAGTTCGAACTCGAGTCCTTCTCTGGCGAGAGATTGATCGAGTCTCTTGAAGTATTCCCGATTCGTTACCGCCAGGACCACAAGCAGCTCCTAGAGTCGCTTAAGTTGCAAGGTCGAGACTTCCAACAATTCCTTGGGGACAGACACCGGTCTTACAATGCTTGGACATTGACCAGGAACCCGCCGTTCGACACCAATGAGGCTGATGACGAGATTCTAGAGGACGAAGACAGGGAGAAGATGCGACACCCTGAGTTTGTCGAGAGTGACGTGATCGTCGATCTTGCGGAGGCGTTCCAGAAGAACCCAGATTGGCGGCCTAGGTTCCACAAACTGACCGTCAGCAAGTCCATCAGGTGCGAGGTGGAGGACGACGATATGAACATCCAGCACTGGTTCGATGGCTCGCGACAGAACATCGCATATGCCCAACGTGAGATTGTTCAGAAGGACGACGGCGTTGAGATGTGGCAGCGCCGTGAGAACCTCAACGTAGACATGTTCCTCCGCCAGCGCACCAAGGGAACCCGTACATACGAGATGAACCCGAAGGCTTTGGAGCTGCGCGAGGAGGACCTTGTCCTACTTCCCAAGCGTATGTTCGCGTATGCCTTGCGCGAGCGTAGATTCGTCCCCGTCAACTCCCACTTCTTGAAGCCAATCCGCAGAGAACAAGGTGTATTTGAGAACCTTAAGATCTTGAAGGACTACAAGGATATCGTGCGTGGTCTTGTCGCCTCGCATTTCCAGAAGAAGACCCTCGAGAGACGCTATGTGGATATGTCGACTGAGGGTCCTAGCCAGGATCTTATTCAGAACAAGGGTATGTCAATCAAAACTCGCAATACCGTAATAACGAGTGCTAATAAGTGCGATAGGTCGTGGTCTAGTTGTTCTACTCCACGGTGTGCCGGGTGTGGGTAAAACTGCAACCGCCGAAGCTGTGGCGATGGAGTATCGCAAGCCCTTGTTTGTCATCACATGTGGTGACCTAGGTCTTACACCGTCCGAGGTGGAATCTTCGCTCAACAACGTCTTCCGCCTGGCACATCTATGGGACTGTGTGCTCCTTCTAGACGAGGCGGATGTGTTCCTATCGCAGCGATCCAAGCTCGACATGAAGCGCAATGCACTAGTCTCAGTGTTCCTGCGTGTCCTAGAATACTACAACGGTCTACTATTCCTAACGACCAACCGAGTCGGAACAATTGACGAGGCCTTCAAGTCGCGCATCCACATGTCGCTATACTATCCGCCTCTTGACAAGGCACAGACGCGCGACATCTTCCGGCTTAACCTAAGCAAGTTACGGGAAATCGAAGCGCAGCGACACGAAATGACAGGCGAGCCGACGCTCGTTATCAAGGACAGCGAGATAGTCGACTTTGCCGGTCGGCATTACGAAGAGAACGCACGGTCCACGGGCTGCTGGAACGGTCGACAGATTCGTAATGCCTTCCAGATCGCGTCCAGCCTTGCGCATCATAACTACACGAATGCAGTGGAGGTGGCGCGCAGCCGCGGACAGCAGCCCCCTGCTGCGCCAGTGCTAGACAAAAGCCTGTTCGAGAAGGTACAGATGTCGACGCAGAGCTTCGATCGCCACATGAAGGAGTCGAAGGGGTTTGATGCGGATCTACCTCTTCGGAACACGTTCTATGAGGAGAACCGATTCGAGTAATGGGTATAGGCTGATTCCACGGCTGAGACTTGGCTTACGACGGTAACATGGAATGATTATTGAATGATTATCTCGAATTGATGTTATGTTATTCTATTGAAGGTATATGAACATCCTGTTTTAGTCCTTTAGGGAGTTTGCTCGTCGATAGTGCCAATACACTCGTTCGCTCGAGTAACCGTTAATCTGTGCTGTTCAGAATATGATATAATATGTTAGTCCCACCTAGATTTGATATCGGAAGTGCTTTTTTTTTTTTTTTTTCTTTTGGCCATGACCAGCCGTTCGCTTAGCAGCTTCTCGTTGCCTCGGACATGAACGGCGTGGGAAATGCAGGGACAATGGAGTATGAAACCGCTTTACCAGAATTGGGAATGATGGTGCGTTCGACCATGACGTACCTGGGTAGTAAGGAAAGGACTGGATTAATCACATCGCCTGCGAAAGGGACTGATACCGTTGGCGTTGTGATCTTGAAAAAGGGAAATAAAGATAAAAAGCAGGGGAAAAAAGGAGGATAGCACCTAGGTAGGTATGTTATAGCATCTAATGGCCTACCTGATAGTACCTACCCCTTCTAATTGTACAGGGGAATAGGTTCTGAAAAGTACCTGTGTATGCTCTTAACGTGCCTTAATTATAACGATCAGGGCCAGTATTTTTTAAGGTACCTACCTAGGTAGGTACAAGTAGAGATAAGGAAGTATGCGCCGTAATTTAGCGTCTTTAGTTTGAACACACTCCTCACATCCAATGAAAAATACCTACCCCGACGCCTTCCTAGGGGCAATTATAGGGCACAACCTTGTTAAACTTGCCCAAGTGAAGAACTGCTCGCAAACCCCCACTAAAATATAGCGCTCCGGCGCGTCCTGCTAGGGTATTAAGGTACCCGACAGGCCTAATAGACGCCGAGTCTATACCTCTAGGTGGGTTGCCCAATGCTCCCAGCGTTAATTAACCAAGCGACCGCATTAACAAACACGATTATTTCTAACTCTCCTTTATTGACACGACATGTAACAAGCAAAATACAGATAACCAACGATCGACAGGCGAGTAAAGCGCTACGGAATAATTCCTCGAGAAGAAAGAGACGAAGAAAACGAGCGTATCCGTCAAGTACAAATAACGATAAAAGCGCATTCTGTTCATACCAAGCTGCATCGTCATCCCTTATTCCATCTGAACAGGGTGCGTGCTCAAGTACTCCTCGAACGTGGTGAGTTTGCCTCGAGCGTTATCAACAGCCCAAGCGATCAGCTTCCTACTATCCGGACCATAATAACCGAATTCTTCCATGAATTGAAATCCGTCGATGAAGACCTCTGCCCCGAACGGGATCATCTTTTCAAGTTCTTCAACCGGCGTTTGCTTGTAGACAACATTTTTGCCCGTGGCCTTAGATATGATGGCGGCTATCTCCTCCCAGCTATATAGCGCAGTGGCAGCATGAAATATCTTCCCTTCATACTTGTCGGGTTCGGCGAGTATTGCGCCAACGAAATTGCCCGTATTCCCGACTGCGTCGACCAAAGGGTATTCGGCCTTGGGAGAAGCACTGCCTACCAAGATCCAGCCACCGTCGGGGGTCCGTTTTGGAGACCAAAAGCCAAGGTCAACATAATTCTCCATGAAGCCACCTGGGCTAACAAAGGCGCTCTTGATGGGGAGACCTCGAATATATTGCTCAGCCTTTTCCTTCGCGTCGAAGGGGGTGACGCTAGTCCACTTGCCACCGGAAATTTTCGTGGGAGAAGGCAGCGTACTGAAGATAATGTACTGGGCGCCTTGTTCGACCGCGGCGTCCGCAATGTTTTTGGCCTGGTTGTACTCGGACTCAAGACCCTTTGGGCCAAATAATGGCACATTTGTCGCGAAGGGAGTTGTTACCGCGAAGACTGTGTGCACACCAGCTAAAGCTGTACCAAGCGAGCTTCGATCAAGCACATCGCCCCGGACAACTTCGACTTTCTCCTCGAGTTTTTTTGCTTTCTCCGAATTTACATCACGCGTAATGGCACGGATCTTGTATTTCCGAGAGAGCTCCGGATCGTTGAGCACGTAATTAACAACGGAGCTACCTTGTTTGCCTGTGGCGCCAAAAACAGCAAGAATTGAGGACATCTTCGTAGAGTTCTTTAAATAAAAGATTGATAGGTAGGTAGGTAGGTAGTGGGACACTTGACTCTATACTTTATTGTTAAACGAGATCAATGATGATGATACTCGCCCCTTATCAACTACACTGTGAAGTCGAACGTTATATACCTATTTCGCTGACAAATCCCTTGACTTCCTTTAAATGGAGCGATTTTTATCACCGATGATTATCAATATTTAGTCCAGACAAGCTAAACAAGTTATGATTCCGACGATATTGATAGTAAATAGTCCGCCCTAGGCGTGCATCCGGTCGCAAGCCCGCGGATCTCCGTGGATTTTGTGGATGGCTTCCCCCGAACCCCGTCCCACAACTCGGGAAGTAGGCATTATAAAGTACCCGTACTAAACTATATGGGGACTTTTCTGAGCTCCGGTTAGATTGAAGGACCGGCTGATGATAACTGTTGGTTCGAGATTCACTCGTTAAGATTTGATCCGGCCCTTTCCTTAGGTAGCCAACATCCTCTGAATACCACGTTGAAAATGCTCAAGCGAAGCTGCCGCAGCTCGTCAAATGCATTAGCAAGTAATGCAAGTGTCACAAACAGGGAAACCCTCTACCCTGTCCAGCCTAACCCCCGAATGACTCTCGCCACAGTCGATAAGAAACTTTCTCGCTATAGAAGTACGGGAAGCGTCGTGCATCGTACGTATATGATCACAACTATCCAAAAGATGCCTAGGTACCTTCTCGTTACGTATAATCTGACGTACTACCTAGGGATTTATTTCCGGTGAGGATGAGTATAACTTCTTTCAATTCCAGTATGTTCTCGCAAATGAAAATAAGAGCCCCACGAAGGGGGTTTAGGGAGCAGACCTAGTAAGTAGTTACTATGGTTCGAAATCCGTCGTAGACAATAGATATTTCTACCACCTTAAAGAAAGGGGCTGAGATAAGAACAGATAAAGAAATCTTTCATGCTTAAATTCACTAAAGAACCGGTCGAAGCCATTGTATGTATATCATAACGGCTAGAAATTGATGCAAGATGAGATAAATACCTGGGTATTCGTCTTTTGCCTAGGTACAAGCACGGTACACGACAGTAAATAATTACATGCTTTCTATCTACCTACCTAATCGACAAACACACAATCATCGTCATCATTATTAAATCTAACAGGGCTGATACATTATTCATACTATTTCTATTACCTACAGGTTATACATTTTATTATCTTTTCCCGACCAGTATCATTCGGAATGGCGGCCGCACGAAGACGTGTATACAGACACTATGGGGTGAATATGAGACTTGATGGCGAGGACGAACTCATAATGCAAGTTAGAAAGAGGGGTGATCTTGGAGAAAGAGGTTTGGTTTGGATTGCGTCATCCAGCCCCAAGGTACATATAGTACAGTCAGTTTTAACTGGTGAATTACTCGTTCTCAAGATTATACCTGGGAGGGATTACCTCGACGTATCGCCAAACGAGGTGAAGTATTCGACTAATTTCGGTGCTGAGCGCAAACTACCCCTTCCATACAAAGTGAATGGAGAGGAAAGAATACATTTTAATCAGCTGCTCCAATATAAGTGGTGGCTCAGGGACATGGATGGAAACCCGGATGAGGATTCGGGGATTTATGCCATGTATTTCAGGTAAGCTAGTGAGCAAATTACAATTCTTTTATTATTCAAAGATTGACCATAGCAGGCATTGCAACGGTGGAAACTTACAACAATTTGCAAGAAAGTACTTTGAAGTAGGAAGACCTGTGCCAGAGCACTTTATTTGGGTAAGTAACCATTATCTGCTCAGCCGATTTTCAGGGCTCGTGGCCCCCAAAGGTTACTACACACCTGAAATATACAACTCAAACAGTAAAGTACTAAGTCTTATAAATATAGCATGTAGCTCAGAGGCTCTCCGAAGTTATTACATATTTTAATTTCGGCATTTTCCCAGGCCGAGATAACCCCGGACCACCTGGTTGGCGATGTAAGTTCTCAGAAATCCTAAGCCATAGTTGGTAGTTGGACGCTGGGTATTTTCTGCGGTCATACCTGGAAGGCATCAGCTAGCCAAAAAGAAAAAGGAGTTGTAGATAGGGAAGCTAATTACTCCGCGAGCAGTCATCTCCCACCGAGACTTCGTATCAAACAACATTTTCATCCATTATCATGCCAGAGCTAAAGGCTTTGAACCAAGTTACAACTACGTAACGAACGCATTCCCTGAAAGTAAGTAGCCTCCAGCGTTAGTCCAGCTTTCCATTCGGGGAACACCAACTCGAGTATCTAGTGCTACCAAATTACCAACTACAAAGAGGAAATGCTAATCTTGAGGTTTTAGTTGTTGTTGGCGACTTCGGCGATGCCGCTCAGGAGGATGAGTTTCCCGAATTAATAACAGAAGGCATATATGGACTAGATGAAGCCGCGCGATGGGAAGATATGGTATGTAAAGACACCTCTTATCACACCACAACTGCTAATTAGCAACAGTGAGTACTTAACGTTGTTCTATTGTCAAGTTTGTTTGTTTCACAAGAAGAAGCAGACGCGCCCCTCCCGTTAAATCGCAAGCTTGAAGAACTGACAACTCAGATACGAAATGGGGAATATACTACGGGAATTGGCTCTAACAGCTATACCCCCCCTTGCCGGAATGATTAGTCGCCCGATAGACTACCGCGTAGGAATAGTAAATAGGAAACTTAGAGCCAACGGGGAGAGGCCTTACTCAGATGAACTCATTGAGACAATCCAGGCATTCGAATTTCCACCCGTCGAAATTGGCACCGCCCCAGATCCATCAACAGGGTGGTTTATTGATAGGGATAATATGGCTGTACCGGTACAGGATTACATACCGTCGCCGGATTGGGTTGCTGACCATCTACTCCCACTCGCCCGTAGACACGTTAGATTATGGCGTGGGAACATGGAACATCAACGATTGCCCAGGAATTACTACAACGACCTCGATGTTTCATGGACGAAACCCGAACAAGTCATGCCTTATGTGTGAGTGGGACCACATTCATTATTTGCTCTATCCCATATTTAAAGATGTACCTCATGCTAATGCAACATGTGTATCACAGGTATGAATTTGACCCACGACCACCACGAGCAGTGTAAGTAGGCACCGAAGTCATTTGTTACCCAATTTTATCATTCCCTGAAACGAACCGATCGTTATTTAAAGGGTGTTTCTCTTAAAACCCCTATATATGTTATTATTTCATATGGAAATTATAGGCTCTAATAATATGTGTAGGGAATCCAGCAAAGACTATCCAGATTCATCTATCGACTTCGAAGAAGAGCCGGAGTTTGTGCGCTGGGCTGAGCAAGATAAAATCGTATGGGAATCGGCGGATGAGGCAGAGGAGACAGAGGAGGCAGACGCAGGTGGAATGATGGCAGTACCTCCAGATTCCGATGGTAGCGGCGGCTCTGGTGCGGGCGGCGGGGCTAACGGCGGGAGCGACAGTGGGGATGATGAAAACGACGATGTAAATGGTGGTGGTAACGACGATGGAAACGAAGAAGTCGTGAACAACTCCTCCGGCTATGAACCAACGAGATCGTCGACCTCACTAGAACCAGATGTGGAGGCGCTTTTATTTAATGCGAATAGGGCTAAGATGCGCTTCCTCCATATTTGGGAAAGGGTCAACATTGCGAATCTCGAGATCGCAGAGCTACAGTACGAACCACCTCTGCTACAGCCTGTCCGGCGCGACCCACCGCCTGCTCCATACATCGGCCCGGCCGAGGCACCGGTCCCGGCCGATGTCGCGGCGGGGGATGATAATGACGGTGGTTTAGGTAGTGGAAGTGATTCTGACGCATCCGATTATGATGGTTCACGTGGTACTTGGGGCTACACATGATGATCCCATCATCCCCTAATAAAACACGATGAGACAACTACTTGAGAAGCGGACGGCGACAAGCAACACTACAACGCGAAATCTCATATCTAGAAACATACATCTCTTAGGTACTTACCCAATGTATCCTCCATCATTTGTATAAGTTATTCTAGACACATTAAACCGTTTACGCAAAATATTGTGATATGTTAGCTGATGTGTCCTTCGTCCACCCAATCGGATGCCTTGTTATCTTGAACAAGTTGCCTCTTTCAGTAATTTCTTGTCTGTCCCTAAATATCTTCCGTATGGCACGTCACGTACCATAGTAGCTGGATATATCTGTCTTCGTATTACAAGCCGATTAATAGAAGACTCGCACTTTTTTGTGAAGATTTTTACGTCGAAGTATATCGACTTAATAAACTATCTTTCGTTACCGTAAAGACTATACCACATAGTCTCTCTATATGCATCTACTTCAAACGAACCGTCAATGCGCCAAATTACAAATAGGTTCAAGTGAGCACCGGGCTATCTCTTATACCACTTGAGATGCCTAGGTAGATAGATGAACGCCATAAAATTGCCATAATGTGTAGAAATTGCCTACTATTGATATTCGTAATTATTCATTAAGTTCACTACATAATTCGTGATAGACCACCCATGTCTCTTCCTCATTGCCACAATATTACACTTCGAAATTAATACCTCAGCTATTACCGACTAATGCTTGCAGTATAGCATTGATGAAGTCCGAGGCCGTTGCTACAATCTGGAGAGTAGATAAAACATTAGCATCTAAAATTATTTCTAAGGGGGTAGTGAAGTGAGAACATACCGGTGTAGCGTCACCTATTAACTCGGTCGTCTGTGAGACAAAAGCCGCCGAGAGGAGACTTTCTGCGTTACCAAGTAAAGTCAGGATTCCTTTAACGGAATCTGGTGTGATTAAAGGTGTAACCTGCTCTACGATACCCTCAATATCGATGTGATCTAAGGCGCTGAGAAGAGGTTTGATAGAATTTATGAGGCCGTTCAGGTCAATTTGACTTAGCGTGCTAAGAAGTGGCTTGATTTGGTTTAGGAGGCCTGAGATATCAATTTCTCCAAGGGCTCCAACCAACGGCGCGGCACCGTCGATAATGGTATGAGTCTCGTTGACGAAATCCTTGGTGAGGAGTGATTCAGCATTGCCAACAAGTCCAACGAGGCCGTCGACTGACGATGGTGTAAGCAACGGAGAGACCGCATCAAAAATTCCTTTGATGTCGATATCTCCTAGCGCCGTTAGAATAGGGGCGATTTGTTTGACAAGACCCGCAAGGTCAATTTGGCCTAGGGCGTCCAGAATAGGCTGTATCTTGTCGATGAGTCCGACCAAATCAATCTGTCCTAGAGAGTTGATGATTGGCGAGATCTGTTTGATCAAACTTGCAAAGTCGATTTGGCTGATCGCGTTTAGAATAGGCTCGATTTGTTTCACGAGGCCAGTCAAATCAACCTGTCCGAGAGCATTCAGGATCGGGGTAATTTGTTTGACCAAGCCTGTGATGTCAATCTGACCCACAGCGTCTAGTATAGGCTGCACCTTCTCGACAAGGCCTGCTAGATCAATCTTACTTAGAGAATCTAGGAGAGGTTTCACCTGGTCAACAAGACTTTCTAAATCAATCTTGCTGACGGCAGATATCAAAGGAACAGCACCGGATATCAGCGTCTTCGTCTCGTCGACGAAGTTCTTTGTCAATAGATCTTCAGCGTTTCCTAGGAGCCCAACAATCCCCTTGACGGAATCGGGCGTCAGTAGTGGCTCGATGGCCTCGAAAAGGCCTTGGAGGTCGATCTTGCTGATGCTATCAAGCAAAGGTGAGACCTTATCGAGTAGACCCTGCAAGTCAATCTTGCTTAGACTAGACAGCAGAGGCCCTGCTCCCGAAATAAGAGACTTGGTCTGGTCTACAAATTCGCTGGTTAGAAGATCCTCTGCATTGCCTAAAAGCCCTACAATGCCCTTTATAGAGTCCGTCGTCAACAATGGGCTAATGGCTCCGAACAGTCCTTTGAGGTCAAGTTGGCTAATCTCATCGAGGATTGGGCTAATTTGATCTATCAAGCCTTCCAAGTCGATCTTGCTCAAACTGGAGAGGAGTGGTCCTGCTCCAGAGATCAAAGATTTAGTCTCGTCAACGAAGTCGGAAGTAAGGAGAGATTCGGCATTTCCCAACAGGCTAACAATTCCTTTGACCGAGTCTGCCGTTAGAAGTGGAGCCAGAGCATCAAGTATACTCTGCAGGTCAATCTTTGAAAGGCCATCGATAAGTGGCTGCGCGCTGGAAAGTATTTTCTTCAGAGAGTCGACGGTTTCCGAGGTTAAAAGAGACTCCGCATTGGTTAGCAGAGTCACAAGACCCTTGATAGCATCGGGCGCAAGCAAGGGGGATAGCGCGTTAAGTATGCCTTTAATATCGATGTCCTTGACTTCATCTATGATGCTCTTTAGATCTAGAGATGAGACCAATTCGATGAGGGGTTCCGTCTTGGCGAGTACATTCCTGGCTATTGTGGGGATAGGAGGCTGAAGTGTTGCAGCTAGGTATACCATAGCATCGTGTAGAGCTTGCAAGAACTCGTCGCTTAAGAGTTCCTGGATGGCCTTAAGATAACCTCCCAGATCACCCAGCTGCGTTATTAACTTGGTCAAACTCGTGAGAATATCGCCCAGATCACCAAGTCCCGTAAGATCTCCTAGATCCAGACCGCCACTTGACCCAGAGTCAGATCCCGTGGTGGTGGTGTTGCTGCTTCGCGGGTAAATGGGGACTTTTTGTTGTTGGACCTGGTTCTTCCTGAGCAAACCGTTGAGCTCAGTGAGGGCATCTGTAAGGTCGGACCGAGGGACCAATGCCAGATTGTGCTTCGCGAGAAGCGCATCTAGATCCAACTCTGGTGTCGACGCCGCCCGCGGCGCGCCATCAGCAAGAAGGCTGGCCGGCGCTAGAGCCGCTATGAGGAATTTGAAAAACAGCATGACGAAGCTCGATTTGTCGTTGGAGAGGCTTTCAAGGTGTCGTTGGGTATCTTTTTCTTGAAGCTGAAGCTTCGATTCAGCTCGACCACGAAATAGGAAATGTAACAGACGAGGCGGGAAGATCGAGAATATGAGCAATAATGCCTGCTGCCTCCATCGCGCACCTACCTCGCATCACATGAAATTTGTCTCCAGCGAGCGCCGATGTACAATGAGGGTGGGTAACTTCGGACGTTATACCCTTCTTGGGACCCTCAACTACATATTACTCACATGGATAATTAGCTTCCCGTCCCTTGGTTTTCCACATTTTTCTACCTAAGCATCCTCTAGCTCAGCACCAGCTTACCCCAGCTTCCCCAACTTCTCCACGATCCCAATTCCTACCGTAGCATGGACTGCGCAGCCCCTGTTCTGTGGAGCCAAGCCGACCAATGCTCGAATGCTCATTCGACGATTAGGCACAGAGGGTAGTATTTTGGTTTACGAATTTGTAGATGTTTACCATTTGTCGTGTCATACCATACCCTCCATCGAAGCTGGTACCTCGGATCTGAAAATCTCATTTCCTATCGACGGTATTAGCGGTGTTGGTTAGGCAGTTGTACGTCTCCCACTGTTACCCGTTAGATACTAGTACTGACTCCCTAATGAGAGCTAATTTAATTGGTATATCCGGTTTGCCTCTCTTCATTTCCTCTTTCTTCTCTACCCACAAGCACTACCGCGTAGTCTCATCAAGTCCCTAAGTTAGACATTTACCTAAACGGCTTTTTTCTTTCTTTTGGGACTGAATTAAATACCTAGCGCATTCGCTATTGGGTGCCCAACTACCAACCCCGCGAACTTATAGAGACTATTGGATAGCTTCGGAACGCAAGGTCGAAATAGGAATGATGGGGGACCCACCCTATTTCCTCCTTAGGCAGGAGAAATATACTCTGACATCACTTTTCTCCGGCGGTTTGTTTTCTTCGCGGTGAATAAAAATGAAGATCTGCTAGAGGTAATTAATGGCTGGGATTGTACTATACCGAAACCCCGCAAGTCTATCTTCTTACCCTTCGACGGTAATGTGCGTGACCTGCAGGAAACCAGTAATCATCCCAGAAATCACCAAAGCTGACCATCCCCCCTGTAATATTGGACGTCTAAGACCAGGGTATCAAGACGAATGGAGAAGATGGATGTGCGGAGAGAGCAACAGGGCACGAGGGGTAGGTAAACAACAAGGCGGTGGCATAGCTCCACCCTGGTCATCACAAAAGAACGGGATGGTGGTTCAAATCTCGTAATGCCGCGGTTCAAATCTAGAAATTTAGATGCCCGTGTGATCGCCGAATTGCCTTCAAGTTCTGTCGCTCGCCCTCGTCTCGGTTGAGTAGTCCTCGGGCTTCCCTCCTACTGTCTCACGCCATCTAGCATTTCTCGTTGCTGAAGACAAGGTCATCATGGCGTCGGCTTTCCGAGAGGATACTTCTCATTATGAACACCAGAGTCCGCCGACCTCCGTACACGGTGGCAGAGGCGAAGCCGGCGAAGGAACATCAAATGCGCCGGAAAGGCGTAGCGATGATGCCTCTTCGGCAGACCACGTCCAGGAGAAAGCAGCCGCAGCCGCGACGCTCACGAAGAGGCAGAAGGTGAGGCGCCACTGCGGACGGTTCTGGTGGTGGTATCTGATAGGGTTCATCATTTTCTCTGCCATATTTCTACCGATCCTGTACGTATTTGTTCAAAAAGACGACAAGTCAAGATACTAACAAGCAGCTTAGCTTCTTGGTGATCATCCCGGCAATTGTGCAGCGTATCCTCGACAGTCAAACGATGCCGGTCCATAGCGGCGAATTCATCGCTATAACGCCAGATACGTTGAATGTTTCTATCACCACATCGCTCAGCACGCCATTGCCAGCAGACATCGACCCCTTAACGCTCTTCCTGTACAATAAGGATACGCCCACGTTTTCACCCTTCGTCAATGTTACTCTGCCACCGTTGCACATAGACGGACAGACAGATATCTACATCGCAGAGCAAACGGTCACTATAACCAATGAAACCGAGCTCATATCGTGGTTCAGCAACGTCTTCGACCAGAAGTCAGTTACCTTATCCACGCGCGGCGATGCATCGATCCATTTAGGAAAACTCCATTCGAATGGACATATAGACAAGACAGTTGAAGTCAATTCATTGAACAAGTTGGACGGTTTTGGCATCCAGCATATGCAGCTCATGTTGCCAGCCAAGGAGAACGGGACGAATATCCAGGGAACTCTCAACTTGCCAAACTGGGGAGCCCTCAACATCGGAATTGGTAATCTTTCGCTCAACTTGATGTCGGGAGATCTCAGAATCGGCCTCATCACGGTTTATGATGTTTACCTTCCCCCGGGAAACAATTCCAGGTACTTCAACGGTGAGCTATACCTTGACGTACTTTTCCAAAACATCGGAACCATCCTATCCTCCCAGGCGGACGCCTTAAACGAAGGCAATATCCAGATCGATGCGACGGGAAACGCCACAGTAGTTAATGGCGAACACATCAGGTTCATCGAGGCTATCCTCAATCATAGACGTGTGGTATCCACGATACCGGTGGTCAAGCTGACGAGCGACCTCATCAGCAGCTTCACCAACGGCAGCGATGTCTCCATACCAGACATGCTGGACGACGTCTTTGGCAACTCTACTTTTATCCAGGAAGTACTTAGCCATTGGAATACGACAGGCAGTAATGTGGCGGCGAAGACGAAGAGATCTCCACTCTCGGTACCGCGGGGTGTAATTGGTCCAGGAGCACTCAGTTTGTTCAAACTAGGAATGAAGATGAGGATGGGCAAGTATTGATGATAATATTTAATGATGAAATGAATAATACCAACGTTATGATAGACGAATATGAGCTAGCTTAATGTTACCCTCGAAGAAACTCGTCAGTATGGTTTTTTGAATAGTGAGATGCCTTGTAAAAAAACTACCTTATTGCACTAGACGCTATTCACAGCTTCATCGTGATTCTAGTGACTAGGGAGTTGGATTTTGGTTCTGACAATTAGTATGGGTAAGCGACGCTAAGAAGCTTGCTTCCGGAATATGTCGTGGACCCAAGTTCACCGTTTTGAGGCACGTGCTCCATGTCAACCCACGAAATCAAGGCACAGCTAAGAAGAATATACTAGTCCAAGGCCAGTATAGTTGCTGTTAGGCTCTTCAAATGCTAGTGAATGTAGTCCTTAGCCTAATGCTCAAATAGAACATCTACCCGTTCGATCTACAGGTACAAATTTCTACTGTCATGGTGGCAGCGCCCGATCGGGGTCCAGCTTAAGATCCACTGGCCGTGCGCCGCCATACTATGACAGGTTGGGTCTTGATGTCCCACAAAGACCCACGAGAGAATGGGTAAAATAGCCCCCAAACCATCATTGTAGTGACTCTTTTTGCTTCCCGGACAAGCCTTAAGGCTGTAAATTAGTCCGATTTCGTTATGTTAGCGCCGACGTAGACAAGGTAATAAAATAATCCAAGTTTTCATGTGATTTATCCCTCATTTAGGTATGTGATGGAATGGGTAAAATTGTACTGGAAACTAAAGACTTCCGCAATCAGCATTCAAGGGGGACATTCGCCATTGGACGGAATACGACGTTAAACAGGTAATAACCGAACGCTGCCCCTCCCGGAAGTAGGGGATATGTGTTTAGTAAAATAACAGAGATCCAGGCCGTCGGGACGTCATTTCGGATCTAGGCACTTCGGCCCGAACTAGAGAGTACTCATTGATGCAGTAGAAGCTAACGATTGCCAATTGAAGGGTTACAATTGGCATAACAAGTGAAAGAGCAGGGTAACTTCACACGACGTCCGCAGCCGCATTTATCGTGAAGTAATTTGCCGCTACGTTGTAGTTGTTGTGAATACCGGAATCGCGCTCATCTCTCGCTTCGGTCTAAGCTTGAGAACAGTCATGTAGTCGAATAGGCCTTGGTGTATAGTATCACCATAATTAATGAATATTATCATTGGAGTTGATATGTACGCGTTACCGTGCAGTCGTGCGGTTCGGTTTCTTGCCATATATGTACGTTCTAGGACTTGTAAGCAACATACGTCTACAAGAGGGTTTGAATGAGGGAGGAAATAAGTTCACACTCACACTGTCAAATAAGCGTGTATACTAGTATCCTTGAAATCCTTCTTAACCTCTTCGGCGAACTCGCGCACTTCTTCAGGCGACATGCCTAAACCCGCCAGCACCTTCTACATGTATAGAATCATGTTAGCTACCCGATCTTTATTGGACGGGGGTGAAGGTAAGGAAACACAACACATTAGTACGTACGAGACTGACACCCTCAAGTCCCATCAACATATCCTCCTGAAAATACGTAGCGACAGTCTTGAAATACAAGCCCTTGGCCCAGGGGCTCGTAGGCCAGTAAAAGCGCTTCTCAACGATATCTTCAAAGCCCGCCTCCTCGAAATAGCGATGATAATTCTGAGCATTGCTCCAGGAGCGACCTAGCCGCGCTACACCCTCCAACATTTTCTCGTTCCACCGGTACAAGGCGGACTCCCGAGGCGGCTCCCCGATGTAATTCATAGGGAACAAAGCGTCTTGGAACTCTAAGACACCACCGGGCGCTAGGTTCGCGAATGCTTGTCGCACGACGGCGGCGGGGTCGTTGAAGCAGCTCATGAGTGCGCGCCCGTGGATGAAGTCAAATGGTTCACTATAAACCCACTCGTCCTCCGCATCGTCGATCTCGAACCTACAGTTTTCCGGTAAACTATTGGTGAAAGATGCAAGTTAGTAACGAAGGGTTATGCGAGTCGGTGAGACTGTGGGGTGAATTTTGGAGGCACGCACAATTCGGGTTGGATAGGACTTAGGTCCGTTCCGATAACCTCTGATCTGGGATGTTGGATAGCTATGTGGAAGGTTAGTATCATGAAGTCCGAAGATATGAGAGGAGAGTGAGCCGAACCGAACTCTATAGCCCATATACCTGTCCCTAAGAATATATTAGCTGATGATGTGTGGGGATGTAATGGTCATTGATCGAACCTGTGGCAATGTCTAACACCCTTGGAGGATTATCTGGTATAGGGGCTATGTTAAGTTTATTCCCTATAGCTATTATGAAAAGTTGATGTTGAAGGTCTATCTCGTTGTACGTCAGCGGAGTTACCATAGGCCGGCGGGTAATACAAGTTCTATGATATGGAGGGTTTACCTAATCTTTCTTGCTCTTCCTACCACAACTTTCGTTAATCACTAAGCGGAGTTTTTGGGGTTGGTTCCGACGTACAGCATCATTTGGTAGAAAATATCCTACGAAATCTTGTTAGTAGATAGTGTACTGCCTGTAGGCTGGCAATTGATCATACTGCCTTCCTTGTATCTATGATAAGTCCGACCGTTTTCTTGAATGAAATGGTATAAACTGGAATTTATTGATGCAGTTGAGGATCTTCGAATGGGTCAGCAATCCGCTTCGATCGCATCGGTCATTGGTCGTGTCATACCGCAAGCTCTCCGAAATCGACATAGTATCCTGTCCGTCATCAAGTTAATATGTGGTTAAACCACGTAAGCTCTTGAAGTATGTACTAACCGCTTGAGATTCATTATCTACCGATGGTAAGGAGGGTGCGCTGCCACTACCCCACGACAACAACGACGCATCTTGGTTAACTGAGACGGTTCGGCTAGATCTCCATGCAAATGATTCTGCATAACCGCTATCAGTATCGCGGCCAGCGCCGGATGAAGCACCCGCCATCATATAATTAGATCCAAATACAGTCCTTGGAATGCGCTTCTGCTTCTCTGCGGCGCGTCGGAACTATTACACAAGCGAGTAGTACAGAAAGACCCCGAGCACAAGGGGAGAAAGACAGCACAGGAATGGATCAAACTACCGAGGTGTCAAGCAAACAGCTGTCAGACTTTGCCACGAGGGAATCATTTTAATATCCTACCTATAGCTGGAAGCATGTCAGCAAGTGGCTTAAGGTGGAAGACTCTGATTGACCAGTCATGTCGTCGATACGACCTCCGACGGTGGAAAAATATCTTAGTACGCATCCTTCCAAGAGAAAAGCAACGCTAGGAAGCACGAGCTCCCTTGGGTTTTCGTATGGAATGTGTGTGGAAGATACGTATCATCCTAGAACAGGCAACTGGACCTGGATTCGGCCGCGAAAGCACGAGGTAGCATTGCACTCTATGTGCTGCAGCAGTACATGCGGATTAGGTCGTAGTAAAGTCCCTTACGGTCGATAAGAGCCGACATACAATTGCTGATCCTGCAACCGAAATTTTCGAAGATCCTTTCAAGGTTCTCTTTCAACAGTTTGTGTTCTGTGTAGCGATCCTTCGAGATTATGTTGACAATACATTGAGGATTGGGCGGTCCGTTCACGGAGTTCGTGCATGTATATGTGTATGTATCCGATGAATCCAACCAACCTCCCCAATATTGTTTCCGATCCCCTCTTGAAGATGCATAAAATAATGATGAAGTGGCTTCTTCATTTTCGATGTTTAAGCGGCTCGGATCTAATCTAGATCGGTCCGCTCTACATGGAGCGATGTGTAGTGAGATCTTCCTAATGTATGTAGGAAGGGAACAAGACGATTCCCGCAGTCCCATAGGCCGTGCCGCACCGCTACATGGCACTAAAAAGTAGCAGTCCCTTCCGCTGACATGCAGTAAACGTGCTTTGGGGCTGGGTTGGCACTGACGGAGGCTTATGATTACTGTTGATGTGTCATATTAAGAAAGATCGCACCAGGGCAATTTGATGAGTTCTCATAGAAACCAACCTATATGCATTGCTACTAAATTACGATAGTTGGCACCTATATTATTCGCCGGACGTAATAATTAGCCGTGGTGACCCAAAAGACCGTTAGAGGCTATTAAACAAGTGTTACCATCCACACTGTTCAAGGCACTCTAATAAATTCAGTTGTACTCGCACGATATGTAGTAGTAATTCAATACGCAAGGGGCAAGATCGGACAATGAAACCACGTTTAGACTACCGAAAACAGGGAGCACTAGTTATCAACGTCTCATCGACACTCCGAGTCAGGAACCCTTATGTCCATCGAATTCTAAGTATTCCATTATGCCATGCCTTAAACGCCTAGCCATGCCTAAACACACCCCACTCCCCATACTCTCATAGCGTCGTGATATCGTATGCCTTTATAATGTAATATTTAGTAGGTAATCAAGCCTTCGACTCATCCCAATCCGACCAGCGTTTCACCACCTCATCCACCATCGCAATACTCTTTTTATTCGCATCGATCTCGAACCACTCCCTATGCGCCTTTCCACAGACATCGCAATTCGCCCGATCACTAACCCGTAACCCCGCACCCGCGAGCTCAAGATGGATAAGGCGTTCGACTTTATGACTATGCGGCATCTTGCGTGGCGTCGAGGGTTGACTCGACGAGATATAGGGATAGTACCGGATTAGTGAGAGGTTGTATCCGCACTGGCGTGTCCATTCGTTTAACCGTCGTTGTACGTTTGACGCTCGACCAATTTTTAACAGGATTTTCTTAGCTGATCCGTTCTTCCCGGTCTTACTCTCCTTCACGGCAAATGATTCCAGTACATCGCTCGTTCGTCGTTGACGACCATCGGGACGTGGTGGCGCGAGGAGCGATCGCGCGGCTTCGGCGGGAGGGGTTGATGGTTGTGATTCGGGTGTTAACCAAAATATGTATATGTAACCCGGCTCATCTTGCTGCGACACGGGTTTCGCTAGTTCGGCCATAAGCAGCGAAGCTGTCTGAGGTAACGCTGTCGGTGGGATTAACGATAGGTACTGCGATGTCTGTGATTGCTGCGACATTTTGGATGAGGGTCGCTTCGAAGAGTCGGTGCTCGGTCGGGGATGCGCGGACGGGATCGATAAGTGCTGGCTCGCGGGTGGTCTAGAAGAGGTAGGTTTCGCGGGTGCGGCTTGTAACGGTCGAGGTTGCGGTCGAGAAGGACGTTCTTCTTCTTCAATTTCAGGAATCGTAAAACAACAGCAAAAAGTTGATTCCTTCTTCACCTTCGAGTTTCGCCTATGCGGTTGTGAGATTTTCTCGTTGTATCGATCGTCACCATGTTTTGCCGGCTTCGTAGAGTTATGTCCTGGTTTCTTTCCCTGCTGTTGTGCCTCGATTATACCAAGTCGACCGAAGAGAGTATCCAAACTATCGCGAGATTCGAGAATAGGTGTACAATCCTTTCTTGGTCCTGGGCTGGATTTCGCAGATAAACTCGCTTGGTCTTTATGTTGCCAACAGTATAGATTAGGATTACTCGGATCGTCTACGCGCAGTCTACCGACTTTGGTTCGAGGAATGCCAGGTGAGGATCCTGGGGATGAATTCAAGTCGCGTCGACAAGGTCGCCCTCCTGAAGTAATACCTCGACATGTTGTAGCTGGGTTCTTGGAGTCGGATCGGCCTAGTAAAGACTCGGGAGTACCAGGAATGAATGGCATTGTCCTCGAGCAGTTGGTTATCGAATAGTTATTTCGTTTCCCGTAATTCCCCTTGGGTAAGTCAAACGAAGATTGCTGTGACGATAAAGAGCGTAACCTAAATACACTGACAATAGAATAAAGAAGGAATGAGAGTAAATAGAATGGTTTTCCCGGCAAAGCCTGGGTTAAGTCAATACCTTTATTTTATTCATTACGATGAGTTTGTTATTCACAACTCATCACTCGTTAAGAGTGAGTTGGTGACCTTTGACAAGTAACACTAAGCATTCACAGCCTAGAGTTAGTACCTGTCAAACCTGTCAAGCCCACTAAATGTACCTAATATTATAGGTACATATAGAAGTAAAGAATGGTAGTGAGTCGACACACCCCTCCATAGCCCTAGATAATCCCCATATTGAGTTAATTTATTAAGAATGATTGGTTGAGAGTTGCTAGTGTCTCAAACATCTGCAGGCTAACCGGAAGCTAGCATGTTTGAATGGGGCTGGCGCACCGCAAGTTTGCATTTGGAGGACTCCGACCGTGGCTTAATTCATTGGATCTCGATATTTCGACAGTGCTGTATGGCTGAGTTGTGGCTGAATCACATCGGTTCCCCCACCCTTGTCCCTTTTTTTTACCCCTGACTCTTCCACGTGTAACCCCCAAATCTTTCCAAGTCACCCATCCACGATACATCCGTCATACCATTGTCGACACCCGAAAGCCTTATTTCATTTTCGATTTTTCTGAAGTCGAGAAAAATTCAAATGAGGTTTGTAACTGGTAGGAAGAGATTATTATATAATTTTTCTTATCTTACATTTTATCTGATAATTTCCACCAGGAATGGTCCGAGCTGCCGAGAAGCCGAGGCTCTCATCATCGTGAAGAATAAACAAACCCATACCTTATCACAAGTGTGGATCGCCTCATATGCTTTCAAGGTGTAACCCCAGCCCACCGAGTTATTATGTTATCATGTGTCGACCCACCGATACATTCGTCCAATATCGGATCACGCACTCGATCATCCAGTTATTCGAAATTGATATCGACAGATTAAGCCTTTGCCGAGGAACTATTGCTTCGATGTCATCATTATTTCCCATTTCGTAATACTCATCAATACATCAGCAAGCCATACAAATATGAATGTCACATGCAACTCTATTGACAAACCAGTCAGTCGAAGAGAATATATCCAGAAGGGTATTTTGAAGATTAAAAGTAACTATCGAAATATCCACTATCTTTTGAATCTCAAACTACCTAGGTAGAGAGGTGATTCTAATCTATGCTACCGAATTCGAAGACATCCAGCGCCCGTGACAATCTCTCCCAAGCCAAGGGAAGAAAGTACCTTCTATTCCCAATAATATACAGTAAATCCCTCAACAATTAAGTGAAGTTTTACACATCTCCTTTCCCGGGCTCCGGCTTCTTCCTCACATCGATCCAACCGAACCCCCACGACGCCACAAAACTTAGGGACGCAGCAGCGATCAGCAAGTAACATACCGTATCGAAGCTATTGGCGAAGGCCTGGATAACGCCAGCCAACTCCGGACTTCCCGGTGGCGCCAATGCGCGCACTGCTTCTGCACTACCACCAGCCGCCAGAGCTGCAGCCGGACTGACGGATGGTGCCAACGCTGTGATCTGCTTGACTAGAGACTGTGTGAAGATGGTGTTACCTACTACAGAGAAGACGGCTGTCGAGATGTTTTGGCAGAAGATGAGAAATGCGATGCCCAATGCGCCCTGAGCCGGTGGTAGGACATTTTGAAGTGTGATTACGCCGGCTTGTAAACCACAACCACGGACACCGTACAGGATCTGATAACCGACCCATTTCGCCGTAGAAGTATCAGGGCCCCAGGTCGATATCAGACCAGCGGAAACTGCGGTACCCGCTCCAGCGAATAGAGCCCATGGAAGGAGGTAACCAACTTTTGTCGCTGTTTATCGTTAGCTACTATTCTTTCAAGGTCTCATCCTTACTCATAGTAATAGGAAGTTAGGATTGATGGTTTGAGTGGCTTTACCTAGAGATCCAGAGATAAGGACGAACAGAAGTCCAGACAAAATACCAGGCAACATATACACACCACTCAATGTCGGCCCCACGCCCTTAACGGACTGGAAGTAGATCGGGAAGAACTGGCCACCAACAAAGACGCTTGTGGTTAGAGAAGCGAATTGAATGCTGCTAACCCACACATACCGCTGCCTAACCATCGAAAGCGGTATCATGGCTTCGGCACCCTGGCGATGCTCCCAATACAAGAAAATCGGGAATGCAACACCCGCGCCCACGAACAGACCAATTACCGTCGACGAGTTCCAGGGGTAGTCGGAGGATCCGAATTGTAAGGCCAACAGGAACATGACGGCGCAAGGGGCGAAGATGGCGAAACCGAGGAGATCGAGTTGAGGGATAACCTTGCGCAGGAGCGAGAATGAGACCTGCGGTTTCTTTATTTGGTCCGGCGCGTGTAGTAGGGCGAGAAAGAGACCAGCGACGCCGCCGAGTGGAAGGTTGATGTAGAAGCACCAGCGCCAGGTCACGTATTGCGTGAAGACACCTCCGATTAGGGGTCCAACGATCAGGCCGAGTTGTCCAACTATCGCGCGCAGACGTCAGCATCAGCATATCAATAAAGGCAAAGGCAAAAAGGGGAAGAACTTACAAGCCATCATAAACGCCATATAAAACGGCCTACTCTCCAAGGGTACCGCACCCGCAATAACCGTCAAACCACCGTTCTGCAAACCGGAACCCCCGAGACCCGCGACCGCGCGGCCGATGATGAACATAACTGATGATTTAGAGACGGCGCAGATGAGAGAGCCAACCTCGAAGATGAAAAAGAAGAATAGGAATACCCATTTTGCGCGTACTCTCGTGTAGAACCTGCCGGTTAGGGGTTGGAGGGTCGCACTATGGGCAGTTTAGGTGAGCAAATGTACCCAAATTGACTGACTTGACTTCCAGAAGGGATGGTGATAGGAGATGCGACATACCTTGTAAGTTGATATGCACCGCTGTACCATCCGATATCTGGCAAGCTGTGGAAATCCGATGTTATTTGCGGTATGGCCTATAATACAACAGTACGTCAGCGCGCAAATCTTCGTGAGAGATGAAGACAACTAGGGGCCAACTTACGGTGCTGATAATCGACATATCCAGCATCTGCAAGAAGAAGAACGTTGTCACACTTGCCAAGAGAAGTGCGAGCTTGTACCCTGTGACATAATCGTGATTCTCTTCCGGTGCGTCCCCCGTCGAGTCATTTCCCGCTTCCGTTTCGGCCTTTTCTTCTGTTTTAGGGGCCCATGCTTTGTCTAGTGACAACCCCAGCGTGGTGCCGCCCTCGTCCTTAGGCGAATGCACGGTTTCTTGTAAGTTTGTGGTCTTCTCCATGGCGTCTCCTTCGATTGTCCGTGTGCTAAGCAGCAAGTACGTCCGAGTGAGTATACTGAGCGCGGGGTTGGGAGTAAGAGCAATGATAAGTCAGCCAAAGTCAAGTCTGCCGAAGAAACAACAGTAGTAATTGAACGACGTTAAGTGTGTGGAATCTCCAGTCTCTTGCTTGTAGACTTGACGGCCAATCCGGAGGTGAGCTAGCGACCTTGCCTTTCAGAAGCTGAGGAAACGCAATGGATGTCGAATATATAAGATAGCCCACGGCGAAGAGGCTTAAGCACCCATGTATACCAAATAGGCAATATAAACAGAAGCCCCCCATACCCCGTCCACATTTAGTTAACTGTCTGCCTGCTCATCCATGGTTCACTATCCAATATGCAACTTCAATCTTTAACCAACACACCGATAAACACTGCAGATAATAATTTGGCAGCCTGCGGTCGACGCAGAAACCGCTGTCTATGGGAAAGAGCTGACGGGTTTCCGCTTCGTGAGTTAGGCTTGGACCAACACCCGGCCGTAACCAACCCCGTGTCCGAATTCCGCTCGCCATCGTCTAAGCGACGGTACGGGTGGGGAGAAATGAGTGGTGATTAGGAGATTTTCTAGATTTCTTTAGTAACTTTACGGGATTCAATTCGTTACAGGACTTATATATACGTGTGAATATATGGTTGTATGTAGACATGTGCGTCTTGGCGTGACACTGAGAAGTAACATTGTAGATTTGTAACAATGGTGAGGGTCGCGTATAGTACTTACCTGGGTACACGGGAGTGTCATAAAGTATCATGCATGAAACGCGTGCGAGAAGCCGTGTAGGCAAGGTACGGCATATCGTACAGCATGAATGTCGTGACCCGGTCCGAATCTTGAAAGTCTCGGACGGTGCTCTGATGCTCCGGAATTGAGTGATATTTTTAGTAATTAATGGAAGCCTGGTACTACGTAGGATTGCATGAGCCGGAGTTCGAAAATATGTGACGGGATCATTAGGTAATACTGGCTGAGCTAGCCACGAGCATCCTAGGTCTTGTTGGTGATGGCGTCGCTTATACCCACTACACGCAAGACGTTGTTCCACAATTAAGCGATCGCTATCCATCCCCATATCTCTTGTTTGATACTCAAGCACGTATATGTCCAGAAGTATTGGGTGAGGCACGCCCCCCGTCAGGTCAGAATATTACATTGAATTGAAATTGATTTTGTATCGCCCCGAAAGAATGAATGATGCTATTCCCATGCATGTTTCTCTCCCCTCTACTCAATCCAACCGAGACGCCAAAATTGGGTATCCTATAGTACAAAGACGCCGTAGCCAAACAGCTACCTAGAACCAGCGTCAGATTGAGCCGCGCTTTATATGACGATAATGACGATGACGATGCTAAATCAATTCCCATTCCCCTCCCAAGATTGCAGCATATCCGTCAACCATGGGTCCTCTAACCAATCCATACTCATGAACTCAGGGACAACTGGTTCCTGGGGCATCTGATCGACCGTTGTAGAAGCTGCTCTCGGCCCTGCTGCAACACCCGCGCTTGGTCCCGTTCCTGTTCCGGATCCAAGGCCCGTTTGCTCAAGCGTAGCGCCCCATGCCACAATAGTAGCTCGTAACGCATTCGACGCTTTCGTGAAGTAATCCGTAAACTCAGGGTCATCGCTAACCTCCAACCCACACGCAGACGCTACCTGAGCGTATTGATTCGCCGTCCGCTCCATAACCGCCATCAAATCGATGCTATTTTTCACAATGTTGCGGTCCCACTCCGGATCGTCCACCACCATCAGTCGGTATAAGGTCTGTGCCGATCGGCCGAAATGAAGTGTCGGGAAGAAGGAAAAGCACATCACTTGGTCGGGTCGGAAGGACATGAAGTTCTCGAGACAGGCCTTGCTGGCTTGCAGACTGGTGTAGTATGCGTCTAGTTTGCCTAGATCGATACCACTGCACCCGGTTGAACCGATAGTCGCAGGTTTCGCAGGGTTTGTGGTGAGCCAGGGGCTGACGTGCCAGAGGGACATATCGGCGATCGATAGTTCTGCGGCGTAAATGTGTGAAGTGACCACCTCTGTCAAAGTATTAGTTACGAAGACCAAAGAAACCGGGAACAAGCGATGAACATACTATTATCTTGTAGCGACGGTGGCAGATCTTTTTTAATCGCTTCTAAATTCGCACGTAGTGCTTTAACGTATATAGCCGGCGGCGCCTTAAGCGACATGGGGTTTCCAGGAGGCTCAACCGTCCGCCAAGTAATCTGCGCAACTTCTTCTTGGACCTTGTATGCCTTTACCATCGCTACAAGAACCTCGTCTTGTGGAGACTCTGGTCTTGAAGCTAACTTTTGAAGGGAATCTTCCATATGGGCAGTCCATCGCATTGTCTGGGTCCTTAAGAAGTTCGAGATACTACATACGTTAGAATGCTAGTCATCTTCAGATGCACGCTAGACGATCATTGGACATACCTAGTAACAATAATAAAACAGGCTAAGGTAGCCCTCCTTTCCTCATTCGAGCGAGTTGATGAGAATGGTATCTTAGGGTAAGGATAAGATGGTTTGAAGCAATGAAGTTCTTTATAATAATTTTCTTGTGGTGCTTTATCGAGACGAAGATCCGTGACTACGGAAAGCGCTAGACCCGCACAGGCATTGATGTATGGCTTGCCATTGAAGTGGTGCATTGCCCTAAGCTACGTGTTAGATGAAGTCATATAAATACATGGATAGGTGAGTGAAGTTGAGTCACATACCATCCAAGATAAGCGAGTAGTCCTAGTAGTAAATCGATATTTCGATCTAGGTCTATCAACATCCTCTGGGCTAGATGTTCTCTGATTTTGTGACCGAGGGCCAGCTTTCTTTGTTGATTTTTGCAGCATACCGCCACTATATTCAACCATAAGAAGGGCCTTGATTGTTGTAATTGTGCGGCTCTAAATTAAAGTCAGTCACACTTGATGTCTTACATAGGTAACAATAAGTTGGGGAATTGTGTGGAATGGTTATATATAGCAAGGGAGGGTGGTGATACTAACGTTGTCTCGGGTGGTATGTATACGAAAGGGAAGAACTCGATGTACTGATCTCGGAACGACCGGAGAATTTCTTCTGCCTCGGCTGGAGAGACACTACTTTCCTGAGATGAGGCGACCGACGACGGAGTAGGGTATGAGGCCGCAGTGGGGTACCTTTCGCAAAGTGCAGCCTCGGCGGGGGGAGGGCACATAGGTAACGGATGACTGCCAGAAGCTATCTTGGGGATCCCTTGTACCACACTGATATTTGGGTCCAACTCCAGTGCAGCAGCAGCGGCATTAACATCAGGGCCACCAGGTAGGTCACCATTAGCAGCAGCGGCCCGAAAAGCGGCCACAGATGCTGGTGAACCACTACCGGCAGCCTGGGCCCGGAGTATCGAAACCAGATCATCGAGTTTTTCCTCTAGATGGGCGGTTCTCTCGGCAGCCGGACGTCTAATAGCGCGCTTGCGGACACTAACAGACGGAATGCATTCCTTGCCAAGCCGTTGGCATCGTTCGCACACGGCGCCGCCGCCGCCGCGGCTAATGCACTTGCATTTCGCCTTGGAACAATTGGTGCATGCTTGACCGTACGGAACGGACTTTCGGGATCCGGGTACTACTCCCGGACTCGAACCAGTCGGATCGAGGTCCATCTGGCGATTATCTGGATTATCTAGTTATCTATCCCCAGGTAACCGTAACCTATAGATTATCTGGGCTGAACCCCGAGTAAGTGGATAGGGCAATAGGCGATTATGGTACGGTACTACCACCTATGGTAGGCTAGACAGGTAGGGATGGATGGTATCACGAATTAAAGCCCGGTCGGCGGCGGTGGGGAAACAGGTGTTGCGGCATGAGACGAAAAACGATTTCCGTACCTAAGAAGCAAAGAGCCAGAGTCTTAACAGTACCTGCGAGTTTGAAGGAGATGGGAAACACTCGAATCCTGCCCTGCTGTATAAGAGTGGCATTCGGATGTGTTATATGCGAATCCCGCCGGGAATATGGTCCGTCCACTCATATTCAGGGGCTTAGCTGCGGCTGATGACTTATGACGATCCTAGCACTGCTTATATAATCAAAATGCTCTTTTACCGCGCTTTCATTGGCTGTAACTCCTCGATATAGAACAAAGACGAGTCATTCCAGCGGACGGGATTCGGGATGAATTCCGTGGCTCACACCTCCACCCCTTTATTTTATTCTCCAACAGCGACTGGATCTTCTACTCCTAGAAAATCCTATCCGGAAGAAGAAAACTATTGCGACTCATTCAGAAAAAATATGGAGTATTCTTGCCTGGAGATATGAATCGAAGTCAATCGAAATAGAATAGAAGCCTATTCACATACACCTTAGTCAATTTCTAGGTTTTAGTCGGGCTCATAACAGTGTTTAGAGTTAGATGCATTCTCCCTGTCACATCCAAAATTCGTTCTAGGTACCTAGGTATCTAGGTAGTTAGGAGGTATGATATGTAGGTCATCTCAGATAGTCAAGTCACATAGTCAAGAAAATAGGTAGCTCATATGATAGTGATATGAAAGAACAGTATTCTCATTGCCTAATCCAATCTACTTCTCAGCATGATTAGATAGGATGGGAAAAAACGAATCGCTGCGGAACCTCGAAGAGAATCTTTGGCCCTTAATCCTAATAAAAACGAGAATGAAGCTCCTAACCTAACAAGTCATACAGGGCTCATCGGGTCTCCCTCGCTACCAGTTTCAATGCTACCACTAGGACTACCACTGCCGTCACTTACAGCTGAACCATTGAGGCCGCTTCGAGGACCAGTCGGGGTGGGGTATTCGAATCCTGGAGGAATACTTGAATACCCAGAACCATCCCGAATATGTGAAAAAGCGGGGATCGTACTGCCTGCCTCGTCCTCAGCCGCACTGCTCTGAGTGAAGCCGGATACGTCACTGAGCATTGACGATGAACGACCTCTAGATTTAGTAGTTGGGTGTGAAGCGTTTGGCGCGGTAGGCTGCGGCACAAATCCAGGAGCAAGAGGTGATGGTCCCCAAAGCGACGAATTGTACAAGCTGTTATTCCAAGCAGCTGTAGAGTCATACGGCGCTGCGCTAGTCGTAGTTGGTTGGGCTTGCGGTGCTGGACCCGGCGAGGAAAACGGGCCGGGAGCATCAGGGTACTCATACGAGGTTGCATAAGCATAAGCCGCTTGTTGCGTATGGAACGAATCTAGCTGCGTCTTGAGGGCCAGGTTATCCTGTTCCTTGTTGTAGATAGCAGTTTCAACTTCGTTGATCTTGGCGATAAGATCATGCTCAACCTTGGCGATGTCGTTCTCATAAGTTTCCCGTGCCTGTCGGCGACGTTCGGCTTCATCAAGACCGCGAGCGTTGGCGTCGGCGATACGCGCATGCTCACCATCAACCTTGGCAATACGATTACTGATCTTAGTACGCTTAGCTTGGAGACTCGCCTTTTCCTCCTCGAGGGCCTTAATTCCTCGGTCCACAGACGCCTTAAAGCTCTTAAACGCGGCGACAGCGCCATCGTACTTAGCCTTCTCGTTAGTCCACGTAGACTGCTTGGCTTTCCAGGCAGATTTCAATGATTCGGGAATGGACCCAAGCTCCTTCAGTTCCGCTTCAAGACTAATGAGCGCCTGTTCGGCTTGCTTGTGCTGGGTGGTGTTCTGCTGGATTTTCTGGCGTAACTTGTCGTCACCCGTGCCGGCTGACTGAACTGCTGCAGAGAGCTTCTCGTTCTCCTTCTTCATAGCATTCGCCTTCCGGTGGAACTCCTTGCGCAAAGCCTTTTGACGCGCCTTCTCTTCGGCCAACTTGCTCTCAGCTGCAGCGATGGACGTCTTCAAGGTTGTAATGGGTGAATCAGGTCGAAGAGAGCGCTGGCCAGACTTCGTAGTGCTAACATCTACATCTGCCGTCTTAGCTTGAGTAGTCCTAACGCTCGTCGAGAACAAGACCTCATGTGTCGTCGTGCTGACGAATTCACACTCGTAGTTTGACATAGGGGTGAGCCCATAGATGTCTCCGCTCCACCGAGTTCCTTGAATGTCATCTCCCTCCAAATCCTGCACCGGCACCATTCTGGTAGGTTGCCAAACCGCATTGTTGACCCTGACGTAAAAAGGCTTAGAAAGATCGACCCTCGATCCATCCTGCGAAACATCGGGTTCGGATGTATTATGAAAGTAGCTAGTGTTAAAGCATACTTCATCACACCCAACATATGTGATCCAAATCTGTTCAGGCTCCGTGTTGAATGGGGCGTTTCCTAGGTTATGAATGTCGGTAGCATTCGAACCTGCGGATTCCGCCGTGGCATGAGTAAGTTCGTATTCTTTCACAACGACAATTTTTGTGCTCGCTAGAGCTGCCCAAAGCGGTTGTCGATTCCTAATCTGAGCACTTTGTTTTCTTTTCTTTTTTGTAGTTAACGCTGTTGAGTTCTGAAGAGAAGCAGTATCGCTATCCGGCGTTGAAAATCCACCGTCATTTTCCGCGGTGTATGACTTCCCGGCCTCGGGATCGGCGGCATTCTGAGCTAGCGTATCACGTCTTTCTCGCCGTAAATACCAATCGCGTATGTACTTAACCAGACCCTGCGTTAGAATATGAATAGCTAATATGCTTTTGACCCAACCAAACCACCCCGTCTGGACCTTATCATAACCACGTATAGACTCTAAAGACTCAAGCGGATCGTCGAAATCGGGGATCATGAAGCGGCTCGAACCCAAGAGATAGCCTATAGGAGAATATTTCATCTTGGTATGACGTAAAACGTGGGACAACAAGATCATGCTTAGGCAGATGAAAGTATTCTTCATAGACCCTCCGTCTCTTGAACTCGAACCGCCACCCAATCCCAAAGCAATAACCATTTGCGCTAAGTCGAGGATAACGTGCTGAATCGGACCCCATAGAAATAACCAGATCAAAAGGACAATACCATCAACGCAGACGACAGTCGCCAAAGACGGGGCACCTAGATTCCACTCGAATACATCATTAAATGTCAAGCCGTTGCTAGTCACGAAGGTGAGCAAGGTGAAGAGCACATAGATGCCGGACAAAGCAAGTGGGGGAATCTGCATCAAAATAATGAGGATAGCAATAGTATCCTGCAGGGGGCACGACCGTAAAACAGTAAGAGCGAAGTCGACACCAAAAGGGCCAGGGTCGCGGTGGACGTTGGAGTTCTTCGTAGCATTGACGTCGATCCGGCGATGGTTTTCTTCGGGATGGGCATTTCCGACGTGAGAATGATAGGACTCGGATGACGAAGACTCCGAATAGCCGCCAAGCGAGCCCCTTCTCAGCGACTCAGTAGTTTTATGTTCTGCGGGCATTTCGATCGTAGATTGTTTGGCGTAGCCGTTCGCAGAGGGAGTAGGCGGTGTCGAGGGAATAGGAACAGGGGGGATAGCGGCATCGTCGGCAGGTGGCTTCGCATTTCCGTTCAGGTGGTTCAAAGATTTCTGCTTAGGTACGCGCTTCCCTGGGCCTACCAAGCCATTCTCATGTCTCGTATCGCGATGGTTGTTCGAGGCACCGTGCTGTCGCTTTGCCGATGCTGAAGCGCGAGGCATACGCTAGCCGTAACTGCTGACCAGACCCAGAAGCGTGTTCCGAGCCAGCCAGTCAACCAAAGGCGACGATGGACAGACACACAGACACCTGATTCTATACCCTTCCTCTAGAGACTTGGCGTGGAACAACTTGGCCGAAGGCGAAGGGTAGAAAAGAGGTGGGTTTAAACTTTGCAAGCCGTCCCGGAGCAGGATTCATAGGAAGTTACCTATGAAGAAAAAAAATACTTTTTCTAGGATTTAAGGCGAACAAAGTTTTGTTAGAAAGAGTTGTTGCTGCTGTTGTTACCCGTCGCCGTCATGCGGGTTGCAGCTAGGTATTTATTACAACAATGGAAATTTTTCTTTTCTTTCTTTTTTTCCCTTAATTTTTTTTTATGAAGTTCGACCGCTCGAAACAATAGATAGTATATGTCGTAATAAATTTAAAGATCCGAACCCATTCAACCGTCGATAGGTGGGAGTTTATCGTGAATTGTTTCTTATTCGTTATGTTATGTTATATTATTCGGAGGTAAGATGGTAAAGTGGGAGATTGATCGTGGGATTGGATTTGATCCAGACGGGAAGTGCTTGGTGGGAGGAAAAGGAACAAAAAGGCAATTACGCTACTGTACTTACAAACTTGTGCAGGCGAACGAAAGCATCAATGGATCCATCGACACATGTACAACGAAAAGCGCGATCGACTAAGTGGGCCAAAGTACCAAGGTACGACTGTAAGGATCCCACATGCCTGCAGTCGAGTAGAAATGATAAGTACTATACATTTTCACCCCTGTATCGGAAAGGCGCCGCATAGTACCTGCCCTAGATACATCCATGTATCGACTTATGTACCTCCTAACCTTCACGTATTGTGCCTTCTTCCCTTAAAAAACTGCTTAGCCAAGTTGCCTCAGTGTATGTATGTATTATGAAATGCATTATGTGCACAAAGTAGGACATAGGTCCCAAGGGAGATATATAATATAATAGCCTACAATTGCTCATAAAGTTATTCCTTTTTAACAAGAATACATTCCGAGGCTTCAATTTTACAGCCTCCTGTGCAATAATGTTACGATATGTACGACACGAAAAAGTGTACTATTTCGGGCGACCGGGGGCGCTAAACTCGACCGCTAGATTCTGTATTTTCAGTGGCTGGATGGCAAATGGATCCAGGATTTTCAGGTTGCTAATAAAAGCCTAGGCTAGGTACTTTCTACTAAAGGTCAGAAAGGCAGGAAACATAAAGTTAGGGTATGTACATTTCATGTGAGTAACTTTAATGACTTAGCGTGAGTGTAGTACCTGACGCTTTGACGAATTTTGGTAGGTGCCTTCCAGTTGACACCCAGTTTATTTTACCTCCTAGGTTACGGTGCGACGCCTGGCCACATGTCGCGGCTGGGATTTTTATAGTGGAGAATGGGTGCTGACTCCATGTGTTTAGGACACTTGATTAGGTACATAGGTACATACCTACATGTAGGTAGTACATTGATTTATGTGGGTGTCAATCTCCGGACTTCCCATCCACCAATTCTTTTAAGCAGCTTTCTTTTTCGTCAATCCCCCATACTACATATCCATACTACTACATACCTAAGTATACTAGCTACAGCATACGAGGCACATAGCACCATAATTCATACATACGATTGATCCATCCATACTACTCACATCCACATAGTCCAGCTGTCAGCTCTCTCTTTATTCCCCATAGCATCACGGATGTACATTCCTACATGTCTGTATGTATGGATCTTACACCACACGTGCACCAACACCCCTAAACATGTCAAGCAACTAGTTGTCAGCATTGCAGCCGCTGAAAACCATCTTGGCTTGGCTTACCTACCTAGGCAGCTAAGTACAATAGGTCTTATGGGGTATTCCTCCTGATCTGCTGTGCGCGGGCGGCTGTAACGCGTTACTCGTCGGTATGGATGTGTTAAGAAGATCCATAGTTGACAAACGCCAACTACCAACCATCAATCAATAACAGACAATTGAAGATCTCTTGGGCACTTGGCGGCTTTCCCCAATTTGCTTGGCATAGACAATGAAGGCAGGCAGCCTAGCAACCTAACAACCCGGCACGGGAAGCACAAGAAACCCGAAGATCACTATACGTTACCATACCATTTACAATACCTTCAGATATGTCTGGGCACCGCGCGTCTTTTCATATCTCAAGATACCATGAGTTGATAAAAAGTAAAGACGCGTCATTACAGTTCCAAAATGCCTCATCATCGTCTACATATTGTACTACCTAAGATATTCGCAGTTATATCATAAACTGCTGACTGCCGGATTACCTACCAATCCAGAGTCCAAGCTCAATGCGACTATCAAACACAACCCGCTATAATAGAAATTATGGGATTCGATATCGATCGCGGGGTGGCGCATTATCTGTCGATACATTATTTCCACTGACTCGGTAATAGGATCTCACAGACACAACAATTAGACACATGTTATTAATGTGTCTAGCCGTTTTGGTACCCGCGGTCTTATTTCCTTTTGATCGTATCCATTACCTAGTTAGTTCTTTTTCTCATTTCCTTATTCGTTTCCTCTCCATCGCCGAATTTGCCCCTCTTCTACTCACAAGCACAAGATCTCGAAATCTTCAACGAAACCCCACACTTTATGGACACTTTATGGAGACGTTTGCGCAAAAATTATTTACGGGTGCCGCCATTATCGACATCTAGACAGCCTAGAACTCCGACAGCCCAGTGGACAAGACGATCCATACAGTATAACAATCGATATAATGACTCCGCGATGTAATCCACCAACGGCATACCATTTTACGACAGGCTTCATGGTATGCACGTTGATGAGCAGGGTTCCATTATATGTACTGTGATAACACAACATTATTGCAACGTCCATGATCACACCAGCAAATCTCCAGTAGCTTCATACCCATGGATTTAGATATGAGCTTGTTCAAATTTTTACTGCTTTCTGATTTTTATTACTTACCGACTGGGCCACTTATAGTAGTCTCTCAGCTTCAACTTATCCTCTGTATTCTCTCAGTAGCAATTTGAAAATAACGCCAAATACATGACTATCTCGGTATTCACATCGCTCAATCAGCATAATAGAACAGAAACCTCAATATGGTACACAACTACCATGACAGCATCGCAATAAGTTTCAAACAGACCTAACGCGGGGCAGTCCCTTAATGCCTCGATGATCATCGATGCAACCTGACAAGGTTCCTCTCGACTAGGTACAGTACATCCCATCCTTCTACTCCAGGTAACGAGGAAATACGGCCCTGTTACTGGCTGGGCCAAAAGTCTAGGAGCAGGTTCCAGGGCGAACAACGGCACTGTGTGTGGAGTTGAGCGGAGTTAGTAAAGTCATGCAGCATTTTTGCAACCAGTCAGTGAGCAGCAAATTTCAACTTGCGTCGTCGATCATTACCTATGAGGATTGCTGCTAAGCCCACTCTAGTTCTTACCTAAGTAATAACACATTTATATTATCTTCCACTAGTATGAGTAGGCCTCACAAGCGCCCCCAAATTTCGGTGAATTCTGTTTGGATATGCTTCATTTTTTCACTGTTAGCTCGGAGGCGAGAGGCTACCTAGGTAAATGCCCCTCTCTATACAAGAAGGCAATATTCCATGCAGAACAAAGGGCGTTTCTTTTGCCCTGTCGCCGCCGTGCTGACACGGATACAGCACGCGATTCCTTACCCGAAAAGCCTTTTAAATGATTAGTCGGTTATCAGATGCAAGAGATAATGACGGAATACGGTCAACCAACCAATCCAATCGCAGATCCAGCCAACTAGCCAGCCAGAAGACTTGAGCCTGGAAAATGTTTCACCGGCAAACAAAGTCGATCAGTAAAACATCGTTGCCCCCACACCACCACCATGCTCAGACCATGTCGTAGAGACTAACAGTAAATTGCTAAAGTCAATTCGATGGCCCTGTCGGCATTTGCGCGGCTATGAGATCCCTCAACCTAGGTACCGAAAGTAAAAATCCCTTCCGTTCTCATGGTACCGCCCTGCCACATCGTCTAACTCACCGATGCCATACTGTAGTCGGTTTCCGCGCGCCTTAAACTAAACTGAGACATACTAGTTGCTTGCCATACCGACCTATTCAACGGTTCAGGAACTTCTAACTACTGTAGGGAGGTCGTTCCGAAGGATATCCAGTACCCAGGTAAGTACCTAGTATATCTACTTGACGATACCGATCTTAACCCTCCCGAATCGAACTCCCCAATTTTCCCGGCCGTTCAATCGTCCATACTAGTGTACTATGTAAAAGGTATTTCTCACCGCATTAACCCCTCTTCCACCTCGTCGGATTATATTGACTTCTCTGGTGATGCCATTGGTTATTGGGTTGCACTATAGACATCGCGATATCGATTGCCTGCAAGCCAAGCATCATCGTAAACAACTTTATCTAGACTTACCCGAAGCTACGAACAGGTTTATTACCTCAACTTTCCTCATGACACATAATTTCAAGTATCTTTTCACTACTTAGTCAAAGTCATACCATAGTGGGGTATATATCTTTTACCAAAGGAGTCATTGCCGTATATAAAATTCTGTAAATTTGAGCAGTCATATCGTTGTTGTAAGTGACTCGTAACAATGCGCAACCACAAGAGACAACGTTTACATATGTCTAACATACCACTACCACATACCTCTTTAAGCTATCGTGGCTATCTCTTCCCATCATGTTGGTTCCCTCTTACGGCCACGGCGCGCTTAAACAGGGTGTAAAAGCGATCACATCCTTACTCAGATAGGCAGCCCGTTGTCATCGCAGCAAATAGTCCGGAACCAGAAACCAAAGTAATATACTAAATAACCTGGGACCTACATAGAGTTGCAGACGGGTGGCTTGCATGCCCGTGCGAATCCTCCCCTCCCCTTCCCTTTCCCATTTCCTAATATCCTCGGTCGTGGGTAGGTAGGTAAGTAATATAACCGTATTTCTCAAGTAGGCAGGTATGCCGGCATATAGGTACATGAAGCTTCATTCAACGTGCCCGTCGATGCGGGGGTTATAAGCCGCAAAGGCGACGGGCCTGCATGACGTAGGGATTGCAGACTTCGCATGTCATTGTGTGCATCGTGGATAGCCGGTATAGGTAATCCGGAGCGCCAGACGTCGGAGTTGGTGGTTGGGATAATTTATCTCGGTTATATGCTTCCTTAGTGAGCTACTCCAACTTGTGTTGCTTGTAGGATATGCGATCTTCATGTTAGAAGGGCAATCTTTCTTATTCACCAACTTGCAGCATCGCGCAGCGGAATCCTGAGAAATGACTTTGAAGGAAATGTGCTTAAGGTCGGTACTAAACGTCGCATGACTTCGTCGAAGGGTGCCTCCCTCTAATGATTAAGATGTTGATGTGTGGCTTCGTAGATTCGCTCTGCAAGACGAAGAAGTACTTGTAAGTAGGTCAATATATGAGTATGGGAGTTAGTTAGTCGATCCGACTATATCTGGATAAGATACGATTGAATGGTCGTAGGTAAAGAATAGCAAATCTACTAGGTATCGCTAATTTCCAACTGATTACTCTAATATACTAGGTGTTATAGGAGTGTTGCCTAGGTACTCCATCATGGAGTATGATACAAAACCCGTTATGTGACCTCATTCTCTTATTACCAGGTGGGCAAGGAAAGGAAGAAAAGAAGATTATACATTGGAAGAACGCGACCTGATTGCCGAATAGAAAGAATGTTTCTAAATCTCATCGCCATGACTCAACCATCATGTGTGAACTAGCCAATTGTTGTATGTACCTAGGTAGTCCTGCGGGTGAACTCTTAACCAACTCAATTATAACCCATATAATACCCATCCACAAGATGGTCGAGAGATTGATACACCAAAGATTCCGGGTGTATTCCATTGGAACCGCATTCAAATTGAGGCTCAAATCTTCTATGAAGCCATGGCAGCCTTTATTGTAGTGTATCCCAAACTGTAATCCAACATAAGCTGTAAATGCTCGATGAATAGCAAATAGATGCATATGCCAATTCGCTCATAGTATATTCCAAGAACACATCCAATTCTAGTGATGATCCCATCCATCAAACGTATACATACGCAAAAGCAATTCTTCAAACGCCAGACCCAATGCCAAAACCGTATTCAAACAATCTATCGCCCCATAATGCCTACGCATCACTTATAGCGCTTAGGCAAATACCTAACCTCCTTCGCGCAATTCCCCTGATCGCCCTTAAACGTATCCTTCGCCGGGACAAAATCGCCACCCTGCAAACTTCCTTTCACAAAGTACACATACCAAGCCTCATGTAGAACATTATGATGTCTACCCGTGCATTTTAGAATCACACGTCCGCCGCTAAAGTCCTCAAGCGTGGACTGGATCTTATCCAAAGAATACGTTTTCTTGTAATTCGGCTCAATACCCGCGTTTGAGAGCGCCCAGTACGTATCCAACATCTTGAATAAGCTGAACGCGCGCACGAAGTAATCGACAACTTCGAGACCGGGGGTGTAGTCGTCGCCGTAGCAGGATGGTGCGAGGGTGTTGATGCATGTTGCGTGTTTGTTGTATTCGTGCGCCCAGAGGTGGTTGTTGGTGCCGCTAGTTATCTAGTTAGTAATGTTCATCCCCTGATACTTGGATAGGTGGGTGATTTCGTGAGTTGGGGGGTAGATGTACTAGTTCGCGATCCAGTACCGGTTCATATCTGCGAGCAAATCCCCCTGGCCGTAGTGTTCTAGTACGTCGCTGATGTTTTCGAAATGCGGAGTCATGCCGCAGAATTGGTCGTACGAACCATCGCAGAGATCGGGCCTGTGTGGAAATAGTAGTTAGTTATTTGCTCATATTCATATCTCCTTACTAACGAGAATAGGAGCTATTCGACTAACCATAGCCCGTGTAATGTCCAGTCCTCCTCACTCCCGCCGACGTGAGCTTTCGAATCCCAGAACTGCGTGAGCAACAAGCGCCCACCAGGATGAATGAAGCAGCACGAATCAGCTACGGTATTATTATTGCAGCTAATAGGTCCATCGATAGGACATGATTGCGCGCCGGATAAGGGTTCATAGGGAGTTATAGAGTTGTCGATATCGATGGGAATTTGAGGGTTGAGAGCCGAAAGCGGGTTTGGGAGGTTGGATAAGCCGAGTGGGAATTGTGATACGAAGTTACTCGCATATGAGAATACAGAACGTAATGATGCTGAGGGTGCCATTATTGTGGTAGCTCTATTGAGAGCTCGTAATGATACTAGGTATAATGTAGATAGAAGAATAGACAAATAGGTAATGGTCACAGGCCATCGACGCTTTTGTATGTAAATGGTGGAATTGAAGCTCAGGGCGGCCTACAACACTTATCGTGACAGCTTAGTGGGTCTTGATAAAGAATAGTGGTTCCTCTGACGTTTGTGGAGAGAAGCTAATCCGTTTTAGGTAGGACATGCTGCTGTTGATTGGTTGGTTCGTGAGAATAAGCTCCAGCCTTACGAGAGGGTCCCTGGATTGTACCTAGGTAGCGTACGTATCCGCGAGCTCCCATTCGATGATTTTAATCACGTTTTATTTGCTGAAGTACTCATTCGACGAGAGTAAAATGATCACCAGGTCACTTTCTATCATTATGGTGAGTAAGAGTTATGCGTACTATTTGTATTGAGTGTAATACCGGAAACATTCAATGTTTCTCTAGCATAACTACCTACCCGGATACTTTAGGTCAAAAAGCATTGCCAATAAAATCTATGGCTGACCGCAACATTCCGTTGAGCGTGAGAACTTCTGTTCTAGGGTATCTTCCGAAAAACGCCATGCTTATATCCTTAGCCTAAACACCAACCATGGGTCATACTGTAAGAGGCTGTCATAAAACAAAACAACCAAATAAATAACATAGCACCAACGATGCCATATCCTGCCGTAGGCGTATCCTGACAATGGATATAAATTTTGCCTATACGGCTTCCCAATCCATAGCCTCTGTAATGAACTCCCACTCGTCCCCTTCGCTTGCGCCGATGCTGTTGGAGAGTTCACTCCCGTTTCCGTGGAAATGTTCGAGGGCCCGTTCGTGAGCTTGTTCGATAGCAGAAAGAATAGTCGTAACGATATAGTCGAGGTTGTAGGTGGAGAGGGGAGGCGGTGGGTATTTTCTAGGCTCAGCTTCATCGAGGTTCTTCCATCGGTTGCGAAGGTCTTTAGCTCGCTTCAACTGCTCTCGAGCTCCAGAAACCTCAAATAATTGTTTCAGGGGATTTCTGGGATCATCGAGAGCCGCTAGGACATTGGAGTGGTACCAGTGCAGAGGAAGGTTTTCGTTCTCTGACGAAGCATCGTTATCTGACTCTGGTTTCGCTCGAATATTTCCGTTGACCACAATACTAGTTCCTTTCACAACGATTCCGTATATAGCCATTAGGCGGACAAGAGCGCGCTCAATGAGCATATAGAATTCATGGAAGTCCAGCTTGAACTGTATCTCGTAACCCTGAACTAAAGCCGGATCTTTGCCGTCGCTGTCCTTGGCGAGGCTATATCCCTGCTTAAGGAATGGAAGCTTCCAATTGAGACGTGCGACGATCTTGAGGAATCGCGAGAATTCTCGTTCGGGCGAAGACTGGTCTAAGGATAGTAGCTTGTCGGGTTGGGAGGGGGATAACGCAGCAGGGGCTGATGAGGACAGTAGGGATTGTTGGCGACGTCCACGGGGTTTGTGTATACGGTAAGGGTTGCTCGATGCGCCTGCCCAACGAGAGGTTGCTAGTCCTCCAGGCATGGTTGCTGATGCTTTGGACGGTAGTGATGAAGGTAAGGGTATTTGGATGAGGAATCGGATTTGTATTATCGGAACGTAGCATGCTCTAGGGATTGGTTTAAGGTGAATTATTGTAAATAGGAATTTTCCTCTCCTTGTTGAAGAGGATACCCATACAGCAGGATAGACTGATTCACATATCTACCTAGGTAGGTATTAAAGTGATTCGAGGTCAGTGAGTAGGATCATGATTGTAGATAATTTAATTGTTTAATCTTGGTGACGCGCCCCTAGCAACGCGCCTAGTATCTCCCTAGCAGCCTACTGTACATTAGGTATAGTAGGTAAAGATAAGGAGATAAGGAAATGGTGTAACTTCGGAAGAACGAAAGTCCAAGCTGACGTCACCTCACAGTTATACACGTCTTCCTATGTACCTAAGTACTCAGGTACCTAAATATTGCTGTCCTTCCCAACCATCTTCATCTTAAACCTTCACATCCAATATCTGATTTCTTCGAGTGTTTCTTTTTCAAGGACTTTCTGTATAGATGGTATACATACGAATGATTTCCGTTCAAATTTTCATTATTAGGACGAAATGGGTTTTTCATCACTTGCTATAGCTAAGCCACTTGGATTCAAGCCCTCTGCCCGCGTTGATGTCCGTTGATGTCCGTTGATGTTTAACTGGGGCGATCCGCAAACCCCGTACCTGACTGAAACATGTAGTTCCTCGATGTTCTCCCGATTGACGGGTCTCAACCTTATAAAACTCAGTACGGATAACTCCAGGCGCTTGACTCAAGTTTCAACAGCTTCTGTGGGAACCGCTGACTAGCTCTGGTAACCATTGATTACTAAAGCAACACGGGCGGGTTGACAATGAGTAAGGCAAAGCGTATACCCAATATCCCTTATGTCGGGACAGGAACCAACGTCTCTTAAGATAGGTAGCTCTTAGGAGATGGCTGTTTCTTTTATATTCTGAAAGCATAAATTGACTAAGTATTGTCTTTACGAGTAATAAGTATTACTCTGACATTCACATATACTAACCCAGAACGTTACGGCTTCACTGTCTTTTACTCATAAGACCTTTCTTCGTCTCGTCTACCCCAATATCCTGTTACAAGGCCGGACGGCAACCCACGTAGAATGGTTCTAGGCTCTCGCTTCAGTCGTGATGTTTCGTTTAAGCAGCATGCCGTGGAAAATGCCGCCAAGCGCTATATTGAACCTATTTGCGCTGAAGACATACAGGTACCTTAGTATCCTTGTCATCTACTTAAGTATGACGGCACCATGAACCTCGACCATGACCGACTCTCTCCCCCATGCGGACAAATTCCCCGTATATCGGGATAAGGTTGACCACGGCGTCGTGCCGGTCATGCTAGCGGTTCTCTTCTCGGGTCCTGATTCCTGTCTACCCACAGATCCGGAGACTCCTCTCCAGTTTCGCCCGCCATGGCGAGATCGTTCGAATATTTAAGTTCGATCAAATGCTTCTCGACCGGTCTGTCGGATATTGACGCTTCGTTAGCCATCTCTCATACTCTATTCTCTTCACTCTTTATAAGACGACGAATTTCCTTCGCTTATTCTCAGTTTGCTGCGTCCCAGCATTACAAAATAAATCTTAAAGGATATTTGAACTCTCATTCCTCAAATAACTAAAATGCGTACCCGATCCGCTTCTATCGTCGCCGGCATCGCCGCCCTCGCTCCCACAGGAGGATCAGTAGCTATTCCGGCTACCGACCCCTATGTCGGTGATCTCAGAACATTTTCTCGGACAGGTTGCTCAGCTGATAACCAAGGGGTTGGAACTTTTACCCAGTCCATGACCAGTTCCTGCCAAGTCTATGCCACAGAGTTCAATTCCCTTTACATCCACCTTAATCCTGGATGGATCTGTGAGTTATCACTTACTTCACATTATCCATTTGGTGCGCGAGGAATATCGATATCACTAACCGATAGTTATTCTAGTCCGCGCCCACAACACACCGGACTGCCATGACGCCGGCATCGTCATCGCCGAAACGACGGCCGGATCATCCCCTGTTGTTTGCAACAACCAAACCAGCCCCAACTGGGTTGCCTACAGCGTCCGTCCCATTCAGCCCGGCGACCCTGGCACTTGAATGATTTCATCCGAGTCTTAATAATTTGATTATGGATTGCTTAAGGAGCTTGCTGTTATGACAAAACGGTTATGATACACGAAGACTGCGACGGTTCAATATAGGGTATTCTGGAAGTCTTTCTATGAATCGCGGACTACACTCGTTGATACTGGAGACTTCCATCGACGCTTCGCCGGTGGTTTCCGGCATTTATGAAGATCTATGCGAAGCGTTAACTGGGCACGGTGTCGATGGCGGTACTATCGGCACTTAGATGAAAAAAAAAAAACTTATTAAACATTTATCAAAATCAAGGATTACCAAATGTGTAAAATCATTCGTTATTCAAAATGAGGTAGAGATAAATGGTCAATTATCCTCGATACTTAGTTTGCAACTTGGTGACATACATAAAATTCAAATGGCGTTGTAACTTATCCACGATTATCGTCAGAACAGTAATTGCTTGTATTAGACCTTTTCTTGCAGCATAATGGTCAAGTCACGCCGATGGAAATATGTATGAGGTACATCTAGCTTGAGAATCACCTGCAATTGACCTACTGACTTAGATGTTGCGCTCTGCCATCCGTGAATCAGTGGGCGGTGGCCGTTCTTGGCGGTGACGCTTGGGGATACATCGCATTTCTTACCAAAAATAATTACCGTAACTCTCGGGTAACCTCACCCATCGTATAGGACCGAACGCCTCTAAAATGCGTCTATAATTTCCCTTGGCACCTTATACTGCGTCGAAGGATCGAATGGTTTATAGCGGTTACCTTCCCACGTTACAATGCTGACTCATGCACATCGTCAAGCATACTCAATAATGTCGGCACGAAGCAAAAGAATAGATGATATTTCTCAATTAAGTAAGTGACCGCGACCAGTGGATACTGTGATTACTCATGAGGATTTTTATAATATGTAAGACTGCAACTTGAATCCTAGAAAAATAACATCATTGTAACAGTACCACTCCCTCAAGGCCGTGGGGTCCAAGCCTTGCAAGACCACGCATTCAATCATTGGTATCGTTCTCCTCAATATGTCAAATGTTTCGACGTCTATCACCTGTCCTATCCCCATACCGCTTTAACAGTCGTAGCATCCGATGCGACTCCGTCTAATCTGCCATTTTCGGGAGTTCGTGTATCCCCAATGCGATAATATCTGGCAAGCGGCTCTGGTTTCTGGTTTTCATTATTGACCGTCACCAAATTGTGGGTTTCCAGCTCGGTAATGTCCCATTGATCACGACGTTTCCGCGATGGTAGCTTGCGCCATAACAGCGCACTAGGCTGTTCATTGTGACCACTGGAGGTACCTCGCCGCGCCCGTGATCGGAGTAGTGATATGGCCGACGCGGTAATTGGGATGCTATTCGCGGTTTTAGGAAGTGCGGGGACGCCTATAACCAAGAAGCCAGCAGCTATCTCGCCAAGAGCCCAAAGACCTACTATCCCTGTGTTGTAGATTAAGTCTGCGGAGTTGACGACTTTCACTAAATAGACTGTGCGGACGATACCGCAAACCGTAGCACTTTGCGCGAGAGTAGATGTTAGTATGAGATAACTTGTATAAGTTAACAGGCAAGTGGGGGACTAAAACTAACAAGATACCGACAACAAAGAGGAACGAAACTCCGACTCTCTTCGCTTTTGACATGTGTAGATTCCAGATCACCCATTGGGGCAAGACGAGAATTGCGATGTCTGAAGCAAGGTTGAATACACCCGATGTGAAATTGCTAGTATTAGCATCCACAGGGCATGTGCCACCTTCGAACAAGGGATCCCAGATCTTCTGGCGCGGCGAGCAGCGGAAGATTTCAAGGAGTGTTCCAGAAACATAGAACACAATGTTACTCCATATCAAAACGTGGATCGTCCAGAAGATAGCATTGCGCTGCCCCTTAGGGACGAATACTTGCAGCCAGTCTATTAGGATAGCAAGCTTGAGGAACATTATACTTAAGCAATAGAAAATAGAAGCAAGATGATTTCGCTGCTGAAGGTTAGTTTGCATGGTAGTGATGATAGAACGGTACTCACGAAAAGAAATAGCCCAAGATGTTTGAACTGGACGTTCCATTGATGAACCGGAACACCAGGGGAGATCGAGACGGAATAGTCAATATATTCTAATCCTCCAAAAAGACCCTTGACTAATATCAGTCGGTTACAGAAGTATATGAGTAAGTTTGGATAAGCCTACCAGTGCGATTACTAGAAAGACATCCTCGATGCCCACTTTTCTAAGAAAATATCTAGAGGTCAAACGAACCAAGACGGATAAAGTCGCTAGGGCCCCCGCAAGTATCACGATGCCATAACCAAGTGAATGACTACCGCCGGGATCCAAGAAGTTGGGAATGACACCGGGAGGGGGGTCCATGGCTGGACCTTCGAGGATGTCTGTCAGGTTTGAGGCTTCATGTTCGATGGACATTGCGAAAAGCTGGTGTCAAGAGGGACGGTGAAGATAGCTGCGTGAATCCATTTTGCCGTGGGAAGAGGGTCGGGCTGGAGTTCATATATGATTTCTATCACATTGTCAGATCAGGGCTACGACCTTGCGTTGCATCGACTTCAGTGCGACCCTTTGAATGCCTCGAGCCAATGTGAGGTTATTGGGGTTGATGGCCTTGCAGACTCACATAGGCAGGGATTATTGCAGGTTCTAGGATTTTTTATTAGTATAAACCAGTTGCGCATGTAAGTTGGCACTGTTGGGTGCATGTAGGTATGCTCACTGCCGCGGCGTGTGCAACCATCCCTATCCCTAGATACACCCCTATCAAGGTCGGCTTGTTTTGTTTTTCTTCTCTGTCGAACATTTCTTTCAATATTACCTGTCCATTAATTACTTCATTTTCATAATACCTATCATTAACTATGCCTAATCTTTGGCCAAGAAGGAGTGCGGAGGAAGTGCCTGTGGGCGCAAAACTTCTACGAAGGCTTGGAAGAAAGTCAGTAGTCTAATATTCTCATAATCAAGTCAAATTTCAGAAGCTAATGGAAAATACAAGCGAGGCCTACCAACTAGCGTTGTATGTGTTAGACCAGTACCGTGGTACCACTGTGTCTTGCCGCTACGCAATACCTTCAAATCTCAAAGACGCACAACGAGAAAAAGTCATAGATACCGTCAACGCTGCTATATCCGATAACGTGCTCAAACATCCGGTCTTGCAAGTTGGGATTGCGAATGCGGATACGAAAAAGCCCATCTTCGTTCAGTTAGATAGTCTCGATCTACGCCGACACGTTAACTGGAGGTTCATTGAGGCCTCGGCTGATTCCGAGGCTACATTGCAAGAACTAATCATTCTGCACTTAGATACTCCTTTCCCCAATCTTGAGGAACAGCCAGGCTGGAGGATTGTGGTTTTGCATCAAGATGGAGCCGACTTCCTCGAAATACTATTTGCTTGGAATCATCCGAACGCTGATGGTATGAGCGGAAAGATCTTCCACCAAAGTTTGATTGAGAGTCTTAATGCCCAAAGAGATAATAATGAGCTCCAAACATCAGATTGGTTCGTTCTCAATCTCCCGAACCCCCAGGCGAGACTCCCGCCGCCTCTCGAACAAATCATGGAGCTTCCGCTAGGGGTGGCGTATCTCTTCAATGCGGCAGTAGACGATAACAAACCGCAAGGTTTACTGCGTCTTGATCCGACGTTAGCTCATTGGGCCCCAATAACTACATCTTCCTACAAAACGCAGTTCCGTTCCTTCACCGTTGAAAATGGTGTTCTTTCTAAAGTCTTGACTGCTTGTAGGCAGTACCAGACCACACTCACCGGCCTACTTCATGGTTTAACACTTGCCTCGCTCGCCTCGCATTTGGGCGGAAAGGCGGCAAGCGGATTCCAAGCTGGCACGACCATCAACACTCGTCGATTCGTGCCTCCTGCGCCGCCGGGATATCCTTGGCTGGAACCAGAGAAGACCATGGGTAACTTTGTGACACAGATACATCATACTTTTCACCCAGAGTTCGTGGCTCGAGTGCGTTCTCTTTTATCGCCAATGGCGGGACCCAATAGGCCAACATTATCAAAAGAACTTGCAGAACTGGTCTGGGACGCAGCGGCCAAGGTCCGGCGTGAAGTAGCAGACAAGCTGGAGCTCGGCGTTAAGAACGACGTTGTTGGGGCTATGAAATTCGTCAATGACTGGATATCCCAGCAGAAAAAAGTGGCACGCAGACCCCGACAATCATCATGGATGATTACGGGTCTGGGCGTTCTGGATGGTGGGGGTTCACAGTCTGCTCATGTTGTTGATGACATAGGTAGCTTGGATAACGGCAAACAAGATCAGGACCAGACAGGTGTCTGGAAGCTTCGCCGCGCTCAGTTCGCTTTAGGTGCTGAGACTCTAGCTGCGGCGTTAATGGTCTCACCCATGACAGCGGCAGGCGAACAACTATGTGTTGGAGGAAGTTGGCAGGATGGAGTTGTTGAAGAGGCATTGGGAGAAAGGGTTATGGCTGACCTGGAGAGGTGGATGGGTGAGATTGGAGGAACAGGGACATAATTTATGAATTTTGTGCTGTACAAGGCCTGCATAAGGTTCGTGTAATGCACCGTGTCTCCACACCACACGTAACGGACCGCATTACGAGGCAACCCGCAACCTTATATCTCATCGTTAACTTTAAAAAGCGTGTTGAAATGTTAGTTCTCCTACATTAATGAGCTCGTTACTTCCCGAATTCTGAACATTTATTGTAAAGTTAAGTTGAATGCGACTAACCTAGAATCTATAGAAACGTCGATGGCCATGAAATGGACAGAAGGCACCATCCGATACAGTGGATTAGGTACTGTGCGAAGTATTTTAGAATATCGACAGTTCCCAGAATTTTGAAGCTAGCAAGCCTGCTGTCTTGGTTACCTAACTTAGCAGATGTGGGCGCGCCTCAGGTGTATCACTGGGTACCTAGATATCGCATTCATGTCTTAGTTCCTTAGCATTGGTATAATAATGCATCCCGGAAGGTACCCTAGGACATCCTTCTTATAAAGAACGTAGCGGACTGGCCTGCTTTTTTTGTGGCGGTGGATTCATCATTCTCACCTGCATATGGAGTGTTACACCGGAGTATACAGCAACCAACAACCGCCCGGGGGTAATCGAGTAGCACATAACTTCGGAATCCGACGCTTCTTTCGTCTTTGCAACATTGTTAATCAATAATGCCTAGGCAACAAAACTATCACACAATGTAAGAGAACCGCAAACCTAACGGTCCAATGATTAGGTACCTTCGTCGAGCGCGAGGACCCCCAGCCTTGCCGGCTCTTGATATCAATTCGCCCGAAAATTGCTCTCGCAGGGCCCCGACATCCAACATCATTCCTCGCCGCTTTATTCGAATCTATTGCTCGAGAAATACCTGAAATATCTTAGCAAAGTAAAGGATGGCGATTGAAACCAGCCCCGGCGACAGGGTTCGACACTTCCCCCGGTTGAGAAAGAAGCCTCATATGGACGCCCCTATGTAGCTCATTATTAATTACGTAGCCCCAGGGCGTTTTTATATTTACGAGATGAGACCTGCGACTTTCTTCTCTCATAGCGAATCCTCGTGAAATGGCAACGACCTTCGATATCACACCTAAGCAATAGGCTAGTACCATCCATTTTCTCCGAAGTCAGGTTTCTGAGTCCACATGTCCCGCAATCACTCGACATAATGTTGACCTTGCTAGGAATATATCTATTGTCACGGGTGGTAACGTCGGCATCGGATTCGAGTGCACAAGGCAACTCCTAGACCTAGGTCTCACTAGGCTCATCTTAGCTGTACGCAACGAAGACAATGGTCGCACTGCCGCCAAGGCCCTGCTTTAGGGAAGGCAATCTAATTCGAGCAACCAGACGATCGAGGTCTTGAAGCTCGATTTATCTCACTACGAGTCCATCACCAGCTTTGCCGAGCTCTCCATTTTCGTTTCATACCCAAATACTCTAGATTCTTTAGGGCTGTAATTGTTGGTGCTGAAGTAGATATGCTATATGTGATAACCAACAAGCAAGGGAGTGGTTGTATCCTGCCACCGAAACACGTCAATATTTATGTGCCTGCAGATTACCCAGTCACATAGGGCTAACAGTGTATCGAACCAACATGCGCCTAATCATCCGCTCAGTATCATCCCGCGAGATGCGGGGCGGATCAACATCTTAAACCGAGTCGCTTCCCTTGGAGCGACTGTATTCCTCAACGCCTGATAGTTCGATCTGGCCAGAGCTTAATATCTGTCATTTACGGGCTACTAACCAGCCATCCCCAAAACATCAAAGCTAACTTGAAGCATTATCATATTAGCATGCTAGGCATGTCAACATTGGAACTACTCAGTGCTATTGGAAGGCAGGGATGCTACCTTATAATTGGACTTGTAAGGCAGCGCCAAAACGAAGCCCATCTTGAAGTCGTTGTACTGACTTCAGCTGCTTCTCTAGTTTCTCCTGCTTTGCAGCTATCGGATCTTACTACATCCTCTTCGCGGGTATCCGGGACCTTTTCTTGCTAAGGTTACCGCTTTTTACGCTGGCTTCTACGTCGTCAAAAAGAGTCTCCATTTGAAGATGCTAGAAAATCACCGGAGATATGGCTCGGTGGTTAGGCTAGGCCCGGACCGACTGGTATTCAACACTGTGACGGCGTTTCGAGGTAAGAAGAGTGTGCGCTTGGGGCTATTAGTACTAACAGCGCCTTTGTAGTTATTTACCAGAGTGATCAGTCCGTCAAATCGTACACCTACCAATCCACGACGAAAGATTTTCCGGTCAATATGTTCACAGAGCGCGATCATGCTTCACACCTAGCTAAGCGGAAACTTATCGAGCAAGCCATCACTGAAAAGTCTATGCGATCGTTTGGGCCAGATATGGTGCGACAAATTAATACCTATCTCAAGCAAGTGATAGAGGCCTCGCGGACCCCGACGCCAGTAAATATAACAGAGAAGGCAAGGCACCTGGCCCTTGACATCGTTGGGCAACTTGCCTTTGGCCAGAACCTCCATGTCCAGACGAGCCAAGAGAACAGGTTCATCATGGATGCTATGTCTTTCGGCCACTACCGCCTCAACATCTATCACCATATGTACTTCCTCTCCAAAATCGAGCCAACGAGGATCATTAATTACATCACTAGCAGATACCGTCAAAAATACTGGCTCTTACTGCAGACCATGATCAAGACACGCATGGGCGAAGAAAGGAACGCTAGGCCCGACTTCTATTCCTTCGTCTCCGACACACTAGAGGCGGAACCCGACACCTTAAGGGGTGGTAGTATGTGGACCGAGGCGCTGTTTTTCATGTCGGCCGGTGGGGACACTGTTGCAACGCTTACGTGCGCCATATTCTTCTACCTGTCCCGCAATCCCGAATGCTACAGCACTTTAGCCCACGAGATTCGCTCTACATTCTTTAGCGGTCACGATATCCAGGGCGGTCCCCAACTGGCCGACTGCGTCTACCTCCGGGCATGTATTGATGAATCCCTGCGCATGTCGCCCCCGTCGCCATCCAATCACTGGCGGGAACAGGATCCAGATGACACCAAGCCCCTGATGATCGATGGTAATGTGATCCCACGGGGAACATTAATCAGTGTTAGCCCTTACGCGCTGCAGCACAACGAGGCGTATTTCCCTGACTCGTTCGCATTCAAGCCAGAGCGGTGGCTAGATACACCGGGCAAGGAGGAAGCAAGGAAGATCGCATACGATGCCTTCGGCGCCTTCTCCATCGGACCGCGAAACTGCGCAGGCAAGGCCATGGCTTACCTAGAGGCTAGTCTTGTCGTTGCTAAGACGCTTTGGTATTTTGACTTCGAGCCCGCCCCGGGAAAACTGGGTCAGATCGGCGGAGGTGTATCGGGCGCGAAAGATGGCCGCGATAGGCTGGATGAGTATCAATTATTTGATATCTTTACTTCGAGGCATGATGGGCCCTACTTAATCTTTCGCCCACAAGGCGATGTGTCTGATAAAGGACTGGGAGGAAATTGCGTAACCGTACCAGGTTGATAGTTCAATCATTCAACACAATAACCTTTCGTAAACTTAGCGCGTTTATTGACTATTAGTTAACTTTATTATACTATATACTACTACTTACTGAAGTTTTTATAGCCCTTCATCTACGCCTGAGCGTATTTTGAATTATTTACCTATGTAGGTAGTTCGCTAGTTGCCATTAGGCGGGCTAATAACTTCTACTAAGCGCGAAAGAATCTTCCTATAATATCAGTAGTTTCAATACTTAATTCTCTATAAAATGTTCCTTTATAGCCCGGGTTTCCGTACATTTTCCAAAGACACGCTCCGCCTTCCTCTCCCAAGTGTATCAACTTTTCATACTTTCGTGACAGTACAGTTTCTCACGGTAGCGCAAAGATGTCGGCAACATCTCAAGTTCCGCCCCCTACCAACGGTGAGGTAGTTGACGAGACAACGACAACAACTACCACCACTACTGTTACAACCACAACTACAACTACAACACCGACAATCCGAATTCAGCCAACGCCCGGCCCTGCCGGAAACGGACGGTTTTTCTTCGACGCGCCAGATGCACCTTCTATCGTCCTAGTTTTCAGGCCCCTCCCCATCTTTACCAAAAGCATCAAGGCCGACCGGCGCTCATCGTGGCTTGGACAAATGGACATTAAATGTAGCGATGTGCCCCTTATGATGCGTGAAGGTCTCCACTGGTCAACGGCGAACATCGTGAAAGAAGAGGGCTACGTTGAGGATATTGACCCAAGAAAGGCCGATCGTCTGGGTCAGCACTACTTTCAGTGCACCGTTACCAGGTACTGGTTTCTGCGAGACTTGCAAGAACCACCGCGATGGACCACTTGTCTACGGATCCATGCTCCCGATCACGACTCAGCGCCAAAAATTCGATTCGACGACTGGACCCTAAAGATGGTTCACATGGCTAGGGCCTGGGGCCTTTCGAAGAAGTTAATCTACCAATATGATATCAGAAAGCCCCAAGATTGCTTTAACTGTATCTACGATAATATGCCGTTAAAGGGGTGGTGGCCTTGTCCAAAAGAAAGGGAGTAACCACTCTCGTCGATAGGGCTATGATGCAGCCCCTTGGAAAGGTGCTTGTGTATTGCTAACACGATTTGGTATAAACGGTTAAACATTCAACATCATGATTTACAGGCGCGCTGGGGGCAGGGGTAGAAAGAGGGAGGTCTGGTGGGGCAATTTAGGGGGCAGAGAGCTACGGTCCGAGTCCGAGAAGCTATGTATCTTGACGTTGTGCTATTAATAGTTTCCCTTCTTTTCATATCCGCCATCATAATATTATGTATTGTTAATATCTAAAGAAAGAAAAAAGACTATAGGATAGAAAGCTTGAAGCACCCCTTTAACAACTTTACATAAGGGAAAACAAGTTGTACAGGGCCACTATGGTGCGGGGTTCGTTTGTACCTAGGTCTAGGCTTCTACAGCGCACTACTACGGCGAGTTAGCGCATATTTGTTGGCATTTTAAGAAGAGCATATTTTCACCATGAACACAATCTTGGTATCTTGCAATTGAATTTATTTTCTAATTCATTGCTTATTAGGCTAACAGTAACCCAATAATCATGCTATCCCTAACATTATCATTTCCGCTTATATCCCTGCAAAATCCAAACATCTTAAACGATAACATGTTACTTAAGCCTTAACCAAAGTAAGACTGTAGGTCGATAGGATCTCGTTGACGGGCTGGAAGTAGGTGGTACCGCCGCTAGTGCAGTCACCGGAACCTCCCGAGGTGACACCCTGGGCCTGGGCACCGGTGTAGAAAGACCCGCCAGAGTCACCGGGCTCGGCGCAAACATTGGTTTGGGTGAGACCAGTGACACGACCTTCGGCGTAGGTGACGGTCGCGCCAAGGGCGCGGACGGTACCGCAGTGGACACCGCTGGTGGAGCCGGATCGGCAGATGCTAGCGCCGGTGGCGGATGCGGTGCTGCCAGATACGGGTAGATTACCTGAGCCGTATCCGTCGATGTAACCGCTAAGGGTGGTTCCGCTGACAGTGCGGATGTAGCTCATGTCAGCGTTTCCGGGGAAGACTGAGCCAGAGAAAGTTCCTAGGGACGCACCGCTGGTGGTGGTAGCGGAGCTACCAGCAGTACCACAGTGGCCGGCAGAAACGAAACCAGTTGTGACGGAGAAACCGACGGAGCATCGGGCAACGTTGTCAATGTAGTAGGCGTCACCACCGACGACGGTGGCGAAGGTGGTGGGCATAGTCTCAACGGTCTTCACCTCGAACTCGGATGCGGCAAGTCCGACCTGCGAAGCAAGCGACTCGGCGTGGGCGGTGCTGCCGGAGAGCGCCTCAATGATGAGCTTGTTGGCAGCAACATCAACGTAGTACGCAGCGATACCAACGTTAGCCGAGTCTGTGGCGAGGGTCTTGGGTTGCTCGATGTCGATGTTGTCAAGAGCCTGCTTAGCGTCTTGAAGCTTAGATAAGCTGTTGGCAACGATAGCCGGCGTGGCGCCAGCAGCGGTGACCTCGGAAGCCAAGGCTTGGTCGGTGACGGCAACATTGAGAGTGGTGCCGTCCTCGGCGATCCAGGCACCGGCGAATGAGTTACCCGCAGTAGTGCGTAGCTGCTCGATGATTTCGCTAGCAGAGATGTCCCTGGAGACACGAGCGGCGGCCTGCTCGGCGTCCAGCCCCAAATCACGCTTCATGGCGGCTAGGAGCTTCGGGTGAAGGCTGTTCGTAGCCTGAGTAGGGGCACCGTAGGCAACGGGCAGGACGGCTGCCAGGAAGGCGAGGAATCTGAAGAGCTCCATGTCTAGCGTTCTGATGATGGTATGTGGGAGAAAGGAACGTTGATCTTGCTGAGGCTGGATTGTAGGGAAGATGAGTCCAGGATGCTGCTGAAAACTACCGGATAGAATGAGAACATTCATGCTCTTTTATATTCATCTCTGCTCTAGTATCGTGGCTCGCATCACGCTCTGTTGTCGCTGTCTAAAACAGAGCCCTACTTCGGACTAGCCATCTCCAAATCCTCCTTCCCAATCCGCTCAAATCCGCCCAAATCCGCCCCATGACCTTAGCCATGTTTCAACGGCATTAGCAGGGCAATTGTTTAAAAGCACTTCGAAAAACATCCACCCTGCGACATTATAGCAAGATAGGCAGGACAGTCCTGGAAAGGAACCTCTAAAGATTTCACATACGCCCTGGGCGGCGAGACGGCACATGGCCTATTAGGAAGGAGGAAGAAGGAGGTAAGAGAGATAAGGTGCTGTAGCTCCAGGTCGGCACACCTGGCGGCCCCGGCTAACAACGCCAAGTTATTTCCAAATCATACCTAGGAGGCAGGCTTCATCAAACTCGGCAAGCTGATTAATGGTGATAACCTGATAGCCTGGTCCACCTTATTTGTGGCCCACCAACCGGGTGATCGACATTTCCGCCCCGCGAGATTTAGGTGGCCGGCAGGCGACACACTAGCTGGAAATATAACGTGGGCTTCAGCTATAGCCTACCGATGATGTGCATCTCTGGCTCTGCGGAAATGCGGAATATCTTGCAATTCTCCGGGTGTCTCGGTTGTCGCTGCGGCGAGCCCCGGCTAGCCCGCCCTTCCCCCTACCTTCACTCCTTGTCTCCTTCCCTTTTCTTTCCCTACCGCCGTTAGCTCCGCCACAATCTCTCCGCGTTCTTTAGTGGTCTAGGCTCGCTGGAACTCGAGCAATCCGAGTGTTGTCCATTTACACTTTCCGTTCCAGATAAGTAGCCAAGACTTCCCAACACTAATAAGGGCAACTTCACTCTTGCTTTTTTCAATCCCCCGCGAAGTATCCCCGTTGTTCAGTCGTCCCATATGCGCTATAAGCCTTGGCTGCTACATGGCCGGAAACGGAAGGCACTGGAGAAAATCAGCAAACTCGCGCGCCTATATTTCTTGGCGTTATGGACGAGTCAGCCGACGTGTGGGAAGACGCCCAATTCATAATCTCAGCAAGCTCGCAGTTTAAATGGCTAGAGAGGAAGAAAAAGCGGCCAAACTCGTTAGTGAAAGGATGGTAAAGAGGAGGAAGAAAGAAAAAAAAAAGGGTGTAAAAAAAGCTGAGATAAATCAACGAGAGATAACACTAGCCGGCCCGGACCTCCGAACTTTCGGTGCATATCTAGTGCGACGATAAAACTGAAATTAATATCGGATATCTAACCGATTCATTGGACGGATTTAAGGCTGCCGACGCGCGAATGCGACTTAACGAGCCTCTTGCTATTTGCTAGGCGGGTACCTAGTTAGGTTCTACCAATTGTACGGGCCCTATTTCTATCTCAGGAAGGTTGCTTGCCTTCAAGTCTATTCATTCTTGTTGTCAGGCCCCCAAGTTACTATCACGAAGAGCTCAGTGAGCTGAATAAGTCATGACTACATTTTGTAAATGCATTTATACTAAAGCTTTCAACATAAGTACATTGCATTAGCTCCGTCAACCCCCTGGGTACTACCTCCCTGGACCAGGCTTCCCCGGGAACTCATTTCTTCAGAACCCGCTATCTTCTTTCACAGAAATTGGCATGGGTTGGTGATAAGAACTGCCTCACCCATACATTAAGCTTAATTACAGGAATAGACTACCTTGGTAACTCTAATTCAACAACTCAGTGGGTACATAGGTATCTAAGAGGATAACAGCTTGATCCAAAGGCTTGGCCTATTATCTTGTAAACATCTTTGTCCTGTCCCGTTACTTTCTTCCTTGAAGAATGACAGCCTATGTGTTCCAATACTAAATTGTTACCTTTCTAAGGTGTTGCACCGATCCCGAAGGCTATGCGGATATCGAGCTAATTACACTGTCGACCATACCTATCTTCACTTAGAGAATCCAGCCAGTGATCCCATTATAGCTCACTCGCCATTCTACGAATCTAGATACATGGTTAAGAATTCAGATTCAAGCAATTTATTTGAATTCCTTTATTACCGGGAACCTTTGAAGATGCTGCCCTTTCTTGCTAATACAGAGAAAAGCTATATGGCTTGAGTTGTCGGATCTCCTCAATTAAAGGACTCACATAATACGCACTAGTGGCGTGTAACTTTACATTCCCAGCCTATGAAGGTGGCTACACAGAACGATAATGAAATCAGTGGCGTCGACCACGAATTGCCGGAACCCCCGCCGAGCACAAAGTGGGAGAAAGAAAAATAATCAAAAGCAAAATAACAAGAAGTGGATGGGGGTCACGGGAAAGGTTGTATATTTAATGACTCTAATGATTAGAATGATACCCAAGACATCTTTCTGAGAGAAGGCTGCGTGACTTTTCTCTCCGGGATATTCTTAACGATTTTGTGCTTTACCTACCGAGGTAGGATCTACTACCTGCTCGCGCTTGGGCAAAGCGATGGATTCAACATCAATTTATACCTAAGCAGACAACCACTTTTGGCACCTTTTAAACCGGTCTATTTGTTTGGGGCGTTGGGGGCTGCATATATTTCATCCCCGGATACCCGAGCCCTCGCTGATTTGAACCTGTTTCGCTCTCTTACATGCCAGCCTGCATATGGTCTTCCACGGATGCGCATGGCCCCCGAGCAAATCAATAACCAATTAACACACCAGTAGCTTCGAAGTCATACGTTATTTTAGCGAGCGTTACTATGTTTAAACTATTTAGCTGAAGAGCTTGAAAGCCGTCATCCAAAATAAAATAGCCTCAAGCCAATGAATACTACGTCGTGGGCTGTAGTCATCAGCCTTACCGGCTCTTGATGTTGTAACAGGATCCCACTCCCTCCCGTCCTCATCCTTCAACCACTGCATGGCTCCGCGGAGATTTGATAAGACAACCAGGACAGAGCTATAATTATTCTAAGAAACGTAACACTTCTTCAAGGTTGTTGTCCCCATAATGTCTCCCCGTCATTTTTATCGAACGAGGGGCCCCACGAAGAGCGGCAAAGTCCTCCTGATAAATTGAATCTTCTATGGCTTCCTTAGCTAATTCAGCGGCATTGTTGCCCCCCTGTGCTGTGAGTTTACTTCGCCCCGGACAAACACCGTTTCTAAGTTGCTTGGCTCTGCTAACCTGTCTTGAATTTGAAACTCGCCTGTCTGAATACCGCCATATCAAACTCAAATTGCCCACCTACCGATCAAGCTTGCATTTACAGCACAGGAGCGATCAATAACAATGCCACCTTGTGCATTAAGGCCGCATGCACTGTACGGGAATTGCTAGGTCAGTAAATCTCATGTGGTTATTTAGATATATACGCTAATTGAAGGTACCTCGCGGCATAGTGGCTCAGAACGTGACCAACCGCCCTTGTGGGGTAGAACCAGCAGTAAATTCCACTTATGTACCTATCATGATTGCCTTCATCACTCTAGCTGCTGTCGCTGTGAGTCTGCAGCTTCTAGCTCGAGTATTAACGGATATGCCTATCGTAAGTATAAGACTGTGACATGTGCCTCCGGGATGTACTCTTCGTTTCGAACGCCAATAAGTTTTCCCTATCCCCTATCATGAAACTATGACTCTACTAGAGCATAAGGGATGAAGTTGCTGACCAACACTTCTCGATACACGTAGTGGTGGGATGACGGAGCAAACTGCACTTCCATGGTGCGTTACTTACCTAATTTCCCCGTATTTTACCAGCTTTTCGTCACGTCTGACTTTGGATCACGCTTTAGGTCACCTGTATTGCCTATACAGTTACTATGGTCCAACGTATGCAAGCCTAAAAAAACATGTTTGTTTACTTCTCGTTGTTTAACGTAGCGAATCGTTCACAGTCAAGAGTGGCGGTTTCGGCACCGATATATGGGCCATTCCAACAGAGAATATTACTAGCCAACTGAAAGTACGATACCTCCTCTTCTCCTTGAGTCCCTTTAACACCAAACACTAACAGGACTGAAGGGTTACTACATCCTAGGCATCCTCTACGTGGTTGCTTGTGTCTTATTTCGAGCGTCCATCATACTCTACTACATACGCGTCTTTCGAGGCTCCCAATCTAAACAGCTAATGTGGAATACCCTTGTTGTCAATTTTTTAATAGGTCTTCCTTTTACGACCGTGTCGGTTTTCCGGTGTAGGCCCATATCCTATGCTTGGCTGCAATGGGACGGTCAACACACAGGTTATTGTGTTAATGATAAGATCTTTACGTGGCTAGGATTTATGATACCCCTTGTATTTGATTTTTGTAAGAATGTCTATCCCTCCCCCTTTTCCTGTTGAAAGAAGGTGCTATCAGACGCTTCCTGTAAACCCTCTTACTATGGAAGTTCTTATACCTATTTTCAAAAATGAATAACTAAAACTTACTATAATAGGGGTCTTAATTGTTCCGTTACCATCGATAATGAAACTACAACTCTCACTGAAACGAAAAATCTTAATATTCATTATGTTCAGCACAGGACTCTCGTAAGAAATGTCCTAATACAAAAAACGATTTATTTTCTTTAGATAGACTACAGACTATTATTGCTAGGGTTATCGCAGTTACTATAGACAAGCTCACATTAATATCGATATACACTAGAATCTCAAACCCTACATGTATGACAGAAGGCCCCTTATCATTTGTTCTGTTTAGATGATCGTCTCCATTATTTAGTGTGGTCATTGAAAAACTTACTAACTAGTACACCGCAGTTGATAAAGTGGAGATGGGTATGTTGGCAGCGATCGAGATAGATCTAGGTGTTATTTGCGCCTGCATGCCAAGTATACCTCCGTTATTTCGATTCCTCGTCAATCGCTTCAAGAGGTCCGAATACCAGAGCTCAGACTCGCGTATTTAGGCCAAGTTAATAACGCAACCCGGCTTCGTCGGTGGGTTAAGCGATACATTCTCTTCATGTGCCTCGGGAGCAACAACAGTGGCTCATAACACCGTCAGCAAAACGGCCGCTGAGATCAAAGTAACCACCACAATACAGCAAACGAATTTCCAGCCCATATCGCAGGCATGTATTCCCCTATTTGAAATAAGCACTTTAGAAATGGGCAACCTGAGACGAGGCGACCGGAACTTCCCCCCCTGGTCGTAGCTCGAACGGTCGTAGGTTAGGTACTGATCACGAGATTAATAGTAGAGTTTTGAGTATCAATTACATTATAAGGAGAGGAGAATGCGGCTGTTACGGAGGTTCAAGCATACGTACGGGTACAGTCCTGTTGCCTCATGTCCTAAAAGAAGACCCTTCTACGGCAATGAGAGGATGTTAAAAGTATCAATCCAGGTATCTAGGCGTCTCTTTTTATTTTCAAGGGTTAACGTCTAGGTGGGCTGTCTAGGTAGTTAAGGGGGGCGGGGTTCGCTTTAACGAAATGGGAATCGTAGATTCAGCCAGTACCGCTGCCCGCCTACCCAGGTACGTACGTACCTACCTAGGTACTTAACATCATTCTCAAACCCGTGAAGCCGCTTAAACCTCCGTACGTGCTTTATATGTTCCCAGTTGATCCACAGTCGAAATTTAGAATCTAGGTCATTTGAGACGCATGGCTCCGAGAGAATAAGGCAAATGCTAAGCTGTCGTAATTGAGATCCCGAAACATCTCATTGAGTGTTAAAATTCAATGCCACTAAATTAGAAGATGCCACACAAGCGTAGCACCCTGGGTCCCATAAGCCCAGCGGCTGTTTTAACTTGATTAGGCATTGAGTTATAAGGAATAGACTATTAGAATATGGCTATGCTGCTACTTGGCTCCCCTCATCCTCACGGATGCACATTACTGCCCTGCCCGAGTGCGGTTGCATTGTACACGTCGCTTTAATTGACACAACACACTTATAAGAAACCACCTAAGTAGGTAGGTACCTAGGTAATCGATTCGACATGCCTATCTATTATAAAAGGATAATGATCTTCATCTTTTCGGCCAATACAGTGTTAAGTACTACAGGCTTTCTCCTGGAAAGCGCGAATTACTTGATAAAATGATAATTTACATTGGTAACAACTCACGAATGCATACCCAACGCAATATTATGAGGACTACATCATTAAGACATAATTTAATGCTTAAGCCTCGTGCCCAATGCATATTACAGCCTAAACAAGAGGTAGGCATTTGGTCGCTCTTAAGGTATAACTTGAAACTTGAAATCTTATAAATTTTAGAATACGGCAAACTGATAAGATTCCTATCCTTGATGTTTTCTCATTAAGAGAGTAGTGCTGAATTAGACCTTCTTAGCGGATCAGACCAAGCACCATGTCCAGCAGCAATGGAGAGTACCCTTCCGCGGCGTATGGCGCGTGGGACAGCTATAGCCACGGCCAGACCTACAGCCATGTAGGTACCTATTGCGCAAACTTGTATGAGTAGTACAAGAGCTCTTGCTAACACCATTGATATAGCCGGGAGACAATAACAGCACTCCTATGACTTCTCAGCCGCCACCCTCATACGGCGCCTCTTATATGGGTCCCTCATATGGGTCCCCCCAGTCCCCACCTCATTGGTATCATCAAGGATACTCCCAGCCCGGATTTCCCCCACACGAGTTCCGCCCACCAGGTTTTCCCTCACATGGATCTCCCCCACCCGCATTTGCCCCATACTTTACTCCACAACCACAGGCTGCATACCCTATACAGTATACAAACTATCCGGGAAATGTAAACCCTACACAGAATACAAACTTCTCACAGAACACAGCCCCTCCGGAGGGTAGAAGCGAACAGCGAGCCACGTTCAGGAAAGTGGAAAGAAAGGGGGACGACAATCTTTTTGGAGGTAGTACGGAAAGACCAGTAGAAGTGGATGACTATAAGAGTGAAGGCAGCAGGAACGTCGAGGGGAGTTTCTCGGTCGCAGCCCTTCAGACCTGGACTACTCGCCCTGCCAAAGTAGGGGAATCGTCTGCCTCATCCATCCCCGAGAAGCGCACATCGAAGTGATTCAAATCAGCGTCTATGAAACGGTACCAGTCGAAGATCTACTTGATTAACCCGGCTAGTATCTAAAGGGTATATATTCTTTCGTTCTAGATCTAGGAGATATTTACGAGCGTTCGCTACATAATTTCATATTGTCGATGCGCGAGTTATAACCCAAGTTTTAGTAATGTGACTAGAAAAGTATGAAATAGCGAGTGGTAGTCCCGAATTATCTCAACATCTAGAGATTGCGAGTTAGCGCCCTACAGTCTTGAGTGGATTTGTTGTAGCTGGGTACTATTTCTAGGCGCCCCATTTCGGTTATCTTGATACTACCATGAGGCTGGTACCTGGGTAGGGTTACGTCGAATTTCCGTCTCACTCCTAGGCCCCTAAGTACGTACCTTAGGTACCTAGGTAGGTATCTAGTACATAGTTCAATGGCAGCTATAACTCGCGTTTAGAATCCGTATGAGAGCTGAACATTTCGGATATGGCGAAAGAGGCCTTGTTGATTGGCTTTTAATAGATGGATCACCATAACCTAATTACCTATATTCGAACATTTAACTAGTAAAGAGCCTGTGGCTTACCTAGTACACATTCCCTTCACCTACCTACCTAGGTCCCTAAGTGTAGCAATATATGGAAGAACTTTATAGGAATGAATACGTTGTCTAATCAGCAGGTTACCGGCTTTTCTGAACGAACATATCTTACATGAGGTTCTCATCACTAGAGCGCGGGGACATAGAACTTACCTAAGTGTCCGAGTATCCACCTGGGTAAGTATCTAGATACCTAGTACGAACCAGTGGCATAAAACAAGCATGCTTAACCTAGGTAGGTATTAAGTAGCATTGCTTTACGAGTAATACAAATCATTCCGACTTGGCAACCTTGAACGGGAGTTTGGGATTTCGGCCGACAACCGCGAACCAAATACAATATTGGATTGCCGTTTCCACCCACCTAGCATTAGGGTGGACATCAACTCTCAGTTGACCGTTCCAGATGTTTGGTAGATGTGGATCTAAATCGAATCACATAAAATCATACTAAATGAAATTGCTTTGGTGATCTACTTGAAGCTGGACGGGGTAAATGATATATACTAATCGCATTCACTGCTTGGTTGGCTGAATGCATGTGACCGTTGGTCTGTTGTAGATATTATTACGGTCTCATATGCTTTGAACGCCCATGTGTACTTATGATGGTGTTATTGCTGTGTGATTCTAGCCGAAAACCCGTGGATCCCCGCCAAGTACCATATTTCCCACTCCTGATAATAGTCTGATCCAATCTCCCTGTCGCGCCATCCCCCCTTTTACATCCAGTTCTTCTGGACGTTAAATCAATCAATCGGATCCAAAAACTAAGATTATATCCTAGGTAATTGTGATAGGCGAGCCAGGTTATTGTCATTTACAATGAACGCTCAGATCACCTTAAGGACTTCACTGTTCGCTGCGCTGATACACCTTCGGTTGCTCTTATCCATTCGCGTTTTCGAAGAAATATTGAGACTGAGGCCCCGATTTGTTAGATTCTCAGATCTTGGTGGTAATTGTTGGCTTTGAATATGCGATCATCACCGGTCTTAAGCCCCCAGCGACACTGCCTGGGTAGGCCCTCTTGTGTTGGTGGGATTTCTGGGGCGTTCGAGTCGCTTATTATCAAAATGGCGGTGAACAAATGTTATAATGCATGTATTCTACAGCCCCTTAATACAGTCCGCCATGCCAATGGTTTTTTTCTATACCAGTTCAAGTACGTGGCGTACTATTAGGTACATATGTCTTGCACGCTAAAGTAGGTGGCTTCATTAAGATCCATTCGGATTACCCTTTAGAGAGGATAGCACGGCTTCGAATCCATGCTATACAGGAGATCGCGAAATGAGATGGCTTAGAAATCATTTTTACACGAAATCATCTAAGCTCAATGCTTTAAGTGGTGATTTCCTAGACGGCCAGGCATACACCACAACTCCCTTGACGAAATTAGGTCATTTTTCATTCATAATTTAGTTATCAGTGACGATAGAAACGCCAGTAGCAGACAGCATCGTTTCTTGTGAGTCCCGAGCTTTCAATAGCTATACCTAGAATATACAGGCCCCTTTCTAGAAGTTACACGATGTACCAATGTATTGCCCATATGTGAAAAAGTATTCTCTTCCAATAGCATTAGGTATCAAATAGAAAATCATGTGGCACAACTTCTGAGATGGAGAAACCGTTCTTAAAACAACCAATGAAGTATCTTACAGTGAAATCGGCACCCAAGAAGCTTGGGCAGCCCTGCACGATGCTTCTATTCTAAATTACCAAGTCCCGGAAGCCGGCGCAATGCTCCGGTGCAGATTCCTACTAAGGTTAGGTATGCAGCGATACATGGGGATTATTAGAATGGCGAATTAGATGCTCAGTCAATCCCCATTTCCTACCTAGGTACACACTCTATTAAAGGAGTGCTCAGATCGTTCCACTGTAAGTCATAGGATTTTCAAAGTCAGTAGTTGACAGGCAGTATCTTGCAGTGCCTTTAGGGATACCAAGCCAACCGAAGAAATGGACATCGGCGTACGCTACAGACAATCCTTTTAATTGAAAACAATTCGCTCCTCTCCACCATCAATGACATTGTTTCGCTCTAAACTAATAGGCTAGACAAGTGTAAGTTAACCAATATTTTCCCCTTCCGTCATCTTTTCTATCTATAAACCCAGAATGCTCCAATACGTATATTAAAGTGGCGTGTAGTATCTCATGTGGAATAGGTGAATGAGTTGCATCTTCCAATCAGCTTTATATTGATATCACGCATCTCATGTCTAGGTTCTTTCAATTCCCAGTATAGTTGCGTAACACTAGCTTCCACGGGGAAAGAAGAGAGCTTCTTCTGTTTTACCCCTTTCCTCGCCCCCAACTTTACCTAGGTAGTTATATCAACCTAGGTAGGTACCTAGGTATCTACCTAAGTAGGTAGCTTATAGGCCTTGAAGATCCCTAGGTCATTTTTCAACAATCAACGTATAATTCTTGCATTGATGAGTTTTCCTCCTACTGGATAGGGGGTCTTCGTTATCGATCCGTCTCGAATATAACTTTACATATTCACTAAATGTAAGCTACACAACTCGGAAACATTCATTACCTGACAAGATAAATAAGATATCATAACAACCGAACGTTGAGTTTTCACCCGCCCCCTCTATCATTTTCTCGTAGGCGCAATGCTATACATTATAAACTTAACCATAATCTGCCCATCTTCGTACCTAGCTGCACGACAGTGGAGTCAAGCGGCTACGTAGAGCAGTGGTCCCTCATGCATTTGCTAATATTGGTGGGGCCATTATATGAACTCCGGAAACGGGAGATATGGAGCTTCGGACGATTCCGGGTTACCACAGATCAATAGTATTTATGGCATCAAATATGATAATATGGATAGCGGTGAGGTTCGGAAGCAGAGGTCAGAGTGGGACGGACCGTTATGGAAATCTAAAGTATCATAAGATGAAGTTATTGGGGAGAGGATATTTACCCGTCCAGGCGCGGATAGCTTCTATATAAATAAATCTCTCCCCGGCCCCCCTTTACGCTCCTTATTCTCCGAAAAAACACACCGCATGTCTTTCAAACCCGGCTTGGGGTGCACCGAAACAGACGAGATCGTATCGGATTCGACGGAATTGGTCGAGAAAGACGACATCACCACTTACACGAAGCCGATGCTTCACTCATACATCTATAGGCTCGATATTTGATTCTCATACCACATTAGATATTTTTATAATGTGATGGACTACTTCACACTCATGCTAAAAGCCGACGCCCCGAATCGCGATCTGGATACCCATGTAGTCTACAAGGGGGTCAAAAGTTACCTGCCTTCCTAGCTAGGTAAGTAGGTACCATTTCGTTATGATCGCATTTTGAGCCACTTAGAAAACGCAGGCAGTGAAGCAATTGCTGTGGATATAGTGCCACAGTGAAAGCAGCTGAATATGCATACATACTAGCTGAAATGATGCTTGAAAGACGAAAATTTTTTTCCTGTTGGAGGCTGTACCTGTCAGCCTTCGGCATAGTTAAATTCTTAATTATCTTACCTCCCTAACAATGTCACACTCCGCATCTACCCACCTATTTAGGTGCACGTCGCTATATAATGAGTGAGATAATGTTTCAATTATATATGATGAAGGGTCTAGCGCAATTGTGTAGCTGCCCGATTCACATATTCTCTTATTATTGAATGCCAGAAAATAGATCATCAAAATAAAGAGAGTCGACTGGCTGAATTATGGAAGTGCTGGGCGCCATCGCGGCGACAGGCCAGCTCGTTGGAACCGTATTTAGTATTCTTGATTCGATTGCTCAGTTACGAGACTTCCTTAAACATGCTCCGGCTCGATATCAAGGTTGGCGAGACGAATTGGAGAGCCTCAGCGCGACGATATCTGGTATTCGTGACGACTCGTCGCTCCACACGTGTCAAGTTGGTCGAATTATAGAAGCGATGGAACCCAAAATCGATGTGTTGATTCGTTTTTGTGCCCGATACTCTTTGCAGCCAAAGCCCAAACTGATTAAAAAACTGCAGAGAGCATTTTCGGCTAGGAAAGCCGAAGCTCGAATTCTTCAAAACTTTGAATCTCTAGAAAGGGACAAGACAGCTCTTATCCTCACCATTACCACACAGAAAAAGGCGAACTCAGTCAGACATCCTCGTCAGAGCAATCGAAGTACCATGTCGGATCCAAGAAGAGAAGGTTTCGAAGGCCCGCACGGCTCGCCCCGTTCCAGTACGTCAGCGTGGGGGGGTTTCCCCACCTCAAACTCTAATTCCCCATGTCTCCCATGTCTCACGTGTCTCACAACGCTAACCACTTCCTAGAAAAAGACGATCGTGATTATTATAGAGTGAGTGCTAACTCCTATATCATCATTAGTAAAAATATCTCTTGCTAATTCTCTTGTACTTCCCAGGCATCACCTCAGGGCCATTACAGGCCCTCCACTGATTATACCAACTACCCCGAAGTTGTTCAATGTCCCTCACCCCAGCCGACAACCATATATAGCACCGAGAGTCCTAGACCTGTACAGGAGTCAAACAGACAACGAAGTGTGTTTAAAAACGTCAAACGAACAGGACACAATTGCCTTTTCGGTGATACAACAGGAAATGGAGTAGAAGTTGACGGTTATGACGCTTGGGGAAACGGCAATATTGAGGGGACCCATTCTGATAGAGCCGCATCAACCTGGACCGCTCATGTCCAGTCCCAATCCCAAGCCCAGTCTCAGCCTCAGCGAGCGGAACCGCTGCCTCTAAGTAGGAACCGTTAAATAAGGGACCGGTAGCGCCCAACTCAGCCTCAATGCAGGAAATGTTTACGTACATACACACACCCCTGTTTTCAAGAAGCGGTGAAGGGACCCAGCCCGGCGAAACGGAACGAACGCAATGATATCATTGATGGGAAAATTGGATTACTGCTTTCTTCTCGTGATGCCTCTATTGGTTTTAACTTACTTCTATTTTACCTATCATAGAAGCACATAAGCCTTTCTCTTTCTCATAAGTAGATTGATATGATCGCAATGGCGGTAATCTTCAACATTTCTACTTAGACATCTGGATATTTAATTCGCCCGATCCCAGAACAGCCGAAAGTCGCGTGGAATACTTTCCTAGTCAATACGCAAGCCACTGCTGTCGATCTTGTCCATATCACATACCTTCATGTAGGTTGCTATCCAATTTCGGAATGGGTGTGCCACCTAGGCAGGCTGAAGAATAAATGAAACGGAGAGATAACCAATTACAGTATCCAGATATATCCAACAAACTTTCCGAACCGCCCTGTAAGTTAAGGGTAGTCTGCCCTATCCGCCCACCTCAAGCCAACCCTAGGATACCTTGCCTGCTACGTGCTCACCTAGGCAGGCAGGCGATCACCTATGGCAAACCACACAAACCACTTGTAAGCCGAGAAAATGACTATTATGAGATGAGCCACACGGGCGGGTAGTACTTTAACTGCAAAAGTACCTATCACTTTACATCACGTCATTTCAGTATTTAACAAATTTACGCAGGGCTCTAAATATACAAGCTGACACCTAGATAAGCTTACATATCCCGGTCCGAAGGGCGGCATGGATGGCATGAATGTCCTTTCTAGCTCGATCAACAACACAAAATCGTGATTTGCTGGCAGTTGATCTGAGTATATAATACCCCTTTAATGTTAGCCGTTCCCTGGTGAACCGGCTTACCTATGATGTGATCCTATTCCTATTAACATTAGAATTGTAACGCCTATGTATAAATACCTTCGGAGATACCTAACAATGTCGCAAAACCTCGAACAGGGCTTAACCCTCCCCCGGTACGATCAACAGCAAAAAGAATGGATTTGTCGATGCAATGTGTCCGCTCCATTTCGTTTCTTGGCCAATCTGGATAATAGGGGGGAACCTGATCTTGCTACGGGTACATTATTATTTTCAAGCCGATTCCTGTCTGCATCCACTTAACATTATATATCATCTAGGGGTTAAAATAGCATATTGTCAACTTCCCACATGCGAGTTCAAAATCACATGGGAAAATAGCAAAGCGGCCGCTCGGGGCCACTTCAGTGGCTTCATGCAACAATCAGAGTTTAATACGGTATATACTAGAGGCAGCGGAAATCACATCGGCAGTAAGAAACCCTATAATTCTACCCATATTATATAGTATAACAAAAACTGAATGAATGGCCGAAGACAACTTGGAACAAGGCTTGCGACTCAACTTCCAAAACCTTCAAAACTGTAGCGTAATTATTACAGTTCCCTCAACTCCCCGACAAGAGCCTCAAGAGCTTCCTAAAATCAGCTTCGATACATTGGGAAGATATAGCGCCCGAGTCCTAGAAAATGGAAACTGGCTGCGGCCAGCTTGGGACTTTCTTAGGAGCTGGGCTACATTTCCTACCTAGCCAGACAACCTTCGCTTCCTTTATGCGGCACACTTAGATAGTACTAAAATGGTGAAAAAATCGCCAGACACTCTCGCTTCTCTCTGCAAATGGATGTAACGGCTTGGCCACAGCATTTGCCCTCCCACTCTCACTACGTCACCGACAACACGTACGGGTATAAGGTCGACCGACCAACCTTCCTCGACAGGAACAATTGTAGGTTGGTTGAAGTGGATAGCGGTGATGCGGACTTCTGATGGTGGAGGCTATATCAAAATCGTTTAAGTCAATATGTTTCTAATTTAACTTGTGTTTCTGTTATGGGTGGAAACCATACCCGAATTTCAGACCTGAATTCTCCTAGGAACTTTTCTGCAGTCTCTGCCAGTCCATTGGTGTTTGTACAGACTTCGATATCATTGGTAACTTGGAAGTTGGCAGCCTCGCTTTGAAACCAGAGTGCGATATTTCCGAGCTCGGCATATGCACCTGCAGGCAAATCTCGCGCCTCGGAACCAACGGAAGCCATTGTAAGTCGGTAGAAACGGATCAACGAAGTAAGCAAATTAGAAATAAGTCTGATAATTATTGACTATATCTCCGTAGCGAGCTTAAGTTTCAAGTTATCCAAGTGTATTAACATGGACCGTGAAAAAATTATCGATGCCCGTCGACTCTGTACCTCTGATTATATATACATGACAAAGTATAAAATGCATTTCCATCGTTTTCGTCGGGAAAAATCGCCTCAGTCTTCCTATCTGCTTTTATCTGTTACGTTAACCCAGGGGGCTACCTATTTGGGTCAACCCTCTTGTATCAGGAAATCGCATGCGGTTCTTTTCGACTCTACAGCAGCTGAACGAACCACCAACCTTACACAGCATTATCTTGTGCAAAAGAAATGCACTCAGAATCTATAAAAAAGTTGGGGGTTTATGACAGATTCATGGTCACTCGGAGAAAAGAGTCCTAGAAATGGGTAACGTATTATGTAGCTTTAGTAAGCTCTTGAGCAGAGCCTCATTCAGCCCACGACTAACTTACCCAATAAGACATATAGGATTCGATTTAGGGCAAATATATCGGTGAATCTATAATACGTTTCATTAAGTTGTAATCTAAGGTTCCATGTGAATTTGCCACGAGCCTTGGGATCAGCCCAACGCGTGAGTCACATTGTCCATGGCCAGCGGTTACATTGCGGAAATAGAAGTAACGAACGAAAGAAGACAGAAAGGAGGTGTGAACACGCTGTATCGGATTGTTAGCATCCGCCGTTCTTACCCAAACAGTCAGTGAAATTAACAAATCAAAAGCATCCACAATCTAGAAGAAGCTGCCCTTTTCATCATTACTCTAGTATCTCTAATGTACAAGTGGTAATAGCTATGGAACTTATCTTTAAGTATGCCCAATCCCGTTACCCATATATCTATCGCGATAAAAGGGAGGGCAAGGCGAGCCTTGGCAATAAGGTAAGCGTCAGCATGCGACGAAGTGTCGATCGCCGACCCAATTACGCCGAATCTAGATCTAGTCCCAAAGCACCGTGTTGATGGATAATCAAGTAGCAGCTACGACGAATAAGCATCATGATGCGGACGTCAAAGTTAAAGAGAAGCAGAACCGCGTTGGTGCGGGCTGCGTCTTCGTTGGGCTGCAAGCTAAGATACACGTTGGGACGCCAGAAAAATCAACGATAACTCGAAACGTAAAATTCAGAGATCACGTCGCAAAAAAGAGAAGAAATACCATCATCACTCCAGGTTGCAAAGACCCTCCCTCGATATGTCCAAACCCCTGGCTACTCCCTGCCAAAAGCCCATCCATCCTCAAAGTATGAGAAAAAGATTTGCTTCATTTCTCCTCGTTCCTTCATATACATGTAGCCAGTGCTAGACCCCTAAGAGACCCTCTGCGCTATAAACATCGCAACGTATCGCTGTCGTCACTAGTACGTAACGGTAGTGCTTAGCAACAGCAAATGCCTCGAGAGTAAGTGCTCAGAGAGATACGCAATTGTACATATTCAATTGCTAGGAATCCTCGTAAGCCAAAGTATGGATCTAGCCTCTGGATGGGCCACTGGATCTATCCTGGTCTGCTATGACCTTCTTGTCTTTTCGGGACTTGAAGACGAAATCGCCCATGATTTGGATGTGGTCAGCCGGGAAGTGATAGTTCGGGAATCCTGGGACGCGCTTGAGGTATTCATAGTCCGGCGGGCCGAGCAGTTCGACAACGTCTAGAGTATTGGTAGTATACCAAATATAGTCGATCACACCGGAGAAGGTAGGCGTGTAGTTCGTAAAGGTAAGCTCTTCGGGCGTACCAAAGAGATGGGCGTACGCATTACGTAGGCTAAAGGGGTGTTCGATACCATCACGCGTGAAATTGCCGTACGAATGTCCAATGAGGTCGGGGTGGTCGGGCGGTATACGTCCTTTCTCGAGTAACTCGTAGACAGAGCTATCTGCCATGGAATTGTAGTCACCGCAGACCAGTAAAGGAATATCGGTATTGTTGCGATATTCTTGGCTAGGTGCCGGTTCAGGATAATCATCAGTAGAACTGTCGTCTTCTTCCGTGGACGTGGGTTTGCTTAATCTCTTGTCGCTAAGCGGAAGTGGTGCTTTTCGTGTGTACCGTTCTGACTGTTTCGTAACGAGTTCCATGAGAATACCCGTTTGTACAGCCTTCACATCCGCTAAGAAAGATTCCCAGCAAAGATGGGCATTCACAACGATAAATCGGTTACCTGTAAATCGTGATTCAAAGAAGCAGTAAACAGCGATCGTATCCTTGGGCATAACGCGATTGAAGACATCATCGGCAGACTTCATGTCGGGTCTGTTGATCGCAGTCTGTCTAAAATCAACCAGCTGCTTGTCCAACAAGATGTACTTGTCTGTCTTGTAGAAGATAGAACATCCGTCTACTGATTGCTGATCCTTGCCAGTCATGTGGCTAACGCGAGTCTTCGGATAGAAAACTCCCTTATAACCATGTTTGCCAAGCTCGGGTGTGAAGAAAGTGTCGAAAGCGTTCATGGCGGTTTCTTGCAAGCAAAGAATGTCGGCATCTCTTTCGCGGAACTCCCGCATGATACTATCCTTTCGATACTCCCAAGACAAGGCGCTGGCAGGAGTATAACCGTACTGGGTACTGGTTGCGTACTTGTCGCAGAGGGTGTTCCACGACATGATACGGATGCGCTCTTTATCTGAGCCCACATCTTCCTGGATAGTAATAGGTACACGGGGGTTCGGGGGTATCGGCACTTAAGTACAGGGTTAGTAACTATCTAGCAATCGAAATTTGGGGAAATGTCTCGTACCTGGTGCTTGTTCCTTAAGTTGTGAGATAAGAGCCTTTGTGCCATCCTCAATTAACTTTTGCTTCTGGTCGTGTTCCAAGGGGTTGCCTTGGATTCCGAGGAGCTCTAGGAAGTGTAGGGCTCCAAGTTCGGGAGGAATCGTCTGGATCGAGTTGTTATACAGCAGAAGCTGGCGGAGAGGAGTACACATGCCCAACTCAGGGGGTAAAGTCGTCAACTGGTTATGAGATACATCAAGATATCTTAGGGACCTGAGTTGCCCTATTTCCCGAGGTAAGCGCGTTAGATTGTTGGAAGCGAGGTATAATTCGGTGAGGAAGGAGTAATGATCGAAAAGCATCGGGGAAATATTCTTCAAGCCCTGGCCGCTGAAGTCGAGGTTTAACCAGTCTTGCCTATCAAGAGCCTTATCGACATTAACGGGTCGGCCCCTGTCCTCAAGTTCTCCGTCTACGGCCGAGTCGGTTTGGTTTGTGCTTGGTAGAGCTGGACCGATGCCTTTATTCTCGTTTGCTCTTAACCTCGCAAAGTAATGCGGTTGATGCTGCTCGGTCATGGTTTGGTGGGCACGTTCGGATTCCTTGAAAGATCGAAGTTGCTCGTTCCAATGTTCGCTGTATTGTTGTGTTTGGCCACCTCGCGAACCGGGAGTGTTGCCGTTTTGATGGCTGCTTGGAGTAAAGGGTGTGACGTTGGACATAAGACCGGAAGAAAAGGTAGAATGGGTGAGCGCCCCAGATGTACCGCCATGACCTGTATGATCCTGTGGCATATTTTGGTGGTGTTGTTGTGGGTGGGTGTGGTGCTGGTGAGCACCCTGGGGTTGGACGAAGTTGTACATCATCTGGGGCGCCATGCCACGGCCTCCGGGGACGCCATTGAGGCGCGAGTTGTGCCCCTGCTGATGGCTGGTCCCGTACATGCCGCGCGGAATATCAGTCGGCTTCAGGAAAGGGAACGAAGGGAACACGGGACGGTAAGGAAATATCGACGAAACGGTAGTGTGTCGACGATAAACTAGCGGGGTTCGAGATATACAATTCGGATCTCTTCAGTTGTGATGTTGAATAATTCTGGAATACGATGGGCGAGGTTGAGTGAGATGTAGATGTAAGATATTCGGAGGGTTCGCTTTGTGTAGAGTGCTATTTGCCATGAGATACTGAAGAGCAGCCCAGTCGCGCCGTGTGAGAAAAGTCACGACGGGCTATCCAGTGCCACCTTTTAACACCTCAGGTTGAAAACTGAACGAATGGACGAGCGCTTAGCCAATATCCATGCATAAAGATGGAGAGTTTCGTCGTAAGGCATGGAAATTGTAGGCCTCCTCAGTCCGATCAAGTTGAAGGGATGTTGGTAGTAGATTAGAGTAAACCAGAATCCACGTTTGTTCAGCCACGACTGTGGGTGTTATGGTAGGAACGAACACGTAGGTGACAGTGGGGGACCAAGCTTTTGGTAGCCTCGTTCGTTAGGAACCGCGGGGGTCGATGAGATATGTGATCCTGAGACGGGGGTATATGGCAACGACGCGCAACAGGGGACGTTTACGGAAGTTTCGTCTCTATACCCCTTCCGAGCTTTTTACGTGGGACGATATCGAGTCTTTGGTCAGGTACCAGCGTGTATCTAAACATGGGAATGACGTAGGTTAGCAGCTGCTAGATACATGCGTAGGAATTGAGGTAGGGTTAAGGAAGGGTGGGCAGGTTCGAGTGCAGGTGTAGATCATGGCAAGCTAAGTAAAATAACGAATCTACTAGCGCAATGGGAACGGGAATGAAAGGTATTGTAGGGAAGTAAATGGCAGTAGGTAGATGTAGATACCTGGATAATTAGGTAGGTACGTAGAGAAAAGTGAAGGGAAGGTGAGCAAAAGAAATAAAAAGATTATAGAACTTACAATTGGAATTAAGGTCAAAGAGGCGAATTCGAGAGAGTAAAATGATTGTCATTTACGTTGTTGAAGCTCTCTTTCTCTCCCTCTTGTGATGATGTCGATAGCAGTAGAGATTTCGCACGAAATGATCCGAGCCGTGCTTGTTTCTGTGTTACCAAGTTTAGGGAAGTCGAGGTACGGGTGGTAGGGACCTAAAGATCAAGTGAAATGTGGTCTGTGGCGTTGGTTGACAAGATCGGGTAGATGTATGTTATGCCAGTGCTTCGATGTTGCTATCGACTTGCTCCAAGCTTTGGTCTGGTATGGTACGTGTGGAGGAGAAGGCAGAGATAGGTATTCCTGGGCCCCGGTTTAGCCTTGTCACATGACCAATATTGATTTAAACTTTGCCTACCAAAATCGCACCATCCCTTATCAGTATCCTTATCAATGAACCAACGTACATATGTACCCGACCTAAGTGCTCCGATTGGGTTCAGCTTCGCAATCGCAAATGCCCGACCCCGATATCCGCTGCTAAGAGCAAAGTTCTTGGTGCACGTACCACAGTTACATAATAGATGCAGCTGGAAGGTCACGTAACGCAGCCGGCCCACTTAGACTCAATTATCATATGATCCGTGCGTCTTGTTACTTTTTCGTTACCTTTTCCAACTTTCAATTCCTCGCACCATCAACCATCTTCAGATTTCAAAAAAACGCAGAACTCAGACAGCTCAATCATCAATTTAAGTACACCTTCTCAGTATTACCCCTTCAATATTTATATTTATTTCGAATAGTCATGTCTCAGACAATACTAGTGTATTGGCGTATCTCCAGTTCGATAGAAACATCACCAACCAATGTCTCCCAATCATCTCAACCTTCTTACAGACTGCGCTATATGAACCTTTGTTAATATCATTTCCAAGTTGCTAAAAGCTAGTTTCACTGTCTTAAGGGAACCTTCCAATTATATTTCTTCTATTAATCATGTTATTCCCGCTCTTTCATTGCCAATTTTTCTTAATAGAGCTTTAGCCACCAGCAAGGGATGCGATCCTTATAGCTTGGCTAAGTTGTGTGCGTTCAACAATTACAATAAACCACTACGATAGTTACGCCCATTTTTAATTTCTAAAAAAAATCCATTCATTCATCTCATCTGGAAGAAAAGAAAAGAAAAAGCAGCACGAAAACAGAATTGCTGAAGAATTTCAAATATTTATCGTGATTGTGGCCCTCTACTCTACATCAACATCGGACCGCCTTACCGATCAATTACCAACTCCAATAGCATAACAAGATATAGCATAACGTATGATTCCTTTCGTCTCGAAGGATCACTTGGTCAAACAACAAAAGCAGAAAACGTATAGTTCCAATCACTAACCTATATCGGGGTTTATTATACTCCCGATTCCTTCGCTTGACTGACCACCGTATCCAAATGCATCACTCAACAGAACTCGATTGATGCTATGACTTCAGAGATGTCACCCATCAAGACGGTGGGCGTCGCGCGAACGATGGGTGTGTCGTCACCTCCCCGCGGATAAAGCCCGACTTGTAGGGTACACGTACGTACTCCTTACGAAGCTTGATCTTCGGACCACTTCAGCCTCAATACTCTTGTCCCATGCCAAGAGTCTGGAAGCTGGGGAAGCCAGGAAGGCATCTTACTGGCTTGCCCGCATTTCAGCCTGATCAATGCAAAGCTGCACAACAATAAGCGAGACGCAATTAGAACGCCTACTATTAGTTTAGGACCTGGGTTAGGTTCAAGTTGCGTTGCGTAAAACCTGTCAAGGCTGCTGCTGTCAAACCTCATCGAACCGCCAACTCGGGGCGAGAAAGAGGAGCACAGGTGAGATTAGATCCCCTGCCAAGTCAATAGGACAATCGTTTCTCTTGCGAGAGAGCACGTTAGTCTCTAGCTTCCTTTGGCAGTTCGACAACGTTCTCTTGTGGAGTTTTGCCAGACCGCCGGAGTTGAATCGCATCAAACACAAGGAATGGCTGTACAAGGACAAATCTTCCCGCCTTCAAGGCCGTATTCTCGGGGGCTAGAGTCTAGGTCGTCTGAGTTGGACCAATTACCTGGGACTCGATATCCGACCCTAGGGCATTCCCTTGCTCCGACCTGTTGCATCCTGCAGGTAGTAGCCGAGGGTCCCCTACCAGTTATAGAAGAACGACCGGGACAAAATTGGCTAGTGAGTCGAGGGTCCGGGATTCTACGAATTTGGATCGATCACAAGCTACAGTCGTAGCGTAGTGTGCCCTATGGCCACCAAACTACCAAACTAGTTACCAACCTCGTAGTACAGCGTCAAGATAGCTCGACACCGTTATGCAGGTGCAGATGCGGGGGAGCCATACACCATACATGAACGTTACCCGCAGGGATCGACGGTCCACTCTCGTTGGGTTTCAGTCGACAGATGGGAAACAGTACTCATCCCCAATGTAGCCAGCCATAAGAGGATGAGTTAAAGCATCGTGATCACAATGCGGAAAAGCGCTAGACGGAATAGGACCGGGCTGTTTGTTGAGGGTCATACATACACACACATACCTACTTACACGTACATACATAACTAGCACGCCTCACCCAAAAGTTGCCTGTTACTTGCTTGCTTGCTCCCTTTATGAGATATACACATCGCCATTGACACGAATCGTAAATCACGACTCATTCATACAACTTAAACATCGCACAGGCATGCGCTTGCATTAATAGCGAGAGACGCAAATGAACCCATCCATTGCAAGAAACTGGTGGGTCGAGTTGTACCAAATAACACACCAAGGCCGAAATAGCACAACACCTACGGATTCCTTCTTCGGGGCCGTCTTGAGGGATAATCGACAACACGAACACACACAGATGATACCATAAGGAATGGTTTACGCATTTCCGACCAGTACGAGATACTTGTTGAGAGGCAGCGTTGCGATCAGAAGGGAGGAAACGACTGTCACGTGCGAAGGCAAGCAAGGCATGTGAGATGCGACATTCAAACATTGGAACATTCAAATTCGAAAGAAACCCACCGGAGAGGGTTTAGAGTGACACATCGAGGGTATTATCAAAAATTCAAGAGGACAAATTGAAAATTTCCCGATATTCCGAGGTCTATCGCGCCAAGAAACTTGTTCATCCTACTTCTTTACAAACTCACCGAGAAAGGCACCGGTCGAAAATTGCCAATTGGACATCTCACGGAAAGCCATTAAAGGAAATAAAGCCTGGGGAAAATATATCCAGTTTCTTTTTGGGATTAGTTGAAGGGTTTCCCACGAGATACATATTACCTGGGCTCGGGCCGTTCGTTACATCCAAAGTTGGCCCAGCTATAGCATTCCATTGCTATTAAAAGTCCTGAAGGCGGGGGAGGGGGAAGCCTGACCTACCAAGGTACATTACCTAGCCCTTCCCAGCTTCTAGGCTTTCTAGGGGGTTGTCCTGGATTGGGGGGGAACCGTTTCCACTGGACCAAGGGCTTGGCAACACGTCGCGCGATTGTGACTGTACACCTTAACGGTGTTCTGCAACCGCGGGCCATTCCGCTGCAACAGTAAAACGGTATCAAACAGTGCGCCATCTATGATAGGCCTGTCAATCGTCACAGCAGATATTTTATCTTCTTTGACAGATCCCGCACAGGCTGCTCATCCTCGAATCAGGAAAGCAAGGCCGATTCGTGAAACGAGAAGAAGTATTCCTTTCGGGTGAGGGTTTCCAAAACCAAGGCGAGACGAAACCATTCCACCAGATGCGCTACCGGAAATCGAGGGGTACCCAATCAAACGAACCATTACCGCAAGTCCAGGACCATGGCTTCGTGACAAGAAACGAACTAGCAGAACGAGACAACCTAACCGATCAACCAATCCACAATTAATGACAGCGGTCACTTGTCGTTATTGATTGTTGATATTGTTATTGTTGTCTTCATTTGGAACCAGGCCAACGGAATTAAATACCTACATAGTAAGAAAAGCGCATTTAGAAGCTCTACCGTGTTTCGTTATCGGAGTGGCCGATTATTGAATTGGAAGTTGATTGAATAGTGGAAAGAAAAAGAGGAAGAAAAAAAAGAAAAGAAAAGTGCAGGGAGTAAGTGCAGAGGCACATGCTCGCCAGAACCCCTTTAGAAGGGAAACCCGCTGAAGATTTTTTGGTTGATATTAGAAGTACAGGCTAAGTACCCAAACTTGCGACAGGTGTACTGTACACCTATACTTTTTATTAGTGGCTGGCGCCGGGGTGGTGCTGGTGGTACTTCTCATCGACAAGAAAGTACTTGAGCTGCAGCGGCAGCAACGACTAAAAAATGGAGTTCGCATACAGTTTGTCAATGTACTCACCCCCTGTCAGGGTCAGGCCGGTGAACGCTAGGAAATCTTCCAGTGCTACAGCAGGTACGACAGCCAACGCCAACACCTACAATTTTGTTCATGGGGCCAATAAGCACCACCATAATTCTGCCACTACCACTACAACTGCTACAACCTCTGCTAACACCACTCATAACTTACGCCAAGACCAAAATCAGAAACAATCCAGCGAAGAATCTGGTATAAGTACCATTCTCGAAAATAACCATAACCAAAAAGGAAAAGAAAAAGTAAGGGGGGTAGAAAACGATAGCGACGAGGAAGATCATCTACATCAGAATCAGAATCAGCATCAGCATCATCATAATCCTCAACATAATAACCACAACAACAACAGTAATAATAACAGCAGCAGCAGCAAAAAGTCGAAGAAGCAAAAGAAAAGTAGCGACACCAGTTCAATTAGATCCAGGATCCCTGGCAGACGTCGACCACCACCAGCCGGAACGCTTCCGCAACCTCAGGCTCATAGGCCGGAGTCGCATCACTCACATTCTCACTCCCAATCTTACTCCCACACTCGTTCCCACTCTCTCTCACATTCCCACTCAAGGACCTCCTCTTCCTTTAGCGTAAGCTCCCGAACGTCGCACGAAACACAAGCACAAGCACGAGCACACGCACAAGCACTACAAACACAAACACATACCCTGACCCAGAACCAGAAGCAAACAAATTACCTACATCATACTCAACAATTGACTTCTACTAACACTACTATTGCTAATACTTCTTCCTCCTCCACTACCACCACCACTACCACTACCACTACCCCCCATGCTCATGCCGCAGCCGGCGGTATCACAAGTGGGACACTCATCTCGTCACCGCCTGCTACTACCACAACAACCAAACCAAATAATGGAAAAGGCGCAAGCGCCATAACCACTTCTGCATCTTTTTCTCCTGTAATATATAACACCAGCAACAGTGACACAAACACCAACCCCAACGGTCAGTCCCGAGCACAGGACTCGACGGTTGCATCGACATCCGCATCCGCGCCGCCGCCACTAGCCGTCACATCAGCCTCAACTTCGATCGCATCCACCTCTATACCGTCTGCATCTACTACCCTACCCATTTCCGACTCCGAGCCGCCTCCACCCGCTTCGCCAAAGTCCTCCGGGTTCATCAGATCCATCCACTTACCCATATTTAGTGGCGACAGCGGTTACCATCACCAACAGCCCTATATCATACCCGGCTCTCCGACAAACAAATTACAAAAGCGCGACTCTGTCCATCACTCGTCATCGGCATCGAATCACGGTTTGCAGCGTCCACCAACGCCGACTTCGCCAGTTCAAACTATCTCGGGCTTGTCGTTATCTCTCCGCCGTAGGTCACTCAGGGGTAAACACCATCATGACGCAATGGTCTCCGAATCTGGACATTCCATCCCTTCCCAGAAGTACGGGGCACCGTCGTCGACTGCTACCACTTCCAACCGGACTGGAATCATGACTTCAAATGAGAACCTCGTCCCCTCGTCGACGGAGGGGAGCATAGCTCCGTCTTCTGCTTCCATCTCCACCAAGCCATCGTCCTCTATCGCATCGAAGCCTTTCATCGTTCGAAATAACCGTACCTATATCAACGAACCTACCCTATTATACCCATTACCTGTTGATTTAGCGGAACTTCATCGTCAATCCTTGCGCACTCTCATGCTCTTCCAAGTTTTTGGTGGCCCTATAACAGCCCCTGAATTCTCCAATAAACCGCCTTCGCGCGTACTCGAAGTAGGATGTGGTTCCGCATTCTGGAGTATGATGTGCCATCGGTACTTTGCGCAACACGGTCATTCCTCCATATCCTTCACCGGAATGGATATCGTACCTTTGGTTGGTTCCGGACTCGACCAAAACTGGAAACCCGATAAAGATATGCGATGGCGGTTTGTTCAACATGACGTACGGCGGATGCCGTGGCCCTTAGCCGACAATGAATTCGACCTAATCATGGTCAAAGACATGTCCATGTGTTCTCCAACATTTATGCGCGATCCACAGCACCTCTTCGACGAATACTTGCGTATACTTCGACCAGGTGGTGTTTTGGAATTTTGGGAAAGTGATCATACCGTACGCATGCTACGGCCACACGTCTTAAAGCCACCAGTTGTGTCCAAGCCCGACTCGGACTCCGATTCGGACGACAGCAGCGAGGAAGAAGACGATGACGAGAAATCTGGAGCATACGTTATGACGAATAACACACCACTTAGCGCACCGTTGAATCCATTTCTGGTTGAATACAACGGTTGGGCAATCAAAGGGTTAGATGCGCTAGGGGTATCGGCTCTCCCCTGTACCTTGATTGGACCATATCTCCTGCAAGAATCGGATAATCTGATGGAGGTACGGTCAAAGAGGCTAGCAATACCGCTTAGTGAGATTAGATGGGAGCGTGAGGGTGTTGGCGGGGTCGTGACAAAGGACGGAAAGAGCTATATCGACACAATGAAAAAAGCAAAAGGGGTCGATTCAAAGGGCGAGAAAGTACGTGGTAAGGGTTTATCCGCTAGTCAAGCCGCACTCAGACGAACAGCACTCGAGACAGTCGTTGGAATGATACTTGGTCTCGAGCCGATACTCCGAGAAGTTAGTGGGAAAAGCCAAGACGAATGGGACGGATGGTCCGGCAAAATGATGAACGATCTATTGCGCGAAGGAGGGACAAGTTGGGGAGAATGTCTAGAAGTCGGGGCTTGGAGTGCCAGAAAGAAGCTGAACGGCGCGACATCATGATGGGTCTAGGTCTTTGGTCTATCCGACCGGCTAGCCCTTGTTATGGTTATTCGACATGTCTTAGACATTTATTTGCTCTACTATTACACCGCTCTAGACCCGCAACCTACATAATGTCGACATTCCCGAGGGGTACCTCAATCCAGAAATCCCGACCAACGCCCCCTACACCCCCTCACGTTTCTCCATACCTTTTTCTAAGCGTGCGATACCTTTTCAGGTAATACCTATACGCTATACGTCAACACCGCATCCAACGACGTTTTAACCCCCCCACCCCCCCCTCGCAAATTTACGTTACATAAACCAGACGGGAAAGCCACGATACCATAAATGTTAAGCCATAAATAAGGTAGAATCCGGGAGGGAGGAGTTTTGGGGGATTTAAAGTTTTATAAGGTGGTTGCATATATATATAACGGGACTGGGCTCCCTATCATATTTTATATTCTTTGTTCCTTATTTTTGAAATGCATCGTGTGGGTGTCCACTTTGGACGGGGATGTTGAATTCTTGATGCAAATGGAAATATTTTAACTGATCGGTATGATATGAGTTGTTGGATATATTTATACTACCACGAGTACATATATATACGTTGCGTATTGGGAGGCCGACTAGAATTTTTGAAGAGCTTTGGAATGAACAGGTGATATTATTGGGAAGTTATTTTGTTCTAGTCGCAGGTATATAAAGGGAATCGGTCACTAAGCCGAGAAGAAACTGATGTATGGATGGAATGTTTATAGACGTTTGTAAATGGAAATCAAGTTTGGACGAACATTGAGCGATCGTAAGGATAATTGGTATAAATTGGTCGATATCCAGGCTTTCAAGTAAATGGTATCGGTTCGAAAAGGAAGTGTTCGACTTACAGTGCTTCGATCTCTAAGTTAAGGAGTTAAATTAGCAAATGATCCGACTAAGCGCAATAGGAACGGGAATAGATAAGTAGGTACCTTTCTGGACAAATTTGGCCCTCTCAATACCTTCTTTGATGGTTTCATCGTCACGTAAATGCGCATTTGCCATAAATGCCCTGTGAAGTCGCGGCCGGAAATAATAGAAGCCCTGCGGGTAGTCCCGACCGAGGTTCAGCAGCTCCTTGTAGATGGCGATCACTTGCCGTCGTAACTCTGGGTTTGGCGCGGACATTGTTGTTGTTTGATTTAGCCCATTGACATAGAAAGGGCGCACCGTATTCGGCGTCGGAGTCGGCAGGATCGGTAGTTGTCGATGCGACGGAGACGTGAGGAGGCAGGAGGTAGGTAAGGGGAAAGTACGGTGATGGAAGGAATTGAATGGTGTAGCGAGAAGCCGCGGTTAGAAAGGTGATGGGTGACGCAATAAGAAAGCTTCCTGCCTTGCCGAGCTGTACCTACCCCTCCGAATTACGGGGTCTCCCCAGGGCAGTGGTTACCTCGGGGAAGCTTCACTTGTGTAACCTTTTCCCCCAATTTTTTTCTATTTACAGCGCTGAGTCAACCGTAATATCTTTGTTATTTGGTCAATTGGGGGTTTCTATTCCTTTTTTCATCTTATACAATGCCGACTAGACCGCGAATAAAACCAATTGTTCGCATTTTATCGTCGCCAATTCCACGACAGCTACGAACCCCGCTCGGCGCAAGCTCACACTTGAGCTCCGGTTCGTACACGTGCCGAATTGGCCCTTTTCCCACGAGTCGCACGTTTTCTTCCGAGCCGTCGAGCGAACAAGCACTGCCGGCTCCGTCGGGCCGTTGGTATGCGGACCTAAGGGCGCGATTGGGAAAATGTATTATGTTCGGATGCAGTCAGGAACAGGCGCGACGTGCTGCGGGCGTGCTACAGGTTCTTGGGACGGAATGGCGCGAACTGACTGCTGGTTCTGAGGGGTTCTTGACAGGCAGGCGCAGGGGACTTGAGAACCAGCAGGTGGTTTGGGGTGAGATGGATAGCTTCGTAAGTGTTACCCAGATATGTAAAAGCAGACGGAGCGAGTCAATGTGGAAGGGGAGACTGCTAATGCGATGGTGATACAAACAAACCAGAGCAGCAATGCTAATGAATAAGTGATGGCACAACAGAGCCACATCAATAATACGCACTACCTCCGATACGCAGAGTCGGCACGCGTGAATTGGACGATACATTTCGCGAGCGTGGACCCGAGTCACAGCACACAATGGAGGGAACTCATGAAACCTACGGGGATTGGGTTGATTTTGAAGGCTATTAAGGCCGAGTACAAACTCGTGTGTCCCCTTCCCCTTATCTCGTAATAAGAAAAAGGCTAAACTCCCTGCCTCTAAGCCTATGACATACCCAGATACCTTCTCCGCCTACCACAAGCTACGCACCCAACCCTCGGCCTCCGATCCGGCCCTTATACTCGATTGCATAATACTATCGCACCGACATCGACGAGTTGCCGCGCGTACCGAGGAAGATATCGTCATATACAATTACCGCGCTGGCCACAAGACGGCTATACCGACATTCGCGCTCGAGGTGTTCCGCGATGTGTGGCGACAGCAGGAGGATGTAGCTAAGAAGGCGAGGGCGCATATATGGCAGCTTGTGAAAGAGGTCGAGGCGCTTGAGAAGGATACTTGGAATCGTGAGGATGCGGTCGAGGATTTGGGGAGTGGGAAGAAGGGATGATGCTTCGGGTAAAGGATGTATAGGGGTATATGGTTTGTCAACTTCCAAAATCTCATTCGCCTCTAAGTTCGTGGCGAAAGCGGCTCTAGACTCTTTGAACAACTTCCACTCCCCGTATCGCTTTCATTTATTATAGAGCGTTGGGGCCTATCCATAGCAGACAAATCCAGAAATATTATTATCGATCAGCTGAAAGGAGGTGGCAATATACTTACCTATGTAGCTGCGATACTACCCAGCGTAACCTATCAGTTGACAACACGTTGGTACTTTTGCACTTCTAGATACGGCAGGCTGCAAGATATGACGATAGGTACCAGGGACGTAGTAAGTGTCTTTCCCTGGATATATATACCATGCTATCAATCTTAAACTGACCATTCCAAACCATCTCCTCTAGATCATTCGCAATACAACACCTGGTACCCCGTGCAACTAAACCCTTAAACGCTGATAATGGCGTTATACCAACCACTCAATGTCCAACGCCAAGAAATCCGATTCATTAGCATCATACGGGCACCAGGCGATGACGAACAGATATATTGCAAATTAGAGACGGCATCCCTTTCAACTGAAGCGCTCGAATACGCCGCCCTCTCATATGTTTGGGGTGACACAAACGTGACGCGGAAGATTTTTGTCGACAATGTCCAGTTTGACATAACTGAGAATCTGCACGAAATACTTTCCCGGTTTCGAAGCAATGCTGCGCTTCTATCGAACGACCATGGCACCCAACTCCCGTTATGGGTAGATGCTATCCGCATAAATCAAGACTCTACAGCTGAGCGCAATCAACAGGTGCCACTCATGCACTTGATATACAGTTCGGCGACCAGGGTCATAAGCTTCCTTGGGCCGAACACGAAGGAAGTACACCCTAAAGACTGGGCTATCGCTACGGGAGATGTGGCCCTCCGCAATATCCACGCTATTGCCAACGCAGCTTTCAAAGATGACGCAGAAGAGATCAACGAGGATAGCCTTAAGCGCTTCTTCACTTCTAAGCGTCATCTATCACAGGGCCCTAGGTATCAATCATGGAACTCCGACGATGAATCTCAGAGCTCTGAGGATCAACTACAGAGTTCCGATGATCAACCAATGAATCCCAATTGGTTCGGAATTATGTATCTTTTCATGCAGCCGTATTGGTACCGTACTTGGGTAGTTCAAGAACTGGTACTGGCGAAATTCGCCCACACACACATTTGTATCTGTGGAGATTATTCTATACCGTTTGAAGATGTAGTAAAATACTACAAATGCTTCGAGTTCCTGAGACGGCATAGCCGTCCAGAGCAGTTCGGTCTCGATCCCATCCAATGGAGATGGATGACAGATTTCGCCTACCCAGCCCAACTTCCATTGATTGTTATATTTCGAGATCGCTATCCCGGGTTGCTCAATCCTAAGGCTATACTTCTTCTTAGTATGACGCACTCTGCGACCAATCGTAAAGATTTGGTCTATGGATTTCGGGCTCTATGCCCATTAGAAATGGTCGTCGACTACGCAAAAACTGTCAAGGAAGTTTACGTAGGTTGGTTTAACGAGATTATCGAAGAAGCAGCAGGTGTTGAGTTCCCAGTTGTCTATGCAGGATTAGGGTTGTATGACAGTCAAGATTCCGACCTCCCATCATGGCTACCTGACCTCAGCCAGCTGATAGAGAAGAAGTATCTTACGGACCACAGAGGCAACGCAAAACCCGACCCTCTCGATTTATCTCACACAAAGTCACCACTTCCGGTCGTCAAAAGAGCCCATGTTTATATGGGCAACTTGCTTAACCTGGCTATTGGGCTAACATGTTTCGCCTTGATTCGGATGATATCGACCTACATAAGCTTTGCTTCGCTATTTTTACCAGAAACCATCGCAAAAGTTACCCACGAGGTATATCGGCTTTACAGGCCGTGTTCTACGTTTTATTCCAGAATGTCAACCCAGAGACGAGCCCTCCAGCACCCCTGAGTGTCCCTCCAAGCCCAGTCGATGTCTTTGAAGCCTTCCGGCTTCACGGTTGCTTAAGTAGGAATATGCATGACGATGCGGAGGGTCAAACTTGCGCGGACGAATACGGGGCCAAGTGGGCACAGCTGGGATATAATAATTATTTGGAATTAGTAGAAGCTTTAGACGCAGATATGTGCGAGGGCATGAAACCAAAACCAAAACCCGTGGAAACTATCGACAAGATGCCCAGGGAAAGAATATTCGATATTCATGAACATGGAATGCATGGGGTCCCAGGAGGCGGATCATTATTGCTAATGCTAAGGAGTCATGTAGGAAAAGTAATGTTCCAAACAGAAGACGGGTTCTTCGGGATCGGTCCCAAAGGTTTGAAAGAGGGCGACCAACCCTGCCTCTTGTTCCAGGCTTCCTTGCCATTACTTCTTAGGGAAGAAGGTGAAAGGCATAGAAACGTGGGTGCATGTTATGTATATGGAGTATCGGATGGTGAAATCACAGGTCTAGTTAAGCGCGGAGAGCGTGATATTGAGAACTTTGAGATCTATTGACGTCTAGGTAGATGAATTTTTGGTTGCATCTGCAACTGTAAGGACACAGTAGGTAGCTAAATTCGTTCCTCGACGATAACGACGATGGCCTCTACTTATGTTGGATATATACCTAGGTATTAAATTACGATTTACATGTTTATACAGTATCAAGGCTTGCTATGGACTGCATAGATTTCATATAACTCTACTTCATTGAGTTACTATAACTACTCTTCCCTGGATAATTGTATTAGTATTGTGCGCTTTACGTAGGAACTAAATTATCTCTATCTACTCAAAAAGAATTATATCCGGTTCACTATTAGACATGAAAGGTATATAGCCCTATATCAGATATCTAGACACACGACTGCCTTTTTAGTCCAACTAGATGCCTATATTTAGGTACCTAATACTCCTCATTACATTAAAAAATCCTATTTATCATAATATCAAGCATGTTGGGGTTCCCGTTACGATCTTTACCACGGCATCAACAGTCCACCACATTAGGAACCTTGGAAAGCAATACCCTTAGTTAGGACTGAAAATCTCCATCTCAAACGAGAGAGCTTGTTGTATTGAGGCTCCACATATCCAGAACTCAAAATTCGGCTCTCTGTGCAGCAATATTGCCTACGCACATATGGTGGGTATCTATTAGGTAGGTAGGATCAGGAACCTCGGTTTCGATGAGATCAAGTTGCACATGCCATTGGAGTGAAGTGTAGGTTGAATTCTTTGTTATGTCTGCTGACAACAAGCACTGTTCGTCATAGTAGCTATGGTTTAGAAGCGGACATTTACTAGATTTTAGGTGAAATAAAGGAGTATGCATGAAGTTGAGTCGATACTCTGTTGTTCTGCATATGCCTCCATCCTCACTGCGGATCTCATTCCGGCCCGATAGACCTACATAGGGATCTGGGTAGGCTATAGCAGCGAGCACACACGAAATGAGAAGCATCTGAGGGGCGGTCAATACGATTAAGCTTCATGAATACTCACAGGCCTTAAGGAAAAGCCGCCGAGAAAGCTCATGGGGGCTGCTAATCGACCGAGTCATCCCGAGTCTAAAGCATGACGGAGTTAACTTCAACTGACAGACACGTGAACTAACTCATAATATCTAGCGGCCGTTGAAAGAAGGGCCTAACAAGTGTAAGCGAAGCGACGATGTAGGAGGGATATCGAAAATCGCCGAGGAGCATCGATGAACTATCCTGATCTGTGCTTCTATCAATGCATCTTCAATCCCCATGGGGTTTAATTAGTGTTGGAATAGGTACAGATACATATGCGTTGTTGTCGTTGGCGTGATTGAAGGCCGCGAACACCTGCATATGATCACAAGAAGGGTCCGTGGCACCGAATTTTCACCGCCGAAGTCACTGTTGCAACTGGGGTGCAGGCGGACTAGAGTCGCATAAGTCGGAGTCTAGTATGTCGTCTAGGTATCTAGTGGTGATCTACCCCAGGAACAATCGTAGATGGCTTAGTATACCTATCCAGTATGCACCTTGGGGACCCTTGATGGATCTCAGGTACGAACGTCGTCCTTTTGGGGAGTTTACCCCTATTCAATTAATCCATAATCGTAAGAACCATTTGCGAATACTTAAATATGCATGGTCGTGTTTGAGCGTTACATTTGGCATGTGGATGAGTAAGAACCTACGTAGGTATTTAGATACACAATGTAATGAGATACCCCTTTATTATTAGGTGATGCTGTTTTGCCTACAAAAGTGGTAAGTATTTCTAGCGAGTTATATCTCTTACTTTTGTAGTAAGATGATATGATTATCTAGGAGCTCGGCGAGACGCATAATTCTGATAAAATATGTGCGCCCATGATATCGGATTAGTTAAAGGTTTTGGGGAGGGAATCGTGAATCCTTTGAGGCGGCGCAGTCGGCGATAGTTCCAAAATGGATATACAATACTCCAACTGCCGCGACGGATGTGTTTGAAGATATGTATTCCTTGACCCCTTCAATAGTGTGGAATCAGACTACCCCTGCTATAGCCATAGCAGCCGCACTTGTCTGCTGATAATAATCGCATTTCGTACGATCGGACGAAGAAGCGATAAAACCCCAGATTCCTGTCATCGTAAGTCCCGACAGCAGTGGGAACCACCAATAGTTATATCATGGGATTGGTGGATAAACCCCCTAGCAGCCCTAACCGAACGAATCCAAAGTAAAGGCTCCGTTTCGACATGCGCAAAACTGGGGAAGGCCATCGACTTTATGGTATCGCATCTTATTTCTTATTCGGACCGAACATGAATGCATAGTATGGGGTTTTTAATGCTATGGCGCGACTGCAAGAGGACTACCTAGCTATCATGAAGCTTGACAGGCTCTTTTCACTGCTAGCGCGCCTTGCAGTCGGCCGATATTTTGCGGGGGAGGTGATTAGAAGGCTTCTAGCACAAAGAAAAGCTGGGGTTCGCTTAAGGATTTTTCTCCACAGGTCAATGAGAATATGGCCGAATACTCCAGTATGTAATATGCTGAAGCATACTGGGAGTGAAGCTTCTCACAAGTTCACAAGTCTTTATGCAAGATAGCTCGCAATGAGTTTAGTGTCTTATTTGCTGTGGTCGACACTATGTACTACTCCTGATGAACAAGATAATTCCTAATCTCGTCCTGATTAATCTCCTTAAGATTTCGGCAGTCTTAGGGGGAACACGGTGCCTCTACCTTTACCGACGACAGAAACGGATACCTCGGCTGGTAAGCCTTTTTCTCGCTTCTGATTCGCTCATCGACAACGGCAGTTGGAAAATAGAGGTGGCTGAGATGGCGTAGCACAGTATATTTCGCACTTTACAAAGAGCATAATGCAGCTGAGGGATTGTCATCCATGTTTGTTATGTTACGTATCATACACCCATAAAAAGCAGGCAGACCATACTATACTTATTACGAGATATACTTATTGTTCTAGTAAGCTGCTGTGCGACGTCCGTTCAGCGCAAAATTAATCATGATGACGCCTCGTCGTTGAACAGCATGATTGAATAATGATATGTAATGCGCGAAAGATGGTGATGAAAATGGTAGTCATCATGAAGAGGGACGGACCCGATGTTCTGGTAGCGCTTTGGGGAATAGCTATCACAAGCACATAACCGTACGGTAGCGTGATTGCGAGCAAACAATTCTTCAAGGGAGAATACCTAGATGGCGACGGGTGCTTTTTAGCAATATCTAGAACAAGTTTAGTTGATGTTGTAGGCATTCCCCTCTTTCCATTCTGTGCTGAAGGGCTTTCGCTGGTTGACCAGGCACGGAGAAGACTTGCTAGAATGGGCTATTGCCCGTTTCGTGATAGGCGTATTGGACTTGGGTGGTTCAGATTTAGTAGTCATCTTTGATGATCTTCACCGAGCATTGGACTTAAAATATCAATGCTGGTAATGCTAATAGTCAGACGGGCAAAGCCGACAGCCGATACTTTGCACGATTAATGCTGTGCATTAGGGCATTATCATAAGCCGCCGCCATCTTTTTCGAGTATCCCTTTTTAACTGGTAGGGGTCGGATGTCGTAGTTCAATCATTTTTTTATTAGATAAAATTTGACTTGTCCGTTTCAAAGCCAAACCATGGTGTCGGTGTCACGATCAGTGATGAAATAATGGTCGTAAGGCGAACCATAATAGTGTAAACAAGGGGAGGCGATTTATGTCAAGGGGGTGAATGAAGGAGGGGGAGGGGAAAAAAGATCTTCAGCCAACCAGCGGACTTGAATGCCACGGAGGATCCCTTCACAGCTAGGTAACCCGATCAAGCCTTACATAAGGGACCATACGTAAGCTGGTTGAGGTGACTTGCGACTTGGTTGGGAAGACTTTTCAATGCATCTCTAAATACATACGTACGTGGGCGAAATTGTGATATCTAGCTCTATCAATGTTTGATTACAGTCGCTTAATGAGTTCTCGAGGAACAGTATATGGAAACCGGATCGACGGGAAGAGTTCAAAGAATATTCCATTTCGTTTTCTTCGCAGGTTGCACGCATCGAGCGATACTAGGCGATCAATGGGTCTCCCACCAATGACGATCGAGACAACAAACTACCTGCATACAACGTAGCAGCTGAGCACATGCAGTATTCAAGGGGCTATTTTTGGCTCATAAGGAAGCACGGGAGATCAACGCCCACAACATATCGATATCCATTCGCCAGTCTTTCGCTTCAATTACCTATCGGGACCGTAAGAAAACCACACCATCTAAACTGCCTGATATACTTGCATAGAATAATTATTGTTTTTCTTTTTCTTGTTTTCTTACTCGACAAAGAATGTTCGTCGATTTGTTCCGTGCAGATAGACATTCCAGCGACTCGGCTGCTGCTCTGGCTACGAACCGGGTACCACAAAAATCGCGTTTTGCGACACTGGACAATCCTCTAGTAGATTCGTAGGCATTTCAATTGACCAGTATCTATCATTCCTTACCCTCCTCCACATATAGCTTTTCATCAGCACATGTGTGTGTATGCGGTCAGCCTCATATTTCTATGTTCGGAGTTACCAAGCAGCAAAGCTGGCTGCACTTATTTGGGTTGATCGTGAACACAGCCTAGTGGATTGAACTTGACTACGGAGTAGGCGAGATTTGTTCAACACGAACCATGACTAGAGACGGTAACGATCACAGAAGTTGTGTTGGACTCTCTCTGGAGGTTGCCAATGTCAAGTAACATACCTGATTTGCCGTTTTCATCTCACTATAGGCGACTATGCCATGCTGCGTCGAATTCTTGCCGACATTAACCAATGCAATATAGCAAGCAAAGCTATTGTCGTAGTCCATTATGAGCCTTCGTTCTGAGTACTTGGCGCATTAGATAAAACGCGCACTACCGTTCAGGCTGATTTTGGTGGGTTTGAAATACGGAATACCAGTGTATAGATAGTAATACAATAGCCGCATAGGGTAGGAATCGTTGCGATACCTACACGAATCCTATCGCTAGCAACTCGACAAGACCTACTGACTCCATGTATAGTACCTTGTTTGTATCGTATCCCACCTGAAGGATAAACCCACTAGGTGTTCACCATCACTACCTAGGTATCCCTGACATTCCCCAGGTCTCGAGCCTACTGTTGTGTTAGATTGTTTCTGTACCTACACAGGTACGTACCTAAGTACCTATTCTCCATCCTTTACATCGACCATCGTCTATCGTTCATGTGTCTGTTGCAAAATATTCTGCGGACGACAAGCCTGTGATTTAACTCCTGAAGCATTGGATCGAAGTGGAAAACCAATTGGATTCTGCATACTCCGACGACAGTTAAATTATATTTCAATGCTTTAACCACAAGTATGGTTGTTGCCTCGTCACTGTTCGGACAGGTTTCCTCTCTAAGTTTAGGGACAGTTTTACTACTTCTGTACCCATTGCCAAACTGGGGTGCCCTCGGTGGCTGCGAGACAGATTTACCTAGACAATATTAATAAGTCAATACAAGTCAGTTTCTTGTCTTTCCCCCTGGGCTACTTGCTACTTAGGTACACTAAACTGTTACAGCCACACAGTGCCGTTTCCTATTTGCCAAGGCCTCACCAGAGACCGAACAGTATTAGCGTCAGTTGTCGTCTGGAGTTCGGGTATTTTACTTAATATTACTATTACTCATTTCATATAGCAGCGCACACGACCATTCGTCGGAGACGGTTACCTCTTTAGGCCATGCTAGCCCGAGTCAGGATAGTGACATCGACCACTCACAGTGTCTTTTCAGGGTCCCCGTCTTAAAGTCTTGCCTCTGCCTCTTGCCTTTAGGCCCTCTTAGGGCCCTTAAGCCGTTCTCATTTCCCTTTCTCCTTCTTCTAACTGGGGAATCCTCCTCTGTCCTTTCGTCTTAGCCTGACCCGTTCGCTATCCCATCAACCCATCCATCCGCCCATCCCCATCTTTTTTTCTCTTCCTTGGCTTAAGCTAACTAACTTGCTTCCCTCTTCCTCCGTTTTTCTTCTCTATTTTTCTTGTTGTAGTGGTCGTGACTTGCTCCGACGACGATCTCCTTTTCTACATTTTCTACTCTCATTCTAAACCATCGTGACATCAGTCAACTGTTGTACTTTCTTTAAGGGACCAAATAGGCCGCCCACCCACATCTTCGACCCCGGACGCCGAATCCCCGCGTTTTTCCCAATGAATGTGATCCCTCCGCCTTTCTCTCAGCGACGGGCCGATTAAACAACGCTTGTCCAATTGCTTCACTCCAGATTCTCTCCGCAAATACTGCCGCGTCCAGGTTTCGCTCTCCACACAAGCCCTGTGAAGATTGGTTTCGCTGGATTTGGATATAGTTCAAGAAGGGAACGTGTGACATATTGAAGCGGCGCATTCGACTGCGTCTAGACTTTGGGATTTCGATTTCTTCAGTTTTGGTGACCGAGAGGATAGGAAATTCAACATGTCGCAGGCCGTGAAAAGGGCTTGCGATGCTTGCCATCGTCGAAAAGTGAAGTGCGATGGTATTAACCCATGCCGCAACTGTGCTTCGGCGCAGTTAACTTGCACATATAATGCGATTCCACAGAAGAAGGGTCCTAAGGGTTCGAGAGCGAAGGTTATTAGCGAGTTGCGCGAAACACAGCGACAGACCAGTCTTTCCGCGAAGGTGCAAAGTCGATTGAATGGAATCAGCAGCCCGCCATGCAGTCCTACACTCTCGCCGACTCCTGGCCTGTTGGCTAGTGAGATGGCTAAGGAATGCATCGAGTTTTTCTTCGCCAACATGTACCCGATCATGCCTATCCTACAGCAACAGCGACTCGAACAGCAATCGATGTATCTAGACCAGAGCCTCGACACATACTGCTTGATCACTTCGCTGTGCGCGTGGATGATGTTCCAACCTGGAATGAACGTACCCGGTGCCGACCCTCTCTTGGATCGCTTACCTGGTGCTAGCATCACCTCCGGAATGGTTTTGATCGAAGAGACAGTTCGAGTTCGAAAGGGATACGAGTTCCAAGAGTCGCCTACTCTGAACAGTTTATGCACTAGCTATTTCCTATTCTGCTCTCACTATGCTCTCGACATGCACGACAAGGCATGGTTTTACCTACGTGAGGCTACGACTCTAGCCCATATTATTGGGATGAACAAGGAAGAGACGTACTTGCAATACGACAATGTCGAGGCTTCGCGACGACGACGCCTTTACTGGCTTCTCTACGTTACTGAAAGGTAAAATTCTCACATTGAAAATTCATTCTCTTGCGGTTTTGCTAATTATGAACGTTTAGGGCTTATGCTCTTCAGCGTGGTCGACCTCTAACTCTTCAGGCTTCGATCAACCTTCCGACGATGACTGATGACCCGACGGATCCCCTAGCTCACCAGTTGAATGGGTTCATTCTGCTGGTCAGCTTGTTCAGGCCATTCGACGACATTTTCATTACCTTGTGGAACAAAACTCGCAGCGAGTCTTCGCCCTCCTATCTCAGTGCCCTTCAGAAGCAGCTTACGGAGATGATCCCGCCATACATGAATGTTCAGGACACAGACCTGCGAGCGAATCAGCAATGGCTTAAGACCATTACCTGGCATATCAGCATGCAAAATGGTTGTGTCCCTCAAGGCAACCAGGACCAGATGCAATTGCAATATCCCATCGATATGTCCCGGGATTTGATGTCGATGACATCTCAATTCTCAACCCAGAGCACTGAATTACTCGGTGTACCTCTAGTTGCCAAGTTATTGGATATCTCGACTGCGCTCATTGATGTTTTGTCGATTATGCCATCTTCTGGCGATCCATTCAGTATGGGTCCCCGAGAACAGCTCAACTCACTTCTGCAGCTTCTGTCCGTCCTTCGCAACGGCGATCACCATTTCCTCCCGCTTCTACTGAACAAGGTTCATGACGTCTTACCTCGTCTCGCCAACCCCATTCTTCAGCGGGCCCCAGAAAATGCATGCATGCAGAACATCGACATTTTTGATGGATTCGGCAATGCTGGTATGGCTCAGCCCCCGATGATGGATTTCAAGACCGAACCGTATACCCCTGGTAGCATGCAACACATTCAGGATATCGGAACGGATTCGAGCCACTCGAACAACGGCGACGATATGAAATCACCATTCCCTATGGTCAGCTCTCCACCGATCATGTCTCCTGGTGTAGAGTACCATGAGAGCAGTTTCAACTCAATTCCCGATATCATAAGCCCAATTGGACAACAACCACAACATTCACTGGGCCAACAAGGATCATTGAATCCACCACAGACCCATCATCAACATCCACACCACAGCCTTCCGTCGCATGGTATGGGCCAGAACCACAACATAGGCAATTCAATGCAAACCGATATGCATACGAATCTTGGTCATAGCTTAAACCAAGCGACCGGTTTGACAGGCATGAGCCAACAACAGAGCTTACCTCAGAATTCACAGTTCGGCATGATGAACAACATATTACATCGGCAACCTCCACAAAGAGCAAATAGTTTTATCATGCATCCACAACATCAGCACCAACCATCTCAAATACCAAGGACCGTCGGCGACTTCCATGCATTACAACGAGCGAATTCAGAAAACGTTTCGATGAATACTCTCGGCCTTAGTCACATGAACGCCGAGGTAGACTTTAGCGCGCTCAGGTAGTAACGCTTGCAAGATCACTCATGATCCCGACCTTCCCTTCGAGACACAACATTTATCATCCTCTATTATCATCATCATTATATACCATTGACCTTTACTCGCGCGGAGACATAGCATCCGTATAGTCCCATTCAGCATATTAGCCGGCGCGACTTGCGAGCGAAGATTTTACACATTATAGCAAGACAAGACTTGGGCATATACCATCGTCCATTTTGAATACCTAAGGTGTCCACCTATACCTGGAAAATGGGAGGGGCCTCGATTTGAAGATAGAGCTCCAAGCCAAGGATATCAATTGGGGCGTTCAAATCCATTTTGTTCTATTCTTGTTTCCATTTCCACAGGGGAGTTTTTTTTGTGTTGTGTTGGCGTCCCGGGATAAACCGGTGTTTGTGGAACAAAGAAATGCGCGGTGTGTACAAGTATATTCACGCCGGTATTCTTTTATTATTGTTAGCCTATGGGATGAGTAGGCTTGGCTACTCCTATTGAGAGGAGGATGAACGCAAGTGATCATGATAAGAGGCGAGATGAATTAGATATAGGATCCCGTATTATTACCCAGTTCCAATGTAAGCGTGGAATGTGCAGAGTTAGTGGTGGATAGGGGCTATGCAGGGTGTACAGGTATCACCATGTTAGGTAGAATTATATTAAGAATAAAGTAAAATTATACAAACTCCTTTGAAGTTCAATGTGCCATCGCTGTTTTATGATCTTGTAATTTTCAACAATGCATGGACACCAGAGCCGACACGCCCATGCGCCGGCCACTATACGAACCCATCAGCGCAATAGACACGATATAAGTATAAACCAAATAGGTATTGATAGTGGACATTCTTGGTGTTTCATGTGTATACTATTCAGTGCAGTCTAGGTTGTTATGTATAGGCTAATCGTATTGGTATAGCCGTTCTTGTTCCGCATATGGCCAACTGACTTGTATGTCCAGCTTAATATTATAATTATAGTGTTTCATGTATACTACGCATCAATAACGCCAGGAAACGCAAGACGCAGAGTCTGCATCTCTTCAGAGGTATTTCCGCCTTGATTTGACCAGCTAACTCCCGCAGTAATAGGATATTTAGGGTGTGTAAAACGTAGAATGCGCAATGCATGTCCTCCTACCACTTAAAATGGTAATGGAAAGTCCTACGTTACGCATACTGATCTACGGACATTCCTTCATAAAGTGTTTTATAAGATAAATTTGGTAAATGTCTCTATAAATAAGTTTTCTTCATGTAATCCTTTTTTTTTATAACCTCAAAAGACGAATCAAGTTATGAAACCACTTTCTTACTCTTCACTTATTTTAATATTGATTTTTGTATCCTTTTTTGCTATTCAAATTGCAACCTTAGTGGGGAATTAGTGTGCTCTATGTACAGCTGGAGGGATATTCAAATGAAAAAGCTACGCTAAGGTTCTAGAAACGATATAGAATAGAAATAGCATTCGGTACAATTGACGCAGTATATTGTGAAGAGTATTTAGACATAAAAATGAGGTTATTCACATGCAACGTGTACTTAGGTACTTCATTAATAGTGTTAGTTGCACAAATACTTCATGTATTTTGGGTCCACTTTAAACTCCAAACGCGTTTGTAGAAGCGCGTCAAGCTTCAACTAGCTGATCGCAATTTACCAAATCTTTACTTGACCCATTGTACAGATCCCGGTCTAGCATAGCTCTTTCCTATTCATTACATGAGCATCGGTAGCTGGGCAGGAAGGAATCATCACATGCTTCTAGATGGATACCCAACTCTAACCTTCCCACTGGTCCGTCGAATGCAACTCCAAGGCAGGTCTTACCTTTATGTGGATTCACTATTTCGGTAGGAGCACCCACACACAATGCCGATAATTCGGCCGGCTGGGGAGCCGCGCCGTAGATTCGCTGCTCTTGCAGGATCGGGTTCGACCGACACGACTTCCGAACGCAGCAGCGACGAATCGATTTCACCGTTGCGACCTCGACCGTGGTTTGATGCCCGAAGCTTTCTACCCCAACCGCAATTCTTACCACCACCACCCGATTTTGAGGAAGAACCCCCTATACAACAACTCTCCGCCTTCGCTCCTCTAGCTCCCCCGCAATATCCTTACCAAAATCCCTATCAGACATCCCCTATTGGACAAGAAGCCCAGCAATGGTACCCGAACTTTCATCCTGATCCAACATTGAAACCGATAGTCATGGGATCGGAAGATCATGAATTAGCTCTACCACCTCCGAAACGACGGAAAGCATTAAATTCCGACACGGAAGTGATTAGTTTACTTAGCGACGACGAGGAAAACTCCGCTACGATAGCCGCACCCCCACAGAAGGAAAAGAAGCCTACTTGTCGAATTAATCAATCGCGATTTGAGCATCCTCCGCCTCTTTTAGGGTTACAAGCTACCAAAGCGCAAGTCAAGTCTTTGATCAAACAAAATTCCAGTATGCCTCCAGAGTCGAATGTACACCCTATGGACGTATTTGGCTTTATTCCTACCTTAATGAAACAGAATGAGACCTCATACCGAATTCCGACACCGCCTCCTTCCTCACCTCCGAAAGTGGGACCCATGTCAGGGCGAGATGAGACATTAGTCCCCATGGCCCTAGTGGTCCCCGAGGAGCCCCCGCTTTGCCCGGAGCAGGCGCGTCTTGTTGAATTGATAACTAGTGGGAAGAATGTATTCTATACAGGCTCGGCTGGTTGCGGTAAATCTACTGTGCTAAAGGCTTTCACGAAGCGGCTGCGAGACATGGGGAAGAATGTGCGCATTGTAGCACCTACTGGACGTGCAGCATTGCAAGTCAACGGATCTACGACTTGGACTTATGCGGGTTGGACCCCCGACCATCATAAGCGCTCGCTGGACGAATTAAAGGCAGCCGCTCATGGCAAGTTTGCGTGGAAACGATTCAAGGATACTGATGTTCTCGTCATCGACGAGATTAGCATGGTGGAGAATTTGCATTTCGAGAGGCTGAATGAGATTATGAAGGCGGCGCGGTACAAGTCTTTTCTACAAGAGCAGCCTGCTTTTGGAGGAGTGCAGGTGGTTGTAACAGGAGACTTCTGTCAATTACCCCCTGTCAAACCCTTCCAGCATTGTATCCAATGTGGATTTGAACTAGCCGAGAAGAATACTATCGATGGAAGAGTACACGTTTGTAGACGGCATGGCGAGTACCGTGATGAGGACAAGTGGGCATTCCGGAGCAAGGCTTGGGCGGAATGTGACTTTGTTCATGTCCACTTAAACACCATTCATCGCCAAAACGACGAGACATTCATTCGGATATTACAGAAGTGCAGGATTGGACGGCAACTTAGCTCGGAGGATACCGACCTTTTAATGAACCACGAATGCATGGTACATCATGCTACAAAGCTGTTCGCTACGCGAGAAGAAGTTGCAAATGTCAACCGGCGGGAATTCGAGAGGCTCAAGACCATAAATCATACCTACTGGTGTCTAGACAACTTCATCTGGCAGCAAGGCGCGCACCCACATCTCGGTTGGAAAGGCATGCGGAAACCCAAGGGCCCACAATCCGAAGGACCTTTGAAGTCCCTCGAAGATCACCGATTCGACGAGTGTGTGCAACTCAAAAAGGGCATGCTAGTCGTGCTCCTCATAAATCTAGATCTAGAGTGTGGCCTGTGCAACGGCAGCCAGGGCATTATTTGTGGCTTCGAGCGCAACGACCCGAAGAAACTTCCCCAAGTTAAGACTTCTAAGAATGACCCCGATAACAAGATTTACGGCGACCGCGCGCCCATGAAAGAAGACCAGATCAAGAAGTTCATCGACGACCCCGGCGTTAAGTACAAGACTTGGCCCATTGTTCGGTTTCATAATGGACATGTTCGTACTGTATACGCCGATTGCTCTATTGCGGAACTCGGCGACGAGAGGCCTTATAGTCTGTTGATTCGCACACAGATCCCGCTTGCCCCGGCTTGGGCTATGACGATTCACAAGAGTCAGTCCTTGACATTGGATCGTGTTGTGGTGAACTTGTCGCGTGCGTTTGAGGAGGGCCAGGTGTATGTCGCACTGTCTCGGGCTACGGGACTTCGCGGTCTAAAGATTGAAGGAGATGCAAAGGGCCTACTAGCGGGGCTTGGCGGAAACCCGGAAGTACAGGCGTTTCTCCGTGAGAAGTTTGGCGACATGGACGATGTTGTGAGTAGCGCGGCATAATTGTGGCGTTGCGCTATATGTAAAGTGTATAAAGGAATACAGGACCCGGCTCGGATAAGGGGAGAATATAGAACTGCCTCGCCGGCCGAAGTACTTCCCTGCCTACTAGGCGGGTAGGCGTATACCTAGAAGGTATATGGGGCGGTGCATAGATCGACGCCTCGCGAAGTATAATAGATAAATTTGTTCGGACATTCGCCATGTTTCTTCTCTCGTCGGTGAGTGGACTACGTAGGAAATTGAGTGAATGACAGGCTTCTCCACAACGATTGGATATGGTCTTTGAGCATTTCATATCATGACGATTCCATGACGGCCCCCACGGCGTTGCGCCACCAATGCAGCGGTATTCTCGTCTGCTGTTGCGATTGGCTGTTGCAATATGTAAATAAGTCCGAAGGCGTTTTAGCTGGCTGACTGGCTGGCTAACGCCGGTCAAGAAACACCGCCTTTCTCATTCTGTCTGGCGACATATGGCTGACTTGAAGGTCTTAGAGCGGCGTCTGAGACATACACGTGCGACGGCATAATATATTGGAATAGAAAGCAGGATGATCCGAATTTGTTCAGCCGTCCGCCGATCAATCCGGCTTAGAACGGCCCCCACATCAGGTACTATCGCGGAAGTGCATGTATTCGATGCACTTCCCGTCCGCCCCGCCTCACTCTTTTTTACCGCTGCTTAGGTGGGCTGTATGTTCGAGAGGTAGATTTTGAAAAACCAGAGATGGCATGTTCCCTACCGGTAATCCATCATGTTTGATCCGGCACGACAAAGTGAAATTTGATTCCGCCCCGAAAATTAGATTGGTGTTGCATGACGGATTAGAAAACGTTACACTGGTTTTCATACTTGTTCTAGGTAAATTGCCAGAACAGGCCCGTGTGTATGGCTGATCCAACGTTACCAAGATTCATGGAATCACCCGCATGTGTAAGGCTTTTTTATGTACCTACATAGATGAGGGAATTGTTCCAGACTGGCTGCGTCCAGCACACCCCTACAACAAAATTTCGTTCTATCAGGGGGCCACGAACCGCTTGATATGCGCCTAGGTACTTAAGCTAACCTGCCCATTAGGTATCTATTTACTGAACGCTGGGAGTAGTAGAGGCTTTACCTTAGCGCCCCGTCTTCCTATTCACTGATGCCCAGCCAACCCCCCGCGCTCTTTAAGGATATACAATACCGACCATTAAATAAGACAACTTAACATATGATGAACTTGGCGATTCTTTAAAGCGCCCTTGGCAAGAGGTTTACTGAGGTATGTGCTCTGTCGGACTCTAGGGGATAACGGCATTGGGCGGACTTATAGTGTTCGTAAAGGGACTGCCACATACAATGATGTCAGAATGCGTCGTTTTAACAAGAGGTAAAGTGAAGCCGTGAACGTGATCTCCTAGAGTGTTGTTTAATCTAGATTGGCTGAAGTTGATAGGTTTACTCGAATTAATATTTAGCATTGAAAACAGCCATTTTCACCTTTTTGGATATTACATCTCACATACCAGAGATCTATTCCCACTTTCGTGAACACGCGACCCATAGATATTATCTTGGTTATAAAGGTTTATACAAGTTGGAAGATCATCTTCACATGCCTGAGATCTTGTTGTTGATGCCCCACGCTCTACGCAGATATCTACGATCTTTAATATCCCGAAACCCTCCACCAAAAATAACTAATGGTTACTCCCGAATCTAGTCTACCGAGGGACTACTGGAGCCGACAACATACCTTGTTTTTAAAAATGCCAGAAGTGTGCGCGGCACGATATCAGATGCAGGGAAATAGATTTGGGTATCCAATGGCGATGCCAGAATCGGATCTGGACGACCCAGTTGCGGCCAAATGGAGCCCGGTTGAGTTGCGGGCGGCTCTCCTCCGAGTCTTAATCTATAATGAATATCAGGAACGCAGATGCGCCATGACGATCCCAAACCCATGCTCTTGCGCCATAACCTATTATTATCACGCCGTGCCTGGTGAATAATGTGAATTAAGCTTTTTCCTATCGCCCTTAAGCCGCTGGCGATCCGTTGGACCCCTGGGAAAATCGCCCGGGAAGTCTACCTTAGTCATTTTTCGCCTCAGATCCTACACGTGTACCCACGAGGACACATGTGTATCGGACTAGTCTCGCTTCGCGTAATAATATCCGATCGTAGCGTCTAACTTATCTGGTGTTCATAACTACATCCTTGGCCGCAGACAGATTTCGATCAAGAATACGTCGGATCGGAATGTCTAGGTTGATATTTAGTCGTTGCTGAGACCTCGCCGTGACTACGTCTGCCCAGAGTCTGGACAAGTCCTTCTAGCCAGAATAGTGGCGCTAGACATACGGCCTAGACGGGAATAGGAACGCGCGTTGGCGCATGGGACTATACAAGATGATTACTTCATTCTTACTCCTATCCATATGCGTCGCGATAGTATCGGCGCTACCATCAGCTCTTCAACCTCGCCAATCATGGACATTAGGGTACTGGGCGCACGAATTGACGGAGTTTGGGTGTAAGCCCATAATATTCATCTGGGCTAAGGCGACCATTGAACCTGGGAACATGGTATGTATTTTCAAATTCGTGTAGTATTAAAACCACCGTAACGCTGACGATATATTTAGGGAAATACAGTTGGGCCGCAATTGTCTGATGGACTCAAGGTGTTATTCGGGCCAGCGAACGTTGCAACTCAGGGGGTAGATTATTGGGGCTTCATTGAGACGAACTTCTACCCCGGTGGAGCGCCGCCTTGGGGAATCTACGATATGCAATTGCTGTTAAATGCGGCCGCGACATGTCCAGACTCGAAAATTGTTGCTGCCGGATACAGGTAACCCCCCTTTATTCCCATTTCTAGTCTGCTCCCGGACGATGACGCTGATCAATCAAAAAGTCAAGGAGCGGCTCTCACGCACCGGGCCGTCGAAGGATTAACCCAAGAGGTCAAGGATAAAATTATAGCGGTGGTGACGTTTGGGGATACGCAAGCATGGCAGGATGGTGGTCGAATCAAGAACTTTGACACGAACCGAACGCTCATCATCTGCAACGCGGGCGACGCCGTATGCACTGGCACTCTATACGTCTTCCCTGTGCACTACGATTACGTGAAATGGGTACCAACCGCGGCTTACTATCTCGCTACGAAACTGATGGACGATGCGGCAATAAAACCTTGGCCTAATGGAAGCTTTGTGTGGCCTAATGTTACTATCCCGGGCGTCCCACCGATCCCAGCGCCACCTCAACCGCCCGACGCCGTTCCGCTTTCGCTACCGCCGCTTCCAACACCGACGAAGGGGTCAAATTCTGGATATATGAGTTCGCAATTTACTTAGGCTAGTGATGAAGGTCATATCAATATGCCCGTTATTCAGGATTTGGACTAAATATTATTTCGTGGATATTACGGTGATACCTTAGGTTCCTGTCCTTTGAGCATAGAGCTTTAGAGGTGCATAATCATATGGTTAAATCTTCTAATAAGAGCGACGGAGACATCGCTGTGTTCAGTCATTACAGCGATCAAAGTGGCATTGGTTTCAAAAGCGTTAGATTTAGGAGTCATAATAAAATTATTCTTACGTTACTATATGTCTACCTACCTTCTAGAACTCTCCTCTTTGAGCCAATTCTCTAGGTAGGATGTCCACCTGGTCGATAGCCCCTTATCCAACTCGACTTTTAGGTATTTAGAGGCCGAATACCATTTGCCGTGAAGAAAAAAAAAGCCAACACCACACATAAGGTTCTCGTCGCTGGTATCCAACCTTCAGACCATCGGAGGCCCCTCCGTCCACACCTACCAACCTTCTAACCCACCGCGCCACGGCGACAAGATTCCACATCAACCCCCCCAACCCAAAGGCCACGTTTACCTCCTCGCCTTTTCACACCAATTTAGCTATCAGCAGCATACTCGACACGCCCTCCTGATCATGGGGGCACGGCGATCGACAGCATGAGAGAGATAAATAGATACGAATATAGATATGAAAGAATAGCCTGTTTTTTCGGCACTTCTCACATCCTTTTTATATCAGATATGGGCCAAGGATGCAATTGGTATTTACGGGGTCGGCTGCTGAATACGTTGCATCTGGCGTTGATGCCATTTCTGCGTCAAGTGAGGTGATTGATAGGTACCCCCTATCTTTATCCCACGGACAACTTGGCGCTATGGGAAGTCTTGGATTTTCTTATTTCGTTTTATTCACGACTATGATGAGGGAATGAGAAGTTAAATCTGTGTCTACCTGAGTGCTGTGGATTAGGGGTTCGTAGCTCGATGGTGTAATGAGAATGGCGACATCGCGGAGAAGACTAGCGCACGTTTTAATGCGCATCGAAGTAAATCGTATAATAAGTGCCGCGTACCTTGCGGATAAGGGAAAAGCTAAACGGCATAGGACATTTGAATACTAAAAGCCTAAGTAGTCGTAATTTCACGACCCCTTTTCGAACTCTAGCAGCTCCTACAATACGTCTCGCAAATGCAAGAAAAAAAGTTACCTAGGTAATTATATCATAATCGTTCAACATATAACTATTTATTCAGCTCAAGCATACATGCTTCCAGCCGTCTTGCCTGCTTTCTTGCTTTACTATCAACAGAGCTCAACCCTCAAGTCGAGTATCTATCACCCCAACGCCTAAGTCGAAACAACGCCGCATGCTCCTTTCCGAAAAATTCACAAGAACAAGCGCGCCGACATCGAAAAAACCTCAACGACGAATAGATACGTATATTCCTACTCCTAATATACTTCCAGCCTCCCCTTCTCCTTTTCGCGAAAACCCCGCCCTGCCTTTCCAGTACCGAACTCGAGACAGTTTTATGCGCAAGATGGAATATTTTCTGAAAGACCTAGATTTTCGAACTTGTGTTCCATATGATAGACGTGATCTCATTTCTTCGCCTTCGCGGCGCCTCCACCACCCATCCTCACTTTCTGAGCCTGTTTTAATAGTTAGCAATTGGTTCGCTGACACCGTCGGAGGAAAATTGGATGAAAAGAATAAAACTTACATCTCGAGCAAACTCCAAGCTTCTTATCGTCTCGTTTTCGTTCTCCTTGAGCGGGCTCACCATAACAAACATAAGTGTTCTGCATCCCTTTCCGAGCGACGGCCGTAGCAGCTGCGTCAACGTGTACGACCGGAAATCAACACCTTCCGTCTTGCCTTGGCCTAAGCTAGATAGCACTGTTCGCAGGTAGCTCAGCGACGAGTTGATCTCAATACCTTCGCGGTAGATCTGATCCCCGCGTGCTTTGTCGGGCGATTCGGACCCGGCTAAGTCGATTAGGTTTAGGGTTCCCTTCCGCACCTTGATCACCTCGCCAGCTTCATCCTTTTTGACCCCGCGGATTTTCAAGACTAGAATGGAGTGTGATCGCGATGATCGGTCGTTCATCGCTGTGGCCGCCGTATGACGGTTGTTGTCTGCTGTCCGGACCATCTCGTCAAGATCCTTTTCTTCCTTCAGAAGAGTAAACGAGTGGTTTTTGATATTGAGTTCATCGCCGATCGGGTCCACCGCAAGCGCCTCTGAATTAGCGCTACGGGACGCAAGCAAGTCATACAACTTGTCTTGGTAGACTTCCAAGTAGCTCCCCTCGACAGTGTATTCCCATCCCAGCGTTTTTAGTCGGTCGATTTCGCTGAAGATCATATCTTGGGTTCGGGGGATAATACCGTCGCCCTTTCGGCTCATCGTAAATGTCTTTCCAGATCCTGTTTGGCCGTAGCAGAAGATGCAAACCTTCTTACCATCCATGACTGATTGCACGAGCTGACTAATCTCGTCAAATACGTCTTTGTTGGTACAGGCGCTATCGAAGACGCGCTCGAAGTTGAAATCTTTTGGCTTGCCAGCGATCATCTTGCCGGGTTCTCTGAAGTCTTCTCGCTCTGTTGGTATGCTGAGACCATCAATCTTGTCTTCGTCAAGTTCACTAGCTCGCGGGTTGAACTTGATTAAAGCGTCGCTTTCGGGGTTTGCTGGCGGCTTGATTCGACACATGACACGGATGTTGCCTTTCAACTCTTGAACTTGCTCGAAAAGCTTGTGCCTCCTGTCCTCTTCCTTCTTAAGTCTATCCGTCAATAGCCTCGTCTCATCGTCGATTTTCTTTTGCGCTTCTAACATCATTGCTTGAAGTTGTCTTTCACACTCTGCTTGCACTTCCCTCTTCTGCTCTTCTAGAGTTTGGATGCGCTCCGAACTGAAGTCCAACTTTTGACTTAGAAGACTGATTTGTCCACCTAGATGGCCTTTATCTTTGGAGAGGCTCTCCTCAGCATCTTCAGCTCTCTTCCTGAGCCGATCGATTGTCTTGAGATTCTCTTCGATATGCGCATGCAGTGTCCTTTTCTCGTCGTCCGAGTTCCGCAGGGTTTCTTGTAAATTCTGCGTGCGTTTGGTTTCTGTTTTCAAATCCCTTTCAAGCGCGACCATCCCCTCCTCGTGATCTCGCTTCTGTTTTTCAAGGGTACTCCGCAACTCTTTATTCTCACGAGACAGGTTTTCTAATCGCGCCTCGGCTTCGGCTCCACATTTGTCTTCGAACTCCTGCTGAAGTTTGGCTACCTTGTCCATCTCACGATTATAGTCTTCGATTTTGGCCCTCATTTTTCGTTCATGATCTGCGATTAGATCTTCGCAATACCTATTATGGCGCCTCTGCTGGTCTTCGATATCGATACTAAGATTGCGAACCTGGCGTTCCGCGTCTGCTAACTTATCCATGATCTTTGCTCTCTCGGCTTGTAACTCATTTCGCTGGTCCTCTAAGCTGGCAGCTGCTTTATGTTAGAATATATAGAAACCTGTGTAATAAGCTTAGAGCCGCTTACCTCGCTTCTTAGCTATTTCGAGTTCCTCTTTAACGGAAATGCTATTTTTCTCGGTTGTATTCATGAAATCTTTCAGCGCTTGAAACTCGCTGTTCATTTTGCCGATTTTCTCTTCGATCTCTGTCACTATATAGCCCGTTAAGTTAGAATCTTTAGTTAGATAAGGTCCCTTGATTGGTGATGGGGTCGTGGCCATGAGTGTAATATCTTTAATGCTTCGTTCAAGAACGTTAACTCGTTGTTGGCCTGGGGTCCTTGGGGCTACTGAGTCCCTTAAAGTATCTTGGGACCGGCCTCTGCTACCGTCCTCTGTCTTGCGTCTTGGAAGTTTCTGAAGAGTAATAAACGAAGGTGGCGGAGGCATGTCTGTTCTGGAAGTCGCTTGGCTTCCTTGCTTGGGTGCGCTGTCTTCGAGTGATAGTGTCTCAAACTTGCTGGAAATAGAGGCTTCTCTAGCTTGTGAAAGTGGCTCTCGATATGGAGCATTTGTCATGTCTTGGCAGGACTGGTACTTTCGCAGCTTCTTGTTGCGAAGATTGCTGGAACTCGGCTTATTTGTTTGGGGGTCTATGGATGGGGGCACTGTACCATTGTTGGCTTGTCCTTGCCCTTGCCCTTGCCCTTGTACTTGTATTTGTCCCTGTGCTTCCTCACGCGTACCCATAGAAGTAGCTGGCCGTCCGGTTCTAGTAGTTGACCGAGCTCGCGCATGCGTCATATGGGATCGGGACGGGGGTCGGTGGCCGGGACCGACGCTATAAGCATAGTTGCTGGAGCCCGAGGAGAAGCTACTGTTTGAGGTATGTCGAGATATCGATGTACCGTTCGTGTGGTTGGGTCGGGCCTGCTCATCCACCAGATTAGTATACAACATAGCCTGTATAATGATAAAATGACATCGAATATGTGAAGCCATTATTGATTGTTATGTTTGAGAACCAGCAACTTGAGTCCTAAGGACTGGGCTCTTCCCACTTTATAATCACCCATAAAGGAGATTCGGGAAGATTCGTATGTCTTGGAGATGGAACGAGGACGATGGTTCTGGCTTGTTTGTTCTAGCATAACGAGTAATATGCTAGAATAAGGCTCGGCACGGCACTCGATTCATACTGCGCACGCAAATGGAGACTCACCGTATCTCGTAGCGACATTCCTCGGACATTCTGCGAAGTAGGTTGAGAGGATGTAGTCTGTTTATCGGGGAATTCGCCTGCTCTCGCGGATAGAGGCTTTCGTTTCGCATCGGATTGTATGGCTACATTTCGTCGTTGTGAGTTTACGGGGTTAGGAGGATCGATGAACGGATCGTTCGCACCTGGAGGTGGTACACCGCGCTTCACCCCGGTTACAGGGGGTATCGAAGTCGTCGGTTGAGACCGTACATTGCTCTGGGAGTTAGTCATCTCATGTAAACCGTTACTGTTCGAGACTGATGACGAGAACATGGATTGAGGTAGTCGAGTAGCTGGCTTTGGAAGGCCCGACAACGGCCGAGGTTGCTGCGCCTACGATTAGTTATGATACTATTTAGGGAGGTTATGTATGCGACGAATAATAGGGTCTATGGGTCAACCGTTATGGCGACGACGTACCACGTTCTCTCCCTCCATATTGGCAGATCGTTGGAGCGCGATGAGGGTCTAAGTAGAAGGAAAAACAAAATAGCACGATACTAAGCTTCGTGATAGCAAGCGCACAGATCAAGAGTAGAAAATCGATATTGAAAATAGCATTTAATCCGAATAACGGTCGCAAATCCAAAGGGTATATTATTGTTGTTCCATTGAGCAATGAGCGAAAGGTGATAGGTGATAGCCCTGGAGGTGATAGCAACGACGGGGTTTGTGTAATTGATAAGAGAATTAATTGACGATTACGAGCGGTAGAGCGAGTTATGGTGAATGAATTGTGCAAATGTTACGTTTATCCAATTCGTGCATTAGCTTCATTTGCTTACTTGTGGATATTGGCCCGGCAACGGTCAACCCAAATGATCTAAAACGGTAATCGGTTGGACAGATTACCTAACTCACTCAAGTACTTGGGTACTTTGGACGATTTGGGGAAAGATTGGAGTTATTTTATGGGGCATCTGAAGAGAAGTGGAATTGCCCGCGTGCCACTTCACTCTGTTGGTCCAAGCTTCAAAGGCTAATGCATTTTGGTACGGCTTCAGGTACGATCAATACTTGTAAACTTCGGGTATGACAGCGGGTGGGGGAAAAAGTTTAGTAGCCCTGAAGGTACCTAAAGCTTAAAAGCTTGGAAGTATATTAGCCCTGGAACACTGGATCGTCTTCTTCACATGCTAAACATTCGAAACCTTGACGACATTGACTGAACCCATCAAAAATCATGTCTACTTCAATTCTGACAGGTTGAAAAATAAATTCCCCGTGGCCATTAACTTCTCACATTATCACACACCTCTTCTCTTTGCGTTGGCAGTTGGGCGCTTCTAACGGTTACCGTTTCTGTCTAACCCTTCGGCATTCCTGTTGCTTAAATGTCTCGGTAGCGAAGCCTCCCAAACTGCAAAGTCTCAGACAGACAGACAGACAGACAGACTTTGTCGATCTCAACTAGCTATTATATAGCTCCTTAATACGATCCTCTATTTCCAGCGTATTCCCATAGCTCTAGAGCTTCACCAAGATGGAGAAATACAGCCAATTTCGTGACCGAGGTAAGTTCTAAACCCCGACCCTCTACCATCGTGTTTGATGCCTCGAATAGCATCATCGTGATGAGTATGTGTCTGACATCGCAAAACCCAGGTTCCGGCATCTCGCCCTTCATCCCCTCGTCGACACCGAGATCAACGCTCTCCACCATCCTCCATTCATTCCTCTTCCTATTCCGACTACCACTCTTCCTATCGTACAGCGCGCTGTTCTTCCTTATCCTCGATAATCTCCCAACCTTTCTCGTGCCTCAGGTCGCTCGCAAATTGATGTTATGGACTTTCCTGGGTATACCGGGGATATGGTGGGTGGATCTACAACTCGACGGCGTCAAGCGTGGCTCGCTGTCACAACAACCAAGCTCGCGCTTCCCCGGCAACGCCCAGCGCTCGATTATCGCCGCGCAGTTTACGAGCCCTATTGATGCCTTATATCTCGCCGCGATCTTCGACCCAGTATTCACTGTTTCCTATCCGGGAACTCGCAAAGTCCAGCGTGTGTCGCTTTTGCGCGCCATACTGCTCGCCCTTTCGCCGCCTGTCCTCACCCCTCCCTCGCCTCGCAACTTAACGACGATCCGCGCGCTAGTAGAGCAGTACCCCCAACGGGTGATCGCAGTATTCCCCGAAATGACGACCACAAACGGCAAGGGTATCCTCCCTTTCTCCCCATCCCTTGTCTCCGCTCCAGCCGATGCGCATATCTTCCCCGTCAGCATGCGCTACACACCTCCCGACATCACGACCCCAGTTCCCGGCGCCTACCTCTCCTTCCTATGGAACCTACTTAGTAGGCCTACGCATCTCATAAGGGTTCGCATCGCCGAGGGTGTAACCAATAACTCAGCCGCCGAGACCAATGGGGTAAACGGTTCCGACAACGAAATCGCTCCTAGCGACGACGAGGCGGGGGAAGGCGAAGACGACGATGCGCATCTCACGCCGGAGGAACGAGCTCTACTCGACAAGATCGCCGATGCGCTCGCGCGATTAGCCCGCAATAAGAGAGTCGGTCTGTCGCTGCGGGACAAAGCAGCATTCATTGAAGCCTGGAAAAAAGGCAAGAAATGAATGAACGAATACTCCGCGCGGAGAGTCGCTTGCGTGCTTTTATTCCATTCTTTGAAATTTTCGGTGCCATCACCGAAACGGTGGGCACGTTTGTTATTTGTTCAGCACTGCAGCATTGTCTAACGTCATCGTGATGCATTTTACGGAGGGGGCGGAGCCATGCATTGAATTTATCGCTTTTCTTTGGTCTTCCCTCGCATCGAAAACTTACGCTAGGTATTTAAATGGGATGATGTCGAATGTGGTGGGACGAATTAGGACTACCCCCACGGGTAGGTAGGTGAAGAGGAGGGAGATGAAGGACATGAAAAGGATATAGGTATGAGCAGTACGACATCCATGTGTTAGTTAGCCTTCGGCTGGGCCGTAAGTTATGAAGGATAGGAAAGAGGAAGGGAAGGAAGGGTAGATGAAGGAAAAGAGTGTATCATCATTTTCGCTTTCATCGACTTCAACCTCGACGATTGGGGTCTTCTTAATGTTACGCATTTTAACTACAGTTAGATCTCGGCCTTTTATAGATGCCCAAGCAAGCTTCTCGAGAACGTTTGTCCGTTTGAACTTTAACTTTTTATTCATTATTTACCACTCTGAAATTGTAGAGTGGCTAGAGTACGCTTTTTGTTCTTTTCCGGACCGATACCTAACCCACAGACATACCACCGAGCGTATAAGACCGATAGATACAAGAGGTTCAGCTACTCATCCGAATGTTGGTTTTATATACCCCTTTTTAGAACTTCAGAAATTTTATTGTCCTGTTGTGATACAGCCGTGGCTGGCATCGCTAACAAGCGCCGCGTATTTCGTCAAAGTACCCTGAGCATACCGGGGTGGCGGCGGCGTCCACGACTTCTTTCGCTCCGCCATCTCGGCTTCACTAACGTCGCTGTTGATAACGAGCTTCTCGGCATCGATGGTAACAGTATCACCATCACGTACAAGACCAATAGGTCCACCCTCGCGCGCCTCAGGGGTAATATGACCGATTAGGAAACCATGGCTACCACCAGAGAACCGACCATCGGTTAATAGCGCGACGTCACCACCTAGACCGTATCCCATGATCGCTGAAGACGGTTTCAACATCTCTGGCATACCGGGGCCACCCTTGGGTCCTTCATATCGGATGATAACAACGGTCTTCTCGCCCTTCTTGATTTCACCACGTTCTAACGCTTCGATGAAATCGTCTTCTTGGTCGTAACACTTGGCCTTTCCGGTGAATACTAAACCTTCTTTACCCGTGATCTTACCGACGGAACCACCGGGTGCTAGAGATCCGCGTAGGATTTGAATGTGTCCGGTTGGTTTGATGGGGTTGGAGAATGGTCGGATGATCTTCTGGTCGTTGGGGAAGGATGGCCAGGATTCGACGTTTTGTTTTATCGTCTTTCCGGTTACGGTTATACCGTTACCCTTAATAACGCCCTCCCCGATGAGGAATTTGAGAAGCGCGGGGGTACCGCCGATCTTGTGCATGTCTTCCATGACGAATTTACCGGAGGGCTTGAGGTCGGCTAGGAAGGGCGTCCTGTCGGATACGGCTTGGAAGTCATCAACGGTAAGCTTGAGACCGACGGAATCGGCGATGGCAATTAAATGAAGGACAGCGTTTGTGCTGCCTCCGAGGATGTTGACCACTACCATGGCTTCTTCAAAGGCTTCCCGCGTCATGATGTCTCGTGGGCGGATGTCTTCCTTCATGGTAACCTTAATAGCTTCACCAATGCGCTCGCATTCCTCGATCTTCTTCGGGTCGTCGGCAGGACAACTACTGCTGCCCGTTAAGGTCATACCTAGAGTCTCGATAGCTGTAGCCATGGTGTTCGCCGTGTACATTCCACCACATGCACCCTTTCCGGGGCATGCATGTCGAATAATGTCAAAACGTTGCTTCTCCGTGATCTCACCCGATATATATTGTCCGTAAGCCTGGAAAGCACTAACGATATCAATTGGCGCACCGGCCATACTGCAACCAGGCTTGATAGTACCACCATAAACCATGATACTAGGTCGGTTTACTCGACCCATAGCTATTAAAACACCAGGCATATTCTTGTCGCATCCAGGTAACGAAATATTCGCATCGTACCATTGGCCCTGCATAACGGTCTCAATACTATCGGCGATGATTTCTCTACTCTGTAGAGAATATCGCATACCAGTCGTACCCATAGATATACCATCCGAGACACCAATTGTGTTAAACCGGTAAGGAATAAGTCCAGCTTTTGCGACAGACTCTTTGACGACGGCGGATAGATCCATCAAGTGCATATTACACGGGTTGCCCTCGTACCATACCGAAGAGATACCGACCTGGGGTTTCGATAGATCGTCTTCGGTAAGACCTGTCGCATATAACATGGCTTGCGACGCGCCTTGGGCTTTGGGTTGTGTGATGTGACGGGAGACTTTGTTGAGGTCGGAGTCATTGGATCGGCGGTAGGGTGTTGTGCTTAAAAGGCGACTATGCGATATAATTCTTAATTAGATGCTATATAGAGATTCAATTGAATTACTTTTGACATACGCATATTGTATAGATGGTGCAAGAGCGCCCCGAGCCAGAGCTGCTGGAGCCCTAGCTCGGAGGAGGGTATGTAAAGCCATGGTGGGCTTTCGGGCTTGAACGAGGGGTCGAAATTGTTACTCCCACTATCGAAACAAAGCCAATTGACAAAGAAGGCCTTCGAATAATCGTACCCGATGCCACAAATTGGAAAAATATGGCAATTGACTAACTCGGGACGAAGAGTTGTCAGAAAAAGTCTTATAACTTCACCGTAATTCTCGGTGAGTCGAATATTCACAAGAGAAAAAAAAATCTAGGGCGACATCGGTCGGTGACAAAAGTCCAAAAATTGATTGGAGAAGCTATAGTGGTTAGCTAGCCCGCTAACCCCGCACTAATTGGGGATCGTTTATGACCATTTACCGAATTATGATTGGTTCGTTGCGCTGGAATATATTAATTATTTCTTGACCCTGTCCCCGAACGTCGGGTCTGACTCTTTTACGGACTATCGTCTTTCGCGAGCGCGAGCGCGAAGCTCCGAATAACTAGCCTGGTAAGGTTCTGTGAACGAGTTGGAATATTTTGAATATGGAGGATGTTATTAGTACCATGTTCATTATAAAAGAAGGTCTATGGATAGTGTCCCGAAGCTTTAACAAACTATGACGTTTTCGTCCTGAATGCTACTAATAATGTTTCAACTTCTAGGCCTGAAACCAGTCTAACGTATCTTTCATTTTGAATTCTTGATATGCCTTCTACTTTCAATTCAGCTGACCTTACTCAAGGTTAACTATGTAATAGACCTCTGGATTTACATCATGGGGATTTATGATCTTTTCTACCTGCTATTTCTATAGTTTAGATTGACTGTCGACTTGCAGCTATATTCAACTTCAAATATCTATCATTTATCACCAAAGATGATTAGGTTCATAGTCCCACATAAAACTAGAGTTTCCTAGCTCGAACCTTGATCGTGAAGACGATCCAATCCAAAGCCGCGATCCAATAATTTGATTTCCGAAAAGGGATATCTCTCTCGGATGGATCCGTTATACCCCGGCCAGTGTCTACCAGGGTAGTTGGAGGTTGAAGGTATCCTTACCAACATCATGCCGTAGTTCTGCTACAACCTTGTCTGCAACCCCCACCATGGCAAGATAGGAGGTTATCTCATATATGCCGTCTGTTATATGTTATCTGCAGCGATAACGTCCCTTAATGATGCGTACCTAGGTAGAGGACTGTGAGGACCAACTAGCAATATTGGAATACCCAATTTGAGTATTCCGGCCGCATCTTCAGCATTAATCAGATTGCTCATCTTGTCCGGCCTATTTGCGTCCGTTATCTACGTACGCTTACTCAGCGACAGTGAGGTGGGCGATAGGTTGCACCGATACCATTCTCAGTGAAACGACTTGGGCGCGGACATAGCACCGACTTCAGCACCATGGCAAGCAATACCTGTCATCCTGACGAGTTCTCGCAAGAGAAAGCAAACCAAGACCGTACTGCATCACTCGAGAATGCTTGCGAGGTGGACTTTGCGACTCCCGGGCTCTCAAACGATGTCTTCGGGCAAGAGGATGACCATGATATCAAGTACAAGACACTGCCGTGGCAATTCACTGCTGTTCTGATGATAACTGAGATTATCTCAAATGGCATGTTAAGTCTGCCAAGTTCACTAGATGCAGTCGGTATCGTTCCAGGCGTCATCGTAATCGCATTCTTGGGTGCATTCGCTACTTTCACAGCTTGGCTGCAAATTGAGTTTAAGCTGAGGCATCCCGAGGGTAAGCGAACCATATATAATCGCTGTAGTCATCTGAGATCTGGCTGATAGAAGCATGTAGTACATAATATGGGCGATGCTGGGTACATCCTATTTGGACCTATTGGTAGAGAGATATTAGGCGCAGGAACCATCATGTTCGCCGTCTGTGCTACCGGTTCGCAGATCCTGGCCGGCCAATTGGCCCTTACTGTTCTCTCTGACGGAAAACTCTGCACACTTGCTTTTGCCGGAGTATTCTCAATCGCGGTGGCTGTTTGCAGTTTCCCTCGGACCCTGAATAATCTTAGTCGGCTCTCTCTTGCGGGGGGTATATCTATCATTACTGCAGGAATTGTGGCTGTAGTTGGCGCTGGGGCGAGCCCAATTGACGCGGGGAATATCGTAATCGCAAGAGCAAGCGATTTCACTTCTGCTTTTTTCAGTATCACCAATCCTGTATTCGCTTACGCCGGTCATTGGATGTTCTTCATTCTTATCTCGGAGATGAAGCACCCACAAGACGCGATGAAGGCTGCGTGGACGCTGCAAATCGTAGCCACTAGCCTCTACATCGTGTTCGCCATCGTAACTTATTGGTATGTCGGAAAAGGCGTCGCAAGTCCAAGTTTCCTCAGTTTAAGTCCGCTGTGGTCTAAGATCTCCTTCGGACTTGCTATTCCTAACTTGGTGATTGCGGGAAGCCTAAATATTCATACTGCAGCCAAACTCGTATTCGTGCGCCTTTTTAGACGCAGCCGACATATTCACTCGCATACTTTTGCCGGTTGGAGCGTGTGGACGTTGCTTATTCTTCTAGGTAACGTTGTGGCGTTTATATTTGCAGTTGGGATCCCCATATTCAATTACCTAGTTGGAATTGCGGCATCCCTGTTCGCTGCTTGGTGTATGTACCTGAGACCTGTTCCCCTTTCTAACGCTATTTGCTTTTTGCGGTGATTTCTAACGTGGCATCTTAGATACTTATGGCCTTTCTGGTGCATTTTGGTTACACGATACCTATCACTTCAAAGGGGGGTATCATGGGGGGTTTAAGAGGCGCATCATGTTTATTGCTTCTGTATTGACGGTCCTTGCAGGAGGATTCATCTGCGTGGGCGGGCTGTACGCGACCGTTTATTCGTTAAGAGAGGCATCCGAGGCAGGTGAATTACTCCCACCTTTCCAATGCTAATGTTGGTGAGAACGATTTCATCGGAGATTGAGTTGTATAGCTGGTGCGTACAATCCAGCCATCTCGGACTGAAATCTCCGGTTGAGGCGCTTTGTTTGACTTTGAGTAGCAATTCAACTCACTTCAGTTCAAGTAGTTGTGCTCCAAGGGTAGCTCCATAAAATTATATCATTACGTGTGATTGCACATGCAGTTTTCTGTATTGTATCTCAGGTGCAGGGTATTGGTATAATTGATGAAGTCATTGCCGCACAGCACTGACGTTTTGCCTCTATGACGTCAACCATGGAAGCCTCTCCTATTCACACAAATCTACAAGCTCGAGAGAAAGTAGCATTTAAAAAAGCAAATTGTAATAGAAACCTCAACGATCAAATCAATAGCAACTTAGAAACCAATTTTAATCCCAAATCAATTGTTCATACTAACTTTCGAATACCGCCGTACGAAATTACTTCAATCGCCCATCATTTTTCACCAACTTCTTACCGACAAGCCACATAAAACCAAGCCAATAAAGATGGCAGCAAAAGCGCCCAGTGAAGGAACTAAGATCACCACCGGCAAGAATGCCCCCATCACAGGTGAAGGACCCGGTATCGTCGCACAAGACTCCCTAGCTGCGGAGTCCCAGTCCTTCCGTCAGGCCAATCAAGCCGTGCCTCAGCAGGTTCCGCGAGAAGATCTCACATCCGCTTCAAGGCCACACGAAAGTGGCGTTCACACATCTACTTCCACCTCAAACACCAGGACATCTGGACAGGGTAGCAATGCGGGCATCGCACCCTCTTATGTTCAGAGCCAATACTTGAAGGACCCTTCTGGTCCACACGGAAAGAATCTAAAGGAGGATGACAGCATTGGTACCGAGGACAAATCAAAGAACGCTAGTTTCTCTGAATTCGGCACTAAGAACGACCCCGGTTTGGCTGCTGAACAAAAATTCACCCTCTCCGAGACGGCCAATGCGGGCTCGACTGGAGGGCGTGAGAAAGGCGTTGATGCTCAACAACCATACGGTGTACTGGGCTCGAATTCAGAGGCATGAGAAATATGGAATAAGATGACGCATACCGAACAAGTAGAAAGCTGTGTTACGAGACGTCTCCTCACCAGCCAAATATGTAGTTGATTATTAAATCTACTTTTGCAAAGGCGTCTTATTGTACCTCCCTGGGCAGATATTCTTACCCTACACGTGTAATTTTTGGCTCGGATGCAAGAGGGTGTCTTTTACATCGTATTTCTCAGACCTGACGGATGAATATCGTCATTCGAATTAGGAATGGCGCAGGGAGATATCACTAATAAGGTAGCGGGCGTGTACAACTGCCGAGGATCTCAATACTATTAATATGACTTGGGCCGGTATATTTCTGCCTGGGTGGGGGTTAGTGGTGTCGAGTATTAGCTGCTGTCATCTAGATGGTCATTATTCGAGGCTGCTTTGTAACTGTCTAGGCTTACCCGCCTGTTTCCACAATGGGGAGCAAGAGTGGTCTCCCTGAGCTGGGCCACCGACATGGCGCAGGGCTAGTAGAAACTAAGCACTGAGTCCGGAATGAACAATCGATTCCGTTAGCACCGCCACACTCTAGCAATTGGTTAACCGGTTGTGATTATACACTAGTTTGTTTTTCAACTTTTTTTCTACGTTTAATTACTGTTCTATTTTCTATTGAAGGTAAGAAACTCAATATACTAGGTATCCTACGTCCAGATCAATTCGAATCACATATGTGGTTATCTAAGTCCTTAGACAGCTTATCGGGGTGGGTTAGTGTGTTCCAAGGTTTTTTACGTTAATATGCGGAGTATTAGTAGGCTTGCGATCGGCCCTCCCTGCGGTTGATTGCCTTGCGTCCTAGATATAGATACCTTCTAGACTTCTTATTATTAGCATGTGGATCGTGTCATAGCGCAATATCTGCTACAATGCTCAATTCCTGACGTTGTAGCCACCCCAAAATCATGGGAAGCAGTGTTCCGGGCCGGGGGGCACCTGGCTCCGCGAGACTTGTTCTTCCGTATCCAGAGAGATCTTTCCGTGCCCAGTTCGCGAGAAGACTCATTTCAAATGGGCTTAGGCGCGCCTCCTTTACGCTATAGGTTGTACTCCCATTGTGCTCCCGGTACATAGTGTCATTTCCCGGGAGTATGCGTCCTGCAAATGGGAAAGACCAGACATACTCGCTATTTAAATTGCGATCCGGGCTAGCAGGTCTGTCACGGGTAATGCCTCCGAGTGATAAGCCTCGCATGTCGCGAAAAAACTCTACACTGGGGTGGATGCCTTCGTTGGAAACTGCATCTTCGGGAGGATTGACCATTTCCAAATGCTTGTTTGGAGTCCAAAATTGTATCCGTGGCTTTCGAATCCACGATCCGTGAAACCAAAAGCGACGAGTCATCGAGTCTCTGATCCGATGCGCGGACGCTCTTCTTTGATGCGTTGAGTCTTCGTCTTCACATGATGGATCACCGCCTTGACGCGTTAGATCCTCGTCTTGAGGTTCAGCTATGTTGAATATATGGTTAGAATAGCTGCCCTGGGAAATAAATGGGTCATGCGGATGGAGGAGTGCTCACGATTTCCCAATGTCCATCCTCGATAGGACGGAGGATGTTGAAATATTGTATCTTTAAATTCAACGCCTGCTTTATCTAGTTTATGAATCATCCACGCCAGGGAAATATGCGCAAGGGCTTCATCTTTTCTACCCCCTCCTACGTCGGCATGATACCCAGCGAACCAACACTGTTCTAGGGAGGAACTTTTCAATTCGTCGTTAACACATTTCCAAACGATAGGTCGGAAGTTGTGGCGATGCTCGTGAATCGCGAGGCCCTGGAATGCTTTGACAATCTTGGGGTTCAGGTCGGAGTGGATAAAATTTGGGCTGGGCGGTAGTATTCCTAATATGCTCGGCAACGGAGCACCTATAGAAGCGACTGTGTCCCAAACACCGCAGACTTGGATGCGGACATTGCGGTGAATGTAATACAACTTTGCTAGCTCGTCGCAGAGACCACACAATGCTTTCTCGCTTTTTTTCTTCCAAAGGTCGTAAACCTCAGCGAAACGGTGAAATCCCTGGTCGGTAAGGAGTCCAACGTTAGTGATGAGATCGGCGAGACACCTTACAGTGAAAGCCCCCCTGGAGTATCCGATGAGCATGATCTGGTCCCTCCTGCTCTTGTAATTGTAGCAGATGAATTTATATGCTTCTCTGATCTTTTCGTCGAGTCCTGTCCCAAAAGCTTGGTCCCATCGGTCTCTTATCTGAAGCGGAGAGGAGGATTTTCGATCCGTACCGATTCCAGGGAAGTACCATGCTCGTTGCTGATTGCCGTTGCTATCTATGTCCTTTATGCCTTGTCGGATTCGCCAAACGTTAGTCTTGTCGTGGTCGTTCTCCTCAACTCCAGAGCTTCCTGTACCGTCGCAACAGACGATAATTTTCACAAAGTTAGGAGAGGCCTGTAAAATGGCCATATTGTTAATTGAATACGAGGAGCATTCTATTGAACACCCAGAAATGTGGTGCATCCACGCAGTTTCCTAAGAACCGTCTAATAATCCGGGAGCAGGCTGATCGGGCGGCGATTGCTGTATAGAACATATAGACCGCCCCAGCCATGACACCGGCTGAAGGGGGAGCCGCCAGACTCAGCTTCGAAGGACTTGTGCATGATGTCGAAATGTAAGTTGATACTAGGAATTTCTCTACTCCAAAGGGGTTTCCGCTTGATTTCGGGTGAATATTGCCTCAGTGAGCGTAGAAGCAGGCTGTTAGAGGATGGATGGCGGTGGCAGTTCAATATTACATGTGTGCTCACTACGTATTACGTGCACGTGCATATAGATACCTAGATAGGGATCAATTCCGATGAAGTAAAGAGCTGAACTGATCCTGCCAACCAATAATATATTCAGGTTTCAGCAAGTCAAGAAGTTTCAGCTATTCGTGGTGCATAAGTTGCGCAAATTATGGGCTATTATAGGCCCCCTTCAGGACAGATCAGGACAGATCATTTGCCTGGGGCAGATTTGCGCCTTAGAGCGGGGTAGATAAGAAGAGAGCCGCCCTTCGAAGAATCCCAAAAAGGTAATATGTCTGCTATGACCAACTCGCAGGTAGCGTACAATGCCTGGTTTGTACCGAATAATATTGAACGGTGTTAAATCTATACACCATGTTTTCCATACTATCACACAACCCGAAACCGTTGAAGATTCAGGGACAGCAACCCCCTTCGACAACACACGACCTGCGGATGTCGGGTATTATGTGCAATATGGAAATGGGACTCCTTACACTAGGGATGATTTTGGTGCGCAGAATCACCCATCCGAAGGAATGGAGGCAGAAGTTGAGTTAGTATAATCGTTTTTTGAAGGCCAACATGATATGATATTAGTATCTCATGAGGCTACTCAAGCAAGAAAATTCAGGCTTTCCCCTTCTTTGCATTCCATCTATGATTGTCCTGACCGACTTCTATAGCATGGTTTTCCTCCATGATATCACAGAAGATCGAGATACCCCCTGGAAAATTCGGGAATCGAAAGATTTTTGGCCGACAAAAATTCTCGCAAAACAGTTCCCGGGCGCTCGAATCTTCACCTACGGGTACGACACGAGAAGCTGGTTTAATCCTAGTGACGGAAGTTGTCGGCTAGTTGATATTCTCGATAGAGACAAACTCAGAAAGCAAGCCGAACGATTAGCGAATACCTTCCCCGTATTCTTTTATGACCCCTCTAAGTCAAAAGACGCCGTCAATAAATGGGAGGACATACCTACCGACACTGACCAAAATTTGATGGATGCATGGTGTCTTCGGCCCATTGTGTTCTTCGCTCATGGTTATGGGGGCTTGATATATGAACAGGTAGGCTTCAGTCAATAATAGTTATAATATGCTCTTTCTCTTAAGATATGCTAACGAGTGCCAACAGATGATTGAAGCGGCCATTGTGAGCCAGGAACAGGGGAAATGCAAACTTGAAGGGCAGAGGAAATATATGCGTCGGCAAGGGGCGTTCTTATTTAATACCCCTCATTCTCAGGCTGGGCTTGCGGAATGGGCCTTTATGTCCGCGAAGCAACTTGGGATGCCTGGGATTGCTGAGAGTGTCCAGAAGCAGGACTGGACTGAGGCAAAGGTTGAATTGAGACAGCTTACTGAAATGCAAGAATCCTTCTTCACTGCTTGTAGGGCGGATAAACTATATCATATAGCCTGCTGCTTCGCAACGAAGGCTCTTCCTAACAGCGACCTTGTGAGTATTATTCGTTCCATTTCAGAGCGCCTTCCCGCTAATCATATCAGATGTTACCACCAGAGTGGGCTTTAATTCCCGATGCCACCCCTATTTCTATCGATGATGACCATTTTGGCATGACCCGATTTCGCTCTGAGTCTGAACAAGCCCCCCGAGTTATTTCAGCGATTATTTCACGCTGGGTTTCAAATGGTGCTGATCCATTACAAGCTAAAATAATCTCCCATGGCCCAAAAATGGATTTCGCTCCGTCGAGCCTCGACTTGGTATTGAACAATAGCTGCAAACCAACAAGAGCTCTTTTTTTACCAGCGGAGATAGACCAAACCATGAAAGACAACGTCCGACTAGGTAGCATTGTACGTGTTTATTCTCCTCTGGGCTATCACTCGTTAGATAGAACACGGTTCGAAGTGATCGTGTCCCCAGAGAGCTACCTGAGCTACCTGGGTTGTTTAAATCTACCATTGACTATCGAAGCGACTGACGAAGCCAAAGTCAGCTACGATACCTTAAGGGATAAACCCGAATGCAGCGATTTGAACCTCTGGCGCGAACTTACTACTTTCCTCCGGCGGCGTGAAAGGCAAGTGGGAGGCATTTTGGGAATACCCTCCGATGACGCCGACAAGTTTACTAGTATCACCACAAAACAGTGGATGCCATCCGACAAACAACTGATTGCTATATCAGGATCGTTCGAAGAGCGACCAAATCTATATATCATTTATTTAATTAAAGTTATTAACGGCGCTTCAGTTCCAGTCCTGGAGTCTATAAGATCTTGGACAAGCCCGAGTCTTGCGTCTTCAAAGGCGGCTCCTGTGGGCTACAATGGACAGCCTGGGGATATCCTCCTAGGCATTGGGCTATATTCTTTATGCTAGAGTAAATAGAGATAATGGTGGGATACTAGGGAACGCGATATTTTGCGGAGATAAGCAGCACCCATACCGATTTGGCGTTGCCAACTTATTTTCATTTCTTGTTGATTATTTAATTTTTTTGATTTATTCTTCCCGCTTTTTGTGTCCGTATGGCTTGGTGGTACCGGCGCTTGGGTCGCGCATTTCTTTCAATCGAGTTATCAGGGTGCTCGCCATGGTGGCTAAGATCAAGACGTATTCCTATCTGAGTTCAACCGCGAATTTTTGATTTTGGGGGTTATACGGGTGGAGTATGGATAGGTAGAGTATGGTGGGTTCTCTGTGTTGGGAGGTAATGTTATAACTTACTTCAGATGGTCTACACGTCAGACGCATGTCTTGAGCTGCCTTTATTGCCGACTACATTCGTAGACAATGTGTACGCTCTTTTCACTACCTAGGTATATTAGAAACTCTAGGTACTAATCTAAATCGATGACTTTTCGGTGAAGAACACGGTGACCGAACGGGTAACCTATATGTACCTAGAGGCTTCAGGTCGGTGTTTAGCTACCTAGGACCTACCCTCTTAAGGTAGACTTTTTCACATAGAAAACCAAACACCACGAATCAGCGTTCACCCCTACCTAGGTAGTCCTCCTAGTTTGACAGACCACACTGTCATGGTTAAGTAACAGTTGGGGATAGTATAACACTACTTAGTTCTAATAGAATATGTCGTGATGAGCCTTATATCCGCACTCAGTCAGATAGCTCATTCGTGTGTATATTCAGGCTTTCGTTTAGTTCTTCCAATGCATACCCAGGTACGTGCCCGATATAGTTATGAGTTACTTAAGTATCCATTGCCCTTTACCATAGGTACGCCTAGCCCCAATTTGACAATACTATCACATATTCAAGAATTTCATATTGATAAAGCGGATTTCGGGGTCGGGCTATTAGATCTGGGTAAAAAGTGATGTCTTGTATCGAAACTTCCCCTTTTCTTCTTCTCTCGGCTTAGGGCAACTCTGGGTAGACCCAGGTATTTGCTTGGCGCCGCGAACAGATATCGTGACTGACGAAACCTCAAGTAGAGGTAACGTAGCTAGGTACCTAGGTACCTAGGTAGGTAGTTGAATTCGCCCATATCCCATAGTATCTTAGAATAAAGGAACAAGGACCGAGCGGCTAGTAAGCGCTCGCAGGTTCAGCCGGTACGGTGATGAGCGAGTAACAGGGAGCGGATGACGACGCATGTTGTCTCGTAGACGACATACTTCGCGATAGGAAATTGAGATGACACTGCGCCATATTTGGAATGTGATATCTTTCTTTGGGATCGCTATCTTAATATTGTGAAATTTTGGGCGATCGAAGCATGCAGTTTAAAAGATCCACCTCGTTGGTGACGCGTAAGAGCTGATGACGCGTTTTGCTCCTTGTATTCCACAAGACCCCCACAACTATTTCATCTCTATCAGATACTTCTCAGACGTCTCGATATGGAGTGTCGGCGTCGGCGCCACGGCTTCCTCAGCGCCGATAATGTCATGTAACCTATTGACAGAATCACATGTGACATCGTCAGTTAGGGCTGATTCTATAAGTTCCTTGTTACAAGTACATTGACAGAAGATCTGACATCTGATACCTGTCGCCCTTGTGGCTTGGGTATACCTTCTTGACTAGATACCGTTCTTACTACATTCCTTTCTTGGCAATGATCGATGCTTGTCCAGATTTTGCAGAAGCTCGGCTGTACCACAGCAATATCGAACCAGTTTGTCTTTCGCTCTTGAGCCCGGACATCGGGTCGGTCCAATATGACCCCCACGTGGATACTTGGTATACGCGTGTCTCATATCTTCAAAATGAGAATTGAGTGGCTTCGCTGATACCTGGGTACATGGGTGTGTCGTTGCATACTCCTGTACGGATAGTGGGCATAGAAGAGTTTGTCGTTGTGTTTAGTCCTTGCTTCGCGTTGCTAATGCTATCTGCAAACCCTCCAACTATAGCAATATGCTCAATTAATCAAGACTCCAGAGTATACAAGGCCTCGAACAAACTCAAGCTCCCTACATGTACTATAATGCACGAGTTAGATAAGATCAAATCAAACAATCCTAGGCGCTCTTCCGACCCGGTGGGTTGAGATGTATGGAGTAGTAGCACGCCATTTGCGATAACATGGCTTAAACGCATTTACCTGCTTTTATTGATCGTCAATAACGGAAGAGGAAGTTCGTGAGCTAGATTCGCATGCGGCTCTCAACCCTTACCCACGGTGGAGCCGGGCCTGGGGGTGAGTGTAGAAACGAACACTCCCGACCGTTATGTGAGAACTGAATATTCTTGTTTAAAAATGCTTGTGACGTTTACCATACTGTCACGAAACTTTGAAACATCCGTAACAATATCGCCGCGCGAGATGCGGTCCCGAATCCCTGGAGTTAAGAGAAGATTACGCAGCCATAGAGATAGAATTGCCCAGACCATCGTACGACAGTCAAGACTTACGCATCTCTACTTGTCGGAGACTAAATAGGTTAGGTGGTACGTACACACCCTCGGCCGTGTTCCGGAACCCGTGCATATGAGACCCTGAGGCAGACACCACACCACACAGACACACACGCATCTCCGTAGGAGCGGAAGATAAGATTGCGCTATCTGCGAACTGGAGGCGGGAGGGATCAGGAACGGCAGAAGTACCCTGTACCTCATGCAGATGGATTTATGCTGAATTCAGGGGGGTGAATACTACGGACCCTGTAAATCAAAAGGATGAATAAGATTCGGCATGCCCAATTGGCCTTAGACTGCCGAACACGCTGCCGATCCCGGTCTGATATATTACGACGTTGTGTGGTAGTTGGTCTCTTAGGTAGCATCGTAGGGTTTAGTCTCTCATGATTACAATTATTTGGTACTTGGGTGGGAAAATTGCGTATTGCAAGATATGTATTCCTTTGCTCCATCTCTCAAAGCTTCATTTTGATTCGCGTCTCGTTGAGTTCCGCATTACCGAAATTTATTCCTCCCACCTCTAGTAATTACCAATACAATTCTAATCCCAACCGGCATCGCCTAGTAATTTACCTATCTAAGGCTTGTGCTTGACACTATCATGATCCATTAGTATTTTCATATAGGTGTAATTCTAGAAAGGTCTCGATAGACGTACCATGCCATAGTACACACCCCTTTTCTGGAGGAGCCCAATATGGGTGCCCGACTCCAGAACTTGCCCGTCACCTAGGACAAAGATAACGTCGGCGTTCTGAATGGTGGCTAACCGATGTGCAACAACGATCATAGTCCTATTCTTTTTCGTCTTCTCAAAGACAGATTGGACAAGCTTCTCTGTATGGGAGTCGAGATTAGAGGTTGCTTCATCTAAGAGTAAGAGGCGAGGATTTCTGATGAGAGCTCTCGCAATCGAAATTCGCTGTTTCTGGCCACCGGATAGTAGTATTCCTTTGATGCCTACTTTTGTGTTGTACCCTTCTGGCAGGGAGCTAATGAAGTCGTGAATCTCCGCATCACGGCATACTTGTTCTAGTTCCCCGGCAGAAATTGAGTCGGGATCCACTCCGAGAAGAATATTTTCTCGGATAGTGCCGTTGAAAAGGGATGGCTCCTGGGCTACCAGCGATATTGTCTTCCGGTAGTCCCTTAGATCTATATTATCAATATCGATATCGTTATATGTGATGCTTCCGGACTTGACGTTGTAGAACCTAGATGAAACATGAGATTTAATTTGTACCTTGAGAGTATTGAACAGACTCACCGTTCTAATAACGATATGACACTAGTTTTACCACAGCCTGAATAACATCAGTATCAGAGTCATCCGATAATGTTAGTAAGGACTTACCAGACGGCCCGACGACGGCGGCGAATTGACCTCTTTCAATCTTGGCAAGTTAGTATTGGGTGGTTTCCCGGTGGGCGGAGTACTTACAGTCATGCTCAACCCGTTCAATACCGGGACATCCCGTGTTGGGTATCTGAACCACACATCGCGTAGTTCAATCTTAACACCTTGTTTTTCTTCATCTACTACTTCGTCCAAAGTGATTCCTCGCCCATCGCCACCTTCTTTATTTCTCATGGCCTGGATTCTGTTTGCTGCTGCAGTCGCTTGCGCGATATCTGGGAAATGTTTAGCCCTCTCCCTAGCGAGATTACGCGGCTAGACTTACTGGGTCCGAAACTCAGCCATTGACCTGCTCCGGTGGCGCCCTGGGTATTTCGGTCAGTTCCGCTGTTCATGTCTACGGTATAATCTGAAAGTGCTTTACCTGTACTACCGCTATGTATACGACCACTAAAAAGAGGTATTAGCCATTGTCTCGAGTGAGTGGTTCCTAAGAGCTTACAATATTGGAATGTTTGGTACTCCCCTGCTACCAGTAGAGTACCTCCGTACCATAGCACGAAAGCCATGCACAAGAATGACAGGCTATCACTTGCCGAGAAGACCAAAGTTGCATATCGCGCCCGCTTGAAAGCTTTGGTTACATGCGCATCCAGCAAATCTTCGTATCTACGAGAGATACTGTCTTCTAAAGTCAGTGCGGTGACAGTCCGAATAGCTCCGATTGATTCTGTGGCGAATTTGGCACTTTCGGAGAAGACTTTCAAGTTCATGGCCTCGAACTTCTTTTCGACCCGAACGCGGAAGAAGCCGGCAGCGACAGCCAACGGCATCGCTGATGATAACGCGACGATGGTAAGCTTCCATCCGAAGTAGAAAGATATCGTCAAACATCCAATGACACTAAAAATTGAAATGAATGCGAACGCCATGTTATTTCCGAGTAATTGTTGCAGTTGCGTGGGGTCACTGGCCACGATACCGGTCAAGGCACCGATTGAACGACCATCCCCATCAAACCAGGATACAGCCTTGGAGACAATATTCTCGAAATACTCGCGGCGATAAGTGGAAGTGATGTACTAAATTAGTTAGTTTAAGGGCGTGTGTTGGAAGAGTTGCATTTGACATACGAAAGAGACAACTGTTGAAGAGTATCCGAGGGAAAAGTAACCAATGCCAGCTGCACCAGCTAAGGCAACGAACATGAGACACCAGAAGTCAGTAACTGCAATTAGTACATCGCCCCAATATGCGAAAGATGAAATGAGTGCTGCAAATATGAATGCCTGCACTGGTGGACTTCCTGTGGGGTTATTAGCAAAATCCCGATTCCTAACGATCCATTGTTGACTTACCACCAGCAATCACAGCGCCAAGCAACATCCACACATACCAGGGCCAAAATGGCTTCTGCTCTAGAAGTAAGGCGCCGAAGCTTCCAAGTATTCCTTTGGGCTTGTGTTTTGGCTCATCGACCACAGTACTTTCGCTGTCGCGAATCTCGGCCTTGCTTTCGTCAAGTGTCATAATATCCATAGTCCTCTTTTCAACTTCAGTAACTTCGGATGAAGTGTCTATTGAGTCGCCTGTGCTTTCACCCATTGATAATTGTTGCGAGGTGGTAAGAGCCCAATAGGGACCCTCGCCTTTAGCCATGAGACTTTCGTGATTTCCCCATTGAACAACTTTACCCTTGGCGAGGACCACGATATTATCAGCTTTCTTGACTGTTGATAATCGATGGGCTATCATGATCGTAGTGCGATTCTTGGAGACTTTATCCAATGCAGCTTGGACCACCTTCTCACCACGAACATCGATTGAACTTGTCGCTTCATCGAGGATCAAAATCTTTGGTTGTTTGACAATTGCACGAGCGATCGCCAATCGTTGCCTTTGACCACCGCTCAATCTTATGCCGGCATCTCCTACATGTGTGTCATATCCATCGGGAAGTCGAGAGATGAACTCGTCGGCGAAAGCTTCTTTGCAGGCTTGTTCTACTAATTCTCTCTTCTTCTCGACACCGGCCTCTTCCCATTCTGTACCTATTAAACCATTTGCGACATTTTGGAAAATTGTGGTGTTAAAAAGAAATGGTTCTTGCTGCACGAGACCGATTTGCGATCGCCACCATTTCTGGTCTATGTCGATCAGTTTGGTATCCCCAACTTTTATTGTGCCGTTGCGGAAGAATTGGACCTGAAAAATAATCTATTTAGTATCTTGGTAACTGAGAATATTTTGTATTTTAGGAGTTGAGTTTCTTACCAGTTTCTTTTGCTCGTTGTCCCCATCCAGTTCATACCATCGCTCTATGAGAGCTACGATTGTGCTTTTCCCAGACCCTGAAGGACCCACAATAGCTGTGATCTTGCCTGCAGGGAGTACCAGGTTTAACCCATCAAGGACCTTCAGCTTTGGTCTCGTGGGGTATGTGAAGTTGACCCCCCAGAGCACAATGTCCCCTGCCGCTGAGACATCAGGGGCTTTGAGTCCAGTGGTGACAGGTCTAGGTGCGTCAATACCGTTAAAAAGAATGCTAGCAGCGCCGGCAGCACGAGCAGCTGCTGAAATTGGCGCTGCAATACCACCAATTCCCAAGACAATTGTCATTATGCACATCAAAACACTGTAAAAATGTGAGCTTCATACCGCCAGGGGTTTTAATGGGATACTAACGTAATTAATGTTCCGACGCTGTCAATTTCTAAATTAACCAGCAACTTCACCGCGAACCAGAACGTCAGAGCAAAAGTCCTATTCTTTTATCAGTATTTAAATCCACATAAATAATATTAGAAACTAACCCGTAGACACTGAAGTAGACTAGACAGTTAAGTTAGTGATATGGTTTCTATTAAAGGGTTTAGAATACGTACTGGTTCCTTGCTGAACAGCCACTATTTTTGATAGTCTAAGACCTCTACGTTGCGCCTCATCAACCCATTCTTTGTATTTCTTCACCATTTTCAATTCAGCTCCGTAGGCAGCGACCATCCTAATGGAGCTGAAAGCTTCGCTCGCAACTGCAGATCCCTTGATGTTTGCATCTTCAACTTGCTTCATATTCTTTACAACGAATGGTATCGTGATGCAATAACATATTGTGATCAAGAGCAAGCCACTGCTAGTAACTAAGCTCAACTTCCAGCTGCGAGAGTAAGCTATCACGATCGCAGACACGAACATCGACAAATTCTGGATAATTGCTGCTAGTCTCTCGGATATGCCGTTCTGAAGAGTGTTGGCTGTGGTGGTTATAATCGCAGCGACTTGGCCGGGAGGTTGCGTGTCTAGCAACGATACTGGTAGTCCAATCAAGGATTTGAAGTATGCTAGACGCATCGCCGAAGAGATACGAAGACTCATGATGCGAAATCCTAACTTTTCTTGCTGTGAGTATGAGTCTCTGCGCGGAAAGGGTTATTAACTTACAGTGGCAACATATCCCAGTACGAATCTACCTATGAAAAGGTACACCATAAAGAGGCTACAATTGTATATACTTAGCTAAACTCTGGTAAGGGATATCTAGGCACTTACACGTATTGGTTGATGAGTTGCGTATAGTGTGCTTGCGCACCAGGCCCAGTCAAATTGGCCCTAGCGTTTGCAATGCTTCCAACAAGCTGACCTAAACCACCAATCAGTCACTTAGACTTAACTTTCGATCCTTTCGGGTATCTTACCGAAGACCAACGTCATCAGGGGATAGGCGACACCAGCTCCCATTGCAGCTGCGACTGAAAGGGATAGCATTGCTCTGTCGCGCCATGTTGTATATCCAAAAATCCTCTATCATAGGGTCAGCACCAATATAGCCAATATTACGACGGTAAGCTTACGATGAAATTCGAAGAGGTTTTCTTAAGCTTAGCCTTCGTAGACGGGGCAGGCTTTTGCATAGTTGGAGGCACAGCAGCGGCGGCGGCAGCAGCAGTAGCAGCAGGTCCAATAGGAGCAGTGGTAGCGGCAGCAGGAGGTGTTGGTTGGAAAGCGTTGATAGGGGAAGCTGGGCCAATGCTATTTCCAGGAGAGGCTGATGGGATTGGCGAGAGAGTTGTACCCCCTGCTTGCGATTCTGGAGGCTGAGGGAGCGCCGACAATGATGGCCTTACGGATATTGTGTGCTGCTCGCTAGTTGGCCGTGAAGGTCCGCCATGCTCGGACAAAAAGGCCGATGAAGATTGCGACGAGATCGACGCCGTCCTACCGGGCGGAGCAGACGCTCCTAGGAGATCCATGGTCGATGACTCCCTCACTATGGAGGGTGAAGGCGGATTTGCTTCTATCGAGATCGAGCCGGAAGTATCAACCCTGGGGAACTCCGCTGCTGTGCTACTTTGCTGTAATACATGATCTATGGGGATATCTTGATTAACCGGGCCCGGGACACTAGTAGAAGCTTCATCGTGTGGCTTCTCAGAGCCTTCTCCCAGCTCGGCGTACTTTTTCTCCATATTGCATGTGCGCGAAGCGCGACTTGGGTCCTGTGTAGAAAAGAGTGCCTAACAGGGGGGGGGGGGGAGGAGGCAAGTGCAAGCAAGAGGAGGATAAAGCCCAATGATTCGACGCTGGGTAAATCCGTCCGCGAGCGCAAAAAAGACCAAACAAACAGTTCCAAAGAGAAAAAAAAAACGACTAAGATATTAGAAACGAGTGTCTGGAAACATGGGCAAAGCTACTAGTACTAACCATGTGAAAGTGAAGAAGGGACCCTGACCACCCATATGGCCACCCAACACTCAACAAGGGGCGTGGATAAACGCGATAGGGTTGGCGGAGGCATGCTCCGCTGAGTAAAAAGCTAGGGAAAATTAAGCATCAATCAAAATAAATGAGCCGATATACCCCATTGGCAGGCCCCCCTTGTCGTGCCTTATCCGCCTGCATGTCTCGGGAGTATTGGAGGGATCTGTGCCCCCAGCTGCCGATCATCTTTCAATATAAGCATTCATTTTTTCAATAGCTACGGCCGGCATATTAGAAAGCTGACTATGACACGAGAGAAGCAACTCCCATGAGAGGTAGGTAGTCTTCTTGGGTATTAATTCAATTCTATTTTGTCACCAGCAATACCGTCGCCTCGGCGTGTTACATCATGCATAGAATATTCCAAATCTAAATAGTCACTCCATCGCTTAATACCGTTATGGAAAATCGTAAGACTTCGTGATCGGTAATTATATTGCATCTAGAACCCTTACTGGGTGATATGTGTATATACTTATATTAAGAGAAAATGTTACAAGCAGTGATCTACCTAACGTGCATTCTATCGTGTAATGACTTTCTATGATACTCTATGCCGACGCCTCCACCATCATGTTCCTAATGACGTCCCCGAGCTCCTTGATTACACCTTTTTCTCTGGGCAATGTGTGTCCTTTACCGTGATCGAAGATGTATGCTGTGTCAGGTTCGCACGTGTTGTAGAGAGCCATTGAGCCGGCAACGTAAGGGTCAAGAGAGCCAACTAGAGTAACGATTAGCTTTAAAACTTGCGATAAAGCTTGTGTATCGAACTCACTGATGTGACAAGTGTGAATGTTGATCATGAGGTCAGACTCGTCCGACAAGACCATCGCATAGGTGGCCGGATCTAGAGGTGGCCAACCAGCGAAGAATATGCCACATTTGATTTGAGGTACTCTGCCGGTCTCCTCAAATCTTCTCTGCTCAGCGAGGAGAAAGGTTGAAGCAACAGTAGCTCCCTCTGAGTAGCCGATGATCCCTTCGAATGGTCCTTCTTTCTCCATGATGTCAAAGAGATATTGGATCGCTCTATTGGTGCTGATCACACTGCTGGCTACACCCTCTTTCATGAGTTCTCGCATGGTGTCTTCAGCAGTATCACACTCGGGAAAGTCTCTGATTCGAGACAAGACATCGGTATCTTGTGATTCCTTCTCATCAGGCTCTATGAATCGGTAGTATGGTGGTTTTCCGAAGAAGTCTTCGAACCCCTCTGGGGGAACCGCCTCACATGGCGCATCGACGAAGCGGAAGCTGGCGGAGCCATCGGATGTCAATTCGTTCACTAGAGGCGCTATAGAGAATCGTCAGTAAAGCGGTGAAAAGATTAGATCGTGCACAGCATAAGATTTACCTAGTTGAACCTGGAATTTCTGCTAATGCGTTAGTGAGGTGGCTCATCTTGCAGCAATACCAAGACTTACATCAGCGCTTCCATATGCGCCAGGCAAGCACAGAAACTTCATGTCGCTAGACGTAGGTGGATTCTCTAGAAACCGTGCACCGAGTTACACCGAATTGGAAGAGAGCAGGGCAGGATCACGGCCATAAGAAACAAACATGGGCGGCGGCAAGGAATGTAGTAAAATGCTTGCGCGTATTGAAGAATAGAAGGGTTCAAGACATGCTTACGTGTTAGTTTACGTATAAGATACTTGATATCTCTGTTTGGAACTGAGACCATGCCGTCCCGAAATGCATCCCGGGGGTGTCCGTAGAATGTCCGTAGACCGTTTGAGATACATTGATCCTCAATCAAGCAGATCTTGGCGGAAATTACTGCAGGTAGTCATGCAAGTACATTGTCATGACATCCTTGTAGGATTTTCCATCACATCAAGCTGCATGGCATGGGGGTAAGGGGTTAGCTACCTAGGTACATAGTACCCAGTACTCAGTACGTACCTTTTTACCCCTGTCTCAGTTGGCTTGCAACGGGAAAGCTGAGGCTCTATCCCTCGGGACACGCTAGGAATTTTCCCCGACCAGATATATAAGGCGATTTAGGGGATAAGGAGTAAAAGTAAATAAAAGTAAATATGGTATATAAGTTAAGTGAGTTTTGGGTAAGGCTTCGGCGCCACGCGGGTAAACAGAACCTATAGCGCGGTTTTTTAGTGTTAGAACTCCCTTTCAGTCGACACAGGCGGCGCCGAAGCCGCCAGCGATCATTGGATATAGTGGCCGCCAGCTACGTAGTAAATACGGTATTTTCGCTATCCGCTTGTCGGTCGTGCCCCCACCCGCACTACGAAGCCCTCTCGAATGGAGTTCAAAGTGCCGGCTGCCAAGGCGCGGGGTGGGACTATACAATCTATCCATATTGCGTACCGTCAAGGGTCCTATCAACGGTGGTACTGTTGTAATGTTTGCTACTCATGCTGGCTAGGTACTTAGGTAGGTACCAAGCCATTACCACGTACACCTACTACGTAGCATGCCGTAGTATGCCGTAGGCATGTATATGCCAGGGACGCGCGAACCTCATTGTATCCTTATCGGGCTGCCGCCACATTCAATCCCTGTCGCATCGCAATATCTATGTCTCAATTCTTACCTGCCTTAACCCCTTTAGTCCTCTAAAACTTCCGGAATCGACTTCCCAAGATCGGAAAACCAGACAAATAAACAGTCTTTAAACCTGCCAATCTTAACCCCTTTCCAATCTATTACTCGGTTAGCCTTGATGCAGGTATTGTCAATATTGATAAATGGATCGGCAATACTTCCCGCGCCTGTCTCGACCTCACCCGGGCCCCACGACAGCTTCCAGATGTAGTATATCGACATGTAGAGGTGTTACGACGACGCCCCGCCGGTGGTATCGCTAAGGGAGCACGTCAGTACGGCCCATCTTGATGTCGCCGCGCAAGCGAGACGATAAGCTGCGAGGACCCTGAGAATCCTGCTACCATAGATGAGCGGGTTACGTCCGCAGGAAGGTAATATCAACAGATGAAGGCCATGGAGTTCCATCGTGGGATATGTGTCCAGATCCAGTAGGTAAACCCCTGCATAAGCTTCTTTCGAGGTCTGGCCTCTAGAAATGATACCACGGAAAGTGAAGTACGATGTCTAAGACAAATTGACAATATGATCGGCACCCTGACACCGTGATAGTCAGGGATGACAAATGGTCGAGGAAAACTGACTGCACTATTGGATCCTACCATTCTCGTGTATTCGTTTCCGATATACGCCACGAGATCTGTGGATGAGTTGCTCGCCTAAAGTTACAGCCCATGGTTCCGTGCTCAGGGTGGAAAGATTTTCCTATCCTCCGAATATCAGGCTCTTTTGTCACTTATGACAAGACCTTCCCTCCTGGTACCCTGGACACGTACGACATATTACGCGTCCGGGAAGTTCCCCTTGAGTCAAGAATATAAACTTCAATCTTTACTTCTATGCTAGCTTTGCGTGTCTTTTCCTAGAGATTGTTCGGGCTCGACAGTACCGTCGCAACGAAATCCGTAACCATGGCCCCGTCAGCCACACTCGACAGTGCCTACAGCACATCCAACGGAGTGCACGAGGATTCGAGAGCTTCTTCAAACGGATACACTAATGGACATACAAACGGACACAGCAATGGCTTCACCAACGGTTCAGCACATGCCAACGGCAACTCCCACCCGAATGGCCACGATGCTCAACCTTTCGGACAGACAAATGGCCGCCGGGTTGGTCAGCCCAATGGCTTCGCCAATGGACACACCAATGGTGTAAACGGCAGCCACACTCCATCACCCAAAGAAAAGGCAGAGCCTATCGCCATAGTGGGCATGTCTTGCCGGTTACCAGGCAGTGTAGCAAGCCCAGCAGAGTTCTGGGAGCTTTGTGCCCGGGCTCGAAGTGGTTACTCTGAAATACCTAAGGAACGATTCAACACTGCTAGTTTCTACCACCCTAATCCTGGCAAGGCCGGATCTCACAACCCTGTGGGCGGCCATTTTCTCAACACCGACCTCACGGCATTCGACGCCCCCTTCTTCAGTTTGACCGAGAAAGAGGCGATCTCCCTAGACCCGCAGCAACGCTTGCTTCTAGAGTGCACTTTCGAGGCGCTCGAGAATGCCGGCATCCCCAAACACACAATCATTGGCAAGGACGTCGGAGTTTTCGTGGGCGGATCATTCCCAGAATACGAGTCAAACCTCTTCAGAGACACGGACACGATTCCCATGCATCAAGCTACAGGTGAGTCAGAAAAATTATTGAAAAAAAATATTGCTCGAAAGGCTGTGGGCTGCCGCTGATGACGTTACTAGGTTGCGCGTACGCTATGCAATCCAACAGAATATCACATTTCTTCGACCTGCGGGGTCCTAGTTTTACTACGGACACGGCTTGCTCCTCAAGTTTGGTCGCACTGCATGTTGCTTGCCAGAGCTTACGCACCGGTGAATCAAACATGGCTATCGTCGGTGGCTGCCACTTGAACATGCTCCCCGAATTTTGGATTTCTTTCTCTAAATCACGGTAAGAATCGCCGATCTCCCCTTATCGCATGTGAGACTGACATAATTAGCCTGTTTTCGGATTCCGGTCGATCTTTTTCCTTTGACAATAGAGGTACAGGTTTTGGCCGCGGAGAAGGATGTGGTATGGTAATTCTCAAGCCTCTTTCCCAGGCCCGCAGGGATAACGACCAAATTCGGGCGATCATTGTCGGAAGTGGCATCAACCAGGATGGAAAAACGCCTGGTATCACAATGCCGTCGGGCGAGGCGCAAGGTGAGAAAGAAAAAATTAATCCAATCAAACGAATCAATAGCTAATTTCGAAAACGCCAGAAATATTAATGCGTCAGGTATATACCAATGCCGGTCTTAACCCCTCGGATTGTGGCTTTGTGGAAGCACATGGTACGGGAACACGCGTGGGAGACCCGATTGAAGCCACTGCAATTCGCAACGTATTGGGTAATGGCCGAACGCCAAGAGATCCCCTTTACATTGGTTCGGTTAAGTCGAATATCGGTCATCTTGAGGGCGCCTCCGGAATCATCGCAGTTATTAAGTCCGCTCTCATGTTAGATCGAGGCTTTATTCTACCCAACCACGACTTCAAGTACCCGAATGAGAAAATTCCGTGGAAGGAATGGAACCTAAAGGTTTGTCGACCATTGTAACTCAATGCGATGGTAATGTGACCAATTACTTACCCGGAATAGGTACCGGTTAACCAACGCCCGTGGCCCCGTAACAAGAAGTACATCAGCGTTAACAACTTTGGCTTTGGCGGTACCAATGCCCATGTTGTTCTCGAGAAGGTTCCTTTCACTCAACGAGGACCTAAGAACGATGCCGACCTTAAGAATGATAATCCGGGACGAAAGTTGTTCGCCATCACTGCAAATGATAAGAACGCATTGGAGGCCGTCTTGAAGGGCCTCGTTATCTATTTGGAACAGAGGCCTGAGATGTTCCAAAAAGATTTGATGGCGGATGTAGCTTACACCCTCGGCCAACGACGATCTCATCTTCAATGGAGGGTTGCCGTTCCTGCACTCAGATCATTTGACTTGATTGAAGCCATCAACGGTCAGCGACTACAGCCTGGAAAGGAAGTAGACCCGCTGAGGATTGGTTTCATCTTCACTGGCCAAGGTGCTCAATGGTATGGTATGGGACGTGAGCTCTACGATCAGTACCCTGTCTTCTCCCAGGCTATTGACTATGCCGATGAATGCTTAAAGGCTTTGGGTGCATCTTGGTCGTTAGTTGAGGAGTTGAGCAAGGATGAGAAGACTTCAGCTGTCGGCGCTGCCCACATCAGTCAACCTTCGTGCACAGCCATTCAATTAGCACTAGTTGATCTCATGCGATCATGGGGTATAAAACCAACTGCCGTCGCCGGCCACTCCAGTGGAGAAATTGGTGCCGCATACGCTGCTGGCATCCTGACCTTCGAGTCTTGTGTCTCTATCGCCTACCATCGAGGTCGTCTCATCCCTGTTCTAAAGGAGAAATACCCCGACCTTAAGGGCTCCATGATGGCTGTCGGAGGCAGCAAAGAGGAGTTCGAGCCACTACTGGCAGAACTCAAGGAAGGAGAAGTTAAGATCGCTTGCTATAACAGTCCCAGCAGTCTTACCATCTCTGGTGACGAGGCTGGCATCGATGAGTTGAAGAAGCTCGTCGAGGAGAAACAGTTGTTCAACAGGAAACTGTTTGTGGACACTGCTTACCACTCTCACCACATGAACCTCCTTGCCAAGGAGTACCAGGCCTCGATTGACTCACTCGAGGGTCCTATCTCAACCGACGTCAGATTCCACTCCTCACTTCTTGGCAAGCGCATCGACGGTACCGAGCTTGAATCATCATACTGGGTTCAGAACCTCACATGCCCTGTCCGATTTAACGAGGCAGTTCAGACTATGCTTCAGCCCATTGATGACCACCGAACTGGTGTTAACATGCTTCTTGAGCTTGGTCCCCACTCCGCCCTCCAAGGACCTATTAAGCAAATTCTTAAGGAAGTTGGCGGCGATGCGGCTAAGATCCCGTACGCATCTGCCCTCGCCCGTAAGAAGGATGCCGTCGAGACCGCCTTAGATGTCGCTGCCACCCTATTCGCTAAGGGTGCACCAATCGACTTCAAGGCCGTCAACTTCCCCAAGGAAGGCAAAGCACCAATGGTCCTGAGCGATATACCCCGATACCCCTGGAACTATTCGTCTAAGTACTGGCATGAATCTCGCATGACCCAACTGCACAAGAACAGGACAGCACCACGTAATGATATTCTCGGTACTCTTGCCAATTACTCCAATGACTTAGAGCCTACATGGAGAAACATCGTCCGCTTGGACGACCTTCCTTGGCTTACGCACCACAAGGTCCAATCCCTCACCATCTTCCCCATGTCTGGATACGTATCAATGGCTGTTGAGGCTGCTTCTCAGCGAGCTATCACTACCAACACGAACTTCGACAAGTTCGAGCTTCGCGATGTTTCCGTCATTGCTCCTCTAGTTATCCCTGACGAAGATGTGGAGATGACGACAAGCCTTCGCCCACACCAAGAGGGCACGCTAGTCTCCTCCGAAGTATGGGACGAATTCCGCATCTGCTCGTGGACCAAGAGCAAGGGCTGGAAAGAGCACTGCAAGGGTTTAATTGCCGTCACTGCTCATGAGTCCAACGGTGTTGACGATGCCAGACAAAGCCTAGCTTCGCGGATCCACCTGCAATCGACGATTGCTGAGATCAACGCTGCTGCGACTTCGCCTATTGCCATGGAGAAGCTTTACGATGACCTCTCTGAGGTTGGCGTCTCCTACGGTCCTACCTTCCAGGGAGTCAGCAATTGCCAGGCCTCTAACACCTGCTCGCAAGCTGATCTACTTGTTCCCGATATCTCTAAGGAGATGCCCAACCATTATGTTACCGACACCGTCATTCAACCTTCTTTCCTCGAATCCCTCATTTCTATGTACTGGCCCATTGCCAGCTCCGGAAAGGAATCCCCGGACACTATCTACCTACCTTCTTCGGTGACAAGCATCTCTATATCCAGGGACATTGTCGAACTCAGTAAGAACCCTGGAAAGGCATTCCGAGCTTACTGCCTGGGCTCCCTCCCGGCCGACAGCCCGAGACCTACTAAGCTGAGCATGTTTGCGACATCAGAGGCGAACATTTCTGAGCCCCTCATCAAACTTGATGACTTAACTGTCGCTCCAATTCTAGACCGTGACGCCCAGGGTGACCAAGATTCCCACCGTGAGCTCTGCTATAAGCTCGATTGGGAGCCCATCCTTGACCCGGTCAATGTAGAATCTGACAGCGCCTCATCGGAATGGGTACCTGTCGGTGACCTCGAACTTCCCGACACAGACATTGAAATTGTGTACGGAGAGGGTAGCCTGCAAACTCAGGTCGCCTTCAGCCTAGCTGAGGCCCTACAGCGCATCACTGGCAAGCTGCCTAACACTAGCTCCCTTTTTGAGGCGCAAGCTCAAGATAAGTTGCTTATCTTCCTGTCTGAAATTGACAAACCACTCTTGTCTCACTTGAAGGCAGATGAGTTTGAGGCCTTGCAGAAGATGCTCACAACAGTACAAGGTGCTCTGTGGGTTGTCCGCGGCGCATATGACCAGTCCACATCCCCAGACCTCAACATGATCCTTGGTGTTAGCCGTACCATCCGCTCCGAGACCTTACTACCTTTCTCCACCTTAGACTTGGACGGTCGCAACCAGCTCTCTAATGAGCAAATCTCTGAGGCGGTCCTCAAGGTATTCACCTCTGTATTCGGCAAGAGCAGCGCCTTGAACGGCGAGCTTGAGTTCATGGAGAGAGACGGCAAGTTCCTCACCCCACGCATCATCAACGACCCCGAGATGAACGAAATCGTTCACCGGGAGACCAAGCCCTCAGCCCTTCAGCCCACGCCATTCGGCGAGACTGACCGACACCTTAAGATGGCCATCACAGATGCTGGTGCCCTTGACACACTGCACTTCATCGATGACTTAGTCGCTGAAGCCCCTCTTAACGGAGAGGACATCGAGATCAAGGTCCACGCCATCGGTGTTAACCACAGGGATCTCACAGCCGCTCATGGTAAACTTGCATCGCATGACTTCGGTGTAGAAGCCAGTGGTGTCGTTACTGCCATTGGCAAGGACGTCAAGAACATCGGGGTTGGGGACCGGGTTGCTGCTATTACCAAGGCTGCATTTGCCACAGCAACTCGCACAAAGGCCACCTTCGCCTTCAAGCTCCCGCGTGACATGCAGTTCGAAGAAGGTGTTACTCTTCCCCTAGCCTATGCTACTGCATACTACTCGCTTGTTGAACTTGGTCGTCTTAGCGAAGAGGAGACCGTGCTCATCCACGCCGCCGCTGGTGCAGTAGGTCAAGCTGCTATCTCCCTCGCTCAGATGATCGGAGCAAAGGTATTTGCGACCGTAGGCAGCACTGAGAAGAAGGAGTTCCTCATCAAGGAGTATGGTCTCTCTGAGGACCGCATTTTCTACAGCCGGAACCTATCCTTCGGTAATGCTGTGCGCCAGGCCACCAACAATCTTGGCGTTGATGTTGTACTTAACTGCCTCACTGGAGACGGTCTTCGAGAAAGCTGGAGCTCCCTTAACAAGTTCGGTCGCTTGATCGACATTGGCGCACGAGACACCAACACCAGCACACGTCTCGAGATGACCCAATTTGAGCACAACGCCAGTTTCATGACCGTGGATATCATGGCCATCGCCGCCGAGCGACCTAAGCTTCTGCAAAGGCTGCTCTCCGACGTTGCTAAGCTAATGCGGTATGGCAAGATCCGCCCGATCTCGCCCGTCACCGTGTTCCCCATATCCGAGGTGGAGTCCGCATTCAAGACGCTGCACGGTGCCAAGGCCCACGGAAAACTGGTTGTGATACCACACGCGCACGACGTTGTTAAGGCCACACCTCCCCGTAAGCCGGCTCAATTGCTCAAGTCCGATGCCACGTATATCCTTATTGGTGGTACAGGTGGTCTTGGCCGAAGCATGTCTCGGTGGATGGTAAGCCGAGGGGCACGCCACCTGGTTCTAGTTTCCCGAAGCGGTAGTGCAACGGGTAAGGTCCAGGAACTGATTGAAGAGGCTTCTGCTGTTGGTGCTGAGATTGTTGTCCGCCGCGCTGACGTTGCCAACGCTTCCTCTGTTGAGGAATTGATTAGGCATGGTCTAGAGGGTCTACCCCCTGTCAGGGGTGTGATCCACGGTGCTATGGTTCTTCGCGTAAGTTCTCTCTCCATGATAACCCAATTGATTTTTCAAGGATAGCAGCTAACCCAATACAGGATGTCTTGTTTGAGAAGATGACCTACGAGCAGTACACCACTGTCATCGAGTCCAAGGTACAGGGTGCCTGGAACTTCCACAACTCCCTTACCGGCGCCCCTCTTGACTTCTTCGTCGCCATCTCATCCGTCGCCGGTGCTGTCGGTAACAGAGGCCAAGCTGCCTATGCAGCCGCCAACTGTTTCCTCAATGCCTTTGTTCAGTACCGTCTCGCACAAGGTCTTCCTGCCTCCTCCTTGGACTTGACTGCCATTTCTGATTCTGGATACCTCGCCGAGGATCTTGAGAAGGCCGCCGAGGTCGCCAAGAACTTGGGTAGTGACACCATCTGTGAAGCTGAAGTACTTGCCCTTCTCGGCACTGCTATCAGCGGGCGCCTCGCCACTGTGTGCAACAACCACACCATCACGGGTATGCGCATCACACCAACCATGCAACCCTTCTGGAGCTCCGATGCCAAGAGCAAGCATCTCCGTGAAGCTATGGAGGCTGCTGCTGCCGCAGATGCCGCAACCAATGGCAGCGCTAAGGCCATCTCCTACAACGCTGCCGTCAAGGCGGCTAAGACCCTCGAGGAGGCCGAGGCTGTTGTCTGCGACGGTCTTGTTCACAAGTTGGCCGCCGTCATGATGATGGAGCTCGAAGACCTTGATGTGACACGCTCACTATCACACTACCCTCTGGACTCTCTCGTTGCCATCGAGATCCGTAACTTCATCACCCGTGAGTTCGAAGCCACACTCCAAGTACTTGAGCTTCTATCCAGCGGTTCCATCCAGACCCTATCCAAGGCAGTCTGCGTCAAGAGCAAGTTAGTCAACTTTTAAGAGTATAAATGACAAGACATATGAGGCGTGGCGGAGCTTTGAATATGATTGATACGATTGGGATTGTTTATCACGTGAAGGAACATGGCGTCTTATTATTTTTTTATCTGTTCTTTTCTTCGCCATCTATTCACACGGTCCAGATGTTATACAAGTGGGATGATTGGTGCTATCTAGACTATTATTATTGTTGTATACAAGTTACCCCAAAGCCGTCTTGGTTGATGTTTTTAGTTCGGTACACCGGGATGGTAATATTTCTTCTTTTTAGTATAGGTATTTACTGGTAATTCATAGACTGTCTCTAACAAAGTTCCTAAACAATTATTTTCGAACCTCGCTCGTGATTATGTGTATACCTAGGTATATAGTGAGAAATTTTCGCAACATATAGCGTACTCAACGAAACTAAGCAATGGCGCCACTATGAGGCTCTGGGATCCCAATCCGCATCGAGCTCCTTCAATTGTTCATCACTGAGTACATCCGCAAGGCTAATAAACTTATAGCTCGCTTCATCACTTGTACCTCCTTCCGGTAGTCGGTTGGCATCATCATGAACGACTACTAATCCGTTGGGGAACGCATCGCCTAAACCCGTACCAATAGCCGCAAGGCCATCCGTGTTGGAAACACCATCGACGCCTTTCTCCGAGTTCTCGTATATCGTGAATGTCTCCACGTACTCATGGGGGGCTCCGCGACGGTACACATTGTACGCACTTACACCCTGCTGGCTGACAATGATGAAACCCTTATCGGCCGAAGAGCCTTCGACCAATGTGACGCCCTCAACATCAGCATACATCTTTCCATCGCCAACTTCACCGATAAGGAATCCCTCGCTTGAATCATCATCTGGCTCCGCTCCATAGCGCCATAGAGCGTGCGGTTCCTCGCCTATAAAAATCCATCCATTCGCTTCATCTGAAACGCACCCTTCTACCTGGCCTCCAGAACCTCCCGTGAAGTTGCGCACAAGACTAGTTTGCAATGCGCCATCGGCCCATGACAGCTCATACTGAAGGTACTCGGCGGTCTTGGCGTTGACGAAAAGATATTGTTTACCGGTCTTGCGCGATCGATATACACAGCTGCCGTAAACCTTGTAGTCGTCCTTAGTTGGCTGTGAGCCGCCAGCAATTGTCTGTAAAGTTCCATTGGCGGTAATTTCGAAGAGGCTGGGCATGGTTAACTCCGAAAAGGTATCGACAACGGTTATAACTTACCACAAAGTATTGTCCTCCCGACAAGCAGCATAAGCCAAATCAATGGTCCTATTCCCAGCTTGGAAATCATAAATCACGTCGACATTGTCTGGTTCACCGGCGGTTATTGTCTGGAGTCGTTTTCCGTTAAGGTCAAATACGCTGAGTCCGGCACCTTGTTCCGATTTCGTCGTTGTGATAATTCGCGAAAGCGACTTATTAACTGGCGAGATCCAAATTGCCGGATCGTCTCCGTCACCACCATATGCGTCTGTCTCGAGGACAGGTTCTACCACTTTGAAAGCGCAGTACAGACCGCCCCATCCATCGTCGCATTCGCAGATGTTCCCGCTGACACATTTGCCATGAGCCGAGCAGTCGTTTTGGCAGGTAAAGTCCGCGCAAGTATCTCCCTCGAAGCCCGCGAAGCATGAACACGAAGGCCCGTATGCACTCTGGTGGAAACCATTGAAACTGCACTCAGACGAAATGGGGGTAGAAATCTTTGAAAGCGTGGCACGGGGATCATAAGCGGTATTGACATCCAACCCAAGACCTTTGAATGCATCCTCCAATGAGCTAACAGCAAAACCCTCACCCGAGTCGCTCTCGATAGCATATGTCACTGCGCCAGCGGGGTACTTCTCCGTGGGTGCTTGGTAGATATTAAGGCCTTCGATCTCAACATCGCTATCTCCAGTAACTGTCATAGAACCCAAAAGCGCGAATGAGGTGTCGTAGACGGATATCCCTTCATCCCGAGAAACGAAGAGATAATCGGAATCATTTCCTATGTAGGCTGCGATTCCAGTAACATCGTCTTTGGCTTCTCCGAGGACCTTAATTTCAGGTACTGTGGTTGCCTCGGCTGCTGCAAAGGTGTAGACTGTTGAGGTATCATCGGTCGCGAAGTACACTGACTTTGCAGATAGAGATACGGCACAAGCTGATGCTTCGATTGGAACTGCGAAAGTCTGGATTTCGACAAGTTCGTACGAGCTATTGGCACCCCTCAGAAGGAAGTGAACAGCCTGCTTCTTGCCGAACAAGTACAGATACTGTTCCCCGCTGTCCTGACTCTTCCAAGGGCAAAGAGCCGACCAATCTCCTAAAGTGCGTCCAATCGGTTCACCAACCTGCTCAGCCGTGGCCGCGTCATAAAGGCGAAAGTACGAATCTGGCTGCGCGATGGTAACAATGAGGTCCTTCCCATCAATACCGTATACAGTGGTCACGAGCTTGGTTCGACCGGGGGTTTCGTGCTTTGTCTCCGTCAATGAAGTTTCGCCATTTAAGTCGAATAGACGGAAACCGCCGGAGCTGGAACCCTCATCGTTGCCAATTAGCAATGGGTTGGTGTCACTGTAGTAAACGGCCGTCCAGTCCGAATCAACCTCATCGGATCTGGCTGAAATCGGCAGATCGACCTCCGATGCAACCACGGGCGCCGCAGTAACGCTGGCAGCCAGCGAGGCCACAAGTAGACAGGAAGACCTCATTTGGGCAGCAGGCAGGGTTGAATTTTGCCGTTACACAAAAGAGGCACAGGCCGAAAATTGACAGGATGAAGCCATTGCGATTCCGTTTGAAATCGCGAAAAACGACTTTAAATTTCTTCTCAGGGGTTCATCAAAACCACCCCTGCGCAACTCGTAATCATAACAAGCCCGTGCATTTATACGGAATTATTGTTGGTGCGATGCTTGTCTGCCAAGAAACCAATCTCTTTGCCTTCCAAATTGACCATGGTGGTGAAAATCGCAATTATGCAAATCCATTGACGAGAAAGACTTCAAGATCAATAATCACTGGAGGCAATTATTGACATCGCGAACCACGTCGGCTAGGAATCGGTGAGAATGTGAGATAGATTGTAGAATTTCCTTGGCGATTCACCCCTGCCGCTTTCTGACAGCCGCCTGCAACTGTTGGCCTGAATGAACATCCGAGAATCGTTAATGATTCAGCGGCGCTTGATAGCAGTGGGACTATTCCTATTCCGTCATATCTCCAAGAGAGGAGCGGAAAGGGATGAGATTTTTAAGAACGGTAGTGAAGTCGGTAAGAAAGGAATATTATTGATTTTTGTTTGCACATTCAGAAGCATACCTGGAAACCTGGGTAAACATCTCTAAAACATGACAAACTCATGCAAAAAATATATCCATCTACGTTTCGGGGACCACTGTAAGGCGGATCAGCTAAGATCCTAGGTAGGGTCTACAAACTTCCTCATTAATTCTGCAAAATTCCAGGCAAGGGGCAATACTTATACGAGTAACAAATGCAAAATGCTCTCATGTTTACGCGCTTCTCAAAAATATTTCTAACCAAAGCGGTTACCGAACCAAACACTTAGATATCCTATGCGGCAACACCTATGTACCACCCGGCCAGCCCACGATATCTACTTGATAAGACGCGTACTAATTCGCTCACCTTGCTCACCTTGCCATGAGAATTCCATGAGAATCCCACACATCCATGCGGACCATGCCCCCCATATCTTTATTCCACTACACCGGTACTCCGAGCCAATACTTAAGCTTATCTGGAACTTTTGACATAGCCAATCACAATTGCCGCCGCTAGGATCTGTCCTTCTGAAATAGGAAATGACATGCCGCTTGCGAGATAAGAAGTATACTTCGATACATACCTGCCAATGTATCTATCTATATACAGCGATATTATGTATGTAGAGACGTCCAAAAACAAACCGATATCCGATATGCTTGCTCGGGCAGGCTAGATCCGATATAGACTCGTACAGAATCCTAATGGAACGCCAGCATAAGTATACGATCTCAATAGGTTTAGCAAGAAACGCCTCTGTGCCACTAAGGAAAGGGGATGAAGCAAATGGCCACGATAAGGGGGTGGGAAAGGTACATCAAGCCACAATACACATCGATCAATCAGAAACGATAGATCTCAGGTTATTTAACTCGAAGGATTCTAACCGATGCACATCCCGCGTCCTTTCGGTGTCGCGTGTCACAAAGGCTGGCGTTGCACATGTACCACGAAGCATCAGGGCTAATAAGAGATATCAAGTTCTTTTGTAGAATGGATTTCTAGATGGATATTCAATTCTTCAAGGTGACTTCATGGATCCGATAAATGTACGCTAAATGAGATAACATGACGAAGGTAATGTTGGTCGTGAACAGGTCCTTACTTGTGTTGTACAGAACTCCGGGCAGGCCGCACAGCTTGAATTCCGTTCCATGCAAGAGCGGCGATAGGTCGACGAATTCGTAACCATGCGTATCAGGCGCCACCCAGGTTTGCCCATTGGCGTTTCTTTCGAGACAAGGTTCCCGGGAATCCCTTATCAGTACCAAGCAATGAATAAATCCAAGTTCTACCTAACTCATCTACCCACCTAGGTACAGATTAATGGTCAACTCTAACTCCGAGCCCGTCGCTTCCCACAAACTTGTAATTATCTAGGCTTTATTGGGTGTTTCAAGCCCATCTACTTGCCACTAAACTGGCAGTCACCTTGTTTTCGGACCGTCTTAAGAGGTCTGGGTCCCTTCCGACTCTTAATAGGGCTTGATAAAACCATGTAGATTGCCTGGGTACCGGTATCTAATTGGGTGATTCCCATCCTTCAGCTCTTTCTTCATCTCAGATTAATGCTACTTTAAGTTGCACATTGCGTCGCCAAGGAATGTTCCGTCTGTTTGATAAATGTACCTAAGTACGCATAGAATCCTCGTGGAAGGTATCTTGTGTTTCCAAGAACTTCCTCCCACCCCCCAATTTTTCAAATTTCTCCCTAATCTCTCACCTCACATACGCATATTCCGAACGTAACACAAGCGGCCATGGACGAGGCCAAAGAACAACCAAGCCCTACCACCGCCTATCAAGGCGACGGACTTGGGAAACGAGATTCGATAACCGGCGAAATCTACCACGGAGACCATGGCGCCGACACCGATCTGAAGCGATCCTTGAGCACTCGCCACTTGACGATGATAGCCCTTGGTTCCAGTATTGGAATGGGTCTATGGCTCGGAAGTGGTGAATCTCTAGCAGATGGCGGGCCAGCTGGTATCTTTCTCGGATACTGCCTCGCTGGCTCTATGATTTGGTGCGTTAGCCACTCCATCGGAGAGATGGCTTGCATGTACCCACTCCCATCGGCGTTCGTTCAATGGACAGGTTAGTGCGACAACACATAGAATTTCTTCGGGCGCATGATCTGATACAGACTCAATCAAGGAAAATTCGTCGACCCTGCGGCCGCCTTTGCCCTGGGTTGGTCATATTGGTTCTCTTACTGGTGAGTCAGCCTCGCTCTTCGATGCCCCCTTTTTCTAAGGGTTTCGAGGCTTGTACTACCATAAACCTGCCTACCACCCCCCTCTACACGCCGATAACTGACATTAAGTTACTTAGTATCACGATCGCAAACGAATTATCGGCTGCCAACACTGTCATCACATTTTGGACATCCGTAGTACCGGTAGCCGGGTGGATCAGCATCTGGCTCGTAGTCATTGTCTTGATCAACGTCGGCGCTGTCACGCTTTTCGGCGAAATCGAAGTCGTTGCAAGTACGATCAAATTCAGCTGGATCTTCGTGATCATTATCTCTATGATTGTTATGTCGGCTGGAGGCGCGGGTTACGGCCCAGTCGGTTTTCGCTATTGGAACGAGATGCCGTTCGCCCACGGCTTCAAGGTACGTGTGCAAGCATATCACATTCACAGCCCCACCTCATTGCAAGATTCCTAGACTTCTATAATAGAAAGAATCAGATGGTTAACAATACGTTTCTATGCGCGTAGGGCTTCCTAAACGTTATGCCGACCTGTATCTTCGCCATGTCCGGATCCGAAAACTCGGGTCTAGTCGCGGCAGAGACGTCTAACCCGCGAAAATCGATACCACGCGCAGTCGGCTCAATCTGGATCCGCCTATCGCTCTTCTACCTCATCGGATCGCTCATGATCACCATCAACGTCGACCCCAATAACCAAGATCTCTTCGGGCAATCCGGCACCAATGCTTCTCCATTCGTTATCGCCTACCGCGACGCTGGCATCCCAGCTTTAGCCCACATAATGAACGCTGTTATCCTCATCTCGGTCATATCAACAGGGTCCATTTCGGGCTACGGTGGATCGCGCACGACCATGGGTCTAGCCTATCTCGATATGGCCCCTGATTTCATGAAGAGAGCTGATAAGGTGGGGCGACCTTGGTATGGTCTGATACCCACCTTCATCCTAGGCGGTGGTCTCGCATACCTCAATGTCAGCCAGTCTGGTTCCAACGTCTTCACGTGGTTTTCTAATCTTACCTCGTTGTTCACCTTATTCGGGTGGGGTATGATATGTCTTTCTCACATTCGTTTCCGCCACGCTTGGGCACGAAAAGGACATACCGCTGAGGAACTCCCCTGGAAGTCGTGGATCTACCCCGTGGGGCCTTGGTGGGGCTTAGCCATGTGCATCCTGCTCATCATTGTGCAATTCTATCTTTCAGTCTGGCCCCTGGGCAAGTCGCCGAGTGCCGAAAATTTCTTTGCGAACTACATTTCAGTCATCGTCATTGTCGTCTTGTGGCTTGGTGCCAGGGCTTTCTACCGTGGGCGCTGGTGGGTTGATCTGGATACCGTTGAGCTTGACGAAGGCCGAAGGTTTTATAAGGCGGATGTGGAAGAAGCAAAGACGCCTGGATTTAAAGGAATGGCGAAGAGGGTTGTTGGTGCTATTCTGAATTAGGTGAGCCCCTTTTATGTGTGGGCTTATGACCGCATGCATAGTCGATTGAAGAGAACCAGTCGAAATCAAGCCTCACAACCAATGTTTAGCAAACAATACACTTGATATCCGATGCTGTGTTTCTGTGCTCCATACCTAGGTTGAGGTGCTATGACTTGATACTGCAATTGACCACTACGTACCTAGGTAGGTACTTACACATACCTCATACCGTACTCGGGCATGCTGGATTTGCGATTGCTCCGAAAGCCAAGCGCATTACAGCGAGGTCTATATATACCTAGCTATGGCGTTAACGGCCTGCTTAAGTCCGACAGGCAACTTGGTGTCTCGAGGGCCTCTATAGAACTGCACATGGGGGCATCCCGTGTGCCTAATCGATTCATATACCCTAAGCTGGATCTTTAGAAATGATGGAAATTGAACAAGTCGATGATCAATACCAACTATCATAAGCAGTCGATCTAGAATGTTATCGACTACCAAGTAGAGACGGCACCTACTGATGAAGGGCTTCTCCCAATGATAGAAGATGATTTTTCTTATGGTAACTTTGAGGCTTTCAGTGAGAGTGTGTTCGTTATTGGCTATCAGAGAGAGGATTCATGCGATAGCCTTTCTCGTCTCCGTTCCAAGTATTTCATGAGGTACCCGGTTTACTCCAATCCGCACTGAAGGGGACTTTGCGGCGAGAGCGGCGAGTACAAGCAACATGCTCGCGAGATCCTACGCCAACCAAAATTTCGCAAAAGGGAATATTATACCGAGGAAGCGGCTCAGGCTGCCGATGCCTGCTGTCAATCCTGGTTCATACCGCGACAGAAACCGGGCAAGAGACTGTATTAGTTCCATTCTATTCCCGAAAGCGAATAGCCATCAACATTGGAGGGCGTTACCACGAAAGCACTACCCTGACATCATCTCCGCACCCACAAGGGTCCGGGCGTCTCGCCTCCTCATTCGGCAAATCCGGTATCATGGCCGACACACCGTCTTCTTAAATCGCGGGGAAACCCCGACATCCCCTCGGTCCGCCGAACATCACCACCACCACCAACACAAAGCCAAAGCACCACTCAACCATCACCGAGAAAGGTGACAGCATAGAAACAATGGCAACATTAGCCCTAGCAACCTGGGCAACAAACCTAACCTTCACCAACCTCACAACCCCCGTCATCGATGCAGCCGTAAAAAGCGTATATAACTGGGCCGGCTGCGCCATCGGTGGGTTCGCACAAGATGCGCCGCAGATCGCGCTGAACACATCCGTAGACCTGGGTTTTGGTGGTCCGCCTACATCTAGTATTCTCGGATTGAACGGCTCGACGAGTGCGGGGTTACGACTAGGATATGGGAGCAGGAATGCGGATGGGGCATTCGCAGATGCGCAGCTCGCGGCGTTCGTTAATGGGATTGCGTCGCATGTTGATGATTACGATGATACGCATTTAGCGACGGTTATCCATCCAACCGGGGTAGTCGCGAGCGCACTCTTAGCCATTGTCGAGGCTGAATCTCGCAATCGCACTATTTCCGGCGCGGACTTCTTAACGGCGTTCGTCGCTGGTGTGGAAGCCGAACTCAAGCTCGGTCTGTCGGTGTATCCTGAACATTATGATGTGGGTTGGCACATCACGAGCACGACAGGGTCAATTGGGGCAGCTGTCGCGGTTGGAAAGATCCTCGGATTAGATGTAGACCACCTGCGCCACGCAATCGGAATCGCATCGACACAGGTCATTGGGATGCAAGCCTTCTTCGGGTCCATGACGAAGTCATTTCACATCGGTCGCGCGACACAAGGAGGCATGCTAGCTGCGCTTCTAGCACGAAACGGATACACCAGTTCACTCACAGCATTGGAGGATCAATATGGATGGCTGCACGTGGTGAGCACGAGGGAGAACGCATCAGCGAACTTCGCGGAGTTAGGGAAGACGTGGGAAATTGAGAGCAACACATTCAAGCCGTATCCTTGCGGTATTGTCATGCATCCTATCATCGATGGATGCATTCAATTACGCACACAAGCACTAAGCGACGGGAAAGATGTTAACTCCGTCAAGAGTATCGATTTGCGCGTGAACCCCGAGGTCCTAGTGTTGACAGGGCAAACGGATCCTCAGACCGGTCTCGCGGGCAAATTCAGTATCTTCCACGCAGCGGCCGTCGGACTGTTATATGGCGAGGCAACCCCAGCGCAATTTACCGACCAAGTCGTCCAGAATGAGACTGTGGTCAGCATGAGGAAGTTGGTAAATGTCACAACCGACGATAGCGTGTCCGAAGATCAAGCGCATGTGTCTATCGTTTTCGACGACGGTAGTACCCTGGAGAAATACGTCGAGCATGCGATCGGCAGCTTAGAGAACCCCCTAACCGTAGAAGAACTCAAGACAAAGTTCATGGATCAGGTATCGCGGCAGATTGGGAGCGCCAGAGCCGAAAAGGCGTATAGCGCTTTCACCAATATTGGAAATATGACCGATGTAGGGAAGTTGAGGACATTGTTCTAATGTTGGGTTGCTCTGACCGCTTTGTTACTCCTCCTTTGCGCGAAAAGCTCGGATGTTCTCAAACAATCAATCCTTTTCTTTCGACGAACAATGTGCTTTGAAATTATACAATTCGATTGTGACCAACATTCACCAACATACTTAAGCCCATAATAGCATGTCGTTTTCTTGATTGATGTTGAGAACTCCGAAATATAGGTACTGGTAGATTCTTGTAAGAGCCTGTCACTTTCAGAACTAAAAATGTTGAAAGCAGACCGTCTCTTACTCCAAGCGCGCTGGCGCCTGTCGGAGACTATATATATCATCTTAAACCCGGACACTAGATGTTATGGCGTCGCGGTGAGGGAAAGGCCGGGAAGTCGCCCTCATATCACCATCCACCACGGGACAACCTGTGGGTGTTCTGATGTTGGCTTGATCCACCTCCGTAAGCACGCTCACCTCAAATATAAAAGGAATGGCATCAAAAAGGATAGACGAGATGACCTCATTATGGCGATCAAGCTCCGTCTGCCGAATGTAGGTATCATATTCAATAGAGGACGACCAAGAAGACCGAGAAGGCCCGTCAATCCTACAGTAGCCGGTGATCGCCCAATCAAGGTTATAGACGAAACAAGAAGAGGCCAGTTCCTCATCGAGATGTGGGATAGCGTCGAGGCGTGGCGGACTAGAACGATATGGAAAGATTGGTAATGAGTGACTAGGTATTTGGCCCTGGTAAGTTTAGATGTACAAGGAAAGGACCAGGAAGTATTAAGAAACCTAAGGCGAGTAAGTAAACAGGTACAAAGTTAGGTAGGATAAGGGGATATATTCCAAAAGTAAATCTAAGCAATGAGCCAACCATCTAAATATTTCTCCCCGTGTACGCCAATAGATCAACCCGTTCGTAAATGGTGAACTCCTTAAAGATGCCAAATTCCGTACCCTCCTTATGAGCCAGCACGCGATGCATTTCCATACTCGGTTACTTCGGTAAAAGCAGAAGGGCGCCATCTGAGACTACTCTCATCAGAGCCGATGTGCACTATGGTGATCGATGAGCCAGAGCTGTTGACTTGTGCATACGGTACGTCCTCTTGATCCGCCCAGACGAGAGAATCCAATTTACGGAGTTCCTGAAATCGTTCGGTGCGAATTCGCTCCGCTTCGAGCGACTTTCCAGTATGTAAAAAGAATGTCTCGAGTTGGAATAGAGCTTCTACCACACAATCCCGCGACCCAGTTCTCTTCGCCGCCAAAACCGAACTCATATACAAACTTTCTGCGGCCGCAAAATCTTGTTTGAGGCATTGAATATATCCAAGCCATACACACCGGAAGGACTCATCTCTAGTTACAAGAGAATTAGTTCCTAGCTGAGACAAAGCTTCCTCGGCCCTATCGAGATGTCCGTTCTTTAAATTCAACTTGCAAGTTGCTAATGCGTGTTCCATCTTCAGTAGGCTGAACAGGGATCCCTCCGAAAAATCACCCTTGATTTTTGCTAATTGATGATTGAGACACTGTAATTGAACTCGCGGGTCCTTCTCTCTCTCTACAGCATCGAAGTATTTAAGATATACCTCGATAGATAAAGGGTGAGCAGGACCTAATCGCTTATCGTATTCGGATATACACGATGCTAGAACACGCTCCATAATATCTCGTTGTTCGGGGTGGGGGATCGACGCTAGGCATTTCCAGAATTTCGCTAGGGAATAATCCTGACCATACATTGACAGTGTAACATCTTGGCAAAAGTGCAACAATAAGCCTCGGATATCTCCTCGTCCAATTCGTTCCAAATGAGCAGCAGCTGAAAGCAACTTTGGTATTAATATAGGCGGTGGGTTCCTAAATACTCTAATCAGCATCGCAAAAGGGGCATCGAGAACCTGGCGAACAGCAACCGGTTCCACCTGACGAGACACCGATAGCCCTGCAGTTATACACCTATCAATGACTGAACTTAGAAGTCCTGATGGGCCATTTCGCCCGTGAGTATTCCAGCAATGGTCATTTGACCAAGACCAGAGACCCGTGCGAAAAGACTGATCTAAGTAGTCGTGAAGTGCCTGGAATATTTCCCCGGAAACTGGCAGTAATCTATGACTAAGGCCTAATGGAGATGGGCACTTAGGCAAGGGCGAAGTTTTTCGGTATGTTAATGTCGGTGAAGTTGGAATAGGAGTCCGACAAGCGACGTCTCGGATTGCATCCGGGTTTGGAGTTGCACCAGCCTCAAGTTTTGCGAAGACAGATGGATTTCGTGAAAGATACACCTGAAGGCTATCGTGATCCACTTCTCGATTTCTGATAAAATAGGTCGACTGCTTTTGCGTTGCGTCACGTTGCTTCTTTAGATGAAGGATCTGAAGAACTTCATCGAATCGGAGATTTTTATAAGCGCCCCATGTCGTGAATTTCTTTTTATACATCGGAATGCTGTTTGGGGGTCAGCTAAATCTCAGTGGTATTATTTTTCTGCTATTGATTCATCCCATACGTGGCGAAGAAATCATGATGCTCCTCCATATGCCCCTTCACCTCTTCGAGCGTCTTGTCTTCGTCGAGGTATAACCGTAGGATGGTGTCCTGTAACCTGGACCAATCTTGGGCCGTGGCATAACGTTTCGCTGGCGTATCCATATCGCATGGTGACTACTTGAGACGACTTGTCTCGAAACCAAAAGCGAAAGTCAGAGGCCTCCGATGAAGAACTATTTATAGTTTCCCCTCCCATGATTTCTATCCGGGTTTAGAGAATAAAGGTGAGGCTCCAAAATAGAATCGTAACGACACTAAGACGATGCGGTACGGGAGCCTCCAGAGGGCGGGATGTGCTCCCATGGCCGCCTCGACGATGATTGGTCAGAAGGACAGGGGGTTAACCAATTAGGGAAAAAGTAACCTGCAGCAACACCTTGAGAGGGTGCTGTCTCGGGATATATCAGCTGAAAGAGCGTAGGCGGAAACCGATGAACAGCTGAAATGCAACCAGGGTGGGATGAACTATTATCTCCATTGGGCGAGGAGACGGCATTAGGGATATCTGGAGCCGCAGCACCTGGGACTAAGATGCATTTTTGGCATAGAGCACGCTAATTGCACGCTCGTGAACCGGTTTCGGAAAATATCCGACAGCAAAAGACCGCTGAATGTCTCTTCACGGGAATGCTGTTTTGAAAATGAGCGGTGATCATCTTCGCTGGCTGAGAACTAGAGAATTCCAATAACACTATGCCACCTATGTATTCATTGAATAATTAGTTGAAGAATTACAGATAAATACTTAGCTGAACCAACCGATCGTATTTATCTTTCGATCGGCTGAAAATTCCCATTCATTGAAATGTGTTCAGCAATTGAATCGATATTTGTGTCTTGGCAGCTTAGTACAAGTTAAAGTGGGAAGAGTGAAAGAGAGCGAGTGAAGCTGATGGAAAGTGGAATTGGAATACGAAATGCGGGGCGATCTCCAAGTGGTTGGAGTAGTACAAGCGTAACTTACATAAGCGAACTTAGTAAAGTGGGAGAGTGGGACGAGGGACAAGAATCAAGGATGATATGATTGGTCAAAATTTAATTGACAGTCGCGCTTCACTGTTTAAACGCGTTTTCCAATTAGGAAAGTCGCGTCTCCCGAAAATCCAAAACCATAAATCGTGACAAAAAGCATCCAAGTACATCATCATTCTCAAAAATAAGGAGATATTGTGTATTGACTTAATACATACACGAAACAGTCAAGATGCTCAGACCAGACCATAACCGAGTAGATCCCAAAAGAAGGAATAATGTCGACCATCGCAAGAGACAATTCGCTGAACCAGCTTACAAGGAGAACGAATACCCTCATTCTCTAAATTTCTACGAGACTCCTCCCACTGCAGACATCACCCTCGAACAATTCGAACAATGGGCTATTGACAGACTTAGGAGTATGCGTTTGAAATATCTCTTAGCTTATTAAATTCATTGTCAAGTACTAATGTCAATTTCGTTACAGTCCTGGCCGAATTAGAAGCATGTTCGTTCCGCAACAAAACCCCTACCGAGACGGCAGCACACATGAAGCCTCTACTCGAAAAATACCTCCCTCTCAACTCCAATACCTCTTCTTCATCCAAACTTTTCTCTGAAAGGCAAAAAGACCACTATAGCCATTTCATATTACGACTTGCCTTCGCGAGGACCGAAGACTTAAGACGAAGATTTAGTCGTGTTGAAACAATGCTCTTCCGCTTACGGCTAACCGAATACGCCGGCCTCCGCGACCGAAATGATTTCATTCGGAGTTTGAATTTTGACTGGGAACCTGTAACTGAAGAAGAACGAAACAAATACTACTCCGAACTGCTGGCAACTAGTGGTGCCAAAAAGGGGGAGGAAGAGAGTAGCTGGTTCAAAGTTGATTGGGGACGCGTACCTGATTTGGTCGAAGGAAGGAAAGTCTTCTTGAAGGCTGGTCAGGCCTACGTGCCTTCGAAAGAACTACCCAGCATGATAATCGCTGAGTTCACACAAAAGCTAGACCGAGCGTTGGAGGTAGGTCTCGTTTCCTTGATACAATGGTGCGAATTCGACTAATACTCCGCAGCTTACAGCACGAGCAATGCCACGACTCGACGAAGACGATCGACTTACCCCGATCCTTGACCACCTATCCAAGAACTTCGTCACACCTGATGCATCCTACAGTAGCAGTACATCATCCGTCCCTGGCGCCGAGATCACGGCCCGAAATGTCGACGCACTTTCTTCCCACTTCCCATTATGTATGCAGCATCTACATAAATCGCTTCGCCGGGACGCTCATTTAAAGCACTATGGACGTCTCCAATACATACTCTTCCTAAAGGGAATTGGTCTAAATTTAGAAGAATGTCTGATATTCTGGCGCACATCGTTCCATAAATTCACGGATGATACGTTCAACAAGGAGTACAGGTACAACGTACGCCACGCATACGGCGATGTCGGTGGTGACTCAAATCGTCGCGGAGGCGGATACTCCCCGCTCTCATGCCAAAAGATCTTAACCGAACATCCGCCCGGCCCGGGTGAGGCCCATGGGTGCCCGTACCGACACTTCAATCTGGAAAACCTAACTGCGCTCCTGCAACAAACGGGCATCTCGGATCGCTCGGTCCTGCAGGGCGTCAAGGAAGATAAGGAGAACCAGAAGTTCCACATGGCTTGCAACCGGTACGTTTTTCCTTATCTTGCAGTTTCGTATTACCACGCCCGGGTATATGCTAACATGAGACACAGTGTATTTGAATTTGTCCACAAGAATGAGCTTAAGAGAGCCAAGGACGAGGGTGTTATGACTGCAGCCCAACTTGAGACAATTGTTCACCCCAATGAGTACTTTAAGAGGAGTTACCTCCTAAAGAATATGGGCAAAATGAATACTAATGACGATGTTAAGATGGAAGGATTCTAATTAAGAGTACATTGTTCATCTGCTAACGTCGTATGATTCTTGTGGATAAGGGGCTGGGATGCATTGTTTACTAGGAAAGCCACGTCAAGGTACCAATCTATATCGGCGTTACGGTGTTTTCCGAGAGATAGCTAGCATAGCATGATTTGGTGGCTTTTTATTTATTTATTTTTCTTCTTCCCGCCTTGTTACACAACAGAAGGCCACACCTACATGGTCGATGTACGGTTCAAAATGAAGGAAGGCGACGAGACATGGCGACGACGCTCTGACGCCGTCGAGACATACAGATGTGACACAACAGTTAATATACGCCGGTTTACATCGTCCCACCCTCTTCTCGGGAAGAATCTTAGATAATGGGCCAAGCACACACCTGCATTCCACGACACTGAAACTGGTTGCGAGATGCTACATCAACAAAAACGTGGCAGCGGCGGAACGAAAGCCTATTAGCTAGGTCTAGGATCTAGGGTCTTCGTTTGGGTACCTATTCCCTGGTTGAAGATAGATGAGGCTCTGCAATGAGGGTGCATAGCTACCCTATGTGTGGTGTCAATCCGGAATTAAATCGTGTAAAGGATCGTCAGGGACGCTTCCGAGATGCGAGCTGGCAGGCGAAGAGGGTGCCGTGATAGGTATCAATTTATTTTAATGCCGCTTTTCCAAGTATTTACGCCCTACAAATAATCCAACGTACTTATATCCAGTAAGATAACAGCTAAATGCAAGCCTCAGTACGGATTCGTACATATGCATTCGCGTTCACAATCGCCCGTGTATGCGGTCAGATCGCTCAACACAGCAAGCAAAGTTTTCATACGCAAGTCTTCAGTCCGTAAGCTCATCGGCAAACGAGCCATTCCCGTAATCACGCGGAGCGAAGATCATACGGTCTTGCTCCGGTGAATCTGACCCGATGCTACGGACCTAGGCTATGTTCCACAATTGCAAGAGCTGATGAGATGAACCTCCGTGGGATGTGGCGAATTGATTACCCATGCGTTCCGCATACGGAGGAGGTTAGCAGGTTCAATTTACTCGGTACCCGAGGAGGAAAACGCAGCGTACCCAGCCACGAAACAGTGTACACTATTGACCAGGGATCTACGTACGCATTTACCTAGAACGTATCATACGACTTCCATATGTAGATAGATAGACACGAATTAAAAGGATGCCTACCTATTCCAGATTAAATAACTCACGTACGCAGGGCACGCACCGCCTCGACAAAACAAAACAAAAATACGCGGCCTGCGACAGACAAGACAGATAAAAATACCGACCGGGGGTTTCATTACGGAACTTGCGGTCAGAACAACCAACCCGAGCGATCCGTTTCCCTCATGACCAGAAAAGGCGATAGATAATGGATGACTTGTTCGGGGGTAGGCGGGCGCTTATTCACTAACCCTGACCCGACCTGCGGTGAGTCTAACAACAAGACGAAACAGGCAAACAAACAAACACCTAACCTAGCCCGAAACCGCGAGGGGAAAAAGGTCCTTCTTTGTATGGATAATTCTCGGCGTGACATGATAAATTGATTGCTTTGTCTCGGGGTCGGGGAATCGGGCTGAGCTGGGTACTGCGGCGTGGGCTGTACTTGGGCGTAGCTGAGTGAGACCATTCTGTTCTCGGACAGGACAACAAAAAAAAGATTGGTGCACGGGAGGGCTGAAGAGGGAAATCCCGCTCTAAATAGATTCGCAAAAGTAAACTGGAGAACGAGATAAACCTGAGACAGCCAAGTATGCCAATCTTTGGCTATCTTTGACCCATTGCGATCGAGTCGGAGATGTTACAAAGGGAAAAATCGGTCAGGCACAAGAGCACGAGAGCTACAAAGCTTGTGATGATTCGCGACCCAAATTAGATTTTTCTCCGGGCCAATCTACATACCTATTAATCTCCCCTCAAAACTGTCCCCGTGCGCATACCCAGAAAGGCGGATATTGGCACCGTAGCACCCATACCTAGCGTAACAGTGGGAGATTTGATTTGCGGGCGGACGGGGGGCAATTCTAGAGAGGGGAAGAAGGGAAATCCGATTTCGAGACAATGGGAAAATTTTGTGGGCAATGCGGATGGAATTTCTTCGATCTCGATGATTTTAATGCACCTGGACTAACATTGCTAGCATTGTAATACTGCGATAACCCCCTTTCCGTCCTTAAGTAGTAGTAGGAGTCGGTCCTTAAACTGCTGAACCTGGAGTAAGTAGTAATTTTGCGATCTGTCGCATCTGTACCAGCCCTTGGCGAAGTGCATATATCACAATTATCTACCAATAATGCCATGGTTCGTGTAAATAGTTCCGAACGGATATGGTAATGGCGTAAGAGCTGTAAGCTTAAGAGTTGGAGGTGTTCGAGCTCCTGACTAGCCTTCGTACATATTTCGCACATAATTAGGTAGTAGACTTGGTCTAGTGATTTGTTCCGGAGCATTCTAGTCAGCATCAGCAGCGGTCGCGGAGCTCAAGGTTGCTTGGGAAGGATGTTGGCATGTTGACAAGTCAATATTGTGGAAGGACAAAGTAGGCAAATTCTTGTAAATTCTTGGTTCGAACTCCTCCATTCTATGTAGTACAGAATACGTAAAGTACCTGGGTAACATACTCACGTTACCTATTTTGTGCATGTTCTGGACGTTTCAGCGTCCACCGGATCTGGAACCTTCAAGGTCCACTATCCTATCTATGTGCCATACTACTGGGCAGCCTCGGCGGCGGGAAATCTTTGATCGTTCTTGTCGATCATTTGTTCTCCCTAGGCCGAGATTCCGACCAGGTATCACATAATCTATCCTGTTATTGTTTGTCGTCTATGGGGAGCAATTCTTGGTAGAATCGTCTGGATCGAAAAAATATTTTATGGTAGTATAAGTGAGGCTCTACATATCCATGTGTGTGAGAACGGGCTTCTGCTACTACTATGATGGGTCCCTTTGTCATAGAAGATTCAAGAACAGCAATAGTAAATACCTCTTAGTTCGGCAACTCGGATTAGCCAACTCAGCACTTAAAGCAATCTCGATGGTGGGATACCTAGGTATTCATGGACACAATTAGAATTGCCCTGAATGGTCGGGACCAACTGACGAGTCCGGCTTGCTGCATATAGGCTGGCAGTCGTGATGCTCGGGCTTGCATATGGGCGTCTGTAGGCGTCCTTACCCACCTGCCCCTTCGGATGTTAATGTTCCTGGTATTTTCACCGGTTACACACTAAAGCTCCTACAGCCTCAGCTATATTATGTACGCAAGGTCAAGCGCTGTATCGGTCGGTATGGATAGCTTCAATAACCCAACGGTTCCTAACCTTAACGCACACCGTTGCGGTCCTTTCATGAATATTCTGTAAGCTTCCCACCCCCACCAATCCACCCCCTGAGTGGATCGACAAGATCAGGGCAGATCAGTAGACCCGTCATGAGGGTAAAACTGGAGTCAACAGGGAATTGGGTCGCGACCGTGCAAGGGGATTATTTTCCATGAGAGAAGGATTAGGTTTTTATTATGAGGTTTTTTGATACTCGTTTGGTACTAAGCTCCTCTCTGTGAACCATTATGAAACTGACAACGCTCTATTCTCGTGCGAGTGGCAAATATGTCTTGTTTTCTTGGCTGCTTGGTGTTACCATATAGACTCAGCACTGCTTAAGCATCCCACGGATCTCCACTGTACGCGATCGTCACTAGGACTTAGCAGGAGAACGGTCTGGATCGAAAGTTTGGCTGGAGCATCGTAGTCGAGGCTCAAGGCTGCCTCGGCTTAGTATACCTAACTCGATATGAATATCCCGTTCGCACTATCGCAATTATTAGTCTCATATGTATGTAATTCGTGGTTTGTCAAATAATCTACTCTTTGAAGGCTAGGTGATGAAATGTCATGAATTGCTAGTACCTAGGTAATTAGCAGTACCATCCATTACCCTTTGTGCATCGAATCATGGGTATAGTAAAGGTTGACCCCCGAAGATTACTGCATATACAATACATAAGTATCTGCAAGTTATCTCAAATGGTAAAATTAAACCTGCTGGAAGCGTACGTAAAAGGGAAGCCCACGGTAGTCGTTCCAACGAATCGTGCGCCAGGGAGTAATGCATGTTGAAAAATGTCAGCCAAGGTCTCACCCAGTCTCAGCCATCGCAGTTCTTCGTGGACATCGCGTGCTGCCACATTGCAAATAGTTCAGCATAATAAATTTATGAGAAAAAAATTCTACAGCAGCCACAATTAAATGAACCGACACCGCTGTCTTTCCATTAAAAATAAAAATATGAATCAATCCCGAACGACAGTTCAGTCGACAGTGGTCAAAACCCGTGCCGCGTTTTTAATAAGTACCTATATGAAGGCTGGATCAATGATTATAATGCGCGACAATTGCTATTTCTCCGACTCCATATAACTTCAGAGTCGCAACGCGTAATGAATGGTCACATCCCGTTCGATCTAAGATCTTACAGGTTCGCCAAGAAGCAAACTTGTCATTTATGTACAATACGTAGTGTTAATAGGGATAGTGGTAGTGGTGACGGTAGTGGTAGCAGTAGCGGTAGCAGTAGTTGGTCCTCTGGTTCTCCGGTCCTACAGCATCTTCCGTACTAAGGAGCAAAGCTCCCTATACTGGCTATGTCTTCCGATGAAGTGCTTTGAGATCTCGATACTCACTAACATGATTCATTCAACAATGCCATTTCATTACACTAGGTAAAAACTAAACGTTAATAAAAGAAATAAACATCCTCTATTCTCTCCCACACGATCCTATTCCTACCTAGTATAGCAGAATCCATGTATAATCACTCAATATCTTCCCATTTAATTCCGGAGGTTGTATTCCACATATTCGACCTGTCGTGCTTAGAAGATATGCGAAACGACTCAAACAATCCATAATCTATTAATCAGACGACTCTCTGTTTTCCTCCTTGGAATAGCTTGCGCAAGCACACCCATGAAAGAAACAAGCCCATCTACGTTATCACACTATCCACTCAAATTGCCCTAAATCAATCATAGGACTTAAGGATTACGGCTACTACTGTACATGCCTACATAAATACAACGGATACCAAGCCCACACCGAAAGACATTTATCAACCCCTGGCATTCTCCGTGATAACAACTTACACAGCCGGAGTCATCGGTCGAACGTTGTGCCCAAGCTTACTTAAATCAAACACAACGCATGAATGAAGTTTTCGTTGTCGTTGTTATCACCATTGTTGTTATTCAAGCCCGACGGATCCGCAAGAGAAAGCGAAACACCGAGGTCGTCGGGATTTTAGGCACCACGCTATTCCTTCCATCCTTTTTTTTTTTCTTCCTATATCCCTACCTTGCCTTACGTTACACCCTGGTCTATTCGTGACAGGGCACAAACTGGCTGACTGACTGCGCACGCCTTACTACCCCGTTGGGTACCCACTTGGAACGCTTGTGCCATACTGCTACGTTTATATACCTGTCCAGTGCTACTAGTACCGACCAGAACTAGGACCTGTTCTGTTCTTCTAGACTTGATCAGAACTAAAAAGACGGGACCCTCCTTGGACCACTTCTCCCCCTGTTGAACTGGATCTTTCGGCTCGAGCCTGTAATAAACGTTCCGAAACAAGACACACCCAGGACATCCTTGCCAGCTCCACGTCTACGCATTCCATTCTGACTTGGAATAAGGCTTCCCATTATAAGCCTGCCGACCCCCCTCCTTTCGACACAAAGTCTTAAGCTAGTTTACGCCCACGTACACCACGATCAACATGTCAAGTCGACCATCAAAGACACATTACGCTAGCTCCTCTTCACTAGACTCAGACAGCAGCTCACCTTCGTCGTCTGATACCGATCTCTCTATTCGGGCCAGTATGGACGTCCAACCAGTTGCTTCCGTTGAGGTGATGCGCTGCCTACGATGCCATCGTCATGTCGAGGCCACATCAACCGATGACCCTGCCTCAACGGGTATGATCCGAGTAGGCTTTAACCTCTACTATTGCCAGAAGTGTGCGATCGCAGTCGGCTACAAATGAACAACATAATGTCGTTTTGCGACAAAGAAGAGTCGACGATTTCACACCCAATTCCAACGCTGGACTTACCATCACACAACATGACGACGAAATGAAGAATACCCCCCTCTCCCGAACCGATGCTTCTGGTTTAACTCCCGATATTGCCTTGGCTTTCATTTTTCCAATAAGGAACGTGGGACGTGAATAACCACAATATTCTCAAAAACCTTGATGGGACGGCAGACCGACAATGGCATCCCGAAAGGGTATTACAACACTGCATGCAATGCGCTTTAACCTGCGTAAACAGAAGGACACGACAGACAACACGACAATTTACGACGACGGGGTGCCGCTGCATCTACATTGACATGGATGGGGTGTTCCCCCGGGTGTTGTCCAGATTCAGCCAGCGACAGCTGCATACCATCCCACGGCGGGTCTATACCTAGTCGTTGCATGGCCAATTACTTTCCCCTTTTTTCTCTATTTCTGGGGAGTGGATTCAAATTGTTTCCAACACTTCGCCACACCGGGGTCGCAATACCTCGACCCATTCACGTTCGATTGACAGGGACCTCAAACATAGCGAAATGTTCTTCCGGCATAGGCGCATGAGCAACACAGACACAACAGAACACCAAAGCACACAGACACTTGAGAAACACTTTACCGGAAGCTCGCCCGGCTATCTCGCATATCCGCCACCAAGCAGATCTGGAGAAAGAGACAGCCGTTTCGGATCGGGTCCTTCCCCTCTTCTTCTCCTGTGCTTCCCTCCATCCCACTCTCGAGTATCACCACTATCGATTTTCTATTGCTCATGCGATTTCTCCAAAATTGCATGTTGGCATGATTTACTACAACTCTGTCGCCTATCTGCAGGATAATAGGTACAAACCTAGGTACTGGGGCTGAGACGCGCAGGACACGCGGCATTCTGGGCTCATATTTTTTTATTATCTGCCCAGTCTCTGCCCAGCCCGGTCAAGCCCGGGTTTAGGAAGTATTCATGGAGAGGCGCAGCTATGTACAAGCACAGCATAGCAATTTTTATTTTTTTTAATTCTTCTTTCACTTCTTCAGCCAATCAATTAGTCGAGGACAACTGGCTTAGGATGGAGAATTTTGTATTCCGATTGTGGGTTTCACCGCTACACGGTTGGGCAATGATGGGGAGATGGATGGGTCAATTCAATTCTCTCAACACCATACAACACCCATCGTGACCTTACTACTACTCCTTTCTTCCCCTCCCTAGCTCGCGTAAAAGCAACAAGAAATTGCCTAGAGAGAGACCTTGCTCAGCGATCAACTTTATGACAATTGTCACCAAGAAAACCCGCCCGGCGAGTTTATGGGGCTTCACACGTCATAAGCGTCTCGACCTTGACAATCTGGGCCAATCCAGATTCGCCAATCTTCTTGCTTGCTGGTTCCCATCTCATCCTCCAGCCAATCATCGTCACCCAACCCGGCTCTAGCCCCGGCAAATGCTACCGACCCCGGTCCATCCTCACTCCCTGTGACGTTAACCTGCTTTTACTTCTACCAATGAAGAGAGCGGAGCGACGAACGCGTGCAAATCACACGCATGTGCTCGCAGCAAGAATCCGTGGTAACCAAGCCGGCCTATTCGGAACAGGCACGCAAAATCCCTCCTGCGTCCGAAGACACCCTCTTTTCCTTCTACCCCTCCACTTACGGACGCGGCACTTACACCACACACATACCTATCTACATGCCTTTTCCAGTCGGGGACCACCTACACGGGAGTACCTACCAACCTTGGTTGTTCGCTACAGACCTAATCCACTGGAAAACGCCCGTTTGATGTGTTCTCCAGTGTCTATCATGTCGCAACTCTTCCTAGCTTCTTATTGTTACTTCGGGTCTCTTGACGAGATTCATCCAGTCGCATGTTAGCACGAGGGATGCGCTATCGGAGTGGCCTTTTTTTTCATTCTTGCGTGATATCTTATTTCTCTTGACTACTGTTTCGAGTTGATGAATTTGTGGATTTCTTGGATACCCTGCCCCTTTTTGTCTTGGCGCACTACTGGTATTATTGGAGCTGGTCGGGTTGCATATTTTTTTCTTCTCAATTTCAAATTTCAATTTCAACGGCGTCCAATGGGGAAACTGGGCATGTGGGTACTTATACCATAGAGAAACCTCGGAGCATATGAATTGGGGAGTCATCTACGGTACTGGTACATGATTTGGATGAATACACGAAGGGATATCTATCTAGACGAAGGAGGGGGAATATACGCAGGGACTACTACCTAGGCATGGTGCATCTTAGATACTGGGGAACTTTGGGGCAATCCAAAAGGGTTATGAGATCTACTTGATACTATCTTCCATGATGGTCGAAATTTTATTAATGGTTTATCACGTTTACCACCTTACTTTTGGGATTGAAATCCTTGCTTGTGACTTTCACGATTGCTTCATTGAGGCCTAAGCACTTTGGAGTACTTTCCGCTTATTAAGGAATCCCACTAACAGATTCCTTAGGTACTAGTAATGTTTTAAGAGATCGATTCCCTAAATTCATCGAGATTTTCCAAACTACATCGTCCTTAATAAACGAAGCTCCTTTGGTTTCACTTGACCGTTAGCTTCCGGCGCAGGTAAAACATGCACCACTCACTCAAATCTGCAGCTCTAAGACTTATTCTCACCTCTTGTCGCACACGATCGATCGTGATGCCGCGTATGCATACGCGTATTCAGACATTTTTGCTACGTACTTACATGCCGCCAGCGGGCTGGGGCAGCGGGCACTAGGTATCGCACTCCATGGTGGAAAAGAGGGCGGAGAGGAAGCTAGTGCGGAACGATAGCTGAGACGGCGCGCGACGAATTCTTGACGAACACTTGACGGCCGCTCTTCCAAGGTAAGACTCTAGTATCGGGGCAAGATTCCGAAGGAGATCCGCGCCCTTGGGCGGATAGGGTTAGATTATTACGTATTAAAGCTGTAATTCTATGACGAAATTCCTTGATTTTCACCTCTAAATGGACCGCGAATTCTAGTATAAGGAGAGCCGCCCGGGGACGAATGATGTTATACCGGTCGGCTTCCTTACCTGCGAGAGTAGGTATCGACTATCACGATGTTTAGACGGTTTCATATATAACCCAATGAGAACCGACATTGTACCTAGGTAACTTGATCAGCATTGCGATAATCTTATGAGCTCAATACCTTGGTAGCTATTGATCTTCTCGACATTTTCGTACTACCTAGGTACTTCCAACGGTTTTGACGGTTTGACCCTATGGGCAACCCACTCTAGCGCTGACGAAGTACCGTAACTTGCGCACCTGTAAGCTGAAGGGTATCTCAATTTAATCATATATCACTACCAAGCCCCGCGAGTCAGATCTTGAGCAAGTCCTACTCCTACACTACCTACCAAGGTACAGTACGCTCATACGAATCGTATGAACCTAACATGCAAGATAGCTACCTAGGTATGTAGGTAGCTCAGCTCACTACATACTGCACTGCAACACCATGATAGCTGTTCCCAAGCGAAGTATGCCAAGCCATCACGACCATCGTTACCACGTAGCAAAAATCCATGGAACCTGTTCCTCAGGTGAAGGGAACTCGGCAGCCTCCGCGGATGGGAACGTTGCAACCCTCCAATAATACCTGTTCGCACGTGCGGACACAAGAAAACCCCTATCGTCTATGTCATAGACGTTGGCAGATGTTGGTTGGTCGACCCAAGAAAAAAAGGAGAAAAAAAGAAAATAAGATCCCGAATTATCCATTTCTGCCGGAATACGACGATCAGGGTCCTATCAACATCATCGTGCAGCCTGCACGTCGACATCATCATACATGAAACAAATCCCTCTCTCCCTTCCCATCCCGGCCTGATAACAACTTGACTTTGTCTTGCCGAGATCGTTACGTCGCTAGCGTACCTTAGATACTTGCGCATGTTTTCTATTACGAACTCTTAGGCATGTCACTCGCGATGCCGACATTTTATTTTTCAGGATATACCTACCATATATAGCTCACGAACTAATCCAACTTACTAGGGAGTATATGCTAGCTAACAAATACGATACTTGCTTAACCCTAACATGGGAAAGTGTGCTAGATCCCTAGTAAGTAGATCTTTGCTTGGCTAGCAAGCGGTTCGTGGGGCGGGCGGCTATATTGACCTCGCAGTTGGCTAGTAAGATCAAATGAGGGGATTCAGAAGGACCGCGGGGAAAATTGCTGACGATACCTACCTAGGTACCGTAGCTACAGCACCGCTGCGCCCGCTTATGCAGTTTGTTTGCGGAGTTGAATGGTCGCATTTTACGAAAAAAGGGCTTACCCGCCACAAGAGCTTGTAAAATGGATATTTTGCATTTTCGCATCGCTAAACAGTCAAGTCAGGCTCTAGCCGAATGATGCCAACGAGTCATGAAATACGTGCTAATATGGTCTAGGCTTAGCTTTGGGGTAAAATGCGGACTGCCGGGCTCAGGAACGCGCCGTGTTAAGCCTCGAGATGGTTATCTCGTCTACAATGGAGCGAATCATGCCTGCCCAGCGAAGCATCGTCAACCTTTCATCCTTCATCCCTTGATAAGCATGTGTCAAACATTGGGTAGGAAGCCTTTCGGATTCTGTACCGGTAGTTTTACGATCCAATCAAGAACAATCGGCTTGCGATAATCAGCTGCAAATGTGTCAGATATGGCACCCTTTTAAATGACAAATTTTTAATGCGAGATTGAACGGTTTCATCGAGGTGAGATGGTGCAGCCCAGATTGTGTGATGATGCAATCCCCGAGATGCCGGTACGTCGGTAGGATCCCATTCGCGGAGCAGATTTAGGGGTCCAAGCTCGATAAAAGACCCCTATTTCATTTGACTGGAACGTCGCATCACAGGGCTTTCCCCAAAAGCAAACCCGATATGGCGTCTGTAAAAACGAGTCGATATGATATGAAGGTGTTTGGAAATATAATGTGAAAACTGATCAGGTTCTAATGTTGTGCAACTTCGAGAACACATCTAGAATCGACAAGGCTTCCCCTTTTTGGTATGCTGGCCTACCTACCTAGGTACCTAGGGTGCCACGACCGGACATCTAAGCGTAAAATCCAATATCTAGTGTCGCATTATTACTGATGTAAATTAAAGATGACCCTACTGTCTTATGGAGTGCCTATTTTTCCATCACCTGCGGGATAGCCAGAAAAAGTGTGATGATAGAAAAAAGGACCGTAGTCGGAATGAAAGCGTTCTGCAAATCCGTATTGCTAACGAACCCCAACCATAGGCCTGCAAAAATAACCGACAATATGCTGCATGAAATGAACCAACGGGCAATTTTCAAGATAGAGAACCCCATCTTCGCGTGTAACCCCCAGCCTTCAGCTCCCATGATCTTTTCGACTGTAGGTGGGACGAGTTTCCTAGGAAGGATGGTAATCATCGTCTTCTCTCCTCTAGCTTCCTTCGGATACATGAGCCCGGTGACCATTTGGATAGCCGCCATTTGCATGTGTACTTCTTTGGGGTATTTGATTTGATGTTCGTACCCCCTGCCACTCGGGGGGAGCTCCTGAGCAGTAGGGAAAACTCGGTCGCTGTTATCCTTGACGACGTGGAACTAATGGTACTATAAGTCGGTCTTCTACGTGCAGTTGGATATTTGTTAGGGAACAAATTTGCGAACCTTGATGAAGTTTACCTCGGTACAGCGTTTCCATGAGAAGAAATCCGTGACCCATCCCCTGGCCTTACCTCCCCTTACCTTATTAAACCTTTTATTTACTTTAAGGTAGAACTGTTCATCATCTTGAAGTCCTTGGATCTCTCGTATAGGGAATAGGACAGTTTGTAGTGGCTCGCTGAAGACCCTATCAACACACCAATATAGTTGTTTAGATTGGCCCGGCGTTGAAGTTAAGCTGGGATTATTCTGTACCTGTTCTTGGCTACTGTTGTTTGTGCTTTGGGTCGGCTGGGAAGGAGGAGCGGAAGACCCCTGAGTATGTGCAGCGGTACTTTTTACCTTGGCCTGTTGGGTTGAGAGGGGTAGTATAGGCTCCCCCCCTCCAAATATCGGCACACAGGTGAGCTTATAATAGAGAGCATCTCTATCAGAAAGCACAATGGAAAGTTCTCGCGCTCCCCACTACCAACAGAGGCTTGGTCAATGGGGTTTGGGAAATAATAATTAAGGGTGAACGTACCTGCCAGACTACCCTTTCGCTACCTTCAGCGCATGGTTTCACTAAAGGAGGTAAAGGATGCCAATCAATAGAACGTCCAAGCCGGAGTTCTGCTTCGAGCCTGAACTGGTCTAGTCGCTTCATCTTCGGTTCAGAATCCGGAGGGATGAACTGTACAATTCGTATACCATCATCGTAGAACGTTTGACTAATGCGTGACTTTACAGAATGGATACCTATGTAAAATAATTAGTATGTAGGTAAGAGAAAGAACGACTTTTCGAACGAGTGGAACAGGAAAAAGGTACCAAGGCTAGGTAGGTAGGCTCTTACATCTAGAAGGCGTTGGCAGGTCTCTCGAGCGGTCGGCCTTGTTGACACCTCAGATAACATCTTATAAAGGAGGGGCATGATTTTGTTCGCGTCTTCACTAACAGATGCCAGCTTCATTATCCAGCTAAGCACCTGGGGCTTGACCTTTTCTCCATCATCAAATCTGGTGTCGCTAAATGAGTCCGAGGAAACATTCTCCACTACTGTTATCCGATGTTCATTGAATCGAAGCACACCCTCTGAACCGCCTTCTACGAGAAATGTGACTAATTCCGTGAAGACACACCCAAGTCTCCACATGTCGTTAGCGAGAAGCTCTTTGATGCTCGGAACCCGGACTTCCCTTATATCTCCGCTGGAGGGGAGCAAGGAGGATCGTAGGCCAGGAGAATCGTACACCCCGGCTGACTGAGTTGCAGCGCTACCTGCCTCCCACGAAAGAGCCTCAGTAAGATCAACGGACAGACCGAAGTCAGTCAATTTGAGATTTAACCCTCCGTCGTTTATCCCTTCGTAGACGAGGATATTGGAAGGTTTGATATCCCTATGCGCTCTCCGCACGGTTTCATGAAGATATACCACAACGCTAGCTAATCCATTAAATTGTGTCCATAACGTGGCGAACGCCTTCGAATTTAGTATCTCGTTATAGTCGCCGCGGAATAATCGCTTGAGGTTCCCAAGTGCCAAGGGAAAAGCAAAATTGAAATACTGTATCCCTTCACATTCGTACTTAAAAACTGATAGGGTTTGGACGATATTTGGATGTTGGAGGAGATTCATCTGTTTCAGAGATTTGTATTCCCGCACAAATTCCTCGGCAGGAGTAGACTCCTTGAGGCGTTTAATAGCGAGCTGCCACTAATTAGTCTGGAAATTAATTAGGGGTTCGAGAATCAATGTAAATAGGTACCTTTTGAACAGTTGGTCGAGACTCGGATCCAACGGATGAGGAAAAGGATGCAGTCACGCTGAAGACTTTGGATGCCTCTCCGGATTCGAACTCCTGCTGGTATAACCATTCCGTTACCCTACCATCCTGTCCCTCGTATTTGATGCTAATTGAAATGGAGATGTGAGGTTTATCTGTAGGGAAACTCATATTTAACGGCAGAGATACAGATGTGGTCTTTTCTCCAGACCACAGTGCTTCAGGGATCTCATCATCCAAGTTCATACCATCCGTAGCTACAGCGCCAGCTGGTGCTGGATATTGCGGAGCTGTGGTGCTTGATTGCAACGTGCCATTTCGGCTTCCTTCGATGTGTTCATTTTGTGCCTTGATATAATGATATCTTGATACACTGTCATTCAAAAATTTGATTTCAGCCTCGGTAAGATTCCTCGGGATTGTTGCGAGAAACCTTCCGCGGTGGAACTGTTCAATTGTTAGGAAATGCCTGCTATATCCTCAGATAGTTATAACTCATGCCTTTATCTTGAAGTCACCATCCACAAACAAATTCGATAAGGCATCTTTTAATCTGAAGGCGTCCACGTATTTGGTTCTGATATGGAATACTGGCATTGGGACGATGTATGGATGGTTATGAGGTATTGACATAAGTGACTAGTTCAAGAACGATATATTCCAAAATGTATTACGAAAATTTAGTCTGATTAGCTACCCGGGTACCTACGTACGTAGTACCTCACGGTATCTCTTTTGCACTTAAATACCTAAGTACTTAGGCACTTTGGCACTTTGGCGAAAACTATTGGACTATTGTTGGTATGTGGCTTCGGGAATCATACCTAGGTATAGATGGGGGCTGAGTCTGCCTGCACGAGCTTAGCCAATCGTATATGATTACCTAGGTGTACTTGAGGTCCTGCCACATAAGGCTTCGGAGTCATGCATGATACTATTGAATTTTACACCAATTGAAGAACGGGATTCTCTATTAATAAGTCGATCACTGCAAAGAATAAGAAATTCCTCTAAGAGGCGCTCCCCTATTCGTCTATCACAAGAACCAGATGTCTCATAATACAAGCACCCCTAAGTAGTTTTAAAGCACTCCCAAGCCTTTTGATTTGTATATGCACCCCCACTGTAATAGATGATTGCCTGTTTGAAAATACACTCTCATGAATGTCAGGTATGTATAATCCGTTGCGAGCCAGAAACCTCATTTATGCTCCTTGGTTTACGGTTTCGAATGGGAGCGACTCTTATCGGCAAATAACACGGGCCGTCTCGGTGAGTTGAAGGTTGACTGGATCGTTGTCGTCTAGCTCCTGACGCGCTACCTCGGGGATTAAGTCGGAAAGCGCGCCGGGTGCCTTTTCGCTTTCGTTTGCTGAATAGTTGACCCATTATACACGATTCTTATTTGCAACTCTCTCTCCTTTTTTCTCTTTCTTGGTCATGGCGTGGAAATGGTGAATTCTTTCGGTACATGCGGTCGAATGTTCGTGCTTGTTGGCTATAATGGCGAGAGCGAAGAGTTAGCGACGTAAGTCTACTTTTATCTATATTTTTGCAATGAGTCAATAACTATTCAAAGGGATAATTGGGAATCTAATATCTAGTTCAGTGTGATAATTGATTATTCTAGCTACCTTAGGTAGGTATGATTATCTTTCCTACCCTATCTAAAAATTCAGAAGTGCGAGAAATATCTACCCCCATCCTCTCTATCCCCCTTTGCCACTGCGTAGGCTAAATTGTATCCATGATTGCACCTCGATGACTACTTAGGCAAGCAATCAAAGCTCCGGTATAGATACTGCCGCGAAAGTATAACTGCATTGGGAATGGAGAGTATTCATCGATGAAGCCTTACGCCAGTCATAACAAGGGAGGGTGCTAACGGATACCTAGGCAGTTATATGAAGGTCGGTAACGGGCTAACATAACGGACGTACGAAAATAAAGCAGCAGACGCCGAGAAAAGGTTGGTCGATTGACGTTTTATTATTTTATGTATCCGCGACCCGAACAAGCTATGCCGATTTCGGTCTCTGGAGCCTTCGTGGAAGGGAAATTAATGTCGAATTTGCCAATAAAGTAAAGGAGGCGTAAGGTGATAATAGCTACCAAGAACTATCGTCGAATAGTTGTCGGTGGGACCGGGGAACCGACCAGTAGTCATCGTGGGCACGGCGTAGTTCTCTGTCCCGGGCAGTCTGGTGCTGGCGTGGAAATTTAGTGAGCTTGCGGCGGCCGCTCGTAGACCCGTAGGTCGTCCGCTTCGGAGGTCCGCTGAAGCACTGACCCATTGTTTCGTTTCTCTTGGCGTTATCGTGATAGATAAATCTGCGGTGGATGTGGTGAAGATGCAGTTGCCACGATGGTTGTTGCCAGGCGAAGTTGGGTTGGTATGGGAACTTCCGGGGAACTGGTAGAATGGACTATGTATTTAGATACCAAGGCAGGAGAAATACTCCATCTCCCTTGACATATTTGGGTAGTTCTGTGATTCTGGATTGCAGTTTCCATAAACCATCTCTCTGAATACCTAATGTCAGTCTGTATCCTACAAATTTAACGACAGCATCACCGAAAGTAAGAATCAGTGTCACATCCACTGAATTGACGTGACAAGGCGTTGGCGAATAATTGGCTCTTGAATGCGGCAAAGGGAACCCCCGGCTCTCGAATCTCTTTACTATGTTTGGCATGATAAAGGGTCGATATAGAATAACATGGTGAGCTGTTGCTGATGAAAGCTGCCATATATCCCCTGAACAGGAAAATGAGAGGCAAAAAAATCGAATACGCTCTGAGTTTGGAGTAAAAGGCAGTGGAATATGATTCATATATGATTATTCATGTTACTCGCTGTGTACACATTTAGTGCGTAGGTGGTTGTGCGTGTAAGGGTGCCGCGATTTACTCCCTAAGTTCCCTTTATCATATTGCTAAGCTGATTCCATCATGAATCTTAAGTGGGGTAAGGAGTGCGTCGGTGCCTGACCAGCTGACTGGCATCTGAAGAAATGTCTCCTCATAACTTTAAGATGGGACGAAGAAGAAGGTGATATGCTATAGTAACAAGTCGGACGTATTGCCTACTTCTCATTTTTCGTGACTGGCGGCCCAAGCCTGAAATCAGCACCAGTCATTAAAAGCACCCGGATTCACGGATATGTTTCCGACACGCAACCTTTCTAAACTTGTGGCCTAGGGGTAAAATAAAGATACCCTAGTGGCTTTATGATCCGAACAATTGATGCGACTTCTTCTGAACCTTTCAGTCATAATGACCCCATCGATTCCGCTGCATCTTTCAGACGAAGACGACTCGGACTCGAACAAGAGGATTATTGATATGTTGCAGAGTGTGGTCGATGGCACTGAGAATCCTATATCTGGGGCAAGGATAATCCATGACGTTGTCGTTAATGAGTGCCGCCAGGCCTACATTTCCTATACTTCGACTTCAAGCCTAGAAGCGGGGCAAATGGAAGGCGGAGTTTATTCAGGGCCAGACGGATGGATGAAGTTCCTATGGAATTGCATAGGGAAAGCCGCCATAAGGATACCGGCTAGTCACGAGGGTCAAGACAGGCTAGTCTCTCTGCTTAGGGAGCTACATCAGCTTCCGAAGACGAGCGTCCCCCGGGTTCTCTCTGGAGAAGTAACTGAGAAAGTACTCTGGGATCTCACAAAAGAGACTGGATACGAGAATCTTGTCTAGTGGCTCTGGGAGCTAGATCAAGGTAGGTTGCCCGAACTACCTACTTCTACCTCAAGTATGATTATAACTAAGCTAAAGGTAACTTTGTCGGTATTATTCATAGAAAGGATAGAAGCCCGGGGATCACTACCACCTACAGCAATTTTTCCGCTTTTCTGGCGCGTCTCCTGGCAACTGGTATAGTGGATACAAGCCGATTGAATATTTTATGCGTATCATCGCCATTCGCAATAAGTAGCCCTGTTGCGATAGAACGGGACATCAGCTACTACGAACCATATGCGTCCGCTGGGGCTCAATGGATCCTTTGTGCCGGTGACGCACTCTATGAGATGTGCGAAAAACGTATTCTAGTCGAGATTGGGAAGCAGAGATACACTCGGGCCTTGTGGGAGAGTTGGAAGGTGAAATTTGAGGTTGTTGCGGAAAGTGATGCTTGTTTGATCTAGGTTCACAATTTGGCAAGGCGAACTGTGGACAAAATGGAACATCTAGAAAAGCATGGTTTTAACCCTGCAAAGAGCGCAATTGAAAAAGTTGGCTATTTGCGTCCATTAGAAGACGAGGATGAAGATGAATGATGAAAAGATTGAAGTAAGGATTCTACAAGCACTGCTCTTGTTTAGCTTAGCTACTCCTATTTAGGCCCCTAAATCAACCCCTATTTTTCGACCCCACCCCCTATTTTAGGGAGGGGTGGGAGTGTTCGTGGAATATGGTGATCTCAAACATCGATCACTTCACCTTGATTAGCGTAATTCTTCTGTAATGGATCGTGGATAAATATTCGACTCTTATTTAACGCTATCCCAACTTTTTGTCTTTTTTTCTGTTTTTATCTATCTACGTAGGTAGTTACCTAGGAACGTTAGGCGCAGGTATCGAACGAACCCTTATTCATCCTCGCGCAAACTTCAAGCCTCTCTCATTCGTTCTTGTCGAGAGGCTGTCATTCGTCGTTCAGTCGTCAAGATTATTGAGTTATTATTACTTCCACTACGTGTTAACCCGAATAGTTGCTCCTCTAAATGTCAATGCTCGCACGTCCTCTTTTGAACTTTTGAAAAGCCGACGTGGTAACTCCAAGGAAATCCTAACTAGTGAAGTTCCTCCTGTAAAAAAGTAAATGATGCAATTCCGAGCGACCTACTATGTCGTTTATAATTTCGTAGGCGATTTAGCGATGTCGCTTATTCGTTTTTCTTTGTGAGCCGCTTTAGCGATTTCTTCAATTCACCAACAAACTTGCCAAGAGTACGGAACAAGTAGCCAAAACCGAAACTCCAGCCGCGAACGCGTACCGTGTAAATGAAGAAGTACACGAGAGCCCAGTTTGAGATGCAAAAGGCCAAGAAAATACCGAAATCTGGTTAAGTTCAAATGTTAGTATGCGGTTGTAATCTGACCAGACACAATAGAAAGGATTAAGGATATGATTGATAACGTACCTCTCCATTTGTCATCGGCATCGACGTTTAGCGTTGTGAGATACTGATTACCGACGCTGTAAGGACAGTACTGGCAATCTCTTGTAGCATCCGGATTAAGTAGGTAGCCTCCAGCGGCCTTTGCGAAGTCACCAGCGTATGTCTGACAAGTTTGATTTGGGGGCGCGTCGAATTGAGCGGTTTCTGATGGATCGCACTGAACGGGAATACCATCGATCGTTGCCGCCAGCATACCACCGATCCAGTATGTGGCTGGATTGGCCCAGTACATGAAGTACCTCCAAAACACGGGAAGCATCGAGTAAGATTGTACAACACCATTAAACAGACCGAACATGACGAAGAAGAATGGCAAAATCTGCGTAACAAGTTAGTATTTGAATTCATTCAATCATCATGACATAACTCACGTTTGAGATAACGGTGAAGCTTGGCGCGAAAGCGCAGATCCATTGACCCCAACTCGACATGAATAGGAAGACAAGTATTGTCATCAAGAACGAATATCCGGCGGCAGTCGAGCTTACGCTGGCGAGACCAGAGGGCCAGCACCATAGTACCCAGTAAAGCACGCCAGAAATCACTGCAGCAGGAAGTTCTGCGACGATGTTCGCTGTGCAGAAAGCAACCCACCCGTAGATACGAGAGGGGTATTCGCGGGCTTCCCATAGCGCCATATTCTTATCGAACTTAGGTACCACAGCATTGACAATAGTAGGAGGGATCGTAACGATCATGAAACTGGTGAACATGCGGTTTTGCATATCTTGGATACTGTATCCGAGCTGCCAGAATGTGAAACCGTTGAAGATACCAGTGACGACCGCAACGAAGAATTTTCCATACAAGTAGGAGGGGTCACGCCAATATTGTCTGAACATGCGCTTCGTCAACTCCGTTGTCTGCAACCATACCGATACAGCGTATTCTTGCTGCTGTTCCTTTGTGAGTTTATCGTCACGCGACACAGTGCTACGAACCCTCTTGAGACCGTCGATTTCCCTGAGGACTTCTTGCGCTTCTTCGCTGGTTCTCCATTCTTCATTCCAATCAACTTTTGTACCATCCGGGCGCTTATGCGGTCGAGCTGCCGTTTCTAGGATGAACTCGGCTACGTTCTTTCCGGGAGGGCATGTTGCGCCACGGTCGGCGAAGTACTTAATTACGTCCTTGCCATTCTCTCCGATAGGACCGAAGTAAAACGTATTTCCACCCGGGTTAAGTGCGAGCACCATGTCAAATTGCTGGATTAAAACTGAACTAGGCTGGTGGATCGTGCAAACGATAGCCTGACCGGCGGCGCAGAGCTTCTTGAGGAAAGTGACGATAGAGTAGGCAGATTGAGAATCCAGACCTGACGTTGGCTCGTCGAGGAACAGAAGCAGAGATGGCTTGGCAGCAAGTTCGACACCAATGGTAAGTCGCTTGCGCAATTCGACGCCAAGGGAACTAATGATCGCATCTTGGAGGTCATTAAGCTCGAGTAGATCAATAATCTTGTCCACATATGCGAGTTTTTCAGCTCGGGGGATTGAAGCCTCTTGTCGTAGGAGCGCCGAGAATTCAATAGCTTCGCGAATTGTCTGAGTGCGGTCATGGAGATCTCCTTGAAGACAGAATCCCGTGTTCCGCTGGAACTCCGGACCCAATGGCTTGCCGTCGACGAACATCTCGCCCGAAATAACACCAATGCGCTGACGTTGCGCCAACGTATTTAATAGGGTCGATTTACCAGCTCCGGATGCGCCCATGAGTGCGACCATGATACCAGGCTTGGCGTATCCGCTTACTTTGTTCAATAGCTTGCGCTCGCCACCGAGGTAGGGTACCGTATACTCCACATCCCTCCAAGTGAAAATAGAATCACTCTTCGTCAATTGCTCCAGGGTCTCTTTTTGTTCCTCGGCCGTGGCCTGAGCAGCACCAGTCCTAGTCGTCGAAGATCCGCTACTAGCGACCCCTCCGCTTTTCTCAACGTCGGATGGTGCTGCAGCTTTGCGCGCTTCTTCCTTAGCTTTTCGACTCTTCTTGAATATGAGCGCACCGCCGCCTTCGGACGAAAAGTCGAACATTTCTGTTGCGACGACTGTGATAATGATGTACAAGACCGTAAACGCAATCACAACACCAAAGTTTCGCCAAAGGTTTGAACGGCTGTAGTTTAAAGAGGACTGCAAGTAATCACTTCCTGGGACAGATCGAGAATTGGGGCTGGACCCGCGGAGAGCGCATCCCTGAAATTCTGGTAGTACGCCGTCACCCTGGGGTACGAGCTGTTCAGGCGCGCATTCCATTATTCGGTTTGAGAGCTCATTCGTCAAGACCGCCTCGAAACTGTAAGACAGCGGGTTTATCCAATACAACCAGCCGAACCAGATGTAATCGTTTAGGAGTTGCCTCTTGGGAAGGACATATCCAGTGTAGATAACAAGCAAGTTGAGTGCCATACTAGAAAATCGCACAGCCGTATTGATTTCGGGTGACAAGCTTGCGAACATGCGATACATAGCGGTGGTCATTATAGTGGTGATGTAGACAAAAAGCATGTAGATCCAGAACTTGCTCACGTCGATATCCATATTTGTCATGAAATACATGGGCGTAGCGAAGAGGCAGACTTGGACAAAGACTACCGGAATATCTTGGATAACACGGGCAATTGAGACAGCGGAGGGGCGGTAGAAAGCGTAGTCACGATGGCGGGCGACGACAGCTCGCCCAGAGACTGCATTTGTGAGCTCGGACAATTGAAGCCAGCCAAGGAACACGATTGCGAAAAACAGTGCACCACCACGGGTGAATGCTCCGGCAGTCGAAAATGGTTGATTATAATAGATTGAGCCGACGATGAGACCGTTAGAGATGACAATGAAGAATTTCGTCCAAAGGGTTGCTGTGTCGCCGAATAGCAGCCAGAATTCTCGTTTCGTACAGGCCCACACTTGGCGGGTGAATGAAACTGTGTAGGGAGATTTCTTGCTAACGTGCCTCGACTTGGAGTCCTGCACCGCGCCTTCGAATCTTTTCGCGTCGGCGAAGTCGGTGCGTTGTAGATGCTCTTCATAATCCCGAACATCGTCTAACAATTTTTGGTAGTTTGGTGAGTCGCGGAAAGCCTTTTCTAGTTCTTCAGCTGTTTTGGGCGCTTTGTGTTCAAATCCTGGTCGGAATCGTCTTTCGTTCGGGTCGGTGACAGCGGTGAGGAAGTCTGCGGTGGTCTGTCGTTCTGGGCATTCGAAGCCTAAGTCGATGAAGTATTGTTTTGCATCCTTGGCGGGACCGGAGAATATTTGTCGGCCTTCATCGATAACCATGACCTTGTCCATGAGTTCGTAGATACCCTCGCCGGCTTGATATAGTGTTACAAGCGTCGTGCGATTGCTAATGTCGGTCATAATACGGAGCGACTTGGCGTAATCGAGAGCGGTCGAGGCGTCCAATCCGCGTGTTGAATTATCCCATGCCATAACTGTCGACTTTGATGCAAGTGTCTCGGCGATAGATACTCGTTTGCGCTCACCACCAGATACACCCCGGATGTATTCATCACCAATACGCGTGTATTTCGTATGACTGATACCAAATATTTTCATCAATGCATCAGCTATGATTGGAATTTCTTCTTTGCATCCCCTTTTCGTCTTGTTCATAAGAGCGAACGTAAATGTCTGCCAGACGTTGAGCGAAGCAAAATGGGTATCATCCTCCGGATTGTAATTTACTTCGCCTCGGTACATATGTTTCTGCTTCTTTGCCGAAATGCCGCCATATGATAATTCGCCTTCGACAGCCGCGAAGGATTCGGTGTTGTTGCTGACCGCCTTGAGGAATGTGCTGCATCCAGAGCCGGGACGGCCTAGTACAAGCATCATCTCGCCATCGCGCACACAACCAGTGAAATCGTTGATCAGAGTTCGCGTCGGTGGTTTTCGTCCAAATCGTAGAGCGGGGAAGAAACCCGAGAGGATACGATATAAATCGGGGCCGAATGTTCCAAGCACGGCATCAGGGACGGTGCGGACGAAAGAGGATGTGCTCTCAACACCCTTAACGTTGAGGTTCTTGTAGATAACACCGACTCGTTTTTCAGAGCCTGCCTCTCCACGCTTTTCGAAGTGGCCATCGCGCATAAATTCTCCTAGTTCGAATTCACCTTCGTCCGCTTCTACTTCGAACTTCTCGTCGCCATCAAGTTCGACCGCTCCGCCGTCTCTTGTTTGCCGCCTCGATATGTCGTTGGCTTCACTCCGGCGACTGCGGACCTGCGTTAGGTCGAAGCGTTTGCTATTTTGTGTATCCCGGGTTCTTGTTCTATGCAACTGTGAGAGGTTATGCCTCAACACCTCCAATTCTTCCATAGCTTCTTGCTCACCAAAGCCACCGACATCGCGCTCGCCCCAAGTTCCTTCTCCACTTCCGGCAGCGTTAGAGTCGTGAGGTCCACCTTGGCCCGCTAATTCTCGTGCCGTTTCAGGTACCTGAAGTCGGTTTGGATCCGGCGGTGCGTCTTCACGATGCCATTGATTCACTGGCACACCAGGCTCTCTATGGCGGAGAGCCTCGGCGTCAATGGTGCTAGCCCACATGGCGAGCAGCCCTCCTCTTCGGCAGTGAGATGTGTTAGACAAGTCTTGTCCGGAGCCGAGGGGGGGACAACAAGCTCATAAAAGTAAAGCAACGCACTGACGGTTTCTTTGTCTATGGAAGTCTAGCGTACTCAAATCAAGGGGGCGATGCGACGAGGAGACTAGAAAGAATCTATGTCAAATTGAGTGGCCAAATACCAATGAAAATGTTAAATTTTTACTGCTAGCCCAAGAATTTATTAGGATGCGTCAAGGGAGGAAAAGGGGGCAGCATCCGATGTCCGTCGGACAGATTGGCCCTGGGGGAGTTTGCGTCTTCATAAAGAAGTCTGATTGTTAATCAACAGATTGTTAATCAGAAGGCTAGGCCAAAAACGAAAACGACATAGATGTAAGTATGAACTGTGTTGAGCTGGCCCACCACACCTGATGCTAGTTAAGTCCTTCGGGTATTGGACTTAACGCCTATGATATGCCGGCCGGGGTGACCCTAAATCTCAACGGCCTCAAGTCCCACAACTTCACCCACCAACGCTCCGGACTTATCGTATCCCCCTAGGCGCATGTCGCCTGTCCGCAGCGGTTCACAACCCGTGCATTGCTGATAGGTCCGTTGTTGCTGACTGGATACCTAGAGATAGATGGGTAAGTGATATTGATAACACCGGGGCAACGGCACGTTGCACGATATGTCGGTGAGATGGGGTCAGACCGCTCAACAAGCGCAAACGGCTACTAGTCCCTTACAGAGGGGTATCTGCTCACAAGGAGCACCCAACTTCCGTATCTCCCTTCGCGTCATGGGAGCCGTCACACCGTTGGTGGGAAGGAATTTTAAATTTGCATCCTACTAAGGGTGTCGATGATTCATACATTACCAGACTGCCATTTTGAGATACTCCGACCTCTTCCAGAAGCCGGGTCCGTTCGGTGTTAGCCAAAAACGTGCGGCGCTAAGGCTCAGACATATCCATACGAACAATGAGAACCCACCTGGCTACTGGGTCTCTGGGTCTCCATGCCTAGGGCAACCCGGACCGCTGCAGAGATAGCTGATTAATCGCTTTAATGAGATGGGTATATCTTGGGCTTTGAATCTCGAACGTAGTCCCTGCATGTAGATCTCTCTCTAATGTTTCATTCGGCTGCTTTGAGACAACTTCCAGCCAATGAAGATTTTCTCAACTTAGATGTCTCCCCACTGCGTCGGATTTTGAGAATTTCCAGTTTATCACAAGTTGCGGTCGATATAATATCTCGCCCAAGATATAGATATGGTGGTTGCCTAGTCTCCGGTCTGCAACTCTGCTGCAACTTCGCGGCTTGCAGAAATATCGGACTTCAAATACTATCTTTGCTATCGTAATATCCAATTGGAGTGCAGAACGATGTGACATCCAATTAAAGGCCCAATCACCAGCATCCAGTACTTCCCAATTGGGAATGGTACCTAGGAGATGGCTGGCCATATCTTACGAGACATGCTGGAAAAAAAGGAAAAAAAAAAAAATCTATGTAAGACAAAGATGCCAGCATCAGAAATTAGGAGGTACATACTAAGAAGATGAATGGATCTCTAGCCAAGAATCTACTTAAAGGTAGGGACTTCTTAATAAGCCGATCGCGGCCAAAATGGCCGATTAAATGACAGACGGAATCATCTAGATTAGTGGGTATATATTTTCTCGTCATATTACGATTCGAGTATAAAGAACTAATATCAAACCCTCCGAGCTCTCATAATCTTTATCGATCAGGTACCATGCTTACAAAGCTTGGTGTCGTTATCCGAGCACTGTCGGCGAATAACAGATCTGAGTCGGGCGCCAACGGGCAGGGCTTGGGGGTCATTGACGCCACAATTAAAATTTCGCGCTGAATACCTCCCAACGTATTTCATCGTCGTAATCGAGGCATTTACTGGCAACCCCCCACTCACGGACTTTGAGGAATTATAAACATTTATGATATTTGAACGACATGATGATGCTCACATTTAATCATGCTGCAACTGTAATACCTCTTGCGACGCGTGTTTACACCACCCACTGAGGCGGGTTGTCCAAAAGCAATTTAGTTTCCGCGTCGGTTAGAGCGGTTGGAAACGGCTCGGGAATGAACATTCCTGTCGTACAACCCCAAGCCATAGGATTATCAAGTGTCATGCCTGCCCAGCCGAGCATGTACCTCTCAATACCAACAACTTTCGAAATGAGCTAGGTACCTACTCAAAAGTATGAAGAGTGCCCATATCCGCTTTATACGCATAGATTAAAGGCAAGACGCCTTATGTGAAGCACATTAATTCCCGTCGCAAACCGTCTCCCGCTCAGTTGACAGTTAAATCTTCCCGTTTGGGTATCCCAGGTCATGACGCCATCAAACATATGTAGGACCATATACACACAGATAATTGCTAATTCGCTGTAGGATATAAGACAGACAGCCGTGTTTCGAGCTGATCCGACCCGGAGCTGGCGGTAGAACAGCGTATAGTTGAGAAACGACAGCGAGTCCGGAGATCACGAAGGGCTTATGGGACGAAACGCAACTATTTCGGTATAACATGTATGTCTTGTTCGAAAACCTCAAAACAGCGTATCATACATGCTACCTAAAGGCAATTATCCCTGCTCCTCCGCAACGACACCGCTATCCCCGTACTCCTCTATTCGCCAATCAAGTCACAGTACCTCGCCATATCGGGTAGCTTGCATTGCAACCCTACACATTGCACAGATTCCATCGAGGCCGAGCCTCAAAGTTCGCTCGGCTTGCGATATAACACCTGCCTCTTGATCTTAAGTCCCATGACTTATCTTCTAGCGAAACAGCACATAATACCGGTCCTTCCAAGAAACCAGAGAAATCCCATGAAACGAAAGATAGAGAGCACTGCAGTAGCGTATAGGAGGAATTTGAAGTATGCGGGAGTCCGTCCTTTCGAAGCCGGCTGCATATAACAGGTTAGTTGACATAAAACAAATGTTTAAAGCATTAAGTGACTTCTTACCTCGACACCTAACGATTCAAAGCTATCACTGGTGACGAAAACAATCAGCAACAAGTTAGAGACAATCCATGTGATGACTAGTCCCGTCCTGAAGGATTTATAAGAGTCTTCGGCATCCTTAGTTTCTACCGTCGTCTCCTCTTCGACAGGAGCAAGTGCTCTGTACACCGTTTTCTGAAATTGGTCGTCGATGTCGTCTTGCTTTCTTTCGATCTCCTCGATAACGACCGCGTCCGTCTCCTTATCCCTGGTGCTCTTAACGGATGGCAGAACGTCGGTCTTGTCGGAGCCCTTGGTACCCCAAGAAACATCATGCCAATTGTTAAAAGCATAGACCATGAGGATATTGATATACGTTGATGCCAGTATAATGTATTGAGGAAACGAGTGGAACATATGCCATGGATCAAGGTAGAGAAACGAGGCCACATAGTTGAGGCCGTATATAGTAATGAGGGCAAGTAATATGACGCCTACTACGCTGTCACCGCCAAACATACTCTCAAAGAACGCTTGAGCTGAGGAAGTGTTTATCTGATCAGCCAGTGGTTGTTGGCTCAGGGCGCGATAGACGAGGTAAAAAGATAGGACGATAATATAGGTCTGGATCAAGCTAAACACCACGAAGGAGACAAGGTAGGTGTACCTAGAACCTTTCGGTCGGTTTCCGAGCGCAAGGATGAATTGTATTATGATGAAGACCATATACAAGTACTGGATGAGCACATTGACGATAGGTGTCGCGACATCGCCAAAGGGCCAGCCGTGGTATCCCGACGCCTCATCCGGCGTGCCCACCATGTTCATGATAATCGTGGTAGTTAGATAATATGACGCGAGCGAAAACCAGGTGAATATGAGGTTGCTTAAGTTGTAAACAAGCTGGACATGGAGAAAGAACATGCGAATGATGCTGTGCCCTGACCGATAAATTCGATCGAAATGTATGATGGAATACAAGGATGCCGCGAAGGAGCCATTCAACCATCGCCGACGTTGGCTTAGAAACTCATCAGGGCGCTCAGGTACGTCAGTCTCTCCCTTAGCAGCTTTGATATAAGATAAGTGCCATTTCTGGCCAGCTTTAGCCACCAATTCAAAGCAAAGGATTCGGTCCTCGGCAAGAAACATATTCTTCTTAAAGATATTCATATTGTCGATTCCTTTTTTCCCTAGGATTTTCGATAACGTATGATCTCCATGGAAATACTGTTCCAAGGGCCGACCCATAATAGCTCGAAAGCGGTACGCGGAAAATGCGCCAGGCAGGACAGTTACGTATCCAAACGAGCTCTCTAACGGCTTGTCTAGGATGTTCGATATCTTGTATTCAAAATTCTGAACCGCGACTATTGGGTTTAATAGCTTGACGCCCCTTTTACCCAGCATGGCGTGGATCTCGCCGCATGCGCCTCCGAGGTCTTTATCGTTGTAAAACCCCTCCCAAAGTGCTAGCAGAGACCGGGGACTCGGTTTAGTTCCGGCGTCGAGGAGTGTGATAACCTCCGGGTTAAGAATACGACCAAATGCATTAAACAGCCAGCGATGCGAATTGATTTTTTTACTATTCTTTTGCTTTAAACAGAATATGAATTGCGCAGGAGGTAAGTTCATGGGATCATTAGCCGCTGTAGTAGGCCGGATGAGTTGTTGGCTCGGGGTAATGGATAATTGACTCGTGTACTCGAAAATGTGTGCCACTGTCTCCTTGCCGTCGATATCTTTTTTGATGACGCCGTCCTGATAGACCCCGATCGTGGCGAGAACGTCGAGAACACTTTTATCGGCTTTTTCGATACCGTCAAAAATCAGACAGACGACTATTTTCTGCCATGCTGGGCCTCCTTTCGACCAAAAAGTCGACTTTTTAAGCTTAACTATGTCGCGGATGTTCTGCATTACACCATGCAAAGTCCTGGCAAGGAGGATTTTATCTTCGTTATAGTAGGTGATGGCAATCATGAGCTCTGTATGCCGATTATACATGCGGGGACGCAAGTCGTACCCGTTCAGAATGGTAAAATCGTTCGGGTCACAGGTGGCAGCTGTATAACGCATTTTCGTAAATTCCTCTTGACCTCGATACTGAGACTCCGTCGCATTCTGTATTGCAGTGGGAACTGGGTAATCGGCGCTAAGAACGGAACCCTGAGAACCAGGCTTCAGCTTGATCTTCCGGGTGTCGCGGCGTCTAAGGCCGCCTCCTCCTCCGCCTCCCGAATCAGCAGCGGGAAGTTGTTGTCGCGCGGCCCAACTCTCTTCGGGGTCACCGTAGACCGAAGGGGGCTTGCCGAAGCCGAAGTACCCATTGTCAAAGAGGTTTTGACCGTGTTCATCCTCGTCATTAACTAGAGACGCCGCAGAGGGTAGATGATATACCCCCGGCTCGGAGGCATCATCATCGTACACGCTGGTGGGAGCGGGAGAAATTGAGGCGCCAAGTCTATCGGGATCGTAGTGGTGGGCGCCTGCTCCATGAAGGGAATAACGCTCGTCGCCCACTTCTAGATCTGGATGATCAAAAGGATTCTGTATAGCCAGGTTAAGAGGAGTTGTCCATTTCTATTAGCGCGACCGCCGGGATTAACATACGTTTGTGTCTCCAGGAATATCATGCAACTCGTACGCCCTGGCATATGGTTGATCTCTACCGGTGGAGCCCATTTTACGTCCTCATACAGTAGTTTGCTAAGTCGGATAGAATTTAGTCTATCGTCGGGTTGAAAAGGGAGTATGGGTGAGTATTTAACCCTCAAACGGCGGTGTCATCAAGTTAAGTAATTCATAGATCATCAAGCCAATTGCAAAAATTTTACAATTACTCTACTTAACAACGGCAAAATATGGAATAAAACTGGAAATTTACTTGACTTGGTCTGCGCGGTGGCGCAGAAGATTGTATCTTCCAACACAACCTGTGAAGATAAAGGGATGGAAACAATTAGGCCAGGTTTTGTTTCCGTTACAACTGATGGAAGACGTCTAAGGGTTGAAAAATGGAATAGAAATCGGTTCGGGATTTGGCCGACAGGCCCAGGTATCAGTGCCTCATTTAAGACAAGCCAACCGGTGTTCTATTCGTACGCGTAAGCATACGCACCACTTCCCGTACAGGCATGCATTTCTTTTTTGAAAGGAATACTGAGTAAGCCGAAACTATTGAAATCTTTGGATCGCCTCAATATATGCCAACGAGGTTCGGTGGAACCATTCCGACCTTGGCGGCTGTGCCATGCGGCTGCGTGCGTAATACGAGATTGACAATAGGGGCTTACCGTACCTAAATTCGCCGTTTGTCGCCGATCCTATAATTCCACGCCGACTCAGAGCTTCTCGTAATTAGTGGTAGTACCTAGGCAAGTGGATCGAATTATCGCAATTCTAGATTCAGTTAAATAAATACCTAGGTAATTTATCTAATCATCATATTTACAGATGTGAGCCCACTAGTGATACCAGGTTGATATTCATCAGTTATTGTCAGCTTTAAATGTCGTCATCACCTTTAAACCACTAAGCGAAACACTGCAAGCTTTTGAAAGCTTAGCTATAAACTGATATGAGCTGCGAGGAACTTGAGAATGGTTGACCAGAGCCTCCTCGGCCCTTCGTCTTCTCTGTTTTCAGTATGCGACACGCCCGTTTAAAACGCCGTCCGACCAGCTGCTGCACCGACTACCAAGTCCAAGCCCATACAATGGCTTTCGGAACTATTCAGACATAAGGTAGAAAATATTCGCTTCTAAACATAGACCACGCATAAGCTAACAAAAGTCAACCACTTAGGGTACCTAGGTGGCTACCAGCGAAAAAGGCCGTACGCGAAATTCTTGTAAGAGGCTTTGCTCAAGGAAATTGATTAATACGAAGCGTCGCCTTAACACAAAAACGAGATGTTAGCCTTGATGGGTAAGAAGAGGCTATGCATTTAGTTTTCAATGCTTAAAGGGTGGCGCAGTGGTGTGGTGGTATTGTCACCTAGGTACGATCTAGAATGCTAGTGTTTCGTGGCTGAGGCTTTAACAGATCTTAGCTCTGCTAGCTTACCCGTAACTACTATTCTAAGGAGAAATCTTTAGGTATCTATAACACGAGATGAGTCGTTTTAGAGTCTATAAGATGTCGATATGTCATGCCTTGAGATAGACATTAAATTTTGGCAAAACGAGAGTAGGTAGTTGAGTACAATGTCCGAATGCGAGCCTCGGATCAAATTCGACCCACGTGGTGATCTCACACTCAGGGTCGGTCCACCAGATGAGCTGACATCAAACTTGTTCCTTGTCTGTTCACGCACATTAGCACGGACCTCGCCAGTTTTCGATCGAATGCTATACGGCTCTTTTGCGGAAGCGAAGCCGGTCGATGACAAAGACTGGGTAGTCGATCTGCCAAACGATGACCCAGCTTCACTTACCACTTTTATCCGCATGACCCATGGCTCCTTTACCGAGGTGCCCAAGACGATGACTATTGACCGACTGTATGCACTCACTACGCTCACACATTACTATGACGCCACGCAGGTTCTCATACCATGGATCGACCCTTGGCTGGCCTCAGTTGAAGACGAGACACGAGATTCGAATGTTCCTCCGTTAAAATTGTTATGGATTGCATGGGAGTTTGGTCGAAAAGCGCTGTTTAAAGCCACTGCACGTCGAATACTCTTTGAATGTCCCGCTTCTCTCCTGGAACCCTATCTGCCCCCGGAAGGGTTGCAGATGCCGCCTGATGTGATAGGTACGATAGGATACCACTTGGTTGGGTGATGCTAACTGAGATTATCATCAGAGAAAATAACCGAAATCAGACACCAAACCATTGAGGCCTTTTTGAGGGTATTCCGAGACATGGTCGCAATGCTACTTGTGGTGGATGAGAGCCCACGATGGTGCCGACATGCCTCATATATGGGCCATCATAGGTGCGAGTCGATGATACTTGGTTCCATGACGTTTTGTCTTGCTAGAGCTAGTCTCTGGCCCCTCCCTGAGGCAGATGAAGTGGAAGAAAGTGTGGTAGAACTATATACGAAGTTGACGAACTTGGTAATACACGACATAGGGAGGCAGAGTCCGAAGGGTGCGGAGGACCATAGCGAATGTAATCCGGTGCGCCACCTGATGGAGGAAATGAAGAAAATTCTCAACGAGGTTCCAGATCCGATAACAGACATGCATTGGAAACAGATGGATCTTCAATATAAAAGGTTAAACCCCTCAGATAATAGCTCATGTTCTTGAAGGACTGTTACCATACAATCCTGAGAAAGAAGATGAGAAAGAAGATGGAATAAAAAGAACAGAAAGCCTTGGCGTCTCGCATTTCGTTCACAGCTGTTAAGAATTATTATTAGCCAATTAAAAACGAGCTGGTATTATTAGGTAATATAATCTAGCATACCTAGAATTAAATCTGGTTCACCTACAATATGTAGCTGAACTTGAACTTAACATCTACGACTCAATAATCAAAGAATTACATTATAATTCATTTGTTTTATTTGAAAGCTAACTACGAGTATTTCGCGGATTCAGGACGTTTCATTATGGATTGGAGTATGACGAGTAGCAAAAAGCCAACGCCTACATTTAACTTCCTAGATCTACCACCGACAATTCGGCGACGCATCTACGAAATCGCAGGTCTCCTGGTTGGAAAAGTTTTGCGGTTGATTCCGACGAGGAATGACCCCCTTTACCCCTACTCACAGCGAACGATTGAATCTTTACAATTTACATATAGCATCCTTCAGACATGCAAAACTATTAATACTGAAGTGACAATCATCATTTATTCTCAAAATGCGTTTGTGGTTGTTCATGACTATGTTTACTATGGGCTTGGATTGCTTCATCTTCTTAACCCCCTACAGTGTTCAGCTCTGACCCATCTATCCATTCAACTCCATTTGGAAGACGCAATAGATTGTCACACAGACCATATACCGGAATCATCGTCTCGCCATCTCGATCCCGATGCCAATGCTTCTTGGCAAGCCACCGCTCGACACGTTCTGTCGCATGTTACCCCGCAAACACTGTATCTACAACTATTCTGCGATGTGGGAGTTAGCGACACAACTCAAGCTGTTCTACAACCATTGAGAGACATCCCTGGCGTGTTAAAAGATTGCGAACTTCAACTCTCTCATGAGAAGGGCAATAGACACCTCCGCGCCATGGCCTTAGAAGTAGCGACCCGTGCTAAAGGATTTGATCCGGACTTGCGGGCTAGCCCCTTTCGCTTCTTTGATCTACCTGCAGAGATTCGGCGAAATATTCTTGAATTTTCCGACCTTGTGGCACCGTACAACGAAATATACTGGAATGCAGATCAGGGCTTTAGCATTTCAGTCTGGACGTTTCGATGTTGGGGTGATAATTGCGATGAACATCTTCATCGAGGTTGTCCCTTCATATTTTGCGCAGATTTCTACCCAGTCTCAACAGGAAATATCTGCTACCAACTTCGAAGCGGATATTCATCTCACTGTCATTGCTGGGAAATTCCAAGAGCTTTACTATTGGCCAACCGGTCTTTACACCGAGAGGCCCTGCAAGTGCTGTATGGGTGCAACCGCATCATTGTCCTCCCTTCAGAAGGACCAGCGGCATTTTCGACGCCACAATTTATACGTAGGCGGCTAGATATATCGAAATTCATCACAAAACATATGCGGCCGGAATCCCTTCATTATCTACGTACTATTGAATTTGTGTTTCCACCCCTCACCTTCGAGTCCAATCTAGTATCGGATGAGTCGTATGCTCTCGATTTAGACTTTGCCATTGACCACCTCAAGAGATATGCGGATATACCGAAGTTAACAGTTGTCGCGTGTATGGCAACGGTTAATATAATGAGGGATGGTGACTCGAAAGCTATTCATCGCGAACTCATCAACTCCGGAGGCGATATAGCCTCAGTTCTTCGAACCCATACTCGAATGTTAGACTCTCTAAGGGGTTTCCAAGGTATGAGGGGTTTCTTCGTTCATCTAGAATGGACCTGGCACTGGTTTCTCATGCATCAGGTTGTGGGCTCTAGTCTCCCAGATTCGTTCGATGGGGAAATAGATAGAATGGAGGCATGGCTGGAAAAACATTTCATGGGTAATAACTATAATAGTAAAGCTGTAGGGAAGATGAACCTCCAACCAAGCGTATGGCTATACAACATCTGGCATACGTTACAATATCTATGGTGGTCGCACTCAACACGCATAAGATGAGATTTCCTTTATTAAACAGACATATACACAGGTATTCGGGTTACTCCAAATATGATAAATACCCAGGTAACCAATCAACCTCTCAAAAAACTCCGATGGGGTCATTTTCTCGCAATTTCTAGTCTAATACAAGAATCAGTCCAGCAAGAACTAATGAGAGAATGGCCTTAATTTATATTCCGGGTCATCCTCAGGTTGCCCAGGAACAGGGAAGTCCACAAATCGTGGCTCAATGTACCACCCAGGGTCACCACCCCATTCGTTCTCCCCTTCTCCTTTTGAATGAGTAATACTCCACCCATTTCCAAGCCATCGCAGCTTATTAACGTTATCGCCGCCGACACTTTCCCAGTTATAATCTTCCCACCTGGGAGACCTCAAGGCCTCAAGCGCATGAAGCGGGCTTCCTGGCCACACGCCGATAATACGGTCGCCAGAACCACCTTCGCTCTTATACCAGCTATGGCAAGTATCGGTGTATACTGTCTTCTTGAAGTACTCAAGACAATACTCATCCCAGTCTCGCATGCGCTCCGGCTTAACAGTCATAGTAGCATAATCCTCCTTTTGCAATTTGCGGATGCACTTTACAATGTAATCGCCCTCTTTCTCTAGCATCGACGTCAATGAACCGGATCCAATGGCAGAGTTAGGGCCTAGCATCATGAAGAAATTCGGGAACGAATCCACGGCGACCGATAGGTATGCTGAGGGGTACGGTGTGAAACGCTCCTGTAGCGAAAGACCACCCCGCCCGTAAATGGGGAATGGAGGGGCTGACGATGTGTTAAATCCGGTGGCGCACACGAGGGTGTCGACGGGGACCGAGCGGCCCGACTTGAGCGCGACGCCCGTGGGCGTAATGACCTCTATTGGGTCTGTGATGAAGTCCACATTGCTTTCGATGAGCGCCTCGAGGTACCCTGGTCCGGGCGTAGAGCGTCGGCAACCAATTCCGAAGGAAGGAATAAGAAAATCTGATATTTCGGGTCTCGCTGCTAGTTTGTTTTTCATCGATTCGCTGAACGCCACCATTGCCCCGCGCTGCATCTCCGAGTCGCGAAGCGAGACGTCGTGGATTGTGCTGCCGTCTACTTCGATGATTTTACGGAATGCGAAGAGTTTCTCTGGGTTTTCGGCAAATTCGCGACGTTGTTCCGGTGTGACTTAGTAGCATCGTTAGGTGCTACATCTGGGTTTTTACTTCGAGGACTCATTACTTACATTGGAGTTGTGTTGGTTTCAACCCGAGTTTCGCCATCACGCCTGCGAGAAAATATTAATGGATACCCAGAAGACGTATTAAGCATTGAAACTTACTGTCTCCAAATGGATTCGTAATCCACGTTTTACTCCTGACGAAGCATGACAACTTCGTTCCCTCAATCTTTTGAAGACTAGGGACAATCTGGATGGCACTGGAACCATTGCCAATGATTCCAACTCGTTTGTTCTTGAAGTCATAACTACTTATCGTCAGTATATGAGATCGGGTTGGGAATATGGCCGGAGTAGTACGGACTTTTCGTTCCATACCGCAGAATGCATAATCTCTCCCTCAAATGACTTCAAGCCCGGTATTTTCGGCCAGGCAGGATCACTGAGGTTGCCCCTCGCAGCAACTAACATGTCGGCGTCATCTTCGAATGTCTCATTTGTGTCTGTCCGCCGAACTTTCAATATCCTATTGCTACGTTAGTATCGATCAAACCCGCCCCCACGGATTTTGAGAACCATTTCTTTTTCCCGTCATCCCACTGACATGATTCGACTTTATGCAGTAGTTTCACAAATCTGAGTACTCCATATTTCTCGGCCGTTCCTTGGAGATAGGCGCAGATCTCCCGTTGAGGGGCGTAGAAGGCAGACCAATTGGGGTTTGGGTTGAACGTATATTGATACGAGTGTGATGGAATATCACACGCACAACCTACTACATGTCAGTTCTATCTACCGAGGCGGTTTAGTGCCAATTGAAGTTGGGGATTCTTACCTGGATACTTGTTCACCCACCACGTGCCACCAACAGACTCATTCTGTTCATAGATTTGAAAGTCGACATTGCGAATTCGTTGCGGTATTCGAATACCCAAGTAAATCCCCGAATACCCAGCCCCTATAACACGAACCTTGATCGGACGGTGGCCATCTAGAGGTTCATTCTTCAATTGCAACGGCATCGACCATTCGGTTGAACCCATCTTGGCGGAAGTAAGAGCGGCTGAGAACAAGCATTTTCAGGAAGAAGACGACATCCTGGGGCATATAGACTTTAAAGGGCAATATATTCTCCTTACTCTTTACCTTTTTTGCGTACGTCACGCCATGAGCTGTGCTACCACCCGCGAAGGCTTCGCTCCCGTTTCCCCGCACTCGGTCACATATTGGAGCTAGAGCTACGGCATTTGCAACTATACAAAGATGTAAAGGAGGAGAAGTCTCTCGTGATGCAATGAACGTGGGGTATAGCCCGGGGCTAGCATGCAAGGGATAGCCAACGGGGCTACTAGTCGGTTAATCCCCCCGGGATTTAGAACCCCTTATATCGGACGGTTCCCCGAAACGATTCGAGGCAGACTATTCTAGATCGTTGTGCCGCTATGTTACTTTCTTGGACAAGATCCCTCCTGCACGGTTCGGGCATGGCTTTGAGATTTTATGGTATGATGGTTTCGCCTGGAAATATCATGTAATGTTTACGGATCATCTATCAACCAACACGGCATACTTTGATGTTGGAAATATTTTTAGGGGCTAATAATACTACCGTATAAATTTCTATACAACATCCCCGAATCTCTATAATCTTAGATCGCATGTATACATAGCTAAAGCTAGGAACTCTAGGAATTAATTATTGATGACATCGGAAACTTACCATGAGTTTCCTAACTATGGCTCACGAACCGAAGACCAATGTAGGGTCTATAGTGAGATTATAGGTAACACAATTAATCAATATAAATTAAAAGCAAATTCCGAGGTGTCGTTCTAAGAGTATATGCCGCTCGCGTGCCTACAATTGGCCTACTGCAGGTCGTACATCGCCACATAATTGTCCAATAGCGTCTCTGTCTCAGCCTCAAGCAGCTATCCGATTGGCGACCTGCAAGGGCCGTAACAGTTACTCCGCATCGGCAGTCATGTATGGATATCTCTTACATATGTATGTATGAGCGATCTTTAATAAGAGGCTCACGGATGACCGGACCACTACGACGGTCGGTCGGGGGAACCCTTTTCATGTGCTTTTATTACTCCAACTGTTCCGTCGCTTTTTGGAGTGACGAATTGTCACGATGCCAACTGTATGAGGGGATCACGACGATATTGATACTAGAAGGGGGTTCGAGAGAGGCACTGCAGGGTCCGAGCATACACACGGATGGGATGGTGGCGTTTTGATGGGACCGATCTCATCTTAACAAGTGCCTACTTTGTGCACGGTCGATCTTGGCATCGAGCACGGGTGAAGACATCGTGGATAGTGTCTTGCGACTCTTACGGTTGAAAATTTTGAAGTTCGGTCCCCGGTTCGGGCAGTTGGTATATCTTGGTGGGTTACTCTGGTTCCTCGGGCACTCTTCCATACCCCCGCTTCTAACTACCTACTCTTGAGATTGGCACGCGTCGGATTTATCGCGTCTACCTTAGTCCGTTATTGCACGACACGACACGACAGTTGAATCGTAGCGATTTGAATGGCTTGGATCGAAATCTGACTATCAAATTCTCATCGTCACTACCATCATCGCGCATATCATCAGCCAGCCACTCAGATTATTTGCGCAAGCCTTCGGATAGAGGCTATGGAAAAAGCATAGGAGGCAATAGTTTCCGAGGACTATTGTAATGGTTTGATTTAGCTGAACTTACAGTCTTCAACACTTCTTTAGGTTCACCCTATGCGCTTGATGGCCTATGTAGTCCGCGATACTCTGAAGGCCGTGCTCACCAATTCTGAAGCTACCGTATGCGACTACGAGCGGCCCGGATCGGACGGAGAGACGCAATTGCTTTTCATCGTGTAACCGCTACATTCAACGAACTGTCAAGCAACCTACCCAACGCCGCTGTTTCGGCCGATGGTGTTACCATAGACAGAAAGGGGTGGCAAGTTGCGATTTCCTGATTCCGGAAAGCCTCACGGAAACTAGGATAGATAGGATGCTGGAGTGACCTTAATGTAGCGAACGATACTGTCTGTCTTGAGCCTCTGCGAAATCGAGACATATCTAAACACAGTGGCTTTTGATGACTTCCAATCAGTTGAGTTTCCCGTGTAGTGTGGCTGGGGCTGTATCCTGGTGTAGGAGAGCATTATTGTTACACCTACGTCATAGGCATGTAGCCTGATCATAGCGATCGCGAAGGTGTAGTTGATCCTTTAAGGTTATCTATGTGCTGTTAGCCAGTAAGCTCCTGAATGATCTAACAGCGACAACTCTAGAAGTAATATATCGAAGAGCATTTTGATATAGATAAGTCTTCTGATATAATGCATACGAGAAATGCGCGTGAGAGTTTAGAGAAAGGGGCCCTAAACGTGGGCTGTCTTGGCGCATTTCACGCCTATTTTCAGGGGCATTATTATATCTCTACCACGATACCTATCAAACTTAGAAGGTTGTACAAAGCAAGTACTTTTGATTTAAACTGATGTTCTATTCAAGGTTCTTCAATGCTATATCTACCTAGGTAGCAATTGGAAATGCAAGATTGGTCTTATGGCCGTATTCGTTCTGAAAGAATATCCGGAGTAAACGGGGAATGATAGTATATTCACTTTTATTGACACAGCTTCGTTGGGTGCTCGATGTTAAGTTTCCGCGAAACGTGCCGTAGTGAAGGTATCGTGGTGAATGTCTGCGCGTCGTCCTAAGAAAAACTTTGATCTGTTTTGAAGGCCGAGGAATGAATGGGTTAATTGATTCAACTCTAGTTACCTGGGTAATTGTTTAATTGATAGTAAATTGTTAGTACATACAAGCCTGTCGCGTACACCGCTGCTACTGGCGAGAAACCCCAAAGGAATGGAATTGACCAATCAACATTCAGGATGATGGACCGTGGTTAATAAATCTATTCCAATGGTGATGTCTTCATCGATGCCGTAAGACGAACAACACAAGCGAGACAAAGCAGGGAGCCCAGAGGATCATCGGTACATGGATTTATATCCAATATTACTGATTCATTGATTTCGACGAACGACACACGTGTGTTGTCCTGCGTGCTTCAGTTGCATGTCGAATTGTATGACATCAGCGACGTGCGGTTGAGGCGAATAATCAGAAAAAAAAAATCAGGGTCGAACTAGTTAATTGACGAATCTCGGCCGACGACGCATTTAGTAATGAAAGAGAACATTGAACGAATGTACAAATGTATTGGAGGGTCGATCCGACAACAACCTAAACATTCGAGGTAAGATCTTAGCTACAAATTGGTTATTTACCATGCTTATCAATCTCTAAGAGGGGAAAACGGAAAGAGAAGATTTGATGGATGACGTGCATTATCGCGTCCTTAAAAAGAAGTACCCGTAGCGAACGAATTATTGAACCTGTTCAGGTACCTTATCAGTACTTTGAGTACATCATCCATTAATCAACTCAACTGTACATGTAGGTATAATAAATAGCTTTACTGACTATAAATAGTTCCCTTGAGTGTCGTAAGCAGAGATGGATAGTTGATATCTCATGCCAATAAGATTGTGACAGTACTTTCAATAAACGAGATTGAAAAGTTGAGAAATGATATCAGTATAAATGAGATATTGGGGGACAGCTAGAACAATTTGATAGATAACGGAACGGGAGAAACCTGGTCATTTGGATTTTACTACATGTATGTATATATGTTAAAGATTCGACGTGGGCGACAACGTAAAGCTTGTAGATTTAAAAGTACATCAAAGATAAATTGTTTTATATATCGACAAGAGATGTATTTGATGTTCCTATCCCCACCTGCTTGCCCGCTTTATGCCGCACTTACTTTACTTCTAGCCAAGATGTACATGACGGACTCCCACGCAGGTACGTGTGATTATATAGTGGGAATACGCTTAACTAAATGTACCTAGCGCACCGAACTTAGTATACTGATCTAATCCTCACTTACCATTGATTAGTACGTTTAGTAAGGCCATAGCGTTCCTGTAGGTCATAGCTGCCTCTATCTGTCAAATCTTGTCACTCTTGCCGCTTGTGATTTTAGTTAGCTTAGTACCAAATAGTGCAAAGTAGCATTGAATTTAATACCATCAAATTTATACTTTCAAGATTGTCAGACCATTTTGATGCCCTGGTATAATCATCAGTGCTTGCCATAGTTGCTCAATTGTTCAGTTGTCGCCTGCCCTGACTTGTCCATCTGACCTTATGTAATGTCCATCAAAATTAAAATTGACTCCTCCCCCAAAATTGCTTCCAATTCTCAACCCGATCCCGCGGTCCTCCGTTACTTTTCGATTTCTCTTCCTTTCCCGTACGTCTTTCACTAAACCTCATCTACTTACCCTACATATACCTACATATACAACCCCTACCCCTACCCCATCTTTTTTTATCTTTCGCAAGCGAATCAACACCTTTCCTACCCCGTCCAATCCTTTTCTATTTTCATTGTCTTCCCTTTCCTGTCGTGCAACAACCACCCCCTTATCATAATCAATCTATTCATTCCTAAGCCTTAGAGCTAGGGTACTGCATCAACATCGGCGTCTGCAAGCTCAGCTCAGATAGCACCCCACGTTCTGATATCGGTCAATCTTTTTTTCTTTCTCTTTTATTCATTTTCATTCGTCTCCTGGCGAAAGGGGACTTACGTCTCGAACATCCAGATCATTCACATATTCATATACTGTACATACTCTAGATACGGGTCCTATCTAGGTAGTACTCTCGCCCGCAACTGTCATATATTTATGTCGTAGAATTCGAATTGCAGCAACTCCACAACCAAGACATTTTATTTGGCCACGAGGCGACGCGCATCATACCCTTGTCGCAGCCAAGTTTTCCCGCGTTGTGCTGTACCTCAACTGCTTAAGCTAATGCAGACTGAGGTCAACGTTACAATTCATAGCTTCCGGACTTTGGTACTGTATTGTACCACGACCGTCGCCGAATCAACTTGAACCTGTCTGTCTCTGTCTGCTGTCTGCCTACCTGTTTGCCTGGTTACGCCCTGTTTACTCTTGCTTCACCAAATTCTGCGCTCGCAAGTTTAATCATCAAACGTTTTGCGGCTCCTAACAAACAGCCCTAGCTAATCGCTAGTGCTTACCCAGCATTTCCAAGGTTGTCTCGTATTATTCTACTTTTTACAGTCAAGTTCCCTACGCCACTTTCATCTAATCAGTGTACGAGTGAGTACCTGAGACAGAAGGGAATCAGCTTTCAGCTAAAACTTGTGTCTTCCATCGGAACACCGTCCTTAAGTATACAAAAGCGTTCGTACCAAAACTACGAGACCTTTAGATACCGGACGCCGCGCCGAATCGAAAACCAAGTATTCCAACCATACTCCTTCGAATAGTGGAGTCAGAACCGACCGACTGCCGCCGTCACTTCAGGAGTCCCCGCTAGTTTTCGCAATTATGTACGTACTATCCTTCCCTCTCTTCAATTTTGGTATCCCGTAGCTCCCTGTAAAAAAAAAATGGCTATCACCCTTGACACAAACGCTTTCCTAATCCTTACTAGTTGACTTCCTTCTACTACATATCCTCCTTCGGGTTCGAGTCATTCAAGCACTCAAGATCCCGTCTCACCGTTTCACACCGTCTCAACAGTGTCGAATCAACCGCTGTCAGCTGTGCCAGCCAATCCAGCAATCAAATATGACCAGTGGGCAATCTCAACCCCAGTCACACATCCTACCAGAACGTACACTCACAGAACACAACCGCCGTCCAGCGTCGCAAACCCATCCTATTCACGAATTTCACGCTACCGGAACACAGGCCTTATTAACAGTTGCTGACGCACTAAACCGTCGAAATGTACAAGAAAACAACATAACACGGCTCTATGACGGAGAGTCTAACCGTTCAACTTTTCCATGCGAAGAATCGATAAATTCGAGGTTACCGGTGGCCCCCCACGGTCAGATTCAATTCCAGTCGCATACGATAGCCCCCTCGCCGCCCTTGCCACAACATACTCCCGAAGATCGCTCTTCCTCTCCTGACGAGCCGCCCTATTCGCCCTCTCCCCTGGGTAGGGGTAGCAACCCTTTTAATATCGCAACTGATGTTCCACCTGCCCCGCCGGCGCGATCCGATAGTCTTAACAGCAATCAGGGCGGTTTTCCGACTTATCGATCAAATTTAGCTCTCCAGAACAAAACTTCATCTCCGAGTCTGAGACCTGTTTCGAGAACCCCTAGCTTCAAGCGACACTACTCGAGAAGCATAGGGTCTGCGGCGAGCTCAACATATCCCAGCCCAGTCATCTCTGCTATGGGTGATGTGACACCGCTGCCATCACCATTACTAGGTAGTGATTCACCCGGACCTTGGAGACGAGTTGGTTCTCGTCGATCATCGTCAGCTCGCGATTTATTGCCTCCAATCATGACAGACTCGGTGCTGATAGCTGCTACCGGAGAATCTGTAGCTTCTGCACTCGCGCATCAATCTAAACGAAAGGTCTATGCAGGACTTAACGTGAGCCACGCGGCCGAAATCAGCAGCGGCAAGGTTGAACATAGCCGTAACCGAAGTATTAGTGAATACATTCCGGATCCAAAGGGAATACCTAAACGACAGAACACCATATCTGGAAAGATCGACGAGAAGGACGTGGATAGTGCTTCCGATTCCCATCTACGTCGAGAGCCACACCTTTCGGAGAAACGAGGGATCCTCCCAGTTGCCAAACCCCCGACTCCCCCGCCAAGCGAATCATCTCAGAGCAGCGACGGCTCTAATTCTAAAAAGTCTCGCCATGAGTACTTCGAAGCCCGTGGCCGATATGATCAGAGGTTAAGGAGGTGGCGTGCTATTAAGGAGCTAGGTCAAGGAACATTTAGTCGAGTGATGTTAGCAACGAGTCAGGTTGCAACCGAAGATGATGATACCAACGGCACAGCGCAGAATGGCACAACTGGACTTCCTTCGCCGACTACCAACGGCCATCCACATCAGAAAACCCTAGTTGCTATCAAAGTATGTGAACACGGACCTCGGGGCGGGGCCTCTGAAGATCGCATCGAGATGAGCCTCAAACGAGAGTTGGATATTATGCAGTCAATAAGTCACCCGTCATTGGTCCACTTGAAAGCTTGGAGCATTGAATCTACCAGGGCGTTATTGGTTCTAAGTTACTGCCCTGGTGGCGACCTTTTCGATGTCGCAACGCAATACAGAGACCAACTAGAACCGGTACTGATAAGGAGGATATTTTCCGAGATAGTGGGTGCGGTGATGTACCTCCACGAACGCCGGATTGTTCACCGGGATATCAAACTTGAGAGTAAGTCGCCATTCTGAATACCACTCGTACTCCGCTCGGACGTTCGGCAATGGGTGACTTTTTTTTTTCCCTCGGTTACTAACAAATATGGCAGACGTGCTAGTCAATATCCCGCCGGCTGAACTAGTCAAACCCGGTCAAGACTGGGCTACTTATCCATACTCTATCATTACGCTTACTGACCTCGGTCTATCACGCCGCGTCGCCGATGACGAGAAGCTAGAGACGCGTTGTGGGTCAGATGATTACGCCGCGCCAGAGGTCATATTAGGGCAGCCGTACGATGGGCGCGCCATCGATGCCTGGTCACTTGGTGTCTTACTCTACGCCCTAATCGAATCCCGACTTCCTTTTGATCCTCCACCTGGTGCCAGCGACGTGCAGAGAATGCGGAGCAGAACAAGCCACCGAATTGCACGAATAGAATGGCGATGGGTTAAATACTATGGCGACGATGGTGACCACGATGCAGACGAAGCCAAATTCGAAAGTCATGGCCTAAAGGGCGCGATGGAAATTACGGAAGGTCTTCTCAAACGGGCTAGGAATCGTTGGTCTATGCAAAAGGTGGCGGGACAGGAATGGGTCACTGGTGGAATTCAAGTTGAAGGTGGTATCCGGTTTAGAGAAGAAGAGGAAGGCGAGGAAGTATTATGACACTTGGCATAAATTTGCCGGGTCTACCTATACTTGAGGACATGCATTTGAACATGCATACGGATATGGATTTGGTATTCTTCAACTGGCTTTTCTACAATCCCTCATTCGAGGCTGGAGAAGTTTTATCACGGGACTTTCGAGGATTATTCAACTAACTGTTTTACGGGGGACGATCAAAGACTATGCTTCAGGCTTTTCCAGTGTTCGATGGCCTACTTATACACGAGCGAAAGATACACACTTTTGCCGCGTAGGAACGAACACGCTTCTTTTTGAGTGGATGGGCCGTTAGCAACGGCGTTTCCGGGAAGCAATTTTTATTTTGGCCCTTTGTATTACAAACCAATATAGGATATCGGGGATTAAAAAATACAAAGTCCTTCACTTCAAACTACCATGGGGTGGAATTACCTTTTAGGTACGGGTACGGATACGGCTATGAGTATGGTTCCGAAATGAAGTCCTAGGCTAGGAGTAAAGAAGAGTCAGTTCTATGACGGGCGGGTTGGAGGCAAGGAAAAAAAAATATCACGTTACACCGCCCGGCTAAATTACCATCTGTTACCTGCTACGCGAGACAGCATGACCATTCGATGGGGATCAATATTTATAGTTAACCTATACCAAAAAGAAAAAGCAAAAGAAAAAAATAAACATAATTAATCGTGGAATACCTAACCTACCTATGTCTTGGAAGTAATGTTAGTTGAACCGTCCATTGATTTTGGCACGTGAGGTGTAGTGGTGTTTGATGTTCTTCGCATGGATTATACCCCGATTATGGATAATATCAGGTAGGTAGGGCTGATGGACTTTCGTAAATTCATATGAAGCTATCTTCCTAGGGTATAACTTGTCTGTTGTATAAAGATGTCTAGATGCTTATGTAATAGTCGTTGGTATGAGGATAGGGGCGAGGTTAGGTTGATTAGGAAGATTAAGGTACCTTACGGGGAAAATACTGTACGTCCATTTAACAGGATTTCTGTTGCTAGCACTAGGACAACCTGCCTAGCCATGAGGCTGGGATCACAAGAAGCCTTGAAAGATCAAGGGACGTTGTTCGTATACTCATGATATCTTATGAGATTCACAACGAATAGTATTCCTATTACTAAAACCAATGCCTATCGGGGTATCTTCCCTCCTAACGCCAGATATAACCCTCGTTCATCCATCCATTGTTGTCGCCAATGTTTTCCCCTTAAAGTTCTCGACTTGTGATAGCCGTGTCTCAACCTTTCGTGCCTAATCAACCTAGGCGCCCCCGATTCCGCCGATACCATTCATATTGCGTCCAAACAACTCAGATAAACTAAGCTGTCGACCAGCCTGCGCCATAGGCAACGCAACCTCATCATCATCACCAGGCGAAGTACTTGTAGACACATCCCCGGACGCATCCTCCGTATCCTCAACATCAACATCAACCTCCTCACGAGCAGCGCGCGCTTTACTCCACAACTCATGTACCAGCGCAGCATTCGTCCTCCGATCATTCTCATCTTCAGAGTATACCCATAAACTAAGCACCTTCGACCTAACCGACTCCTCATTCTCCATCGGCACCGTGACGCCCGCGCCATCCATCTTAAAAATGAGCAGGCCAGTCGCGAGTTCGAAATCGGATACATCTGATAAATCGATAATCAAATTGATTAGACCCTTGCGGTTTAACACGAAGAGACAACCATCGCTAGCCGCGTTTTCGGGGTCGGAGTCTTCGTCGCTGTTAGGGTTGGGGGTCTGGGCGCAGATAAACATGGTCCCTTCCATATTCGATTTATCCCATTTTGATGGTGGCGTGAATACGTATACTACGGCGTTCGCGGCGATGGATAGGATGCTGGTGATTCCCGGACGGTACCGGCGGAGCACGCTTAGGTTTAACTCGGTGTTTGTACGCGCTGCGAGGGCGGCGGGGGGCGGGGGTGGGTGCGAGGCCATGTATCGCGCGGTGTCGGATTCGTAGTCGGATGTTATACCCGCGCCTGTGCCGGTGCCGGTGTAGTGCTGGTGTTGATGGAATTGCTGGAGCTCGGCGGCTTCGGCGCGTAGTTGTTGGGATCGGTTACGCGAGTGGCTGTGGCTGTGTGGGTGTTGGGTGTGGGAGTGCGTTGTGTACATGTGTGTGTGGGAGTGCGGAGATCGTGAGTAGGACTGCTGGCTTTGGTGTCCGCGGTTTGGGTTCTTGCGGGGTATTGGTTGAGACATTTTTTATCTTTTTTCTTCTTCTTCTTTCTTAGGTAGAGAGGTATCGATTGGCGTTGAGTCGGGATGGTGTGGGTTGATGGCGTTGGGTCTTTGTCTTTGATTCTTGTGTTGGAGGGAGAAAAGAAAAGGATGGATTTTTGCTCTGAGGTTGGGTTTCAAGGACTGCAGTACAGTGATGAGAGCCGGAGAATTGGGGAGCTTGGTTTGCGCTGACGAATGATAGGCTGTGGATTTAGGGAGCTAGCTCTGGGATTTGACCCCGCCCCCGCCTTAACTTCCTTGCTGGATGGTGCTATGTAATCCGGTAAGAAACGAGCAGTAGATAAAATACAGTACGTTCATTACTGCTACACAACATGAATAAGCCAACGCATAGTGGGCTGTGCGAGATTACGACCCTCGGGTAGGTACCTAAGCTGCATGTGTAAAGCTAAAAGAATATTGCACTTGCCTTCCTAAATCGTATCCGCAAGAAATGGATATACTGAATTTACAGGGAACGTGACCAATCACAATCGATTATTCAGTGTACTTAGGTCATCAACTTGGATTTCTCAGTGGTCTTAAACCCTGCCACGGTTGTATTCACCTGATCATCTCGCGTCAGATCTACATTCCAATTCATCCACGCTTCAAGTCGGATTCCAGATTCCCATTTGAATAAATATAAGAAATCACATTTTTGATTTCTGCACTTTTATACTATAGAGCATAATAATTGTGGCAGCGCTCACATGTTTCTAGCAGTCTGGACTCAGCACTGCCCCCTTGACCCCTCCATAACGTCACAATTCAACATGCTCGACTTTGATTTCAACGCACGCGATCACGAGTTAACATAGGCAACGGCCTATATATACATATATACATGTTCTCGAATTCTTCTAAGGTTATAGACCAATTGAATTATTGATTCACGTTGTTTCGTTTCAATAATACAACCGAATTTACCTACAGACCATGTCAACCTCCAATCGCGACCCGTCCGTAACTTCGGAGCCCGAACAAGTCGAGCCGGTAGACGAAGCCTCGAACCTTTACTCCCTTTCCCGTGCCGTACGTGCAAGAAAGGCCGAATATGTCAGACCCCATCGCATACGAATCAAGATTGGATCATGGAATGTTGCTGGTTGTCCGGGCACGGACAAGGACCTAGCAAGTTGGTTCGTCGATGGTAAAGGGGCCGAGCCACAACTAGATGCGAAGTTGGCACGGATGAAGTTGTCAGAGAGCAACGGAACTATACAAGCAGACATAGGCGAAGACGCGAGATCACAAACGAGCGCGGGACCTACAATCAGCTCGGAAGGTCAGGTAGATCTCAACAGTTCGGAAGGTGGAGCAGAGGAGCCCAATGTAAGGCTGTTAGGTGGTGATAAGATAGGACTATACGTTCTAGGACTTCAAGAGATTGTCAACTTGAATATTGTTACCCAGACTTTCTATTCCGATCCAGACGCCATTGCGAAATGGCAAGACGCACTCGAAGCCGCCCTACCGAGGGGCTATTCTCTCATTGCTAGCGAACAGCTTGTCGGACTTCTCTTACTTATATACGCCTCCCCTGAAGTAGCCGAGACCATATCAAACGAGTCAACTGTTAGTGTTGGAACTGGGATATCGGGTTTGCTAGGATATTGGGGAAATAAAGGGGCGGTATCATCTCGCATTCTCCTAGGCGAAACTACTCGTCTTGTCTTCACGAATTCTCATCTCGCTTCCGGACACGATCAGACTAGTCTCGAAAGAAGGTGTTGGGATTATAATAGGATCATGACCCAGACCAAATTCGCACCTATGAATTTCGGAGGCGTGTCCGAGGATGAAGGAGAGAAAATAGGCGACGAAGATTTCGCATTTTGGTTTGGCGATCTTAACTTTCGTCTTGACGATTTGCCTGGAGAAGATATTCGTCGGTTACTAATGCTACATAGTCGTGGCGAGTACGACATTAGTAAGAAACATACTGGGGAAATATTGGGTGACGACGGCGTGATAGTGTTACGTAATAACGACGAAGATGATGATGGCTCAAATACGCCCGGCATGATATCTCGCGAAGCGTCTTTCGATAAAGACTCTAGCGATGATAGTACCGATCTCCCAGATCCCGACGACTTTATCCCCGACCCAAGCGATGATCCAGCGTCTCTGCAGGCGACCCTTGATTCCCTGCTCCCACACGACCAACTCAAACGTATGATTAAGGAGCGAAAGGCATTCCATGAAGGATGGCACGAAGGACCTATAAAATTCTTACCAACATACAAGTATGATGTTGGTACGGTAGGACTATTCGACTCTTCAGAAAAGCAACGAGCTCCGAGTTGGTGCGATCGCATCTTGTATCGGACACGTACGGATGTCAATCAACATGACAAGAAAATTAAAGATGAGATTGAAGCGAAGAAGAAAGATGAAGATATGAAAAAGAGAGGCATCGACCAGGCCGCGGATGACGAAAGTGTTTTATTTGACTACGATCCTACTACAGATTCAAGCGCCGATAACATACCGTACGGAGACTCTACTTCTTATGATTATGACGAATACGACGAAGCAGGTGACGACCCAGAGCAGGTTGTCACGAAAGAAGGGTTTGTCGATAAGATTACTTTGGATACATACACGAGCCATCAACGGATTATGTCATCAGACCATAAACCTCTGGTGGCTATGTTTACGTTGGATTATGACGCTGTTGTCCCCGAATTAAAGGCCAGAGTTCACGCCGAAGTAGCAAGGGAACTCGATCGCGCCGAAAACGAAGGACGACCGGGAATTACCGTCATTGTTGATGGGAAAGACTCAATTAACAAGGACAATAAGAACGTTGCTGATGGAAGCGAAGGAGTAGATTTTGGGAACGTCGGGTTCCTGCGGAGAGAAACCCGATATTTGACTCTTGCGAATACGAGTCGCGTTCCCGCTAAATTCCATTTCTTGGAAAATCCGAGTACAAGGGACGATACACCAAAACGTCCTAAATGGCTAGAGTTCAAATTCGTTCACTCACAACCCGATGACGAAGAGGCACAAGACGTACTAGGCGATGAAATTACCCTGGAACCAGGAGAGACAGTAAATGCTGTCATAGAAGCATACGTTCATGAACTTTCTCATGTACGGGCACTAAATGAAGAAACTGCGCAATTGGAGGATGTTTTAATCTTACGCGTTATTGATGGAAGAGATCACTTCGTTCCAATTAAGGCCACATGGATACCTACCTCTTTCGGTCGCTCGCTTGAAGAACTCATCCGAGTCCCGCGCGAAGGTGGCATTCGAGCGTTGTTGGAGAAACGACAAAAAGGAGGGTCGATACCTTACACCTTAGAAGTGCATAAGTCATCGCCAAACGAACTTTTCAAACTAACCGAAGCCGTGGTGACTCTAATGGAAAGAGTGATAGCTGATGAAAACATGATAGAAGAGGTTAAAGTGCCACGGGACAAGCCTGGTTGGCCTTTTGACAGTGGATCGTGGCAGACAACCAACGCTGGAGATCATAATGAACTACGGGTAGCGATTGTTGAAGCCTTAGATGAGGACCAACCCGTTTTGGATACCATCAAAGCAGACGTACCTACATTAAAGCGACTAGAGATCGTGAGCGAGGTGCTTTTACTATTCCTTCGCAGCATGCCAGATGGAATTATTACCGCGACCTTGTGGGCCAAAATCGAGCAAGGCATACCAAACATTGGGGCTGGCAAGACGCCTGCGGAAGCCGAAAAGGCCAAGTCTGATATCCTCGATATACTATCAACAGCACCGAACTACCATATCTCGTTCGTATTCCTCATGTACATGTTGACGCGAGTCGCCAACGAACTGGTGCCTCTTAACCAGGACGAATTCGAAGTCTTTAATACTCGAAAATCGAGTCCTGCAGCTTCGATAGGGAAACGTGGTATAAGCTTTCGTCGGAATACGGGAAGCGCTGCGGTTGATGAAGTTGCGATACAGCGAAGGTTGGCTTGGGAGCGGAAAGCTGCTGAGATTTTTGGCGTCGCGATTTGTCGGGCGCCAGTACCCGCAAATCCGAAGGAGAAGAAAGCTGTTGAGGATAAGATGAGGGGTATCGTTGAAGTGTCCTTGCGTAAAGATGGGGTGTAATAAGGCGTTCTGAATAGGGGGGGGTGGGGGTTATGTAATCAACTCTAGGGGGAGAGGCTTAGGTAATTACCTACATAAACAAGTCTAACACGGCTTATATAATGGATTCAAATATTCTTCAAGACTTATGTAAACATTTGCATTAGGTAATCTACGTTCTGAGTGATTAGTCAGAGATCAAAATACAAGAGTGCGCTTAGGTAACTAATTAGTAAGTAAAATAGATTAGTTTCCGTCTCATCTCTCAGCGCTTTTCCTCTTTAATTCTTGTTCAATCTGCTTCTCAGATTTCCACATCAACGGCAGCCAAGAAGGATACTTGAATAACCATAACCAAAAACGAGGCTCCACGATAACATGCATATGCAAATGGTGAATAGAAATGATATCCGGCCAATAAACATCTCGGAATAGGACTCTACGACCGCGGTGGAATCCTGAGTGGATATTCTTTGGCGATACCGCGGGACAGTGTTTTTGTAGTAACTCCTTTTTTAAATCGATCATAGATTGGACTATGCGAAAGACGTTAGTAGAAACTCGAAAATGGAGAGAATAGGTTCGTACGTAGTTGTGTGTCTTCATATACTAAACTCTCGACGTCGCGCCATTGATGCTCCTTGGGCATAATAAGCCAGTGGTATGTTCCCGCTTTCGATATGTTATTTATAGCGAAGAGTGTGTCGGTCTAGTAGGTAATGTTAGCAGTCTCACATCCCCTACTGAATGTTTCTTCTTACCTCATAAACGATATTCCCTTGAAACTTAGTTCTATCGCAAAAGATACAATCTTTCTGTTTCTTCTCCGTCCACTCGAGATGAGCCAGATAGGAGAAAATAGCTCTCATCCTTTGCATCTTGAAATGCTATGCTTATGTAAGATATCGTAAAAAAATAGAGTGGAGATAACGCGTTGTCAGACAAGATGAGAATCAGCAACAGTGAAAGAGATTTTCTCCAGTCTAATGTGCATCTTTAATAATTATTTTATGAAAGAATGGGTAGGATACCAAGACATAGGGATCGTTTTAGTATTTCCGACTTTACTTTGGTACGTTCGAATGAATGATATCGTGAGGCAGATTTGGTGGTTTGGCGCGGGGCTGATGTGTCTACGCCACGTAGTACAAGGGCATAACCAATAGCAAACACTTTGCGAGGCACTCCAGTCAGGCTAAATAACATGGCCCTTACATTGTCATATCTTCGTGTCAGGTAGCCGATGGGATGAAATATGTATATATATCTATAAGTAGGTGATTATTGGAAGGCAATGGTTATTCCTTGTTTACTACAGTCACAATGGCTGACATCTAGGTGTCTTTGGGATCTCTTAGTAATCGTTATAACCCCACTATAACCAGTGGGATGCCTCAGTCATACAACCCTAACAAAAATAAAGGAGGTAGTAAATCAAGCCATATGACGAAAAGATATTCCCTATATACAACCTTATAAACACTCCAGATATATAAAAACATCACATTTACTTATGCTACCTGAAACCCGACCGCCCTACAGTCGAGTATCAGAAGCTTCATAAACGACCGTCAGATGGGACTCAATATATCTCAGACTACGTTTATACCCCTTCGATAACAGAAAATCCCGCAAATACTGATCATGATCGATCTTCCCCTTAGCATAATGTACGGGAGTAGCATTACTGCTATCTTTCTTCGTCAAATCAGCCCCTGCATCCATAAGAACTCGGAAAACGCGTAAGTCTTCGCGCCATGCCGTATTATGCAGGGGAGTGCGCTGGAAACGATTGGGCTCTGACAGTTTGATCGGCTTCTTGCATTTCTCGAGTAGGCGTTTTACGTCCGCGGCGGGCAGCCTTTCTGCTGCGTAATGGAGCACCGTGTTACGGCCCACGTCGACCGCGTTACCGTCGGCGCCGGCCTCGAGAAGCGCCTCAATGGCCAGCCTAGATGGATACTGGCACGAGACGGCGAGATGTAAGGGAGTCTGCAGCTCTAGACGCGTTCGGGCTTCGATGTTGGCGCCGGACGCGATGAGGAAGCCAATACCCAGATTCCGCAATATTCTGAGATGGATCGGGGCTCTGCCTCTATTGTCCATCGGGTTGATGTTTGCTCCGAAGCGGATTAAGAGACGCAAATATGAGATGTCAGGATCTATTGCGGCTATATGGATAGGGGCTTCCCGCTGTGAGGTTAAAGCATTTGCGTCTGCTCCAGCCTCAAGCAGTTGCCTCGCTACGTTTAATTTGTGGAATAGTATTGCTATATGAAGCGCGGTCCAGCCACCTCCGGTGCCAGTATCAACTTGCGCTCCGTGGCGAAGTAGGATCGGTACAACATCGTCGCGACCCCATTTCGCGGCCAAGTGTAGAGGAGTCAAACCTTCGACATTGGCATCGTCCAAGCTAATACCGTCTCCTAACAAGGGTTCTAGAAGGTCCACCATAGCGGGCTCGCCATCTACGCCTTTAGCCGCCAGATGCAGTGGCGTCTCGCCTTCGTTGTCCCTGATTCTAGTATTGGCGTGCTTGCTAGTGAGAAACCGGATGGTATTAATGGCTCCATCTAAAACGGCGTAATGTAAAGCTGATCTGCCTAAGCAATCTTTTATGTTTATATCAACTCCAAGGTCTAGGAGCTTTGACGCTGACAAGAACATCTGCTTTTTGCATAGAAAGTGGAAGGCAGAAAACCCAGTGAGGTCTTCGAGCCGCCCGGGGCGGTCAGGACAAGTCTTGATTTTCCAGGCATTCTGCCATGTAGCCCAAACGCCTCCATCAGTGGTAAATAAGGCCTGTACCACACGCTGTGGAACTATTCCACCGCGTTCGGCCTCACCCACATGATAGAGTAACGATTTGAGAGCATATCGGACGAATGGGAACTCGTCAAAAACTCTTTCACCGAAAGTATCCCACGGAGTTTGATAAATGCATACCATACAATATTCCGCTAGAATCTCATGCCTCTCCGCGAGCGATTTAGAGTTCCCATTGCATTCTAATATGGCGAAGCCATCACCCCTTAAGAAGAACTCGCGGACGGATTCGTGGATGAATTGGACCGATGACCATTCTTCGTGGACTAGGTTCAAAAGCCCCCGAACTGGTATTCTAGGGAATCTCTTTGGTCGTGGCGAAGGCAGACTTGGTAAAATAGTTGGCCTATATGGGTTATCTTGGGGTATAAGAGGCAGTTGTGGCGCATCTGGCATAACGGTAGGTTGGGCTGCATTGTTATTGAGTGAGTCCAGAGTAGGCAGTGTTGGTGGAGTTGGGACCCAGGTTGAGTGACCCATAAAGGTAGGTTTGTATAGTATTTCCGAATCTAAAACATGCGCTGGGACAGAGGGGGGATCCAGAGTTGGCCGCGGTTGAGGTTGAGGAAGGAAACGGGGCGGCGGAAAGGGTAGTGGAACGTCGGTTATTCCTTCGAACGGTTTTGTAAGGATTGACATTAAGGAAATGGGCGCGGGCGAACTAGAACTATTATGCTGTCCCTCGCCATTTTCATTGTCGCTGGCATCTTCACCTGTGGCGGCTTTATTATCCTGTTTACCCTCAACCGGCCCCGGCTTGGTTCTCTGGTCGAGTTTCGTAGCCATCCTGTCTCCAGCTGCTCGCTTCTTTCGCTCTTCCTCTCCTTCTAACCTTATAGATTCGCTCGCGGAATCCTTTATATGCTTGCGTTTTGCTCTGCGACGCTCAGCGAACGAATGAAGCTGAGACTCCGGTTCCCTATACTGCTTCAGGGTAATCTGTGCAAGCCCTCTCGTGTAGAAACGCAATGATGTCAAGAACTTCCTCGCTTCCTCTTGAATGCAATCTTTAGATAAGCTCCAGCGACGAGGACTATCCATAGGTTTTGTATCCTCAAGGTCAATCGTTAATGCGTGTCGGAGCTCATCCTTTTCTAGCGGTCGCTCAGCCAGAAGGATCCACTGAAAAATATTTGCCGCCACCCGCAACTCATGCTTGGACGACTTGTTCGTGAACAGACTTTCAAATAGGTCCTCGAGCTGGCCGGGCAAATTATCCAATACGTCGTACAAGCCCAGTTCAGTCATATGATTAGCGATATTCATGTTTAATGTCTCCACGACGAGAACTACCCAGAGAAATACGCCCTGAGCTTTGTCGGCAATTCTCTTAGCGAGTGCCTTGATTCTCGGATCCTCGTCAGCACCATGGAGCTTGGTATTCAGAAAGTGGATGATATCATCACCGTTGAAGTTTTCCACAGAAATTTGAGGACAATCCGGAACTTCAATATCTGGATAATGTCGGCTCGCCAGGCAAACCTTCAATCTTCGTCCCGCTGTGATCTCTCTAAAGTAAAATACCAGCTCGCGGGCGACCTGGTAAGCCTCTTTATGGCCTTCTCTATCGCTCTCGTCCAAGGCGTCTATAAAAATCATGGCGTTTCTCAAACGCGAGAATTCATCCCTCAGGTATACCGATCTGAAAAAATTCTGAAGTTCGGTTTGGTGCCATGTCCACGGGCCAGGATTTGTGGCACGCTTTCTTTTATACTCTGTTATGAATGCCGTCAAAAGAGCCTTATCTTGCTTGATTAAATCATATAGCAATGTCCTAAAAAGCCCTAATGGTGACTTCTGTAGTTGTACGTTACTCCTCATCGAGAAGAAGAATGCAGAAACAGAGAAGGATGACCTCCTCCCCGCGACTTTAGCCTGTGTAAGGGCCTCCTTCATAAGCGTCGATTTTCCAGAGCCCGGTTTCCCCCTGATCCATAGTAGGCCGCGCCGTTCTTCTGTGTGAGTGACACCCCACGAAGCCCAATCAACGTAATCCCTGTGTTTAAATAACCATGTAGCTGTGCTATCGAGGGCTATCGCAATATCAAGTTCGCGGCTTTGGAGTTGTTCAAAGTAAAGGGATTTTAGACAATCGTCTCTAAGATGCAGTCCATCATTTTTGACCTGCTCAAGAGCGATTTGGAGTTCTAAAGTAATTTTGAGATAACCAGCGTTGGAGCTGTCATCAAATTGGCAGAACCCTTTGGAGCCCGCGCCTATTTCTTCGATGGTTGAGATCGATTCAGGCAAAGTTGCGGCAGTTTTAGGTATGATGTACCTCGCAGACTGGCCTGAAGATTGGAATAACGAGGTTGGGACCTCGGCAAAGCACTTAACTCGAAAGCCATATGTTTTCCTCTGGGTGAGAAAAGTTTCCTGGCATCTCTCCAGTCTATCATCGTACTCCTGTTGGGTATATTGTGAAGGAATTAAACGTTGTACCACGTCAACAAGCGAAAGGGAATCTCCATCCCCGCCATGGGGTGTACCCAAGAAGACAACCGACGACGTGTAGCTCATTAGGTCTTTCGTCGCCATAGTGTCACCCTGATCAGCCAAGCGAAGCATTTCTTTCAGTAAAATTCCGCCAAAGGAGTGTGCGATAAACACCATACTCCGTCCAAGTGGTCTAGAGTCTGGCATAGTCAGGGAATGTAATAACTCGGATGCGCGGTCTAGGAACGCATCCATCCGGAACGTCGGGTCGGGTTCGAATCCCCAAACCAAGATCCGTGTCTCCGGAAAGTCTTTGGGTAGAAAGCTCGCGGGCCAGAATTTGCTTAGGATAGCATAATGGGTGAGATTCCTTGAGCATTGGGACCAGGTTTCCCACGGGTCCCCGGTAAGGTCTGGAATGAGAACAATATCTGTGATGGCCTCTGGTGGGTTATGGATGACTGTTAAGCCCGATTTCCTGATCATCGCTGCATTAATCCACTCGGGACTTCGTTCGGTCATAGCGGTTGCCTCCACTTCCTTAAGGATTTTGACCATGCTTTGGTAGGCTGGATCGGCACTAGTACCAAATCTAGCTATAGAGGTCATGCTTTTGTGAACTTTGATTTTGGTGCTGGCAAAAGGTGGTATCTTCAATATCGAGGGTTGTCGTTTGCCGAATTTGTCACACGTAGACCATAGATCCCCGCCATCTAGTGAATTAGTTCCGACCTCCTGTTGCGCTGCGACAAGGTTTACGACTTTTCGTCCCTGGATGTACATACTAAAATCATGGAGGTCCTCGGCCAATCCTTGTACTGTGTCGTCGATTGCAGCAATGAGGTTAGGGCTCGGGGAGGTAGTATCCCCAGCGACCATAGTTTGAATTTGGTCTATTAGCATAGCTGAGTCGGGGGCGGCGATTAAAACCATAGCTTTGATCGAGCCGTAAAGAGATGCCAAAGCAAGACATTCGTCCTCCTCATAATCCTTAGCCTCCATCAAAATCTTTGCAACAACTGCGGCCCCAAATCCATGGCCAATCAGTACCAATGGGCGGCCGGCTTCTTCTGCGGTGCGACGGACCATTTTCAGTTTATCGAAGAACTCCGAGTAATATTCCCGCACAGCACTAAGGCCACGCGTAGATAAGTCCGAATTATACCCATAAGTTAGTACGCGGCAATGCGGTAGATCTTTTTCAAGGAAATCTTGGGGCCATATCTGATTTTGGTCACCCCTCCAGCAGTTGTAGGCGTGTTCATTCGGGCTAGCGATAGTTATAATACTGTATATTAATCAACACTATGTCGCCATGGGAAAAAAAGCATGTGTAGGTACTCACTCTAGATTTATGGGTTTATTCTGGGGTGGTGTGTATAGTTGCGTGAAGCCGAAGAAATGTCGATCAAAATTGAGGGATCTACCATCGGCGCAGAGTTGATAGTCTCCCAGAGGATTATAGTCCAGATAAGAGAGAAAGTATGGCGCTCTTTCGGTTGTTAGTATAGCAGTCAAGCAGCCGTCGTTATCACCACAAGTCGTGACCAGGCGTATCTTCGAATTAAAGGTACCTTGCTCCTCATCAGAGAGTAAAGGAATAAGTATGCTTCTAGCCTGTTCGACCCTGCAAGGAGGGAAACCTTGGATGCGATAGCAGTATGTTTGGCCTTGAACCATCTCGTTTAGGGTACATGGCTTGAACGTTTGCAGCGGAAATAATAAGGTTGAGTCCTTTAACTCGAGTTCCACTATTTTCTCGATCTGTTTTCGTGGCACATAGGTAGCAAGGCAGGTAGATATAATCCACTTTGCCTTAGATGACTGGTCGGATACAGTATCTTCGATAAACTCCCTGAATAAATCCCATCCGGAGTCACACTTATCCACTGCGTCAACGAGGACGTATATAGTCTGGGTGTTTGCGTCTCGTAACATGTTGGACAAGACAGAAATGAGAGCGTATGGTTCGAGCGCATCCCCGACGAACCGTCTCCCTGTGTTGGTATATTCATGAAGGTACCGACCGAGCGTAGGGCAAGCATTAACAAGTGACCATATCAGGCTGCGAAGTATATAAACTGAATTACCTCCATTGCCGCTTTCACAGAAGAAATAGGCGAACGGCGTCCCCCGAGACTGGGAAAGGATTCGTGCGATACCGATCATCAGCATGGTTCTATCAGTGCGCATACCCCCTCTGATAGAGAGCACCCGACGACCGTCGTTGATCCGCCAGTCCTGGAAGCGTGTGTCTTCTGTTATCCATTCGTATGAAGAGATCGGCATTTCGCCCCACCTCTGTTCTATCCCACGAATTTGGTATTCCGGTTCACCAACGTAGAGGTCTTCCATGCATTTGATTACCGAATAATCAACTTGCAACTTGTTAGTTGAAACTCGGGATACGTGCGGTCAATTTTACCTTGGGGGCAAGTGGGTTTCTGCATCTCCTGCATAACACGTCTTACGAGTATGTAATTCGGGTCTTCGGGGGAATTGAACTTATTTAGCTTAAAATGGTCCAGGGTTAGTGCAGTCTCGCCATGACCCTGGAGGCAAGCCGAATCCCTATCGACGAGCATTGTCTTCGTAGCAGTCAGAAAAGGGTTATCGTGTGGGATTTTACTTATTTCTTCCTTACTTTATAGGTGGCGGGGATGAAACTTCGAACCACGGGACCAATATCCGTTTCCTTTTCCTCGTAAAAGCAATGGATTCGTAGATTTAGTCGGAGAGCTTTCTTGGCGAATTCTCTGACGGTGTCCGTCAACATCTGAGAGTCTCTATTAGCCGTCTTTAATATCGACGACTTATGGCCACAATTTAGGAACGCGGCGATGGCAGCGACAATGTTCGCGAGCCCAGCCGAGGTAGAGCCTCTATGAGGTGTGCCAATAAAAACAAGACCGGAGATATGGGCCAATAGGGTCCGATCTTGAGCGCTGTCATTAGCAAGGGCTTTGAGTATGGTTTTTTCGATAACGATGCCACCAAAACAGTGCGCAATGAACATTATATTTCGACCCTGGCAGTCCTTTCTATACAGTTAGCTCGATTGAGCGTCATTGGATCCGTGCTGAGGTACTCGCTTTTCTCAACTCATGGACGAGGCTAAGAAACCGACCGGCAACTGCTTCAAGGCTAGTTGACATAGCTTCCTTTCCGAGCCAGTTTGAGGCATATCCATATGCCATGATTCGGGCATTCGGGAAGTCATGAGGGAGCATGTCTGGGGCGCCAAGCCAGTTTGTCCCATGAAGACTCCAGGTCCAATCACGGTCGGCACCAATACCATGAACAGCGACTATGCTACTTCAGTCAGCTACCTGTATTAACCCATAAGAATATAAAAAGGAGTTTCGTACTCTAGATTAGGGCTGCTAGCCTCGTAAAGAGGGAGGCCGAAGCCCGACGGCTTGGTGAAAGTAAAGTTAGAAGTTAGAGATACAATACAATGTCAGCATTACTTACCGGTTCCGACATATTTTTTCTTCGGGCGACGAAAACTAGCCATTTGGCAGGCTAGACATTCGGAACATTAGGCAAGCCGATAATTATGATGCATTTCTCTCATACATAGCAAAACGTAAGTAAGATGGAAGTTTGAAGGAAGAGGATTGGGGATACCTCAGCCGCAATGTATGGGACGGACTATAACCCCACCATTAGCCCCCTCAAATTAAGACTTGGCAGGTATGGTAGGTATCCACTAAGTGACAATTCCACTGCCCCAATTGGGAGGCACAAGAAAGTGCACTTTCAGCTCATCCCATCGCGATTTCTAAGATCGGTCTAGCGCATCACGATTAAGAGTATCATCATTACCAATGAATTCGATTGAGGGTTAGTAAAACTCTCTTTAATCGCGAGTCTAATGTGGTGTTATAGAATTAGGGTTGGTGAGTACCTACACATAAATCCATGAGGTACATATAGGTGTTGTTTAGCGAGAGCCTCACATTTTAACCCCTCTACTGCTTATAACTTATACGAAATTGAACGCCACAGCGCTTATCGTCGCGCTATAATACAGGGATATATAGAGCCTTACCACACTGAAATCAAATCCACCATGATCTATTCTCTTTCCATACCCTTCAAATTGCACAGCCAGTAGGCAATATAGCCACCTATTCTTCAAGGGGCTTAGGATGACGGACGACACCAATGGAGTCCCTTTTGAAGAGCAGTACGAGATTCTAGAATGGCCACCGAACTCCAAATTCGGACACAACCCAACCGACACCGTGCCTAGCCAGCCCAATACTCTTCTCGGTGACAGAGAAGGTGTCGCAAATTTCCTTCATCGAGAATTATCAACTAAAAGGCTCGATGATATGTACTCCATGCTGTTCCTTGTTTCTAAGAGAGACAATGTCAGCCCCCTTCACCACCAAGTTGTGAAAGGCCGTCGTATCATAATTACCGAGCGACCAGATCTTCATCTAGTCTGGTATTATGATCGGATTTTCATCAAGCCTGTGCCATCCTATTTGTTCAGCTATTCTTTTTATAAAAACTTCATATTGGGCGTCGAGACAGAACATGAGCTTCATGCCGCTGCTTGCGGTTTCCTACGAACTTACGCCAGCCTTATCATTCACGAAACAGATTTCAACATCGCCAAGCAAACCGGATTACTCCCAGCCTCGATCGATTGGGAGACGTGGTGTCGGTACATGAAGCAAATTGCCCATATAAAAGATACGCAAGTGTCTCGACGCTATCACTATGGCGAGTTACGGCTTACGCGACTGAATTTTTATTCCAAGGTGTTTTTCTTTCACTGGTCTTACTTCGAAGTGCACCATCAATATGTAGAATATTTCGCTCGGTTTATGGGGCCCTATCTGTTCATATTTGGCGCTCTTACAGTAATCTTGGCCGCTATGCAGACAGCCCTTACAGCGGACCCTAACGGGCGCTATCAATCGGCGGCGTACGGGTTCTGCACATTTTCTATAGCGCTCACGGTAGCTGGGTTAGCGTTCTTCCCGCTGCTGTATCTGCTGTTTCAGGTGCAGGAATTATTCTTGTTTTTATTTCGTCGCCAAAAGCCAAAATAGTATTTTTTCGCCCTCGTATGTCTTCATCCTTGTCATCATGCTACTCCTAAATGATCTTGTCGCTATAGGAGTGGATGTACCGAGATAAAATGTTTCTAGGTGGGTTTGTGGTGAGCCTACTGCATAAAGGAGCAATATTTAGTGAATTGGGTAGCTGATTATAGGGGTTCTGGCCGCTATTCTAGACGCCTCTAGGTCGCATCACACTACCCGTCAGAACCTTCCCGCTATTCTCTCTAAGGCAACTCAGGGACATACAGAACGGTAGGTAGTCGCTAATATCCCTAACACGCAGTAAAGTAACCCCAAGTTCCAGGACATTTTGTTACCTACCTACCTAGGTAGGTATTGTCCTTCTATTCAAATCCTCTTATTACCACCGGTGGACTTGCCAGCCTTAGGTACGACTCCTCCCCTCACATTTGAGATTTTCTATACCATGAAACTAGAGAGAGGCTAATAAAAAAACGCATTACCTAAGACTTCTTTCAGCATCTAAACGCGTCAGCCGTTTTGTCTCTAAGTTAAGTATGCCTTCGATTTAGCAACCCCACAGAACCATTTCCGCAGCAAGAAACACTCTCATTGGAAAGAAACTATTCAGTGTAGCTTTTGCTTAAACTACCTACTAGGTAGGTAAACAGAGCTTACCTATAGCTGTACCTAATTAGGCGGGGGCTCACTGGTTGTAGCGATTTAAATACCCCTCATAGCGGGGTAAGCCCTCGCTACAGACTAGCCGCCAAAATCTATCATAGCTCTGGAGCATGTGCATTCTTACTGTAAGCCCTGTGCTGGAGCAACATTAACTTAACCCCTCAGCCCCTACAGCTGTAGGTACGTATGCGCTGAGGCTTGCTATATAGCCAGCAGAACTTAGCGCTTACCTCGCTATAATATGGCGAATAACCTAGCGTAATAATGTTATAAAAATGAGTTGCAACTCAGAGAAGCAATGATATGATTCAATTCAACGAGATTAATAGTAGCTCGCCTGTAATAACCTCCAAGACGAAAAATATAGAATGAGTGACAGTCTAAACATAAGGAAATGTCGACACATGACTATCTATTATAGACCCTGGGATTTCATCCCCCCTTTTTTCTAGTAAACGAGTAAATATCGAAATTTTATACAATAGTATAGTGGAATTTCAACCCCGTCTAAATCGAAGGCCAGATTTAAGTAAAGCCTTCCAGCTGAACTTCTTCGGGACTCGTGCAAGCCAATACAAGAGTAATGTAGCGCCAGTGTTGAAAGCGATGTAGACCCAGATCAAGCCAAAGTTGCGCCACCGGTCACTGTAAAAGGTGTCGACGGTAGCAAGGAATGTGTTGGTATTAGACAGAGAGCAGAACTCGCAGGCTGAGGTAGCTTCCGGATTGTACACGGCTCCGAATGCGACTTGGTTGAAAGGGGCCATGTAATCGCCGCAGGTCTGTCCCGGGGGAGGCTGGAAATGTAGAAGTTCTATGGTATCGCATTGGACTTCGTGGTTCGCGAGACCGGTGGAGAGCATGGCGCTAATGATATATGTTAAAGGGGAGACGCGATACATGAAAATCCAGAACCCAGGAAGAGAGTTCTTTGGAACCATGACCCTATCGCAATATTAGTAACGAGATACAAGTCGTAGTTAGTACGTACTACTTACCCAGAGAATATCAAACTCATCGCGAACAACAGCAATCCAATAACAGCACCAACCTCGGCAGTCTCAACACCAGCAATGACCATATCCGCGAACGTGGACTCGAAGATCAAGAATGACCAAGTTAGTAGGAACATTAGCCCGCCTCGCTCGGTCACGCTATGCGTCGGTATAGCATTCTTATTCATTCCAACTAGATAATAGAAGGGGAAGAAAACCAAGAGAGATGCGAATGTACTCCAAGGTAATTCCACAATCATATTAGAGAGAAGGAAAGTATACCATGAATAAGCCCTTGAGGATCGTTCTCGCCCTTCATATTGCTGTCGCTGAAGAATAAATTGAGGCATAGTTTGATATACAAGGAATGCGAAAATGACGAGTAGCATGAATATCGCAAACATTTGGTTCTGAAGGCCAGCGAGTGTAAGTTCGGATTTATAGAAGGATACGCCGATGAATAGTGACTATAGGGGTGTTAGCATTGATTCATTAGCGCATAATCCGCAACACTCTAGCACTTACAGTACCCCCGCAGAGGATCAATTTAGCGTAAATATACGAAGGACTGCGCCAATATTGTTCGAATACCCTTTTGGTACACATGAGAAGTTGATAGTAAAAAGGAGTCGCGTAATACGCTGTCGATGTAATATCATCTTGATGACCGCTTTCACTGCATGGAGGACCCAGTTCCAAGGCTCTGAGTTCTTTTTGCACCGACTGATATTCTTCGCTGTTTCGCCAAACTTCGGCCCAGTTCTGATCAGCGCGCGCTCCCGGAGCAGCTCCGATGACTCGTAACATCCATTCAGCAGGGTTTTCATCACCGCAAGGACTAGCACCTTTTCGTTCAAAATAGGTAGTAAGAGTTTCGGCGTCTTTTCCGATATCCCCGAAATACACCGTCTTACCTCCGAAACTGAGCAATAATAGTCGATCAAATTGTTGGAATAACATGGCCGAAGGTTGGTGTATGGTGCACAAGATTGCTTGACCATTGTCAGATAGCTTTCTAAGTAGACTTGCAATTGACCACGCTGTCTGACTGTCTAATCCCGAAGTAGGCTCGTCAAGGAAAAGGAGGAGATCCGGTTTAGCCGCAAGCTCAACCCCTATAGTAAGGCGCTTACGTTGCTCGACGTTCAATCCTATTTTCTGTTAGTGAACCGGCCCCTTAAGATAACCCGTAGCATAAAAATACCTTCGCCAGGAACACCAATTATCGCATCGGCATATGCTTCCATGTCTAACAGTTTGATAACTTCCTCAACATACGAATCCTTTTCTGCTTTTGGGATGGAATATGGTTGCCGAAGCGATGCACTAAATCGCAGGGCTTCTCTAATAGTCGCTGTTTCGAGGTGAATGTCCTGTTGCTGAACATATCCGGTTTGTCTCTGAAATGCGTTTCCGCGAGGGATTCCATTGACTAGGATATCGCCATTGACAACACCCATGGTTACACGGTCGGCCAACACATCGAGGAGTGTCGTCTTTCCCGCTCCAGTCGCGCCCTAGCCACAATCAGTTATGTATTTTGGTTTTGAGAGTAAGGAAGTGCAGCATACCATTAGCGCCGTCAAAGTTCCGGGTTTAATCCATCCATCAACATGGTCCAGGATTCGCCTAGGTTGGCCCTTTATGGTAATATCGTAACATACATCGCTCCAATGGAAGACATTCCGGCTCTGTATCTCAGTGGTCCGTCCGACAGAAGAATCGGGCGATTCACTTTTCTCTCGTGGCTCAGAGGGTGCAGTATCTGTTGCCCCGGACTCTTCGTCTTGGTGTCGCTTCTTAGAACCCAAGGAAATATGATTTCGTCGGAAAACTAAGACTTCACCCTTAGAAGGTTCCAGTGACAAGTATTCTGCTGCAAGGATATATGTCATCGAGAAGAATACGATATACCCGATAAGAATTCCGAAGTTTCTATTAAGATAGTTAGCAATGGATGCATCGATGCGGGACTTAATTAAACGTACCTCCAAACATGGGAGAAATAGAAGCCATAGTTCGCATTGATGAATGTGTCTCCACTAACAAAATCTTGACCAGGTAGAGCGCCTGCAACAGAACACGTCCTTTCCAGTGGAGTCGCATTCGCATAGGGAGGTCCCATCGGAATGAATTGAGTGCACGGGAATTGCCGATTAGTAAACTCATTCGCGGCGAGACTCTCATAGGCATATGAAATCGGGTCGATATAGTTGATCCACCTTAGCCAGCCCTGCATGTTTCGCGTAGGGAGAATAAATCCAGTGTAAATGACAAGCCCCAATATAAAGATGGCCGCGGGGGTTAGCGCTTGCTGTACCGTCCGGGACACTTGCGCAATGGTACGAAGAATCATAGACATGGTAAACGTGCAGGTGAATCCAAAGAGCAGGAATATGAAGAAGGAACCTGCTTCTTGTCTCAATTGGGCCATAAAATACAAGGGGATATTGAAACAGATAGTCGAAAGAATCTTTGTCGGAAGGTCACAGATAATGGAGGCAACCGCTTCTGCAAAGGGGTGATAGGATGCATAGCGGGATTGCTTTTCCACTATAGGCCGCTGAGCATAGAGGGAGAATATCTGCGGAGGTTAGTCAGTTGTCATTTCCCTAAAGATTCTTCGCATCTTACCTCTAGAGCGCTGCTTAGTCCATTGAACACGATGGCGAAGTAGAGAAGGACGCATCTGCTATTCATGCTCTCAGCAACTGGTGGAAGCTTATAGTAAATGCTCCCAAGAACCAGAGAAATAACGAGATTGGCCAAGATGGTAACAACGACGAATGCTTTATCTCCCATGATGCGCTGGAAACCTCGGGTCATACAAAGGCGAATCTGCATTGGAATGGAAATGGTGTATGGACTTTTGCTTCTCCTATAAGACGGTTAGAATAGCCTTCCCCTAAATTTCGCGCGACTATAAGACTTACGTGAATGAAGCCTGTTGAGTCTTTCGAGATTCTTTAAGCATTTGAAAATGTTGGCCATTTATGGGAAACTCTTGCTCGAAAATCTCAATATCCCTTAAGAGTTCTGCCCTAGATTGGCTATTCTTCCATACCAGTGCGAATTCGTCAGGGGTACGCGGTACTCTATCCTCAAAGCCTGGCTGGACGACCCGCTCAGATGGATTTGTGAGAGAAGTGAGAAAATCGGCGGTGGTTTGGCGGGCGGGGCAGTGATATCCCAACTCAATGAAGTACTGCCTGGCTGCATCCTTCGGACCGAAGTAAATCTGCCTTCCCTCATAGAGAACTGCTACTTTATCGAAGACCTAATAGAGTGTCAGTCATGGTGATCGCGGGGCGGCATGGGCCTAAAATACTTACATCGTAAGCGGGTTGGGAGGCTTGATACATAGCGACAATTGCCGCGGTCTCCCCTAGCTCGGTGGACAACTTGAGGGTCTTAGCGAACTCAAGTGCAGTCGCGGAATCTAATCCTCGAGTACTATTATCCCAACATTGAATTGCGCTTTGGTTCAAAGTAACTTCGGCAATACTGACTCGTTTCCGCTCTCCGCCGCTTACCCCTCGAATAAAGTCGTTACCAATCCTTGTGTTGACGGTATGCGATATACCGAAGATTGCCATAACCACATCCCTCAAATGCGTCGCGTACGTTTCTCGGCTAACCCCTGGAAGGCGGTTCTTAGGCGTGCGGGCCAGTGCGGCGAACTGTAGCGTTTCCCCCACGGTAAGTTGAGGAAAATGGATATCGGTCTCGGCTTGGTAGATTACTTCCCCCCTAAAACGACTATGCATGGTATCCCAAGGAATACCTTATTGCGTCTAGTTAGTGAATGAATTCTTCTTATTTCAAATAGTGATGCGAACCTTGGTAGTTAATATGTGATTCCTGATCAAGGTAAAGACCATGAACATGTCCGGCGATAGTCTTCAGCAAGGTCGAGACGCCACTGGGGGTAAGAACATTAGTCCAATTTTCCTGGCCCATGAAGAGGATGAGGTAGATGGGTGCTCACCTGCCAGGACGACCCAATACCAAGAGCATTTCACCACTCTTAACCAAGCCATCGAAGTTATCCAGGATCTGGATCTTGCGTCGCCTCTGTGATATCCATTCTCTGGCAATGAGTGGTGCGCGCCAGAGAAGATTGAGGATGTCCTTCTGATAGTCCGTATCCTTGCCAAAACCGTGTACTCCGAGGTTGCGCCATGAGACCCCAACGGGTGGTCGTGGGTATTTTTCAGGATCCTGAGCGAAGGCGTGTAAAAGGGTCTTGGCCCACTTTCTTGCGTCAAACTGGGAGGAGTTCGGATCGAGCGTAGGCGTTGGGGATAAGAAAGGATTCACATCTTGAGGATAGGAGCTCTCCCGAGTGAAGGTTCTCGCCAGTGTAGTTACACGTGCGTTATCATCTTGAAGTGATGAAATCTCAGAAGAGAGGGAAGATTGGCCGGCTCCCTTTTCGGCCATTATTGGCTGTAGGTCTTGTAAGTGCTGGGCCGTTTTGGCTTCTTCGCTGAGACTAGCTTCACCTGAGTCGAGCATGGCGGCAGTTGAATAACCGTAAATACATTGAGCTCAAACCTAACGAGGAAAAATATTTGAAGAAAACATAGGGAAATATGAGATATAAAACGACATCATAGCCGGACTTTGCCCTGCTTTTAGCGATGAGTAGGACACCCGCGAGCGGGCTATTCGGAAATGTAAAGGCGAATTGCTGACTTCGGTAAACATCTCGGACTTTGATGGATAACGAAAGATACTTGCAAACGTGTAACTCATACGTATATATCAAATAGGATCTATGTAATAATTGTCAATATTCTGAACGTTGTACAATTTCCGAGTTCACAATAGGCCTTGATGTTTTAAGAGCTTCGGCGATTATCACAAGTTTTTCTACCTTGCTCGCACGTGGCGCTCAGGCCTTCGGAGCCGACCTACTCGATTGCGTTAGTAACTGTCGTAGAGGGCTGAGTTCTGACCAATAAGAGACCTTCGGGTGGTGATCATTCCTTTCCGATTAATACATCTTACATCCTCTTCATCCGAAGGGCTATTGTTTTCCTCCTTCCTAACAGATCGAACGATATGACTTAGCTATGCTTAGATCTTTAGAAAGGCGATATGCCGATCCTCAAAAGTTGCGACTTGTGCAAAGCACGTAAAGTGCGATGTAACGGTAAGGTTGTCTTGCATATGAACACACTACCGTTCCCGTGTTCTTGGTACCATGAGGCTTAAATCAGATTTACAGGGTACCCCGGCCCCTGCAACAACTGTGTGGTGAGTCTATTCACAACATTGCTATCTCGTCATTTTTAACTAATAAAATCTCGCGAAGCGCCGTAAAGCAGACTGTCAGTTCAGTCGTAGGAAAACACCTCAAAGAAAGGGTGGTAAGTCAGCTATTAAAATCGTGTCAGTGCGCTGTATTTAGTGGCTAACGGGTCCGAGCGAAAAAGCAAACCACATCCTCACATCTTCTACCCCGCCGAGAGCCCAGCCTCCAGCTGTCTCTGAGGTCGCCGAAACTGTTTGTGTTTTGAACATATAATATCGTATGTTCTGTTAGAATTAACATGCTCGTCGCAGAAACCTCAACGACCATTGCCGGAGCTATACGTTGATCGTTTGTTAGCCCAAGCTAGAACATCAGGGGCTCTAAACACCGAAAAGCCATTCGCAGTGAAGGTACATCACTTTAATCCCTTATTTTATAGGCCTTACAGCTAAATATTCGCTATAAATTTAGGGAATTGGGCTTGTTAGTGAGTTTCAGCCACCCCCTTCAGCTGACGATTAGGCGCCTGGCAACTAACATAACTGGGGGTAGTTGGGAATTCCAGCTTGACTTTCTTCTCTGACAATCGACTGCTATACCTATCCTCTCGCTTGCGGAATGACCGAGTGAGGGAATTAGTTCGGAGGATATCGTCGGTGATTGCTTCTCGACTACATCAACATAGTGAGTATATTTTAATCCCGCTTGGTTAAACCATCCCAATAGGAAACGTCCAGAAGCCGCGTGGTTCTTCTAGGTTAACTACAGCGCTATTTAGCAGGGTAATACTAACACATTTGCGACAGATGTAGTGTCCGAAGGCTCACTAAGAGTTGCCCGAGAGAACCAAAAAGATGCGCCTATCTCTGCTGAAAGAGCTGAAGTGAACGCCCATATCAAATGTCCTTTTCCACCTAGCCCCAATCTTCGGGATTTATTGTCTAATATGCCAATCAGTGTATTTTGAGCGGGTTCATCCTTTCTATCCTTTTCTCGACCAAAAAGAATTTGAAGCCACGGCTTACGCCCCCGACTTCCCAGCCCGTTTAGCGCACAATAAGGCTCTATACGCCCTGTATTACGCAGTTATCGCCCTAGGATGCCAATCCGGCAGTGGGGGTAGATTCGTTCCCGGTACAGGGAGGGCCTGGCAATTTCTAACTAGAGCCTTCACAGCTCTGCCTGACTTGCTTGCACTTCCAGACTCTTTGGATATTCTTCAAGCGATGACCGCTCTAACCATATACTCCCTGAAGTATGTAGATGCATCCCTGGCTTTTATCATTATGACTGCTAATCACGTACCTAAACGCAGTATAAATTGCATAGCAATTGAGCACTTCGTGTTATCCGAAGCAGCTAGAAGAGCACAAAATCTGGGCCGCGCCAATCTCAGCGGTAAAGCTCGAACTAACTACCATAAGGCATTTTGGGTTCTCTATACAGTTGAGAAAATAACCAACTTCCACTTCGGAAGGAATTCCGTATGTCAACTCTACACACCCTTTAAGCCTCGACCCTTTAAGGTCTGGCATCAGTACCTACCTACCTACCTAGGTAGGTATGATATACTAACACATTCACAGATCTTTGTGGATCATGATATCGTAATCCCGGTACCATCAATACCGGATGCAATTATCGGAGAGCTTGACTGGTTTCTGACATCCGCAAGATATGCGCGCTTATTATCAAAGACCATGTCGTCGCTATTTTCAATCGCCGGAACAGATGACCCGAAGGCTCATTATCTAACAATAATCGACCAATGTGAAAACGAATTAGAACAATGGCGGATGTCGATACCAATCGATATCAGACCGGGTCAGCCCTACCAGACGCACGCAATCCAAGGTACATTGCTCCGGCTGGCCGCCTTGCGGATTCATCTATTTTATAATAGCTTCAAGTTGAGCCTTTGCCGCGCTACATTACATTTAGCTGCGAATAGTAGCCATATTGTGAGCCAAGCTCGTCAGAGCGAGAGCACAAGAATTATGATGGAGACGTCGCGGTCCGTGTTAGAATTGACAGCGTTCATTGATGTGGAACCAAGCACACCTCTATGGTCAGTGGAAATCCCCCAACTATATCTTCACTTCGGAGTTGCACGCCCCGAGGCATTCTTACTTACTCGCTGCAGGGTTATGGCTGTAATTCCAATCGTAGCCCTCTTCATCCTTTTCGATCTAGTGGTCACAAATCCCAAGCATGTAGGAACCGCTACGAATCTCGCTCTTCTAGACATGGGCGGCGGCCACTTTAGCAGAATCGAGGTTGCAAGTGGCGGTAACCTACCAGGTTCCCTAATCGGCGAATTCGCGCATATTGCCCGCGAATACGTGAATACAGTAAAAAGCGACGATACCTCAAATCAATTACTCGAGAAGCAGTCGCCGATGATGCCCAAATCACCAATTAGGACCCGTCTTCAGCCACCACGCGGGAACGGAATTTCTGCTACGATTAGTTCCCCTCCAACACTGGAATCAGCACAGGTAAGCACTAATGGTTCTACCCAGCCAACATAACGCGCCCGTTATTAATATGTTCTAGATGCCGGATGGCATTGTTTTCGATGGTGATCTTGCTCTTCCAATAGACGAGACTCTGTTTTTCCCAATAAATGACAGATACTTCGAAGTAGACGACGAGGTCCCGATTGGAACCGATATTATGGATCTTTTTAATTCAGCGATGCCTGGCGTTGATCCGTTCTTCAATCAGTTGATGGGTGGCCCCCAAACGTGATTTTAGGCCTAAATTTTAGGGGTGTGCGCGGGGCTATTTAGGGGGAAATCTCCTGTTAACCGCTATAACTGGGGGGGAAAAATCACAATTGACTCCTGAAAATTCGATCGAGACAAGCACGGCGTGTACTAGAACGGACGGGACTTCAGCAAAAGGGAGGGGGATTGCTTCGGTATTGTACAACATTTTTCACCTGCGAACGGCAAAATACCTACATAAAGATTGCTTTTCATGTCCAGACGGCGCTTATGCGAAACTTCATCAACCCTACAACGCCGATTCATGCTAAAACTAAAACCAAAATTGACTTCTTTCTGAACCTATGATGAGATCATAAGCTCTTCGTGCGCAAAGCCCGGGCACGGCATTAACAGAAGTTTTCCAAATGTGCTTCGGGGGCTAACAGTAGTATCATGCCTCCGAGTGGCATAATCCGCATAACTCGCGATGATAGCTTCGGGACGATCGACTGTTTCCTTCCAGTCGTCCAGATTTCGAGCCTCCCACGGAGTATCGGCAGCAGTGAAGACCATCTCGGCGAGGTTCGGGACATAAGTACATACACCGTACTTATTCATCTCATAGACACCCTGTGCCATCAGAGTCATCATTGCTGTACGCCGAGCACTTTCCAGTATGATCCATTCGTCCCACGTCGGGTTCGCATCTTGGTTCTTAGAGACCTCCCTCGCCCGCATGTGTAACTCGATTGCCCAACTCTCGAGTATGTATGCGTGCATTTCAGCCTGTGTTCGCTGTCGAGCATCGCCATCCCATAGTTGGACAAGATGGAGGATCAGGAAGGCTTGTAGGGCAGCAACATGTGTTTCGAGAGATTCAGCAGATGGGTTCATATTAATGACTTGGCCCACTTTCCTTTCTATAATGTTCATCACTATATCATTGGTGTTTGATGCCCTAGAAGCATACGTGGCACATGCACCAAAGGCCTCCTCGAGGGGAAGTGGCAGGGATGGCGCCAAGTGCATTGACGAGTGCATATAAGGGGCTTCGAGTTTGCGTATGAACTTTCCAGGCCAGCTCATTACACTATGGGTCAAGGCCTTCAGGGAACGCATATCTAGTATCGATGTGGGTACAATAAACGGACAAATAGAATGAAATCCCGGCGATTGAATCTGCTTGGTGTTCAGTCGGATGATTTCTTGAACCGAGAGATTGCCTATTCCCTGAGCTCCTTCGCGATTGGATGCTACGTTTCCAGATCCCGCCTCAGAGCCCGCCTGGCTAATAAGAGAAAGCGGCTGAAAAGACCCATTTTCTGAATCAAGATCCCTGAGAGGCTGGTTCTTGTAGTAGCAGTTGATACCCCGTTGCGTGCAGCGGGGACATTTCGGGGTTTGCGGCTCGCATCGACGTTTTGCCTTCGCACACGGTACACAGGACTTCTGTCGCGAAAACATTTGAGGCAATAATTTGAACTCCAGCTGAGACTAATGCTTTCTAGGCGATGGTGAGCAGAAGAGAAGCAGGAGGCTTACATATCCCTCCGCAAGGGAATGATTTATAAGATGACGCCTTACCAAAATAGGTCTAGACTCCGCCTGTTGGTTGTAACCATTCCCAGTTCATCGGCTCCGCATCGGGCGTCGTGATGCTCATCATTGGACGAGATGGACAAACTCGCCGACGCAACTCCCACTCCTATGACTAAATTATAGGTACCAATTTCGCCGTTTTCTTTTCGGCGATAAATCTTCTATGCAATATTCGGAGATACAATTGGCAGCATCGGAATATTATAATGGAATTGAGCTGGATGATGGTTCGATTCATAAGTCCGTTACTGATCAAACTAGAATTTTTTCCGGAAAGAAGAAATGCAGGTGTCTATATAAATTCAAAAGGTCGATGGATTCTTAACTCATAAGTAAGTGTGTTAGCAGCAAGATTACTCGCTCATTGTGACTTACACCATACAATTATCACCATGGCAGTTGTTGAAATCGTCCTCCCTCAAATTAAAAAGGATCCCGAATCCGCTAAGGGAGCAGTCGGGGTTTACCCATTCGCATTTAATGCCTTCAAGAACGGAGGTGTTATACGAGGACTTCAAGGACGAATCGTCTCTGAAGATGGCAAAGACACGAGTTCAGACTCTAGAGGGCTCCTAGTTCTCGGTAAGGAAACTTGTCGGTTCACGTTCCAAAGACATATTTCTGACCAAATTCATTTTAGAATGGCCAGAAGTATCTACGTTTCAATCCTTCATTCAATCTCCAGCATTTGCCGAATTCGCCGGCGCGATGAAACCTTTCTCAAGCGGCCCTCCAGATCTAAGCGTCTTTGAGACAAATCCCGCTTCCCACCTCTTTGGTACACATCCCGTTCTGGAAGTTTTGGTGATCCGTCCCAAGAATCCGTCGAATGAGAGTGAAGTACAGACAATTTTGAAGAAGATCCAGTCCAACTCTACGAAAAGCAGTGACACCAATGCTGTATATGGAAGCACCGTGAATCTTCCCGAGAAGAGGGTCGGCGTTCTTAGGATATTTGCGAATAAGGAGGTAAGCATTCACGAGATACCCAATTACTTTCTCCACGAAATAAAATGGCTAATGTTTGAAAAGGAACTCGCTGACCCGAAGAATGCCTCATTACGCCAAGACATTAAGAGCGAAATCGGAAGTCTAGCTGATATAACTCAACTTGTCGCAGAGGTCAAATCAATCCCTCTATGAATGCGCCATGCGTACTTCCAGCAACATCAGACACATCCTAGGATAGCCCAACTCCCCTCTGTATAGTAGAAACCCTAATGAGAAATGACTTTGACTAGAAGCGCTCTGTCGTCCTCAATCGAGCTCCAAATTTATACATGACAACGGGGAATGGAATCATGACAATGCAAATAAACCCTAATAATGAGTTGCCCCAGCCCAGCCAGCGGTAGAAGGGCCCCTACAACACTCCTAAGAACGATGTTGGCCGCGACAGCTGACGCAGCATACATAGGATAACTATCGACAAGATAGGTGGTAATGGGTAAAAAGAGTCCCACGATTCCGAAGCCGTATGGTATCAGCGACAAAATAGGAGACACCCAATGAGTGGCATAGAAAGTACTCCATCCATACCAGAAGAGCGTTATAGGAAGACATATCCCGAAAGGTACACTCGTGAGGAGGCGCATCTCCGGCTCGAAAACCCCACCATTCGCCTACGCAAGCCTGACAACAGTCCTGTCCGAAAAGAAGGTACAGACTAACCACCCCAGAACATTCCCTAGACCAAGGGATAAGTACACCAAGCCTGTCAACCTAGTCTCGAACTTGTATGTCTCCTCGAAGACGGTCGGGATTGTCGTGTAGAGCAGGTAAACGACACCAAATACGAAAGCGATATACAAGGAAAGGAAAAACACGATAGGACATAAAATTAGCATCTTCAGAGGCCTCGTCAGACTTGCCAAGAGAATTCGGGTTTTGTTCCGATCGTCCGAATCATCATAACGGCTCTTCAAGTCACTCCTACCGAGTAGCCTCCTGAGTCGGGCTGTTTTTCTCTGTATTATGACCTTATGGCTTGTTTCTTCGTTCAATACTTGGATGAGCACCGTGACAATGGTGGCAGCAACCAGGACAATCCAGAACTCATAGCGCCAACCGATAGACTCAGCCAAGAACCCGCCAATTAAAGGGCCGACGGTTGGACCTTATTGAGAGTTAGAACTTGCGATCTCTTAGGTGCGACTACTCACCTATTAGAGGCCCGATATTCCACATACCCATTGCGAAGCCGCGCTGGTCGGGTCGGAACAGGTCACCAATAATGCTTCCCCCAAGGGTCTGGGCTGGGTTAGGCAACAACCCCAACGACATGGAATAGAAGGAGGCTCACTAAGCAACCAGCGCCGCCGACTCCGCTGAAGAATCTCGACACGATCAATGTTTCGATATTTGGAGCCAATGCGCACCCGATTTGCCAAAGGCAGAATATTACATTGGCTACACCTAAAACAGGTTTGCGCCCATATATCTCAGAAAGCGGGGCTATGAATATCGGGCCTAAAACATAACCCAAGAGATATATACTCACTGTCATGGATCCGACAATAGAATTATCGTTGCCGAATTCACTATCTAATTGAGTTATAGCGGGAGATAGAATCGAGGGTGCGAAAGGCGTTAGGAGCGTGACGACCAATAGCAACCCAACCCATATCCACTTGCGTTTCTTTGAGAAGTTTAGGGGCATTTCAGGGTCGTCTTGGTCTTCCCAACCCACGATGCCCTCGCCGAGATTGGTGACTGGGAAAAGGTCGAAGCATAACCCCTCTCTATTATTCGGTCCCAAGTCGCACAACGTTTTACAATTGGCGCTCGTACGCGTCTCGAACTGTTGCACCCAGAATATATATCAGCAGAATGACTCCAAAGCATTCCGGGCAAAGAGCATACAACTTGAGATTTCATATCTCCCTTGTCAAGAGTGACTATCCTCTTAATCTCGATCTCGTCAGACTTTGAGCCTGGGATGCCCTGATTACCTCGACATTGTGGATATCCCGACGCGGCTTCACACGCTCTATCTTCTTTAGTCATATTAAACATTAATGGCACGTATCTAGGCAGGGGGAGAGTAAGGAGGAGAGATAAATGATTAGGGAGGCGGGGGGGGAACCAGAAGAGGCAAGAAGGGGAGATAATAGCTAAGTACAAAGGGATGGGAAACCGGCATGACCCATCCATAGATGCAGATTAATATGGCTCACTATTGGTACAAGTTAGACGGCATCACACCAGGCACGTAGTGTTACCCATATCGAAAGTTTGCCTAATTCTTCTCGTACCACTGCTTCCTACTCGTGAGGTAGAGGGTTCGCCGAGCTTGCTAACAACCATTCAGTCTTCAATGAGTACTTCCTTAGGTATCTCTGATCTTTTTTTTCTTCCTCTTTTCTTTATCTTTCGGCTGATATATAATGATATTGTATAATATTAATAGATTTAGTAAGTATTCTATAATGGCTCTGTAAATAAACTATTTTTACACTCTGTAACTAACATAGCTCAAAGGGTATATCTATCATACGGTATGGCTTCACTTGCTTTGTGAGGGTGTTACATATCTTTATACAGCATCAAATCAAATAGCTTTGAGTTTTTAAGTGATGAGAAACAATGTCAAACTACGACTATAACCAAACAATGCATTATTATTTTCTTTGATTCTCAACAAATCAAAGAACAAGTAAAACAATTCAAACCCCATTCCAACTATTTAAACTCTCAAGATATACGTTCTAAGTAAGTTAAGAGGGCTAATTATCCCACATTATCAAGAATTTAACACAATATAAAAATGTCAGAAATTCCAGAAATGCCGGAAATCTCGCAAGAGGAAATGCAGCGCGAGCTCTTCGGTCCTTTAATGGATATCCCGGAGAAGGCTCTTGTTGAACTTGCGTCAAACATCAGCGAGCGAGTCTTTCATAAAAAGCCAACATCGGAAGGCAACGTAATTTCCCGCATCGTTGGGTCATACAACATAGTTCATATCGTCCAGCTAGGCAAGAGGAAGTTCGTAATCCGTGTTCCATGCACGGGTTGGGGTGCTGGCAAGACAGACACGGCAGCACGCGCATTGGAATCCCAAGTTGCCACTATGCGTCTTGTTGCTCGAATCACTTGGGCGGTACCAGAAGTCTATGACTATGACGCAACTGATCAAAACGCCATCGGAGCTCCTTACATTTGCATGAGCTTTGTATCGGGAACACCCGTCTCCGAAGTCTGGTTCAAGTATCCTGAGGGTTGGGAACGAGAGATCTTTCGTTTCAATATTCTACGGACTTTGACTGAGGTAATGGCCCAGTTCTCAAAGTTGAGCTTCGACCGGATCGGTTCGGTTGTTTGGAACGGAACTAAATTCACTGCTTCGAGACCTTGTTATGACTGGAAGGAAAATGAAGACGGTACCGTTGGAATTGTGTCCTCTGGTCCTTTCGACTCGGTCCAAGACTACCTTAAGGCTAATTCTAAGGAAAGTACAGGTGATGAAGTATGGAATGCGGCTGAGACTGCAATCATGGTCTCGGCCATGCGCCACTCGCCAATCCTAAATTCTTCAACAGAGGGGTTTGTGCTTAGCCCTCCAGATTTCGATTCCCAGAATATCATGGTGGACCAATGTGGTAATGTTATTGCCATTATTGACTGGGACCTTGCTCAGACATTGCCGCGATGTGTAGGTTTCGCTCGCTTCCCTGGCTGGATCACGCGAGACATGAACCCTTTGATGTATGGCTGGCCGCGTGATCAGACTAACGAGGATCCTCCTCACAGACTAATGCGCTACCGGCATTACTATAACAAGGAACTTGGGAGACAACTTGGCCAGAAAGGTGATTGGAAATTCACTGTAAAGTCCCAGCTTACGAAAGCGTTGTGGATTGCCGCTCTTCATAGCCAATATCGGTTGGAGATATGCCGAAAGTTCGTCCAGTATGCTTGGAATATTGAGTTTGAAAAGACTTTAGATGTCCTTTTTGATATCGGGGCGCGCGGCGATGATGACGATGACCAGGAGCCGCTTGACCTGGATTCCAAGATGCAAAAACTGATGGCCTTAGAGCCTAAAGAAGATGCCAGCACTACCAACTCAACCTAAGAATATTTACCATACGTAATATTCCAGTATTGTATAACTAGAAAATAAAGCCCTCGCCTACCTCATAAGTAGGACATAGAAAGAAAATATGTTCATTTCCTCCCAGTGCATGTTAAAGTAAAGCCAAGGTACTGTGCATGGTAATTTCAGTGGTGTGAATATATGTACCAGGGCTTTTTCCGTAGATTTACTAGTTAGAATAACGGTCAATATATCACACAATACAACTTAGGTATTGTATCTGCCAGTACCTGGGTAGTGGGAGAATAGAATATATGCATATCTCTACCCAGAGACCTATTGCAGAATCCAAACCAAACCGGCAGCAGCGATCTTGCTCAAGATGTGACGCGGCAAGGTACCCACACCTTAGTCATTACTCCCGGCGATCCCGATGGCTTCGAGCATGTGGGGATCCGGGATGAGGCCGCGAACTCTGTCGGCATCAGTGCGAGTAACGTCCCAATCGCGCTGGTTGAGCTCGCGAAGTAAAGACGATAGCTGCCTTGGTGCCTACCATAGCGGGAAAATACTGTATGATGTTGCCGTTATTTTCTTCAATTGCCGTTACTCCAGCCAGTTACCGTTACCGAAAAAAGAAGTTATCGCCATATTATTCAAGTTCAGTACAGTAACATGCATATAGGGTTTCCCGGTACGGTAGTATTAGGACGTCACAACATGGGTATTCTTTTGTTGCACAATTCTTGTATTATGGGGTAACCAGCCACTAGGTTAGTCTACAATGTTTCCTAAACCCTTAAAGTTAGGTACGCTCTAGTATATAGGTAGATTAACAAAACACAATATAATATCCAACATGACATAAACGCGTTATAGTTCATAAGACAATATATAGGTGGGGTGAAGAATTTGTAAATGTTGCTATACAAGCTTTTACCACCTACCTAGGTAGATATAGCAAATAAGATATCTCGAATAGCCCCTATTTTTCGCGGCGTAGAAAATCCTCCCTGCCTGACTTCCACATTACCTTAGGTAATTCACCACATCTCCTCGTAGCCTTATGTAGCTTGCGCGTGGGCTCCTGGCTAGCTGACTATGTGCTAGGTGGGAATCCTAAGGCTTCATCCTCAGCCATGGTTTAGGTATGCCCATGTCAGAGTTTGAGATGGGATCTCGGGTAAGAATTTGAGCCAGGCTTGATTGAAATAACCTTGTAGGACCCGAACCTACTCCCATTGTTGCCCCAAGAGCTTTAATGTATGGAAGAGAACATGGGGCTATGTAATTTACCAGAGTTGGAACTCCAAAGAAGCTGTATTCAAAACACCTAGATACCACAAACATCATCTTTATTTCAAGACAATAAGACTGTGACATTATGTACACTCAGTAATATCTTAATTCAATATAAAGATGTTTATAAATATACCTAGGTAGAGCGAGGCGGCCCGTAAGTTGAAGGCCAAACAGAACATTACCACTATTACCTACTGGATTATTATTATCTAAAGGAACTTTATCAAAACACTCGTTCTTGCTATTCTCTAATCTCCGGAGCGTACCTAGGTAGTATTAAAAATCATCAGACAGTACATTCTTACCTCGGTACCCGAGTTACTATTCATAATGGCTGCTAGTGAGACCCATCACTGGTGAGTTTTTATCCCCTTCCCTTTTTCTTCCCTTTTTTCTTTAAAACCTAAGCTAACTTTTGTTTCGGTCCCATCTGTAGGTGCGCCGCGAATACACGCCGTCTTACAAGAGGCCACCTTACCCAGTGTCGATCGTGCGCTCGATTCTGGTCACCGCAACTCGAGAGAGAATGCCCATATTGCCTAAACAAGAGGCGGATGATAGAGGCACGTGCCGCGAAGCAGTCGCAAAAGTCCAAGGGGTAAGTAGAACGCGAGTACGCTGCCCACCCTTGGCATAGCGAGCACGGGTTGCAATTTAGCAATCAAGTAGACCGTAAGCATCTTACATGCGCTTAGAGTCTCTAAATGGGGCACTATATCGGATTTTAACGGCCGTGGTTCTTATGTGAGTATATTTGATCACGTAGAGAATTTCATATTATAGAAGAACTTCCCCTAGATAGCTCTAATTGTACGATTAAGAAGATTGGGTTATTAGCATAAGACAATATAATCTAATATACCCAATTTACATTGACCCATTGAAACTCGGTTCATGTTGCGCTTAATCCATACTGTCATTAATTGTATGTCCTAACAAATGCGGTCAGTGATATGTGACAACTGTTGTAAGTCAGAGTTATGACACAGAAGACCTTATGAAATCAGTGATCGTGATATAGGTTAAGACGAATGCCCCACTTAGTTATTATTAGTCCTACCCAAAGCGGCGGCGCTTGCATGGGGATACACGAGGCCATTATAGGAAGAGCTGAAGTGGGTTTAGTATGTTTACGATAGGAGTAACCCATCAGCTTGTTACACAATACATTCGTGTTACTCGGCAAAGCCCTACAGTGTTCCCGTCGCATTCGCAATCACAGAAGCCACGGGGCATCTTGTCTCGGAACATTTGCGATTTCGGAGTAGTACCTAGGTATTTAGTGTCTGCGTACACAAGTATATAGGTGAAGCCCTCTCTCCCGACAATGGCTTCCGGTCTAAGACATGACCGAGGCGGTCACGAGCAGAACAAGAAATGATCGCTTGGGGGATTCTTCTGTTCTTGGAAATAATTATCCCGTCTAGATGCGCCAAGGCGTCTTTCGGGTGAGGAGAAATCGCTAGAATTTGAGCTTTCTTATGTGGCTTGCAACAAGAAGTTCTGGAAGATCAAAAAGTATAGAAGAGGAAAATCGAGGCGCACTCCAGCTCGGTGGGGTTCTTGATAGCAACCCCGGTCTTACGGTTAGCTTCAGATATGAGTGACAGGGATCTAACATCCGTTTAAAGGAAAAGAGCTCTTTGCTATTGGATGGCATTTCGTTCTTATCTCTGGGCATACTAGAGCTCCACCATTTTGCAGGGCTTGGCACGATCCATGCTTATTCCTTCGAACTTCGGCCACAGCTTGGGCTTGTTTAGTTAGCTGAGCTGATTACCTTTGTGGATGATTTGGCTGGCTGAACAAAAGACCTCGGGGTAGAATCATGAATAGAGCGTGTTGATAACGATTCGTCTATATTCTAAGGCCCATTCAGGTTTAATGAGGTACGCGATACCGTTATTAGATAGATTTCACGGTCTTTGGGAAGAGTCTTACGCGTGTCCGAAGCTCTCTAGCGGGTCTTCTACGCCCTACAAGGCCAAGAAATGATTAGCCCCTGATGATCCGGACATCAAAACCATTTCGGCTGACATCACCATCTATGTAATAGACATAAAAGATAACGAGAAAACCTATTATTCCTGAGATAATCTCACATGGGGTTTGCTATTATGATACTATTTAATGGCTCGTGTGAAATTGGTAAACCGTGGACACCTAGATGTCTAGGTACCAAGGTAATTGAACAGCTAGATAGGTACTTAGGTACCTGAACACCCGTAAATAGTCAACCAAATGAATTAAATCCGTGCAGGTTAGTCGGATCCGATATCACTCTTACAATTGTTTGCTTAGATCTGGAGCTTTAGTTATGAACTCCCTAACATAGTTAGAAACACGCAAGGAATTATTCCGAAATTATTCAAACATCATCCTCTTAATTATACTGTAGGAGCCAAACTACATCTGTGCCGAGGGACACGTCAAAATTTCCAGTGTAGTTTCGGCGACAGCGAAATATGTCTCGCACTACATCAGCTGTTTACCCCGATCTACCCAGATATCCTGCTACTAAACCACGTGTAAAGGACCAAACAGAATACTCATACGTGTAGGATCGCCGTTGCCGTGTTCCCCGGAGTTTCCTTAACAGCGCCTCAATGGCTGTGAGACATACCACGGCTTATTGCTGAATGGGAAACTCCCCGCGCTGTAGGGCCGACTGGTGGTAGGAAAATAAAAAGCACCAAACGGCAGGCTGCGGCGTTATGGTATTCCTAAATGCGAGCTCCTCTCTAGTGGTCGGGACGATGCGTTAGTTCATTAACTTCCGAGGAAAAGGGATGGAATTGGCAATTCATCTGATAAATATAATGCTTGGACTCGCCTCATTCACTCACACCTTACAGTCAAGGCAGCTAATAGCTGGCGAATGCCTAAGTAATACTTAGATCAGCACCTATCCAGGCTTGTTTCACCTTAAACATGGCTGCATTCTTTGAAGACATGTGCGGCAAGGACACCAACAGTTCCAGTACATCAGACATACGAATTGGGCGTCGGTAATCATTTTTCACTTCTTGGCAATTCGGCTTGAACTCCAACAATCCACAATACCTGGCTTTTTAGATGTGTCTATCTACCCGTCATTGCGTGTCTGCAGATTGCTGCATGGAATAATCCTGCTGAGCTTTTTTATTGTAGTACCTCGTCTCTTTTTCTCTTTTCAGTGGTGAAGCTCCGTCCACGCAGCCGTAAACGTGGTCCACCTCCCTCTAAGTGGTACCCTGAATCGCCCCCCCCATGTTCCCTCCCACTCAATCGACAACGCCAAGAATAGCAAGGTCCAGCAGAAAATGGAGCGACAAGCGAATCGTTTCGCCGCACTTGTGGAAATCCACCATCCTCTCGGGACCTTATCAGGAGCTCCACCAGCTTAACGTCCCATGAGCCTTGTTCTAATGAAATTATTGAAAGCAAGCTGCCAGGGGTACCCGATATCTCCCATCCTCTTTACTGCTAAGCTGTATGTAATATCAATCAACAAAGAAGAGCCTTGGAACCTAGCGGTCGGAACATTCTTATCCTTTTTACAAGCTAGGTTGCACAGACAATGCGGTGGACTTGTTGTACCCGCCTCTTCCCGTAGTAGATACGAAAGTACAGATAGCCGCTCACGTAGGCACGTAGATACATCCATCATGTATTTAGATACATTTCAAATCTGTTGCCAATCGAGGGAGCCTCTCCGAGCTGTGCTGCGCCGTATTTAGGCGCTGTCGCCCGCCCCTGGCATCTTCTACGTGTTGGACTTACATACCTATTTCTTCTTCTTCTTCCTCTCCCTTCGTTCCGTTTTTAGTTCTTTCGCATAAAAGCAAAAGCCGCGACGTCCAGTCCCGTGGGACGATTGTGTTTCTCACTTTTGAAGCACCACCCGGTCGTTCGTGTTTAAGGAGGAGGGGAAATTATTGAGTCGAATTACCTGTCTTACCGACTTTCCCCCTCGCGGTGACCTCTCAAAAATCATGTCGGCCAGTCTATATGTCACGCCGTACAATGGCACCACAGATGGTGCCGACGCTGGGTATACTACCGGCGTCACGGATTTAAATCAGTTCTACGAGGTACGATAAAGAAAAATTAGCCAGTGCAAGATCCCTTTACTGTTGGACAAGAGCGGAGAAGGTAGATGGTGAGAAGAGGGAAAAGAAAGGCGCTAAAGTAAATATGTTCTTGTATTCTAGAGCGGCGATTTCGCATGGATTATGACCTCGGCGGCGCTCGTCCTACTCATGATTCCCGGCGTTGGCTTCTTCTATTCCGGCCTCGCTCGACGCAAATCCGCGCTCTCGCTCATCATGCTAGCCATGCTCTCCGTCGCCGTCGTCGATTTCCAATGGTTCTTCTGGGGTTACAGCTTAACCTTCTCGCATACCGGCAGTAGCTTCATCGGCGACCTTTCCAACTTCGGTCTTATGAAGACTCTCGCGCAACCGTCCGTCGGTAGCACTAAGGTTCCCGATTTGCTATTTTGCTTGTACCAGGGCATGTTCGCTGCTATTACGTGAGTTTCCTCAGATCGTGTAGCCTCTAGCCTCATTTATCCCTGTGTATTTTTCATTTTTCTACACTCCTCATCCCTTGCGTCAACCAAAATTTCTAACCGTAGCCCTACGCGCACGCGACTCAGACCAGCACTCGCAATCGGCGCAGCAGTAGACCGAGCTCGCGTCCTACCCTGCATCGTCTTCATCTTCGTATGGGCCACCATCGTATACGACCCGATCGCGTACTGGACATGGAACGCCAACGGGTGGTCGTTCGTAATGGGAGGACTCGACTTCGCCGGTGGTACCCCCGTCCACATCTCTTCAGGTGCTGCCGCACTCGCCTTCTCCGTCATGATCGGTAAGCGTACCGGATACGCTAAGTCCGCCGGTCTACCTTACCGTCCTCATAACGTCACCCACATCGTCCTCGGCACCGTATTCCTCTGGGTCGGCTGGTTCGGCTTCAACGGCGGCTCCGCTCTTGCTGCTAACATGCGCGCTGTTATGGCATGCATCGTCACCCACCTCGCAGCCTCCGTCGGCGGAATCACCTGGACTCTCCTCGACTACCGTCTCGAGAAGAAGTGGTCAGTCGTCGGTTTCTGTTCCGGCGCTATCGCAGGTCTCGTCGCGATCACTCCCGCGGCGGGTTTCGTTACACCTTGGGCTGCGGTCATCTTTGGCATTGTGGGCGGCATCGGATGCAACTTCGCAACAAAGCTAAAGTTCCTCATGGGTGTCGATGAGGCCCTTGATATCTTCGCTGTTCACGGTATTGGTGGTATTATCGGCAACTTGTTGACCGGTCTTTTCGCAGCGTTAGTTTTTCCCCACACTCCATCTTGCTTTATCGCGTTCTTTCAATTAACTGGTGTTTTATATACAGTGACTACATCGCGGCGCTCGACGGCTTCACTTCTATTCCCGGCGGTTGGATCAACCACAACTACATTCAACTAGGATACCAAATCGCGGATTGTGTAGCGGGCTTCTCATATTCGTTTGTGCTAACGTGCATAATTCTATTCGTATTAAACCTAATCCCGGGTCTGAGCTTGCGCGTGTCGGCCGGCAACGAAGAGCTCGGTGTCGACGACGACCAACTGGGAGAATTCGCATACGACTATGTCGAGCTACAGCGTCACACAAGCGATGTCCTCGCGGGCGCCCCGACTGAGGTCCCAGCTGCCGGTCGCGCAGGCTCGTCTAAGAGTAGCGAGGGCCCCGAGAAGATAGTTTGATCAGCAGGTCAAACTAGGTCATCTTAAGTGAATATACAAACATATAGACGATTTTCTAGGTGATACGAGTTGTACGAAGAGGGTACCAGCAGAAAAAACGATTTTGAAGGGGTGCCGTCGCTGTTCATCCCGTGTGATATTAAAATGGTGAACATTGTTACATAGCGTTTGCAATTTTATTTTCAATAGCCATATATAAGTACCTAGGTACTCCTACTATATTTAGATATTATTTGGTGCCTATAATGTTCCTATGTGTGCATGGTACGACGCGCAATAGGTAGACCAGGGATATTTCATAGCTGTCCAAACATGTTTCCGTCGAAGACTAGTCTAAGTGATTGCCGTCTCCAATATCACCAGTTTACCCTTCACCACGCAACGATACTCAGAATCGTGGTTCTTATACCCTGCAGTACCCGTTCAATTACAGCTATGCTAAGTTGGGTTTGTTGGATCCAGTAGTGTCTCACCTCGGTTGTAGAGCTAGGATGAAAGACAATGGACTTGACTCCGTTTCCAGTAATCTTCGGGTTGCGGCTAAACACAAAGGGAGGCTGAATCCGGGGCTCTATCTCTACCTTGGTAACCTCTAAAGTAGCTGCCCACTGTAAATATAGACCAGACTCATTGCAAAAGTGATGCGAGGCGAAATAATCGTCGAAATTAGTTTCTCTAGAACCACTTGACATAGAGCTTCTACGAGAAATTTCTTTTTAAAGCGCAAACACAAACAATAATGCCGCCAAAAGGGAACCCATTCGGTGCCTTGATGGATGTGGAGGATGATGATAACAGTGATGAGGGTCAGAATGATGGGCCAGAACTGAGAAGACTCCCATCACCCGAAATCACCCTCCCTCATAGGCCCCTAGTACCGTCTCATCCACCGTTGAGGAATGAAATCATATCTCAAATCAGCAGAGAACGATAGATAGTCAACCCCATATCGTTAGGGAATCGCTTCTACGCGCGAGAGACCGTCGGCAGGGACAAAAAGGCCACTACCGGCCTAGAAGGCGATCGAATTGACGCCTTAATATATATAAAGGATATCACCAGAAATGCAGCCAGCAATGACGATTTAACACAGCGGATTAAAACGCAACTTACTGGTCTTCAAGAATACTCGCGCGAATATGACTACGTGGTGAAAAAGCATAAGCGGATCCAAGTTAATAACGAAGGATTGAGATTACTGTACGACATGGACGAACTTATCCAGACTGTGAAGAGCTTGGATGCATACGCTCGAGATCGCGATATGACCAATAGCGTTATGAACTACTTCAACAATCTTCTTGGAGCACAGGGCTTCGACATGAGTAGTTACAGAAACACTGGAATCTATGAGGATTTCATGGAGCAAGTCTACCTCGGCTATCTCGGCCGCATACGGTTTATGAAAGATTACATATTTCAGGATAGTTCTTATAATCCCCAAGATAATGATCCGATATGGCCTTTCGCGGAGCCCCAACTGAGCCTTCTTGTCCGTCATTTTAATACTCGCGTCCATGGGCCAAACTTTCGAAGCGACTTGCGGTGTGTGGAGTGGTTCAGCGGTGTAAGTGATTTTTTAAAATGCTTAGTTTATGTCTCTTTTTATCTTGCTTCGGGGATGAAAATTGCTCATCTTGGCCGAGCACACGAGTTTTCATTCCCAAGATACGCCTACGTCTTTTAAGAAGAAGGAGAGATCATCACTAACCCCTAGTGCTATAGTGGTACCAAGTTCTCGGCGATACAATGCGCAAGACAGAACGCCCAGACAGATTCGTCGATGGCGATGACGAGAGAAACATGCAGTGGCTTTACTACCGCACCTATGGGGTCGAAGTTAAAGATGCGGAAATCCTAGGTAAGCAGCGCACACAGTCGACGTCCCCTTTTTTCTAAACTAATCATTTACTAGTTTCTTCCACGGATTTCGAATATGACGTTGAGATCATTGAAAGTTGGATCGCATGGAAACACATGACCGAAACCCTACACCCCAGACACCAGAACCCTACCTTGCTCCTCGTACACCGTGATTTTTATTTACCATGGATTGCACAACTGGTGAGCTCTATCAGCATGCTCCAGCCCGGTTCAGGGAAAGCAGGTATGGCCGACCAAAGCATTTACAACGAGGCCGTTCGCAAGCGACACGCATTAATAGACTATGTGGACACTTATTGTGAGAAGATATGGGCAAATATCGGTCGGCGGAATACAGCGGCGGTACCAAGGGAACGAGGTGTCTCTCAAGCTAAGGAGAACCAGCTAGCCTACGAGACCAACGGATGGCTGTGTAGCGATCATAGGAAGCCCATCACATGTAAGGGTTGTAGCGCGAGATACAGATGTGCTATATGTGTAAATCCCCATGGTAAGTACCTGCGACCGAACCCCCTTTCACGATTGAGCCTTAGCTAATTTACTATAGTACGTGAAGCGTTTTGCTCATCTTATTTAGCCCCCCTTATATGATGTGACCTCCGGCGTACTAACAAAATTACATTAGTACTGCTATAACTGTGAAGCAGTATACGAATGCGAGTATCCAGGTTGCACCAAGAAATCCGCCTACCCGGACCAACAGGGACCTAAATACTATTACGAGATCAACGAACAGAGCCTACCGAATGGATACGTCTCCAACGGAACCGCGATATATCCAGTCCGGGTACAATATCAATGGCATACAGAGCCTTTGGATTCCGATCATAACCTAACCAGAGACGCGCCAGGCAAAGTTCCAAACCAAGCAGATATTGCTCGAATAATTCCTCGTGTACGTAATAGGAGACTCGCTTCAGTGGTAGAACTCCGCGATCCTTACTGAATTATTTTACTGTAGGGACCCGCTGAACGTTTCAACACCCACCCGGCAGCTCGAACCGATGTCCAATATGATCCTACTGATCCAAGAGGTATGCACTCCAGACTGTTTTTTGTTAATGTTATATATGTTCGGCTGCTAACTTGAATCTGTATAGTACGTGAATCACATTTATTATGCGCATGAGTGACCGAGTTAATTGAAGAGATTACTAACACATTACCTGCTCTATACTATCACGATACACAGCACGCTGATTACAACCGAGAGGACAACACGACCACTCCATTCTTTAGAGCTCCTAATCCTCCAGGTGGGGGAGGCGGTGGAGGTGGAGGGGCGGCCAAAGCCCAGGCGTACTATAGCGAAGATTCAAGCTCCAGCTCAGAAGGAGGTTGGCGTCGGGCGGCGACTTTGCTACAGGAGGACATCGCTAGGAAACAGACGGGAATATCCAGGCCGTTGAGCACCCCGAAAAGAGGTCGATTTTCCCCGTATGAGACGCTATCTGCGCCGAATGAAGCACGGAAGAAGCGGCGTTGGCGTTGAAGTGCATCGGTTTACTAAAGGTAAACAATAATTGTATGATATGTACCTATGTAGTGAACTGAGGACTTAGATCGTTAGTTAGTGATGGTGTCCTACCGTCTAAATCGTATTCCGTCCCATGTTACGGGTATCCTAAATCCAAGGTGCACCCGCGCCCAATACCCAATTCGCTTCTGTCGTGTCCCGCCCTAGAATCCTAAGTGATAGCAAAATGTTCAAACACCCATCACACAACGCACTTTCTCAAAATCTCCAAACGCATCCGGGAGTATCTTAGTATACTCAACGTGCATTTCCTGCTTCTCAAAGTCCCAAAATACATTCGACCACGTGTATCGAGCCTTGGCGGGGACGATATACCCGGAATTCGACACCTCTAATTGTCCCTCTAGCCTCATGATGCCGGTCACGGCGTTCGCCAAGCTAGATCCATCCCAGTTCCCTTCGCGCCAGTCGGAACACCTCATCAATTCCACAGCTTCGGACCGAACTGCGGCTGTCCGGCACTTTGCACCTACAAAGGCCAACAAAGGCAGCATTCCGGTTTCGTTAGTGAATCCTACCTTCATGGACCTGTCCATTGGGAAGTCTGCGAAGATTCGGCAACGTTGAACGACGTCCTCAAATTGTGGTAGAAAATCGTCGTACATCATCTCTGTCGGATCAAGGCAGCATGATATGGCTATGACCGCCGTGGAGTGATGTAATCTCAAAAGCTCAAGTCCTTGGCTTTCGTAGTTATCTGTGGTGCTAAAGAGCAAAGAGCCAAGGCCCACTCCCAAATCATTCAGCAGCGCCAAGTACGTTGCTTGTTCTCGGAAAGCAACCGTCTCGTCAAATTCGAAGTCTGGGTTGAGGTTATGCCATGCAATTTTGCTCTGGAAATTCGCAAGCTGCACCGCCAAGTAGTCCCATATTTGTCTTGCCTGCTCGAGAGTCTGCGGGACTGTGAAGGTAAACGGACTAGCCAGGCCAAGGTCGACGTCATCGCTTTCATCTTCAGTAAAAAGCATGTGGTACGCGAATTTCCCGTGAGAGAACGGTATGTATGCAGATGCGACGCTGTGTCTTGCGAACATGTTGGTCATTTCGTCCACCTCATCTCGTGGCGCTGTCATGTAACGATGCCACTGGCGCCGTAGAATAGACCTAGAGTCACTGCCTCTGCCCCGTATATTCGTTAGGACTTTTATACCGCTACGGATTAGATTTCCGGAACTATGGTAATTGCCTTGCATATTCTCGAAGACTATAAACAACAGAGTTGCCGCCAATGTCAAACGACTGTCGACGCCATAGGACCCAATAGTAGACCGCAAGTGCGAGAGCGCTTTAGCGTGGTGGACAAGCGCCGCTTGGTGGTGTCGGTTTAATACCGAAGGCGGCCACCATGGCCGAGACGTCTTGCCGTTGACAGAGTATTCATTGCGAAGATCCATGAGAGCACGGCCATAGGCGCCTATACTGAGAATAGAATGATGAACGCATTTGTTGATCATGCTGTCTCGTAGAGAAGTCTGGCACCAAAACTCGGATCGATAGTATGGCGAGAGCTCGTGAGATATCTGGTCCCTAAATAGGGAAAAGTACCACTTATCTTCCTCATCCAATTCAAAACCGAAACTGGGTATCGATGAGGCCAGTGGTCGATGGCTGGTTGATTGAGGCGGAATCATGGTCTGTTTGTTAGATGGCTCGATTGAGCAAGCTAATTTCGGCTTTGGTAGCAGTAACCGCTCAGGCCGAGATGCTGGAATCTTAGTTTTAGGCGGAGCGTAACCCTCGCACATGAGTCCAAGGCGCTCGCATTCCGCACAAGACGGTTTTCCTTCGTCGCATTTTACCTAAATGGGGTCAGTAAACTAGGTTGCGGAAAGAAATGCGATCATAGAAAGTAGAGGGTTTGAGTGGCAGGCCTATCGTCAATATGCCTGACATTTCACACACGATGTGTGGGTTGACGTTTTGGAGAGTTTGAGGTTCAAAAGCGGAACTAACATGTCTTCTTTTGCAACTAATACATCCTATAATTCGGTGGAGAAGGTCTTAGCTAACGGGTATGTCTCGAGGCTGGCTAGGGTGGGCAATTTACCTGTTCGGACCTTGGGTTTGCTCGCTCTTTTCCGTGTCGGTCTTGACCCGTCGCTCGTCTGTTTGGTAATGTAGCTTTTGTCCGACGAATCGGAAGTATGCGCCGACCGCTGACTGCGGTTGCCCGGGCTGTTTCGTCGCGACTTTTTCATGTCGAGCAACGATATGTGATAATCTTGCGGCGAACAAGGGGTTTTTTGCGTCTGGTTATGTCCCTGATTCACTAGTGCCTGATTCTCATCTAATTTGTTTGGCCGGCTCGTTTTCACCGGCATTGCGAATGTCTTGGGACTGGCTTGAAAGGTGATGATGACCTGATTCATAGAAGTGGATGTCTGGTTGCTACTGGTGTCAAATAAGAAATTTCGCGACTTGGAGCTCTTGGGTAGGGCCGTAAGCGCGCTGAGGACAGGGGGTGGGTTCGCCTCGAAACCTCAAATACTAAACTGCTGACATTTTGGAGAGCTTGGTGTATACATCAGTAGCTTATTTATCGGAGAGGTCACGCAAGCGCGGTCCAATAAGGAGGTAATAGTTCCACTCGGATAGTAAACTGGGGCGGTACGTGTGTTTTGTAACAAGGGACAAGGGGGGTAGAGAGTTGCTTAATCGAGGTCATAGTCGTCGGACGGGTCTCGTACGAACCACTATACATACCGCTACGGGAGGACGTGGAGCGTGGAGGTGGCCCCGCAATGCGTTAAGATGAGATCCATCGACCAAGGCTTAAACAATGTTGACCATGTCTGGGATACCATGTGGGTAACAATAATAGTAGCAGGAATCTGTTCGCCGAAGACTATTCCGACGAATTATCCTCGATTACCTTAAAAATCGTTGCCTGGTGGGCCAGGAAGATTCCCGTAGTCAAGAGCCGAGTGCTGCATTCGGGGTTCGATACAAGATATGTGCTCATAGTAGGATCTTTTCAGGCAATGCGGATTGGGGGCTCAGACGGAAACCTTTACAGATCCGTGCCCCACGCCTGCATGTACAGAAGACCCCCCTAATACCAGCTATTCCCTTTTACATAGTAGTACCTAATTTCACGATCGCCATTGGCCGTATTAGGCACCGACATTTCTGGCCTGAGGGGCAAGAAGGAAAAAATAGATACTAAGTATGATTAGCAGTGGCTTTATTGTCTACTAAGCCACACATACATAGATCCATTCTTAGAAGCATTAGTTTAGATTCGTTATAGTCGATTATCTTCTGACGAATGACCTAATACCGATCGTCTTCAAGGTTGTGGGCGGTCCGATTGATATGATGCTCATCTTCCTGCCGAAGTAACCAGATAGGACACCAGAAGCTGACGAGTACAGCGAGATACTGTGCTATGTTGTGTTGCATCAGTAGGTACTGAGTGTACTATACCGTACCTAGACAGCCCTGGAGTTATGGTACCCACCCACCTAAGTAGTATGGGAAGGGATAGCACCGTCCTCAGCCTTAAAAAGGGGGGAACACGCATTGAATTCCCAGTTGCATTGGATAGAAACCGACAGCCGTCTCACTTGGCAACCTGGGTCGGTCAAGCTTACGTGGGACGCAATAAACCCACACACTTCCCACGTTGGTAGAGATAAACAACCATCTCGGGTATCAACATTGCCGGTTATTCCAGGGGTGTGTATCGCGTCTTTTCTCACATGAAAAAAAAAAAAAGGGTTATTGCGAAAAGCGCTATATACGAGCGCAACGCCGTACAATTTGCGAATTGCGAATTATCGGCTCTTGATGGGATTACGTATGTGTAAGGAAAAGAATATAAAATTTAAGTGGTTTCGTTCACTGAAGGAAAGTTGAGAAGGGAGAAACAGAAAGCTAACCTGAGGCTTGTATTATGTAATTGTACCGTAATTTACAGGTGGATATGTACTTTTTTTCGCTTGCATACGTAGCGTAGTAGTATAATTTACTGCATCCATAATTTTGAGTGTTTCCGCGCAGTCATAGCTTCCAGAAGCATTGAAAGGAACCTTATAACGTGGTACCAGTGAAACCTCGAAATGCGCCTTATAATTATTTCCACTGAAAGGCACGTGGAGCGCTCTAGCACGATGGTATCCCCTGCATAACTAGGTATGTAAACTGCGCAGTGGGTATGCAAATGAATAAATGAACAAAATACGCTGTAAATATCAATCACGTAACCTCGTTCTCGCTTTTCTTTCTATATAGCATGATTTCTGTCGGTATAGCCTTGGCTCGATGGAACGTTTCAATCACCGATATATCCGTATCCAGTTGGCTTCTATGATAGTCATAAGAATTGATCTGAGCGTTTAATAATATTCTGTAAATGTTTAATAATCGTTCCCAAAGTCCTACACATCCAGGTACTTAATCCTGGATAAAGGTTACATAACCTTGTCAATTCACCTCATATTGTTCATCCGTAGATGTGCCCACCGCACCGTGTGAATTGCGTAATTTGTAGCCAATAAGGGGTTAAACGCTATCTGACTCCCTGGACAGCCCTATAAGTTCGTTGTATGGGTAAGCGATCTTCTGTTTCTTCGAAATAGCAACGATGGATAAACCCAACCAACGAATTAGTTTTACGCCATACTATCGCTTACCTAGATAGTATCTAGACATCCATCATGTAAGACTTCATCTATTCTATAGGTGTACGTGTTTAAAATAAAAGATTATCCACTTAATTTTATGCACCCAATGCATCGCTAAACACATGTACTGATAGCTGGAACATTCAAAATTAATGAACTTGAGGCCTCTCGTACAACCCGACAGATTCAAGATTCCACGTAAAAACCGTGAAGACATCATTATTATGTAATTAGATATACCGGCAGTAAGCTACCCTTGTCTTGACAGCGTTCGATACTATTCCTTCAAGTATGTATGTACTTCATAAGTGAGGTGACGTATCTAATGCAGGCATATGGTCCTCTTTAAGGAAACCCGTTATCTCACTTTACACCTCAGTCTCGGCACCAGCATCCTTCTCCCCATGCTGAAATATCCCACTAATATTACCTTTCAATCTGCTCAGTTTGCCCCCAATATGGTTCGCCTCCCTCGCGGGACGCCATTGCATGATGCCGCGATGTTTGCGATGCAATTGTTTATGATGGTCCTGATAATCACGGAGTTGATTCCGCACACCTCGGGATCCATCGTCAGGGTCATTGTGTCCCGGTGCAAGCACCGATGTAGCCGCCTCTCCCACCCCATCCACGGGATTACGGAGCATATTCTTGACTTTCTTGAAATGTGATAAAGATAAGTTCGACGAGCTCGAAGAACCCGTCCCTTCGCCTTCGTCCTCGTCGGAGGAGCTGGCTGATGAGTCGTCGTTGGTATGGACGCGGAGTTTCTTTCGGGTCTCGTCTTCGGAATCTTCGTTATCTGTCGCGTCGGCTTCGCTGCCAGATTCGTCCTCGTCGCCGTCTAGATTCTCGTCTGTTATGGTATCTAAGCATTCCATAACATCCCGCAGGTCAGTATTTTTAGCCTGAGAAGCATAACCCTTATGGTAACCAGATAGACCACGCCAAAATCTCAAATCCAACTCAACTTCGCCCAAGGGCTGTTCATCTTCACCCATTCCATCGTAGTCGCAGCACGATTGAGCTTTTCGGAGGCCATCCTTCGACCCCTTCCACACCCTCAACGTTTTTGTGTCGTTTTGTTCGTCAGCGAGTTCGTGCAGCCATAGGACCGCGAAGGCAGCAGTTTTATCAGGACCTAGCATAGATTCCCGGAACTCGATTATTGCGGCCGATGCATATCGCTTACGCACCGCCAGGAACACAGCCCCCTGTTCCTTCTTATTCTTAGATACCCATTGTCCATTTTCGGGATACATTTTAGCTAGTCCCAAATTGGTTCGTATCTTAATCCGATGCTCTATCAAAGACTTCGGCAAGTCTCTTTTCGCTTTGATGGGTCCACGGATCTCTAAAGTCCCATAATCCCATCCCCTGAGATTCGGAGGGAGTTTGACCTCCACACTCCGCCAGACCATACTGATACGGGCCCTGCCAAACCCAATGCCTCCGACCACTATGATGTCAAGGGTTAGCATTTATCTACAGCTACATAACGTAGGATTGAAATCAAGTTTCTCAACCACTCAGTCCTATCCCTCCCTCACGGACCGAAACTAAAGTTTAGAATAGAGAATACGAGCTCAACTTACAAGGGTAGTTTTCCATCACTTGACTCCTTTTCGCGAATACTTTCGCAAGAGGAAGGTAAACAATCCCTATTAAGGGGTCATCCTCTCTTTCCCGTGAGTCACGTACACTGATGATGATCTCGGTATCTCGCCAGTCTCGCACAAATCTTTCGGTGCCAGCGTTGAAAAATGGCTTGGAATTTTTCGGCTTGGTGCGTGTTCTGTAGATCTTCTTGTGATTTAAGATGACGGTACAGTAGCTGTCAGGCATATCGTCGTGTTGTTCAGCCTCGTCCTCATTGTCGCCGCCGTCTCCCTTATCTTGCTTCTGGAGCTTCTGTACCTCGAGACCAGTAATGTTATGGATTTGCACGCTAAGAATACCCGATACGAAATCGGTGGAGGGCGGGGCTGAGATGATCATGGCCTCTTCGAGTTCTCTATAGTCCTGGGCTTTTTGTTGCTTTAATTCATCATCATCGGAAGGCTTGCCAGCTTCCCTAAGTTTATGATTGGACAACTCTGAAACATGTTGTTTAAGTTGGTCGTGAGTTCGTATCTGTTCGTCGACGGTTTGTTGTTCTAGCTCCTTTGAGGTGATTCTCATCTTTGAGAAGTAACCAACAGACCAAGCCAATGACCCTGGCATTGTCTCATCCGGATCCTGGCCACAAAATCGATCCTCGCGGTCATGAAACTTGTTCGGATTCTTCATGAGTAATTTTAGATCTATCTCCACACGACCCAAATCATCGTCTGCTGACCATTTATCCGAGTCCCAGAGTTGAAGTCGCAGCTTTTCTTCCGCGTTCACCTCCTCAGGGGTCACTAGAATACTGGCCCACTCGTGCCAATTTGGATCGTTGTCATTTGTAATAATGCGCGTCGAAGCAACCGGCTTGCCAAATTTGCCCCAAGATACAGTAACATATGAATCACTTGAGCCCTGCATAGGACCAATTCCACCATCCCCTTGTTTGAAACCACGTGCCTGTTTGATGAAAACCCAAACCACACCCAGGCTTGTCGTATCCTTTTTGTAGTCTTCTCCCACAAGCATATCCTTTAAGTTAAGGGTTAAGCTCTTGGGCGCTACGTATTCCGCAAGGGCCGCGTCAATTGCGGAGTTTACGAAGGACGATATCAATGGAACGTCGGTAAGACTGAAGGCATGCTTTGAAAGGGGTGTACATGAGATACTAGCCTTCGGTTGTCCAAGAAACGTCATAGTACACAGTGATATGAAGGGCGGATCCGGAGTAAGCTGGAGTCGTAATCGCAAAGTCAGGATAAGCCCCCGAAGTTCAACCCACACGGGAATGGCCACTGCTCCAGGGAGGTAGAATTTTAGATATAGATGGGCGTTCTTAGCTTTTGCCTTCAACGACTTGCCGGATGACCGACTTCGGTAGGCGAGTGCAAGCTCCAAATTCACAAAGTCGCCTTCCTCGGCCTCCATGCCTTCCTTTATTGCTACTTGCTCTTGTTCTTCTTGCTTTGGGTCCTTGCCCTTCGCATTATCCTGTTCCGACGTTTCTTCAACATTTGTTTCCTGACTATCAGCGCTTCCCTGGGGGTTTCCGGGATCTGTTCGGTCGCTCCCAGTACCTTTGTCGTCGTGACGGAGTTGCCCATCGGATCCAACAGTTTGACTAGCCGCACCGGTCGGTAACCATCGTATTCCGAGTATACGTATTGCTTCACTCCCTTGCCCCATATCATCTACGCTGACCATCTTGATAACCTTGGGCAAGGAAGCTTGCATGACATCTTCAATTTGGTCCACCAAAGAAGCGAACAAGTCTGGGTTGATGAGTGGCCATACTGCGGAGAACAGACTGTTAAGCCATTGAACCGACTCCGGTAACTCCTCGTCGTTGCTTAAGATGGCTTGTTCTTCTCTCCTAGCAGCATTCCAAGTTTCATCCTCGAATACCTCACTAGTTTTCTTATCTATCCACTCCCCCATGCCGACGACAGTCAGAGCTCCCAGAATGGCGAACAGTGTTGTGCTAGCAAACATAGACCAACCCCAGCCAATCAGAAGAGTCGGAGCAAGTAATAAAACGGCGGCTAAGGAAACGATCACGGCCAGGCCGGCAGATACCGTCTGCTGGTAGACAGCAGCCAATGCTTGTTTCGTATGCTCGAAATTTGGGGGCGGGAATATCCTCTGCATCCCGTTGTACGTCCGCTGTAATTTCTCCTGCTCGGTCGCCAACTCTTCATCCGATTTTGAAGCACCTTGGGGGCCGGTGGCAGTGTGGTGATGTAGCCCTGGCTCAGGCTGGTTCTGATGGGCTGAACTTAGGTCTTTCTCCGTTTGGTCATGTATGACGATAGGCAGATGAGTGACCGGATCGGTGACTTCGCGTCCTCCACCATGCCTTTTCGTTTTCTTCATCGCCTTGCGCTTTTCTTTTGGATCAACTGCGCTTGCGACGGCTTCAGTTGCTGATTTATCTTGTTCACCCTTCTTTTTGCCACCATCTCCTTGACGTTCGCCCGACTCTTTTGGTTTTCCATCCTCATCTTTGCCATCTTCCAGGGGCTTCTCATTATCGCCTCCTTGCTCTTGAGGGGTATAGTCTGGATGGTCGGCATAGTTACGGTTCGTGGAAGGGTATGGGTCATGTCGGGATTTCGGGACATCTTCGCCTTGTATGACAGCTTTGGCGGACTCGAACGCTCGCTTGGGCTTTGAGGCATCCTCTGGACCTTGCTGTGCCTCCTCTTCATCTTCTACCTGACCAGCTAGTTCCTTTCTATGCTGTCGGTAGCCTTGTATGGTAGGAATAGGATGTTTCGCATTATGAGGTTTGCCATATTCTCTTCCCGACGCATCCTGCTCGAAGTCTGTTTGGTTTGCCATGATTTCTTATTCGCTAGGCGGTCAGCTAAGCACCTAGGGATTAGGCAGAGTCGTGCCGTAGCATCGAGGTTTTTATAAAATAGCAAGTATCAATTTGGTTGCTGTCTTAGTTAGGTACATGAGTGAGTAGGAATGTAATAGATTAATAGGTAGGGAATCACTACACGTGTCAGAATACATTCATAAGAAATAGTTAAGAGGGGAGCATTCGAGCTTCCAATGTGAGACCTAATGATGTTAGGACGTAAGTGCATGGTAGCACACAAAGGAAAAAGACGAGGAAACATGTTTCTGACTTGCATCATCACCATACGAAGACGTAAAAATGCATTGGTCGATTGGATGTATTCGTAGTACATTCTTAGTACGTACACATATATGCAACGTTCGAGGGTTGGATCGTGCAGCGAGATGAGGTCATCGTCTTGTAGTTTGCCTTAAACTACCCCAGCTATCGTCGTTTTTAGTGGAGTATTCTGTGTCTTAGTGACGCAGCTAAAACAAGGTACCTGAAAAAGCTCCGGTGTTAGTAAGGTTAGCTCCCACGTCCGTACTCCACAGCGGCAGTGCGGCACGCCTAGCTTAGTGGAAGGTTATTAGGTGCATGTTATTAAATCCCTAGGTACCTCAGTAGTGTATTTCATCTCTTCCCAGCTTCAATTAATAAAAATAGCTGCAATATTTCGTCTTCCGACACATAGTACGTGTCATATTTCTAGGCAATACCAATTAAGACGTTTGGGACAAACAGGCATCGTACCTCCTATTCATCGGTCTTCCTCGAAATGTATTAGTCGACTTATTTAGGTCGAAGAAGATAACAATGATGATAAACATCCGGGTCGGTCTCTTTCAGTTTCGGTGTCGGAATCTTAGCTATGACCTCGACATCAAACGGAAGCTGGTCAACATCGAATCGACTCGACGAATAGCTAAGTGAGATCCAAGCTCCTCCCTCGGCTAGATTTCTCCTTACTCCCGAGGCCATTCTCAAAAGAGCCTCCTGTCCACCACAGGAAACAGCATCGACGGTGCTCTTGTCCACAACCATGTCGAAACTCTGGTTATGAGATAAGCCGCGTCCAAGTTGTGTAGTATCGGCAACGACATATTTCATTTTCACATCCCCGAATACAGCCTCCTCTAGTTGACGCCCACGTTCGATAGCTAAGGGTTCATAGTCGATATTGGTCACGTCCAGATAACCCGTCGAACGAAAGTAATTTTGCAAGTCGCTTGTTCCCGAACCCAATTGTAATATCTTCGGCGGGTTATCATGATGATGGGTGAGCGCGGGAAGGTAGGGTTTTATAATAGACATGAATTCTTCTGATGACGCCAGCCATTCAAACGATGTTTCGGATACGAACCGTTCATGCCAATAGCTCTGTTTCTCGAAGTCGGCAGGCATCGCGGATCGAAACTATGCTCGTTGTATTTTATTGGACTAGATTCGTAGATTCGCTGGCTGATGTTCATTTCATAATCCGAGTACTCTGTCACTGCGATGTTATCAACACGAGCTGTAACGTGGTGAATCGCCGGGTTCAAAAGGGGCTCCTTCGATGCCCAAGATCCATAAAAATTAAATGAGAAAAAAAAAGAAAAAAAATCACCGGTGGCAATGTTTCCACTTTCCATATTTAGTATCACCCGGTGGAAATCTTGAGAAATTATGTAGACCGCCTCTTTTTCATTGGTGTTTTAAGGTGATATCAACCAACAAACACATCGAATCTCATTGACCCTTCAACGCTCTTCGAATATAAACAATATCGCTAATAATCATATACAACGACTTCTCGTATAAAATATGCAGCTCGTACAATGGCCAACATATCACAAGGTTGCAACTCTTCACTAAAGTTTGAGAAACTCTGGTGAGATACTCAAGAATCCATTGAGCAAGGGAACATCATCATCATACTATCAGACATCAAAATATAGGTAAATCCATAACTCCATTAATCATATACTAGTTCCAATCTGTTAATGAAAACAATTACAGAACAGTTTACGGATCAACTCGTAAACCACTTGAATCCTCTTCAAGCAGCATATTTATCTAGTTTTTAATTTTTTTTTTCCGACTGTCTTTTCTTTACTCTCCGTAGAACATAAATGCAATGTTGTATAAATCAACAAAACAAAACAAAACAAAACAAAAACATAAAAATATATGATCCAATGATAGAGATATATAATATCCCAAATATAATCAAACGATACAATGCATCAACTTTTTACTCCGAGACCGCCCCGCGTCTAGATCTTTTGGACAGCACGGGGTTAGATCTAGCAGGGCCACTTCTCTTCCTCTTGAGAGACGTGCTGAAAGTCTGGCGTAGAGGCGATTTAGAACCTTTTGGTCCCTGACCCCAGTAAGACACCTCAGCGGGCTCGTCTGTGCTGCCAGATGACGAGTTCAGACCTAGACCTGAATCCGAGTTCGAGTCCAAGTCCTCGCTTTCTTCTTCGAAGAGTAGCTCATCCTTCCAGTGTACAGAGCGCTTGCTCTGAGCGTAATACCTTTCCCTGAGAGCGGCCCCGTAAGCTGCAGCGAGACCGCCACGGCCACCACCCCCACCGTCTTTACCACCGTCTTTACCACCGTCTTTACCACCAGTCTTAGGCATCGGACTACTACCAGGAGGAGTGAGGATATCACCTTTGCCCTGAGGAGCTCCGGGTGCTGGTTGGTTCGCAATGGTTGCCCAAGTCATACCTGGTATAGGGATATTTGTATTAGCAAGGGGCGGAAGCGGGTATGGGTGGGTTGGGTAAATGACCACAATATGAGGGTGCTCGGGAAGCGGCTTGTGATGCCGACCTATTCTCGGGTGAATATACCGCCAAAGACCCGGATAGGGCTGGAAGAAGCAGTGTGGCGCACCCCCCAGTATATTCAGCGGGGCAAGCCCGTCCGGAATAATACTACCAGGTATAGGAACCTTCGGCGGTAATTCTAATGGAAATGCAGGCCTTTCAACTCCTTTGACCAGATCCCTCACCCGATATAATGGATTATGTTGTTCAGTCCCTCGGAAATAGTCATAGGCATTGGTATAGGGTTGTGGGTGACCTAGGTCTTGGGGGTTCGAGTGAGCATATAAGGTAGCCATATGAAGAACTACCAAAGACAAGAACTCCTCGAAGTCCGAATCGAGCTCAAGACCCCCAGGCCCATACCATTTGTCTTCCATATATTCGTGTCTTGACATCCTGGTGCGGTGGTCCCAAGCCTCGCTATGATGTGTAGTAACCAAGCCCCTGAAATCCACCCAGGAATCAATAAGTCTAATACACATAGTCATCCCTAGTTCATAATTTTTCATGAGATCCTTGTATTCTAGTCCTATTCCCGCACGAGGGACTCTCGAAAGCAGTCCTGTATCATCTATTAGCCTAGGACACTCAATATAAGGGCCAGAAGGGTGAGGATTTACCAAGGCGGAGACCGGTGTCTGGTTCCATTCGATATATCAATTGGTAAAGCTGAGTTGTCGTGAGCTGAGTATTCCGATATAGCGAATCAGGATCATCTAGTTCCTCCAGATGAGTAGATCGAACCCATAATGCATCTTCAATTAAATTCGGGGCATGGATGAGGGCGTTCATGTCCTTTTTCATCGATTGACGGAGGCGGAAGTCAGGCTGACCTGTAATGATACTTGGGTCATTCAACGCAATACTCGTGAGAGTTCGGAAGCGGACCTTAAACCAGTTGTAGGACCAATGAATAAGAGCGTCTAGGAGCCCGCAGTCTGTGGTATACTTGTCCACCAACTCATCGCCAAAAGCCAACCTGCACTTTCTCCTGAGTAAATTGGCCTCCTCGCCTTCGCCGTCGACGTCCATTTTTATGCCAGAAGTAAAGAGATAAAATTAGTAGCTCGAGATTGTTAGAAGTTATCGTTGTGGAAAGGGTCCATAGGAGGATGCACAAAGCAGGGCAAGCTGGTGCTATTACCTAGGTAATATATGCCCCATCCGTACAATCTGAATGTTACAACTTGATAGTTATATTGAGCGTGGAATACAACGATATTAGTTGATCGGTTTCGGAAACTACCCGTCAAAGAAACAAAGCAGCGTCATGGTAGACCATGTTTTGAATTAGCTTTGTGAGTTACTCGCTGGAAACCAGATGAGCATCGAACAAAGACGGCTCAACGTTAATAGCAGAAATGACGAGAATTCATCCCCCCAACCAGCTGTGTCTGCGCATGTCTTCAGCTATAGACAAGTAGTATAGTGTATTATCTGAGTCGACCCGAACTTGGTAGCTTCGCTAATTGTCTCATCCGTCGAGTTAGATATGTTACCGAGATTATTTCCCCATACATGTTTCACACGTACCTAATGGAAAGAAGCTGAGCGACTAGTAGATTATTATAGTAGTGTAGAATCGAGTCGTCCCTCTTTGTTTCTTCTCTACATACTACCATACCCACCATTATAACGTCGTCTAACTCCAATCCTATTGATCCTTTTGTACCTATTGCTTCTCGAACCATATTCAATACAACGGCCTGAAATGTAGGATATGGCCGCTACGATGATGCATACATACACCTACCTAGGTAGGTATATATATCGGCGAGGGCCAAGCAGTCTCAATACATGGCTGCTATTATCAAATCGATATCTGAGAATCGTTACCCAGGCCGACCCTAACAAGACAATATCCGCATAAAGATAGGAATCCAAATCACGCGTAAACAACGGTATATATCGCATTCGATGAACTCTTTTGGGGGGAGGGGACCGTACTAAACATCGACATCGGCTGCTTCTTCAAACTTTTCATCGGATATTTCGAGTTTCGTTCACGCAGATTGAGACATCGAGACGATCCCTGTTTCATTATTTAAATTATTTGACGTCGTCCCTTCGATGGGCGATAGAGGAGCGATAATCAGTCCAAAGGCCAAACGATGGGGTTGCCACGAATCTGTGACTCAACGTCGCAAATCGTCAAAGCGCGATAGTCTAATTAAATAGACTAGCTAATATACAGCAAGCAAACGGCAACAGGCGCGAGCAGTAGCGGCATAATATTATCGTCCTGGGTTGGCATGGTCGCTTAGCACGTCGACCGGTAACGGTAGGAAAAATGAGGCAAAATATAGATATTCGTTTCGCAGGATCGTTTAAATCAACTCGCCGCTGTTTCTACCTCGATTTATTCGACTAGGTCGCCCATTCCGAGTTCTTTCAAGAACCACCGCCACCAAAACGCTTCGCCCGAGCCTCCGCCTTGGCCTTCTCTTTCGGATCGTTTTGAATGCCAGATCTACCCTTTACATCTGTAGGCTTGGCCTCCTTCCTAGGGCCGCCACCAGCCCTACCACCCCCACCGTGGCGGAAGCGACCCTTACCTCCACGTCGACCACCAGGAGTTTGTCGTTTCGCAGCTCGCTCACCGTCGGCGTTATTTCCTTCTCGACCCCGCTTCGACGGTCTCTTCTCGGGCAACGCGTCGTCGAGTCCTTTGACTAAGGAAGAATCGTCGACGCCGAAGCGTTCCGTACGCGCCGCCTTCTTTTTGTCTTCATCGTTCTCTACAATGCCGAATCGCTTGGCTCGTTCGGCACGCTTGCGAGCCTCTTCATCCGCGTTGGAGGCGGGTAAATGAGCAGAGAAATCGATCTTCGGAGCCTCAGGCTTAGTGGTATCCTCGGTCACGATCGCGGTTTCGGCAGGTTGCTCTGCGACCGCGTCCGTTTCAACTTCTTCTTTCACTGGCTCGCTAGCTTCAACAGGCTTCTCTTCGGCTGCTGAAGGTGCAACAGGATCGGCAGGTTTCGCTTCTTCTTCAGGCTTCGCGGCGGTGGTGACCTCATCATCGCTGTAATCAATTTCATCCTCGTTTTCCCGAACAGTGGTGGCTAGTAGAAGTTAGCAGGTGGTACCATAGGTGGCGTTTGCGATAGCCATACGACAGGTGCGTTATTGAAATAAAACCATGGGGATACTAACAACTCTGGGATTTGTCGTGTTCCTGCAGACGGGAAATCAAATCGGCTTTGTTTCCAGTTACAGGTAATGATTTCTCTTGAAGTAGCTTCTTCAGTTCGGGAACCTTCAGTGAGGCGTAGTCGGGCATCGTGGCGGGTGAGAGGCAACGCGATGCGATGCGATGCGATGTGATGTAATGTAATACGCGCGACACGACCGAAGTAGAGCGATGGTAATTATCGTTAGATGAGATATGGGAGGTCAAATGGATATTACCGGTTGGATTGAAAAGCTGCACAAAGACAATATCGTCAATAGACAACGTGGCTTAATGCGCTTAATGCGATTTCGTTGAGGATGAATGGATAGATGATCCGGTAGAGGGTGAAGGGTTGAAAGGTGGATGGATGGATGGACGAGAGAGGAAGAAAATGAAATTGCTTGAATTGAAATTGAAAGATGAATTGGGGGAACCGGGGTACGGTAGGTACCTAGGTACATATACATGTAGTGCGGATTGCAAGCTAAGCGCAGCGCGGTTACTTAGTACATGTGTACGTGTAGCGCAGGTACCCTGAATGTAATTTTCTTTGAATCAGGTATCCATGTACTTCATGATTGGTCCTAGCTTCAATCAACATTGAATGCTTTATGCATACATTGTACATGTAGGTCAAAGCTCCAATGTGTCTCCATATTTTCTTCGCAAGTACAATGGATATCCAAATGATATATGTATTTATATTTCTACCTAAGTACCTAAGTACCTAGGTACATATAGGCATAGGAAATACGACCTACATGTATAACAACCATTTCAAACAGCAATGTAAACATCTCTAACGTTATAAATATCATCTGGCTATCGATTTTATATTCCTTATTTTAAATATCCGTACCAATTCTTAATTCAGTTCATATCGCTGTGGGTGTCTTATCCTTTCACTAATGCGTGGCTTTTATGTTCTAAGAAAAACAAAAAATAAGAGGAGAGAGAAGGGGCCCGAACATCGAAAATAAAATAAATAAGAAAGTAGGTACGTATGTATGTCTTAATTCCAAAGTTGAGTCACGAATAGGCTTATACATAAGTCACATATATAGTACCTAGATACACATACGCACTTACATACATACATGATAATCAATATGGTATGGACCTACTTATATATAAACATACCTAGGTTACCCATATAGGTATATAAGTTACCCATTTGTCTTACCTACATATCAGTTAATGGTTCCTAGGTAGCTAGGTAACTTTGGCGGCATCTCCTGACGGCAGATAATCCCCAGCTTCAGCACGGAAGATCTCCAACGAAGTCGATGGGCCAATGAACGGTGCCTGTAGTCTCCGAATCTGGGAATCTCTCGAGACCTTTTGTATGAATCCTCGTCTGCTTCCGAATCCGGTGGGATCTGCAACCCAGCAACCCAGCTTCCCGGAGGGCTTTTGCTTTGCTTTGCTTTTTTCTCACCAACTAGTTAGAGCGATCCCTACCTAGGTACTACTTTCCCGTGTCTTAATAAGCTGGCTGGTCCCCGTCTGGTAGCTGGTAGGCGAGACTTGGCTTGCTTTTGTTCCTTCGGGACCGACGGCAGGGAATACTAACGGTGGAAGGTCTCATGTATTATCGCACCATTTTGGAGAAGCATGTCTTTGAACCGCGCCGTAGCAGCCAACCACCCGCATCAGACTGATCACGGAATTAATATAATGACGGGGGAGGAACCACGGCCCTTTTCTTTCCCATCCTAACATTTCCCACAATCTATCTACATTCAATCTTCGGAATTTCCTAAATCCAAATCGCGCAATATGGCTGACTCGTCACAACCCATACCCGTTGTTGTCTGCGGCAAAGCAGAAGTTGTCGGAAAACCAGTCATCGACGGATTGAAGCCCGAATACGATGGTGAGTGATTAAGATTGCTAGAGAGAAATGGTCAAAGAACAAAGAATAAAGAACAACAATAACCCCCGAAAAGGAACATCCTCACCCTTGTCACCTAGTCACCAATACACCTAACCCACGATCTACATACTAACGCAAGAATGGAATATAGTGATTCTCCTTTGCCTCGGTAGCCAACCAACGGCCGCTGAATTGCCTTACAGTGAGTACCTATCAAATCTCCACATCGTCATCGCCTCATATACTATATCCCCATACCTCTCAAACCATACCACAACTCATTACCCCTACACCTTCACCTAGAGAAAATATCCCATTACGGCAGGTCGAAGTAGCCCACGCGTCCCTTTACGCATGCAATCCCTCACCCCCCAAACACCCACCTAACCACCCCAAACTAACCCCCCATCCCAGTCCTCCAAGGCCGCGCGCCCCCCACGCAAAGCAGCTACCTAGGCTCGGGCCTGTACTCCACACCCCCCGTCGCCGTAATCATGGGCACAATCTGGGGCGCCTCCGACGTAACCCTAGTGCAAGAAGCAATGCGCAGCGTCGGCGTCCCTTCCTCCAGAAAATACCCAGTTATCATGCGTAACGACAACAGCATCCCCGCGCCTAAGCCGCCAGCACCCGAGTACGCGGTCCAGCTCATCCGACGCATGCGCGAGTGTCTCGGTAAGATAACCCGGGGCGAGCATATTGATGGGCCTGGTGAGGAGGGTGTGGTTGTAAGTTCATGATACTCTTCCGTTAAGTTTCGGTGATGTTGTTACTAATCTGGTTCCTGTATACAGTGGTACTAGATATCTCGCATACCTTACACACGTACGGTTTTGTCCTACGCATGATGGATATTACCTAAAACACATCGTTACTCATTAAACTCGTCTCCTCACAAGCAACAAATAGATTAGACAGAAATCACGGCTCAAACCTAGCTAGCATTATCACTAATAAACAACATTATTCAAATCATTGATTTTAATCATTAGGTATCTTTGTATGTCTCTGGTGAAGCTGTGTACATAGCCCACATTTTGTATACAGCTCAAAAACGGGGTGGGGGGATATTGCAGAAAAAACAAATGTGATGAGTCAAGAACGACAAAATAGCAAATGCAACAAGCCGCCCCCCGTTTGCCATCCCTTTGGCCAAAATCCGTTCGTTTCGTCTCATCTTATGCTAACCGCCCGCCCTATGTCTGCCCCCCAGACATGTTATGATGCAAATGTTATATGTCCGACGCCTCGCCTGGTACCTCGTGATGTCGAAAAATTCAATTGTGTTGTTGACAAAATAAAATAAAAAGTTTATCTGTGCGAATAAGCCTGAGGGAAATCAAGATTTTATGAGGGAGAACCTGACGTCGAAGTTGCGCCAAATGAAAAGGGTATCAACCAATAATCAACCAATTACAACCTCCTGCGTAACGAGACCAAATATCCATCTCGCCTCTGCTACCGACGAGCACTGGAAACACCACTTGCGAACGTTTCCTCCACTCCCTCCACCTTGAGGTGCAACACCTGTCTGGCCACTTTCGTCCTTAACTTCCTCCCATACGTTGATGAGGACACCTCTGCTGCCCAGTTGGCTGAAACATTGACTACCCAGAACGACATCTAGGACGATAGTCGGTTTATCTGCGTTCTTCTTCGGGATTGTTGTAACTATAATTCGTTTCTCCATGCCTTGATATTTTCTTAAGTTTTGTCTTGTCCCTCGGTCTGGTCTTGTCACTTCGAGGAAGCAGTTACCATGATCCTCCCACTTGCTTGCTGACACCATCAAGTGGAGACGGATCTTGAGATTATTTGTCGTGAGGCTCACCTTAGCGCTGCCACTATTCGCAGCACTAACAGAAGGTGAGCGTGGCGGGGTACCTGACGATGAAGTATATAGAGATGCGTCTCCTCCGAAGCGGGATTGCCTATCGACAGTGGACATAGCAATGTTGAATGATTGATCACCGCCTCCCATTAGCTTTCGTAAAAAGGATGACGCAGAAATACCCGAAGATTGCGATAAGCTACCAGCTGATTGGGATGGGGCTCGTGCTGACGCGCGATAGCTGTTCTTTCGGCCAAACCAGCTACGACGGTGACTGCTGCTATCTCCTTCTACTTCCTGGTTCTGATATTGACCAAAGGCTCTGACTCGTGTTTCCTCTTCGAGCGCCTTGTACTTTGCATTATCCATACGGGCTCGATGGACCGCCATATAGAGAGATTCGCACTCGGGAATAGACTGGACTCGGAAACGGAAGAAAGAGGTATCGTAAGTAACGACCTTTTCAAAGAGCCTAGAATAGCTTAGGACAGGTGATCGGATTTCTAAGTCGACAACTGTGCTGTTTCGTAACATGACTAGTGGTGTAAGGTCTAGAGCAATCAGTGGTCGCTCTTCTTGTCCTGAGCTGCTAGAAGATGGGTTTGCTCTTCGGTAAGGATACGCCTCGATGAGACCTGGTGTCGTGACGATAGAACATAGGTCTGGCCAAAGATCCTGCCAATGTCCGTGCTTGTTATCCCAGTAAGAAATAGAAGCAACGGATTTGATGACGTATTCGGGTTGGTTGCTTTCTTGACTAGGGGTTTCAACTTGAGGTACTGGAACTGGGGGTATAATGCTAGCAGTGCTCTCCGAGACGGTCGACTCTGTTAGGGCGTTGGCATCCTTTTTGATGCTGATAGCAGGCATTGTGTCGGGTATATCAACCGCTTCGAGCTCGTCATCAGACGATTCGTCAGAGACGGATTCATAGTCGTCTTCTGAAAGAGATGTTGGTGTTGTAGAGCCTTCAGAAGAAATATCCGAGGGGTGATATTCGTGCTTCAATGGAGAAGAGGTACGGCGTTTGAGACGTGTCGTATTCTGATCTGCAGGCGGCGAGAGGACTGGTGCCTTTTTGTTGCTATTAAAAGTTCGATGAACAGGAGGGGGTGGTGCACCATCGTCGCGGTAAGGTGTGCTGTTGGGAGATGATTTCTTATATGTTAGAGAGTCAGGATCGCTAAACGATCGGGAATGGCCTTCGTCTCTCGGGGTATTGGATGGATCCTGCCTGGTTCTTGAATATGCGTTTTGAGTCGGCGTCCTCTCCGGAGATGGTGTTGATGCCTCACTCTGGCCTCTAGAAGTCGGTCTTGTGGTATAAGTAGGGGTAGTTGGTTCTCCTTGAAGCTTCTCGGTGGTGCTAGTAGTTCTTGGAGAGATAGTCAATTTTTGTTGCTTTCTCTCGCCCAGAGGTAGTTCGCGCGCTGCTGACTTTGGCGAGGGAACAAGTGGTTGGGGTATTAATGATGATAAATCTTGGATTGGAGGTGGGATGGGTGTATTTCCTAGCATATCCAGCCAGTCCAGTACTTGTTCTTCGTTGTCAGCCGTTAGGGACAAAAGTTCAAACCATTCGTCCTTATAGCCTCTAATCATAACAACCAATTCGCGCCTATGGTCTCCCCTTCGGGCAGAGAAGCGGTCCCCAGCTACGGGAGCGAATAGAAGCCACGAGCGCCCACCACTGCCAGTTTCTCTGATAAGAAGGTCACCTCGATCGGATTTAAACAGTTGGTTGTCTCTGAAGATGAGTTCGACCTGGCAGCCGAGTCGCTGTCCGCTCGAGTGGCGAAGGTCTAAAGAGAAGGTATCTTTAGCGAAAACCTGTCGGAGACGATCGATTCTGACGTTGCTTAAAGCTTCCAGAGTCCCTAGATCTCGAGCTCGGGATGTGTCGGTATTTTTGGCATCTTCATCTATGACTCTGGCGTTTTCTTCTTTATTTCGTCGCCTCGCCTTCTCCTGCAATGCTTCCCATTTAGCAGCGAGAGATTCGAACTCCCTCGTTCCAGCAATTGTTCGATAGCCCTAGGTTGGTCAGCTCAGACGGGATGGGAAAAGATTGGGAAAAACATACCCTAATAAATTTGGTGATCCATTTAACACGAACAAGAGGGCGTCTTAGCAAATGAGCAACATCAATGCGTTCTCCGTCTTCATCGAGAACATCACCTTGCTCATTTCGGGGCATTGCATTGATAAGAGAGTCAGCATCATCATGTGAACGAGGAGCCAAGTTGACGATAATTCCTTGGAATCCAAGCCGCCACACGTCAAGGTAATTGTTATAAATAGGATGGGCTGCTTCGAGCCATTGAGGGAGTTTGTGGACGTCGGTAAGCGTGGGGCAGAGGCGGTGGTGGTTCCGCAGGTTGTCGAGGGCGATGCCCATATTAACAACTGCATTGTCGAGGGTGTCCTCCTTGTATTTGGTTGGTGGACATCCAAAGAGGTCCTTGCGTGTTCGACTAGTGTTGTTTACAAATTGTGTTAGGAGGACGGGGATTACGCCATCCACGAGGGTCTTCAACTCCCGCAGGTAAAGATCCTCGTCATCTTCAAATTCCAATAAAAGTGCATCCAAGGTGGCGCTGTGGAGATGATTGGATGGCCTTCTTACACAGCGCGCAGAGCGGAGACTATTACCTCTATGAGGTGTCGAAGCCCCATCAGGCAACGAAAGAACCGATATTAAATCGGAATGTTTAGTAAGTCGTCTCTTAAGACTTCCCGACTTATGACTTTTTCTGCGAGACACAGCTGAACTCCTGGTCAAGGCAGTGCTCTCCGTCACTGTTGATTGGGAGACTATGGACGAGAGCTCCGACTGAAACGTACTACGTGATTCAACTTCGGATGCAATTGTTGACAATTCATGAAAGCCGTTTGTCGGAGGTTTACGTTTGTGATGGACATGATGTGGAGCTGGCTGTGTTAATTCAGATGACAGCGACGAACCATAGTCATCAGGAGATGGGCTCCTTCTCGGTCCCGAAGAACGACGTCTCTCGTGGTGGTCATCTTCGTGCTCTTCATCGAGATCTATAACTTCAGAACAGCTTGGATACTCAAGGGGTGGTGAACCATGGCCAGTCGATTCCCCGCGGAATGCATCCATGAGCTTCTCTTTAAAGCCCTTTCGGCTACCGCTTTTTGAAGGTGTTGAAGAAACCCTGGTGGCTCGACTCCTTTTCAATCCAGCCGGGGTGGCGGTTGATGTTGGTGTTGATGTCTCGGTCCTACTAGGCTCGTCATGATCGGATTTCTCAAGTTCCTTTACCTCGACCGTTTCTTCACTCCTCTTCACCTCGAGGGGGGGTGCAAGGTTTAAAGGCTTGGGCTTAGAAGAGGGAGAGTGTCGTGGTTTACTCTCATCTACCCATTCTGACTCAACTTTCCGTTTTTGTTCGGGTTCAGCTGTAGATGATGACTCCACGAAAGGATCCAGCGTGTCTTTCAGCCATGTCTCTATGTTGGGAGGTTGATTGTGAACAGGTTTGGGAGGATCAACCTTCTCGGTGAGAATCTTCTTGCCTTCCGTCAACGCTTTCTTCAAGACGTTAGTAGCGCCTTTGAAACTGGGTTGCCTCTTAGTTTTCGGTCTTGCTGCTCGCTTCTTAGAGCCCGTGGGTAGGTCAAGTTCGCTAAACGCGGAGTACCCAACGGGTATATCTGCTAGGGATTGCTGTAATACACTGAACGGCATGTCTGATACTGAATCGCTCGACCAAGACTCGCTATCAGATACATCTTCTGTCATTGTTGTCGCGGTATCCACTTCACTTCTCACTACAGGGTTTTGAACGGGTTTTGGCTGCTGCTTAGAAGGTTTCTTTGTACTCGCTCGTGTTGGCGTTCGAGGGCTGTGAGGTTCTGACTCTCTATTATCTTCCGTCCAATCTGACCGTGATGGGTCTCTGTGGGTACTTGTCTCATGGGTGCTTGGTATTCTTGAAGACTGCCTTGAAGATGCACGGACGGTCGTTGCATAGTCCGACTCTTGAGGATTAGAAGCCTTGGGATGGTACTTTGGAACAGACTTAGCACGCGACTTGGCTTTAGGACTGTCGTTCTGATGTACTTGTTTTTGGATTGGTTTGACTTTGTCACCGTCGCTGACATTTCCACGAGGCTTTCTTGGGTTTGGTGTTTCTACGGGACGAGTAGAGTCCGATCTTCCACTTGCAGTATCGTCATCGCTCCGGATGGGCCTGATGCGGATACCATCATCAAAAACTTTCGCTTGTTTTTGTGGTTTCGAGGTTTCGGCAGTAACGCAAGAGGATCCTGATATTTCACTTGTCGTATCCTTTTCGCTTGTCATGGGTGTCACACGAATACCATCATTTTCCGGCTCTTTAAATTTTCTCGAGTTACCCGTCCTAATGGTGATACGAGTAGACCCCGATCTCCCACTAACACTATCACTCTCAGAAGTAATAGGCCTCACACGAATTCCATCCCCGCTACCAGAAGATTTTGGCGGTCTTGGTGCACTGGACCGCTTGACTGGAGTTTCTTCGGGAAGCTCAACTTTACTTGCCCAGTCTTGAATCTTCTTGGAGACGGAGGGATTGGCAGTCGTTCGTGCTAGGAAATCTTTTGGCAACGGAGATCCAGTGCTCTCGTTCGGTTTTGTCTTGGGCGGTTGATTTCTCGGGGGGCTCTTCTTCTTGTTCTTCACCCAATTGGTATCACTAACAACCCGCTTCTTAGGCGCATTCGAGAGCTCATGATTCCCTTTCTTAGTCTCGGTACTATCAGCAGTGCTTTCTGGTTCACTTCTCGGCATTGATTTCTTTTGTCGCGACTTAATCCTCACTCGATCTTCCTCAGTCACACTTTCATCGTCAACTTGTATGTATATCTCGCTCGGCTCCGTTGGTGTAGCATAGGGATCCGCAGCGGCCATTGCCGCAGCATTCGTCTTCTGCCATTTTTTGACACGGTCGTGGACACCTCCCGGAGCTTGAATTCTTAAGACGGAGGCTTGGCGCATTTCATGCCTCACCTGTTCCAGACTCTTCCGCCGTGCCTGCGCTGCTTCTCGTGCGGCTTGTCTGTCTGCTGCGACTCGAGCGGGGGATGGTCGACCCAACAAGAAATCGCCGAGGAGAGTAGGTTGTGCTTTTGCGGTAGTAGCCCGCGGACGACCAGCGGCCGGCGAAGCTTTAGGGGTTCCATCTTTACTGGATGTAGTCGTCGTCGTCGTCTGAGCTGGCGTTTCTCCCGTTGCAGAATTGGGTATTTGTTGCTGTATAGTAGCGGAGCTGGTCTGGGAAGTTTGAGGATCCGAGGGATCATCTTCGTCACTAGATTTGGGACCAGTCATGATCTATCAAACAAGATATTATTAGTTAAGAACATTCCAATGGTTAGAAACACCCCATATTGTTTCAACATGGTGTAGACTAGGTAGATAGGAATGGGAATGACGAATTTCCAAAGGGTATGCGGGCGGTCATGATAATGGGCCAATGCCCAAAGCAAGCTACATGCCAGAGAGCAAAGCGCCACCACAATACACTTATATATATACCATGAACCGCCGGTATATCCGTTACATTACATTGGACAACAGCAAAACACATAAGTAAAGCAATTCCTCACCTAAGTTGATCGGGGTCATGGCCCCCAGAATTCATGCTGACATTCAGAGACAAGACGAAGTAAGCGACGTGCATGCGATACTTGCTATCGGCGTAAAGGAAAAGACCAGATGATAGATTATAATCGAATTACTGGTTGCGCAAATCTGAAGTTGCATTTCCGTTTACGCCGTAACATAATAGGGTACACAACGTCGATGTTCGTTTGTTCCGACGTCTAAAAGGAGAAATTGCATGAAAAGGTGATGAACGAATGAGTTGAATGCGTGTCTTGTACGAATGTGAAATTAATGTAAGATGTGAAATGTGAAATGTGAAAATGAATGAGTGTACGTATGCAAATGTGAAAAGTATGTAATTTTTTCTTGTGTTGTGTTATGTGGAAGAGTCGGCGTATCGAAAGGGAGAGAAAGGAAAGAAGAGCTATCCGGCGTGTGCATGTTGTGTGCATGTACACAGCCGTACCTGCCTCCCCCACCAGCAAACTTGCTGTGTTGGGTCGATAAGTGCCGTAGCAACCAATAGTGGGTTGCGAGGGAGCTGAGACATAAACAATGGCATTGGTAGCATTGGTACACTACGGTACACCCCTGTAAAAACCATGGCCATCATCCTTGTAAATCTATGCAGCTATAAAAAAAGGCTGGACCCGGCTTTAGTAGCTTCGACAGCTTTTTAGGTGGGGATCCTCGTACTTAGTGGGCACTTGATTGTCTTAGTGGGTCATCAGCCGGCTCTCAACCTTGGAACCTTGGAAGTTGCAGCTTTCTATGATGGCATTGCCCCTGTAGTTCCCGAAGCTAATCTCACCAATCAGAGCACTAACCGCTGCTCCGTGCCCCTCCATCTACACCCATCTGCCTTCCTTGTACCAGATTCTTTCCTCTTCCGCAATTATCATGTGGCAGCTTCAAGGTTTCTGTCAGCTTGTTGAAGTCGCGTGGCGTCTATTATTTTCTACATTGGGGCACATAAGTAACTCACACATCCCAAACCTTCATTGCAGAGTCTTCGAAAATCAAAATAATTCTTAATAATTCTATTATTATACCTAGACAAAATACGATCGGATGAACCCGAAATCAAGTATTAGTTATGAATTGAGATTGAGAATTACGAAGTTATACATCTGTTTTATTACTCCACATTACCGACCTTTAGGATTCGATGACGTCGCCCCCCAAAGATGTACTTGGTTTATTATTCTGAATTATTCTAACAATCGGGATGGTGGTAAGATAATACCGACATCGTGACTAAGAACCATCATCAACCAATTATCGGTATTTGTATCCTCCGATTACAACGACGCATTGCCTTATCAGGATTCCTATACATATGTATCGACATTGTGTATGTGTAGTACAAAGAAAAGCAATGTGGGAAACCAGAGATTTATTTCTTGCCGTCTCATGATGTTCAACCACCTGATCATACGGCGCGGCCAACAGTGATAAATCCCTAGGTAGTTATGGCTCTGCACTACCGAACCCAACCCAACCCTTCTTGCAGGTTAACTACGTCGGAATGGCTTATACAGAGCCATCAAGGCCCCAATTTCGCACTCTTGGCCAACATTATACTCTACTAGCGGTATGAATTAAACACCTGGAAATCAACCGCCAGTAACAGCAAGGCCGTTCAATTGCACTCGTAAGAGGATTCGGATCTAAAAGAGAAGGGAAACCATTGCTATATTTACCCTTTTGGAGATTTAGTACTTGTTCCGCGCCCCAGTGAAGTTGCGGGGTTGAGGTGACACTGGAGCATTCCCTTCTCTATAAGTCCGGCTGACCCGTAGCAGATTCAGGTTAATGAGGTTGCTAACCATTATGTACGTATGTATTTATGGAGATATAAGACTATAACTCAGATACATACAATTGATTTATTATCAATGGATCAACCTTATTTTCAAAGGGAGTGACTATAAGTGTGTATGTTCCAGAGCCTGCTTCGCCCTTCGCTTTTAATCGAGGCGCTGTCAAGGCTCATCACATCAATCGGCGAAGCCATTGATAGGATAGGCGAAACAACGCAGCTCGTTTATACCCAATGGCTGCGGAAATCATCTTAAGGCCTCACAACGAAGTCTATTGGTCATTAAGAGGCTAATCAACTGCGACCAAAGACAAGTCACAGCAATTTTTCTCAATTTTGTCACAGCCGCACCCCGCTTCTCTTCAATGCTCATTTGTCTGTTGGTGAGTCGAAACTTTCATCTTTGAATCTCGACATTATCTCGCTGATTGTTCTTATGTCAGAATGTCAAAGTCCATAAGGGGGCGATTGGCATGGAGGAAACTTTTCCAGAACAGGCCAAAGCTGCGGAAAGAGTCGGATGACTCAGGTTAGGACGACTAATTTATTTTCCAAGGCTGTGAGTACCTCAACTAACGCGGTGACAGGTTTTCCAGAGGCGAGAGACTTACCCCAATTAAACGACCTATCGACAACCGAACTATATGGTCTCTTTGAATTTCCTGTTCGCGCAGCTCGTCCCGAATCACCCCCATTACCTCCGAATGCTCAATGTGTTGAGTCTGTTCCCCAGACCCCCCTCACTTGCATGTATTGAATTGACTGATTATTTCTAGCATAATCGCTGTTCACGGGCTTGGGGGCAGTTGGCGGACAACATGGAACGGCGGTGACAGCGACGATCCTGCTATATGGCTACGAGATCGTTTGCCGGAGCTTTTTGCCCGTATGAATGTTCGCCCCCGTGTGCGAGCCTTCGGCTACGATGCTTCTTACGTATTTACATCGTCCACATCGGATCTTGAGTCCTGCGCCGAAGATCTACTTACCAGAATACGGATAGCAAGGCAGACTGAGGAAGAAAGGGAAGCGCCAATTATATTCGTCGCACATAGCTTAGGTGGTCTTGTAGTAAAACAAGTAAGTATTATACTTAGGTGCCTTTCAGGAATACCTCAATATTAGTTCGTCTTCATTGCGTCTCATCTAGGATATCTAGATCTAATATGCACCCCAGGCTATCAACATCGCACACACAGATAACGAATATCACCAAGATGTCCTCGATAAAACGTGTGGGTGCCTATTCCTCGCAGTTCCGTTCCATGGGTCAGATGCGGCTTCTTGGGCTCAATTGGGATCACAAATTTTAAATACTCTATCGCTGGGTATGGCCGGGAACTCAAATCTCCCGAAGGCATTGAAGAGAAATTCAAGGGATTGGATGAAGATCTCTAGAGACTTCGTGCAGCGAGGGAGAAATATGACATTTAGGAGTGCTTATGAGACACAGAAGATGGGAAGAAGCGCAGTATAGACCCCACTGGTATCTGATGCTCACTATGCTTTATGCACACTAACACATTTTTAGATCGTGGACAAGGCTTCGGTGTGGAATAATGTGCCCAATGAGCGCGTATTTCCTGTGCCTGGATCAAACCACCGGAATATATGCAGATTTGGTGACCACGAGGATGGACGCTTTGGCCCAATTGGATTGGCAATGACTGAACTCGTTCGAGCTGCTTTGGATGGTCAGTCAGTATAGCAACTCCACACTGCGATATCATAGTGTAATTAACAGCCAGCACAGACTTGACCCCGAAGCTTCTCATAACGACCGAACTTCCTGTCTCGACACCGACATTTCATGGAAGAAGCACGCAAATTGAAGAACTTGCTTCTATCCTCAATCCTGCTAAGTCTGGGAGGAAGGGCGTTGTACTCTACGGAATTGGGGGTTCTGGGAAGACACAACTTTCTCTCCAATATATTAGAAAGAAAAAGCGTTTATATAAGGCCATACTTTGGATCAACGCCTTTACGCCCGAACAGATAAAACAGTCCTTTACCGATGCGTTTAACTTGATTTCGAAATCTTGGCCATCTAAGGACTTACCGAACCCTTACTTTGGCGAGAATAAGAGGGACTTTGTTTTGGCAAAGTTAAGATCGACTTTATATAGGAACTGGCTTCTGGTTATTGATAGCGCCGACGATCTCACCGTTCACGACTTAGTTCAATTAATTCCACACTCTTCCCACGGCTCGATAATTCTAACCAGCACTCGGAAGGATGCATCGGATATCCTTGAGCCCCATGGATTTTCAAGTATACAACTCGATGGGCTAGATAATCTTAGCGGCAAAGAGTTGCTTCTTGATAGAGCGGGGATGTCCGACTTCACCCAAGGCGCTGAAGAGGCCATGGCAATTGTCAAGGAACTGAACAGCTTACCATTATCTCTCAAACAAGCCGCGATTCTTCTTCGGAGACGAGTTGTCAATTTAGACAACTTCATTGAACAGTACCATGCGCAGTACGACGAGTTAATGGGCTATCTACCCAAGGCTGGTGAAGTACAGCACGATAAAACGCGATCCATGCATGCCATCCTCAACATGCTATATTCTTACGTTAGACAGGAATCGCCTGCAGCGGCGGCAATAATTCGAATTTTAGCTATATTAGGCCCAGTACAAGTCCCTATATCTACCCTTTTGCAGATCTGTCGATTCGACTCTCCTGTTCTTAGTACCGATACTGAATTTCGGGCCCTTCCAAACTGTTCTGATACAACTGTAATTTTCCGACTTCATCTCAAACTTCTAGAGGATGTATGCCTAATAAGGTTCGGGCCTGTATCCGAAAACTCCCCTGAGTCGATGCTGTTGCACCGAGCTATCTGCCAGTGGATTGTGAAGAGTCAAGTCACAGGAAAAGCTCAATGGATCTTATTCGTGGCTTTCGCATTGTGTAATATTCTCTGTCGCGGAGAAGGAGACCTCGACTGGTTTGTGGCACCTCTTTTCCCGATTTCTTTTATTGGTAATATGACTGATTCTTTGCAGGCCAATGGGTGGAGTCACTCCAGACTCATACCTCTCACGGAGATGTTTGACTTGGGTTGACCGTATGAGTTCTTTGATTAAAGAATTGGTTTCCCCCGCCGATCTTCAGCCTCCTACGGGATGTTATAAGACTGAATATGCGAGCATCGCTCGCGACTATGGGTATATTTACTTCTGCAATGCTCGGTATAAGGAGGCTATAACGTTCCTATCCCAAGCCGTTAAGTATATCCCATTTCAAGACGCAGCCGATAATGATCCATCAAAAAGTAATGTACAACTTCTTTACTGCCTCGGCGTATCTCATTTCAAAATTGGCAACTTTGCCCAGGCCGTGGAACTGGTCAGTGCTGCTTGTGAAGAACCTTCGAGGGGATTTCACGACGAAACCATTCGGGTTCATGACCGACTACGAGCAATATTTCTAAAAGCTAAGGTTAACGAAGATCACTTCAATACGGCAGTGATAGCGGCACAAGGTCCTAAAATTTCAGCTATTACACGCACAGATGCAAACCAGCGAATGGGATCTATTGATGATGTACTTGAGAGCGAACAGGTCTTGGTAGGCAATAATGATAACGACAGCGTCGATCTCGGTCCTGACTTCCGAGAGTGGCTTGTACAAAAAAGCGGAATGACACCTATCATTTGGGCAGCTTCGAACGGGCGGGAATCCCTATTCCGGCGGCTCCTTTCGAAACACCATGACGACATCCAAGTAGTAGATAAGGCACTGTTGCATGCGGCAAAAAACGGCCACTACCGCATAGTACATATCTTGCTCGAAGCGGAGAGGCCGAGTCTAGAAGGCGGCAAAACTGCGTTGCTTCACGCATGTCGCCAGGGGCGCAATGAAGTTGTCCGATATTTGCTGCGCTATGCTGGTATCATGGTCCGGGATACTCACGGAATGACTCCACTACACCTAGCGTGCGAATTTGAACGCGAAGAGATAGTTCGGCTTCTACTCGACCATGATTCCTATGCCGAAACCGTGAACGATTCCATGGAGACTTCGTTACACTGTGCATGCAGACTCGGAAACATCAGAATCGTTCGCCTTTTACTTGACCGCGGGGCCTATATCGAAGCTAGAACTATTTCGCACCAGACCCCATTACACAAGGCGTGTGAGCTAGGGCGCGAGGGTGTCGCCCGCGTTCTGCTCGACCATAATGCTTCTATTGAGGCCAAAGGTTTGTTGAACGAAACGCCACTGCACAAGGCATGCGAATTCGGACATGAAGGCGTTGTTCGACTACTTCTCTCCCACAAAGCTCAGATTGGGTGTAGGGATCTGATGCGTCACACCCCCTTGGATAAAGCTATTATCAAAGGCCATGATAACATCGTTCAATTACTGCTATCTCAGAGCAGAGGTTATATAACTAATTAGTATAACTACCTATGTATACTCCTTTGATGGACTAACCTGTCCCTCCTAGCGATGCAATGGGCTAGTTTCCTTCCCTATACAGTCGATACTTTGCCCTCCCTGTACGACTCATAGCAACACCCCCTATAACAGCCGCTAGTGTCGTGCCCTTGAACACAGTCTCATACTGTTCGGACTTAACAGCAGTGGAAAATGGTTGTCGATAGATACGATAGAAGAAAACTGAGGTGGCGACAAGGTATGTACTAATGAGCATATGGTATTTGTAATGAAAGACTCGATGTGGTGGATATGTTTTTGGGTCGCTAGTTGAAGCCATCCGAGATTCGGGACTTCGAGAGTCACTAGTACCACCCTCGATGTTTAAGATGTGATATATATTGATGTTGTATTGTTCGAGGTCAACTTATTGTTTTTGATGCCGAAGACGACCCCTCACCAGAGTACTAAGCGGTGTTTCAATCCGTTAAAGACAGGACTTTTACGTGAAATATTTAATTAATGCTAGCATGATCGGAATCCGTGAATAAACCTAGAAAAAACACCATCAATTACCTTCATCGTCATCAATCATTACTACTAGATACCCAAGGTATTTACAACCTCTCACCATTCCCCTCTATACGGCTTCAAAGCATCATGTAGCCTCCCCCAAACCCCACCATGCCACCCACGTATATCCTCCCAATCCCCAGGTATCGTCGTGCAGTAAAACATCAACCAACCACCAACAATCATATCCGCATAATCAGGTTCTTTCCCCCCAATAAAAGGGCCCTCGGAGAACTTAAAGTACTTCGCAGCTTCCCCTATCGCAGCTTGAAACGCATCCTTGACTTTCTTCTTCGCCTCTCCGTGCACGATTAGTTCATCGTAGGACTTTACACCGGCACGTCTGCAGAACTCGGCTTTGCATTTCTCCTCGGTTTCTGGACTGAATGGCATGCTTGCGGCGCATAATTGCGCGCCTGCGGTGAATACGGTGTCGATGTGCGCGTTGAAAGCTGCGTACAACCCAATCGAATGCTTAAACAACGAGGGACTATCAGGATATTTCTTATCCACGTGTACGGCGATACCAAAGGAATCCCCCAAGATCGTAGACCCGTCCTTGAGTAGTGGAAATGTGTAGAATGGCTCCCCGTTGGCGAAGAAGCGCACTGGCGCTACGCCGAGACTCATGCGTGTGGATTTCACTTCGGAGAGATCAACCCATTTGGTGGTGAAGTTTGCGCGCTTGAAGTTGAGCGCATATCGAGCTTTCCATGGGTTCGGCGCGTGTGGGTGAATAGGGGAGCCGGCGGCGATGTCGTAGAAGACCAATTGGTCCGATGATGAGGTACAACAAGACATTGTGAGAGGATAGAATGTAGCGAGTATATTGATGGGTAGAATGGTGAAGTACAGCGTGGAATAAGCGTACTAAGGCTCCAGTACGCTGATTGAGTTGCCGATGTTGTCAGAGGTGTTTAAAATGTTGTCATAGCATGGTGTGATGGATCCATATACACTTCTTGAGTCGGGTTGGGCCTGAGGAATTTATATTTCGACTACGAGGCGTCGTACAAGACATGACTCTTTGACAAGCAACTTTATGCCATGCGATATAGGATGATTATCCAGGGTCTAATGCAAGCCATTGACTTTGGTGACTCTTGAATAATTGGGTAAGATCGGTTAATCTATCCATTGCTTTTGAGAGTATACTGAATTGACTCTGAAAATAGATGTAGAGATGAGTTATGTCATATGTTTACTTCAGCTGTATCTGCACTAGAACCGTTACGGCCCGCCTTTACGGTGAGTTGACCCGCTGTAAACTCTTTGTTCTAGGGCAGTGTAGCTGTCACGTGTATGATGCTCATGCTGATTCAAGCACCTAGAGCGCTAATTGAATCCACCGTAACTTTAGAACTCTTCTCAATCTTGTCTTCGATGGCGGTGCATTTCATCACGTGTATGATGTTCATCTTGATTCATGTCGAGAAACTGATCCAACGTAATAAGAGACAGTATAATTATGTAACGTAATAAGGATATACGATGGAAGTGCGCATATGTTTATTTTCCTGGTTATACATTTATGTGTGGTGCCCTGGCTACAATATGCCCAGGTTACAGCGTGCCAACCCTTAAACAGGGTACAATTTCAGCTCCCATTACAGCTGTAAGGCCCTATAATTTAGCTTTATCAGGGTGAGATTCCTTCCATTTCTGAAACCGCTTCGTTCCCTCGGCTTTTCTCTTCTTTTCAGCTGCTTGCATTCCAGGACCGCTTGATGCTTCAGTGGCTTTAGCATCCAACAATGCCACGCTTTCGCGATGCATTTCCAACTTCAACATTCCATAGGCACCGGTGGTTCCCTTTTTAACTAGCGCTCGCTCTTTAATCAAGTTTAATGCTGCGTCCAACTCGCCGATCGCATCTATTAAACCAGATTCTAGCGCGCTCTTCGCATCGAAACGTCGCGCCTCCAGGACTAAGCTGCGATACACGTTGGGTGCTGTCTTAATTCTGAAGATGGAACTCATGGGCGGCATTAACGGCGCTCCGAATTCGAGCTCGTTGACGCATACATAACCCTTCGTACCCGTGAAAACCCGGTAATCGTGATGCATAGCCAACATAAGCCCTCCAGCGAAACCGTGACCATTGATCAGAGCGATGGTCGGCATAGGGTAAGTCAGGAATCTTCGGAATAGCGGGTACAAGCTGTTTTCGAAGAATCCCGGTGTCGCAATCGCAAGTGGCAAGTCAAGACCATTAGAGTAGAACTTGGAGATGGAGGATGTTGTTATAACGACGCCGGGTGGATGGCCGAACTCAATAACATCGAGAGCGGTCATAAGCGCAGTGTTGAATGCGGGCGTAAGCCTGTTATCCGGTGGTGAGGTCCATGTCAGCACGTAGACTTGGGGTGCTGGTAATGTGCACACGATGCTGCCCCCGGGATGCGACTTGAGAGTAGGAATAGGAATTGAAAATAGTTCATCGGACGTCATTCTGGCTTGCGATAATCATTCCGAATTATCTGATATAAAAGCTATCAAAATGATACTCTTAAACTGGGGAAAGAAGATGATTCCATTTAGTTGTTCATATAATCAGCGAGTTGGGATCGCGTACTAAGGGATTAGACTAGTAGAGTGAGCCGCGGCATTTCCTAATCAGGATGACGAGGAATCCTTCAACTCATTCTCTAAGTAGAACACATTCTATGTGTAGTTGTCGCACTTCACCTCTTGATATTATATAAACGACGAAGATATATTTATAATTCTCATAAGTATTTAAGAATCAGCATCGTATCTTGAATTTGGTGGTTTTTTGTTTCGTCAAGAATCAACGGCTTATGCATGTGATAAAGACAGCACCGAGATAGACGGGTGACCCACATTTTAACGACACCTAAGGCCTGAATTTATAGCGCCTTATTTTTATTTTTTAAACAACCAATTCCTAGGGAACCATCTAGTGCAAACTCCGGATATCTTGAACGAATTCGAAAAGCTTGCGCGGACTAAGCGCTTTACCTTCGAGTCTTTTATGAAGTTGTTTAATTGGGTATGTTTTGATGATATGTCGGATGCGTGTCGAGTTGATTTCGCGTTGTGATTCTGACCCCTCGACGCCAGCGGGAATGAAGCAGATCCACTCATCAGGGAAATCCGTTCGATTGCAAATGGCCACCCCCTCCAGTTTATCAATGAAATCCAACTCGGTTTCTTCGAAAAGATCATCATAATACTCTGGTTCTTATATTCAAGTTAGCTTGAAATCTAGGAACCACATACAATGGGTTGAATGAGTCTGTCTTACTTGCCGATGATCCTTTAAATGACAATGCATTGTCGACGGAGGCCTTTCTATCTATAACCCTCCAGATGGCATGTCTCTTATCTGCGGAGACGGTCATCCAAGGATCACATCTTATGAGTCGTAGAAGCTCCCCTTCTTCAGTTATGAATTTTGCTTTTCTCCCAGCGTCGCTAATAATCATTTGCTTACATCCATACGACATCCTAGCGGACGGTTTACCGTGTCGCACACCGTCTGATCCAAATAAGCTGACAAACTCCAAACTGAACCCATCTCTTTCGACAGCACGCCTTAGGCGTCCTTGAAACATATACCATTCCTCCATGCTTCGATCATAGACCCATACGAAATCATGTAGCCTAGGATCTCCTTGCCATAATTTAGCCCTCTGGGATTTTGTGAATACCACACCTATGTCCTTCTTACGCCTATATTTCGATCGGACCTTCTTATCATCGAACGGAAGGACAATGGCGGCGATAATATTTAAATCTTCGCGACATTGAAGTGCGTGTTCCAGCAACCTTTGGTGGGCCACATGTGGGGGGTTGAAACAGCCAGCGTATACTAAGATTCGATTCATGCGCCTTTGTCTGAGCTCAGGCCTGCTGTGGTTGGCCGCTTGATCGAATATCGAAAGTATCGTGGACATGCAGGTGCTGCGGAAATGACATTTGGCAATATAATATCCCAAATCTGCACGCCTGAGGTCAGTTTCGGCGGAGGTCCTATTGGTGACTTTTGAAGGTATTGCTTCCACCATTGGCGGGGGAGTCGGATAGTCATATTCTGACATATTGATTGTTTCTATTCGTACTGGTGTATAATACCAAAAAGAGCCGCCGAATTAAGAACAGACTAGAATCCATCCATCTATACAATTACTTCACAGGGTACTCTTATAATATAACTTCTCATACCCACCAGCCCACTTGAATACCAATGTGCAGAACAATTGGCGTGTTTGTTACAGCGAATTGCTTATTTGTTGACGCATCCTGCAGGACGGGCATGTATTCAAATAGGAGTAGGGGTACTACATCAGCCACAAGTACTTCTGACTGAGTCGTAGGCTTAAATTGGCATCCGAGGCGCTGTAAATTTAAGCATTTGCTCTGTATTCCCTGAATTCATTGTGGACACAGCGCTTTGAAGGGCTTCGATAGGTAATGCCCATACCCCCCTGAGGTACGGGCCGACAGGGTACTGATCCGGAGGCGTCAGCATGAACGCCACTAACAGTGGGTAAATAAAACATACCCCCAGCTGCCCCAGGCCCTAATTATTCCCAAATCATTGTTGAAATTTATTTTCTTCTTTTCTTCCCCTATACATCTCCTTGACATGCATCAAAACCGCCGACTTAAATCCATATTATTACTAGCCAACTTGATGAATAATTCCGCTTTAGGCCGAGTGAAACGATTAAAATACTGAAAACTGTAGTTTCTCGCTGTGAATTTGTGACTCGTACTATCGTGGTCGGGTGATTGCTGCTCTGGGGGAAGACAGCTGTCGCAGAACCCATAATCCCCATAACATATAGGCTCTTCAAGCACTTATCTCCAGTTGCTTTTAGTGTCTAACTCACCATGATTCTAGTGGATGGGATGGTGACGATAATTTGGTCCAAATGATATCCATATCATTAAGGGTCCCGATAATTACCAATGATCTTCCACGTGTGAGTAGTACTTTTCATTAAGTCTCATATAGGTACGGGTTCTATGCATGTGTCATTATTAATTATATTATTCCACCCTCGAATTATTACTCCATTTGTACGCCTGGGAACTCAACATTAGATATATACACGACCACCAAACCAAACATGATCCCCTCATAATTATTTCCATATTAAATCCTTCACTGCGGTCGCGGTCGCATGCTCACCAGAACAGAAGCCGCGGCATTTCCTAATTGGGGGTAGGTAGGTATTTCGTACCGAACACACCTAGGTGGACGTTTGGATGGATGCGATAATATACCAAGGTACCTAGGTACATATGATAATCCTGGGATATACCTAGGTATGTATATATCGATGTACTACCTAGGTACCGTTGCATGGTTCTATCAAGAATCGAAACTCATTCTATTCCAGGAACCGTAATGAGTAAAAATACGAATCAAACGATGTTTGGATGTCATAGCGTGATCTGTCCGGGAATAATATGATAACATGGTTACTCGCAGTTGTATTAAGCAATTAACCGTCAAGCGGCTCTCATGGGACCCGACTACTTAAATCACACGTCACCCCCATCACGCTTTAGATGTGATACGTTGTATGATCTTCTTTTTTGGTTTGTTTTTTCCACGCTGCTGATTGAATAGTGGCTAAGAACATACATCCAAAGATGCTGCACTACCAGATACTCGACGGTGTCTTTGGAGGTGTCGAAAGAGCAGCAAGAAAGGAAAGACTACGCAATGGGAGCATCATAAAGATGAATGAGTGGACTAGGTTGATAGTACTTATATACCCCTCTCCGAGCATCACCTATAACATTGCTTCTACAGCGTGGCGTAAAAAAATTGGGTACTAACTTGCCAACACTCAACTACTGGTCACATTCACTTCGCGGTTAGAGAATAGTAAGTATGCTACCATAGTTTTGGAAGATCCATAAGCCATTAACATTTGGTAATAATAATATAATACAGTTCGAGAACGCTATGAATGAGCATCTATGTTCCCCTACATTGGAGGGGCAACCAAAGAGGCGAAGTAAAAAGGGGCTAGCTTCCTTATACGTGCTAGCGCGTATTTTTCTGGGGGGTATTGGATCTTCGAAATTTATTTCTTATTTTCGTCTCTGCTCTCCGTTGGCACCGAAGTATTCGCAGTACTTTGCAGCGTAGATGCCGACCAGCTCGACGTGCTAGGTGATGCGGTGCTACTGTCGGACAAGGACGTTGGGGGGTTTCGCAGAAAAGATTTGTTCCTCATAGTGAGCTCCGCTCCGCTTCCTAGCTGCAGGTTGCGTTTAATGTCTTCGATCTCCTGGTATACTTTGATCGTTTCCTTGTTTGCTCCTTGCCTCTTTTCGTCTTCTTCCTTTTTCTGTTGGCCTAACACGGAATCAGAGGTTAGCCAGACACAATTGCTTCGGGTAGTGTTTTCCTTACTCTGAGAACGAGTGTCTATGATAGCAGCGACAATGTTCTTGGCCATGTGTTGCTCATCTCGATCTCTGGGCTCGATTGTGTTGTTAACGGCATCCGATATCGTCGTTTCAATACCATATTCATGGTTGAACACAGACCCTAGAAGTAGGGTGACCTTAGGATCCTGAATCACATAAACAGTCATCCATGCCTCAAGAGACAGGTCTGATTGCTTGAGTTTAACTTGTGCCCAACAGGCAGGCTTAAAGCTCTTGCCTTTGTATCCTTCGAGCGTCGGCTGATCCTCCGGGCTGAGTGGGTACATTGTGATTCCCAATTTCTTTATGATGCCCGACGATATCAGGCAATATTCCGATCCACCGTCTATGAGACCAACAACTTTGGCGGACTTGTCGTTCGTCGGTGATGTTGACGTCACATCAAATACGAGACTTCGTTTCCATAATCGAAGGCATCGCCTTTGTTCTCGCGACAACCCCTTATGAGCCGGTGTGGCTGAACAGAGATCCGGTTCTTCGTTCGTGGACATCGTGATCGATAATCTGGACAATCGAATTATTAGCCATAATATCCGAGCCGCTCGGAACAATGAATTGTGTGGCTATATACTTGACGTATGCGGCATCATCATAATAAACGGCTTAGATACGAGCCAAAACGTCGCGAGACAGCGACAGTGCAGTCAACAACGCATTATGCGGGGCGGCCAAGATATACGTACCTGGCAGTATTGAGCTTTCTCCCGACGAGTACTGTAATTGGGAACTTGTTATTACGTGTGGCTTCCAGGGGGTGTTGCTTGTCGTCGTATGGATTCCCGAGCGAAAGTTTTGAACGCGGGACGGAAGGATTAGGAGGGGTCGCGCGGCTTCCTGGGGCGGATCGGAGAGTGGTTGAAACCCGGCGCTCTTACTCCTAAGGTCGACCCGATGAGATAGATGGATTTGTCCAGAAAGTGATGCCAGAAGGAATGGGCAGAGAGTTGGAGCGTAATCGAATCAGTAGTACGGTGTAAGCAGTTTCCTGTCGAGGATAGAAGAGGGGCTTTCTAGGAGTATGAAATACCATTCAATGAATAGAACATCAACAACTGGTTGATGACTTGAGTGGGAGAGGGAAAGATGAATTGTGGGGGGAGGACAGAGACCAAGCCTCCTGAGAGGCGTGTTTGGTTGGTAGTGCGTCGCATGCATTAGTCCAGGGACCGATATACTTTAGGTAGAGCTGGGAGGGTCCCTATTAGAGTTTGAATTATTAGCTTAGATATATGTAGTCAAAGTACCTAGTATAGAAGAAACCTCGAATGGTAGGCGAACTACTCCTTGTTCAAGCCAAGTTCTACGGGTTCTGTGACGTTGAAACGAACACAACTTGAACGCTTGCAAAGCTATGTGATTCAGTCAGTAGCAAGTGCATACTTAGAATAAAGGTAGAAAACTAACGCAGCGGCTGCCGCAAAGACTTTGACCCTCCTCGCATTAGTGACAAGGCTCATGGTTGTTGAAAAGATTATACTGAAGAAGCACACTAGTCCAAGTCTCAGGGTTATACTTTGGACCAAGTAGAGAATAATGATTGAAGTCATTGGTACAGCCGTTGACATAAAAGAACTGAAGATCTGTACGATAAATCTGATTGTATTATCCGAATAATGATGTAGTGTTGTTCGAGTTCTTGGAGTTTGGCTCTCTATGTCAGATAGAGGCGTCTGCGACGCCGATTAATACTCAGCAATACAAAACATTAGTAGATCCTGCCTACCTTCAATGGACCCAAATAATGGTCGAAAACCTGCAAGGCTGGCCCTACAAGAAATCTCGCAATGGAGTCGTCGTTGGATTGCCCGCTCCCTAGAAATAACAGCTTGTCCGAGTCTTGACCAGAGAGTACTGACGGATAAGGAGCCACATCACTAAGGTCACGACCGAGGAAGTCACAGTCCCCTCCTAAGCTAGCGCTGAGTGTATATGAATATACAACTGAGCGCTGGCGGTTAGTAGGCTGTGGTAATGCAGCTACGTTCTGGTACTGCTGGATTGCCGAGTCTTCGCGGTCAGATTACTTAGTTTTTAATTCTCTCGTTTCAATTACCTAGCCTTTTACTATTCCACGTCTACAGTACCAGGTGGATGATATAATTCGGGGGGTTAACATACAATATTCTCGTAGCTTTTCCCGGATTTGCAGAGCAAGCTGCCACTGCCTCCCGTCGCCACCAGCCGCATGGCGAAGATGGACCCATTCGCGATCGTAACGCCGTATTCTCTCATCATTTGAGTTGACATCTTCCTTAGATTGCCGTGTAAAATCGTATTGTAAATCGCATAGTTCGGCCTGTAAGTATAAGAGGTCCCTCGTAGCTAGTTCACGAAATTGCCTAATAATGACATGATTCTGGCATGTCATAAAATTTGCCAACTTGGCGTAGCCTTTTGGTTCTTTTTGCTGCTGTTCGGGTGCCATTGTAGGGTTTGGAAGGCGCGGGCCTTCAGGGAAGAAGAAACGCCCGGGGATGTCCTTCTAATAACAGGAGTCTCACACTTCTGAGGAGGTGGCTTATTGCAAGTAGCATTTCTGGGGTTACACAACGTCTATGTCGGTCGCAATATGTAAGGTCTTTGGCTAGGCAGACTCGCCCGCTCCCTTAGTTGTTCCCATCCCCATGCGCAATTATACCTTAGGCACCTGTTCTACCCATAGCATATATTTATCCTCAGATGGCATCACGTACCTCTTCGCCGAATATGATCCCTCAATCGTGGCTTGCAGGCACGTTGAAAGATGACGGCCAATCCACAGCCGAGGCCTCGAAGAGATGTCCAACGTGTGGGAGAGCGGTAAATAGAAGCACGAACCCAAATTCCATTCTTGTTGAGCTCACAATCGCATGATTTAGGGATCATCTTGCTTCATGATCAAAATTCTAAGAATCGATATGTCGATCGATACCCCTCGTAATGACCAATTGCCTACTGAATCGATAATATTTCCGGAACGCTGGCGACCGGAAGACCTTATCATCGCACACCTCGGATCCGAAACCCAAGAAAACCTCATCTCGAGGCAATGGCTAGAGAACAATATCCCACAACAACTTCAGATCCTCTTCGGTGATGGAAGAAACATGCAGTTACTCTGGAAGTTCCCACGGGGAAGATACGAATTCCAGACAGCTCATCGAGTCGTAGACATCAAAGACGGGCATGGTATAACATTCAACCGAAAAATACCTACGTCAGCTTCGAATGACGTGTTCTTTGAAGAAGAACTAGCCCAATACCCGCGACGCCGAATAACGGGGAAGATGGCTATGATGGAGGTGAAAGAGCGGGTCTCACGAGTTCTACAGAAATTCTTACATCTACGTCGGGCCATGGAGGGATCAGCCGGAAAGGTGAAGGCAGATTCGATCCGTCTTGGGGGGGTTTTACGCCGAGACAACAGCGAGGACCATAGTCAATCGGCAATACCCAGCATGCGCAAGGAGATCGATAGTCAACTAGAGGGCAATTCCTCAGCATCATCGGAAGGAAATTTAACAGCAGAAAGAGGATTTTCGGTTTCTAGTATAGCGTCTAAATCGTCAGTCCCCGCGACCGATTTAACATCACAATTATATTCAGACCCCGATTCATTTCATCAGCCGCTCTCAAGAGCGAACAATGATGAAGCCAGAGGTCTGAATACAATCTGCTGCCAGAATATATTGCACAGTCCATCCATTTCCCCCGCAGACCCCGAGACCTTTTTAACGAAGGATGGGAATAGACCAGGTCCTGACGTATGTGAATTGGTACATCGTGCGTGGGCCACACAGCAAGATCCACAAGCGAATTGTCTATCTCGAAATGCGTCGACGAGTGAGGCCCGGTTGACCTCATACGCTGAATATGATACCCTGGACTCCATGTGCAGCGAAAACAATGGCGCTGCCCCCCGACTTCAATACAGTTGTGATGGGGATGGGACACAAGCCACTACATGTCTGACTTCACATGATGGCCAAGCGAATACCTACTGCAATCCGATTATTCCGCCGGTTTCTCTTTCCGACCAAGGCGACTGTGGTTCTGTGTGTTTAAGATCACCGGAAATCCCACCTGATGGTCAAGATGAACAGGACTCCTCGTCTATGCTTTCAACTATATCCTCTCTTGGAAGCGACATTCCATACCCTGACAACTATTGGACTTGGAGCACAGAGCAAAACAATTATTTCCATACTGAGACGGGATCTGACGGCACAGAAGTAACAATATGGTATCCAAGGAAATTTTCCTAATCATAACATCTAGATAACTTGCGATGTTGTGGAGCGATGAGAGTAATTCTCATCCATGGGGTTTCTTTGACTCCTCTTTGAAGTAGGTTATGGTCTAGCTTTTTTCGATTCATTCAGTGATGGTGATTACAACGCAGAACAATATTGCTGAAAATATTATACGTATGAAATATACCGTACTATTAGAAAAATGAAATGTGTACAACATCTATATGCTTTGAAAGGCGACGTTATTTTGCTAGGCCATAGCCTCAAATGGTTCTTGTAGATTTCGAGGCCATGATTTAGGCCACTTACCTGCAGGTAGGTATCTGAAAACACTTGGCATCTATGTGCTGACTTATATCATGCAGGCAATCGGTCATTTTAGCCAATACACATGATGTAGCAAGGCTTTAGTGGCGCAGTAAGCCCACGATACCATTATTGCTATCTCACATTACCAACGCTAGCTACTTCCCAATATTGACCATCTCCGAGCGCAAATAGTAGCCAAAGAATTCGGTATCATGTCATACTGCCTACCTACCATATTGAGTAAATATTGCTCGCTGGAGGTATAATTTGCATATATCTACCACGGTATTCATGTGTGCCCATTCTGCCTCGTCAAACCGAAAGGCAAAGTGTCGAAAAGTGCGGGGTAATTGTAATTACTTTACGACCCCTTTCCCCTTTGTGACACCCCCTTTTTGCTCACGAGCCAGCCTCAAAAAAAAATTTCATGCTTGGGAATGGCGGTCACGAACCGACTTGTCACACCATGCTCTATTACTATGGGCTCTGATCACCTAGAGCCTCTCCGATGGCTGCGGAATAATCCTATCGACCGTGATGACGAATCATGGTGGGGTGGTGGCGTTTCGGATGTCCGAACAGCGGTCATTAAGGTATCAATTGATGATACATACACATCATGGAGTTACGTTGAAGGTAGTTACAATTTCCCATGCCTCTAGCAAAGATAACACAAGTGTACCTACCTAGGTACTAATATGTAAATTAGGGTAGGACTTTCAAAATTATTAACTGTATTCTCCATCATTGAATTATTCGTTTGCACGCCCGGGAACTCAACATATATACATGGGGCCAACGACACTACCAAACCAAACACGATTCCCTCATAATAGTAGGGCGATGTACAAGTGCCCCGAGTTCCCCGCCCATGGTTATTTCCACATTAAATTCCAATCCAGCCCAACACAGCTGGTGAATTATCGCCGATTTCCTACGCAAAGCACATAAACTTCGCAAAAGACTTAGCGGGTGGCGCGTCCTCTTCGTCTTCGTATGCCTTACGGACTCGCGCAAGGTCTTTCTCTTCGTCTCGTCCGCAAAGTACCGTGCGTATACCTTCTTGGAATACGCGTTCGACGTTTTCGCCCGTCTTGGCTGAGCACTCGATGTACTTGACCGCGCGCATGATGGTCGCGGCTGTAGAACCCTGGAATTTCGTGTCGGGTTAGCTTCAATTCAGAGAGAGGGGAGTGTTGGGGAAGGAGTACCCCTACCTCTGTAGCAGTGATACGGGCTTGAATGTGAGGGTACAGCGGTGCCCAAATACCAGTTCCCATTCGCGTATCCTTCTTCAGGCCAAGAAGGATGATAGGGATGTCGCCACAATACTTGCGGATTTCGTCGACCCACTACGGCCATTCCCTTCAATGTTAGCAAGGCCGATCGTGCAATTGGAGCAGATGTAGTGTTGGGTTAAACATACCTGAGTCTGAGCATTGGCAAAGCGTACGGTGCTATCGACGCTGAAGCAGAGGAACACCGCGTCCCAGGCGAGGTAGGAGAGAAGTTGAAGCTGGTGAAGGCCGAGGTCGCCGGATGTATCCCAGAGCTCGAGGTCTACCTCTTTCTCGTCTACTGTCTCGATTTTGGTGAATAGCTCGTACTGGGTCTTGGTGTATGTCTGTAGGAGAATATTTGTGAGCGCTACAGGTCTATTTACGAATTAGGGGGAGTCAGGATAGCGTACCTCAGTGAAAGTATCACGATAATAACGACTAGAGGAAGTCCATTAGCACGCGTCGAGACCGTTATGTTATGGGGGAGGGTCGTGACTTACAGCAATAGACTTGATTTTCCGCAGCCAGAGTCACCAACAAGGACAAATCTCATGCGAGGTCTATCGGTTACCAAAAGGGGTGTACCAAGTGGCGAGAGCGACGCGCGAACGGGGGAACCAGAAGGTGTCTCATTGCGTGTGTGGTGGGAGTGGAACGAAACGGCACGATGGCAGGCAGTTGACACGCGGCGAAGAAGGCTACGACTCGACTCAGCGACGCTGCTTCGTCGCTTCTCTACGCTAAGACCATGGTCTGCGGATGGAGTCGTGATCTTTGCTCGCTTGGTACGGTGGCTACAAACTTCTTCATTGTTATGCTCAGAATAAACGGAGTCCTAGCGATTGTTAACGGGCTGTTTATAAGCCGTAGAGATGCCTCCTCCTGTAGAAGTTTGGAGGCAACGCGGCGTATTTACTTACCAAGGCACGCTTCGGGGCTTGGATATGAGCAGGCTCCAAAGGCTTCTCGCGTTCAACAGAAGCAGGTAAATTATCAATCCAACGGACGAGGAAGGGATTCGACGGTCGAAAGATCTCGGGAATGGTGAAAGAGAAGCTTTTCGCAATAGGGATGCGAAATTCGCGAGACTTGCCCGCCTCGCGGGAAGGGAGCCCAGATCCTGTCGTCATTTTCTCGACAGTGGAAAAAACGATACGAGCAAAATAGAAACAACGGTAAGGCATCAGCGATGCCAAAATAATTACCTGAGGTAGGTAGGTAAACAACGAGAGTAATCAAATATTGGTAGAACAGCAACGAGGTGGGTCCCTGAGAATTGACAACACTGCGTGTATTTTTCACCTAGTTGCTGCGGCCAATAGCATTGACAGAAGCAATCAATGGCAGTAGCAGTACTCGCAGTTTGTATTCAAAAACTGAATGACCTTAGAAGACTGTTTCATTCGTCGACTAGACTGACGAGAAAGTTGTTTCACTGGAGTGTTGATGGACCCCTTATCTCGCACATCTGCACAAGCCATTGATGAGAACCCCCTCATCCAATTCACCTTAGAGAAAGCCAGCTCGAATTTCAACATAGAAATGAATTCATATTTAGCTCATACTCATTAATTCCCAAGACGCATTAAATCCAATATGCACAGCCTTCAAATTCCAACATTCAATTGTCCCTATTGTCACGCACCCCTATCGCATCGTCTTCTCGAATCACGAGGCCGCGTCGAGCATTCGTTCCCTCTAAATCTTTTACTATATAGATAAGCCATTATTATCCAATTTACCTAATTCCTACTGAAAATCCCGCCATCATCGTCGCAGCTCTTCGTCTTGGCTCCTTATGCGCGACTCCTAACAAAATCTATAACAGCCTCATTGAGCACCACTGTGCCTTATCCACGCTGTCATCCCGCCTTCCGTTACTCGGTTCACCATTTTCCAAACTCTGTTTGTTCTTCGGAATAGCACACACAGCCCAGCCAACTATTCTGCCTGTTTCGGTATCTTCTGATACGTTGGCGGTGTCCTGCGGGATTTGGTCTTTAGTTCGTCTCACGGCAAGCATAGTGCTCAAATACATAGTTGCTTCTGCTTGACTCAAAAAATTACTGCGCTCATAATGCTCCCATTTCGTATTCCAGAGTGGTACCATCACATCGCCAACTTGTATCTGCTGTGAGCTCATGCCATAACCCGTATTGGTCTCAAACTCCGAACCTCCTGATCCAAGCTCGAATAGACAGAAGTCTTGGAGGAGAGAATTCAATTCCCTCAGCGCATCTAGTACTTCGGTACGTAATGACTTTGGTAGCTTCCGGACGATGCTTCTAATGAATTTATCGCTAGGTGAGCTCTTTAATCCTAGATCACGACCTGATTGACGAAATTCTACAATCACTTTAACCAAAGAAGAGAGTGCAAGGATTCGCGACGCCGAATCAGGTGTGAGTGGTAGAAGTGTCTTCAAAATGTCAACAACATGCTCTGCTCTTTCCTCTTCTTCTACTGGAAGCGAGCCACACTTCGTGGCATAAACAACCTGTAGATCTCGTGGAGTACCCAATGAGGCATGCCAATCAATACGGAGAGCGCCATCGCAAAATTTCAATGTGGCCTTTTCGGAATGTCCAAGAGAATCAGGATAAGCTTCATAGGTATCCAAGTTCCTTATAAAAGAATCGTAAGGAAGATCTCGCACTCGGGAATTCGACCAGTTAGGGATCCAGGAGGGGTAGGGGACATTATCTGGCAGCATAACAGATCCAAATTCAAAAAGGTGAAGCATTACTTGAAGTCGCATATCATTATCACCATGAACGAAGATACCCGAAACAACCTGCTTATATACTTCAGTCCAGTGAGCAGTGTAATCCAAGCAAAACCAATTTGCATCTCGCACGAGACCTAATAGGGCGGCAACGCGATCTTTCGGTTCAAGACACTGAGCTTCGTGAAAATTCCACAATAACTGCAAAATCGTAAGATTTTCCGTTGGTTTGCGCAAGTTGGCCATCACTTTGATTGGATAAGACGACATGTCAAGAGTTTGGTACCGTTCCGCCGCCAAGACCAGCGAAGATAGGGGAACAGAGTAACCCCCGCAATGAACAATCGCCCGCCGTGCAAGACACGCCTCTTGGATAATCCAGCGACGCGAAAACCAAGGACGTTCGGAGAAATCACCGAAAGACTCGAGCGCTAACATGACGCCGGCATTTCCGAAGACGGTATTCATGAGAGCTACGATATTTGACGCCATGTTCACTTTTTCGACTTCAGGGAGTAGGGCAATGTACCGGAAAAAGGTAAATAATTTCGCTGTTGAATGGTCTTCGGGACCAATCCAGATATGTACCATTTTCGCTTCTCCAAAAATACGGCCCATCGCGGGGATCTGTTGAGATTTTTCATTCTCGTCGGCCTGGTTGAGACATATGGCGTCGAGCCATAGACAATCTAGCACTTTTAGTGCTCGAAGGCGCCGTAGTAGGACGTCAACGTTAGGTGTGATTTTTAGATATGAAATATCGTCGTCGCATTTTACTTTGAGACTCCGAGAGAAATCGGGTTCGCCCCATACGTATGAAATAGCGACGTAGTTCCCAGCCTGGTTCGAGCGCCTGCGATGGATGATTGAGCAACTTAGGGGCTCATCTTCGCGTGTTGCTGAGTCTAGTATGATGAACCGGGTCTCGTCTTCTGCGAGCAAAGCTCTGTAGTGATATTGATTGAAGACCGGCATCGTCAGTATGGCAAATGGAAAGAGGATCCGAGATATCAATGCTTGCGTGGGGAAAGGGGTTGCTGCCCCGCATTGGAGCTCGCTCAATTGGTGACGTAAAGTACCTATGACCAGGGCGTCTGGTGATTCTCAGCACCTAGCTACCTACCTAGGTTAGGTAACAACACCATTCCATTCTACAGCATGTTTTGTCTATTATCATGACATATACGAGAAATACTCCTTTATCTATTTGATCATGTAAGAATCTAGGTCCTACTAGAACCCCTACCATAAGTCGAGATTGTGGATATTCCAATATTGCCGCCATTCGCCCATGGCGTTCTGGGGCAAGGAATTATCGCATTTAAAAAGAACTTTTCGTGATCCATCCTGCCTTTCTATGTACCAATTTAAGTTATTATCAATACGCAAGCAGAAACTTTCCTCGAAACCTCGACTTAAGAAACTCCCATAGAGAAATTTCATAGTTTGGGAATCAAGTGTATGAGACTCCATAACCAAGGCTTCGATGATTCTGTCTAAGAGATTCGATTCGGTTCCTATGAATTTAGAGACATCATATCAGACATCTAAGTCTTCATACCCGAGTAGTGTTATGAAAGCGTCAGCAATCTTCTTCAGGAAGCTCGGTTGCCTTCCAAGAACTTGCATGACTTCATTGCGAATGTCCCTATCCGGTTCCCCAAGCAGCCGCACAAGAGCTTCGATGGCATTCTCCGATAGGTCCGATTGCTCTCCAAAAATCTGCAAGACCCTATTACGGGTATCCGCATTCGGTTCTTCAAGCAACTGTATAAGAATTTCGGTGGCATTCTCTGATAGATCTGATAGAGCTTTCAGGGCCGTAGTGGCGCAATATTTGGTTTCCCAATCTTGACTTTCTAGTAGCATTATGAGAATTGTGGTGGCTTCTTCTCTCAATTTTGCACAGCTGTTTAAAGCAGCAGCAGCAGCATATACTCGGACGTCTTCACTTTCATGTTCAATGAGTGTTTTCAAAGTCATAGTAGTCTCTTGTGACAGGTTCCCGTGTTCTATAAAGCCACGAAAAATATAGGGATCATCTGCAAAATCCATAGCGGACAAGTCCGGCTGACTCCCTAGTATCTCGGCGGCCGTGAGACGAATGCAGTCTTCTACGGTTTTGTCTTTTACCAGGCCTATAAAACTGGTGATAGATTGTTCTGATAGTTCTAATCGTCGTTCTAGAGCTTCGGCGACGGCTTTTTGAATATCCTGATTTGCATCTTTGAGCAGCTGCACTAGCTTGTTTATTTTATCTTCCGGTAAATCTAATTGTTCTTTTAGTATTTTGATCCAGATGGGCAAAGTCCAACCATCGCAGCTTCCGGGTAGCTGTACGACGTCCGGGAAAGGTAGTTTTGATTGTAACGCTATGGCTTTAGCGATAGAGTATTGGGTTGTCGCATCTGCGTTGTGAAGTAATGGCTCAAGAATATTGCTTTTCTTCGAAAATTCCGATCGGTATCTCAGAATAGCTGCACTGAACAATTGGACATTCCAATCTGCATTCTCAAGTAACCGTACAAGAGCTATAATAACCTGTTCAGATAAGTTCGGTTGTTTTTGTAAAACCCTAGAAGCGAGAAATTTGTGATAATTATCGTCGTCCCTTATGACTACCATAAGAGCTGCTGTAACTTCTTGTGGTATATTTGGCTGTTTTTCTAGGATCTTAAGAGTAGCTTTTCTAGTACCCTTATATGAGCTCTTGAGCAGTGTTCCACAAACTACGATAGCATTCTCTGGCAAGTTCTCTTGCCGCCATAGCACATCGACCAGCAATCCAGGATTCGTATCTCGAAGAAGCGTCACTATAGTAGTGATGGTTTCCTGTATATCTGATGAACGACCTAGGATCCGGGCGGCGGACTCTTGGACCGATATATCTTTGTCTTGGAGTAGTGTCACCAAGGTTGAAAAATTTTCCTCTGATAAATCTGGCGAATAGCCTAAGGCTTCGGTAGCACATTCTCGGTTGAACGCATTTGCGTCTTGGAAAAGTCGTATCAGCTTCGCGGTCGTTTCTGGCGACTTGCGTTGGAGACCTAGGGTTTCGGCTGCCGCGTATCTGGTATTTTCGAGCGCGTTGTTATCTAAGACCAATTCTAGTAGCTTCGTGATGGCTCCCTCTACTAAGTCATATTTGCCTTCTAGAGCGGCAACCGCAGCGTATTGGACTTCTTCGTTTACGTCCCCGAATAGCACTGCGAGGTCGGTGGCAATCGCCCCTAGCCAGTCACGCGATCTCAATGTTTCTATTATTTTCACCCTTCTGGACTCATCCCTGTCATTTAGGGCGCCATGTAGGGGTTGGTATGGAAACTCCGATTCCCTAGCCAAGAGCGAGTGCCCCATAAGATCGCATTCGAATAACAGCCACTGCGACAACTTTCTTTCCAATATCGGCCGAGACTGTATATCAGTTGCTTCACTCAAACAATGCATAACTAGTCGCTGGTGTGTGGGCCCTAAAAGGTCGGGTTGCCCATCCTCGAGCTGCCTAAAGAATTCCGGTACCTCCTCGGGCGTGAGTAGGCCTGCCGTAAAACGCCATACGATGTCGTAGCGCGGGTTATACTTGTATTCCTTCAAGAAATCTTCAGATTTCATACGACAAGTCTTAGGCGCTTTGGCGTTGAGATCTAAGAACACAAGTTGACTTTGGGATTTCCATTGTCGAACGAAATACTCTGTTGCAAAGAACTCCTGAGAAGTCAGATGCAAGAAATGATAACTTTGTTCAGACTTGTCTGCTGAGGGGTATGATGTCCGCAGGAACGACAGGCATCCAAGTCGTTCAAAAAATGACAACCCTCCTTGGATGCACCGTACTAATTTATCGAGTAGAGCCCCTTGATGTCTCGGTTGAAAATCTATCAAGTTGCTGTACATTCCACTGAAGGCAAAATACTCAAGAATCTTCCTTTCGGGTTCACTTTCCATAGCAACCTCCTCTGGAAAGGCATACTTCATATACGTTTCTGATTTATCTCCTCTAAACCGGAAGTTATCCTTCTTCCACAGGTAAAATACGACAGCTTCGTAAATGGCGGTAACAGTCTCAGGGATGGGGGTTTTGGGGATATCACGCCATGCGAGGCAGAGGAAAATTATTCTCAGCGAACGTATGGATTTACATCTTGTTTGGGCGAATGATGGAAGGATTTTCATAAAGCCATTACCTCGTTTCATACTTGATCCCGAGGTCTGGGATAAACGTCTTAAGTGCGGCGTCGGTTGCGCATGCCAACAGTCCACCGCGGATCATAAATCCGGTACCGTGCTCCCGACAGGTATGCCTCAAACCCACGAAGACATTTGTGCGTTGCGTAAATGTGCTTTGGGTTTTCTCTATTCGTATATCTGCCTCCTTACTCACGAGAGCAACTTTATGCTCGCAAAAGAACACCAACTTCTTCCCAATTTGGAGGACAGCTCGCATATTAGATAGAATGATTGGAAGATGTTTGCCCAAGAGATCCTTGACCAGCATGACGAGGACAAAATACATCCACGTTTCCACCGGGGAGAACTACGGCTCTCTCGACTTAACTTTCTCAGCCGATTCACCCAGTGGCCCTTTTTTACTTCGTACATTCGCGGTCGGCAAAACTACAGCAGTCTATTGCGGGATAACGTTAGCTCGCTAGCTACAGCTACAGTCTTCGTCGCCTTAGTTCTTACGGCAATGCAGGTTGCGCTTGCCACGGACCAACTCAAAGAAAATTCTCAGTTTATAGCTGCTTCGTACGGCTTGTCGGTATTCTCTATTTTGGCACCACTTTTCGTCCTTGTAATGGTGATCCTAGAAGTGCTCTATAATCTAGTCAAGGACAACTTCCTGTCAAAGGCAACTACTGACGACACACCCGCCTCCGAGACTCCGCCTGGGGAAGCCACTGCTAGGACATCGAGAAGTGGAGATAATAATGTTTAATCAAAGAGGCCTTGAGTTTTAGTTATGTCGCAGGCTGCAAACATGTGGGGGTAGGTTGGAGGCGATAATAGGTTATATTTCATCTTTCGCTAGTGCTGCTAGTGGGGTTAGGTCTTAGCAACTGACGACCTATGTTCTCTGTGCGCTGTGACGATGCTGACGATTCGTATAGCGCAAGATTTCATTGTATTACGCTGAAACTGCTCGAGATAGCTGTTTTAGCTGGTTTACCTGTTGTGTAGCTAGAATTCATTTCGTTCATAGGAATAACAAGTCTGTTCCCCGATGGCGGAGTCTTTAGCAGCTTTTGACCAGGTGCGGGATATGGCTGATTTTTATGATCTTTAAACACCGATTATTCTACATGCACCCCGGCACCTACCAAAGGTATGAATCAATCTGCACGAAGCGCGTAGACAATGAAATGTCCAGTTCCATACCACGGAATGACGAAAAGGGGCTCGGGAGGTATTTTATGGGTACTCCGGTCGGCTTCGCTGCTTTGGGTTCGGAATGAAGGTGCGATTAAGGTTGATATCGGCATACTTTCCGGGACTCAATCGGGGGAAATCTGAAATCGCAATGCGGTAAGCTAGTGTTTGCGTCTAGTCTAACCATAAACTGATTCGGTTCCAAGTTTGCACCTACCCTCTTACGAAATTTGCTTGGTACCGATGGACAATGTAGCAGGAGGTTGTGAGACGATGTGGGGCTCGTATCTCTTGACAGGAAGCGGGGAATATAGAGGGGAGAAACTTAACGGAGAGAAATGCGCTGAATTAGGTAAAGTATTAAGCCTAACTTATACTATCATACCACGTCATTGCCGAGTTGATTGATAATCAATTGTTAAATAGTATAAGTCTCTTCAAGTTACCCTTATATATATCTAGGTAGTTAGCTGGGATTAGGAATGACAACGAGACTTGGACAAATCGCAACACAGATCCTACCCAAAATGTCGGACGTTCATCTATATACCGCCCAGACGCCTAACGGCATCAAGGTTTCGATCCTTCTAGAGGAGTTGGGAGTACCATATAAGGTGTGTATACTTGTGTTGTAATTGCTTTAGACGGATAGAGACCAAGAGAAATGGTGCTGACTTATAGACAGGTGACTGCTATCGACATCAGCAAGAACACTCAGAAAGAACCATGGTTTCTGGAGATCAACCCGAACGGCCGTATTCCTGCCTTGACAGATACCTTCACTGATGGCAAGCCTATTCGACTATTTGAGAGTGGCTCTATTATGCAATACCTCACTGACAGATATGATCCGGAACATAAACTATCATATCCTAAAGGCTCTAGGGAGTATTATGAAGTGAACAATTGGGTGAGCGGCGGATGCTTCTTGAGCTTGGGATGAATTGCTAACATTGCTTAGCTCATGTGGCAAATGGGTGGCCTTGGTCCTATGCAAGGGTAAGGGGAATTGAGACTGATAAGTTTGAACGGTGATGCTAATATTAGGCAAGACAATTGAACCATTTTAACCGTATGTGTTGGCTTGTAAGCTAATGATTTGCATCGTGAGAGCTAACATGAAGTAGGCTATGCTCCCGAGAAGATTGAATACGGGATCAATCGATATAGGGGAGAGGTGCGACGTCTTTATCGCACCATCGAGACACAGTTGAAGTCTTCGACATCCGGCTACTTAGTTGGTGATCGATGCACGAGTGCGGATATTGCATGCTGGGGATGGATCGTATCTGCTAGTATGTTGTTACATGATTCTATGAGGTATCTAATATGATCCGCTGACGTGAGCTTGTATAGAGTGGGCTGGTATTGATATGGCCGAATTTCCGGTATTGGAGGAATGGGTACAACGATTGCTAAAGCGACCAGGAGTTGAAAAAGGTCGTCATGTACCAACAGCTCATACTTATGAGACGCATCAGAGCCTCACTCCTCAAGCAATGGATGAGAAAGCTGCTAAACTTAGAGAATGGGTCCAAAGTTCAATGAAGGAAGAAGCGAAATGATGAAGTTCCTAGGAAGGCTGATGTATGAAGGATAACCATGAGAGGCGTAGGCGCTTATCTTAGTGATTAGGTGCCTTTTCTAAGACAACTTTCCCAACCCCTTTTGTTTTTATAGCCATTCATGTTTGCCTAGAGATATTAAGCACCCTTGTATTTGAGGAAAACTTGTATGAAAGGATAAATGTGACTTGAGTATTAAGCATAAAAAGGATTACATATCACACTCCAACGATACCTCCTTCTGCTTGAAAAAGATGTGTTAGGATGGAGGATTGAGGAAAGGAAGAACGATGGATCCGTGAATTGCTTATCAGCGCATTCACTCGATGGATTGGAATCAGCGGGGTAATCTCACGTGATACTGTACGTAATCTTACAGTGTAAATGGGCGTAGGTACTTAGGTACTTTGATACTTCCAGTGAAAATGGTCAGAGCTTTCCCCTTAACTCCACTTTTGTGCCGGGCAGGATTTTAGTGCGTCGCCAGAAAAAGTCGCCTCGATGGAATCCTACCTAACAAACCATTCTGCCATTCCATCCTTCAAACACCTTCCATTAACTTAATTCACCCTTTCTTCATCCACTTACATTTCCACATTTCCTCGCAGCGCGCGATCTCGTCGAAATGTCGTGGAGAAATCAAGGAATCACCGGATCCAACAATATCCCTCTCGGCAAAAGTCGACGGTTTGGAGGAGAACCGGAAGATGCGCCCTTAGAGCGCGGAAATGGTTATGGAGATTTCAGCGTATCTAATGGTGATCGCGATTTGAAGCGTGGTCGCAGTCCCGAGCCCAGTAAGCATCTCCAGGCCTATTACTTCTTATCAATAGAAATAAATATTAACAATATTTACCACAGGAACCGATGCCGACGGAGTGCGACGTCGTAAGAAGCGAAACCGATGGGGCGATGCATCCGAAAACAAAGCAGCTGGCCTTATGGGCCTTCCTACCGCCATCGTAGCCAACATGACCAGCGAACAACTCGAGGCATATACACTACACCTGAGAATTGAGGAGATTAGCCAGAAGCTACGCATCAATGATGTTGTGCCAGCTGATGGTGACAGGTACGTATAGCGGTTCTGTTGATATAATTTAGCCACCTATTCTTTGCGCCAATCCGACTAATCCATTTCGTTCCACACAGATCCCCTTCTCCTCCCCCGCAGTACGACAACCATGGTCGCCGTGTTAATACAAGAGAATACCGTTACCGCAAGCGCCTCGAAGATGAACGACACAAGCTGGTTGAGAAGGCTATGAAGACCATCCCTAACTATCACCCACCTCAGGACTATCGCCGACCCACCAAGACCCAAGAGAAGGTCTACGTGCCCGTCAATGATTATCCAGAGATTAACTTCAGTGAGATTGCTAACCCTCTAACCTTTCTAACTTTGTTTATGCCCCTTCTTGTTTGGGATATTACCAGGAGTGCCGTCATATCTCGTTGGATGATATGCCGAATCCTGGCCTCATCTAACCCATACTCACGCTCCGGTCATCTTGTTACATGTACTAACACCTAGGTCTTCTTACTAAAGTTGGTTTACTTATCGGCCCTCGTGGCAACACACTCAAGAAAATGGAAACAGAATCGGGAGCTAAGATTGCCATCCGCGGTAAAGGTTCCGTGAAAGAAGGCAAAGGTCGGTCCGACGCCGCCCACGCTAGCAACCAGGAGGAAGATCTCCATTGTTTGATCATGGCGGACACTGAGGAGAAGGTCAACAAGGCGAAGAAGTTGATTCATAATGTTATCGAGACTGTAGGTGCCGTCTACGAATCCCTCTATTAAGCATTTACTAATGTTAACTCTTCCAGGCTGCCTCCATTCCTGAGGGACAAAACGAGCTCAAGAGAAACCAACTCCGAGAACTTGCCACATTGAACGGTACTCTGCGTGACGACGAGAACCAGGCCTGTCAAAACTGTGGCCAAATCGGCCATCGCAAGTATGATTGTCCCGAGAAGCAGAACTTCACGGCCAACATTATCTGCCGAGTTTGTGGCAACGCCGGCCACATGGCTCGAGATTGTCCCGATAGACAAAAGGGTGCCAGCTGGCGTAACGAGGGTCCTCCCCGTGCTGCTGGTCGTATTGGTCCCGGAGATGCTGTCGATCGTGAATACGAGGTATGTACATCTATTAAACTGATGCTTCAGCAATGACATTGTCTAACTTCATATAGCAATTCATGCAAGAACTCGGAGGCGGTTCCAGTGGTCCGCCAGCTCGCATCGAAGCTGGTCCCGGTTCTTACAACAACGGTGCCGGAGATGCGAAGCCTTGGCAACGAGGTCCGACAGGTGCTGCTGCTCCTTGGCGCTCACGTAACAACGATCAGGGCAATGAGGGCGGTGGCGGTGGTTCGGCTCCTTGGCGCGAACGTCATCGTAGCAATGATAACCACGGTGGTGATTACTATGGTGGCCAAGGTCAAAGCTACAACGGTGGTTCTTCGGCTCCTGGTGCGGCACCTTGGCATCAAGCTCCCGCTGGACAGCCGCAATATCCCAACTACCCCGGATACTCTGGCTATGGCGCAGCTCCGGGTATGGGACCACCTCCCGGTCTTGCACCTCCTGGTGGGTTGGGTGCTCCTCCCGGACTTCCAGCTGGGAACATCAACGCTTTAATCCAGCAGTATGCAAATGGTTCTGCACCACCTCCTCCCCCTCCACCTTCTGGCGAGGCTCCTCCACCCCCTCCTGGTGATCAACCACCGCCTCCTCCTCCCGGTGCTTAAGCGTGGGAGGTTTGTGGACCGACTAGGTCGTTTCGATACTAACCCGCTTGGCTTGACAATTTCATGTCATGTTCAAGCTATTTTGCGCTACTAACGATTTCGCTACTGCGTATTGATTCTGACCTTAGGACTGATCGTTTCTTCACGCGCTACTTCGAGCTAGTACTGATTTCTAATTCGTATGCGACCTTGAGGAAGGCATACATGCAATCCAACGACATCGCAAGTAAGGTGGTACTAAGTGTGTATTATAGGACTAATAATCCATAGATAGCAATACGGATGCTTTTGATGTATTTCCTGTTCGTTAATTGGGATGTGATAGTTTTTCTCAGGTGATGATTCTACTTTATAAATAATTGCACTCATTGAATTAAATTCTTAAAATAAACTCTTACTTAAGTCTATCGCGAGAACGCTGAAAAGCTTCAATACATGTTCCGGATGGGAAACATCACGTCAGCATGTACGACCTAATGTAGTAGCAGGGATAGGGGTCCTTGTGGAGCTTGGGCCATCCCCCGCATTCAATGTCCCAGGGGATGTCGTTAACTAATAGATTGGATTGGCAGTGGTTTCCAACTTTCTCCAACTTCACCTAGGCTTCTATTGTTCGGAACCAAGTTAGAGTTCTCAACTTCCAAGGCAGTCGCGTCACATGGAGATGGCTAGAGCTGTACTTGTGACATTTATCATCTAATCAAACTTCTAAACATGAACATCAATATATTTTCAAAAATTCATTATCCTAATTAAATACATTATACCTCAACATATGTTCTAATTTCCTTGGGCTTGCACCCCCTGGGATGTTTATCATCCCCACCTAGAGCTTCTTTGACCTCCGTCACTGGTCCTCGCCTGTTCCATTCCTGCAGCCCTACAGTTCTGCCTATACATTAATCGTGCGATCTCTATAGGCGAACTAGCAGCAAATTCTGCGACTGGCTAGCCAATCAATCATGGCTGCGTCGAACCCAGTCGCCTTCAAGCCATTCGCGGTCACCTTCTGGACCACCATCACTTACATCGCGCTCATCGCCCCTCTAATCGTCGTACACGAAACCGTTCCCTCCCTGCCGAGTAATCCGACGCTGTACTCCGGTCTCAACCTCACGAAATCATGGCTCGATTTAACGACCCTGTCGCGCGATTACCATCCTTTCAATAGTCGGGCGAACGATGAAGTACATGATTGGTTGTTGTTAGAACTGGAGGAGATTAAGAGACGGAATGGCGCGAATGACTCGAGTGTGGTTGTGTTCGCGGATAATGTTTCCAATATTACGACCGCGAGCACGATTTTCGGACCCCCGACTCCGGCGGGGACGTACTTTGAGGGCACGAATGTTTTGGTGTATGTTAGAGGGAAAGATGACCCGCAGGGCCGCTGGTGGGAGGATGGGAATGTGAATTCGGATAAGGTTATTGGGAAAGGGGGGGTGTTGATGAATGCCCATTATGACTCGTAGGTATTGATGGGACTTGTATAGCGTGGTTCTGCTAACGAAGGGTAGCGTCGCGTCTGGATTCGGAGCTACGGATGATGGGATGGGTTGTGTCACTTTGATCGCCTTAGTCGATTACTTTTCCCGACCGGAGAACCGACCTCAGAGGGGTATCGTCGCGCTATTCAACAACAATGAGGAAGATGGGCTATGGGGCGCACAAGCTTTCATCGACCACCCGCTGCAGCCTTTTTGTCATACCTTCTTGAATCTTGAAGGAGCTGGTGCCGGTGGCCGAGCCAACCTATTTCGCGCGACAGATGCTGAGGTAACCAATGCGTACAAGGGTACCAAGGATCCTTTCGGAACTGTCATCTCATCAGACGCGTTCGGTCTTGGAGCTATAAAGAGTAACACCGATTACATCGTCTTTAATGAGGTCTTTGGATTGAGAGGCTTAGACCTGGCGTTTTACCGACCGAGGGCCAGATATCATACCAACCAGGACGACGCCAAACATGCATCGAGGGCCAGTCTTTGGCATATGTTGAGCAGCTCGCTACACACGGTGCAGGGTCTTTCCGGAGATACTGGTGAGACATTCATCGGCGAACGACCGGATGGGGACCGCAAGAAGGTGTGGAATGGTAGAGGAAATGATGGCGTCTGGTTCGATATTTTCGGAAAAGGATTCGCACTTTTCGATCTACGAACCTTGTTTGCGTGGTCTCTCACTTTGCTAATTGCGGCGCCCTTAATACTTATGTCCCTGACGTACGTCCTGATACGCACCGACAAATACTATTTTTTCTCAGCAAGGCGATCTGCTTATGAGGGATCCGAACTTGATCCGGTTACGTTGGGCGGTCGAAAGGGCTTATTCAGATTTCCCTTCGCATTGGTCGTTTCGGGCGCGCTGGTTGTCGGTTCGGCATACTTGATTACCAAGATCAATCCGATGGTTATATACAGCAATGAGTATACCGTGTAAGTACATGGCGATCGCTTCCCTAGGTGCTTTTCTAATTTTGAGTGATAGATGGGCCATGATGATATCCCTCTTCTACTTCGTCTTTTGGACCATAATGGCAGGAGCAAATTTCGCGCGACCCAGCGCTTTGCATCGGGGTTATTCCATATTCTGGCTATTCACCATAGCATGGGGCATCCTAGTCGCCGATACTGTTTTCGAGGATCGCTTTAGAATTGCGGCTGGATACATATTCGTGTTCTTCCATTCTGCCACGTTCCTCGCTTCATTTATTTCTCTTTGCGAGCTGTTCGCCCTGCCTACGAAAGCGTCGTTTGCGCAGCAAGCACACGACGAACATGATATCAGGGATCATATCAATGCTGTGCCACATACCGATGACCTAATTTCGCCAAGCCACGATGAATTGAATGCCGAAGATGATGGCAACGAGGAAGACGAATCACAATCCGCTCCGACAGAAACAACACCCCTTGTCGGTGGTGGGTCCGGAGAGAACCGTCAAACATTTGCTACTACGTACCGTCGCTCGATATCATCGCTCATAAGTAAAGCAAAATTATCAGATAGCGAAAAAGATCAGCCATATGTATATGAGCAGCAGTGGTCAGCAAATATCCCTAGTTGGGTCTGGGTTCTCCAGTTCATTATCCTTGGGCCATTCCTTATCACATTAACTGGCCAGAACGGTCTAACGCTGGTCGCCTCGGTTTCGCAGACAGGTGCCGATGGATCAAGTCTTCTACTGCCGTATCTTATGACAGCCTTCTTCAGCATTTTCTTATTATTACCAATCACCCCATTTATTCATCGTATCACCCACCACGTGCCAATGACCCTACTGGTAGTATTCGGTGCTACGTTGATCTACAACCTAACAGCGTTCCCCTTCACTGAAGATAGCAGATACAAGGTCTATTTCCAGAACACTGTCGACCTCGATACCGGCATATCGAAGGTCCACTATGTTGGTTTACGAGATTTTGTCGAGCAGATAATTGCTGAATTGCCGTCCGCGATGGGCAAAGAACTTGAATGCACATCGACAGGAAGTTTGCGTCCTCCCCTAGCTAGCTGCTCTTATGACGGCTCGGATGTACCGCCGAACGTGGTGAAGACTTATCCCGAGGGAGTCCCACCGCAAAAGGGTTTTACCAGCTGGCTGGATTACAATATTACACGGGTTGGTGGCGAAACAAAAGCTAGGTTTGAGATCAACGCAAGGGAGAGCCGGTCCTGTGCAATTACATTCAAGAAGCCAATATCTTCATTCAAAGTCGGCGGCAATTCGCCCAATGAGCGATTTGGTGCCGTGCCAGAAGATGGGCTTACCAAAGTTAAATTGTATCGTCGCGATTGGACAACACCGTGGCAGGTTGATGTTCAATGGGATACGGATGAGGATGCGAACGCAAGCAGTGGAATTGACGGTCGCATTCTTTGCAGCTGGGACGACGTTAACATACCTGGAACGATTCCTGCCTATGACGAAGGGCTTAAGTATACCCCAACATGGGTGGCCCTCTCGAAGTTGACATCGGGCCTTTGTGAAGGGAGCAAAGCATTCAAGGCGTAACATACGATAGGCATGTAACCACATACTACGCATACCGTCGGTGGCTCTACGTAGAGGTGACAGAAAGTCTCCTCGCGGATGACACGGAACTCCTGTGTAACGCGCATCGGTCAGTGAATTTACGGAGATGCACTACCAACTAATCGGATGTTTGAAGTGTTACAGATTATGAAATCCGCAATGAGATACGCCGAATGATTTTGCGCGGAGAGTATGGATACCTTGCATGGTTTTAGGCGTTTACTTATTTTGTCCGGCAGCGTTGGTAATGTTGCAGTTAGGTAATGTCACGTAACCCGTTTCCCGTGATGGCAACGGCCTCGAAGAAGTCATTGCCGGGTCACCCGCTTCCTATGAGACAACACCACCTTTTGGTTAATACATAATTGATCGTTTATCTTATGTTCTCGAACTTCTAAGACCCCAGGGGATTAAGCCGGAGTATACCGGAGTGCACCGGAGTTGAGTTAAGTGCAGTTGATTCAGTTTCGCTGTGACGAATTCTTTAGTGGTTTTCTATTTCCCCGTCTTTCTGGAATGATCGACATGATGATGCCTCTTATTAGTCGAATCTGGACCATCTCTCGTTTGGGTAGCTTCCGATTTTAAGCTCACTCGCATATGCTCTACAGCATCAGAGCCGTTAACGGGATGACCCAATAGTGGTTCGGTGGCACTTGGAAGATGGTCGTGGCGTAGTATCCTCCCTACAAGACATCGACCTGGATCTTCGCGAATCGACAGGGAATATATCTACACGTTCCAATCAAATGCGGGAACCTACCTCAACAATTTTTTATTCCCATATTGGTCAGGGTTGCATTTTGCCTATTTATGAGAGAACGCTGATGTCTGGTTGACGCGATTATTTTTCCATCTGCAAGAATTCCCTTTTTTTTACGACAAACCTCTAGAAGAATATCTCGGAAGATGCGAAAAAATAATAATAATGGAAACGTTTATGTTTCCGCCCCTCTAGTTGGTGCTTCAAGGGAGTAGTGAAGGAGGGGCGCCAAATGTCGCCGCAATGGGCTAACTTCCGCAATGAGGCCGCGATCGCCGCGCATATGTTGGAAAAGGGAAGAGTAGAAACAAAGGACCTGCAGCCTTCCCCTCCCAAGGTTCAATGGAAATTGAATCGAGAAGGTGTCACGGAAGTTTACCTAGCCAGGTATCTACACCTGTAGGTACGTGAGTAAGTAAAAGAAAAGCAGGGGAGCGGTAGACGGGATTCTGCGAGTTTCCTGAATGGTTTGTACCCGTTGGCGTGCCTTACATTGATTGCTTCTCTTCCAGGTTGTTTAGTGTGATTGAGGGTTCTCACCTCACCCTCAGGGATTAATCCTTCATTTTTTTTTTTCGCTTCCGGGCGACGGGCACGCACTTGCAGTGTCGATCATTTCAATCTTTCTGTCACTACCCCTGGCCACTCACGTACCTTACTAAAAAAGATCTTTTCCTTTTTTTCAGGTACTTGACATCAGACTGTCATGTCTTGTTGGATGTCTTGTCCTACCATCAGTACCAATTTTAGAAGCAATCTTGAAAGTACAAGGCTAATAAGCTAATACAAGCTCACTTGGCATATTACTTACATACAATCTATCTATCTATCGCTGACGTCCGTCGCCCCCCTGATTCTTACAGTACTTATATACTTATTATCTGTCCCTTCCCGATGTCAAAGTGATTAGATCTTGGCTAATTTTTTGTTTGTTTGTTTCCTATCGGCGTGGTATTAAATACAACTCAGGGCCCCGCTGTGCAATTATATAAATACAAGCCAAGAAGATATATTCACGCCTACCTACAGTCTACAACCCACAACATCCACGACCTACCTAGGAGAAGAGAAAAAGGGTACGAAAGTCATACAGACATAATACATAAAACACCAACTGCCTTACACAAGACAATACAAGATGGGAAGCTTCACTCTACGAACCGCTTTAACGGCCGTAGCCTCCGCTGCCGCCGCACTCGCCGCCCCGGCTGCTACAAGCAGCGCGACGCCATGCACCACGGGCTCTCCCGTCGTGACGTCCGGATACACTATTAACTACGCACACGCGGTGCCAACGCCAGCTTTTGAGAACGGATACCAGCCCGAGTCGGCCTGGTCTAAGAGCCATGTCGTGGGTACTTACGTACGTATTCCCCTGCCACTCACCTTAGATGTAGAGTTGTTATGAGGATGGCGACTAATTAGAAACAGACATTCGGTGTCCCAGAACCGGTCGAGTCGGGCTTCGCATATGCTCAGTTTAAGTGCCAGTACTTCTGCAATGCCAAACCGGCCGGTAGTTTCTTCGTGAACTACGCCGATGATTCTAAGGTTGGGTCGTATTGCACTTGTTTTGATGAGCTGTGAGTTTTTATTTTATTTTATTCATTTCTTTGTTTCTTGTGTTATCTATAAGCTATACCCAAATAGCTACACGTCGTCGGAGTTACAGGGTTGTCTACCTAGGTGGTTACTCCGATTATTGTAGCGCATGTTATAGCGCGTCTCCAGCTATTTTTCAGGGGCACGATGTGCTGACGTAAAGCGATTTACAGGCTTCAACCCGAAAGCTTCGTCTCCAACAACCAGACTATCGTCGGAGCCTGGAACCACATCTGCGCTGCTTAATATCATTCTTTAAGCCAGCGCAAAAATGGGAAAGGGTGTACTTGGAATGTTTTGGAGGCGCCTAAGGTTGTTTTTTTCGGGAGGCGTAAGTGTATCTGAATTGTTACGATGCTCGATAGCTATGATAGCATAATGTCCTCACATCGAGCGTCGCAACGCGGATAACGAGGGGTTATTCCCATATTGAACGTGGCAAAAGGTGGTTGGTTTTGTGTTGTATATATTTATTATTCGTCTGTGTAAATTATTTTCGCGGTGTTGTTACCAATTGGCTGTTGCAATGATTGAGTCGTTGGTACGTCATTTGAATGTGATCAGCGACAGTGATGTTTTTTTTATACCTGCGCACTATCACCAGGGGTGAATACTATTTGCGATATCCAATCGTATGTCATGGAATATACAGAAGATTTGTTTCGCATGGTAGAATGAAACGTTGACATGATAGTCTCTACCCACCACTTCGACCAGGGGTAATAGCCCGAAATCGGCCAATGACGATTGATATAGCGTTACATGCAACACACAACACTTAGTTTCGTTGACTATACTAAATTGGAATGAGCCCCTATGCGGACAGATAGGAAAATTTGAGTTTCTGTTATTCATAATCCACGTGTGGCGGCTTTAATGCTTGTGTCGAAGTTGAGTCTTTAGCCACCTTCCGAGGTCTTCCGCCTCTCAGCCCTAAGATATATGAACCTTGATCCATCTCGTGTGCACTGCTGGCGAATTCAATTCTTGAGGGTGGCTTATACAGTACATTAGGCTCGAACTAACATCGAATTAAAAAGAATAGAATTAATTTATGTTTATGAAATTTGTCTGCGTAGAGACATGCGTATACTTCCTTTAGCATTATACCGCAAGACCAACTTTCGAATCTGAAACACCATCACAACAGTAGTTGTACTCTACCAACGAGTACCGTCGTTTGCCTGCCAAATTCTTGGGAAGATGCCCGTATAATTGCTTATTCGGAGAGAAAAAGCCAGTTCAAATAAATGACAATCTCGCTATCCGCTATTCCTACCTGACAGGCTTCCTAGACTCTTCCCGTAGCATCACAACGGATATGCCACTTAAACCCAACGCTGAGGTGCTTCACAGTAGAATTACCGTCGTTGATTTCGTATCTGGTCTACATTCTCAGTCCTGCCATCCCCTCTCTCTCGCTTTTCTCCTCTCTACTGCCGTCCAATAAACGGATAAGCACTCCAAATCGCCCATTTTCTCTTCATTATAGCGGGATTCAGAGCCATTTCTGTTTCTTCTAGTCCTCTTATTAGTAGTACGTAGCACCAGGTAGGCCATCACAGCGCATACCGGGTTTTTCTTCAACGGATTGGTTAGAAGGTAAATATGATAAGTTTCTTAAGCTCGATGTTCTATAAATCGAAAATTTAGTCAATAGCAAAGTAGCTGTTTGTATAATCATGTTTTGTTATTGTCGTCATTGCTGTTTTTATGGATTACCTATACTCTGAAAGTCGTTTTCGTTGGCCCCCATAATTGAGGCTAAATGCAGTGCCATTCCCTGTGATTACCTTACCATACCATTTGCTAACACGTCCAGCTTTGCATCATTTTCCCAGGATGCTATTCGCTTTGTGTATCAGTACTTACTTTGGTTTTTGATATTTACGTACATTTAGTTATTGTAATTGATTTTATATCCTAAACTTGGGCTATAACACAACTATCTCCTTTGTTCACAAGCGAGCCGTCTTAAAATCGTAACTAGGTACCTACTTAGGTGGGTAAGTTACGCTCCGGTAGATTTTAATTGTCGTATCCCGAATATGAAACCATATATAAAGCTAGAGTCTAAGTAAACATTAAAGTATTTATCATGAAATCGAAACCAAATCTCGTGAATGTATTACGGCGTATAGAACGTACCTAATAACCAAAAATTAACCGAGTATATCGATAGGCTAAACCTACGTAACTGTCTCTGTTCGGTTACCCAATGGGCTATTAATAGAAACGACGATCAATGAGGCTTGGTCTGATCAAGATCTCAGTGGCGTCGAATGATTATCTCTAACTAAGTAGACCTATCAAGCAAATCTATGACATGCTTTTCTTATTGGTTACTTTTAAGACTCGTTGTAACCTTTAAACTTAGAATTCCTATTACTCAAGTATTAAGGTAGTTAAAGACCCCTTAAGTGGCTGGCTACGTCAGGGAAACTTTAGGTAGCACGCTAGTTAAGTTGGATAGAATTAACAACTCTGATTGGCTCAAACAGTGCATTAATTTCCAAAAGCGGTATGCGCCGGTGGTTATCTAAGTCTGGATTGGTCAATGCCCAGCCACAAGAACCCGGAATAAACCAAGCGGTCGTAAAACCTACCACAGAAATCATCAGTAGTAATTAACTATCAGTAATAGAATGGAGCTTTGATTTGTTCTGAAGTGGTTCCTATAGCTAAACAATCATATCAATTTCCATGTGCCAAGATCATGCTACGCTCATCCTTTAGTTAACACGAATATTCCGCGCCGCACTACTTAGGTACTTGTATAAGATGGGGGCCATGCAAACGGGTCCATGTGCTCGTTTAGGTCTTACGGTGAAAACCTATCGCATTTCGTACCAATGAGCCGGTTCGTTCCAGGATGCAGTTAGGGTCCTTCACAGCTCAGCCGTAGCTGGGCTTGCAGGCTTGCAGGCTTGCCATAAGCTTACCGCCACGCAACACCGCTCAATTATTTTCCGGTCGCATGAAACTACACAGTCCATGCTACTGATACGCCCACATCTTTCCGGTGTACCGCTGTCCCGGACGGCAGTATGCTTACTTGGTGTGCTCCTTGTGAAGCAACGTTGATACGGCGCCGGCGGACCTTCGAAGCAATGACCACGAGGACTGCCGATCACTTAAGGGGTTGTTCTCTATAAAAGAACGAGGAAGAAGTCTTATTTCTTGATTATTTCATCACTATCCTCATCAGACTAAGAACTCCATTTCACCATCAAAATTTCACACAATATACCATCACTCTCAATTACCAAATCCTATCTTTCATCATGAAGGCATCCGCAGTCATCAGTCTCTTAGCAGCCGCTGGCTTTTCAGCTGCCGTACCATCATCCAACCAGGTAAGATTACAATTCATACTCACCCAGAATCGGGTTGAAGAAGACTAACCGATCAAACTTTAGATTAGATCTATTGGTGACGTGCTCCCGAACCTCAAGCGTGACGTCTCGGGCGCCGGCTTCACTCACGTCGGATCTGACAACGTGGTGCGCACCTTTGACAAGAACTTCAACGTGGTCGACTTCGCGCAACTCGATGACCGGGCCGCAGACGGAAATTGGCCTAGAAGCCCAAGCGTTGACGTCCTCAACGAGGCCAAGCAGGCTAAGGCCCGTGCCGAGGCGCAGGTCTCCAAGCCACAGAAGCCTCGCACCCCTCTAGACGATAGACAGGAGAAGAGCTGTGTTAGCGAGAACTGCCCTAACGACGAATTCTGTACGGGCCTCTCGGTCTATGGTTACGACTGCTCTTCCTGCCTATTTGTTACCCAGAACATCGGAAACTGCCAGCAGTAATGGGTCTTTCAGGGAAAACATAGGCCTTGGACGTTGAATTTAGATCTCACCGTGCTGATGAATGACTGGGGAGAGGTTGGACTAATCGCGGTGCATGAGTTTTTAAGATCTTAATTCCTCGTAGAATTATTCTATTCGATTTTACCAGCTTAGGAACATAAACTATAATTAGAAGCTTCTCGCTTTCAAGGTCGGGTATCCTTTAATTGATTACCTATTGATTGGATTAAGCGCCAGGTAGTGAGTGTGAGGCAACCTTGTCCTTCAACATACCCAGGTAGGTAGTTGCTTAAAAATGAGTATATCAGGTTGACATGCTAAATCACTTTTGAACGGCAAAGATTATTTGCGAAGCAAGATGCTTAAATAAATTTTTATAGACGCCTAATATACAAATAAACCACAATAGCTACCTGGGTAACTATTGGTTTAAGCCATTGATTCTTGACCCATATCGAACTCGAGACCAGCAAAATGGTTTGCACTCGAATCCTCACCTTTATCGTCGGCCCCACGCCGAGTAGAGTTATAGATCCATAGTGTTTGTACGGCATGCGAATTCCCAAATTGGTTATCGAACCGCTTTTCTTGAACTGATTTTCCACGGCCCTTCCCACCTGTTGGCCAAATGTAACCTAAGTCTAGCATCATATTGTTATTCTCTGCCCATTCGGCCAGAACCGCAGCCAAAACATCTCCCGATGTTGGGGCTCTGCTTCTTTTCTCCCCTGTTACATCGGGCGTTTGAGGGGGCTCCGACTTGGTCGGTTTCTTGCCCGTCTTGGTCTTGGTCTTGGCCTTTGGTGTTTTCGTGGTTTTGGACTTTGGTTGATTTACAAAATCTCCTCTATCCCATAAAGCTTGATATATCCGCATCAGCTCGTCGACAGTTGGAGGGACTACGCCTGCTGGTAAATTGAATTGAACTGGCAAGCTATCGATAATTGCTTCAAAGCCGCTCTTGGATCTACTTTTGGGGAGTGGCATTGGGCGGAACCCCTTGGCCTTAAAATACTTGGCGAAATTTGCTCTGGCAGACCCTTTGCCATACGCGATACGTTTACGCCTTTCGTGCAGTATCAAGGGACCCGACGCTCCGAGGCTGCCGCCATAGCTTCTCACCGGCGCTTCACCATCGTCTTCTTCCTCGATTGACTCCTCTGGAACACTGTCCTCTAATGCGGCAAACGGCGGTAAAGGAGTTGTGGCGCCGCGGCGTTTTTTACGAGGGGGGCCACTCGTAGAATATCCCGAGCTGCTGGCGGGACGTTTAGTAGGACCACTAGCCGAAGAATCTCCCGAGGCACGACGTTTGGGAGGGCGATTTAATGAAGGACCAGTGGGAGGACCAGAAGGGGCAGCCCACGTGGGCCAAGTACCAGTTGGCCGACTGGCGGAAGAAGGTTTGGGAAGTTTAAAAGAAGGGCCAGCAGAAGGACCAGAAGTTGCACCCCCTGAAGGACCACCAGGAGGAGGAGGAGGGCCGCCATCAGGGGATGGGGATGGGGGTGGATCGTAGTTTTCTCCTTCATCCATGGCATCGTATATCCATTTATTAATCCATTGTCGTACATTTTCCGCACCAGGCACGTCCAACTCAACTTCCACTTTTTGGGTGGCTTGCTTCATCAAATCTTCTAATGTCGGACGATGGTCAGGGCAATGGTACATGCACCGGTAGATCGTTTCCCGGAGGTCTTTGTCAACCCATCCAAAGAAATTGTTATGCCCTGGGGCCATAAGAAGGGGGCAATAAGAAACCGGCGTTCCCGTGGCTATTTTCTCATTTATAAGCCTGGTGCGCTCCTTCGGGTCCTTCACAATGTTGAATTGTTCGATACCATCTGGTATTTGAGGCTCGGGGGAAGCCGGCGGATAAAATTTGGTGATCAGGGACCACATAACCTTTGAATACATTAGCTAAACGATTACAGGATATTTTGTGTAGTCTTACCCATGCTATGCCCCAGACATTTGTGTGGGGACCATAGAATCCTGCAACCCTCGAACCATCTATTGTGAGAAAGTCGTCCTTGGCTTGATCTAGATAATTTCTTCGTTAGTAGTCGATTCAACTTATACTATAGCTAACTTGAGCAATATTTCAAGTCCTTTCTGATGCACTCCGGGATATTTTGGTCTCTTGGCAATGCTGAATGGTCCTTGCTGGCTCATATTCTTCAAAGTAAGGAGTGGGGCTAGATAACATACAGAGGTCCCAATCCTCAGCGAATTGTTCCTATTCAATCATTAATATTCTGGATCTGGTAGCTTATACGAATCTCACTTACCGGTGCGTAGTTCTGGTGGTGCGATCTAGCTCGTCGATTTAAATAATATATACTTGAGGACGATGGTGTAAGCAGTTCGAACCAAATCATAACTGGGTATAGAGGTACAACCTACTTGCGCTTGCCACTATCGAAATGAAATGTCAGTATACTCTTTAGAGTAGCGTTTGCGTATAAACGATCAAAAGAAAGGAGCATGATTTACTTACACCTTGATCTTATCCGCCAATCCAAATTCTGCTAACTACAAAGCGAATAATTAGCCTACGCTTCATCTATCGCTTTATATCATCTTACCTTAAGCCTCGGAACAAGTTGATGTTCAGCTTCTATTCTGTCGCTTCTCACCCCAGTCTGCGGGATAGGTCGTAATTCCTTCTCGGGTAATCCTCGAGACGTCCTCTTCTTCTGAAATTCTTTACGTGTATTGTCCCATGCCTGCCTGTCATAGCGATCCAATTCGTGCTCACCAATATATACTAGTGTAAAACATGTCAGTAGAAATTCGTGCCATATAGGTGTATAGGTAGGTTCCTTACTGTTTGTTGGATCAATATTGAAGTGAACGAGATTCTGACGCCTGGCAGCTTTGGACGAAGGGGGGATACTTTCGATCAAGTCTTCTTGCTCGCTCTCTCTTACATCTGTGTCAGAATCAGTGCCCTTACCAAGTCCAAATGCTTTCCCAGACGTATCATTTTCCTTTTCAGGTCTTTTCCGGTTGGGATGAAATTTCCTCGGAGGATACTCCATCGCAATACAGGCTCGGATAACTATTCATTTCTCTTGTTAGATATGATGCTCTTAATGGTCTGAGTTGGAAAATTAGAATTAGCTGACTTACGGCACAACCAGAATGACCACAGAACCATGTTAGGGACTCTTCCCATTTCCCCTGTCTCTCTTTCTGTTTGGACCGCCAGCTTGCCTATAAGCTGTCCTAGGTCCCCATTCTCTACATACTCAAATAAGAGGAAATCCCAACCGCCTATGCCCCTCATTTTCCTTGTTATATTTTTTGCGGTGTCCTTGCGAGCCTGCGCGTATTGAGGATTTTGCCGCCATTTCTGTTTACGTATTCGCTCGCTTTCCAGGTATTCCTCTCTAGTACCCGGATACTTCTCGTAGTTGCTTTCGTCTCCACTGGTATCATCAGCGTTGCTAGAGTCGTCCGTTGCAGGTGCCAACTGTAATTCATTGAGCGGTTCGTTTTTCTTTGCATTGACGTCTTTCGGCTCGATCATCTGAATACAATGGGCCGAGTTTTTTACTTTCTGTATAGCATTGAGTTAATACAAAATCCAGCTTAATTATATTGTAGGTCTTAATTACCTTTGTCCAATGCTCCTCTTGCGCAAGAGGCATACTCCCGCCATGTTTTCTCGAGAACTTAACAACAAACTTCTGGGGAGCTCCGAAAGACCCAAGGCCACTAGGGCGTTCGTAAAGGCACGTTATATCGTTAGCCCCCCACCCCAATGTTCTTATAAACTTATTCCCAGTCTGTGATGGATCAAATCAGAGGTTAGATGCGCAGGTATCTGGGTATTTGTATAACTAGCTGAGGGGAATATGCTGGGAGGGAGTAGACGATTTAAGCCTACCTAGGTACTAACATTGGCCTGGAATTCTTTCGTGAAAAGATTCAATGCGTTTTCAACAGTCTCACTCAACATGAAGTTCTTGAAACTCGCATCCTCTTCGCTGTACTCTATAGGTGGTTGCCTTGCGCTGCTCACGTAACCTCGGCGCGTCCTCTTGTGAAAAAAGATTTGAGGGGGCCGGTAAAGCGGTAACACTGTACCCCAAACGTCATTTTGGAATTTTTGGGCGTTCTCGAGGGACTCCCTCACACCCAACGCATTTTCTCTCCACCTCCTAAACGCCCAGCTATATTCGAACCAATTCCCACTCATCGTGTCAGGTCCTCGGAGTAAAGATTTTGTGAATTGATAAGTAATTTTCCGTTTGTGAGTATCTAACGATGAGAGATACCCGTTGGTTGGTTTCATTGCGGTTTTAACATTTTATAACAATAAATTAAGCAAACAACATTCTCGGTTCTTTGTTGCTAGGTCGGGAATGCTAAAACAAGAAACAAAGAAGAAATACTATTAGCATTCATAGGGATCAACCACAACTATAAAGCATTCCATAAAAGTCAGCCGGTACCTAAAGGACATCGATTTGATTAGTGAATTTTGCAGGGGAAATTATTCTAAGAGTTAACAAGGTGCAAAAGGGTTTTTGTATTTATTTCTTAAAGGCTACCTTGTGCACTTGGATGATTGTGCGGGTACACTAAGCATTCGAATGGATGTACTGTAAACCGTGGCTGAATAGGGTCTATCCATATTCTAGGACTCGTAGGACTCATCGGCGTCTAATTAGTCATTGGTAGTAGGTTGGTTACCTAAGGCGTGCTGTACACAATCGTACGACTTGAACCATTTGGAATGGTACAGGAACATTTATGTATATGGAGAGAGAATACTCATTTGAGGCGTAATCGGTGGCTCTGCTCGTTGCCTTCGCTGAAAGGATTCTCTGACCGGTGGGATATGGTATGGTAAGTTGGTCTTCGTTGGTCGCAGGGCACGACCCCCTGACCCCCTTCTCCAAGGCGTCAGTTGAGAGGATCACAAACTTCCTAGGCGATCCCATACGAAAACGCTGTTCGTTGAGGCCCCACGTCACTCTCTGCATTTAGACATATCTCATCCCGTCGCGCTAGGAGGTGCTGTTCTGCACCGCGTCTCTGTCGAGGGCGAGCTACGACGCCAGGACTTCCAAGAGCGCCAGTATATCTAACAGGTGGGTGTCTAATGTGTAAGCGCACGTCATACTTATCGTCGATGAGCTTGTTATAGCTTCTCGCCTGGTTTGGATAGGTCGGAGTTGTCGGGATCGGCCGTCTCATTATCTAGAATCATGGCCTAGAAGGTATGTTAATCGCCATCACTAACATGTGTGCACATAGGGCAGTTCGAATAGTGGGTAATAGAGAAGAATACAGTCGTTTAAGTATAATATTTATACCTAAATTTACCATAATTCGCCCGATTCTAGGAGGATTCCTGTGTTGGGATCCTTGGTCTGAAAAGAAAAGAGGAGGGAATGCTCCGCCCTACTGTGAAGAAGGACAGACTCATGCATTCTGCACATAGAATATGCAATTATTTCACAACGTAGGTACCTAGGTATCTGGGTAGTTTACCAAACGATCACAACGTTGAACACAGATCGTCGGGGGTATGAATTCGCACTGACGAAATCGTTATTTTCCTAATACATGCACCCTAAATCTATACATACCTAGGTACTCACTGGCCATGTATCGGATCCCGCTCCTCGTTGAATATCGTATTGCTGACTTCGATTATCCAGCTAAGGATAAGTAATCCCCTATGTTGAGTTCGGACATCAACCACAGCTTGGCTAAAAAAGCCACTTACGAAATTGATTTATAAGCGTCCTGCGGTCTAGTGAAAAGTGGCCGAGACAGTGCGTCTGCCCCTGTATCTCTTCTAGTTAGACGTCGGCAATAACAACGTGAAGGATTGGGGTTTTATATACCTAGGTAGCTAGCACCAACATTATTAATAGCTAGAGTACTTCACGAAGGAATCAACAATGCTATTATAAAGACCTTTTGGTCGACATCGAGATATTCGAACCTATCGCCAATAGAGTACAACACGGGATCTCGGTACCACATGTACCACCACTTCTCCCAACAAAATACCTACCCGCCCAGGACAAATCGGTATGCCGCACGGAACTTGGTGATACGACGGCGCCACCCCCAAAAGCTAGAGAGCTTAGAACCACTCGTCCAACGCCAAGCTACCTATACTCGCACCTGATAAAGCCGTAAACTTTTATCGCGAAAAACAGTGGTAATTAGCAAATTCGATACTCATCATACACCAGAGGTGCATCAAACGCACCCCATCTAGCCGTAAACAATATCCTGGCAAACAATAGGCGCTTAGGTTGTCTCATACTAAAGCCCTGCTCGGAGTTGAAAAAGAACAAGCAAACACGAAATAGCTTCCAAAGCCGCACAGACGCGTTTTCAGAGCTGAGGGGTGCTATTGGTCTCCCATTCTACATACAACCCCTTAATGTACACCTATCCCGTTTGATAGCATGGAGATTAGAGAGGGCCCATCACAAACAAAGAGCCACAAAAACACACTTACATGCGCCGGGCCTAGCTTACCAAAAGTCGCAATGATTCCGAATCCATGGGACATATACCCCTTTGGCGGGGACCTACTTTTCTTACAACGAAATAGCACGCAAGAGAATATGATTCGTTACAAAGAACCGGCGTAGACATACAAAACACTAGTCACGATCTAGAGTTATTACGATACTTGTGGAATGGTCAATTTTGGGGGCTAAGCTAGAGTTCAACGCGTAGTATCGTGTTGCTAAAGCTCACTAACTGACTAATAACTACACCTGATAGGGGCGCATTACCACTTGGCAAGGCTACTACAGTGTGTCGTTTAGCTGCTTTGGGGGTTTGGGATCGCTGTCCTACCACTTGGGAGTAACAGCATCAAGAGCAATACCCTTCTCTAGTCCATACTAGCTCGTTGGCGATGCCAACATGTTGGATAGTGCTCTTGGTTGATCATATGTCGAACGAGATCCACCATGGATCTCCCCCCCATCAAGCAGTGAGGGTAGGAGCTTTGAAGCTACCATTGGCGACCCTCGTACAAAATATAACACCTCGTCTCTCTCAACCACTCTCTTCTCCTAGGCTGGGGCTTTAAAGCTACCAAATGGCCTGTCTTCCTTCGCTTATGTGGTTGGTCGAGACTCGATGCTCCTCATAACTCGATTAACGCCGTTCTCATTGGGGCTTGTGCAGGGGATGGGCAAGGCAGGGGAATGGGGTATGATGTCGGGTGCTGTGACTATGTTGCTTGGATGCCCAGTGAGTTCGTAATATCGGGTTTCGTGAACTTCCTTGTAAAGCCGTCGCCTTACATGTCCATCGAATCACCGCCGTTGCCGAAGTTGAAGCCGCCTTGTGTCCCATTGGTTCCAAAACCAAATGTGCCATTAGCTTGGGTTGTGGCGGCCATACCCTCGTCAGCGTTCTCGTCCTCATCAGAGAAATACTTCTCGATGATGTTGTAAGACTTCATGTAAATCTCCTCGTTAGCATTTGTCTGACAGTCATGGATCTTTTCCATGCCGCCACACTCCTCGATGAACAAAGCGTAACGGTTAATCGACTCGGGACCCTCGCCGGCAGCCTGCTTGTCAAGATCTCCGACCTTGAGGATGTTCTCTAGGCCGTCTAAGGCGACCTGGATGATCTTATTGTCGGGACATCCCAAAAGGTCGCATAGAGGTTTGATGCAACCCTGTGCGACAAGGTATCGGATCTGTTCCGGCTTCTGAAGACCACCGCTGGTGGCGTTGCTAATGGCCCAGCATGCCTCTTTTCTGGTCTTCAGGTCGCCGTTCGACAGGAGGTGGATTAGGGGTGGGATAATGTTCGCGTCGATGACGGATTGAATCTGCTGCGAGTTTCCGGCGGTGATGTTCGAAATGGTCCAGCACGCCTCTTTACGAATTCCGTCCTTGTTAGAGCTCAGGAGTGATAGCAAGCATGAAAGAGCCCCGCAGTTGATGATCACCTGCGTCTGGACATCGTCACCAGTCACTATGTTGCCAACAGATCGTAGAGCAGGGGTCTGGACGGAGGTTGATGCGTGCATGAGCAATTCCACCAGTCGGCGGGGAATGCCAGCTTCGATAACGGCCTGGATCTTATCGTTGGAACCATCTGAAAGGTAGGAGATAGCCCAGCATGCGTCAATAAGGACTTCGTCATCGAGGGAGTACACCAACTTGGCGAGAACAGGTAGGGCGGGTGCAATCTAAAGCAAATATTAGTACTAGTATTATATCGAATTAAGGATCATTAGGACTTACGGTGTTCCAATCAGGCTGAGGGGTCTTGCCTCGGCAGAAGTTGCTCAACGTCCATGTGGCATTTCGGAGCATGCTAAGCTTACGGCTGTCGCCGAGCAAGTTAAGCAACGGCTTCAAGGCACCGCAGCTCAAGACGTAGTCTCGGCATGATGGGCTGTCACCGGCAATGTTACCCAACGCCCAGACCGCTTGCTCACGGACATCGGGCTCAGGGCTGGACAAAAGCTCGACGAAAATGGGGACAGCACCGGCCTCTATAACCACTTGGGTTTGAGTCGCACTTCCGGATGCGATATTGGTAAGAGCCCAGGCGGCCTCGAACTGGACTAAAGTGTGGGGGGAACGAAGGAACTCAACAAATCGAGTAACGACACCGGTCTTGATGACCTCTTCGATCGGAGGGTTTCGCTCCTTAGAAAGGAGCTTTCGGAATTTGGTGGTAGCTTGGATTTGTAGGTCGATCTGATCGGAGAAAACACCTTGCACCATCTGAGGAAGATCCTCGTTAAGCTATTGAATGAATTGTTAGTTTCGAAGCACGACAAAGAAAGGCATGGGACCATCGTGGGGGAGCAAAAGCGGGAAAGATACGACAGACAGCCAATAACACACGAGCGCAGGAAATTACTGTGGAGCTCTCGTCGCCATAGCAAAGTCTCAAAGCGTGAAAGGTAAAAAAAAAAGAGAAGGAAATGGAACAATGCAAGAGCGCATCAATAGGACATACCTGACTTTCGGTGGGAGCAGACTCATCATCACTGTCAGGAGCAGCGCCCAAAGAAGCACCAGGGCGCGAGTCGCCAGTACCGATACCTCGTCTCTTGGCCAAGTTTTCCTCACGCTTGGCCTTACGAATTTCTACAGCCTGTTCTTCGCGTCGACGACGAAGCTCATCAGGCTTGAAAGTGCCTTTCGCCTTATAGTTAGTACGGCGATGCTCGGGAATGAACCGGTCGGCCATGGTTGCTGATGATGTTTTTGTCACTTCAACGAGTGCAGTGGCGGATTGATATTTTTCGAGAGGGGGGTCGTAAGAGGAGAGGGAGAGGATAAGGCGGGGTGATTTGTTTTGATGGCGCCCCTGACGCTGTGTGGTAAGGTCTAACGTCGAATTGTTAAATAGGTATTACGTGAATGTAAAATAAATATTGGGTATGGTATTGATTGTGCGATGAAGGTGGATGTACTGACAACTTCTTTTTACTGGCGAAGTGGAAGTACAAGTGCGAAGAAAAAAAAAAAGATGGGAGGAAAAATAGTTGAAAGAGGAAGTTTGTTGTAGGAAATCGAAAAAAAAAAAAGGTTGTAGTAGAGTCAGTAAAGTTATTAGTCTGTTAGTGTGTTAGTGGGGGGGGAATTATTTAGTACCTAGTAGGTAGAGGTATGATGCTGGAAACAGCAGAAGAAGAATTTGGTAAAAGATGGATTTGGTCGCTCTTTCAACCGTTAGCAGGTGTCCCTCATTAGGTTCGACAGGGATAAGGCATACTTCGCTCAAGCCCAATCATGTCTCCCTATAAAAGCCCCGCACTACCTAGGTATTGAATGCACGGACCATTTTAGAGGCAAGAAGAAGCCACCTGATTGTCATGTGACACCACAAGTGTAGCACAAAGGTCCTTGTCTAGGTATCCCACAATTATCCCTGCTTATGCCCATTTATGCATGATTCTGTGCATTGTAATGCACGCATGGAATAATAATGCCCAGGTACCTATACATGTACTTTACTCTCAACGCGCTTTAGACGCGAATCTCGAAATTTCACACCTTCAACATCAACTTTTTTCCCCATCTTCTTTTTTTGATGTTTCTTTCTGGATGAATCGACCGGATACACTTAAGGCAAAGGCTTCTTGCCATAGTCTTATATCTGTATCCAATGTATCAATGTTACATTGTAGTTGACTTCTTTCAATATGATGCGGCAGCAATCCAGCTCCACGGTACCTTCTCGAGATGCAAACCAACAAAAAGTACTCCCCCCGGGGTATATAGACATTCAGGGTATTCTTGAAGGATCCGTCTCTGTTGGCAGCTTTATTAGCGTTATCGGTTTAGTCAAAGACCGTAGGGCTCCCATCCAGACAGGTAGTACCGGTAAGTCCCCGAAATATTCCCATTTTATATCAAATTTGGCTAATGATAACGCTTGGGGAAGACTGGAAATCGACTCTTACCATCTTTGATAAGTCGATTGATGATGAACCCGATAAAGCATTGTCTATCAATATATTCAGGGCCGAGAAGGAAATGCCTGAGCCAAACGCCAGAGATGTAGTATTATTGCATTTCGCCAAGGTCCAGTCCTATCGTGGTGAGATATCCTTAATCTCGAATTGGAAAACTTCCATTCATATATACTCGGCAAACAAAATCCCCAAGCCACCTAAGTCTGCGAAAGTGGCCCTGGAGCCTCCTCTACGCTCAAAGGATCGACTTCCTGGTGATAAGGAGCACGAATATGTTTCCTGGTTGTACCACTCCATCGACAGGTACGCTGTACCCGATGCCGCTGAGTTCACCATTCAAGTCGAACGGTCTAAAAATATCAAGGATAAATTTCAGACTCTGAAAGACGTACATGATGGAATGTTCTGCGATGTAATCGCCAGTGTCGTCAAGGAACCCTTCGGCGTGATGGATAGAGTGACTCTGTGGATCTCAGATTACACCGAAAATGAATATTTCTATAAGTTTTCCTGGGACGCGACAGAAGTGCCTGAAGGTCGGGACGGAGACCCATACGGCTACACGACAGCAAAGAACCCGGCTTCCAATGGCTGGCTTGGCCCCTATGGCAAACGTTCCATGCAAGTGACCTGCTTCGGCACGCATGGGGAATATGTTATCAGAGAAGCTAAAGTTGGAAGTTGGATACAGTTACGGAACGTTCAAGTCAAATATGGACATAACGCGAATAACCTCGAAGGGTACCTACGGGAGGACCAATCCGCTTATAAAAACGAACTTCGAGTTGACATACTCACAATAGACGACCCCGACACCGTTGATAGCCGTCTTAAAGATGCTATTAAGCGAAAAAGAGACTATGAGAAGGCGAAGAAGAAACAACAGAAGGGTTTCGCTGCAAACAATAATGGCAAGGCGAATGGCGGCGAGCGAATGGCGGAGGGCCAAGGGGGGATGAATTCTAAAACCAAACGTGCTCGAGAACGAGCTTTGAAAGTTCAAGAAGTCGAGAAGAAAGAGCTGGAAGTTGAGGCAAAACTTGGCCTTAACGGACTAGGTATGGTTGTATTATCTGAACTAGGGTTGCCTTTACTAATAGGCTACATAGTCAAATGCGAAAGCATCGATCAACCAGTTTTTTCTGTCTCCTCTATAGTCGAGCCGATAACATGGACGACAACAGTTGAAGGCCGAGAAGTAACATTGACGCTCCCTTTCGTTTGCGCCAAGTACCGAGCCAATGTACGTGTAGTCGATTTTTGGCCTCGGAAGCTAGAAAACTTTGCGACCTGGCGCAAAAGCGAAGAATACGATGTATTATCAGATCACAGTGGTGGTTCTGATTTAGAATCAGACGGTGGTCAAGGCACCTTGGACCGATTTTCCGGGGACAAGATCTGGGAGTGGCGGTTTGCCTTACTGCTGGAAGAAGCGAGCCCGAAGCGCAAGGACGAATGCAATAGAGTTTGGGCAATTGTTGAAGACGCCGAAGCGCAGATGTTGATAAACATGAATGCATCAGAGTAAGTTACTATTCCCTTTTTCATTTCTCCATCCAGTCCATCGAGACGAAGCTGTTCTATGTAGATTGGGGTCAAGCTAACGCTTAAGTAGCCTTCGCGCGAATCCAGATGAACTGGATAATTTACGGGAGCAGATGTTCAAGCTGTGGGGTAACCTGGAAGAGTGTAAGCAACAAGAATTACAGCGACTGGTCAGCAACAAAAAACGAGTTGCAGCTCATCAGCCACCTCCAACCTCCCCACTTGGACCAGCGAAGGGGCAACAGGCAGAACCAGCTGCCAAGACAGGACTTATAATATCAAACAAGCCGTTTACATGTTGCATTCGCCAATATGGCGTTGAAGTTCGCGAGGAGGATCCACAAAAGGCAAACGCGACCAACGGAAAACGTTGGGAGAGAGTGTTTGGCTTGTTCGGAACCAAGATTAGCTAAGTAGGGATTTAGCCATGTAAAAAAGCAATGACGAAAAAAATTGTAAAGGAATTGATAAAAAAATTTCCTCGTTTTTCCTTCGTTTTTATCCATGCATGTGAAGCCCATCATAGCAAGAGGAGGTTACAACATATACATCCACTTCACATCCACAAGCCGACATTCTAAACATGAGTAGAATTATCAAATCCTAACTAATACAAGTAGCTCTGATAGACCCATTCACTTAGCACCGTCTTGGGAGCTAACATCTCAAGAAGGGAACATCCCAAGCCAAGGTATCACATCAATCACAGTAGACTCCTCACACGCAACACCTGCATCCCGGCAGATCGAAAAGATGAAGAGAATCTCATATCAATCAATCAACTCTAAGGCCTGCCTTCCTCGCCCCATATCATTCATGCCTGCCTGCCATATTTCCGTCCAAGCCGTGAAACAGAAAAAAAAACAAGAATAGGAGAAAGCTGGGGTAATAAACGTAGGTACAAGAATAATCAAGTAGTAGTAATAGCAATAGGTAGTTTTGTTTTCATTACAGCACTAGCTCGTTCATTAATCAATCAATCCCCTATGACATCGTCGTCTTCCATAGGTTCACCACCAGCAGGTCTCTCCTCATCCTCGTCATCTTCGATCGGGTCATCAAGAAGTTCCCGTCGTCTTAAGTCCTCGACGGTGCCCTCTTCAGGCTCGGCTTCCTCCTCAAATGGGTCATCCACCCTCGGAACCTCATCGTCGTCATCGTCCTCAATAACCAACTCTGCACTGATTGCGGGCTTCTTGGCAGCTTCCTTGCCCTTTGATTTGGATGCAGGCTTCTTCTTTCCACCTCGTAGCTCACGAAGGTGATCTTCGTCTAAGTATGCTACGACATCCCGGTAGTTATTGCCAAGCTTCGTCTTATTACGATTGAGTCGCTTTCGTAGCTTGCCAGCATCTGGTCCACTATGGTCGATAGTCTTTGCCAGAATGGCAAGGACCAGCTTACCAGTGAGCTCGCATAATATCTTCTCGGCTTTTAGTTCGGCCGCGAAGCGCTCTTGCTCTGTGAGCTCCTCATCTTCATCATCCTCGGGCGGTAACTCGTCGTCCATGGGATCCTCATCATCCACAGGATCGTTGAGTTGTTTCTTCGCTCGCTTTGCGTATGCACGTTCCGCGGCGTCGAATATGGGGATGATCTCTTGAGTAATCAGAGCTGGGGGCATTTCTTCAAGGAGAGGACGCAGCTTTTTGTATTTGGAAGCTTGCGGGTCTTGAATTACAGGTCGTAGGAAGACGAATAATCCGCATAGATCGCAGGCGTTACCGACAGCAAAGAGACGAAGATCGTCATTGAATCCTCGGGACGAGAAGGTTTGTATGAGGTTCGTAACGAAATCCTTTCGCAAGAGGACGAGTTGGTCAACCTCCGCATCTGGTATATCAGCATCGCTTTCAACGATGCTACGTAATCTCCTTATCTTCCACATGAAATAGAATTGGCACGCCTTTATAGCGAAAGCAACTATTTCATCTTCAGGGTCATCCAACTCATCGTTTGATTCTGTGAGAAGACCGCGGTGCACAATACCCGTAAGGATCTTGATGGCAGGCTGGTCTGAGTCTCGCGATGTCCCCGGGGTTTCCAGGATGTCCACGCAATCGGAAATGGTGACCAACTTGCTAATCTTCATCAAGGTCTGAGATAATTCGGCGAGTATTGACCGATCGAGATTACCTCTAGCAGATAGTTCGCAAATCTTGTCTATGCTTCGTAAAGAATTTAGCGAGTTGTCCCACAACAGAGCCATCTTGGTATCGGTCAATTCTTCGAGTTCTTCGTATTGTCTAGCATGGATGAGCGCTGCAGCTGCCTCATTGAGAAGTCCTTGGTCAACATGGCGGTTAAACTGTGTCGTGATCTCATCAAGAAGTTTATCGTAAGTTGCAGAGTTCTGGCGGAGTTGTTGAAATACTTCCAGATCAAGGAAGTGCTCCAATCGGAGTACGGTAGCCGCTATTGCCGGGTCGGACCCAAATTTATTTAATAGACGAGGAATGAGTGAGGCTAGCTTCATGCCAGCATCATCTTGAGCATCCAAGTCGAGCCTACCAGGCCTCTTCTTATGTCTATCATGCTCTGTTGACGGCGCAAGGCTCTCCTTTACGGCTGTTGCAAGGACCTCCAATAGAATGGCCTCTTCTCGGGATTCGGGAGCAACGGCCTTCTTAGTAGCCGTCTCAACCGAATTTGTCTTCGAACTTTGCCTAGATTTTGCGCTTGTTGAGTGATCAAACAACAGATAGCCGGCAAGAATCTGCCAATTGTTAATTTCGGGTATCCTTTCGTACAGCACTTGAGTTGCCAATGCAATACGAGAGTCCGGCATATTGGCATTGACCACATCTGCCGCCACATCGAGTCCGTGTCGTACTTCGTCTTGCTCATCGTCTAATTGAGCATCATAGACGGCCAAATTCTCTGCAAGGGCTTTGATGTTGATCCAATCCTTTCGGAGCGAATCATACTCGTCTTCTTCCTCATCTCCAAAAACTTCATCTAGAACATCGGTGCCACCAATCTCATCGACTTTGTTTTCAATGAGTTCTTCAACAAGCGCTGCAAAGAAATTGACAACAGCTTTGCGGATCCTGATTTCAGAATCGAAGAGAAGTTTGCTGACGGAATCGACTTCCTCGGGCTCAAGCATACCCGAGGCACGGAGTATGTCTACAACCCCAATTGCTGCGACGCGCACAGAAACATCAGAATCCTTCGTAGCCATTTCAACTAGACGAGGCCTGAACCTGTCGATGAAATGGGCCAATTTTTCTGCATCTCGTTTCAGGACCCTCGCCAGTTGTCTGAGAACTTCTAGTCGGGTAGATACGGAAATATCCGACAATAGCCAACCCAAGTATCGCAAGTATTCGGGGGACATGTAGACCGTTGGGAGGGTACAAATCCAGGTACCCAATGCTTCAATACACTCTGCACGAATCTTAGGGTCAATATCGCGGTATCGATGGACGAATACTATATCGAAAAAGTCCTTCACCATTGTATCGATCGCTTCGCGGTTATTGTTCGCAGTCTCAAGTGCCTTTTTTGTGTTCTCGACAAGATTCTTATTCTTGCCTCGGCGATTCGATTCGGCCTGTAAAGCTTGGTTGGACTTCGTGATCCGGTCGTCGAGTTGCTTCGTTACTTCAATAAGAGAAGTAAGAATCGCTAACCCTACAGTCGTAGCCGTGTGTCTGAAGGGGCGTAGGGAGGATGACGACATAATACCGACCCATCTTTGGATGTTGCTCAATAGCTCTCCATCGGCGTAAAGGGTATCGGTCTGGTGGAGTACACTGACTAAGGACTCAAAAAAGCCTATAAGTAATTCGCGGAAATTTTTGCTACTCTTTGCCCTCGAAATAAGGGGGTAGTCTGATATACTGGTCTGTTTACGCGCCCGTTAGTACATGTATGGTCTGAGAACAGTCTTGGTATGTGGAGGCAGCGCACCTGTTGATAGGCATCTTCTAATTCCGATAATCTGTTCGCAGAGTTATCTGGGTCTCGAATATCGTCTTCTGTCAACTGTTGCTCGCAGCCAGCGGCAAGTAGAACACAGTTAATAACTTCAGTTAAAGCTTTGGCGTCATCCTCCTGGTAGCGCTGGAACCAGTGCGCGGCAACATCATCGGAAGAATCGCCAGATGCAAAGATGTCAGCTAATAGAATGTTAGCGCGACAATAGCCTCGGATGGTCGTCTTTGTCGGATTCGAGTCTTACCATAGAGTCCATCTCCGTCAGGATGAGCGATGGTAACCCTGACAGTCTTCTTAGGTCTGTTCGGAAGTCTGACCGCGGGCGCATTCGGGGCGGACGCGACATCCGTTGTTGCGTTGCCGTTTACCTTCGCGCGCTTCGCAGCCGGTTTCTTAGGTCTAGATTTTTGTTGTTTTGATTTAGATCTTTTTGAGTGTGATGCAGGGTCTTCTTCGGCGTTATCGTCGTCTTCGTCGTCCGGGTCGCTTAGTTCTTCATCATCTTCCTCGACAGGTGACTCGTTTTCGGCATCCTCTTCATCGCGGTCGGGGCCCCTCTTGCGCTTTGACGATGTCTGGTCGTTCTGCGACGAATTCGGTTCAGGGGAGAATTTCTGAGGGGCCCTTACAACGCGTCCCGATCTTCGTCGCGAATTATCAGGAGCGGACGCGGGTGAGGATGTCGCGTTGTTATCTGAAGTCTCCATTAAGGGCAGTCTAGATGGTGACATGTGGGATTGGAGTTCAATGCGATGCGACCATTCCCGCCCGAGAAAAGGTGTGCGACTGCTTATAGAAAAAGATTGTGGGAATTGTTGACTGGAGGAGATTCGTTGGCAATTCAGGCGCGTCTGTGGTCTAAGGTTGTAGTGGGGAGCGTGTTTGGATTCGCCAAAAAATGGGGGAAAAAAAAGACAAGATGACCGGTTCCAGGGATCCGGGGGGGGCCTAGGGAATTAGTTAGTGAACCTACGTAGGGAGGTGATGTACCCTACGTAGGAATTGGTGGTTTATTAAACCTTGTTTTCTTCTTACTCAGGTACCTATCGAATCACCGAGGTTTTGCCTGATTTTAAGGTTATCGGTACCCGGATAGGCACCGCCCAGCGGGGATGTCACCACCTAAACCATGCATTCCAAGGTTCCAACGGTACCTAAGCTTCCTGAGCTTCCTTAGAATTTCAACCTTTTACATCAACATGAGATCTAATAACCAACTTTTTTAATACTCTTTACATTAGAGCTGGCACATATCATTATACCCTTGTCTGTATTCTTTAATACTATCATTTACCAGATGAAATCCTTTTAGGAATATGATATTACCATTCTACGGATAATAGCAGGGTTAATCGAAGATCTATACACTATCTACGGGGCATCGAGATAAGCAAGCATCAATGTGTTCTATTCTTGACGAACACCCCCGGAAACCCCCCTCCTACCAATATGAAATGAATTACGTGCTTCGATATTCCCCTAATTATAAATTACCCGCGAGATGATCTCACCGTTCCCAAAGTCAACATCCCTTGCCGGGGAAGGTCGAATAGTTGTGAAGCTTGCGCCTAACGATATCTCCTCACTTGAGAGTATCACTTATCAATACCCACTGAAGCTCATATCTCCCACCCCCACAGCCGAGCAGAGAAGTGTATTGATATTCCTACTTTCATATGGAGGAGGCCTTGTTGCTGGCGATCAAGTCAACCTCGCCATTGACATACGACCAAAGGCAAAGCTGAGTATCGTCACTCAGGGGCATACCAAGATATTTCGATCCATTACACCAGATGTTGTGACGCGGCAGAATTTAAAAGTGCATATTCAAGACGGCGCTGCACTTTGTCTCCTCCCAGATCCCGTTCAACCGTTTGAAAGTAGTATCTACGAGCAGACTCAGATTTTCAAATTAACTGCTGATGCGTCATTATGTTTGTTGGATTGGGTTACCCAAGGCCGTACTGCCCTCGGCGAAAACTGGAGTTTCGGTCGATGGATTGGGCGCAATGAAGTATGGTTCACCACCGAAGATGAAAATACCAAAGACCGACTTTTAGTTCGGGATACGGTCAAACTCGATAGTGCAAACAGATCTATAGGGTCACCGTCATTGAGAGAATCGATGTATGAACACGCTATTGTAGGGAGTTTAATTCTTCGAGGCCCTATGACGAAATCCCTTGGCGAGTTCTTCTTAGCGGAGTTTGCAGCGCTACCACGGATAGGAGCACGAGATTTCCGCAGCGCTGAAGCGCGTGAGAAAGATGACGCAGTACCCAAATCTCGTCTCGAGCAATGGCGAAGCACGAGGCTGGGGGAGGAAAGAAACAAGCAGATAATATGGTCCGCTGCTAATGTACGCGGTTGTATTGTGGTAAAACTTGGTGCGGCGACTGTTGAAGCTGCTAGAAACTGGATAGGATCAATGTTGCTTCAAGAGGGCAGTATAGAGCAACATTTTGGTGAGCAAGCTTTAATGTGTGTTCGATAGTAATGCCTTCAACAACTTAAGACATACATTCAGAAATACATAGCTATATATTAATCCAAGCAATGACTTTGAAAACGACTACCTAAACACTCGAATTATTATACTCTGAAGATTAATTACACATGTAGGATTTAACTTGGAACTATATATACCTTCATTTATTCAGTCAGTAATGCTCTTGTTCAATTATCATCAAACCTCTACATAAACCACCATAGCGAAGACAGGTACAAGGCAATACTTGGGTACTTCAATGCATGTATCCTTTACATAGGTACATACATACTGAAGTACTTTTGTGCATTGACCACTCGGAACCAATCATCATAACGCACAATGTACTGAACTGGATTATGTAACCAGATTGCCCCTCCAAGATTCTGCAGGGTACATGTACAGTACGGCGGGTCACTAAACTTGCAGAAATGCCCCACCATAAAGTTTTCCAGTCAGTAATTCTCATCGGCGACTCATAAAAAAGTATAGTACCTTACTTTTTATCATTTTCACCTTCCATTTTCATCCGCCGTTTGACTTCCTATTCATTAATTCTCACTTTCCTATATTAATTCCAGCGAGTTGTTTCCGGAATATATCTAGATCACAGGTAATATAGCGTGATGCCTCCCCGTGGTCCGCGCGCTGGCGCGAGGGGTGGTAGGGCAAGAGGTGGTGCATCGGGTAGAGCAGGTCGGGGAGGAGCTGTAGGGAGAGCTCCGGTAGATGAGGTCGACGAGGCAGGAACCAGCTCTGCCGCAGTAACCACTCAAAATGAGGGAAGCACAGATGGCGGGGATGTAATAATGCAAGAGCCACCTGCGCGGGAGACGGTGGAAACCCCGGCAACATTCGACGCCCCAAGTGACCAACCAGCAACTACGAGTTCACGGCAGTCACAAACACCAAGTGCCACACCTTCTCGCGCTGGTGGCCGTTTTAGACCTAAGAATATTCGTCGTGATGCTGCGGAGCGTGCAAAATTAGAGGAAGAAAGAAATCGTGCTTTGGCCATAAAAATCAAAGAAGAGGAACGCGAACAGCGTGCGGAAGAACGACGAGCAAAACGAGGAAGAGGTCGGGGGCGAGGTGACGCATCTTCACGCGGTTTCCTTCGACGAACCATAACAGCCGCAGGTCCATTCTCTGCAATTCCACAAGGTACGTATTTCAACAAACCCAATAAATCTTAATTATTTCATCAACACAATGAACATTCCACTAACTTACAAGCAGAAAACGTGAAAGGATCTGGTAGTTGGGGTGGCGCTGGTTCTTCCGCAAAATCAGATTTCAGTGCCCAATTTAACTCGCTCAGATATCGTCCAAGACGAGAGAACGAGGAGAGACTGGATACTGATCTCCTTAGCGGGTTCACTGGATTTACTCCGGACGGAAAGCCGATTTACCAAGATCCACCCCAATACAGTCAGAAGCCATCTGGAAGCCTTCCTATTGGTCTTATTCGATCTGAACACGAAGAGGACGAAGTCAAAGTTAAGACTACAGCCGAGTTAGAAGCGGAAGAACAACAATCTGATGACGAAGATTTATTCGTTTCGCAAGCAGTTAAGAACGCAACCGAAGCTCCTGGAGCCGATGACGGTGAAGTTTGGCACGCTGCTCCTAAGAGTCAAGTGAAGGTCAAGACTGAGCCAGGCATGGATCCGGACGCAATGGACGTCGATATGTCCGATATCCCCGAGGTTAAGACGCCCCATTCGCCTGACGATAAGAAAAAATCGGGCATCGACAAAGATACTGCTGCTGTTGCTGCTGCTGAAAAGAAGAAGAAGCAGAAGGACAAAGCGGCTAAGGACCCTGAAGTCTTACAAGCCCTGCACGATCTAGAAGTTCAACTCGACACATTTCGCTTCAAAGAACCCGCTGCCGAAGAGAACGAAGGCGAGGATGAGAAGAAGCTTCAAGAAAAGGACGACCTTCTATTCCTCTTCCAACTGCCGCCTATTCTCCCGCCGCTGGTCAGACCTACAGATGATACGAACGGTCAAACTGCAATTCCCAACCCCATCTCCCGAGAGAGCAGCAGTGGAGCTCCTGGCTCCAAGATCAAGCCGGAAGATGGTGTTGAAAAGGAGAAAGAGTGGAACCCATGGGCAACGCTTCCACCGGAGGGAGGTCTCATTGGCAAAATGAATGTGCGCAAGTCAGGCAAAGTCGAGTTCGATTGGGGCGGTACCAAATTGGATTTGGGTGTAGGAACGGAGACATCATTTTTGACTACGGCTATGATGGTCGAACAGAACATCGACCTACAGAACCCTGAGAAGAGCACCGGAGTCGCCTGCGGCATGGGCGAAATTATGAACAAATTCGTCCTGGTGCCAATCTGGGATGAGGAAGAAGATTGGGACCCTGACCTTTCCGAGATTGAGGGTCTCCGGCAATAAGCGCGGACGCTGTCATGGCGCCCAATTTCACATCGCCAAGACCAGTCCGAGGAGTTACGACATAAGCTTCTATTTCGCAAGCATTTGGCATTTGGGAACAGAAACCGAGTTGTTTGGACAGGCACATCATCTGTCTTGGCTTCAAGGTTGTTTCTTTTCGTCGTAACTCGGCTAGCACAGAATTCCATATACCGAGGTGAACGGAAAGGGGAAAGGAGCAACAACACTTTCTGATATCGCCCTCCCCGGTTCTTATGTCCACCGAAGCGAATGTGACACAACATCCGTACAAGGCAGAAGAACAACCACCAACAACCCAACCTATAATACGTTGAAGAACAGGAACCCATCCGTGCGGCCTCGTGCAAGTCTGTGTGTCTGCGACTATTGCTTATACCACGAACTCCCATGTTCTTAGCTGAAGAAGCGGCGATGTAACGTTAGCCTCGCCCGTCAACTCCCTAGCACTTCCGCGGTTTCACCGGGAAATCCTTCCTACCACGACCCTAGTCCTCAATGGTGTTTAGCCGCGTCCCAACGACCAACTTCTCGGGGTAGAACTTCTTTTGGTCTAGAACAGGCGGCGAGCTGTTCGGAAGTGCTTTTTTATCCTATAGTAGAGGGGACGATGAAGGAAGGGGAACTCTACTATGAGGAAATCAAAAAAGGACATTGGACTGGTCTTGAGAATTGAGGAGGAATAATTCTCTGATATGGGCAAGGGGATTAATTATCTGTGCCGTGGGTCGGCAAATTGCGTAGCTACGTAGCTAGGCTAGCTGAATGGCAGTCAATGACAAGCATCCGTCGTATTCGTGATAATGAATTGTAAAAATCCCTAACACTTAAAAGTTGACATAATTAATAATACGTCTTCAAAATCTTTGGAGTTGACACAACTCTTTCGTACACCTAGCTAGAGCATAACAATATTTTGTTTCCCGCGTCTGCTGTGTGTATGACCAGGTAAAATGATACCGGGTAGATGGTTGAACAAGGGTCAGTTTGACATCCAGACCCAGGTCGTCGGGAGTCGCGGGTAGAGTAACACAACCAAGATATGGTTGGGATGTCATTTTTAGGGAGGAAAACATGAAAAACTATTACGAGCATTGTCGAGGGTGCCCTGGATAGCCTCAAGCTATTGTCGTGGGTAACTCCGGGCTACTATGGTCGAGACCCTCGGAGTATATCCTCGGTCTGTATCATCGGAGTCAACTATCATTCAATGTGCAGTAAAGTCTACTCGTATCAAAAGCCATTAATCATTAAATCAAATATCGTGAATAAGTCCGTATTCACTATATACATAGCAAATACCATATTGTAAGTCCCCGGAAGCTTTTCAGCATTCCTTCTCAGATATGTTCAATCCTCCCTCTCCCTCGTAAGGGAATGTCTGTCCTCCCAGCATACAAATAAACCTCCAAGTCAGGCCCACCGTGAATCAAAAAGCCACAAACGCCAGGTAAAATAAACCATAGGGCATAATCATTTACCCCAATACGCCCAAAGACTTGCTTTTTAAAAGAAGGTATCAAGTATAGAAAAACCAGTCCTGTGCCGAGATTGCTCTTTTTCCAATGGCAAGGAATTTCGCAGTTTTTCTTTTTGCTGTCTCCCGTAAACTCCCTTGAATCTACATATATATAATATTCCCTGTGGCCCAGCCGCCCGCCAAGTAAGGTAACATGTATTTCGCACTTTGGGTATGTCCGGTGTATAAATCATTTACACATCTAGAGAATCGAAAAGGGAAAAGAAGAGGATGAGGTTGTGGTGGTGGCTAGGGTCGGAATAGTATATATAAGGTTCGTAACGTGTATGTGTCGCGGTGATGTACAGTATTATGTTTTTTTATTCGGTAATTTGAATTCGTTCGGTAGATTATTGGTACGACGGCGGTAGTTGAGGTAATGGTTTTACAAACGATATCGAATTCCTCGTCCGGTTATAATGGGTTCTGACTCGGTTGAGCTCGAAAGATCCATCAGATGAATCTCTTTCGGAGAGCCATGTCTCATCGCGCCGGTGTGCTCCTGGAGGCGGTGAAGGTGTCGTATTTCCTTCGATGATATACATCTCACTCTTTACATCTATCCTCCTGGAGTTAGGAGGTTGATATTCCGATCGCGCATCGTCTTCCTCTATCGGCGCATCGTAAAGCCTTGTCATTTGGAATGCTTGGGATCGCTGGCTCCTTCCAGCCAACGTGTCGGCATCCGAAATCGATCGGGACCGCTGAAGTTTGCTCCCAAGCATCGGGGCATTGGAGGATGCTCGAGATCGGTAACTCTTGCTTGTAAAGCTTCCGGCATCTGACAACGACAAGGATCGTTGAATTTTCCCACCAAACGAACCAGCGATTGATGTTCGCGACTTGGAACCCTTTTGTTGACCTGACTCGACATCGACTAAGGTGACATCAGTAGACCCGAAAGCTGGCATTTTGTTCGAGCGATTCGTACGTGACATAGGGTTGCTATTGAAGCCTGTTGGCCGACTCTGTCCAGTCGTACCAAATCCCTTGACCTTCCATAAGCGTAATAAGGGCCGTATCGTGACAAGACTGGAGGCGACAATGGCAACTCCAGGTTCAACCAATGTCCAAACCATCGCATCGGTTCCAGCATCTATGTTTAAATACCAGATTAGTAACTGATATAATATGATTTATTATAGAAGACTTACGCAAAATATCCGCGAGGTCGGTAAGATCGGACAGGAACTTCAACCGAACGAGAGTGGCGACACTCGCGAAAATACCCAGGCCCAAAACGAAAACCACCGTCATCTTAGCTTGCATCGTCATCTTTACTTTCCAGAGCATAGGGATGGGCAGTAAGGCGTAGAGCCAGTCGGACAAGATAGTCATGACGCTCAATGCGTAAGCAGCGTTGACAATTTCATCGGCCGAGACACAGCGAGAGTTGGGGTCATTCTGAAGTATCGTGTAGTCCCACTGCGCGGCGACGGGATTACATTGAAATATATTCCAGAAAAATAATACTATACTCCATATGCTGACGATGATGATACTAGCGTAGAGGGTATATTTATATCTGTTTTGCGAAGCGAGTCGGAGGAGGAAGATACCAATACTAAGCTTGATCAACCACATATTGGAGACGTAAGTCGCGGTAGCTAGAGCCTGATACATCAGAGCTTGAATCTCATGGTACTGGTCGAGCGATCTGTTATGCCTGCCTAGGCCATTCTGAACACCTCTCAGAATTAAAGAACACGAGACTGTAAAGTTTAACTATTTAGAATGAGTGTAAGCATAAGAAATCTAAAGGTTGATATGTATCATTTCTGCGACGTACCTGAGCAGCTATCATCAACCAGTCATCCCATTGAAATCCATTGGTTAACTTAGCGCGAACGAAGGATCTGAGAGATACGGATAACCAGGTAAGAGTTAACATAACAATGGCGGTAACCACCAGAGCACCGCCATTGCTATCCGTTGGGGCGTTTGGGTCTTGGGCTGCCATGATAGATGGTGTCTATCAGGCGCCAAGGAAAATTATACACAACAAGAGGACGCGAAGGAAAGGAAGAGAAACGAACAAGAAAAGCCGAAAACTAGAAAGAGAAGATGTCGGGATCGGTCCATATGTATAACTCGAGACAACGGGAATAGATAGAGTGAGCGACCAGCACTACGGGACGGCCTTGTGCCTTGTGGAGCAATGGGAACAATGCGCAACCCAGTAGACCATCTTTACTGGGCATGACAGGTCGCGATAATGCGTGTATCTCGGGGTAACCCTGCCTCTGCACCAGAGAAGGGCATGAGAAGGTCGTAACCAGTAGCGAGACCATCTTGGAGCGATTAGCCTATTCCGGTAACGCCATGACTTGAGTGAGTTGAGGTGACCCTCTCTTTCGTCTCTACGAGTCCCTACAAGCCCATTGGGGATCGTCGGAAGCTCTGGTTTGCCCCGGATGCGAACCGAAGCTAATGTAACGGTAGGAGAAGCCGGAGCTGCAAGCTGAGAGGACTTTGGTGCGAATGTGAGCCTCAGACCCTTGTCTTGCTATGCAGAGCCCTGTAATAATGGGACCGACTACAAGGAGTCAAGGAGGTTCATGCAAATGAGCTAGGATAAAACGGTCGAGCAATTGGGCGGGACCCATGTGCTTTGACAAGCTGCCAAACTGACCCTGCATTCTTACACACATACACGAGCGTTATTTAGTTGATAATTTTGATAATTTTGCAGCGCACGTTTGTTGATTCGTTAGTTGGTTAGTTAGTTCTTCGCTGAAGAATCTGATCTGTCTGCCTGCCTAGATAGACGGTATAAATCTAGAGGGAGTATTATTACTATGCCGTATGACGATTCGTAATTGTAGTCAAGAACGCGCAATCGAGCATGATGTGTATAGTATGCGGATGATGAGGGATGTTTTCGGTAGGTACCTTAGCTATCGGCATGTAACTGAAAAAGAATTTAAGCCAAGCCTACCTACATGTACCTACCTAAGATAATACTTACCTCAAATCTTAAAAATAAGTCGGAGTCAAGGTTTAGGGTTAAACTCTTTCTTCGGCGTCACAATTACTCTATTTCTTACATATATGGTATAAATTGTATATATCGTTCCTGTTATTGTAATCTCGTCTACATTATTTGACATTATTTAACATTGTTTGCTTTGCGGTCCGCCATCTTCTCCGACTCCATTAAGTAATGTAACTTGCATGTTTACTGGAGACATCTTTGTTACTAGAGCTGATCTTCTCCAATCTTATCACAACACAAATTCTCCGACTTGGTACACTATTTTATTCTATGCAGCACTTTGACAATTATCTACTCTACTTTTACACAGCCACGAAATTCCATATGTTCGCGACATGAACTACATCAGAACTATTCTAGTCTTTAATATACTAGTCTATAATGGAAAATCTCTTATTATCAATTTTGCTTACTTAGGAAGTCTATAAAGGAATCACAGACATGAGAAGCCTAGAACCAACGGGCCGGTATCTTGAAACGAACAGCTCGTTATTCTCGGATCTATCTACTGTATCCCACTGTACTTACCTAGTAGTTAGGATGGGTACCCCGACTCTGTTAGACGAGTCTCTCTTCCTAAGCCCACTCAACCGGTGCAACAACTAAGAACACTAGCAAGGCTAGGTAACTCCTGAGCCAGGGGCGCAGCACTGCGTTTCTCGACTGGCTGCTGGGTCCTCTCTACCCCTGACATCTATTCTGCGATCGGCAAGCTCACGGTCCGGGATTAACTGGAGATTCACTTCGGTTAGGTAGATCAGCGGCAGAAACACACTCTACAAGACTACAAACAGAAATAACTACGGGTACGACTACTGCAAGATACTCGATTCAGACCATTCGAATTTCAACTTGGCCGGGTCGGGAAAAGCGTATATGAACGAACGGACAGACGGACAGGCACAGAAAAACATGTGAGCAAGAACAGATGCGATGATCGCTGATGATTCTGATTCTGATGATGACAGTTGCAAACTCCGCCGTCATCTCCGCCACTTTTACATTTTACCCCTACATTTCGGAACCGTGAGCATCACCTTTTCTATCACAACCCAAGTACCCCGCATGTTTCATCCTACCAACGATCTCGACCTCTTCACGAATCACGATGAAAATATCTACGCATACCCAGCTATGCCTACGTATAACGTCTAGGTAGGCGGTGCTACCTTACCACAGCACATGAGACCAGGTATGAGGTATAAGATAACACCCCAAATGGTATAGCATAAAGGAAAATGGAAGCTTCACGTCTGAGAAAGGGTTTCTAAGAAGATTCTATCGCAATTCCTCCTCCAATCATAAACCATAGGGAGATTTATGCATGTCTCACAATTATTGAGCCTCGTTCAAGCAGCGACGATATTAGTGGTTTTGGAGTCTTGGCAGGCGAATCCTTCGTCCCGTCTCCAGGGTTAACTATACCTTGTTACCCATCACGAATGCGGTAAGAGGCTCGCGATATGCCAAACTCCAGGGGGTTTAGCACAAGCAACAGAACAGCCCCTGGCACGAGAGCAATTATCAAATCGGATTGTTAGTCACATATCGGACTTTAAAGAAAACAGAGAAAAAAGTAAGCTAGGAACATTATTAGCTCGGTTCCGCAACCGAACTTTGCGAACCTTGCCGGTAGCAGCTTAGTCTCGCACCCGTAGACTCGGATTTCATGAAGCTATCGTCTGCAACAAGAACGACGGACAGCCCTAAAATGACCTTTTTGGCCCTCGAGTCATTAGGTGCATCGCCATTTTTAATGTGTTACACTGGCGAGGGCTAGTTTTTTTGCTTCCAAGAGCGTTCTAATCATCCCACGACGCTCTAGAACCTTCCTTTTGCAGCCAATATGACCGAATTCTTGACGAGTCACAGAAAACCCCCAGCTCCAAGACGGGATGAAGCCCCTTGGGGATAGATTAAATTCCACCATCACCACCATCATTCGAGTAATGTCTATATGCAGTTGCTAGCGCACTGCATTTTAACCCAGCAGCAAGAAGCAAGTTGCTCGTGACAAGAGTGGTGGGATGAGAGAATATGTCAGAGATACCGGCGTAATTCTCCGCATAACCATTCGTGTCACTGCGTGTAACAAGAAAAAAAAAGCATGCAGATGCATCTTGGAGTAACCGTCACTCGGATATAATTCGCTGGTAGGTCTCGCCAATTTATTCCAAGTGAGTGTGCCGATATGACGAGTCACACTCTTCGCGCCGATGCACAATGAATAACCCAACCCAACCTCTTCATTAAAAATTATTTTCTCTATATTCAAGACAATGCGGTAAGATATCTAAGGTAGGTGATGACGAGTGATACAAAATGCAACGTGCCGTCGGAGTTTTTTCAAGTCCTCGATTTTGACACTAGTTTCATCGTCTATATCCCAAGCAATTGGCGAGTGAAAATGAGAAAATAAAAAGAATGGCGAATGTTACAGTTTCGAATAACATCACCTTCACATCGGCAAATGCCATTCATACCACGTAAAAACATGGTGTCCTTCCTATTGGAGGGCGTGGGATAGAAACCTTCGCATGCATGAGTATCGTGCAACGAGTAAGATAGGGAGTTGCAAAAACGCAGTTGAATTGCTTGACTAATGTTCCATTCGCCTAGAACGCGTCATGGGATGGTTCTAGAAACTCGCGGGAGACATCAAAATATCTGCATGTCCAGGTACCCAAGTACATATACCTAACATACTCGATATACCATCCTTTGGCGATATAGACATACAGAATCGAAGATCATATGTAGTTAAGAGCTCATATTGATTAACAGGATATAGAAGCCGTCAGCGTCATTTTCGTCCCGCCTCAAACATCAAACAAACAGCAACAACATCAAACCCTAGCTCCGCCGATACTTCAATGCAAGGACAGTAGTCCATCTCATGCGCCGCGATACCTCCGACCCAACCACCAGGACTTCATTACGTCGGCGAGCCAGGGTTCTAGTCTAGTCCAATTTACCCCAGAACATACCATCATCCATGGCCGACGCACTCCGATACACGATCCACCAGTACGGCACGCATGAACTTCAACGCGTAGGGGTATGGGATCTAGACGTCGACGACAGGGCGAAATACTGGATCGTGTGAATCTCTTCTTCTTTCTTCTCCCTTGTCAATATATTCGTCATCCTCTCCCGTCCCCCCATGTCAATTATACTGTCAACCGGGTAAAGTGAAAAAGAGAATGTCAACTAACACGTGATCCCCTCGTACTGTAGCTACATCCACGGCGGCGCATGGCGGGATCCCCGCATCACACACGAGACTTTCAAAGCGATTGTGTCACACATCTTACAGAGTCACGGCGAAGGAGTAAGATCAAGTATAGCGGCTTTCGCATCTATTGATTACCGCCTCTCCCCGCATCCGGACTTCCCCCAGGACCCCGCGGGGACTCCGCCATCCCAGTACCGCGACGCCATCCACCCGGATCATCTAGATGACGTGCGCTCTGCGATCGCGTTCCTTCAGAGTAGCTTTGGTTTCGCGGGGAAGTATGTCCTAGTTGGGCATTCGGCGGGCGCGTGTCTCGCGTACCAGGTACTAGCGGGATTGTCTTCACCTTCTTATCGGCCCGATCGTAGAGCGGGGGATGATGTTGAGGGGCGAAAGGGGGAATTGAAATTACCCGGAGCCGTGTTTGGCTTTGAGGGCATTTACGACTTCACTGGTCTCAATGCGCGTGTTGATGGGTCATATGCTGGATTCTTGACAGCGGCGTTTGGACAGCCTGAGAAATGGGATGCTGCGGCGCCGTTGAAGTATGAAGGTAACTACGGCGATCGCTTTAATGGAATCGCGGCGCTGGGGCACTCGCCTGATGATGAATTGGTAGATGCGCAAGAGACGGAAGGCATGGTAGAGCGGCTGCGAAAGGATGAAGTTGAGGTATTGGTTGTGGAAGGATTGAGAGGTAAGCATGACGAGGTCTGGCAGAATGGAGATGGTGTCGCGAACGCGATAATGAGGATACTAGCTCTCCTACGAAAGAGGTCGATACCGTAAACCATACGGACACAACTGAAGTTACGATGAAAAATCAGTAGCACTCATGCATATCACGTAAAATAAGACCCAGTGGCAACCTATGATTAGTATCATTGATTGAAGGCGCCATTGATGAGTATGAATTATCTCGTCTCTTAATCATATCGCAACCCGACTCTTAACCTCCTATCTATCTCTACAAGGCTCTCCTTTCTTCTCGCATTCATTCCTAGAATGCCTCTCGTCTCGCATTTCCCGGCCCTTCCGGTTATCATCCGTCATATTATCGAAGCAATGATGGTATGAGGTGTGGCAGTATAGCCAATGCCACAACCCCGACTCAATTCCAAAGTGACGTGAAGACAAGACTTTGGCATTCGAATGTAATTATACTCTGTCTAGACTAGGTAAGGAGAATACGTTCTCAAAATGAAGCCCATGTCCCTCAGGTTATCCGTGGAGGCTTGAGTAGTCATCCGATGTCACAAACGGAGATGTCTTAAATCCAGCACACAGGCGTTTACCTCAGTCCTTCACTCTTGGGCTGGGGACATGATGATAATTTACGCACATAGATACACTATCTAAGCGGTATACGTTGATTGATAATGTACGTACCAGGCAGGTAAGCTATCTAGATACTTCGAGAAGAGACGTTGAGGCTATCTCGACACTCGTGGTAATTATAGGGGTTTTACTTTCTACGGACTAGGCCTTGTAAACTCGTTCTCAATTCAAAATACAGTATTACTTCTCATATTTATCATTGACTATCGTTCTCACTGACCCCCTTCTTGTTACTCATCGAGAAGAGGCGGAAAAAGGGAAGTGTCGCCCCATCGAACAGTTCCTGAGCACGTATGAAATTATACTTTAGGGAGCAGGACACATACCAACCGAAGAACCCACGAAGACGCTTAGTCCACACCATAGTCAGGTACGTACAATCATTATAGAATGAATATCTCAATTCCCGGTGGCGTGAGCCCTCATGACGAATCTCCTTTGGCACGAGCCGGGGCATCCGAATACGACTTCGCGAAAGTGAGTAAGCGTATACGTCGGCGGATATGCGGCTCTTTGGCATCTAGAACACGCGCGGCAGTTCTTAAGCGCGGCAAATAGATGACAGCGATAGATGATGGAAGGCTACGTAGACTGCTCTTAGATTGATCTCAATTTTAGGTAGAAAGTCCGAGATAGGGCTATGATGGTGCATACTGAATGTGCGGAAGTGGGGAAGGCTGTGGTGTATTACTTTGATACGGGACGTTAACGAAACCATAACAGATTTGTGTCTTATCATGTGGTCTATTCTTAATACTATCTATCTTTCAAATGACCGCTACCTAGCCCTGCCCACCGCTTGTAACAGTGCTGTCATTCTCATTCCACCAACACCGTTCCAATATCTATCTATCAAATCATGAATCACGCAGAATCCCACACGCAAAGGCGTAGGTCCATAGGTCGTTGAGTCCTTATGTACAATATATCTTATCTTCTCACACTTCATATCGTATATAGCAGTAACATTCAACAAAATATCAGAATACCCGCATAACCCTAGATATATCCCATCCTCTAAGTCCGTAAAATCACGCAATATACCTAAAATCCGGGTGCTTGTACCCGAGATCCGCCTGCTCTGCCTCAGTCAAGCCCTCAAGACGATGGTCTCGCTTGCCCTGGGCACGTAGTCTGTTCTCGCGAACACAGTACCAAATACCGAAGATAGACAAGAACAGCACAAAGATCTGTGCGACAAGGTTGATCGTGTGACCGATGGGGAATGAAGGACCATCGGTAGGTAGGTATGCCCAGACGGCAAGGATACCACCCATAGTTCCAAGGGTCACAATCCAACCACTTGTTACAGCTCGGACAGCAGGACCTGCCGAGTTGTTGAGACCCCACGATAGGAAACCGGGGCCACCTGGGAAAGCGCCGATGGCGCAGAGGTATACAGCCGCGTAGCGAAGGCCGTTGCCAGTGCCCCATCGGAGCATCGCGAAACCGATAATACCAAGAAGTGTGAATAGCGCAAGGTAAATACCACGCATGCGTGTCTTGTCGCTGACGAGACTGATTCCAATAGCGATGAGCGAGGCAGCAACGTACACGGGGACCGTGTAGTACTGGGCTGTAAGCGACTCCCAACCCATCTCCTTAAGGAGGGTAGGCATGAACACCGACAAGCCCTGAACCGTGATGTTGATGGCGAAGAAGCCGGCGGCGCAGATGTAGTTGTTGATGTTAAGTAACGCGCGCTTGATATGATGCGGTTGGATTTTCTCGTTAGGGTGAGCCTTGCTCTCGCGGCGTAGTCGCTCGGCGGCAATCCATCGTTCGCGTTCGTTGAGGCTCTTCGACGTCTCGGGGCTTTGTGGTAGGACGATAGGGGCGAGGAGCGCGACAATCATCGTGATAAGACCTTCGAAGAAAAAGATGTTGCGCCATGTGTGTAGTCTCGAGCTCGCAATACCCCATTCAGGGATCTGCGAGAAACCTGCAGCTAATAATCCACCAAAGGCGCCGGCAATCGATGCGGCTGATACGTAAATACCGACTCGGAAGTAAAGTTCCTCTCTCTTATAAAAGGAACTGAGGAAGAAAGCTAAACCAGGCATAGTTCCACCCTCAAAGATACCCAACAACGCGCGGACGGCGCATAGCTGCTCGTAGCTCTTCACAAAGGCCGTACCTACAGATACAGCTCCAAATCCAACAACCAGACCCGGGAGATAAAATCGGGGGCCGATACGCTTAAGTAAGATGTTGGATGGAACCTCGATCGTCAAGTAGACGATATAGAAAATGCTAGTCGCGATGTTAAATCGATATCCGACGAGGTTTAATTCCTCTTGCATTCCCTGGATACGCGCATTCCCAATGTTTATTCTGTCATGGGAATTAGCTTGGCACAGAGGTTAAAAACGATTTCGTGAGTCGTACCGGTCCAAAAAGCACAACAGATACAGAAGAGTAACGGTAGGGACTATTTGCCAATCCAGTTTCCTGCGGACGATGGTTTCCTCTTCCACAGTCCAGCTGGGTGCGTCAGAGGAGCGATCGCTCTTGGTCTCAACCACAACCGCGTCGGGCTGCTCTCCATCGCTTTTCTCGTCTATGGTTCGTATCGGTGCCATGATGATTAACTGTACCTACGCGTAGGTTGGCGAAGTTGAGAAGATGGACAAGGAATAAGAGACGCCGAGAACGCGAAGAGCAAGTAACCAGGGCTCTCGCAGATGTTTATAGATGGGCGATCCGCAGGAATGGTGTATTAGGAGATTTTTCGACCTGGATTCAAACAAGGAAATCCGACCAACCCATTCGGGGGAGTTTCCCAGCATCTTGGTGTAGAGAAAGAGGGTCCAGACCCTTGTATACGCCTTTTCGGCAAATCAGCGAAGAGGTTTGATTGAATCATTATTAAACACCCCGGTTGTGCCCAGACGGATATTCAACTCGACTTGGCAAAAAGCGACGTCGTAGGGTGCCTCAAGTCCTGGTTGCTGACGGACGCTACCCCGCGAAATAACTGGTGTTAAATTGCTTAGCCCTGGATTCTTTCTTAGATCTTACTCCGCAGTTTTCGGCAGACAGACACGACAGCGTTCTGAAACCGGTTCTAGCTAAGGCGAATTTGTTTAATACCTAGTAAATCACCCTAACTAAATGAATACGTAAGTCGACGATAGACTATTGAAAGCCCAGCCCCAGCTGAGAGCCGGACTCAGAAAAACCACCGATGGATGCCACTCTGGATTCTCAACAGTGTCTTGGCTGATACTGAGTGCCTTGGTAGGTGATGAGACTTAATTGGAAGAGGTAGTAGCACTTGTGACAAGCCCAAGACATTTGATTCGAAGGCGAATCTGCTCGAGCCTTGGCGGTCATGTTGATTGTCAGGTGGCAAAGTTTGACAGCTATCTATCATGTTGTTTATTACTACCATGCTCGTTGGCGGCACGGATGCTGCATATAATTAATATTCACTACAGGCTGTTGTGTTAGTAGTTAAGGTGTGTGAGGAATGTATGGTATATGAACCCTAAGTAGCAACGGCGATATTATGTTATACATGCAGTTAGTTCGACTAGATAGAGGATGGGGGTAGGCTCGCTTTTGAAGTAGATTGGTTGGTTGAGAAGATGAAATTGATGAGAGTTGATTGATGGATAGAGTATTCAGAAATTCCGGCTGTAAAAAAGTTTGGGCGAGATAAGAAACCACCGTTTCTGATGACCCATATTTTCCCCAGAGAGGAAATTTAGCCAGAGTGGGGATCATCCCATTTAGTCTCCCACCTTACCCGTTGGGGCTTAAGTTAATTACGTGCGTGTGGAATAAGTGATGCGGGGTCATCACGTGTAGTGTACTTTTTGGAGAAAAAACGCCACGGCAGCCACAAGCATTTAGATTTCGGGGTCTTCACCCGTGGGGTTGGAAGCCAATGAACACGCTTCATTTCCTCATCAAATTAAGTTCGTAGATTGGAGCTAGTACCTAGGTAGAAAACAAAGTTCATACTAATACGCCAGGTACATTTATACAATTATTATGTGCCATTAAAAGTCATTAGGTACTTGTGATATCATCAAAATCGACATACGAATCGCACATAACAGTCATTGATTCGGACCAATGGATTAAGCAACATAATATCTTACTACGAAGACAACTAACCATCCTACTCGCTTGGCGAATCGTTTACGTAATATATTTGCCCTTATCTACCTGCCTACTTTAGAAATGTTCATATCCAAAGCAAGAATGCGTTCGCCTTCGTCCGACGCGCATCTAATGTAACGCGGTTACTGAATGGGTACCTAGGTAGTCTTATATGCAAGCCACATAACGACAATAAGAAAAGTGGCGTCTGCATAATCATTTTTATGCAACCTTATCAAGATCCGACCGGCAGTGCGATCCTTCAAGTTGAGAAAATACAAAAAATAAGATTCTCTAAAGACATGTACTATGCCTCAATTACTTTGCGCTAATGTATCGAGGGCATAACTGTTTGCGATTAACGACAGGCTTTATGAACCCTTAAAAGATAAATCCTACTCTCTCCCACGCTTTGGTTTAGCGTACGTTATAGATATAGTAAGCATCATGGGAATTGAATCGTACCACGAAGGGTTGAATGGAAATGTCTTTTTTTTTTTTCTTATTGATTAATCATATTAATCATTTACTTTCGTATACACAATCCAATCCCTACCTCTGTGCACCCGCACAGTGACCCCCAATCCCGTGCGCCACCGACGGCCGCCGACGTATACACCGCCCCGCGGAAGCAAGCCCAAAGACCAACACAACATATTTGAACGAATAGATTTCTTCTATAAAAATCTGCAGAAGTTGTGTAGCTACAGCTTTATTGGATTGGGGACACAGTATAACTGTAACTACGGCTCGTCGGCAGCCAGGGCTCAGAGACGAACCAATAATAGTCAAACGTCCTTTACGTTGGTTGGTCAGGTGCTAGGTTACACTTCAAGTCTCTCTAACCCATTCTGTAGCGTAGAAATCCGATCACCTAAAGAGTAGACAGGCATTAGAAGAACAACTAGAAAACATAAATACCGGAAGCCTGTAGCGAATGTCAAGTTTAATTCTTTCTATCTACTAAATGCTAAGTGCTAAATTAAAAAATTCTACATTAAATGTGAATTAAATATGAATATAAGTGACATAAGAAAAGTCATAGCTCATACCATTTCCTACTCTTTAATCCTTTGATTCCTTTTCCCTTTTTGTCTTGCCTTCTTTTTTTTCTCTTCTCTTCACTATTGGCATCAGAGCCAGATGAAGACCCAACGTCCACTGAGGTCTTCCTCTATACATAAAACCAGTTACCATTGTAGCCAAAGCATGAGATGGGATACCCATCAAGGGATGGACTTCCCAGCCCGTATTCATATCACGTTACCCATTCGTACACGAGAGCAGCCATATACTAGTGTACACACCAGCGAGTCCGCCTATACCTTCACATTGATCTTTGCGCCAGAGACCCACCACCTTGCTACGGCTATAGTGACCGCGCCCAGCACGGTAACCACACCGGCCCAGACCTGAGCCCAAAGGTAAGATCCGCCAGAATAATCGATGATCGCACCTGCAGTTGGTGGTCCAGCAACAGTCGCCACACTCACCACGGTGAAACACATACCAAATCTGGTACCCATCTTCGAGGGATCCTTAGTCATACTAGCCAAAGCACCGGTGAAAGCACCCTGAGCCATAGAGTTGGTAATACCGAACAGGATCACGAAGCCATACATGGTAGATGGCGTCGCAATGGCAATCCAAGCGAAGAAAGCGATGGCTAAGGAGATGGTTGATAAGATGAATGCATTGATGGGACCCAGGTAGGTATCGGCGAGGTAACCAATAATTGGTCGCGCCGGAATACCCACCGCATTCATGATGAGTAAGAGGGAGACGGCAGAGGTAGGTGTGAAGGAAGCGACCGCAATGGCATATGTGTTGACCTATATGCATTGTTAGAAGACAAGAGTGTTATATTGTATCGATGAGTGACCCCTATGAGCCATGTTTGAGTGTGAATAGTTACTTACGTAGAAGAATCCAAAATACAGAGCCCAATAGAGCATAAATGTTCCTGCGACGAAGATGACATAAGGGGGCTCCTTAAATGCGGTCCACTCCACCAAGGGACCGGATGTCCGGGGGACCAAGCGTGGTTTGAGGAGTAGATTCATGACGAGAACCATGAATAGAGCGACAAACCCCGCGCATCGCACAGCCCAAGGAAAACCGATCTTAGGTACGAGGTATTGGACTGCTGCAGGAAAGATGATACTGCCAGTTCCGGTCCCGGCGGAAGAAATTGCCAGAGCGAGTGCGCGTCTCTTCTTAAAATACGACGCGACGATCGTAATGGCCGGCATATACATGAGACCCAGGCCAAGCCCGGTACATACCCCCTGAGCCAGGAAGATCTGCCAGTACTCCGTAGCGAGGCTTGTCATGAATGTGCCCAATAGCGCGATGAGGGAGCCACCTATAACCGTCTCTCGCGCATAACCCGCATCAGCCAGACGGCCAGCTACGGTACAAATGACGTTATTCAGAAAGATTTGCACGGAACCGATCCACGAGATCTGTGCTGAGGGAAGTTTGAGCGACTCGGTATAGTACAGCTGGTATATACCAAAAGCCGCACCATACCCACAAGCCATGCAGTTGATGAAATGACCGGCAATCACCTGGCGCCAGGCGACAGAGCCACCATCCGGGTAATCATCATCGTCGTCGCCACCAACCGTAACAACGGCAGGTTGTGGCAAAATGGCATCATCAGAGTGAGGGAGCGATTCCTGGCTGTCGGCCAGAGAAGTAACAGCTACCGCATGATGAGACTTCTTGTCGTCCGCAACGAAGACCATTGTAGGCAAAGATGGGAATAATTGGGCTTGTTGGGATGCCTGGAATCTAGGGATTTCGAATTACTGCAGAACTGAAGAAGATACTACTATGGTCATGTCATAAAGCTCATCGTCAACGTCGCGACCCTCTCATATATTCGCCGGGAGGCTCAAGGTCGTCGCAACGTCGATGGAACATATTACCTACCAGAAACATCACGATGTTGCCACGATGTCGCAACTAAGCCAAGGTGCCAGGCCCCAGCGTCCGTTAACGGCTGCGCGAACTTGTCATGGAATTTCCATGTGGAGTAAAGCGCGTTAGGGGTAAAAGGTCTGGCCGCCTTGCTGGCGTCGCGCGAGAGTGCCATCCCCCAAGACGCATCCCATGTCTATCGAGGAACGTTGGTAGATCCTCGCACGTATGGTAGCGAACCGGAAGCTTGCGCGCTGGCACGGAGACTTCGGGGGGTCTCAGCGTGACTCTAGCGAAGGCACATTGCACAATATCACGAGATGTGTCTAGGCTAGTAGTTCATTACCGAAAGGACACCGACTGGAGGGGCAATAACGGTGAGAGCAACATTCTGGGCTTCTTTCGATTCCCTCTCCATCTCTCCATACTCTCCACTTTGTCATCTCGATATGGTCCGGCTGGAGCTTTAGGCTACCGGGGGTTGGGGACGAGCAACACCCGATAACGCTGTTTTTCATGTCTTCATCTCACTCAATCACTCCATCGCTCCATCCATCGTCTCGTCCCCTGCCTCCCTCCCTACCTTTTCGGGTCTGGGAAGGTTGGTATCGTGATATTTGCCAACCCACCTACTCACACATCCATCCATCCATCCAGATGGATATCCACCGAAGGACCCGAGAGAGAGAGTAGAAGTGGAGAGTGGAGAGGGACACAGACAGAGGGAAAGAAGGAAAGAAAGCAAAAGAGATGGGTGGGGAGGGGAAGTTTTGGCTGAAAGTGGGCGACGGTGAAGAAGTTGTGTGAGTGAAGAGAGTAAAAAGAGTGCACGAGTCATAAAATGGTCCGTGTTCCTTATTTTCTGATCTGGCGCCAAGGCGGTTAGCATGCCAGGGCAGTATGACGCTAAGGCCCGGACCGGTTTAGCGGGCCACCGATCTAGTTTAACTCAACGTCACACGTTCTGAATTCTTGACTGGCGGTAACTGCCGGACTAGCTCCGCCAATGGATCCAATAGATCGACTTTAGAACTGGAGTTAATTATGGAGCTATCTGGGGCTTTTGGCGGCTTATTTTTAGTCTTTGAAATCCCAAATCGACGCCGCTTTAGTTAAGGTTTACAAACCCCAGTCTGAATATCTCCTTTTTTTATTTTACTATCGTGATGCGAGCCACGAACATTTCATATCCGGTCCGTTAGAAAAAAAAAAAAAATTATCATCCGTCGTATTATTGATGATGCCTGATGATTGACAAATTTCGGAATCATAGCCTAACCGGAGTTCGCGACGGCACATCATTATCTCCATTGCTTACTTACATTACATTACATTTCATGTGTGATTATGACCTACCTCGGTTTGCCCTAGCCCTCTTCTCCTACCTTAGAAGTGGTTTTATATCTCTACCTTATGCATTGACTTACATGTGTTGAGATCATCATACCCGTTAACCCGGATGGACTATGCGACGACACATCCACACGCACACAAATATACCCCCATATAAATTATTATGAACATCGTTTATATTTGTAGCTAGAGTTATTTTTTCATGATACCTAACATTTCATTCTCGCTAGCTAGCGATAGAGGCAAAAAAAAAAAAAAAAAAGGTCAAAGGAAAAGAGAAGAAGAAAACAGACAGAGACACACAATGCGAAAAGCTTCAAAAGCAAGTATCAACCGTCCAAAAAAAAGATATAAGAGAAGCAGGATAACAACCCCGTCTCAGCGCGCGCACACAATTTCCCACCTCCGTAATTGGGCTCCTAATCCAGCCCATTCTTGCGCCCTGTCATGTCAATGACGAATCGACAGTTTTGAGCACTTGAGCAGTGTTATCCCTCGAACCTCCCAAACAGAAACCTTGCGACACTCCGAATTTTTGTTCTCCTTGCCGCCGCCGTCCCGTCTTCTCCCATTTGAAAACACACTTGGAATTTTAGAATATCGTTTTCTTTTTTTCTTCTTTTCCAAAGCTCACTTCCTACTGTTCTTTCTTGAGCCAATGGGTTGGTCAAGCGGCTTGTAGCAAAGGTGGGCGACGTTGGGAACGACAATGTCGACAAGCAAGTATGATCCAACGCCAATTCGCAGATAACCCCTTCGCAAGATAATCGTTCCCGGCGTAAATATTTTCGATTAAAAAAAAAGGAGTGTAACAGCCTCGCGGCTCATATTAAGTACCTGTTCCCTTTACGCCTCTTCCGATTCCGATAGGAATAAAACTCCGACGAAGGGAAACAAGACAAGCATACCGCCACCCAACTCCCCGACCCCCCATATTTTCGCACCAGCGGAAACGTGCACACTACACCCATATGAGGGTGTATTCTATTGTAGAATTGTATAGCGTAATGTAGTGCGGTGTCTAGGACACATATGTATCCAGCCAGAGATGTTTCGGATAATCGAAACCAATAGATTCGAAGCTCAACACCCAAGAGCAGACGCAGTCAAGAGAGAGAAATACTCCCAATGGACCTACGGGTCATATGTGTTGCCGGGTTTCGATGCGCTGCCAAGCGTAGTCCCATGACGGGTGACCTACCGCTTTCGCTTCTTGTTTTTGTCACCTGCTACAGCGGGCGCCGCGATAGGAGCAGCAGGAAGGAGGGTAGGCGGCCCGGGAATTTCGGCTGTTTTGATGGGAACACCCATATGGCGGCCGTAGCGACCCTTTCGACCATTACCCTCGTCTTCGCTAATGCATTGGTCGGCGCTGAGGCCGGCATCGCGGCAACGACCACATGGCCGCTGTCGGTCGCATCCTTTCTTGCTCTTGCGACATCTTTGGCAACGCGGCTTGGTGGATAGATCGGGTTGATCGTCGTCTCCCGGCTGTCCCGGAGCAGTGGTAGCCGAGGCAATCGAAGGCTTTCGCGACTGATTTGGCAAAGACGCGGGCGACATTGGGACCATTGTGCTAGGAACAGCAGGTGCGTTTGCTTTCTTCGCCTTGGTAGTCTTAGGTGCTCTAGGGGCTTTGGTCTTAATGGGCTTCACCCCCGGCGCTTGCGATTTGCCGTTTTGTGGGGCCTTGGGCTTGGGCTCATTTGATTTCGTTTCCTTAACAGGACCATCTTCAATGCCATCTTCGTAGTCAGCGTCGTCGCCGCTAGCATCGGCGCTGTCGCGCGGTGGCATAAAATGGCTGTGTGTAGTCTGGTAGATCTTACGGTTGCCGCCAGCTAGGTCGAGCTTCTGGCGACGCTTTGGAGGAGGCAATTCACTTTCGCTTTCGCTGTCGGCATCACTAGTAGCACCCGTTGACGAAGCGATATCAGCTTTGCCGCTGAATGTATCATCTAATGTCGAGGCGGAAGTCCTGCCGTGAGATATGTTGGACATGTCGCCCAACCTCATTAGTTGGATGGCAACATCTTTATCTTCCTCGGACACACAGCTTCCTATGGTGGGATCAGGAGTTGGCAAGATGACACCATTGTTTGGATATCCGATACTGCCACGATGACGACGGGAGTCGCTCACCGGCGTCGCAAACATGCCTGCTTGGCCATATCCATTATTATAACTTTGTGGGGATTGGAGTGCTCGAGCATTTGAAAAAACGCTCTGCCCAGGATGTGCGAACGGGAAAGCCGGCCGCGGATGTTCGACTCGGCGAACAGGGGAGACAGAGGGATTGGAGGTGGCAGCGGGCATTTGAGGCGGCGCAAAAAGAGGCAATTCCTATAGGTAGTTTTTGTTTAGTATGGATGAGACAGTTTAGTTGTTGAACGCTGGGCGTCAAGTTGACTTACCGAGCTCTCAAACTTTGCGCGCTTTCGGCGACCACCTTCTACTATGTTTTCAACACTAATATCGGTGTTGCCGATTTGTTCCTTTGCTTTGCTTGATACAGAAGCAGGTGCGCCATCCCCACTACTGTAACCATTGATGCTATCGCTACGGTTATCGTAGTTCGCACCACGGTTTTTTGTAGAGCGCGAGCGACCTTTCTTCCCGACAGTAGGATTCGTGCTAGCAGACGCGCTACGCCTACCACGACCCCCGTTAGGAGATGGACTGCGCTTCCTGGAAGTCCTCGACGCAGGCCTTGAGATATGGTGCCCTGATGGTTGAGCACTATATTCGACTGGCCCCGGTGCGGGAAATCCATTTTGGCCAAAAGCGCCTGCGGGTGGAGGAGACTCCTCAATGACCCTTACATATACAACCATATTATTGCTGAAGTTCTCATATCGTGCGATGAGAGTATTACCCCGATCGTCCTCGAAACTGACACCTTGACTAACACCCTTGCCCCCATGGTAGAGACCATAGAAGTTTTTAACGGTCGAAATTATCGATTCCGTGTCATCGTGAGGGAATATTTGTACACGCAATGGGATTCGCGCACGGTATTGGGGGGATTCGGGAAAAAGAAGTTCGAATTGAACATGTTTCGGAGTTATGGGCTGTCGAGGTGAGGCACTCCCACTATTGGTGCCGGTAGAAGCGGATGGGTAATTGTCAATGGGCGAAGCAGACGCCATTCCGCCTGCTTCACGGATGGCTTGCGTGTGTAGAGCGATCTCGTCGGTTTGAGCGCAGCTAATGCTCAATTTGATGAAAAGCGCTCACTGCCGTCCGAATTCGGGCTGATTGCGGAAAAGGGGACCGAGTGGGATTTGGTCGGCCGCAAAACCCGATGACACTATTGCGATATAATATTGTTTATTCGAGTTCCCGCCTCTTGTGTTCGAATAGGATTACAAGTATTTGTAACCACGATATACGTATGGACAAGTATGGGCGAGGCGGTCAATGCCGATCGCAAGGAAGTGGAGGAAAAGTTGGATGAGCAGGAACAAGTCCCCAGAACTAAATAATCTCGAAGCAGGTTAGTTTGCGAATGATTAGAAGAGATGCTATATGGTAGAATAGTTTCGCATCTGTGTATGTAGTGGAGTTGACTGGGTGTCTCTCGTCCTGGCCAACTTTGGCTGCAGAGCGAAGAATCATGGACGACCAGAAGTGTCGAAAGTGGGCGACAACTGGGAAGGGTAGAACGGATAGATAGGGGTATAAATGAAGTGAATACTTGATCGCGTTAGGTGTCAATGCTAAAAAACCTTACAAAAGAGAAGAATGGATAGTGTTGTGTGCTCAGAGATGCACGAACTCGACCTTGAGGTTTAGAAGGCCCCCGATCGACCTGGACCGTCAAGGTGTCAGTGTCGGGAGACAGGATTCCAGTTGTTTTTGTGAAATCTAGTTGCAATATGGGTGACAGGGAGGATGGTGATGAAGTAGAAAAACTTACCAGAGTAGATGAGAGGATGTTGGATGGGATCTGGTCGAGAATTCGGGGATTTGTGAAAGAGGAGGTGGAAGAGAAGAGTGAGGTTTTGCAGCGTGAGTCCCCAAAAAAGCCCTTCCCACACAAGTTGCATGCCGACCACTAAGTAGGTACATTCAGGCCCCAGTCCAGGTAAGTCCAGGTATAATAGTAGGTAAATAGTAGGTATCGTAGGTACCTGCCTGATAATTTAGGCGACGGCGGGCGGGGGTGATGGCCCTGGAGAGAGGCCATGACCAGCGCATATCCGCACTATCCAATATCCAATACCGCTAAATGCCAGGTACATACCTGGCTAATAATGCCTGTAGGCTTCTTTTAGCGATGCACCAAGCCGAAGAGAACGGTGCCACTAATAAACTCAGAAGGGGGAAAATAACAGTCGAGCCGAAGTACCTTTAGCCAAGTCGCGAAGTACCTTGTCATCTATTCCATCCCATCCCATCATCATATCACCCATTTCTTACGAAGAATTTAAGACGTATAAATTTCTATTTGCTAATGTAAAAAACAATTATAATATATACCATAGAACCTTTATAGATAAGTCAAAAGTAAATTAATTCATGGGAACTGGCGTCGTTGTCCCCAATGTCTTTGGCATTCCTCCAGTTTCCAAAGTGCGCCGTTTAGAAAAAGGTACATCATATACAACTGTTAGGTACATGATCGACATCGAATGCGACTAGCTGACAGCCATAGTTTAATGTCCTCACACGACAAGGGCAGCATCGTACAAACCGCGCTTTTAGGTTTGTCAGTACATCTAATATAATAAATGTCTAACAATTCAGGAAAGACCAAAGTAAATTCAAATTTATTCATATACATTAAATGTATAAAGTAGAAATCAATTCTATATAAACGTAAAAATGGAAATGGGAGAAAACTTATCAATAACAACAATCATAACAAAAACATCAACAATAATAAATGTTAGTACTACCGACTATCTACATCTAAGTAGTGGTCATGTACCTGGTCGCAAACATCGGATGTATTATACAATAATTAGGAACCATACATATACATACATATACAATAACACCTCCTCTATACTGCTATTGGACGTGTCTGGTCCATACATGCAGTAGAGCGTCACATATCATCTTTTGCGATTCGTTGGCCCCGGCCGCGATACCTCTCTAAGGTAAGGATACCTACCTTCTTACCTCCTCTACAATACGCTATATATGTACCTCAGCGTATTGTGTAGGTAATACCCGCATAGGGAGTCCGATGGCGCCCTGCGCTGCGCTGCATTAGGTATACTAAGAACGAAGCGCCAGCTCGCATAAAAAGAGCTGTCAGGAGGCACTGAACTACTACTATTACTACATATGTAATGTACATGTGTATGTATGTAACTTCATCTATTCTCCTGCTCGTCTATTTTCTAATATAGAAAGAGACATAGGGAGTGCGACTGATTTGACTGAATGGACGACATACATACAAGATCTGGCCGATCCGATAGAGAAAAAAAATAACAAAAAGTCTCAGAACTTGACACAAATGTGTGAGCGCAAACAACGTAGCTCCTTGACCCTGAATTTGCGCATTGCGAGGAATCTCCTTACTTGCCTTGAAATCCCGTGGATGCACAGCCATTGATATTGCGCGCTTCCGGCAGGTCAGATACGTTCACGAGCCTGACTTGTCTAAGTAAGGTAAAAGCAGGTTACGGAATCACCCGGTCTTTTCTCGATCCAGGCACATATCCCTATATATACACGCGCGCGCATTCACACGTATACATACACAATACATCCACACTCGTAAACATACAGTCGCTCACACTAGCGCATTCGCGTGTGTCATCCTCCTTATTCCATCAGGGGATGCCCGTCAGATGGCAGCCACCGATCATATTGGCGTCTATTCAGCTTCGTTACCTACCTATTCCTGACGTACGCTTTTGCGCGAGTTGCGATTGACGCTGAATACCACTTAAATTGCTATGCGCCACCATGGGGAGAGGTGTCGCCAAGTCAGGGAGAGTAGATAAATGCCAAGTCTGAGGCTCGAGCTTAGATGAAGAGAACAAATCGAGGTTTTTGCGCATCATGTTGTACCATTTTTGTCATTAGGTATTATCAGAAGCGCAAACTCATCTTACTTGATTTTCCAATTCTATAAAAGGCTGCTTCGCAAAGGCGCAGCGCGGATAGATGGTAGAATCTAAACTGATAATCGATGTCAGGTGTCCAAGTTGGCGACCATGTACCAGCCCCGTATAGTTCGTGGTCGCAAACGAAGAGAGTCGTATGCGAGTTGAGGTGAGCAAAGCGGGCAGCTAAACTGTGTATCCGGCCAATGAGATGGATTCTTGGATGCGCCAGTTTTGGCTGGGACAGGGATTGGGGACCCTCTGAAAAGTTGTGCCCAGCAAAACTGGGTAGGGTACGTACGCAGTAGTGTAGATACATAGACTGACATGATGACCACTCGGAGGAGCCCCCAGACCCGTCTAGAGGATACTTAGAGGGTCTTTACGCAGTTGTGTGAGTGGGCGCGGGAGCGAAAAGCTGCATCTAGAATTCGCAATTCATCGCTGGCGAACGGGGACTAAAGAATGGGGAACGAGAGACACGCTGGTTGCAGACAAACAGGGCCCTTGATGGACGCCAAAAAGGTTGCCATCATCATATGCCATGGCCTGAATATGTCCTAGGTACAGTTTTAGTGTATGCATGTACTTTACTACTCCATGCCACGCTAGATAGAACAGAGGAATAAAAAAGAAAAGAGCACAAAAAGATTGGGATCCAGCCCCATGTCCCAGGGCTGTTTCTATGTTTAACCACTTCGGTATGAGTACGGTGCCTCGGTGCTAGAAATTGCGCAAGCAATCAGGATGCCGAATAAGCTAGAGCTATGTAGGTAAGTAAAGTACCTAATGGTAGTAGTGTATGTAATTATTGACGATATCTATTGTACCTGAGTCGAAGCGAGTGACACACAGTCTCACAGGTAGGGTTGGACAAATACCCACTAACAAGTGCCGGCTCTCGCGATAGGACCCATGAAAGTGGGATACCAAGTGGAAGAAATAGGAAAGGTTCCGCTATAATTCAACACGGAAAAGAATTGTATAGGTTTGGAAAAAGTAGTAGGTAGATAGAAAAAGTAGAAAGCATTGGAGCTCTTGGATTATCTGCGGTGGTATGCGCTGGCGACGAGTTTCATCCACTTGGATCGAATCAGACCCTGGGAATAACAGCAGTTTCTGACAAGCTCAGATCCTTTCGACCAAGCTGATAGACTACCCATTAGGCGCAACTTGCGGATCGCCCAACAACTTGGTTTCTCCACGCGCCACCTTCGCCTTGGTTGGCTGCTGACTATCGTTCGTAAACACCCGCGACTCTTTAATAAACCCGTTCGTTTGTTCGCCTAATCGAGTCAACTTCAAAACAAACAAACGGGAAAACTGAACAGGGTCGCGACCATCTTTCAGGTTTCACAAATATGTCCCTCCTTTCTTGATTCTTAGCCTAATAATAACATGAGAAAATCATCAATTTATTGAAGCAGCGCATCGGCGCAGAGTAGGCGCATACATGTCGTCTCTTCAATTTTGACATGGTACATTGAAGAACCTGGGTTAGTGCCCCCTTCTTTATCTTGACCGCTTATGTATGATAGATCGAACCACGAAGTGTCCAATGGACTGCCAACAATGTTAGCATCATGGTCTAATTTTTGCATGCTCGGTCTGGTTGATCTACACCGCACTTGATGAGATTTCTCTATCTGCGGTCTTTTTTTCCCGTCTGGTCCTGGCGACTCCGTTCTGCCTGTCCGTCTGACCTTAGGATGTCCCGCCGGAAACAGAAGGGGGAAAAAGGCGCCATCGAAAAAAGATCGACATCGGAGTTCGTCATATCGCGGCCGACTGCGACAGGTTACTTATTAGCCAAGCAAGAAAGCGAGTAATTTTTTTATCCAACCTCCGCATATCGCCACGATAATTATCTACGTTCTCCTATCTTTCCAATTAACTAGATAATAACCCTCAATAGAGAGGATAAAGCATCATTGGTAAATATAGCATAATTAAGTGTATATAATAGCCCTAACATTGGCTATCTAACCTCGGTATCCCCGTAATTACTAGCTAGGTATTTCATGTATGTGGCGTCGTACGCTTTTGCGACGCTTTGATTTGCTATCTTGGATGTCCTATCGAAGCGCATTTGCCTGCCGTTACTTGTCACTTTTTTATGTTTCCCGCCTTTCTATTATGTGTGATATCTACTCTTAGGGCTTAGTCACTTTCTGCCCAATGGAAAAACTATGCGACTTCGCTGCGGCTGTCATCTCACATTTGCTGCAACGGTTTGAGGGAGACGACATGATGCGCATGCATGTCACATCATTGAGGCGACGTAAGACGTCCTTCAAGAACTACCTAGACTCAATCCTTATGAAATTTTTTTCAGTTGCGATCCATGGTCACCATGGCGTTATGGCGCATACAAAATGGCAACCATCATCCCTTGATGACATTTCCGATATTTTAAGGAATCATCAAGGAATTAAGACAAGACGAGAGACTATTGCGGTTTAGTATCTTGCGCGAAAATCCAAGTTCCTGGTTCAGCTAAGACCGGACAAGCTACCTATTTGAAGAGAGGGGGTTCTTCCCTTCCATCCAACCAGAATTCGAATATGAGGTGTCGTATTCCAATAATGTGTGTTCCAGGCCATACCATCACATCCACAGCAAAAATCAATTAAATTGCTAAAGAAGCGCAAAGACAAAAAATCGTCGTGGCGCAAAGTGGACGACCACGATACTTTGCGCATGATTATTACCCATTAATCTGCATGAAAATACACCCATTAGTCGGTCGTAATAAGTCGCTAGTGCAGCCAACATTCTCTATGGCCATCCTATCCGGTGGAAGCCCATTTGCGCCACCTGGTGACATATGATTGAATGTGGAATATGATCTCTCCATAGCATTAGTAAGTTTTGCGGCAGATGAAAATTGTGTCGCATAGATGTATATGAACTCTCCGACACATTTAGGAGAGTAGTAATCCCTTGGGGGAGGATGTAGAGCTGATGCGCCGTCGTCAGCGCAGTAAGAACCTTGGAAATCACCAGCGAAATGGCGTCACGTGACTTCGGGTCAGATTCGTGATCTTGTTCCAAGATTCAACGCGACGAGCGCATCAAATTTGAATTAGACGATTAGTATGAGAAAGTGGAAATTAAGCTTGTCGCATGTAAATAGGATAATTTGGGACGGGTTATAAAATAATATGCAAGGTGTTGGAATATAAGATAAGATAAAAGAAACTAGTTATGAGTGATTTATTGAAAAGTTGAAATGGAATCTAATGGATGGGAGACGCGAAGCTGAGTGCTGCTACGTCATTGTTTGACGATGACGCATTGACCACTGACGATGAACCTTTTGAGATTCAGGTGGGGTAAAATGGAAAGTGAGAACAGGATATTTGGGGAACTTTGAGAATGATGCCTCAGGCGCTAAGACGTGTTTACTCACCTGCATGGTGGGGGCATTGACCGGATTATCTAAAGAACCGAATAGCCGGTTACGAAACTTTGTACGGGTCTAAGGTCTGTGCGCGTCGGCCATCCGCGTACATAAATTCGTAAATTGTTTCATAGTTCCACATTCTGCATGTGCCGACTCGATTTGGCCTGGGCAACGAGATGGAATTAAGACAAGGGTCAGGGTTATTATTATCCGTATCGCGATTTGTTTGTTTTGATTGTTCACCTCCACAGCCTTTTCCGAACTACGTACATTCATGCTGATTTCCTAATCGGGCCAGTAAAATGCTAACACTTTTGGTGGCCATCCAATCCGTGGATGGTTTCTGAAGCTGGATTACCCTGATTACTGGACAAGGTATACTGGGGTGCACTGCGCACACTACGTACACTGATCCACGGTCTTGGTTCATTATTGGTTCAATACTGCATTAGTGGTCATTCTGAGGCTGCTGTTTCTGCTTCTAGGAGAGAGGTTGGCTGCAGCCGTGGGGAATCCGTTCCAAAAAATCAACATCAACAATCAATCATCACCAGTCGGCATCAAAAACATCTGCTTTCCTCTTCCATTCCGACAAACTTGCCCATCACAATCTACAACCTCTTCATCCTTCCCCTCTTCTGCCTCTTCGCAGATATCAATAAAAAAATACCTTCTCTCTACTCTTCACAGCACTGAATTTGTTTTTTGATTGGCCCTGCAATTTTCCATCTCGTTGGGAGCTGAGACTTCTCTCTACATACGAAGTCGGCGATAATATTTTTTTGTCGTCAACTTTCTCGTCGCCGACTTTGTAACATTCTATAAATTGTCGCTAAATCTGTGACTACGACTTCTGCTTGACGTCGGTCCTGTTTTTTTCTTTTCTTCATTTCCTTGTTTTCTTTTATTTTGCTTGCGGGTTTCGCATTTTCAGAGGAAAAGGTTCCTTCATCGTCTGGGTCATCGTCGACAAGTTTCGATGGTTACCGCGGATCCGGCATAGGACGAGATCAAACCTTCATCGATCAGATAAATAATTGTCATCGTCACTCCGCATATTTCTCGTTGCCAGAGTCACCGGCGAACACCAGGAACAGATACATAAGTACTTAATTAAGTGCTTATATGCAAGCTAGAGAGGATCATCCCAGCATCGGTGTTGATTCCTAATATTCAAGGTACGTACCCCCTTTTGTTTATGCACGATCCACCGTACCATTGTACCCAATCATTGTACCTAGCAACGGCGCCAATGAACAAGCTCCAGTAAAAAAAAAGCTGGGTTTGACAGTTTAATTACCTTATTCATGTGCGACCAGCTCTACGGATGTACTTACATACATCAACAATAGACTGGGCAACATTTCAACATTTATCACTTACACCCACAACCACAACACCACACAAAGCATCCTAACTCACCTCACCTCATGTTCAATCCACTGACAGATTCACTAGAGATATCACTCTAGTTGCATGTTCTTAATTAGGAGTCACCTTGATTTATTAGTCTATTGACTGGTTGTCGACATAGTCCCTTAACTCCCTAATCTCTAGAGCTAGGGGTCTTGGACTAAAAGCTCTCCATCCCCTTTCCGTCGCGTCTCTAAATCACGCCTCTAGAGCATCGACTCTGCGTGTAATTCGCACATTATGGATGCTATGGTAAGCTTCATCCCATTCGAATTCTTTCCCCTGATTTACTACTCTATTTCTTTGTTGTTTTGCTTGATGTCCCGATACCCACAACACACTACAGCGCCACAGCTACAGCTGCCTTAACTAAGCCATTGTTTGCACTGTAATCGGCATAATGTCACCAATTATACTGTATTAACTCCTGACGACGTCGAACATTGTCTATCTATTGTTTAGCTGAGACATACCACTGGACAAAAGCTAACCTCTTCATCGAATAGCCTTACCGTCCCGGATTCGGGATTTCGAAGCGAGCCAACAACGAGAATATCCCCCCCGTTACCAACAGAGGACTCCACCATCGTCACAAGTCCACCGGCAACTTACTTGTTACCAAATCGGTCCTCGGTCTCTCTTCCAAGAACGTGATGGCGAACGAGTTGAACGGTCGAGCGAAGCCCACAACGACCTACGAGGGAAGCGCCCTAACAACAAGGAACAATGGTCTTTCCACGCAAGCTATTCTAGCAGGTCAGGAGAATAGAAGCCACGCTAGCACAAAAGAGGCGTTCTTGCAACCGGCGCAACGACCCCCGAAGAAATCACTTGTTCCTTCCGCGTCGATGCACCACCTTAGGGCAACAGCTAGTCAACAGCAATCACATGTCCAACTTATTTCTTCTCAATCACATCTGCAACCTCTCTCCCAACAACATCACGCCGAGAAACGCATCGCGCCTCTTAATGTCTACAGCGACCAACCTAAGAAAGACAACCTAGACGTCCCACAACGCCCTTTTAATAAGGCGGGTCGAGCCTCTACTGCCTCGAGTTACGATACTCAATCGCTAGACGACAGCGAGAATTGGGTTACAGTCCAACACGAATCCCACCCCGAAGCGAGTCTCGATCAATCTCAACACAGCGGTACCTCTATTTCTCTCCGAACCGAGGACGACGTAACCGAAGCTGTCTACTTGGACGCTGTAGAGGAGCTCAACGAGGAGCTTGCCGACGAAAAGTATCCCGCGCTTGTACCTGAGAGAAAGAAGTCCTACGATTCGGTGCTTTACTACTCTAAGGGCGCCCCTACCGAGTGGCATTCTCCCAGCATCGACTTCTCCGAGGAAGAACGTGATTCATCGAACGATCGCGCTGTCCAGCCAGTTCTGTCGAACCTTTCTCCACTACCGATTTACGAGGAGGACCAAGTCGACAATCAGGCCGACCTTTCGGATTACGAAGACGCCGATTACTACGACGATCAAGGCTACTCGACAGCTCATTCCTGCCGTGATAACACAACAGGTGGTGTGACTATGGTCGTCATGCCGCCTAAGTTGACAAGGAAGGGTATTGCGGAGATTGAGAATGCCAAACGTATCACCGTAGACAACAATAAAGGCGACGCGAGCCAAGCTGAGGAAGACAACGATATCAGTATGGTCACCGAGTATGGCGACGACATCTTTCAGTACATGAGAGAGATGGAGGTGAGAAAGCCTGGGTAGTAAAATTCTGTTGACATATTTGCTAATATTCTTTAACGTAGATGGATATGCTACCCAACCCCCATTACATGGACTCCCAAACGGACATCCAATGGTCGATGCGAGCTGTCCTCATGGACTGGGTTATCCAAGTTCATACTCGTTTCACACTTCTACCTGAGACTCTGTTCCTGGCTGTCAATTACATCGATCGCTTCCTTTCTGTCAAGGTCGTCTCGATTGGAAAGCTCCAGCTTGTTGGCGCTACAGCTCTTCTCCTCGCCGCCAAGTACGAGGAAATCAACTGTCCCTCTGTGCAGGAAGTTGTCTATATGGTGGACAACGGCTACACGCAGGAAGACATCCTCAAGGCTGAGCGCTTCATGCTCAGCATGCTTGATTTCCAGTTGGGTTGGCCTGGACCGATGAGCTTTTTGAGACGCACCAGCAAGGCGGACGATTATTGCAGTGAGATCCGAACTCTTGCTAAGTATCTCCTCGAGATTACTATCATGGACGAACGTTTTGTTGCTAGCCCTCCTAGCTACTTGGCCGCTGGTTCTCTATGCCTCGCCCGCTTAATGCTGGGCAAAGGCGGATGGGTAAGTCTTTTCTTCTACTATGACGTCTGTGCATATCTAACTCTGATTTTTAGACTCATGAGCATGTTCACTACTCCGGCTACACGTTCACCCAACTGAAACCCCTGGTTGTGGCTATGTTTGAGTGCTGCGAGATCGGCCGCGAGCATCACAGGGCTATCTTCGAGAAGTATTCTAGCAAGGCATTTAAGGGCGTCGCCTTGTTTGTCGAGGAGCAGGTAGCCATGGGTTTCAAGCTTCCCTTCCAGCAGGGTTTCCATCATCACCACATGCCTGCGGATTTGTTCGATGATATCTACCCGGCTACATCGACCTACGCCACTCCGGTCCCCCTCTACGGCTGAACAAAATCTCTGGAGTTGAATTCTTCATAACCACATCACACGCCGTTCCGCATCCCACTACGAACAACCGTAGATATTTGAGACGCTTATCGGTTGCCATTGGACGTTCTACTTTACATTCGACTCTACACCGGTTTACGCTGAGATACCCCCGTTGCCGTTTGTAGGCACGGCCTAATACTTAAAACTTCTACTAATCTGGCACCGATACGGCACCATCACTTACGATATTGCACGAGGCTCACGATATTCATGACACACTCGTCCTACTTGCGATGCATTTTCAATTCGTTCCACTTTGCTTTTCTTTTCGCGATGGAGTTTACGGCAATGTTTTCGCCCCAGTCGGCACTACACTGGCATGGCAAGCAAAATCAAGCATGAGTTCAGGCGTACGGACCCGGAAGGACAAGGCAGGGCGATAGGGCAGGCAGAGAGGCGAGGATTGCTATTTTTCCTATAATGACATTGCGAACAGTCAACTAAAACCGTCGTAATTTAATAAGGTCGTATGTCCCCCGAGAAACGAAAAAAGGTACTCTAGGTCCTACCTTAGGTACTGTTCGAGTATATAATTTGCTTGGAGGAGACGTTTCGACCACACTGGTCCGAGGCCTACAAAAGGACTTGCTACATAGAGCTTTAGATAAAAAAGTCTTCGTGATATTTCATTAATCTTGCCATTATTTTGCATTCATAAAGTGATTAAGATATATAGTGCTCTTGTGCGATTGGAATCGCAGTGCTCTAGTTGAAAGAACTGAGGTTGTTTTCCTGGGGTGGCAATCTATTGGCCAATGCCCCGTTGTTTACTTTCGACTACTTGTAGGTAGAAGTCCTACAAGTAGGACTTCGATGTTCGGGTTTCGCCAAGCCGCGACTCACTACTGATCGCGTTGTCAGATTGGTAACTATTGTAGGGCTGAAACTCTTCAACGGCAATAAATGACGTCGATCCTGCCCTGCGCCTGTATAAAAACCGGTTCAGCCACCGAGCCAAGCTTTTTTGGCTGATGGCATTGCGCCTTGTGCGTGAGGATGGAAATTGGTCTTACTGATGGGCTGAGTGGCACTAGATAGGTATATAATGAGGCCTCGCTGTGTAGATTATAGCGGCTCTAGCGGCCAGTTCTTACTTCGGTATTCCAAGCTACGCTGTCGTTTAAACTGAGATCGGGTTTCTTAATTGAAATTATTACCTCTGTTCCCAATTTATAGTCTTGCGCAAATCTACCAATCCATTGATCAGACCCTATATAAATCCTACTCCTTATAATCATACATAATAATCATGGGCGTTTCCACAAATAACTCCTGCCTCGGCACCAGCTACTCAACATCCGTCATCGAAGACATACCCACCAACAATACTTTCGCGCTAGTGACATACCAGTCCCAATCCAACCTCACCCTTGAACAGCAACCGCGATACCAAGGGCTACAACAGTGCTGCGGACCGGACCATCCTGTCTCGAAATTGAGTTATGATTGTGTGCTTTGGTGCGACCTGCCGCAGGAGATGGTGGATAATCAGACCGAGTTCTTTGATTGCTTTCGAGGAACTAAGGGAGCGGGCTTTGCGAGCGTGGTTAATGGGTCGAATGCGCCTGGGGATGAGGGGAGTGGCGCGCAGAGGATACGTGGGAGGACGCCAGGTGTTCTAGGGACTAGTGTACTGGCGTTGATGGTTGGGTGGTTTTGCTTGGTGGCGTAGTGTAGAAGTAGCGCGCGGGAGGATGGGATACGGGAGGGAGGGAGTGTGTGTGGTTAGGGGGTTATAGGTACCTAGTAGAGAAGTGACTGAAGGTTGTATGATGGGAGAGGGTGGTTTGGATTTCATTCGCGATGATCAGTCAACGGAGTTGTACATCAAAAACGGAAGACATTTTGCGACAATTATATTTAGAGAGGCAGAAATAGATACAGTATAAAAAAAGACCTCTTGAACAGTACCTAACGCGGCTCGGAGCAGCTAGTAAAACGCCACATCACATCATCACGATGCGCCAGCAGCGACTAGATTGCCGCCACCTCCTCCTACTGCAACTTTATCTTCGGTGGCTCCAGCCTTTCCCACCATGCTCTTCAATCTGGCCTCCAGGGCATCGTAGTTACGCTTCATAGCGGCGCGAGTGAACTCGGATCCAGTAACCTTCGGGTATTTCTTGAGCGGTCCTTGGATCTCGCAACTAGCATCCGGTTGATTGAAATAAGCCATGCTATACCTATCGCCGTAGCAGTCGGATGATGGATCCGTGGGCGTTTTAACGCGGTGGAAGGTCGACTTGAAACGGTCGTCACTCCAACTCATTAAGAGGTCGCCACTGTTCTTGTTAGCATATAACCCTTCCTATTTTTCATAACGAACTCCTGGAAAAATTAATAATAATAAATAGGCGGACAAGAACTCACATGTTACACACGATCTCACCCTCAACAGGTTCGACAGCAGTCCACGAATCTCCGAGCGCAAACTCCGTAAAAGCCTCCCGACCAGGACATATCTCAAGACCACCCTGTCCAGGCTGCTGGAATAATAGAGTTAAGAAACCCCAATCAGCGTGCGCACCAGCACGATAATAATCATCGCCAGCCGGGCCTTCGACCGCGAAGTATCGTAATAATCTCAACACTGTCTGCGACTCAGGCCGTGATACATCATGCGCCCGGACGAAGTAATCATCGGGAAAACCTAAACCCCGCGCAAAGCATACCATGAGTTTTTCGGAGACGGCTTGCGCTCGGTGCATGAAGGATAGACTTTGTGCGCGGAAACCGGGGAGGGCTTCTTCGGGGAGCCATATGCCTTCCATGGCTTTGCCGTACTATATAACAGCATTAGATCAAAAGTAAGACGTGAAGGTTCGTTCATTATGAAGTAGTGTACCTGCATCTGATAACTCTCCTTCTGATCCGCTGCACCGGTACTAGGCCGGACCTGAGCCAATTTCTCCCAGCCGGTGTTTCGGTGGGAGAAGGGCACGGTAGCCTTCACATCGTCGGGAAGGGCGAAGAAGCGTTCGGCTGCTTTGAATTGTGTTGTGATTTCAGATTCTGTGATGCCGTGGTCTACGACGGCGAAAAAGCCGACGGTTTCTGCGGCTGCGACAAGCTCTGCTGTGATGGTGTCGATGCGAGAGTCGAAGTCCCGGAGAGAGATCTTAGGGATGGCCCGGTTGGAGTACTTGGTATCGGCCATTTTAAACTGTTTGCTAAGAAGGGTATATAAAGAAAGACACGGCGTTTTCTTTTGGGGATGCTGTAGAATGTCTTAGCCCCTTTTATATATAAGTCCTCTAAATGACCTGCGTACCGGCCAAAGCCGGCTGCGTGTATTCAAACACAATAAAGTCCCTAAGATACCACGGTTCAAGCTACGATATCAGTGTCAGACAAGTACTTGATCTGATAGCATTTCTGTTTTACAATGAGTTTCTCTGTCACGGGGATGACGGGGCGGCCCGGGAGTGGAGAAGCGATACCCGGGTAATGGGTAATGGTCAAGTTATCGACCTGCGGAGATAACTTATCCTGACTTATCACCAACCGGAGGGCGCCGTTGGCTTACCTATATCTCCCCTTTCCGATCTACATACCCCAACTCCTTAGGAGGACAAACATTTTATAAGATACTATGCACACCTAATCGTTTATGGATTTCTATTACTTACAGAATTTTTATAAAATTAATTGATTTTATTAGATTGAGACATCATGATTTGACGTTGTCGAATACTTTGTCGTGAACAAGGATATTCTCATCTCACGCTTGTGGTATCCTTACCCCCTTTTTAATCGCTGCGCACAACGGAAGGCTCATGGCTTGGCTTAGAACTTGATTTTTCGGCCTCCTACTTGTAGAAACTGCAGGCGATATTATAAAAATACCTATAAGCTACATAACTCCCTCATGTATGAGCAAAGGCGCTGATATGATGACGAATAATGAATTCTTACCAATCAAGATCATGATCCTATCGGGTACTAAGTCGGAAAAGATATGTCTTCGGGCGTACCTAATATGAGTTCGTTTTGCAAGTAATCTGATATTGCTTTTTCTATGCACTCGATAAGTGACAGGAGTTGCCATATCTCTTGCATCTTAGAACCAAATACCCATTCTAACTTAAGTAGGAAGCAAGACTCACGTCATCTTCCATATTTGGATAGTAAGTATATGTGATAGAAAGCGGATGACTCTCGTATTAAAACTAATTGATATTATGTTTATGGTGTCGATGTTGGCCTTGAATACCTACCTACTTAGGTAGGAATAGCTAACAATTCATATTATTGGCCTTTAAGCTTGAGCTCTGTTACTTTGTAAAGCTGAGGATTTCCAGCTCGATATTGGCATTTACCTAGCTGGAGGCGAGGCGACGCATTTCTACGAATCTGATTGCTTGAAGCTGGATTGGTTTGCTTAGAATGTAGCTTAGAGCCAAGCTACGTCCGGCTTCTTTCTATTCTTGGTTTGTCTCAATCCAGGTTTCTAAAGCCTGAATCACTTTGATAGAGATGGATGGAAGATATGATTGTGAAGAAATCTTATTGGTATTTGTTAGGTACTCTGAGTGAAGCGGTGTCGATAGATGTAACAATGAACATTGTGGATTCATGTCACATTCAGAAAATAGTCACGACCGTTCGTATAAAAGAAAAAAAAAAATCAAAAAAAATCAATTAAATTAAGGAAAAAAAGATTGATTATTTTTAATGGCTGGGGATCTGTTTGTATGAATTTAATATGTGGAATTATTAAGGAATTGTTAAAAATAAAATAAAATAAAATTAATTTCGCGAACCTGCCTGTGTGTGACGGTGCAAGTGATACTTAGGCTATAAGTACCTTCCCCTACAGAAATTCTGTAGCTCCCTAGGCTGTTCTTCCACTAGGGGAAGCTTCCCCGTCGGTTTTCTTACACGGTAGGTAGCTACCCGGAATAGGATAGGCGAGAAAGTTCAGTAAAGACGAAAGCAAGAAGGAAAGTGGAAAGTGGAAAGAAGGTACGGAGTACAGTGGTACCTGTACCTGATAACATCCAACGCGAAAGAGCTACCCCAGCTCATTTATTCTTGCACGCGTTCAACCCCAATTGCCTTAACAATATAGTACCAGCGTTGGTCGCAAAGGTTGCTCTTCCCTTTTGATTTAATTTTTATTTTATTTTATTTTTCCTTCTCTCTCTTTCACAACTTACCAACAACATTAAAAATCACTTGCGCATATTGAGATTATTTTTTCTCAATTTTTCCATCACACAAAACCCGCTGGTGAATTTTCTTTGATTTTTCTTCACCTTTTTTTCTGCACAAAGAATTATCACCTACCTTTCTGCATTCACATCCACCACCTTACCTACCTACAAACACCATACATTCATTTTACTGCCACATATCTTCGCGATGGCACCTACAAGACCCTCGCGCGCTTCCAAAGAGAACGGCACAGCTGCCGAAACCACCACCGCCGGCAACGGTGCAACAGCTGCGAAGCGCGGCCGTGGCCGCCCGCCTAAGGATGGCGTTGCCCCCCAGGCTAAGAAGCCTTCGACTGGCCGCCCTCGCGGTCGTCCCCCTGGAACGAGCGGTGGTGTAAAGAAGTCCAAGGCCAAGCCTGCTCCCAAGAGCACCAGCGGACCTGGTCGTCGCGGGCGTCCTCGCAAGTCTGACGCGTCGACTGCTGCTGCCACTCCGAAGAAGGGCGCGAAGGCCGCTGCCTCTAAGCCTGCTAGCACCGGGAAGGGACGCGGTAGACCAGCGCGCAAGAGCGACGTGTCGGCTTCGAAAGAGCCTGAGGGTGAGGAAGAGGATGAGCAGGAAGACAAGGAGGATGATGAGGGTAAGTGAATATTCATATATTATATACTCTTGGGGAGCTAAGACGCGATTTTTCACGCGTTCTTTGGTTTTACTTTCTGTTCTGCGGTCATTACGCGAATAAAAATATTGTTGTTCACAATTGCTAATATTTATTTGAGAATAGATGCTGGTAACAATGATCTCGGACTGGGTGACGTTGGCGACGACGATGACGAGAACGCCGCAGATGATAATGATGGCGACCATCCAGAGGTAGGATCTTACCCTTCCTCTTCCACCTACCCAACATACAATATTTGCGATCCCTCACTGATCCGGGCTATATAGGACGATTAGAATAACCAAGTCCATGCCTCAACCGTTGCAGGCTTTCTAGTCGGTGCTTTTCGACGCATTAGTAGTGCGAGGAGGAGTACCAGCGTTGTTGTTCCGGGGGGTTGAGGCTTCTCATCTCATTATCACTTTTCATTTTGCTGCGAGGTGAACTACAGTCATAAGGAATTAGGCGTACGTGCGGAAGGGAAGAAAGTACGCAGTTGAACATAGCTATGCTGCGAAGGGGTTTCATACCAGGTCGAGAGTAACGGCGTTGATACGGGAGAAAAATGATTTGATTGTACACGTCCAGAGCAGCAATCGCTCGGTAGGTTTTCTACCCAAGGCTACTATTAGTACTGCTTTTTAAAGGGCTCGTTTCCTATAGGTATCGTCGTGGTATTCCCCCAGAGAAATAAAAACCCATGACAACCTTCACTGTTGTTCCTCCTTATCGCTGTATGGTATATTATCTCGCGCCACTATGTCGTAACTCAAGTTGCGTCTTGATTTATTTGCTTGGTTGAGACGTCTTGATATACGCTGTACTAATGAGCGAAACATATTCTTGACCCTGTATGTTCTACAGCCTCATCCTACTCACTTGAATATCCCACTGGGTATCAATCTCGTTACGGGTCGTTAGGGACATAGCTACCTATGTATCTTTTATTCTTTCTTCCACTGCTCAAACTCCACATTCAGATGCTCCTTGAGCTGTTTGAAGCTCACCCCAAAGTCTTTCCCACATCGCCAGCATATAAGAGGACCATGAATCCACCCCTCCTTCCCGGGATGCCGTCTTGGATCATCCTCGGCAAGTGGGAAATCCTCCACATCAACCAAGAAAGGCGTGTTGAAGCTGTTATAATGTTTCTTATGCCGCATACACTCCGACACCATATCCGGCGCCAGGACGTGTACGTGTAAATCATTCATCGACGGATGCGCATGGACACCGACCAGGAGCTCAGCTTCCCAATCTCTACCTTTCGGCAGCTCGGCCCCATCTTCGAGTTCTACTTCACCGTTTAGTACGGCTTCGCGTGCTTGGTCTTTTGCGCTGAAACGTCCGTATCGTCGTTGTAATTCTTTGGCTACGAGGTGTTTTAACTTCTGCGTCTCGGCGCGGACAGAGGCGAGGAATGAGGGGTCGTCGAATGCGTCGAAGGGGTGTAAGCGGCTGCGCACCGGGTCTCGCGGGAGGAGCAGCGTGTGTACGGTTGATTTTGGGTATAGGTCGTTTATTGCGACGAAATCGGCGTTGTGGTATATTATTTGGCTAGGTGGGAAGGATGTCGGGTCATGCGTGTAGGCGCCGAGGCCGTCGCGTTGTTTGAAGGAACGGGTTAGGGGACTGCGGGTTGAGGCTAGGGTTTTTGGATGCTCGTCTTCTTTGGCCGCTTTGGGTTTGGGGGACATGAGTTCTGTGACTTGTACGTTTAGTGTTGCGTATGGTATGTGTGTGGAATGGGATAGAGGACACTGCTTACATGCGTTGCGCTTTGTGCCTTGACTTACGCCGGTCGATGTCCCGTCTGTTGGCGTAGATGCTGTACCTGCGATCTCTTCTTTGGTGATGGCATCTTCGGGGTCTGAGTCGGTTGCTGGCATATTGTTGTTCTGTCAGTGTTGTTGATTGCTTCTGGAAGTTTACAGCAGTTAATTACCTGAGCTGTAGGTACTTGTAGGTGATAAATAGGACCGTTTATAGAACGTTCGGTGATAAAATAGACCCGGGAAATCGGTAACACTAATAACCTTGACCCTGCCATTTCATATTACTACACCTATACTTTCATGCTATTAAGTTCGCTAGGTACCCACCTAGATGGGTAACGGAAAGGGCTGCTTGCTCTGAGTAAGAGTGGCATGATTCGACAATTGCGCCTGCTATACATGCTTAATAGCTGCTTCTAATACATGTCAAGTAGCAAGGAGGTACCTACCCCGCCATTGTAACACCTCTAGTGGGGGAATAAGTTTAACCGAAGCTATTCCGGTGCAGCTTACTTTATTTTTTTCTCGCTGACGTCGTTTGAATTTTAAGACTCAGACTTATTCATCTCATATTGAAATGTCATGAGGGAATTTCAACATAACATCACCATTTTTCCAGATGGCTTACCAAAATGGTGAAGAAAGGCAAGGATAAGGCCGCAACAGCCCCCCCAGCTGCTGCCGTGGCCGCTAGCGGGTCATCGTCGAAAAAGAATTCGTCCAAGGCTGGTAAAAACACCGCCAATTCGCAGCAAAATGACGATTTCATAGTTTTTACGAACTCTACTAATGATAATAAATCTAATAAAAAGGGAGGAGGACAGGGTGGATCTTCGAATGCGGGAGGGAAGAAGACCGGACCAGGCGGCGAGAGTACGGGAGAGCCTTCAGGACCTCCTAAACCGACGGCAAAGCAGATAATCGGTGGCGCCAGTTGGACGGGAAAGTTACCAGTGAATCTTCTTTCGGAACATTGCCAGAGGCAGAAGTGGGACAAGCCCGACTACCAACCTGTAAGCGGCTTGTTTTGCTCGACTGCTAAATGTACTTAGTTAATTGATACATTCGAATTAGATTAGGAATTCCGAGGGTTATTCGTACTTCGTCCAGCTTAGTGCAAAGAACCAGAAGACCCGGGAAGTCCAGAAGTTACCTCCTTTCAAAATCCCCCCGGATTATAAACATCTAGTAACCAAAGAGACTGCTCTAGAAGCCAGACATGCCGCCGCCACGTACGCTCTATTTAGAGTATGTAGCATGAAAAATATACATACGACTTTACCACCAGACTATAAGTCATTATGGAAACAGTTCGAGACATTGAAGAAGGAGGATGTGAAAAAGGGCAACGCATGGATGTACGATGCGGATCCTTTCGCTACGTTGAAGCAGCGAGAAGACGAGAAGGCTGCTGCCGAGAAGAAGAGGAAGGAACAGGAGGCTATTAAGGAAAAAGCGAAGAATATGCCTGGCGCGGCTGGTCTTGTGCTTCGGAGCAATGCCGTATCTTCGGGAGGCGGAGGTGGAAATCCCATGAAAGGCTGGACTACCGTTCCGAAGATCGAAATGGGTCGGAAAACCCGATCTCAATTAGAAGACTTGCTTCGAAGGGAAGTGATATGGAACCCCCATGGTGTCAAGATGCCGAAATCTCAGAAAGATGCCATCGTTAAGGAACTTACAAACTCTGGCTTCCGAAAAAGTCACGTCGAGGAAGCGGTTGAGGAGTGCAAGGACCGCGAAGAGACATTAGAGTGGCTACTCATACATGTTCCCGAGGACGATCTTCCTAGATGGGCTCTACCGGAGAGCTATAGTGCGGGCGTTTCGGTTGCTGCAACACAAGATTTGAAACGTGAAGGGGCAGTGAAACGGTTATCTCAATCAGGCTATTCTGCCGAATTATGCAGGAAGCTCTACGACGACAATGGTGGGAACGAAGGGTTTACTGCTGAAGCCTTACAGCGGTTCTTGCTTTCTAGTGGCGACGATTCTGCACTCGCGAATGGTGACTCTGAACCCTTCATATCAGGCACGCCAGAAGAATGTTGGAACGACGAAATGGAGAGCCTCGCTTCGGTCTTCGGCGATAGTTTCAAACGGCTATCCGACGATGTCTGCCAGATCAGGATAGATTCGGTTAAAAACGGCCCTAAGATGGACGTTGAGACCTATGCGCAGTTTCGAAGGTCATCACGATACCCGTCTGAAGTTATCGTAGCTGTGGTAGCAGATCTACCCTCTTACATCAAATTGAGTGTGGTCAAAAAGACACTTGCTTACCTCAACGAATCCTTAAGTGAGGAACCAATGAAGATTTACTTTGCGGTCGATTGGGTTCAGCAAAATATCAACTCCATTATTGAAAATCCCGGAAAACTACGTGACATATCGGGAGTCGCATCAACCGCCGCAGAAACCCGTGCAGCCGTTCCTGCTAGGCAGAGGTTCTCAAGGCACCCGAAGCCGCTTTCTTGGGCGGTGGATGCGCGCAGTAGAGAAGAATGGCAGAAGCGACAAGACAACTCTACATTGAAGGAAATGATTTCTCAACGCCAGAAGCTACCCGCTTGGCAAGCGAGAGATCTGGTTGTAAGCACGGTCTCACGAGATCAAGTCACAATCATTGCTGGTGAGACGGGTTCAGGCAAGTCGACGCAATCGGTCCAATTCATACTCGACGACCTCTACAGTAAAGGATTCGGAAATGCTGCCAGTATTATATGCACACAACCACGCAGGATCTCCGCTTTGGGTCTTGCGGACAGAGTTAGCGAGGAACGATGCTCGAAGCTCGGACAAGAAGTCGGATACTCCATCCGCGGGGAAAATAAGGTCAGCGCCCAGACGAAAATCACTTTCGTAACAACTGGTGTTCTCCTTAGACGCCTGCAAACTTCTGGAGGACGCACCGAGGACGTCGTCGCATCACTAGCTGATGTCAGTCATGTGGTCATTGATGAAGTCCACGAGCGCAGTTTGGATACAGATTTCCTTCTTAGTATAATTCGCGATGTCTTGAAACGAAGGGAGGATTTAAAGCTTGTCCTCATGAGTGCTACGCTTGATGCGGCGACTTTCCAAAGCTACTTCGCCTCCGAGGGACTCCCGGTGGGTTTAGTCGAGATTTCTGGTAGAACGTTCCCAGTCGAGGATTACTATCTCGACGATATCATCCGGATGACAGATTTTACCGTCGATAATGGAAGACACCGTGATCGAGATGAGGGGATGTTTGATGGTACGACTTCAACAGATCCGGGCAAAGAGCCGCAGGATCCAATTAACAAAACTATCCAAAGATTGGGCTCCCGAATTAATTACAACTTGCTCGTCGAGACAGCGAAAGAAATTGATGCAGATTTATATCATAACAACAAGAAGGGCGGCATTCTTATCTTCTTGCCCGGTGTCGCAGAAATCAACCGCACTGTTAATCAATTGAAGAGCATTCCCTCTCTCCATGTTCTACCCCTCCACGCCTCTCTTGATACGCGCGAACAGCGACGAGTATTCACAAGCCCGCCACCTGGTAAACGGAAAGTGGTGGTCGCGACGAACGTGGCGGAGACGTCGATCACAATTGACGATATTGTTGCTGTTATTGACACGGGAAAAGTGAAGGAGACAAGCTTCGATCCCCAAAATAACATGCGCAAGCTAGAGGAGACATGGGCCTCCCGGGCTGCATGCAAACAACGAAGAGGTCGTGCTGGTAGAGTTCAAGCTGGGAAGTGTTATAAATTGTATACGAGGAATCTTGAGGAACGCATGGCGGAACGTCCGGAGCCTGAGATTCGTCGCGTCCCTCTTGAGCAGCTCTGCTTATCAGTGCGAGCTATGGGAACACGAGATGTTGGTGGATTCTTGGGGAGAACACCGACACCTCCGGAAATTACCGCTGTCGAGAACGCTATTAAGATGTTACAGCGGATGGGTGCTCTTGATGGCGAAGAGTTGACTGCTCTCGGTCAGCAGCTAGCCATGATCCCGGCAGACCTCCGATGCGGCAAGCTCATGATTTACGGTGCTATTTTCGGATGCCTTGATAAGAGCGTTTCTATCGCTTCTATTTTAAGTACCAAGAGCCCGTTTGTCTCTCCGCCTGAGAAGCGAGATGATGCCAAAGCTGCACGCATGCAATTTTCTCAGGGCGATGGTGACCTCCTTACGGATTTAAGAGCTTTTCAACAGTGGAAAGCAATGTCGGATGAGGGTACACCACAGCGACAATTGAGACAATTTTGCGACGCGAATTTCCTTTCCAACCAAACACTTTCTGATATATCGGCCACCCGCGTGCAGTATTATTCGGCGCTCGCAGAACTGGGTATACGCGACAATCGTCCTGCAGGCAATCAAGCGTCGACGGCTCTTGTACGTGCTTTAACAGCCTCAGCATTCACGCCACAGATAGCGCGAATACAGTTCCCAGACAAGAAATTCGCAACGTCAATGTCCGGCGCCGTGGAGCTTGACCCCGAGGCTCGCACTATTAAGTATTTCACACAGGAGAACGGTCGAGTGTTTATCCACCCTAGCAGTACACTGCACGACAACCAGGGATTTTCGGGCAATGCCGTGTTCTTGTCTTACTTCAATATGATTTCGACGAGTAAAATATTTATTCGGGACCTTACTCGTGAGAATCTGCCTAATTTTATTGCGATTATATGATATGGTTTACTGACTGTATGCAGCGTTCAACGCCTTTACGCTACTTTTATTCTCCGGTGCCATCGACCTCGATACTTTGGGGAGGGGTTTAGTGGTAGATGGTTGGCTACGGTGAGTTTAACCCCCTATAAAAGGTCCCTGACCACTAAGTTACAGCGCATAATTTACTGACTGTGTCCCAATTACAGGCTCCGGGGTTGGGCACGGATCGGCGTGCTGGTATCGAGGCTTAGAGGCATGGTCGACAATATTATCGCGGTGAAGGTTAATGATCCGCATGCAGAGGTCTGCAATAGTGAGGTGATAAAATTGGTGGCGAAGCTAATAGAACTAGATGGTCTTGATGCTTGATTAACTGCGACCATAGGGTGAGTATTGGGATACATAAATGATAGACTTACTATGATTCTTTAGACGATTCGCCAGCCCCTCGTTACGCTGTAACATCAGTGAATTAGGTACCTAGATCGGTAGGGAGCCTACCGACGTAAGCCCTGGCGATTGGGCCCTAAATTCCCCGAATGTAGGTCCGATAGGCTGTTTGGTGGCGTCATTACTGCCTGAGCACTGCGGTTAGCATCGCCACTGAAAATTATGCCTTAGCAGTAAGGTAATGAGAGCCTTAACAACTTCGCGCGTAAGCAAAGACTAGAAGCGGTAAAGTATTTATCATACTTGAGCAGCGACCCAGGCGACTCCCGTGCAGCTAGGCTCATGGTTCGCTATCTTGGATTCCAAGACCAGGACACGGAAACGCTAGAGGATTGGCGGCAGGTGTTCAGTGATGGCCCAACGACGATTGAATTTTCTAGCTGGAATACCCTGGCAGAGTTATTGCTAGGGCTGATGCGTAATCATGGTGTAATGCTGGAGGACGATGCGAAGGTGCCGTAGGACGCCGGACAGTTCGTCTTTCTCCCTTCATGATGGGATTATCTATCTTCCTTAACACCACACTCTGTATCTTATATATTGCCAAACACACCCTTCCCTAATCCCCAAACGCCGTTGTTTAAGCAGAAATAAGACGACTCCATATATCATAGCACCCTTCGTATTGTACAACCATATCCTACTGACTACTTTTGTCTGATCATCCATAATATCCAACCGCCGACGCCGAAGATACACGTAAAGGCTAATCGAAGGAGATAGGTCAGCATAAGTGAGAAGAGCAAAGGTAGTATGGATACTAACCAACAGCGAACGTCTCTAACGCTCGGTGGTCTACGTCTCTTTTTAATATGACACCCATGTTATTCACCTCGCGGCCAATAAGCCGTGGTAGCTCTCGGGCTATAAGTTCAGTATCGATGGCGGGCATGGTTTCTGACGATAGCGACGATAACAGTGATGATGATGATGATATTGTCGATATGGTATTATAGGTAAATATGAATAGTGCGATGTAAGTAGACGTTTGCTTGAATCTATTGACTACGACGATCAGTTCAATTGGGCTATGGCTAATTTAAGTAACTAGAGACTGGAGGTGCTGTGATATGTATACGTGTACCCTTGACTCTTTGGCTTTCCTCGAAGTCGTCGTCGCTCAGCCCATGATCAGCCGATTTGGTGAAAAGCTTCCTTTCGCAGGGCCAGCCATCGCATGGTTTCGAAACACTACCTATTGAAGCTACCCCTTAGTTGGATTTCACAACTCAACTTCTTCACAATCCAGACGCGCTTAGCGATTAACATGTAAACCCAATTCTTACACTCTCTATGAACAAATCATTACTTCTTTTCGGTGATTGAACCGATGAGCCACTTATAGTGCTTGGCATGAATTTCTTTAATATTCATATTTATTCTTCGTGGTTATCGCCGAAAAAGGGACGAGGGTGGGATTAAGTGGATCTGAGATCCATCGTGCCACATGGTGCGAGGGGGGAAGCCCCTGAAACGGATTCGAGACATGGTTTAGAGAAGAAGTTCTAGACGATTGAGAGATAACCAATGATTGTATTCGGAGATGTCTCCATGGTGTTGAACATGGATTACTATCCTTTAGGCACTATGTAAACTGACTACAAGCTGAGTAAACCTATTGAGCCTCAATCAAACGTCGTCTGTTACCTAAATGATCTTGCTGAACATACTAACCATAACTTTCTCTCTTTTTTCTTATTTTCTATCCGTGACCTCGGAGAACTTCTTCCCTGGATATCAATCGCTTCTATAGTCCATGGACATTGTACCTGAACCGGATTTCTATTATATGGCGCTCTCAGGCGGCGACGTGATTGGTACAGACATGTTTCCAGGTGTACTTTGCGAAAGCTAGCCATTCGCAGTCGTCGCTGCAATCGGCTTTGCAGGCAGCACAGAGCGCCCAGATATCGTCCAGTGAACCAATACCGCGTAATTGATCGGCCGAAAGTCGCGATGGGACTAGCAAGTTCTGTAGTTCGTCTGGGGTATTGGCCTCTTTCGCTAGCCCATGAACGGCAGCCACCCAATCGTTGGTCGTCCGAGAATTGAGGTTCATATCAGACTTGCGCTTCTCTTGACGTTTCTCACATGCGGCAAGCAAGTCTGGGCATAAGGTAGATTCAAATCCGGCCGGCCTCTTTGCTTTGTCGGCGGCCGTGAGCAAGCGTAGGCGGTAGATACCGTCCAGCCACGCATCACTCGGATTATCTCCGAAAATACGTCCTATCTCATCCATCATGGTCTTGTGAATTGGGAGGAATCGGAAGCCCATGCTACGTTCCAGGTATCGGTGATGCACCGGAACATATAGGAACCCCGAGCTGGCAAAGTGTGTTACACCAGTCGGGCAACCCGTATTCACCATATCATCCAATAGATCGAGGTATACCGAATGGTATCCGGTCGCTCGCCGAACCTCCAATTCTTTCTGGCTTGCGTCTTTCGAATAGCTAGCGGTCGGTTGGAAGTTATCTTGTTTGTAGACTCGAAGGGTCGATTTGGACAAGTCCATTGAGATGGCGTTATTGATGGAAGAAGCAAGGAGCCAGTCTTCCTTGAGTGTGTCGAGGCCGAGGATACGACAGCATACTACGACACAAGGATAGGTGCCGGCGGTATGAGTTCGGTATACGATACTATCCCACACGCCTTCGCGTCGGCCCATTAGGGCGTGGATACCGGTGCCACCTCTAGCGTTGTCCTCGAACTCAACCTTCTCTAAGTATTGGAAGAAATATTGTCGAAGGGTGGACAAGAGGATTCGAGTAGCGTCTTGACCCCAACCCTCCTCGGTTATTTCCTCTATGAGGTCTCGGAAAGAACGGCCGTACATACGGAAGCGTTGATGGATGAGATCGAGAGGAGGAATGCATATTTCGTCTGGAATCACGGTGAAGGATACGATGCGTACGCCTGCGAGCGAACTATCGAAAGCGCCGCCAACCCACATGCCTAACCATTGCAATGTATCACGGGCAGTGCATTGAATGGTGAGCGCGGGGTTTGGGTCATGTTTCTTCGTCCAATCTGTGTAGTCGCAGTATAACAGGTTGCTGTGTTCTCGGATGCCATCGATTTTGCGTATGGCTGCCTCGACTAAAGGCCAGAAGTTGATTTCGTGTTTCTGAGAGATACCCGACTGATAGCCCTTGCCATTCATAAGAGTGAGCAAGTGGGCCGTATCCTTATTATAGGGATGTCGTAAAGGACTAGGAATAGGTTCATCAGGGTTTGGGGGTTCGGCCCAGTGGAATGGGTCAATGAAGTGTAGGAAAGTACAGTCGATGTCCTTGCGGCACGAATCACCACACCACATAGAATGGGCCTGGTGGAGTAACCCCAAGTGTGTTTGGTTTAGAGCTAGCTCGTCGAAGGCTTCTAGCCCCGTGCCCTGATAAGCAAGGGTCTCGGCGCTGACTTGAGTTGCATGCGGTGCCATTATAAAGAGTAGGACACTATAATATCAAAGTAGACTAAGGAGGTATAGACTATGGGGAATAGACTTTACCGTACAAGATGTAGTGGAACTTGACTTAGCTTTATATTGGATGGTATGCTCAGAAATCGTGTTTAGATGTCTTATCCCGTCCTTGATGAGCAACCTACTAACGCTTATTGCTGTCACTCCGTGCTTACGGGTTCTTCCCGGTGCGTCCGGTCTATCTGAAATGCAGTCATCATGTTGGTTCCCCGCGTAGCTCCCTCGAATAGAGGCTGGGGGTGTCACAACTGGAAGTGCAAGGCAGGAGAGGGTTACATCATAGAAGATATCAGGGCCCCCCTTATTCCTATAAACGGAGGGCTTGATTTGTGACGCCCTGTGTTTACGAAGAGGTGGTATATCAAAGACGGGAGATGGGACATTCTGTAAGCGAGTTACTTAAGGGGGCAGGTCGGAATGTTCATCAAGAATCAGAGAAGAAAAGGACGATAATACACGAAGCGCTCGTTGAAGCAGTGGTATAGTACTCAAGTTGTTCTATCATTTTTTAAACACTTAACTTAGTATATTCTTTTAGAACCGTTGAGAGAAGCGTGCAATTCTAAAAAAAAATGTAACGTTATCTGGAGTAATGTTGAGTCTACTAGAGACCTTACTAGTCACGTGACACCCCAGATAGCCACCAGCTTCTCTCCACCGCTACTTAACTTGCTAATTTACTCACCACTTTCCTGGCTATCTAGTTCATTCAACCTAACTAATCAATCCGGTAATTTAGTAGATTCTTGTTTTAGTGGTCAATACAATAATTGATTCATCTTTTATGTCATCTCTTAATTTGACACTTAACGTAACACTTGATTAGCTCATCAACATACAACTAAAATGGTGATACAATAAGAGGTTAATAATAGGGGGGCGAAACCCTATGTTAGACTACTTGAACTGAATCGAAAACGAATTCGAATGACGGCCAAAGTGGAAGTCTGATTGGTAATTGAAGTATTGGCCAATTGAACATTAGAATGAGGTTGTTATAGTGCTGTGGGGGTTACACGGGAATTGCCGGGTCAAAGCTGGCTGCCAGCCGGGGTATCACGTGGCACAGCAACTGTATGTAGCGGATTTAAAATTATAAATTATGGTTATAGCCCCCCATTGCCCTATTCAACCCTACGGTCCACTTATACAACCTATGCACCTACCTAATTACCAGCATTGCATAGACTATAGGATATCGTGCACCAAGGTTTCGTTTTCTATTTGGGAATAAACCATGGAAGTCTTCCATAAAAATATTTCTTTGGCGCAACAAAAGTACCGCGCCGAAGTAGCAGCACAACAGCCCAAGTCTACAAGCCTACAAGCCTACAAGCCCCCTAATTAGTCAGATGTCAGGCCTCTACACCTGGACGCTTACCTAGCTGCCTAGATGCTTACCTAGGCGGGTCTCGGTATGCTCGGCACGCCCCGTCGGATGAAGCCTTCCGGCCGACGCCGTCGTTTTTATTGCCTGCGCCTTTTTGAGATGATACATAGCCGACCCGTCCTGCCCGTCATGTATGTAGATTTTATTAGTTGCATCTACCTCGAATGCAGGGCTGCTGAATCAGTGCGCAGCGCTAGTCTATGACTGCCAGCCAACCATCCAACCTAGCAAGGGTAGCCCTATGCCCGTGCTTATACTTGATAGTAAACAATGCAACCAATAAAGTCATGATATTCACATGGTTCATGCGTCTTTTCTTCAGCACGTACCTAGACACCTAGGTACACATCGCGGTCGCCGTGTCCCTTTTAAACCCGTCAGTTCCTAATTGGTTCTCCTTACAGATCAATCCTACTCTAAAGAGATGCGTACATTATGTAAGTAACTGGAAAAGGAGATTTCCTGTAACCTTTTTATGTATAGTAGGTAGTTGTTGATCACTGGTGGATCAATGGTGGGTAGGCTACTTGGCGCCTCCCCCTTTATAGCCGATCTCGTGACACTCGAAATATCCGCCTTATCATACATCAAAGTTTCACAAAGTTGGTGGTACATACTACGTACGTACATGTATATGTAGTGTAACAATGCTTCATAGAATCGACCTAGGTAGTATCGTCATGGGAAGCCGCAGCACGTCACAACTTGAACAACACAGGTGTACGTAATATGATAGTGATTTAAAGACATAAGCTTAAACGTAAGTCGATGGAGTTGAACGTTTATCATTCTGCTGATTATTGACTTTATGAGGGGCTTAGACTACGTACTCGTAATCCTCTTGAGATCATAGTTCGGCTTCGCGTTTCTAACTGGCCGTAAATCCGATTGACGTGACAAGAGGAAAAGGAAAATAACTTTGGGAATGCATTATCATTTGGCTTATGTATGTAACCTCGCCTAGGTACGCCTTTAGAGTTTCGGCATTCCCGTTGAAGAAATGACATGAGCCAAATCCTAGCAGATATACACCAGAACGAGCTACATGATTAACTTAAATCTTCTAGATCTTCACGGGATAACTTGCGGAGTGGTTGGTTTTGGGTAGGTCCGGGGATGTTGGGTCTTGCAAGGGGTTTCCAATATTTAGGAGGCGCAGGGGTCGGCTGTAGCCTATGGGATGAATCCGAATTGTGTTATTCGTTGTTTGGTGATCATATGAATGTTAAGGTTAGTTTAAGGTGGCGATTCTTTGAGTATTCATGTGTCAATTTAGTGTTCTAGTATGATGTGGCAGTTCTCGGCTGTACGCATTTTCAACTCTATTCACCTGTCATCTGAAGTTTTGACAGCTTGCCACCCGATGTTTAAACTTCCTCGTTGTCCTATATTCCCTGCTATGAGCAAACTCACATCGCAGAGTACACTCGCTGATGCGTAAACTGCTACAATGTGTATCATAGAACCGGGGGCAAAAGCCAGTAGTAGTTTGGGAGGTGGGTGGGTGGTTACTAGTCCAATATATCAAATAACCACCAGATTCGCCTTGAAACCCCAACTTTTACGTGACTCGCGTTGCGTCCCCTAACAGAGCCTGTATAGTGAACGGTGCTAGGCTTTTGGCTAACAATGAGATTCGAGGTTCTCATCCTCTTGGCGGCCATCGTCATGGCACACCATCCCTGGGAACGAATGCAATCCAATACAAGCGGTATAGCTACGCAAAACTTCATCCAAAAGGTCAATCACACCGTTGATGCCGGCTCCGCCACTTTCAAGCAGCGCTATCAACTCAATACGCAACATTTCGAGCCAGGGGGTCCAATCCTCTTCATACAAAGCGCCGAAGCTGGGATGCCGCCGATTAACGCTAGCGACTTTATGGATTATGCCCCGAAGCTAAAGGCGCTCGTTGTGATGCTCGAACATCGCTTCTTCGGCGACCTACGTGACGGCAGTTACCCGCCGGGATTCAACCCAAGGAATATGTCGATGGAAGCGTTTAGTTCGCTAACGTTGGATAATGTGCTTCAAGATGGGGTCAATTTTGTCAACTGGATCAAGGCGACTGTCATAGGTGCTACTAATAGTAGAGTGATTTATGGTAGTTGTGAGTGAAGCACCGTCACCCCTTTTTGCTCCTCTGAACGGTACGTTAACAGGATGATATATGTAAACAGCTTCATATGGCGGCTTCCTAGCGGTCTCGGCACGTATGCGTTATCCGGATACATTTTACGGAGCGATTGCCTCTTCACCCGCCTTGAACTCGTTTGGTCCTACTGGCTCTAACCGATATAAATTTGATTCAGCTAAATGGGCGAGCAATATTTATGATGACGTGTCGAAAAATGCATCCGTGAAAATAAAAATGGCGATGTTAGCATTCAAGAAGTGCATTGCAGGTGGGATATTTCTTTTCAAATGAATCATACTCGACAGGCTAACAGAAAGAAGATAATACTTGCGATGCGGTTATCCCTGATCTCAACGTGTGCAAAAATTCAACCGTCCTAGGATACGAAAGATTGTACAACGCGGTACTCCATACATACCTCGCCGTGTCGAAATTCAATTATCCATGGGTTGAGAAGTATCCATCTACATACCCCTTACAAGATTTAGTAAAGCAGACACTCGAAGCGAATTCGGCCGGTCAAGTCTTGCGTATTCCACTCCTCGCAGCTTCATGGGCTAACGGATCGTTTTGTATCGATGGGTTTAATGGGAACATTTCTAAAGCGAGCCAAGGGAATATAGCAAGCAATCAGCCAGCATTCGGCTATGTCATCTGTGACTACTATCCGATCAACGACAGGTCAGTTCCGTCCAATAATATGTTACCTGAGACTTTCGCGCGTGGCGCCGTGGACCTTTGCTCCAACTCCGCCTGGAAATCGGCCGACTATAGCAGAGAAAACGAGTACTTTCTTCAGAAGTATGCTATCACGAACGATCTTCTCGATACAACAAACCGGCTCCTCATTGTTCAGGGCCAATACGATCGCACCACAGCTATCGGATCACCCATTTTGACGGTAACGGACATGTTGAATCATTCAAGAGTGATATTGGTGAATAACACAGCACATGCGGAGGACTCAGTCTCGGAGGCCATCGAACCTAGAGGGATGAAACCAGAAATGGACCAGGTAAGTTACTTCCATTCAAAGTATTTTGACAGGACGCTGAGACCTATAATTAAGATTCGAGATATCAAGTTAGCGCACCTAAAGGAATGGCTCGGACAGGGAAATCAGACACAGGCATCGTATGCAACAATAACCACAGCGCGATGCCCAATATCATTATTGAACTTTCTTCTATTTTGGGTTATATTTTTATTCCAGGTGTGAGGTGTGATGGAAGACATAAGTTAAGAGTAGTATGGGATTTTTTTAGATAGGGGCTCACGCCAGATTACTTGACCATAGGAAAAATCTATGTATCGTCTACTTCTTCGATTCATAATATGGTTTTCTATCGATTATTTTCAGTTTCATTGTTTTTCTTTGGGAACCGAGAGTTTTTGAAGTTCCTCAATTATAACTAAAAGGGGGTGGCTAGTGCGTGGCTAGTGTTGTCTATTGCTAACTTTGATTACATCATCTGTCGCCCGAATGCCAGGGGCGATACATGAACTATCATGGCGTTGATTTTGTTGAAAGGTCCAATAGTCCAATCTATTGAAATCTGTCGTCGTTAGTCTGAGTCTTCTAACTGTAAGAATTAATATAAAAGGTCAGAATGTTGCCTCTCTCCCTAGTTGAAATGAACCATTCCAACCACATAAAATTATCTTTACCTTTTGGTGAATACTACACTACCTGACATTTACAAAACTATCCGGCTCACTTATTCTATTATAATACCAAAAAGTCATCAAGACTTTAGGGATATATTTATTCTGATCTTAAGAGCTCGTCAAGGTCAACTTTATACTAGTCAACATGGCCTCCGATACACCAGCGCGTCTATCACAGTCAAATCCATCAAACGACCAGTTCACGTTGTTCCCTCTGCTACCGGCCGAATTGCGCATCCAAATATGGGAGGAATCCTTTCGTCACCAACGCATGGTGGTTATACATTCCGAGAGATTCAACATCCCATTCGAAGGGACCAGATATCCTCCCCCGGTACGTTCCACGACGCCCCCTACAGGTGAGAGTGACTCGTCAGACGACGAAAGCTCTTCAGACGAGGTGACCGTCAGAAGGTCTGATGGAGGACTATGCTGGGCGTCTTATACGCATGTTACGAATCGCGTGAACTAGCGTTAGCCCATTTCAGGGTCGCTTTGCCTCTGTACAACCCTCCCGGGACTCTCAACTCGACTTTCCAAGAGCCCACCAAGCGTATCCTGTACATCGCACCAGGTTCGGATCTTATCGCTACGCCGGGAAGGGTCGGCATGGTACGCCTCGCGAATCTGTTGAAGGCGGCACGGGACTTAGACCCAAAAGGCCAGGGAATACGCAGCCTCGCTTTGCCGTTAGCTAACTGGCTGCGGGTCAAGTACTCGCGAATGACGAATCTGGAGCCTTGGATGCGGGAGCTGTACAAGGGGTTCGATGAGCTCGTCTTACTGATGTACGACGAGAGGAAGCTTCCTACCGGCTTAGACGACGGCGGGCAATGGGAGATCGTGGAGGCCGAGGATGTGGGACCGGCTTCGACGCTCATAAGGAGAACGCCGGATATGTCTAATTGGGAAGTTGAGGGGTATGCGTGCATGTCTCTCATGTTCCATTACATGTCCCACAAATTTCTTCAGTTTTAGCCGCCTATTCAGTTTGTGATTCGTTCTGTTCGGTGGCTCCGGTCGGTATATCTAACGTTAAAGGGCTCCCATGGAAGCGTGCGGAATATAGGGCTGGTTTTTGTCTCTATTCTTTTGGGTTCTAAGGAGTTAAGGGGTGGTGGATTATGTTCCATAGATCAAGTTTGTTTAGTACCACATGCAATGCCATTTAAGCCATTCTTGTTAGTCTTTATATGCGAGCCCGCTCATGGCTCAGTCGCATGCTACCCACGTCTCTAGAATTTCCCTTAATCGGTTCGTTTATATTAAAAGCTTATAGGTACTCGCACCGTAGGCAAATCTCCGTACTCAGTGGGGACCGAATTTACAGGGACGAACATCGCCATCAACTCACGGCTTTCAAAGTTCCATTCAGAACCCACGAAGTAATACCGCGAAGATGGGGGAATAAATCCTCTCTTATCTCTTCCCTTCTGTTCCAAGTCAATCAAAGCCTGCAGCGACTTCAGCATTCCTTCGTTATTCCAAAAGACCTGTCGGTACGTCATCTCGCGGAAGATCTTCAATGCTAGTTGTCGCGTCTTCTGATCGCGGCATTTGGATAGAGCAAAGCTGACCACCGGGAAGACGTCTACGTCGAGGGTGAGAGAAAGATGTTTTGGTGGCTTATCAGGCACAAATCTCTGACAAAGTTGAATGATTTCGACGAAGCCCTGATGATGTAGGTCGTATGAAACGTCGGTCCTATCCTGGAAACATGATAAAAATATATTCCCGCTCAAAGCCGACGCTTTCATAATAGTTAATGAGTAAAATTCCGGCCTGTTCTTCTCTCTCTCTAGCATGCTGTCTATTACTGGAATCCACTGGCGGAGTTGCGCCAAGAACGTAGACTTTTGCGCGCTCACCACCTCCATATATTCTAGAGGGACGATTTTCCCGCATCGAACGCTCATCATGAAAAGACCCAGTTCATTATTAAACATAGTCCAACGCCTCCGAACTTCCGGCATGGGCGTATCCATGGTTGGTGCCTCCACATTTCTATAAGAATTCTCTAAATTCGTATAGAATATATCTCTCTGCCCGTGACAGAAAGGAGATAATTTCCACATGATGGTCACTTTGTCGAAGCCTTCTTTTATGTGCGTAAATTGCTGGTCTTGGGTTACTGCGGGAAGCCCGCTTGGAGTCTTCGCTTTTATCGCGTCGCGTATTAGCATCGCGCCGTTGGCCATAATTTGCTCCACTGTAGCCATGTTCCCTTGTAATATTTCGATCATGGCGAAAAAGAAGGTTGATGTTAGATTGGAGCGAACGGTGTCGTTGGTGATGCCACCTATTAATTGCTTCCGACATAAGGATATTGCCTTCATATAGTGATGAAGCGCCAATTGCCCTTCTTTGCATTGTGCTATTGAGCTAGCCGATGCTTTAGGTGGATCCATACACCGTTCAACCGCCTGCAACATAGCAGATAATGCTAACGCAGCATGCCGTATGCACTCGTCATGCATCACCTCAGAAAGCATGCATTTCCAGTAGTCCGCCCCGCACCAGGTAGATATATCTATCATGATGCGAGACCGGAACTGATCGAAAAACGGGACATCACGGCCCTCCAGATAAGCCGGCGTGAGTGATGTGGGTAATAGAAAACCAACGGGGAACTGCTGCATCGCGTCAAGTACCCGTGGCTGAAGGGACTTTGGCCGTAATCTTGCGACATCTACAAGTCTCGCAGAGTTTCTGGAAGTAGATGACGTAGTAGGGCTTTTGCTACTACGCTTCGGGCCAGGTTCTTCATAGCCGGCGCACGTGTACCCCGACCTTTCACAGCGGCTGCAGCATGGCTTCTTCTCGTCACACTTCACGCGCCTCACTTTGCATGTGGTACATCCCGTCCGCACCTTGGCATGATTGGCTCTGCGCTTGATTGGAGGCTCGTTTCGTTCTAGTAGATCCCAGTATTGGCCTGGTGTCATTGACATGTTTTCTTGTCTTTGTGTAAGGCTATCTCGTGATTTGATCTTCTCGATACCAAGAAAATAAGGTGGCTTCAGAAGTAAAGTTAATACAGGATAAAGGTGGATGGGTGATAAGTGATAAATTTAACTGGCTGAGACAATACGATGGTTTACGAGAAAAGAAAAAAGAACGCCAACTCATGCGGATATATACCTTTCTAGGAGATAAATGGTGGTTTGTGTTACGATAAAATAGGGTACTTGTACTTTGTCAGCTGAAAGCAATGGAGACCGCTAAATTTGATGAGGACTGGAGTTTACCCCAATTCAGCTGTGTAACCTTGCTGATCTCAGGGCAACCAACTGCGCCGGAAAGTGAGACTTAGGGGTAAAGAATGTGGATTAATTCGGTGATATTTTCATATACCTATGCATAGCTCTTGCTATAATTCAACGATGGCATGACCGATGGAGATAATTTTAAGAACTCTAAATGGTTTAACAAAGCTGAGTCATGAAGAGTTTTTGCATTTTAGTCATCTACTTTTAAAATAGACGGTGGTCTTGGCGCTGCATCTCGTACAGTATCATCCAATCAGCTGTTAAGAGTATCACATACCCCTGTAAATTCTAAAAGCAAAGCTAGAGTGATAAGCTCAGCAGGTGCATGTACCTAAATCATTACCTTCACTGTCGACTCTTCAATTGATTCTTTCTCTTCAACAACTTTTATTTTCATTCACAATCCTCTATAATTTGCGTCAATTACAAATCTGTTTCGTCTTACGTCTACGCGATATAAGCGAGATAGGCTTTCTCTCAAAGTTCTACACAACTACATGAATATAGTATTCAACCAATTGTTTCTTGTTGTTCTATGCTACACATCAACTATTTCCTTCTGTTACCATCATCCTTCGGACTCTATCCCACAGCATAGCCAAAATTTACCCGAGCGCTCTATAAGTATAAATTCGTATCACAGCATAAGCGAGTCGAGTTCATCTCTGCGGACGTGACACCGCATTTGCATGACAGAGCGAAAGAACGATGACGTTAGTGTAGTTCGGAGTTGAGTTGACGTTGGCGTCACGGGAAGTCTTCACTGCAGCACCTAGGTCAAATCTAGAATTCACCGAAAGGGTTATCCGGAGATTTTATTTCAGTTTCTCTTTCAATCAATTATTACCATTTAACGGAGACGCATGCCCTGTTTCTATCATCCCTCGGGATACTAACTAAGGCGCCTTCATCGGTAACGCGATCATAGCAACTACCTGAGCATTCGGGAGCTCAAATGATTTCAATGGGACCTAATTGTGCTCGAGCATGAAATCAAACTTCGGGTATGGCGGCGATTAGTTGATCATACCACACGGAGGACGGAAAGCCAAACATTCGGCTGTCAGCAACATCATTCGAGTTTGTTTGCGCTTCCTAATTCAAATGATTATCCGATAGTTTGATTCGTCGGAATACTCGGATACGTACTTGCCAAACAGCTCGGACTCGTACCGAGCGTCGGCTTAATACACACCACAACATCTATGCTGGAGAATATCTGGCTTGAAGACAACAATCATTCAACTAACCGCGCGGGTATCTGTCAATTGCAAGTGAACTGCTTATTAACTAATGTTATAACTCATATTAGATAGGAACCCCCACGCATACGTAGTATCTCTACAATTGCATCATCTAGGTCTATACCTAGTCTTGGTGCTTAGATGAGGTGGCGACCCGGGAAATCGGCGTCAAATTATGATACACAGGCTCATCTAGGGTTAATTAATCTAGCGATGAGGCAAGACGGAAGCAGTGACGATCACCGGAGTGTCTTCCTCTTTCACCTCGTCTCAGATCAAACCCGGTATTAAGCAGATATGTTTCAAAAGCCATGTGGCATAAAATCACGAACCCCACACAACACGCACAGAGGTTTTTGAGGATTCTCCAATGAGATTGAGTCCCTCATTGGTCCGTATTGCCTGAAACGGCATCCCGCCGGTTTCTACCGTTGGCGCACGATGCTGATTGCGGTACGTACCCACCAAATACATCAAATAAGACCAAATAAGGAGAAAACCCTCCAGCCTCCCCCACGATGGGGAGCTTGATCAACTTTCCCACCCTTGTTCATCATCTTCTCCGGCTATGTATGTGTGACCTCACACCTTTTCCCCATGCGATTTTCTCATTGCATTTACACTTGGACGGCCCTAGGTTCGGAGAAACCCCTTCCATCTTTCTTCGCTTAGTTGGAAGCTTATCAGCGAGAATTTCCAGTTTGAGGTAGTCTGCGATCATTACGGGGCCATATTCAGCAGCCAATGCCTGGAATTGACCTAGTTAATGATTACTAGGTAACGTCGAGAGACGCGGTCGCCCCCACATCGTCACAAATCAAGCTAGACTTGCGGCTTATAATTCCCGGCGCGCCTTCTTTTTCCCCAAGGCCAAGGCCAGAAAGCCCTCCAAGTTCGGCGGTGAAGGGCCCTACTCCGATGTGACGATCCTACTCAACCTGGAGGAACACATACAGTCACAAACGTGTCCTACCTTGAGGTCTTTGGGCTGCTTGCTGAAGCCATCGCTTGATTATCTTGCGACGGAATATCTTATTTCTTTCTCTACTTCTTCCCACTTCCACCATTAATTATTCATCGCATAAACGCGTGCAAATACATAGCCTTACCCACACAGCAGACAAGCAAAATACTATTAATACTACACCATGGCGGAACCAACAAATACCCCAATGCCAACGGCGCCGCCAACCCCACGTTCAGGCTCCCCCGCACCGGCCTTTACGCGCCCTAGCAGCATCAGTAGCAACACTCTCAGTCCACCGAAGCCGATCGGTATACCAACGTCAACATCCTTGCCTCTACCAGGGGGTCCTTTAGGAACCAAGCCCATTGTATTGCACATTGGTGATCCTATTAAATATAATCCCGAGACGTATACGGAATTCTCGACACAGTTCGACATCGTGCGCCCATCAGCCGATGAACGACAACGACCAGCCTTCATTCAGGCGTTGCGCGAAAAGCGATGGGGATATTTTTCGGCTATCTTCCGTCCCTTTTGGGGTACCGGCGGCGAGATGGGCCATTGGGATGCGGAGCTCATCTCTTTACTACCGGATAGTGTGAGAGTTTTTGCAAGTGCAGGAACTGGCTTTGATTGGGCTGACACGAAATTGTTGGGTGAACGAGGTGCGCATTAATTTCCTCACCTCTCAGCCGCCTCGGCCTATTAGAACCAGTGGCTGGCTGAAACTCCCCTTTTTACTTTTCATTATGTCTCATCCTACTTTTTATTGGATGCATACCTAGCTTGTGATAGCAAATGGGATGGGATCTCGTCGCTAATAGTAGTCGCAGGCATAATCTACTGCAACGGCGGTCTCGCCGCTGCAGAGGCCGTGTCCGACTTCGCTGTCGCCATGATCATATCGACCTTCCGCGTGCTGCCGTACTGCATATCATCGGCAACCACGCCAGGAGCCTTCGAAGCGTGCCACGCGAGTGCCACCGCGCGGTCGCATAATCTGCGTGGGCGCAGTCTGGGACTCGTCGGCCTCGGCAATATTGGTCAGCAAATCGCGCTCAAGTGTAGTCTCGCTTTCGACATGGACATTAGTTACTACGACGTCGAGCGCAAGTCAGCCGCGCTAGAGGCTCGCCTGCGTGTACGTTTCACGGATAGTCTTGAGCGCCTTGCTCGCGAGTCGGATTGTGTGGTGTTGTGCACACCCGCGGGCGCGGGTCGTATTATTAATGAGGAGAGTTTGGCGTGGTTTCGACCCGGTGCACGGCTTGTCAACATCGCGCGTGGAAGTCTAGTTGATGAAGAGGCGCTAGCGACGGCGCTAGAGGAAGGAAGACTTAGCGGTGTCGCGCTTGATGTGCATGCCGATGAACCGCGAGCGCATCCGCGTCTATTGGCGTTTGCGGGAGACCGGGCGCTGTTGACATGTCATAATGCTGGTGGCACCGTGGAGACGCATGTGGGCTTCGAAGAGTTGGCTATGCATAATATTATGGCCGTACTTAGTGGTGGACAGCCCGTTACGCCGGTTAATCTACAATGGCTACGAAGTAAGGTCATTTCGTGAGGAGATGAAGGGGTTGAGTTTCTACTTAAGCTGGTCAATACGAGCGAATTTCATCTAGACGGCGTATTCGATTACCTACCTCGGGGGTGGAGATGCGATAGAAGTGGAAGGGTTACGGGGACTAAACATCGGTTAGCTCAATTAGCCAACAGCAACGTGGAGCTGGCCGATTTGTAAGATGCGCGTTTTTTCGAGGATGAACAGGCAGATATGCAAGCGAGTGGGCATTCGACGATATGAGAAAAAGAAAGTACGAAAGTTTACTCGACCCGGAACGAATAAATACCCATAGATGGAAACTGGTGCATATGTAGACAGGGATTCTAAGGGGGTCCGGACGAGGAAAAAGGAGGGCCGGCTGCATGATGGGAGAATATGATATGTTTGCCTTTACCTGTACGTACCACGTTATACATACATAACCGTAGTACATATATACGTTTACCTTATAAATGTTACGTCCTGGTTGACTAAGGGATAGGGGCTAGGAACGAAAACTCTCTAAAGACGATCTATAGAATTTTCACGATTAGGATGTCATTGAGCATGTAATTTTTATGTGCTTGTGCGATTCTCTATTTATTTTCAGGGGCGAATAATTATATACGATTGCCAATCGACATGCCTTGCCCCCCAGTCTGCGAACAGGTCCCTCTTGGTTGAACTCGGTTTCTGAATGACGGCGTGGGACGAGATGTAGACATGATTTTCGGGTGCAAGCAAGACTTATTGGAAATCGTTCGAACATTCGGGATTGCGATCCTGATAGACCGACGAGTCCCAGTCATCCTCCACTCTTTCTCAGATATTTTTCAGACTAAAGTCTTCATTTCATGGCCAGTATCCGACGATATCTCATCGCAATCGCGAAGTCGAACCTCAACCATACAGACCTCCCGCCAACCTAACCCCGGTCCAGCGCACGAACCACAATCGACGGAAGAAGAACACGACCTACTTAAGATCAGAAGGTCCTTCGGTAGGTTCATACGTAGTGTCGTAATCCGCACTATCATCAACCTCCTCCTCTTCTGCCTGGCGGTACGGACCGGCGGCTGTGCGAGGCGTGTTGTACAGATCCTCGGGAGTGGCATCGGGGTACGGGTTCATGTACGAGTAGCGCGGGGGAGGGGTCTCCGGGTTTTGGGTTTGGCGACGGGGGGATTCTGGGAGGCTGGAGCTGGAGTTTACGCGAGAGGGGAAGTAGTCGGAACTTCGCGCTGTGCTGCTTACGTCTAGTTGCGAACGTGTGGCGATGGGGGACATGAGATACCAGGTGTAAGAAGGTGGACCGATGTTGCGACGCGGGGTTAGGGATTCATCGGTTGGTACTTGGGTTCGTAGGAGGTCCCCTGATTGAGAGATGGATAGCGCGTCGGGTTGTGTGCTGTAGGATTGCGCGTGCGGGAATGAGTGCGCGCGTGGTGTGCGTTGCGAGGGGATGGATAGGTAACTTGTTCCTTCGCCGTTGTCGCGGGTGGCACTATGACGACTATCGACTGCGGAGGACTGGGGACGGGCGCGGCTGCGTGTGCGTGATTGGCTTGGGCTAGCGGGGACAGGGACGTAGCGAGAAGCTGCACGACTAGATGCAGCGGTAGCGCCAGTAGACGAGGGCTCATGACTATTGAGTCGAGCTGCTTGCCAGGTAGGCGCCGGGTCTGGATCTCCTGCGTAGCGGAAGACGGTGTCGAGCCGGTCGCGCACGTTCTGGTGGTCCTTCTTCGTGGCTTTGCGATGTGTCCGATAGACTAGGTATAGAGATCCTATTACCAGGAGACCGACCACACCACCTATAGTACTGCCTACGATGACGCCGATGTGGCGGTCGGGAGGGCTCTCAGGTGGATTCTGATGTGAACCGGGGTAAGGGGTACCAGGTTTGAGGGTTGCGCCGGGTCCGTTTCCACTAGTTTGGGATGCTGTGGAGGTAGACGAGCGGGAGGCGTCGATAACGAACTGAGGCTCGTCCAGCATGGTGACAACAGTGGCGGATGTGACACAACGGTACATAGAGCGTACGGGTTCGCCAGTCCAGAAGTAAGTTGCGCATTCTCCATATTGACTATTGAGGCTAAGAACTGTTAGTAATGATAATTTCCAGGTGATTAGGCTTGTATGAAAATAATAAGATAGATTCATATCTCTGCCATTGCTTTCGAGGGATAGGTTCGAAGAAGAGAAACCCCCGACAAATGGTGATGTGCGATAGAAATATTCAGGAGTAGAGAGGAACGCGAAAAGAGACTTACCAACATCCAGTCTCTGAACCGTCTTCAACACATAAACTACTCTGCCAAGCAGCGTAGTTTAGACAGGTCGAGTAGAAAGGAGACAGGGTATCGGTGACACAAGCGACGATATGCTCGGAATTGGTGGCACAAGTGCCGCTACCAGAACAGGTAAAGGGCTCGGCTAGATATAAGAGTTAGCGACGTCGATTCGGAGTCTAATTAATTCCATCCATTTTCCCATCTCTCGTATCTCGCGCGTAAGCAAGGAATAAAATGACTTACAAGCAGCACCGCGAACCCAACCACAAGTCTCACTATTAGTCCAGTGAGTCGTAACAGAAGTAATTCCTCTCTTAAGCATCTCCAAAGCGCGTTCCTCCTCGGAAACGTCGCGACCGGCAGCAGGTGTAGGCTTCGGCGACCAGCCTACCTGAGTGTTCTCAGTACCATGACTGGTCTTTTGCACCAACCATGCGGGAGGCGTGCCGCGAGGATCCGACCATCGGAACCACTCCGCGGCGACGGACCAACAGCAGAATGCCGCGATGGTCAGCGGAAGTAGCAGCGATGATCGCATGGTCGAAGAGGAAGCGCGCAAAATGGGTCTGCGTCGAAAGGGATGTATTTATGAGGGGAGTACGAGTACCTCTAATTGTCCTTCGATGAAAGACGCAAGGCGAGGCGGACCGAAAATAGGGTTTTACCAGTAGGAAAAGGGTGAAGGTGTGTTCGGCAAGCTTTGCCAATCTAACCTAGATATTGGGTTGACCTAGGCTGGAATGCGTGTGGGTGTTTAGGTAGGAAGAAAGTCAACTGGGAAGGGGAGGTAAGGGTTTATGGGAAGATGAATGGAGGTTGGGGTGTAAACATGGGAGGTGTTTAGAAGGGAAACAAGCGGAACACCCTGGCAGAAAGAGCAGTAAACAAAAACTGTACTAAGCTCAAGTGCACTGTGAGCGGGTTGGGTTCTAGGAGAAATCAGCAAAAGATTTTAGGCAGGTAGACAGTGCGATTGCCGGGGGCGAGGGAACACAGTGGGGCGACGAGAAGGTACACGATCTTTGTATATCGTTGTGACGATACCTCTAGCACACCTACACAGCCCTAGAGAGACCCACTATATAAAACTGATGAGCAGTCGAGGCTTAGGGCTCGATGAGAAAGTCATTTACGTACAAAACGAATTGGCACAGGTGAAATAGGGGCGAAGGATGAAAGGTTACTTAGTAGTGCCACACCAACTTGTAGACAGTACTAGCAGACTGCCCGACGAGAATGTGGACCATGTTGAGTTTACCTAGGTAGGTACCTAAACACCATTAGGCCATCTCATTCAACAAAGCCAGCAATATCCCAGAGTGAATAGACCGACAATTGTCATTTAGCTGTTGGCTGAGTTAAGGCAAATATCTAACAGCTAGTTGATAAGATGGGACACCTTGATCAGATATAATATCATATTAATCTAGGGTGCCATGTGAAAGTCTTGTTTGTACGCACCTATAGAGTTTGTGAGAAGTGATATCAAAGACAGTCTCGGACGCAGGGCCTGCCATCTGCTTGTCTTACCAGGAGTGAACACTATGTCGTAATACTAGATTCCCGTTTTCGATGTCGTGTGACCATTTCACCAGCTTATAGTAAAAATAGACACTTTAAAGCAGATCTTATATAGCTTCACCTACTATTTAATTTATGGAAGCCTCACTACACATCATCGTCAAAGAATTCTGCAGTTTGACGGCCTCCCCAGGCCTTTGTTCGTTAACCAATAAGTCAAAATTGCTCCTCTAGGGTGTTTCTAGCCTTGTTGTGATCTGTCATTGAAGTGATAGATCATTATGGAACGAGATACGTTTTGTGATATTTGATTACCGCTAGTCTGTAATTAGCGATGAATATTGCTAGGTCCATGTAGAGGGAGAGGGAACGTCATAGAAGCACACACCCTCCTTTCGATGTGCAGTATATGGTGAATATTAGATAGAGCATATGATCATAATTCGCGAAGCTTGAATGCCGATATGGTAGCTTTAGGGGAAGATACAGGTGGGGATCACCAACACCTTAAAGGGGAAGTCGAAGTCTCTTGTAGACCAATCAGGGACAATATCAAACTCTATTTCGGACACTACCGACTTATAAGAAGGGTACCCAATGAAGAGCGCGAAGCAACGGGTGCAAATATTATGTGAGGAAATTGAGTGTGGTTCTGTAATTTGCCTCAACTTCGTTTAAATATTATAGAAATTATATGAAAGATAATGTCGTAGCCATTTATCTCTAATGCGTGGCGTTCCAGAGTAGGGGGTTTGCGTGTCACTTAGCGTTGAGCTTCAATGGAGGTGAATCAAGTAGGCGAAATCTAAATCTGCAACCAGCTTTAGCATTTGGAAATATTCGAGAATAAGGAAATATGTAAAAATATGTTGATATATGGTAACAGATTAAAATAGAGGAACTTGCACCTAGATTTGAGATTTTGGCGAGACTACGAGGCTTCGTTATACAATACCACTCGATTAAATAAAACTACGCGTTTGATAATCAAGGCCCTTTCGGACCGTAGGGTACAATACCTCGTAGTCTTTAAACTACTCAGCAAGATTGGCTTCCTCCAATCGAAATATCCTTGAAAGATTCCGATATTCACGAATAATCAACGCCTTTTCCTTGCGTCTTACTCCTAGACGCTTGATCCATAACATAATCCTTAATCCCTGGGTTTATTCCGTTTGATCCTGCGCCGATAAAATAGAAATAAAACGCCTCTAAAGAAAGTTAAGATATTTTGAGTTTCTTCCGAGCTGGAGGAGCTCCGAAGAGTTTAGTTGCTATGTCCAACGCGGTTTCAGGCCAGCAATCATCTGGTCTCTACGCAGATGTAGCGGCTGTGCTGTCATAGTCGAGCTTTGCCTTCTTACGGACAACGCCCTTTCCAAGCAGCGTGGTTACTGGCGATGTGGATGGGGATGCATCGGCTGCAGTCTGGTCATCGGATCCACGTTTCCGTCTGACCATGCCAGACAAATTATTCACTGCCCCATCAGAGGTGGATGACGCCGTAGGGTTGGGATTGACGGCCGCCCTCTCGCCAATAATCTCCAAGGTCCAATTCTTGCCCATGCCTACTTCTCCACTCCATCGTGCGGTGCTTGCGGTCGCCTGTTCTAAGGTGCCGAACTCAAGGTGAAGTAGCAACTCTATAGCTCTCTTATACCCAGTGTCGGCGAGGACAACCTGCCCTCTTCCGTGTTCAGGCCAGGAATAATAAGGCGTCTCGGTATCTTTCGGGAACTGTGGACCCATGTGCGTCTTGACGTGAGGTTTCCGAGGGATAATAGGTCCTGTCAACTTCTTTTTCTTCCCCTTTCGTTTCCGTAGACCTTTCTTCGTTTTCTGCGTAGATTCCAAAGGTAGGGCTATTGAGGTCGTAGGAGCTTCGCCATTTACTTGAGGCGCGCTGAATGAGGTGTCTGGAGTGGGGATGACTGCAGCAGATTTGGTGGCTGGATTTGGTGCGACCGGAGGATCAAAAACAACCCATATGAATCCAGTCAATCTTCCACTAGAACATTCTTGCCGGAATGCCATCATTTCCCAGAATTGTTCAAGCGTCTTTGGGCTTTTCCAGCCAGATAGTAGTTTAGTCATTTCGGATGTTGATTCTTCTAACTCTTCCACGAAACGCGCCTTGGGGTCATCTGGGAATATCGGGATGAGACATCTCGGATAAATAACAGGACCGTATATATTCTGGTCCTTCGTATATGGTGATATATTTTCTAGGGGATGCCCTAATGTCCAGTTGGTTGATGCGACACTGGTTCGGGGTAGAAAAGCTCGCGTCTCGTAGTTGTCCAATCCAGGTATGACCAAGTATCCGTGTATCTTATCCCATGTTTGTTTCACATCCGAATAATCATCGCCCTCGAGCAACGAGTTGAGCACGCGGCACCACCATTTCACCAACCCCTTGTCGTCAAGTATGTGCTTGTCTTTATTCTTCACACTTCCTGGGAAGAGGTATTGCGACTGGGCTCGAGCGAAGAGGTTTACGACGAGTTGCTTTGTGGGACGCTTTCGATTGGCAATCAGGTAGGCTAGGAAGCATGCGGTAACTTCTCGAATTGGAGAGGGTGTTCCTTTGGGAAGCTCGAGGAGGTTCAAGTACCCAGTCGAATCAGCTTTGGAAACGAATACGATAGTAGAAAATCGCGTTGTGTAGATGTAGATTTCCAATCCAAGGACTAAGACTTGCCCCTCGGTGCTCTTCTCCTTATTTCCGGCATCAATTGAAATAGCTAGGAAATGTTTCTCGCAATATGTCTTCAATGGTTTACTCGGTCGTCTGCTTATGGATTTCGACTTGGTCTCGTCGGAAGGCGTTGAACTGGACGTAGGATTGTAGGCAGGTGAGTGGAATAGAGGATCGGCATTAACAGGTGGTGTTGAGACATGATAGGCAGTAAACTTGCGATCCTTGGGTAGGACTTTGGCGAGCTCTACGACGAGGGGGTGAGGATTAACAGCACGTTCGCCTTCGCGATCGTGAACTTGCGCGGTGATCGACATTATCAAGTACGGGATACTTAAGAACGAGGCAAGGGTAAAGAATATTGAATGCCCTGATTGGCATCCAAGAATCAAGATTTCATAATGTTCGATATGACTAACTAAGCTACTTGAAGCAATCCAAGACGAGGACGCGGCTGGTATGTTGAATGTTGAAGAAGGGAGAGGCAGGACATTACTACCTTAGGTACAAGGTATGGGGAAATGAAGCAGTAACAGGGGTTGTTTTAGGTACCTACCCGGCAGGTAGCAGGGGTTTCTAGGTACTGACGACAGAGCGATAGGACGATAATCGATAGCAGGTGGCACCTAAGATGCATCATAGGTAATCGCAGCTTCTCATTGGCTAAATTACACTAGCGTTATGACCCACATCCGAAAAAAGTTGGCGATGCACTTTCACTTTTCGTTATCGACAATTCTTTTCTAAAAGCTTCAACAATGCCATGAAAAGGACAACGTCATAGCCAATGGCATTCACAACATCCCGATCCGTTGCGAGAGTAGCTCGCCAAGCTACGCGAAGTTGCAGAACCCAATCTGCGACGCCTTTACTTCGTCCTACTGCCTCCTTCTCGACATCAACTACCCACCAATCCGAACAAGCTGAGACTCGACCACGATGGGCATATACACCAGAACGGATGAAGGCTCCTTTTTCGCCTCATATCACAAAGGATCCCTCTCGGTCGGCATGGGAAGTCAACGAAGACCCGAATAAACTAGACGAGGTCCTGAATAATATTCTGGGCCGCGATGGAGATCGCATGCTGCCCGATGAATTGAAATGGTTGGCTGTGACGCATAAGAGCTTCGACCAGGGAAGGAGAGGTTTCAATGACCGTCTAGGATATCTAGGTATACCAATCTCAATGAGGTTATCTGGAACTCGGTAGACTAATGCCCACGTTAGGCCGCCAAATATGCGCCCACGAAGCGACACAAATGATTATTACCTCTCCACGAGATTATAAAGACCCCGAGAACGACCCATTCGCAGATAGGCGGACACCATACGAGGATGCCGCTCTCCGTAGTATTGATAACCTTTCGGAGAAACAACCAAGCGATATGTTCAGCCCAGACAAACTAGCCAACTTCGCTTTAGAGACCGGTTTATCGGGAGTGGTACGGTGGAAGCCACGAATGGTGAGGCATATTACTCCCGAATTCGCACATATATAATACTGATAGAATTACCTAGCCGGAAAATATTAAGGGCTCTGGGTTTAACCCAATTATGGCTGGTGCCGTCTACGCTCTAGTCGGTGCTGTTGCACTACAGCATGGTGGTAAAGTCTCAAGTCGAATCGTCCGAGAAAGGATATTGAAGAGACTTCGACAATGACGAAATCGAGAAATGTAATACCGATGTACAAATACCCTGTACACTGTACAAAGACACGGGATACCAGTCTAGTCGATAAGCCGGACGATAGCCGAAAGAGAAAAAAAAAAAATCAAAGTCTCCAACGCATATTGGGTCGAATCTTTTCAAGGCCACTTATTTGCACGTACATCCCAAGTGACTAGTGTTATAAGAATTAACAGGTCTGGTTCCGACGATATTCCTAAAAAATCAATATAAAGGCACGATTAAATGATGTCAAATCCCTGGTAAGTACACGATATATGTGAACCGCCTTAGGCTCGTTGAGCTACCGTATTACGTGGCCGCCGACCTTTGACTCGCGCGGAAATACCGCCTCGACAAGGTGCCACCCTAAACCGAAACCTATCATTCGAAATAGGGACGTATATTCAACCCCCGATTGCAATCCGCAAAATCAGCCCAATGTATAAATATTGGACACGACCCTATTGAATCGATATAATACTGGTATTCTTAGCTCTAACATGGATTCTATTATTAAATTTATCTGAGCTTCTAGATATAACCATTAAGACCAATCTCACTCGATCAGTACTTAAAGAGTCGTACTTCCTCCCCATTACCCGACCCCAGTATCTTCTTATTACGGCGCGCGTAATATAATCTCAAGAGAATGCAACCAACAGTGACCAGGAACAACAGAGCCGCATTAGTCCAATGACCAGTAGGATACCCGGTCTTGGCCTCATTCGCCTTGTAAATCCACACGCCTACAATTTGCCCAGGAGCACCTCCCAGACCAATATTCAGCGCGATCGCGAGACCCACAGATGCGGTACTGAAGATGTTGGATGACAACCATCCGAGTAGGGGCGGGATACACGCAAATGCGCCCGACGCCGCCACAATCAGACATCCATACCGCGAGGCATACGCATCAGCCGGCAAAACAGCAGAAGCCAGGAAACCAACCGCGCCGATAAGAGCCAAGGCGGCTGAATGTAGACCACGAGCGTTGAAATGGTCTGCTGACCAAGAAGTCAGGATCGAAACGACTAATTAACGAAATTAGCTCCAATACACAATAAATAATAACAAAACTCATGACACAAGCGCTAGACTTACCGTAAGCCACAGCATACGGCGGTACAGTCATCAACTGCGCCTGCAAATCCTTATACCCCAAACCAGCGGTAATAGAAGGGGTGAACAGCGAAAGCGAGCTAAACGGTGTAGAAATACCAAAATACACGATATAATGGCCCCAAAGTCTCCAATCGACCAAAGTCGCTTTGGCGTCCAACCAAGTCATAGCTTTATGGTGACCCTTGCTACCCTCGATATGTAGTCTTTGCACCGCGAGGTCGCGTTCTTGGATACTTAGCCATTTTGCGTCTTCGGGGTAATCAGGTAATAGGAACCAGACTAGGAATGCGGAGAGACAGGATGGTATTCCTTCGATTATAAAAAGCCACCGCCAGGCTGAGAGTCCACCGGCTTGGTTCATATGACCGATTCCGTACGCGATCGCGCCTCCGAAAGCGCCGGCTAGCGTTGCCGAGGCGAGGATGAACGCTACGCGGATACTGCGCTCTTCGGTCTTGTACCAGAAGGTTAGGTAATACACTAACCCCGGGAAGAGACCGGCTTCGAAGACGCCGAGGAGGAAGCGTACGACTGTTACGCTGGCGTAACTGCGTACGCCGCCCAGACCCATGGTTAGTGCGCCCCAGGAGAACATTAGGAATGCGATCCACCGTGAGGGTCGCAGTTTTTTGAGGAGGATGTTGGAGGGGACTTCGAAGAGGCCGTAGGCTACTAGGAAGATCATGAGGGAGATTGTGTACTGGAAATTGGTCATTCCGGTTTGCGTCATTAGGTCGTCGCCTGTGGTTGCGTTCATGATCTTGGCGTTTCCTATGTTGGAGCGGTCTAGGTAGCATAGGAAGTAGATACCGGCGGATAAGGGGACGATGCGCTTGTCTTGTTTCCATCGTAGTGCCTTTTCGGCTTCTGTGATGGAGGTGGAAGAGTCATATTGTGCGACGTTGGCGCTGAGTTCCTGGGTCGGTGTTAACGGAGTTCTCATATTTGGAGTTTTATCGGTGATGATTTACCTCTTTCCCGCTTTCGGCGTCGAGCTCGGACTTGCGGTCTGCCATTTTCTATATGTTAAGATTAAGGAATTCACAGACCTAATACAAATCTTAAGATTTTGACCAGGCGGCCCGGACCTCAACTCTATAATTCTAAGAAACTCTACGAGCTACGCAGGAACTAGGAACATGAATATGATATTCCAACTTTTAGAAGGAGAGGTTGGGAGAAATTTCACAACGCAGACGCGGGGATTATGGGGATGAAGCTAAGGCAAATGAAGCGATCCACTACCGGGGTATTGATCGTGGAGTTTTAGTCCTATACTGGATGGAGAGAAGCTATTCTCTTGGTGCTATAGCATATATTTATTCAAATCAGGGCCTATTAGTTGAACTAGCAAGGGTTTGATAGATCCTTTCAACTGAGCTTTAGTCCCATGTACGGAGTCTTGTTCCTATCTCGGGAACATATCCGATAGATTTTACGAATAGTCGGTTCATAATTTGTTATTATGGTATACATTTCTTCGTGAATGAGTTAGCGTATTGTTATTGAGGTGATGTACCCCGGTCAATAGGTGCAACATACCCCAAAGGCCTTCCCGCGGCGCCGTTAATACAGCATTGTCGCGACCCCGACCCGGGACTTGGTTCGGCACATTCGACGCCGGGACTTCTCCGCGTTCATATACTTGGAGGAGTTGGAATCGGATAATGCCGATTGGGTAACTATTTAGAAAATCCTGAGCGATGTCACTTTTGACACGATCGATTTCCATGGATCCCAGAAAGTTCTTGAACATGAGATCGAATCTCGCATAGTGATATAAGTGGCTGCTAGGCTAGATTAATATGACCGAGAGGATGTTGGCGTCGCTCATCAATCCTTTGTGTACCCCAATTCTCCGCCTAGGTAGCCTCGGTCAACACATCAACAAAATTGGTTAAGTACCGTAGGAGCCAATTGACCGAGTTCGTAGATCAATTCATAGAATTGTAGATGTAAGTTTCTAATTGACCTTTCGGCTTCGTCTTCCAGTCAAAAGTCAACCCTCATCGACCTTAGATTCAATATGAGGGTACGCATCGTACTTCAATCCTTGTTTGCCGTCGCGGTGCAGGCTTCTAATAGTGGTGCGCCGTGGAAGATTGAAAACTGTTCCAAATTCGCACATTCGCTTCAGAAGACCGGTGATCACGGCGCGACAATCCTCAATGCCAGTTATGTACCAGAAAGCAGTCTCAACGTGAGCGGTACACTCAACACCATTCCCTTGTGTCGCTTGTTTGGCCAGGTTCCGTACGCGAACAACAATTCTGTCGGGTTTGAGCTGTGGTTGCCAACGACGGAAAAGTATGACGGTCGAATTGTAGTCGTGGGTATGAATACGTCCCTGTCATGTTACTATTCATTTAATGAAGGAAGAACTTACCATTAGAAATAGGTGGTGGTGGAATGGCGGGTATCGTTTCCGACGGAGACATGATGCGAAATCTCAATAAAGGATTCGCTGTAGCGGGCGGCGACGCGGGGCATTTGGCCTCTAATAACAACAACGGGGGTGGTGCTCCAGGCGTGTATCTGCCGTATATGCATGACGAAGAGCAGGTTAAAGCCTGGATACACAATTCGATCGCCTATATTGCACCACCTGTGAAAAAAATAGCGGCCGCGTTTTACGGTAAAGCCCCGAAGTACAGCTACTACGAGGGCTGCTCTACAGGCGGTGCCCAAGGCTTTGCACTGGCTCAATTCCATCCGCACCTCTTTGATGGTATTGTAGCGGGGTCTCCAGGGAATTGGTATTCTCATTTAGCGCTTTCTTTCCTCTGGAACGCTCAGGTAACTCAGGTAAGCCACATGTGTCATCGTTGCGATAGGCGTCTCGTAGCTGATCATTACAGGGCTCGAGTTCCCTACCGCAAAGCACACTTAATCTCATAACCCAAGCAGTTCTAGATAAATGCGACGCAATCGACGGAGTAAAGGACGGGGTCCTTGAAAATCCCTTGTTATGCGATTTTGATATCTCTTCATTAGAGTGCAGTTCCTCAGAGACGAACACATCTTCGTGTCTCACGCCAAACCAAGTATCGGCGGCGCAAAAGATATACGAAGGACCCGTAGATTCGCGATCAAATGTCTCCCTATACCCAGGATTCTCGGTAGGGAGCGAAACGGAGTGGACGATGCAGGAGGGGGTCCTAGCGGACGCGTTCGCTATACCGATCTTGCAAAATATGGTATTCGACAATCTGTCGTACGACCCTTTTACATATAACTGGGGATCCGACGTAGATGCGCTCAATGAGAAAGTAGGTACGTATATCGACGAGATCAACCCGAGCTTATCTACTCTGAAAGCGACTGGCGCCAAAATGATCGTGTATCAAGGTTGGGCTGATCCATATAACGCCGCGACGTGGCCGATTCAACATCTTCAACAAATCGAGGAAGTTTTTGGTGGTGATGTAAGCGAATGGTTTCGACTATTTATGGTCCCAGGTGGTGGCCATTGCGGTTCGGCTACCAATTATCCCCAGGTCCCCGGGACATGGCATGCGCTTGACGCCCTTATACCATGGGTTGAGACAGGGCATGCACCAACTGAAGTTATAGGGACTGATCCGCTGGATAAGAGCCTAAAAGGAAAGACTAGTAGGCTTTGTCCCTGGCCTCAGACAGCCAAATTCCGTGGCGGCGATCCAAATGACTGGAAGTCGTTTGATTGTGAAGTATAGTACTGAATCAAACATGATCTTACGGCTTAGTCTATGCAATATTCGCGTTGATAATTTGAATATAATATTGGGTTGCAGGTATGTAAGATCTTGCTGTCGCGATTTAAAATAAGAGAATAATTGGACCCCAAAGCCATCTATGTAAATGTTAGAGTAGAGTAGAGGCATAGTGACTAGTAGCCCTAAAACTTAGTGGTGTCGTTTAATGATGGTGCCTGTAGATTGTAAGTTAACTCTAAATGGCGCTAACACACGGTATAATTTCAAGGCGTAATAGGTGTTAAAGCCATTTTTCGCTTTATATTCTAGCACCGTTAGCTGCCTCTTAATTGTTAAAACACCTCTATATGTCACATTCCCCCCCAATTCAAATATACATCAATTAATTATGTTGTATTTTAATGTAACAACAGTTTACAGGAAACTGGCGCACGGTATGAGGTCGTAGGTGGGGGCAGCGGTTTCAATGAATCGTATGACCGGCTGGAATTGATCCCGTCAAATTTAGTATATCTCGGAGCCCCTGAGCACACTCATAAGAGAATCCGGTCTGAATCAAGAAAACTTATATGTGATAATTCCCACAGATCCAATTCCTTTTTCTTCGTATGGTAAACACAATTATCATGTCATCTAATCCCGAGCCTGTATCGGTTGACGAGCATGCACCCCTCCTAGACGATCGGTCTTCGGGAGGGGATGAGGTTCTTCACACAAGCAATGTCACCGCCTCTATCGCCCGTAAGCTTTATATCTCGCACTTCCTATCTACTTGGAACTCTCGCGTGTTCGAATTCGGCGCAGTGCTTTACCTGGCGGCAATATATCCCCAAACCCTATTAGCATTGTCACTCTACGCATTAGCACGGGGGTTTGCTGCGATTCTCTTCGCGCCTATTATCGGCCGATATATTGATACTGGTAACCGTTTACAGGTTGTGCGAGTATCCATTGGTAACCATCCAACTCAAAATCTCTTATAAAATGGTGTTAATCTCCCCTCCAGTCTGTCAGCGTATCGTTGTTGCTACATCTTGTGTTTTTTTCTACGTCCTACTTATCCGTCTACCAAATGTTGGCCCGGAAGGAGAAAAGGGTCTTCTGGCATTACTCGTTTTTCTTGCTTGTTTAGAAAAAATATCCTCCATCATGAATCTTGTGTCGGTGGAAAAGGACTGGGTATTGTCTTCAAACACACCGCAATTGGCCACTTCATTAACCATCTTCAGACTGTCGTCGTTTCCGGGAAGCATGAGTCAGCTCTCCTTACTCTCAATGCGCAATTGCGTCGCATCGATCTGATGTGCAAGCTCGTTGGTCCGCTATTTATAGCTTTGATTGACGGATACTCGACGAAGCTAGCACTCATCGTCAATTTTGGCTTGAACATCGCATCTGTGCCTGTTGAGTACTATTCTATTGCGAGAGTCTATTACGATGTGTCTGAGCTACAAGTGCCAAAAACAACCCAGCCGACGGATATACCATGTGATTCCGATCACGATTCCGAACGGGTTAGAATGTTTGCGCGCCAACGGCGGAATTCCCAGGCCGTCGTGACCAGATTTATCTCAGATTTCGCCTTTTATATACATCACCCCGTTTTTCTCGCTTCGTTTGCTGAAAGTCTTCGTTACCTTACAGTTCTGAGTTTTGCGGGCCAAATGGTGACGTTCCTTGTGATCTCCGGCTATAGTTCCACTCAAGTGGGCATTGCAAGAACGGTCAGTGTGGCATTCAAAGTGCTGGCAACATGGGTTGCTCCATTGCTCATAATAAGGATTGGCCCCTTACGAGCAGGTTTATGATTCAGCAGCTGGCAGTTTCTTATTTTAGCTTCCGGAATTACGTTATTCTTCTTATTTAAAGACCAGCCCCTTGCTTCTGCCAGTGCTCTCGTCGTCAGCAGCATCCTGAGCCGACCGGGGTTGAGAGGGTTTGACTTCTACAGCCAATTAATTGTGCAAGAGGTAAGATTTGCTGCATGTTTTATACTCACAGATATCGACACTAAAACCTTGACAGGAGGTTCAGTCAGAGAGCCGGGGAAGGTTCTCCTCGGTTGAAGCAGCATGGCAGAATGCTTTTGAACTAATTGCTTATGCCACGACCATCGTCTTCTCTCGTCCGGATCAGTTTGGGTGGCCATCCCTGATCTCCACCATTGCTGTAGCTTCCGCAACAGCGGCTTACACGGTGTTCGTGTATCTCCGAAGAGGACACCTACTCCACGTTGATCGCCTGCTGGGAAAATGTTGGAGCACGAGCCGAAGATCAGCAATTTTAGAAAGAATAACTTCTGGCAGCGATATTTGAGGTCCGCTCCAGTCCGTTCCTATTTCATTTTATTACGTTGCGCATAAGCCTGTTGAGAAATGACGGTATCAGAAAGCTAGAACAAGAAATAAGAAGCAACGAGAAGCTACCAACTAAGGCTCGTCGACGCGTGGCTACGGATACACTATAGGCATGAACGGAAGTGCTATCTTGTGCTCCCGTAATTAGGGGCGATTTCGACATTGATATTTGGCTATTGATTCATAATCATGTCTAAACTATCCACAGTCCCTATGCTAGCACAGTGACTCAACTAACTAACTAGTTTCGCGCACAAATGCCTCTAAGGAGCATCGACGGCGAGAGAACGTATACTACATTTTTCCCTGTCATCAAAAGGCACCCAAGCCGAACCGACACACGGTACCGACACCCGGAGCCCCCACCTGAACTGTGACCCCTATTCCACGCACAAAAACCGCAAGCTGCGCATGACTCCTAGGGTGCGCGTCCCTTCTCATCCATGGACCATATGATTTGGTCTTGGTTTACGAATGCAGTCATTGCAATGTAATTTGTATAAATGTGTTACAGAATCCGCCGGTTGTCATTTATCCGGATAGGGCCACCCGATACCGCCCCACGTCTCGGCATCATGTCGAGACATTTCTTAGCTGCTTAAAAGTTGCAGACCAACATCGAGGCATGTAAGTTTTATACCCCTTTAATTAGATCTCTGTATCTTAACAAACTTAACCCGAAGCTGCGAGATACAATGAAATCCTGACACCCACACATTACCCCTATACCAGCCGCGGCCGAGTACTACGATCTAGGTACATTCCATCGACCAGTCAGTACGGAGAGCAGCGACGCGCAGAAATCGTTCGACCGTGGTCTCCTCTGGACGTACGCCTTCAATCATGAGGAAGCCATTCGTTGTTACCAGCAGGTCATCGCTCACGACCCCGCCTGCGCTATGGGCTACTGGGGTATTGCTTTTGCTAAGGCCCCAAATTATAACAAAAGTTGGTCCGCTTTCGATGAGAAGGACTTGAAGAATACAATGGAGCTTGGTCACTATATGGGACAGGAAGCCCAAAAGCACCTGTCCTCGGCTTCCCCAGTGGAGATTGCTCTGATCGGAGCTATCCAGCATCGTTATCCATCTAGCATACCCCCTAGCGACTTAAAGCCTTCGGTTCAGGCTTACTCCAATGCCATGAGACAGGTCTATCAGAAGTTTGGGGACGGCGACTTAGATATCATCACACTGGCCGCAGACGCCTTGATGAACACCAGCTCCCGGTCTCTCTATGACAAGAACACTGGAAATCCAAAGCTCGACACGCCAGTTCTAGAGGTAAAAGCCATGTTAGAAGGAGGCTTGGAAAACTCGGCTTCTAAGTATCACACTGGAATCTTGCATATGTATATTCATTTGATGGAGATGTCTTCCACCCCAGAGGCAGCTCTGATTGCCGCAGATCACCTGCGCAACCTCGCACCATATGCCGAGTCACATCGACGTGCTTGTGGGTGACTACCGCCGAGCTGTTGCTACCAATATCAAAGCTACATTCGCCGATGACAAGTATTTTGCCAAACAAGGGCCGTGTAATTTTTACAGCCTATACCGCCTCCATGACTATCATTCCCTTGTTTACGCAAGTATGCTTACTGGCCAGTCGAAGACCACTATAGAAGCGGTTGATAGAATGGAAGCTACTATTACGGATGAGATGCTACTGATGGAGTCACCCCCGATGGCAGATTGGTTGGAATTCTTCAAGGCTGTTCGAATACATGCTCTCGTTCGATTTGGTATGTGGGACGCCTTGAAAAGACAACCTTTGCCGCAGAACAAAAATTACGCTGTGGAACTGTGGCAATGGCTCACTATGGCAGGGCAATCGTCTGTGCTGCTACCGGCGACATCGAAGAGGCAGATAAGGAGCGGCAACTCTTCCGCGACTCAGCAGATCTTGTACCAGCCACGCGCATTGATCTTCCCGAACAAGGTGCGAGATGTTCTAGGTGTTGCTGCTGCTATGTTAGATGGCGAATTGGAATATCGGCGAGGCAACTTTGAAGCCGCTTTTGATCACCTCAGGCTTGCTGTCTCTCGTGATGATAATTTAGAGTACGCCGAGCCATGGGCTTGGATGGTACCAACCAGACGTGCGTTCGCGGCACTTCTGTTAGAGCAGGGGCACGTCGATAAAGCCGCAACAGCTAACGCAGAAGACCTTGGCTTGGACGACACTTTAGTTCGCGTCCACCAGCATCCAAATAATGTCTGGGCTTTGAAGGGTTATCATGAATGCCTTGTTCGCCTTGGACATAACACTGAAGCAGTTCTCATTAAGAAACAGCTTACTGTCGCGGCGGCCGTTGCAGACATTCCAATTAATGTGTCATGCTTCTGTAGACTTAGTGGACCTGATGAGGAGGGATGTTGTGTTACAGACAGTAAAGCCTGAGTGTAGCTACACCCTGTGATATTCTACTCCTATCTTAGTCCTGGCATGCTAACTACCTACCTATGTGCCTAGGTAAGTAGGTAGCTAGGCTAGGGACAATGAATGTAACTCCTAGTTAACTGACCTAAAGAAATATAGATGCTTGCGGATCGTGTAATCGATAGTTCCAACAGTGACAGGGCACTTCTATCAATATGCGCTACAAGGGTGCTATAAATACAGCGCTCTACAAGGCTCAGGGTGCTATAAATATAGCGCCTTGTCGTCACCCATTGTGAAGCGCTGTAATGTGCTGTATTTATAAGGGGGTAGTTATAGCGCATACACTGCTATAATTCCCTGTATTTACAAGTGACTTTAGTCTATGGCTCCCTGTAACTCAGCATGATACGCCACTACCTACACTGTATATTCGCACGGCGTTTTGGCGCGGTGGCATGGACGTCAGTTAGAATAGAGCGCGCGCCATTTGTGCGTAGGATTCAGCCAGTCATTAGCGAGATCCAGGGGCCTTAACAATTGATTATAAATGTACTAAGCCTAATTCCCAGGTACATACCTAGGTACCTCTATGCGAAGTAGGGTCCTAAGAAAAATCCTAGTCGCCGCTGAACGCTCTAGAGCTTAGCTTGACCCGCGCAACTCGCGACAAGTTAGAGCCGGCTCCGCCAGCTTCTACGAACAAACTCATCTTAACAAATAATGTATGGACAAGATAATTAAAACCAACCGCCTAACACTTTCTTGCATAGTGATACAAGCCCGTGGTGAACTTAGTTAGCTCGGATAATCATGCTCGGCTCAACAGCCAGAGTTTCGCGACCCGTGGGGGTTTTTGCGCACCTTCGTAATGGCACTAAGCCATTACCGGGCGGTATAAGAATGCCTCCTTTTTATGCGACTCGATCGGGGTATCTTAATTCGACACTGGCGTTGAGACGATACTCTTGCAAGACTGCGAATCAAACATCCGAAAAGCCCAAGAGCGGTGAACACTGTGCAAACAAGATTCATGCCATTACGCCGATGGCTTTTCAGTTCTGGACATCAGCACCAATCTGGAAACGAGCGGCGATCAATACCTTGCGATGTTTGATTGGCTGTACCAGTGGCGACTTTTCCGCGATGTGGTTTCTACAGGCATTTTATCCAGGCATTGGCACGGGAGTCATTATGGGTATAGCAAGTGAGTAACACCTTGATCCGGGTGCAATAGAGGCTATAATGATTTTTCTAACACCTTAAATCCATGCAGTGGCCAGCGGTCTTACCACATCGATGCTTCTTGAGACCATCCTACTCCGATACGGCCGTGATAAGTTGTCATGGTCTAGCGCTACCAAAACCGCAGTCGGCATGAGCTTTATTTCTATGCTTACAATGGAAGCAGCACAGAACATGGTTGATTACCACTTGACTGGGGGCACAGTTGCTTTTGATTCTCCTGCATTTTGGGCTGCCGCCGTTATTTCGATGGGCGCAGGTTTTCTTGCGCCCCTTCCATATAATTATCTCCGACTAAGGAAATATGGCAAGGCATGCCATTAAGCTGAGGGCATGTCTTTTGAGATCGAAGCTTGTCATTTTATATAAAGTCCAGATAGGATGCTCGGAAGATGTACCGTCGACAAGTTGAAAGGGGATAATATATACCTATTGAATAACGTTTAAATTATTTTATTAAAGGGCTTACGACCATACCATAGTAGCAAGTGACTTAAACAATGACTCCTATAATTTTAATAAGATAATTCTTAGTATTAAATAACCGGGAGTTTACATAAAACCCTCGAAGAGTAGAGTACATTCTCACGAACTGGTGTACGCCTGGATCTACAGCACAAAAGACTCACATTATTTGGCTCGTTCTTCGCGTCAAACACCTTGACAACAGGTAAGGATACGATTATCCCCTAAGGTGCGGGCTAGCGACAGTAACGAACTACAGGAGTGGGTGTCAGCCTTCACAATTGGATATGATCAGCTAAGCCGACGTAAATGGGCGAGTATGATATGTCTATAATATGGATGTACTTAATGTAGTATAGGCGCGAATATTGCCGGTCCACACCTTAGGGGATTAGGTAGAAGCAACGTCACCAAACACTCGCGCACAAATGCCGCTGCCTAGACCGGCCCGGCCCCGGTCTGGTGCGGCCTTGGCGGGCGACTAATGAATGATTCGATTCCGTGCCGATCCATGGGTCAGTCAACCTGATCTGATCACACCGTTCTAGTCTGTTCTCCGGTTTACTAATTAGTCGTGGCTATTTTTTTATTCAACTTTTATAAATATGTAATCTCCATAGCTGGTTCCTTAACAAGCCTAATTCTCTGCTCAGCGACAAGCAAGTTGTGCTAGATATCCGTTATCCAGAATCCTTCTTAAACTTTCGTTTGCAATGGCGCTCACGGCGAAGACGCCGAAGACTCTACAGAGCACTTTTCTAATACCTAGCATTCACTGTCCAACTTGCGCCTCGTTTCTAAATGATTTCCTGTTCTCTCTGCGGCCTAAGCCAATCGCCGTCGATACTTCTATTGTCTCACACAGCTTGACGGTACAACACCCTGCTTCGCTGAGTCCTCGGGCGATTGCTAAAGCACTGGGAGAGGCCGGCTACGAAGTAGACACTCTTATTAAAGATCCAGCTATCGGGGAGCTTCCACAATATACTCCGCGCAGCAGTGCTGACGACGACTTTCCGATCAGATGGCCTGCTTTTATTAGCAATTGGTTGAACGGGACCCGAAAAGTATCGGATCGAGATACGTTGAGGAGGCATCACGCGGAACACTGTCAGCAATGTCGCCAACAAGAGCATGATACCACGCCTCCTACAGGCGATGAAGCACTTTCGATAGATCCAAAGCCCCCCAATTCCCTTGTCGTCATCGACTCAGTGGCTCCCAAGAGCTTCAGGGCTTCGATCACAATCAACGGCATGAGCTGCAGCTCTTGCGTCGGCAAGATCACTTCTACACTTCAAGAAATACCTTGGGTGAGATCTGCCAATGTAGCTTTGCTTACACAGAGTGCCATAGTCGAGTACGATGGCGAGCACGACCCGTCAAGCTTGATCGAAGCCATTGAAGACAGTGGCTACCAGGCGAATATCCATCAGATCGAAGAGACGACGAGAAAGCCCGCGGCACACGCTAGCAGCGGGCCATGGAAATTATCCCTAGCTATTGGAGGCATGACATGTAGTTCTTGTGTCGGTTCAATTACTTCATCACTCGAATCACTGCCTTTTATAAGAGAGGTCGATGTCAACCTCGTCACCAGTAGCGCCACGGTTATAGTGGAGAGAAAGTAACATGCCGAGGAGGTTCTTGCGACTGTCAACAACATCGGCTACCAGGCAACGCTTAATGATGCTGAGGAATTAGGGGGGCGTCCTGAAGAGAGTTCCCACAGGACGGTCATGATTCGTGTGGATGGTGTTTATTGTGAGCATTGCCCGGCGCGGATCAGAGAAGCCTTAGCTACGTTCGGCGATCGGGTGGTGATTGAAGGGGTCTCGACGCCTGAAGATTCCATCACGACAATTTCTTATCTTCCTAGTCCCCCTGATTTCACAATCCGCCAAATTCTAGCCGCTATCGCCGCCGCGGACTCGGAATTCCATCCTGAGATCTATCATCTGCCCACAGTCGAAGAGCGAGCAAGAGAGATGCACCATCAGATACGGCAGCACATCCTTTTTAGGGTGATTCTGTCCGTTATCATCGCTATACCTTCGTTCATTATTGGTATAGTCTACATGGCGCTCATACCGGATGATAACACCAGCAAGATGTACCTCATGGAACGCCTCCACGGGGTCACGCGCGCCGAGTGGTCCCTTTTCGTCATGGCTACACCCATTTATTTCTTTGCGGCCGATATATTTCATCGACGTATGATGAAAGAACTATACTCTTTATGGCGGCCTAGCAGTCCCGTGCCGCTCCTACGTCGCTTCTATAAGTTCGGAAGCATGGATTTGCTCATGTCTTTCGGCACTACTATTGCCTATTTCGGATCTATCGCCGAGATAATCATCGCAGCGAGTCAGAGCGACAAGGAAAATATGATGCAAAAGAACATGACATACTTTGATTCGGTCGTTTTTCTCACCATGTTTCTCTTGATTGGTCGACTACTTGAGGCATGGAGCAAAGCGAAAACCGGGGAGGCGGTTTCCGAACTGGGAAATCTCAGACCAAAACAAGCTCTTCTTCTAACCTCCACAGAGAAGGATGACGAGGGAGAAGACTATGAGAGCGTTAGCATCGACTTAGTGGAGACAGGTGCTGTGGTTAGAGTTATTCACGGTGGCTCTCCACCTTGGGATGGCGTTCTGCTTAGTCAAGAAGCTGAGTTTTCCGAAGCCAGCTTAACGGGCGAATCTCGACCAGTTCGGAAAACCTCCGGGGACGAGATCTTCTCGGGTACGGTGAATAATGGTGGCCCGATATCCATGCGCATTACGGGTGCTTCGGGAAATTCCATGTTAAACCAGATTATCAAGGTTGTACGAGAGGGTCAAGCGCGACGGGCTCCGATAGAAAGAATCGCCGACACTCTCACAAGCTACTTTGTGCCTGTAGTTACGCTGATAGCTGTTGCTACATGGCTGGTTTGGCTGAGCCTTGGCCTCTCAGGAAGGCTGCCTGGCGACTATCTCGACGCTCCCGTAGGTGGCTGGCCGTTCTGGTCTCTCCAATTTGCTATCGCCGTCCTCATCGTCGCTTGCCCCTGTGGTATTGGTCTTGCCGCACCAACAGCACTGTTTGTGGGAGGTGGCCTGGCTGCCAAGTATGGAATCCTCGCCAAGGGCGGTGGTGAGGCGTTCCAAGAAGCCAGCAACATCGATATTATTGTGTTTGACAAGACTGGCACACTGACAGAAGGAGGGGAGCCGAGATTGACCGATCATGAGTTCCTTCCATCAAGTTCTGACGGTTGGAAGGAAAAGGTCGTGCTTGCTTGTCTAAATGAGATTGAGTCCAACAGTAGTCACCCGATTGCCAAGGCTACTGTTGCTTTCTGTGAAGACAGGGGCGCGAAAAGGACTAGGTCTCTAAATATTAAAGAAGTCCCTGGCAAAGGAATGACGGCTACATTCGATTTGGGATCGAAGCTCTCGACTATCGAAATGCTTGTTGGCAACGAGAGGTTAATGGAGGACTTTGCTGTGTCGATCGCGCCTACGACTCTGGAAACTCTTAATAAGTGGAAGGATGAAGCCAAATCTATCGTATTAGTTGCGGGACGCTCTTTGTACTCGCCCGAGCCTACTGCTTGGAGGATGCTGGCCATCTTCGCAGCTGCTGATCCATTGCGACCAGAGACGAAGTCTGTCCTTACAGCACTTCGTCGGCAAGGCAAAGATATCTGGATGTTATCTGGCGACAACCAGAAGACTGCCAACGCCGTTGGTGCTCTTGTTGGCATCGATCCTGATCATATCATTGCTGGAGTCTTGCCAGAGCAGAAAGCGGACAAGATCAGCTACCTCCAAAAGAGCCAAGCACGACCCAGTCCGCGATTTTCTCCTTTCGCAAAAGGTACTACCAAATCTAGGGCCATAGTTGCCATGGTAGGAGACGGCGTTAATGACTCTCCGGCTCTGACTATGGCCGACGTTGGTATTGCTATTGGCTCAGGATCCGATGTTGCTATATCTGCCGCTGAATTCGTCCTCGTCAATGCGAATCTCAACACATTGCTCATTCTGACTAGCCTTAGCCGAGCGGTATTCCGACGAGTCAAATTCAACTTCGCTTGGGCTCTGGTCTATAATCTAGTTGCCCTACCCATTGCCGCGGGAGTTCTATACCCCGTAGTTGTGAATGGTTCGCATACAAGGCTAGATCCTGTCTGGGCTAGTTCAGCTATGGCTCTTAGTAGCGTGAGTGTAATCTGCAGCAGTCTATTTCTGAAGAGTAGGCTGCCATTCATTGGTTTTAGGACTAGTAAAGCTTTAGAAGAGAGCATTTGAACTTTGAGGATACCCGTGACGGTATGGAGGTTGCGAGACAAGAGATTGAATTGCGGTGGGGGAGGCGTTCTGGCGTTTCGTTTAGAGGATCAAGTAGAAATTCTAGTGGGGACTTGAGCATTGGTGGGGCTAGATCTGGGTGTGTTTCTCCGTTCCATTGTAAAATATTGAATCAGGCATAGCATAGCGGTTTAATCATTGTAATAATATTAATATAATGTTAGATAAAATATATTTTAGGTCACCGCGACTCAACCAAAAAAGACGTTCGAATCTTAATGTTGTTTGCACCTAGGTAGGTGTACCTAGTAGATAGATTATACTGCAGACGCCGCTAATACGCGCTACAATTATAGGGCGTAAATAACCTTGGAAGAGGTCCTTCGCCCCGTAACCTTGCCCTGTAATTTATCAAACACACCACGCGATGTGTCGCTGCTCTCCATATCCTTTTCAGCCCATCAGGCATCAATAACAACTTTCCTCCTCAGTGATTGATCCCATGCCCCCAAAATGTAGTCAGTATAGATGTAATTGATCACTTTTATATCTCTTCGCCATTCATTGAATAAATGGCAAACGCTTTTTGTTGTGCTGCTCTCTATAGCTGTATTCCTTGCCTTCGCAGCCAATCAGCGGAGTCACAGGCTTCAAGCCCCACCGAAGAGCCTACAACAGCTGGAGCTTCAGGCAATTTAGGTACCCCAAGCGTCGCACATGCAGTGTCGACCCTTGCGAAAGAACACACGTTGTGCACTCAATGCCGCGAAGCTGCTACCAATTCTAGTCTCTTGCCGACATTGAATAAAGGGGAAGAAGACTTTCGAGTATACTCTAATCTAAGGGAACTACAAGCATCATCTCTAGAGGGTTGCCATCTTTGTTCCCTTTTCTTGGGTATGTTTGGGTTCGATATTGCCCAAGAACAATATGAAAGTCAGGTTAAGGTCACACTTTACGTCAGTCGATCAGGAGGGGCCTGGTTAAATGTTATACCGGTATTCAACAAGATTCGAAACACAGAATCGCCTTCAAATGGTAGTCGGGAACAGGTTGTGGGGGAGGTTACTATTTTCCGGGATTTGGAGGGACGTGTCGAAGAACCTAAGTCGGACTCCCCTTTCCTATTTTCAGACGCGAAAATCTATAACAATGCACAATTGTCGAAATCCCTTTCTTATGAGCCTTCAGCTATCTTAGCTAAGGAGTGGCTAAAACAGTGTACTCAACACCATGAGGAATGCTCACTGGCAGCGACGTTGTTCCAAGCCGATTATGGGTATCCTGCACGCCTCGTTTACGTCGGTAGCGGCAATGATGGCGTATTAAGATTGGTGGTTACAGCGGAGTTAGGCAACCAGAGGCCTAACTCTAGGCCGGAGTATTTAACGCTGTCTCACTGTTGGGGAGGTGCAGACATTCTGAAATTACTCGACAAAAGAGTCGATAGTTTCAAGAAAGATATACCGTTCGCTGAGCTCCCAAGAACGTTTCAAGATGCGGTTGTTATTACTCGTCAATTGGGGTATGTGCTTCTATTTAAATACGTATGCGTTTTGAAGTGGCTAATAAATGACACAGTTTCCGATACCTTTGGATTGATTCATTATGCATCATTCAAGACTCTCCGTCGGACTGGCGCTCGGAATCCGCTATTATGGGGGAGATATACGCCCATTCTACGTGCACTATTGCCGCACTCACTGCCCGCTCTTCCTTCGAGGGCTGTTTTATAGGGCAGAGTGATCAGGGAATTCAGGGGGACAATAGCGAACGAAACCCGCTAGCATTCCGTATTTGCGACCTACCACATGGCTTGCATGCTGAATTTTCGCAGCGTCTGGGACCTAGCCTTCGTCTCAATCCCCGTAAGCCATTTCCCCTACACACACGTGCGTGGGTTGTACAAGAGCGCCTTTTAGCGCCAAGAACGCTGTATTACGGCTCTTGGGGCCTAGCTTGGGAGTGTGCTGAATGTTCGGCCACTGAAAGCAATCCTTTCGGTGAAAGGTACCAGTATTCCCCTAAAGCGTCCTTCCTAAAGGCCTGTGTACAGCTCACCCGTGCTGTCCATGCCCCCGTATGTGGTGACAAGACGGATATTTATCAGATGTGGCTCGACGTTCAGGCCTCGTACTCTACATGCGGGCTCACTTTTTTCGACGATCGCCTAGTTGCTGTGTCAAGTATCATCAAAGCAATCGAGCGCCGAACACATTGGACTAATATATGGGGGCTTTGGAAAGAAACTCTTCTCAATGAATTAGTGTGGTTTGTTGAGACACCGTCGGAGCACCCACAAACAAAGGAATATCTCTGCCCATCGTGGTCTTGGCTCGGTATCCAAGGGCGGGTATTCGCGGAAATGGCCGCTGTAAACATAACTCCGAGCTGGGCTGCACAGGTGGTAGAAATAGGCAAGGATTGCGGGAGGGGATTCATCCGCCTGCGCGCCGCCATAAAAGAAGTTTTCATTCCTCCCGATCGGAAATCCGACCTAGCGGATAAATCTTCGCGTACTCGTCGGGCTGTTTCGTGGGCGCCGGATACTCTTTCGCCCATTGCCGAACAAGAATTATCATGCGTGCTTCTCATGAAGATCCCGAATTACATTGACGGCCATGCTCTGGATGTCGGTCTTGTCGTTCACCGGGTTAATGGCGAGACAACGCGAATTGGACGTTTCTGGCAATCTCAAGGCGACACTGTGACGATCTTTGAGAATGAAATCAATCAAGATGGTTTAAAAGAGATTACGATATTTTGATGCCACTTCAATAAGATCGCAATCGCCTCAACGGCGCGATTTTTACTAATATGAAGCAGCTCCAGTGCTATAAAATCAGTGCAGTGAATGCACCCTAAGTTTGTGGGTGTCCAGGCGTATATAGGCACCCTACCTGGTACCTAAAGCACTGGGCTAGTGGACATTCAGCTCTAAGACATGCTATTCCATAGCGTCACTGCGGTCAGTTATCGTCTTAGTAACTTTTTGATCTATTTCGATGTCTACGAGCCCAACTTTCCTATTACATATATACAATAGCAATATGTTCAAAACTCAAACATTATCATATCCAAATCATGCGTCGCTTATAAATCAAATCTCTATAGGTATCCCATTCTATTCATGCTTCATAGTATCCGTCGCAGGCTCTCCAAAGACACGCTCCGGTCCTTCTTAGACAATTCAACCAAGTACTCCTTGAATGTAACGATAAAGGTAGCGATCTCATCGCTAGAAATTATGTTGCTGTCCCATCGGAACTCAAGCTTCTCAATCTTCTCATCACCGAAATCGCAGGCGATGAGTAGTGGAACACCGAGAACTTGGCCACCTTCATCCTTGACGTCGGCTTGCTTGAAGAGCTCATTACCGAAGGACAGAGTGGATGAGTGACGGACGTCGAGGATAGTCTTGGGTAGGAAGTTGGCCATGCCGCTCATAAGGGCGAGCAGGTTGACGCGTTGATGCGTCATTCTGTCGAGAGTCTCTTGTTGTACTGTCTCAAGGAGCGACTCGACAGTTGTCGTGGGGTCAATTTGAATACGGAGGGGTAGTGGTGTTCCAGTGGGTCCGAGGACACGGTTAATACCCGCCATCGACGAATCTCGTCCACTGAGAACATCGATAAAGAGGATATCATTCGTCTCAGACAATTGACCTAGTGTCAAGGCTAACGCAGCACGGATTGTGGTTGAAACGAAGAATTTGGAGCTCAAGTCTCGCGCGATGTCGACGTTGTGGACGTCGATCGCGTCGGCAGAAATGGGACGCGTCGGGTCCTTGACATCGGGGAACTTGGGGATGGACGCGTTCGCCATTCTTGCACCCCAGTATCCCAAGTTAGTCAAACTCTCCTCCTCGCTCGGTCCCTTCAGGAAATGGCTGAATGGGACGAACGGCTGGGGAGTACCGCCAAGGTAGTACGTTCGCACGGCATCGATAATCAAGTTCACCATGAACGCATCGTATACAGCGTGGTGCATAGTCCATACGAACGTCGGCTTATCGCCAAGGACAACAGCGTATCGACTCATTGGTTGACCAAGAGCCATAGGAGCCTGTCGATCCTCTTCCAAGTATTTGGCGAGGTCATCATGCACGTCCATGTGGAAGTCTTCCTTCAACACGACTTGAACGAATCCCTTTTGGTCTAGGGTCGGTAAGCACCGGGTGCGTAGGATCTTAGCGCCCTTTAGAGTGGCCACCCAAGCTTTCTTGAACTTGGATAGATCGATATCCTTGGGAAGTTCAAACACGAACTGACTGACATAGCCGTTCGAGTTCGTGATGGACTGTGCCATGGTGAAGGTTTGGAAAGCTACGGTAGGGTAGATGTCTTCAATTGCACTAGGCGCAACTTGGCTGATAGCAGCAGATTGCTGCATCAATCCCTGGACCAACGGATCCTGCTGTCCGCCTACGAGCGAGAAGGGAGGGACTTGGTTTTGCGCTTTTTCGGCGTTTGTTTCGACATGCTTCGCCTTAAGCGCCATGTCTTTCAATATGGGGTTTCGGATGATGGTGGTGGCGTTAAGGGTCAGGTTCCTTCGGTAAACAGCCGCAGAGAGCTTGATAGTCGCGATCGAGTCTCCTCCCAATCGGAAGAAGCTGTCATCCGGACCGATTGTTCCTGGGTATCGAAGTACTTCGGCCCAGGCCTCAGCGAGCAGCGCTTCCGTCTCAGTAAGTTGAGGCTTGGCGGCTGCGACAGTCGGTTTTGATTCAGAGGTCGTCGACTCCTCGGCCTTCATAAGGAAGTGAAGTTGTTCCTCGTTAAGGGACTGGCCGAGTTCTCGAAGTACCTTCCTATCAACCTTTCCACTAGTGGTAGAAGGGAAGCGCTGAAGAGGAACGAATAGAGCGGGTACCATGATATCGGGCACCAATTCTCTTAGCGCCTTGTCGGCCTCGAAAATAGGTTGTCGGAGTTGGGGCATCTTCCACCATTGGATCGCGGGCGCGGCGGTGGAATCCTGCGAATCCCCTAGGCTAATAAATGCAACCAAGGCGGAAGCCAGGGCGCGAGATTCGACTTTGTCGACGCACACAGCCCATTTACGCTCCGCCCAGTGGTTTCGAATGTGGTGTTCGATCTCACTAGTCTCGATACGGATACCTCTGATCTTGACTTGGTTGTCCTTTCGGCCAAGGCAAACTAGTCTACCATCCTCTCGCCTGCGGACAAGATCCCCGGTGGCGTAAAAGCGCCTCGACGGTTCAGCCCACTCGAGCCCGGTGAGGAAGGCGCTCTTGGTCTTCTCTTCATCGTGGAGGTAACCCCTGGCAACAATTGGTCCTTCGATCAACATCTCACCAACGGCGCCATCCTCGACCAATTTGTTCCGGTTCTCCGGGTCGACGAACCAGTATTGGCAAGAGTTAGGCTCGCCGATTAATCCGGTAATAGCGTCTTCGGCCTTAAGCGCAGGTGTTATGGAAGAGAAAACGCTCGCCTCTGTTGGTCCGTAAGCTACAAGGAGCTCAAGGTGGGGTCCCCACGCAGCAACGACATCTCCATGGACCATCTCCCCCGTAAGAATTAAGGTCTTTAGGTATGGGAGGTCAGAGAGCATGCTGGGTGACAATAGTTGCAAATAGCTCGGTGCACACGAAAGGTGCGTCGCTCGCGTACGAGCTAATGGCTGTTGGATGTTGCCGTAAATGTCATTCTCTTCGGGGATGCAGATACGACCGCCGAAGATGAGACTGGAGAATATCTCCATTATGCTTACATCGAAAGTAAGCTGACAGAATTGAAAGAAGCGGGTATCCGGTCCGAGGTGGAACTTCTGGCCCCAGTTCAGCGCACCGGACATGAAGGACCTGTGCTCGATCAGGACACCCTTAGGCTTGCCCGTGCTTCCCGATGTGAATATCGAGTAAGCTAGGTCGCTAGGCGAAGATTGAGGGAGGGTAGAGGATGACTCGGGGAGCTTGTTGATCTCTTGGCGTGAAACGGGGAGAGTTGTTGCAGCCAGACCAGATAAGGTGGGGTGCCAGTTCACTGAAGTTACCACCACGGATGTGCGGGTGTCCTCAACAATCTCAGCGAGACGATGGCGGGGATGAGTTCCATTCAGGGGTACGAAGGCTCCCCCGGCCTTCAATACCGCTAACATGCTGATAATAGCCCATGCTGATTTCTCGAAGCAGAGAGGGACGAGACTCTCTTTTCCTACACCAAGCTCTACTAGGCGGTTGGCGAGTTTGGTTGATAGTTGCTCGAGCTCAAGGAAAGATAGAGTGTCGTCCCAGGCATCGATGGCTATTTCGTTGCCACGAGTGACAACATTCTCCGAGATGGCATCATGGATGCACTTGTTGACTAATGTGGGTACCCCCGATTTGCCCAAACCATTTACGAGCTCACGTTCAAGACTTGGCATTTTGATGGATTTCTTGTTGTTAATCCCGGGGAGCCCGTCTGAACGTGTTGTTTTGAGAAGGTTGATGTTTCCGTTGTGTCAGATATTTGGTCCTGGACTTTATCGGCGAGTTATTAAGGAAGATGTTGGGAGCGTCAGGGGTAATGTTGCTCTTTACCCAGTTGATCGAAACGCTTAGAGAACGAATAAGGAGAGAGAAAAGAAGTTAAATAAGCGCTTTTGTTATCCCACCACAAGTCAAATAATATTAAGAGATGCAGGACTTTCGAACAGCAACCAAGGAGAGAATGTCACGTAGCTATGTATGTCAGCAATGAAGCTTAGTCAGGGGAGTCAAAGCTGGATATATGGAGAAAGGCTATAGTATAAATTCCTAGGCGCCTAGTACTAGATGATTCAGCTACTACGGCACAGTTTCTACGGAATTACTTTTCTCACGGTAAGCCCATGCCAATGTTACGCCAACATCCGTCTTGTTCATCGACAATTCAAATTGACTGCTAAAAATATTCACGCCCCAGCCAAATATCCTAGTACATCCCTAGTAGAAACGGAATGGGGCTCCACAGAAGGCTAGATTTAACGATTAGCGAGATTCGCTTGAACCATACAGCGAATGAATAGAGTATGAATAGGACGAATGGGTATAAATGGGTCGTGATAATCAGTAATACGCTTGAATACGTATCAGGCAGCGTCTCCACTAAACCCACTGAGAGCTACAAAGGAACAAGAAACCTAAAAAGTTAAAAATGGCTTGGCACCTACTCTTTTTAGAATGTTTCGGACGGTTTAAACCAATCGTATTTGCGAATGTGGAGGGGGCGTGTGGCTGCATCTTAATAGTGGAGTAAAACAGGGTTAGCTCTCCGGGCTGACGCGGAAACAGGGGGTGTATTCTCCTTAAAGTTATGGCTCCTCTATAGCGCATATGCTTTTAACCACTATCGCTACGTTCACCCTCTTGTCAGCTTGCAGGTACCAAGGTAGTAAAGGAAGCAATTCCTTGCTGTAGCAGCCTTGATTGCACGTGGCGAGTGTATTTGTGATATAGTTATGGTATAGCTATGATATAGGTAGGATTCTATGTTCTTATGGAAAACGGAGATTAGCCTCGTTTCAGCCCCAAGTCACATACTACCCAGCAGCCCAGCAAGGCGGCCACGCGCTTAAGTACTCGCCTTGGTTTTCAGCTCCATTTTCTGTTTCGGTTGATATTAATAGGAAGTAAAAGAAGCTACCGGACAGACCCACTCGGAAATGGAAATTATTATGGGCGAGAAATAGCTTACTTAGAACTTAAGCGAGGAGCATGTATACATGTGGGCTGACTCAGTATCATCCAGACCCCGATCGCACGTGGTGTTCCTGTTAGGATTCATTACTAAGAGTTCAACATAGCCTTTCATGTGGTAAGACGCTATATTCCCTCTCAATAAGGGTCTTACTGCATGTATCTTTCACTGCGTAGATCCTATGATGGATACCTGTGAAATCGTCGTGCCAAGACTTCGCCAGAGCTTCCTATCACCTTAAGTATTTTGCTATAGGTAAGTACTGTACTAAGTCTTTCCGGACCAACTAACCAAAAGAGTACTGCCAAGACAATCAATCCTTAATTCTAATTCGTCTTAGCCACTACGTCTTTTCAATTCATTTCAGAAATAGTTTAAGTAATATAGAAATACTTGTATTTAATTGGTTATTTGAAGTCCAAAAACTGGGGCTCGTACAGTACTTCACTCTCTAATAGGTACCTATAGTAAAAGAGCACTTAAGGAGATACCTCGCACCTCGTGGTTTTTACTAGAGTAATTCTTCTCTAAACACCCCTTCCCACCTTCATGGTTTTCCCCCTCTCTTCCTAACCCATCGATAGATCGTCAACATCCCCCTCTATCAGTCGTTTTGTCGCGACGTCGTTACCATGGCGTCAGTTTCTTTTGTGGCCCCTGCGGCTAGTGTATTATCTTTCCTTGCTGTTTACACCTTCTCTATTTTCCACATACATCCGAAATCAGCACTTCGCTATGTATCTGCACTCGCAATCTTGGCATCGTCATATTCCCTCCAGAAGACTCTTGAGGGATGCTTTGACAGCCGATCTGTCCAGGCGACCTTCTCGGCGTACGGCTGGCTCTTTTCCGTGAGCGCCCTTGAACTTCTGCTATACTCAAAAGCAGGTCCTGAGGATATGCCCAAGTCTGTATCAGAAAGTGGAAAGACAGTCGATCCTTCAAGGAATGAGGGTGCTTACTGGGCTATCATGTTACTTGCAAACTTCCGTCGTATCGGTACGAAGTGGCAGGTCAAGAACATTCCCTCGTGGCCCTCAGGCGCTCCTAGCCGCAGGGAGTTTCTCCGACAAAAACTTACATCAATTGTCGCCATATACATTATCCTTGACGTTCTGTCATCCGGACCACCCCCTGATGCCAACGTTGTTGGTATTAGGAACCAAGTCCTATTGCTACGCATACCCGAGCTCACGTCAGATGAGTTAATTTTCCGAGTAATAGCTGTTACTGTCTATTGGATCAACACCTACCTGTTCAACCTGTTTATGATAGAGGTCGCTTCCTTTGTCAGCGTCTTAACCGGTATTACTACACCGGATCAATGCAGGCCATTGTATGGACCAATCAAAGAAGCATGGTCCATCAGGCAATTCTGGGGGTAAGTTCCAACATATTGATCATGAAACATTTCAAGATGCCGTTGCTGACTGAACCACATAGTACGAGCTGGCATCAAATGTTCCGAAGAGGTATTCAGGGAATAAGCGATTTAGCGAACGATGCGTTCTTCATCCCTCGAGGCACATTATTATCACGTTACTTCAGACTGACTGTGTCTTTCGCCATATCTGGCCTAATACACTTTAGTGCTGATATGTCGATGAGAATTCCTCTCGCTGAAGCTGGTTCAATGGCGTTCTTCCTTGCCCAACCATTAGGAATAATGATCGAAGATGCCGTCCAACACGTTTACAAGAAACAAGGCATTAAGTTTCTCAGGGGATACGAGCATATCCTAGGTTATGTTTGGTTGATAGCATTTCAGCTTTGGATTACCCCAACGTGGTTCTACCCTCCTATTCGTCATATGAACCCAGAGAAGGATGGCCTTCTACCATTCAGTCTTGTCTCAGCAATTTTCAGCTAAAAAAACGGGATTTACTACCAGTATTGGCCACTAGATTGGCCTTACGCTGTTTGAACACTATATGCACTTACCAAAAACCATGATGCTATTTCTTACTATTTTATCTAAATCTACTCAGGCGTTATTCAGAAATGGAAAATGGGTGGGGCCATAAGATGCATTTATGTAATAGAATATACAAATCTTCTCTGTCCATATAAATTATTCGGTTTGATATAATAATTGCTTAGAATGCGAATACGAGATAATAAGCCATCGGGTTCTAGACATAATCAAGTGTTAATGAGCGTATGCAAGATAAGCCCTACGATGCACCGGTTTTATCAGATACGTATTGTATTGAGACATTAATCGTTCGCGGGGCAGTTCATGCAAGGAAGACGAACATTCGATTCGTCTAAATCATGGGGAAGGGAATGATGACGGCTCCGGGCTGTTGATAGCCTATCGGAATGTATTGGGTCTTGTGGATTAAGCACCATGATATCTAGGTACGTTTAGATATGTGTCATATTTACGCCCTCCGGCGCGGAGAAATGTACATGTTCATGAATTACTCGCATGCATGCTGCAGTAGTTGATTATGTGGAGGATCACCTCATCCTCACCTTCATTCTCGGCCAATATCAATCTTGGACACACTATCAGCTGCATGCAAGCTTGGTAGCGGGTATTGATCCATCTTCCTTCTCCTCATCTACTCCGGCGTGAGTCAAGTATTGTGGCAATAAGAAAGAAAGTTGGTGACGACTTTTGCTGACCATACAGTTAGTGATAAGACTATTGATCGATGCATAGATAAAGAGCGGGTTCAAGTTTTGACGGGTCAGATTGGAAAGCCGGATATACCATGGGGGTATGAGTATTGATGGCGGGATATTGTGTAATGACTGCGTATTATTAAGATGTACTTACATGTAGGTAGTAATGATTAGAGGCCTTTTCGACAACTTTCAAGTTCCAACATTGATAATTGTACAAGGGTATTTAGTTAATAAAATATGGCCGGAGCTATGCGACGGATGTAAAATCCTTTCTGAAGCGATGTTCGGTTCGGTTTGTGCAAAACAACAGCACAACCTGACGACGATACTATTTGTCAAGCTGTAAGATTACTAGTTGTTTATTGGCCCTCGGCTGATTATTCTTACTCCAGGAGGACTTTTGCTAAATCAAATTCAACCTACACAGTAACAACCTATTTAGAGTGATATCATAGCCTTTTTTTATTAGATGAATCAGGTTTCTAACCGAGCCGCAAGGCTGAATACTTTGTCATATTAACTCAGCTTAATCATCTTATACGTTCATTGCCACGATGCCTTATCTTTTAAGAATTACATCAGTGAATTTGCATTAGATGTGAACATTTAAGTGGGGTTTTGTTCTAGAAAAATTGCCGCTATTCTATTCCAGGTTTGACAGCCCTATAGGTGGGGCTACCCGCTGCGCTAAGACAGGTTCTAAATATAGGTGTTACAGAGCTAAAGGTTACAGCTGAAATGGAAAGATCGAAATCCTGGAAAGTCGACGGCGTTTTCCCTCTCTATTGGTACTGTGTTGATAAGGCTTTACGAAGTCCTACAATCAACGTCTAGGTGGCCGGGGGCTAATGGAGTCTTCGTCGAACTTCACGTGCATCTAACAAATGAAGGAATTGACACCTGATTTGCCAATCATGTCAGTCAAAACGATGCACATAAAACAGACCGCCTAGGGCCTCAGCCAGCGAGTGGTCGGATGACGAATTCTTGATATGGAAATTCCGTTGGTGACCTGTCGTCTAACTTAAAACATCAATGATATGCGTATTATCGGCTTACTAGTATGCGCTGCCGCATCGTTGTGGTACCTGAAGGCATGAATGTTTATGCAGGGGCTATGATAGAACATTCCTTTACCATACAATAAAAAAGAATGGTCTAAGGATTTCTACTTTCTAGCGCATTACGATAATTCGGATTTATCATCGCCTTTTCGGTCTTTACGCACTTAGCCTACCTTCCGATGCCCGGGAAGAACAATGAGGGTTTGTACAGAAGAAGGTATCGAGAATGACCCGATACGTCAGCAAATTAGGTCTCAAGACAACTGTGCCGCTTAAGGAAATACCGGATTTCTTGGTTACACGTAACACCGGATTCCCCGCCACTCTTTTTAGCTTTCAACCCACTTTAATCCGAGTAATACAAGGTTTGTAGCACATACCATGAAGGGTAGGTACTTAGTCTGGAATTGAGTCTGATTGGCTATCTTGTAGTTGGAACACAAAGCTTGGCGAACTTAATCTTAAGCTTAATAGAATTGTGGAACTCTTGGTAGAAACAGCTGGAGGACAAGATTTCTTAAAAAAGAACGCTATATTTACGGCTAAAGCTATGTCGATCTAAATACGCGCTCCGCGCTGAGTAAAGTTGAATATACTGAGAAAAGAAGCGACAACGTCGACATCATAGCTACGGGTACAGATGTGATCCAGTGAACACATTTTGAATACAGCATTAGAGAAAAAAAAATAATGTCCCGGGGCCTTCCCTCCAGTCCCAATGCATGCATGATCCCCCTTTTTTCCTGTTCCAAATGACTAACGGGTATACTGTGACAAACAAGAAAATATGCATCCGACAGATAATGTGACAAATCTATAGTAAAAAAAAAAAAACAAAATAAAGGAATCAGGCGTTAAAGTCCCAGGTCTTGTCCTCCCAACCGTTACGAGGACGTATGCGTATTCGTAGATCATCTTTAGTGTCAGGCTTGACAATTCCGAGGCCAAATTGGTGGACCTGGTTTGGTATTTTGAGGGCATTTTCAGCACCGGTGATTTCAAATCCTGTGATCAATGCAACAACCGATCCTAGGATTTCAGTGTAGCTTAGATGGCGACCAGGGCAAAGGTGCTTGCCACCACCCAAAGGAATGTACGCGTTCTTGCGCATCTTCTCAGTGGCCTTGTCAGTAGAGGTACCTCCTAGGAATCTGAAACCGTTGAATTCATTGGCATCATCACCCCAGGTTTGCTCAGATCTGTGTAGAAGACCAGCAGGCATTTGGACTACGGAACCCTTCTTTAGGCGGTATACCGTCTTCTTGTCTGAGCCGTTGACCGAGAAGCTAAGAGTAGTGTCTTCCTCAACGATGCGGGCACCAGGGTGTCTGCTAATCATGCGTAGAGTTTCCTGGTATGTCGACTTAAGGAGAGGGCAGGTTGATAGCTGAGTTGTGTCTACAGTGGATACACCGTCTTCGCCAACGCTGACAATAGGGCGCACTTCCTGTCTTAGAGCTTCTAGTAGAGTTGCATCTTGGAAAATGTAGATGAGCATCCAGTAAAATGTGGGGATGGCGTTAGCGGTGGAACCATAGAGTAGTGAAAGTTCAGTTGCGGCGACACCATCGTGGTCAATATCCCATTTCTTGTTAACAATGGTGCGGTTTCGAATCAAGCTGCTGACGTCGTCGTTCATGTCTCTTGTAGAATAGTATTTAGAGAATTCACGGAAGGCAGTAAGAACAGCGGCTCGGCCTTGGTATGCGGCTTTCGCAAAGATGTTGGGCATGGGTCGGAACATGAGGTTAAGGTGATCCTCTTCAAAAGCCCTATTCACAAAGTTAGAAGTCAAATCTAATCGAGGATGGGTTGTTTTTGGTTGACATACCAGTACTGATCAATGAGAGTCTCATTCTTGAACGGGTTGTGGTCACCGTACAAGGCATTGGTCTTAGCCTTGAACAAACTGCGCCATACCCACTGGTAGAAATCATCAACAACAACATCGGACTTGACACCGTTGATGACGTTAAAGAATCCTTCGAGAACTCGGGAGTTCATCTGTCGGAGAGGCTCACCACCAGCAAGCTGATCACGAACGACCTTGTTCATATCATGCCAGTAGTTTTCGGTTAAGCTAAGGCGGGCTTCGCCTAGTAATTGGTTCATAAAGTCGGCAGTAGATCCACCAACACGATGAAGGAACATAAGAGAAAGACTGAGAAGTGACAATTTTTGGTCACGATAGGCTGCCTGAACTGCTTCGGGTGCTGTAACAACATAAAGACTAGTACCAGGCATTATAAGTTTCATGATAGGCGCAGGCGCGGATTTGCTGTTACCAAACTATGGTTAGAATATTGCTTGAACGCGTGAGTATGCGGAATGGAAAAACTTACGAAAGTTTCGTGAAATATTCCGCTCCATGACGCATTAATCCGATAGTATGTCCTAGGAAAGGGATAGGTATTGTTGCTGTAACTGCAGGAGGTTCAGGAACCTTAGCAGTCTTAGAAGGGTTGGTAAATGCAGAGAAAATCTTTACAAGATAGGCAAAGAAAATGACAGCAAGACCCACGGAGAGCCTCTCCGCAAGGTGCTGGTATCCGAAATCAACAACGACAGACATAATTACTGAAGAAGAAGAATACAAAGAGTAGGAAGTGAAGGAAGATGCCAACTTAGGACTTGTTTCACAGTCTCAGACGGAGTGATGATGGATGCAATGCTCAACATCGATGGAAGACGGGACGATGACTTATTATGCGTTGCCTATCACGACCATTTCGAGAATGAATCAGCTATAGAATTGTAAATGTACTTGGCAACCACGTTGCACCCTTGTCCTCGTTCTAAATCCGCAGCCATAACCTTGCCACATGATTCGTGATCGTTTTCGGTCAGGCCAGAATGGGACGGTCAATAGATCGCAATAAACCTCACCATACTCGGGATCAAAAACTAGATCGCGGTCTATCGTTATTGCACGACTTAGAAAGAGGGTGCGAAGCTATGACATGGCGGAGATCTGATATCAGCCCGCCGACGTCAGAAGGGGGCATGCCTATAACGCGGTACCAAAGTACTCGGTGGCTGGGCGTGGGTGTATATGCATATTACGTGATATACGGAGACTCCGGGGGGTGCGTAGCGCAAATGCTGCTAGGTGATGTAAGGGGCGGCTTGGGGGCAGGATGACACCATCCTGGATATAGTCGGGCGTTGTTATCGGTCTGTTTAATAATAATATGATTGGCTCGTTTCAATACAGTGCAAGTCGCTATCGCGATTTTTAACCCATAATTGATCATTCGGGTCTTTACCTTGGTGGTAAATTAACAGAAGTGGGCAATTTCCATTTTAGGTAAGTGGAAATTGGCGGGCTAAGTATTTTAAGAGGGTATCCAGTCTCTAAATGGGTATACATACGTAGTAGGTAGGTGGGTAAAATACATAGTCCTGTATTTAGATCTAGATAATTTAAACTCCAATGTCCCTAGCTACCTAATTATAGCATCGCATACAATGTTCTATAGCCTTGTGTCTGTCTCCTTGCTTCATAGTAGGTATTTGTTAAGCAGTATTAGGAGGCTACTATTGGATTAGTGGTAATTAAGTTGGGCTGAGTAAAAGCTGTACCAATAGATCGCAGAGCCCTGCCAAATAGGGCGGCGTGGGGTTCTAAGCAAGTGCCTTACTTCAACTGTCAGCTTTATAGAATTGTTATGTTCTAACGTATTTTGAGGCTAGGCCGCATGTATCGAAACTGCGACGATGATTAAGCTTATCGATTTTGTATCTTGATGGATAGCCAATTAGATCGAGTTGTGATTATTTCAAATTTATTGTCTCAGTCGGCAAAGAGCCGGGGTTTGATTCGACCACCTAGGGTTACACCAGGATCTCATAATCCGGAAATACGAGGAGCACATCCGCAAGTATCAGTTCAGTCGGGGTAACCAAAAGCGGCACGGACTGACTCAGCCTCTGCTATGTCTCTCCACAACGTGTCAGCACCAAGTAAATTGGGAGGGATTCTCCTATACCAAGAAACCCAACACCGCGAAAAATCTACACCCACTCACCATCTACACCAACGCACATACCACTTCCACACACAAACTTCAACCGTAGCCTTCCCATACACCATCCCGCGGATGATTCCTCCATTATTATTCAGATATCATTCTTTCTGTAGATTTCTTAACTAAGCTCGTCTTCGGTTTCTTTTCTTTTTTTCGCTTCTATTGCCTAGAATTATCTAGATAGATTCTAGACACCTAACTCGCTGGGAATAGCGGAATCGCGGCACAGCAGCACATCACAGCACAACACCACATCTTCCGATGTCGACCGAACAGTGCACCTTGGATACCTGCCCGGAGTCGGCCGCCGTTTACGGATACCGGCCGAATCTGGGTATCAATGTTTTCTTCACCGTCGTCTTCGGTCTCGTAGCCCTCTGGTCTCTCATCGTCACGGCTTGGAAGCGAAGATGGATCTCTTACGGCATCATCCTCGCTGTTGGTGCTGTCCTCGAACTCGTCGGCTATCTATGTCGCGCATTGAGCAACGGCGATCCGTTTGATGTTGACTACTTTTCTATTCAATTTACCCTCTTGACCCTAGCACCTGTCTTCACTAGCGCGTCGTAAGTTAATCTCCTCGCTTTCGTACTTGATTCTGTGCGAAACCCGCACAACTTGCTAACCGGGAGGTCAGGATTTATCTCTCCCTCAAGTACCTTGCTACCAACCTCGGACGGGGTCACTTTAACATCAGCCCTAAATTTTATACCGCTTTTTTCATTCCCAGCGATGTTATTGCCCTCATCATCCAGGCCGTAGGTGGAGGACTTGCGACGAGCGAAAGCACCTCTGACAACCCGCCTCCTCCTTCTGACGGGCTACTTGTTGGTACTAAGATCACCATTGCCGGTCTCGCATTGCAGGTCGTTTCGCTATGCACTTTCCTGATCCTTTTCATCGCTGTGGCTGTGCCTAAGCGCCAGACTTCTATTTCTAACGAGCCCAAATCGGTGGCTACCAACGGCCGACGACCTCTTTATCTCTTCATGTTCATGCTCTTGGTGGCTACCGTTTTGATCCTTATCCGATCATCCTACCGTGTCGCTGAGCTTTCTCAGGGTCTAGCGAGCTCTCTGGCTACTGACCAATGGCTCTTCGTTGGCTTGGATGGATTCATGGTTGCCATTGCTATGGCGCTCATGGTCATTTTGAGCCCCGCTCTTATCCTCCCCGCGTAGTCAAGATAATTCGGGTATGAAAAACGAACCATATCGGAAATTTGTTGGAATTATTGGTCAATCTGAAGGAGGACGGTAGCGTTACGAAGGGTCACGGTATTGCTAGGGGTTTATGGTTGCACAGCAGGGTACGATTCCACCATTAGGCGTCTTTTTGGCTATTATCACCGCGTCTCGTTCGTTATTTGTTTTGGATACACACTTTTGCAATGTAGAACTAAAAGGGGAGGATTTCTTTATCTTTTGAAAAATTTGATGTTTTTGCTTTTATATCGCTATATACCACTAAAAATACCATACCCTAAACCTGTATCTGTAGCGCCAGCTACTATTCTACCTAATTTTCCCCGTATATAACAGTACAATGCATATCTGAAGAACACAAGAAAATATTGAAAGTGCCAGTTATGAATTTAATCTTAGGTCGAACAAAGAAATCGAGATTTATCATCGTTATTACACGTCGAGTAATTGATTCTGCCCTTAGTCCTGATTTTAGAACGACTAGCAGAACTCCATAGTTCTCTTATAGCACCATTTGATTCAAGGACATCAACATTAATTAGAATAGACAAATTTGACATTAATCGACTGTTATACAAAATATGCTGCAATAAATCAAACGCTGATGCTCTTATGCTCCATCCATGCTCCTTCTATACATGATTATCCGGTGTGCCGATTCTAGACCCCCCAACCAAGTACCCCGACTCGTTGGACTTTCCAAACATGCGAACCCTTAAACTTGCCAGACGCTCCCTAAAACTGAAAAACTTCGCCTTCAAGAGGATATATGCGATAAGTCTATACACAACGACACAGACGGCCAATCCTACCAGGCCCCTAGTCGTGCTAACATTCATATGGAACAAGTCTAAAACCTCCTCGCCCGTGGTGACGGCACAGGAGCCGTCTGCCGCTAATTCGTTTGGATCACAGAAGAAAACGCTGCCTCGAAGGGCGAAAGGTAGTAGGTTGGAAACACCGTGGAAGGTGGGTGAGATGTAGGTGATGGCGCGGATGAAGGCGGGTACGTCGGGCGTGATGACACCGCTCATGATCTCCACAATGGTTAGAACAAGCGACGCGACCGTTAAAGCGAAGCCACCATGATCGAAAATCGTAAAGAACTATTGAACTGTTAGTAATCGAGTCCTTAATCGCGCAGATGACCACGCAAGGTAAGCAAGGTGAGGCGAGACTTACAATAATACCCAGGCTTTCACCGCAGTTGAGCAAAAGGAATGTGTTGTAAACAACAATAAAGTACATCTGCACCGTCCGCGGCAGACCCGCGGCGAATACAGCAAGAACGGAGAAAATAAGAGAAGCTATTAGTTCGGAACCAATTTCGAGGGTTGTGTACTGCAGGAGAAATCCCTCAACAGACGATGCCTTGTCAGCACGCTCGTAATAGAAGATGTCTCGCTCCGCCGGGTATACAACGGCGTTCTGTAGTAAGCCCACACTTAGTAGTGATGCCACAAGCTGGATGTAACCGGCGTGGGTCTGGACACCTGCTTGGTTGTACCGGAGGGGCGCGAAGAAAAGCGTCAGTAGCACACCATAGCTAAATGCCTGCACAAAACGACTAATAATAACGTCCTCAGTGCGGAAGTGGTGTGTCATCGATCGTCGGAGTAGAGATCCATACTGGCACCAAAATGGACTGGCTTCGCGTTGCAGCAGTTCGGCAGGTTTGAGAAGGAGGTCGTACTGTCCTTCCATCCAGGGGTCTTCAATCGACTTGCGCGTGCGTGGCCATGCGGAGACTAGGGCGTTTACTTGCTCCTCGGCGTCTTCTTGGGAATCCACAGCATCCGTTTGGAAGCGCGATACACCGCTCAAAAGATCCGATGCGAAATCCGCAGGGCTCTCCGTTTGCGGGCAAAAGTGACCAAGCTGCTCAAAGTAAGGTAACATTAGATCACGACGTCCGGCGTAGCACAAGCGCCCTCCCTTAGCCATCAGAACAACATTATCGAACTTGTTAAAGTCATCGACACTAGTTTGGTGAACCGTAGTAAGGACCGTGCATCCCTTCTCGGCAAGACTCTTCAGCATGCTAAGAATAGAGTTCGCTGCGAAACCATCAAGACCAGATGTAGGCTCGTCGAGGATCAGAACTTGCGGCTCGCTCAATAGCTGGATACCGATCGATACACGACGTCGCTCACCACCGCTGATTCCCTTGTTGCCCTGGTCGCCGACCCGCACTGACGCGCAATCTTTTAGACCTAGCTTGTGGAGTATTTCTTCGGCACGTCGGTATTTTTCGTTCGTAGGAATTTCTCTTGGGAGGCGCAGCAGAGCGGCGTATCGCAGAGTTTCGCGTACAGTTAGAGTAGGCAGGAGACCCACGTCGTGTTGCGGGACGTACGAGCAGATGGATTCGGCGAGTTTCTTATTAAGTGGAGTTCCGTTGATAGAAATGTTTCCAAGCCAACGATACTTGTCTTGCTCACGATAGGCTATACTCTTCAGAAGTGTCGTTTTACCAGATCCCGATGGTCCCATAATAGCTGTGAATGATCCTGGAGCGAATGTGATGTTGACCGATTGGACAATGCATTTCGGTTCCTTCCGTAAAGCGTCAATTCCCGAGTTGCGTGCATAGATGCTGAGGTCCTCGAGCTGTACTTGAACTGGGCCAATACCGATGTCCACAGTGTTGGGCACATGTGGTTCAGGGGCCTCTTCCGGTGCGGTCTTGGGTTTGCCCGCACTTTCGATGGATACCGTTCTTGTGTATAGGAAGAACAGGGAAAGGACAATGTAGAGAAAGATGAATGCCAAGATGATAATGATAGGTATAGCGACCCAAGAACGGAACCCTAAGCTCGCTATGATAGAGTCTCCCACGAATGGTTGGCAGAGAGGATTGTCTTCGCCGCCCGGATAAGGGCAATCGTAGAAGTCGCCGGCGAATTCGTTGGATGCTAGGCCGCTGAATGCGTAGAACTAAATGGGATGATTAGCTTTAGGATTGTGGGATGTCTTGGGACAAGTACTTACACAATAGGCTATCCAGCGCAGCCAACCCACGTACACGGGCAAGCTGTTGACTTGGATTAAGAAGCCACCGCAGAAGGTTTGTATGGTGATGAAGAGACCGGTAATTAACGAAGCCGAAGCATAGTCCCTGTAAAGGGAGATGGAGACCATCGCCCAAGTGCGAACGGCATAGTGTGCTAGGAATACAAAAAGAAAAAAGATACCGAAGTGTTCGGGTCCTTCTCTAAGTCCAGCCAGGAAATAGAATATTATGCTAAAGATTAAGGGTATGGGTATGTCTTCTAAGATTAAGGCAGAAATGCGTCGACTAAAAACGAATTCGGCTGCGCCATTAAGTCCGTCTTCGCATTCTTGGTCGTAGCTTCTAATGTCATTCACTAGACGCCAGAGTTCGATTTCGAGATATACAACGGAGATGATAGAAATTGCTGTGTAGAGTGCTCCTTGTCGCGATCTAATACCACTTTCATCTCGGCCGAGTTGAAGGTTGATGAGACCGGCGACGATGCCAAGGAATAGAGCGCCGATGAGGACCGATGCGGAACTTGCTTTATCATTCCAGGCAAGGCAAAGATTTCGTCGGGTCAATATGGTAACGCGGCGACGGAAGTTGTTTAGACGTTCTAGCAAGTTACCGGTCTCGAATGTCCGAGCCCTGGTTGGAGGGATGCTCCTGCGTCGCACCAACTTGCGTTCCTCTTGCGTCCCTTGTTTCCACGCTTCTTGTATATATGCTATCCGCGCCTTGGAATCATCTTCGCTTTCTTTAGTTCGGTAATCGACGGCGGCTAGTCCGATAACAAATTCGACGGGGTTGACATGTTGTGGTGCGATATAACCTAGGTTCTCGAAGTATTGGACGCATGTGCTTGCTTGTCCAGCATATAAAAGACCACCCTTGCTCATTACAACTAACTTATCGAAAAGGTTGATGATATCGGATCTTGGTTGGTGAATCGTTGTGATAATAGTTCGGCCGCTTTTGGCGAGTCTTTGTAACGTACTTACTACTGCTAGAGCCGACGTGGCGTCGAGACCTGTGGTAGGTTCGTCTAGAAGTAGTATACTAGGACTACCCAGTAGTTGGATACCGATGGATGTCCTCCTTTTCTCGCCACCGGAACATTGTTTAATCGCTGTGTCTGCGCACGACTTAAGACCAAGTTCGCAAATCATTTCATCCACCCGTGTCGCATGTTTAGAAGCTGGCGTCGATGGGTCTCGGAGCTTTGATGCATACATAAGAGTACGCCGGACGGTAAGCGTGGGCATCAATAGGTCTTCCTGCCTAACATAGCCGCTGCGTGTTGAAGAGATACCCTTTTGCCAGTTGAATGTGATGGAACCTTCGATGTGGAGACCGACAGCAGCGAATCGCTCTGCTATGATGTTCAACAGCGTTGTCTTGCCAGATCCAGATACACCAACTATGGCCGTGAGTGTTCCAGCTTTAATATCAAGGTTGATATCGTTTAATATCGTCTTGTCGGGAGGAGCTTCTGACGCTGGCTCCTTTGTGGATTGGAACCGACTCGTGAAACCACTCCATGACGATGGTTTACTTCGAATATACACGCTCAAGTCTCGTATTCGAAGGTCGACGGGTTCGATGCGCGGGCAATTATTAGAGATCTCTTCTTTGATAGCGGCACCTTCATCCAGGGAATCCCGATCTGTGATTACCGATAACACTTCATGTCTGTCGTCACCGCCGGCTTCTTCGAAAAGACTGAAATCGCCAAAATCTAAACTGAATCTCCAAGAATGAACTGTTCTTCGTCTCGATGGGGCGACGATAGAGCGACGGGGCGCATCTGCGAAATGCGCGAAGCCAATACTGCCAGGAACGGGAAGCGACATGTTGTTGGATTGCACATTTGCAACATCTACACTTTGCGATGACCCGACAGCTACCTCAAATGGGATCGAATCGTTAAGTTTGTCTACCTACGAGCCACTTACAAGACAAGCGGTCTTACACGGAGTCACGCGGAGCGGGTACGCTAAGAGAACAAGCGAGTTACCTTAGTAGGAGTTCCCGATCAACTTACCTCGGACAATATTCTGGTAACTCTATGTCCGTAGCTATGTCGATCTATTTTTGGGGCTGAGCGGAAATGAGCCATTAGGCGTTCAGGTGAAGTCATTATAGCCCGTTCATACTTGGCTGTGTCTTCCGCTCGTTGACAAATGGTAGTAGAACGCGAGCTAGCATTACGTACTTGGCGAAACGAAACACCCTGCCCACATTAGGTAGGTTATTAATCCTTCAGGGTACCTAGTAACTTAGTTACTTACTAGACCACTTATACCATACTGTTGATTGGGTGGGTTATTTTAAGTAGCTATTGGTTCGATTCTAGAATGATGCTTGAATCCTACCCCAAGAATCTGTTACAATATTTAATAACAATGAATATCCTCAAACCCTTGTCGAACCCTTGCTCCTCGATAGATGAATACGCCTCTTGCGTGTTTTAACGGCACACCTTTCGTACAGCCACCCCAGAATTATTTAATACCACTCCGGAGGTAGGATTGCGGCACAACATATGCAGGTACACGCTGCAAGCCAATCATAGCCAATTGCGCGAGGCGCGCGTGTTCAGCTTGATGATCAAAGTACACTAATTCTCACATCCCAATCTCTTCCCAAATCTACGCGTAAGCGGCTGTGACGGCGTTCGAACTGGGTTATGACTAAACCCATTATTATTCCATTATTCTGACCTCCACACCAGCTCCAGTTGTTTACCGGGGTTTGATCCAAATTACCTAGAGTAGAATCTCTGCAGAACAAGAAGAGTAATCGCCAATACCAGTCTAGACTTGCTGACTTCCGGTTATGTTCCGGCTTTGATCGGGGCAGTGTTCTTGATACTGCAGACAATACCTTACCTCGTCGGTCGATTTCCATACTGAGTCATGCCACGTGTGTCTATTAATAAGTAATCTGAGGATTCGGTTATAGCTGCGACTTCTTGACACGACCCGTATTAATCTTATTGTGAGTTCTGATCATGCCATAGGTGCTCGAGGTGTTGAAGTTATTATCTCTCTTTTTTCCGATCCGTATGCTCATTATCAACCTTCAAATCAATCAATATTCTTTTGTATACCCATCTATCCACCCATTCTTTCTTTTTTCCTTGATTAATATATTCCATCCATGCCTGTCTTCCCTTATTAGACAAACTGTTTTGTAATAATAATGGCGTTCGCAGCCTTAGCCTCGCTTGTCTGCTTCGTTGCAGCCGCTCTCGTGCTCTTGTTTAGCAGGGGAGACAACAATAGCAATGGTCCACGAGAACCCCAATACGTTTCTTTCAGATATCCTTTCATAGGTCACTTCGTCGGCTTATTACGACATGGCATCTCATTCTATGAGATGATGAGGTGAGTGCCACAATCTCACACCCTATCGATGATCCATCGCTAATGTATAATCAACAGAGATAAGGCAAAGTTGCCGATATACTCTATCCGAATGTTGGGTGCCAAGCTCTACGTTGTAACCTCGCCCGAACTTATCAGCCAAATCAACCGCAAGCAAAAGGTCATCTCCAGCGATGGCCCATTCATTGAGACTGTATTTGCTCGCCTATTGGCTCTCGACGCACCCAGTCTAGCACTACTACGAGGGGGTGCCCACGGCGCCCACCAGCGCAATGGTCTAAGGCACGATATGCAAATCCTACAACATGACCTACTCAAGCCTGGTGATGCGATGAAGCAAATGTACCTGCGCACTGTCGAAGAATTCGCTAGACGCCTTAACGGAGTTGCTCCGGAAGCAGGTGCTAAGCAACCCGTGGAACTAATGGGCTTGACACAACAAGTGTTCACCTGGGCGATTGCTTTCTCGCTTTACGGACGCGACAACCCATTCGAGCTCGACCCCAGCCTAGTAGATGATTTCTGGTATGTTATTGAGCCATCCTCCCATAGTGGTGAAATTAAACTAACAAAAGTAGGACTTTCGACGAGGGTATCATGATGCTAGTCCTAAACATCTTCCCCTCCATCACAGCACCTAAGGCCGTCAAGGCGCGACAACGTCTAGCTGATGCTTTCAAGGCATACCACCGCAGCGGTCGCAAAAATGGCCAGAAGGGTATGTGCCAAGTCGTCAACAACTTGACTGAGCTCGGACGTCAATACAACTGCTCTGATGAATACCTCGCACGATCCGAATTGGGTCTCTTCACCGGTCTCATGATTAACACTGTCCCCGCCCTATTCTGGTTCCTCAGCTTCATCCTCAACGACGACGAATTGATGCAAAAAATCAGGACCGAAATCGCACCTGCTGTTGAGAAGCGAGCCAACGGTACACAATTTGTAGCCATCAACACTGTTCGTGAGAAGTGCCCTCTTCTCCTCTCCACCTTCCAGGAAGTCCTACGTCTTACTGTTGCCGGTATTGGTACCTTCGAGGTCCTCGAGGACACTGTACTAGACAACAAGTACCTCCTCAAGAAGGGTCGCGCCATCCAGATCCCCGCACTAGCCATCCACACCGACAAGGAAGCCTGGGGTGAGGACGCCGAGAAGTTTATTCCTGACCGCTTCACCCGACCGGGACGCCAGCACCCCTCTGCATTCCGAACATTCGGTGGCGGTAGCAGTTTGTGCCCTGGCCGACACATCGCCGCCGACCTGATGATGACGGTAACCATCATGATGTTGACGTCCTTCGACTTCGAGTTCGCACCTGGCAGCCAGAGAATGCCGGGTATGGACCGAAACAAGATCGGGTCGATGATGAAGCCCCTATCTGGCTTCAACCTTACGATGGCAAGGCGGCCTGGCCAAGATAATGTTAAGTGGGAATTTGATTAAAAAATGGGCTGGGCTGGCGTTATTAACTGATTAATCTTTTTTTTTTCTTTGTATTATCTATTTGATAGCATGTTCATATTTGGCATATTAGAGATACCATAGTTCCTAGGTAAACAAAAGCGCTGCATTGCAATTTTTAAGATAACTATTACTTTGGCACATTGGAGTGTGACGTGACTGTCTTACTGGCTTTTATCATTGCATAAAATCACTTAAGAGAGTACGATAATTGAGAATAGGGGGGGGGGGTGAAATGCCGTGGTTTTGTATTCATCCGGCTATCGTCCGTTTCCCATTCGCTTGCTGTAATCCTTCAATGCTGCGCGTAATTCGCTACCTAAGTATGCTGATTATCCTATCCCGTCGGCCCTTTATGTATTTGTTGATGCATGTTCGTGTCGAGGATAGTATTGAGTGGACCTATAACCCTCCTTCTGCGCCGAGTCCTTAGGTGATTTCCCGTCTTCTCCGGTGCTTCCTCTCGTCACAAGGCCATATTTAGCTTGTATGTCTACCCGGCAGTCATCGAGCAGGTTTGCATGCAATCGCTGCCAATCCCAGTAATAGTACTCTTCGAAGATTTTCATCCGGTAAGCTCTGTAAGCCTCGTACTCTTCGTCGGTAATTACGCGTATGACTTGTCGCATGAGAGAGTACCAATCCAAATCTAGGCTCATCTGAAGGTGTCTCTTATAGCATGGAATGCACGGCCGGTCGCGGACGATGGCTTCGTCCCAATCATTTCTTCTAGTTCGCTCCCGCGTAAACGAATCGCAGTAGTGCGGCTTCTTTGGTGATCCGGTAGAAATAGCATATTCGCATGGCTTGATAGGTCGTGGTGGAGTAATGTCCATATCTTCGTGTCTACAGGAGAAATACACACGTCTCCACCAGCACATGGTTGCGAGTTGGATAATTTGCCTTGATACTCTAAGAATGGAATTGAATGAATGTGGTTGACGATGCCGTCTGATACAAAACTTTTTGTAAGGGTATATCGGTATTGAATGGGGATCGGATCATGTTCGACGTTTCAGTCCACCGAGAAACGTTCACTTTGACGGATGAGAAATTCAGGTTGCACTTGCATCATGATTCAATTGGAAAGAACTGGTTAACATTGTTTCTATAGTCGCGAGATGTGGTTTCCTTCTCCACGAGCGGCTCAGGGGCTCTTGGTGACCGTTAAACAATGCACAACGTTGTTTGGGACTCGTATGAAAGAGGAAACTACAATACACTTTGTCTTGCTGCCTTTTTGTCAATATTACTACAATGAATATTTTTATTAGAGAAACAACGGTGCTCTTATTTACATGCACCTGGTGAAATTTAGCAGTTGCTTGTTCTGTGGTCACTGCCTATTTAGCTATTTCTGTGTAACTACCCCTTTTCTCCCGCAAATCCGCGTTACACAATTTCGGAAGAACTCCGAAATACCTAACGGCCTCGGAATGTTAATATGAAAGCTGCTAGTATTTTATAATTCTTTCTTTGAAGGCCTATCAGTCAACTATGAATATTTCGAAAGCGACAAAATAAGGTTGAAACCATTATTGTAATTAAAACTCGATATATCGACTCAGTCGGCACCACTGCTTGATAATATGTACAGACATCGCGACTTATACTACACCGGCCCAGAACACCAATAGACCTTACCCTTTAGTCAACCAAATGGGTAAGATATATCGCTAAATCGCTGTTTCATAAAAGCTTATGATATCTTTTCTTTTATCTATGTCACCTTACTATTTATCGTCGGACCTACTATATCGCCGATATTCCCCGAGAGTAATGAGAGCATTGATTCCATGATTATGTTCGATACTGGCAACATTTATCACCTTGTTTCAATAGACCATTCGCCGCGACCTTCATTCGAACGGTTACCGATCAATATTTTGCTACATTTATATAGTGGATATGACAGGCTTAAGGGTAGCTCGTTAGTTTGATTGGTGGTATAATTTGTGGAAGTTGACACTGAAAACAAGTCGAAATCCTTCAAGGTACCTAGAGGTTGATCCTTTAGACTTCCTTAGTATTTTGGGGGATTTGTGAACCTTATGTGCAAGATTCCCAGTTTACTTATAGGATCCCTCTTGGAGAAATTGAGCATACAAATCAAGAACTCCTCCTGTCAGCCCACTACTCCGGGGTAATGATAGGCCTTGGACCGAAATCTAGTCTCGGATAAACGTTGATGCATGAATTCTAGACATTGATTTCGACAGGAAGCTTGTTCCGATATCCGTTGGGGATATTTAAGCGTGTCCTTGGCAACAGCACTCTTTTAGTCGTATGATTAGGCAGGACGACCCTGTTCTAGATCTTACACTAAACTACCTAGTAACTTCAGGAACATCCTTATTCCTGGTCGCCTCGCTTCAACTTTTAAGCCAACGCTTAGGCTCCTTCTCTTTCGTTTTGACAAGCGAGCCCCTGCCCCTTACACATTAGATAATGCATAGTATAGAATTGGTGGTCCGATATCGAGAGCGCGTATAGGTCTATTCACTCCTCAACAAGCGCAAAACAAGCAACCTCCTTGTTTATTAGGACGTAGAGAGCTTCACTGGCAGGAAATACTCCACTGAATTTGACATTACGCTATATGCACCATCGGGTCGGTTATTTACGATCATTTTTCTCAATATTGCGCCGATCATTGAAAGGTACAGCGGGTCTCGAACCACAACTCTAATGAACGACAACGAAGCCGAGGCAGACCTGTGTCGTCAAAGGGGCTCGCTGCCCTATGCCAGTAAAAGGGGCAGTTTATTTTCAAAATACTTAGGTATTCTCGTGACTTCATATACACTAAATCGTAGTGTTTTGAATATTCTGATCTTCCAAACTATTATGCGCTATTTTGATAGCACTGGATCACATCCTACCTATCGGCCTATGGGTCTTCACCTTAGGCAGGCCGTCCCGTCCAATAGACGAACAATGAAACAATCAAAAAGGAAACCATCCAATTCTTCATATAGCAAAACACATCCATAAGGAGAAACAACGTCTCAGGATAGTAGAAGCCGAAATGTTTAGCTACATTAAGTACCTCACATATATGCACTCTTGGTTTAGATGAGCATCCGAGGCAGCACATCCTACGCTGCATGCCTCTGATCTTCTGTACATGTGTCCGTGCCATGCTATTGTTGCCCTGGACTAACGCAACCGACTACGCGGACATGCAAAGTTTGACAGGGGAGTATAATGCCCTGCATCAGCCTCAATGCCAGCTAATACGTATGTAGGTTAACCTTTTGCTTATTTACGAGAGCTATTCCGACATAGGGAAGAAGGCCTTTTCTGGATATCTTCCCCCGAAGCTGATGCTTCTTAGTCTCCGAGGCCGCGCCGATTTAGCGAGCAATCCATACAACCGATCATATTCTACTCTCCTAATGCTCATACGATAGGTCACCATGTCGATTCAAGAGAATGGCTATGTGCAAAAGTCCAGTATGGAAGTTTACTTCCTTCCCCAGATCATGAAAAGGATGATAGACATTGCCATCTCCTTATTACTTCTTAATATTTGAATTAGCGGCAGATAGAATTCAAATGGAGAGTCATTATTTGAAAATACCCACATATGCCTTGCCGAATCTAGTAAGCCACCAAAGCCGGCGCATTCATATAGACTACCCGGCCGAAAAAAATTTTCAATTGTCCAATTAGTACTCGTATGTTGTCTAATGATGCAGCATGATGCAGCATCCAGTACGTCCAAAGCCCATCCCAGCAGAATGGGCTTAATGACAAGTGCCATACTAGATCAAACCGGCATCGACACACTGGAACCGTCCTTAACGAAGCATTTCGCGTAACTTAAAAATATGGCCCGGACACACCGGGTCCGATTATGTGGTAAGCTAGGGAAGATACGCACTGACACTGAATGGTACAGGGCTGAGCTGAGTGGTCTGACTTGTCTGGATCTTGGTTCGGCAGCAGGGAGCATCCATAAACCCGTGGGTCTTTCGCCACAAGCCATTCTAGTTTAGAATGATCTCCGAGTAACGAGAACGACTGTCGAAGTGTCAGTGCGAACGACTAAAAAGTTGACTATCGATATGAGAGTACGTGGCGTTCTCGAAGCGAGAGCAGAATCGCCGAGAGCTTGATCTCTCTAGTACCAAATAATTTAGCACCGTCTTCGATCGGTTGCAACATACCCCGTATTTTACATGCCTCCACATTCGTAGATCAGGAGATCCAGAGTAGTAGTGGGAGTAATAGAATATGTTATAATGTCCCCGTTCAGCACACCCTCACGTGCTACTGTGTTGTCTCCGTTTCCTTATCGGCCGAATGAAGTAGCAATACACCATCATCTATCAGTCCAAAAGTCGACTCTTGGAACCCTTTGGACCTCATCAGGGTGACCAATTGGACCCGATCATACCGTTCAACGTCGCCGAGTCCCGATTATTCCAGTCCTTGCTCTGTCGAACAGAGCTACATATCCAACACAATGTCGGACACGGTAACAATTGATTATACGCAAATCACGATTCTTCTCGTGGTTTCGACGGTATTAACATGCATATCGAGTAAGGAGCCAATTAAAACTCCATTGGGGTTTCATATCAAGTATTTCTCACATGGCTGACTCTTGTCTAACAGCCATCGTGGTAACGGGAAGATCATGGATTCGATTCGGCATGATAAAAAAGGGAGGATGGGATGATTACATGTCTATTGGCGCTTTGGTATTCCTCACCGGTCTACGTTCGATTCTGCGCATACTAACGAAAGTAAGATTTGCATCATCGGTTACCTCGCATGTCTCTACCTGGGAAAAACGAACGGAATGGGATCGCCTATGTCAACCCTATCAATTGTTGAGATGGAGACACTACTTCAAGTGGGTCAACCCCCCTTTCTTCGACATATTGTATGCATCGAGCAGCGATACTGACGGGAATACAAGATAACATTCGCTATCGAAATCGTATACTACTCGGTCTTAACTTGCATTAAGATGTCGATCGTCTTTATGTATGCTCGATTTGGTATGTACTGTGCGCCATCAATGGCCCGCATGATACTGACTGGGGGTCTTTAGCCGTATCGACGACATTCAAGAAGCTATGCATGGCCACCAACACTCTCCTCGTCGTGTTCTTCATCGTCTGTATCGGTGTCGTTGTCGGGCAATGCCGGCCGCTAGAAAAAGCATGGGATGTTACAAGACTGGTAGAAGGTAGCTGTATCGACACTACGGCATTCTTCTACTGTAAGTTTGCGCCGGTACTATTCCGAAGCTATGGGGGGCTAACATTCGCCAGTTACTTCCATATTCGGAATTCTTCTTGATGTTTGGATCATTGTGCTACCGATCCCAACTCTAAAGCACCTGCAGATATCGACTCGCAGTAGACATGTCTTGTATGGTGTGTTCGGTGTTGGTGCACTTGCGACCGCTTTCTCCTGTGCTCGACTCTACTCAATCCACACCTACACGTTGGCCGCAGACCCCTTCCGTGATAGTATTCTTGTATGTTCATCCCTTTAATATGCTCTCGAATATCCCTGGAATAGCTTTGAAATGCTTTTTCTAACACGGAACTAGGTCAATGTTTGGTCTATGGTGGAAATCAACGTTGCGATATGGTGCGCCTGCGCTCCGGCGCTAAAGCCGATATTTTCTCCCCAACGTTTTCTCGACAGCGGAAAGACATCAAGCCGCAACTACCACAGTTTAAACCATCCCGGTATTTCGAAGAAGGGCATTGACGGTTCGACTTCGCAATCGCATATCATCCCACTATCCAGCGGTAACCACTCGACTTCGCCGAGAGGATCTTCACAAGGTCCGGAAGATATCGAACTTGAACGCCCTCGACAAGTTCATGTATAAAGTAGCTTTTTGGGTGTTATGTCTGGAAAATATACGAAATGTAATGATAGATGGAAGCTTGTAATTGATTTTTACATGACATTTATCGCGGAGTTTTGATGTTAAAAATCCTAGAGAAAAGCCTTCAGGGGCGGATTCAGGGGTAAAAATAATGACTAATTGAATTAAATCAACCTTCATTCCTGTGAAGCTTGCTGTGACTTTTTTCTTCTGGTCAAGCCAATGTGCGCTCGATAAAAAAAAATGTTACCATAGTATTGCACCATCAATAAAATCGTAGAGCTTTAGAAGATCAATTAAATGTGGCGATTTGTCGGATCGTTCCGACGCCTTTTTACGTGGGGTACTAAATATGTAGAGAATTTTCGGAAGACTTCCGAAATTGTGGCTTAATTTTTTTGTCGCCTTCGGAACAGCTCCGAAATCGTCAGCAGAACAACATAATGCCACAAATATTTTCAGCACAACGCCGTCGATTGAGACACGTCTTTCGCGATTATCATTACATTATTATAGGAGATCGATTTTAGTATTTTTTTGGTGACAAAGTGCCTATAGTAATTACTTAGCGCAGTAATTATAGGAAAGAGATCTCCCTTCTCAATTATTTTCTTCATTCCAAATAGTCACGGAAAGAGAGGGGAGAAAAAAGGGAAATTGATCAGTGTCCGACCTCCCTCCGCCTCTTATATCTTTATTGCTAGTATCCTCATCCTTCGCTCGATTTTCGCGACGCGATAGCTCCCCACACATTGACGCGTATCCCTCAAAACATTGGCACCGTTCACCAATGGCGGAAGGTACATGATCCACCACTCGAGTTCTTAAGCGTGCGTAAATACATAAGGAAGTGGATATATGCTTATTCTCAATACCACCGTCTACCTCTTGAGTCAAGTTTTCTATTCCACCATAAGCGGTTCATCCGTTAGAGCATACATATTGGTATGCTTAGGTCCGGAGAATTTGGGCTTTTCGGGTCATTCAAATCACCGGCCCTTTCCCGCTGGCGGCGTCGGAGCCTCCGCTGCCCTATTCGGAACATGGTTTGTCGTGGACGCCGATTGCTATCTACGTACATGAAGTATCCGACCGTGTTTAACGTACGCGATGCTAATGCGATACAGAGATCATTAATGTTAGAAGCTCAAAATTGGGCATTCCATTCCGCGTTTTGATATCCGATGGTAGTTTTGTCTCTTAACCGCCTCGGAAACCAAGCCCGCTATCGCGAGTCTGAGCAGATACGTAATAATCGCTTGCTACCCATGTCTCCCAAGTCCATTTAACCAGATCTGTATGATACCGTCCTAGGTGTCTTTGACGAGTTGGAGAAGCGGAGACGTTGCCGTCGTCGCTTTACGTCCATATTAGTTTCCGCTAATTAAAACCTGCGAATCGATTTATTTTTATTCGAAACAGGAAGTCCATCTTTTTAAACAAAGTCACCAGGGCAATATATTGCTGCCCATGATTGTGGGGCTGGATGGATCTATATGCGCTCCAATGAGACACGAATTTCCCCTCCCACATTCGACCAAGAAGTCTTGGGGTAGATACACGATAGCGATGAGTGATGATTTATAGAGGTACTGGTTCAGGGGATATGAAAGCAATAAATTTCTCTGGCAGGATGAGCATCCCTTAATATGGCTTTTCTCGGTCAGTCTAAATTGCATTTAGCTGTTATTTCTAGACTGCATCGGTGAACCATTTCGGAAACAGAAGCTCATCATGTTCTTCGCCGCGGGAAGACTCATCACGGCCTTGCTTGGCGCCACATCTTGCCTCCTGGCCAGCCCGGCGTCCGCATTCACCAACCCGGTCCGTAAGCCTGGTGGAAGTGATCCGCAAATTGTGTACTCCGGCGAATACTATTATCTCCTGTCAACGACATGGTCCAATGTGCAGATTGCACGGTCCATGACCATTGAAGGCCTCAAGACGGCCACACGAAAGACCGTTTACAGCTCAAGCGAAGCGGGCCGGTGCTGCAATGTCTGGGCCCCTGAGACGCACTACCTCGACGGGAAGTGGTATATCTACTTTACAGCGGGTAACAAAGATAATCTTGATGGGCAGAACTTGCATGTTCTAAGGGGTAGGCCGTTCCCGCAATCATAGCAACCGAATTGGCGCATTACTAACGCTGACAGGCGGTGCTTCGGCCTGGGATGACTACACATATGTCGGAAAACTCACTAAGGAATGGTCCATCGACGGAACCGTGGTCCGCTTCAACAAGTGGGGAAACTACCTAGCGTACTCATGTTTCCATGGTGTACAGTATCAGTCGCTATGCCTGCAGAAGCTAGGATCCGACAACGTATCGCTACAAGGTAACATCGGGGTTATCTCACAACCGACAGAGTCCTGGGAACGTAGTGGTACGCCAGTTAACGAGGGGCCGGCAGCGCTCTACATTGACGCCACTGGGAAGACATACATTGTCTACTCAGCCAATTATTGTTGGACGCCTGAGTACTGCCTCGCGACACTTGAATGGAACGGGAACACTGATCCAATCTCTCCTTCCGCATGGACTAAGTCCAAAGGCTGTGTGTTCTCCGGTGGCGTCAATGGCCACTATGGTACCGGTCACAACAGCTTCTTCCGTAGTCCCGACGGTTCGCAGACCTGGAATGTCTACCACGCCACCTCGAACAGCAAGGGCGCATGCGATGATAGTCGCTATACCATGGTACAGGTTCTCGGAAGCAAATCCGATGGGTCGCCGGACTTCGGAACACCCGTTGCGACGAGTTTTGATTCCGCTGAACCCCGCGCGTAATAAGCATATTGTTATGTTACTTCCCCTTCGGTAGCATCTTCGCTATAGTCGGCATACATAACATTAGTATATCAGAAACCTCATTGAGAAATGTTTATAGTAGAGCCACGCTAATTAATTCCTAAGAATTGATGTGTGCCGTACAGCAACCCCTACCAGCAAATCGGCCGCTTCGACGGGATATTTTCGACAGTGTATAATATATCCAAATACTGTACACTACACACCATATGTTCTCGGGACGAAGCCGATCTCTTCCGAATTACCAATTTGACTATTATAAGTACATTATTCAAGTGCTGAAAGCACCCATAGCTTCTCCTCCCTGGTGAATGGGTTCAAGTGCCTTCATCAGCACGCGAGTTTAGTTTCAGCACTAGACTCTAAGTAATAGTGACCCTAACACCCGCGGCACCCTTCTTAATATGGGGTGTCATCGTCTCATGATCATATGTGACATCCTCAATCGTCGTTTCATACAGCTTCATGCGAGGCATAACCCGTAATGCTAGAGAAGCCGTAACAAGAAACAATTCGCAAAGTGCCAGACTGCGATCAATTAGTTTTCCGATCCCGTCACTAAGGATACTCGGCACCACTTACTTCATCCCAGCGCATTGACGAGAGCCCTTCGAAAACGATAAGATGTTTTGCTCTAGCGCAGTGTTTTTCGAACCGTCACTGTTGATCCATCTTTCAGGCGCAAATTCATGCGAGTTGGGGAAAACCTCTTCGTTGTGGTGGGATATGTAGGAACTCATTCCAATGGGAGTGCCCTTCGGAACAACATATTGGTACCCGTTTTTCTCGTACCTCAGTTGCTCATTTCGGGGAATTCGTGCCAAACGAGTAGATACACCATACGACAATCGGATACCTTCCCAGATTGTCCCATAAAGGTAGGGGTACTTCTCTAAGGCCACCCAAGAAAGCGATCGGGGATCTTCGCCTTTGAGATCATTCACGAGTCTAGAATGCGCTTTCGGGTTCGCGAGCAGGTAGTAAGTAATGACGCATAGGGTTGCCTGTCATGTTGTACGTTATTAGTGACCTTCTGAACCCCTAAAGCTACACAAGAAAAGGGGCTGACAGAAAAGTGGGGACTAATGGCTTACCGCGGTAGTCTCCGTCCCAGCAGACATTAGCGAAATGCCCTCGCCCGACAACCTGAATATGGATTTCTCGGACTCGGGAAGCGATGATTCAAGTAGTTCATTGAATATGCGACCTTTCGCGCGATCTTGTTGCGCCTTCCTGATATACCCGGGTATGATCACGTTCATCTGTTTCATCCATCGTGCAATATCATCACCCATATAATCGGCCATATATGGCGATAAGCCAACAAGACTTCGTAAAAGTGGAATAAAACGAAATAGGTAAACTGTTTGCGAGAAGGCTTCATACGCGGCTTTGAAGTTTGGAAGCCAGTCATCTTGGTCCAAGAACCCTAATTTGCTGTTAAAATAACATCACACAAAAATCTTGCGACAGAACACATTAAGCAATTACTACTATGGAAATGAGAACTTACCAAGTTTCTCGCCATAAGCATATTGAGATATCGTATCCGCGGTAAAGCAATTAAAGGGGTGTATCATAAGAATAGGCCCTCTTCCAGCCCAAAGAAGCAGCTTGTCACAGAGCTTCTGTGCCAATTCATGTACTTCAGGCTCAAGCCGTAACATTTGCTGTCGCGAGAAGAAACGGCTTACGGCAGCACGTCGTGCTCTATGCGTTTCATGGTCGCGCGTACCGAATGTCGACTTCTCTATGGCTCCAGCTAGAGCGTTGGTGAAGTGGTAATGTCTATCTCGGATCCTGCTGCTCACGCTAGGGTATATCTCATCTATGAAGGACGGGTCGTTGCAGTGGAGTTCTTCTGGGTTGATCCGAACAATAGGGCCTAGAGTACTAGTTAGTTTACCTTCCGTACGCATAATGCAAGTCCCGGGACCCAAGTACGGCACAGCCAACCGCTTATAATTAAGCCGGCCGCTATGGAGTCTAGTAACAGGTGACTTCGGTCTGTTTAAGATAACTTAGGCGAGACTCACCATATTTCTCGTGCATTCGCTGGATTCCATGTGTGTATCTTCCGAACAGGAAGAAGTCATACCAGGCTTCATACCAGAATGACATCGCAGCCAACCTAGGCCCAGGGAATCGATAAAGAGGATGAAATGGAGAGACATTGTAAATACATAGAAGTACGCGATATAAGATCCAGAGGCCAATAAGACGAACAACATTCGTCCATGTCAAGGAAGCAGTGATGCCACCGAGAGGAGGCGTCGCGGCGGTCGAGTCCATAGCTGCCTGCAGTATTCTATACAAAATACTGTGAGTCTTGAATTGTAAAGGTAAGGCTACGGTCCATAATGCATGTTGGAAAGATTTGTATTAATTGCTCGTCGCCTATTTGCCAGTCCCCCCTCAATACCCCTGACATGCATCTCGCGGATCTTGGCCATTGTATAACATAACCATACGCAGGCTGAAGGATGAGCCAGCAACCCCACGGAGTCGATCACTGACTAATATGTTGCATTGGGGGTTTGGCATTGTGGTACCTAGCAAGACAAAGCGTAGTGGAGTATCACTGATCGACATTTCACGTATACCTAGGTACGCGACAACCTTAGTATAAGAATATAAAATAGGATAACTCATAATAACTACCAAAATTATGATAGATATGCTCTAGGTACTAAGGTACCTAAGCAAATTATTGACCTTGTCCTGGATCGGTTCTCCAGGTGCCCCCATACCGGCATAGAAGCTCATCTTAACCCCTATTGGCAATTCATTCGCCCACACCCCAGATATCTACTTGTCCCGCAAGGAATACCTACTCTCGTCACTCTCCCACCCACGGGGAGAAGGTGAAGTTACATATAAACCAGGGTCCTATGCACATAACATAGTACTCTTGCACGATGTCGCTTTGAGGCTCGCTTACGCAATATATGCGAGGTACGAATTATTATACATTTGAAAGAAGCAGTATTCAAAACATCGCCAACTATTGCCTTACTTGAGGATGCCGGCGCAATTGCAAGGGGCTTCACTTACACCTAAATACAGGACACATAATTACCTCTCAAGCTTCACAACTGAATAATATACGTACGTTGAGCAGAGTCATTCACAACGCAAAAAATAAATGTCTTTCTACTAATTCTTATAATTTTGTAGCGCTATATTCGAAGTAAAGTTTAGAAAAGCAATGGTCAAGCAACTTGCCAGATCCTATAATTCTAGGCTCCTCGCCACAAACTAGGATATAAGGTATCTCCTCATATCTTCAAAAGGTCAAAGCGCTATATTCCGTTATGTTATGAATAATTATAGAGGCCAATAGCCTCATAGTGCGTAGGGTCAAGTATACCGAGATATAGCCTATCGGGACTCGAATCGTAGACCGGGTATCGCAAGCAGCCTTCCTAATATAGTTTGGCATGTACATTAAGACCTGGTCGGATATCCGCTTTATTCAAACCATACAGTGTCAAAATAATTCAAGGCTGGCAGTTCGGAAAATACTTCCCGGTGCTGGGGTTCGGCTCCCGCGCAAGCAACAAGGGTTAAAATGGCAATCTTGGCGAAAAGTCGAAGCAAACCTATAGCCAAGAGTATGGTATCAAAGTAAGACTCGGGCCGCACCCAGTTAATCAATTAGGACTCAAGCCACTGCCGGAGTCAGTGCTGCGCACCGACACTATGCTACAAACCTAGGCGTTTGCTATTGATATATGCCACCTGAGTGAAGACAACAAGAGACTCACAGCTTCTACAGAGTAGAGTGTTATAATGCGCTTCAGTAGTTGATGCTTGCTGTAAGTTGACCGTGCTTAATATTATGAGACGACTTGTAAAAGGTTTACTTTCTATGGTACCTATGGGTAAGTACAATACGTTGGCAGGGTGACTTCGTGGACTCAACGGTCCCGGGCTGTACACTCTACCTAGTTAGGTCCACTAGGTAATTATACATAGAGGCACAAAAAACATTATTTTACATATTGTGCTGGATTTTGCCAGGATAGAGATCTTCCTCGTCCCTGGTTAGATACCAGGTAAGCACCCTTGCCCTCGAGAATATGTGCAGGCGGAGTTTTATACTCCTGCAGCAACAGTAATGAAGAAAATTCAGTAAATATTAAGCCTCCTGAAACGATCATCGAGCGTACGAAGCAGGGTATTACATACGAGTGCAAATTCTTCTCAGGGATATTATGTACCCAGGTATGTCAGGAAACCTAATCTCCAAACGTATCGCTCGGCTCAGTCAAAGACATCAATTCAAAGGCTTGGGATCCTAGAGCAACGGCCGACAAGCGAAAGACCCATGAAAACAGATTGGTCAACTCATCCGGATGACGAAAAACTATTGTCATAGACACTGTTGATATTTAGATAGGTGAAGCCCAACTTAACTAAGGTTATACAATAGTCGCCCCCTTTTCGTTTCTATTCTTTTCTTTCTTGGTTTGAAGGTTTATGAGGAAGATCTAACGGCGGGTGGTAATCATGTCTACAAGTGAAGTTATTTACCTGCCGGTGGTCCCAGTTGTCCGGGACCAGCTCATCGTAAACGCCGTCGCAGCCAGCCTAGCCATCGCTATCATTTGTCTTCGATTCTATAGTAAGTTGGCGATAGGGGTTTCTACAGACAACAAAATGACATCTGCGAGATACAACCCTTATTTTGCAAAAGTAAAGAAAACAATTCTTTTCAACTGACAACTTCGTTCTTAGGTCGGACCATAACGTCAAATTACGGATGGGATGATGGCTGGGTAATTGTGGCCTTGGTTCGTTCGCCTTCGCTTTGAAACCCAACGTTGCTAATATTGTATAGGCTTTTAGTATGGCATTGTTTGGGGAACAAGTTGCACGTAAGTTCTCTGAATTCGTAGCAGCGCAGGGAAAATTCTAATGATATTTTCAGTTCGCAATATGGGTGAAGGATATGACTTCGATTCCAATTCTCCAGTGTTTCTAGCCCGTAAGTCGTCTACATTCCGTAACTAATCTGATTTCCATCATATTACTCAGGCACAATATAGAGAAACTACAATTAGCACTAACAACCGCAATCTATTAGTTGTCAACAACGTCCCTATTATTTTCAAGGTTAGTTATTCGCATTATACAAATCAAAAAGTTTATTCGCAGTTACTTACCTATATCCACTTCAATACAGATACTCTTCAGCTTTGGAATTATCTACCTTTTGGCTTTGGCTTCCGTAAAGATGAGCGTTCTATTTTTCTACCTCCGAACATTCTCCACGGTTTCTATGAAGCGTGTGATTTGGGCTACTATGGGCGTCGTTTTTATTTGGTGCTTGGCTCACTCGCTCGCTTTCATCTTCGTTTGCCACCCTATGCAAGCCTGGTGGGATACAACCGCCGGTACTTGCGGTGATCTTATTCTGATTTACGCATCTATCGTTGTTACCAACATCGTGACCGACTTGATAATCATGGGTTTGCCAATGTACACTATTTGGCATTTACAAATGCGCAAGACCGAAAAGGTCGCTTTGACGATTGCCTTTGGTCTCGGCTTTGCGTAAGTGCCCCTTGCTACAAATTATCTAATATTTATAACTATAGAGAGTTATCGTACATATTAGGGGTGCTTAGGCTAACAATAGAAAAGTTCAATCATAGTTGCTTGTAAAAGACTCGCTGCCGTTTTCACCTATGACGTAACAGAGAATCCGACCGGCACCGTAGGCGAGTCAGCCTTCCTCTGTGTGCTCGAAACATTCCTCGCGCTCTTATGTGTCAACATCCCTATGCTGCGGCCTTTAGTTAGGAGATGGATGCGAAGCCAGTCATCGTCCAGACTAGAAGGATCGGAGGGGCCAGGGAGTTACTTCAGCAAGAACAGCAAGGGCGGAACTTTGTCATCTGGAAATCACATATCAAAGAACAGGAATCCTGCTACTGGTGGACGTGAAGAATGGGATATGACTGTATACGGAGGCACTGCTGTGGATTCTGCAAGCGTTGATGATAGTGGATCGGAGAAAAGGCTCACTGAACACGGTACTACAAACCCACCGCCTGGTCAGATCGCCGTTCATACAAAATGGGCCGTCACTCGCAACTAGACTAATGCTTTGAGGGCAATGGTATTATAACGGCTCATGTCCTCCAATCTACACATTTCTAGTCATATCGAGAATGGAGTCCTAGTCTGTGGGGAAGGATGCACCGAGTACCCCTGGAGGGTAGAATACTCGCTATATACCTCAACATAAGTACATACGTACATCTATCAAATCTAAAACTCTAAGATATAATTCTAGGCATTTTGGGGCCTAATACATAAATACAAAATTATAGTGAGGCACGTCGGTTAGGTACCCGGGTACGTACCTAGGTGGTATTAAAAGTGGGTCTCATACCCCTGAACACGCGAAAAAAATAACAATAATAACAATGAGGCGGGTCGGGAAAATCTCACCAGGGGCATTATATGAAGAAGTCTAAATAAACTAGAGGCGCGGATAGCTGGAGAAAATAACAAGTCCAAGCTCTCCTCTCGTAGGATACGGCACACTCCGACCGTGCAACTTCATTCAATCGCCTCCCGCCAGTCGCGTGAAGAACATATCCCCATTTATACCCTCGTCATTCTTCGACCTAAGCCGCATTATCGTACCGTCTTCTAGCAGTGTATAGTTTTTGACGAGCTCTTTCCCAACCCACGACGGCAGCCACGCCACCCTCGTCGGCCCGTGCGTGATCTGTCCCACTTCTACATCCTTCGTCGTCTCGCTCACGTACCACGGTCCCGAGTACGACAGGGTATGTTTTCCGATGAGCGACCACTCGGCATCCGTACCTATCTCGATCTTCTCGGTATCTACTCCCGGCGGGCGGTCCTCCGGTCTTGCGGACATGAAATTCGCGGACATAAACCCTTGAGCGTTGTAATTCAGCAATCCGACGGGATATCGCCCTAACGAGGCCTCCTCGTGGCGAGAGATCGTGCCATTATCGTAATACCTTGAACGTCCTATAAGTGCGGGAATAAACCTTATGGGTTACTTGCGGGAGCTTACGAGGTGACATTAAGGTAGAGCCAGGTCCCGGTAATGGCCTTGACTACGTCTTCCGGCTTAGTTAAGGGCGTCGCTTGGGACGTCGATGCGGCAAATGCCAACGCGAACAACGTGCCAGGCAACATAGCAGGTTGAAGTGACGTTATTTAGACCTGGATCTAGACTGCTTTGTCGATTGTAAGTAATATTGAGTGCGAGAGGAAGGAAATGACAACAATTTGTTTACCGCAACAGTTACCCAATCTACCTTTATAGCAAGACGGAAAGCCAATCGGCCCGTCGCCAGTGGTGTTGTCTTCATATGTCATCTGTTCACATGTATACGACCGGATAAATTGGTGTTTGACCTGCCACGGATTTCCGATAGGCATTGTTACCTGACCAATAAATTCAGGTAATGAGCTGAATCATCTTGTCGTATGATGGTATTAATACCGGGTTATATATGAACGTTTATATATTCGATGAAGATCATATGTCCCAACCATCCGGAATTCTGGAACTGATGTTACCGAACGTTTCGAGCAGGAATGCAGGAATGAAAGATCGGTTTTATCTCCGTCAAGGCTGATCTGCCAATTCGTGAAATATCTCAAAGGGCCAGTGGATTTTTTGGAGTTCGGGGAAATGGCAATTTTACCTTCACAGAACCAGAATGAGAACCTAAGACATTGCACTTGTAAGCAATCCCTAAGTCTCAATGACGAAACATATAAATCAACAAGAAAAATGCGAAATCGAAACTAATATTAATATTGTAGGTATCCTGAGGAAGTGCCCACACTGATTGAAGCTATTGTATCAGAGCCGCGATTTTCAAGGCGGAGTAAGGCGGCTTTCTTGATGCTACCCCCACGATACGCGACTGGTGTTAGATGCCGCGGTAATAAATATTTCCTTATGGTAGGATTACAATGCATTGCCAAGCGATTTAATATTTCCGTCAAATGAGAGACTATTATATCCCATGCTCGTGAACTCACAGATGGAGGCAATAAAAAAAGAGAAATTAAAAACTAAACTCGTACATTGTGATGACAAGTGCTTTTCTCTTCATGACGCACCCCACGTGGGGATCATAGCAGGTTTGGGATATTTACAAGTCACTCAATTGAGTCATAACCCCTGGAATATATTCAAGTAGACTATAATCACGCTCTATTAGTGTTAGTATTCTAATATCCGATACTCGACATCGACAAGACCTATTCTCAGGTAGATACCTACCTAGATAGGCCTTGCGTATTTTTTTGGTTCTTCTGTACACGGGACGGGAGCCATCAGGGCGCATCGATGGGATGGAAAGATCATGCGCCATCCCTGGATCACATAACACCGGTAGGCTACAGCCTTATCATCAAATAACCCTAGCGAAGTGCGCTAGCAGGACCAGACGGGATATAGAATATCGAATCTGGACCATTATCATCGCAGGGCCCATTGCTAAGGAGTAACACTGAAGATTAGGCAACGCGTTATCCCAATTCCACGTATATAGGTAGTACAGTACTCTTTGCGTATCAAGAGTCACGCAGAGTACACCACCACCACCCTTTGCCACGTCTGTGCATGGGATATGAAATGGAGGGACAGAGGGACAAGAAAGCAAACTCATCCTTAAAGCAACCAATTCCAACCCGAATCAGCACAAGCAGACGGAACCCCCTAGGAGTTCCCCATGCGGAGGTCATCGGGAAGCGGGACTATCCGATGGTCGGGTCGCGTCCCTTCTAAATTGTTTGCGGACGAGGGGAGAGGCACTTACAGCAAGAGGACCTATCATATTTCACGGTGCCATCAAGGCTCTTGTAGGCGCAGCCCTTGCAATCCTTCCCGAAGTTGGGGTTGGAGCAAAGGTGCAAGTCCAGTGTATCGTTCTTATGATGGCCGCGCTGAGGGTTATCACGGTTAGTAATCTTGAGGCTTTGGGGAAGGATTACCTGGGTTTAGTAAGTGTTGTGCCATACGCCATAATCACAACCAATCCGAACACATTTTTCATGAGAAATCATCCACGGTCACACAATAATCAAGGCTTATGATTGGCGAATAAAAGGCCTTAATTGATATCAAAGAGCGTAATGGGTCTCAATCTGTTGTGACCCCTAAACAAGTTCGGTGGCAAGTCTAACGATATTGAAGCGAAAAATCGAAATCCACGCTAATTCACAATGCTCTGCTGGTTCATTCTCCCTTGCAGTTCCTATTATTAACCACCGCTAAATACCAAAAATCCGACGAGAAGGCGAAACCAATTCCATAAAAGCGCTCCCAAGACGAGGTGGTCCAAAATTGGTGCTTAAAGGTCCTCTCCGACGCGAGGGCTACTTCCACCAATCCACCCATCTCGTTCATAGTAGCGGAAGATAAGTTCATAGTCGTCGAAATCGTGAACGATACGGTCGATACGTCGGTATCCATCAATCTTCTCCATGCGCTTATTGCGACGCGTTCCAACCGGAATTTCGTCACCATCGTACGCGTGGGCCGACTTAGTCTCGAAAAGAGTAACGCTAAATCGACCAGGCTTAAAGATCCGAACCACATGCTCGATGATTTCTGAAGTCTCGCGCCCGTTCTGACCGCCTGGAACATTGGTCTCGAAAGAGGCAAATGAACAGTTAGGCTCGGGCGTCACATGCACAGTGAAATAATGAGTGGACTTAGCATCTTCATCATTTCCTTGCTTCTGGGGAGCCGGAATAATGCCGTTGGCCGAGAAGCCGCATGGAGAAAAGAGATACGCATCGATACGGGCATCCGGGTACTTGGAAGTCGGATACACGTCCGAAAGGCCACAGGCATCCGAAACAACAGTTCCCATGGCGTGACCTTCAGTAGTCATGCACTCTGCGTCCACTTGTTCGGAGAGCGGAGTATGGGTTTCGTGGAGGTCAGAGTCGCTTCCATTGCTGAACACATCAAATGTGTCATCGTATGAGCTCTCAGTCGTACTCATCGTCTGGATCGTTATAGTGCTATCGGACAAGTCCCCGAGACTGTCGATAGCCATCTGTCGTGCTTCCTGAGCTTGCTCAGAGAGCCTGGTGCTCGCGACCGCATTCGCATGCTCCAGGTAAAACTGCTTGGCATTCTCAGGATCAAGGTCCGTCATTAATATCTCTAGGGTTTCATCATTGCCCTCCAAGCCACCGCTGAAAGCCGAGGCCCGACCGGTAGGAATACGGAACGTGCTGACGGGGTTGGCTGATAAATGGTCGATTTCTGGTGTGCGAGGTGGCGTCAAGGCCGTCTCTGGCGAAGTGATGTACAAGTACCAGTGATCACCATTCATTTTTCCAACCATATAAGCGCTCCCTCCCTCAAACATGTCGTCGAGATATCTGACCTCCTGCTTCCAACTGCGATGAGGCCCGCGCTGCTGATGGGGGAAGAGGAAGTTCTTCCGAGAGTAAAATACCCGGTAAGGCGTAGCAGCGGCGTGAATGTCGTCTAGAGACTTGGCGTTATGGAAGGGAAATCCAGCGTGCTCAGCAGCGATTCGAAGAAGCCGATGGAGACCAAGGAGAAGCGTCGTGGTCCCGCAGGTCTTCAGGATAAGCTTGTGGGGAAACACAAACATGCTAGATTCAGAAAGCAAGTAGGCATCCATATGCTCAGCCTCAAGGACTGACAAGATTTTGCAATTGACCATATCAAGCATCCCAACCCAGGTTTCATTGGCGACTGATTTCAGGCCATCTTGCTTGACTCCAGGTGGAAGAGCTTTGGGGCTAGGAGCGAACCAAACCTCGAGCAATTTCTCCGGCCCTGGACAGTGTTAGTATTAGTTGGTCCTTTGGATGAACGTACTATCTTACCTTCAAAGGCACCGGTAGAATCTAGATCTGCAGCAACATCATGATTGATTGTCAAATGGGGTGTGCCCTCAGATGGAGAGAATGTATAGTTAGTAGGGATCTCGAAGTTGACCATCTCCGTACAGTGACCCAGAAGGTGGGTGGCGAGTACGAGCGAAGAGGGGTGGTTTTATCGTTTCGGTATCAAGATGCTTGCTGCAGAATAGGAACTGTAGCTACTGCGGAGCACTGACGCCGCTCAAACGAACCTTGCGGCGTTCGTTTGAGAGAGTAGGCCCACAGGTCGGTGGGAGAGGTTGAATGCTGGCGGAGCCAGCTACAATGGTTGGTTTCTTTTAACGTCTCACGAAGAGGACGTTAGGGGGGTCGGGCTCGGAGGGGAAGGAAAAAGACCTTTGACCAAGGAATTGTGACGCCTGGTTTAGGGCCTCGTTCTGGCAGAAACCGATACCTATGGGGGAGTATCGGGCCTAGCAGACGAGGGTATCTGCAAATATGGCAGAGGAAAATAAAGAGAAACAAGTGAAGTCTGTAAATCGCAGTCGAATGCTTTCGAAGCGGGTGTTATCTGGGCCTATGGGAAGATAATTAGCACCAAAACGCGTCGATTTAATATTCTTGGGTAGAGTCATACTTTGCGGGCTTAGAGAGGAAGCGAAGCAAGTCTGCTGGGCTCATGGAAAACCAGGCCTAGAATTAAATGGGTTGCGTTCTGCTACAGCCGATTGTGGACGCCGAGCAGAATTATGTCGTCAGTGTATCAAGTGTATTTTGATTTCTTTTTGGCATTGATAGTTATCGCCAAGTGTAGTAACCAAACGTTGGCAGGTTGATCGAGTCGCGTGTTGTGTGACGTTGTAGTTGATCTTGGAGTGTTGAGGTTGTAGAATGGAAGATGGGAGGATGTTTGTGTGTAGGTAGGTAGAAGCAAGAGGGAAAAAAATAAAAGTTGACAGCTGACTGGCTGGTAACAGGGCACAGGCAACCTAGGTGGCGGAGTAGTACAAGATAAAATAAAATAAAAAAGTTTGCGACGGTTGGAAAACTAGGGAAGCTAGAGTTAAAATGGTATGGAGGCTTGGGACAAGCTTAATATTTAGTCATCTCAGACTACCTAGGTATATATATATTTTGATATTTGGAAGAGTTTGTGCGTAAGGTTATAAGGGGGGAAAATGATAAATGTGATTAGGTATACTTCCTGAAAACGATCCCAATGCAAAAGAATTTTTTTACAAGTGCAGCACACGTGTGAAAGGACCGATGTTTACATTCAAGAAAGTGAATCTGTCGGTGAGAGATTTTTAAAGGTACCTCAATACCTCGATACTAATGTCATCTTTCTAGGCAAAGTGCATCCATCCATGTATACATTCCAGGTAGGTACATGTAAATTGTAACTTTGCTTTTTTTGTTGGAAGATTTTAACTTTAGTAGGCGAAAGGTAACTTGTGGTGGTTGTGGGCAAGGGGCACGGGCGGAAAGGAAGGCCATGTGCTTGTGGTACATACCCAGTGGTAGGGTAAGGTACCTGATTTCGCGAAGATTGGGTAGGTGTGAGGTCACTCGGTCATTCCCTGCCCAAAGTGGAGAAGAATATTAGTGAGGGCAACTTGTACTGCTCAGTGGCTAAGGGCTGACCAAGGACCGCTTAATGAGGGGGAAGAATAGCTAGAGGTACAGGGAAGTACAGGTGCAATTATCGTCCTGCACGAAGGTCATTAGGTACATTATATGTAGGTCTGTATCAATTTGATATAAAAAAGAGCATTTTTAAAATTTCTCCAATTCATTCCGATTTCAATTTCGTAGAGAAAAAAAAAAAAAAAATAAGAAATGTGAACGTAACATTGCATTTTGTGTAGCCCCCTTTTTTCCTGGTTGCCATTATGACCTCGACATTAATATCCTGTTTGTTAAATCAGAATCAGCATTTGGATTGCGACTTCGCACATACGACTCTCCTTGTGGAACATTCGAAGAATTTGGGTGCATTGCGATTTGCTGTGTAGAATGTTTCCATAGCCACGGGATTTGGAGAAAAGGTCGGTAGCTCCAATCGAGGAGAAAAAAGAAATTTGACCAGAGCCCTATCGCCGTAACATTGGCGGTTGTTACGCCCCTGACTAACTAAGTATCCTGCGAGATACGGAGCATTAGAGGTCGGCACTTGGATCCAACGTCGCAGAGACTTGCTTCCCCCTCTAACCCTCAACAGGTACTTAGGTATGAGATAATCGGTAGGCGATGGTAGTAATCGACGGTAGTAGTCGATGTGGTGGTAACTACGCGCATCTGGCCATTGGAAAATACCTTCAGCTGCAGCATGCGTGCGCATTGGATCTCAATATATGGCCCCTGCGGTCACACTGCATGTAAGATTCTAGACGGGGAGAACTTAGGCTGATAATGATACCTCCGACATCATCCGATAGCTGTGACGATTTCTTGCGTGATCCCTCTAAAGATAGGCTCAAGGGAACAGTCGAGATATTTGTTCGCAAGTAGACCGGCTTCCTTTATTTCTTCAGCCGGGGCGTCGGCTTGACTATTTTGATGCGTCCGAGAGAAATCTTGTCCGTTGATAACAGTCCCTTGTGGGTATCGTGGTCGCCTTCCCGTTTCGACCAACATGACAAACTGGGGATCAATCGGGACGCCCCCCAAAAATCGCACGGCAAAATCATTCGCCATAACCTCGCCGCCTCCCTTACCAAAAATGTTCGTACATTCGGCGCAGTTTGGACATACGAATCCAACCATGTTTTCGACGACGCCAACGACCGATATACCCGTTTTCGCGCAGAAATTCAATTCCTTTCTGACATCTGCTGTAGCAACGGCTTGAGGAGTGGTCACGACAACCGCCCCAGCTACTTGGCCGGGAGATGCATCTTTCAGTAATGTCTCTGCAAGTGATATATGCTCATCTGATGTACCGGGAGGTGTGTCGATGAGCAAATAATCTAGCTCTCCCCATAGTACGTCTGAGAGAAATTGCCGGACCATCGCGGTTTTCTTGGGGCCTCGCCATACAACCGCGTCACCTCGTCCTCGTAGTAAAAAGCCAAGGCTCATGCATCTCAGCTCGCCTATGCCGGCCTCGGGGTTCGCAGAATGTACAGTTACGGGTAGCCATCCACCTGGGGCTTGGGTCACTTTCGCGTCTTCGATATTAAACATGCGTGGCATGGAAGGACCAGTAAGATCAACATCGAGAACTCCAACCGAATGCCCAGCGAGCGAAAGCGACAGAGCAAGTTGTGTGGTTACAGATGATTTCCCTACGCCGCCCTTTCCGGAGAGGACCTATAAATGCATATGTAAGTCTATGTTCCTCGGTAACATTTTTGGTTTATTTTAAGACTTTGAAGATTGCACATACTAGAAGAATGTGCTTCACTTTTGTAAGCGACATTATTAGATTCGGAAATGCGTGAATTCTAAAAATGGAATGTTTTGAGGCTGAACTAGAAAGGATCCTGTAAATTAGATATCAAGTGAGTTAGGGAGGTTGAAAGAGCTTCATTATGTATATTCGTTCTTTACTTCACACCCATTAAAATAAATAGAAGGGAGAAGAATCGGCGTCTATCGGCGTCGCAATTTATCAGCAATAGGTACAAGTTAAAGCTATTATTTTATGTACGTAGTACATTCAAATCTTGCCCCACCATCTACCCCACCATGGCATTTGAAATGACGAAATTTTAATGGCGCCGAGCTAGATAAATACTTTGGTACTTATTATCATTTGTTCTAAGATTAAACCCCTGCATTTTCATCAGCCACGATAGCTGCGTCAGCCACTTACTCTGGAACCCGAGCATTCCGAGCTGTGGCTTTAGATAATGCTGTGCCGTAGCTCCAACTTAATATGCAAACAACCATTTTTTTCCCCAGCAATTCCGAACTAAGATTGCTTGATCCTCGTCATGGAACTTGACGATTTAACCCCTGAATCGACTTCTTTTCGTTACGCTAATTGTCGACAGGGGTTTCGACTCTCGCGCTTGAGCAGATGCAGCATAATAATATTCTTGGCAATCCATTTAGAAAATAACTTTTCATCTCGTGAAGCACGCGATATGTCTTACCGCATAGATTACCATACTTGTGCTTCATCATTATAGTCACATGCAAACGGTTTTGTCGCCGCGTCGGCAACCAACATGATCATCGCCTCCGACAACTATGGACGATCCTTGGGGTTCGCCTTGGGCGTCATCAGAGACACCGTCCAAGAACGATCTTACGACACCCTCACCCCCGAAGGACTTTCTAAGTCCGCCGCCGCGAGCCTTCTTCGGTAGTACGTCGAACCTCCAAAACCAATCGCCATGGGCGGACAACGGGAGCGGGTTCGGGGATTGGGCGAGCGCGGATACAGCAGATATCACGACGAACGCGCTTGATTGGGGCGTCTGGGCGGAACCATCACCTCAAATTTCTCGTCAATCGAGTCCAAGGCCCGATGAATCCAAACAAAGTGGTTCTCTTGCGATACCGAGCAGTACCGCGACGTCACCAGGATTGAGACCTCTACCGCGATCGCGATCTTCTTCCGTATTCCGACATCATTCCCCCGACCCCTGGGCAATAGAAGCACAATTGCGCGATAAGGACGCACCGACAACATCTTGGAGTGGGTTAGAAGCCGCTGGCGCAGATGCTCAACGCGAAACCGTGGAGGCATCTGTGGCGACTTCGCAAACACATGATGAGAAGGGCGCAGAAACTCTCGATTCAATTACGGATAACGTTCAATCTAAAGAAGGAGGAGACAATACAGAAGATGCGCTGACTGTGCAAGAGCCGCCCCGGGAATCCTATGGCTCAAGACCTAAATCGGCTCCAAAAGTCGAGATACACGATTCCCCATCTCGGCCATCATCTACGTTCTCCATCGATAGCTCTAACGGATTAGACCGTCAGGATTCGCCAATTACATCAATTGACGAGGAGCCCAAGTTACGCTTACAAACCCCGTCTCGAAAACCTTCAGGTAAAGTTCAAGAACTCGTGGGAATGTATGATGACATAGCAAAGGCCGCTACAGAAGAGCCATCCCCATCAACACGACTTAAGCCTTCCAGAAGTAGGAGTCGGGGACGATCGCCGAGCCAAAACAGGGGCACAGACATTGAGGGTGATATAGATTTCGGAGATTTTGAAGATGCGAAGAGTGAATATGATAGACTGACGCCAGATATACACGCTTCGGTGTCTTCTGGAAGCCCATCTACACCAAAGGCTCAAGTTGGGGACACCTCCGTTCAGGATGAGACAAGAGGGCCCACTAGCCCCGAAAATGTGGCACCAGAAATAGTCACAGTATCGGTCCAGCAAATCATCGAGAAATATGGTCCTATTCGGTTTGATGTTGATTATACGCCTCTTGATAATCTCTTTCCAGACCTAGCTCAACATGTGGACGACAACGTAGGGGATGTTGGCGAGGTTTCTGACCGAATCATCGAGGACAACTTCTCGACAATTTCAGAGCGCAAAACATGGTATCGAATTTCCCGCTTTGGGTCGATGCGTAAGCATGACTCAGGAGATGAGGATAATTACCATAGGGTGGAGTGGGCGACATCTCACCTACACGGAGATACTATTAAGATTGTAAGACGATGGATGGAAGAAGACTCAATCACCGGACGAGCCACGTTAGGAGCCGGCAAACGAACGGGTGTCTTTAATTGGGATTCTTCTGCATCGCCTGTTGATTTAGGAAAAGTTTTTGCTCGTAAATCAGCTATCACACATTCACGAAATATTTCGATGCCACTGCCGAATCAAAGCTCGAAGGAGCCGATGAAATCCGCCGGCCCTGATTCCGAAGCAAGGAGGTCGCTCAATAACCCGGCCCGGCCCTCTAGCACGACTCTCGGGTCGCGACCAAGCGCCCTTCCTAGTTTCGGTTGGACCGCGGATACGAATAAGTCGCACCCTATCTCGCATCCCGTTTCCAGCAGTGGTAAAATGGGCCCGCCAATCGTATCTAAAAATGGGCATACACCGGAGACCATCAAGACCGAGAGTAGTACTCGTGTCGCGATTCAAAAGCCTGCACAATTGAAACAGACTAAAGACAGTGTAGAAGATGAGGATGATGAATGGGGCGAAATGGTGTCCTCCCCTCAGCTAAAGGCTCATCCTATGCCTACACTCGCGACGCAAGTCGCAGAAAAGAGACACAGCGCCGGTTCAGCCAAAGTGGGCATTGGAAAAGATACGCCAAATTCAGGTCCGAAAAATAGCACGACAGTCCAAAGTAGCGATTTGTCATTTAAGCTCTCCGTTACCATACCACAGAGCAGCCAAACCCCGAAGCAAGTGCCTATCCAAGCAGAGGAATCAAGCGAAAAGGCTCCAAGGGTAGATCCTTGGCCTCTCGCAGATTTTTCTATATTTGAGAACTTATCCGCCCGGACACCGAAATCGCCTAAACAGAATCCATGGCCACTTGCCGATTTTTCTATTTTTGAATCACCAGCCTCGAAATCAACTTCAACAAGTACGAATTCGCGAAAGGCTAAACCAGAGCCAGTCCCGAAACATCACGAGAACAGGCATGTGCAAGTAAAGGCGGATAGGGTATCACAAAGTGGACCCCCACTGAAAGCTGTGCTTGGTCCGATTCAGAAGTCAGATACGGAACAAGATCAAGAACAAATTGTCAGGCGCATTGTACAAAATTTACCAGACTTATCATATATGCTACGTTAGGTTGCTATGACCAGTAGTTCTTCATGTACTTGGATACCCTTATGGATTTAATAATAACGACAATCAATTGGAAGAGACGAGGTAGGGTGACTTTTGACGACTTTAGGGGTTATATCAGAGCGTCACATTTGGAGTAAACAAAAAACGGTCACTTTCTTGGGTAGTAAATATCATTACGGGCGTTTCAAGGTCTCGGGATAAGAGAAGACCTTTCTGTACCATTCAATGTACATTATATGGATCACAACATTCCAAAGCAGTTGAGAGGCGAGAAAATGAACTAACGATACGAATTCATCGGCATACTAACTTGAGATTTTCAAACTAAACCAACTAAAGCATAGTCTTATCGAAGAGCCATGACATTCCGATGACTCGAGCCGTCTCAAGGACCCGAGACTGGAAGTGTTGCATAAGCCACTCTATTGAGGCTCAATGCAACTGTTTTGCATATTTTAGCCGCCCCCTTGTTTTACATAGGTACACGGGCGTTAGCGTTACTGACTTTCCTTAGCAGGCTCTCATTAATTATAGGGTTCAACGAATAGCCTACGCCTGGAATGTGCCAGCCTCTCCCGACTACTACTTCTAGGCTCTTACGACAACCTCGACATAAAACTACAACGTCGCACTTCGCCTAGTCGGCCCAGGCCAGGGTACAAGACATGTAAGTAAGTGCATCCGGAATATATAGGCCGCTCTGCAATTTTGAGAAGAAAAAATGGGCGAGGTCGACCTCATTCTCCCCAGTTACATTCTCTTCACCTTCGCTGCCATCAGTACGGACTCCATTCCACGACATGGCCAGGACACGCCTTTTGCTGTCACGTCCTGCCTCTTCAATTATTTTCGGATGAAAAGCTTCACGATGATTTACGTTTATACTTATATATATAGAACTTTCTTTGTTTCTTATGATTGCTGGTAACATCCCTTCGCTTGAAATCAATTATGATACCCCAATAAGCATTGATTCATTTCATCCGTCACTCATTTATTACACCGCTTCGAAGTCGAGCAGCTGGCCGGCCCTGCTGTTATCTAGACGGCATCCACATGGCGCGTAAGAATACCAATGAAGATGAGGCTTCGTTGGTGGGCGACAACCATGCAAGATTACTTTACAACTCTCTCGACCAATACAACGGGGAACAAAAACGAAGGCGACGGCCCTCGGTTCTTCTCGCCGCACTCTTAGTACTTTTTCTATCATCAGCAGCGGGCATCACCATCGCCGTGGTGTTGATGTTACAACCAATTGAAGTTCAATCAGCGTGCATCGCTCGCGATCTCGTCTTATTCGCGTCCAGCATAGCTATGCTATATATTTGTATTCATATTAGGGGATCAAGGAGGAATTATATCAGAAAAGGACCCGGTCCACCACAGACATATGGTAATTATCTCCATGCTAGCGCACTTCTCTTCGCGAGGCTAGGAATTGCTGTATGGGTTGCTGCTCTGGTCGCAACGAACGTTATGATCGCCAAGGTAACCACCTCAGTTGGAATTGCGAAGGTTGCGCCATATTTGGACTTGGCGGTTTGTATTTTAGCTATGTGAGGGTCTCCTGCGGTTGCTCAAAATCATGACTAACTTCAAACATAGACCCTCATTCATTGCGATATCAGCTACAATCGAAAGCAACTCAACGCCTTTCGCAACAAAAGGATTATCTAGAAATTCATTTCTTAGTAGCAGTAGCAGCAAGTTTTCGGACGATCTCACTGCAGATCTAAGCGTTTCACGTAGAGCTTCTCTACAGCGAAAGGAGAGCACAAATGCATCCATAATGACAGTACCAACGGCAGAGATCTTCCGGCTCGGGAGCTCAGGGGCTGCAGCAAGAAACCCACAACCTCTAGTAATAAATACCGACGAGCTATCATATGATCGGACGGAACTTATGGCGAATTCTCCTATCGGAGCAACTCATTATATACCTACAATCATAGGAACCATTCCATCGTCGCTAATTCCAACAATGCCGAAGTTACCATTGACATTTTCGGAGCCTCCGCCAAAACCCGTGTATATTCCTGGCGGATGGCGAACGGAGTGGAACAATACATATGCGGATCAAGTCGGTCCCCAAATGATCACCGAACCGTCTATAGACAACTCGACTACGGATCATACCCCATACTATTCTTCCTCTTACCCCGCCTCATCCGCAGACACTTCTCGCTCGTCAACTCCATCCAAGATATCCAATGGGTCCGGCAGGACGCATCGAGTGACACCGAGCACCAGTATCGCAAGCAGTTCTCAGCGGTCTCGGTTATCTACGGTCAGATACGCTGCTCAACCAGAAATCGCCATACGGCAAGCAATCAGGGTTATCAGGAACCCCAATTATTCGCCCCCGACGGTGATCGCAGGCGGAGATCCGAACCGGGAGGTAGCAATCAGGCCACCAGAGCCGGTCGCGATGCCAAGGAATTGTCAACAAGTTCAGGACGTGCCCCCACCACCGTCCTTACAGCGCAAACCTTCCAATTTTTCTCGTCCCTTGCTACCATCGACGGATTCGGACTCGGATTCTGCTGTTGTTATGAATATACCCGAAACAATTAGGCAGGAATTGCCAAGGGAATGAATTGATTAGATGAAGATACTATTAATGTACCTAGTATTATGAAGATTTTTTGAGCATGGCGTATTCATAGTTCATTAGTCATTGAAGCGGTCTATCTTTTTACCTTCCACCCGCTATATCCTAAGCATCAAGCTTGGTGCGATGAAACAATCAAGAACGGATCGAATGGAATACTACATGTCAAGAAAATGGCACCTCCTAGCCATCTACTGATGACTCGGCGGCTTTAGCTCCTGCTGTAGCCCTACGTCTCAAGCCACGCGTAGAAGGTACACTCCTAATTGCTTCGACATCAACGCCGCTTCGCCCCGCTGAATTAAGGCGCTTGTACTCCTTCCGCCGTCGTTCATTTTCTTCACGAACTTCGACGGGATCGTATCCACAAGTTCTGGGGGCTTCTTCCCAATAATCTTCGATTCCTCGTTCAACTGCAAAGTCTGTGATTGACCGAACATGACCGTTGACCTCACGTACAAACGAGACATCAGCTCCAGCATCGATAGTCAAAATCAATAGACGCAGGGTTACTTCGGCTGCTTCATCGGCTTCTTCCACTTCAATTGAGGCGCCTTTGGTGTTGCCATCATGAAAACTGGCATTGTCCCCTTCGCCCTGTCCCCATTCAAAGCCTGCCGCCAAACGCGACAGAACCTCAATGGCGCATTCTAGGAGCACCAACTCCTCCACTATCGCATTAAAATCAGCGCCAATCTTCAAGTGAAGTTCTAAATGAAATTCAAAGATAGAAATATCACTCCGAAAAGCGCGACAGCTGCTAGGCCACCATGCGAACGGCCCGGAGAAAGATCCAAAATTTCGGAGCATCTCGTACGTCCGGATTTGATCCTCGCCAACCGGATCTGATTCTGTGCAGTACTTTCGAAGACATTTTACTGCATAATCATCAAGAATATGCTATACGCCGTTAACAAATATCAGGCCTCAAGAGTTTTCCACTTACCTCAAGGAGATAGTTGCCCCCTTTATCGCAATCTCTCACACTAACCTCGCCATTCTCCAATATATGCTGCAATACATCCACATCATCGTTCTCTATTGCCTTCCAGACCGGTGCAAGAGGAAGCACCCTAGATATCGAGATGCGCGGGCAGATGTTATAATAACCGGCATCATCTGGGGCGTTCGTATACGATAGAGACAACCCTATAGATACGAAGCATCTGGGTATAATATCAATGTTGATGGAAAAGAATGGCGTGGAGTGAGGGGTCCAGGTTTGGCGACGCCTCAACCGTACAACATGTAACCTAATTATCGCCCACCGTAGGGAAATGAACCCGCACTTTTGGAACATTCGTACCATACTCGGTCTTGTTGTTTGGCCCCGATATTCCTGTCCCATGATTTCTAGATTCGGTTTTGACGCTTGCGTTTGCGTCTTTCCGTTCTCTCGGGCAGCGCAAAATCCGTCGCTGTGGGCTTGCGATCCAAATTGGGTACTGGAATTATCAATTTTACGTCTCGTACCATTATCCATGCCAGGATACATCGTCTCAACGGTCTACATCACGCAGATCCTTACCATCCTCGCGAGTGCATCCTCGTCGACGACTGAAACCTTGTTCGTGTGCCGTGATGATTGGGATAGGGTGCCTGGGGTCGCGCCTATTAACAATGCTTTAAATACCTCTAATTGCTGTTGAGATATATGTTCTAAAGCCGCCATCAGACCGGAGGCATGTTGCGGAGACTCGTTTACTATTGTTCTCTGCAATCAGGTCATTTCTTCGCTTGCGACCTTGAGATTTCCCAGGCTATTCCGCAATTTAAGGCCGTTCCGACTAGACATACAAATTTAGTAAGAAGCCACTTTCCCATCAGATCAATACCGATTCTTACTTATTAATGATGCTTAATGCCAATGTAGTACTGCTTTTACATTGTTCAAGTCTGACTGTGGCGCTCTTGACTGTCTTCCTATTGAAGACGAAGCGGAATTTTTCAGCAAACCCGGGTGAGAGATCCGGCGGTAGCCATCCGCGAATGGATTCCATGCTCTCGTGAAAATGGTAGAAATTTTTCACGAGCATGTCCGGTAGCACTTCGCCCTGTAGTGAAGTTGGCGTGTCTTGGAACTCGCGAGTGTAGATGATTAGATTTCGCATTAACGAATCCGTATTATCAATTATTAGAGAACCGTGTTACTATCAGCCGGATATCATATTACAACAACAAAGTTCCTTACCATCACGAATATGTCTGATATCATCTTTCGCATCTTTCAATTCGTTAATGAAGTTGGAGATATTACGACATAATAATAGGGCAACGTCTCCAAGCTGAATAACGTTTATCGTTGCACCTCCCGCTGCCACCGCTGCTTCGGCCATGCTGATACTTCTTGGGAGTTATCCTACATGGGGATCGATTCTAGAGGGCAGCCTCTTTGGAAATTTGAGATATAAAGCACAGCTGACCTCTATTGAATTACTATTTATATTCTGAACCGTGTTGTATAGCCTTTTACAGAACTCTAATCTATTCACCCCCTTTACGAAGTTGATGGCTAAATTTAGGTAGGTGGGTGGTATTGGTGTGACAATCTCACGTTGTAGTCTTGGAGTTACGATGTCTCCTCTTCAGCTAAGTTGATGAATTCTTGAAGCAGCATTTTAAGCATTATTATCAGACTCATAATACCTGGAAACAATCTGGTTACGCGCATGGCACCTAAGCAGATCATGTGGGAGTTTCATGGTATTAACTTTTGCAGTGAAGCCATGACTTGCTAACTACAGGCGTTTACCCCATGCTATTTCATGTATCACAATGGCAACACCACCCACTAGCATTGATAATTCGTAATAATCTACCTAGGTATTAATTAATATATTTTAGCTGGAGAATTCGGGGCGGCTCTTTGCGAGGTGCCACACACGATGCTATATGCGCATACCTGTTTATATTAGGAAGACCTTAGGATCTATATTCTCATCCTTATTCAGCGCCCCGTCAATTATGTCGAATGTTTATCTAAAGCTCAGGTTCCTATCGAATTTGTAACAAAAGAACCGAAATACATAGCTGGGGAGAGCTGTCGAATTTGAATATACTCTACCAGTATACTAAAATAATAGAAAGATATTATTGGACTTATGAGTATCGCAAGAAACTTAGAGGTGCTTACATCATCAGATGCCCCTTGAATTGTATAATATACTTAGAAGACGGGACGGCATGGATTAGTCACTGCTTTAATTCAAGATGTCCCCCAACTGATACGGGGCTGAAGAGCTCGATAACAGCTATTGGTAGCCGCATGATCCTAGGATAAGGATATCTAGGTACCGTAACCATCAAGCCCTTTGTCGTTCCTTATATCACCTCTGCCAAATGGGATCAGCTACCGGAATACCTCGCCACCAACATCCGCTAAAAGACCAACAGAAACCCAGAGCAAGCCGCTCAAGTACACAAGCCTTAGGATGATGCGGACTTACGCACTTACCGAGCCTACTGAATGGATTTGACATCTCCTTTGATGCCCTCCGCATCGTGGCTGAGCGTGATAGGGCCGCCGCGGAGGTTGCGGTAATGGAACACGGGCCCTCGGAATTCATGTATGGAAATAATGTCATGATACCCTTTATACTCGATAGGTATGGGAATATTACGGACTTGAGATGCGTCGGGACTAAAAATGGCTTCATTGGATGTAAGAGAACTTAATCGTAAGGACCGTGGCTAAGATGACGAGGTTTGATGGAAGCCTGGTGATGTTGGGCACGAGCGATGTGTGTTGATCCACTCTTAGTCTGGGTGACGGAGCGTTAGAAGCAGTGTAAGAAATACCTTGACGAGGTATGTGTACTTAAGTACCGTGTCGAAGTAAAATTATTTGGTTTTGTTTTTATATTCTTCGAGCGAGAAGTACTCCGGCAATTGATGAAACCGTATGCTCTCTAGGTATAGTGATGATGTCGTTGTGAAATGGGACCTTGGAATATCATCTTCATCTACAAAAAAATCTTCACCGATATGCTAAACAACCTTGGAAGACCCCGATGGAAACAGTAGGGTTTCATCACGTCTGTATTTAAGACGTCACTCGCTCATGTATTGATTTAGTTTAGATTCTGCTTTTTTCAGAAATTTGTAAATAAGCAGAAGATAAAATATCTTGTCCTTAGTCCCAACGGTACTCTAGATTAAAATGCACAAATTATTTAAGAACACTTGTGTGAAGACAGCTGAAAAGGGGCTGGATCGAACCTCTCACCGAGTACATGACATAGATTAATTGGGGTCTGTCCTAGGCTGTCCGCCTAGATACTCGTGTACCTAGTATGTATTCGTATATGTATGATACAAACATCATGGCCTAATAGTCTCCACATAGGTAGTGTCCGGTATTCTCCACGGCTTTGCTTGGATTCTCACATTAGCGTGTTGCCCCCGGTGGGGATTCTGTGATGATAAAGCGTGGAATTGTTGGATGGTAGATGACTAAAGGAACGTAATTATCCTTTTCCTTAAGCCATGCCGGAAGCCAACCGAAAAGTAGTTTAAGGGATCATGATCGACAACGCCTCCTTTCGCTGTTTTCGTCCGATGATGTGAGCATATAATAAGATAATACACTTTGATATTCGTCAGTCCATGGGACCAGTAGGGGTTTTAGGACATAGGCGGCTCGAGTGGACTTACTCTTTCTGGTACTCCGGATTAAGGCCCAACGTCAGTCAAATAAGGCAGTAACGGGGTGACATAACCAATCCCAGATACAAGGCCTCATGCTGAAGAAGCTACGATTACCTGAGAATCTGGTTTCCTTTTATAACTCCAATGTTGATTTGCTCAATCCATTCTGTCCTTAATCACGTAGCGAATAAATTCAATTTGATGCACTTTCTTAGTTGTGGTGTTGACGAGTTGATCGCGACGAATGTGGATTTTCACTTGCCGTTCCATGATCGTGGCGGTACTGGACCCTAGGCAAAGCCAAGGACAGGCATCTTCTATATGGAAGAGCGATTGCATCGGCGACTCGTCAACTAGGCCTCCAAGGGGTGGTCGCCGGATGGCCGGGCGGCTAGTCATTCGGATCATAGAGAAGCTTGGCTCAAACTAGCCTGAGTAGGCTCTATTCAACCATTCCCAACCAAGCGCCACTTGCATCATCAGGAATATGTTCTTTCCATCTCACAACTAGGCGACTTCCAATTTGCGCAAGAGTAAGCATCGAGGGTCTTGTCTGATAATATCACCATAGAATATAGAAATATGGTTGAGTCTGAGCGAGATTCTAGACCAACTACCGAGAGATCACCGTCATCTCGGATTATTCGCGAACGCGTCGCTGCGACCTTTTCGTGGACCTGTCTAGGCTTGAGCAACATCAAAATTCGGTCTATCCAGCCTATTTGAGTGGTCAAGGAAGAAGTAGGAAGGCTCTGCTTGATCTGAACCAACAAGGCATTCTCTAGGGCTCATCCGCTACAATGCTTTGCTCTCCAATAGGCCAAAAGATGTGGTCGCGTTGCATGCGGCCTAGTCGCCTTTCGGTTCCCAATGCACCATAGGATATGCCATGCGTATAGCACTCATTGGTTATCCCTTGAGATCATGGCGGCCGTGACGGAAAAGGCAAGCACGTCAGACCGTGGGGTCCCTCCAATGAAGGTTACCTCAAGTGAGATGAATATGATCCTCAAAGTCAGTTCATCCTGAGTTCAGTCTTAAACCCGATACGAGTCTCGGTGCTTCAATGAGAATCGCAGTTTGCGAAGAGCAAATGAGCTGGAAAACGCTTGTTCATTCATTTGCTAGCCGTTGTTCTTAGCTAGCATAGCCCCATGATTAGAAGATCTTCGAACCCGACGATACGTGCTTCGATAGTATGGGACTGAGACGAGCCTTATGCTGGTCGATTTCCCCAAAGGCATCCTTTGAGAAATATGAAAGGCTTTGTCTTAGAATCCGGCATATCCTGGCAAATGGTTCGTGGTTTTTCCACTCAACGCGATGATGATAGGCAATGAGAATAGAGGGGGAAAGGCCAGTTCTTTATGGACGCGAAAAGCGCGGACCCCTGCGTTCAAATCTTGCGCGTGGAAACACTTCGAGTCCCACAAAGGCGCGATGGATTTGGTTTGGATCCATTTTCTTTTGGTCCGTCCCCTTTACCGTCCACCCCTAAAGGTGGCCTTGGCTGAAATTCAGACGCGACAATTGGTCCCTTTTAAGTGCATCGTAGATTCAAACCACTTTCGGACACTGCCTTGGTGAGACCCGTCTCAACGCTTTGAATCACACAGAGACTGAGAGAGCAAATCAGAGATCCGGACAGGAGAATTGCATGAGAGACATTCACTAGAATTCCCTGCAGCACTTGGTCCCGGACCAGTCAAATACGACACAGCCCTTGCACCGATCCACCTCAAACCTGCAGGTAATGAGCTACATGTACTGTATGTAGGCCTGCCCCTATTTCTGATTGGAAGACCTTCCCCATTTACACCAACACCACGCGTCGGTAACACGACCAAAAGAAAAACCCACACCCTTGGCTCCCTACCTGAGGTACTAATGTACGGTATGTACGCTGTGTATTAGCATGCTGCAGCCCACCAAACCTGTTTGAAAGCTGAGGGCGCGAGCATCAATCAATTCTTTTCCTCTGTATCATATCTTAATTTCCTCGCATATCTTCCTACGTCCTGCAGCAGTCCCTCCCTCTCATCCATCCACTCAGGCGTCTTCCAGTCCCTAGTCCCATTAATTCTCCTCTTCTCCTCCTGAACTAGTGCACAAGCGCTTCCTGATTCCAGCTTGGCCTGATAATCTCGACTTGCAGCATCCAAGACAATTGCCCTTCCGCGTCAATCCTTCTACTCCATATCTGGGCCTCTACCGGCGCGACCTACCCTTACCAAGGCGACACCCGAGAGGCAATAAGACTTGTCAATTCCCACCCAACACACTCCCTCGCCCACTTTTCCTCCTTTCAATACTCCTATACTGGACAGATCGAGATTCTGTTTGCTGCTGCATCCAGCTTGATTATATACGATTGTCCACGACGCAAGAAAAATAATAATAAATAAACAATCGTGACAATCGACTTCACAATTGCTTTAGGTATTAATTGTTCCGGGCGAACCCTTACCTCGTCATAATTCACCGGCACACTACGATCGATCCCCATCAAATCGATCTTGGTTACCCAGGACCTAATTGACTTGGAACCACCATTTTGTGGTTCAATTGGGCATTTTGGGGATCCTTTTGCAACACCTAAGTCCACGTCACAACTTACAACACAACACAATGGCTGCTGTCACTCGCCAACCGTTCGCACCTCTTAACGAGACACGCCTACAGGCGTTGACTAGCCTAAAAAACCGACAAAATGGTAAGTTATGGAAGAGATCTGACGTGCTTGGAATATTCCGAATGTTTACAACTGCATGATATTCTCATGCGACTGCCCGATACCACCAAACATCAATCAATTCTTACACCTGCAGCATGCATAATATTTTTATTTTGTCATTTCAATTGCTAAACAATCTGCAGCCATCCCGAACTCTCCCGCGAAGCGAAAAGCCGCCGACACTTTAGATGCGGATGATTTTGAGAACGTTGACCCGGTACTCTTTTCTAAGCGATCAAAGGGTTCCGACAATCTCTCGCCTTCCAAGGATTCCTTCATCAAGCCATCATCCTTTATCCTCACGAAGTCTGTCAGCTCCAGCGATGTTCCTCTCGCCACTCAACCGAAGCCAGTTGTCCCACGTCCGCGATCAGTACTCAACCCCAAGTCACCTACCAACAGGATCAACACCAGCATAACCAAGTCTTCGACTCCTCTCTCAGCACCCGCTGGTCGCTCACCTACCCGCAGCAAGCGCTCCGGCATCCTCTCCTCGCGCCGACGCACTAACGGTGCATTCTCGCGCGTAGACCCGCCATCCTATGGTGCCTCATCATCGACTCCGTTTTCCCTGGACGCCGCTCTTAAGGGGACGATCGCGACCTACGGAAGTCGCAATGGCCCACTATCCGCCTCCAGGTCGTCATCATCCAGCTCTTTGGGCCTGGATGACTTACACAAGGGTGAGATGAAGGAATCCTGGTTCTTTGATATCCACGAGGATACACCGGAGCAGGAGATGACGAATCTCTTGCAGCACGGCACTTGTGTCCTTGACATTAGCTCTGATGAGGAGAGCGAGAGCCGTCGACAGCGTGAGAATGCCGAGGGCAAGGAGAATATCCCGCCCGTTGATGATGTTTCGCAGACTTCGCGCCCACGTGCGGCTCGTTTGGTCTCGGATGATGAGATGGTGTTTGAGAAGGAGCGTAACCCGCTTGGTGAGATGGATGTTCGAGATTACTATTCTGAGGGTCTCGATGCGAACTCCATCGTTATCGTTCCTGGTGATGAGGACGAGGAGGAGCAGTCCCAGAAGCAAGAGGCGCAGCAAGTCGCCGGTGACGTACCTGCTGAGGAGTGTGTCGCTGTTCTACAGTCTGTCACAGAAGAGGCAGCGAAGTCGGTCGACGAGTTGATGCAAAAGACCGAAGAACCTGTTCCTTGCGCCTCTCTACTTGAGCCGATGGAGGGCACAGGTGAGAGCTTCGAGGTATGGGAGAGCGGAAGCGCAAAGGATGAGGCGGAGACCGTTACAGTTGAGGGGACAGCATGCTAATAGGGACATGGACATACTCTGCGCGTTTCTGATTCTCTCGGACTGGTTAATTTTCCTCGGTCCTCTAATTCCTAGATAGTACTATAGCCTGCAGGAGGCGGAGTCACGGGCGTTACGGACTACGGCCATCAAGGCATAGGGAAAGCAAGGGGATACGGTTAATGGTAAGGGATCGGGACCGGCTATTTGTATTGCTTTTACTGCCTGTACACGTTTTACTTGTTTGAGTCTTTTTCTTCAGGACCTGTGGCCTCGGCTTGAGGCGGTTCTGAATACACGCTCTGATCGTCGCTTGGAGCACTTGTGCCCGGTTGGGTACTATTATTGCTGTGGCTATTGAGGATCATGGCAAAGATGGCGACAAACCGAATGTAGTCTTGACAACGAACTCGACCTAGGTAGCTTACTTCGGTACCAATACATATGTTGCTTGTAGAAGTTGGTTTTCGTGAATGTCTAAGACAAGTGAGATTGAATGAATTGGTAGGTTCTAACAATAACCGTTTGTATTCGGTGGGCGCTTAATGAGAACAATCCAATTCATATCCACCACTACACTAAACTAGAGAACGTTGCCTCGAATGGCGGCGGAAGATGAAACACAAGGGATAAAACGACGCATTTAATATATTCACAGTAAATCATTATCTAATTGAATTGTCTAAATTCGTAAGTATTTAGGTTTCATTAAATTATATGAATACTTACAATGAAAAGAAAAGAAACAATTCAAACAGGATTTAAACTCGGAGTTCGTGGGGATACACAGCAAGCCTAAGAACCTTGAATTCGAGCATGTTTTTCAATCTTACCAATAGGATCACCCGAGAGGTACCTAGGACTAAGGTCGTGGAACCTTACTGGGTACCCCGTATGCGGGGCAAAATCTCACCCCACTCAACACTAAAAAAAAGTCGCGATACTTTAGTACATTCGGAGACAACATCTTTACATCATTCGATATCACATCATATCTCAGGGGTTTAAAAGGACCGAATTGACGACCTGCTTTATATGAATGATTCATTGAATGTCTAATCATATCCAATTGGTACTTGCATGAGGACAATTCCTCTTATAAAGCAGCAATTGGTTCTCAAATCCTCGCTTATTAGCCATTGACAGACGTCATACTCAATACTCATCATTCCTTAATACTCTACACCCCTTGTACGCCATCAGTAGAAACTGGGCTCACACCCAATGGCCTCTATAAACGACCTCGCGACTGCCGCGACTATAGCATCATCAGCCGTCGCGCTACAATCATCACCGGATAGTAATCAAGAAAGCCCTCGTCCTGCAGAATCTTCTACTGCAGCCCCTACCACAACCACCACTACCACATCCCCTCCCCCTCCAGATCTAACCCAGACCGAAGTAGCAGCTCTACTCGCCGCCACAGGGTCACGCCCCACAACCGCGAAAACAGACGCGGATGACACCAAAGACGGCGACTCAATCACCGTCGCGACAGGCGCGCCACCAGTCCTAGCCCCGCCTCAAATCGCGCCACCACAGAGCGCGTCCCAAGCACAAGCGCAGATTCCGGCACCCCCTCCACCTGCAGCCCCTCGTGCCGCGTCTGCTGAGCCCAAAGATGAGAACGGGGGGTTAGAAGGTAGTAGTAAGGGAACTGCTACCAGTGATGGAGACGCAATGGATGGCGTAGAGGAAACGAGCAAGGAGAGGACGAAACCGGTCCGTGGCGCGCTGGTCGTGTTTGAGGGCATGGATCGTGCGGGGAAGACGACACAGGCGAAGTTGTTGCAGCAGAGGTGTGTCGAGAGTGGGAGGGAGGTTCGGTTTATGCGGTTTCCTGGTAAGTTGCCTATGTGCGAGGGGTGATGTGATGCTAATGATATATGCAGATAGGACAACGCCTATAGGTCGCATGATCGATGCGTACCTTAAGGGTGAGACGGAGGTCGAGGATCATGTTATTCACTTGCTATTTAGTGCGAATAGGTGGGAGGCTGTGTAAGTTTTTCTCTTTTTATAACACCCTGAGAAACTACGCGCTTCTGACTCGTTACACAGCAAGAAAATCAAGACGGAGCTCGAAGCCGGTCACACTATTATCTGCGATCGCTTCTACCACAGCGGCATCGTATACAGCGCTGCGAAGGAGATTAAAGACCTATCTCTATCCTGGGCTAAGGCGCCTGAGGTCGGCTTACCCCGCCCAGATATGGTATTGTTCCTAGATTTAGAAGAGGAAGTTGCGCGGAAGCGCGGCGGTTGGGGTGGTGAGGTATATGAGAAGGGCGAGATGCAACGTCGCGTCAGGGACTTATTCTGGGGCCTTAGTATGGGTGACCTTGGTAGTGCCGGGGTGAACAGCAGTGCTAAAGCAATGAGGAGACGAACTGACGGAGAAAGATTTGGGAACGGACTAAATGACACTAATGAGGAGGGTGAGTTTAGGCAGGAGGAAGAAGATATCCAGATTGTGGATGCGAACCTCGACGTCGAGAGTTTATCTGAGAAGGTGTGGGAACACGTTTTACCTAGGTTAGAGGCGGTTGAAAGGGGAGAGGTTGGAAAGACGGTGAGGATAGTGCGGTAAATCTATACCTCCACAGCGTTGAAAATAACACAGCATGATAAGTAATCCTCATTCTTATATATATCACTAATGAAGAGATGAGAGAAATAATCATGATTGGATGACCTTTTTGGTATACCCCCTCCGCCGGTTGAACCTATACGAGTGGAAACGAGACTCGGTTTGTATCCCCGAATAACCTCATGTACTCACTACGATGATCAGGGCCAGGACGCGTTTTCTGCAGCTTCAAGTTCACAGAGGAAATTTTATAGAAGAAAGTTAGAGCGAAGGTGTGTGCATTTCCGTAGGCCGTTGTAGTGCTAACGATGAGCTAAAAGCTCATAAGTGTTGATCTACCTACAGTATAATATTAAGGGGATCTCACCCCTCCCTATCCTTTGAACCTCGCAAGAGCCATTCATATTACACCTTTTTCATACCCCTCTGTCCGTTCAAACCCTGCACCTTTCCAGCCTCCCATGATTCCCTAGCCCTCACTCAACAATGATAACCTTGTGCTTGTAGGGGGCATGGTAGTGGTGAATAACAACTTGAGCGGCCTCACCCTCATAATATTCAGAGTACGCGAAGACGATATCGTCAAGTGGATTTGGAACAATGCGATCCTTGAGCTCGAAGTCGGAGATAAGCGATCCGCCAAAGCTGATAAAGGCAAATCCGAAGAGGCCAGCAAGGGGACCTACCCCTTCAATAGGACGCATGCGAGCCATGAAGTACGCGAAGATCTCCACGTGCTTGATGAGACGAGCCTGCTCCCACTCGAGTTGCCAATCGGCTCGGAAGGCGATCTGGATGAAAGGGCGATCGCGCAAAGTAATCTGATAGACGGACTCGACCTACGGGTCCCAGTATGAGGTCACTAAACACTTGAACCAGGCCTTGTCGCTGTAGTATTGAAAGCCGAGGGCGAACAAGTACTCCTCGTAGTCGCGTTCTTGGGTCTCCTCTCTCATGGGGAAGTCGGTGGTGGTCCCTTCGTGCCAGACCGGTTCACGAAAAATTGGGTTGGCCGAGGGGACGGTGAGGCTCAGCTCCTGGACGTTGAAATTGAGGATTTCTTCAAAGACCTCCTGTTCGTCTTCGTATGGCTTGGGTAGTGGGGTGTCGGTTAAAATGCTAGTTGACTCGCTATCCAGACTCGAATATGCTGAATGGAAATCATCGCCCTCGTCACTTATGCGCGATAGCTCTTCCTGTTCTAGGAAACTCTTGGTGGCAACGGTGACCTCGCTTTCGTTGGTCTGGTTGGTGGGTGGAAGGACCTCAGACAGAGGTCTGATAATCCAGTCAGTCATGGTTGCTGTGTCGAAGGAATAGAGTGTTGGGGGTGAGTCTTCTAGGCTGGACCCCGAAATGCGGAGGGTGCGCGAACGGCGCGAACGGCGGAAACAGCAGAGGCGGCAGAAACGGCGGGAAATTTCGGGCCTGCCTTACGGTAAAATGCTACAATTAGTTTATTCATTGCTCATGTGCAGGATTGGTTTGCTACCTGGTAGATAGCTGACAGACAGATTCGAATAGATACATACCTATACACTATAGATTCATACACTGTCGAATCTAAGCGCTATGATATTTTGAACATTTGAATGGAATAGGATCATGCTGGGTACATATTCTCTTTTTTTGCGGTCCTTTGTTGGTAGTTGGTGCGATGGTATCGTGGGGGGCTGCTGGAGTGATCTATTCAGTGTACATAAATACTACTTGGCGAGCCCTGTGTAGGCTAGCAATCCCCGTCAAGTCGTTGGTACTTGTTGCAGAGGATCACGTCGTCAGAACCTCATTTGTCGTTTCTTTTTGGGATGATGACTGCTGTGATGTTGTTTATGTAACTGGGTTAGAGGAGAGCTTTCTAAAGTCGACCTGGCTACCAAGACCAATGTTTTTGAACAGGATGATCAGCATAAACGTATCAATGATGTGTTAATTCTTTCGACCACATAATATTCATTGGTCTCATGTTTGTCGAGGATTTAGGTGTAAACAAGCATACCCTTCAGTAAGAATAGGGACAGTCAATAAAGCATGGGCAACGCTTTGGTAAGAAAGAAAAATCTTAGATAAACGCTCCGGAGACCTTACACTATGATGTCGCTTGGGTGATTAATATATCACTGCGTGGAAACTGCACGTTAAGGAGGTAAACGCGTGTCACTTCCTAATATCATCGCCCCTCACGATGCAAGCGGGATAGAACTAGGCCACAAAACTAAGACCCGTAAAACACTTTAGAATAAAATATCCATGCTTTCATAGTTCTTGTAGAAAATACAATTTGTTTTGCTTCAGCCTGCTGAAGCTTCATTAATTCGAACTCCCCTCGTCGGACTGGTATGTAGCCCCCTCTGACTGTTCCGCTTTGAATACTACTAACGGCTGATATGCGGACAGCATTTCGAAGGACAAACTAAGAAAACCGCATCATATTCTACCTGCAGACGCCAAAATCGAACATTTGAAGCTCTTTGCTGCTTTTCAATACCTTCTACCATCACCTCTTACGACCTTGCCTACACCCAGCCACTCAAGCCCGCTAGGTCGACAAGATGCCTAAGAAGAAGCTCGTGACCGAGAAGCAGATGCGTGAGGATGAGCAACTCCTCTACAAGCTATCTAAGAAGATCCGAGAGCTCCGTATCGAGACCGAGATGTCGCGGGTAGCGCATAGACTATACCTCCGACGAATCGCCCGATTCTGCGCCGAACAAGAGGAGGCAGAAGCACAGAAGCGAGTTGAGGCCAAGGCCCAGGCCGACGGAGAGCAGTCAGCCCAGAATGCCGCCGCCAAGCCGACAATCCCGAGAAGCTGTGAGCATTGCAGCCTCAGCAATCTTCGCATCAGCTCCCAGTGCCTTGAGAACGGTGGATGCACCAACAACTCTACCTAGAATTCTACACTACTCGCCAGAACTTGGGGATGGACATCCAAAGTGGCTACTGAAAGAAATCGGTGAATAGGAAGAAAAAGGGTTTAAGGGCAGATTTGGAATTGAGGACTTCTCTATGGTAGATGTAGATACGCATACAACCTCTTCGGTTGTCTTGATACGCTACACATAAACTACCGGCACAATCGATCGGGTTTAAGAAGGCAATAATAAAGGAAATCCTTGTTACTGTTTCTGTTTTCCTATCTGCGTGAGACCCGTCAACAACGTAAGCCGGAAAAAAAAAAGAGTGAGCCATAGAGAAAAATAAGTCAGCCGAATTATGAATATTAGGAAATAATTTCCCATATTTGCCCAACTCTTCCAATACCCGTAAACATCCCATATAAATCGAAATCTAACCCCCCGAATCCGTCGTTACCTTCGCTTCCTCCGTGGTAGAGTATGTGAAACACTATGGACAAGGAATTTATGCCCGCCATCGTCGGGCTTGGTGAGGTGCCATGTAGCCTAATGCCAAAGACGAGGCTGGCGCTGGTGGTGGAGGCGGGACTGCAGCGGAAGCTGCGGTTGTAGGCGCGGGCGCTGTATGGTTGGCCATTTGTGAGACTACGACAGTCTCATGAACCATAGGAGGGGCAACCGATGTGCTGTTCAGATGCTGCATAACTACCGATGTTTCGTGGACCATGGGAGGAACCACAATCGTCTCGTGGACTGCTGGAGGCGGTGTTTCGTGGACGATAGGGATGATGACCTCGGTTTGGTGGCAAGCTTCTATCGCTTCGGTGACGGTAACATGTATCACTTCGGAAACAGTCATGACATGCGGTGGTAAGGTAACATGGACTGTTTCGGTCACAGCCTGGGTAACGTGAACTATTTCCTTGATCGTCTCCGGTGGTAATGATATGTGAACCGTCTCGGTGAGCACCGATGTCTGTAGTTCGTTCTGAACTTCAGTCTTGGTAAGAGCGACCGTCTCGAGCTGGTGCGAAACTTCGGTCTTGGTGACAGCTATTGTTTCGAGGATCGATTTAACCTCTGTGACCGGGACACTGACAGCAACGCTTTCTTTTACCGTTACGGGAACTGTGACGGCTACAGATTCCTTAACTGTCACCGGGACGTTCACGTGTACCGTCTCTTTAGCTGTCTCCGTCTTCAACTCGGTGACCGGAACACTAACTTGCAACGTCTCCTTCAGTGTCTCCTTCAAGGTTTCCACTGACGTAACGGCGATGCTTTCCTTAACCGTTTCCTTGACTGTTTCTAGCTTCGTCACAGGTACGCTTACGGCGACGGTTTCCTTCACTGTCTGTACCTGTGTCACGGGAATGCTGACATGAACCGTCTCCTTGACAGTCTCTACCTGCGTAACAGGTACACTGACATGTAAGGTTTCCTTCACAGTTTCCACCTTCGTAACTGGAACGCTGACTTGGACTGTCTCCTTTACAGTCTGTATTTGTGTGACGGGCACGCTGATATGTACTGTTTCCTTCACAGTCTGGGGAGGTAGGGTTTCCTTAACGGTCTCCTTGACAGTTTGGGGCGGGAGAGTAACGTGTACGGTCTCGACTTTAGTCTCAAGCTTCGTTTCGAGCTTTGTCTCGAGCTTCGTCTGGATTGCAGTCTGCACTTCTGTCTTGATTTCATGTTTGGTTTCGGTTTGTAATTCGGTTTTCGTGAGGAGCTTCTCTTCGACCTTCGTTACGGGAATGGTGACGTGGACTGTTTCCTTCACTGTCTCCTTGACTGTCTGCGGAGGGAGCGTAATCGATTCCTTCTGGACCTCGGTCTTTGTCATATGAACAACCTCCGTCACCGGGACGTGTATTGTCTCTGGTGGCAAGGTCACATGTAGTGTTTCCTTCACTGTCTCTGGAGGAAGGGTAACGTGCACTGTTTCCTTTACTGTTTCTGGCGGTTGAGTAATGTGTACCGTCTCCTTCACAGTCTCGGGTGGTAATGTAACATGAACAGTTTCCTTCACTGTTTCCGGTGGTAGAGTTACATGCACTGTCTCCTTTACTGTTTCCTTCACTGTCTCCGGCGGCAGTGTCATATGTATCGTCTCCTTTATCGTCTCGGGCGGTAGAGTCTAGAAGAATAGGAGTTAATAAATCTACTGTATTGATATGAGGAATCGCAAAGGCAGCTCACCACATGCACTGTTTCGTGAACGGTCTCGGTAACGATTTCGGCGGCCGGCTCAGTGGCAACCGCTATGGAGACGAGGGCCAGCAGTGCCGGCACATAACCTTTAGAGAAATGCATACTTCGCGAACGAGGAAACCGGAAGAGACTGGATAGGTGAGTTGGATAACGAATGGGAATGATTACAATGGGCAATACTGAAGCACTGAAGCCCCAAAATCTATAGAATTAAACTGGCACAGCCTTCAAAACGAAACGAACGAATGGTGAAAATAGGAAAGGCGTAAATGGAAAAGGAACGGATCGACCGTAAAAGAGAAGCGAAGCAAAAACACACGAACAAGCAAAAAGATCTAGGTCGTGGGAGAGAGAAAGAACGGAAGAGAATCGTCCCTGATCTTCATGGGAGAAGGGAAGAGATGTAGAATACCAAGACCTATGCCCTAGCATATCCATCGTCGTCCCCGGCAAGAATTTTCTAGGCGAGCTACCCAAAATTGATGTCACACATGGTTATTCAGTCGTAAGCAAGGGGCTAGGTGAGGTGACATCTCTGGCAAAGCCTTGTCCTCGATCCAAAGTAGGAGCCATTGCGCAAGGCTATTCCAAGGGGATCCCATATGCAAAGTTGATATCCTGTCTCGCCGAGGAGGATCAAGTGGGGGTACCTGGAGATATTCGACGCGTAGGTATGAGATGGCAAATCTCGTGCCGAGCCAGGTAAACCCACCTCCCTGTCATCTGAAGTTGACTTCGAATATCCAGTTAGCCGGGTTAACGCAGGGGGCAACATGGATACCCAAGAGCTTGAAGAAGCTCAAAGCAGTTTAGATCCATGAGTAAGGTCCCAACGTATAAGCTTATCCAGACTTAATGCGGGCCCGTGCCGGATTCCGAAAGAGTACGGTATACACACTCCTGGTCCGGATCTACCGTATCCGCCCCCTTCGAATGAATTGGCTTCTATTGGCATACTCCACAAAGCCTATATCAGAGACGATAATTTCTGTTTGGATTCTAACAAGCTAGGTATCTCGTGTATCTTTGTAAAAGGCTCATTTGTTCGACGAAGTTCGGGAGCTCTAGGAAGAAAGATATTTTCAACGCATTGAAATTGGATTGCGATCAGTCTGATTGACGGCGGCCCTTGGTCAAGCCGAGAACACGTGCTTGAGGCTCAAGAACAAAGTAGATCAAGCACTGTCCGACTGCTATGCTGCTCTATATTTCAGGGCGTTGAGAAGAGAGCATTGGATGCTTAGGTTTCATAGCGTTCTCCGGTTTCGCTTGGCACTTGTTCCGAGATGAGACCCCTGCAGAGGGAACGTTTGCGGAGCTGTCTGGTACTATGGTACTTCAATGGGCGGTGGAATACTATGAAACAATTAACTGGCAGAAACTTCAACATAAAAGAGTCTAGCCCTTTCTCGTATCTTAGGATTGGTATTAAGGAATATGGTTGTTATGTAAAAGTTGAGGCACCAGACTTAACTGAAGGGGTGCCAAGCGCTGAGATCGAACAGCGCCAAGAGTGGCGCACATACAATCACTGGGGTCTCGCGCAGCTGAAGATGAGCAGGACCAGGCGACCTTGGAGTGCAACAGTCCCTTAGCCTTGGCTCTTTCCGGGAGGATCGTTCCCATGGAATATATCTTCATTGTTGAGTGCCTTACTATCGTTACCGAGTAGTATTTTTACTCAAAGATGAAGGATTCCTGCAGACTTCATCGCAGGATTGTTTCTTTGGTTTCGTCACTAACCATCATCCAAGAAACGGTACCAACTGATGTAAGGATGAGGCCTTCCTATGATAAATTTCATATCGTAGTTTTGGTTCCATTCTCAATGAGACTTCGAGGCACTCTTCGCTAGATGAACCGGCAAGAACGGGATTGGAAAAAAAAAGAAAAAAAAACAGAATCCTTGTCGGTTTATAGATGACTACCGCGATAATCCTAAACTAGAAAAATAGAGACTTTCTATACTGATCTGTTGTTAATCGCGGTAGGTCACGAATTGACGGCTGGAACGCCCTGCGTTTTCTGACTACAACGAAGGGAAAAGGTGCTGAAATGGATTACTGGGCATCTGGGTTAGGTATCAGATACCCACATGAAGGTAGAGCCGAATAAATATCTATCACCACGTGCGATGAGATAGGACGGTACTTACATGTTGGTACCTAAGGGGTCAAGGTCGCTAACACTTTCGTCAATTGCTTCTTTCGGGCTCTGTATCACCTGTAAAAGAACTGTTAGGTGTGTCTTATGCAGCGCGCCGTCCCGTGTAATTCGAGCTCGGGCTGCAAAGGGGCCTGAGCACTACCAATTATATACAATCCGCCGACCCTCCATCACAACAAAGATTTCACACCTACACCAATCTAGCAGGCCGAAGCCATAAGTGATTCGTACATATAGCATAGCGAGACGATCGCAAAACCGATGTTGACGGCCAACTTCGTTGTGATTCACACAACATCATTTACCTCTATCGGAGCTATACCGAACCTATATAGGTATTATCAGTGGAAGATCGCATCTGTCTTCACTGCACAGGGGAGCAAAATGTCGACCAACCCGCAGAATTCAATTCCGCGTCCTTTAGCTCAGTCGGTGTGCTTCACACACACGGTTGCTGCCGAGGATAGCTCAACTGCTGCTAGTAGCGTCCGCCATAATTATATGTCACAAAATACTCTTCTGAGTTCATTCTCGATAATCAGAGGCCTGGCGGCTATCGGTGGACTACGGCAATCGGTACGCATGCCTTTTATGTACCCCTCACAGTAATTTGTTCCCGTAATCACTGCGAGGAATAGGCATATGCTAAGCGCCATACTGGTCGTAATTCTTCCCAATACATGCCTGCACCTGTCTCTCTCGTCTGTCATCCTTTCTGCCGCCCCCCACGCAAGGTACCTAACTCTTTTAAATGGCTTTACGGGCAAGGAAACCGATTCTGGTCTTTGGGACGCGTTGTCTCTTTGGCTTAGACTCTTAACTGACAATTCTGTTTGATTTGTTATTTACCAACCAAGTAGGTTGTTATACATATCGCTGTACTACACTATCATATTGGAACGCGTACAAAGTATGAGATCTCGGTAATATTATCTCAATCCGTTAGGTAACCAAAGCAGATGTGGTTCAGCTGAAGTTTGCTTTCGATACCCTCAACGAGACTATGACGCGTAATTATATCCAAGAACAACTCTTGAGATCTTTCGATGTTGAATAAGACGCATTTCTGTTATGTTATGAATTCGAAATTAGATGACCACTTGGAAAGGAAAAACTTTTTGCGACCTTCCTTTTCGCGCTTATTGTTTTTATGCCGAGAGTCGGACTTGGCATTGCGGATCAGATAAATTTCGGGGGGCGGATCAGATAACTTTTCGCAGCTGTACTCCGACACCATTCCTCAAGGCTAGGCTAGTCCACGTTATCAGTGAGTTGACATAGGTTCGATTTTGACAAATATGGTTGGTATTCTCTTTTTAGTCCATTCTGGCCGACTTCTAGCAAGATCCAATAAGACTATTAGCATATGCCAAGGTTCTCGAAAGATTATTCTTGGTGAAGTCTTTTCTCGCCCTATCCTTTTCGGGAACCAAATCCCACTCCATGCTACCAACTTCTAGGCTGACCTGCCCGGAGCTAGAGAAGGAAACAGGGGGGTAACCCGAATTCCAACACGTAATCTGCGCTACTAACGCGTGGGCATACGATCATATAATGCGCTGGGATAGATATAAGGATAACTACGCCGCAAGCCTCGTTGATTCTGGTGAAAACTGATCCTCTACATCCCCTCCGTAGGGCTAGTAAACACACCACCCCTTGCGCCTCATCAAGCCTATCGCTATGGCCGCCTCGGTCACTGAAGCAGCCCCCGTCGGCCAAACCCAGGATATCGAGAAGAAAGTTTCGGGCGATGACAATATCAAGGAACTTGGTGATAACGCCGACGTTGAAGGAAGCTCGGTCCACAAACAAGATGGTGTTAAGCGGGTTGAAGCAATTACAACGGTCTGGTCTAAGGACTTGCTGATTGTCATGTTTATCCTGTAAGCCATCATCTGCGATCCGCGATAACACCAGTCGAAGTAATATTGGCGCTAACAATCACCGCAACCACATAGGCTCTACCTCGTGACTTTTGTTGATATGCTGTTACAATCCGTCCAGTCCAACCTCGTACCTTACATTACATCGTCTTTCAACCAGCACGGTTTATTGGCGACCACCGGCATAGTGGCGACCATTATCGGCGGTGTGTGCAAACTAACCATCGCAAAAATTATCGATATTTGGGGCCGATGTGAAGGTTTCATCTTCATGGTTGTGCTAGTCGTTATCGGCATGATAATGAAAGCGACCTGCGTCAACGTCGAGATGTACGCCGCCGCCCATACGCTCTATTGGGTTGGACATCTAGGCATGCAATACATCATCGATATAATCCTTGCAGATACCACGACGCTCCAGAACCGAATGATTATGTACGGTATCAACTCGACGCCCACGATCGCTACCACATTCGCTGGTCCTAAGATTGCCGACCTTTTCTATACCAACGTCAACTTCCGATGGGCTTTTGGTGCATTTACCATTATCTTGGTGGTATTCTGTCTTCCAGTTGCTATAATTTTCATCCTTAGCAAACGCAAGGCCGTCAAAATGGGTGTTTATCCCAAGAGGGTCCAAACCCGAACCGTGTTTGAATCTGTGAAATATTATCTTATCGAATTTGATGGTAAGGACAAATATTCGCTGAATCTTTATTATGAAATCACGGTCGCTAATGTTTTCTAGTTATTGGAATGTTCCTTACTATTTTCGGATGGTCGTTATTACTATTGCCATTTAGCATAGTGACATACGCTCCTCATGGGTGGAAGACCGGATACATCATAGCTATGATCGTGCTCGGCGTGGTGCTATTGGCTGCTTTCGCCGTCTGGGAGAGGTTTTTTGCTCCCGTCGCGTATTTCCCCTTTAAATTCCTCAAGGACCGGACTATTCTTGCGGCTTGCGTTCTGTACGGCACAATGTTTTTATCAATTTAGTAAGTGATGATATTTCGCGCCTAAATGTGCTGGCATCGTCGCGACATTGACTAACAACGAATCTTAGCTGTTGGGATGGTTACTACAGTTCGTACCTACAAGTTGTTCACGATGAAAGTATCACTATTTCTGGTTATGTATTGAACTCCTTCTCTCTTACGTCCTCGTTCATTGGTCCGTTCGTTGGCCTGTAAGTTCTCCAACGCCCCCTAATATTAACAATCAACACCCTCTAACTTCATAATACCAGTGTTATCCGACAAACAGGTAACTACAAGTGGACCGCGATTGCTGGAATTCCGTTCTGTGTCCTTGGCACCGTCCTACTGATCCACTTCCGTACCCCCGAGTCGTATGTCGGTTATCTTGTCATGTGCCAGATCTTCAATGGTGTTTCCAGTGGAATCTGGGTTCTAGCAGCGCAACTTGCCATAATGGCATCTGTCACACATCAAGAAATCGCTGTCGCGATGGCCATATTTGGCCTCTTTGGATCCATTGGCGCCGCGATAGGTCTTGCTATCGCCGGTGCGCTCTGGAACAATATCCTCCCCCAGAAGCTGCGCGAGTTCCTACCAGAAGACAGCAAGGGTCTAGTGTCCAAGATATTCGGCAATATCAATGTTCAAAAGTCGTACCCCATAGGAAGCCCTATTCGCAACGCGATCATCGCAGCTCTCGGAGATGTGCAGAGGAAAATGGTCATTGCGGGATCGGCGTTTATTCCTATCTGCGTTATTTGCCTCTTACTTTGGAAGAACATTAATGTTGTGAAGCTGGAGCAAACGCGCGGAAAGCAGACCAAGGGAAATGTGTGGTAGGCCTTGAATCGATGACCAGGGTTAGTTGGAACGATCTGAAGTTGAAATGAAGGAAACGATTTATGATATCTTAACCTCTACTACCTGGATACTACGAAGATACAGTTAATCCCCAAAGAAACCATCGGATTTAATTAATTGTGAGACATTACGTCATTAATATCTTTGCTTGGGATGACATAAGGGTCCGTCCCCTCCTGGGATTTTTTGTTCAGCATCCTTTTTTCTCAACCAAATTACCGTCGAGTTCCTTTTTCAACCATGGCCAGGATGACGAACGTGTATCTCCATAGGAAAAGCCCCGAGGCGTATAATAGCGTAAAGGAATTCTCGTTCATTAAGACTTAAGTTCTTGATATAGTATCCAATATCTTATTCCCACTGTATTTGCCCCATACTTGCAACGCCGCACACGCGCATATGCCCTATCAATCCGTTTCGCAAGACACCCGCCTAGGTACTAGATACCACCCTAAATTTACTCTCACAGCGTCGTATTTGTACTTAGGTACTCTGATGTCACCAGGGCGTGCAATCTAGCATTGCACCAACAATTTCAGCTGCAAAGTCCTAGGATAGTCCCTACTTCCCGTCAGCATTCATAATGTGCGCCATTCAATCCAGCCAGCAGTTCAAGAAGCCAGGGACCCGAAATGGATACATCAGAGTTGGAACGAGACCTATCTCTGGTCAATATGGCTGACGAAGAGAACATGATACCCCTCCATCGCGCTGCGAAGAATGGGGCTTTGTCTGGAGTTGCACATATCTTAAAGCATGGCGCAGACGTAAACGCTACAGATGATGAAGGTCGTGGCGCGCTGTACTATGCCCTTCAAAACAGGCACATAAGTGTAGTGCAAGAACTGTTAAAATGGAAGCCGCAACTCAACATTTTGACCTCGGATGGGAAAACATTGCTTCAGCATGCTATGGGCGATGTTTCTATGGTAGAGATGTTACTTGATAGTAGGGCTGATCCTGAGCTACCAAACGGAGAGGGGCTCACAGCCATCAACGCTGCCGTGGTTGAGAAGAAGGCGGATGTGGTAAAACTCCTGGTTAATAGGGGTGTCGACATCCATCGACGCGACCAGTCTGGTTGGAACCCAATTCTCAACGCCACAGGCGATGTTCGGGACGCGAAAATTACGCGGATACTCTTAGAAGGTGGTGCGAGTCTTGAGGATACCAACCCATACGAACGTGTTCCTCTTCACTATGCCGCAAGAGAAACAGAAGTTCTCAAGGTATTGCTGGAGTTTCAGAAGGATATTGATTTGGAGCCGCGCGATTTCTACGGCCGTACCCCTCTGTTGACGATTGATTCTGCCACTAGCTTGGAGTGTATCAGACTTCTACTTCAGGCCGGGGCTGATGTCAATGCGCGCGATAGAGAGGGTTGGTCTGCTCTAATGAAGGTTATGGACGGTCGATTACCACCGCAAGTGGCTGATGTGCTGCTTGCGGATGAGAATACCCAGGTAGATGTAGTAGGGAGACAACCCGGAACGGCACTACATGTGGCGTGCTGCGCTTTGAATCCAGACTTCGTCACGAAGCTGCTCGAACATGGCGCTGATCCTAACCTCGCTGTAAGGAATTATCCTGGCACCGCTCTGATATCGGCATGCGTTCCCGACGATACTGATAACCGAAGCGAGACCCTCGAGAAAATGGAACAGGTCGTTCGTACACTCATCGCTCATGGCGCCGACGTCAACCTGATGCACGAGCATACTATTTATAATGCGCTCAGCGCCGCATGTTTCTCTGGCGGTGCAAATGTGATTAAACAACTCCTTGGCTCTGGTACCTCAGCGCAACAGCCGGATCCCCTGGGGCGCCTCCCAATACACTTTGCCGCGGCAAACGGACTCGAAAATTTCCTCGCCGTAATCGAAGCCCATAAGGGCAATTGGATGGTTCCCGACTGCGCCGGCAAAAACGTCCTTCACTGGGCTGCTCAATTTGGTCATGTTGAAACGGTTAAAGCGATCTTGGAGTACCTAGGTCCGTCGACGGAGGAAAGGAGACGGTATATCAATTTGCCCGACATCGACGGCTGGACACCCCTATGTTGGGCTACGCGCCCGCCTGGGAATGGCCTTGTCATTAACTTGAAGTCGGAACCTCGTGCATACGCCGAAACTGTCCAATGTCTTCTCGAGGAGGGAGCCGACCCGTCTGTTGAGTTTTACATGAACACGAAGGACGGGGTTGAAACGTACACTCCGGTCAAAATGGCGCAATTATGTGATGCAGGGGATGAGATGATTAATTTACTTTCCGACCGTACGAAGGACAAACCGCATATTGAGGTTCAACTTCCCGACGGATCACCCCGGCATTACAGACGAAGTTTCATATACTGCGATATATGTCTTAACGTAAGTTATATCTACCTAGGTAGCAGAACAGAACTTAGTACAGTGAAAGGTTACTTACTCACCCTGCTAATCAACTAACAGACACAATATGGCTATTCGTACCGGTGCAAGTCCTGTCCCGACTTTGATGCTTGCAAGAAATGCTACGGAAGGATAGATATCTACCACGGTCACATCAGGGATGCAGACGGCGAAACACATAGATTCAAATTTCGCTCGGGCAGCGATCTTGAGTTCGACGACCAACAGGTATCGAGCCCCTCCGAGTCACCTGCGAATGATTAAGGTGACTTTTAGGATCGCTATAATGGTGGTAATTTCACGAGGCGCACCGAAGTCACAGAGGATACTAATGAATCTGATTTTACGTCAGAGGTTATAGGCAAGAGGGAGGCTATTATCCTGACCAACTTGCCTTTATTACTTGTCTGATCTTCGTCACGCTGCTAAATAACACCTTTGTTCATTGTCACATTTTTCAAAGTGTCTTATTTCGATGCGACAATGGGTGTCTGCGTGGACTAAATCACGAACAAGGTGATTGTCAAAGTATCCAAATCAAATGTTATTTATTATGGCTGTTGTTATATCTTCTATATATGTTAGCGATGGCGCTGTCGTATGAGGTTCAGAGCAGTTATTTGACACCATTACCTTTAAAAGTATTTTCATTATCAATCGCTCTTAACTCCAAAGACGGATACAATATTCGCAAATATGCCTCCCCACTTAGGATCAATTACTGGGGCCGAAATTCGAGCAGCCGGTGAGGGTTTAGGGAAGGGCGTCTTCGCCATCGACGACTTACCAAAAGGGACTATCATCATTCGTGAGTCCTCGAATATGAAAATCAAGCTAGACGCTTTGAACAACAGCTGGGAATTTTGCAAGGCCTACCACGCTTTAAGTGAAAAACAGGCGTGGCAGCTAAATAATTTGCACTGTGATTCGTCAAAATTAGCAGACAGATTACTACTCATCGCCGAATACGAAAGATGGTGCTTGGATCGGACGCCGGGAGTACCGGAGGACCGACGGGAGTTCATGACGTGGGTAAGGCATCTAGTAAAAGCGCATGCAATCTACCTCACGAACTGTGCGATTACCCCGGATGAGCATGCTGCAGTATTTAACAAGTTTTGCCGCATCAACCATAGTTGCGTTCCGAATACCCACTGGTTCATTACGGAAAAACGAGGAAAATACATCCTAGAAGTCAAAGCGAATAGGGATATTAGTTTTGGCGAGCAAATATTCGTTTCGTACATTAGCCCTATGGAGAAATTACCTGAGAGACGACGTGCTCTCGACAACTGGGGATTTACGTGTAACTGCGCTCTATGCCATGCGCAGGCTAGCGGCGACAGACGACTTGCCGATGTGGTCTGGCATTACCAGAAGAGCATCGATAATGGGACGGATTTCAGATACTATACTCCGTGGAACCGACCCTATTCTCAAGGTGAGTAAAGCGAAGCTAAGGGGTATGGTTCTAACTAGGTACAATACAGATTACCTTAGTAAGATAAGTATATGAACCATGAACTTGCTTGTCAAAACACAATACATTTGAGGGGCGATGCTAATTAGTCGATAGTCTCATCTTGATATTGACTCGGAGGCATCTGGCGAGTGTTTATATGTTTTCAGTTTAGTGTGTACTTGTTTCTCTTTGCGTACTTATAAAAGAGCAGAAGTCGTAAAGATTAAAACTCACTAGAATTTAGTCTTACACCTAAATGAAACCGAGTTCTTGCAATGATTTTCTTTAAGTTGTGTGATTGAAATTCGCAGTCTTGTTAACAGACCAGATGGGATTATCTTAGGGGCTAGCTCATACCGATCGTAGCGCACTACTTGCCCAATCAACCGCTAGATTTTCAGGGCCTTCAGGGCTAACCCCAGTCAATTTTTGGAAACCTTACACTCTGCGGTCCTTCGGCCTCCTAGTACCTAGGAAGCGGTTAGGTCATAATTATAAGCCTACGGGCAGAGGGCGTGAACATTGCGTATATATTCTAAGATGCAGACAAAGAACTACCACAACTTAACAATGCACAAATAAACCACCGAGCAACTTAGAGCTCTATGTATCACTAACCCACCCACCATCAGCTACATAGCTACTACCAGTAATAGCGCTAGAATCATCCGCAGCAAGGAACAATATCAACCGCGCGATTTCATCAGGCACAAGATCTCTCTGCAGACTCTGCGCAGCCATCACAGTAGCGCGATACTCATCAGTCAAAACCTCGTCAATCTGCCTCTGCGTTGCAATAGCACCAGGCATGACGCTATTCACCCGAATCCCATATTTCCCAAACTCCTTGCTGTGCGTCCTTGTCATGCCCATAATCGCCGCTTTGCATAGGGTATAAATGGGAGATCCAGTCGCGGGGATGCGCCATTGGATAGATCCCATATTGATTATACTGCCAGAGCCTTTCTTTTGCATCGCGGGGACTACGGCTTGTGTCAGGAAGAATTGATGACGTAGATTGACGTTGATATCCTCATCGAAGGACTCTGGTGTTACGCCGACGGTCGGAACGCGCGACCTAACACCTGCGGCGCCGGCATTGTTAAGTAACACGTCCACTGTGCCGTAATCCGCTATTGTCTCTTCGGCGCATTCCTTGAGCCGGGCCAAATCGGTTACATCGCAGTGCATGAATGTAGGTTGACTAGCGTTGGGTATATCCTTGATTTTATCCAAAAGCTTTTGCGCTGATGCCTCCGAGTAATCTAGGAAGACGACGTTGGATCCTTGACGGGAGAAGAGCTCGACCGATGCTGCTCCGATACCTTCGGCCCCGCCGGTAATCAAGACGGTCTTGCCCCGCAGACTCGGATATGTTGCGTATTGATCCATATCAACGTAGGTACCCAAGTTAATAGGATTTGATAATTAAATTGACTTTGATATCCTAACTCTGAGATCTATAATTTGGGAATGGTTTCCGGAGATGAGGTGAGGTGTTGGAATTTTGTAGGAAACTTATATTGAGACCAGACTCAATCGGCGTCCTCGTGCCATGTAGATGAAATGTAACGTCCCCATTTTTCAGACCGGAAGCTCGAGTCTTACGCCGTCAGTCGCGGGTGACATTACATGTACGAGAATTCTCGTATAGAATAGTCCAATTGAATAATAAAGTGTATTTTCGCAGTCGTAAAGAACCACGGAATTTACTCACGAATGTGTTTGTCACCCCGCACTGCTATAGCTTACAAACGCGGGGTAAAATATAGCTAATGTTGTCATTTTTAGGGGATCAGCTCTGGAGTTAGTTATATAATACGCCTTCATTATATAATGCTAATATTATGCAGGGTATCGCCATCGTTAACGGATCGGTATTATATTATTATGTATACCTAATTTAAGTAGTTACATACCCCTGTAGCATATGTACTAGCTAATATGGTCAGAATAGTCCTCCGAGTTACCCGTTTATCGATCAAACGCCATTGGATATCTCACATACCCATATGTTCATTTCTATGTGGCTGTATAATTACAAGTAGGGCAGTAAGTCTTCGTATCATTAGTTGCCGGATAATGATCCACTCCATATGTTCCGTTCAATGAGACGTTTCCGACAACATGTCCGGATTCAAGGCGAATCCAAGTATCAACCACCAAGTTTGCTAGCTGCGACTTAGTTACCAGAAATTGGCGAGAGCCACGCTCCCAGGGCCCATAACCACCATAACCCGTGTGCTGACTGAAGCACAACGTAACGTTGTTCTGTGGGGTTACCGTCATGTTTGGGAGCAAACCATCCCACCTTGCACAAAACGTGTCGCCGTGGTCATGGCCACTGCTTACGGCCATTAGCCCAGGGACTGTCGAGATAGCCTTCATGAACGGTATATCCTGCCCTCCGTAGTCGCAGGTACCGTCATTCCGACCATCAGCGCACCAGCCTTGGGCTTGGGGAGCCAACGGAAAGTCATCGTTTATCCCGGGCGCCGTGTGGGAATCGATTCCTACTTGTTGAAGGGCGTATGATGCGTACGTCGGAATGTGGACGAACCCGAGAGAAGGGATCACCTTGTTGTACTTGTTGACAAGCTCGTCATTCGTCTGTAAGAACCAATCAACCACGCTAGAGTCGACCCAGTCAGGTTGGCCAACTCGGTTCCCCGAGGCGTCTTTCTGTTGGTACTTAAACCCTCCCCTACTGTCGAAGAACCAGAGTAATAACTCAGGCGTGCAGCTATCGGTGCAACCGGTGTCATATACTGGAAGGTAATAGTTCGACACACCTGCGTTATCGCCGGTTACCATCTGCGTCGTGCGACTATTAGGCCATAGCTTCTCACGAGCAAGGATGGCGTTGCCGGAGATGTTGTAATCCCAATCGTGATTGCCGTACGTTGACGCCCAGGTAAGTCCTCGATCTACGAGAGGACCAACAATTTGGTCTACGTAGGTTGTACTATTCTCCAAAAACGTGTTTTCACCTGTGATTAGGTCTCCGTTGATGACAACGAGCCCTGGAGATTCTGATTCCAGGATTTCATTGATGACCTTGACGGAATTAATGTCTTGTTGTGGACCCCATTGGTCCCAGGCATCTAATCGAACCAAGTTAGCTCTCGCTCATCTTCTAGGTTTGATCAGAAGGAGATATTACTTTCTCCGAAATGTAAATCTTCGAATATTGCTATTTGAAATGTGCCATCGGCCTTAAAGGTGAGAGGTCCAAAAGCATTTGCACTATTCGCGACTGGCTTAGCTAGAGGCTTCGCTTGTGACGTCGACGCAACAAATGCCAACACGACCAATATGGCGGGAAACATGGTAGATTGAAGCGGTGGTTTCAATAAAACTTACTTACTCCGACACTCCGAAAGGTAAATGAGATAAAGGCTTGCTCGTCGAGGGGGAATGTCCAATATGTATTTGCTCCATATCTCACAAGCTCCCCAGCTGTACGGCGTAGGGTTACAGCGCGCGATCACTTATCGGATTCACGTTTTTGTGTCGTACGTCGTGAAGTTAATAAAGAAGGGCCGGTCCCTATCCGACATGGTTGGATACCTTTTTCTTGCCTGCCTCTTTTGGTTTTTGGAAGATGAAGTTCAACGAGTCGGAATAGAGAACCCCGCAATGTGTTGTATAAGCATTTGTCATTGGCCAGTCAGGGACCCCAGGGTTTTTGAGATGCGCCAGGACTTAAAATTACCTGCTGGATATCCTAGTGAGACATGACTGTAGGTACCTAGGTAGTGACCAACTCACATGAGGCGTTATGTCTCGGAGTAACAAATCCGAAAGTTGTTCAAAGTTTAGATGAGGTAAAGTTAAAATATCTTGTAAAACTTGAGAAATGTTTCAAATTAGAATGATATGAAAGGATATTTATGCTTAATAGACGAGCAACAGGCAGGCGTGAGTGAGTTGAGGATGTTGGATAATAGCGTGGTTTAAATACCCCCCTAAAAGAGAATTATGTTACTTATAATTAGGTACAATTAGTGAGACGCCAGGTACATGTTAGTGGCTATTATCTAGCTCAATCACTAGTAGATACCTAAGTGACCCCCACCATAAGTATCTCTTAGAAGCTAAAATAGGTACACTAGAGCCCAGCTCCAACAACTGTTTCTGTTGTCGGTGCCTCCTCAACCATGTACATATATTTTCAGGATCTTTAGTGATGGGTCTTGTGTTGCACAAATGTCTTGAAATGCCAAATGCGTGCCGAGAGTTCCGAAAGCATTAGCAACTCAAGAAGCCTAGCCTCGCAAACATCACTATCTCTCGTTGCTGAGTCCACCTAGGTAAGAACAAACCAAGAGTGCAGCCAGACAAGAGCGAAATTATTCAACTTATAGAGTTGCACGGCATTCTAAATGAGTGTAGAATATGAGTTTGTACCTGGGTAATGACTGACTTCGGTTTTGTTACACCACCTAAGTAGATAGGTACCTTAGGTAGGTAAGCGAATACAGAAGGAGGGTAAAGGTCGAGTATAGGTTGCCACCATGTCTGCGAAGCTCCATTCCAAGGCTCGCCAGATCGTTACAGTTGCATCTACCTTCGCAGCCTCACTTGTATTTGCCCTTCTTTTCAGATTTCCTTGCCATATGCATACCCTCTCAGCGGCCCAGTGTCATGAGTAGGAAGGGTCTTGGTCCACATGAAGTCAATCTGCCTGATGAAGTTGGATTGGTATCGGTCGTATTTGCGGCCCTTCGTGTTCCTATCTGCATCTCCATAGAAGTTCTTCTCGATGTCTGCTTGCGCGGCCGGAAGAAACTTTTCCTTATACCATTTGGTTTGTTCTTTATGGTCCTGACGAGCAGCTGGGGAGTACAGCGCAGTATCGTAGGTATCGTCAGTATGATGATTGCCGTTAGCGTCAGTGTAGGGACAATCGTATGTGTATCGATAATAGAAATAGCCACCGCTATTATGCGACATCGTGGAAAGATTGTAGCGGAAGAGATGTGAGTAATGTTTAGCTAGAGAGATCCAGACCCTTACCGATTCAATGAACAGCTTGAAAAAAATAATTAGAGGTATTGGGGTTTTTACAAACCCCCTCAAAGTCATGACACCCAATTTATGTGTGCCTAAATTTGCACTTTTCTCTCGATAAGCAGGCTGTGAAATGCATCATGTTATATGCTGATACGACTCCGATCAGGCCACTGAATAGATTTGCGTGCTCACATATCGAGTTGGAGACATAAGTATATAATCCTTCATTGCTACGCTTATTTACTCGGGGGATCGTAAGTAGGTATGTATGCGCACATGTGCTACAGGAGTTCGAAGAGGCTCGAGCTACGGTGTATCGGAAATCGGGCTAGGCTTGCACCTACAAGCAATACGATCGATCGACAATGAATTCTTGCCATCAAATATGACAATTAATGGTAAGTTTGAGTTTCCTTGAGTTAATGGTCCTTTACTGCCTTTTAAACTTATTGATGAGTGTACCTAGAACATGACTGAGAAATTGATGAAGGAAATTGAGTGGGGTTTGCCGAAGCGTTCTTAAGAAAAGTTACCAATTTCGCTATGTCATGATGACTCAGCGGGATCCGTAACTGTGTCTTTTTATGGAGGACCCTACTAGGGTTACCTAAGCTCTGTTTCTTCAATTCCCTCAGTTACCAGCCAAGCTACCAATTCGATCGAATTTCATCTGTCTCTCAATATGAAAAGGCCACGCCCACTCATAGAGGCCAAGCTGTCTAATTGAATATCGCATCGATCTGATAGTTACTATTTGGGCAATGAGCTGCAAACCAGGCCCAAGTCGTACTAGCGGTAATTTGTTCCCGTAGATCTGGGCTAATAGCCGGAACTGCTCATTATGCCCTCTATTATCCATGCGGTTGACCTTCCGGTAAGCGAGCCGCAATCGTTATAACTGGCTTCTAGCGGTGGATACTTTCCATGACAAGATGTTTGTGCCTCGGAGTCGTCTTAAGACTCGGAGACATGGCTCCGCGAGAAGCTCTTGGACTATATCTTCGCCTAGTCCGCGAAAATTTGAACACTTTTTCGTTTTCAAGGATTAGGTTCCTAGCGACAAGTTTTTCGAAATCACCGTCCCAATCACCGTCCTAGATGGCTATGTTACGAATATTGCTCGCTTTCCACTTCGCGTTGGCACTTGCCAACACACAGCCCTCTCACCAAGAATCACAGATATGCATCATCCCTAACCCGTTACTTACTATTCCTGCGGAAACATGTCTAAAGAGTTCCTCACCTGTTAAGCAAGATGACCAATCGAGCAAGAAACAACCGCCGAAGAAGGTCTGGAGATTGGGTGGTCTCTGCCTTGGTCTCAGAGCGGATAAACACTGCGTCTTCGCTAACCCGACGTTCAATCATGGTGAAGGTATCACGGTAATCACTACAATGAAAAGCATGTCTGCAATTGCGACACGGCCAGTATTCACCGGAGAACGGAATGAACGACCGGGAGAAATAGAGCCCAATGCAACCGGGCCGTACCGTGAGGTTGTAATAGAAGGTAAAGGCATTGGTTTAGTAGCAACGAGGAAGATCCGAGCGGGGGAGCTTATAATGGCTCTTACGCCCTCGGTTATGGTCAGCGAAGATGCGGTTAAGTCATTATCAAAGAGAGACCTTTCAGCGCTTCTCGTCCGTGCGTCCGAGCAACTACCTTCTCACCACAAGGAGAACATAGAAAAACTATCGACACATAGCGAAACAAAAACACAGGAGGAGAAACTACACAAAATTCTGGAGACTAATTCCTTCCGAACGGGCTATCATGATGGAGATAACCCGTTTTATTCTTTGTTTACTGAAAGTTGGTTTTTCCTACCCTAGGGTACTTGGATTGCATACTGACGACGGGTTAAAGTATCGCGAATCAATCATGATTGCCGGCCTACATGCGCCTATTACTTTGATCACAGAGATTTCCACCAGAGGGTACTCGCTTTGCGGGATATCGAACCTGATGAAGAGTTGACAATAACCTATTATGAGTGAGTCCACCCCGTATCCGATCTCGAGAATGGACGAGAGATGATCTACAAAACATAGGCCATGAACTAACGAAATCGCTAGTCCCATCCAAACCCATTCAGTGAGACAAGAGATATTACACAAGGAATGGGGTTTTCAATGTGCTTGTAAGCGTTGCAGTGCGGATGCATCGACAATTGCCGAGTCGAATCATAGGGTCACGCAAATCCAAGCCTTGAAGAACGAGTTAGACGATCATTCGGCAGCGTCAAACGGGTCGTCCGAAAAGGCCGAGACCCTAGTATCGTTATATAAAGAAGAAGGGATATTGGGCCGTTTGAACGATGCATACTACAGGGCAGCGATCGAGTATATTGGTGTTGGAGATATTGAGAACGCGAAAAAGTACGCCACCCTTTGTATCGATCATGGCCTCCTATTTATCGGACCGGACCGACCTTTCATCAAGGAAATGCAGCAACTTATTGAAAACCCAACCGGACATCCGAAATGGGAGTTTCGCTTGAAGAAAAATTAAAACCGGATTTCTTGGGATTATTCAATCATAGAGGCTACGGCATCATTCAATAAACGAGCGATTTCTGCATGCGCATCTACAGATCAATTCTAGGTCTTGTGTCATTCACTCGCGAAGGAGGGAGACGTTGTGTAGTATGTTAATAATTACTAAGCGTTGGTGAATACCGATAACACCTCCCGATGTTGAGATGATGCGAGGATACCCTCAGTATGATTGGGGTTACCAATTGGGGTGCGTATTTGGCTAGGGCAGGATGCATTACTACGGCAATGACCAACATGTTGAATGTTATTCGTGAGCCGGAGACTAGAGAGGGGAGAGGGGAACCTGCGGTTATAAAAAGCACATAATATTCGTCATGCACACCTAACTTACCTTCATCTGATTGTGCGGAGAATTAATCGACATCTCTTCATGGAGTCAATATCTTTTCTTCCCAGGCAAATCACCCTCGGTCACTTGCTTCAAGCAAGTATTCTTGGAAGTCTTGCTGTGGCCTTTCTCTATTTAATTGGCAATGAGATCATTCGCAGTCGCGCACGAATCTCTGGCTTGAAAAGTCCGAAAGGATGGCCTCTCGTCGGGAATCTCCTCGATATATGGGAGAATGCGGCGTTGAAGTATCAAGAATGGGCTAAAGAATATGGCGACGTCTACCAGGTCATGTTAGGGAATACCGCAGTAGTTGTCGTTAATAGTAGTGCAGCTGCGAAGACTTTATTCATGTCCAATTCACAGGCTTTAAGTTCCCGACCGATAGCTTATACGTTTCATAAGGTACCTAAATTTCAGCTTATTCCCCCTGCTAGCTCTAGCTGACATAGCTTGGCAAAATAGATAGCTTCCAGCACTTCTGGCTTAACAATTGGCACCTCACCTTACGATGAGAGCTTAAAGAAAAAGAAGAAAGCGGCGGCTGTAGCCCTTAACCGTCCTGCTATTCAAACTTATATACCATATCTAGACATTGAGACGAAAACATTTATTCGAGATCTCTTCAATTACGGAAAGGCGGGGAAAGCCGCCATCGATCCACTTCCCATGGTTCAACGATTAAGTCTGTCACTAGTGACGACGATCAACTGGGGTATCCGGATTCCTTCTTTCGAGGATGAGCTGTTTAAAGAAATCGTTCACGTCGAAGAAGGACTCAACAAGACTAGATCAACTGTTGGAAACCCTCAAGACCACATTCCCCTACTCCGTCTAAATCCTAGGAATGAGGGTTCAGTCAAAGCACGGGATTTGCGACAGCGTCGGGATAGGTATCTTGCCAAGCTAAACCAAGACCTTGCAGAAAAAGTTGCCAAAGGAACCAACAAACCCTGCATCCAAGCAAGCGTAATAAAATACAAAGAGGTCGAGCTCAACGACACTGAATTAGCTGCCTTCAGCTTATCGGTTTTGGGAGGAGGATTCGAGACTGTTTCAACCACCGTTCAGTGGACGATTGCTTACCTGGCACAGCATCCAGATATTCAAGACAAAGCTCATGAGGAGATCCGGCGGTTCCAAGGATCCGATGAACCCCTATGCGACGCTGCCGATGACCAGAAGTGCGCTTATATACTTGCGATGGCAAAAGAAGCCCTTCGATATTTCACCGTTATTCCATTAGCACTACCGCGAGAAAGCATCAAGGATATTGAGTATAACGGGGTCCGTATTCCAACTGGGAGCACAGTGTACATGAATGCATGGGCTTGCAACTACGGTAAGAATTTCATTTCTTCGCGTCCTGTCCGTCTTTTTGAATTGCTGGCTTACATGATGCATAATTGCAGATCCGAAATTGTGGTCTAAACCTGATGCTTTCATTCCGGAGCGGTGGCTGGAGAAACCGGACGCTCCTTTGTTCACGTTCGGGTTGGGCTATCGCATGTGTGCAGCCCACATCCTTGCAACTAGGGAGTTGTATATCATATTCATGAGATTGCTGAGCAGTTTCCGCATAGAGGCCCCGGAAAAGATCAAATGCGACCCAAGGTTTGACATGGTTAATCCAAAAGACCTTATTATGTCACCGAAGCCATACCGTGCATTGTTTGTGCCAAGGGATGAAATAAGGCTAGGGGAAGCTCTGAGTTCATTTGAGTGAATAATGGTCACTTAAGTCATACTCGCTATGTGTATCATCACACGAATACCAAAAAGAATATTCTACGGATATCGATGTCTCGCTTACCAATATCTAAAGAAACATGTAGATTTATTACCTTGCTCTGGATGAAACGACAGCTCCCTAGACATGAAAGCGTCTTCTTTAGGCATCAACTAGGAATGGAACGTGTCGAACACACTTTGCGACATCCCATTTATCTGCTGTGCGTATAAGAGGCTCGCTGGTTTGCCTTCTAGCGAAAAGTACGAGAGCAATTCACCACAAGCGCCCCAGCACAACCACGCTACCGCACTACGCAAACGCAGAACTACCACCAAATTTGATCGAAAAATGGAAACCCCACGTCGACGAGATTTTCAGCTCTACCTACCATACGGCTGTACCATTCATGGATCCTAGACAAAGACAGCGTGAGAAGGCCGCGAGGGCCTGCCGCGATAAGATGAACTATTTCGAGCAACCGGCGGAACAAGCTAGAGACCCTAATGCTGGTTTTGCGGTTTTGGTTCTCCTGGCAATACCCGTCGCCTACGTACTCTATCACATAACTCGTTATATTTTTACTGAGTACATCATTATACCTGATGTATTATTAGGAATTTAGGCAACTAGGGGCCTCCAGTCCATCGTTCCCTACAAGAATTAGCACACTCGGAATATGACCTCCTCGGCCCCAGCTACCTAGGTTCTAGTTCATAGTGTGGTTAAAGGAGGATACGGGATTGTGTATCACTATCAGGCCATTGTCAATATGTTCGACGTCTTTACAAGAACTTCACCCAACATCAAATTACCGGTAATGATTTAGTTCAAGACTTCTAAGCTGCACGCTTAAGGCATCTACTTAGCAATCTTATTAAAAAAGTCTTGAAGCTCCGCATCAGTCAACTCATGAATCCCCAACAACTCATTATCCGTGCCCTTAACGTAGTTGCCATATCCATCACCCCAAATAGATACCGTGATGAACTCAAATCTAGGATCCTCGCCCCTTCTAAATGCCTCGAGGGCTTTCTTGTGGAGTTCATCCGTAGACCCGATCCGCGTGGTCCATCCATCTGCTCCAACCGCCTTCTTGCCCTTCTCGAGAAGTTCGTTCTGGGTAACCGCCACACTATTGACGAAGATCTCTCGGTTCTTCGTTTCCTCGGGATGCTTGAGGACCTGCGAAACGGCCTTCACCGACGACGCAATAGTCGTCGCGCTAAAGCGAACATCGCCTCCATTCCACAAGGTAATATCCTTTTTCTTCAAATCAATAAGAAGTCCAGACCCAAGAGCCAAATCTAGGAAAGGTCCAGTAGCGATAAGAGAATAAGTGATCTTTCCACCCCCAGCCGCTTTCTTAAGAGCTTCTGAGGCGGCTCTCTTCGGTTGGAAGGGGGGCAATTGAGTACCCTTTTCGCTGCTTGGTGTCAAGCTAAATTCTGAAGGTAGGAACCGTTTGACGCCGGCCTTAATAGCGGCCTCGATAAGGGGAATTTGGTAGGTTAGGCCTGCGAAGCCTACTGTGGATACTACGGCATCCTGTCCCTCGAGGGCCTTGACGAGAGTTTCCGGGGAGTTGTAGTCTACTTCTGCGACAGTGACTGAGGATGGGAAGTTGTGGGTGGCACCCTTGCGGGTGAGTATGGTCACCTTGAAGCCATCGTCAAGGAGTTGGTGTACTACGGGTACGCCGAATACGCCGCTGGCCTGTGTTGGGTTTATTGTCAACGATGTCTTCTAACTGGATATGTGCGTGGTCACTCTTACCCCTGCGACGGCAACGCTCTTGATGCTGCTCATATTGTTAGTGGATATGTCTAAGAGTATTTTGCTTTAGGTTGGGTGCAATGTTTTTATTGTCGGGGGTATTGATCTTGGAAACATACAAGGTGAAAACGGAGTGAATGCGGCTCCCTGATATAGGAAAATAATTTAGTTCATTTATGCCGAGGACATCACCGCACATCACTAATTGTGACATGCCACCTTGTTGGATGGTGCGAGTCGGTTTTAAGGTGGGCTCCGAGCCCGAATTTCATTTGTAATCGCGGACTGTTGAAAATAGTAAGAGACCATCTATTAGAGGAGCAATGTTACATCTTGCTTGGTGTGTTCCGTACGAAGGTACGTTCCGGACCCACGGGGGCCCGTAAACCATCGCGTCCCCTGAAATTTCACTCTGATCGGTATCCCGTGGCCGGCATACCTATAATCATTGAAATCTATAGTTGTTTTAACTATAATGATTATCACGAGACGAGTAGTCATCGCTACGCTTATGAATATTCAACTTCTTATTTTCTTCTTTTTTATCTAGGTTAATTGCCATGGTTGAATTATTATTGTCAGGAAACTCTAGAGCACTGATGCAATCATGGCTGTGCTACTTCATACTTAGCGTCATTTAGTTGCTAATAGGCGATATTCGCCTGCTTACAAATTAAACTAAGGCTAAGCCGGTATATCGGGTTTAAATAGTCTAAATTATCGCGAGGGCCATAACTCCATCTTTACGTACTAAGAATACTTATATTCCATATTAAATGTTCGCGAAGGTATACGTGAAATATACAAGTGCTACAGTGTTATGAGGTACATACCCCACATTATTATGGGGGAGCTGAGGGTCCCTATAGAACAGCGAAGAAACCCTGTTTGTAGCTGACAGAGCTGAGCGCTAGATCGTCTAATACGGTGGTTTCGGCGTATAAGGCACCTACATAGTTTTCCTTACTATCTTCGCTCACCTTGAGACGTAAACCCTATAAATTCGTAGCGATTCGTACTAAAATTTCGAAGTGCCATTAGAAGCACTTACTTAGGTACTTCTATATAGGAGCCCATTGCATTTATAATCTGCATTAAATATGACAGCTTCCAGGCCGAGTGTTACATTCTAATTATTCGTACTGAACATATGTTAGAATTAGATCATGTGGGATGGAAGTTTGCAGCTGGACTAACATCGCTTGTTCATCCCACACAATCCCACATGCGGCTCGATGATGCTCCATGTACGGAGGCGAATTGAGCCGCTAACGACTTCCCAAGCTTGCCAATGATATAGTTCTGAGTATTATAGGTAATAATGGGCGGGTTTCCTGAGTGAATGAATATAATCATGCCGTTCGAACCCGAAGAGATGCATGGTGGGTAGGATTGCAATAGAGCCCTCTACCTACAAAGTTATGATGAAGCATCTGGAGACAGGTGCAAGATTTACAATTCTGACCAGTAGCACATATTACGCAAATGTGGTCCTTGATCTTGGCTTTTCCTATCAAGCTTGTGCCGTATTGTATGTAAATCCGTGTATAACTATGTGACAAGTTCATGCAGACAGCGAGCTTAAACATGAGGGAAGCAATCCCATTGGCTAGTGTTCTGGGATCTTTCCTAAAGGAGTAGGTACTTTTTTGGTGATAACCTTCACCTGTTCAGAGTTTTTTTTTGGCTCGTTAACTAAGAACATTCAATGGTATCGCTAGTCCTGGTGGATGTTTCCTCTGTATAAGAGATGATTTTAGTTGGAAACTCTTGATTTTCTTTGGATGATTTGTACCCATTCTTCTTTTTGCGCTTTACGTAATCGCCTTTTCATGGTTGTAGGGTGGGATTTTAAGAGTGGACGAATCCCACCATAAACTTCGTCACGCTACTTAAAATGATCACAAATCAGGTATGTGCCTTTTATTAACGCTGCAAATGAATGCATAAATTATGCAGTTGATGCTAGATAATGCCAATGTTGAAGAATATCAAACCTTGAACGCCAATATGATCTTCCCAGAGGCGTTGAGCCTGCTTTGACTCTAGTGCCATATGCATTTACCCTCGCCTCTTCAGCGACGGGCTTGATGTTGAGATCCCACGCTACGTTAATCCAGAACGCCTTAAATGCACCCATATGTAGCATAGATAGATACGTTACCATCATCCAAGTTTACCTTATTGATCTGTTCAGTCCAATCAAGTTTAGAAACTCGTTTCTAGTCTTTTCTTTTTTCTCGAAGCATCCAAGTACGCAGCTGGTAATGGTGCTGGTAGTAGTCTTTTCGACCCCTCTCATGACAGTGCAAAGATGGCTTGACTCCATGACAACGGCAACTCCTTGGGGTTTTAAAACTTCCATGATGGCGTTGGCAACCTCTCGCGTAAGTCGCTCTTGAACTTGTAGCCGACGACTGAACATCTCAGCAATGCGAGGCAGTTTGGATATGCCGATGACATTGTTTCTCGGGATATATCCAATATGCATCTACAAACGATGAGAACTGGACCATCGTGCGGGGGACTGAGATAACTTACTTTCCCAGTGAATGGTACCAAATGGTGCTCGCAAAGACTGAACAATTCGATGTCCTTTACGATAACCATCTCATTATGATTCTCGCGGAAAATAGCATTGTTGACGACGTCTTTAACATTCTGTTGGTATCCCTTGGTGAAGAATAACATGGCCTTCGCATATCTCGCTGGTGTATCTAGCACACCTTCTCTGTCAGGATCTTCGCCGACGCATTCTAGGATTGTCCGAACAGCTCCTCTCAGCTTCTCGAATCTCTCGGCTGCTTGCTCAGGGCTTTCCTCTAGTCGCTCTCGAGTACCTCGACCTAGGTTGTGTAAGTCCTAATGCATATCCAATCAAGTGGGTTATTTATTAACGTACTTGGTCTGCTTAGGCCGTCGAAGTCAATAAATGGGCTAGGAGATCTTGTCTCGGTACCCTCTCTCTTAGCCTTTCTCTTTTTCTTCTTTTTCGGTGGCTCATCTCTGGGATCTCGCGCAGCCTTGCTTATGCTACTCCTTCTATTTAGTGTGTCGTCATGTCCGTTGGCCTCAGATGTCCCGTTGTCTCGTTCTCTTCTTCTCTTTCGCTTTTTGGCCTTCCTCGAGTCGCGGCTATTATCGCGCCTTTGTTTCTCGTCGCCGGTAACAGAGTCGTTAATATCGGAAAGGCCGGTAATGGAAGGGCTGGATGGATCTGGCACGGCGGAATCCCGATCGATCGGGCTGTGTTCATTGAACTGGGGCATCTTGCTTATTTCTCTGGCCAAAGCGTCAATCGGCGCAAGGGCGTTATGGGAAATGTCGCATACAGCTTCGGTGTCGGTGGGGTGGATGAGGCGGAAAGTCTTGGGATTTGTACCAGGAACGGAGTGGAGAAACTAGAAAAGGAATTTCAATTAATTCCTTTGGGTAAGGTGCATGTACATGTAGTAGGAAGCAAAGTTTACGTGCTTATGTAGGTACGCTTAGGAATATGTAGGTTTGTAAGTTTGGATGACTGAACAAAATAATTGAGTCACATCATTAAGGCACAACCAATTGCTAGCTTTAGCTTTATTTTGCTTAGCTTGGAAAACTCAATTTAACATGCATTTATTACATACCTTTTATCGAGCCGATAGGATATTCTGAAAGTCCGCGGGGTATGACAAAATTACATAAGCTGCGTTATCTTTTATCAGTTACTCCAGTCAGCCAGGACCTCCGGTACGTACCGAATCATGGTCCACATTAATTTAGCTCTTCGTCATTTAGGTACCTAGTCGCGCCCTAGCTCGTTATCTCATCTTGTCGCTCCCTAACTTTCTAACTTTCTGACTTTCTTCATCGCAGTTCGCGTTTTATTACCACTACATACTCCTTTTTAATAAAATACCAACGTCTTTCACTTCAATCTTGAGCGAACCGCCATATCCGACCGCGAAATTCAATAGTTCCCACATTCATTCAATCCGAACTGACTCCGACACACCTCCCTAATACCTCGTTAGCCCGAAGCCGTCATCATACTGTTGATCTTCGAGTGGACTTCACTAAACTAGGCGCTCCAGACACCATGGCGTCTCCTCCACGTGCTTACTCGCCTGCGGGCTCTCCACCGTATTCTAGCGCGCAGTTGCCATCGAAGAAGCGCGGCTCTGCAGCTGCTGATCTATCTGTTCAGCCGCCCTCTCTCAAGCGACGAAAAGCATCTACTATGTCCGTGGCCTCCGCAGGCTCAGCTCATCCTCTACGACAGACCTCATTCCCTCCCGACGAATCGCAACCTCAATCGTTCTCTCCCTCATACCAACGGTCCCCAAGTATCGATACCATGAGTCTCGTTAGTGGAAGTCAGGTCAGCGGCGCACCCGCGAAGAAAAAACGCGGTAGGAAGTCGAAAGCGGAACGAGCAAGCGAAGCGGCTGCTGAAGCTGTGCGAGATGGATCGCCGAGTGTTGTAGGAGGTCGCGCTGCGACAGTGCTTAGTGGCGTGAGTGGGAATAATGCAGGCAAAGATGGCGACGCGGATGGGAGGAAAGAGGAAGAGTTCGAGATACCGGAGAACATGGCCAGTATGTCTGCTGCTCGTACCAAGGAGCAAATAGAGGAAGAGAAGGAACTTAATGCGCTCTTGAAGGCGCAGATGGATACTCAACAATTCGAGCGTTACGAGGTTTGGCATCGTCAGACTCTGAAAAACGCGGACGTCAAAAGAGTAAGTTGTCGCATCCTGATATACTATTTATATCGTGGCATGGCTAACACGGCATAGCATATCAACAGTGTCACTTCCCAATCCTGTCCGACCAACGTTCACCAGATGATGCAAGTCGTATGCAAGATGTACTTAGGAGATATCGTGGAATCGGCACGCGAGATACAAGAAGAATGGGTACAACTAGGCGAAAAGCAAACCGACTTGTCGGACGACGATCTCCAACCTACGAACGAGTTATCGGAGTATCGCCGGCAAGCCCCACTACGACCCGAACATCTTCGAGAAGCCTACAGACGCCGCAAAGCTTCATCTGAGAATGGTGGAGCTCTGGGAAGCTTAATGGTCTGGAATCAGCAGACGCAGAACGGAGGCGAACGATTTGCAGTGAGAGCAGGAGGGCGCCGCATCTTTAGATGAGTGGTGTTTCTTGGTTTCACGATGATTTAAACCTCCGGAGGCTACGAGCTTTCAAGACCAATGGAGTGCGAGAGCGCACCGGCGAAGCAGCAGAGTGCCAGGTATTTCGTCAGATACGAAGGCGCTGAGGTTATTATGGATTTTCCATCTCGCACGGGTGAAGCGCACGCTTCTGCAGCCCGTGTTGACGATGTTATCAAGCCACTCTGGTGTGTCGGCGGGATTGCGATACTAAGTCAGTCGCCGCGAATATCGGCGGGATAAGCAACTCGTACCTACTGTATCACACCTCCGGCACTTAAGAATAAGATTGACTAAGATGGAGAGTGAATGTTGCGGTCTCGTACAGGGTCAGGCGATACTATATATGCGGACATGTCGTCTACTAGAGTACTCTGAGGACGAATTTCCCATGGGAATCTGTTGCCAAGGCTCTTACGAGTAAGGATGCTTAGTATGCATTTGAGAAAGTAGTCAACCCTAAAGATTAGCATAATGGGTCTCTTTGGGACTCAATATTATCTGCAATCCCAGCTGCTTTACTAGGTCATATCCAGTATTATACCACCGTGATCATACTAATAACTCGAATAATGAACGAGAGTCAATAAAATTATCTTCGCCCTCTGATCGACCCGTTTTCCCTTAGCGGCCTCGAGGGGGCAATCTGGCTTCATTTATACTCTACCTCTGTGTATTCTGCAACGTGTCCCCGATAGGCCTTCAACTAACACAACCTAGAAAAATTATGATGATTTTAATACACCAGTGCTGTGATTCGAGTTATTTAAATACCTAGGTACTCACCGAGAGTATTGGTTAAGCGAACTTGAGCTGTTTGTGTGTAGCCAGCACGTGATGCCCCAGTAGAATATTTAGGTGTATAATAGAGGGCCAATCATCACAAGTACTGGATACCTCATCCAGGTCTAGCCCTTATAGCTCAGTGGTAGAGCGCAGCACTTGTAAGATTTCACCTTCTAGGAGAAATGTGTCAGGAATGCTGAGGTCCATCGTTCAATCCGGTGTGGGGGCACAAGATTTTCGTCATTTTTTCGCAATTATCAATCGGACTTTCTTTTTAAGTACCTAGGTATTCCTTCCCCGTTCGTTCTGCTCGGTGTATCCAATTTTCACAGCAGTTGTCAGCGATGATCCTCCATAACGAACGGTTTAGGAAATCAATTGATCCTTCCTTTTATTGTTCGCTGGCGCCAATCGTACGAAACGCACCATTGGCTATTTAATTGATGGTACCAGCCGATGCGTGAATAGATTTTAATTCCACTATTGGTCGCATTCTATGTTTTGAGGTGCCACACATAATATTTCGGTTTTCCCACAAGTCCGGGGTCAAGAATCGAAAGAGAGATCGAGACAAAACTGCAACTTTCAATCATCATGATCAAATCCTACGAGCATTAATATGCCTCAGCCACTTTCATTACATTGTGTTCAGGTTTTCAAACGGCCAAGTCGGCAACGCCTCTTCTAATCCCTACACAGAACCATTCACAAAGAAGCTCATTACCACCTGTTTCAGGAATCAAAGTGCCTGAATATGAACATTATGAACAATACTAGCATATCTAGCGTAGGGGTAACACAACACAGCCTCAACACGACCCCCTTGGCCATGCAGAACATGGGCGATCCCGTTTGACCCCACAAGTTAATTGTGCTGCCTAGTCGATATGGTAGAATCGGGTAAGAAATCCCGACAATCATCAGCTAATTCGATTCCTAGTGGTTGAGATTTCGACGAAGGTAACTTCGTGTGGGTGGTTCCTAGCTAGAAAGACGGATCTACGGACGTGATTTAGAAGGATGTTCTAAGACCCAAGAATGAATAATTCTGTCATCTAGTATGTTCGTTTAGGTACGGGTGTCGCAGATCAACCGCGGCGCTTGCGAAATTCGTATTTCCACCCTATTTACCAGAGCTGTTTCGCCGTCAGCCACTATCTAACACAGCAAGGAAAATAAAACATCTATTACATCGCTCTTTGCCCCGTCCCGTATGCGTATATGCGTGAGACGCGACAATCTAGCTGAATGCCCTAACTAACCCAGCTCAACATCCCACCACAATACCATCCAGCGATTGAAAAAGACCACCGCCCAACATGGATCGCGAAAAGGGTAAATCCACCACCCGCAGGATAACCGTCAATGGAGAAATAGATTCATGGAGGACGCCACACCAAGACACGTGGGATAAAGTACGATACGCGTTCCGAATCATATCATTCATCGTCGGACTCCCGTTCTTCGGAATAGCCCTCGCAGGATTTTCGGCACCTTTCAATTTAATGCAATATCCGATCATGGGGATTACGCTAGTGAGTAAATCGGCTTAACTCGCTTCAATATCTCCATGGCACATACTAAACCATTGAATTATCAGTCTTCAGCAATGTTACTTTATGATATCGCAGAGTTGATCGTCACGTGTGTTCAGAGGAGGAAGACAGGTATCCGGCCGTCGGTAGCCCTTGGTTTCGAGCTGACGCTCTCTCTCGGGGGCCTTGTCACCTCAGCGTTCCTCGTCCTCGCCACGATAAATATCTGGCAATTGCACATAAGCGCCGGTAACCGGAACAATTGGCTATCATCCATTGTCCCCGGCTACAGTAGGAGCAGGTTCTGGTTTCAGATGGCTGCTGCTGATACCGTGCTCGCCTTCTTCCTATCGTAAGTATCGAGATGATCTATTACGTTCACCGCGAAGTTGGCTAACCCCGCTAGTGTCTTGCATTTTATCCTGTTCGTCCGGGACTGCGTGGAGGTAGACTTGAAGCGGAAAGCTATCAACCGATTCCTGAAGAAGGCTATGAAGGAATCATTTCAGCAACAAGAACCCCTCCATGACACCACCACCACCACCCCTGGCGTAACGGAGGGAACAGTTGAGCTTGATAACTACGATTTCAACAAGTTCAACGACAAATTTAATGACATCGACTATAACGAAACGAGAGAACAAAAGTCATTGGCGCACGACATGTATCTGAAGCGCTAACTTTACTATATAATTTTCCTTAATATATCATATTTCATTTAAGAAGGCGCTCGCAAGGACAGCCACAACAAGGACGGGTGCGGAAAGAATCACGGTTTGGAGTTTATATCATGGGTTCAGGGGATCGGACTAGTTTATTGGCTTTGGCAATATTTCTTTTGCGCATTGATTGCAGCGCAAATATCTCAAAGATACCTTAAAACAAAGGTTTAATTTCACAGGTCAGCGCCCGGCCTTTCGCACAACCCAATACTCGCCAGCATTCCAGCCCGTGCGAAATTGCGAGAAGAACCTATCATATTTGAACACATGACCTGCATGACGAGACAACCATAGTGAATATAACCGTGCATTAACAAAAATCTTCCAAAACAATAGATCGACTATTAAATTGGTTGTTCTGACAAAGCAGTGATGTTTCGCACTTCCCGTCCTTTTCATTTCTTTTATAGGTATCGCACGTCGATGGTCGCATGCTTGGTCCTCAAGTGGAGCCCCACCGAGTTGCGGTCACGCGCAAGGCGAATGCAAGGTGAGAGCAATGCTCTCGGAATTCATCTAGCAACTCAAAGCACTGTAAACACCATTGTAAAGGGTCGATCCCGGCCAGTGTAATTATTCAGTACTGGTAAACTAAGTCGGCGCTATCGGATATACGACTGGCATCGGCTTGTCAGCGACGATTAGATGCCCAATACGCACCAGTTAGACGGCAAGATATTAGATTATATTATCGGATAGTTTGAAGAAAGGTATTGTGTTCTATATGACTTCGCCCTCTCCATTTAAATATATCGATACAGATCCAGCCTATGCTAGGACGATCATTTCGCATGCTATTTCTGGGCTAATCCGAATAGTTTAATCACCATTAGGTGAGCTAGATAAAACCGAAATAATCGAGGTGCAAGTTTAGATAATTTCCAGTAGGTAGGCAAGCTCGCATTGGCCCATTCGGCTTGTTTATCGGTATGGCATTTGTAATCGCGAGTATTCGTACTGGAGTTTATCAACTCCGAAGAGGGCGTCAAATTTTGATGGTGGGCTCTAGCAAATCTCCAGTTCCAACCCCACGTTAGTCTCGCGTTTATGCTACTCAGGAAAGACGGCCGAGCTTTTTACTCGGGAAATTGGTAAGTTCCGTATTCAGAGATTCATGAGCCATTGGTGTTCTTTGGGGAAAAGGCTCCGCTCCTAAGTAGCTTTCTTTCAGAATGTTATTGTATGGTCCCTTGAAATCGGATGTCGTATCGGAGGATAGGTCTCGAAATCTTGATGGTCGAGCCTTCAGCGCGATGGCTAGATGCGGCATTGTTCGTCAATAGGCCCCGGAGACAACGGTCGCCAATGCGTCGCCAAATTCTCGTCCGTATGCTGATGCGGCAAACCCGGTAAACTCCGCCCTAGCGTCTGAACTGAATAGAAAATAAGTCACGGAACAAATACGTAGAGGAAATGAATGATGTAAACTAACCTTTCAGTGCAAAATTGGAGACGAAGAGAAGATCGTTGGACAGCAAATGCTGATGAGCAAAATGCGGGGAATCTGCAGCCAGCTTGGACGGAGTTTAATACACGTATAAAATGTTGTGGAGCCCTGCTTCTCCTGTCATCCTGCAAAGGGCCCTTAACCGATGATTATGTCCTCTGAAAGACCAGTCAACCGGTCAGTAACCGACTGATAGCGCTCCTTTGGGTCGGTGGTTGTGTTCTCTTTCGCTACTACCTCGACGAACTCCAATTTGGTCACCCTTACACCCGATCCTGGTCCCTTCTTCCACTGCTCAAACTGTTTCAGGAGAGTGACTTCGTGCTCATTAGTCTTAACACGAATCATTGCCTTCTCACTTCTGTCGACGCCCCTAACAGCACGTCGCATCAGGTAGAGGGTCTCCACGTTAGGCCACGATTTTGTGACAGTCTGCCAACACGGATCCGCCCCAACGGGAAGCATTGGTGCTTCTGTTTGGATAGCCAAGAAGCGTACTGCGGAGCGATCGTCATCGCTGTACTGATGTCGAGCACAATGGCATCCACGGCACGCTCCGTGGCAGGGTTCGAAAATCACAATGTCGTTATGAAGGTTGACATCCTGGATTAATGTGCGATCGATAGCGGGGTTACCAAAGTTATAAAGAGCAAACCGCTTTTCGTAATGAAGGCGAGCGATCCATACCGACAGGCGGCATGCAGTAAACCATGTGGGGATCTTGTTCTGGACTCCAAATGGTGGCAGGAGAATGGTAGGGGTATGCGAGTACGAAGATCTGTTACATACATACAGGAGTCGCGGTTCGATAGCGGCCTCCCATATCATCATCTTTAGTTCGTTCGGTAAATTGTTATACAGGTGGAACTCCGTGGGTGGTTTCCAGAATCTCGGTGAACGACGAACAGATATAATAGAACCTGTCTCAGATCCACTGGCCTTTCGTGCTCGCTTCTTTGCTGGTGCTGGTGTAATGTCGGTAGAGCTTTCGATTGCAATCTTACGATCGTTGATACGAGCTGACCGGCGAGACGCCACTCGAAGCTGGCCAATCTCTGGGTGAGTTCTGGATGATGGGCCCGGATCTAGCGATGCAAGCGGCCGGTCTTGGTGGTTTCGATCTTGGTCATCCACCTCATCCACCGCCTCTTCTTCCTCGTCTTCATCTGCCTCGAAATCGCCCGATCCTTGACTAACATACTGGATATCCCTTGAGTTCTCGAGTTTGGATCCACTTGTGTTAGATGTACGCTTCTTGGACGATTTATTGAGCCTCTCTCCAAAAGAGATGGGCGTATCAGCAGTGTAGGTTGTTGCATCTAACTGACCGTCAAGGCCAAAATTGGTCATAGATCGCGTCACAGGTCTCGCGTAAGATCTTGAAGGAATGGTCGCGTAGGAAGTGGATGCTGATGTCTGTGCAGGTGTCATCATCATCATGGGAGACTCTGCCATCTCGGCATCCTGTAAATTGTTGCGCCTCAGGCTGATTACATTCCCGTCATGTTCGTCGTCATCGGGACGGATATCTTTCGTGCTTCTTCTTTCCGTCATTTTGGATGCTAGTAGATTTCCAATTTCCTGGTCCTTCTGATTTCTGCGGTAGAGTATGGATAAAGCCTTGGAAATTGTAGTGCGCCCGAGGACAGCTCGAGTGAACCTTACTACCCACGAATTCAAGCCTGGGTCGCCAACGGGTTCGTTTTCGGGAAATAAGAATCCCCCCAGCCCTTCCAGTAATGAAGAAAGGTAGGGCCGGTGGAATGCCTCAGCCCTTTTTTGATTAAGCTGTATGATCAATTCAATAAGCAAATGGGCATAGAACTGTTGGCATGGAATCGACCCTGGAGGAGGTAATACTATTTGCTTGGTAGTGTGTAATAGGTGTGTTAGTGATGCAAATGTCTGTGATGTAATTCGGAGAATTTCTGATGAATGGGGTTGTAGGGTGGTAAGTCCGGGGAATAGTGGCGTGGGGGCTAAGCTCAACGGCAACGAAGGTGAGATAGAAGAAAATGAAGAGGGTGAATCAGCGCCCGGGGGATTTCGCCTTAACCGGTGATAGAGTCGCGAAAGACATAGAGATTTTTTCTTTTGCCGACTAGATCCGTCGACTTCATTCCCGGTACTTCCAGGACCGGAGTGAGATGATGCGGCTGAGGAATTGAGTCAGCGGGGTTCTAGGTCTACGGAGATGAAAAATAAGATCCGAAAAGGATGATTGTACGACATTAAATGGTATTGGGGGTTTGCGACATACCTTGTACCCTATGCAGCTCTCCTATCGCCTCGCTAGGCGTCGGTTGTGATGCTGAAGGTGATGCTGAATGACGGTTGAGCGGTTGTCGTTGTTCAGAAGAGGGACGATGCGGGGCAGAGGTGGAGGAGTTGGATGTGTGCGTGGGCTGCGAGAGCTGCGAGAGCTGCGAGGGGCCTGAGGGGAAGGAATTACGCCGTTCCATGGTGGGGTTTTGACGCTCGAATTTGGAAGCCACAGGTGTCATATTTAGCACTTTCAGCGCGTAAGCCCCTGCTATTCGCCGGTTTTTTAGGCGTTTCCCCCCTCGTTATGTGTGGCTACAAGTTCCAAGGTTCCCCTAGGACGGCCAGTGCCGACCAACGAAAGGGAACAAAACAGGGAAGGCACTGTACAAACCTTGGAAAGTATCCTAGTACCTCTTCAAGCATTCCAATCTTGTACGTTTGAGTTCGCAGCCATCCAAGAACGAGTAGGGATAATAGAGCTTATATTGCTGTTTGGGCCAATGATCTCTTTCTTTTCACCCATCGACTTTTAGTAACTTAAAAAGTCTAATGGATACAACGTTCGAAAGACAAAAAAAATAAAGAAAAAGATTTGTATTTTATTGAAGACATAGAAGCAGAGATCTCCGATCTTATATAGGTGTCGTTCCGCTTACTTCGCAATGGCCTCTCGATTTAAGTTCTTAAGTTAATCGTGTACTTCATTAATTCCCCCCTATCAAAGTTACTGGTTAAAAGCAATTATGGTTTGAAATCTTTAAATGCGTACTGACCTGTCAAATCAACATAATTATTCTACACTTCAATATTTCGCATCAAATACATATGATTAGGTCGGATACATGTCTATACCCAAGCGCAATTATTGAGAAAGAGAGTTGGCTTAGCTCTACTAGTTTATTACCCTTCATCACGCGATGCATCCGACCTCGCGTAGGAAGTCGTATTCATTGGATATTTCTGTCGGAGTATCTAATTTTATTCAATCCGATCGCCTTTTGATGCCTTTCGCTAGCTACTTACACATAGGCACATTGTGAAGTATGTCCCATTTCGTACTTCCAGGTACCTATCTACTTGCACATGTAGGTACCTGGATGGTGAACTCTAACATGTGGAGGACCCGCTAAATAGAGTTTAGCAATGCTAGCTTAGAGGGGATCATCGCCTGGGGAAATCTTCCAGTCCGTCGGCACTCGTACCTTGGCATACGTACCTAGGTATCTTAGGAAGGTGGTAGCTTGAGATAAAAGAGTCCCCTTCCTTATTTATCCTCATCTAGCTTCCGAATAAGGCCAACTCTTTACCTTTTTGGTATCATACTGTTTCGGGTACTTCCTATCACTTGAATTATAATTAATCACGTGTCTTTTCCTAAGCATTGAAAGAGCTTTTATATCTCCTTTTCTTATAAATATATCGCTTTAGATGTTTTAGGCCTGGAGAGCGACACGGACAAATTATATTAGTGGTTAAACTGTCGCTACCATAACATATTCTAGCTATTATCGGGATACTCGCGCTCTGCACCTAGGTGAACGCTTATTCGTGAGAGTTATTTCGGGCGTGTAGCTAGAAGCTACAGTTCAATTATGGGGGGAACTAGAGCGGGGAAGAGGGGGGGTTGATGATTGCTAATGGCCAAGATATTCGTACGGAACCAATAGACATATTTCCCACAGAAAGGCCCATTTGTTTTGGAGTCTTAACTGACGAGCTATAAATGCTTATACTACTATGCTCCATCACCAGATCTTATAAGAGGTTGATGTGATCTCACGTGAAAATTATAACCCATAGTAAATCACTCATGAAATAGGGGCTAGCAACCAACGGGGAAGGTCGAAAAGGAAATGTTCCGGAAAATTCCTAGTATAACAAGATATTTAGATGTGTAATGAATGACTAATAGTATGAAACTGTTCATTAAAGAGAGCAGATGATTATAAATGCCAAGTGATCCGAGAGAAATAAGCCAAAATGAAGCAATCTAAGTGCATATTAAGATCCATGTAGATCTCTGTGTAACCTTTGAGATCTGTGTAACCTAAGTCGCTTTTCGGTTTGCACGCTAGATTGTACGAAACAACCTCACCCTCCGTCTCAGATCTATCTTATCAGATATAGTCGGATTTAGGAACGAATGGCCAACTATCCCGAGACCTGTATAGCTCGCTTGCCTATTCATGTCTGTGGAAGAACTGGTCTCTATATAGTTTTAAATGGCAACATGTTCCTATCGATTTAATTCCGTATAGATTGCTAGACTTTGCAACAATATCCCCCTGTTCTGCCAACTCTTCACGGCTTGACTAGAGCCCCTGGGAGTATGCACACCGCCGTGTTTAAAACCCAATCATTTTGCCCCTGTAACAACCTCTTGGGCGGTTTCATATCAAAAGCATTTTAATATCCCTCCTCGATGTGTCACGCGATCACTTGGTACTTTTACTGCCTTACCTGTGGCAGGGGGCCGCTGAACGCGAGCCCGCAGGTATATTATATCTCGTTTCATTTGCCCCTTTCTCTTTAGAGGTAGCTGTTCGAGATTTTCTTACTACTAAGATATTCAGATATACGCTCAACTAGTTGCTGACTTATTAGGTCAGTGTAGTTGGCAGACCGTGTGTGACTCCAATAAAGCCCAGACTAGGCAATGTCCGAATTTCACAAATGAAGACCGGCAGTCTCACGGCGATGACTGTGTGGCGTGGGGAAAGCGCCACCTTCCACCTCCTCCACCCCCATTTACTGATGGTTGATAATTCCGAGGAGCCGAGGGGATTCTACCTGTGTAAGTTTTAGGGGTTCTTTATGTACCTAAACTAAATAATATGGTAGCTCTAATAAGGTTTGTAGCGAATCTTTATCTATAAAACAGTTGTACTACGAAGCGAGGAGTTAGGTGCTATCTCTATGTATACTCGTTTCCAAGCAAACCATCAACGTTTACAATGTTGGCTAGAGTAGAAGTTCTGTTAGATATACCTAGCTCGATACCTTAATTAAGAAAATTTACATGTTACACCAAACATTTCTTTTTGATGACAATGAGTCTCAGCGCATGCAGTTAATTTACCCAACTGCCTATTTAGGTTGTAAAGTGCTTTACCACTCCGTTAAACTCTTTGAGTCCTATTTGGTACAGAAAAGTTGGATATATTAGTATAGGGCTATAAGCACCTTAGGGCGAGTATAGAATTGTTGGCTAGACGGTACATAGTTAGAAATGAGATTTGTGAACAGCGAGACTGGAGCTTGATATTATATCTGCATTATTTATGAAAATAATTACCTAAGTATCTCGAAATCCTGTGGGATTTGTCATGGGACTAACCATATAAAGGGGTTAATAACTCTGTTATTGTGCAACGAGATCGCAAATAACTGCTACGGGAACTATCGTATATATATACTAAGGCTTTCTTTATCCCCATATCGGCAATAAGGGGTCTCTCCGATACTTCCCAAGACGTATCGCTTCGTACAGGTCCACTGCTGGCGGGATTAATGTTGCCCTTAGTTATTTATATACGAAATTTTTAATGTGAATGCCTAAATACACATCTTGATATACTGCGCCATCTGCGTATTTCGACTCTCCGCTTATACCTTCCTACTCCGTATGTGAATATCTAGGTATACTGAGGTACTTACGTATCACCTATCTCGGTGAGGCGTAGATATTGCCCGCCGAGAGGATTCTATTGAACCAACCAAATTGCAATATTTTTAATTGGGTAAGCGCCTCGAAAGCAAAAAGACCTTGTCAGCCACTCGGTAACTTTTGGCCAATCACGGCTCAGATTCATTGCGTCATTATCTAATGCTAGATGAAGGCGGTGCGGGGACTCAATTTATGATGGCCAACACTTAATGAAGATCTAGTTCAGCTCCAAATCGTTCTCGCGTTTCTGATAGCAAGCTGAACTTAGAAGCGGAACGCCATTTCTGGGACGAAAGAACCCGATTTGCTCCCCCTGTAGATCGCTAATCAACACTCAACAAGCTCCACAGTATTGAATATAAGCTCGGGGAACACATGTTTCCGTGTGAGGCAAGGATATAAGACCGGTATGGAACATGTTACATTGACTACTTTTTATAAAAAGTTGAAGCAATAGCCTAGTGCGGGTATTGCTCACGGCCAGATTGAAAGCTCATGCGGCTGCGCCGGAAGCGTGCATTCTCTGGGTCAGATCGAACATCGTTTCAACTTTGGTTGCACGTGGGATTCCTTGCGCACGAAAATTGGGAAACGTATGGCCAGATTGATCTGCGGGAGAGCTGCGGTCATCTACCACCCTATCCATGCTCTTATCCATATTAGGGGTACCTTTGATCTCTGGTGTTCTAGACGCGCGTTTTACGTGAAAGGACCTCACAGAACACGTCAGCGCGGTGGCGGATAGCAATTTCTTCATAGCGAAAAAGCTACAAAACACAGTAAACTTAAGAATAGGTAGCTGTACTCGTACGCTTATCTTGACTTGTGTTGGGGGTAAGCTATCCGAAGCCTGCTAGCCTATTAAACAGAACTATGATCTTTGAGGAGGTTCCAAAGTGTTCGTTGGAAGCGACATGTGCCCCAGGTATTCTGTAATCACATCATGTACAAATTGGAAACGATAGATTATGGGATTCTAAGATACTACCCGAAGTGTTTTGTATTGAAGATCAAATATCATTCTCATGCGTTAGATAAACAGCGAAGAAAGGTCCAAGTCCATCCGGGAGGTGTTCCTTGCTTGTCCCTCGGACGTATACCACCACATAACAAATCCGTATCCGAATAGTAAGACAATTTGAATGATACAAAGAAAACAGTAGTCGTTAGATGTATCAAAATACAATTTACCCAATACAGATGAAATCTAGTTGTTTTGTGGTTCGACGGCCAAGTAATCGTAAAGAGGTGATGCACATTGCATCCAACTAAGGAGACAAGCGGCCTAACAACCACCTCATTCTCCAACGAAGATAGGATGACGTTTTTCTCCAAACGCCTGTAGAGCCTCAAGGCGGTCCTTGGTATTGAGAGTCAGTTCATAGGTAGAATTTTCCATAGTCTCGCAACCATATGCAAGTGCGCTGATAGCAGCTCGTATAGCAATGGGTCCGCCGCTAGATATCTCCTGAGCCAAAGAGATACCGGTCGCTAGGGCAAGTCCTTGCTTCATTTCACGACTAATAGAGTTGCCGAGTCCATCTGCGGCGACTAGACGGTCGCAAAGTCCCATAGAGGCTGCCTCATATGCTTGAACTCGACGTCCTGTCAAGATCATGTCCAGAGCATGCGATCGACCAACAACTTTAGGTAGTCGATATGTTCCACCTGCGCCAGGTATGATACCTAATCGCGTTTCTGGTAGACCAACCACGGCGTCGGAAGAAAAAACACGTAGATGGCAACAAAGTGCAAGCTCGAGTCCACCACCAAGTGCTACACCAGAGACACAGGCGATAGTAGGGATCGGGAGAGACTCCAATCTAGTGAATAGAGTCCTTAGGCTAGTTAAGAAGTCTCTGGTCTCAATTGGATTCATGTTCTTTCGTTCTTTTAGGTCTGCTCCTGAGCAGAATACACCTTCAACGGCACTAGAAATGACCAAGACTCTCGTGCCACCTGAACCTCTTTCATGGTGAATTGCTTCAATTTCTTGGCTCAACTCTTGTACCATTTGTTTTGAAAGCGCATTCTTGGCCTTGGGACGCTGTAACTGGATGACTCTGATCGTACCAACTTGGGATGCCTTAATGTTACTCACAACCAATGTTGGTACCTTAACGTCTTCTCGCCCTTTAGGTGTTGACAAGGCTGTCTGTGAAGCGTGCGAGACGAAAGAGGCCAGTTTCTCGCTCTTCGGTGGGACAATGGGTTGTGGAGAGGAAGCGAGGGTTCGTTCAGAGTGGATACTTGAAGTATCGTCTTCTTCTTTGATGAATTGACTGAAAAATTCGTCTTCTGCGAGGAAGTTGATTACACTCTCTCGCTCACTGACCATGAACTCGCAACTACCGTCTGGTAGTTTTGGCATCACAATAACTGAACCAGCCATTGTGCCCTTTGCTGGCAGACGCAGAGCCTTCATATAACCATCGCCAAAGGCAGGACCAAAGTTGAGTTCGTGCAACGCAAATTTGAAATGGCTTGTCAAAATCAGGCCCTCCGTCAATACATCCTCAATAATATTCAGGCGGGTATGGGCCTCCTGAGAGGTTCTCTCAGAATAGCCTACCAGATCTCTGAATGTCTCAGCGGTAACATTTTTGAGCTCAGCGCGTATCAGTCGAGCTGCAGAACCGAGACCATTCTTTGGGTTCGTAAGTATAGAAAATGGAATTGAAGTCTTTGTGAAATAAAGAACGTTGCCAAAATAAGGTTCTGGTAGGTGCAAATGCGAGCGGCAATCAACAGGTTGCGTAATAGAAGTCTTTGAGTCAGTGGTAAGAATTCCGGCACGTAGTCGCGCAGCCATGATGCTGCGCCAAATCAGGGCGGTAATGGCGTCATTGGTCGAAATCCAATCACCAGGACCCGACGAGGGTTCAGAGGCAGCCTTTTTGAGACGCAGAAGGGATTTGGCGCTGATACGGAACGTTCTGCAAGAGTCGTCCACATCAACTAGTTGGGAGTGTGCGTTAGCCGTGGAGGAAGTCCAAGCAGCGTGTTTTTCAATATCCCCACGCACACCGTTTCCAGTTACAAGTGCGGTTCTATCGGACTGGTATGTGGTCTCTCTGGTTTTGAAATTGAAAAGAGGCTCAACTACTTGCGCTTTACGGAGCTCTTCCGCAAAGATCTTAGTGACCTCGGTAACTCCCCGACCATCGGCGGCAATATGGATGATTGATACGGTAAGCAGAAGACCTCCGGTGATAAAATTGGCTTGAAAGCGACACACGTCGACTGGGTCATCCTGAACGTAAGAAATTCCCGGAAGCGGGCATAGCTGTTCGGTATTGAGGAGATGCTGGGAGAAGTTTGATCGAGAGAGTTCGTCAAAGTTGAGACTGTCAGAGAGATCTTTGAACACTAGCCGGGCTGCTCCCTCCGGAATAATGTTCCTGAGCCATGGGCGATTGCCTTCATCTTCGGAGAAAGGGACGACGGAGCCTGCGAGGAATGGAATTCGTTGAATGGTATTATGAAATGCAGTCTTGAGGTAGCCTACGAGGCTTTGCTTATCCGCATCAGGTGGGAGTGAGAAGCATAAAATTCTCTTTGAATGGGTAGGAGGGAAGTGTCGGTCCCAATGTGACAACTTCACGTCAAAAGGTGGGCATGGAACAATGAAGGTCTTTTCCATTTTGAGGAGTATTGGAAAGACCAAGACTTAGGCTAGACGTATATGCACGTGTCTATAATACGACCACTCTGAACCGCATATGCATGGAACGCTACCTTACGTGCCCGGAGAAATCTATCTTATATTATATATAAGCTTCCATGACCTACATTAGGCGATTGTTCGGGAATTTGCCATGTGGAACTTGTGTCTATACTATTCTCGTATCGCTCGCCATGTAGGCAAGTTCCTGTAGGATCATCTGTCATATTAGAAGTCAGCGCGCGTATTACTGTTTGGCAGTGCGGGCTGACTCCCCATCGGGCACTTATTTATTGCCTGATTCGTCGATAATGTTCCCCTGCTGCAACGACATTATATCACCCGCGCCCTACAACACCCTTATGGTTCTAACCTTACTCAGACTCCCTGTCATTGCCATATTAGAGCCATACTAGAAAAGCACCTCGGTTTAGGGATGAAGAGAGATGTTCAGGTTGCTCGATCCATCTTAACTCTACCTATCTCGGTATTACAACTGACATGATCATGGCCGCCTCTAGAAAACAATGTTCTTGTGCTGAGGAGGCAGCAGAAGCTTGGAAGCATGTTGGCCGTATGACCGAGATCGGCCTCGATATTATCATAATGGCTAGCTCACAAACAGTCGACTTTTCACTACAGTGGCAAGAATGCCAATCTCGCAATTGTCCCTCCGCCTCAGAAGTTCAAGACACATTATTGGAAATATACACGAAGCTAGTCGATCTACTTCAAGCAGCCATTGTTACATATAGGGTCACCCCAGGCTCGAATTTCGCCGAACACGGAGCCCAGGACTCATCCCTATACCATCACACATCTACTTCAACTATGCAAATGTTCGGTTACCCAAGTATGGGTGCACAAACATTACCGGACCTTGGGGTCATATGTCTACCCTCAAAGATGTCTCTGGGTGAACATGAGTTGGACGAGCAGCAGAGCAGCTATCTAGCTCTAGATCTTGTTTGCAGAACGCTAGAGAATCTAGGAGGAATAATGCAACAAATGGGGCGCCGGGAAGCAGAAGAAGTCGGCCGCGTGGATTCTAGGGTACTGGAAAGACTGTCGCGAGTGAGCAGACTAATGCGCACTGGGTCGCAGGCGCTTCAATCATTATCATGAAATTATATCGAAACATGTTAATACTGTATCTAATTCATTTTAATCATCATTGTTAGCTCCAGACTTCACCCCTACTAAATAGGCAATCTTCTGCTCTCATTTTGATTTAAACAGACTTAAGCGATGCTATCCCCCTTGGCATCTCTCGTAATAGTATAAATGTTCCTTGTTATGGCATTAGCCCCATTTAATCACGTAAATTGAGCCGTATTACATAGTCGATCCTCAACACATTCAAGTGATTGGCTTCAGCCCCCTTTATTGTTAATTAAACTTTAAAAGCTTACATACTAGGTACTCAGATATATAGATAACCAAAGCGGATAACGTGTGGTGTCTATGAAGAAAAGGACTATAGAAAAATGAGTATAGTTAAATGTCCGTTGGCGCCCGATGCAACTTCGTGAATGTATAGTAGGAAATACTTAGCTCTCTGGCTGTTTACTACCTAAGGTACGTAGGTAGTCAGTTAGCTTACGTACTTACCTAGGTATGTAGGCAATCCTGATTAATTTCGAAACTGGACAAAGCAGTTAGTCTCCCGGCTTTAAATTGTATAATGATATGCGCCTTGGAAGTATCATATCGCTTGTGTTGGCCGTAGATAGGCATACGTCTTATCTACTCGAATTATAAGTCTACCCAACCTTTATTCATTACTCCTTGTTTAGCTACCTAATTAATTTGACGTTCTCGACTTCTACCACACCATGTCCTTAGATTTTCCACGTGTTTTCACATGCATGGAACAAAGTATACATAATATAACCCGGTAATAGTACCATTAGGATCTAAACTTAGAGAACGTTGCATGTAGTGCCTGGGGCCAGGTAAGGTGTGGTAGAACCACTGGTACCGGCGGAGATGATTACGACCAGGAAATTTGAGTATCCAATGCCTTGTTTCAGACTACCATCGTATGCAAGTGTACGTAGGTACTTTTCGGCTGATTTTCTTCGCCCTATCACGCCTCATTCTTGCATCATAAAACTGCCCACTTCGGTACCGACGGCACCTAATTGTTCTTTCCTTGATCGGCGCGGGCGCCGGAAGTAGGATTCAGGATACTGCGGGTATTTTGACTTCCAACCTAGTCGCACGGAACCGGGAAGAAGGAACTGAAAATCACAACTTCGATAGAATACACGTTGCATATAATTTGATGCAAGTTTAGTAGGATCAGTCCGCCACATTCTAGACGAGCCTACAACTGGGCGATTTATCAAAAGTCGATCGCAGGGGGGTTTTATTGTAGACCTAGTTTGATTAAATTACTTGCTTTTCGTTAGGAACCCCGAGGTAACATATTCTATCTTCTCGGGATTTGATATCCTTGGTTAGGAGATACCTTTACTCTTCGCCGCCCCCACCGATATTCTAAAAGTAGTCTGCTTAGGTAGAGACATCGAAGATACATATCTGGGTGCGCGGGATATCCCATATCATCCGCATTACCTGGCCTCCTAACAATACAGACTTGGGCAAACACCGAGGTAATCAACTCTTGGGAATAGCAACTGCCTCCAATTTTTGCCTTTATTACCACGTGTACGACCTAGTATGCCTTAAGAAATAAGCTTAACTTAACGTTGGATTGGACTCTTATTGGTCCTTCTGTTGTACCCAAGCGGCTAGTGTGACTTTTAAGTGTCTTTGGTGTTGCCTTCCACATTTGGAAACCCGCAAGCGAATCGAATTTATGGGTTATATTACGGCGCCGGGCCGGGGTTCCACTCTTCGTTCTCGGAAGTTACCCGCCCCCCTGAAGGTACTATGTAACATTAACTAATAGGTACCTAAAGTACCTTAGAAAGAAAGGGCTCCTTCAGCCTGAACAAGTCCCTCGCGCCACGCCGCCGTAGGCGAGCCTTTCGCCTTAAACATTCTACTACAGTATGATAATGCAACACTGAATAATGCTGCTGATCTGTAGTTACTCTATATCTAGTCTTTTAAGACCTTAAATTCCGTTAGAATCGTCCAGATAGGTATCCCGGTCTATGTCCCGTAATGATTCATGATTTTTCAATGTTTGATTCTGGGGTTCCCGTAAAATCAAGCGTCAGCCACTGCTTTCGCCGCCTTACTTTCTGCCCGTTTCTTGACATCGTCGGCTCGCACACTTTTCCATTCAGCACCCAGGGATATGACGACCGCTAAGCTTGAGAGGGCGATACTCCAGATCCAAGCAGCCTTGAGGCCGCGCATGTACGCATTGACCACGATGTTAAGGTCGTCAGGATCAGGGAATAACGCACGTAGATCACCAGATCCAGCTGCGAGAACGGCGGAAGGCGATAGGTTGGGGTTATCTGTTGGTAGCGATTGCAGGATGACATTGTTCATAATGTTCTGCGCGGCCGAGACACCGATGGTACCTCCAACAAATTGCCAAACTTTGTAAAATGTAAGAAATTGTCCGATAATTAAGTGGGGAAGGAAGTTTACTCACGGAGGACGATAGCGACAGTAACTGCTATGTCAGCACGAGATGAGAATGCTTGTGCGACAATAACATTGACTTGGATTACCAAACCGGACCCAATTGCCGCCAAGACTTGATAACCAATATACTGCCCTGCCGTGGAGTTGGGTTCAAGAGTGTATATCATGCCGGAGCCTACAGCGACGAAGATGCCACCGATGAACAGAAATGGTTGGTAATAGCCGACCTTCCCGAGAAGAAGAGACCCGAGGAAACTGAAAATAGCTGTGTTATGCATTAGCAAAGAAGCAATTAGAGAATTGAGAGATGAGACTTACAGGTGGTGAGAACCGTGGGAAGCGTACGAACACCTGATTCAGACGCCGAGACTAATTGGGCAGCCTGGAAGTAGATAGGCAGATTGTACGTTCGTGCGAAACCGGAGCCCTGGGCGGTAAGATTGAATAGGCCGAGAGCAATGATACTTCTGCGCTTCATAATACGAGGGACAACCATAGCTTTCTCTCCTTGTTTCCATTCCGCTAATGTCAGAATGATCATGAGCACACCAAAAGCAACGAGCAGTCCTATGACGAAGCCGCTATTCCAAGGCCTGTCAACACCACCTTCCTCTAGTACCAGTAGAAGACAAGTCATAGCCCCAAGTAGGATCAGTATTCCGGGTATATCGAACAGGAAAGGGATTTCGCTGAGCTTTGCCTTAGCGACACGGGAATGTGCAGGTGTTTTGAAGAAGAACAGAACGAGGAGCATTGTGGTACCACCGATCGGTAGGTTGATCCAGAAACACCATCGCCAAGTCACGTATTGGGTGAAGACACCACCAAGCACGGGACCCAAAACAGAAGAGCAACTCCAGACAACACTAGAGAGACCTAGGACGGCGGGCCGATGTTCAGGTCTCGTAATGAAGGTGAGGAGAGTGTAAACACCACCAGTGACACCGGCACCGCCCATGCCCTGCACAGCGCGTCCAACAATAAGGCATGTACTATTAGGCGAAACGGCGACGATTAGACTACCGATCTCAAAGAGCCCAATGCATGTCAGAAAGACAATCTTCAGTGAGAAGTGTTTGTATGCTTTCCCCCAAAATGCCTGGAAGGCGGCCAGGCCCAAGAAGAACGCAGAGCCATACCAACCGGTTTGGTCGACGCTGTGAAATTCGGCAGTGATCGTGGGAATCGCGGTAGCAATGATACTCTAAATTTTAGTGCAGGAAAGGTTAGCCTGCCAGGCTCCTAGCAGGGCATGGTGCGGGGCGCCAAGATTAAACTAACCATATCCAACGCTACTAGGAACATAGCCAAAAGTAAGGCGAAGTTCAGCACAACGCTCAGCACAAGGCCAGGGTAGACTATGACGGGTTCCGGAGGACTAGCCGGCTCTGGCGGGGTGACCAGTTCGACGGACCCGGATCGTGCCTCCTTGTCGCTAGAAGCATTTTGCTCGGTCGTTGTTCGCTGTGTGTCTGACATGGTGTAAGGCTTAGCTGTTGTCGCTATGGTCTCGAGTCTTGCTGAGGACTTGTGAGATAGAGGGAGGTGGTCATACCTGTGTCAAGGGCTCTCTGGAAAGCTATTAAGAGAAGGCTGAGATAGAGAAATGTTGTTTGTAAGGCGGCAATGGCTCAATCACGTCGGTCGCTTTGTGTCGTTTCCGGTTGGCGGAAAGGAGCCGGCGAGGCTCGGCTGCTTTCTCGCATCCCCACTGGCGAAATCACAATCTATTTCTAGCCACATTGGGCAAGCCAGGAATTGGCAGGGGCCCTCATCCTCGACCTGATAATGAAGGTCAGCTCGCCTGCTGGCCTGGCCATGACTAACACGGATTTCTTGGTCAACCTCGTCAGCGCGGTCGTATGTGGCCCGCCAGGCGAACGAATGAGGGATGGCGTGTTCCAACTGTGATGTTAAGCCAATTCTGTAGTTTCGGTTGTGTCCGAAGCGTCCGCTTACGCGCACCTGTATTATGTTTTGCACGGTTTGTAAGCCGATTGTATGATAATTCATAGAGCCTAATGATCCCTCTGACAAGCGAAGGCTTAATGTTCCCACCGGCAGACGAAGCTTAGCCTGGCACAGCACATGGGTTGTCCCACAGTTTTTATTCAACAGGAACAGGCACGGAGCGCCAACATTACGCCACTAACCGTTACCTAGGTACATACCGTCCATAGAAGGGATATGCATCGCCATCATGCTATGTTACACGCATCTCAGACATGATACGTGATCGACATTGGATGGGGATAGCCTTACTTGCCTGCCCCATACCATGCTTATCTCGTTTTAAGTTCCAACTTTCCAGTTCCTCCGCTTACTATTCGATCTCGTGTAGTGGAAAATCAGCGCAATCTTCAGGTGCGTCAACTAAAGAGAGAACCATATACATAGGTAGGTAGGTTTTTGTAGGATCGCGCATTCGTCCCTCTTCCATCCGAAATCCTACTTACGCAACTCAATCTACCTACGTAACATGGGATTTCGCGGCTTTCCTCTTGCCTGGGTCCACCCACAAAATAAGACACGGCGCATACCATGTACCTAGGAAGCTGAGGCCTTATTGTTTGGCGGCCAATGCTTACCTTTTGATAAGGAAGATACCCTCCCGGGATGATGCCTTAGCGCAACCACTGGTGATGACTGCATGGGGGGTACGGTACCAACGCGGGCGGCTCAGCAACCTAGCAGAACGCGACCAAGAAATAGAACATAATTCGCTCGATGATTACGCCGAGAAAATAATTGCTTAAAACATATTTTTGCCAACGCCCAGCCAAAATATCTCACGGTGGCAAGAGAACCTGCATCTTGTTCGCGTCATGTCTAACGTCAAGTTTCGATCGTCTTGCGACGCCTGCCTCAGCACCAAAGTCAAATGTAGCCGAGCCAAGCCATCTTGTGCGCGATGCACGCAGCATGGTCGAGAGTGTGTATACAGCCAATGCCGCAAAATCGGCCGCCCGAGCCACAAAAGCACAGCAGTTTCAGTATTGTGGCCGGAACAGCGGCTTTCACCACGACCGCCTAGAGATGCCGTCGCCGGCGGTGGCATCTCAGACACACTGGAAGCCCAATCGCCAGAGGACCAAGCCGGATCATGCGCCGATAATCTAGAGGCCGATACCTCGATCGGAGACTCCGTAATGTCTCTTGTTCATGACATGGCTGACTCGGAGCTCATGGCCAATTTCAGTACTAGCTTGGAGGATGACTTAGCAACGAGCGACTGGGCGGATGTAAATACCATCCTCGACTTACCAACAACACTGCCGCAAACGGCAAATGCAGTGCAAGTCGACCACAATCAATCCCATCTTGGTAATATTTTCACGAAACGCCTGAGTTCTTCGCCGCACTCAACTACAACCCAATCTCAGGGCTGGGACCCTTGGAGCCCAATCGGCATGTTCCTGGGCGTCTCTTCTTGCGATACTAATAGCCAAGGATCCCCTCCTGTGCCGCTCGTGCCCCCACACCAGAGTAACTCCCCCGCACCCCGCGATGGAGGAGGAGGCCTTTTTCGTTCACGCCCAGATTACCCCTTCGCCGAAGGAATAACTTCCTCCACAACCAGCGAGCCAGATCGCCTAGACGGGACGGGCCGCTCCACTAGTTCTTACAGGCCTACTTTGGCTTCTCGCAATAGCGAGTCAATCCTCTATTCTTCGCCTGGCTCTCGGTGCACTCTGCAATGCCATATAGACTTAACCAACCAGCTCACGTACATTAACGAATGTCAGGCCAATAGCGATTCTGGCCTTGCGCTCGACGTTCTCCTCAAAATAGACGACCAAGTCCGTAAGGCGCGAGACAAGATTTTGTATTGCCCTGTTTGCATCGCAAGATCGCGATGTGGTCAAACACTTATGCTCGTTGCCACGGTAGTAAGCAATCTCCTCGCGCTATTTGAGCGGGGTTGCGGTGCCGCCCTTGACGCGGCTAGCAGCAGTAATAGCAATAGTGGCAGTAGCAGTCGCAGAAGCAGCGTAAGCGGAAACACGGGAAAACAACGATATTCACCCCTCGGTACCTCGCCAAGCCGCAAGAGAAGGTGTTCTCCCCCTAAATGCGGTGGGGATGGTAGCGGGGTACTCGGCCTCTTCCCTTGTACGACGCGACATCTAACGGTTGGAGACGTAAGGTTAGATAAGGCCGTCACAATGGCTTTCGAGCGGCAACTTTTGCGTATGTACTTAGAACGGCAAATTGAAGCCGTTGGGCAGTTGGATCAGATACTCCAAAGAGCCGAGGGAAGGGACGTCAGTATCAAGATAACACATGATTTATTCGCGGACGTATTGGCAAGAGTGGAACGCTTTTTGGGCTTTATCGCCTTAACAGACTGGCAAGAATCTTCGGGGATAGTCTCTCGAATAGTAGCCTCGAATTCGCCATAATAGAACTAGAATTAAAATAGATACAAAGCACACGGTAGTAGATCTATTACATCTAAATACAGAGCTTACTTCATAAACAGTTGACGTTAGTGATAGATTCGCTCGTAGTTGTTTCTATGAATACAGTTTGATGACAGCCCTCCCTGTATCAATTTCAACACATCTCTAATTCTCTTATTACAATAAAACTACATCAAAAACCCGTGGAATATAAACCAAATATTAGGTAAAATTATTTTGATATTATTCACTTACGTCGAGATACCTTATAACAGAACCAGCGGCTCAAGGTCCCCCTAATTTATAACGTTAGCGCTTACACACTCAATTTATAGGACTAGTAGCTGTTACAAATTTCCCATCTACAGGCAGTCTCTAACTGGCTCAGTTCCTCCTAAAGACCCTAATTCTACCTACTTAGGTACCTAGGTATGCTATATTGAAGGTGCTTTATTTAATGCGCTGGTGTAATTTAGTGGGTGCCATTCCATTAACGAAACACAATTAATATGTATATCCGACAGTCAAACTTACCCAGGTAGTCATCCACACCTCAATAACGACTCTGATATACGCAGGTATGTACCCTAGTATTGACTAACGGCCTATAGGCATTGCAGCCCTATAAACTAGAAAGCGGAGCAGAGTGCCTGCTCAATCCCTGCTGTGCGGAACCTTAGCGGCAACATCAGCCAACTCGCTTCTAATCCCAAGGCGGTGGATAGGCTTGGTAGATGTGGGCCAGTATAAGATTTCGACGTCGGAGTTGTCACCGGCAATATTCACGTAATATCGTGGCTTTGTAATCTGGGTGGTTATGTGAGCGGCTTATCGAATTGCCCCCAAGTATTGTGGTTGACTACGAGAAGGCCAAGACCTACCTCTGGAATTGAGGTGAAGCATACCTGCTAGAAACTAGCCGATGAGATTTTATTTTCTATGCTGTCAGCATGCTTCCTGACGTTATCATGACATTAAATCCGTTGTTTCGGAGTTACCAGCTTAGGTGTAGTTATTAGGCATCTATATTCGATTTTCGAGCGAACGCTTTGTGGTCTATGACAGAATTAGGAAGGTGCTGAATAACACCGATGCAGCACAGCACCACCCTTATCAAAGTATTCCCGTAGACGGTGCCCTATAAACAGCATGTTTAGTGCCCGTCCTCACTGTTTTCGGGGAGTCTAGAACTCTTGTGGTACTTACAAGCCCCGCAGATCTGGCATTGGGTATATCATAGTACGGCATGGCTGCATGAAACTCCACGTGGGCTGCGATTGTATAGAAATATTGCGGTCACCATAAACGGGAATAGATAGGGTTTAGTTTATAACGGCAAGCCTAAACCCCGAGTGCATAGGAAGTTATAGCTAATGGCATATAGACTTGAACTGCGACTAGTTCCAGGTACAACCTAGACACAGCCCCATACCGGCGTCTGTATGATATACACTAACAGAACAGCTGTTACTCAACAATAATGATATTAAATGCCCATAGGCGATTATTTTATTTAGCAAATTTGTTTTTCTATCTTAACCTTGAAGTATAACAATGTTATATGTTTGAACTAAGCCTCCTCAGGTTTATAATGAACGTAGTACTCCCACGTTGAGATAGTGAATAAGCATATCGATATTGAAAATGGCACCACCAGAAAGACTGAGTTTCGGAGTCGAAATGGAATTTTACGTCGCCTGGTACACTGACCCAAAAATTCCAATGCCACCGCCTCCAGGCTTCGAATCGAAAACAGGCGGCCCAATATTAATTCAAGAAGGAGTAGGGGATTTAGACGCTTCAATGGCCTTGCTAACGGGTGCTATTAGGGGTTTGTTTCCAAACGGCTCACCGGCAAGGGTAGCATAATCAAATACACGACCCTTTGACATAAGTGATATCGATTGGTATCACCTGGTTGACTATACTGACTGGACAGTTACGTACGACATTTCGATGAGTCTCACACCAGACGAACTTCAAGACTTCGTTACTCCCAAATACGGATGGGCTGGTGTTGAAGTTGTATCCCCAGCGTTATGGGCAACGGATGAAGGCTTTGCAGAGGTTCGTACAGTTTGCGAATATATTCAGAATCACCTTTGGACTCTTTGTAAGACCGGTCTACACATCCACGTAGGTTGTGGCAACGAGTGGTTTTCCATTCGTTCAGCCCGTCAAATTGCTGCGCTACTCTACGCGGGGGACCCTGTCCTTACACAATTGCATCCAAAGCATAGGCGAACCAATAGATGGTGTCCAAGTCCGCGCTTATACTCCAAGGTATCGATGGGGAAGAAGATGCAGCATGCCCCAGAGCCCCCTTCACAGCTCAGTGACGTATCGCAACAATCAACGGTCGCCAATATCCCAGGCAAGAAGGTTACAATACAACCATTACCTGTACGGCCGACAGAGAAAAGTTATGAAATTGAACGCGATTATTTGCAAATTCTTTTAGATGTCAATACAGACCCCGAAATACAACAAGACGTCAAGACTTATAATCCCATCCCAATTATGGAAGCGGTGAATGAGCTCTTAAAATCAACAGCTCGGGGTACAATTGCCGAGTTAATGGGAACCCCACTATTCTCGTCTCGACCAGCGTACAACTTCCAGCACTTTCGTGTGGAAGGATCGAGAACCATTGAGTTCCGACAGCCAACCGGTACGGTAGATGCCGCTGAAGTGGTGAGTCAAGCAAGGATTGCAGTTCACCTCTGCGAGTTTGGAGCAAATGCGAGTATCGAGCAACTCTTACCTTTACTCCTAGATTTCGAAGTAGCAGAACAGCAGCCTGCCTGGTATAATGTGTACGACCTCCTGGCAGACCTTAATCTCCATCCCGAAGCTAAAGTAGTGTACGCGGCTTTTCAGGGGACTGTGGACGAAAAAGTTCGCCGAGAATATTGGGAAGCCCGTGAACCAGACCAACTAGAAGAGCAAAATCAGCCAAACGAGCCAGCCGAGTCAGACAAGACCTGGCGCAGGTTTTTACCTAGCTTTAAAATTTAACGGTAATGATATTATCCGAAGAGCTACACAGCAGTAATAAGTATTTATCTACACATTGGTAAGGATATATCTATACGACGACGGGAATAGGTAGTCTATCGTTGGTGGGAGAAAAGGTATTCTATGCACCATGGTTATGTTACGTACCTACGTACCTACCAAGGTAGGTATATATAGGATCACCTGGTTTTAATAGTTGTTTCAAGAATAAATAAACTCATTGTAACGAAAAACAATAAATATAATTGAATTGTATAAGTATTTAACTTGTGACTCTTGTCTTGGTGCTTCATTGCATGAGGTGTACATATTCTTTTATATTTTGCAATCCCATAAAAGTCTCAGAATGCCTGTAGGTAAAGGCTGTAGTATATCAGCTCAGGCAGCTTGGCTACCTACCTAGGTACTACTACTAGCACCCGCCATAGCTACTTCACTGCTTCTATTTCAGTGTCAGTTGCCTAATTAATACATGTCCCTTAATGTGATTGGCTTGTCTTCGTTGGGGGTTTAGTGCTTAGCACTACGCGTCATCACTGTATACCCCTGTTTACACAGGTACCTAGGTATGTACCCAATTAAAGAGTTCTGTTTGTACGGCGTTTGCTACAACACTAGCTCTTTCGTACTTTTAAAACTTTGGCCTATCTTACCTAGGTACTCCTGCATTACATAGCTGTTGATAATCTCGAGTTGAGGATTACGTATCTGGTTGAGGAAGAAGTACATGCGTCCCTAAGAAACTTACTGCATATAATACCTAGGAATAGCGAATGAATGATATAAAGCTTCTATCTGGTTCTGCCGTTCTCCTACACCGTCGTGAGTCTTCGGCGCGAACGAAAATGGTAGGTGTGACGGCTACGCGATAGCTACCTAGGTAGGTAGTGGAGTCTTATAACCCCTTGTGGTCTTAAATTTTCCGTGTGGGAGGTATTAAGAGTATGGTATTATCTGTCTAACCTGATGTGCTTAGAAACTTACTTTTATAGGTGCTTATTAGGAGCCACGTCAGATGGTAAAATCCTCATATGAACTACCTAGGTAGGGTAACATGTCTAGCTGGGGGTTGTGGTACTCTTTAACGGGTCGGTTCCTCCTCAATCATGGATTTTATTCTTTTCTCATTATATTTCCTGTATGTCCACGGACAGTTATCCTTTTGGCTTGCCCATCTCTGGCATCAATCTTGAAGTCTATCGTTTAACCAAAATTAGAATTTCAATTCACTACTTACCCTAATATGTATCCCTTTTGGAGGTCTATTGCGCTTGTTGCGGTTATATTTTCGGCGTGTGTTACCGCCGATTCGGGTGACGACTTCTCGAACAATTTATTCTCGGATCTAGCGCCGTAAGTTCTAGCTTCTGTATACGGATATTGGCTAGTCTCAATCTAACTCTAGTTCTGATGTCTAGGCTACTGGCGCTATTTGGAGAAAGAGTCACCATGCAATTCATGAGCCAGTCGATGGGGTGGGCCGATAACATCATATTGGCCATGGCCCCTTTAGGTATAATAACGATTATTGTCAGTGCTATAAGAGTTGGTGGTCCTACTTGGCTGAAAGCTGTTATCGGACGAGCGAGGGAGAACCTCGCAGTTGCCGAAGCAGAAATTATGTCGTCCACTTCGAATGAAGTCTGCGAACTCTGGAACGGCCGAGAAGTGGTGAGATGCAATGGATCGGCGCCGATCCGAGAATTTATTGTATTGGTCCCAAAATCGCCCGAGCAGACTATGAACGCGCCGAGGGTAACAGTTGTTAATTTCGATGCAGCAAGCCAATTTTTGAAACTTCGTGGTTAGTGCTTTTTTTTCTTCGGAATATTCGAATGAAGCGAGAACTTATCTTTTTGTTTAGAAGGGCACAAATGTAGGTTGCGGTCCTGGGGTCCAAAAACTAGCCTCGATGACACCGAGTTGGGTCCATACCAGTGTTCACCTAGCGACGTTATCGTCACTAGATATTTATCTCCAAGTCATCCGGATAATGCGCCAAACATCTCCCTTAACTCTCACGATCAGATACAGGGGTTAGAGCGGTATTTCGCGGCAGCTCTAGGCATCATTGTTCAATTAAGCGTTCTCGTGTACTCTGGTTTCGCGACTTATTATCCAACGTTGAAATTCCAAAAAGATGGGAATCCAGTCGCGCGTTATTCGTTTCCATGTACCGGAGTTGGGACTTTTTTATTAGTGACTGGGATTTTCGTTTGTGCCCATGTTGTGGATGCCAGTACAATCGAGGAAACGCGTGAGGTAGACGCGAACAAGAGTATCTTCATGGTCTGGCTGCAACAGAAAAAAACCGTGAGCGATCAAGTTTTCAACTCGTCAGCGATATTCCCAAGGAAAAATAGAACGAGCATCGTTACATCAACCAGAACAAAGGAGAAGTTGGAGTTTAGGGCTGTGCTGGGCACGTCGATAGGGCTCTGTGGGTTCATTGTCCAATTTATCGGCTTACGAGGTATGCATTGGACCGCATCGATTACCCAACTTGGTGCAATTATAATTATGACCATCCTAAGAGTATGGATTCGCCGTAAACTTGCAACACCTCCGCAGGGTATTCCGCTGGATCGTGGCTTCGAGCTCGAGTGGCTGACATTAACGTTGGCGGACATTGACAAGGCACCATGGCTGAAGGCATCGAGCAACGAAGCTATCAATAAGAAATGGATAATCACGACTACCGATAGCTCGAAATATTATACGGAGCTAAAGCAGGGCCATGAGTCTGAATCAGAAGCACATAGAGTGATGATGATGAGACGTGACATTGGTAAACTTGCGAATTGGCCCGGGCCAGCCTCTGCCGAGGCCGTTGCTCTTGCGCGAGCAATCGAGGTCACACTAGACTCTCTGTTGGAAGACTTTCCGAAGGACGTGAATTTAACATGGTCTCTCAGGAGCCACTATCCTGCATACCAAGATCAACCCCACGTCCAGGAAATCTGTTTTAGAATAAAACGAACCGACGGAATTTGGGAAGTATATGCAGATGAAATAGAAGCAGCGCTGTCGCTGTGGCTATATTGCGTCAATGAAAAAGAACACGACCAAGGTAAACAGGGGTGTAGTCAAGAAGCTGCCCTGGGAAAAGATGATGGGTGGTTACGCAATAAAGGATCGCCCACGGACCCCAATATGCGGATTTTGGGAAGAAATACGGGGGACTTGCGCAGGGACCTCTCATGGTGGGTGCCAAGCAGTACCGCAGGTGTCGTAAAGCTAAGGATAGTCGGAAAGAAAAACCATAAGTCGACAATCGAGATTCAAGACTTGAATTACGACAGTGACATGGAAAGATTACTAAAAAAGGAAGAGGATAAGATACTACCGGGGAATACAAGGAGTATAGGATATTTAAGAGATAGAATAGTCGGTCATGGGTATGAAGAAGCCGACGAAGAAACTAGCAATGAGATCAGCGATGATGAAATCACCTTTGATGGATACTTCGAAGACGAAGAATGGGATCAGGAAATGATATACTTAGGGACTCAGTCAGATGTCCCTCTTAAGGTTCTTTTCAGTCAGGATATGTTTACAGCTTTTATGTGGTCGATGGCGAAGACATTAAAGAATCCAATTGGTGGTGGCTCCGAAATCCAGCTTCAAAACCCAACCAGTATCGACACGTGGAAAGACTTCGCAGTCCGAAATGATCGACTATCGAAATTAGTTCGGGACATCCATAATACCCGACTTGGTTCTCCCGGCGAGATTTATATGTGCATCATTCCACCTCTGAGTAGAGAGAAGAAATTGCCGGTAGCAGATGAAATCGTGGAACTGGCACGTAAATATGCTGAACCATTAGAGGAAGTGCAGCAATGGGAACAAGCTGGTAGTGTGTACTTATGGCTGTCTTCGGTCGCAAACTCATTTCCAGTCCGGGAAAACATTCGCGTCAAATCTACTTCTGTATTAATGGAATTTATGAGGGCGCTCAAAGAAGCGACTGATTTAAGAGAGGAATTACAATGGAAAGAGTGGCGGGAAGAAGAGAAGAACATCCAAAACCTCAAGGATCTGCATGCGAAAATAAAAAAGGAAATCCGAAGAGCTGGCAAGAGAACTCTATGCACTTTTATAGAATTATATAAGCGGCAGCACCGCGGCTGGAAGCACGTACCTATCGGGGGGGAGGAAACTAGAGATTCAGAAGGAGAGCGGGGCACGGAACAGGATGATATAACGAATTGGACGCCACTCCATCATGCAATAATGGATAACAAGCCCTTAGAATTGTCAGCCTTTCAAGAGCATATAAATTCCCCAGATATTTCATCTTGGATGCCGCTTCATTATGCTGTAGCCATCAAGAAGGAAGGGGTAATAAAAGAACTTGTTAAAAAAGGCGCTGGAGTTAATGTCCGTGACCTTCTCGGCTGGACACCATTACATTATGCCTGCCAAGAAGGCGATATTCCCATCATCCATGAACTGGTTCGTTCAGGTGCTAATCTTGACCTGAAAGCAAGAAACGGGGTGGCCCCACTGCACTGCGCAGTAATGAGAGGCCATAGTGCGGTTATCAAGGTGTTTCAAGATGCTGGAGCAACTCTTGACATCCGAGACGCATCGGGGGGTACACCGTTGCATTGGGCGGCGTATCGAGGATTCACGTCACCTGTTGAAGATTTATGGCAGCATGCGAATACCGAGTTGCGAGATCATAATGGCAGAACAGCCTTACACTTAGCAGCAATAGCGGGGAAAGAAGAGGTGGTCAATCTTCTTGTTGACAAACTTGGGGTGGATATGGGCGCCGGGGACCGCTACGGTCGAAAGGCACTTCACTGGGCTGCGATACATGGGCGTCGAAATGTTGTCAAGCTTCTCCTCGATCTGGGGGATAATGTGGATGCTAGAGCCGACTCGGGCCAAACACCGCTTCAGTGGGCTACAGCGACCCACCAGGCTGATGTTGTGAAATTGCTTGTCGAAGAAGGTGCTGATGTTGAAGCAAAGAATGATCATGATGAAAGGGTTCTTCATTATGCCGCATTTTATAATGCGCAAGCTATTATCAAATACCTGGCAGATGAACACGAGCCATACGCCGATATTACAGCGAAAAATTGTCACGGTCAAATACCGCAAAGGTTAGCTTCGTTAAGGAATCATAAATCTGCGGAAAGATTACTTCGGGATTTGTGGAAGAAGAGGTTTGGCGATGACAAGCACCCCTCTACATAGGTACCTCCTATGTAAGTACCTATGCATTTTAGCAGGCGTGTGCTATATTTATAGTGAGGATAGCGCTAAACCGTCCTATCATTATAGTGCAATACGATACCTTGCCTGATGATGGGAGTCCTCTGAAGTGCTAGAAACCTTAGGGGTCTAGGTACCTATTCATGTACCCCCGCAGCCCCCAAGGGCCTTAGCAGAAATGCTATATCATAATGGATTTAGCACTATATTTACGTATAATTACAGCACAACGAAGTGCCTTTTGCAATGCGGTGTCTCGAGCGTGGAAAGCCAACAGTAAATGCTTTCCTTAGACAAATCAATTGTTATAATTTACGAGAACTCTCTAGTTAGTTGATGCTTATTACCGGAATTGTTCATCTACGATGCAAATTGCACAGGTGCGTATAAATACTTGTGGGTACCTTAATAAGTATTTAACTCACCAGTAAATCTAAACGCCATCATGTCCCATATAGATTTCGACGTCTCAAAAGCCACAGAGGTAGATGGGATGGGCATTTTCTTTGGTTGTGGCCATCGCTTCATCCTAGCCGTTGAAGAGACTCCCGCGCTAAGTAGAGAATGTGCGGACAGCTTTAAATGTCCCCTTCGCCATTCTCACATGTGCTTGTCCTGGAATGATAGTTTCCCTAGTTGGCTAGACTCCTGTGGTTCCTGTGACAGGTTTTGTACTTTTGACGCGATGGCCGATAAAGTAGCTGCTCAAGATGTGTTCGCAATCACTTTCAAACATGGAATCGTCTCGGTTCCATGTATTGGTAACGAAAAAACACTCACTTTGTTGCCGCGTGTCTTCGGGTTTGGTTTTGGACGTGTCGAGTTCAGGGCAATCATTGATGAGGCGGGCGTTAAACACGTTGTTGAGCTTATGTTCCTTTACCTATGGGGCATGACCTGGCTCAATTCGCAAGGGTGTCTCAAGAATAATCATTTAGTAAAGATTATGATTCGCAGCGAGGTAAACCCTTGGATGAGGCATGTCTAATATTAACCTTAGCAATAAATCGTGCATGCATACCCCATAGATAGGTAGGTAGGTACCCATTTATATTTCGAAATAATACCTGAGATACATTTATTTTCCATTGCCCCTACTGTGTTTTGGTTTATTCCAAGTCTACTTCGTCCATGTTCCTGATGAAAAAGGAATACCACTGAACGCTTTTGATGTGACCAAGAACACTAACTTTCTCGTCTACCGTATGTATGCCTTCAAAACCTTCCTGTTCCGGATCCCAACCAGGTTCATAGCGAAAAATGTGTCGGGTTAAATCCCAATAATATCTCGTGTCGGTATTCCCCGTCATGATTCCTGGCGCCACTAGAAGTTTCTCGCCATACAGAGCTCTACTGGTTCCGGAGAGCACCGCATACGGGGTGACCCCATCCACCGAGGTTGGAGTTACTGGTGCTGGCTCCAACACACGATTTTCCCCGTTGAGTTTGATAGACCGGGGTGTCTCCGGTTCATCGTTGAATGCATGTACAGTAAGATTGTGCTTCTGGGCCACTTGTTCGGCTAACTTTGCAAGTCTCACTTTGACGTCGGAGGGGCTTTCGCCAACATTAACTCGATGGTTAATGATGACCGTAGTCCGTTCGGGGAGGGCGTTGCTCTTTGCACCTCCGCTAATGATATCGGGTGCTATCGAGGTTGTAAACAGGTATTTGACGTCATCCCCCGCCTTTGCTGCCTCTAAAGCAAGTTTGTCCTTTTTCGAGCACGTTTGCGTATTGTGAGACGGTAGAAGTTTCTTCAGCTTGGACGGGAACTCTGGGCTATGAGAAGCGCCACATTCAAGAAGACCAAGGAAGGGATTGTTGGCGTGCAGACGTGGTTCGTAAGGATTTGCCTCGATCAAGGTGATGAGTTCTGCCATAACCCCAATACCATTGTGGGCCGGTGGAATTGACGAATGGCCACCAGGCATGCGGATAACGATCTCAACATCTATATAACCCTTCTCGCTGACTCCAGGAATCGCAAATGTGGAGCCCCAGACAGTCGACGTACCAGCTCCTTCGTCAATCAAGACTGCGGCACCATCCTTTCCGTAGCGGTCGACTAGTTCCTTAGCGAGATGCGCAGCGCCTTCTCCCCCAGAGATCTCTTCGTCGAATCCGAAAGATAAAACCAAGGTTCTCTCCGGCTTAAAACCGGCGTCTATGAGCAATTCAACAGCTTCCAGAATGCCGATTAGATTATTCTTGCAGTCCATTGAACCTCGGCCCCAAATATAGTGGCCATCAAAGTATCCACTAAAGGGAGGGTGCGTCCACTGGTCGATTGTCGACTCGGGCACGGGAACTGTATCTTGATGGGCCATCAAGACTGTTGGCTTTAATTTCTCGTTGGATCCTTGCCAGGTATATAGCAAGCCATGGGTATTGATTTTATCAAGAGTCAATGTGGTATGAATAAGTGGGAATGTCTTCTCCAAATACGCGGCAAGCTTGAACATGACTTCCCATCGCTTATCTTCCCCTACTGGTCCTAAATCGTCGTATGACTGAGTAGGGATCTGGATCGCCCCGGCCATGCGACCCACTGTCGAATTTAAGAATTTGGATGAAGCTATGTATTCATCCATCTTGGAGAGTTCGGGACTCCCTTGACCTGGGAAAAGAGGCTCCACTTGTTGACATTTTGCTACAAGCTCGGGCTCGCGATGCTTCAGGCGGGGAGAAAAGATCACGTCAAACGAGAATTTTAACAATCCACATATTGCCGCGACCTGAACTAACACCCAGAGTAGTCTCGGGCGGGAATGAGGGACCGTAGTCCTCGAGTGAGGCAGAAGCTCCCCCTTTTCGTACATTCTCTTCGATTTTAGCAAAAGATGAGAGATGAAGCAGGTATGAGAGAAATGGTAATCTACTCTAGATCGGAATTCGATGTTGTTATTGACGGTAAACTCCGAGACCAGCCCCAGGGATAGCCACTTATGTCTTGACTTATTCAAGCATACCCCGCAAGATAGCGTCACCAAGAATCTAGACCGTCTGATTCATACTGTATTCCATTGTTTTATTTGTAGATAAAAATTCGTTCCGACGTGGTCGCACGGTCCACACTTTCGGCATTCTACCCATTTAGGTAGGTGCCCATGGTGTAGGGAACGGGTCACCTAGACCTGGGTTTTATCTCATGCCGTTTGCGCTCGATCCTAAATCCACTTGGGAACTCGCAAAAAACGAGGTTAGACAATTGTTAGGTCAATTTATTATTTAAACATAGCACGAGCTGCAAGTAGCCGTTGTTCAAGGTGGGATATCCTGTTGCACAGTCTTCAACACCTGTTTCCTTCCACCATACTAAAACTCATGTGGGTAGCCCTATCAGAATTGTGTTTTAGGTGAATGTGGTGGGTATTACGGGGACTCAAAGAGCCGCTTCGCGTTCCGCCCACTATTATTGGATTATAATACCTATCAGACTGCGCGTCTTATGGGTATATGATTACGAGATGGGTAATACAATAATGTGAATTCCATTGTGCGATTATAGGTGTGTTCATATTATGCTCGAGTATGTTGGAAGCGGATAAACAGGTCTATCCAGGGCCAATAAAGGTATAAAACGCGAAGCTAGACCAATTTTCTTCATTTTGTTGGGAGTGAAACTCGCGATAAGTTATAGCTGTGCAACATGACATCTCACCCGCCTTAAAGTCAACACCTCTATAAAAGTCATAATACTAGAATTTGGTGCAACCAATACTTAATCGTAAGAAGTAGAGCTCAACCGCTCCTATCTGCCGATATCGTAGGATGATAGAGGAATATTTACATGACGCCAGCTATCATCCCAGTCAAAGTACAGATCCCTTACAAGTCGATTGCACACCGCATGTTCTCTCTATGCAGGCGACCGACAGTATGCGGGGAGCTAGCAGGAAAACAATAGTTCTCGACCCTGTCGCTGTAATTAGGGAATGATCGTCAGTAGCCCCCACGGGAAAGGTAGGCTAACTCGAGGACTGTCAGTGGTGGCTGCGTAGGCTAGACCGGGTGCGGCCCGAGGTTGCAGTTTACACTATGCGCATCAAAATCACTGCACACGTATTCAGTACATAGGTACTCCTGGAGGTTCTATGGCTATTTTGTGATATATTGAGTCGACAAGGATTATCTAGGTATATTCAAGCCTCTTTAGAGCGGGCCTTATGCATGTCATCTCTAGCTCACCCATAGAACATCTTCTTAAAGAACCATTCTGCATACACGGACAGGAGACCGATGATTGTCTCTTTGTGGCAATAGCGTGAAGCTGCATATACTTGAGTATACTGTTACGACACAGGGAACGCACAGCTTTCATGCATATTATGTAATGTACCTAGGTAAGGTGTGAGGGGCTCCCCCTTGCCCTTATTTCTGTACTAGTGAAGTGCTCAATCCCCCAGCTTTCTAATGTCTACAACCGTTCAGATATCACATTCTATTTCCCGCCGTATTACGTTTATAATGAGCCCATTTTCATTTCCCTACTTGCGTAGGAAGGCTGTATCTCAAACGTCATGCTAACTGTATGCATATTCTGTTGTCTAATATTACCCCACCTTGATATACTAATCTTGATAGCCTTCAGTATAGCAAGTCCGAAACACCCGAATCCCGCAACCTTTTCGAAGACGAAATGCTCAAGACTATAGTCAGCATTGGTTTAAGGCAAGGTTCCGCGACTGCGGAATACCCTTACTCGGTGCTACGCTACCTACCTTTGTATGTAAGGTGGTTAAAGCTCCAGATTAAACCCCACGCGTCTAGGCAGCGGAGTTTTTACTTTTGGTTCGTCCCTTGGAACTGTCTGAGTGCTGCCCTGCATTTCGAACAGGAACTAGTTACGAAAACGTACTAATATTCAACATCCTAGGACTTGAAGGTTGTAATATATTAATAAGTCCCACTGACTGCCAGGGCAGGTTATCGCATTGACTTCATACAACATTCCCACGTGTCCTCACACGAGGCACTTCGTTCTAGAGCTTGGCAAGAAATTGTATTCGCATCTTCTCGGGTGGCTATTAGCGAGCTATTGACACCACTAGGTTGTCAACAAAAGGTCTGTGGGAACTCACTTGCCTAGGTCCCATATATTGAGGTTGCTGTCAGAAATACCAGGGCCCTGGCACATGAACATGGGTCGATGATCTAAGCCTATAGCATATCCTTCACTCTGCGGTCCCCTCCACCAACCTACCTAGGTACTCGAACCACTCTGCTGTCATACCCAACCATCTCCTTGCTTCATAGCAAGATATACCTGTTGTTTTGAAGGGCAATGGTCTGCGAAAGTCATGAAGGTAATGATGGATGCGGGATTATGAGGACTGCCACGGATGTTTCTTGGAGGGTGACAAGGTATCACAATGGGAACGGGTATGTTCCATCTGTTGGCTTCCAGCTTGCATACCTACCTAGGTAGGTACCTAAATGGCTAGAGGACAACTGTCGATGATCTACTTCACCTACTCAATCCGGCCCGAAGAATTATCGGCAAGGATCCGCCGCTCCATGCTATAGTATCATAGAATGGTCCCTTGATAAACAATGTGCTAGATTCGCTATGTTGCAGCCGAGATGCACCTGCGTTCAATCAATTAATATTTAAATGGCCAGTTCCAAGGCGCCGTATGGGCCGTTCCCGTCATTGTGCGTCTGGACAACATATATATTCTACAGAGCTAGCCTCCTTCTTATTGTAAAATTTTCAAAGCTACATCGCTTTTACTAGAAACATTAATTTTCTGTGTCGATGACGTCGTGACCTGGTATCGACTTAAAATGTCATACAGCGGAGAAGACGTCTTTGCGACACTTGCCCAAGATGCCTCGATGCCAATTGTGATTGTGGGCATTTCGGGTAGATTTCCCGGGGATGCCATTACCCCGGCGAAGCTCTGGGACATGGTAGCAGAGAAGCGAAGCGCTCGATCTGATGTGCCAAAGAGTCGGTACAATGTAGATGCATTCTACCACCCCAGCGCAGAGCACCAGGGCAGTACCAGCGCCAGGGGTGGCCATTTTTTGACCGATGATGTCGCAGCTTTTGACGCCCCCTTCTTCAAGATTACAGCACAAGAGGCCCACGCGATGGATCCTCAACAGAGAATGGCTCTAGAGATGTCCTATGAAGCGTTAGAATCTGGTAAGTTGGCCCTATTATCTTTCTCTTCTTCGGATAGCAATGCTAATAAAAATTCTACAGCTGGTATCAGAATTGAAGATGTCTCTGGATCCACAATGGGCTGTTATATGGCATGTTGCGTCAGGGACTATGCTGCTATCCGGGCTATCGATCCGGATGATTACCCGTGAGCTTTGGTACTTCGAATTGTAGCGCAGAATCTTGCTAACAAGAACTAGTCGATACGAGGCGAATGGTAGTATGGGCACTGCTATGATTTCCAACAGGATATCATGGTATTTTGACATCAAAGGACCGAGCATCAGTCTGGATACTGCGTGTTCTTCATCCCTCGTAGCTCTACATCTTGCCTGTCAAAGCATACGCACTGGCGAGACCAAGGCGGTAAGTTATTGAACCAACTGCGTCGCCAAGGGAGTCGCTAACAGATTTTGGATCTAGGCTCTTGTCGGTGCTACTAATTTAATATTAATGCCACATACGTCAAATCACTTAAGCACATTGAGCTTTTTGAGTCCAGATGGGAAATCAATGGCTTTTGATCACAGAGCCAATGGCTAGTATGTGCCCCGCCCCTTTAGATGTGTATTTCGTACACCTGGCCAATCATATGTCGAATATCTTATGGATCACTAACATGGGCGATAGCTCTCGTGGAGAAGGCGTCTCTGTGATAGTTGTGAAATCCCTAGCGGATGCTCTTAGGGATCGTGATGTAATTCGCGCAGTAGTCCGAGGCACATCCGTAACACAAGACGGACGAACACCGGGTAAGTTAGTTGGTGTTACTCCGGTAATGTAAGCTGACGTTTTAACAGGAATAAATTTGCCTTCGTCGGAGGCACAAGAGGCTTTAATACGAGCAGCGTATGCCAACGCTGGACTAAGCCCTGACCAGACCAGTTTCTTCGAAGCCCACGGACCCGGTAAGATATCATCCAAAATTGTGGGGTTGTTTCTAACATAATTCCCTCCAGGTACACCCGCCGGAGATCCACTAGAAGCATCTGCTATTGCAGCTGTGTTCGGTAAAACGAGGAGTGTAGATAATCCATTGTACGTAGGATCAGTCAAGACCAACATCGGGCACTTGGAAGCCGGAGCCGGAATAGCTGGTCTTGTGAAAGCTATTTATGCCCTTGAAAAGGGGCAGATCCCTCCAAATATCTGGTTTGAAAAAGCAAACCCCAAACTTGATCTCGATAAGTGGGGGCTAGTGGTAAGTTGTGAAGATCCAGCCCAAACTCGGATCTTCGTGGACAAGTCTAACAGTAAATCCCAACAGGTGCCTACAGAGTTAATTCCATGGCCCACGGATGGCTTGCGCAGGGCTAGCATAAACTCGTTCGGCTACGGTGGGACCAACGCACACTGCATCTTGGACGATGCATATCATTATCTTCAAAATCATGGGCTCGTCGGGCGACATAACACGGCTCCGATTATCCCAGGCCGTAGGATCGAGCGCTTGCCAACCGACCCCATTTCACCAACTGAGAGCTCTTTCACTAGCACCGATACTAGCGCTTCGATTTCCGAAAATGCTAGTGAGAGTGGAGGGCCATCTTCTATTTCCGATGCTACCGACTTCGAAGAGGCTCCAGTTACCCCTCAATTGCTTGTATGGTCATCGCATGAGCAGAGCGGTATTAACAGAATGGCGGCTAGCCTCAAATCATACCTGAAAGAGCAACATATCACGCCGGCGGATGAGCCAGCGCTTCTCAAACGATTGGCTTACACATTATCCAGTCGGCGCAGCAAACTCTCGTGGTCATCCTTCGTAGTAGCATCCAATGTGAATGAAGCCTCAAAGGTCCTGGACATTCCGAGCAAGCCTATGCGACTTGCGCAGAACCCCTCGTTAGTATTCGTTTTCACAGGACAAGGTGCTCAATGGTTTGGTATGGGCCGAGAACTTCGAGCCTATCGCACCTATGACGACAGTCTGATTGAGGCGGCCACTCACTTAAAGTCAATCGGATGTGAATGGGATTTGCTAGAGGAACTTGGCGCCTCTGAAACTACCTCACGAGTCAATGAACCGCAAATTAGCCAACCGGCTTGCACCGCGGTCCAAGTCGCTCTAGTCGATCTTTTGAAGGAGTGGGGGATATTCCCTTCTATCACTGTTGGCCACTCAAGCGGTGAAATAGGCGCAGCCTACGCCAAAGGGGCTATTTCTCGTGAGTCTGCATGGACTATTGCATATCATAGAGGACGCCTATCGGCCGGACTCTCTACGCCCGGCGCGATGCTAGCTGCGGCATTGAGTGAAGACGACGCTCGAACCTATATCAATAAGGTTGTTGCAGGCCCGAAACCAGTGATTGCTTGTATCAACAGCCCTAGCAGTGTCACAATATCTGGTAGCGTAGGTGCCATCGACGAAGTTAAAGGTATAATAGGAAGACAAGCCTGGTGTAGGAAGCTCCTCGTCAAGACGGCGTATCATAGCCCTTTCATGAAAGAACTCGCTCAACCCTATCTTGAGTCCCTCGAGGAAATCAAGACGGACTCGAGCGTGGGGACAGCAGTTCGTATGTTTTCATCTGTCACGGGAGAAGAAATCAACGACGAAGCACTCAGATCACCGCAGTACTGGGTAAACAACATGGTCTACCCAGTCAAGTTCAACCATGCGGTAAAAGCAATCCTGAACTCCCCTGAAGTTCAGAACAAATCTATCACGATGGTGGAAGTCGGTCCGCACGGCGCCCTGCAAGGTCCAATCAAGCAGATTTTACAGGGGAAGCAACAGGAGGTCCAGGCCCTCAGCCTCCTAACCAGGAAACAAGACGCGATTGACACAGCACTTAACGCTGCAGGTGTTCTCCATCAACGGGGATTTTTACCCGACGTCACCAAGGCTAACCAACTCGATCCGACGGAAGAACTTCCTGCTCATTTAGTTGACTTGCCTCCATTCGCGTGGAACCATAATTCGAAATATTGGTACGAAACGGCTCTATCGACCGCCTACCGGAACAGAACCCAGCCAAAACATGATCTGCTAGGTGTGCGGCATGAATTTTCTAACGACGGCGAGCCGAGCTGGCGCAACTACCTGCGTATCTCCGAGGTACCTTGGCTCAAGCATTATATAGTCAGCGGCAAACCAGCGCTCTCATTCTCTAGCGTGTTAGCCATGGTTATTGAGGCCGTCCGCCAAACTTCCGAACCCGGTAAAACGATTAAGGCCTTCCAACTCCGGGATGTCTTCCCTGGAGTACCCCTCTTCCTGAGCGAGACCGAAGATAGCCCTGTAGAAACAAAGCTACAGCTGCGTCCTTGGAGACTGGCGTCAAGATCCCTTACGACTTATTGGAAAGAGTTTACCTTGTCGAGTCGGACTCGCCAAGGTGACTGGACACAACATAGTACAGGTCTCATCAAGTTGAAATACGTCACAGACCATCAGTCTGGATTCATTGATGAAGAGCTGTCAATGGCCGAGAATTACCGGGCTGAGTACTCGCGTATAGAAAGTTTGCCGTTACAATATCGCAGCACAGCTAAGTTTTATGAAAAAGTGAGCACATATGAAGCGTTAGACTACAGTGACTATTCAAAGCTTGAAAATTTGCTAATAAAATCTCGCATTAGTTTTCCAACCTCGGAATGCAATGGGGTCCAACTTACCAGGCACTGGTGGAAGCTCGAACCGCAGGCACCGTTATCTCCAGCACCGTACAGATCCCGGATACGAAGGCCTTGATGCCTAGCAACGTTGAATCACAACACATCATTCACCCTACTGCTCTTGACAGCGCATTCCAGATGTTGATGGCTTGTGATAACGTGACCAAGCCCACGGTCCCGAAGTACATTGAACGAATCCAGATTTCAGCTGAATTATCAACCCGCGAAGGCGCCCGTCTGCGCGGGTTCGCGGATATCAAAGAGCGGCGCTTCGACGGAACTAACGGCACTATCGTAATTTCGGACGAAAAGTGGCTAGAGCCCCTAATCATCTTCGAGGGTCTCAAATCAACGGATTTCGCCGCCAGCATAGCACAAGAGAACGCACAGACGCAGCATAATATTCCCAAGAATCTAGGTCTCTACTCGACATGGGACATTGACATAGAGAACTCGGTCGATGCGACGGAAGAGCTGCTTAAGAAAACATGTTCCGACGCTCCCCAGACTGATTATTCGGGTGTTTATGATATCGAGTGGGCTGCATATATTATATGCAAGAGGACGACACAACGCTTCAGTCCGGAAGATGTTGAGAAGATGGCGCCCCAGTTCAAGACATACTACAATTATATGAATCGACAGTGCAAGCTTGCTGAGGCTGGGAAATTACCTTGCCAATCACCCGAGTGGACAACGGTAAACAAATCTGTTGAAAATGAGGTTTTATCACGTGCAGCGAAAATAAGTCTCGAGGGCAAGATGATGTGTCGCATTAATGATAACATGCCCAGCATCCTCCTTGGGGAGGTAGAAGCATGGGAAGTGATGAGTCGCGATAACCTGTTAAATAACGTGTATCGATACGGTCTTTCTGACGAGCGCACACCTGCCACACAATGCGAGTACATCAGACGTCTGTCGCACAAGCGGCCACTCCGCATTCTCGAAGTCGGTGCGGGTACAGGAAGTGCGACAAGTCGAATCCTATCTAGCTTAGGTCCAGACGTCGCGGGTCACTTGCAGAAGTACACATACACCGATATTAGTGGCGTTTTCTTCGAAGTAGCGAGCGAAGAATTCAAGGAATGGAGCTCATTGATGGAGTTTAAGGTTCTAGATATCGAGAAAGATCCTTCACAGCAGGGACTAGAAGAAGGGTCGTACGATCTCGTGGTCGCCTTCCAGGTTCTTCATGCGACATCATCTATTGGGACGACGCTAGCAAACTGCAAGAAGTTGCTGAAACCGTGCGTATTTAATTTAAAGATTCGTCTGCCGGGAGTATACACTAACAGAAAATTCCAGGGGCGGTCAGCTTATTGTGACGGAAACAACAAATAAGATCGCAAGACGTTCCGTCGTATTCGGAGTTCTATCAGGCTGGTGGCTAGGTGAGTGCACCACATTTGATGGTTGAAAAGGTCGTGCGCTGACACCAAATAGGCGAAAACGACGGGCGACACTGGGGCCCAGAATTGACCGAAGAGGAATGGGACTCTCGTCTCCGCGCACAAGGATTCTCTGGTGTCGAATGGTGTTTCCGTGATCGTGAGGATGATGGTTACTCATCATCCATCATGGCATCAAGTGTTCCTTATGATTCCATCCCCAGATTGCCGAGTAAAGTAATCATCGTCACGTCGCCAGAGGGCAGCGAGCAAACAAGATCGATGATTAAGCAACTATCTGGACAATTGGTGGCAGATGGAGCTTCCGTTGAGCAGAAGTCGCTGCTTGATATCGCTGATAAAGACCTAAGCACGACACGATGTATCGCTGTCTTTGAAATTGAAAAGCCGTTGCTCAGTTCAATGAAAGAGGGGGAATACGCTGCACTAAAGCGCGTGGTCCTCCATTCTGAAGGCACCCTTTGGTTAACAAGAGGCGGTACTACCTTCGACACACGAGACCCAGAGCACAACATGGTCGCTGGTTTTGCACGAACCATTCGTGGTGAAGCTCCAGAAGTGAAATTTGTGACTTTGGATCTCGATCCTGATGTACCTTGTGAGCAAGCAACAGCAACTGAGGCAATCCTGAAGGTCCTGCATTTGGAAGATGAGCCACGTAATGCCGACCATGAATTTGCTGTTAGAAATGGCGTCCTTTACGTCCCTCGGGTATATCCCAGCAAGGCTCTTACTGGTGTCCTGGGTCTGGACGAGTCTCAAGAAAGCAAATTGACATTACAAAACATCAAGCAAGCTGGGCGACCATTGAAGCTTAACCTGAAGGCAACGGGTGAACTCGAGAGTTTCTATTTCACCGATGATGACGAATATTCTGCACCTCTAGGCGACTTAGAAATCGAGATCGAGGTCAAGGCAGTCGGATTAGATCCGTACGATATGGCTGTCGTGTTAGGGCAACTCTGGGATCCCAATCTTGGAATCGAGTGTAGTGGCGTCATCACAAGAATAGGAAAAGACGTTACCGACTTCGGTGTAGGAGACCGAGTGACCACCCTGGGCCAAGGTTGGTACAAGACCTTCATCCGCAACACAGAGGATATGTTCCAACGGCTACCAAACACAATGTCTTTCGAAGAGGGGGCGACAATGATGATATCGTACGGCACAGCAGTTCACAGCATATTCAATGTTGCGCGACTCCAGCAAGGAGAGACGATCCTAATTCATTCGGCTTCAGACTGCTTGGGCCAGGCCGCTATAAACGCGGCCCAGCATGTCGGCACAGAGATCCTTGCCACGGTATCTTCGGAGGCGGAGAAACACCTCCTCATTGAACAATACCATATACCCGCAGACCACATTTTCAGTAACAAGGATGACGGTTTCGTCCAGGGCGTCAAGCGAATAACGAATGGTTTGGGAGTGCAGGTTATCCTAAATTCGTTGACTGGAGAGCTGTTGAGACAAACGTGGCATTGTATCGCGCCTTTCGGTCGATTCGTTGAACTTGGAATGAAAGATATTAGTAAGTGATGCGCCATTGGCGCCTTTCAACCCGACACTGGCGCTTTACTAACGCCGAAATGCAGGAAGTAACACTGGATTAGATATGGTACCTTTCGCTAACAATGCCATTTTCGCTGGTGTGAATATTTTAACGATGTACCGAACAAACCGACCGATGTTTAGCAAGTTGATGGCCGACGTCTTCCGATACCTCAAGAAAGGAACCATCAAACTTGTGAAGCCTCTGCACGTTTTCAAGTTCTCACAGATCGCGGATGCCTTTAGAATGCTTCAAGCAAGAAAGCACGGGGGAAAGGTCGTTCTTCAAGTTGTCGATGACGATAAAGTGCGGGTGGGTTAAATGCGCATAGTACACTATCCTCTTTCGAATGCTAACTTGAATATAGACAACTCCCGCCAAACCAGCCGAGCTTCAATTGCGACCCGATGCTACTTATATCATTCCAGGAGGGACGGGTGGTCTCGGTCGATCGCTGATGTGGTGGATGGCTACGAAAGGCGCACGCAATTTAATCTCAGTATCTCGATCAGGCGCTAAAGATCCTCGAGCTCAAAAACTTCTTGAAGACCTTTCCAAGTTGGGTGTGAGAGTCAAAGCATTTGCCTCGGATATCAGCAGCGAAGAGCAATGTCAGGCGGTTCTCGATGAAATATCGAAAGAGGGATTCCCGCCAATACGTGGTGCTGCCATTCTAGCGATGAACGTCAAGGTATGTTCTCAACGAACCCCGCATTCATTCGGGGCGAGACTAATACGTAATTCAAGGACTCGATGTTCGAAACGATGGGACTCGATGCGTGGTCGGCAGCATTAACAACTAAACATAGAGTAACATGGAATATGCACAATATGTTACCTACAGACCTCGACTTCTTCGTAACGATATCGTCAGCAGCAGGCCAGATAGGTTCAATAGCTCAAAGCAATTATAATGCGGGTAAGTCGCGTGTGTGGGCAGAGTAGAAATTGACATAATGCTAACATCGAAAAGGAAATACGTACCAGGATGCCGTCGCGCATTACCGGCGAGCCCAAGGGTTGAAAGCGACTAGCATCGACCTCGGGTGGATGAGCGAAGTTGGTTTTGTAGCCGAGCAAGGGAAAGTGCCAGACGTCGTGCGCGCCGGAGTACCTCAACTTACGGAGAAACAATTCCTCGCAGTCGTGGAAGCTTCCATGGCGGACCAACTTGGAATTCAACCCGTATTTGGCCTCGCTAGCGGCGGAATAGTCAGGTCAAATGGTGATGATGATCCCTATTGGTTCACGGATGCACGTTTCGGTCCCTTAAGCGTATACGACACCCGGAAACATAGTGCTTCTGGTTCTAACAACAATAAAAAGAGCAACATCGTCACCGATTTCGCAAACATATTAGGGGGAGTAGCTGGTATAGAGGATGCTAATGAAGTTGTTTGCTCGGCGTTAATGGGAAGGCTGGCGAAGAGTTTAATGATGGAACTCGAGGACCTTGACAGTGCCCGGCCGATCAACACATATGGTGTGGACAGCCTCGTGGCCGTCGATATCAGGGCCTGGGCACTTAAGGAATTACAGAGCGTCGTGCATGTTTCCGAGATCTTGCGGAATGTTCCGATGATGGAGTTGGCTGGGGCGATTGCTTCAAAATCGAAGCTTCTTCCCGAGACACTGCGGGGTGGTAGCGCCACTTAGCCAAGGCTCCGGAGTATGATCGTGGGAAACGAGACACGTTATTAGGTATGAGTTATTTATCGGTTTGGGATAATGATAACGGTGATTCCGGCGTTGGTTGGCTATTTCCATTAATAGATCAGAAATAAGAACATACGAACCTTAGAAGGTATACAGATTAATTAGATCACTTACTAATGTTAAATTCATAAATTTCAATGACCTCACGGGTAGACCTATTTCGGACGTTGAGACGACGAGACGTAGGTACCTACCCAGGTAGCTTTATCCCAATTGCGACAAGATACCAGTCACTTCCTCGGCATCCACATACTCCGACTCCGGATTGCTAAGACAAGCAGAGTGGACACATGTTGAGTACTTGTTCTCGTTGAGCTTTAGGCGCTGGCATATTTCAAGGGCATTATTCCTCCTGACGCCACCACCAACGATGATCTCGATGCCAAGAGATTCTGCTCTAGTGATGATCTTGTCTAACATAGCCAAGTTCTGGATTGCTTTTCCGAGACCGCCGGATGTGAGTATAGAATCGAAGCCACACTGTGCTAGATCATCAAGTCCGGTTCTCCAAGCGTGGCGTTCATCAATCCCAGGCCGATTATCGTCGCAACTCACTATCTCATCATAAGCTCGGTGAAACACAGCCTTAAACGGGCGGGCAGCTGCTACTAGGCGGCTACATCTCTCTTTATCGACCCAACAACTTTTCGATCGAACATCGGTCGGGTTGTTAGATTCGGGGCCCTCTTTCAGTATACCAAATACGAAACCATCACCACGGGCCTCATTAAGTAAACCAGTCTCCTTGAACTTCACGATATCTCTCTCCATCTGCGCGAATTCCTCGTCGGAGTAAATGAAATCGCGCGGTTCGGATTCTAGTAAGGGACCTCGAGGCCTTATCATGATTCTTACTTTAACATTGAGATTCGCTACGCGTTCGAGGTCCGAAACTGAAGGTGTGAGGCCGCCATCTGGATACGACCCCGTAGCATTGAGCTCAACGCGCGTTACGCGAGATTCGACAGCTTTAAATGCGGCATCCGCACCAAAGACGGGTACTTCGAGATCGATCGGCATACTTATACTTAAGGTCAGGGCGAAGAAGAACGGTATGTGAGAAATAGCTCTCTTTTCTATATTTTATGTAACACATTCATACGCGTAGAAGGGGGGATGGGGACATTCATTCATAACTGTTGTCATGAAGAAAAGATGGGGGTGAAGTGAGTGGAGAGTGGACAGGGTGTCCATACGCCACCGGGCGTAATTTGGGGGGAGCTATCGATAAAAACACAGGGGCAGAGGGCGAACCTTCGCTAAAACAGCAGCCTATCATCAACGGATCCGTCCTCTGGAGCAGCCAGCTGCAGGTACCTCTCGGGTACGTCATTAGGTATTACCGCGATCGCCAGCGGGTAACTTTTCTTTCCTTTTCCCATCATCAATCATGTCTTCCGAAATAAAAACAATCACGAAAGAAACTTTTATGCCGTCCTAACTCCTGCTGTTTTTTTCTGGTTTTCCCTTTTTGATGAAATCTGGCAACGAAATGGAAAGAAAATGAAAGGAAATGGGATTAGTGGGGAGTGATGAAATAGGACGAAATGAAAATCAATAACGAGAAACTTTGGGGGGAAAGGGGGAAGAAAGGAAAGAGAACAATCGCAGAGTACCAGTAAATCGACCACACGCCATCAGAAAGCAACCGTCTCCGAACTCCTCGCTCATAAGTCCGATGAGAACCAGTAGCTATCTAGCTACCTCACAACCAGACCATTATGACTATTAACTAGAAGTTCAAATCAAGGCCTGGGAAGAGTTCGTTGTCGTTTAGATAGGCGCGATCGTTGCTACCATCATTCCGGTTAACTACGTCGTCAATGCCATACTGTGTAGTAGGATGGTTTGTAGTACCTTGAGTCATAGTAGTTTCATTAACCGCATGAGCCCGGGTATCAGCAACAGAGGGGTCGCCATCTTGAACGAAGAGCGACTCTTCTTCTTCTCCGGCGGGGTTGTCAAACTGACTCGGAGGGGGTAGCATAGGGTCGGCGAGCAGGGACGGGTTGGGCAGTGACTGACGGACAGGGACAGTACCACGTCCGACGTCGCTTGTCGGAAAAGATCCGTACTGAGGGTACGGAGAGTTGTACGAGGAATTGTACGAGGGATTATACTGGGGGCTGTACTGGGAGTTTCCGTTGTACGTTCCTCCCGAAGGTCCGTTCGAGGTAGTAAACTGCATCGGGAAGGATTCAACGACAGGGGACGATTGAGTGACCGGACGATATCCATATGAATAATCATTAGGATAGTACTGCTGAGACTGGGGAGCCCAAGCGTCGCGAGAGTGGTTTCCACTGTAAGCTCTACCATTATTAACGGGCAGATAAGGGCTAAAGGATGGAGTGTAGGGTGAACTAGGAATTGAAGCCCGTCCCGTTTGGTAGCCACCGCTATAGTCTCGCTGCCAACCTGAATCATTCGAATAGAGGTTCGGAGAGCGAGGGAATTGCCCCTCGCGAGGAGTAGGGTAAGCTTCCGATTGACTACCCCAAGAAGTAAGCGCAGGCGAAGCGACTCCAACAGCACTATCAAGTGATTTCTGCTGCCGTGGGAGAGATGCAGAAATAGGTGTGATGGGGGGCAATCCCATTCCCTGTGGGCCAGATGCAGCCTTCGGCTTAGTGAGAGACGGGCTCTCACGATCGCGATCCGCCACCGGCTGCGATGTTAGAATCGGCGAGGGCGCCGGGGCAAGAGGACGCAGGCGTCGAGATTCACGAGAAAATCCTTTGGGTCGTCGACCCAAAAATCCAGATGAGACCTTCGAAGGCGGATGAGAGTCAGCATCAGAACCCCGACGGTCGGCGGGGCCTGCAGCAACGCTATCATCTTTCATTCGGTCCGAAGGCGGCGCGGGCTCAGTGGAAACCGCGCGAGCCTTACCTCGAATTGCCTCCTTGCGGCGGCGGCGATTGGTGCGAGGATTGACATACTCCCGGTCGGGGCCTGTGAGTATATATATTAGTGTACCTATACTCAGGGCGGGGGAGGGGTAGTTGAATGAGGTGACATACCAAGTTTGTCCAGATACTCATTGACATAATAAACGCCGCTAGGTGACGGTCGTCCTGCGTCGATGTTCTGGAAGTAGTGCTCAACTACATGAAACTAGATCAGCATTACCGAATGAAGCAAGCCCGGTTAGATTAATGAGCAACTAACACAACATAGTACCAGTGTAGGTACGCTGAGACGTTCCTTGAAGATCCATATCGCGTTGCATCTGGTGCGCCAGTTCCTCCCACTCCTTTGGCTTGTTGACGCGATCGATACCGACACGCTTAGAAGAGTGGGGGACGACCTTCTTCCAGAAGTATTTCTCCTCAGGAGCGGTCCAAAGTCTGCCTACCATCTTGCCGACGAAATGAGCAACGATGGGTAGAAATATGTCTGCAAGTGATGATGATCTTATATTGTCAAGACTATGTAGTCTTAACCCGATAATATAGATCACGAGGCAGGTCAAAGTGGAATGGATGGATGGAGAGAGTAGACGAGTATTGAAAGAAGAGGGAGAGGGTTGAAGGATAGAAGGCTAGTTGGGATTTTATAATTGACGAAGCAAGCTCAGCGAGCTACCTGCTTCCGCAACCTACTTCTCACTGTGTCCCCAAACACACGTGGACCAGAATGAGGAGTTTGGAAATGAGTTATGGATCGGATGGAAGTGATTCACTGGGCTCATGACTTGGAAATTGTGTTTGAATGGGTAAGGGTAAGTAACTTGTGAGTGCTGTGTTCCCGGCTTTACCTTGCTAGTCTCGGAGGAGAGATAAGGGAAGAAATGAATGAACCATAAGAACGCACAACATTACATAAACACAGTATATTTACAAGGTATCAGGGCCAGTATGAAGCATCCAGCTCCACCGTACAGTGAATACGGATTAGTCTTTACAGTATCGGAGGCTTTATCATCTCTGTATTAGGAAATCACCACAAGACTTAACAGTGTGGAATATATCAATTAAAATTTACGGGCCAAAAACAACCTTGGAAGGAAGGAAAAAAAAATCTGTTATGTCTAGCTTAATCTCCACAAGCAAGAATTACTCTACTAAAAGACAGTTGACAAGATCCATTTGTGTAAATAGCACGTTCAGATCTCGTAGTATCATAAGATGGATGGCATCAAGCTATCGAATCTTCACCAGTATCGAGCCCCACCACCTTCCCCCAGCAAGAGCCTCGTTCAATCACCTTCAACTTCATCCAATGAGTGCACTCTTCCTTGTAAGCAATTTATCGTTAGTCAAGAAAATCTGGCGCTAGAGTCGGCATTGACCAGGTAGAGGAGCTGATCCGGAAACTACCGATCGGGTACATGGGCTTGTACAATGTTCAGTTAGGCTTAGTGTAACGATATGATAAACTTAAACTTGGAGATTGCTGTAGAACGAGTACTAAGTAGTAATTAGGCGATCCTGGTAAGTGGTTGGTGCGGTATAAGCTATATACCTAGGTACGTTGGCGCCTAGGTTATGTGATACTGCAGGAGTCAGTAGCTGTACTTATCCTAGGGTGTAAAGAATAAGGTATCTAACAAGGTTTATTAGTTTGAAGTGGTCCGATGACGTTATAACACTATCTGCGTATTGTTTGGTAGAATATAACGAACATCGGGAGAGGCCCGATGCCGGGGAGGACAAATGCCGAATTCCATGCGCTCCTTCCTTCGGTGCGTTACACGATTGATTGTCAACACAGTTATCATGCCGTTGCGCAATCAAGAGTTATATGTATATATGTGATCTCAAACTTTAAACCCCCTGGACCTGTTTGCCTACGAAAAACCTCCATGTATACCTAGGTATATATTTGTATATTTGTTAGTACAAGGAAGTAGAAGAAGGTATTAGTCGAGGTCAGGGCCTAGCCTACGAAGCCCAGGTGTCCCCCCACTGCTAAGAAGCTCTGTCAGTGAGCTACGCGTACTCACAGCTCGTGTTTTGGAGGTTGGAGAAGGCAGACGGGCAATCTTGTATTAAATGTAGCATACCTGTATTATTCCCACCTTGTCCAGCCACTCTATCTAGGGACATATTCATATACGGAACTATCTCCCCGAATTCGTTGTGACTTCATATCAATTGGGTCATTCAAAGGGACTCTGAGGGTTAGGAGGTTGATAACCGCGTGCCATCAGGAATGGGCCAAGCCGCTGCTCGAACCTAGAAAACTTTAAAAGTTTAGCAGGAGGGCATTAATATGAACTGAATTGAGACATACGATACTCTTCTCGTGTAACGGTTTGACGCCATCTTTGATCCATAGACCCCAACTGCCCATCGCATTTGCCAACATCATGTCGGTCATTAACCTATCCCCAATGATGGCAACCTGGCTCGGGTGAGTGACGCCGACCTCGGGATGAGATCTAAAATGAGCCATGATCTCATCACCACATCCAGGTTTCTTGATTCGATGAGCTAGAACCGAGATATCGGTAGCTTTCTCCAGCTCCTTCGCTAGGGTTCCATCCCGATCATAGGTAGTTGCACCAGCGGTATTAGATACGATTAGGAGACGGCGGCCGGGATATTCCTTCCGAAGTTGTCGAAATCGCTCCTATCATAGTCATAGAGTTAGACGAGTACACTACTTGGCGCATCTGGACAGATGCGGCGAGGGCGGGATCGTTGAGATCGGCGAAGGCCACTAACAGCATAGGAAGGATATATTTCATTGGTATCAGGGTATGCAAAACAATCGTCCTTATCCAATACTACCGCCTTAATGTTAGGTTTCCTACCCTGGCCCTCAAAGGCCTTCTCGAGTGGACTCGGTATTTCATTGAACGTGGAAACGGATACGTGGGGGAGACACAGCGACGGCTTTAGGAACAGCTTAAAGATGTTAATAGTGCCAGAGAGATTGAGATTCATGACGATTGATCGTCACTAGAGGCAGTTGATGGTAAGAGAATGTATTGTCACTAGGATTCACGTGATCTACGCACGTGAGTGATTAGAAATGCGCTAAATCGCGCTTAAATATCTATCATTTGGTTTGATGTTGTGATGCAAGCGATTTGTAGTTGTTCTTTCGAGATTGGAAAGTGGTTTGAGTGCTGCCAAAAAGCGTAATTGTGCGCCAATTGGCTCCACCATAGCTCCTTACGTAGGTACGCGGCTATCCTCTCCACATTAGCGCGGCTGCGCGGCTATGCTCAATTAGTACTATGGTACTAGGTATATACAGGGATCTTTGGACGCGATTCAATTTATCAATCGCGATTTCTAGTGAACCAAATCAATCTGTTCTATCAATTCCATCACTCTGTTCCTAAGGGTCATTTTCAAAATACACGTGCATTCTTAGTAATTAAGGTTCAAACGAATGCACTACAATGTTTTCTTCTATTAGTTATTCTTCTACGAGCTAGTCCATAATGGTACGGACCAAAAAGTCACAGCCCAGTGCTGTAGAATCAGGTCCTAATCCTAATTCTAGAAGCTCACCACGAAAGCGAATTCACGATGAAGACGACCAAAAAAACCCAGACAACCCTTCTAAACGACGTACCGGTCGAGCAACTGCTGTGACGCGCACTAATGGTACTACAAATGGTCACCACTCCGAATACGATTTTCCCTCCGACGATGACGACCAAGCGAGTATAGCCGTTAAAACGACACCTAGCAAAAAGAAGCAATCTTCGACAGCAACGACACCGAAAGCCAATGGAGAGGTATCTACACCCAAGGGGCGTAAAAGGAATGGGGCCGACGCAGTAACACCATCCAAAACCCCCGCGCAAAGTGCGCAAACTCCAAGATGGAAACGAAACGATCGTTCGGCCAGGAAAAAGAGTGCAAGAGCTTTAATTGAACAGGTCGTAGGTGGAGATGGGAGTGATGAAGACGCAGATGAAGATATTGCAAGAGAAATCTACGAATCAAGTGACGGGGAAGAAGATGAAGACGAAGATGAGGAGAACGTTCCGGACGAAGCTGCGACCCCTTCTAGTAAACCTCGTCGCGGTCGACCAAGGACGAAAGATGCAGCGAAGCGGACTAGGAAGAAATCGCCAACTCCGCCTCGAGATTTACCACCACACGAATTGTATTTTGCGCAAAATCGACCAGGTGCCTCGAAGACGTCTAATAATACCCTCGCACCCCTTAAACTCCTTACCCATGACGAATACTTCTCGATCCTACGTGACTACCAAGACCCACATGCCGAAGATGTCGAGTTTCTCGAGTCGATACACGTCGAGTTTTTCCCGCAATGGACATTTGAGTTGTCTCAAGGATTCAGCATATGTTTGTACGGGTACGGATCGAAGAGAGCACTGCTGCATAGGTTTGCGAAGCACGCATATGACAAATACCCAGATCATGTCGCCAACAAGATCGTCATCATTAATGGGTACGTGAGGACTAGTTCTCTGCGTGAGATGCTAGGCACCGTTGCGAGTGCGGTTGATCCTGCTCACAAGATACCAGCTGGCAATGCTTCGGCTATGCTCGAAAGCGTGAAGACATTGCTATCATCTCACGAAGTGGTCGTTACAGTCATTTTAAACTCAGTCGATGCTACGCCTTTGCGAAGGCCCGGGATACAACCTGTCCTCGCTCAATTGGCGGCGCATCCCAATATTCGGCTCATCTGCTCTGCCGACACACCCGACTTTCCACTCCTCTGGGATAGCAGTTTGCGATCTTCATTCAACTTCGTGTTCCATGACTGTACAACCTTTGCGCCATACACGGCGGAGCATGAGGTCGTAGATGATGTTCACGAGCTTTTAGGTCGCAAGGCAAGACGGGTTGGAGGAAAAGAAGGTGTTACTTACGTCCTACGCAGTTTGCCTGAGAATGCGAAGAACCTATTTCGTCTATTGGTTGGTGAAGTTCTTGCGGCTATGGATGATGAAGGTGCATCCGATGGTGAAAACCCTGGTGTCGAGTATAGGATGCTCTACAACAAGGCGGTTGAGGAATTCATTTGCAGTTCGGAGATGGCTTTCCGGACATTGCTGAAAGAGTAAGTTTATCCCCTTGTTTTCGATTACGTTGGTGATGCTAATTGAAAATTATAGATTCCATGACCATCAAATGATTACGAGTCGCAAGGATGTTTTAGGAACGGAACTCTTGAGCGTGCCTTTCCAGAAGGAAGAGCTCGAGGGAATATTAGAAGACCTCATGTCATAAGAGGTTATATATACCAGGCGATTATCATTATCATATTAGGCATTGCGATTAGACAAAAGGAGGCATAGGCATGGTTACCACATAATATGCATGCATTAGATACCCTTCGATATCATATTTAATCTTCCATATGCTCATTTCTCGCTTCACCCAGTACTGTGTGATCTTTGGAGGTCTTTGTTTCCACCTCCTTCATCAATTCACTTTGCCCGTCCAATCGCGACCACTTCGGTTTTCCATCATGCAAATCTACCACGCGCTGGCTGTAAAAGATATGGCACCTACAGAATTTATTAGCAAAAGGCTGTCTTTTATATGATGTGCCGGTTACTCAGCATGGCGCGCAAAACTTACTGAGGATCAAATAGCTTCTTATGCTCGGCATCACTAAACTTAATGATACCCGGAAACATAAGCACCATATTTCGTCCCTCATCCATAATCGGCGAGTGGCAATATGCGCAGCTAACTTTACAGGGCAGGCGATGCACTGTCGATTTATCGGGTGAATGGTAAAATGCTAAACCCTCGGCACCCTTTTCGAAGTGCAAGTCTTCCTTGTGGAATATCGCGGCCCACTATACTCGAGAATTAGTTTTCTGACAAATAAAAATTTGTGATATTTCAACTGGGCACTTACCTGAAAGGGCGCCCCATGAAGGGATTGGCAGTCAATACAGTGGCAGAATTTGGAGGCGAGCGGTTTGTCACGCGACAACCAATATTTGACGCGACCGCAATGACAATGTGCTGTCCATTTCTTTTCGAAATGCTCGTTGGCGGAAGATGTTTGATAAGGTGACTTCGTCTTCCATTCTTCGATGCTATCCAAAACCTTCCCCGTCTCCGCCCCAGTTTCCGTTTCTGATCTTGTTTCTGATCTTGTTTCTGGCATATTTTTCTTTAGTTGGTCCTGAGATGAAATCTGTGATTTGGAATGGAACTGCGCTTTATTTGATATTACTGATTGTATAGAACAGTGTTGAATCCGATGGGTTATTAGAGATGGTAGGTATGACGGCGATAGCGATAATGGAGATGGAGATATACAAATGTCGATACAACGAGAGTGATGACGTCGAAGAGTGGATTGCCAGGTTCTAGTCGTCAACACTCTTGGTTTAAGCATTCTTCAATAGGAAAAGAAGAGAATATAATTTCAAAAAATAAAGATAGAATTTCCATTGCGATTTGTATCCAAGAATTTATAATTCTCGAGATCATACAACCCCGTATGGTTGAGCTACAATGAACGTGATTTATGTACAGCGTCACTTAGACGATAGTGTAAATATAAGCTTCATACAGATATCGAGCTAGCTCCGTTGATCAGTGCATATCATATCAGAACCCCTTTCCTCGATGTCGCATCAAAATCCTAAGATCTCGCTACGAATTATGACGTGGATAGATCTAGAGCTGTACGTATATCTGCTACTAGATATGCTGCTTCCGGAGAGAAGTTTCCGGGGGGCATAAGAGAGTATCTTCTTAGACCTGCTATAGTCGTTTCTATGATCGTGGAACACTCAGAAATAAAGAATGAGGCGTATCCACCAAGTGCAACGGCCGAGCAGCGCCGGGGATAGATGTCAAGCTCACATTCAATTCCAGTTATCACCATGGAGCGGGGCATTGTATATCGCGGGAGAAATTCATTGCTCGGAAAGATTAGCCGAAGAGCTCCTTAATATCTTAGCAGGTGAATACAAGTTTCTTCTGATATCTGACTTCGGGGCTGGCTAACAGTATAATAATGAATGTCCTACGGCCTTCATGTTGGTAATAGTTGAAATATTTAGGTGAGTCTGAAAGCAAAAGACAGCCGAGGGAATAATGACGCCAGCAATAACACCCCTGTAACCCCGCTAGCTCGCCGATATTCCGGGACTGAGCTCCAACAAATCAGGTGTTACAGTGAGTACTCAAACTCCACTAAATAAGCTAGGGAGCCCTAAAGCTTCAAGGGAAATCTATCTCATCTGCATGCCAGCAGCTACGATCCGCTCTCCCAACGCCGTACCATCATCCCGAATCTCGAAGACGGATTTGCTTTTTACACGTGTGTCGCATTCTATATATATAAATCATCGTCCCAAGAGGAAGGGCTTAAGAATTAGTCACCCAAGGGAATGATCAATCTACGAGTCCGATAGGAAACTACCCCTCATTTTTACCTCAGTGTCTCCGAATACCAACCATTCGTATGATGACCTCGCAACAATGCGCTCTCACAAAGCCTTAGAGAGCGAGGATGCGCAAGAGGCGCAATGGGAAGCGGCACGAGGTGCGGCAATTGGAGCTGTAAAATGGGGAGCTGCTTCCGCTGTCTTGGGTGGTTTTGGTTATGTGTTCTCGCCTTTGTATCGAGGACTCACTATTCAGTTTAAAGTGTGAGTACAACCAACCCCCACTCCTTCCTTAGACACCGGCATCAGTTTATGATGCGCATTCACGGGATTTATTGCCTAGAAAAGAGAATGCTTAGCGTATGAAAGACTTATGAGCGGAAGAAAGAAGGACTAAGTAATGTTAGATATCTCCAAATGTCCGGTATGATCGTCGGCAGCATGATCGAAGCGGACTACCGAATGCGCCAATATGAACAACGAGTACGCATGCAACGTCGGATAGCAAGTAATCGAGCTATCTGGGCAGACTACGAGAAGGAATTGATGGAGTTAGAAGATGAACCACCGCCGTCCTCGGAACAGAAAAAGAAATGAAACGACTTCACTATTGTTAGGGACGGGTCGCATTTCAAGCAGCAGAATTTGCCGCCTTTTGTCTTGTCTGGCAATAAACTATGTATCTGTATAAAAGATACGTACATACTCCACTACTTTTCGTCCTCCATGCCACCTAGCAAGTAAGCAATCAATTATGATGAGAAGTTCATGACCTCGTGAACGCCAGTGCCATGCCATGCCAATATCTCAAAGTCATTTTCACCAGCCCTACATCGCACTCATCCCCCAACCTCAATATATATTGAGACCCGCTATCTATTTGCTCTTGACCTCAAAACGCTTCGGATCCATGCCGATCTTGCACAACCTCGCCACACACCCACTCAACTGCAGCAGAGTCTGCACACCCTCCAGGATCTTCATATGCGTAAACCCAATTTCGCGGATAAACTCCAGCTTTGAGTGTTCGCTCAACGTCGGAATAGTTTTCGTGACTTTAAACATCGTGCTAATAATATCATGGCTCGAGTACCCCAAATCCCACAACTCACGCAGGGAATCCAGCGCACTATCCACATTGCCCTCATGGCAGGCCTTAAGCATAGCCTGGACCTTGATCGGGTGCGGGCTATCCACAACTTTAAACACATTGTCTCCGGTAACAATACCGAAACCAGCGAATGTGCTTTGTAAATTGTTGATAGCTTGTCGCATATCACCCTCAGCGCTGAATACCAGCGCCGCTAGGCCGTCGTCTGTGTATTGCACTTTCTCGGCTTCGATAATCTGTAAAAGTCGTTTGACGACTTGCGCATCGGTTAATCTTCCGTAGCGTAGGATGGCGCATCGTGATTGGAGGGGCTCGATGATCTTGTTGGACTGATTGCATGCGAAAGCGAAGCGTGTCGTGTTCGAGTAGATTTCCATCGTGCGACGAAGTGCTTGTTGCGCGCCTGATGTCATGCTGTCGGCTTCGTCGAGGATTACGATTTTGTGGCGACCGGCTGGGAGTGTGACTTTTTTCTGCGCAAAGCCTTTGATTCGGTTGCGGACTACGTCGATACCTATGATTCCATATCATTAGTATTATGCCTGAGTGGGTTGGATAGGTAGGTGTTAGGGAGAGCTAACCTCGCTCGTCACTGGCATTAAGTTCCAGAACAGCTTCCTTATAAGCGTCCCCGAGTAGTTGTCGAGCAAGGCATAGTACGCTAGTGGTCTTTCCGATACCTGGCATACCGGATATGATGACGTGGGGCATGTTGCCATCTTTTGCGATGATCTTTAATCGTTCGATCGTCTCTGTGTTTCCGACTACATCGTCGAGGAATACCGGTCTATACTTTTCTACCCTATATATGGAATCTATTAGCTTGGGTAGACCATAGAAAGGACTTTGAGACAGGGAACGTACCAAGGCAGTTCGTAGGTCACATTTCCATTAGAAGCGCCTGTGAGTGCCTTTTTCGCAGCTGACGTTGAGGAATCGCCTCTTTCCTCAGGTTTTGCTGCCGGCATTGTGAAACTTTGGTCAGACGCCGGGTATTATTGCGATTAATTGATCTGTCGGCGGCGCTGGGCTGAATTGATAGGGAATTAATTGTTAATGAATGCGAAATCAATTTACGCGTGTTTGCTTTGCTGAGACGCGTCTGAATTTAGATTCGACCTTAGTGGGGCAATGGTGCATTATGTAAGCTACCATAGGGGAGTCGCCCCCTGAATTTATGTATCTTCCCGGGCAATAATTCTTAGGGAAAATTAAATAGTTTATCTTCTTATTTCTTTTCAGTTTATCTTCATTCTTAAGTAAATCTAGTAGTTTCTTTTTTCTAGGTCACCGCAAGGTTCTAGTTTGTTGCACCGCTCAATTCAGTGCGGATACCTATATAAATCTATCGTGGAACGAGCCATTGACCGAGCCATTGACCGAGCCCAAGCAAGAGAGTGACACATCCAACTACCCTCCAGCTAGAGGCAGATTTCAACTTGCCGATCATGATCCTTACTTCCAATCTGGATCATCCAGATACCACATCGGACCGTCAAGGTCAAGCGACTAAGTGCGATAGTCGCCATTGATTGTGCTAATGAAGATATCAGTATGCATTGGTGGATATAGTTGGTAGAATACTCACATGTACTCATGGCTGTAATCGCAGGTCCAGTAAGTAGCCTCCTTCTGGCCAGTTCCCAATCTCACAAGGATCTCAAGATCCTCATGTTCGAGAATCTGCGCGGCTCGAGTCTCATCAACTAGCTCTGGTTCACCATTGACTAGGAGCTTTAGCTCTGGGCTCCCGTCGGTAGGTACGAAAGAGACATTAGTCTTCTCGGGTATTATTTCAGCCACTTCATTGACGGGATCTCCGGGTTCACTGATTAAAGAGTACCCCGTAGCACAGAGAATTCGTCCCCAGTTAGCATCCTTACCATAAAGTGCTGTCTTGACGAGAGGCGATCGTGCGATAGTGCTAGCAATCTTCCGGGCACCTTCCTCACTGGAGGACTCGGCTACCCGAATTGTAACGAATTTGGTGGCACCTTCACCATCTCTGACAATGAGCTTAGCGAGGTTAGTCGCAAATTCAGTTACGACGTCTCGGAAAGCAATGAAATCGGCTGAATCTTCCGAGGTGACACCTGGACCACCTGCAGCTCCATTCGCCAGCAATGCGACTGTATCGTTGGTAGAAGTATCCCCGTCAATAGTAATGCTGTTGAAAGATCGATCTACAGCATACTTAAGAATAGGTGGAATAACAGCTGGGGAAATGGGTGCATCAGTAGCAATGACACCCAAAAGGGTGGCCATGTTGGGGTGGATCATGCCAGCTCCCTTGGTTGTTCCAGCTATACGATATTCAATTGACGGAGAGGATGGCAGACTAAATGTTTTTGAGATCAATTTGGGGAAAGTGTCTGTTGTGCAGATTGCAGTGGCGCAAGTCAACCAATGCTTGTGTGTGTCGCCGAGCCCCTCATGCGCTTTTGGAACATTATCCAAGATTTTTTGAATGGGCAATCTACAAATCAGTCAGAAAAAATAAAAAATAAAAAAAGTGAAATGTGCAATAAAATCATAAAATTCACCTTTGCCCAATCACACCAGTACTCATAACGATGGTCGCCTTTTCAGCACCAAGACTCTCATCAGCTGCCTTAGCCATTCGTTCCGCATCCTCGAGGCCGCCTTTTCCTGTTACTGCATTGGCGCATCCCGAATTGATTAATACGCCACGAAGTCCTGAATTCTTCTGCTCCTGAAGCAATGCCCGACTGAATGTCACAGGCGCAGCTTGAAACTTGTTCTTGGTGAATACAGCAGCTGCAGCACATGGCGTATCTGAGGTAATGAATGCAAGATCCGGTTTAGTGGTGTTCTTGGGCTTCACACCAACTATCGTACCCGAAACCTTGAATCCTTGCGGGTAGGTACCGTTAGTTGGGACATATTTTCTCTTTGCCGCCGGGATGCTTCCATTGACCGGAGCTGAGTAAAACCGGGCGCCGGAGACCCTCGCCGTCAATTGGCGCAATTGGTTTGGAAATCGGCAGCGCGAAAATTGAAGAGCCATGGGGAGCGTTTTGGTACGTTCCCAATATTAGTATTGAAGAACGGGACCAAATTGCTCTTAATGAGCTCTTATACTTTATGGGGACGACGATGTGGGCCGATTTCCACGGTTGTGACTCAAACTTGTTCGAGCTTTGGACATTTTATTATTTTCATGAAGTGCCGAGAAATATTAGTTGTTAATTAACTAGTTCAGTTGGGAACAGCTGTCGCCGGTCAACTCTTATCGTCCCTATCGTTCGTTATTCCCCTCACTATTCGAGTCTACAATACAGGCGGAGCTAGCGCTTTGGAGCGGGGGATATACACCTATTACCAGTTCTGATACCTCACTATAACAACTAGCTAACGGCAGTATGAAAATGGATACCCGATGCCTTAACAATCTCGACCTCTACATGGAACTTAAATACCCCGAAATGGCTTCGTACTCCAACACATCTACATTACTACCTACCCGCCTGGGTAGACACGGGATATCACAGAGGCCTCCCGTTTTAAGGTAGGCATTTATCTGATAATGTTATTCCGTATGATTTAATTCCTTATGTTGTAGTATGCTACCATGCCTCTTCGATATAGCAAATCAATTTAATGTAATTGTTGAGTTCTAGGCGGTTCTCATGCGGTCGTATCGGGTCACAGATTCTAGAAGAACTTGAGCACCCAAAGCACTGAGAGGAGGGTGAATTAGTACCGTATTAGTGCGATCAGACCTTTGATTTTAAGGGGTGACATACCAATCTTCCGGGCTACAGTACTCTTCTGGGTGATGGCTTATACCCTCCTTACAGGGCACGAAGATCATGGCTGTCGGGCACTTTCGGCTTGTGTATACGCTGTCATGGCCAGCGCCACTCGTCATCGGAAGCCACCCATTAGGGCCTACGAGGTCCTCTGCAACGCCCTGAACTACGCCCACGCAGTCCGCTGAGAATTGAGTGGCGGGGGAGTCCGTGTCCACCGTCCATTTAATTTGAACGCCCTTACCATCTTCCCTTGCAATTCTTTCAAATGACTCAATGCATAGCCTTTGTGCCTTGGTAACCACATTGTCATCTATATGGCGAATATCTAATGTGAAAGTGACCTGGGAAGCGATAGTATTTGTCGAGGAGCTTGGTGGGATCTTAATGACGCCCGTAGATACCAAAGCCCCTAAATCCCGCGCAATCGCATTGGAAGACGCTATCATTTTCGCGGAAGCTAACAGAGGGTCCCGACGCATTCGAAGAGGGGTTGTACCTGTATGGGCGTCACGCCCTTCGACAGTAAAAGTGAGCCACCGGTAAGCTTGCGCACCCTTTACGACACCAATTTTCTTGCCAGATTCTTCTAGGATAGGTCCTTGCTCAATATGAAGCTCGAAATGGGCACCAAGTTGGTTTGCTTCACTAGAACAGGCCGTTTCCCCAATCAATCCATGACGCTGCAGTTCCGACTTCATAGTGACATTTGGGTCGAAAATGTCCGCTAAACCCCAGGCTTTCTCGAGAGGAATATCCCCAGCCCATACTCCGGACGAAACCATCGACTTAGGAAACCTCGCTCCTTCTTCACTAAAACACACATTAGTTGTTTGTACACACAACATTATTACAGGAGCAAACAATACTTGGTCCAATTCACAGCTCCGATATCGTATTCCGTCCGATAACCGTTTTCATGAAGAGTCCGTAAAGCTTCCATGGCAGCCACGACTCCTAGAATGCCGTTATAGCGTCCGCCTCTAGGCTGAGTGTCCAGGTGACTGCCCATCGCAGTCATTGGAGCTTTTGAATTCAAGGAACCAGCCCTTCGGGCAAACATGTTACCCATCTTATCGATTTTTAGCTCACAATCGAGTTTGCGTGTCTCTTCGCTAAACCAACGCCTCACGGAAGCGTCATCGTCAGAAAGTGATAGGCGTGCCATTCCTGTCTGCGTCGGACCACTGTTATTTCTCATTAACATGGTCTCATCCAAAAAGTAATGAAGATAATTTGAGGATTGAAACATACTCTCCGTATCGGTGGGCAGCGCCCCATTGGCAAGTATAATGAAGGGTTTCTTGTAACCGATCCGCATTAATTTTCAGGCCTGAGAGGGGCTTGGATGTGGTTGACAACCACCTAGCGCGGCGAGGAACACGAATAGCTGACTTCATTATTCGCATCAAAACTTAAGTGCGATAATGTAGTAGGGAAATAAAGAGGGAAATCAATGAGAATCAGCACATAAACTCAGTTCTGTCAGAGTTTGGGAGGTTCCATTTTATCAGGGGAATTGCTTTGTCGTCGCACTCTCGATGCCGCATCATAGCCGATTAAATTGCTGGCTCCGAGGCTAGCGGGCGCCTTCTCACTACACGCAAAAAAGTAACGCCCTCTCAGGACGCCTCCATATTTTGGTTCCCCTAAGATAGGCTCATTTTAATTAGAAAAGGGGTCAATTTCGATTGCTTGGAAATACACTAGATAACATGATACGCCATTAGCCGCGGAGTGTCAGGAATCGCATCTATTCTAGTCCCCGGAGTCGTGCCTGAGCAGGTTCAGGTCGGGTTTCCAACCATCCCACTTCCGACAGCCATGGAATTTATACAAGTGCTGCCAAAGATGGTCTTTACGAGCGAATGTTCTATCTGGCACAGCGCGCTCGGCGCAAGCTTCGAATTCATGAGATTGGAAGTGTTCTTCGGTGGGAGAGATGTGCCCGCAGAATATGCATTCTGGCTCTCGCTGGTTGAGGCGCCATATTAATGAGGGTTGGCCACTGGGTAACGGAATTGCGCAGGTCCATTGCACAGCCTTTTCATTTGAATCATGAACAGACTTCTCGTGGCGACGCCAGTCGTATTTCCGAGCGAAACTGCGAGAGCAGAATGTACACTGGAATCTTCGGTTTTTCTTGGCAAGATCTTTAGATCGGTTTAATCCTTCCAAACTACCCGCCGAAGTGGAAAATATAGAGATATCATCCGTAGAAGAGTAGGTGTGGGCTGACGACGTTGAATCAGACGACGGGTATTGCCATAGTGCGTACACATTGAATGTTGAGCCCCCACTCCCCGACGAAATACCCGCATCCGTATGAAGGGCTTCAATTTCTTGAAACCCACTGACACCCCCTAAACTCGAATCAAGAGCTTGTTGGATTACCGATTCGGAGATAGGCTCCTCATCCGGTGGTGACTGTCGCCAGCGCTCAAACGGAGTCATGTTTAACATAGACGCGCTGGTAGGCATCGGAGATCCTTGCGGAAAATTCACCTTGCTCGACGCTTTGGCGGCGGCGGACATTCGGTGTCGCCGTCTAGCATTTGGAAACCAATCCGCAATTTGGGTCCTGCTCAGCCCAGATTGCTGAGCAAGGGATACCTTTTCCTCTTCCGAGGGGTACGGATAATCAAGGTGGCACGCGAACCATGACCTCAATAATTGAGTTCTCCTTACAGAGCGGGAGTGGAATCTCTTGCTAGGGGCTGCTTGAGATCTGGTGCTTCTTGATTGTTCGCTTGTGACGTTTTTCATGGATAACGACGAGGATGTTACCGGCTCCTCGTTTACTCCATGCAAGTTATTGATAACCGGCTCAAAAGTCTCGAACTCCGCCGGCAGTCTCTTGCCTCGCTCTGCTAGACTGCATTGCCGAAAAAGAGCCACGCAACTAGAGCAGGAGTTTATCGGATTCGGATTTGCTGATGTCGTTTGAAGCATGAAACACTGTAAGCGTAGACGGCTACAATAGGTACAAGGTTCCGGAGGTCGCCAAGCCCCATTGTTACGAAAGAATTCATCAATACTGATATCTGCCGTATCAAGATATTGCCATGGAGTAGCCACAATATCATCTAGCTCAAGAATGTTCTGCTCGTAGTTAGGGTTTCCTTCGATATGTTCTTCACCTGGCGGTGCTGTAGTTACTAATCCTAGTAGATCGGAGGAGAGAGGTGGGGGGATACTTGGCTCGAACTCGTCAATCCCACCTTGGGATTTCTCCTCGACACCATCGAAATTCCTTCGATACACCGATTCGTGGAAAGGCGCATCCATTGCGTGATCCTATAAGAGCGGAAAAGAAGAAAAAGAGGTTTGGTTGGTCAGGTGGAGAATTCGAGATCGACCGGTCCCTTTTACCAACGGCCGGCGCGTCCATGTTCGTTTAGCGGAGCCGAGCTGTTCACAGAGGGCGTAATCATCACGCAAAGCGTGACATGATAATTGGTATATGAATAGCTGACTACCAAGCAGATTTTTGAGTAAAATGAGTACGAATAGGTCTCACGTAAAAAGAAGCCATCTAGTTTACTGCAACTTTTTTTTTTTTCTCACCATGACTCGCTCCCGTCGACCAGTCTATTTCAATCCAAGCGCTCGGTCTTGGGTAGCTCCGCCGACAACGTCAACCGAACTAGTCACCAAATTTCATCAACAATTACCAAATTATAAGCCGACTAGACTTGTAAGCTTGGACGAAGTAGCCAAAGAAATTGGCGTTAAAAATGTATTTTTAAAAGATGAAAGCGACCGGTTTGGATTACCCGCGTTCAAGATTCTTGGGGCATCATGGGGTGTATTTCGAGCTATCGCACAGACACTCGGCTTACTCCTCGATGCGGATATCGTGACGGTAAAGCAGGTCTTAGCCAAGTCATCAATACCCTTATATACCGCAACTGATGGAAATCATGGCCGGGCGATGGCGCGTATGGGAGCCATCTTGTCACTCCCTGTCGAAATACATGTCCCTGCAGGAACAAACGCCACAACGATAGATCTAATTCAGAGCGAAGGAGCTAATGTTGTGATATCGGCTGGGACCTATGACGATGCGGTTTTAGAAGCGCAAAAGGCTGCGGAAATGAATGGAGGACTTTTGATCCAAGATTATGGTTTCGGAAGTTATGAAGAGATTCCCGCGGTACCTCCAATTCTTGCCAATTCCAGGATGGATGTTTTTTTTTTAGCTAATAATAACTGCAGTGGATAATAGAAGGATACCGAACTATGCTATACGAAGTGGACGAGGACCTTGGGGACGTCCAAGCAGACCTCGTGATTGCCCCAGTCGGGGTGGGCTCGTTTGCCCATGCTGTTGTATCGCATTATAAGAGCAAGGAGACGCCTGCAACCGTTTTAACAGTGGAGCCCGACACTGCGGCCTGCCTCTGGAAGAGTTTGAGACGAGGAGCAGTCCGAACCGAGAAGACAACCCATACTACCATGGCAGGTTTGAATTGCGGGACAGTCTCGTCGATCTCCTGGCCCCTCCTACAGTCCGGTGTTGACGCGAGTTTAACTATCTCAGATTACGAGTCTCACATGGCTTCCATCTATTTAAATGGGTTAGGAGTATCTTCAGGTCCATGCGGAGCTGCGCCCCTCGCTGCTCTCCGTAGACTTAATGCTTCGGATAAAGCAAAGTTAGGCCTGGATCATAATTCAATTGTTGTTCTGTTATCCACCGAAGGCACAAGAGATTACGATACCCCTTTAGATGTATCAACAGGCGATCCCGTCGCTCTCACGCAGACACTAGTCCAGACCAACTCGGCGAATCCCGAGTTAGGGTCAACACCTGGGCCTGGTGAAGGTGCTATTGCCCAATACATAGCTTCATGGCTGGAACATCGCGATATTGAAACCCATTGGATAGAGACTACCAAGGGACGACCGTCAGTAGTAGGCGTGGTTCGGGGATCTGGCGGGGGCAAAAGTATTATGTTGAACGGACATATCGATACGGTAACATTGTCGGGATACGATTGCGACCCCTTGAGCGGAGAAATTAAGGAGGGTAAATTGTACGGGCGCGGATCAGCCGATATGAAGTGCGGAGTGGCCGCCGCGCTTGTCGCTCTTGTCAATTCTAAACTACTTGACCTTCGAGGAGATGTTGTCTTTGCTGGTGTAGCAGACGAGGAAGCCAGAAGTATTGGAACGGAACAGGTCTTAGAAGCAGGTTGGCGGACCGACGCTGCGATCGTGACAGAACCAAGTAACCTCAATATCATCCACGCCCATAAGGGTTATGTTTGGCTAGAAGTCGACATTCATGGCCTCGCAGCACATGGCTCCCGCGCGGACCTCGGCGTCGATGCTATCTCCAGGGCAGGCTATTTCTTAGTGGAACTAGACCGATACTCACGGAAGCTGCTCGAATTCGATGCCAACACCGGAGTTGGACCGCCTAGTGTCCACGCCTCGCTTATAAAAGGCGGCGAGGAGGTTTCATCCTATCCAGCTCTCTGCACAATAACTATAGAGCGCCGGACGGTACCAGGTGAAACAAGCGACACGGTCAAAGCAGAAATTCAAGCCTTGCTTGATAAAGTAGCGAATGAAATCACGGATTTCAGCTATGATTTAAGAGTTACCTTCGAACGGTCTCCTTTCTCGATTTCGCTCGATGACTCTTTCGCTTCCCTCGTACGCGACGTAGTTGGCCAATCCCTTGTGGAAGATCCTACTTTCCGTGGTGAGCCATACTGGACTGATTGTGCTTTACTTGCAGATTCGGGGATCTCGGCGCTTATATGGGGACCTCGAGGAGAGGGTCTTCATGCTAAGGAAGAGTGGGTAGATATCAATTCGGTCAGGGTGGTAGCAGATGCACTCACGGGCATCGTGAACCGGTTTTGCAAGTAAGTAGGTAGAGGCTATAGCATTACCAAGGAGCATAAAATCACCAGACCATAGTATAAGTATGTGTAGCCTTGATGACTGCTTAAACTATAGAAAGACTATCTGGGGCCCTCCTCGACCTGTTTTGGGCATTGGGGGCTGCACGTATAACGAGCTTTCCTGTTCAATACCTAGGTCACTACAATCCGAATGCCTGCAAGACGAGTCAGGACTCTTAAAGTAGAACTTCTCTCCAAGGCCGTCTTGGTTGAAATTCTAGGGCAAATCGGCGAATTCATCATCTATCTCTCTATCACCCCCGAATAACACAAGCTTTAAAGCGCATCTGTTGCACTGACCCCCTCCATATCCCATTGTGACGAAATGGCCACCCTCACGATCGAGTGGATTCTCTCCACAACAGGCACAGGATTCTGCGACACGATACAGCTCGATCATGAGGGTCTTGTTTTGTCGCACGGTCTGTCTGAGGACATCCACTGCAAAGGAAGGAGCTGCGTCCAAGACATGATTAAACTCAGCCGAAACCAAAGGGAAGTATAGAGTTGCTCGTATGAAATCCAGCCACATCTGTGTGAGATCTCCGAGTCCGAGTCTATAAGCCACCTCAACCCCTCTAAAGACTCCGTGTACATCGTCCCAGTCAAGGTACTGTGAGCGAGGCTTCTCGCGTGGGAAATCTTGATATGCCCTCTGCCATTCGATCGCCTTCTTACATAGTAAGTTCCGCATGTGTTCTAGTAGAAGCTGTCGGAGTTCAGGTAAGAGGAAATAGTCGGCAACCTTGAACATCTCGGCGCAGGTCTCATAGGCTGTGTCTTCTTTGTAGAGAGCCGGGGGGGTAAGTTCTATGAGGTGAGGATGTTAGAAATGTACAAATCAGATAGACAAATTACTGGTACTCACCTCCAGTGTAGATCCACTCAATAACCCAGCCAACTGCGTCTGGGTTCTGTTCTTCGAGGGTGATTTCACTCCTCTTTGCCTCCTTCAATATATGTCAGTTTAGATTAACTCTTGGGTACAACGAGCGTTAACACAAACCTCAAACTCCCCCATCAAGGCGGCGTTAAACCATTGGCATTCAGCGCAAAGGATAGCTTTGTGGAGCTTCTAGGTTCTTGTGCCGCATAGGATAACCACGTCGGCGAACCGCTCGGATTCGAGTAGTCTATTAAGATGTTAGCTTAGGAATATTGGTATTGGTACAGGGGCTTTAAACAATCTGCCCCGATGATCATACCCTTTGCTTAGTGCAACTCGATCACGTTTGGTGTTCATGTTCATGGCGATTCCTAGAGCTTTAATACCATACTTTGGTGATGCCTTTGATTTTTCGGTAATGGTAATTCAGCATACGCATGAAGCACGGGTGTTTATGAAATAGAATTGATGAGAAAAGAGACAATCGTTAGACAACGCTTAAGAAAGAAGGAGAAAATATCAGTAATTTTAGTTGGTGTTTTCAGTATCTATAGAAATTTATAATCCAAGTACCTAGCAAAGGCCGAGTGCCTTCCAAAGTCATAAGTCTGTTGTAAATATGTTTGTCAAAGAGGTAAATACTGTTTGTGGGCCAACAAAGTATACCATTCCATCGACTAGCACGTCGCCTGATCATCCTGGGAGGCAAGAACACCCATGGGATTAAAGCCGTGAGTAACAGTATCCATTACTTCAAAATAAGCACAGCAAGAGGTTGCCATGCTACCTAATGTTTCTTTTCCTTTTTTAAGAAAATAAAAAGAAGAAGAAAGTCTATACTAGTATTAGGATTAGAAACCAGATCCCCATTAGGCATCTCTTAGGAAAACAAAGGTCCCATCATGAGAGGGAGTAGTATTTTAAATAATGAGAATAACTATTTAGAGCTCTCGAGAATGATGTAGTATAAATTCATGAAAGAATGGTTATTGTCCCTGTATAGGTGGCAGGAGGACAGTTTCACAAGCAACTAGAAGCAAATCGTAAGTATATCGGAGCTCTCTGGCTAATTTATCAGTAATGCAGATTTATCATGGCAGCGGTGTTAGGCTGTTTATGATGATATATGCCGTATTGCATGTCTCGTCTGCTGGCTAGCTACACTATTAAGGCATACCACCAACACACTCCTATCCTAGAATGTAGGGTATTTCGGGGTTGATCGAGGCCATTCCTCCGCACATTCCTCCAACTTGTGCTGAGTAAGTAATGTGGTCTTCAAACCAGCGGTTTACTCAAACAATTCGCAATCGTCGCGACAATGGTTGCAATGCCCGCCAAGAGGGATAATAGCCGAACCTTCTTGCCTATAACTGAGACTAACATAGTGACCACCAGACCGACGAAAAGGATCACTATGGCAATCTATGCAACCAAAGTGATCGTGGGACGCGTTATGGAGCAAACCGCCACGCGTGAGATTTGTATCTCGAAGCGCTACGAGAACCTTAAGTCCGAATCTAGGAATCTCGGTGCAGAGAGCGAAGAAATCGTCGTTAGTAAGAACCCAAAACATTGTTGCCTTCACAAATTGGACCCAAAGAACCCCCAGTGCCTCAATTTCGGACTCGTAGGCAAGCCTGACCCCTTCCAGTAGACCTGTGGTGTCCTCCCCGCCCACCGCGAGAAAGTGAAATCCGGACCCAATTATAGTGCAAAAACGATTCTGGATCGCTATAGCTCTCTCTCGCAGGAGCATCTTTGTTCGGGTTATAGCGCTGTCTCTTAGCTCGGGGATAAGGAAGAAGTCCGCGGTCTCGTAAAGCTTCAAAAGTGCTGCGAAAGCCTCATCTCCGTTCTCGAAGACCTCGGAGTCCAGCTCTCCTGTGTACATCCATGTGATCGCTACGAAAAGGAGCTCGGGGTCACTCTCATCGATAGTGATGACACTAGTTTGTGCCTCCTATAATTTGCATTAGTTCGTGTTTAATCTTACATGAGAATGCTATAACATAGCCGTTTCATACCTTAAATCCTCCAGTCAGTGCAGTTCTAAACCAGTGAGACTTGCTGCAGAGGTGGGATTTATGAAGCTTCCAAGTCGATGCGCCACACTTGACTGCGACGTCCGAAAACATTTCAGGTTCGAGCAACCTAGTGATGGATTAATAAGACAGAATTTTCAAGCAGCGTTATTAAAATAGGAATGTTATCCTTACCAACGGCCTAGATTGAGCGGTGCCTCGGAGAGTGGCATGATTGCTATCGCGTCCTAAAATGGAGTATTGCCAACCGAATCGAATTCTAGAAATAGGTTTGGGAGTTGATTTCCAAAAGTTGGAAGAATTTCAATAATGGGCGCCTGTTTTTATGGTTTGCTGGAATGGTAGGCATCCAAAGGACAATGTTAAGCCGTGTGATAACGGGAAATGTGCCCGGGCCTTTATCCTATTGTTTGCTCCATGTAGGGAGTCACTACGTAGAAGGCGCGAGTTTAACATGTACGAATGTAATTACCCTGGCAAGTGCCAACTTGATTCGACCCAGTCTCCTTGGTTACTTCCTACGGGGTTCCCTAGACTTCAAAGACCCCCCACTTAATCGAGGGAAGGTACGCATTTCGGCATGCCTGGGAAGAACAATATATGCACCTCTGAATATTTGAAGTCAGTGGATATCAAATTATCAAGATTACTAGTTACATGACCAACGGGGTTGCTAACCTCAACCTAGAATAGAATAACCAACCACCTATAATAACCACTAACACTTGCCTAGAATATTCTTAGGAGATGTAAGATTAAGTATCATCACTCTCATTCACCTGGATTCCTAGTTGCTGTAATCCTCTGCATCCCAATATCCTTGCTTGATTTCCCCGAAAATTGCGCAATAGAAAGAATCTAATGAAATGATATCATGCTTTAGATTGCCGTCCATTGAGAGGCCCCCACGACAGATCGGTAGAGGAGACTGCGTTCTGTGCTAAATGATGGAACGGTGGCGCAAAGTCCCTAATCGCAGTCGGCCTTCGAAATAAAAATCAAATGAGACATGAGTAAAAATAGAGTTGATAATGGGCAGGCGTTAGTTCTGTACGATGGGAAGGCTGCTAGAAGATAACCCCTAGAACCATATACAGGTTCCTCATTGCGGCATTGTAAACGGTAGCTCGGTCGGAATAAACGGTGCTGAGGGGGAGCGTGCGTCCACAGCCCATCGTGTCTTGTTTGGAACGATTATGCCATCGCGGACTTCCCAGTTGAAAAGGCTGTAGAAGGCGTTGATGTTCTCGACGTAGTCCATAAATAACAGTACAATAGACCTGTCCGATCCCCAGTGAGTAGTAACAGACCGAGGCGTTGTTGAAAGGCAAGGTCTATCCGCATAGACAGGTTCGGAGTTGAGATTCGGTTCTACGAAGCTACAGTGAAATACTTCGTCGGTGTCGTGCTTGTGTATGGTAAAGTTGTATTGGCAAGAGGTATCACAGGTGATATTAGTATTGAAGAGTGTCCATGGCACTGGTGTTCGGTACTGGTATTCATAGCCAAGGACCAAGCTTGACCATGAAGCCAACGTAAAGAGGGCGGAAAACTTCATGACGCCGAACTTCCTGGTCTCTTGGGGGAATATGTAAAAAGAATGAGGTGCAAGCCTGGATACTTCTTAATCCAATGGATCTAGAGCGACTTTGCCCCCTTTTTATGTTCTCCAAAGGTTCATCGGAATTGGGGTGGAAAGTAAACAATCCATCACTATTTGTAATTATTTACTCATGGAAGTAAACTTTGGTATTAGAGAGTAAAGTAACACATTGTTTTAACTTCCTCTATAAAGTATCTATTTGGGTGATGTAGTCAATAGTCGCTGCTGCTAGCGTTATTGAGTTACGCTTGGTCATGGAAAATTTACGTATAGCATATTTTCTAGGGGAATTAGCGTTTAGGAGCGATAGATCATTTGATTTTAGGGATGAGCTTAAATATCAAGCGAATTTTCCCATTTTTGAGTATTGCCGTCTTATGAGTTACCAGGACGACGAGTAGGCCTGAGGCCACCTAAACTTTGTATGAAGTATTCCAGGATTGTTCTGAAAAATATCTTGTAATAGGGAAGTCATATCTAGTAAATAATACAGTATATTATTTAGCGGAAACAAACATTGCGACAATTCATCATGGATATCTATCGTTCTTTGTGGGTTGAAAGGTTATTAAAAAGGGGGAAAAGTGCTGACTCATTAAATTCGGAAAGGGGAAGGGGTAGTAGCACGGCCACAAGCGGGACCAACTGACTAAGCGATTAGACACGAGCCACAGATGTGGGGAGTCAATATGGTCATGGCCCGAGCTCCCAAGCTAATATTTTTTTTCCTCCTGCTTGAAATTGACACCTATTTAAATTTTTCCTTCCTCAACATTCCATTCTCGTCTTTCCTCCTTCCTTCAACCAAGACGGCATTTCCCAATTGGCCAACCAACATGCAAATATCCATGTAGGTAGCAGTGCTGCCTGCTGTTCCTGCGTGTTGTTTATCTCATCATATTCGTCATTGCCACTTTGAGGCTCACGTAGTCTGGAAGAAAGCAAACGTGTCTTTGCTTTTTTGTATTTCTACTACATAAATCTACCACGGGAATTTCGTCCTGTTTCTATCATCCATTACGCAAATTTGGATTGTAAAACACTTAGGGTAGCTATCGGTTTCTCAAATCACTATGGCGGATATAGTCAGCGTCTACATGAACACCCCTCCTGTCGCGAGGTAAGTTGCATTTTCCCACTTGAGCTTCCGAGCCAAAATGCAGAAGAAAGGTATAACAAAGCTGACAATTAATCTACAGGACGGTCGCGACAGCGGTGTTCCTATGCTCCGTAGGAGTCTACACGGGCATGCTCAGTATTGAACCCTTCATTTTCCACTACTTGATGCTATACAAGTTCCCTCCCGACATTTACCGCCTCGTAACGAGCTTCCTAGTGACAAGTCCCAACTTGGGTGTATTGTTCGATACATACTTCATCTTCACATATCTGAGTCAGCTTGAGACTGTCTCCAAATTCCAGAAGAAGGAGGATTTGATATGGTACCTGATGTTTGTCACTACTATTATAGTTGTAGGTCTCGCCTTCTCTTTGCCATTACGTTCCGCCGTTTTCATTCCCCAGAATATTCAACCCTTGAAAGCACCTCACATATCTGCCCGTATAGTGGATTTGCACTACAGCTATAACGGTTCCTGGAAGTGAGGAAGATCACCCCTGCATCTCGACTGGCCCGTCATTCGCATACCTCAAGAGGGCCAGTTCGCGGTGTGGGCATGGTGGGATGTCTAAATGGATGACTCGAGCAATGTCTTCGGACGCGTTTGCTTGGGTGGTTTGTAGCGCCCTACATATACACATACCTTTTATATACCTTATATAGCTTCAGTTCCTTTCCCTGAACCCAATTGTACCACAATTTGATATATGGTTCGAGGGTATAGTAACTTGCTAACCCAAGCATTAGCCGTTGAACGCGTTATTCACGGAAGGTTACTTGCTACTCCAAGCATTGCTCATTGCGTTATGCTATACGGCAACGCAAGACCAACGAGGCCAGAATGCGCACTTCTATATTATTACCATACCCGCGCAGTTGATGCCATACTGCATGCTTCTGGTTCAATTGCTTTTCCCCAATGGTTGGGCTAATATTAAGATCGGATTGACTGGTCTTGTTGCTGCCCATTTACACGACTTCCTGTCTCGTATCTACCCCGAGTTTGGAAACGGTCCCAACCTCATTCCTACGCCGGGATTTATTTCGTGGATCATGACCACACCTAGAATTCGCAATACTGTCTACGGACAGTCGTCCGCACCACCAACAAGCGGTGGAAGAAGCGGCCCCCTCCCGGACTCGTGGAGGAGCAAAGGTCCCGGAAGACGTCTAGGTTAGGCGACATGTACATAGACGACTAATAAATAATCATGAGAGGATTCGTCGATGAAATAAATCAGTCAATCACCGTTATTCGATTATGTCGTACTGACAATGTTTTCATAACGTGACCGTCATTGACCAGCCTCGTGTTGTTGCCCTAACTAGCAGCTAGGCTCAACATTCAAAATATCTATTATGTCCGTCGCAAGATTATTTACATCATATCAATCTTGACTTAATGCAATCTATGTCATGCTATGCTATTCCATATATCCATTTTATACCTCGTCCAAGCGAGGCATCCATCCTAAACGCCCATCCAATGATATCGCACAAACCTGCCTGGGTATCGATCTAAATACAAAACCTCCAAAAGTACCTAATCATACACAAGATATTCCTGTCTCAGCCGTAGAATGAGCTATCCCCGGTCCTCACACCTAAATCCTCTTTGAACCGCGGGGGCGGCGTCAATTGCTGCTCCACGACATCATTAGAACCGAGATTTGTCGGGGGCGCACCGAATGGAGCGCGGTCTTGGAACCGCCGCTCGTGGATTGTTAGGGGCTTTGATATTTGTGCATCCGGTTGACCACGGGCATCAGTTGGCGTAGCACCTTGCACGTAAATCTGCGGCGGCGAGTATTTTTTAGGTATTCGGATTCGTGGTACAATGGGGAGTGATAGTGAAGGGACTTTAGTGTGGCTTCGTGCTGGAGGGGGAGGCGGTGGGGATGCCGGTCGCGAAGACTGTAGGAGTCGCGTTGTAGCAGAATCTGCTGGGGAAGGAGATCTGTTGGATGTTCGTGATGGAGGATTCGATGAAGGCGGTGGTGGTAAGTGTATCGAAACGGCGTCTTCAGCTGCGTTTAGGTATTGTTGAAGAGCGTAGGAGTCTGGTGCGTGGTATTTGACGGCTGGTGGGGGTGTTGGAGTCACCGTTCTAGAAGGGTCACGGCTCATGTTCCCTGGAATGTAGGCAGGGTGTGTGGGTAGGGCGCCGTTAGGACCTAGGCGGCCATTGCGGGGATCTAAGTTGTAGTTGGCTCGTCGAGCTGCCATCTCCTTCTCGAGTACGTCGTAATATTCGGCGTTATTCGTATATGCTTTCTGAGCCTTGATCTCGTAGTCGCTCATCATGGATGTTAGAGGCTTGCTATCGAAGGACACAAACGCTCCCCTGTTAGGTGCTGTGATCGAACTACTCCCCCCTCGCGGATCAAAGTCCGAGTTCATTTTATCCTGCGCTCTTGCTTTCTTCTCACGCCGATGGTGAACTAAGAAGAGTCCCACACCGCCAAACAATAGCAATGAGGCCCCAGTAGCGATGCCCACGATCGTGCCTGTCGTCATAACTGTTTGGCTCGAGCTATCGGCCTGTGATGTGCTATTGGAAGGTGGCGTAGTCATATTGATAGGTTTTTCGGAGAAGAGGTCCCCCGATATACCAAGTAAGGTTCCTGGTTTGGGGGTTTGCTCGCAACCGGCTTGTAAGGCAAGAAGAACTGCTGGTTGTTAGCCTAAATCGTCATAAGCCAGGACACCTCTCATACAGTTCGACAAATAGACTTGGTCAGTACTGGCTTGAAAACACTGGGAGCATGCTTCAACACTCGAGTTCCCGAGCCCACTACAGTAGCCAAATTCCGATCCGTTGTTAGGGCTCAATAAATCAGTTTTCAGCGAGTCGGCCAGGGGAGCACATCCGTAGTCAATTTCGCAAGGGGACGAGACAGATTTCTCGGTTTTCGGGAAGCCAAATACGCACACGTCAAGTGTGTATCGCATATTATCTACAGGGACCTCTATTAATTGACCAAGCACTTAGCCGCTTCAAGATAACTGGGTACTCACATAAGAACCAAGACACATCACTTTCGGTGCCGTTGACAGCTTCGCTCTCCCTAAGACAGTTGAGGCAAGCCTTGAACTTGGTACCTGTTACCGACTGCCCATATCCACTATCAAGACAAGTGATGTCGGACGAATTAGTCGACGATGCTCCTGGGTCTTGAGGATCGCCATCCGACTGGTCCAAGCACACCGAGGCACAAGATGACCCTGGCGTGACCTGGAGACAAGCAACATAGTTGGATAATAGAAGTAAAGTACTCAAAGTAAGGGCTAGAGAAACCATTGTCACTGGCTTAACAGTCAGGGATAGAACGAATACAAGGCAAGAAGAACTATGTGAACGGTGCAAGATAGGAATTCCTACGAGCCCAATGAAGAATACATGGCAAGCATCCAAACACCGCAACACGCTTCTGTGGACAAGAACTTTCTAAGTTAGAATGTAAGGGATTGACTAACGGAGAATATGAGGCTCAAAGACTGCGGTACAGGAACATGTCCATCCCATATATGATACCGTCTACCTCAGTTCACCCCGCATCATTGGGCGAGGCAAGCGACTAGCTCATGGACATAACCGCGAAATAGCTCCTAGGCAATTTTACACGAGTACGCCTATAGAGTCCGTCTCTGCTTGTTTGTGGGGAATGTTTCTGATAATAGTCCTAGTTTTCAGTCGGCCAGAGCAGCGGCCGCAGGCGATCCAATAGAATGCCAGTAGCGATCGGCCAACGTGACTAGATAACCAAGATGGAAGCTCGAGGAGTACCAATATGCCGGCCAAGTCGTCCGCTTGGGCAGGCCTTGCAAGCCTCCCCGAACGTAGCAAGGTCCGGGGTAGAGCGAGCGACAAAACATTTGACCAATAACGGTAGAGGGGAAAGTTGTGGAAGCGCGAGATCTAGCCCATATCGAAAATCAATGTATTAATTGGCTTACATTGACGGAGGGAGGTTGGGCTGCCCCGAAAAAAAAGACAGGGGGTTTGAAAGTGGTGGATCCAATGTAACCAAGCCAAGAAGATCGAATGGATCTACAAACGCCGGCCAAAGAAGCAACCCGGCCGGGATTCAGCTCCAATGAACTGACCAACCAGCACCCGAATTTGCTAAATATTGAGTGGGGCAGCCATCTGCAAAGTTATAAACTATTTGACTGTGGCGTTTCTTTCAAATGCAGTCAAGACGCACTCTAGCGCCAGCATGGCGATGAGGCTACTTGAGATAATAATATTTGGTAAAGTTTTGTTTTAAGGTTCACAGGACTTGCATTTGCAACGTAGCATAGATATATAATACACTCATAAGAGCAAGAAATGTATTTAAAGATGGCATAGAATAAAGGTTCATATCTAGGTGTTAACCCCGACGTAGTGAACAAAGGGGATGCTTTTCTCACGAATAAAATCCAGCTGCGTGAGTGTGACAGTGGCTGCATGGAAAACACAGGTCAACGCCGATTAGCCGTGTAGATACCTAGTGGAACTTCTAGGCTTATTCCACTTGTGCACGGACCATTTGACACAGTCGTTTTCAGATCTTGGTACGGAAATAAACCTCTAGAATTTAATTCAGGCAATCCCGAACCTTCCGCAACATTTCAAATATATTTTAGCAAGCATCTGTTAAAATGGTGATATATAGATCTCTTCTTGATTTCATCAATTCTCATCCATATGGGCACATTCCAGGATCTGCCTTTATGGGTCTCAATTAATGTTGGTGGTTGTGGTCCCTACTTCAGCGCTTAACCACGAAATTAGCAAGGCAATAAGCGCGTATAATAACACCTACTAATCCTATTCTGACATAACTACTTACTTCTTTGAAGAACTCACTAGAATAAGCGCAGCGGCGTACGTAGAGGTTCAGCTCCCACAATAATCGTCAAATGTACATATGTCTTTCCCCTATTGGCAAGGCGAGTACTTGCGCTTATGGCTTAAATATAAGTGGGATCGTATTCAAGAATGCCTCTCGAGATCGTCAGTGTGAAAAACATATCCGGCTCACCATAAATCATTCTTATCTAAGCCCTTACATACTAATTACGGGAGCCTATCTGGCCTAGGGAAGTTGCGAGCTAGATGTGTTTCTGTTGGCCTCTACAGAAGCATAATTAACACTATATTCTCTCACTAGGGACGCCTTTTTTGGTACCTAGCTACAATACGTAGGCAATTTTCAATAATAACGTATCTGGATTGAGTAAAACTTTGATCCCTCATCGGGAGGATCGTAACTCCGTAGGGGAGCATAACTTTCTTCGACCTGTTCATCTTCCATTTAACGGCCAGCATCACTCTTACTTAACGTATACAGACACATAACCACATCACAAATCATTCGCCTCAAATCTTGCCAAGACAATCTATACTATAATTGCGAGCTTCTATGCTATGCTGGGGTTAGCCCCAATTTACAGAGTAGCGGGAAGCGTGGTGATGATTCTAGCAGATAGCCACGATAGTTACTTGTATTCTTTTCAAAGTGTACGCTTTTAGATAAGTACCTAAGTAAACATACAGCATTCAGTTTTGACGCGTTTAAACGACTATTTTAGGCTCCTAAGATCCTTTCATGAGGCGAAATTCATCAATGATAGTTAAGTAGCGATAAGTAAATCTCGATGAGATTTTAGTTGTTTCTGGCGCTATTTAGATCCGCATCTCTAGTGTTAGGGCTTGTCAATGAAACACTCCCGTATTCCCATGTTCTATCAGTTACTTCTAGAGGGATTGACAATGGGTGGCTTGCAGCTGAATGGATCTCACTGGTGCCTCTTTAAGGACTCTCCGAGGAATTTTGATCCACGTCCTATTCGATTCAGTTAAGAATGCTAGGCGTTACCACTACGGAAGCTCTCCTACTAGCGGTCCGTGTCTTGTACATCTTGGGGCCTCAACATTGTGGTAACCTTGGAGTCCCCTCAGGCTATGTGTGACCTACGCCGATCTATTCCGTAGCCTGTACGAGACTGATAATATATCATTGCGATACCGGAAACTAAAACTGTTCTAGTTAAGATGCTCGTCGTCAATGGGTATCTAGATGGGATCATCCCTTGGACCAAGTTATGACTTCCTCCAGACGCTGGTTCTAGGAGATACCTATTAGGCGCCAAATGATTTGAGGACGGTTGGGTGATGGACTGAAGGTATGTGTCGTCCAATGATGTGGCTATGAGGGCTCTTGCTACGTAGTTTAATTTGTGACTAATCCCTGAAGCACTCAACTCACGGAGATGGCAATGATCGTGGTCCAGGCAAGGGCAGGAATAAATAATCTTGGTCATAAAAGTATCAATTTACATTAAAACGGAACCGAGTGAGGTATTGGCTCGTTCGTCGCGGTCAGTTTCTGCAATGCGACTTAACAGCACCCGACAGTGATCACGAGATTACAAGATTTTCCCGCAAGGGCAATCCATTAAGAAATCCCAGAAAGAGTTCCACCGTCGGACGTGTAAATAGGCAAACGATTAATGGAATTTTCAACATACGAATGGCATAGCCGACAACCCCTAGTCTCCACATCCCTATTAGCAATCACTTTGCGTTGAGATCTCGTGCACGAGAACAATGAAGCATCGCCCATAGACCAGGCTTACGGCCTGTGTAAAATCAATGATTCTCCCCTTACACGTATATGACGGGGCCCTGCTACCGAACCCAGGGTTTCTAATTTCGTCTCATAAGTACCTAGGTATTTAGATAGATACGCTCTTTAAAGCCGTCCTGGTGAATTTGACCTCATTCTCCAGAACTTCATTTCGTCTTTCGGGAATGAGGACTATCGTGCCGAGATGTCACCCATAACCTTGCCTCTCAACGATGAGTATAGCCCATCGAGCAGATCGAAGGGATTAGAGGTCATACGTGGGGAGAGCTAGCGTTTTCAGATCCCGGAAAGTTACGTTAGACGGGCTTATGTGATTCGGAAGCTTGAGAAACGAAACATGATTGCGTTCAAAATATGCGATACAGCATCTCTATGGATACGCTTCTTTTAGCCGCTAGAAGACATAAATTTGCTTCATTGCCAAATAGGAACAGCGGAGGGGTTAAGGGCAGTTATGGGGGCTGCTTGGGACATTTCGAACGACGCTGTGATAAGAGGGTGTCGTATTCGATCCGGGTAGGGAGGAGATATTATCCTAGTGGCAAGGCCAAAGATAAACCTCGATGATTGGATGCTGAAATGCTGTTGGTTGCTAGCTCGCCGCTCGGGTTCAAAAATGGTCACATTGAATCCTCAGCTGCTCGAAGTACAAACAAGGTACCTAGGTAGCATCCCTTAAGAGTCAACAGGCCACACGACAACTTCGTTACTGATGAAAGTTGGTCATTATTAATTAAGGATTAACGCATATTTGTTGAGGAATAATTTCGGCCAACTGCGCCGTAGAGAACCAAAGAAAAATTTATCAAAAGTCAACCACAACAACATAAGAATACTAGTAAAACTTTTAGTATTGAAGTCGTTCGGCCCAACGATCGCCATAGGGACCTACATATATGTAGGTAGTTAGTTACCTTGGGTACGTGAACATACTGAAACTTACACGAGAGTGTACATCTCCGCTTAACTTTTGCGCTGACTCAACCCTTTTGGATTCCAAAACTTGCTCGACCTTCCCCCGCTCAACACAGCATATAAGGGAGGGAAGGGAAAGGGGGATATTCGAACAATCATGCAAGAGATAATATATCAGGTAGGTAGGCATTGCTTTAGTTCCCATCGGACCAATGGTGATATGCTGCTAGCGCTGTTCCGAGCCGTCGGGACACGTGCGATCACGCGGCAGCTCGTTATAGGGGCAACGGATAGTAATGTGAAATTGGACCCTTCGCGATACTTCGGGCACAGACGTGCCCTAACCAATGATTTTGTTTCGCCTATTCGGCGTTTTTACTGCTTACGCAACAATTCTGCGTCTGCGGTGGATCCCTACCATCCTGGAGCTGATCCTAACTCTCGGCATGTCGACAAATACTCCTTCGAGGAACGGCCCGGTTACACAGCTAAGCCAACACATGATGCCGAAAGCGTAAATCCACCTTCCCCATAAGTACCTAGGTATTCATAGAGGAAGCATTGGAGAATCTCTCGTAATTTTCGCTGTGGGTGCATTGTGACATTGCGGTTATGAGGCAGAAATTGACAATCCCATTACAGACAAAGTCGGTGAAAGCACCTAACCACCATGGCCCTGCAAGACTGAATAGGGCTGCGATGATGATTGATTTGGTATGCGGCTTATGATGTGAGCCGTCGCAGATCTAATCGACATAGGTATGTACATAAGACGATGCCTACCAACTTCTAGGTACATAATAGATACTTAACATAATGAACCGAGCCGTGTTGGTTCCCTTATGTTCAGGATCGTCGGCGGGCTTTATCTGAGAATTGTCCAATCGTGTACAGCCACCATCAAAGTTGGCTCATATTATCCTCTCTTGTAGGAAGCGCTTGTCACGCAAGTCTCATCTTCGGGACTGTGTGCGCTACATTAGTTTGCGTTGTCGAATAATTTGATTGCATGGGTCTTGGAAACATGCGATAGTGCCCTGTCATTAGAAGCGCTTAGGGTCGCGGCATCGTTGGCTGCAACCACCAAACCCCTGTTCCGATGATAGACTTACCGGCCCCCATTTTCCTTGCTTTTGGCGCAGTTTTTCCCACGCCTCTGCCTTGCGACTTAGTCGCACGTATGTATGATACGATTAAAACTCCGTCATAGCCCTTTTAACTAATAGATGTCGTATTTAATCCTTCCCAGCAGATCCCCACATTTTCTTAGGTTCCTTGCATCGACTTTGTTCTTTATTAGACTATCATCTCTAACAATTTAAAGTTCTCTTGGTTCTAGGGATTTCGAGTTGCGCATGTTGCGAGCGTGGCATTGGGATGCCATAAGGCAAGCGTAGAACGTGTAGCAGTCGTGCCCGATTTTGTCATTATTTCTTTGAGTATTGGACCGGCGCATAGGTGCTTAGAAATCTCGTTAGGTTTATGCTTTCCTCTTTTTCCCTTTTTTGTTCCTTGAAATACTACCGATGAGCCCATCATGAGGATAGCCTGCCTACAGTTCGCCCCGCAACTGGGCGACGTCGACAACAACCTCAACCGCGCCGACGCGGTTCTGAGTAAAGCGAATCCCGAGGACCTTGATTTACTCGTCCTACCGGAACTGGCTTTTACTGGTGAGTTCTTATTCAGATGGTCTCTCTAGAAGACTAAGCATACTTTAACAAGGATGCTGACTTCATGAAGGGTATAACTTTAAGTCACTCCAAGAAATAAGTCCCTTCCTTGAGCCTCAGAATGGCTCTGGGATAAGTGCACTATGGGCAAGGACTGTTGCACTGAAGTACAACTGTATTACAATTGTTGGTTACCCCGAACAAGCCGATATCAAGGCCAAATGGCCCACCTCGCCAGAGCACTACAGTTCAGCTATTATCATCAACGGCGAAGGCGAGACGATTGGAAACTATAGGAAGAGCTTTTTATACTATACGGATGAGACATGGGCGTTAGAAGGCCAGGATGGCTTCTGGGAAGGCTACATCCCAGGTCTCGGGCATACGTCCATGGGGATCTGTAAGTAATTTGTTCGAGCAGCATTGTGCTTCTGGCTAACGCTTCGCATAGGTATGGATGTGAAGTCAGTTACCAGTTCGAAATATGCGAACGGGAATACTAACATTTTTAGTCCTTATAGATTCGAGGCACCATGGCATGCTTTCGAATTCGCATTCCATGTCTTGGAGATGTCGTCAAACCTAGTTATACTTACCATGGCTTGGAATACTCGAGAGGATGCTCGGATGTATTCTCGCATGCCGAATGAGCCGGACCTGGACACCTTGTCGTACTGGATATCCCGGTTAGAGCCTCTCATCCGATCGGATAATGATGAAGAAATCATAGTTGTTTTCTGTAATCGCACCGGCATCGAGGGTGATGTGGTTTATGCTGGGACAAGTGCTGTAATTGGGATAAAGAATGGGGAGGTCTCGGTATACGGCTTATTAGGAAGAGGGACGCGCGAATTACTAGTCGTTGATACCGATGCTGATCCGTATGCTAAATTGGTATATCGACCTGATAATGATGCGTCGGGGCTCGTCTCAACCGGCGACGACTCTAAAGCAGATCCTGCTACAGCAGCAATCAAGCCAAAAGAGATGGAACAGTTGAAACAGTCGGCAAAGTCTCAGCCCTCGAGGGAATATGATTATAAGGATATATCGGCGACGCACTCCAGGAATACTGGGCCGTCCGCAGCACCCCGGCTGTCCGATCAGCCAATATCTCCACTAAGCGAGACTGCGCTCGCTAATCATAAGTCGATATCATCTAGCGGTGCGACAAAAGACTACGACTATGTACCATTAGGCCGAAGATCCAGGGCTGGAAGTGAGGCTAGCACAAAATCCGTCCAAGGTTCGGTTACCTCAAGACATTCCGCAAACTCGAAAGGATCGAGGGATTCGAGGAAATCGAAGGGCTCAAGCCGTACTAGAGGCTCTCAAGGGTCGACCGGCTCTAAGAGTTCGAGTTCTCGTAATTCGACAACCAGGAAGGTCAAATTAGCCTCGACCCCCATAGAAATACCCTCTTCGCAGCCAGCGCCGGCGAGTGATACGGTTCCGACTCCAACGGGGCCTAGTCCAACGCCACTGGCGGTCCGACCAAAATTGATTATTCCGAAGGATACCCCCAGACGGCCCCATATTCCAACACCTCATCCTGCAGCAGCGCAAAAAGGCCATGCGCGAATATATGGTGGACATGTTTCGATACAGCAACAGAACACCATTTTGACCCCTTCTACTGCCTTTGATGATGAGAGTCCGCTGTCTCCCAATAAGTTCTTCTGGATTCCTTACGACACACTTTTGCGGACTCCTATGGAGCCGCACGCTTGGACACCCGCATTAGCCGACTCGCCAACGCTTGAAATGCGAACAGCTATACCTCCCCAAGTCTACGCCAGGAATGTTAGTACGCCTAAAACTCAGCCAACTATTCCTCGGTCGACTGATCGGCCTATGTCACGATCCCCTAGACCGGTAATTGAGAGCAAGCCTAAGGCTGAAGGTAGCCTGGCGAAGGAAGAATCCAAGTCGGAAACTAGAGACGGAAATACACCTGCAAGACCATCATCACCTAAATCACGGAACGCGAGCCGGTCAAGAAACATGGATCGCTCAGACTCCGTACTTGGACAGAGGCCCGACCTAGCAGCAATCTCCCAACGCTTGGAAACTATGAGTCCACGTCCCAGCTCTGCGGCTGGACAGAGGAGTGAGACATTTTCCCCTCGCCCTGGTTCGGCAGCGGCCCAACGAAGTCAGGATTTGCAGAACAAGGGCCCAGATAGACCCTCTTCACCGAAATCACGCAATGCGAGTCGAACTCGCCCCGAAAACCCGAACGCCGCTAGCGATCCCATAAATGAACGACATTCTAACTTGTCAAGGTCTTCAATCCGAATTGCCGCTAGTCCGCCAGCCAGAGGTCCGTCGGCCATGTTCAGACCGGAGAGTCACATGAGCAACGTTGAACCGGCTTATCGTCCCATGTCTCGAGCTGCACATTCGCGGAGTAATAGTGTATCGCAAGCCTATAAGGCCTATGGAACACCAGTTCCAGATGCGGCTGGAGCCCGCCCCCAAACCCGCGCTGTCAGCCGTGGCCGACAGCCTGCGTTAAAAGATCTGAGGGAGACTTCAGATAGTGCATATGATGTTGGAAAGTCCAGTCCTATTCCTGCAAGACGCCCAAGCGCACCATCCATTGGCTTTAGAACTCCTGCCGAATATGAGGTTGGAATGAAGCGCATTTCTCCCGAATGGGCGGTTACCCAACGGGACTCGCACGCTAGTGGGGATGACGACGAGATTGTTGAAGAGATCATCGTGCGACGATCGCCAAGTTGCGCTATTCATGGTAACAGGAGCATCCAGAGTGATACCCCAGCGCAGAACTCTACCTCAGCACAAGTTACCTCCGAATCACGGAACTCACTAGGAATACAAAGCCCAAATGAAAACCCGAACGAAAGCCCAGGCCAGGTCCCTAATAATGTAATAGAGCAGAGCTCAAATACTTGCGCGTCTTCCGTTGAGACACTTGTTAGCACAAAAGGTTCGCCCGCCACGCCCCAATTTCTATTTGAGCCCAAAACTCCGGAGGCTATGGTTTTTACAAAAAACGATGATCGCTTGATCCCAATAACACCTCTCTCTGCACCTTTCATCGCCCCTTTGAGGCTTGCTAAGTGCATCGGACAGGAGGCAATTGATAAGGTTCTTGTCAGGCCAAAAAGCGCTGTTTGGTAGCGGTGAATTTTACGTGTATATGATATTGGCGATGAAATGACGGTTTGCATGCTTCACCACGTACTTAGCGAGGAGTTTAGTTAAAGGCACGAGTCCCTTCAAAGGGTACATGAAGAGCAGGACACGGGAATCCGCCTAGGCGGTGACCCGACTGCGTGGAAATTTCAGGAGATAGGTTTTAGCAAGGCGCCGAGAGATTTAAATGCAGTAAATGATTTATTACTTGGTACTTCATATTTTGGTATCCGTTCGACTGGATGACTGATCATCCCCGCTATTGGCGTGGGCGCGGACGGGCCATCCTGTTGGCTAAAATAAATCGAGATACGACGCCTCTTAATTTCTATGCCTAGGATTCTCCGCCAGTGAAACAAGAAGGATCCCCAGTGGCTTCGGGAAACTGGATACTCTTCTCTGGTGAGCCTGCAGAAAAAAAGCAATATGTGCTAGGTACCTAGGTACCTAAGGTAAGCGGGGGATATTAGTACTACCAACCCGCGTGCATATTGTGTATCTCTCCGGGTACCTCGGAGAGATACTTATGCCGTTTGTCTTAAAAAGGCGCTTAGAACTTGATACCTAGGTACTTAACAATGATCGAAATCTAGATCCCTCTGAGGCTAACAAGGCAGTGACTCTTGAAGAGTTACAGTGTTCACTTATCTCTAGTATATAGGTGACCAGCTCATTTGAAGTCCACAAACTTAATCTCCCCTAGATGGCCGAAAATATGGTGGATTTGGATGATTTATTCCTCTTTGTAACCCGGTGTTATTACACCGTGGTACTAAGCATGGCGTAAAACCGCGTTTTCGGGGGCGTGGAATGAGTGGGGCCATGTTGTTGTGAAGCAGATAGCTATACAAGATGCTCCCGTCTCTTTCACTAAGGTGGTAGACTTCTAACATATGTCTGCCTCCCTTTGCTGTGCGGGTACTTGTTAATATCCCTGTACACTATACCTCGGCGACAGGTCGGGCTACTCAAGATCACGTTGCTGATGCTGTGCTACATCTAATTACCTTTCATCGTAGAACAAAATAAGCTGGGGCCGCTTGAGTGCCTAGGTATGTGGTATTTATTCCTTACATACCTAGGTATGTCCGAGCCTTTTTGAGCGTTAATCTATTTGATGCAATGATATATATGCTTTCTTATCTAATTTCGTGGACTGTTGTTTTACACCAAGACATGTAATATGACACTTAAAGAGCTGCCAATTGCCTTACAGGGACCAGATATCACATCGACGGCTATTGCGGGAAGCCGGCAGGAATTTATCATATTCAGGTTCCACAAGATCTCTTGGCCAAACATTCGCTGCAGTAAGCCTCAAAGATAACTTGACGATGCGAGATTGAAGTAAGCAAACACTCCTGCCATGCCTTTCAAAACGATGCTTCCGGGACAAGGGTTTGGCAACTTCTAGGGCACTGTGGCGAACATTTATTAGCAAGGGAACTCATATATGATTATACTAGTTGTCTAGTGTCTCACCAAAGAGTTGACGTTTCGCATCCATGTTTGCCTTTGGAATTAACCCGTTGTTTGCTTCGAGAATCCACCCTCGATCTGTGGACGATACGCGGCAATGTGCCGTTACCTAAAGGGATAGTACACGCGGCGAAAATCAACATCCAAATAGCCACGTGGGTATATAAGTGATGATTCGGCGAGCCCTGTATTCAACTCATCAGTAGTAGATTCAAAACAGAAGCATACCTATACTTCACTTAATCCAAAATGAAGTTAAATTGGTGGTCTTCAACCTTTCTCGCCTGGTCCATTAACATCTGCTTGGCAACTTCTGTTCAACCCATTGGAGAATGGACGATCTCCGACACATTTCGCGTCAAAACACAGGACAGTACGATCTGTAATTGGCAGTTTCACGTGGCCGACTCTAGCCAAGGATCCGATGCAATCAATGCCTTTGATTGCGAATTCGACGTGACAGCCGACTCCGGGACAGACTGTGCTACGAAATCATTCCAGACTGTCTGTAGTAGCAATGATTCGTTCAGCATTAATGGTGGGCATAGCAGCATGGGGTTTATCGTCATGGTTCTGGTGAACGTGGACCAGAAGTCCGAAGCCTACTTCGGCTTCTCGGATGACGCTCTCGATAGCGGGTCTGAAATCAGCAAGCAGACAAAACCGGTCTACCCGCAAGGTGTAACCCCGCCGAGCAGCGTATCTGCGCGACAGGATGGCGGCAACACGACGGAATGGACAGTCGAAGATCTCTTCAGAGGTGAGTGATCTGCTCTTCATCACATGTAAATGGTAACAAGGCTAACATGGGGTGTCCAGTTATCGACGATGAAAGACGCACGGTCACTGTAGGGTTCAGGATCCAGGATGGGAGTATTGGTGGTTCCAGCTGCATGCTCAGTCTTATGCCGCCTGACGGTGTCGATATCAATAGTTGGGAATGGTACAATCAGCCCTGCGAGGGCAGTGGTTATTCTGCTTCGTGGGGATACATGGCTACGGGCGATGCTGGCATCATGACAATTGTCAAGTGAGTCCAGCCGCATATTCAGTTATTCGTTAGAGAAAAACAAATGAACTAACATATTTCTTTGAAGTTCCACTCGAAATGGCCAAGCATTCTTTGGCTTCTCCAACATCAAGTCGAGCACGTACTTGGGTGACGCAGGCCCGAGCCCGGTTTCACCTTGCAACTGCGGCTGAACACGCCTAATGACGGGATAGGCAGAGAGCCTGAATGTAGAATGGTGGTTTTCGTCTTCGTTTTATCTTCTTAGTAGAGGGTTTTGGATACTTCGGTATGAATACTATCAAATCCCTTTTGAGTTTGGGCATACTATCTCGAAATCCTAAGAGAGGGGCGTCGTCAATGTAACTTGCGTATATCAACCCAATAGAGCCGAATAGTATTCCCCGTCTCTCAAGATTTGAATCACTTAATGGTAAGGGGAAAGGAATCAAATAGATTTTATAAAAATGGCCCATGCGCGCAAGTCCCGATGAACTTGTATGCAGACGATGATATGAGTAATGTAGGATAATGGGCATAGACACACCTTGGAATAAAGGGTCCCTGTGGCGTAGGACTTGGAAATTGCATAATGACCATGTTCCATTTGTACATTAGGATGGGGACACGAAGTTCTTTTTATGTCTTGGGGGGCGAGTGTGCTGGGACAGTCCCTAATGCGACCCCGTTAGTATCCTCCGGAGCAGGAACAACAAGGATACCTGGATAGTTCACATATCTAGTAAATTCCCGAGGTCACTGTTAGTAGAGGATCACAGCAATAAGAAGAGACAACGAGAGAGTATCTAAGTTAGACATTATTGTGGGGGGTTCTAGCAGTAATGAATAGCACAATATCTCTGAGTACATGCTGGTCGGAATAGCATTGCGTTGTAGAAAATCTCCACTGGAGTGTTAGCTACAGTAGTGCAACGCAACTTGACGTCGTTAGCGGGAGGGGCCGCTGCTAATCACCTAGGAGGTACCTAGGTACCTATCTAAGCACCTAGCATCCTTAGGTAGGATTAGAATGCTTCTTTAAGCGCGTAAATGCTAGAATAAATATATACTCGACGTCAAAGTCGAGAATCAAATCAGACTGATGACCTCAAGGTTACCTACCTAGGTAGGTAGGTAGTCTATACTGTTCATGCCGTGAAAGAATCAGTATCGCTGATCCGGGAGAAATATGCCTGCGACGGTAATTAATGTAACATATTGCAACTATACAAATAGACACACAGTCGAGAACGGAACTCACGCCATTATATGCAGATGCAGCCTTGGAGGATGGTGGATGGCACCTAAATATCTTCCTACTAACAACTATCTTAGGGCGTGCAATAAGGGCTGAGTTTAGTTGAAAGGACTTAGGTACCTAGGTATGTACCTAATCCTGAAAGGTCGGATTCGCGATGGACATGCGGACCCCTGGTCCTAACCCTAATGATTTGCTGGATGAGCGCTAAATAGTACCCCGTAAGTGGTCGTGACAAGTAATTGACCCCCGTTTCGATCGATCCACGCTGCCATGGACGGTAATCAGCCCCACCAAAGCATCTAGGTAGTCCGGGTAGACCCATGTACTTCTAGTGGTCTTCGACCTTACGATCTATCCCACTCCTCACTTTTCGCAAACTACCCGCAGCCGCAACCGCAGTGTCGCTTTGGCCATTTTCGACAACTTGCGAATTCTCATATTCAGAGCAGCGACTCGATAGTCGTCAAGTTGTCGCGGAGGTAGGCGGTGTTGTCGCCTCTGGAGAGCAGCGGCAGTTAGTTCTGGTAGTGTGCGTATCGACACCTCACAACCGCCTAACCATCGATCACTCCGGGCCTTCAATTCTTCTCCCAACACCCATCCTTAGCGAAAGGGGTCCCTTTTTTTTTTTTTTCGCAAAATGAAGATCGGTTGTTTACAATTCGCGCCTCAGGTATTTCTGGTTAAGTCAGAAATGGGAAGCCAGAATACTAATACGGCTTAGGTCGGCGACGTCGACAACAACTTGAATCGAGCCGATGCTATCATAAACAAGGCGAACCCCGAAGATTTGGACATTCTTGTCCTTCCCGAGCTGGCAGTCACAGGTAAGCCGCTCCGGAGTGTTACAAATATTGTAAAGGAACAAATCGGCGTTCCTTGAAGGTGCACTTTCGCCGTCTAGTTTTTCCGGTGGTGCCGTGGGCGCTGCCCTTGCGAGCGCAACACATAGAGCCGATAATCAAAGCTAACATCTCTATAGGTTATAACTTTCGATCTTTACGCGACATATCTCCCTTCCTCGAGCCGACAGCTGCCGGTGTTACGTCTCTATGGGCCAGAACCACTGCTCTCAAGCACAACTGTATCGTGATTGCGGGGTATCCTGAGACTGCGGACGTGCGCGCGACATGGCCTACCTCGCCGGAATATTACAATGCATCTATAATTGTGAATGAAGATGGAGATACAATTGGACATTATCGAAAGACGCACCTCTACTATACCGACGAAACTTGGGCTCTTGAGGGTTCCGGTTTCTATCAGGGTCGATTCCCTGGCATAGATAGTAAGGTTGCGATGGGCATATGTAAGCTTGCTTCAAGACATCCTGCGAATTTCGTCTCGCTAATAAAATGTTCTAGGCATGGATATTAAGTGAGTTAGACAACTAAACAGGCTACATGCTCGACTAACATTCAACCTAGCCCCTATAAGTTCGAAGCTCCCTGGCATGCATTCGAGTTTGCTTTTCATGCTCTAGACAGCGGCGCGAAATTAGTAATATTGAGTATGGCCTGGTTGACAACTGAAGACCTTGCACTCTATTCGAGTAAAAGCTCGGAGCCGGATCTTGATACGTTAACATATTGGCTGACAAGATTGGAGCCGCTCATTCGCGCAGAGGACGACGAAGAGATTATCGTGGTTTTTGCGAACCGAACCGGCGTTGAAGATAATGCTGTATACGCAGGTACAAGTGCCGTAATTGGTATCCAGGGGGGAGAGGTCAGTGTTTACGGCGTGCTCTCGCGTGGCGCCAAGGAACTCCTCGTGGTCGATACCAACACACCCCCTTACGCTAAACTGGTATATCGACCTGGTGCAGGAGAGACATCTATTGATGCGCCGGGAAGTGAGCCTCAGGCGCCACCGAGCGACGATGATAGTGGGGGGGAACCGCCGGATGCACCAAAGAAATCGCCGAAGCTTCCAGAGAAGTCTGACAACGGGGCTTCAGGGCCGCCTGTGGAATCTAGTTATCGGGGTATTGCACAGGCGGTGCAGGGTGAGCTTCCAGCCTCGCCCCAATATTCATGGGGCCAATCCCCCATAAATCCTTTTGCGCCAAGTCAACTCCCTGATCGGGACGTTCATGATGCATATGAGGAACATGTATCCCCCACTGGCAGAAACCACCAACCAGTTGGCGATTACGGCGTGCCGACAGGACGTGCTGTCCCCAGAAGCGTCGAACCGGAATCTGGCGCTGGATATCCTGGACTGATTAGCAAATTCAATGATTCTGCTACGGCTGGGGACGCCCCTATAAACAGACCCCCTTCGACAAAGTCTCGCAACGCAAGCCGTAATAGGTCGCACAGCACACAGCAACTTAACCTCGGGGAGCAACTACCTAAGTCGATGTCGGTAGGCGCTAGCAAACATAGGCACGAGAATACTGCGGTATTACCTGGCGATACGGCTCTAGGTCTTCAAGATGGGAACTTGTCTCCGGATTTGGAGAAGCTCGGTGCAGACCTCATGGTATTTGAAGGAGATTTGGCTACCAGATCACAACGTGACAGTCTAGTGTGTCATGTTGATGAGGAAGACTTCGCTATTCTAATGGCCAAGCTCAAAGACTCCGCCGAAAGGAAAAGGTCGGTTAAACCGGACGAACGCGCCGGGCGTTCGAGATCGCGAAGTAACAAGACAAGTGGGTTTTCGAAAAGTGGGGGAAGATCTCAGTCGAGGAATGAAGTGTCGGTAAACTCACCAAACTATTCTCATAGGTCGAACGGAGCAACACCTACCCGACCGGTTAGCCGTGGGAGACATCGAAGCGGAAGCAAATCAACGCCGAACAACTTGTCGAAGAAAACTTCGCATAGCCGCATAACCAACAATAAAGTACCCACTCAAAGTTTAGCTGAGGGACGAGGGGCATCTGCAGAACCAGTGCATCATACTAGGCGTCCAAGTGAGGGTATCTCGAAATTAGCATCACCCTCATCGGATCGACATCGGCGGGATCCCACACAGCCGTCTAATAAACAATTAAACCACAAGGACCCGGCGGTGGTTGTTGAGCGAGAAGTGACCTTACCGATCAGGGTGGCAAAACCCCGCAAGGGTGATACTCACCCACCGTTAACCAGGAAGACAATATCCTCTCTGGAAGCCGCTAACTCGGACCCAAGCGCGCGTACATCCCCAGAAGTGGCAGAGCCCAAAGATTCAACGCGAAAGTTCGTCCCAGAACGACTTCCACCAACGCCTAAAGCCATGGTGCTTCCTCCAGATTACGGCGTCAGTGATAACCACCAAAGCATGCCTACCCCACCAAAGAAGCAACAACCCATAATTGGAGTAAATTGCCTTGATGAAACTGAAATAAGAAGTGGGAGGCCAAAGAGTGCAGTATGGTAGAAGTACACTCGCAAAGACGTCGATGATAGGATCTTCTCATTCAACTTACTTAGCAAGGAGTTCAGGGAAAGAATGTTAGTGTTTTATTATATGTGAAGAACTTAGGAAGTTTAAATAGTCGATATTAAAAGGGCATGATACCATGTATGGAACTACACCACGCTCATCTTTGAGGGATAGTCTTGGTAGAATATCTAATAACCATATACGAAACTTATTCGCCGTGGTTAAGACGTAGCTGTAGTTGGCCTATAGGATCGCCCTGCATATGTTTAATAGCAATTCATGAGATCTTCTATGCGGCCCATGATAGAAGCAAGGGAATGTGGTAATACGTTGGAGGCAGTAGGCGTGTCGTGGCCAATGAAGACTGCTAAGAATCGGGTTCAAGCATTACCTTGTGGACCGATTCTACTCCCTTGCCTATTCGGCCTGCCGATTTACCCAAGTTCGGAACGAAATTATTGACTAGGGTACTCCCGAATCGACGTACCTACTTGAAGTGTTTAACTAATCCCCAAACAACCATCCACCGAGCGCAGATACGCGCCGAGCAAATAAAATGCTACGTGGGATGCTTGTTTAAACTGATATATCGCAGATCTACGATTAGGATTGAGACAACACTTATTATCCCAATTAGGCCTTATGCATGTTGGTGCGAAGATGCGAAGTGGACGCTGTCCTGGCTAGTGAAAGTAACCAATGAATATGTTAACCAATAACTTCTTAGCGCGTAGGATCAATAAGAGATCTGATTAATGCAGGTCGTTTGATAAAAATTCAAGGTTTTGACGGTTGAGAATGCTTTAGTTTTCGACCCGAACAATCGGCAGGACGTCCCTGTTGAATGGCTATGCCGCCGGTGGCTGACTACTTAGTAGGTCAAGCCTACGGTCTAGCTACATTCTACGGGGTATGACTCTGTTGTTTTCTTCGAGTAGTTATATATCAACCACCCATATTGAATGTTTGCTTCTGTACTACGTAGTTCTAGCGCCTGGTAGAGTAAGACTCTTACGTACGGAAAGCTAGGCGCATGAGGAGAAATGGGAACTTTCATCTTTTCGTCATACAGTCCCGACGGTTTGGATCGTTGAGCACATAAAATTCTCCTGGCGGTTCGCTTGTGCAATTGTATGGCCGTATGATACATGTGACGAGGCATATCATATTTCCAGGTTAGGGAGTGGTACAGTAGGGTGTCAGTCCGCTTTGAGCATCATAACCTAACCATATCGGGTTAAAGCGCTTTGATATTTTGTACAGGTACGCGAAACGGATTCAAATTTTTGACACCCTACTGTATATGCCGAAGAATATACAACACGACTCGGTTCAACCAGTAGGCGATTAGATATCGTCAAGTCTCAACAAGTCTCCTTATGGATTAGGGAGTTAAGAAGATTAGTGCTCATTCGGCTGATGATCTCGCATCGAATGCACATGGGGGGCGGCCCCCGAAATGACCTCCTAAATTGGCCCCTTAAGCTGACATCTGCATAGTAAGTTTCCGGGGCCAGTTCGCAGAAAAAAGGCACATGAAAGCATGAAAGTGTGTGCCGTGTGTGACGAAAATTAGTTATGTAACAAGAGAACAAGTCGATAGTTCTCCTAATTGAGACGATAAATGGATCAATAATACACGGACTTGGTTGGGGGATATTTTGTGCAAGCCATCTTTGATTTGCGATTGGTTGAAAGTCTTAGTGGGTCACTTTAAGCATCTCCAATGAACGGCCTCAGCCGAAGCTACAAGGGTATTATCTCCACTTAGGAAGGTGACACTAGCAGGGAACCTTGCAGCCGGAACCGAAGGCCAATACACGTGCTCTGAGTTCCCATTGGCTGTTCGCCTTTCACCTGCATATTGCCCCCAACCTTTCGTAAGGCACATCCCTGACAAAGTCCCGATTGTCCGACTCCATCGAATCACGATTACGGCTCCGCTCTATCCCCTCACCACTTGTCTCCCCCATGTTTTTTTGTGTTGTGCATAGCTCAAAACTGTACCTATCTACCGACTAGTGTTTTCGTTGTCTTGTAACGTGATGTGCGTGGATTTCATCGATTTCACAAGGCGGTCGAGTGCCAAACAATCATCACCTCGACTTCCGCGCTTATAGTCGTCTCTCTCTAGAGAGGACTTCAATTGGGAAGAGATGATACCGTATCATCGAAGCGCTCCCATTGCTCCCTTACTTCGTGGCTAAGCGAAGGCTCATCCCTCCATCTGAGAATTTTATAAACATATCTACTTGCGGCTCAGCAGTTCCTTGTTGTGTTGTGTTGAGTTTTTAAATAGATATTTCATCTTGCTTGGTCGCAGAATACCACCACAGCCTCGAATATTGTACGACTACAGACCGAACAGTGTTTATCTCAGAAACCATATTTGCTATATCTAAAGGCATCTTACTATCCAGCACGTCTTCGCAGGCAGATAGAATCACATAAGAGCTAGGGATTCTGGGTATAGTGGTGAAGATGTCTATCGCTCTAACATTCGCCACCTTTTGGGGTGTCTCAACTGCCCTGCTCGTGGCGGATGGCTCACCATGCGCGACGAAATGCGGTAATGTTCTCTCATCAACGACAAACGACATGATAGTCTGCGACGAGTCAGCATACAGTACAACGTCGGAGGGTCAGGTCTACGAGGCCTGTGTCGGTTGCGAGGCCACGAGTTCATATGGACATTCTCAAGGGCAAGGGAAACAGAACACATCTGATTTGGAATATATGCTGTGTAAGTACTCTTTCCTTTCACATACGCGTACCTAAGTATGTATTGAGTTTACTAATGTGCGGCGCAGATAATATGCGATATGCTACCAACGTATGCTTATTCGAAGCCAACACAAACCCATGTATCACTTCGTATGTATCAATGGTCTCCCAACATGGCCTCTAACTAATTTATGCAGGTTCGCATGCAAGAATATAGGACCAGCGATTCAATATCAGAATCTCTCCTCCAGTAGCTCGATATATGGTTACTGTGATCTATGGACCGACTATAACCTCGATAAATGCCACGCCTGCCTGACTGCCGAGCCTAATGGAGATTATCTCAGCAACTGTAAATCTCACCAAGAATCCTTATTTATGTCGTGAGCTAATTATTAACGCGCATCGCAGATATATCCATTTTAGATGGTGCATGTAGATTAAAACTAGATCAGCCAGCCACCCTACCCATACAAGGAAACATATTTTCCTCCGATACCGTAAATGTTACGGATCCCACGCCCACGGCAACGTTCTCTCCGCCTGGACTCACCGGCCCTCTAGACTCGGGAGCCATCGCGGGCATCGTCATTGGCGGATTAGTTATTGTTCTGGCTATTGTTGGATGCTGCATAGTTCTCAACGGTAAGCGTCGCAGAAAGGCGTATCTCCGTCGCCGAGAGCAGACTACCAAGAATTGGGCCCCACCGCAAGGAGCCCCCGCCAGCGACATGTTCGAGACGCCCATCAGCCAAAAACCATTCCGTAATTGGGAGGACTCGCCCGTCAGCGCTGCCACGCAGTCCACGTTCCCTCCATATTTCTCCCCTTACTCCTCACAGTACAACAGCCCTGTGAGCGCCGTTGAAGGGCATGGACACATGGCCTGGCCAGCGGATAAGGTTCAAAATATCGGCGTCGCCATCAGCCCCGATCACGATGCTCAGTACTCGCCTTGGGATGATAAGAAGGGCAAGGACAAGATACCTAGGGGGCAACCGGGGCCTGACGGGTTTGAGTTACAGGAGGGTGCGAATAGTGCTGGTGGTCATGGACATCCCATACATTATCCCCCACCACCAGTTGCTCAGGCTCCTATGCTGGGCCATCCGGGATACGGGCGACACGGTGTGGCGCCGCAGCCAAGACCTCCACATGAGGACGACTACGGCATGCCCGGGAGTGCTCTATGAGTTACGCTTTTGATTTTATGAAATATTTGGCTGGCTTAAATGTATTTTTAGCATGGCGTTAAGGTGTTGTTTATGCTTGATTTGTTGGTTTGGCGGCGCTTGTGTTGCGCGGGTGTGTGTTAATGGAGATACCACTTACGCGGGGTTGTGACTTACGGAATCCCTTGGATCCGCCTTGGAGCCGCGATCCCCCGTTTTCTAGCAAAATTTCCTTGGATATCTTGAAATACGCCGCATTCAATGTTTCCAATTGATAATTGTTTTTCCTTTGGAGGAGTGATATGCATCACGCCATTCCTAGTGGTTACCTACCTGGGTAGATACCTAGGTAGGTATACGGGGGTAGGCAGCCTGCTTCTAACTGAAAGCCGGGGTCAAATCGGAATGCTTCCTTGCCCCCATTCTATACCTAGGTAGCCACTCACAGACCGACGGTCTTTATAACCCCCTCGTTTGCGCATGTTTCTAAGCATTCTCGCGGTTTAGACATTCGCGAGCTGACTCATCCATACGAGTTTCCACAAGGGTTTTATGATCTTCACTTTATTCTTCGAATAGTTATATGGACGAGCAAAAGACCTTGCTCTAGTCTTCAAGTACAATTCTGATCGTTGGCTGCCTGGGGCGCGCAACAAAAGGACAACACATACAAATTAGAATGATCCTTACTACATTGGGCACCTAACTAGGTATGCATGAGAATAGAATAGGTGCCTGGGGTGGATTGTTCTATGAATCTATAAATCGTGGTGGACCACCTTGGCTCCTTACCAGCTACCAAGTTTGCTGAAATACCGATTTTATCCCAATGCACGGCCGAAAGACTATTTTCGAAAGATGAATATCAATCAAGAGGGATTCGGCCGTCGCCTAGATGTTATACAGAAAACCCTAAAACAGTATAACTTAAAGGTAAGTTGCAGTTGTTACCTAACAACCAAGTATGCTACGCAAAGTCTCACGCTTCTAGTCAACGAAAGTTACACCGATTGCCTATGTCGAACATTGCCCTTTCTATTTCAATAACTACATATACAAGATAGATCTCGAATCTCCGGCGGTTCCGGCAACATTCCCGAAGAATCAATCATGCACAACGTCTCCTCCCGAGAATGGCGTCTCAACAATAGTATTGAGGATGAGCAACCCTCTCGCCGAAGGTCTTAATAACGCCAACCGTGTGGAGAATGATGTGGCGTCTCAATATCTTGCACGGCAATCCATTGAATCCGCGGGGTTGCCTCTTGTGGTGCCTGCTGTCTATGCTTGGGCGCCGTGTAGGTACCCGGAAGTACCAGGCGAGGCTGGGTTCGGGTGGACGATAAGCGAGTTCAAACCGGGATCAGACTTGGATGCCGAATTCGCCTTGTTGGAGTTGTCCGATGCAATAGACGCCGTTCATCAACTAGCTAAGATCTTTACTGCCATACAGAAAGCCAAAATCCCCGAGACAGTCACCAGATACGGTGCGTTGACTCTAGATGAAAATGGCGTCATAATAGGCGGGCAGCCACCGTTATTGAAGGGTGGCCCGTTTGGTACTTACGCGGAATTATGGGTTGCTAAGCTGCAGACGCAGCTAGCCGACGCTGAAAACAGCTCGCTGCTTAAAGGATGGGAGGAAGGAGGGGCACGGGGGCGCATTGATAAGTATATTGCAGCGGGTGGCGTTGAAAAGGCGCTGCAGGCTGTGGATAACCGAAGAGTACTGGTACATGGAGATCTGAGTACGTTGTCTTTCTTACCTTGTCCCGAGACACTGAAACTGATTGATAGGAAGCTCTGAACAACGTGTTATATGACAAAGCGACGAAGCGCATCACATCAGTTCTCGATTTCGACTGGTCAGCTGTCACTCATCCCTGTGATGAATTCCTGACAGGTCTTTGGGATATAGGAGGCGGGATCCACGAGAGGAATGAAATATTCCAGCCAATGCTTCTATCCGGGGACTTCAGTGCGCGACCCGAGGGCTTATCGGATGAAGAGGTTAGAAAATGGGAGGTGGCTAAAGCTTGGGATGCAGCCATCACTCAAGCGGGTGCCATACGACCGAGTGACGTCACGGGTGTGGACGGAATACAAATGTTAATAGATCTGGAGGATTTGTTGTGTCCATTTGAATTGTCTAATGAAGCCATGCTGAAGCGTTTTTCAGATGACGTGAAGCTGAAGAAGAGACAAGAGACGGAGGCAAAAATACTGAAATGGCTAGATACTCATGGGATTACTCCGTAATTCCAATTCTGTCCTCTTAGACGGGAAGATAATCTTATTCATTTTTTATGGGTTTGAAGCTCGTGACTAGAGTTGCTCCATTTCAACACAGAGGACCGATAATGGTGAGAATTGTTAAATACCTAGGTACTTTAGCTTCGGAGTCGGAGAAGAAAACGGGCGATATAAAAGTGGCTGGAGCTCGGATGATGGCACTGTGATATCTTGGCACATTATCGATAATCCATTTTGAGGTTAGTCGTGGCTGGAGCTGTCGGATTGGTTCAATCAGCCGTGACATTTTCCCCACACGGCCAAAGCTAGAAAAATTTTGGAGCTTTCTTTTTTTTTTCCAATTCGCAAAGAAAAAGTCGAACATCTAAAAAAGTTCACGACTAAAATAAAAATAAATTTCCATTTGCTCGTCGCCATTGGAAATCCTCTTTTTTTTCCTTCGCCCACACCGTCGCCAAGGTATTTAATCATCTATAATAGATAAATACTAAGACGGCTCAAAATGGCGACCAAGGAGGACATTAAGCCCAAGGAGGACGAGTTCTCAATTAAGCCAACTACGGTCACTCCATCTGTTGACACGAGTACATGGCCGTTGTTGCTAAAGAACTATGACAGACGTATGTGCGAATGAACTCAATACTCCAAATGAATGATTATGCTGATATATCTGGAAAGTTCTCGTCCGAACTGGACATTTCACTCCCATCCCTAATGGTAGCTCACCGTTAACCCGAGATCTCAAGTCGTACATTAGCTCTGGTGTGATCAATCTCGACAAGCCTTCAAACCCTTCCAGTCACGAAGTCGTCGCATGGGTGAAGAGAATATTACGGTACGAATCCAAAGCCTGAAAAGTCGAGAAAAATTTTGAAACTAATTTCGCAATTGTAGTGTCGAGAAAACCGGTCACAGCGGAACCCTCGATCCCAAGGTCACAGGTTGCTTGATTGTTTGCATTGACCGCGCGACTCGTCTCGTCAAGTCTCAACAAGGTGCCGGAAAAGAATATGTTGCTGTTATCCGATTACACGACAAGCTTCCTGGTGGCGAGGCTCAATTCTCCCGAGCTCTTGAGACACTCACCGGTGCTCTCTTCCAACGACCTCCTCTAATCTCTGCCGTCAAGCGACAGCTTCGTATCCGAACCATCCACGAGAGTCGAGTCATCGAGTTCGACAATGATCGTCATCTCGGTATTTTCTGGGTCAGTTGTGAGGCGGGAACTTACATCCGAACACTTTGTGTGCACATGGGTCTCCTGCTCGGTGTTGGTGCCCACATGCAGGAGCTGAGACGAGTGCGAAGTGGTGCTATGGACGAGACGAAGGACCTTGTGACACTTCACGATGTCCTTGACGCGCAATGGATGATGGACAACACCCGAGACGAATCTTATCTGCGCAAGGTTATCGCTCCCCTGGAGACTCTTCTTACGTCGTACAAGAGAATCGTCGTTAAAGACAGCACTGTTAATGCTATCTGCTATGGTGCAAAACTCATGATTCCTGGGTTATTACGATATGGTACGTCCCGAATTTTCCGTTGTGCTCTTGATTGGTGAAATTAACCTTCTTTGCAGAGGATGGAATTGAGGTACACGAGGAAGTTGTCCTCATGACTACGAAGGGTGAAGCTATTGCCCTCGGAATTGCTATGATGTCGACCGTCGAAATGTCATCTTGCGACCACGGTGTAGTAGCGAAGGTTAAGCGATGTATTATGGAGCGAGATCTATACCCTCGTAGATGGGGCTTGGGTCCTACAGCTACCGAGAAGAAGAAACTTAAGGCATCTGGAAAGTTAGATAAATATGGAAGAGCGAACGAGGCTACTCCTGCGAAGTGGACATCGGAGTACAAGGACTACAGTGCTCCGGCCGAAGGTTCAGCACCTGCACCTGCCGCCGACGTTTCTATGACGGAAGCTCCTACCCCAGTTAAGACCCAAGAAGTTGCGACTGCATCCACACCAGTAGGTGATGATGGTAAGAAGCGCAAGAAGCACGATGGCGAGACAGCAGAAGAGAAAGCAGAACGCAAGAAGAGGAAGGCCGAGAAAAAGGCAGCTAAGGAGGCCAAGCGTGCCTCGCTAGGAAAGAAGGCCGATTCCGACTCGGAGTAAACGAACATACCTCTAGTCCTGGGTTGGATTTCTCCCGCGTAGCATTTGGTTGATACCATTCGGTCGGTCGCTGGGCTCTCTGCATGTACATGCCTTGTCTTACGGCGTTTTCTGCTGTACCATACAGTTTCTGAGGATCTGGAAAAATTGGCGTTCAGGACCTTTGCTCTTTCATTACGATATTTCGACGTCGAGAGGATGAACTGCGGAATCTATAGCATGGTAAATAGCAAGATATAACGCTAATTGAACAAATGGATTGTTCATCCAATACTTGTTGGCTCAATCTGTGATCAGACGTTGTGGTTGTTGATTGAGACTCGTATTTCTTATTTGATTGTTGGTTTTGACGAAATTCCCCTAAACGCTGCATGTTTCATAGAACATTGCCGCTCGGGATAAAAGCGATTCGTCATCACGCCGTTGCATTAACACGGTGCTATATGTGCATGTATCTTCCGCACGGGTCGAGCTGCATAGAAATCTAACTCGACTAGGAATGAAAATAAAGCAATAAGTTGAAAAGGGTTTTTGAATGAGAAAAAAAAAGTTATGATACTTAAGGTACAAATCCCCTCAGGCACATCGTATTGTTGACCCCCGGGAGGTACTTGAGGCACCTTATATGTATGTCTGAGGTACATGATAGCTATCTCTGACAACTAGTTGAATGGTGAGATTATAGTGGCTTGAAGGCAGGTATGTACTATTCTAACCATTTGTCGGGTTGCTTTCCAGCGATCCTGCAAGCCCCCGATTCCCAAAAGTCTCGCAGTCTTCAGAATCGGTAAACTAACCATTCTAGTATCGTTACACTTCAAGCGGACAAGAATCCACCTTCCTGTGGAGGTAGGTAGCTCAAGAGTAAACATTTCCGTGTAATGTTTTAGATATTATACCGTCTTTCTCCGAGCGTACAAAATTATTAAGACTGCTTAAGGCCCGGGCCAATTTTCCGCGAAGGTAGCACCAGATATAGTATTCGTATACCATAAGCACTTAATCGCGCAGCGAACTTCGCTTTATTCCCTCTTCATATATGGTCTGTTATACCGTGATACTAATAGCGCACGTTGCGGTCTGCGACCCGACGCTGTCTCGAATCTCAGGAGGTGCGAATTAATCTCGGAGAAGACCGCAGAAGGTACTTAAGTAGATTATTTGTGGTTCTTTATTCGAGGGGCTTTGCATGGCATAGCATAGCATAAACCCGACTATCATGGTACCGACGCGTAAGGTGGATGAATATTAGTAAGTGATATAAAATCGTTGAGATGAGGCTATGAGTTAATAAACGTTGATCCTACGTCGGAGGGTTCATTATTTAACCTACCGCCTCTGATCTTCGGTTGACCTGCTTTAAGTGGGTGCCCCGTGCCGTATGCCTAGGAGAGATATCTGGGGCGGAATAAGGGATGCGAGTGCGCATAGTACGAGCATCGCAGTCATACGGGACTTTGGTATTTGCACCGCCTGCCTTCCCGAACACGAAATATCAGTCAAAAGCCGGGCAACCGGAACTAACTGCGATGGATGGAAATTGATTTATGCAAGTCTTCGATTCAGAATAGATAACCAATAAATATATCGTATGTATGACAAGAAAATCATAGCTAAATTGGAATTTTCCCAAATCGAAAGGTCGTTCGAATATGATTAAAAGATCACCTGTTGAGCTTCGCTGTCTGGCTATTTTCAAGGCACGGAATAACACGTCAAACAAGGTATACCCAGATTCAATTCCCACAAATGCTGCCAGGTACAACGGTAGTTAGGACAAGGGGTGGGAGATCAGCCGCAAAGGCCGCATGGGTCCGCATTGGCATTTTGATCCAGAATTCCCTGACATTGGTTGCTGGAAGATCGAAACAAAGTTTTGTAATGATCAACAACCATTGACTTTGCTAACGTCACTAACGTTTAATGGTCTCTTCTTAGGGGCAAACTCTCTAAAATAGTTTACCATCGCCGTGGGTAACTTTGCTGCAGCATTTGGCACTTTTCGTTCGTCTATCTACATATGTAGCTAACATAAACGACGGTAGGGTCGATATGCCTGTGCTCTATATACTTCACTATCTTCGGTGCTATTGTAGTATACCTAGGTAGCCTAGAAACACTTAATTTAGCCCCTAGTAACCTTCCCCTCTAATGCCGTATCTACCGGCATATGTATCGATGGCCCCCAATAGTTTGGATTAGCAGTCCAACATCAAAAAAATTCAATAAATATGATTGGTCGATCTGGTATTGCACGAGCCATATCGTGGTACTGTCTTAGTGAAGCCCTACGTTCTGCATCAATTTACAAGGGGCCGCTGTCTCGTGCCAACTCAGGGGATGGGCAAAATTTCGCCTATTATGTTGACTAAATGTTCAGACTTTCACTTATGGACGTTCTCGAACCCAATGACGCCCCTATTTTCGTCTCAAGTTAAGCCAAGAGACATACATGTACTTTCCTACTTAACTTTCGCTATGTGACAATGCATAAATCCCACTTTTCTAGTTCTTCCTGCATTTTCAAATCTGTTGTAACTCGAGTGGCAGATATGAGCTCCACGACATGAATAGTTGCATATCTAACATGGCTTGGTCGACCACTTTGGCCTGCTATTGGATAGATTTGTGATTTTGTCTTTCTTATCTTATATGTTCCTTACTATGTGACGTTGGCAGATGTAACTGCTTTACAATTCGACCACACCACTGAGACAAATGTGTCAGCCGCGGTATTGAGGAAATATACCCTACCGTAATACGTTGTACGCATGTGTTAGGCTCTAGGATATTAGGAAAACCGGCAAGGACGATACGCAGAATACGATAGGCAGAAATATTCGACCCTGTATCCCATGACCTATCGTCGTTTTTGTTATATAATATGTATGAATGCCGGCTCAGGTTTTCCGGATCGACGGAATCAAACATCGGTCCAGTTTATTTGGTCCCATAGATCGGCTTGCGAGTTTCGGGCCTACCCTGTCTTCTCATACTGTCTTGCTTTTGCTTTAAGGTTAAGGCCTTTGCCCTCGCCCTGTCCTGACTAGCTTGCTCGACATGCAAGTTGTTGGGGATGTATTTCTCTAGTATACTTGCAGCCACCGCGCTGTCATTCCTTATTGTATCCGCGTCGGTGATACCAGTCCCTCCTTCACGAAGAGCAGAAGACGATGCTCCTGTTATGAACATAGATTTCGCCGACCCGTCGATACTCGAAGATGATGAGGGTAATTGGTACGCTTTTGGGACGACTGGAAATGGCAAGCACATTCAAGTCGCCAAAGCAGACTGTATCTACGGAAACTGGAGCCTCCTAGATGACGTCGACGCCCTTCCCCAATATGCTTCCTGGTCTACTGGGAGCAACACTTGGGCTCCTGATGTACACCAATTATCGGATGGGTCATTCGTAATGTACTACAGCGGCGAGGTGGCCGACAATCCATCACACCATTGCATCGGCACAGCGACATCGGATACGATCACCGGCCCGTATATACCCGAAGAGGAACCCTTTGCCTGCAACCTCACTGTCGGTGGTGCTATCGACGCCTCCGGATTCGAGGATGACGATGGCACGCGATATGTTGTATATAAAGTCGACGGAAATAGCATCGGACATGGTGGTAGCTGCGGTAATACTGTTCAGCCAATCGTTCCTACACCGATTATGCTCCAAGAGGTCGAATCAGATGGAGTAACGAAAGTCGGCGATGCTGTTCAAATCCTCGATCGCACCGAAGATGATGGCCCGTACGTAGAAGCTCCAAGTCTGATACGGACAGAAAAGGGAATGTATATATTGTTCTTCAGCAGCGGTTGCTACCTCGAACCGAGCTATAATGTCAATTATGCAACCTCGATGAGCGTGTCAGGTCCGTATACGCGCGCGAAACAGCCATTGCTTAGAACAGGGGAATATGGATTGCAAGCACCTGGTGGCGCCACCGCCGTACATGTTAGGGATAAGATCGGTGTCGTATACCATGCGAACTGCCAAGAAGGACGATGTATGCATACGTCGCCGACCGATATCGACGGCCGGGATGTGGATGTTGTGATTTAAAGGGCGAGGCGAAGGCGACCATCGACGATCATTACCTACCTAATTCATCATGAGAGACGACGTGGAAAAGAGACGAGCTGTACATGGTTTGTTCGTCGCATTTCGGTATAGGCTCTACCTAGAGAAGATAGAGGGGAGCCTCCGTATAGAAAAGCTAAGGGCTTGGAGAGGTTGGGGGACGGCTCACTTGACGCTCATTGACACATTTGGGATATAGATTTTTAACACATTTTCATTTCGGTGTCTCCGGAAATCGGGAATGGTAGAAAACGATACCCGTGTGTAGACTTATAGAAGTATAGTATTCATAATATTATGATTTCTCTTTGGAATATATTCGTTGAAGACATCTTTGGGCATCTTTCTGTGTTTGGGAGCAGCTGATTCTAGGCGAGCGCTGTGAATGATGTCATAGGACATGACCCCCACGCTGGCTTGGTGGTAAGACAACCAACCCCTGGCTTTAACGATCCTTTTCCCTTTCAACATACAAAACTTCGACTCGGTAATTATTTATTAGCGTATTGACATCTAATGTACGATGGCAATGAAAATATTTTCACTAGTTACGAATATGACGACGAATAGATGATCAAATCCCGGCTGGTTCATTACAATTTACACCCCCCCCATCACTGGGTGCCCCACGCCCTGTAAAAATGGACCCTTCAAGTAATGAGCCAGAAGTGATTTTGGCCAGCATGGTTTTAGGGCGGATACGAATGAAACGCCGTGGCCAACGATCAATCCATTTGCACCCTCAGGGCCTTCAAAGCTATTTCTTCAGCTGACATACACGATACCGGACGGTTGACAGGTGCAATAATGCTGGGCTGTTCGTTCAGGTAGTCGGTTGAGAAAGGGACAACCGGATCTTGCCCCCGGGAAGAAAGCCATTTCCCAATGATATCAGGCCACAAGGATCCCAGACCGGGAAAATGATGATGGCGCCCCGTCATTGAGAATGACACACTCGCTTGCCCCCTGTGAGCTTCCGCCCAAGCATTCCATCCTTCCCGTGATTCAAGTTCGCATAGAGAATACGAAATTATCATATCCGTATAACCAGACGAGAGCCATCTCGTCGAGGTGGAGAGTGCTTTCGTCCACGCAGTAATAGCAGCGCTGACCTGGCCGCTCATATGCTTGATCGCCGCAAGTCCCATTAGAATTGAGAGATAGTCCATCTTCTCGAAATAATTACTCTGTGTGTAGTCACGACTAAGATCCTCATAGATGTTGCCCGACGTTTGTAATGAAACTTGATCAACGGCTTGCTCTTTCAGTAATGCATGAACGCATTTTAAGAAATATGCATGGGCCAGCCCGAGCCAAGCTCGTAGTCTGGTTTTCCCGGAAGCTTCAATGCGTCTTTGAAGCGTCTCTATCGCTTCATCATATCTACCAAGCTCGCAAAGCACGATGCTAAGCAACATCCATATTGAACTCATAGATTGTGGTAAAGTCACTAGGATATCGTAAGCCTGTTGAAAATGTCCTTTAAAGCGCAGTATTCTGGCACGCATGAGATTTGTGCGATGCTTCCATGTGGTTTCTTGAGTCGAAGAGGGGGTATCAGTCGGGCCAACATGGTTCTCAAGGTGGTTGAGGGCAGATGGCAACTGATTCAGGCGTACACAGTTTCGGGCCTTGACTATTGCTAGTTCTGCCGCAAAGGCTTTGGTGCGTCGGTCAACTACAGGAATGTTGATTTGGTCTAAGTTTTCGTTGATATTGCTGTCCGGAAATAAGATGGATAGAAAACACCTCCTTCCATCCACCCTAGACTGGAGTAATGTTTTGATGGCAGCGTCTTCTGGCGAGGCCTTTATAGCACGTGTGGCAATCGATACGGCTTGCATTTTCCAGTTTTTATCGCGAAAATAAGATATAGACAAACACGCCTCGACTACTTCGCTAAGTTCCATCTGGTTTAGGAGGACTTCAAGCTGCGTATCGTCTAGGTGGCCAAGAATGAGTGCGACGTGGGGTAATAGAGCCTCACATTTCGAGACACAATTCTCCCTATTTGATATTAGTACTCTAAAGCTTTGTAGGTCTATGAAATAGGCTCTAGTACATACTCGGGCCCTGCTGGTACGTATTTAGGTATTGAGTGGAAGACAATTTTAGCCACCTTTGGGAGCCAAGTGGTAGTTTGTAAACGATGCTTGAGAAGCTCAGCTACACGCTTGTTCATATCTATTACGGAAGGCTTCAATTTAACGAACCCAGGGTATTCTAGGTTCTGACTGGCTGTAACCAACTTTTCCTCGTCTATGACTAGAGAGACGATGCGAGTGGAAGCACCAGTTGCCTCGCCATCTCGCTCCCAGTGTAAGGAAGGCGTTCTAGCTCGGCGAAAAACGTCTGCTGGTATGTTAGATGTACCTAACCATTGCAGAATGCATGCAAGCGTCTGAGCGTCTGAGTCAAATTTGTTGAAGATGCGTTCGAGCCAGTCGATTGCGGAAGGGCTACAGGGAAATGTGTTGGTTCTATGAATCAACGCGAGCTTGTCTTCCTCAGAGGCCTTATTTAGGAAGTAATCGAGGGTCTCGCGGTTGCAAAGGTTACGGTGCGCGTCAAAAGTAGCGTAAAAGATAGCAAGAAGCGCTATGGGGCCGCCATGTTTAAACGAAGTGTGGATCAGGTTCCCCCTCGGTGTTTTCTCCACGCGGGTATCGAGAGACCGTGTAAGAATATAGGTTCTCACGTATCGTTCCTGGTGACCTTGAAATTCGAGTAGTGCCTTACGGATATTATGTTCTGCAATAACAAGGTCGTAGGTGTCTGGACGAAGCTGGATGAATGAGAACACAGAGTCTAACACCAAAGATTGAGTCTGAGAAGGCTGTGTCGCGATAGCGTCGGTAATCTCTTCCACCTCCCCAGAATCATTCACGCAGACAAGGCGCATCTTGAAATATTCTCCAGGATAAAATTCATTTAAATAGCAAGTTGCAGGAGAGATGTACCGAGTACCTACCTAGGTTGGCGGATGAGTTTGTGCGTGAATGGGGTTTGTTTCCACGTATAAACATGTAGCCCAATGCCCGCGGCCAGGCATAGTGAATGTAAACATGGCCCGAGTTCTAATAGTTCGACCGTACTTAGCTATATGATTTTATTATAAAAGTACATTATTCCCAATCCGCGTGGAATGGAAGAGGGGTGAGATATGTACCTAGGTAGCGAGGAGCTGTCGAATCGGAATGATGTTACAATCGAGTCTGTCTTGGGTTGTCAGCTAACCTGCCAACGCAGTCGACTGACTAAGCACATTGCTGACATAATTAGGTCTATCCCCTCTGCCCCTCAAATAAGCGCCCATCCCATTTCTCAATCTCTTTTACATCCTGCTCCAAGTTATCGTCACTGCCTGCAAGCTGCAAGCATCCCATCACAGTCACATTTTCTACATCCCTAAGTAAAAGCTATATGATGTTCATTAGCAATACTCCTTATGCCTCGAGTATTGTCTTATTAATTTTCCAATGCTTCTTAGCATGCCTCTCAAACCGCTTTCGCAACGTCGAGTCCCCCTTGGCGACACACTCATGTTTTAGACAGATGATTTACGTCCACACAATTAGAAGACTACGTCGTGTGAATTTCTCAAACGTTGCTATAAAATAGAGCATGAAGCCATGTTCAACTCGAATTCTTGTTACCAAGAGGTCCGTGCGCGCCTTACCGTCCAATATAGCGGATGGCCTATTCATTGGCCTTCCCACATGGCTCATGAACCACCCATCCTATTCAGGAACTAACGAAAGTCGTTTCTTCCCGAAGAAGAATTATGCCAAGTAAGGATTGTATTGTTGAGTCCTGAATGGTGGTTTTCAGGAACAACAACCGTGGTTTTTACCGCCAACGACCTCACTACTGACCCACTAGACGTGAGATTACCGAACAAATCACCAGCGCTTAGGGTCAGGAACAAGATTCTGTATCTATCTCATTGGTTCAGCTTGTTCTGGGGTAACCCTTCTGGGATATTCATCTCTCACTGTTCAATGTGATCTCCTGTTTAGCAACATGAGATTGTTCCCCTACCTGAAGATATGCACTGCGTCGGGAAGTTTTCTCGTTAGTGACAGGGGCTGAATATGGGTATTGCTGCAATACTACCTGTCAGTGTGAGCCATCGATGTCCCGCTTCTACATAGGCGCCCATTACCACCATCTGCTTTCCAATAGCGCGAAATCAATAGTGCTAAATGTATCGCGAGTTATTCCTAGACTGCTCGATCAAATGGGATATGATTAATATATTACTCGGTCTGTTCCGGACCCAAGCCCATATTTCTATACTACATCCATACACTCTTTTTCAAAGTCTTCGGACATCATAAGCTCTCCTACGAGCGTATTCGGAATTCTATCCAGCTGGCTGGTCATAAATTTTATGATATCATTGTTGTAATACTTTTGTCATTAATATTATATACGTTCTTTACTATCGCTTCCTAGACGCCACAATTCCTCAATATGTCTCCTGGCGAGATGACTTTTCTACGGGCTATTTTAATTCTTACGCTGCTCGCACGATGCACCACTAGTTTACAGGCCACACCAAATTCCCCTTGCGCTTCGTCATGTGTAGACTCTACTACCCTTGACTTTTCTGATCCAAACTCATCAACGACCGGGAATGCCGATATCACATGCTATGACTCCGAATACTCTAGCTCACCCGCGGGGCAGAAATTTCAGAAATGTATGACTTGTCTTCAGGATAGTACTTTCGCCCAGGGTAGTGAGAGCGACCAGCTTTGGTTTTTATGTAAGTACATTCATATGTATCTGAAAGAGGCCGCCTTTGACACATAGGCAGATAACTTAAGATATGCATTTGATTATTGCATTTTTGGATTTCCCAATGCCACTGGCGTTGCGTCAACTCCTTGTTCTACCTCTACTGCATGTGGTGGATTGGAAGCAGCTTTCACAGACGACAAACTGGACCCGAAGAAGAATGGTTACTCGTATTGCACTGCGGATAACTCAGCTATGGCCGATGGCGTAGTCTCCGAGTGCAGGTTATGTGTAGCCGCTTCCGACGGGCAGGATTATCTGGCAAATTGTAAACTATCCCCCTTCATAACGAAGTATCACTATTCTAATGTTCGCAGTCCTCATTGCTCTCGACGCAGGGTGCAAGCAAAAACCGGCCACTGGGATGGTGATCGGGTTAAATGATACCGTATTTTCCAAAGGTATGATCAGTTCGGTTGATCCAACCACTGGAAAAGACACAGACAATACACGACCTGCTCTATCCATAACTCAAATAGCGGGGATCGCTGCCGGAGCGGCCGTCGCCATCCTAGCCATAACGGGGTTCTTATTCGTACACTTTCGTAAGCGGCATAACCGTCGTCTTTTGCTTGGAAACGCTAGGATCTCTACGGGAGGGCAGAAGAAAAGCCGCCATCGTCCGGCATCATCACTATCATTCCGCTGTCAAACACATTTAACGCCAAGGTCTCCGGCATTCTTCCCGAACCCGTCGGATACTACAATTGAAGAAGAGAAGCCCTACCAAGTAGGTCCATTCTCTGCTCTGGGTTCACATCCCATATCTCCAAAATCACCAAGACAACCTACATGGGCGTCACAGAGCAGCAATAAAGGATTCAATCCTTCCCGACTAAGTAATAAGCCGGTACCTCTGCATAACATCGCTACTGCCATTCCCACAATACCGGACAATGTACATTATTCCACTTCACCTAAAGCTGCAGTCTTTTCTCCTGTTGAAGAGCCGATTAGCACTACCAGCACCAAGAGCACGTCGCAGCTCTTACCGCTGAGACAATATAATCCTGCCGAGTACGGATACACTTCGCCGCAGATAGGTAGTAGCCCCGATGGCACATTTACTAGTCCTGTCTCGGGCTCTACTTCGAGTCCTCTATTGAGTCGTGCTTGGGAACAAAGGACTCCGACTTGGGACCTCCCACCACGCGGCTCTAGTCGATCGACAGGTGTCGGGGCTTGGGAGAGAGTCGCTGCAGGGGTGGCTAATAAAAATAGGAGGACTAGTAATACCGGAAGTCCCGTCGAGTCTAAACAGATAAACTTCAACTTCCCTTCTCCACCCACTCGACGGTAACAACTTTCATGTACATACCTAGCACAGACGTGAGGGATTGTTGGGCTCCTAGGATAGAGCCCGATAAATTACGATAGGAAATCGGATAGATTTCCATACAATGAGTCGATATGTCCATCACCCGTAATGATAATAAAAACAGTGAAACTGCACATTTATGTCCCGACGCCACGAAACTTGTGAAACTCACTGGACCTTGACAGACTGCCCCCGCACGTACACTTCCTTAATGTTGCGGTCATCACCAGTCATGATGAATTTATCGAACATCGTCCTCGTGGAGTCATCGTCTTGCAACACAGTCATGATACCTCCCGGTGCGCTCGCATCAATAATCAGAGCATCGAACTCCTTACCGACCTCAAAATTCCCAATCCGATCATCGAGACCGCACACTCGGGCGCCTCCTAGTGTAGCCAAGTAGAATAACTCCGGGATATCCAGTCCCTTATCTTTACCTTTGCTCATTACCTCTTTTGCATTGGACGCTACCAATGCTTGTCTCATCGCATCCAAAATACTGCTCGAAAAGCCCCCACCACTATCAGTCCCCAACCCGATCTTCGTCACTCCACGTTGAAGGAACTCACGTATCGGTGCTGCCATGAACCCCCCACCCACTGTCATATTCGAAATTGGACAATGCGCAACACCACATTCTAGATCCTTAATACGCTGCGTCTCATATTCACTCATATGGCAACAATGCGCAAGTATCGAGCGATCATTTAGCAATCCATAATGCTCATACAAATCCGCCTCACTCCCTTTAAACTGCGGGAATAACTCCTTCGTAAACACCATTTCCTGCTCCGCTTCATTAAAATGCGTCTGGATCGGCAAATCCGGATTTGCTGCCGCCAATGCACCTAGACCTTCTAAAAGTGCCGGTTCGCAACTTATCGCGAACCGCGGCGTGATCACGTATTTCAGTAATTTGCCCTCTGGATCAATCTTTCGCACATGCGCGATGCAGGATTCGGCCTCTTTTAAAGATGCCTCAACGCTCGAGTCCCGGTAGTAGTCCGGCGCGTTCCGGTTCATGTTGCATTTACCAACGAGCGCACGCTGACCCTTGGCGAGACAGATGTCTGCGAGGATGTTAGTGGCCTCCGCGTGTAGAGATCCGTAATACGATGCTGTGGTGACGCCTTGTCTTAAGAAACCCTCGACACAGGAGCTGTATACACGCCGCGCGTGCGCTGGATCAGCGAACCGCGCTTCATTGGGGAATGTGACACGCTCGAGCCAGTCTAGTATATGTAAACTTTGACCTAATCCGCGCTGCGCCCATTGTGGTGCGTGGTTATGGGTGTCAATGAAGCCTGGGATGAGGAATTGAGTGCGGGTTAGATAGTACTCGATCCGGGGGGCCGAAAGTGGAATGTTTAGAGATGAGATTATGTCAGGTATATCATTTGAGGGTGCGTGTTCTATGAGGTTGGTGATTTTGCCGTCGGGATTGATGACGATAAGGGCGCTCTCGAGGATCACAAGTTCGGAGGGGCCGCGGGAGTGGATCAGTATGCCGTGGAAGAGGTGATATGGCATTTTGAGGGGTACGATACGCGAAAGAACGCCTACAATGACTTGAGCGTCGCCTATTACGAGATACAAGTTTACCCTCTTGATTCTTAAGTGAATTATGCTGATATCGCTCAGTTCCGATGGAGAGGTGTTCAGTAAGATTATTACGTTGGTGGCTCAGGTATCTACCTAATCGCGGAGCTCGCCAGCTGCCATGCCAGCTGCTGATAAGTAGGCTCTTACATTCCTACCTTTCACCTAAATAACTTGAAATATCCTCTTGATCAGAACATTTTAACATTTTCATATCTGAAAGCTTCTATATCAACAAACTTCTTAGGTATCTATTCCATCATTACTACGGCGGCGACCCATCAAGACGATGAATGAGAACATTACACGAGAATATAATAGAGAACTCCACTCTCTCCTCTTACCTATTATACTACTTGAAGCTGAAGTGCAGTGGAAAGAATTTGACCCGAAAATAAAGCGAGACACTTGAGGCTAGCCAAATGGGTTGCTTTTCGGGATGACCGAAGCGTGATTTGGGGTTAATGGGGCAGATGGGCAGCCAACTTGAGCAAGAGATAAGGATGAAGCCTTCTGCAGTTCCTTACTATTCCGAGAATATGCAAGTAGTATTATGCCTACAAGCCAAGGATTGCGGCTGCTCTATCTCATTTGAAAATGCATGTTAAGTCGGAAGTACGGCGTTGTTTGCCCCGTGGTTTTCTCACCGGATAATGTACAATTGGTGAGTTCGAAGGAAAGAAACTAACGTCATAAATGCACTCGGAAAGTAGCGCTGCGCGCCACAGCCCCTCTTTAATAAGACGGTCTAGGATGGGATCTCGCGCTTCGCTTTTCTTTCTCGATCCTATTTTTCTTTTTCTTCAAGGCAGCTTTCGGAACGCAACATCTCCCCTACCCCCTATTAGTTGCTGGATGATAGGTAAAGCCTTAGGTATGTAGGCTGCCGAATCGAACCAACCATCATCCACGCTGCTACAAATGCAACCTGCTTTGCAGGATGTAGTGCGACCACATAGGTATTCTTGGGTATGCTTAATGTCCACCGTGTTGAGATACTGTATAAGGTAGATACATATACACGGTGACATCAATGGTGAAAATACTAGGTACGTGCCAGGATTTTATCAACAGCTGACATACTAGGTAGTTATCACACATGGAGCTCAAAAAGACCGCATTTCTTAGTACGCCACTGTTTCACCGATATCTGAAAGGTGTAAATTTTATGCCTTCGGAGCTGAGCGTTGCTCAAAAAGAGTGAGTTATTTACCCAACCCTAGCGTTCATGTTGCCTACCGAAACTATCATTAATAATGAGGGGGTAGAGGATTCCAGCCGTTGGAATAAAGTAGATTCCCAAAGTGCGTCAGCATACCGAGTAACACTTGCTTTTTCCTTTGTAACACTCCTTCCGTTCAAGCAATAAGATGTAGTTTTGCGCCTTCATTTACGAATCGTTTAGTAATCGTATGAGTGACTGTGATAGGCTGAAGGACAACCTCGGTCTCAGTGCCACGCCTGCTCGGTAATCTGAAATGACCAGTCTGTATCATACCCGACTCCATGCTCAGAAGCATGTTTCGTATGTAGGGAATGCAGACTGTGATGATGCTAAACCCTTGCACAAACACCATAGTCAAAAGAAATTTCCAAGAATGAAAAGTTCGATCCGAAAGCTGCGACTTCAATTCTTGTGCTTCGTGGAATTGTGCGGCGAAAGCTCCAACAACTCTTCTCTACATTAGCTACGGGACGAGTCTCGAAGATCCTGGGATAAATATTTGGTATACGTACAAGAGCCGAGTGGCAAAGCCGCCGATGACCGTTACCTTCTTACTTCGAGGCATCATAATAGGAAAAGAAATTAGAATGGTTTCAGCCACTAGGTTTACACCCACGAATACCTCCCAGAAAGAAAGTCGGTCGATGCATTGAGAGCCCAACATTTTCCACACACGAGGCGAACTACATTGGAAGACGGCAACGAAGGAGGAGACGGAGAAGAGTGTAGTGAAATCCGCCATGTACTTTATCGATACGGTGTGGCGACTATTTGGTGTTATATCGTGGAGAAACACAAGAATTGATGCTTGTACAGAGCTCAAAACTAAAATTAATAGGATATCAGCGGAATAGACTGCTTTTTGCAACGACTCTAGCTGTCGCGGCGAAAGTGAATTCTCGTGTCTCCCGATCCCGTTTTGCGCGGCAAAGGACATTGCAATTGAGAAACCAATACTGAAAGCCTAGAATCGGTTGAAATTAGGATTCCCACTCTATCAAGGATGTTTGGTTCTTACCATCGCGAGAAACAGAGCGATATCTTCTCGGTTGCGTCTCTTAAGGACGAGGGACGATAAGGTAAACTTGATGCCGACCGCGGTGATAATCGAAGCTGCCATAATCCATGTCAGTAAACTGACTACGGGTCCGAGGTTAGATGCTGTGATAGCTTCACGCTTATCCATTATTCTTCGCGCTTAGGTGGATCCTCTAGCATTGAAAGTAGGGATAATCGCGCGGAGTAAAAGGAGAAAAAGGGATAGACGACCTTCAATGGCGACTTGTCATTCTATTACGATTAAAGCCAGTGGTTAGCAAGGCTGCCCCCCACCAATTAATGTCGTGGAGAGCCTTGCAAAGGCTTAGTCGGACATATCGAAATGAGGTTAAAGAACTATTTTAGTGGTATAAAATTAGCTACCTAGGTACCTAGTACGCATGTATCAGGGCTTCATACGCCGCACCGAGGTATCCATGGATCTTTTAGCATAACATCAAACGGTTGGGAACAAGGATTAAAGGGTTTTATCACAAATGCTTTTTTGATGTGCACATACACTGCTGCAATTTTAATTACTTATCACTCAGGCCTATGGAAACTCTTCGCCCTCGCATGCCCAATATTACACAGCATCAAACTCATTGGATGACTTCTCCGAGCCCCGTGGATGCTTCACGCTGCCCTTTCTTGTCGCTTTTTATCATCTTCGCTTCTGGTCTGTAAGTGCCATACTAGCACAATTGTCCTAGCATTCTTTTGAGTAGACTCGAAATTTATACAGTAAACCCTCCATAACGGCACAATGAACGGCACTTCGAACGCATCCAAGCGCGCGGGACCTGCGCTTGGGACGACCTTTGATGAGATCCATGGTTCTACGTATTTGGAGAGGGATTCGCACGGCCTCGCGCGACTTGGAAGGTCGCAGGTACTAAAGGTATCTCAAAAACACCAATCATTGCTCGTTATGCTGCACCGTTCTATTGAATCTTGCTAATGATCTATATATAGCGTCGATTTGGATTCCTTTCTGTTTTTGGATTCAGCTGTTGTATATTGGCTACGTGGGAGTCAGCAGTAACGTAACTAATGAACTGTTCCTTGCATACCCGAAATACCCTATATTTACACTAGGTTCTTCAGGTTATTTACAGAAGCATTTGAAAAGTAAGTTAACAAGTTGGATTGAAAAGTAACAAGCTATCATCTTTGAAAGCTGACTGCTGTAATATAGTGGTGGACCAGCGGCTTTGGCATGGGGGTTTCCTATTGCCTGGGTGTGTTCGTTATCCGTTTATCTATGCTTGTCAGAGATGGCGTCCATGTAAGATCTGGAGAAAGTCGGAGTCCTACACGACGAACTTATTTTCAAATTATAGTGCACCCATATCTGGAGGACAATACTTTTGGGTTGCGATTCTAGCGCCTCGAAAATACAAGCGCTTCTGTGGCTACTTGACAGGTTACCCTTCCTGAACTCCCCTCGGAGATGAGTCTAATGGCTGATAGGATGGTTAACTTCACTTGCGTGGATCGCCACGCTCGCCGTGGGCAGTATGTTTACGGGGACAATTATACAAGGGCTCATCATCTTGAACTACGCAGACTATGAAGCCAAGAGTTATCATGGGACGTTCCTTGCTTGGGCCGTCATTGCCGTGACCATCTTCGTCAACACTGTAATTGCTGGGCTCTTGCCTGTCCTAGAAGGAGTTATCCTCTTGATACATGTGCTGGGATTCATTGCAATCCTCATTACACTGGTGTATCTTTCGCCTCATTCATCAGCGGAGGATGTTTTCTTTCGCTCTTTGAATGAAGGTAACTGGCCAACCCAAGGCCTTTCATACTGCGTCGGTTTCATCGGCAATGTAGCAACCTTTGTTGGTAAGTGCCCTCACCTCTTAGAAAATAACCTCGTAAACGACTCATCACCATTATTATACGATAGGGGCCGATGCAGCTGTCCATGTAAGTGTTCACCTCAACGTAACTTGGATTGCTAATCTAAACATTGGTAAGATGTCGGAAGAGATAGAAAATGCGGCTTTGAATGTACCTCGAGCCATCTTCACCACTGTTATACTAAACGGCAGCATGGGATGGGCCATGGTACTCGCCGTTCTGTTCTGCCTCAGTGATATCGAGTCTGTCATTGTACGCCTTATTGAACCCCAACCCCCTATTTCCTACCGACGCTTTTCTCATCAGCGATGCAGAATTCCCCCACAGGCTTCCCATTCATCCAGATATTTTATAATGGGACTGGCCGAGCCGGGGCTACGGCTATGACGATAGTCATTCTCTTCATAATTTGGTGTGCTGTTATCGGCTTCGCCGCCACTGCAAGCAGAATGATTTGGTCATTTGCAAGAGACCACGGCCTGCCTTTCCATGCGTTTATCAGGAAGGTCTGTCTCAATAACTCCACTTTTGCTCGTTATTCTACTAGCCTTAAGAGATGATTTTAACTAATATGGGTACATCATAGGTCCACACACGTACACGAGTTCCAGTCGTCGCTGTCATTGTGGTGAATGTTATTCCTTGCTTGCTGCATCTAATCTATATTGGATCTTCAACTGCGTATAATGATGTTATCTCCATGTCAGTATCTGGGCTATATGCATCATACCTCATCCCATGCAGCTTTCTCCTCTGGCGTCGCACAACCGGGCAAATCAAGCCGTACAGGTCTCACGAGTACAGTGGCACGGAAATATACATTGGGCAAGAAGGAGGCCCCAGCGGGGTCCATTCGCCAACTCTTCAGAATACTAGCGACTCCGAAACGGTACTTGAAGAACAGGAGCTGGAATGGGGCCCCTGGCGCATACCCGGGGTGCTCGGTATCTTAAACAACGGTTTTGCCTGCCTCTACTGTGTATGGGTACTCTTCTGGGATTTTTGGCCGTCTAGCACATCTGTAACTGCTGAGAGCATGAACTACAGCGTGTTAATCACAGGTGCAGTCATCATCTTTGCAGTAGCCCGTTACTTTCTAGGGGGAAATGTGGGATACAGAGGCCCGTTGGTAGACTATGAAGTGAAAGGCTTCACAGCCCACCGTAATTGAAAAACGAGCGTGCAGACCTTGGGAGCAGCGCGCATGGTCAATTGAAACACATGAGCACTTATTGTTAACCTAACCACTGGAGCAGAAAAGTATAGACAATCATGTACGATCGATGTTTTTAGTGCATTGCATTTTCAAATGAGTCGCACTGAACGCAGATTGTGAGAAAAAATAAAACCCCTTAATGATAGAAGTACTTCTTTCTTTTTCTTCTTCTTCTTTCGTTTTTTTCTTTTTTTTTATAAAAAAAAACAAAAAAAACCACATACAATGATATTGTACAGTTAGGTTGCTAACAAGCTTGTCGATCACTCTGCAAATAAGCTATTTTTACACTCTGTAATTAGCACAGCTCTTTCAGATAGGCAATTGCTGGTAGAATACGGCACAGTTTAGCGGGGCCTGGTCATATGATTATTTGTATATTTATCGATCGGCACCGCTCGCTTTTGGGTTGATAAGCCCTCCCTTCGCTCGCAGCCTACCTCCCAACATTTAACTTTTTAAAACGAATATCATCACGCAATGGCTTCACCTGATAGAATTCCGTCCCCCCAAACAACACTAGTGCCCTTCATCTCGGCTGAAGATGCATCCACGATGGCGTATCCGACCTGCGCCCTCCCTGGTGCTCGTGATGTGGAAACCTTCTATGGAAGTATGCGAGTCTATGAATGGGGACCGCTTGATGGGGAAAAGGTCTTGTTCGTTCATGGAGATGCCACCCCTTGCCTCGTGTTTTCTAAGATTGCCCAAGGGCTAGTGGATTCGGGACACCGAGTAATGCTTTTTGGTAGGTAGCATGGCCGAAACCATGAACATGTTTACATTAAACTGACTATTGGACCCGTTACCAGATCTCTGGGGTCGGGGATATAGCGATACGCCACTCGGCTGTAGGCATGATGTTCGTTTATTCGCATCCCAAATACTTTTGGCCCTCGGGTCGTCGCCTCTCTCTTGGGCGGGAAGCGGCAACTTCTCAATAATTTCATTTTCCTTAGGTGCACCTATCTCCCTGGCATTTGTAGGTGCTTTCCCCCAATCAATTAGGTCGCTGGTCTTCCTCGGTCCAGCAGGTCTCATCCGCAGATTGCCAGATGGCTACGAAGACCAGCTAATGCATCGGCCCGAACTTGCCCTATCGCAAGAAGCCCTCCGTGAGAAAGTCCGGCAAATCCTTGGTGTATCCCCTTCTAACACGGCTTTGAATATCCGGTTGAATCCGGAAAGCGTGATCTCAGCTAAGAAGGGACCGCCTCGCGTAGAAAAGACTTTCGACATGGGAGGCGTCCTCCAGTGGCAATTTGACTATCATCAAGGTCACATCCATTCGTTCCAAGACACTGTCCGGTACGGCCCGCTGCAGAACAGAGAGGATTTGTGGAGAACGGCTTGCGACATCATTGCCGGTCGGACACGACCAGATAGCGCTCTACATAAGTCTAGGCTGCTTGTCTTCTTTGGCCAATCTGATGATGTTGTTGTGGGAACGGAAACGACTGAGGATATCCTCAAGTTGTTACCTTCTAGTCATCTGGAGGTTGAGTATCTGCCGGGGGGGCATGGCTTCCCTTATCCGAACAGTGAGAAGATTACTCAGAAGATTATCTCCTTTTGGGGTTCCAGGCATCCCGTGTTGTAGATCTAGGGGAGAACATATCAAGACTGGGTTGTTCGATCAATTTGGATATATGTTACTCCTATTTAAAAACTGAACTGGCAAGTTAGTGATCTTCACTGAGTATTATCTTTCTCGCTGGTGGACTTAAATCTTAGGGCAATTCGGTGTTGAATACGCAGTGTGTAGTTCAACGCGACACATTACCGACCCCATGGGTCGGCTTCCGACTTCGTACACTTTTTTCTGGGTGCTGCTATGGAAGATGACATTTGGGCTGGTGTAGGGTGCATCGTTACATCCGCCATTCGTGCCACATTGATAGGTAAACCTCATTTACTGTACAGTATCTTCAAATCTTACTCCTATCCCCCGTGGGACACGGAGAAACTCAAGTCCAGTTCGTATGGGTGGCTGCAGATTCAGTGGGACCAAGCCAGGAATTTGATGTCTTCGTGTGGATACGGATGTAGCTATTTGCCTTGGGGTTATAAATAGGAGTCGTGCAACCTATAGTAGAACCGCCTCCAGCAATTTATTGTCCTTGATACCTACCTAGGTACTTATGGGACGAATGACAACATAAGAAGGAATTATAACTTCAGCTTATCAGTAATTGATAGGTTCGTTTACTCTGGCTATTAACACTATGGTGGTAACGGACGACCATCAGGACTTTGTCTTACCAGGGCAATATAAATATGTAAGTGCAGGGGAACCAAAGAAAAGCGTTATGTATCCCCTCTTGAGTACCCGACCAGGCTTTCCTTGCTCTTATGACTTTCAGCTTTCCCCGTTATTTTCTGCTCCATTTTTATCAAGCCGCTCGCTCTAGCTGAACTATTCTCGTCAACTACTTTATTGCCATCATCTGCAGCCCTGTAAGCTAGAGGTATAAGTTGGACAATGACCCCTGAGCCTAATCATTTGGCGATAATATGTACATTGGTATGTTGCCTCGGGCTAGTGAGAGCCGGTGCAATAGCTGCCTGGACCACAGAACGTGGAGCTCAGGTTATAATGCAAGATGATTCGACTGGAAAAGTATTTTACAGCCTTTGCAATAGCAATGGGAGCGCCCATATTTTTCCTGCCGACGATTCAGTAGCTTTCCACTTTGACGAGAACTTGGCTCCCAAAAATGGCACTAGCCTCGCAGGTGTGGGATATATTGATGGAGATGGTCTCTTTGTAGGTTTTTATTCGTTCCAATCAATACTCGTGGGTTATAGATATATACCTAGGTACTTACTGTGGATGTAGGCAGCGACTTGGTTCCAGAGAGAAGGCGACGAAATCGTGTTTCATTTGTGGAAATGCGATGCGACCGGCCATTTCACTCCCTACGGCACTGATAATCAACGAGTTATAGGCGAAGACCAAAGCGTATACTCGAATACGGGACTTATGGGTCTGAATCTAGGCGCAACTGCCGGCTACCGCGTTTACTTCCGGAACAAAAATAATGAGCTTTTGGTTCTGTGGCATACCGAGGAAAGGGGTGTTTGGGACTTACAAGGAGACGTGTCTAAGGATACAGTCAGGAGATCTGCAATTGGGGCTGGCTATTTTGAGATAGATCGGGTCACGGTCGTGACACCTAGAGATGACAAAAATATTGAAGTGTCCGATTTGCAGCCAAATGGAACGTGGATCATTTGTGAGTCTCCTTATTTACCTACTTAGGTAGGTACTCAACGCAGCGTCATATTTCCTTTCTAACTTTTCGCAGCCACATTCCTAACCCCTCTTGTGAACGTTTCCCGGGGATCTGTTCGAACCATTAACCAATTTGAACCTAAGTTACCACCTACCAATGACACGGATGCTGCATACTTCGAACTCGATACGAATGTGGACCCCGGGTGGTCGTTGGAAGCGTGGGATGGCAATGTAGGTGGGCTTGGGCTCGCCGTTAACGACTCAACCCATAGTATTTTTTATATTGACAACGACTCCTTCCTACATTGTATCATGGAAGTCAACGGTACCTGGAAGATGACACAAAGGCAGAACGAAAGTACTTGGCCACGTGCCGATGCTGCAAATGCTAGATTTGCGACAGCCTATATTCCTGCCCGCAACGAGGTCCTCATTTACTACTTGAGCGGGGGTAATTTAACCCACATACACCGAACGAGTGAAGAAGAATGGAAAACAGCAGTACCTCTTTTGAGATACAACGATACGGTAGTAGAAGCTCCTATTACCAGTACGGGTCTCTCAACAGGAGGTAAAGCCGGGATCGGGGTTGGTGTTAGCATAACAGGTATTGGGCTCCTATTAATTATGGCCTTTTTAATCGCCCGGTACCATAGAAAGCAGCGAGTAGAGGAAATTCAAGACGAAAAAAAAGCAACGACAGCTGATACGAACATACCTCTATCTCGCCCGCCCGTCTATTACGAAATGCCGGACCCGCACATACATAACGGTCATGCTTGTCAGGAGATGCCAAATCGCGAATGTGCCCATGAAGTGCCTAGTGATAATAATCACCAACAAGACTTTATCCCTATGACTGATGAGGAAGCGGATACAAAACCGTGAGTACGAGATTCACTACTCGTTTTCATATCCTTATCGAATTTAACCCTAGAAGAAATTTACGAAAAGGGGCTAATTGCAACGAAAATTATTAACAGTAAAACACCGTCCTGTGAAACGAAATCACATGAAGGAACTGAATCGTAGTTGAGTGCCTTTGGGGATTGCGCAGTGCTATGATTGGGAAAAGTGTCAGCTAAGGAGACGAAATTTTGAATGGATGTTGATAGGTAATGTCTACATACATACAATTACTTACGAAATGCTGATATGTTCTTTAGAACCTATATTGTTTTGAGATAAAATTGTTTCCTAGGTACCGCCGCGACTTCCTAATGAGTTGCTCACCTAGGTGCCCCGTGCCTTTGTCACATTATGTTACCTAGGTAGTGTTTGTCTTAACAGTTGTGTTTAGCCAAACTACAACTATATATGTTCTTGTGAGCAGTCATTTGTATGACTACCCCTTATGCACCTAATATTCGTCGGAATGATGGGATAATGAGGGTATAGCTTGCTTAGGTAGCAACTGGGAGAAACATATTGCATACATAAGTACCTACCTAGGTGGTATAATATATTTAAAGCCTTAAGGACGGCGTAGAATATACGGCTCTGGACCACCGTACTAACATGGCAGTAGAAACTACCTAGGTAGATTACCCCCTAAACAGCATCACGTCAAGGAACTAATACATAGTGGGGTTCCGGGGGATGTTTCAAAAATAATTTCACTTCTCAAATTTCTGTTTGGTTGGCGTTTAGTACCCCTATAGGCACATATATAACTAGTGAATAGTTACCATATTAATTTTTTGCTTTCTAATGTTTTCCAATATTTTACTTCTGATGATAGAAGTACGCTAGTGAAACTAGTATAGCTAAAGTGGTGGGAATTCTTATTAAAAGGGGGCACCTTTCGGTCAATCTTAGCCCACAAGTCATTCTTGCTCCCCTTCGTTAAAAAACGTCCCGGACGAGCACCACCATTATCAGCAGAAATTCCTTCAGAGCCCTTTCAACATACGAAAGTTACCACTACGATTTCGTCGCCGTCATGGATCGATTCACCAGTGGCCGGGTGGGTAATGATGATACAGAAGAGCCCGGCAATAACGAGGCATTAGACCATGCTGAGAACTTCAACTCAGCCGCGTCGAGCCAGCAAGCTGAAGCCCCTTGCACAGGTTGCGCAGAATTCTTCGTGGTGCTAGCTCGTACTTCGTGCGAACACCGATACTGCCGCCGATACTTCAGCCAACTTGTCCAGGCATCTCTACAGGACCACACCGCGTTCCCGCCACTATGTTGTGGGCACCTAATACCGCTGGACAACGACAACAATTTGGAATTTCTCGATGCCGGCACAGTTTCCCGTCTTCACGGAAGGACCCATGAGTCCCTCATGCCGAACCCGATCTATTGTCATAATACCGGTTGCCATCTATTCATAACACCCGAAAACAATGACAATAACCAACGAGTGGCCACATGTGGCACATGCAGGCAAAGTACCTGTCTGACATGTAAGGGCGCCGCCCACGAAGGTAACTGTCCAAGCGACGAGCAGCTGGAAGAAACAATGGAGTTGGGCAGAGAGCAGGGCTGGCAGCAGTGCCCAGGTTGCTCTGCGATGGTTGAAAAGACCGGGGGCTGTAATCATATTACGTAAGTTTCGGAATTACGTTGAAGGTGTGCACGTATTCTAACCTTCTATAGCTGCCGATGTCGCCACGAGTTCTGTTATATTTGCGGCGCTCCGTGGAAGACTTGCGGCTGTGACCAATTCGACACAGCCGAAGCCAACGTCCAGCCCCCAGCCTTACCCCCTTTCAACCACGGCCTTAGACACGCCGTGATTCACCACCCAGACCTCGACATCCATGAAAACTGGGTTAGAGTAACGCCCGGCGATCGTGCGCGGCAGTACGAGGCTGAATTCGGGGGCGGACTAGCCCAGCAACCGGCGGGGCACGGACCGGACCATGCTGAAGACGATCGTCACGTACAGGCTCCATGGGAGGAACCGAATCCACCGGGAGCAAACGTGGAAGAAGGTGAATGCATGCATGGCCGCTGGATTGAGCGGCGTCAGCCGGCTCGTTGCCACTTTTGCCGACGGCGGATGACCTAGTTCATCTTCCAATGTCGTTATTGTCGGGTATTGGCTTGTCTCCGGTGTCGAGACCATCGGATGTAAGTCGTGAGTGCTGGGAACAAATATATACGGCCGGGACAGGATAGGGGTACATATCTAATTATATACAACGTTTCTAAGGATATAGGATGAAAAGGAAAGGGGATAAAGCTCAGAGACAAACCGTAGCTGACGTAGGTAGCTACATTATACAAAACTAACCATTTTATTAATGAGGCTGATCGTGATTTGGATCGACTAAGACGTGAAAAGATTAGGTACCTAAGTAGATAGCATTTATACCCAGGATTTACGAAGCGTAGTAAAGAAATTCTAAGGAGGTAGATAATAGATTGTGAGAAATTGATCTGGTTAATGAAAACGGTACCGCCCGTGCCAAGATTATACTAGTTTTAAAATGGTAATGATTGACGATGCCTGAAGCCGAGCCGATACACGGCATATTTCAAAATCCCGATTCGCCAGCACGCCATACAACGATAACGCCTATCTCCCACCTATGTCTACACTGATTTGTCTCTTATGTTTGCTCGTGGTTGAAATATGAAGGGGACTCTTGGATTCTATATATCTAGCTTATCTAGAGTCGAAACGGGCATAGAGGAATAGCAAATCATAAAATGGCGGACCTCTCTTCTCTGCTCGAAGCTCGTTACGGCACTACTAGTAGCGGTAGCGCTGCTCCTCCAGCAGCCTCTATCGCCGCGAATCTAACACTCCAAACTCTGCTGCAGCATAAATCCGTCCGCAGTTTTCTGCCTGACCCCCTAGACCCAGGCACCCTTGAGATCCTTACGGCTGCAGCACAAAGCGCCGCTACGTCATCTAATCTGCAAACCTGGAGCGCCATCGCCATCACCACACCGTCTCTGAAATCTCAAGCCGCTACACTATGCGGAGATCAAGCATTCATCCGCGCTGCGCCGCTTTTCATCATCTTCTGCGCGGACCTTGCACGTCTGACCACCACATGCGCACAACACGGCACCCCCGGGACAGGTCTCCAATTCCTCGAAATGTACACCATGGCCGCAATCGATGCATCACTTGCCGCGCAGAATGCGACCGTAGCCGCCGAATCCCTCGGGCTGGGAGCGTGTTACGTGGGCGCGGCGCGCAATCGGCCGAGGGAGCTAGCTTCCCTACTCTCATTGCCACCGCGTGTAGTCGCACTATTCGGGTTGGCGGTAGGACGACCAGACCCGGGAGCGCCGCCGGCGACGGTCAAACCGCGGCTCGCGCAGGATGAAGTGGTGCGTCGGGAGACGTGGGGGCAGACTGACGAGTCGCAGCAGAAAAAGGGGGCGGCAAACCTCGCAGCATACGATGAGGCGCTAGCTGATTTCAATACGAAGCAGGGACGCGGCGATGCGCCGGCATGGACTTATCGATCAGCTCACCGTATAGCAACGGTAGAGTCGCTGCACGGAAGGGACATCTTCCGTGAGGTGCTAGAAGAGCGAGGCTTTAAGCTTCGGTAGGATATACACTGGCTAAAACGAGGTTAGTAAGCTATAGTACCCAATATATAGATTCTCTAGATAGATTCTTAGCAATATTCATAATCTACCTACCCACTTAGGTATGTTGGGGAATTATCCTTAACATGCTAAACTTCCGAGCTCTGCGTAGGTACATGTACTGTACCTATTACCCCTCACTGGAGGTGTGCGGGGTTGTTGTAAGGGCTTACAACGCTAGAATACACTATAAATATAGTAAAATACAGCACATGGATCACCAATCAGACCAATTAATCACATTCACTGCACTGTAATTATAACGATTTGTAGCAGACCCTGACGTCTACAGACCTTGTCAATAACTAGACCATTTTAAACGTTATAGATAGGGCTTCTTTTTTTTCCTTCTTTTTTTCTTTTAAAATAAATTATTAAATCATAAAACAGCCGGCAATTAAAGTTATATAAATGGAAAAGTAAACTAATCTACCACCTAGGTGACTACTACCGTAGTAAAAGTATTTATTATTTCCAAATCCGTAAATTTCTTAAAGCCTGATTGGATTGTTTATTAAGAGAAGGTTTAAGATATATGCACTATAGCTCACTGTGACGAACCTATACCTCGGTAAGGTATAATCGTTACTGAATTGGCTAATCCAGAGTGTCTTGATTTGAAGGTAATAATATCAATAGTAAGTCAAGTGCTCAAGTAAGTTCTATTCATCAAAGAGGCTTGGAATCCTCTCACTATGTCCCAAAGAATAGTCTTAGATTAATAACTAAAAAGCTATAAAAGAGTGACTAGATACATAGGAAATGCCCGTGATTATATAGTTATCCCTCCTTCCTTTCTTCCCAGTATCTGAGGTTATCGTGATATGTTATGATGTGCCACATCACAACACATCAGGATATGTTACGATATGTTAGATCTCAACACATCAATCCAGAGTTTAACCATGATAGGTTATCGATACTCCATTTTTGTGGTCTCAACAAGGGTCGCCCGTGGGCTGGTTTGTGACACTCACTATATTTATGGTTAAATGTGGCCCCACAGCCCCTATAATTCAGCATGTCCCTCTCCCTGTAAAATTAAGGGGTTGGTGTGCCTATGACCGCGCGCGATGTAAACTGGACAATTTTATGAAATACTGGGCGAATATAGCTAACAGTAGTAATCAATTATCGACTATTTCGTATTTCGCTTCGTAATATACCTACCTAGGTAGGCATCGTCAAGTTTTACCAAACGTGTCCGCCGCAGTTTCGGGGTTCTGAAGTTTTTCTTTAAGGAGCTTGTATTTGGCGTGCCATTCCTCATCCAAACCTGGCAATGGATCTAGCCCTGCCTTCGCTAAATCACCGTTTACCCAATCCAGGACCTTCTCGATATAGGCGTCCTCGGCCGCGTACATACTGTGAAATCTATCTCCAGGTTGAAACTTCGCCTTTCTTTCCCTATGTTCTTCCCTCATCACAGACTTGGAAGGAAGCCGAGCTTGCCCCGCTAAAACTTTGGTTGCGACCTGAGCCTGGAAGTCGAATAACGAAAACGTTGAGACCAAATGCGAAACACCTATAAAAACGAGCGATGGGTCGGGAATGTAGAAGATGTCCTTGTGTAGGTTGTGTGTAATGTATCCGTCGGAAGTTATGAGCACCTTGTCATCAGCATCCTCCCAGGGAATCGAAGGCTGCTGCAAACCCCCTAAAAATGGATAGGAGGTGATGTACCCAGTTGCAACAATCACATGGTCAATGCCATCCAAGACCGTGCCGTCTTCGACCACGACCTTTCCGGGTATCGCCTTATCAGACCCTAGAGAGTTAGAAGTTACATCCTTTGCTGTCTCATCAAGGACAAAATCCTTAACCATCCCTACTCTCAGAGAGCCCTCAGGTAGACGCGATGCAAGTACGTCGTATTTACTTTCTCGTCTGCTTTGAATTATCTTGGCCCCTAACGGCGCTGTCTCTCTTGCGATGTCTAAAGCTGACACTCCAGCACCAATTAGAAGAATAGTCTTGTTGCTGAAAGGAACAGGGGTTCGATATCGCTTCGAATGTGTGACACGGTCGGGAAAGCGTTGTTTCCATGTGGCTAACCCGGAGACATCCGGGACAAATGGGACGTGATAGTGCCCACTTGCTACTACGACCGAATCAAATTTCCATGACTTCTTGTTTAGTGTATGGCCCGATGTGGTCCTCGAGAATGTGCTTGTTCTAACGGTCCACTTGTCGTCGCCATCAGGTTTTGATACACTCTCTACTCGGGTGTAAAAAAGCACTTTCTCGTAAACATTACGAATCCGGGCAATATCCTCAATGTAATGATGAACCACTTTTTGATCCACGAAGTCTTCACTGCCTTCCGGCCATCGTAGTAAACTGCTTCGCATCACAGGGGTTGGAATGTTGTTTTTCAAGCCCGCATAGCTAGAAATATGTTAGTCCTCTATGCAGCCCCCTGAACGGAACCCCGCCCCTCAAATTCAAAGAGACATGAGTCCCCAGTGTAAATCTTCTGCGAAGTCAAAGGGGGTAAAGTTTTGAATCCAATGTTACACGTACCATGGGTTAGGCGGAGCATGTAGAAGGGCCACTTCATCCGCTGTTAACCCTTCCTTCTCAACCTCATTCCAGTTTGGGTCTGGAGGTCGAACGTTAGGGAAAGGTGGATCCCTATCAGACTGAGGCTCGTAGTCCCACTATAATGACGAAAGTCAATACTTGTCTCCCGACCGAAACCAATTCAATTGAGAAATTCCGAGCTATAAGTCAAAGGAAGGAGAGGATGGAATCTGATGTTACCCACCACACCTCCTATTGCTCCAGTCCGCTCGAATACTGTGACGTTAAGCCCAGCTCGAATGAGATGTGCTGCCGAAACGACGCCGCTAATTCCAGCACCAATCACAGCTACGTCCTGTATATGACCGAGAGACGTCGCTTCACTAGCGTTACGATCACTGGTTAAGGAGCCCATTTGCACCGTATGATATGAGTGGGTGAAGCAGCCTAGCGTCAGGGGGATTGCACAATGTACGGAGATGAATATTAACAGGATCTATAAAATGCTATTATGGGATACAAGCTGGGAGGTTTGCCTCGGGACGTCTTATCTTACCTAGGCGCTTTCTCGATGATCTAGTGCTGCTTAGAAATCGTAACATTCCTAAGATTGAACCATATGCTACATCGATTGCGTGCTTTATACCTAGGCCCGGGCTAATGCAGAAAGACCATAAGATAGACATACGATTAAACGAAAAGCCGGAGATAATGCTATCTAAACCAACAGTTGTGTTCTCAAGGCAAGGGAGAGAATATGATGTATTAAACTTATCAGAGAATTAGACTATAGACTTATTATTTTAGGTATATTTATTCTGGGCTTGCCAGCCGAGCTTTTCTGGCGCGTTCTCTATGATGTAGAACGCGTATTGCAAGAGAAGTAACAATAAGACCAGCAGCAATGAATACCATGGTAATAAACCCCTTGTGGTACCGCGGTGCTTCAACTTGCTGCCAAATAAGTAATGGGAGCCATGCCTGGACGACGTATGCCATCTCATTCATGGATGCTACCACCAAAGCTCGCTCCTCATTATCATCGCTGCATATTTCATGGGCCCAGGCAAACGTCAGCCCGCTGATTCCCCCACCAATCGACCCAATGATGTAGCATGCCCACTTCCAACCAAGAGGTATATCCCAGACAGCAAGACTTGTGTTGGTGATGATATTCACAACACCCGAAAATACCATAGGTGGCCACCGCGCGCCCTTAAATAGGGAATCGGATGTCCACGCATATATGTATGTAAATATTACCGCCAAAGCCGCAGCGATCGTCGGATATGAGTTAATTGCAGCGATACTGTAACCCTCCTGCTTCAGCCAAAGTGCGAAGGCCGGCTGTCCACCATAACCAGACCCATTATTAAAGCAGATATATAGAATAACTAAGGCGTATATATGCCAAGACGTGAAAATCTTGCGAAACTTGGCTTTTGTGTATGGACCCCTATTAGCCCGGCCTTCGAACTGCATTCGCTTCTTCGCCAATGTTATCTCGTCCTTTGTTAGCCACCAAGCGTGAGTAATCTCGGGAACGTCAGGGAAAAAGAAGAATCCCGCTATAGCCACCGGGAGGGAGATCACGGTATTAACGATGAAAAGCCACTGCCAGCCTTTATAGCCGTTTTTGCCGTCAAGTGTGTAAACTGCGGTCATCAGGTAGCCGGAGAACATGGTGCCTATCGTACCACTAGCATGAAAGATACAGCTCCTCTTTGCGAGCTCGTCTTTTCGATCTGCTGAAAGTTAGCAATCGATTCAGGAACTCAAGACTTAACTAGGGCTCGCGTTTTGGTGTAGGAGAACAGAAGCTCTAGTAGTGAATAACGTACTATAAAAATGTCAGCCTCCAGATCATAAATAAGGAGAATCCACATACCACCAACTGCCAATGATATATTGCATCCCAGGATAGAATCCGCTCTCCGCGAGCCCAACGAAAAGCCTCACGACGTATATTTGCTTTGCTGTTTGGCATCTTGAAAGCAAGATCGTCAAAACGCTCCATACCAGTTCGCACGCAGGGATCCAGAGCGAAGGACGTACTCGGGTCAACAACAGATTACTACTGCCATTAGCGATGAGAAAACTCCAGACAGCTAGATTTATGGCCGACCTTGGTATCTCTCCTAACACGTAGCCTATCGTCCAACAAGTTACCATATAATTCAGTTCGTTTCCGTTCAGCTGCAATTCTTCCTTTAAACCCGAAACATAGGCCGAGCTTATATTAATCTGGTCCAAATATTTGATAAAATAGCCGAACGAAGCGAATGAGAGAATCACCGCGTCTAGTTTGAACAAGAACCGTCTCTCCTCTGGTGACTTGTCGAACGTATCCCAGAAATATGACTTCCACGTCTGCTTCGGCTTCTCGACTACTTGTACTTTATCGGCCGCGTCGCTATCAACTTCAGCTGCCCGAGCAGTCGAATTTATCTCCTTATTTGCCATTTCACGTCGCTTTTACCAATTCGGATGAATTGATGAATACCAAGATACTCGAGGTGCATAAATGTTTCCTAGGGTGCTCCTACCTTTAAAAAGAAAAAGCTGACCCTGGAAGGGGCTTTGCAAGGGGTTACTTCCGCTTTTCTCTGTGGTGAACAAACAGTCCATCCTACGTCGCGTGGCGTCTCACTGCAGATAGTCCCTTGTTCGAATCGACCCAGGTCTAAAGAGCTATAGTTTTTTATTACCAAGGGGAAAAGCCTAATTCCCCCTACCTAGATAGTATATAGCTAATGTCACAAAGTAGGGTGTTATATGTCTCATAGCAGCGACTCAACATTCGTACGACATACTTTAGCAATGAGGGGATGAACGCCAATGTGTTAGGAGTGAAGAAGGCGAACAAGTCCGAGACGGGGTAGGCGGACAAGGTGGTGATCACCTCAATGGGTGCCCTCATGACGCCATATCCACCCCACAGAAAGCACCGAGGAACGCCACGTTACGCGTCTAACCAGCATTCCAGAAGCAATCCTTCGCACATCATATTTCTCCAATATCGCGAATTGATAAGAGGCCCCAATGACGCTTGCAGTTAATCGCGGGGAACGGTTACTCCTCAGGAGATCCTGCAAGTAATCGTATTGTCACTACCGCTGATGCTGTCTTTGAGCAATTACGGATTACCAATCCTCCCGACCAGGTAATCGAAGCCTTTGCATAGGGATGGAGATGGTGCATTATCTGTCGTCGGATACGGGAGAGATGAGGTCAACAATTCTTCAGGAACCCCGCGCTTCATAGTTGTGCTGGCTTATATATTCCTACTGGGTGTAAGGATGAGGGGTTAGACGTCGAGCTGTACATCGAGCGTAATTTTCAACTGCGAAAATTTTAATAAATCAAACCAGGAAGTCTGAATAGCATTTGGCGAGTGAAAATGGCACCTGCACCAATAGATGAGCGTATTAAGGATGTTGCGGAACCACGCAAGGACACACTTGGCCTACCTGAACCGGCGCTACAGCGCCTAAAGAAAGCCGGAATTGACCTTTCGAATGGGTACCCATACCGCCCGGCAAGGCCACTATACCTTCAGGATGTCTATAACATTAGAAATAAAGAATGGAAGCATGATGACGCCGGAGCACGCGCGGACAAATCGAAGTCCGCGCTTTTCTCAGCTGCCACTAAGGTCACGGACCTTACCACACATATCGGTACTGAAATCGAAGGGCTGCAATTAAAAGACCTTTCGAACCAACAGAGAGACGAATTAGCGTTGCTCATCGCCGAGCGAAGCGTCGTCTTCTTCAGGGACCAAGATCTCTCACCTCAACAGCAGTTAGAACTCGGAAAGTACTATGGAGAAGTCGAAATCCACGTAAGTTCTCATCCGCTTCAATACTCCGCTAGTAACCCTCACTAACCCCACCAAAACAGCCACAAGTCGCGCAAGTCCCAGGCAACCTAGGAGTAACTGTAATCTGGCCAGATCTGCAAGCCACCGAGCGAGCAGCCAACTTCCGAAACCCCGGCGGGGCTTCAAGATGGCACACCGATTTAGTCCACGAGTTACAGCCCGCTGGAATAACTCACTTGCACAACGACACTATACCACCTATCGGCGGCGACACATTATGGGCGAGTGGCTACTCGGCCTACGAAAAATTATCACCGGATTTCCGTAAGATAATCGACGGAAAGCTAGCCGTTTATCGATCGGCGCACTCGTATCTGGACCGGGACCACCCCGAGCTCGGACCGAAGTACATTGAGCGAGTACACCCACTTGTCCGCGTCCACCCGGCCACGGGATGGAAGGCTCTCTGGGTTAACCGCGTCATGACGGATAGAATTGTGGGGTTGGACCGCAGCGAAAGCGATCTTATCCTAAATTATCTGTATGATGTTTATGAGAGCAATGTCGATATCCAGGTTCGGTTTCGGTGGACGCCGAACACTAGCGCTCTCTGGGATAACAGGTAAGATAGGCCGAGACTGTGCTAATGAGTTCACACTAACCCGTATTTTTCTATAGAATCACCATACATAACGCAAGCTGGGACTATGGGGGGAAATACCCAAGGCACGGAACGCGAGTCACATCTCTAGCTGAGAAACCTTATTTCGACCCAAGTGCTCCAACTCGGCGTGAGGCTCTCGGACTCCTGGATGAGAGTGAGAAGCAGCTAGATGGGCCGGCTTAATAGGTGCTGCGATTATAAAAAATCCGAATATTAGTTATCTAATAAAGTACACTCATAGGCATGTCAGCGTCCATCTCTAAGGGGATACATGGTCATATATATATTCGTCTCTATCATGGTATACTCTACACCTAGCTAGCTCCTTAAGCAAATGAAATGGTCCAATCAGTGCCAATTCCGGCACCAATTCCTCTTACGATCGCATATGCATTTTTGCCGTCTTCGGTCTTGTGGTAGTCGAGAGGTGCCGTGGTCTTCTTACCCTCGGACTCAACCACTACCTCCTTCTTACTAGCCCAAGATGAGGGCGCCCCAACAATGATGATCTTGTCGACAGAAACACCGCGCATGCGCTTCAACCATTCTCCTTCCTTAATGCTCTTGACGTCACGGCCTTCCGCCTCTGTAGAAGCAAGTGTCGAACCCTCAAGCTTAAACTTGCGATGGATGTACTGACCCTTCTCGTAGTCAAAAGAGTCACCGTCATCGACGTAAAGTTCTCCTTCCGCATCACCCTTCTTGCTAACTGCTACGACAAGGGTGTAGTCATCGAACTTCATCAGTTGGGAAGAGCGACGCGGGGTATCTCGGCGAGGGAAGATGTGTCCACCGCGGAGTAGAAGGGGTATAGACTCGAGAGGAGCGTCAACAGTCAGGTGCTTGCCCTTAGATGTGGCGAGCTTCTTGTAATTGAAGTAGTCGTAGTAAACCTCGTCATCGGGGATGTAAATGTCAGCAGTGGTCTTGTCCTTCTCCACAACCGGCTTAACGAGAAGACCAGTCGATCCAACGAAGAATTGGTCGTCAATGTCAAAGCCACCTTCTTCGCTTGGGTGGGTCCAATATAGAGGACGGATGATGGGGCTACCATCCTTGTTGGCATGATAAAAGGCGGTATACCAAGCCGGGAGGAGACTGTAGCGGAGACGCAAAGCAGACGTGATGATGGATCGATGTGGCTCGGCAAGTAGGAAAGGCTCTCGGCGACGAGCATCGATGTGAGCGTGTCCTCGGAAAAAGGGATAGAAAGCGCCGGCTTGGTACCAACGGCTTTGTAACTCCAATTCCGGGTTGCCGAAAAATCCACCAACATCAGCACCGGCAAAGGGGAAACCCGAAATTCCTTGGGCTAGGATCATGGGAATAGCTGCTCCAAGGTGCTCCCAGCTAGCTTGGTTGTCACCGGTCCACATTGCACCAAGACGTTGCGAGCCAGCGTAGAAAGACCTGGTGAGTACGAACGGACGTCGCAATTCGCCTTTCTTTCGAGAGAGCATGGCTTCAAACGTAGCATTGTGGAAAGTCAATCCATTTACGTTGTGAACATCTCGATGTTCCCAGTTGCCATGATGAAGATTGTCCTTCGGCATAGTAACTTCCGGACCATTAAATACTGAGGGTTCGTTCATATCATTCCAGATGAAAGTATTCTCCATCGAACCCTTGAATCTGTCATAATTGAATAGAGATGACCACCACTTAATAGCAGCCGGGCTGAAGGCGTCGATCCAATAGGAAGACCCTGGCCAACACCAACCATCGAAGTCGTTGCCATCTTTGTTCTTCACGGCCAGACCCTTCGACTTCAGTTCGTCGGAAACGTGGTAGCCCGCCACGTTTTTGATGTGCGGGTCAATGATCGCAACTAGCTTCCTTCCGTGGACATCCAAGTGTTTACCCATACCGATCGGATCCTTGAACATGTCGTTATCCCAAGTAAAATACTTCCTGTCGTCGGTATATTCGATGTCTAACCAGATGACATCATATGGAATCTTGTATCGATCCATTTTGCGGTCAACCTCCTTAACATCATCGTCAGACACATAGTTCCATCGGCACTGGTGGTAACCGAGGGAAAATTCTTGGGGCATGGCAGTGGTCCCCGTAAGCTCACCGTAGCTCTTGGTGATATCACGAGGAGTTGGACCGAGGAAGACGAAAACATCCATCAAACCGGACTCCGAAATCCAGTGAGTTTGAGTGTTGGTCTTGGCCCCTCCAACACTAAGCGCCAAGGGATTCTTGGATTCCTTAGCCTTGGTAATATCGACCCAAGTTTCGGCAGTGTTAAGCCAGAACACGCCAACCGTCGAATCTTTTCGTTGAGCTTGCATAAGGGGAATGGCGCCGTACAAGGTCATTGGGCTGTCCAAAACATACTCAAACACATCTGAGTTGTATAACCTGTATGGTTCCGAATATTTGCCCTCGCCGCCGCGAGTCTCCTTCAACGACAAGGGACCAGCATGTTCTGGAATTCCATAGACGTGCTCATAACCCAAAAAGGTAATGTCGAGAGCAACACTCTCAGGTCCACGCGGCTTGGAATCTGTGTTACCACCAAAGGTCTCCTCCCACCAGGTGCTTTCATCTGCAGACGCAGGTACCTCGGGAGCTTCCTCTTTCTTTTCTTCCTGTCCCTCCTCGCCTCCTTTTTTCTCTGGTTCTGGTTTCTCAATCTTCGGTCGCCAGTGCTCCAAGTTCATTAAGCCGCGATCGTTAAGTCTGATATGTGTAGCACCATCTCGCTTGAACTCAATCGAATAAGGTTCGTAGTTGATATCGGCTTCGAACGCAGAGTCGGGACCATATTGAATTTTGATGCCAGTCTCGCTTTCGTGAGCAACTTTAGCGTTTTTGTCAACCTCTAAACCACCAACGATAGCCCATTTTTCAGCTTCATTGTATCTTTCTGGTCGAGCTCCACTGTTATGCCTAAGTTCAATGTCCTTCTCTTGCCTCCTTTGCTCGTCGACCGTAACACGTGCCGTACCGGATTTCAAGAAGGATACGGTGATGGGAAGTCGAACAGTGTTTCCTTGTTCGTCGATGGTTTTAAGTATTATGGCATTGAATTGACCATCCTTGAATGAGGCCAGCCCGGGAACGATCTTGTAGGGTGCTTGCCAGGATGATCCTAGGGCAACAGCATTGTCGGCATAAGCTCTATTTCTCTTACAGAAACCAGACTGATCGCATTTCTTGAAATCGTTTTCCTTGACCGCCACTATAATAAATTAGTTTAAATCTACGAGTTTGAATCTACAGGATTCATTGATATTAAGAATAAAATATGTACCTGCTGGTGTGAATAGAGAACACAGGATTGTGAAGAGACACAAGAAGACTGCCCATCTTGGGGACAGCTGGCTGGTACCAGCACCGGCCATGTTGTATCCCTTGGCACGAAGCCGTTTAATAGGATGATTGTCAACAATAGTAAGGGGTGAAATCAAAATAAAGATTAAAACAAATCATTGAACTACATCAACATAAATCATTAGCTTGTTTTTGTACAATTGCTTCGCAAAATCGCAAGCAATTGATATAAGGTATAATGGTGGTTTATAGTTGAAGGAAGAGAAGCCAGAGTGACTTAATGCTAGCTGTCCCATTTGAAAAAAGTTACGAGATAGGTACAAGCTAAGCTTCCCTAAGGCCTCAGTTCGTTTCCACCGAATTTAGCCTGTCAGCCACACACCAGGGGTTGCCCTTTAAATGTTGCCGGTTGCCCCACCATCAGCTTCTTTACTAGCCACGATACCAATACGATATGCGATGCTGTTTTTATTCGAAATGATTTTCTTGCTAAACGACGACTTATTCGTACATGTAGATATTATCTATTTTGAAGTGGTCAAATGTGAGTTACCCGGAAATTTACATACGTCACAGATAAATAAACAACAACCAAAACTGTTGCATAGGAGCTGCATTACTCAAAGTCTATTACCAGAAGTTTCTCCTTTTTATCTATCACAACTTTCATAGGCCCAATCACACCGACAAAAATATTGAGATATTTCGTCACTTTTTTTTGCACATCGGAAGAAACATGTTAAAAAATCATTCAAGACAATCACATTATATCACATAGTGTTTTATCTCTACGCAAAAAAGATTTGACAACCAAAAAAAAAAAGTTATTATGCTCCTTAACTTTCTTATTCTTCCTGACGGCCGAGATGTATAAGCCACAGAACGTCCCCCGGCAATTTGGAGGTAGGCGCCACACAGCAGGCCTAACAGGTGCGACAGGTGCGACAGGTCCCGCTGGCATGAGTCCGGAAGGTCCACCCCAAACTCAACCGAGCCAATACAGCCACAGCCACAGCAAGTCCAATCGTCGCCAAGGCCAAGGGCAACAACCCAATAGGAAGTTACTACCCCACCACATCTACCCCGCGCTACTTTTCATAGCAACATCTTCAATTTTTTTCCTGATCTTTCTTTTTCCCTGGAAGATACTGCCACATCGTCAAGGTTGGACTTTTAGTCAGAGTATCAAGCAAGACATAGAGAATTACAAGGGAGCTGTATCACACATCTTCCCTTCTTCTCCTCCTTCACCTTCTACTATTACAGTTACTTCAACACTTTACCTCGAGCCTTCTATCGAACCTACCCAAGTACCAACCAAAGAAGCGGTACCAATCCCAGAACCCAAGATGTCGACTGAACAGACGTGAGTATTCCATTATAACATAAATACCATTCACAATTATGATATGGGAGAAGCTAATAAGCTATTAACAGCTTCATTGCCATCAAGCCTGATGGTGTCCAGGTATTTCAGTTACTCATCATTTGAAGCTCTCGAATATCGACCTAACCTATGATTCTAGCGTGGCCTCGTTGGTCCCATCATCTCCCGCTTCGAGAGCCGTGGGTGAGTGAACCTACCCATTACCCAATCGACTATCCATATCACAATCTAACATATAGAACAGCTTCAAGCTTGCTGCCATCAAGCTCGTCACCCCCGGCAAGGCCCACCTTGAGAAGCACTGTAAGTTATTGCTAGCTCACCGGCTTCCAACAGCTCAATGAACTAACACAATTACAACAGATGCTGACCTCAAGGACAAGCCTTTCTTCCCCGGTCTAATTGAGTGTATGTCGTCATAGCTACCATTACCACCCGCAGCACAACTAATTTCAAGCTCAGACATGAACTCTGGCCCGATCGTCGCCATGGTCTGGGAAGGTCTTGATGCCGTCAAGACTGGCCGAAGTATGTTCAAATACATCCCCCATTATAGTCACCAAGCTAATTAATTTCTTCACAGCTCTCCTCGGCGCTACCAACCCCCTTGCCTCTGCCCCCGGTACCATCCGTGTAAGTAGACACCGATAGTTCGACCCCTGCACAAGCTCGACCTGTACTGACATTGTGTTAAAAGGGTGACTTCGCTCTCCAAACCGGCCGCAACGTCTGCCACGGCTCCGACAGCGTCGAGAACGCCAAGAAGGAGATTGCCCTATGGTTCCAGGAGGGTGACGTCGTCAGCTGGGAGAGCGCCCAGGCCAAGTGGATCTACGAGTAAGCCGGACTAAACGGTTGCAAATATTCGTATGACCTAAGACTACCCACCTCGATCTACCTAGCCTGGACAAGATATGGGGTTATGTGATAGGTACAAACAAAAACTGCATACTATGATAAATCAAGAATCATAAACAAGATATGGCTTATGCCTTACGATGATGTGAAATTCATTGGGGTTATTATATTCTCAGCTGCGTTTCTTCCATATCGAACGCCTAACAGCTACCAATCCTCTCGCTAGCCAAGGGGTCGCCCATAAGCTCAATGCTATCCTAGGTATAAACAACATTTTCGTAATCGCATAGGCAGCTGCGATCTGTATACCAATTTTATACCCCTTCTCCGTATTATCAATAGTGGCAGCTTTTTTAACCTTTCCCCAAGCTTTAGCGCTCTTGCTCTCCTCCGCTCCACCTTCACTTCCAGCACCATTAACAACAGTATCCTCCTTCCTCCCAAAACCAAACCACCCCCTCCCCTTCCCATCTTCCTCCTTAACCCTCTCCCTCTCAACCTCCTCCCTCAACCTAACCTCCAACTTCTCCTCCCCCTCCTTTCCGCCATCCTCCCCCATACCAAACCACCCCCTCTTCCTAAACCAGCGCGCATATCTCTTCAACCCCTCCTCAGCCCAAGCCGCCCAGGGGCCTAGGACCCAAGATGTGGGCACCCATTCCATACTGTAGAATAGGTATGCTAGTCCGAATAAGGGTAGAATCGCGGTAGCTTCGTGTAGGACTAGGAAGGCAGCGACGTGGGAGAAGGGAGCGGACCGTAGTCGGGAGAGGTGGGCGTGTAGGCGTTTTGGGACCCAGCGGCTTGCGCGGTTGAGGATTGCGTCGGCGCGTTGGGTTTGCCGGGTTGTGGAGGGGTCGGGTGAGGGGGTTGGTTTGGTGGATTGTAAACGGTGGTTTCGCGGGCGGGGGACGCGACTGCGAAGGAGAGAGTTGGAGAGGGTAGAGAGGCGAGGAGGTCGTGAGGGTGTGGTTGTTGACGTGGGGAAGGTCGAGAAGAGGCGGGCTTGCCAGCGCCAGGGTGCGCGGCTGGCGGACATTTTCGAGGTTGCCGCCTCAGCGGTTTGTTCGTAGTCCTATAACTCTAATTAAAGGCCAAGAAAGAAATAGCTGTGCAATCAATTGTTATAAATACCTAGGTAGGTGAATATGCAGTAGGTATGCCGAAATATGGGAATGTGAAGAATTTCAGAGCGGAATGTTAGCGTCTTAAATCTATAGAATTAAGAAATTCCAAGCGTCCATGGATTATTTCAAGGTGGAGAGCTCAAGCTCAGCGATGTGGGGCACAGGAATGACGACTTCTATTTCGCATCCTGGTAGAAAGAAGATTACAGTAGAGAAATATCAAAGAATTATAGATAAACAGTCAAGAAACAAATGGATAAATATAGGAAAAGGAAATAGGAGCACATGGCGGTCGTGAGGTTTCAGTTGATATTTTTCTTCTCTTCAGCCCTAAATGTAAGACACAGCGCTATAAAGATCACTATGGAAATTGCGCACCGAGTCCCTTAACCAGCATACTCTCAGGCTGTAGACCCTTACCCTCCTTTAATACACCCGCCTTTCGCAAAATATCGACGCAAGTCTGGATAACTTTGACGTCGACACCTTCAGTTTTAGTAGCGAATTCCACCGTGCGCAACCACTCTCGCGCATCCGCTTCCGAATAATCCAACTCGGTGCTAATATACTTAACAGCTTCATCATGATGCGCCCGGAAATAGCTTACACCCTCATCAAGCTTCTTAAACAAATCCAGTAGTCTCTCATCCGGTTTCTGACCCGGCAGCAACGCCGTCGAAGCCACGATCTTCCAACTACTCCACGGCGTATAAATCTCGCCAACCCGTCGAATCTCCCCATTATCGTAGTACCGCTTCGACGTGAAATGCTCCCACATGAAGAAATCCGCCGTTCCGTCATTTACCGCATTCCGCAAGTTCGCGAAATTCTGCAGCACTACGAAGTCGGCGTACGGCGAAGCACCAGGGGTCAACCAGCCCTGTTGATCCGCGAGCACGTACCCCATCACCTGGCTACCGGAGCCGAGACGTGAGATGCCGATTTTGGATCCCTTGAGGGAGGATACGGATGTAATCTCGGGCCGTTTGGCACCGGTTGAGATTGCCCAGCCTGTGGTTTGTTAATAGAACTGATGCTTATAGCGTAGAAGTAATCGCGGGGATGTACAGAGAGGTGTCTCAACGTAAGTCCCGACGATACGGTACCCCCCGTCACCAGGGGTATCTTCCTTGCCTAGACCCGCGACCCAAGCTTCCGTGAGGCCGATGCCAACGTCGATTTCGCCGGACCGGATGGCCGTGATCATGTGGCCAGTGCCGGATGGGAACGGGACCAGCTTAGCTGTCAGACCGAAGTACTTCTGCGCAAAATAAAGTGGTGTGGAGAAGTGCTCCGGCACAAAGCCGATCCGAAGGGGTTGAGAAGAATCTGCCATGGTGACTATTTCCGATTAAACACGCTACTAAGCACTACTTGAAAATGGACGAGTAAAATTGCCGACGGGCCTTAGTTAGTTGAATAAGGGAGAAATAAATCTCGGTGGTCAAAGATGGGAAACAAACAGCGCATAGCGGTTACGTCTTTGACACATCAGATCGGCAATTACGTGCAGCTACAGCGGGTATGCGCGGCACTACAGCAGATCCAGACCACTGTGGGGCAACAGAAAGCTTCACAGGAAGAGTCAATTCGCAAACGATCATATCATCACTTGGCAAATATCCGAAGGAAGATGTATATTCAATTACCTAAATGCGTCAGCCATGAATCCGAATGGGAGTTAATGGATAGAGCAGTAGAAGAATACAGTCCCGAATATAATTGAACAAATATAAAATAGGTCTCCTACATGTAGGTATATTTCTAGGGGTATTATTCAAATCCTTCCCGTTTGAGGTTATTCCTAGTCGTATATATGGCAGTCCCTCTAGAATCGTGGCGATTGACTCCATAACGTATTTCGAAACTGCGCTCATCTTTTCCCGTTCCCCAATATAGGCCGATCTCTCAAAATGATTTTTAAAGTTCTTATACGGCTCCTTTAGCTTGTAGGTAGCCATGTACAATGATGGAGATATCACAGGATTCTGTCTGTCCTGGGGATTTTTAAAGTACAATATTCGAAGCTTATAAGTAGCTTATAGACGATTAAATGAGCGAGTATTTAGGCATGGAGCTTTGTCGCCATAACCCTTACTTTACAGCAGACTGCACCTCCGAGGATAAACTCCGAGGTGACACTGCGCCAGGAGTATTCATTGTACTCGGAACCAGCTTCATTGTTGGTTGTTGGTGGATACTTCGCCGATCTGTCGTCCATCACACGACTTGCTATGCAAAGTTATACGACGTTGGTGATTCAAGAAGCGCAGCCAACAGTACTTTATGTAGATAGTATATCCACCCAGGTATCTGCATGAGACGAGATGAAATATACCTAGGTAGAGAAGAAGATGAAGAAAAAGAAGACGATGATGATGAAGGGTATCATTGTATAATGCAAGAAACTTCCATGCCGCTGTAGAAACATCGTGTATGCAAATCTCACCTAGAAATGACACCACTGAAGCGATATTCGGCAAAGGCCCAACCCTTAGCAGTCGCAATGCAAGGGGTTGCCATCCCTTTGCGGAATCCCCCCGCGTTTCTAATATTGCCATGCTGCCCTTACCCATCGTGCGTGCACCCTCCCCTAGTAACAATATAGCAGGTCTATCATACGATGAGATGGACGCTTATTACGACCGCCAGTGCTTACCCAAGCAATATACATTTTAGGTTAATGTTCTGTTACTGATATGGTCATGTATACTTACATAAATTGCCTCTTTAGGATCTTTAGGTGGTATTATTCGGACGGTCGACGGAGAACGGCCATCTTCACCGACGGAGGGTAGCTAGACTCCGATCTAATATTCGGAACATTGCCCTATCTCAGGACCAGGCCCTCGGGAACCACCCCACTGGAGCCAAGACTTCTGAAGTGAGCCGTTCCTGAAACAGAGCTATGATAGGACATTTATACGTTTTACAAAAGGACCATGCCGCATTTATTGTCGGCTTTTGTATTACGACGACTCTCGCAATATATCTGAAGCCTACCTTACCAAGATTAGCAAGGCAAAAACCGAGACGTAACTTGGGGGTCAATCTCCCCAGGAACTTTTGAAACGAACCCGCCAATAATGAATAACAGTGTCTCCCGAAACAGGTAATCAGGGGGCTACGATAGCTGTATTTAAATCGCTAAGGTCCACTTCTAGTATGATTGATTGGATGCATTGTCCTTTTGTGAAAGCCACAGCGGCTTACTTACAGGCTGGTTAGAGAATACCCAGTGCCCGGTTTGTAAGTACAGTACCTGACTCCTAGGTACCTTAGGACGTAAGGGACGCGCAAGTAAGGGATTTTTGCCATAATAAAAAACCAACCGAAGTACAAAAATATGATCTAATCAAATCCCCAAAAGAACCCGAGATGTACTCATGCGCTAGATTTAAAGAAATGCCCTCGGCGCATTCTTTCTTTGTTTTATTTATTTCACCTTTTTGCTTTTCTTCTCTTATTTTTTTCGCCGATAATGGTTGAGTGGATTCAATATTGGTAGCGATCTAGATTTGGATTGAATTGATATTTGAAAACAAGTTAAAGTGGGAAATCATGTCCGAGAAAGGAACCGTCCTTATTACGGGTCTTACCGGCTTCCTTGCCGGTCGAGTTGCCGAAGCTGCTTTGAAAACCGGATATAATGTGCGCGGCACAGTCCGTGATTTGGAAGCCGGAGCTGAGATACGGAAAGCGTTGTTGGAGCTAGGCTACAAGGGCGATGTCGAACTTGCGAAAGTCCCCGATATGACGGAGGATGGTGCCTTTGACGAGGCTGTAATCGGTAGGGATACCGACCAGAACATTTTAGTCAAAAATAAAATTAACATTATCTTTTAGGATGCACCGCAATTCTACACCTTGCTGCGCCAGTCCGCGACACATGGACGTTAGAACCACCAGAGGTGCTTCGCCGAGGCGTGAACAGCACAACTGGGCTCCTTGATTCCGCCCTCAATAAAGCAGGCCCGCAACTACAGAGCGTAGTACTTATGGGATCAGCAGCAGCAATTTTCGATGTGCCGCCAAAACCAGGTGTCTACTCGGAGAAGAACTGGAACACGACATCGGAAGCAGCCGTCGCAGAGCTCGGTAAAGACGCTGGTGGTCTGCAGGCATATTGCGCTAGCAAAACCGCAGGAGAGAGGGCATTCTGGAAATTCCGAGAAGAAAAGAAACCAGCGTTTAGTATGACTGCTGTTCAAGCTACGTGAGTTCCCCCGACTTCCACCATAAATAGCTGGCGTTTGGGCTAATTTGTGTTTTAGCTATTTTAACGGGCCACCCCTAGCGCCGTGGAAAAGCAAAGACCAGATCCCATTCTCCCTCGGCACATTCTGGAAAGTACTTCAAGGAGGAGAGATCCCAGGATCATCACTCATGTACGAGGGAACCGTAGACGTTCGAGACACGGCGCGCGTGGTTGTATGGTCGATACTGAATCCCAAGGAAGCCGACGGGGAGCGGTTCCTTTGCGCCGCGGCAACTGGAGGAGCGCAAGCTATCGCTGATATCGTAAATAAGCACATACCCTCGTTAGGCGTAGCGAAGGGGAATCCCGGTCAAGGCTACGATCCTGGGTACCCATCCACAAGTGGCAATATAGCGTTTGATGGGAGCAAAGCTCGGGCGGCGACTGAACAAGATTGGATTCCATTTGAAACATCTGTCCTTGATACTGCGAAGTTCTTGGCGCGATATCTCAAGTAGCAAGGACGCGAGAATGTGGGTGGGTTTCGCTAACACAATTAGTGTGCTGGCCCCCACGACGACGATGAAATAATATGAATATACGAAATCAAGAGAAGATTAAGCAGGCCCAATCCCGTTTTTAATGGATATGCATTGTTCATAATCATGTGTAGGTATAAGTATCGTGATAACCTGGCGAAGTCGCCTCCCTTAGATCTATGATTCCTTCCTCGCTATGCAATCAAGAAAATGAGTCTAGTGAGATTCTTCGTGTACGAAGTCTCGTTTTATCATGAGCGCGCACTATCTAGAGTTCTTATACAACTCCTTCAATTGTAGGTAAACTTCCACTCAGCACAGCCAAGTTTCGGATAAGGTCCTTACAGGCACCATGTCCATTGGCCTCGGCGAGCCGTACCGCTTTACGGCACTGCTGAGTTGGGAACCCAACAATACTCACATTCCAAAGAAATTGTATCATGTCTAGCCGGCCAAACTCAGCAGCGCCTTCAAGTGGGTATCGTCCGTAAAATGCGGCGGGAGGAGCATCAAGCGAAGCCCCGCGATCCAGTAGAAGAGCGGCGATGTTGCAATTTCCGCTCATAGCTGCATATTGCAAAGCCGTCGCGCCCGCAAGATTCGCCGGTTGAGCGTTAATATCAGCCGTCTCTTGTATTAGTAAATTGACGATATCCAGACTACCGACAGCTGCAGCGGCCTGTAAGGGAGTTTGCATAAGTCCGTTCGTAGCATCTTGATTGACGTTTGCGCCACGACGAATAAGAAATTGAACCAAGTCCTTATTTCGTGTTTTTATTGCTGCTAGAAGCGGCGTAATGTAAGCCTGTCTAGAGCGTTCTTTATCGCGTCGTATAATTCCGTTAATGTCGCGACCCACGTTAAGGAATCTCTTGGTTAATGGAAAGTCAAGCCCAGAGCTTGCCGCGTCTTTTTCAATTGCTGTGTTAAAAGGTGCGCAAATAATATCGCCGCTTCTCTCTCTCGTGTCGAGGTTGATCGCTTTACAACTAAGAAGCATGTCTAAAATGTCCATGCTCTCAGGGCTTTGCCTAATTGCTTCTTTTACGGCCTCGGTTCCGTAGAAATTTAGGGCGTTAGCTCGAGACGAAATGTGCTCCAAAAGTATTGGCACCATATGAGGATGTTCCCTTACGGCTAATTCGAGAGCGTCATTATCTATTGGGGATGCTCCATACTTGAGAAGGCGACGAAGCATTGCGATATCGTCTTTTTCAATGGCAATAATCAAATGCGGGCCTAAAGCTCCGACGGAAAGCCGGCTGGACTCATGGAAGTAATTGATCATATCCCAGTTCCCAGATTTTAGGTCTCGAGAAATGTGATCGTTTTTTCCGAATATTTTTAATTTTGGATGGAATGCCATCAATCTTGAGAGAATCGCTTTATTTCCCCGCGTATAAGCTTCGGTTAAGACGGTGCTAGCCTCGTTCGAATAAGTGGCTGTATGTGTGGTTAGATCAAGGAGAAGTTGGACGATTTCTTCTTTTTCGGTTTCGACTGCGGCGGGCAGCAACCGAAATAAGGCCATTATTGATGGACGAGGGAAATCTTCTGAAAATAGGACCTTCAGGTAGTCAAAATTCCCTACTTTAACTGAAGCGGAAACTACAGCTTCGAAACAGCGCTCTTGTCGAGTATTTTCGAGTGCGCCCTCTCTTTCAAGTATTTTAACAAGTTCGCTATCTTCTGCTTCGATTGCCTCAGCTAGTGGCGTTGTTGCAATTTTCATACTAAATCGCTCAATTATTTCCGCTGGGGCCCCGCGAATATCTGGTTTTTTGGCGAGTATGAACTCTCTTAGCTCGCGATTCCCCGACATGATCGCTGCGCTTAGGATTCGAGTCGGGGACTTAACATATTGGAAAAGGGTCTTGACGAGTTGGGCATGACCTCGTCTAGCGCCATTGATGGCTGCCCACTCCATCTCCGTGGGGAAACGGCTTAAGCACTGGTTACACCCAGTTTGCTGACAGTCCGATATGATTTTGTTGATAGCTTTTTCAGCATCATTGCCGTCGATCTCATCAGCGATGTGTGCTAAAATACCGCGTTCTATGAAATCCGAATGATCAGTCGGTGCAGAATGCTGCAAAAGCCTTCGAGCAAGGTCCATTCTAACAAATCTTTTAAGCGCGGCATTGACGCATTGGTATTGGATGCTTGCTCCTGCTTTAACTAGAGCATCAACAGCATCAAGATATTCTGGTGAGAATGTGCTATGATTACGCTCCGCGCCGTCCTCAGGGCAGATCGCCTTAATTAAACATCCCAAAGGGCGCCTTAGGTCCCAGTCGCCAGTGTTGGGAGTGTGCTCGAGATATGTTTGGTTGGGGTCGGGATTGTGCTTTAGTAACTCATGAACCACCTTAAATCCTTGAAGTAAAGCAGCTCGCTCCAGAGGAGTGTACTTTTTGCCCTCGATATGACAGAGTGTACTATTGACGTCTACTAGACCTGTCTGAAGAAAGAATCTGGTTTTTTCATGATCGCATGATTCAATTGCTGCTCGAAATAGGTTCTCGGTAAGACTCTTTGCAACGGGGCTTTTGTTTCCCTTCAAGAAGCGTGATAATAACCAAGTAGCGTTGCTATTGTTGTCGAGAAACCTAAGCGCCGTGGCAATGGGAACATCATTCATTCCAATAAATCCGTTAGCGGCCGAACAGAGAAGAAGTCGGTGGAGTTCAACTTCGGCGGTCGCCTGTAGAGCTCCTGCCATGCCGTTATTCTCACAATCTTGCTGAGCTCCGGGAATGATTGTCTCCAATGTTCGCAACGTAAGTCCGGCACTGTAGAAGTTTTCGCGCAAAGTACGGGCGTTCGTATTCGCCATAACATCAACAGCCTCATTTATAAATAGGGAGCTTAGCTTATGACTTCCGGACAACAGTCGGCAATCTTGCATGGGGGACGGAAGGGCTTTCAGACTCAGGCCTCTCCTCTTGAATTCATTTTCGAGCTGTTCAAATGGTAGATCCTTTAGGGATGGGGTATATAGCGAAAACTGGGCGAGATTACTCGGTCGCTGTGAAAATTTCGTCAATTCTTGGGATGAAGGTGTGACTGGTCCATGGAATACAAACGGCGGCGGAGTTGGACATAATGGTTCGATCAATTCAAAATCCATGGGCTGTGGAAAGAATTGGTCCATCTCGACTGGGAATGGTTCGTTGAATGTAAAGTCATATTCGCTAAACGAAAGTTGAGGGGAGATGTTGTACGGTTCAGAGTATTCCGTAGTTCTGGGGGATTCACCACTCGTGTCATCGGGAGTAAATTTAGCCTCGCTGTCGCTGCTCTCAAGATCCTGTGTTCGGGTGTTAACCTCTTGGAGTTCATTGGTGGAAGTGTCGTTTTCTGTTGCAACAGTGTACGGGGTCCATTCTCCATCCAGGCCTTGGACTTCAATTAAGACATCGCTGGCAGCTTCGTTCTCTATTGAATCTAGCAAGCTTGGCTCCCTTCGACGGCGCTTGCTCTGCGGACGCTCGCCCTTGAGATAACGCTTCGCCCGATGGATCTTGTCCATTGACACAGGGTGACCTGAAATCGATATCCTGTAACTGTTTTGGGGGGAGGACATATGGTCAAGTTTGTCGAAGACGGCTTTCCATTCATGACTTTTCAAGTTCTTACGAACCTTCCAGACCTTGAATTGAGCCTCGAATTGTGAAACGCTGAGCGGATATGGTCAGATTGTTTAAACTCGTAAGCGAAAACGCAGACTTACGTAGCGGAAAATCCATGATCTTCCTTCATAGCCTGAACTAGTTTGGCAGTAGAGTAGTCATCGTTTAGATAGAGATTCAAAATGGTTTCCTTGTGGTGATCCCAACTGTTCTGGGGGATTTTGCGCGTTTTGGTGGCCATGTTTGCTGATGAAGCGTAGGTGCAAGTAAGACTAACTCCAATGCCTAAAGAGAGTGAAATCGGAGAACATCGTTAAGTTGAGAAATGAGAGAATGAAGAAATATCCAATTCTATATACTCATTAGTCGGTGCCAGGTAAATGCATCAGATTGTAATGAATATGGATTTGATTATGCCAAAACCTGCTTCGGATTAAAGCGCACATAGACGGGCAGCTTCATGACCATGGTGAGGCAGCTCTATCGGTTGCCTTCCATCTACTCCTTTACCCCTAATACGGTAGCGCAGTAAGCGCAGCCTAACCAGGTTTTGTCGGTCGACACACGCTGTACACAGCCTCGAGGGTTTTGTCACCCAGGTTTTGGCTCCCTGGTTTTGTCACCGAAATCCTACTAGTACCGTGTACTTAATCACGAGCGTATGCATCATGCACCTCCATCCAATCAGAGAAGCCATACCCTTGCGTCTCAGCGGTAGGCTGTGAGAATAGTTTGTCGGCAAGGATATCTCGGAACATGGACAGTAAAGATGATCAATCTAGGACTTCCGAGGTCTTCGTGTAATAATTTGAGATGTTAATCTGTGTTGTTAAATATGCCTTGGCTGAATCCAGAATTTGGTTATATTGTAAAAATAAATAGATCGTACATAGTCGTCCAAAGATTAATTGGGGTATCCGTTCGTAATCATGCTGACTAAAGACGCCAAAGTTAAGTTCCTGACAATCCCTCGCCAAGTCTACCAACCTCAATCCAGACGCAAGGCAGACCGGATAAGTTAGTCACATGACCGCAGTAAGAAATGCGACCGCTACCAAAACTATTCCAAATAAATCGGGCGACTCCGCGACACATCCAGAGTCGCTGTCCTGGGGGTCAACAACCTGCCCCGAAGAAGCAACAACGGTTTGACCAGAAGGATATCTGATATTGTAAACAGGGGCAGACATTAAAGCAGTGGGATCACCAAGTGAGCTCGGACAGCTCGCCTGATTAGCAGCCGGCCAATCAAGCGTACACACCTCGTCGTGACCCCAAGAGCAAGTCGAGTCGAGAATATTATAAAGAACGTAATTCTTAGCGACCCAGCTATCCGGTTGAGCAAGACAGCTTGCTAGAAAATTCATACTATTAGCCGCGCTAAGAGGGAGCTTATTCCCATCCGTGTGGATTAGATCGGAGCAAGCCGAGGCATCCACGTTGGCGTAATTCATCGCGACGGCACCGCCAGCCGTGGGCTTTTTGGTGGCCGAGTAGCCCGTGTATAGATAATTCCAAGCGTCATAACTGACGTCGTGGGCGCCTTGCGATTGATCAACTCGAAGGAGATTTACCGATCGATCCTCATAACTCAGCGATACGCAGATGTTGTTGCAGTCGACGGATCCGGGCCAGTATGCTACCCGATTGGTGTTAATTTTGCAACCGAGTACTCCGATAGAAGAGGAGTAACTGTCGTGAGGCGTTGCCCAGACGGCGCCACTGTCGCCGTTTTCAGCAGTGACGCGCGATGCCGCTCCCAGCCAGAGGAGGAACGCGGAAAATCGGTGCATAATTAATACAATAATGAGTGACTAAAGAGCTAAACTTCAAATAGAATGAATGACTAAAATATGACGTGATTAATTAATTAAATGAGTGACATACCGCGGGCGGCGACGCGACACCCTACGGCGGTAATTTTAGCTAGCTCTGATAAGCCGCCGGCATCACCAGCGCGACAATTTGAATTATTAAAAAAAAATGTTGTTAAAAACATCGTGAAAAACAGAAAAGTCAAAATTGCCAACGCACAGATTAGCTCTCGTAAGATTTCTTCTCGTTAAATGAGTTCCTTCTAATTCCGGTTAGTGCTCGTACCTAGGTATCTTAACCCAAGCCTATTCTGTGGGGGTCTTACCCTCCATGTTCCCCCTTGCTCTCCCCTGCACCTCGCTCCCCCCCTTTTCCATAAGTTGGAGATCATTGGTTGAGAATCTCAGGGTCTTATCGCCCTTATTATGCCATAAAAGCAGGCACACGGGACAGGGTTTTTTGCATGCGGTTACGACCCTGCCACTCAGACCATTCAAGGTTCGCGTAATTGATAAACCACCTGAAAAGTAAGCTTTTCACCATACACGCACGTCGCATGCACGGGTGCGTGCCTTCGGAAGGTACCGGGATACCTATCTAAGGATGATCGTCGTCGCCTCGTCGCCTCATATCCAATGCTTCTAACAACATTAACAATCTGAAAAATGATGGCTGATACATACATACAGATTCTACCAAGTGTAATATTTCTAATTCGCACATGTGCTCGGACTATAAGACATTCTATATTTTCACTAATATACTTAGGTAAGCTTACGGAATGATGATAATGACGAGATGCTTTTAAGAACAGAATTTTATATTGATTATTATCTTCTCCAGACTCTACTATCATAGTGGTTATCTAAGACCTCAATAGGTCTGGTGAAGTAATATTTGCAACATTTACCAAGGGAAATAGAGTCATGTAGGTCGCCGAGGAGAAACGTCATAATGACACCTATAGGTTAGACAAGAAAAATTAATAATATACGGCACACTGCTGAATATGTTGTGTCAGTTCAAATAATACACCACACCAAAAGCATGCAAGTGGATAGTCGGCGAAAATATCGGATCGAATCTTGATGCATGCACAGCTAACAAGTTAATTCCAAGATGATAGGTGACATTCTAGCTGCACGAGAAGCGTTATGGCGGATTTAAGCATGCTGTATGTAATACGGTGGCGTTTTTCCAGTGAAGTTGTTGGCGGACACGATGGTAAATGTAAGAACTTTTTCGAGCACACGGCACAAGAAAAAACAAGCACCTGGACACCGATCGGCACTGGATGCCCTTCCAACGTTAAGCCGAATGAAGGTAGGTTGTGGTTCTCAATTGCGTTCAAGAAAAAATGTCTAAATGTCTTCCAATAGGGTTGTCAGTCTTTCCAGTCTCTCTAAGTTTAATGTCTTGCTCTAGGTATGTTAGTCGACGCCGATACAATGTCGCAAAAATTTCCCTTGATATCCATGAAATCGTGAAGTAAACCAAAAAAACGCCCCTCCCCCAAAAATAAGTAAATAGAAAATGTCGTAAATCCAATAAATCATATGATCGCAGCAGCGTCGGCCTTGTCTCCGTGAAGAACAGGGTTGATGCGCTCGTCGAAGTGCATCTTGAAGTCATCTCCCAATTGCTTCCTCAAAGCTGTCTGTACAGCTTCGAGAACGTTGGGGAAGACACCGAAGTTGGCGGGGTTGTTCTCGTCGTTGTCACCGCCCTGGAAGACGCCAGTGCGGACGAGGCAGGTGTTCCAACCATACATGTTGCCACCGATGATGTCAGAGGCTGGGTTGTCACCGATCATGTAGATGTTTTCTGGAAGCTTCTCTTCCCCGTGGAGTTGCTCCATCCATGAAGTAAGAACTTCGTCGGCATACTTGTAGGTAGCTGTCTCGGGCTTGCCGTAGACAACACGCTCTAGATCGACACCCGAAAGGGCTCTGTACATGGCCTCAAGACCAATGCGGAAAGCACCTTGAGACATACGTGGGGTCCAGTGCTCGGTGGGGCACAGTAGATCGCCCTGTGAGAAATAGATGGGGATCCTTTGGGAAACTGGGTCCTTGGCTATAGTGCCTAGTCGGCCATTCTCGGAACGTAGTAGATCCATAATAATTTGCATGTCGGTGGCGTAGTCTCGGGAGTCGGAGAAAACCATGATGGCCTCAATGTTAGTCTTGGTGAAGTCTCTTGGCCGGGATGAGGCTCGCTCCTCTGGGGTGAAAACTCGGTAAGGGGCAATGCTTGGGTCTGAGGCAACAATGTCGTTAGGGACGACAATGTCCTTGAAGCCGTATTGCTCGGCAACTTCTCGGCACTTGTAGCCCTCACCACCGACAACAAGGACGGTTTTGTAGTACTCAGCAAGAGCACTCATGGGAGTGTGTGATTGAATGAATTGTTCAGTGTCAACAGGGTTGTTTAGGATCTTGGATAGTTGCTCGCAGCGAGCCTTCTCTGGCTTGCCGGATCCGTTCGTAAGGAAAATGTGGGGAATCTTTATGCCGAGTTCGTTGTCACCGTTTAGGATCTCAAGAGCACGGCGGCCCTCGGGAATCAGACGGTCACCGTGGACAAGAACACCGTCAATGTCGAAGGCGAAAGCCATGTTCTTGGCTTTTCGAACCTTCTCAACCTCGACACTCTGGACTTGGGAAGCCAGAATAGCACGAGAGGGCTGAACGGGCGGCATGCCCGGGCGGGTTGGGCGACCGAGAGACTCATCGGGGTAGTGGACCGACGATAGTCGGGATTGTCTCTTAGATCTGGGGATAGGTAGAGATGTACCGAAGGAGTTCCGAGAACCTCTTCTCTCCTTCATGGAGGGAGAGGCACTCAGGTTATGCATGTATTTAGCAGCCTCAGAGATAGAGGATCGTGAGGCAGGAACCTCAATAGGTCCTTCACCATCATCTCCAGGGATGGGTAAAGAGTGAGAGTTTGAGTCGGCTCCATTGGCGTTGGTCATGGAGGCGACCTTCCTCACTTGCTTCTCTGCCGCTTGGACAATGTCATAGTCCTCGAACATAGGCATCTTGAAGGTTGTGTTGACTAAGCTGTCTTACTAGATCTTAGAGTATTTTAAAAGGTACTTAGGAAGAATAGTTATTCAATGTATATTGTAGAAGGACTGTTGGAAGAAGGTTTATCATGTGAGATGAGAAGAAAGTTTGCTACGTATGACGGGGAGGAGGGTCGTTATATCTAGTCAGACGCTCGCTTCGAGAGACCTCTTTTGTTCCTTTGTCGTTTATCATACATCACACCACAACCCATCCAAGTCCCGAAAAATGACGACGAAAAGTATGGTTCTCCCTGCACCTGAATGTAACTAGCCCTGTTGCGTTCGGTTGGACAAGTACATAAGCGATAAACATATGGACCAAAGGATGAGTTTTCGACTATCTACTATAGCCGCCGCCGCCACACCGGAGTAGTGTAGTGTATGGTATGTAGATGGGTAGGTGTATGTACCTAGGTATCCAAGGTATAAGTTCGGTACGTAGTTGGTAGGATGTGACGAGGATCGAAACGGTCCCTTGCATTGGTTGCAGGAGATGAAACGGTCGGGAAGACTAGTTTACGACGTTTTCTTGACCATTACGGCCTATGAAAGCCAGTATCATGAGCGTTTGGTTTGGTTATCGGCGGGTTATCAGTGCTGCCATTATTGCTGCAAGACCAGCAAACACGCCGCCAACCGAACCAACTCTGATCCAGTTGTTAGTCCGAGATGGAGCCGCAAGACCCGCCCGAACTGGATCCCGGGTCCACGGACCCACGGGCTCACGTACCCGTACCCGCTTGTCATCAAGGTCTGACATCATTTCGGATCCGCTGCGCTCCGCTTTAGCTCCGCTGCAGATCCGCTGTATACACAAGAGTTACACAACGGGCTGGGTTAGTTGCTGGTTGGTTGGTACTTATGCATGTACGTACCTTGGTTAGGAGGGCTACCGTGGGCTGGTTAAGGTGGGGGGCAAGTCAGCTCAAACCTGCAGGGTTTTCTTAGTTTTCTTTTTAATTGTCCTTAGTTGCCTCTAGCTGTTTCTAGCTGCCTTAAGCTGCCTTAGCGTGTTGCCTCATCGTTACCCTTCCTGGCTACACCTGGCCCTGCAACTGAATCCATTTTCACATAATTCACATATTTTCACATATCTGTGCTGCGACCAAGCGCTGTGATAGGCGGCGCCACAAACGTCGACTAATTTCTCCCATAGGGCAAAGGACCCTTGACCGCTCTCAGCAGTTGGGATCTTCCTTATTCCCGTTACCTAGCTGCCTGCGCTAGGTACATATGTACCCGCTTCCCTCTTTTTTGGGAGACGCATTCACCGATAAAGCCGAACCTGAAGAGACTTTGGAACAGGTATACCGACCGGTATCCCATCAGCGCGCATGGTAGCGTACATACAGCATTAAAGGAGGCAGAAGCTAGTAGAACGAAGATGAGTGCATTGCAGCAAGCCCAGAAAAAAAGACGTGATGAGACCCAGAAAAGTACCCAGTCTTATTTCTTATCACCTACCTGCTCGTACCCACACAGCCCACTTCACATGTCATGATGGATATTCGAAGACGAAAAGTAAAGGAGGGGCGCACTCTGCTGACGAGGTTGTGACTTGTGACAACTGGACAACTGTCGCTGCAAACAACTGGAGCCGCGATAGCTGATCAGGCTGAAAAAAGTGAAACCGACGGTTCTGATTAAACGAAAAAAAACTTTTCCACTTTGGCTGAGTCAGGGGAAAGAAAGATGTTGAGAAAGAATGATGCAATAGTGCAGCGGCGTGTTTTTACCCTGCTTTCTTCGTAAAAGAAAGTTACAATTGACTAAGAAAACTGCTTAAGCGGCCCGGTGGGTTTACGGGCTTATACAACTAGATTATGTCGTTATGTACACCCACTTTGATTCCCTACATCCCACATCTTTCTAAGAAAATAGGGACAACCAACATCAACAACTACTACCCCCATACTCTCTCATAGCAACCCACCTACTTGAACTTGACTTGCCTAATTTCTCATTCCCCGCCATAAGCCACACAAAAACAAAACAAAAAAATACTCGTTCACTAACGTGACCCCTCCTCGCCCCTCTAAGTAATCATATATCTCTCATCCAACCTTCATAATACCAAATCAAAGTCTCATCCACATCAAGACAATACAAGATAAGACAAGACAAGATGTCTACCCCGGCGAACCAGCAATCGTTCACCTTAAACAACGGAGTCAAGATTCCCACCGTTGGTTTCGGTACATTCGCCAATGAGGGATCCCAGGGTGAGACATACAAGGCAGTCACCAAGGCCCTAGAGGTTGGTTACAGACACCTCGACTGTGCGTGGTTTTACAAGAACGAGGCCGAAGTCGGCGAGGCACTCCGCGATTTTCTCGCGAAGAACCCGTCGGTGAAGCGTGAGGATATCTTCATCTGCACCAAGGTTTGGCAGCACCTGCACGAACCCGAGGAAGTTAAGTGGTCGTTGGAGAACTCCCTAAAGAACTTCGGTCTTGACTACGTCGACCTGTTCCTCATCCACTGGCCCATCGCTGCCGAGAAGAATGAGCAATACATGCCCAAGCTCGGCCCTGACGGCAAGTATATCATCAAGAAGGGCCTCACAGACAACCCTGAGCCAACATGGCGCGCGCTAGAGGAGCTGTACGAGCAGAAGAAGGCTCGCGCGATTGGTGTCTCCAACTGGACGGTCGCCGGCCTAAAGCAGCTGCTGGGATTCGCCAAGGTTGTGCCGGCCGTAAACCAGGTTGAGGTGCATCCCTTCCTGCCGAACCAGGAGCTCATCGACTTCTGCCGGGAGCACAACATCCTAATCGAAGCATTCTCTCCGCTTGGATCACAAGACCAGGTGCCCAACACGGGAGAGAAGGTGCGTGACAACAAGCAACTCAATGAGGTCGCGCAGCGCAGTGGCAACACCCTAGCCCAAGTTCTACTGGCCTGGGGTATCCGTCGTGGCTACGTTGTGCTACCCAAGAGCGCCACCCCCTCTCGCATCGAAAGCAATTTCCAAATCCCTGAGCTGTCGGATGCCGACTTTGAAGCCATCAATGCGGTTGCCAAGGGCCGCCATTACCGCTTCGTCAACATGAAAGACACCTTCGGCTACGATGTCTGGCCCGAGGAGGCCGCATAAATCCAGCGCTATGATAGCTGATCGGTGCGATTGTGCCTTCAACACTACGACATTACGTCAATTAACATATTGGGTTGGTGTCATTTGACGGCATTGGCAATGGGCTACTTCACAACAACATATCGAGATATCCAATTCATGAGTGCATCCTGTGGGGGCATGTGAGTGAGTTTTAGAAGTTTAGAATTTTGGGCGTTGGCAAAGGGGAAAACTAAAAATAAAACGGGGAATACGAGGTGGATTGGAGGTCGAATTATTCCCCGAATAGTCATGATGAAGCGCGCGCGTTGAAACCCGTTGCTGTACGAAATTTTATGACTATGGCTAGACATGCCTGCATTAGAATTAGTTGTTGAGATTAACACAGATTCTTCAAATACCCTCTAGTCGTCTGATACCGTGATACCTCCGACGATACTGACTCGCTGCACCTTAGACCCTTGTAGCTTCAGCCAAAAGACTCCGATGGTACTCCGGATGTCCCTTTTCAATATTGCTTTTGACCAATTTCTTCGTTATCATATTGCTGTCGATCTCGATCTCCTCCTCGAGCCGTCCCGTGTCGCCCCGCACTCGCCACCGCGTTTTGATCACCATGGACCCTGTCGGCGCCTTGCCGACCACAAGTGAATCAATACCCTCGGTGTGGTTCGTTAACGTCAGTTTGTAAGTTGTCTGTCCCATGGGTCGCCGATCCGTGACCTCAAAGACGCACGGTTCGCCCGCCGGGGCGTGAGCGGGTGGACCGGAAATGCGGCGGTAGGTGATGAGTTGCGGGCATGTTGTTCGGATGTATGTCTCGTGGTTGTGGAGCAGCGTGATGACGGTAGAAGGCTGCACGCCCGAGGGAAGAGGCGTTGAAATTGTACTTTCGATCGGCATGGCTGATGAAGATCTCACTTAATGTCTTATGAATACTGGGGTATAGCGATCGATACGACCCCCACGGTTTGAATGAATCGTGATTCCATTAAGATCTACACACAAGATAGGCATGCAAACATATATATCATATCATCAAAGCGGGACCTACGACATGTAATAGGTATACCGGACTCCATTTCGGGGTCTCATACGGGGATGCATGAACTTTGGTGTTTCCGGCTCCCGGCAAAGGTGGGAAAGCCAAGACCGGAATACGCTTTGGAGCCTCAATGCGGTACTATTGCGCTTCGATACAATTTTATAACTTATACACAACATAGTTAAGATAAGGTGTTCGGATTTTAGTATCAACCTTCAAATGCAAGGGACATGAAGCGAGCTGAATTTTGTTGCACCTGAGTATTATAATCGTGGGTGCACGCAAAAAACACTCAGCCAATACAAAGTTGGTTTCTTCAATAATATTTCAGCAACATACAAGTAAGTCAAGGCTAGAACATCCGAAGAATCTATTTCTGTCGTGCTGGGTTATCTAGCGTAAGCCGATTTCGTGCATCTTAATTTGAACAGGTGAGCAATCCCAGACGCATGTAGATTTTGGGGCGATTTCAGAAGTCTAAATGTCGCGCATGAGCCCTACGAGAAGGGTGCATGGCTTGGGTTCACGATCTAAAGAAAGTGGGTTGAGGAAAGGAGGGGGGAGGGGGGTAAAACGGTGAGGAAAAGTGTGTGCCAAAACCACCGTTTTCCGTTATCGTGAAGCATGGTGACGTTGGGTTATGTTTTTTTTTTCTTTTGCCTTAGTAACAATGGGTCTGTTTGGTCTCGACCTTCGAGAAAAAAACCCACTGCACTCCTACTCTACATCGTCAGAACTTGCACGTGTTCGCTTTGGTACGTCAACATTGACGCAAGAGGCTATCACCTGATTTATGAATATCGAGATCTACATAAATAATAATGAGGGAATTATGAAGATTCCAAATAAATAATATTTGCCATTGCAAAAAATCAGTGTGACAAGATAGAAATAATGAGAACATTAGGTTGTTACCCAAGGTCTATGCTTTTTAGGCCTCAGTATTAATAGAGTCTCATGATAAGTAAATGGTCCAATCAATTTTAAGTTGGAGAAGACACAGTGGATAACTATAAATGTCTCAACGTCGCGACGAATTAATAAAAACCATTCAAAATTGATGAGAATTTTGTTGGTGTTATATCATATTTTCAATATCGGGATACCTTCATCCCGGCGCTCTCCAAATAGCCTCATTTCTTGGCACCTTTCCAATAATTCAACTAGATTTAGCCGCAAGGCTGTTCCTTAAAGTAACCATGGTAATAATTAATATGCTAGAGTATAATGGCATTTTGATGCATTGGAGAACTTCAGGTCGCGTTACCAAAATAGTTAATAGTCTACCTCGCCATTGTCGGCGATTGGTTAGTTTTGCGTTGATCAATTTGTTACCCCGATGAGGGGTCGATTGAGCTGAGCTGTCAGTAGACCGACGACATCACAACTCATATTTAGCCATTCTAACGAGTCAAATTTGACTCGAGAATCTGGGGATGAAAACACGGGGAAGTAAGGATCTGGGGGTCATGGGCTCATTGTCAACTACATGAATAATGCACGGAATTTGATTGTGAAGATCTAATGGCGATCGGATTTATTAGCACTGACATTGGCATTGGGGGAAACCCTCGTGCCTGGCACGATTTTTATTTTCCCCGTCCACAAAATAATGCTGTCACTGCTTTAATCCAGCATTTTGTTATCTACCCTCTTCCCTCTGCTTTTTGAACCACCCTTAAAGTGCTTCTTACTCGATCCGATCTGCACGTCTTTAGGATCCATACCCGTTTCCAGCGCGATCATTGCTCTAGCCTTGCGCCCACTAAGATGCTTAGCTTGAGCTTGCGATTTTCCTTGCTCTGTGTATTTATGATTGAATGGCATTTTCAGGTGTCCCGCGTTACCCACGGCACGCGCAAAGAAAGCCTTGTCAAGTTCCCCTGACTTGGCACCTGTTGGTAACTCCGTATCGATGGTCGACTCACCATCACCTACATCTAACGCATCCATGGCTGCAAGTAAGGCCGCCTTGCGCTTTTCTGGCAAATGTGCTGGATCGTACAGATCACGATTAAAATCGGCGCCATCATCCCAACCCGGTGGAGGTTCAACGTAAAGGAGTTTTCCGTTTACATAGTCCTTGAGAATGGTTCTTGCGGCCCTAGATTCATCGGGCAACCCCACACCTTGAGTGGTGAAACCTCGGGCCTTGGCGTACGCCGCTAGAAGCTCACTCGCTGTCGGAATTCCTGTTCCACCTTCTTCGAGTGGACGTGTCTTAATGTGGATACCATAAATAGCTTCTAAGAATGGTTGAGGAATTCGGTGTGCAACAAGAGCGGCAGGACCGGTATATTCCCGGAGTTGGTCAATTGGCAAGACACCATTGCAGACGAGGTCAGCCTTTGTCGTTGCGAAATTAGGAAATACGAGACCAGGACAATCGCACAAGATGACCTTTTCGCTCAAATGAATAGTTTGGAAATGTTTCGTCTTTCCGGGCGTTGCGGAAACAGACACTTTCTTGGCGCCGATAAGAGCGTTGATAGTCGATGACTTTCCGACGTTGGGATAACCAACCAAACCTATCTGTAGTTTTTTGTCGGGTTCTGCGAATTTATTAGCACGAAACAAGCAAAGCATAGATTGTAGATCTGCTTACCATCAGGATCACGAGCATGTTGGAGGAATATGTCTTCTAATTCCTCGACTGTCAATATTCTCGTATCATCGTCAACGTCTGAATTTAGGGCGACGCCAGAATCCTCATCCTCATCTTCATCCTCCTCGCTTTCTTCTTCCGATCCACTATCTGATGTGGGTTTCTGGATCGTTTTAGGGTTTGCCCGTTCGCCATTTAGAGGTTCTTCCGGCTCGTCCTCGAAGTCACGCTCGTCGTTCAACTGCTTCGCTAGACTTGCTGAGAAAAAGCGGTAAGCTACTCTCTTCTCTTTGAAGTATTTCGCCCATGCTTTTCTCTGATTTGTTGTCATCATATCTGCCTTGTTGACTAGCAATAAGTTCTTTTTCGCCGGGTCTACATCTTTGACATAGGACTCGAGATCTTCCGATCGGAACATCAAAGGATTGCGCGCATCAACAATCTGGACAACTAAATCTGATCTCTCAATAACACGCCATAATTGCCTCCATACTTCCAAATTGCGCTCGAACGGGGTCATAAGAAGGTCGTTGTTCTCCTGTAGTTCTGCTAGACCCCTTCGCCAATTTAAGAAACTCTCTCTTTCGAGTTGATCTAACTCGTCGGCAGTAGTGGATGAATCCCACTTCGGTCGCCTCGGTACGGTTAACCTGGCTCTGTGTTTGGCATGCTTCCCCACTACATGTCGCTCTTCTGTCGCTGATAAAAGATATGGATTTCGTTGGTCGGTGTGAATGATTTTGACATTGTTCATCTTCTCCGCAGTGAAATCTGTACCGGCAAGTTCAGCGGTCGCAAGGAACTCGTCTAGAGCGCCTTGCTCCGTGACGGAGCGCATCTTAACCCATGCTGCTTCTTTTCGATCGTTCGTAATGTACTGTGGTTTCTATGTAAGCAAATGCGAAAATAAAAATGTGAATAGGTGTGAATAACGCCTACCTCTTCACCTGTTGCGTGGTTGATTCTCGTAACTGCTGATCCTTTTTTGCGATCGGAACCTTTTCCTTTTCCAAAACGATCATTCATCAGCGTATTGCCGAGTCCGACGGACTGTTTGGACTTTGCTTGCGGCATGATGGGCGACCGAAATTTTGTCAGGGAGATTGAAGTAGGATATACAAATGAAGATTTAAGTGAATCTCAAAAAACAACCCTTTCTCCTCCAATTCTCGGGAAATCGAGGTTAAGGTTAAAGTTGAGTGTTGCTTCCGGTCGATTATTCAGATGGTAACCGCTGAATAATGGAGGGGCGATTTATTTTTTGCGTCACTCTACGACTGATAAGATTTGTGATAAAGAATTAACCCCACCAAATTTTTCCAAATTCTAAACCAAACCCTGAAAAGTATCCATCTACATAGTACATTCGACACCTAGCCTACTTTTACGTACACTCACTTAAAGATTTCATTTGATGTACTAGATATTTACGAAGAAGGAATTTACAGATAAATACGATATTCAATATGCCTAAAGGCAAGTGGATGTAAGTGAATCACCAACGAAATCCCATCCATTGACAGACACCCCACTAACAATTCCGACAGCGACAAGAAGACAGCCCAGCACTTCACGCTGGTGCATCGTCCCCAAAACGATCCTTTAATCCACGATACCGAGTCGCCGTCTATGATATTAAACCCAACTGCCCTCCCAAATGCTTCCAAAGTGCGAAAACTCGATGATCTGGCATCCGAACTAGGATCCGACGCCGAGCGGATCCGCGCAAACGAAGGAGAGGCTGCGAATTATGGCGTATACTTCGACGACACCGAATATGATTACATGAAACATTTGCGAGACCTAGACTCCGGAAATGGTGCCGGTGAAGTCGTTTTCGTGGAGGCGGATAGTGGAAACAAGAACAAGAATAAAGGCAAGCAGAAGCAAAGCCTAGAAGATGCACTGAGGAAATTGGATGTTGAAGATGAGGAGCGTAAGAAGGGTGAATTGTTTGGTGACGACTTCTTGCCGTCGAAAAACCTGCAACACATCACATACCAAGCCCAACAAGACATCCCCGATGCTATTGGCGGATTCCAACCAGACATGGACCCGCGACTACGGGAAGTGTTAGAGGCGCTAGAAGATGAAGCGTATGTTGATGACGACGAAGATGTATTCGCTGAATTGGCCAAGGACGGTAAAGAATTAGACGACATCGAATTCGATGAGGAATTCGATGAAGATGATGGTTGGGAATCAGACGACACCGCCAAGCCCACCAAGGAGTATAAGGACCCCTCCGAAGCCCCAGAATTAGTCCCCGCCACGGATGGTGAAGATGGCGGCGCGGCGGTTAAAAACGAGAACTGGCTAGAAGACTTCAAGAAGTTCAAAAAGGACCAGGGTAAATCCAGTTCAAAACCCTTTGCAGCTGCGCCTTCACAATCAGATCTTCAATCGTCGCTCATGACAACCACTACTAATGGCGGTCGACGGAAGAAGCGTAAGGGTGCATTGACGAGCCAGTCAGGTTACTCGATGACGTCCGCATCACTGGTTCGAACTGAGCAACTTGGTATCCTTGACGCCCGCTTCGAAAAGATCGACGAACAGTACAATGAAGGTGACTTCGAGGACGGTGATGATGCAGCGTCAATGTCCCAAGTATCAGCTGTATCTAGCGTTACAGGTCCTGTCCGAAATGATTTCGACAACATTCTTGATGACTTTTTGGGAGGCTACTCAATGCACGGGAAGAAGCAGTTGAAGAAGGGTAAATGGAAGAGTGGTACCGCACAGCTCGATGAGATCAGGAGGGAACTTGGTCCCGCTAGGGTAAGCGGTAGATATAGTCAACCGCAAGGGGCTCCAGCATCCGCGTCGGTGTCTAGATGAGAAAAGTTTTGATAGATACCCCCAGCATAGAACCCACAGTTAATAATGTACCCAAATGAGCATATGATTGATACCATGAGTATTTATTGTGAATTCTTACACCTTATAGATAAACTATTTCCTAGGTACATTCCCGAGTGAAGTATCAATTCGCATTTATTGCTACACTATATCACTAGCGAGGAACGATGCTCCTGTTTTGGCGACGAGAACCAAGTTGTTTGTTACATAGACCAACGACGAACGAGCCATCTCTTCTGCAAAAACGCAATGACCCCAACGAATGTCCCTGAGAGTGAACGGTTTGACGAAGTGAGCTATTTTCTTCGAAAGGCCGCACCTCCGTGATGGACAAACATGGTGGGTTTGTTTTGCAGAGCACATCCCGGCAACGTTTATTTGGTAGGAAGTGAGTTAGTTCCCCCAAGTGAACAGGTTGCGAACATCGTCAACCAGATCTTGCAGGGGATAGCGGAATTCTACCGCATTCCACTCTGATGTGTCGTCTCCCTAACGATGACCGTTCATAGCAGGTGGCCGTTCGGGTCCGTAAGCGCCCGGCACTTGCGGCATGAGCTCTTCTTCTGTGTCATCATCGAATTCGCCTTCTTCACTCACTTCTTCGCCTTCATCATCGTCGTATTCGTATTCACTCTCCTCGTCTCCGTCCTCCAATTCTCCTTCTTCGTCACCCTCTGCCCCTTCGGCATAACAACTCTCTACTGTCCCTTGCATACCTTGAGGTATGCCGCGACCTTGTTGTTGCATCTGGTTGATGATACTCGTAAGTTTGTCGTTTTTCTTCTTGATGTCCTCGAGATCTTTAATATGTCGATTACGTTCCTCGGCCATTTTAAAGATATTCGAGTTTAGCGCGCCTTCTTTGCGCTTGTAAGCATCGTTCTCCTTCTCGAGTTTCTTAGTCTTTTTGGACATGTCCTCCATCTCCTTACGGAAGGTTAAGAACAGGTCGTTACTATTGTTGAGGGTATCCTCGACCTCCTCATTTGTTAATGCCTTCGGACGGCGTGCTATTGAGGGGCACAGGGCGCATACCTGCTTAAACTTCTCGACATAAACATTCAACTGATTTCTCAACTCAGTTTCCGTTTTAGAGAACGTAAGCACTTGACTGTTAAGTTGGCGCGCACGATTCGCTTCGGTCTCGGCGGTCTTCTTCTGTTGCTCGTATCGAGCCATGTTCCATTGTACCTCGATCTCCTTCGTCCGCATTGCGGAGTGAAAATGCAATTCCCGGAGTTCGTATTGGTCAATGAGGGATTTGAAGCGACCCTTGAACCTATACCTTCTGTATCAATATATATATAGTGTATTCACGCGTAGGGACGTGGGGGGAACGTACAATTCTTCAGCCTTCATATACACAACCTGCTTGCGTGGATTGTCTTTCTCCTCTTGGTAACCTTCTAAAGTCTCGAGTACTTTCTTAAAGCGCTCATCAGAAGAGACTTTGAGTCGGTCGTGGGTGTCGTTCAAAGCACGATGCTCGTTCTACACGCCATTTCCATCAGCTCAACTTTCCTAAGTTTAGGATGTTGGACTTATAATACCTTCAGCTTGTTGTTTTCTTTTTGTAACTCGCGGCAGAGTTTTTCTAGCTTCTCCTTTAGACTGATTTGCTTGCTCAGGTCAGTACGGCTGGAATCCTTTTCCTTCTGTAGTTGATCTGCGCGTTTCTTGTTCTTAAGATTCTCGCGCTCGAGGCGCTTCATATTCGCAAAAAGTTCCGATGATCGTTTAGTTAAAAGTTCTATTTTATCCATATCGTTCATCTTATTCATTTGGTGGTTAAGTTCGCGATTCGCTTTCCGTACTTCCCGGTCTATCACCAAGTAAGATATTAGCAAGGTCCATATATCACGAATGAAGCCGACAGGATTAGATGGGATCGCAAGGGTTCGGCGCATGTTTTAGTTTGCTGTTATGTAGTGACGTTATGCGATGAAATAGCGGCCATAAATAGAAACCCATAAATGCCACCATTGTACATCTAGACGTAGCGAACTAAACGTGGGGCCTGAATCTCGAGCAGGTGGGTGCGTTCTATAAGCCCATAATATCGCATGTGAACCGATATATCCGTCTCGTTTCGGTCGGTACCGTTAAATGCGCGTTATAGTATACGCGACGTTATCTTTCTATCCCGAAGGCTTGCCGATAGTCTCGAATTGGTGGGTTGTTCATGGCTTTCACATATTATGATATCCAAACCTTTAAGTCCAGCACTTTCCCCAAACATCCCGCGATAATCCAAATAACGTGAACTAGAAATAGAAAACCTACCAATTTCCGCCTCTTGCTCTTTTTCGGCTGCTGTATCCACCTCCAGTTGGGATATCCTCGCCGCAACGAGCTTAGAGGCTTCAGTCGAGTCAAGGGCTTTCTTATTCTTTCCCTTTTTGGCGGCGTTTGAAGCCATGGAGGGAGTTGGTGTCGGGGCGGGTCTGGGTTCTTGTACGGGGACATGGTGGCCATTCGGTAGCGGGTCATCGTGATCATGAGCGTGGATGGATTTGCCGTTGGTATTCGGTACGGAAGCAAGAGGAGCAGGCGCCGCCGAGGGACCACGGATGTTCATAGTCGCCATGGTTTCCTAGACATATACAACTGGGCTATGAAGGGAAGCTTGTTAGTAATTTTAAGGCGACTCGTGAGATAGTGGACGTGGATGGTATTATATGACATTATGACATTTATGTGGGAAACGCACCGTTCGGAATTACTGCTGGACATTGGAAAGGTTGCTGAGACAATAAAGCTTATAGATTGGTAATGCTGTCGGCGGGGTGAGAGGAATTTCGGTTGGTAACTCGTAACCGTGGTTGGTCGGGCGTATTGTTGTTGTTGGAGTCGTGGTTTAATCTTGAATGAAGACTTTTGAGAGATTGAGATGAAGCGCGGCGTTTTTAGTGTTCGGTTACTTAATCAAGTACTAGAGATAATGGCTCGGACTACCGCTGCCGCCTTGTAACTCCCTGTAACTTGCAACTGCACAGGTACATGCGACTACTTGGACTAATAATTTGTGTGTATACCCAGGTATACGTACACACTCAGGTACCCTAGGAAGTACATACATCACAATAAAACACACTAAATAAATCATAAAACCGCCTAGAAAAACTGAATTTGACGCTAATAGATCCGAAGCACCGGTCTACCATGGAACGTTTAAAATACATGTGTCTCTTCAAAAAGCATTTACGTAGGCCCCACTAATTACTGCTCTTTGTTCTAGGCGCGGCAAATCAGCCAATAGGCGTTCGTGAATAGGCTATCAGCCAATGCGATTAAGGGAAGATAAACATCCCGCTGGATCAACTCACTATCGGAATAAGTGTACATGTAATCACAAGGTTGGTCCTCGAGCAGGGGTCGACTGCATGTGCTTAAGTAAGCAGAATCTGCGTCATCGGACATAATTTTTGTTATTCGCCGTGCAAACAATTAATTTTTCTGCAGTGGCGTATCGGGCTATCCCTTCTCTACTACTACTACAGCTACTGCATTATTGCGGCCTCGAGTTCGCAGCCTCTTCCTAGCACCTGCACTACCTTCATCTTCACGTAATTCTAGTCGTTGTCTTTTTACAAAACAACGATAAGATGTTGCGTAACGCGGTAAAAGGTGCAGCCAGGAAAGCTGTGACAGAGCTGTCTCAATATCCGAAACCTGGCGAGAAGCTTCACGGCTTTACATTATTAAGGACGAAGCATGTACCAGAGCTCGAACTGACCGCATTGCACCTCCGCCACGATCGAACTGGAGCAGATTATCTTCATATTGCGCGAGATGATACCAACAATGTATTCTCGATCGGTTTCAAGACGAATCCACCGGATGATACGGGTGTTCCACATATCCTCGAACACACGACTTTATGTGGTAGCCAAAAGTATCCGATACGGGATCCTTTCTTCAAGATGCTGCCACGAACCCTATCCAACTTCATGAATGCCTTTACCGCCTCTGACCATACCTATTACCCATTCGCTACAACCAACTCTCAAGATTTTCAGAATCTCATGTCTGTATATCTCGATGCGACCCTACACCCATTATTGAAAGAGACGGATTTCACTCAGGAAGGTTGGCGGATCGGTCCAGAAAACCCCAGGGTAGCAGAAAAGGATGGAGACGCGGGGAGCGAGGATAGCAAACTCGTTTTTAAAGGCGTCGTCTACAATGAGATGAAGGGCCAGATGTCAGATGCAGGTTATTTGTTCTACATCCGTTTCCAGGACCATATCTTCCCAGCTATAAATAACTCGGGTGGTGATCCGCAAAAAATCACCGACCTGACGTATGAACAGCTACGCAAATTCCACGCCGAGCATTACCACCCAAGCAATGCGAAGTTAATGACGTACGGCGATATGCCATTGGCCGATCATCTGAAGGAAGTTGATGCCCAAATGGTTACATTTGAGAAGATCCAAGCAGATATTGAACACAAAAAGCCCATTAACCTTAACGATGGACCACGTACAGTGACAGTTTTGGGGCCAGTTGATCCTCTTGCCGATCCCGACAAGCAATACAAGACCTCAGTGTCGTGGATCACGGGTAATACAAATGATATACTGGAATCCTTCTCCGTGGCTCTCCTCTCGTCACTCTTGATGGACGGTTATGGGTCACCGCTTTACAAGGGCCTTATTGAGAGTGGTCTAGGTACAGACTGGAGTCCAAACACCGGTTATGATGGGTCAGCAGCCACGGGGATTTTTTCTATTGGACTAACTGGTGTCGAGCAATCAAATGTGGATAAGGTCAAGGATGAGGTACAGAAGATACTTCGCGAGGTTCGTGATAAAGGCTTTGAAAGAACTAAGATCGATGGATATCTCCACCAGCTCGAGTTGGGTTTGAAACACAAGACCGCCAATTTTGGTCTCTCAGTGCTACATCGCCTAAAGGGAAAATGGTTTTCCGGTACCGACCCTTTCGATTCCTTAGCTTGGAATGATACGGTAGCGGCCTTCGAAGCGAAACTGGCCCAGGGAGGCTATCTTGAGGGATTGATGGATAAATACCTCTTGAATGACAATACCCTCACCTTCATCATGGCCCCCTCAGAAACATATGGCGCAGAGATCGCCAAGGAAGAGGAGGATAGGTTAACAGCAAAAATCTCAGAGGCTATTAAAAAAGCTGGTGGAGAACAAGAAGCCCGAAAATTCTTCGAGCAAAGAGAACTTGACCTGCTCGTTGAGCAAGGTAAATCGAATACGCAAGATCTTAGTTGCCTACCGACAGTCTATGTTAAGGATATTCCAAGGCAAAAAGAACCCGTCGTAATCAGAGACGAGGCGGCCCATGGAACCACTATCCAGTGGCGCGAGGCACCGACCAACGGTCTTACTTACTTCCGAGCCATCAATACCTTTGAGAACTTGCCGGATGAACTTCGATCTTTGATACCATTGTTCACTGACTCTATCATGCGATTAGGGACGAAGGATATGACTATGGAGCAATTAGAGGATCTAATTAAGTTGAAGACAGGAGGCGTATCTGTCGGATACTTGTCAACTGCTTCGCCAACCGATTTTCGACAGGCCTCCGAAGGTCTCTTGTTAAGGGGCATGGCCCTTGATCGAAATGTACCTGAGATGTTTGATCTACTACGCAAGCTCATCTTGGAAACAAATTTCGACAGCCCGGAAGCTGCTCTTCGAATAAGACAGCTACTCGAAGCTGCAGCTGATGGCGTAGTAAATGATATTGCCTCATCCGGGCATGCGTACGCGCGACGATATGCTGAGGCTGGTTTAACGCGGGATGCATACCTCAGCGAGCAAGTTAGTGGTTTATCACAGGTTAAACTCATCACATCATTAGCTGGTCGGCCGGATTCAGACCAGTTTGAAGATATTATCGCAAAGCTCAAGCAGATTCAAAAATTTGCGCTAGCGGGCAACAGTATTCGCACGGCGTTGACGTGTGGTGCAGACAGTGCTCAAGCTAATTCTTCAGCACTTTCCCAATTCATGGCCTCTCGCCCAACCGATTCTATTACGTTCCCCGCTTCTAGAAAGCAGACATTCGAAAGAGACATTAAGGCATTCTTTCCCCTTCCTTACCAAGTGTACTACGGTAGCCTTGCACTTCCGACTACCTCTTACACATCCTCACAAGGCGCGCCGCTTCAAATCCTTGCGCAGCTGCTAACTCACAAACACCTTCATCACGAGATACGTGAAAAGGGAGGTGCTTATGGAGGTGGTGCTTATATGAAAGGTTTGGAGGGAATATTCGGTTTCTACTCATACCGAGACCCCAACCCACAGAATACACTCTCCATTATGAGAAACGCCGGTCGGTGGGCAGTCGATAAGAAATGGTCAGACCAGGATCTCGAGGAGGCCAAGATATCCGTTTTCCAAGGTGTTGACGCACCCAAGTCTGTGAATTCAGAAGGTATGCTCCGTTTTATGTCCGGCGTAACGCACGAGATGCAGCAAAGAAGGCGTGAGCAGCTCCTGGACGTTTCGAAGGATCAAGTCCGTGAAGTTGCTCAGAAGTATATCGTCGATGCTCTTGCGAAAGAGGAAGAAAGAATCGCCTTCCTCGGAAAGAAACAGGAATGGGTAGACGGCTCTTGGAAGGTTAATGAGATAAACGTCAATGGCGCCGAGTAACGATCAAAACGTACGACTAAAGTAGCTCATGTATAAACGACCTGTACGATATTGTGCATATACCCTCCTCCAGCTAACTAGATCAATTGTATATAATAACGATCTTCCCGACAAGGACCTATTCAGATTTGTGGGCTATTATTCCCGATTCATTCCAGCGTTCAGATACGATACGTCTTCTTGCTTGACGTCCCTTACCGGGACCTCATCCGTAGCATGGAGACCACTGAGCAACGCGAGAGCAAGAAATTTCGGAAGCAGGGTCAGTAGACGGCGCCTCGAAAGAGGCTGTTGGATACGAGACCCGCTATCCTAGGCTCGTCCTTTCAGACCCGGATTCCTCAGCTTTGGAAGTCCGGACTATAGAACAGAGTACATGCTTATCAATTGAAATTGAGAGATGGATGAGCGCGTTAAAACCCCCGCTAATATGTTAATACTAACTGTAGACTAAGCGATTAGCGAGTTATTCACTTGCTACATGACGTTCACTCATCCGTTGGTGTTTTACAAAGCCTTACGTTGCAATTCCAGCTTACGCAAGCCAAAACTCGACCTCCCCCCAGTTAGGAAACGTTTTCTGCTGGAAGGCGCCTGTGCCACATGCGCCGAAATATAAATCGTACATATATCTGATCTTTAAATGACGATATCCTAGTTAATCTCGTAGGATGCACTATTTATAGTACCCGCCTAAGTAGCTACAATGTCGAATTGGGGGCATAGGATGATACAACGCTGTGGGATACATTACTATCCTGTTGTAGACAACACAAAGATAGTTACACTGCAGGCGGATTTCGAAAATAAGGGTCAACATAAGAATTACGATTGTCTCAGGGCCTAGGTAGGTTTATTGACCTATTTCTTGGTTCATAATGTACTTGAAGCCCCTTACCACGCCTCTTCAATCCTATCGCGAGTTAATTAAACTAGCTACGCGCCGGCTACTACGTTATCTCCTGAGGGACCTGTTGACTACGATGTTTAACATTGTCGTACAACCTGTGCAGATATATTGGTGGGATTGATATCTCATCGCCTATGAAAATTTTCCTCTCACGCAGCTCATTTTTAACAGGCCCCAATTGTCCTTGGCGTCAATTATCACGATGCGTCTCTTTCATATCTTGATTACTTTTATTGTTTTTCTCAGCGGCCTTACCCATGCCGAAATATCAATGTTGTGGATGGGTTCACCTAAGTTCAAGCAATGGTTCAGCAATTGGGAAGTGTATCTGTTGCCAAAAGGTGACAATTGGGCAAAATGCGTACCCGATCTTGAGATTTACTGGTCTAGAAACGCAAGTTATCCGAATCATTGCTCCGTTGCTCTCAGCTGTATACTCCAGGAAACAGATGAAGGTTCGAAGCAATTGTTGGGAGCAATTATGGTCTTGCTTGGTGCTATACCTACTTTACTCGCCTTGACCTCTCCAACAGTCACTGAATCAGCTTTATTGAGCATGGAATACCCATCATTAACCTTCCTGCTCGCCTTCGGCTCTGCAGCCGTTCATACGTCTCGGATAATGGATTACGTGGACCCCCTAGATGCGATTGACACAACCAAGCGTTCTGCGAAAGACGAACCGTTTACACGCTTGGCAAATTCTCTGCAGCCATACCGGAGATTCATCGTTGTGATTGAACATATCCTCGGTCTAGCTGCCGTCGTCAATACGATTGAGGTCACCCTTGACCTGGGACTAAGATCGGTGGCCAGTATCGACTGCGACCGCTCGTGTTGGCCTCTGAGCTGGGCTCTAGTGTCCGTTTTCCTGCACCTACTTGGTGTGGTCTCATTTTGGACCACTCCTAGGGGGATATCGCCAGGCGTAGAGGCTGTCAATATCTGTCCCGAGATAACGGCTGTCACGGACCGGGGAATTAACGATATTCTCTCAAAGCCAAAAGCTTCCATCGGGCATGAGCAAATACAGGGAGACGTTTCTTCAGCGGATAGGAGAATGATATTATATACAGAACGCCCTAGCCTTTGGTCTATAATTCTACAATACTCAGCCAACGGGTATGCCATCGGCCATGTGTTATTCGGGACCATGGTATTTTCTAGTTTAATGTTTTTAGCACTGGTCGATGCGATCCCGGTAATCGCGAGATACCATTTTTCGGCTGTCACATGCAGTGTAATCAGCCGCTATGAACTTGCGGTCATGAGCCAGAAATACAGGGTCGAACGCGTGGAGAAGGTGGAACAGCGAACGAGAGTACATATATGGACGAGGCGTATGAGATAGGCGCTCCGGGCGAAATTGCTGTGAGTATACACGAATCTAATAAATATAGCATAACGTATCTTCTACATAAAATTATTATTACCAGAAGTCGTCATTTGCTATATTTTTTTTTACCTGGACTAATCTAGGGCGCTCAATGTGATGCTACGACTCACTGGCCAACCAATATCCGACAGTTACACATAAAAGCTGCACGATACATATTTGTGAACCATGGCATGGTCCATCGCCGGAAGCCGAGTAGCCGATATGCCGTTCTGCGCTCAATCTAAAACTATGACAACATGTAGTCCTAGATCATGAAGGCTTAGAGCTTTTATACTATTACACAGCAGTCGCGGGAGTTCGTCCTTTTTATGCAACATTCATAAAACTCCGACCAGATACCCCGGGCATAATCTCCGATGCTAGTTTTTGACATGATCCGAGCCACACTGGCTGCCCAGGTGTATATTGAACTTATTATCATCACTGGTCATCAATGCTAATGAAATTAACTCTGAATAGGTTATTAATTCGTTGTTGAACATAGACCAAGAGACCAAAGCGCAGGTTTCTCCATATTCCCCTCAGCGCAACGCAAAGACCTGTATGCGGAACATAATCCATTGTCATGCAAATAGAAGGAACTCGTGGGGAACACAACGTCTTTTCTAAGAACCGCACCCACCGACATAAAAACTACTTCCCTGCGTCTGTTGGTGCGGAGATTGTGCTACGATCTTATACATGGAGTCTCCATCAAACAATATGTCATTCCTTACATCTTTTTCCATTCAAATGATCACCCGAGGCTCCCGGTTCCTCTTTTTTATTTGTGGAAGCGTGCGTCTTTAATGCATATATTTACTGATAAAGGCAGCTAGTTTACCGAAGAAGGCCCTTGTAACCACCAGTCAAAGCTGACAACCAATTCCCAAAGGTCACCATCTATCTGTTTTCAGATATCCCACCCCTGGGGAACGACGGTGGATCCTAATTCTCATAATGTAACGGTACTCCACACCAGGGTTGCAGGATATCTCTCTTCATTGGATGAGATTGGCGCCAACTCCAAGGATGCTATCCTCGAAATCCAGGGCCGGTACCAGCGCCATGCTTTGGGGAAGGCTTTTGGAAAGGGACTTAGGATCCTAAGGATATTAACTAACGTAACTTCATAGACGTAAGGTAAGCTCTCAGCGTTCCGCATTCACGTGAAGCTATAAAACCAAGTCATCGTAACGTACATTCCTAGTAATGTTTGCTTGCTTATATGGTACGAGACCGACATATAATATATGAGGCCTTTCGAGCTAGGCTCTGACAAGAAATATTTCCCGTAACGCCAGTACCGAAACTGTGAATCCCGAAGGCAAATCTTCCCTTTTGGTCAACGAACCCGCTTCGAGATGCCAACACATCCCCATCAAACCTGCGGGGTCGGGTCCAGCCGCATGTGTTCAGTCTCCGCTGCGTCCCTTGTCTAGTTAATTGAAAGCTATCCATCCTCTTCGAGCCGGGGGGCTATATTGTCTGACCGCTAAGTACTATTTTCCTCGTCTCACACCTTCGCGGTTTCGCCGGCTTTTCGATAGCTTCCCGCACTTGACGGAAACAATCCAATAGCAATGGCGGACACCACCGAAAAGGCGCCGTCGCCGAAAGCGACGACGGAAGCCGCGACAGCATTAGCACCAGCAACGACCCTAGCGGCCTCAGGAGCGTCGCCGGCAGAAGCGACGACATCCGCAGCGGCAGCGACTTCACCAGCGAAAAGCGCCTCACCGGGAGCCGAAGGGGCGGAAGAGCAAGTAGGAGAAGCATTCGGAACGGACCAGACTATCCAAGCGGTAGGCCGTACCCGTCTTTAGCTCTACTCTAGTTTTGGCACTAACGTTTCAATTAGGCCGAGGGTCTAGATATTGAAGACGACGGCAGCTCAGACATCGGTAGCTCATTGTACGCTTGTCCACCCCGTCCCCACACGCGGCGCCGATGCTAACTATAACGGCTCCAAAGACAATCCTCGACCGGCTCGTTAACCGAGAGTATATTCAACTATCGCGTACTCCACGGAAGAACGTATAATGCCCCGAAAACGTCTGAATACTGGGCACCGAATGATGAAGTTCAGAATGAGGGTCTCGATTTATTGCACAATTGCCTGTTGATGGTTTTGGGAGACAAATTGTTCCTCGCGCCCATCGGCGACAACCCACAGCGCGTGCTTGATGTCGGAACAGGAACTGGAATATGGGCAATGTAAGTATTTACTGGTGGGGTGCGCATAATATTGTTTCGTCCCGATCGCTAAATGGGGGAACTCTAGCGACTTCGCAGACACATATCCTGGCTCCGAAGTAATAGGAACGGATCTTAGTCCAATACAACCTGCATGGACGCCACCGAATGTCAAGTTCGAGATTGACGACTGCATCCTTGATTGGACGTGGCCGGAGAACCACTTCGACTTTGTTCACATTCGAGCCCTATACGGTAAGTAATGTTCCCATCGCCACTCACACTATTGGAAGGTGGCGTTCCCCTAACGCATCTCCACAACATAGGTAGCATACCAGACTGGGTGGATCTCTACAAGAAAGCCTACAAGCACCTCCAACCCGGTGGCTGGTTAGAAAACCTCGAGACAGATATTACAGTTCAATCCGACCACGTCGTTTTCGGCGATGACCACATCTACAACGAATGGCTGCGCGTCTTCCTAGACGCCGCCGATAAGCGAGGGCGCACCTTCGCCATTTCGCACGGACACATGATGAAAGACGCTATGATAGAAGCGGGCTTTGTCGACGTGACCGAAGTCAAACTTAAGACACCCTGCCATGGTTGGCCGCGTGACCCCAAGCTACAGCAGGCGGGCCTGTTGTTCTTCGCGATGTTGGACCAGAGCATTGAGGGTTTGGGTCTGTACATGCTTACGAATACGCTAGGTTGGTCGGTTGAGGAAGCGCTTGTGTTTACTGCTCGGTTCCGCTCCGAGACTAGGAAGAAGAGCAATTGTGGATGGATTCTTACGTGAGTAGACTTCTCATAGTCATTTTATGGTTTTCGCTGGGGCTACCTCGAAGTTACTAACGATATGCCCACTTCTTAGGACCGTCGTATATGGCCGGAAGCCATTCCCTGGAGAGAAACAAGACTAGAGCGATGGCTCAGTGAGATACTAATATTGATCGAATTGTCGAACAAGCCTCTCGTTTATTATACTTTGGATAACAGGTCCCACCACACATTTGATAATGAGAGATGTAACGAGGAAGTAATCGGAAAAGCACTATACCAATTCGGAATTATACTATAGGTTCGCCCTCAGAGCCACACATCTTAGCCTTGATTTTTATTTATATCCTCGGACGACAGTCCAGTCCAGATTGTGGATATGGACTGAATGGGTAAAATATCAGCCATTTCAACCCAATTTATCTATTTTAAAGATTTGATCATAATGTCTGCCCTAGTCGTCTTGTTAGTTTAAATTGCTTGAAGCCTGAGGACTATCGCCACCAATGTCGCTCCTCGAGGCTTCCGGGCCTGGATGGCGGCCAACAGCGATTCGTTTGCTGCCTTCCCATTCTCTAGACCTATGGCTCCCATACATACCAATTGTTCCGTCGCCTTCTTAACCCAAGGCAAATGTCCACTATCTATCTAAGTATTGTGTCGGCTATGTGGCGAAGGGGCGCACGTTCGTCATAAAAGCTACTTAAACCTTTTTATAGAACATCCCACCACATTGCTGTCGTGTATTTCCGGGCACACGCCAAGATCAAAGCGGGTAGGAGACTCAGCTTATACTGGGCCCGTGGTAGAAGTAAACGGCATTTAGTCGCCTGATCTCGAGGCTAGGGCATTGAACTAAGTTTTAAAGCCGTTGGGGGTAGTGCAGTACCTTGTTCTACCACGATACCACCGATAATGACATTTTCAATTAGTAATTCAAATCGGCCCAAGACTCTTCATAGATGCGTGTGTATAGTTTCGTCCTTGGTAGGTTTTCGCCGGTTAGTGAGCGGCATATGAAAGTAATATTTCCCGGGGAGATAAGGGCGTGTCTATCCGCCGCGGGCTCCGAAACTCCCAGGCTGGCAGGCTCCTATTTCCTTGTAACCAGGAGACCTTGATCCAAACGGGACTTCCGCGGTTCTCAGTCCTTAACGGATTGCTCTGTAAGTAGCTTTTTTTCGTGGGCGGTTAGTTAGCACGCCGTCTAAAGTAGCAATTAGTCAATTCTTTCGAACACTATTACCCTTGGAAATATGCCTCATGCAGAACAACAGCGTTCCTTGGAGAGCGCGTGGTGTAATTCAATTTGTTTATAAGCGGGCTGTTTTTCATCCCATGAGTCAGTTTCCAAGGCGCCGGGCTCTTTGGATGGTGAGCCTTGGGAAGCCGGAAATGTATCGCGCCATTCATTTATTCCAACATATTCGCTCCGCCTTTTGATCACTTTGCCTTTTTAGGGAAGCCAGAGTTTCTGATATGAAGGCTTGGTATCCGGTCCCATTGCGATTGTGATGGTGCCCAACACGTATGTAGGTATTTAGACAGTCAAATATTCTAGGTGGTATTCGATCCTAATGTCTCATGGACCCTATCCCGAATCAGCTGCTGTATTAGGAGGTGGAAACATCCCGACCAATATGGAGGAGCTCATCTATCCTCGGTTCCTGCTATTCGACTGTGTAGAATGCTCCGAATTTGTGTAATGCGATAATTCATAAATCAGTATTACCACGGCATAGATTCGCGTAACTCGATGGTTCTTGATATTGATTGGCGACCATAATGCTCCGAGCAGGTCAAGAAAGGAGCCGATTTCGATGAGGAGCAATGATGCCGATAGATGTCGTTGGATTTTGCTAGGCCGTTACTATGCTGTGGAAAGAAACAAGGCGCGGTCCATTTTTAGATAGTGGTATTCTAACATGCCACACCACGAGGCTCGATGAAGCTGCGGACCAGTCAACCCGTTTCGACATAGCATTAGACATCAATGAAATGCCGTGTAACTGTATCGCAAATTAACTGCAGAGTTCGGCGGTAGATGGCGTAACTCCTTATTAACTGCCGACCATTGAATGGATAGTCATTCGGAGGCATTCTATCCTCGAAGTTCAGATGACCCTCCTCGTTTAGAATTGAGGGTGGCAGATGAAATTGGAAGTTCGTCTGCTGCAATTTATCGATCATTGGCCAAAATATGTGTCCTGCAGCGACATGTTAGATAGCACGAAAGCGGGGAGCTGATCTCATTTGGCTGTAACGTAAATGTGTAGCTTTAATCTTTCGTCTGCGAAGTCGGGCGGATTTGAAGGTGTTTGTGTCACTGCATTCTTCACCTGACCCCCACCGAGAGATTTCCTCTAAGTTCTCTATAACACTTCGCTTGAGCTCCTCGTCAAGTCAACCGTATGAACTCAAATAGCGAGCTGCGACCTTCTAGATTTCGAGAGCGGAGGATAGTGACTGACGAACATAAGTAGCTTGCCGCACTTCTGAGTCCCGCTATGATACTAAATGAACGTAGGCTGCTTCAATCAATGCACAAAGTTGTGTGAACAAGATGCTCATCAGAAAAACCGGGTCAAACGAAGGTAAGATCTCCGAATACATTAAAGGTTGTTGCTTCTGTTTTCATTATAATAGCTCTACTGCAAGTCGTCGAAGCTCTGTGGTAGATACCTAGGTAGGCAGTACTTCAGTGCTGGTTAACGTCATCTTCGGTCCTGCGCGAGCCGAGGGTAAAATCTCCTGTCTTGCGAAATTTCAAACTTTGAACTTCATTGTCTATTTCCGAATATGAGATTATTGATGGGCTATTTTGGTTTCGTGGCGTATAGAAACCAATTCAACAGTTTTTTGTACTGAGGGGTTTTTGATAGGACGTTCATAAAGTGCACAGCCTTACCGCGATATTTTATGTCTGTTCTTGGACTTCTAGGCTGCGAACATAGCCCGGGGGATCTCGGAGAACGATATCGCTTCGGCACGTGCCGGAAAAGGATATCGGGTCTCAATTAATGCCGATCGGAAGGCGACCCGAAAGAGTCGCGGAGGCACTGGAACCATTATTCAAAAGTTGAGAGGCTCGGCTGCGCAGAGTGCATCATTCTGTTTGTGATGGCCGATCCACAGTAGATATGGCGGATGGAGGAGGATAGAATGGAAGTTGATTTGGGAAAAAGTTGATTGGTCAATTATATCCCGGCCGACTGTTTTAAGTTATGATAGGCTGGTGCTACTTTGCGCAGGTGGGTTAGAGCGGGTCAGGGGAGCGGGAAAGGTAATGAAGGCGCTAAGCTAAATAGGGTCTAGACAGATCTAGACGGCCCGAGCGCATTGAGGAGGGATCAGCTGTATACAGTACGTACCTATGTAGGTATCAACTCTATTGAGCTTGCTGCCCTATCGGGTCTTGGTCTTGTTGAGCCCTATCAAGCCTTATACTATTTTCTTCTCTCCTCTGCATAAACACTATATAACCCGTGCAACTTTCGCTTCTTTAGAGACACGGAACCTGGTAGCTAAGGTATTATTAATAACACCGGATGCTTCTCCAAACACGACCCTCCCGCCCTACTAATCAACCATCGCCGTTATGCCGTTGCAGCGCAGGATGGATAGACAACGTCGTTTTGATTGACGACGATTCGCAATCAAGCTTTTCTACCGGTCTCTTTATGGTGGTGTCGTAATCAATGGCCTCTGACCATTGTAACATCAAAATGAGCGCGTGATAGCAAGTGCGGCTACAAACGCGATTCGGCTTGTCTTCTAGAAGCAATGCCCTGTTTGAGTAACCCTTTCTGGTTGGACCGTGAAGGATGGTGTGGGAGACATCTTCGGCCAATCCTGTCAGGGGCAAGGTGCGAATATTGCAACCGTAGATCTCCAACGCACTGGAGGAGAGCTACGTGCTACGTAGTAGGGGTATGTTGCAGCAAGCCTTGCATATCAGGATCGATGCGCGCCTGAATCAGTGACAGCGGTGAAAGAAGAAAAAATTGAATTGATGATGATGCACTGTCGACATATTGGTTGTAAGGATTCAAGTCGCAGTTCGATAAACAGGCTAATCTCGATCTACGAGAGCGGAAGCTCAGATTGCCCCGTCTTCCCCTGTTGGACCATTCCGTTCGACTACCTAGAGACCTAGAGACCTAGAGACCTACCAAGCTGGACGATGGGAAGTACGCGCCCTAATCTCCAGAGTATCGCATCGGCCGTCAACATCAATCATCCGTAACTATGGGTTCGTCTTAAGCGGATGGTACAGTCGATCAAGGCTATGGGGAAGTTGATGTGCCGGTCGTCGGAAATAGTAAAGTATGAATGCAACCTCTCTTTTCACTTCTCCTTTCTCTTTCTAATTCATTATTCTCATCAACTAGGTGGGCAAGTATGTATGAGTTAATTGTTGATCATATTCATACATAACGGTGGGAACAAAAATGGTGCATATATATCGAGTTGCGGTCAGAAAACCTGCCTCAAGGCTGTTCTTGTTGGCTTGTTAGTGCAATATCAAGAAGGGCTGAAGTGCTAAGTTGAACAGAGTCAAGCTTCTATCAATTAAGAAGTACATACCTAGGTACCTATTTCCGGGTTTAACTGGTGGGGGGCAACATTGGAGCTGCCTAGGTACCTGAGTACTTTTTCCTGCATGGGCAATGATTGAAGACATGCATGTGGAGGTTGAAAGTTTTTTTTTCTCTTCCCTCCTTCTTCGACCTTGGCTGACCAGGAACACCTGCATAAGTACATGAGTACTTAGGTCTATAACCTTCGGCAAGAGCGTTGTTTGGTCAATATCCTCCTCCAAATCGAGAAAAGTTTGCAATAACTTGGTTTTTTTATTATTTTCCATGTACCTAGTACTTCCTGGCCATACAGGTTTTCATTCGATATGTACTACTAAACTTACCAATTGGACAATGTGTTGTGTTTTATTTTTTGATTTTTCACCGTTACACAACATCCATATTCTTTCTCCATATCTCCAACTCCAACTAACATGTGTGTAACGGATTCTCCTGGATGATGGTCTGAATGCATATATTGATTTACAATTCGGCACATCACAAATGTAACTTGACTGAACAGTCGCTTAATTGCTTAATTGTTCCTTGTACCATCACTTTAGAAAATAAAGTCAAATACAATACAATAGAGTTCTGACTATGTACTTTGGTACGTCATTAGCAATATTAGGCGAATGACCTCAAATCACATATCTCCATAATTAGTTTTGCCCCGCCACTAAAGAGCTAGTAGGTTCTAATACTCACACAAAAACAACACGATACCCCATCGGAATCTTTTCCTCCTACCTTTTTTTATTTTATTTCTATTTTTTGCACCCACACCCTTTTCCCACGCAGAGAAGAAATTAGATAAAAGCGCGCGACGCCCTGAGCTATTTGTTTCCCCCCTTTCGAAAGGATATCATCAATACACCGGTTTGCGTCATCATCTCCTGTTTTGAGACGTACTGCACTGCAGCCGACCGAAATCGATTCGACCAAGCCTCCTCCGTTGCAAGTCTGCACGGTTCCCTCCAATATATAAAACATCTCCCTCGACTTGCCTTTGGTCTTCTCAAAGGCAATCTAGCTACCACGGCTTCTGCGGCCGTGAGCTTCGTCTCTGATCAAGATTTCAGTCTGCGAAAGACATTCCATATCATCAACTCGAGGCCACCACCGCCCGCTTCTGCTGAAGTCGCATAAAGAAACCCGACCGCCCACCCTGCTCGATACTATCCCCCAGACGAACCCATTTCTACCCCCCACCCACCAGCTGCCGCATAGGACGAGTTCTGAGGTTCTTCCTCTAATTGAGGGAGAGTCGAGGAGACCTCGTCAGATCGCTTCGGGATCAGGAAGCTACCGTTTTCGACCCCCCTAACATCTACTTGGAGGAACACGTTCCTGGTACCTTTACAACTCATCTATCCTACTATCTATCCATTCATCTGCTTAGATAGTACTTCGGACAATCAACGGAGCTTCTCCTGAATTTCCACGCCTACCGGACTTACAAGATCCTTGATCAATCCCCATCGACAAGCAAATCCTTCACCGCCAAATAAGAGGGATATGGTTATGGCAACAGCCGCCGTTGACCGCTTTGCACCAACTCACTTTGATCATAATCATATTTTTACCAAGAACTTCTTCTTTGACCAGTACTATCATCACAATGGCGCCCTAGTTGCCAAGCAGTTGATTGGCGATGCTCTTCGCCAACGTGTTGAGAATATTGACCATGAGTCTTGCGAGCCAGGTGATGAGGATACCTTCTTTGTGGGCGATCTTGGCGAGGTCTACCGCCAGCATATGAGATGGAAGAAGAATCTTCCCCGTGTGAAGCCATTTTACGGTATGTCATATCACCAAGTGACATTTTGTTACTTCCCGTGCTAATACATATCACAGCGGTTAAATGCAACCCGGACCCCAAGGTTATCCAGCTTTTAGCTGGATTAGGTACTGGCTTCGATTGCGCCTCTAAGTCTGAGATCGAACAGGTCCTGAATATGGGCGTCGATCCGGCTCGCATCATCTATGCTCAGCCATGCAAGACCAATTCTTACGTGCGCTACGTCGCCAACCGAGGCGTCAAGCAAATGACATTTGACAATGCTGATGAGCTGCGCAAAATCGCCAAGCTTTACCCCGATGCTGAGCTTTTCCTGCGCATTTTGACTGATGACTCATCGAGTCTCTGCCGCCTAAGCTTGAAGTTCGGCGCGTCCCTAGACTCCACCAACGATCTCCTGGCTCTTGCCAAGGAGTTTGATCTTAACGTCGTCGGCGTCAGCTTCCATGTAGGCTCTGGGGCTTCTGACCCTCTCGCTTTCTTGAAGGCCGTCCAGGATGCCGAAACTGTCTTCAAGCAAGCCTACTCCCACGGCTTTGACATGAAAACTCTCGATGTTGGTGGTGGTTTCAGTGGTGACACCTTTGAGGATATGGCCCACGTTCTGCGTGAGGCTCTTGACCAGCATTTCCCACCACACATTAGCATCATAGCCGAGCCCGGCCGGTACTACGTTTCTTCGGCATTTACTATTGCTTGCAACATCATAGCTCGTCGCACTATTGACAACCCAAGTACGGGCGAGACTAGCTACATGGCATACGTCAATGATGGGTTGTATGGAAATTTCAGCAGCATTATGTTCGATCACCAGCATCCCGTTGCTAAGGTGTTGCGATCCGGTAACCGGACATTCTACAATACCCCTTTTGCCGATAACCTGCCCGAAGGCGTCAATGCTGGCATTGAGTACTCTATCTGGGGACCTACCTGTGATGGCATTGACCGTATCACTGAGAGCATCCGCTTTGCCCAGGAGCTCGATGTGGGCGATTGGCTATACTTTGAGGACATGGGCGCATATACTAAGTGCTCAGCCACCAAGTTCAATGGCTTCAGTGACAGTCACGATATCATTTATGTGTGCAGCGAACCGGGCGCCAGGGCCATCATGGATCTTTAGCTCACGCAGCAAAGAGCTGAGGGTTTATTGATCATTCACTTTTAGAAAATAGACTTAATGATGGATTTGGTTGCTACCATATTACTTTCGTACTACCTTGGTTATAGACTCAACTTTCCCAGTCGTAAGGCTGGTAATACTCATAGAAAAAGAAATAGAATTGCTTCAATAGCGCAATGTTTTCGACAGTGGTAATCGTTTCTCTCCCGAGTATCAGATTATGGGATCCTTCGCACCCGTACGGCGACCGGTTGGCCCGACCGTGGCGGAGCCTGGTGATGCGCCTGACCTAGATCATCGGCAAGTATGGCGAGAGTGAGGTCGTACGGCATACCTAGCCACCGCCAATATGTGTCTTTGATCCAGGCCGGAAGTAATGGTAACTCCGCGCCCACCTATATGAGATATGTGATTTTTTAAACATACTTTATTGGAGGGAATACAGCCGGTGAATCTGCAGGTAATGCGCCTCCTACGTTTGTATTTGACTTTATAAGGTGCTAAGCCCCCTCTATGTAGCAATGGGCTTACAGTAAGGCTTTCAGCGGTGAACCAGGCGCCTTTTGGATTAAGTACTGACAGGTATAAGAACCATGTTTAGTGTGGCAACGGAGATTTCGCATTCTTATTCCATACAGCCTATTCTATTGAGTCTGAGAATATCAACTAGGCTGTCGGCTTAAGCGAAATGGATGGGCTTTCTATCGCCGCCTCAATCGCCGGGTTAGTTTCAGTGGCCGAGCTCGTGTTCCGAACGACAGCTCGGTACGTGAAATGTGTCAAAGGAGCGGAAACTGAAGTTGAAGACTTGCTTCGCGAGGTTAAAGAGTTCACTAACATCTTACACAATTTGTCCCTTGTCGCATACGAATTAGAGGACCCGCTGCCTACCAATGACTCCGCATCGCAGCCTTCTGCAAACTTGAGGCTGCAGTACCTTAATGATTGCCGGCCAATTCTAAATCGCCTCGAAAAAGGACTGTACGGTCTTAGAGGGGATCTTGAATCACCTTCAAAGTTCAATAGGCTTCAAAGTCGTTTGAAATGGCCCTTCTCATCTGTGGAGATGAAAGAGATGATCCAATCGATACAACGTCAAAAACAGACGCTCAATCTTGCTGTGTCTGCTGATTCATTTTACCAGCTGAAGAAGTATTTATCACGTCAAAAGGATGCATCCAAGCGCTTGAATAATCTCCAGTCGACAGTGACGGAGATACTTGACATTGAAACTAAAATCATTCTCGATAAAACCAGAAGAGATGTCCTAGACTTTTTTACCAAAGAGACTAACCCTCGTCCGAATTTTGAGATGAACAGAAAATTACGTCACCCGCTTACTGGTGCCTGGTTTACAGGGGGTACTGGTTTTAAGAATTGGTACTCCAATCCAGGTGCGAGAATATGGATCAGTGGTATCCCTGGGGCCGGAAAATCTGTGCTTGCTGGCGCAATTGTCACAGAATGCTTTTCGTTGTGTTCGAAGGACGACAGGGTGGCGGTTGCATACTTCTTTTGTTCATACCAGGATGAGAAGACACATCTTGCGAAGAACATCCTATCATCTTTGGCGTCTCAACTTGCCAGGCAGAGTGAAGAGGCTTTTCAGATACTCCACGAATATTACGAAGAGTTACTACCACACGAATATCTCCCAGGGGACCCTTCCCCTGCCAGATTACTCGAGGTGATTACTGATATATCAACTCTATTTGATCAAATTTTCATTATTGTGGATGGGTTAGATGAATGTGTCGTTCATACATGTGAAGTCGTCGATGGCTTGGCCGACCTTTCAACCTCCCAAAACCACGAAATTATCACAATGGCTCTACTGAGTCGGGATGAGTTTCAAATTCGCGAACGACTAGAGTCGGAATTCAAGCACATTGATATCCAAGCACATACAGAAGACATACAGCTATATGTAGCCTCTGAATTGGAGGAGCGAATTAATTCGAGGAAACTTAGGCTACGGGATATGTCGTTGAAGGATCATATCATGACACAACTAGTTGATGGCGCTAAGGGCATGTAAGTGAAATCCAATCGAGCTCTCGAAATGATAATGGATTTAATTCCTATTATAGGTTCAGATGGGTGGCCTGTCAACTAGACCATCTTTGCGAACTATCTACAGATAGAGCAAGGCGTGAAGCCTTAACCAAGCTCCCACCAACGTTGCCAGCTAGTTATGAGCGCATCCTCCATCAAGTACAAAGCTCGAACGAACAAGTACAAAAGCTTGTACAGAAATGTCTTCAATTAATCGCTTTCAGCCGCCACGGACGCCTCAATATCCAACAGATATGCGAAGCAGTGTCGATCTCAATTGACCAAGACACCTTCGAAGAAGACGAGGTTGTCGAAGCAGATGAGATTATGAAACATTGTAGTAGCCTCATTCGAAAGTCGGCAGACTGCAAGACGTTCGAATTTACCCACTACTCCGTGATGGAGTTTCTTGAAGGGATATGTACCACGCATCCGACTCTTTCTTCCTATCACATCTCCGTCGATAAGGGGCATTCACTCCTAGCCCCATTGTTTCTAAGGTACCTGACATTTAAAAATCATGAAGAGACTCCCGTGGAGACGAAGAACTGGATTCAACACACAGTAAAGAGGAATGAAGCACGCCCGCTTTACGAGATTGCTGCGATGTACTGGCTATGGCATATGAGGCGTGAAATGGCCTCTGAAAATACTGCCACGCGACATTTTCTGGGTAATCTGTTTGACGCCAGTAAAACGGCGAGCTTTACTTCGTGGGCGATCGAGTTAATACGCCATTGCCTTTCACGGGAAAGTGTGCCCGCATACCTGATACGGGCCGACTTTGGACGAGACGAACAAACCGCCCTGACTATTATCACCGCCGTTACAAGACCGGACTTTACACCTTTACATATGGCCTCAGCGTTAGGCTTGCCTAATGTTTGTCGGCATCTTCTTGAGCAAGGCGCGAAAGTAGATACGAGAAGCCGTTTCGGTACTCCGTTACATTGTGCAATCGGCAGTTTAAATATATTCATCGAGTCAGAAAGTTGTTATGCTATTCGTATGGGTATTTTGGGGGAGATGGTACCCGCTTGCGCGAGATATCAAACGATTCAAATCCTCATGGCCGCCGGAGGTACTACGTCCTCACTTTTTACAACACCATTTAAGCAGGGAGCACTGCTGTCATTGGCGCGTCTATCCTCTTGGTACGACGAAGATTTTAATGTGATGGCGGACCTGATCAGAGCTGATGTTCGGCTAGATGACCACGATGTGATTGGTTTCGAATATTTTTACAAATTCATTGTTGACCGGGCATCGCCGGATATGTTCAAAGCCGAACATCCTGGAGGCAAGGCGGTCGTATCTCTACTTGAAGCTCTCGGGAGGCCAGAGGATGACTCCGGCCCTAGGTCGCGACTGTATACTATGACTCTTAAATTTGCAAACTCAATGAAAGTGGAACTTGACCGCTCCTTACATGTCCTCGTTATAGATGACTGGGCTAGCGAAGAAGCACTTCGAAAGTTCGCACTATCCGTTATTGAAAATAATGACATAACTTCCTTGGAGCGATTTGTCGAGAGCGGGCAATTGGAAATGCTAAAGGCGGTCAAGCTTTCGGAAGATGACGATGACTGGACAGCGTTACATTCCTGCGTTCAAGCAAGATCAATCGACATACTGAAGCTCTTATTGGAAGTTGGTTGGGTGCCCAACGTGGCTGCAGCGGATGGGAAAACACCCCTGCACCTGTGTTCTGAAGATAAGGACCGGGATATTATTAGGGTATTGTTGGAGCATGGTGCTTCAACTATCATACATGAGGCTGATATGAATACCATTTGGCACACTTGTGCTCGTGTCGGCTCTATCCAATCACTGAAAGTACTTATCGAGTTGGACCAGGATAAGGACACTGCATTGAAGATGCAGTCAAAACAAGGCTTCACTCCAATTTGCGAGGCCCTCAACAAATTTAAAGTAAATGCAGTTCGCCTACTTATGCCTTACTGTAATTCTTTAGAATTCTGGAAAGGCGATATCCTATTTTTCCGGAGAGCTGCTAATATTGGATCGATTGATATCGTCCAACATTTATTGGATATTGGAATACCACTTGACAATCTGGATCCTGATCTCGGAAGTCCGTTGCATTCTTTAGGTCAAGATGCAACTCTCAAACTTGTTAAACTCCTTATATTATTGTTCCCTCACTGTCATATACGATGTGGGAAGGGTAGAACTCCGTTTGAGGAGCTACTCATTTGGTCTATTGAGAAGGATAACGAGGTTCATCCTGATATATTCATTGAGCTATTGGCGGGATTTGGAACGTCTAAATGGCAGCAGTGTGGAAACCTGTGGGCCTCGGTATCCTCAGCGGTAGTGCCGTATGCACTTTCAACTGAAAAAGATATTAATTGGCTCAAACAACTGCTCTTTCGGCTGTCGGAGACTGCTGTGGTAAGAGTGCACGAAGAGGAAATGGGAACATCGGCTTTCGTACAGCTCATTGATCAGTTGGAATCTGTTAGCAATAAACTTTCGCCGCGATCGATGCAGCTCCGACAAGGGAAATGCCTTAGCGACCTTGACGAACCTCAGGTGCTTGGAAACTGGTCTTCGTTTTCCGAAATACTCATTAATATTGCTTCTAAAACGTCTCATTGGGATAGTTCATTAACGCAGGATTCCGCCGCCAAACTCTTATCATGGTCTATTATCCATGACGACACTACAATGATAAGATTTCTGTTAAACAAGGGTGTGGACGTTCATAATCGGGTCGACAATTTATCTGCTATGGAGTTGGCTTGCTTATCACAAGTATCTATTAGCGAAGAAAACTTTTCTCGGCTCCTCTCTTCTGCTCGACACGAGGAGCTTATCGCTACGAACGAAAAAGTTGACGGCTTTAGCCTTGTCCACCTTGCTTCATTTCCCGGGCCCGAAATTTACGAGGACCGCAATACTAGGAAGTTGAAACAGATTCTAGATGCTGGCGTCGACTGTAATGCATGCTCGAATCAAAAGTCTCCACCTCTTTTGTACTCCATTGGGCACTATTACCTCAAGGCTTCCAAAGTTCTTATTGATTATGGCGCGGATGTCTTGTTGGCAAATTCATTTGGGATGGATGCTGCACTCATAGCTGTACAAGTGAACAATTTACCTGCGTTAAAAACGGTCGCACAAACAGTCAGCAGGAAACAACTCACCCCGCTATGGGGGAGGACCTGGAGTGACACTATGGATGGCCACCTCTTCTCGGGTGGGAATGTTATTCACCTTGCCGCTATATCCAACGCGGTAGAATGTATCGAATTCTACTTAAACGAAAAACTCCTTTATAATATCGAGCCTTTGGATGACGATATGGAAACTCCAATGCACTACGCGGCCAGCTTTAACAGCCTGGGTGTAATCGAATTTCTTAAAGAACGTGGCTGCAGCATTGATGCAGTAAGACGCGACGGTTTATCGCCATTACATCTTGCTGTACAATGTAAGCATTTTGATGCAGTTAAAATGTTGCTAGACTTGGGCGCTCAGATGAAGCCCTGCTCCCTTGGAATGACACCATTGGCGTATGCCCACCAAGCAGGCGACTATAATATCATACGATTGCTAAAGACTCATGAGCGCCAAGAGTTTCCCTTAGCTTCCCCCGCTCAGGAAAAAGGGGTGACAATCCTGGCGGAGGCATATTGTGCTGCCATAACCCGAAACGATATTAGCGCATGTGAGGACTTACGCAAACACGGCCGCCTCGTGAACCTGGAGTTGGAGTATCCTTGGCACGTAACTCCTCTCATGGCAGCAGTTTGTGCGAGAAGGGATCCTAAATTAATTGAGTGGTTACTCAATAGTGGGGAGACGATGACCGGTGTGTTTGAGGGGCCTAACATGCCCAATTACATCACTGTTCTGGAGGCTGCTATATCTACATCAATCTACAACAGCCTATTGCCTATGCTATTTGAAAAGTATATTGAACAGGGGGGTGATTTACTTTGCCTCCCTCGCAGTCCTCTCCATATCGCAGTACTGGAGAGAAACCATGAAGGGCTTGGAATTTTACTAAGTGAACTGCGGAAAAGGTACGGCGTAACAAGCAAAACACAGTAAGTCGCACTTGGGACGATGAATTATACATGATAATAAGGCCTAATGATATTTAGACCTCGATGTGGTTTTGAACACCTGAAGTCCGATAGCAAACTTTGCTCATTAATTAACCAGCGAAACCAATTGAATCGCGGCGCAACCGCTCTTCATCAAGCGGCTGGCTTTGGAGACGTCGAAGGTGTCGAGATTTTGATAGCCAATATGGCCAACGTGGATTTGCCCGACGACGATGGGCGGGCGCCTCTTCATTTCGCTGCAAGGAAAGGTTTGGAGAGCGTTGTGGACTTACTCATAGGTCATGGAGCGCGCTTGGAACCTAGGGATAGATGGGGCGAGACACCTCTTATGAAAGCTTGCAGAAGTGGACGACTTAACATTGCGAAGTGCCTCATTGGCTGCAAGGATCCTGGAGTCTCTATCAACGATTACAGAAATAATATGCTCTACCTCTTAACACTTGACAAATCTGGTCATCCCGACGACATAGCGCTATGGGAATTGTTGTGTAAAAAGGGCGTGGACCCCCACCAGGCGACTGTCCTTGGGGTAAGCGCTATTCATTTCGTGTTGGCTCATTCACAACAAGATTTGATAAGGCATCTTATGAGGAAGGAACCCGATTTGAAATGGGCTGCAAGAGTGGAATGGTCCCGATTGCATATTTTGCGTGTTGGAGATATGGGAAGGGGCAATGTTACTCCAATTACGGACAACTATTGCCTTCTCCACCGATATGCCAACCTTAAATGGCCTCTGCGGGTATCAAACTCAGTTACTTCAGGGGAAGAGAGCTTATTTTACTTTGCGGCGTCTTGGGGGCTCGTCAAGGCTCTCGACAATCTTCTCATAATAGGCGCCGACCTTGAACAAGAATTTGGTCAACATGGAACGGCGTTGACGTTAGCATCCGCCAATGGGCACCTTGATGCTGTTAAGTACCTCTTTCGCAAGAATCCAAGAGGAGTACCTGAGCAGAACCAAGTCATCAAGGACGCAATTGGGGCAACGCTCGATCATGAGGAGACAGTGCACTGGTTTCTTGTCACGCGGCATATTGACCAACACAAGGTTGCGTATTGCGAGTCGGATTCTTCTCAAGAACGCATTAAGCAGTGGGGCTGGTCTGGAATCCAGAGTATCCCAATATCATTGAGATGGGACCAGAGACAGCGCAGGGGTGAAAGTATGATGGAATACGCTAAAAGGCGGCGGGAAATAGAACTGTCATTTCGGGGAAAAGTTGCTAAATGAGTAGGTTCGCGATCCTGGTTTGGGTGTCGCTATCACCGACATGGCTCGGAGCTGGGGCTTGTAGCACGCGTTTCGAATTATCTTTCATGGATCATCGGAACATTTCTGGATTGGCGGTGTCGTCACGCTTGATTGGTATGCTTGAAGGAATAGTTATGACATGAACGACGTGTACTTATGAAAGGAATCGGCTCGGAAAAGTATATGAGTATAATATGAATTTGAAGCTTTGTTCTGATTGTGGTAATACCCCGAAAGGAGAGAGGATTCAACACTCACGTTAATGAGATCGGCTTTTAAAGTGCATGAGGCTTCGGTGGGGTTGACGCATAGAACCTACGAATACGTCTATAATCGGTAACTAAATGCTAGTCGCTGAAATGCCGGGTTGCTGACTGCAGATACTGAGCTGAGCTGGACGAGGTCTCGAAATTCGCCGAATGGTAGTAGTATGTAGAGTGCGATTTGAATCCTTTTTACTTAGGTAAGTAGCCTTCTACATGAATCTATTGAAAGTCGGCGACTTTCCATTTTACACTCATACTCTATGTCGCTCACCGAGTAACATATGCAATTTACTATATGACGTATAACCGAGCTTGAAATTGTAATTTTATGAAATGAACTAGGAAGAAGATTGATCTCGCCGGATCTGCGTACTCCATAGACAACCAAAACGGGACCCGGCCGAATTATTAGTGGAACACCGCGCGGGGATTTTCGGAGGATCCGATTTTCTGTACCATGTCCTAATATTGTCAACGGGAGCTAGACTTATTTGGGTGGGGCATAGTCGGGGGAACTATAAAGGGGATAAAGTGCTAAGCCCGGAATATCCGATTCCAACATGGTATTTTCTAATAGTTGTTCCGTGATGATGGACTTAATCGGACTTGTATGAGCACGAACCCTCCATATGCTGAAGTTAAATTAGCTCGTCTTCTCATTGTGAATCTCCCATCCCTCGCTATCACCTTATCTCATCAGTGACTCAAACCCAGGGCAGTACCTGACTATATACACTATCGCGACGGAAAAAAAGCTAAGCTTTCATCATGTCCGTTCCAACTTCTCTCCCCGGTCTGAACGTCCGTGAGTCTATTACCGATGCGCTTTACCGTGCCATCCTCGGCTTCGATTTGGAGGACAGCGCCCTCTTTGACTCGGCGTTCATCCCAGAGGCTACATTCGATCTTAACGGCAGACTCATGACAGGCCTTAAGGCCATCCACACCGACTGTTATGACAATGTTTCGAAGATGGACACTACTCACTTCATGAGCAACATACGTGTGAACTACAAGGATGGAGAGTCCACCGCATCTATGACCGCCTCTTCCTTAGCTCAGCATTACCGCAGGGGAGAGGGCACAAAGCCGGATGCAACCCGTCTCCTTGGTGGCGGTCTGTACTTCCTTGACCTCGTTAAGGATACCAAGGATAACTTGTGGAAGATTACGCACTGGAGAGCGAAGATAGTCTGGACGGAGGGTGACTATGGCGTTATCAGGGGTGAATAAGGGTAGTTCTTGATATGGGAGTGGGCGTCACGACGGTTCTTGATGGACCCCGGAGTTTCAGTGTGCTTTCATACCCCGTCGATATCAAGAAAAGGGGCATAGTAGAAGATTGCGCTGTTGAGTTAGTGTACGATGGAAGCCCATAACTCGAATATTGGTACCAAAATTGTGTTTATTTATATTGTTAGCTAGTTACCTTGACAGAGATCATTGGTTCAGTAACCTCACTAGCCCACCCGATGGTCGTCTAAATAGTCCGCGACCTCCCCCTGTTCTCGTCAATGGTCGTTTGCTCATTTAGTTTCTCTAACTCTTTATTCAACTCCACTTCCTCTTGGATTAAGTCCGCTAGCCTTTTTCGTATGTCTTCGATTTGTCTTCTTAGATCACCCCTAATCGCTCCGGGTTCTGCCTCATTGAATAGGCATGTTAGTATATCTTCTTGATCCGTTAAGCCTCTTTTGTTCTTCCTAATTCCGTCTAGGCGTACACGAATCTCGCCAACACGAGGTTCCGGTTCTATTACGATAGTTAGCTATGTCAATTAGTGATTAGTGGGTAGGGTATGATACCTTTGGTGGGTTGAATATCATGCGCCATCGCCAACGCCTTCAATTCGAAATTATTTTAACTTGTACCCCTCGAGCTCAGGAAATGTGCGTGATTAGAGGTTTTCTTAGGTATTGCCTTATTTCGGCTTTCTACTCATGAAGGCCAGTTCTGCTATTTCTGGCCGTTTTGATTTCAGAGTAGAAAATATAGTAAATCGAAAATTTGACAAGTGAAACCATCTGGATAATATGTATAACCTGCGCCTATCTTTTAGCCCCTACTCATAGTTGTGGCATGGTAGTACTCCTATGTTCTGAGCGGTATGTCGCCACTTTCTGTGCTTCCATCGTCTCACTTCAGTGATCCCGAGTAATACTTGACGGGTTCAGTGAAGAGTTTAATGAGGTACTGATTAACTTTGTCAGCTGTGATAAATCCATGACTGGAACGTTGAGTATTGCAACATTAGGGCCTGCTTGTATCTTTGAACCGAGATCTTTTAAGTATTTCCAAAATATTGAAGATATTAGTTAATACTATAGAAGGGCTTATAAAAGTGATTCTATCATCAACGACGGAAATTGCTCGCTGTGGATGACTGTAGTATAACTATTGCAGGCTGGGATGACTTCTAAACCAAGCGTCTTACGCAGTGCAGTGACTTTTAGTCTTGGGACATGCTAGATGCTACCTACAGCTGCAGTTACGGGCGCTATGGCGGGGTAAAAGGTACCCCGCTCGCGCCCTAGAGCGGAGTTCCGCGGACCCCTGAGTCCCTACCTAGGTACCTAACGGTGCTCTGATTAAAGAGATGCCGACGGATCGACAGGCCTAGCCTAGGCCTAATTTCCACGTTTCGAGGCAATAGCCTAGGTACTTTTCCAGCTGATCTTCGTCATCCTTCGCCTCATTTATGTCTAAACACCACCTCTTTCGCATGGTGATTGCTCGTCTTCTCTGTCTCTTGTAATTGATATTCTGCTAGAACTAGGATTCATGTACAACAGGTAACCTTCTCCCGATGATTCTGTATTCATACACTACCACGTGCTTGAGAGCTGGATCTCAATCTGATAGATGATGGAGACCGCGGCGGAAGCTCCATCCGGCCTTAAACCGAGAAGAACGCGTCATAAGACTGGCTGCGCGTCTTGTCGCTTACGGAAGAAGCAATGTGACGAGCAAATGCCTACATGTTCGAGTTGCCATCGGCTAGGTTTAATATGTACTTGGCCACCTGCCAACGAATTCGCTTGGAGGATAAGATTGGGCGTGTCTTCTAGTAAAGGAAAAAAGCCTAAATCAGTATCGCCTACATCGAGTTAGGATACATCACTGCCGCCGTTCGGATCGGACTCTGCATCCTCGAGTCATGTCGAAAGCCCTTCACGGCCTTTCGCGATCCCTTCCTCTTCGAAGTCATCCCTGCTGCCTTTTCGGACTCTTTAATAATGAACGCCGTTCTTGCTCTCGGGGGTTATTCGTTAGAAGTAACCGGGAACGATGAAGAATTCGAATGGTCGAGATTTCACTACTACGGGCTGGCTATTGAAGACTTGAAAGCTGCTTTGGCCGATCCGATTGTTGATGGCGGCCGGGATACACGCCGGCTTTTGCTTGCCACTTTACTCATGTGTCTTTTCGAGGTTAGTTATTAAATTTTTGCTAGGTATTGGGATGCTGGCTCATTTTTGAGCTATCTTATCGTAGAAGAGCTATTGACAATCTCCTAGAGCATTCGCGGGAACACGCAGGGAATGTTTCAAGGCCACTTACGGGCTAGCCGTGTCCTTGCACAGGCTGTTTCGAATTCCGGTGAGACGGACGACGGTAATTTGACGAACAGTCTGCTTGGACTCTACGCCTACTATGAATTCCTCTCTAGTCTGCGTCTACCGCCCAATGACGAGGACTTTTTTATTCCACACCAATCTACAATGTTCCAATTGCCTTCTGTAGGGGACCATTCGAGCCCATTCGGAGTTGCCGTAGGTGCGGCATGGCCCTTATATCAGATGGCACCTCGTATTTACGAATTTGCGGTAACGCGAAGAATTGAATTAGTAGAGGGAAATGATATGGGCTGTTTAGAGGCATTCGGAAATTTGCGCGATGATATCTGCGAATTAGCGATAGACGATGTAACAAACGGCCCCAATGGACAGACCAAGGATGGCCAGTTTGCCAAGGCGAGGCGCGCCGCAGCGGAGGTCGTGCGGAACGCTCTCCTTCTGTTCTTATATTCTTCATTCTTCGAAGATCGGGCATGCATCTTGGAGCTATCGCAACCTCTTGTCCGATCTACCGTCGAGCTTCTGCCGGATTTCATACTCACGCCCTTAATAAACACGACCTTCTGGCCAATCGTCGTGGTGGCATCGTACGCAACAACAATTGAACATCAGACACGATTTCTTAGTTTCTTACCCCCTGTGATGCCCCTTGTAACCCGAGGCGCCGAGATTCTGAAAGGGGTATGGAGCAGTCCATCAGGTGCGTTTGGCCTAGAAGGCCTGGCAGATATACTTGATGCGCGCGGCGAAAATTACTGTTTTGGATGATTGCATTCATTTTTATTTACGGAAACTTTGATAAGATTCACAGGACCGACTTTATGCGAGGGATCGAATGTTGTACAGATACCATTATGGCAACTCGATTATGCATCTCTAAAGCCAGACACAGATGGATGCTGATAAAATTTCGGGACAGTATCGTGGCTTTAATGACCTAAAACGATTCTGTCCTCACCGTCTAAGTTTACTCCTCAGCATCCCTGCTGCCTTTTCATAGCTGCGCCCTCTTGATGAATACTCCGAGAATGGTTAAAAAACACTACGACCGGATTCCATGGGTTTATTGACGGTTGACCGGAATATATTAATAATTGGTTATGACCACACGATTTAACGGTTGATTTCCAAATCTATAAAAACCGAATTTCTTGATATAGAGGGTCAGTAACCCTCAAGCGCAGCCATAACTTCATTCGCCCCGCGACTCCCCGAGTGTAAGGCACCATCCATATAACCTGGATTCTTCAGCGCAGTCTCGGTTCCGACGAAATGGACATCCCCAAAAGGAGCGCAGAGCGACAGGCCAGCCTCAGAAGTCAGGAGATTGGGACCCATGCCAGGACATGGTCCCCCGGGATACCATTGGTAATTTGACCATGAAATCTCGTGGATAGCGATAGGCGGTGGTACGATTTCGAAAATGGTTCCCATCGCTTTATTGAAATATTCTAGAATCTCTTTTTTCCGCCGTGCTTCTGGAAGTGGACACCACTCACGTGCGTGTTTACCATTGATGAAGCATGTAATAGACCACAGTCCCTGATCTGGATAAGAGGTATCTCGTGAGAAGGTGATGGGGCCGTCGGCGCAGCTAATAGAGCCGGAACAGGCTTTGGGACCTTCACGCCACCAGGGTCTCTCGAACACGAGGACAACTTTGCTAGTATAGCCTAAAATTGTAGATTCGCTAAGCAGCCTCTTGGGCGCAGGAAGCGGCGGTAGAAATTCGATTTGCGAATATGTGGAAGTGGGCGCAGAAATGATGACCTTTTTGCAATAGACGGTTTTGGAAAGACCGGCGGAGACGCGGACGGTCCCAGTCCCCAGCTGCTGGATTTTTGTTACCGGCGTCGCTAGTTGAACCGTGCCGGGATGGAGCTCCTCGGCAAGGCGTTCAGAGAACTGCATAGTACCTAGGATTGAATTGTTAGCTGAGATGCTCCGTGGAAATGGGAGTGGAAATATCTACCTCCTTGGACCCGGAGATATTGTGCCCCATCTTTAGCGTCCGAAATCATATTGGTTAGGGTGGTATGGCGTGCAATGCAGGTCAAGAACCACAGAAAACTCAATTCATCTGGCTCAGAGCTGAACATGGCTCTAGTGAGCGAGCCTGCTGTTTGATGGACCGTGGGATGTGACGAAAACTGTTCGGCGAATTTTCTGGACGTTTAGGATCTATCGTCTTGGCGAGCTCGTCGACAGCTAGAATAAAAGGAATGATATGCTCCTCGTCTACGGATCGATCTGGCTGCTATATTTTAGCGGATGTGGACGCCCTGTTGAGTCAATGTTGTCTTACCGTTAGTTGGCTATAGGGAAAATTATGAACAGAACCATCGGCCTGGATCATGATATTGAGACCCCCCCTTGGCTGTTGCACGGTCTGCATGCCATATTTCCTAGCCAAAGCCCAAACACGGCTCTGATTAGTATCATTGATCCATGCGCCACCAAGATCAACTTTATTGGAAGAGCAGGACGTCGAGTTAACAGAGAACGTTCTACCCCCAACACAATCCGTTGCCTCCAAGATGAGCGTGCGGAGACCACCACTCTGTAAGTCTACAGCAGCCTGAAGACCGCTCAGTCCCGCGCCGACAACAACGACGTCGGTTTCTGTAACATCCTGGAGTGCGGGAGCGGCTGGTTCGGGTGTTATAGACCTAGCCCCACTGATTGCAGCGGTGGCTTCGACCTCGTAGAAAAACCTCGGGTCCGCTAGTGAGGGAACACTGACGAGGAGCGAAGCCGGTAGATTTTCAGATTCATGAATGCCGAACACTGACGCCATAGCCTCCATTAGGGGCCCCAATTTTGTTTGTTCATAATTGACGATGTAATGTCGGACCTTGAGAAGATCCTGGATGCTGACGCCAGCCGACTGCATACAGGCCCTTAAGTTTTTACATGCCTGCAGGACCTGTTCCTCGTATGTTTCAAGGACAGTTCCATCTTCGAGATAGCCAACTTGACCCGATATTTCAACGAGTCGACTTCCCGGCGCCGCGACTGTTACGTGGGAGTATCATTTTGGTTGCGATGTGCCAGCTGGCTTAATGATATAAGAGATGTTTTTTTGGCCGTAGGCCCAGCAGGCCGGGTTCGACCCGGATACCACGCCATTTCTTTTATTAACGGTGCTTTGTACGTGTAAAAATTGAGCTCCCATTCTGCGATCGTGTCCCCATTTTAAGGTCCCACAGAGGAATGAATCCAGTACAGTTTATAAACCAGCGGGCCTTCCAAAGCCGAAGATTCTCATGACCGTGCGGACGTTCCTGTCGATGTGACAGCGTAGCATCTCGACTATTTCGGAGCCCGCGGGCGCGCTGAGCTTGTGCACCGCGGGGCTGGATTTTTTTACCCACATCTTAGCACCCCAAACAACTGATAGAATCCCTGTATTTAGGGTCTACGATAGCCTATTCTGGGGCGGTCTTGGCGGGGTAGGGAAATACTCTTATCTAGGCGCCAGATTCCACCAGAAAGAAAAAAGGGAGTCACCTAAGGGACGAAAACTCGTAGACGTTGAACGCTCAGGTCCCCGTATCACAATCCATATCAACGATCTCGTTTCTATTTTTATACGAGTCTCACTCTTTCTCATTCCAGAACAAGTTATTCATTTGGAGCTATCTAATTGCATAGAATGGCAGAAACTCACGAGCTTTCGGGCTTACAGAAAGCCAAACTCTGGATCAAGCTGCCTTTTGTCGGTACGGCTTCTTAAACATATACATTCGCCCTACTAGATCATTACTAACCTATCTATAGGCATTCCGGTTTTCCTTTACCTGGCCGTGAGGAATACTTTCATTGTTTTCAAGCGCGGCATTACACCGGTTTTCCCCTGGGCTATAACTGCGCTGTCACGTACACTAATGACCGTATTCACACCACTTGAACTACAATTCCTCGCTCCTGATCCTTTGTCCCTCTACACATCTTGGATTAAAACTACACGGAGAGAGGCAGCGATTAGCGAAGACACATTTTTATTATCGCGAATTAAAGCTGAAGTAGATACTCTCATCGATGAGCAAAATCCTACTGAGGGCATTAGCTTGTTTTGGGTTGGCGATCGTCGCAAGGCTCAGAAAATCGTTTTATATTTGCCCGGCGGTGGCTACGTTGTGCCTCCTATGCACGGCCATTTTTTCGCTGCACTTAACGCTTTCTTGGTCCCTGGGAGTAAAGTTGGAGTTGAGGTTGCAGTAGCAATACTCCCCTACTCTTTGGCACCCGCAAGAAGATACCCAGCTCAACTCCGCCAAGCAACCCTTGCCCTCAAGCGTTTCCTCGACTATGGATTCCAGCCCAGTGATATAATTCTGGCAGGGGACTCCGCAGGCGGTGGCCTTGCGGCAAGCCTAATATTTCACCTAACCAAACCGAACCCGTCAATTCCGTCTATTGAACTGTCACAACCACTGGCTGCCACCCTTCTCTTTGGGCCCTGGCTGAGTGACAGAGTTGATTATGCGAGCTTCCGAGAAAATCAGAACATCGACGAGATATCTCCAGACATTATCAATCGTTTCGCAGACGAATGGTTACTTAAATCTCTGGAGTATAGCGAAAATCCCAAACTACACAAGAGCTATGCATTTCCAATGAGCGACAATGAAGATGCCCCCACACAATTGCCTTTCGGTTTATTGGCTCGAACAATGAAAAACTTGGTCGTTATCGTGGGGGCAAATGAGGTTCTGAGAGATCAAGGGGTCGAATTTGTGAATATAGTGAAAAGTCACAATCCTGGGATGAAGATTAAGCTGACAGTTGCTGAAAATGAGGGACATGTATTCTGTATGGCAGACGCCGAGCGGGGTATCATAGGGGAACCGCTAAAAAGGGTTCGAGATCAGTTTGTGGAAGCCCTTGTATCGTGAGCACCGCTCTAGGACTGCAGAATAATTCCCGATGAAGTTATACACAAATCGACGAATAGAATACGAATATAAATCTAGTCTTTGTCCTTGTAAATTTTCGTGAATTTTGTCGCCTCCTGTCGATTGTTGGCTTATTCTCTTGTCAAGAGGACCCGCCTAGTTACCTAGGTATCGGCTTAATGTGTTGGGGACGCGAATATGTAAAAGATTTTCCCTATAGTTTCTTAGGTACCCATACTATTTTCCACGTATTCACGTAGCTGAATGGGCTAAGCATGCGTCCCTACCTAGGTACCTAGGTAGGGATGCAGAGAAGGTAGGCGAAGCTTGAGGACCCTGCATGGTAGTTGATATCTTACCGCGGCGCGACGGAATCTAAGCGCTGGATATTGGGTAGCCTGGTCGCTAAATCTTGCCTAGTGAATCCCCTATTTTCCGATAGACCTTCAACCACACGGTTGCCATCGAATCCAGCATCCAGGCTAACCTCCTGCAAATCACGATTTCTCTAAGTGCTGATGTTTTAGAGCAATGGTGGTGGTATACCGATATATTCGCAGCAAGATGGAATTATCTACATGCCACCCCTCCCCTCCACATGGAGGAAGTTCGGATTCCAAATCAAACGGCGCCCAGGAAGCGGGTACTCCACTGAATCCACCGACAAAGGCGCTGGTCCAAGAAGACCGCCCAAAACCAAAACGACAACGAGCTTTGAAGGCTTGTGTCGTATGCCGACGACGAAAGGTACGCTGCCACGTCGTGGAGATCCAGCCATGCTCCAGGTGCAAGACTAAGGAACGCATCTGCTATGTCCAGGCTCGTAAGAGAAGATCCGATGGAGTTTGGCCTCGTCGTCCTTCTAAAACTCAGTAAGTTTCGTTCAATCCCCTACGCACCTACTAGTAGGCCCACTAATACCTATCGGGGATATAGAAATCTCAGCGACAACACAAATATTGATACAAGAGCCTTCGACAATGCTGTAACATTGTATGGCCCAGCCAACGCTTGTTCCTATCAGAGTCTCGGAGCCCCAGTTTCGAACCTCATAGCTGATACTGAAAAGGGATATTCGATGCACGAGTTAAAAATGGTAGACCCTCTACAGCCGGTGAATTTCACCACTTTTAGCGACTATGTCCTAGCTATGTCGGTCGAGATGCTACATTTAGAAGAGCATGGGTTTTTAATCGCAACAGCAGTCGTTATTGTCCTCCAAGAAACGCGCGTCCAACGCCTTCTACTCCAAAGCCAAAACCCAACAATAAGTGGAAGAGCATATGCACGGCTGCGGGAATGCAGAGAAACGATTAAACGGCAAAAAGCCCGCCAGAGCCAACGTGGCATCACAACTCAATTGTTGGATAGTGTCTTGAACGCAAGACGTTGGTTTAAAGGTATGTCTTGGCCAGAGAAATACCAATGTGACAGAATACAGCTACAAAGTTAACCAAATATTAGGACTTCGATTTGTTAGCACGTCTATGAATCACCCCCCTTTAAACTTAGCTACGATAGTGAAGGGAAACGGAAATTGATGTTCTATTTGCTCGTTACAATTATAGGGCGTAGCGTGCTGAAACCCACCGAAACTACAAGGCATATCTTTTATAATCGCGAGCTGAGCTGGCCTTGCTGCATTAAGCTCAAAGTTAAACTTAAGGTTAGAGTTGCTACTCAAAATATAAGGTTAACAGGACTACATTTTGGTGGAATCTAGTGCCTAGGTACATGTACACCGTGATGTTTCTAGCAATTGGTTACAGTGTAAATATATATGTATATCCATTAATATCGCAGTGCATCGCTCATCATATTTGAATTTGGGTACCTATCTAGATACCAAGTTAGGTGGGGCCCCGCCATCATTCTGGAGTTTTGCCGTATTTTCTTAGACGTAACTAAAATTATCAATCACATCTTTTTAACGAGTTTTGCTATATTCCGTTTCTGCTTAGCATTGAAGCAGCCGGCCATTTCAATGCTAAATGAAAAGAATTTACCCAGGTCAACTTCTAGTCAACGTGTACATGATTACGCTTTCGTACTATTAGCGCCTTGACCATCTACCGGCCCCAGAATAGACCCATGAAGGTGCCATCCCGCGCCTCTCTGATGTTGGAAGATGCTTTTTGGATCATACTTGTCGCTCACCAAGGCGAGGAAATCTTTGGCTGTTGCTCCATACCCCGAGTACACATCCTGAAAAGGGTCGGCATAGTTCAGGTATATATACTCATGATGCAACCCCAGTCTTTTCGCTTCCGTCTGTGTCCTCTCTGCTGTTGAGCGCAGTGCTTTTCATACACGCTCGCTTTGCGCTGTTTCCATCCACAGGGACTCCATCAGAAATAAGAGAAAAGGCCCTTTGCCAGCAAGCCCGAGAGCGTTGCCGCCATTTCGACTCATGGCGTCGACTATATTCTGAGATACGAAATTGACATCTGCTAAAGCAGCCTTGTCAATGCCGTCTATATCGAGTAGCGGATCGACCTCTTCACGCCATGTTTCCATGAAGTATTTAAGGATTCGCTTGTCTACCTGTGTACAGAACGTCCAATATCCATTGTGGCATCCTGTTGGATAGTGACTGACGATGCTATCAGTTCGCTCTATCTGACTAGTCGGGCCTGTCGCGTCTAAAAGAGAGGGAATTTTGAGAAATCGGCCGAGAACAGATCGTTTTTCTGGCGGAGTTGGCTTGAGATGCTCCAACTCAGCATACCATATCCATTGACCTTGGTAATTGACTGTGCCTAAAATAGCAGCAGCGTCCGCATTGCCGACGTTGTCCTCGCCATATTCAATGAAGGTGTCGATGATGGCGTCACCGTGCTCCCAAGCCCAACTGACGCCGCCACCCCATATGCCTTCGTAGGGATACACGGCGAGCTCCAAGTCTGTAACAATCCCAAAATTGGCGCCCCCACCGCGAAGCGCTTTGTAAAGGTCTGGGTGGGACGAAGGACTTGCTTGCAACATTATCCCACCAGAAAGTACCACTTCAAATGACAAGACGTTATCCAGCGCCCAGCCATGGCGATTTGAGAAAAATGAAATCCCCCCTAACATTGTCTCAGTATGTAATAAGATCGCGGTAGAGTAATAGCTTACCAGAAATGCAAAAACCTCCTACTCCCACGGTCGACGCCCTGCCGCCTATAACCGTGAGCCCTGCTGGGTTCAATTGTCCATAGACCTCCGCCCATGTACAACCAGGCCCAACTCTGCAAGTGCGCTTATCCTCCGATAGCTGGATATTGTTGAGGTACTTCAAGTCGATGAGAACACCAGCCGATATAGAAGACTCCCCTTGGGACCTACCGTGCCCGCCACTTTTAATCGCGAATGGGCATCCAGTTTCTTCCAGAACGCTCAGAACTTCAGCTACCCCTTGGGCATTCTTGGGTTGACGAATGCAGTATGGTGTGCAGTCAGCCTGCTCTTGCGACCAGAACCCCTTTCTTGCCTCCTCATACGCTGGTGTGCCTTGCATGAGAGTGAATGTCGACGGTGATGTACCTAGTAGTTTGGCCTATAACATGTTTAGCCTAGCCTAGCGTCATAGGCCTCACCGGCGGGAAATCATACCGTTCGAAAACCCTTGGAGTTGAATGATTCTTTACCCACGGTTTCAGTCATGTTGGAATTGAAGCAGAGAGCGAATTAGTATATCACGCAAAAGATTGCTTGAGTGTTATTGTGAGACAATGTCGAAGGTAATTGAATTTATGCTATTAAGACTCACTTGGCTCTTTATATCATGAGATAATTTGGTCGATTTATCAAGAATTAGGTAAATCCAAAGGAATATTTAGGGGAAGGTACAGTACATCTGCTCTATAAATGTCTGTTAGATTACGTACTGCGGACCCTAAAAGTAGCGCTTAGATCAACTTAGCCTGCTTGAATACCTATCGTACCTAAGGATACCGATACCACTGAAGTAGGAATTGGCATAATTCTTCGGTACAAATCCCCATTTTAGATCGCTTATGACGGGGTTATTACTGCTACTTCTATAATATAGTCGCTACGAAGACTTCTTGATCCATGCACTTTAACACGGGCCCGGGAATCCTAGCCGGTGGGTTTATGTGTGCATATAACTTATCTTGAAAAGCTCGTGCACTATTTCGACTGGTTCTAAACGTCCTAAATCTTACAAATAAGCTCTATCATGAAGAACTTCATCCGCAAATTCTTGGGTAGTAGATAGGACGCGATTTACATGCTCCTGGTCATGCAGAAGATTTAGTGCTAAGAAACCTCGAGATCCAATATAGATCCGCTTGCTTAGGAGGTAAAAGTAGAACAAGCGACCTAAATTGCTCCCATCGGGTCCCAATAGCCGTATCCCAATAACATTTCCAAAGCCAACGATAGTTGCTTCTGCTGATGACTTGGCGAATATCTCCCTAAGCCCAGTTCGTATGGCCTCTCCGTACCTATTAGTCCTTTCAAGAGCCTCGCGAGTCATAGGCTTGACGGCTACGATGCCTGCGCTCATGGAAAAGACGTTGTTACTCAGGTCCCTGAATGGTACAGGAAACCCCGAGGCGATCGCGGGTCAAATAGTTCCATAATATGCCTTTTCCCACCAAAGGCGCCAAATGGGAGTCCACCACCAAAGTGCTTGCCTAGTGTCGTCATGTCAGGCGTGATTCCAATTTGCGATTGCATCCCCCCGTAATACGCACGAGAAGTCACGACCTCGTCGAATATCAGAACTGCGCCGATCCTCGTTGCTTCGTCGCGGAGAAATTGGAGGAACTCCATAGCGGCAGGAACTGCACCACCGGCGAATTGGACTGGTTCGATAAGGATGACTCCAATCTCAATGTCAATTTTTTGCTTTGTTTTTGCGATGTCGTTGTAGATGCCGTACACGAATTGGTGGGGTAGATTTAGGGGATTGGCATGAGAGAATGAAAGCGTGCCTCCGTGATATCCTCGCTCGAAGACAAGCACCTGTATCACAAATTATGTCAGCGCAAACGTCTCCTCATTTTCTACTTCGGTATACATGGGAGCTCTGACGGGGGTTTACCTTTTTCCTATGTGTATAAGCGAGAGCGGTGGCAATCGCCATGGTGTTAGCTTCAGTGCCCGAATTGCAAAATCGGATGGCGTCAATGCTTGGGAAACGCTCGACTAGCAGCTTCGCAAGCTCACCTTCCTTCGGGGTCGGCCCTCCCAAGACAAAGCCAGATTTTGCTGTAGCCTCGATGGCCTCGATGATTTGAGGATGTGAGTGCCCGAACATGCCAGCACAATATTCAGACACAAAATCCAGGTATTCGTGGCCATCTAGGGAGGTCAGATACGCATCTCTACCACCAGAAAAAGAAATGGGAAACGGGTCCTGCGAAAGGACGGCTCGAGTCGTCCCTCCAGGAAGGGTGTCAGATGCATCCTGATTAAACTCTTTCGATTTGGTGTTTTCTTTGACGTAAACATCAATATGGCGTGCTAGTTTATCTGCGATATTGGTTTTGAAATCCACCTCTCCTTGGTTGACGGTCGCCATCTTGGTTATAGCTATTCACAACGACTCGTCCCTAAACTGCTAGAGACGATTGATTGTAAAAGCAGCAATGATAGATAAATTATATGTCTGCATCGTGTCTAGAATTAGTTGGTACCCGTCGTTTCTATCTAGGTACCCATATCTCCATTGATCATACATCTTTTCCGAGACTGTTACCGTAGGTGGGCATTGCTAGCGGCTTAGTGGTGCCTAGATTCAGAGTCGGGGCCCGCGGGGCCTGTAAGCGGTGGCATGTCAACCCCGAAGCGGAGGGGAGGATAGCGCTTAGATTACAGTGCACTATTACAGATACGTTTACTTAGGAGAACATCTGATCTCCTAAGGATACTATACGAAACATTAGATGGAATCCCACGTTACCGAGGCAGTATGGATGACTCCTCTGCGATTGAGCATAAAAAGATAAATTATTTTGCCTCCTAGAGCAAGACTGGCAAACTTCACATCGTGAGCCAAATGTCCCGGAGCTTTCTTACACCACCTCTAGAATTGAACATATCAAACTATAATGACATCCTCCGACCAAACCGGGGCGGCACTCGCCCGCGTCTTGGCCAAATACGAAGAGGAACGACGGAAGAGATTGCGACCAGAGGGTATCGCGCAGTTTGCCGATGTCGCCCGAACCGATAAATTCAAGCACTTTGCGAAAGACCCGTGGGCCACCAAGGATAATCCATATGTATCGCAGAAGCCTCCAGTGTCCAATGGAGACCATGCGAGGGTGGTTATTACAGGTGCTGGTTACGGCGCTCTGCTTATCGCTGCCCGCCTCATAGAAGAGGCTGGCTTTAATTCTAATGACTTTGTATTTGTCGATTCCGCTTGGGGTTTCGGTGGTACATGGTACTGGAATCGCTACCCAGGCTTGATGTGTGATTTTGAGTCATCCTGTTATATGCCATTGCTGGAGGAAATGAGTTACGTCCCCAAGCATAGATACTCATATGGGCCGGAGCTCAGAGCTTACGCTGAGCTGGTTGCTGCAAAATGGGGCTTTAACAATAGAGCTCTGTTTGGTTCGACAATCAAGGACACCACATGGGATGATCAGAAATCTGAATGGGTTACCAGTATTGCTCGGGAGACTCCAAAAGGTCCGCAAGAAAGTTTTAAGCTGCGTTCAGACTTCTTCATACTGGCGTCTGGGTTACTCAACCCGTCCCAAACTCCCCCGGTTGAACGGCCTATTGAATTTTAGTGGTCATGTGTTCCATACCTCTCGTTGGGACTACGAGTACACAGGCGGAACCCCCGAGAACTGGAACCTCGATAAACTAAAAGGGAAGAAGGTCGCTTTTATTGGAACAGGCGCTACAGGGATCCAGGTCATTCCTCAATTGGCGCATTGGGCCGATCAGCTATATGTTTTCCAAAGAACACCGTCTGCAGTTGACGTGCGTGGCCAACGGCCTATCAAGCCAGAAGAGTTTCTCAAAGAAGTCACCGTCGGAAAAGGGTGGCAAAAGGAAAGGAGAGAAAATATGGCTGCCTTTTTGAGCAATGGGCCGAAACTTCCCGCTAAGAAGCTTGTCGATGATGGATGGACAAATTTCCCCTCCTTTTCTGGGATGGTCGACTCGCCTAGGGCGGAAGATGTGACGATGGAAAATGTCGAGGAGTATATCACTGGACTGCATGTTCTCGATTTCCCACGCCAGGAGAGAATCCGAGCTCGCGTAAGTGAGATAGTTAAGGACACGGTTACCGCTGAAGCACTTAAGCCGTGGTATCCTGGCTGGTGTAAACGCCCTTGCTTCCACGATGACTATTTGGACGCCTTTAACTATCCCAACGTCAAGCTAGTTGACACTGATGGCAAAGGCGTGAATGGTTCCTCTGAGACAGCTGTTCTGATCGACGGCCAGGAAATCGAGGTCGATGTTGTCATCCTCGGTACCGGCTTCGAGTCTTTCACCGTGGGCAGCCCGGCTTATCGAGCTGGCATATCCATCACTGGACACAATGGGCTCTCTTTAGACGAGAAGTGGACCAAAGTGGGCGCGTCAACGCTGCACGGCATCTTCTCAAGAGGCTTCCCTAATCTGCTCCTCACTGGTGTTAGCCAGACTGGCGCTACGGTCAATGTTATCCACGCTATTGACGTACTCGCACAACACGCCGGTCAAATCATCGCCGCACTTCAATCAAAACTCACCGGCAGCGATAAAACTAGCAATTCGAAGATAATCATTGAGCCTACCGCACAGGCTGAAGAAGCCTGGGCTCTCCAAATTTTAGCTCGCGCCTTTGCCTTTGCTGGTATGCCAGGATGCACGCCAAGTTACGGCAACGCGGAGGGCGCTCAACCAAAATCTCAGGAAGAACAGATCATCGCAACAAGACTAGCTCCGTGGGGCATGGGGATTAACGATTACACTAAAGTCGTCAGTGAATGGGAAGCTAAGGGTGATCTAAACGAGCTCGACGCCCAAATAATAAAGGCGTAAGTAGCCCCTGAAAATCTCCTATAAAATATTGAATAGAGAACTTAAAGTTTTGTGACTACGAATAGACCTTCAACTCCAAAGTCCTGAAATAATTCCAATATCAGGGAGGATGGTTCGGGGTGCTTCCTGTAAATATAGCGCCTAGATGTTCGCTACAATAAACTGGCCAATTAGATCGTGGGGCATTTCCTAATTTGGAAAGTGTATGATCAGTACTAGTTATGTACCTAAGTACCGACATCTATGTAGGTAACTCAGTATAATATGTAAGAGATATCGGATTAATACTATTATAAGTGATCTCAATATATGCTATATGATGAATGTATAGCCGATTCAATCGCAATTCAACGATGCGAGTGGTAGATGTATCCTAACTTTATCAGGGCGAATTTCAATGCTGTATTTCCTTTATAGTAGCGTTCTACTACGAGTAAGTGTGGATGGCCTTGATAATATTAGTCTAGGATTCGTAGCTAGCGAGGGGGAAGACCAAGCCCATATCTTCTCCCATCGGTTACCTGGATCCAGGCGTACGTCTCCCTGCAATCATGGGCACCCATGGGTGAGGGTGAAGGGTGATATCGGAGATACCCCGCATCTTTACCCTGGACTGCTATACGTTTATCATCCAAGATCTAAGCGCCGGGCGCCTAAATCGCAAGGTTAGTACAGACCTGTTGTATCAAGGGGCGAGGACAGACCTGCGTCACTATTACATTCCCGATAGTGATGTGAGTAACGAGGGGCTCTATGTATAACACTCAGTGTTCCCGTAGTAGGCACCATGTGGCGCAGAGAAACCTAGAAACAACTTGACCTCTAAAGGAATGCGGGGACCCCGCATGTTTGATCCCAACTATAATCTCAATATTATTAGGGTCGCCGCCTTGGGTTTGGATTGCTTGCAGGATAAGAATGATTTATTACGTTCTATTCTCGAATCTTATATTTTCAGGCGAGCTTTGGTGTTACAAGGCCATATGTTAATAGTAACTTGTAGACCCTTATCTATGAACCGTGTTCTCGGCCCCGTCTGGTGAGAGGAGAAGATATGTTATCAACGCCGTGATCGTCACCACACCATGTAGAGCGTTCTTGAAATGGCTTAATTACCCAGATAGTGTCGCAAATCCGACGGGGTCCCATTAGAGTCCACTCTGGACGAATCACATCACCCCGAAATCCCACCAACTCTCCAAAACCGAGACGCTAAATTATTCTGTATCTACCACATCTAGTTATAGCGGCGATCTCTCCTGTTATACTTATCACCTAGCACGCGTATTAGGATCCTGCTGGTTAGCAATGTTGTGTCCTGAATCAGCTATAAAGGCAAGCATAGTCGTAATGTCTTCGTAGAAATAATTTCGATTGCTCCTCCTTTCTATTCTTCGCCCCATCACCAACTACGTTAGGCATTTAGTTTTACCGGTCTTTACACTGTGGTATTCAGCTCATCTGCCTCATCATCATGGATTTTGAAGGGTCTCAGGACAAGGAAACTACTATGGGAGCAGCCCCTCTGTCCCCTAAGACTACGAAACAGGAAGGCCATATTATTGAGGCATCAAACCTCGATAAGAATCGTTTTAGTATTTGGAGTACAATTGGTATTCAGTTCGCAGTCGCCGCCGCTCCCGTAGCTGTCACTGGCTACTCTTCCCTTATCCCCGGGGCTGGAGGCAGTACCTACTTCTTTTGGGGCTACATCGTCGCTATTGCAGGCCAGCTCATAATAGCCCTATCGCTAGCAGAACTAGCTAGCGCCCTCCCGCATGCCTCAGGTAAGTGTTATTTTCATCTTCCCCAATCCATTGGTAACATAGTCACTCACGAATTGTCTGAAACATAGGTCAGATATACTGGGCTTTTGCCCTTGCGCCACCTCGCATGTCTCGTTTCCTGAGCTATTTTAATGGAACCTGGACCGTCTTCGGCTGGATATTTGCTACAGCAGCATCGGCCATATTTGCCGCAGACTTCATCATAGCATTCGCCATGATAGTATCTCCCGACTATATACCGCATTCCTGGCATGTGTATATACTAGCGGTTGCTGTGATCTGTATTGGGTTTATACTCAACACGGCCCTCATTGCAATATTTCCATTCATTACAAGTTTTATGATCATCTTCCTTTTCACTGCCCTCTTGGTCAAGACTGCCGCGAAAGCCTCAGCACAGACGACTTTTGTGGACGTCATCAACGAAACGGGTTGGGATTCCGACGGAGTCGTCTTCCTTATCTCACTGATACCCGGCCTGTTAACTATTTCTCTATTTGACACCGCCATTCACCTTGCCGAAGAGATGCCGGATCCAGCTAGACAGGTTCCCATTGTCATGCTTGGTAATGTCTTGCTCTCAGCTGTAGGGGGGCTGACGATGGTAGTTGCCTTAATATTCTGTACGACTCATCCCGAAAACTTACTCGAGCCGCTAGGTGGACAGGCTATACTTCAAATTTGCTGGGATGCATGGCCCTCACTCGGATTCTGCATCGCCACGTCCGTGCTATTCGTGGCAAATTACATGAATGGGATGACGACAATTGTTACGGCCTCCAGTCGGGTTCCCTGGACGTTCGCAAGGGCCGGCGGTCTTCCGTTCAAGGGCTGGCTGTCGCACGTCGATCATCGGCTACATGTGCCTCTAAATGCAGTGCTCACCGTATGCATTGTTACGGCAGTTGTCGACCTTCTGGAATTTGGACCTTCTACGGTCCTAAATGGCTTATTTGGCGCAGCAGGTATCTGCTTCGCAATGTCATACGCTATGCCCATTGCGCTCCTGCTCATCCGGGGTCGCGGGGGTCTCTCCAATAGGCGTTATCTCAATTTAGGGGGTTTTGGTGTACCCCTAAATTTTATTGCTCTAGGCTAGACTGCTTTGATTTGCGTCGTCCTCTGTATGCCCACCACGATGCCTGTCAAGACAGATACGTTAAACCTCGCACCAGCAGTATGGGCGGTGGTAACGGTCCTGTCATTGCTGAATTGGACTTTGGTTAAGGATAAATATGACCTTCCCACCGAGTTATTGCAAAATGTAGAGTAGAGGGCTTCAAATATACATATTTATAAAGTGTGGGTTTTCTTCCTTCACGTAGGCATTGTACCAAGCTACCTAGGTACCTAGGTAGGTATACAAGTAATCTAAGCGCCCCTAGCACTAAATCTAGGCGCTCCCGTCTCGTCCGCATCCCACTAGCCATCAAGCTGCCCATTCACTCTACGGCAGTCATCCAGGACAGGAAGCCCTCACTTCCAGGTGACTTCCCAAACATATAGTTTCGTGTAGCCTCGTATATAGACACCACATGACAAAAAAACATTTGGATCTGTGATGGCCCCTCCGGATCACAGTCTTCACGTTTGGTCTAACTTTACTCCGTATAATGGCGTCGATTGACCAAAAATCTACAACAGTTACCAGCCGTGCGACCGTAGCGGTAGATGCTCCTATTCCCAGCTATTCAAACCGTGCTAACATACGTTCTAGCAGAATGCCGTTGCCGCGCTTTACCCCACTCAAGTAATTGATCACCCGTCCACGTTATTCTCAGAGACCAAAAACTCGTTTTGGAATACATTACAGGGGGAGAAAGTACCAGCTTGCTTCTTTCAACCTACAGCAGCCGAACAAGTTAAGAATGCCCTCGTAGAAGTCGTACGAGCGAAAAGCCCCTTCGCCATTAAAGGCGGCGGTCATTCTTCGAACCTTAAGGGTTCGAGTATCCAGGACGGATTTCAATTCGACCTTGTCAATCTCAATCATATCGAAATAGCGGATGATAAACGTAGTGTGAAACTTGGACCAGGCCTGCGGTGGGGTACCGTTTTTAAAGAACTGGAACGAAATCGTGTAATAACTCCAGGCGGACGAGATGCCAGCGTCGGAGTCCCTGGGTTTATCTTTGGCGGTATCCTAAACTTCCCACATACCTTACAATTAGAAGAAATAATATGGCTGACATGTTTGCGTCACAGGTGGTCTATTGTCAAAATGGGGTTAAGGCAATATATTGAGTAGCTATAATCTTTTTACGATCTGCTTGCCGTATCTTCCTCCCTCCATCTCTCAGGGAGAAGCTACTCTTCTTTATGCTGTTTGACAGTAGTATATGATGTTCAGTACAGCTTCCTTTCTTGGATACGAAATAGCCAAGAGCTGTGTTGGTGCCTTATGTATATTACAGTGCTTACAGCGCTTCCTTTTGAGCCTATCATTTCTCATCCATACATGTGTTGGTGATGGCTTCCTATCAGGACGATACAGGTGTCATAACATCTATTGTATTATTCTAACCAATATGGCTGGGGAATCGATAGCTTAGTCTCGGCGGATATAGTCCTAGCCAACGGCGAATTAGTTACCGTTGATAACGACACACACCCTAAACTCAACAAGGCTCTCCACGGGGGCGGCGCGCACAACTTCGGCATCGTCACGAGCTTAACTCTGAAGTTGTACCCCTACGACGGTATGTGGGGCGGTATGAACCTCGTAGCTGAAGAATACTTTGATGACGTCTTCGCCGCCTACGACATATATACGCAGAAGCTCCTTGATGATAAAAAAGCTCACATGATTATGGACTTCGTCAGAAGAGACGGAGAGATGTTCGTCGCCCAATTTATCGGCTACACGGAGCCGCGGAAAGATCCACCTACCTACGACGCAATCCTCCGTATACCAACCGTTGCTAATACCTTACGTCTTGCTGATTATAGCGCTCTGGCGGAGGAAATGACAGAAGTGACGGATTCACGTGGGAAGCGAAACGCATATTGGACACTAGCCATGGAATACGATATCAACCTCCTCAAATCCGCCTGCGCGCTATGGGCCAAAATGACAGAACCACATGCCAATCACTTTCGCTTCGCGTTCGATGTCAACCACATTACCGCCACAATGCGAAATAAAGCTGCTCGTGAGGGGGTTGGAAATATATATGGACTCGAAGGCCCCGATAAACCGCTGACGAACATCTTGCTGACTGCTGTGTGGGAGGATGGGTCTGATGATGAGACGGCGATGGCTATTTTGCGCAGCCTAGGTACTGCGATAGAAGCGCTTGCCCAGCAGGATGGGAAGGAGTGTTTATTCAAGTACATGAATTATGCCCATCAGGATCAGGATGTCGTCGCTGGGTTTGGGGAGAAAAATAAGGCTTTTCTGCTGGATGTTGCCGCGAAATATGACCCCGAAGGAATCTTCCAAAACCTTCAGTTAGGGGGCTTTAAGCTTGAACAGCGCAGCCTTCGCAAATAGACACTTTCAGAGAATGATGTGCTGGCGAAGAAATGTCTGCCAAATTCAAAAGACTTATATCACGTCATCTTTAGAATGTTTTAAGGGAATTATGATACGAGAAAAGAGAAAAAAAAAAAAGTAAAAGAAGGAGAAGAAGAAAACGCAAGTTTATTCGTGTTCTTAATGGTTGGCATTCGCTAAAAAGAGTACCTAGGTACTGAATGAAAAAGAGCTTTTAGGGCGTCACCGCATAAATGATACTTTCTAGTGCGCCTAAATTTAAAGGACAGTGTGCATTACAGTCACTAACGATAGCAACCCCTCGCTACCTAGGTATATTTATCTAGTAATATAGTACAAGGCAAATCGGTACTGTACCATGAACATGACGGGTCGCTTTGCTTCAATGAAGAATCATACATTTCTAAACGCATCACAGCAGATTGATTAGGATTGGATTGCGCCCCAATTAGCCATCGCACAAGAAAACCCTTCCTTTAGAAAGGAGAAGAGAGATTCTATAGCCGGTATTAATGGACCTAGTAGATACGGAAATTGTTTGACTTACATTCTAGTAACTTCAAGATTGATTCTTCTCTTGACGAAAATTTGATACAACTGCCGAAATTAATAGTAAAGCAAATCCGGACTCATGACATTAAATGCCACTGTATTTGTTTGATATTAAAGCGTGTGGTGCCCAATTATATCCACTAATTACCAGCGCTCCTAGTGGGTTACAAAGGGCACCCACCCTTATTGCCAACCCTCATATTAAGTACATAGCTGCTAAAATACATGAATGTTTCTTTTACGCCTATAATAACCTCGATACCCATTGTTGATGAGATATGTTAAACAGGATCTGAAATATCTTGTCAATCGCCACCCTTTGCTAATTAAAGTGCAGTGCCGGCGAGGGGACGATCGCTAGGCTGCGCATAGGCTGCGCTAGTACAATGGGAGTCATCGCTATATTCAACTATAATTGTAGCGACCCTCTGCTTAAAACAACCCACCAAGAAGGCTCAATAAGGACTGAATCTACTCCACTTCCGAATCTTTGCGCCGTATATATAGAAGAGGATCGGTACAGGGATCATCGCAATGCTGAAAAACCCAAGCAATGACATAGCCCAGGGTACTCCAAGATTATGGAACTAAATAGACCGTTAATTTATCAGGTTCCAAATTCGTACCAAGTGAGGCTTCGTACCATATATGTAGAGAACATAGGAAAGCCAGCACCCAAAACACCACGAAACATGGCATTAATGGCAATAGCAGAATTCGCGTTCATCTTATAGACGTCTATCAAGTAGTTCAATCCCTATAAAATAGATTTCAAATCAGCCAAGTACTTTCGAATTATTATCATAGCCCTTCCTAGCATACCTGCAAGAATATCAACAAGATCCCACATCCAAGGAAGCAGCTCGAAATCACTTGCGGTACCCAGGTTATGTGGGGGTTTGATGTCCCTATTATCATTAGCATATTTCCATTCGAAATGGCCGGGTTGGTATGAAAAAACCTACATGCGAACCAGAACATTCCAATAGGCATCAAGAAGCTTGCTAAAATCATAGGTATCAACCGTTCTTCAGGAACTTCGCCATGCGCCTCCGTTTTGCGTCGCATTCGTGTTTTTGTATGGAGGATAATTATCGCGATACCCACAAGCACACCCACGGTGATACCAAGAAAGGGGAGAGCACCCACTCCTAGGTTCCATCCACGTTGCTGCTCAAATGCTATAGGATAAGCTTCAAAACAAAGATACAGGAATCCATAGATGAACCCAATATACAATGTTATGAGAGCCAAGATGGGCTCTTGCACCACCATGATCCAAGGTTTCAGTACGTATACTTGTCCGATGTTCTTCGCTGTGATCCGTCTCTCGTCAGCTTTGGCATGGAGAGCCCAATTACGAGTTTCATGACGTAGTTTCTCAGCCCGGCGGGATAATATAACAGGACCATACGTCTCGGGGACAATTATGAGAAACATCAACAAGAAGGTCAAGATCGCTATTAGCGTAATCCATTGTGTCCAACGCCAACCTAGATGGGACATCGTGACAAAGCCTCCGACTACAAAATAAGTTAGTCTCCCTCGCGATAGAATTAGACAAATATCATTGTGAACTACTGACCTATTGGCCCAGCTACCGGACCTAGAAATGATGCACTCGCAAAGCCGGCGACTGCGATCCCACGGGATAGAGGGTCATACATATCGGCCAGAGCGCCCCCTGCCTTTCAAATTCTGTTAGAACTCGCAATACCTATAACAGTTACCTAACACTTACAATTGATAACGGCGCAACTCCGAACGTTCCGGCGAGGAAACGGCAGACGAAAACAGTTTGTGGGTTCTGTGCTACTGCGACTGGTATCGTGAACATAGCAGAGATGAAGATGCCAATGGCGAGAGGATACTTGCGACCAAGCACTTCAGAAGTAGGCCCAAAAAGCATTGGGCCAAATGCGAACCCAAGGACGTAGAGAGCAGTTGCAAGAATGCATACTTCTGTCGATATACCATACTCCTCGGATAACTGTTCGGTTGCTGGACTTAGGACCGAGGACGAGAACGCACTAATGAAGACCATGAAAGCCAAATTAAGCGTAACTAACACCTTTCGAGCCGTAGAGAAATTCTTCGGGTTGCCCTATATAATGACTTGTAAACACTCATGCATTTCAAGTTGGTGCTAGGACAACTAACCGGGTCGTCGGGCCCATTCCAATCTACTATATTATCATTTTCTTCCGTACCGACCTTCTTGACTGGAGCCTTGTCTAGGTTGATTTTCTCGAGTTGACTTTCGTCACAAGTTTCCCCTTGCCGAATGCTGTCTTCGCCTTCTTGGCTAGTGCTTGACATTGTGTCGCCTTAACAGATGCAATAGCACGGTTTCAAAAATCACAACTTAATGAAGTTATATAGTATAGGAATGAAACAATAAAGAAGTATTCAGATTCTTATAGAGGACCCATCCTGAAGGAGTCGTTAAGACACCGGACGGTGCCCTAAAATCCTCACTGCTACCTAGGTACATGAAGATCATCAGTCGATACGCCGAACAACATTTTGTAAGCTACGTAGCTAGAAAATAGCAATAATACGCGAACTAATCAAAATACTCGCGAATTCGTATTAGTGCCGAATGCCGAATAGTTCATATTAATAAGCTAGCTATTATCCGCATATGGTAGGTTAACCCCCTGGTCCACCTTTCTCTCTACTTTTATGTCCAGCAAGGTCTACAAAATCAACATCAACGAGATTTGACGGGTAGTCTCTCAAAATATCCACCTACAAGCATGATGAAAAGTAGCGAGGATCCTAAGTTCTATCTCACGGACTCTTTACGGTACACTGCTCGAATAACCTTTACAACATATATCTATCTCAACACTAAGCGATGCCCGGTAAGGTATTAGTTATATAGTGGTAATACTTATTGGCTAATGGGCGATAGGTAGTGCTAATGTGAATTACCTATATAAATATACTTCAAACAACATGGAAGGCTTAAATTGGTTATATGGCTAACGACAACGGTCTAGTTTTTACGACCACCGTTTGCTCTACTAACTCCTGTTGCACCAACCGTGACGCTGACTACATGTGCCAGTTCCGCAACGTGCTCACTCGCATTATTCATCTATGAGCTAGAATACCTGGGTAAACAAATATTCCTACGCTATCCTTAGCTATGGTATGAATCATAAGTCCGATAATTCTTGACAATCTCCGGCAATCACCGGTAATCCCGTCTAAACTACGACCATTTGGAGATATAGATTTGACTTGAGATAGAATGTAATAACCTAGCAACGCTTATATCTTCAATATCATTAAAATTAAGAAGGCCAAATAGATATCACAAATAAGTTGCCCGCGATACAGTTTAAGTGTACGGGATAAATTGGCCGGAGATTTAATTGTGATTACAAATACTCACAGATGGTCATTTGCAATTCTCAGTATGGGTGGATACCTACGGGACCTAACTTCAAGGAACCCATGTTGATAGCCATGTTATTGTAGCAGTATATAAAGTACCAGAGTTATACTTGGGCCATATGTAACATTAAAGCTGCCTAACTCTACCGTCACATCGATAACAAGGCACCTATCATCAGCGAAAAGTACAGCAATAGTAGTGGCATGAGCTGGTTTATCTACTTCAAATCTAGAATGAAGCGAAACTATCGACAAATATTAACTCAGAAATAGAACGCATATAGCGCGTATCGGAAAGCGGACGCCTTGTCGGCCTTCAGGCTCTTCTGATTGTACATCATGCTTCCGAAAGCCACGGTTCCCCGATATTCATCGATATCGGTACGCTCTCCAGCGAACCTAGGAGGTTTGAGACCGGAATAGTGAAGTAGTAGCGAAACTTCCATTCAGAGAGGGACTCCAGGCAATTTAAATCCTCATAAGTTGCTTCTTACACTTGTGCTGGCTCACTAACAACACCATAGTATTTCTAAAGGCTCTACGCTACCAATTTGTCCACAAATAGCAAATCAGAATTCCCAAACAAGTCCTCGGAGTACACGAAGGTTATGGTATCGGAGATACGTGGGCTCTGCTTCGTCGCGCTAACTTTACTGCGTAACATTCTTCTGGACAGATGCCGACCCTACACGTCACGTAGTACAGCGAGTACAAGGATCTCGAGGAGAGGGGCCTTATTGTTTGACATGGATGCATAAGGCGTCAATCGATGGAAGCAAACCTCGATAATGTTTGGTACACGATAACACACTAGGAGTCTAATACCCCCACGGAGATAAGGGGTCGATAACATTGCATCATCCCATGATATCAAAAGATACCAAATGTACCTAGGTATACAGGAACTGGGTCCCTCCGTACACTATAAATGAGATTCAAGAAATTAGACCATAAAAATCTACATATTTATATAAAATAATAGGGACCAATGGCCGTTAAATTAATGATAGATAGCGGTAGAAGTCTGATGCGTTAACTCCAACACTCCATCTTTGCTGGCTTTTCGTAGTCAACTTGACCCGATATAGGAGTCGCTACCTTCGGGGCCTCCTTTCTCGTATCACGCAAGATGTCTTCACGATCTCGCTTAGCTGAAAGTATTGACACAAGCAGCATCAAATATGTCATCGTTATTTGATGTCCCCTAGGGTTTCAATGGAATGCAGGGATCATCGGTTATACTATGTGTAAGTTTATCTTAACAATTGCACGAGGAATAGCAGGAGCAGGCTCTTATCAGATCGATCTAATGGAAGCAAACAAGATGAACTACTTCCCCCCTTATAGTTTAAACCTTGGGATGACTGAGCCTATGCACTCGTGACGCCGTTTCCTCAGCATCAACTACGCGAAACTTACCAAGGGATTAAAATTATCTTTTGAGAACCTAATATTGTAGAACAAACTCATGTCTCTACGCGCACCTTCCAGGTATATTCCAATGTATATATGTGGCAAACACTCGGAAATGAAACAATCCACAGCTACTTCTCTTTCATCTCTTGTATATCGAGAGCTAAAGAGCTCAAAGGCATTGTAACTTTTCTCTTCTTGCCAATGATCTGGTATTTTAAGGTTATCATTCCAAGAAGTGGATATAAGGTGACTTAAAATCCATCAACACCATGGCTAGAGGCAAGCACTTGATGGTGTCCTTATGTAACCAAGAAACCAACTCACCTCGTACTAATTTTCTATATAAACGCGGGTTAACTCTACAGATCCGTAGATTTTCTCTTCCTCTTGACCGTCACTCAATTGAACGATAACTAGCTATTCTCTCCGCCAAATATAATATTTCAATTTATCCACTAAGACCACTCCCCTACATTTACACCATTGCCCAAGATGAAGGCCGCCTTCATCATCGCTTTCGCCTCTTCCACTCTGGCTGCTGCCGTCAAGGTATGTATGCCACACCATGATTCCAATACTTTAGGAACTTCAACTAACCGCTTATGCTAGGGCTCTACTCCCGACGAGCGAGATGTGTCCACCTCGGGCAATGTCACCCAAGTGAGTTCCCCGCCTCCAAATCACGCCCTCTCATAGCATACACAAATAGCTAACACTAGATAATTACAGCTTGATGACATCCAGGTCATCTGCGGTGCTCCTACTTCCAGCCCGGACAACGAATTCCCGGCTTCGGACTACAGCTACCCCATCGGCCTACTTCTGAGCAGTGGCACCCACAAGCTCCACATCGACACCGGTCCCAGCAAGTGCAAGCAGGCGGCTTGCGGCAGCAACGGTGGAGCCGGTGTTGTCGTCTGCAACGACGAGAAGAACGGCGTCGACCTACTCTACAGTGACATCGTAAGTATTCTTTCCCTCTCACACATTCCTCTTCTTCAATTAGAACCAATTAAACTCTGCTTGTTTCCTATGATTTCTAACGTTTGCTTCTAGGGATTCTTCGCGCAGCGCGTGTACGAGGGCTGCAAGCATCGCAAGAACGGTGTTGACTACGTCGAGAAGGGCCAGGCCTTCTGCCCCGACGGTTGGAACGTGATTCTAACCGACGTCGGTCTTACTTGCTCTGCCTCGACTCTTCCTGACTATGGGTAGCTCAATGGCTTTATTCCCCGCAGTGCATCAGCGCTGACTGATGATGACAAGCGATGAAGCGTGACGATATTTGGCTGCTGGGGAATACATCAGGGCTTGAGTTCCTTAAACTCATACTTCGACAATAAATGACATTTTTGTAACCAACTTTCAGTGTGACCCTCATAAATTTGCAAGTAACGTACGCAAAGTGATCCCAACACGTAGAATCTCGTAAGTCGCCGAAAGCCCATCTCACTGAGGCAATTGCGTAGTGGATCTATGAAGTGGTAAGCATCTTAATATTAGGGGGTATGCATTGGTATCGTCGTTATTGGCCGATAATTACGATACTTTAGGTAAACTCGGCGAGTTCAATAAGGAAGGACATTCATCAATAATAGTTGGATTTAGAAGAAAATGAAAATTGATCGATGCTACCCTTTCACTTGATCTATTTTTATTGCCTAACATAAAGTAACTCAACGAGGTTGAGATCGTAGAGCTGAATAAGAATTAATTGATCGACGTGTACCACCTAAAATTAGATAGATTTAGTGTTACGGCTAGGTGGTTTAGGCTATGCCCCATTATGTAGGTGCTCCAAAACGCCGTATGAGTCAACTCACCGTAGGGGGTTACAGGAAACTAGGTGCGAGCCCTGCAGCCTCACTAGGCGTTCCAGGTCCCTAGATAGGTCCCTAGGAGCGATCCGCAGCAGGCTGAGCCGGTTACCCCACAGTCTCACATGCCCCGAAACGGTAACTAGTATACTACCTCAAGAGATGAGGCGGATACGAGATATAAATTTTACGTATCCCCATCTTGAATAGAACGTCTTAAGGTCCAAGACACACACCTTGCCGAAAGATAAACAACAATCTGTTCTCCTTCCCAAGGGTAGCCAATATGCTTAAACTAAACTCTGACGATTCTTTCAATTTCGAACTCCTGCGCGTACTCGCGCATACCACATATGGAGGAGCCGATATCAGCGAGTGCCTCATCGCAGCCCAAGAGATCGTGCCCGGTGATTTTGAATCGGTATGTTGAATTGGAAAAAATGAAAATCTTGGATACCCCTATTTTAGCATGCTCCCGCTTGGTGGAATGATTACTGACCGCTGGCATTATAGTGGTACGAAGTATGGTATCGGCGCGCGGAGAGAGTTCTATCGCAGGCTAAGGATTTGAAAAATCCGGTGTCGATCAGGGACGCCATGTTCCGCGCTGCAACATATAGTCGTGCTGCTGATTTCTTCCTGCATGGAAACTGGGATGACCCGCGTATTGATTCGTTATGGAAAAGGCAGACCGAGTGCTTTGATGCGGCCATCGCAACATTGGACAATCCAGGGTACCGGAAGCTAGTGAAGGCAGACGGTTTCAACGTTCCGATCATTGTCTTCCCGGCCGGAAAGGTGGGCGACGACAAGAAGCGTCCTACGATCCTCTTGGGTAATGGGATGGACGGTTCCATGGGAGAAATGTATCACATGCATGGTGTAGCTGCTCTTGAACGTGGGTACAACGTTGTGGTGTATGATGGTCCAGGGCAGCCAAGCGTTCGTCGTGAGCAGGGGCTTGGGTTCATTCACAACTGGGAGGCCGTTGTTACCCCGGTCGTCGACTTTCTCGAGACACTTCCGTTCGTAGACGCCGGCAAGATTGGGCTTGTGGGGTACAGTATGGGCGGATACCTGGCAGCACGTGCGGCCGCCTTCGAACACCGACTCGCAGCGGTATTCCAAATTGACGGATTATACGACTTCACGCGAACTCCAATTTTCCAACCAGAGAATGGACTAGGCCGGTTCGGCTTCGGCGATGATCTTGAAGGCACGCAGGCACTGCTTAACAACCCTAAGGTCCCCGCAGGTCTGAGATGGGTTCTAGGCCAGGGCTTGTGGGCCTTTAAAGTGCGTACTCGCTCCGAGTATCTCGAGAAGGCGAGGTTGCTCAGTCTAGCAAACGGCATTGCAGAACAGATTCAATGCCCAGTATTAGTAGGTGATGCGGCCAATGATATGTTCTTCTTAGGTCAGCCGCAGATGATGGTTGAGGCTTTGGGCGAGAAAGCGACGCTTGTCACGTTGACAGATGAGGATGGCGCTGGTGATCATTGTCATTTTGGTGCAGCAAGACATACTAATCGTATTATGTATGATTGGTTTGAGGAGAAGGTGGTAAAGGTGTAAGGGTGAGGATTGTTTTTTGAATGAGATTGATTAGAATGGAAGAATCACAGTGTAAACCAGAGAAGGACTAAAGGCTAGGTACATATAAGTACCTACATATAGCGGGATGATCTTCATTTAGCGCTAACCTTAAATGGCGTCATCTGATTCTGTGTGCATGTCGCGTGGCTTCCGGGGTTGTACCTGAGTCTTTGTACTGGGGTACTTTCCGTTCTTTGTGTGATTTTGCCTGAAAGGTTTCACTCTAATCGACTTGAATTTGACATGGCGCGTCTTTTACCCTTCTACAACTAATTCCGAGATGCAACCTCATGCGTCTTCACTATGGCTCGCAGGCTTGCGAAGTCGGTTATTTCTGCAGAAAAGAGAGCCCTCGCCGGCGAAAATGAAAGCCAGGATAGCCAGGAACAGTTAGTGAAGCACATGCTTAATCATGGCGTGGGCGTGGTAAGTGGCGTCCAATCTGATTCAGTTCAATTCGGTTTTGTACAACCTCGCTGGATGGCGGAATGATCTGCACTGAATTTTCCATCCTGGGGCATTTTCTCTGCTTAATTGACTGATACCCTATGAAAATAGCTAAGTAGTTCGCCCGTGGCTATCGAGCACTTTTATCAATCGAAAGGAAATACCACGATATCAAGTTTAGAGCCAAAGGGACCAACCAAGACACTTCGCATTTCTCATTCGTTGGAAAAATTGGAAAACGAGTCAGAATTGATAGTAATCAAGGTAAATAAATATCTACATATCCCCGGCTTTCAGCTATGACGTGCATGTTCTCGTCGCTTGGGTCGCAGAACTGCGCCCATCATCACTAAATTACAAGGATGGCACTGATCTGAATACGTCCCCGTTAGCAACCGCAAATCGCGTTTGACGCGTCAAACGCGCTCAATCAGCCCAATGCTGTGAACAACCCTTCGAAAATATCCAGTCAACTGCGACCGAAACCCAACAATCCATTAATACCGTGTCCCTCACGTTTATCTTTGCTTCCCGACACCAGGAACACCGACCCGATTGATTTCCTACCAATACCTAACGATGCGACTGAACACCCAGGTCAATTGATCGGGGATCATGCCCTATTGACTAGACTCACCTTGAGCGCCCCGAGGGAAAAGACCGAAAAAATGTCGTCCGATTCGCCCACTCAATCAAACGACGGCCGTAGCTACGACCAATATGCGGAGGATAATTCGCAGCCACAAATTTCGTCGCAAGCGAGTAGCATTCATGAGCATGGTACTATTCGAGAAAACGATACGGGATTTCTGGATTTTAAAGGGACACACTACGATGAACAGGAGTCGGCAGCAGAAGAAGAAGCTGAAACCAACTTTGCCAATGATAGATCTAGGAGGCCGAAAACTTCGTCCAACGCACCTGATACGAGTGGTCACTACATGGCACCTCCAGAGACCCCCGCAATCGCCCAGAGATTATTTCAACACGGTGGAAATGGAGCACAATTGATGGCGGCATCACAACTTTTCGGACAGACGCAATGGACTTCGGCAGTTAGGAAAGCCAGTCCTACGTCGTCTCGGCCCTCGCCTGATGTCTTTAATCAGAATACTATGTCACCTAATCCTGTGGTGTCGTCCCCACTGAAGAATAGAGGGCTTAGGACCTCACCAACTCAGGCTTTCACATCAAGCCCGGGGTTTCCTGGAGTTTCGTCTCGGCCGTCAGAAGAAAAAACCCCGTCTGCGCCCAACGATACTCACGAGGACGAAGGCATCAACCAAGGAAGCGTTGCGGAAACTCCGCTTCCTCGGTTCCAGGCCCCTAAGCGTAGGAACTTCTTGGAACCTATTAGTGAGTACAGGTCTTCACGAAGACAAAGCTCAGAACCGGATGCCCCCAAATCCCCGAGTCAAAGTGATGGGCAACAGGACTCGGATTCCGATATAGATACGGCCAGTCGCCGCCGTTACTTAGCCAAGATAGGTAGAGAAAAGGCCGCCAAAACCTTCCCATCTATCAGCCTTCCTCGGTCGAGTTCAAATAAGGGCGAAAATGTGGAGGTGCCCTCGACAAGCCGCGTAAAGCCTGTAGAGGATCGAAAAAGGACTGATTCGGAGCGGTACTTAGCACAATGCCACGGTCAACCTGCGACTGATAACGAGGGATCGCAGAAAACCGTCGCAGATTCTCAGGAAATCCCGAGGCAACCCCAACGCAAAGGAATCGACTCTGAAGCTAACCCTCAGCCTTCAGGTGGATCCACCGAGAAAGTAACCGACGTCGATGAGAATGCACGTGTCGTTGGCCTTCCAGATACTCAAGCCCCCATATCCAACGTAGAGTATGGAGAGACCGTCCCCGAGACTAGCCCACCAAGCACTTCTATGGGACTACCTAGATTGCTAGGCGACATAATGGCACAGAATTCGAGCATTAGATCTGAAGCTGAGACTGTTTCACTTCCTGCCTTACCAAGTACAGACCCTCAAGAACAACTGAAAGAGACCAATGACTCTAGACCTTCAAGCCTTCCTGAGCAGCTTCCGTCCGACCCTATGAAACGAAGACAGCGATCCAGTCGGATTCGGCCTCCATTCCAATCTTCGCCAACCGTTGTTCTTGCATCTTCCCCGCAGAGCGCAACTCGCCGTTCGGCGAGGCTCGGGAAGATAGTCACACCACAATCAGTCGGGCGTGATTTACAACCCCCATCAGACATTGGTACAAGGACGTCAACGTTGTCATCTCTCTCAGCGACCCCTGTTATGTCGACACCAAACACGGAACCGGAGCGTGTGTCCGCAGGGAGCGAAAGACAGAGTTCATCTCCAGCTGCGCCTACAGCACAACGCCGCGGAAGGCTTCTGTCATCTCTCGACGGCCCTTCATCTTCCTTACCACGGCTAAGGACTTATTCTCGCTCTCGGGAGAGTACGAGAAGATCGACACGCCACAGTTCAATATCAACTGACGAGCTGGCTAAGTCGCAATCGCCATTATCTACAGCCACCAAGCAGGGGCAAAAGCCACCTACGCGAAAACCAGCAAGGCAGTCTCTCAACGGCCAACATCAATTACGCGAGTCAGTTACCAAACCAGGTATCTTCGAGGGAATGGTTTTCGCTCTTTCATTTCAAAGTGGACAGGTTCGAAAGAGCAAAGAGAAAAATGGTGATAGGGGCACGATTGAGCGTATGATCCGCCAGGAAGGTGGCAAAATCCTGTCTGATGGATTTGATGAACTCTTCAAGTTTGACTCATTTCAAGCAACGAACAGTACATCCGCTCCCCGTACCCTGTCAAGCTCATTAACGCTGCTCAACAGGGACACCGGATTTGCAGCTTTGATTGCCGATGGACATTCTCGGAAGGTGAAGTATATGCAAGCCCTCGCGCTTGGAATCCCTTGTCTGGCGCCGAAGTGGATCATGAGTTGCATATCAAAGAAAGAAATAGTAGATTGGTCATCGTACCTCTTATGCGCTGGACCAAGCGCGCTCTTAGGTGAAGCCATCCGCTCACGCAATCTGCGACCGTACGACGCTTCTACGATCAAGCTTGTAGATGTGATCAATACTAGGCCCAAGTTATTAGATGAAGCTCGTATTCTTCTTGTAATGAAGAGGACTAAGAACGAAGACAAGAGGCTACCCTACGTGTTCTTAGCGCAAGTTCTCGGTGGCTCGCTAGTGCGAGTTCATAGTCTTGAGGAGGCCAGAACCAAGCTTCGGGACGAAGAGTCCCAGGACCACCCCTTTGATTGGGTATACGTTGATGATCATCTACAAGATGCTCAGAACGCACTATTTGGCTCGAGTGCAGGAAACCCAACTTCCAAGAAACGAAAACGACAGAGCGCAGGACCAGAAGAATTGGATAAGCCACCAAAAAGAATAAGGACTCTAAATGACGAACTGGTAATCCAGAGCCTCATCTTGGGCAGGCTTATCGAGGATGGAGAGATGGATGACTAAATATGGTTTTGATTCATTCGCGGAGTTAATAGTATAGTAGTTCGACACGGCATCTTAATGGCGTTTTGGAGCATTTACAGGTGTCTACGTAAAGGAAAAGGGCATTTCCACGGCATTGGAAGTCTATGATACCAAGGCGCCTTGCGAATTGTGAGGCAATGACCAACATTGTCCGGATAGGGTTGCTCAATACATGAGCATGTATAATTGATCAGTATGTAAATACTATACAACGGCTGATGTCTTAGTACAAATACAGGATTTGGTAAACTCATCGTTCCGTCAATATGCCTCTTTTCCCATGAAAGGAAGTAAGGCTTTCGTGGCTTGACGCTATTCATGTCGGCTTGTACTAACGATATGGAATGTCGTCATCCCGACGAGATGCATCAACTATAAGATGGCTGTATTATAGCAACATGCCTTGATTTTGGACTAGGAAGCTGGGAAGATGGGGGTTGCTGAAAATGGCGTCAAGATCGATTACATGGTTAAGGGACCTACCAGGTTTGGTTGTCCGAATTGCGATAAGGAAACCAATTAAAATTCAGGGGAATGGGATTGAAAAAGAAAAGGGGAGACATTTCGGCAAGATCGAGATCTTGAGGCTCGATCGGAAAAAATTAATATTAGTTTCGCTTTAAATTGTCCAGGTATCTATTTAATGCAGAAAAAAGTGACCGTATGAGGCTGTTGAGTTGCAACAGGTATGGAAGATAGCGACTGGAAAATAACTCAGTAGAACCAAACTTGGACCCTTGGTACATCGGAGTAATAAAATATTTATTGGAAGCTAGAAAATTGAAGATGGTGTATTGAATTACCTTGATAACCTTGTGGAATATGAGAATGAGGAAAAAAGGCGCGTTCCTGACGCCAGCGGGCTTCTCCCGAGACGTGGGGTTGGAACAAATAGGAACCCATGGCTTGCGATGTTTTATCCACTACGCAACTCCCCCCTCTTACCCTCTTTTAATCGCCTTCTGATCACGGCAGGAACTCCTAACCTTACTAGGACCGGACGAAATTGGGGCAATTGCATTCCAAAAGATTCGATATCAAGGATAAGATGTAGTACTTAAAGCTCTGTACTACCGGAGGGAAAGAGGGACCGTAAATTTCGGTGCCGCTATTTACAATCCCCTCGCCCGTCCGATGATCATTCGAAACAATCTGGAGGCTTGCTTATTGCTTTTAGGTGTAAGTTCCGAGATTGGGGAGTACCCGACGGCGGTATTATCGGCTAGATCATAAAGTCAGACATTGCTTCTGCGCATCCTAAAAGAATGGTCTAGACTTATGATCGATAACCACACTTTTCAACCTTCCCATTGCTGAACAGTTAATTCACACGACAATAGTTATTCGTCGGGAGAACTGTGAAAAAAAAAATATTAGAGCGGGCCGACCGGGTGCGGTACGGAACCATCCTATCGTGAAAGCCGTTGGTAACACGGGGGTTAGATAAGTAGGTAAAAGCTAAATATCCACTATTTTATAGCACGGGTAAACAAGTACTTGTTTAGTATATCAAGTTCTAATAGTTCCGACTAGGATATAACTGGTTGCATACTGCGACCCCATCGCAAAGCAGCAACATGGAGATTTACTATGCATGGGAACGGCACGCACGATATACATAGCGCTATGCCAAGCTAGATACTATTTGCATACCTTGCAGACTAGCTACTGCAAGTACACTACATTTAATAGTGTATACCATATACCTAGGTAGGTAAGTGATACATTGGGAAACGTGTGAACTTCGAACCCTGACCGCTTGGTCTTCTTTATCGTCGCATTGCAGCTTTTTGGTTTTTTAAGCTCTCGTGCCGTGCCAGGACACATGGGATGCTGACATGGAACTAGCTCTCCCAGAGTTCCAATGCATGCGGGATGCCAGTGAGAGCCCGTAGCAAATGCTCCGCGTTATCCATACAACCTCATCCATCGATCAGGTAGCCCCCAGGATCCGGCCATTGGGAAGAAATCCAGGATCGAACCATTTAGCGATGATTCCTAGGTCGACAAGCAGAGTTGATGTTGCGCGCGTCGCCGACAACCAGAGGACCCAGCAACGTACATGCAAACAAAGTCATACTGCTGTGTGTCTTTGAACACGTGCGCTTCATTCCCACGAGGCCGGATCTCTCGGCGCCGTACGAATGATAATATCAAATATTGGTGCATGGATATAGCTCATAGCTCTTAGACTAATCGGAACAAAGAACCCTGATGACGCTGGCTATAGTAGGTAAGTGGATCTGAAGCCTTGGAATACAATCAGTGTTTTGTTGCTGTTTAGTTGGTTCACTCACAAGATTTCCCATGTAAAAAACAACTATTATTATATTTAATCTCTGATTATCCTATACCAACATTTACATCTTTTGTGTAAATTGAGGGTAGGAATTCAGCTGAGCCCTCTCTAATATTGCGCGGGAGGCTCGATAGCCTATTAGACATGTGGATAGTGTGGTAGGGTTATTTAATAGTCTCAATAGACTTGTTAACCGCCGATTGGAGCCGGGATCCGCTCAGAGCCACCCGGGGCGGAAACCGCTTATGAATGTCGCCAGTTTTTTTATTCTATTGGGTATGAATTATCAATATTAGAATGAATGAAATAACTCATACTTATTCTTTTGTCTTCATAGAACATTCGGCACTCCGCAGGGATGCATGTACATCAGTTTTTTGCGGGTGGATGTCGACGAGTTTAGTGATGAAGTTCCACAGTCCGATCGAGCCTCGCGGCAAAGCTGAATGTGAACACAAACCCCCCTGGTATCCGTGCCTCTGTCCTGCTTGCTTGCCTGTCATCTACATATGTGCCGCATACCCTTTCATCACTTCGATTCTTACAAGGGCCATTCTACTGGTAATGTTTCGTACACATTTTCTGCTTCCCTTTGATTTAAGTGGAAGTCTGAATATTATTGATGGGAATGGATTCGTGTAGTCGGATTTGTCGTCTCGTCTTGTTCCGACTACTTCTTGGCTTTTGTCATAGTCTGCGGAGCAAGGAGGAAAAAAAAGGTCTAAATATGCGCACCGGAAAAAAAGACGGAAGGATACCCATGTTACTGGTATTCGGTCTATGCGTAGCCGGGCAAACCTCTAGACATCATAGTGTTTTTTTTCAGCTCTGAACGTCACAGCGTTTCACTAGAATGTCCAGTTACCGGTGTTGGCTTCTATAGACAGCTAGACTTGTCGGCCTAGCAGCCCTAACTACTTGTATAGTATGGCTAAGATTCGCCGAGTCGGATTGGACTGGTATGAAGGGATTTCGTCACAGTTTGTCGTGTTCATGTCACCGACCCCAACCAGGCCAACCTAAATTATCCTACCGAACTATCCATATGAACAAGTGTCAAGCAAACTTGAATAGAGGTCTGTTTGCTGCAGGGTATCCATCAAGAAACGACTTGTACAAGTTGCAGATATGAGATAGGTTTGACGAAGAATTGCAACTTTACTATGTACAAATGCGTCTTATCCAAGGCAAATATGGGGTTCGCTGGGTCGACAGGGATATACCTGCTTACCTATAGTACTATCCTAAACGGGTAATACAGTCATATTTGTCGATGGGTTGGTGCCAACAGAAGTACCTTTTATGGCGGGTTGCGATGTCCATAGACAGCCCTAGAACGTTATAATCCTAGCAAAAAAAAGGATTCGGCTAGGTACCTAAAGAGCTACTTATCGTACGGTAAGGTTTAGAAAAGAGCTTTGGAGATGCAGTAGCGAAGTCGTAGCAGCAGCAGTAGTAGCGGGCAGGAACTATGGTAACATGGAAATTCGATCAATCATGAATTCAATTGATTTAATTGTAAGGAAGGAACAGTGCAACTTCGGGGGATTCCCATCTTTTACTTCTAACAATACCATTTTCCCGTCGCATCCCTCCCCTTCCCTTTCCCCTTCCCCGCCTTTCAATCAGATACCTTGTGGGCGGTGGGCTGATACTAATGATTCGAATAATAACACCGAGGACGAACGATTGCTTCTAATCACTACCAGAACAAGAAGGATATAGAACCATAATAGAAATGCAACCCCAGATCCCTTACCGGTCTTGCCCTTGCTAGTTCTCGCCTATCTTATTAATAAATAGGCAGGAGAAGACGAAACAAAAAAGGAAGAGATCCTTAACATTTCCTTGCATCAATGATCTTCAAGGTTGTCATCCGTTTCATCACTTACCTCATCTTATACATACCTACAATACTCGTTTTCAGAAGAATCCCAATTGTTCATTCCAGAGATATCACCCATTTCTAGTCGGGGAAATATTAGCGATCTCGAAACCCATCAAATATTATTGACCCCTCTCTCGACTCAAGAGAATTAAAAAGAAAGGAAAAAAAAAAAGAAAAACCTCTTCACCTTAGCCTTAGTCCTTATTTGACTACCTTGACCTTGGCTTTGCATGCATCGTCGTGCATGTTTCCGTGTTTCTTCAACATTGTTGCCGTCAATTTCGGGCAACGTAAGAGGGCGATCAACACCCGCAGCCAGCAAGCAACCAAAAGTGCGTATTGACGGCGTCATTGGACAATCCCTTCTTTAAACGTCAACAAGATATCGAGATCACGTCAACAGCTGCGGAGTGATTAGCGACCAGCGAGGCCGCCTGTTACCGAATTCAATTGTGATTGGTCGGGTTGGCGAACAAGCTATTCGGTGCTACACCGAACCGAGCACTTTCAGCTGGGATTGCCCGCCCTTCGCTGATTCGTCTTTTGTTTCTTGTTTGTCTCCTTCGGCGTCAAATAATCAGGGATTTTGCGCCACTTGCCGAGCGAGCAACTCGGCCGCAGGACGCTATTACGGCTAGCGAGATACTTAAGAAGACAACAAGCAAAGCCGACTCGACGTTGCGAAGTTGTTGAGTGTTTTTCTTTCCTGCTCTTGTTTTGGACCTCTTGGCTTGACAACAAGAACACAAGGGACAGTAACAATAATAAAACGAATTGTACTAGGTACCTGTGCGGATACGACGCCCAATTCTACTAGGAATACGACGAAATCTCCTGTTCGGAATCGATTCGCTGAGAACATTTACAACTCAACCTAGGAAAAGACAAAGGACCTTGTCATCGTCCGTCGTATCTTATTAGTTTATTGTCTGTTGTCCTCGCGGCTACTACTGTAGCACTCACTTCCCAACTCACCCCCACTAAAGGCGAGCCCAGCCCACTTCGAAAACGCTAGACTACCTAGGTACCATACGGAGTGCGCGAGAGGGAATCCCACATTCCGCACGTGTGCCAACCAGTCAGCAAACCCTGGGCCTCCAAACCCAAGCGAACACAGCGCTCGGCGACTGGCCATCATCCACATCAGCAGAAAGACACAGCCTATGCAACGTTGACTCGCCCAGGTACCTGACTAACTTGGCTACATGTACCTTGAAAATCTCCAAATTATTGTGTCGATTCCCATCCACATCAGCCTCCACCATCGCACGACATTTTCTTTGTAAAAGAAATTCCAACTATACCGAACAAGGCACAGCTGCGTTCCGGTCGATCTCAAGCATTCGAGTTGCAAGGACCAGTTCCCGGTTATCTGCCGCTACTCCCGAAGAGTACGAGTGCATGCATGTCTCATTAGAGCGGGCGGACCTTATCTCCAAACGCCTTTTTTCTCTCTCCCTCTGCCAACCCAACGCCGATCCGGCCTAACAAAGCCACCAACAGAAATAAGCAATTAGTATCGTCAGTGCTTTTTTTTTGTCATTGCACCGCCAAAAAGGGGCAACTCGCACAAACCATGCTTGGCCAGGACCATAATATGAGGATGAGATCGCTCGATCCCTCCCCTCAAGTTTATTCACATTCGAGATCAAGAACCTCGTCTTCGAGTGTATTCCCACAAGCACTCACCCCAATGCAACACCTACAACAACCGCAGCCCTCTATGGGCCACACCCGACGATCACCTTCGGTCAACACATTCAACAGCACCACGTCGAGCAATCCTCCCCCCGCCGCTTACCGAACGTCGCCGACCGCCGATGTTCGACGCAGTACTTCCTCGAGATCTGGAAGTGGTCCTCCTACGAGCTATGTCGCCCTATTGCGAAAACAAAAGGCCACCGTATGGTGCGATCGAGCACAGACCGAAGACCCTCGAATCCTAGCCCAACAGCGTGCGGCGAAACAAAGGGCGAACCAGGAAGTCACTGGCGGCGCCGCACAAAGCCGTACCTCAACAGGATTGGGTAGTACCGGTGGCAAGGTTGCTGCTAAGATTCGCCATCACGGCAAGCCAGGCGTTGTAGGCTACACTCCCGACAGCAACTACATGGGCGTAAGCGGAGTGCCGATGCGTTTGAGCGCTACCGAAGTCGAAGGCGAAGACGGCGAAGAGGACGACCTGTCGATGCGCCGTTTGCACCACCGTAGGACGGGCAGTAGTGGGCGAAGTAGCACCGCTAGTAGCAGGCGCGGCCTCGCATACCGTACCTCTGGTGCCTCCCAAGGCAGCAAAAGATGGAGTCCTGGCGATACCCCAGAACGAGCCGGTAGTATGGTCATTGAGGACGCCGAATTCACACCCGGTGATGACAAGGGCGGCCGACCCCAGAGCACTCGTAGTGGAAGCAGTGCAGAGAAAGCTGATGCTCTACCGGAGCTTGGTAGCGTTAGCGCTACCAAATTGGCTAGCAATAGTCTGATGAACGCAGCTCTCACTAGGGAGAAGAGCGTCAAGAACCCAGAGGATCTCCGCCGACGAGGTAGCGTGGACGAGCGAACCATGACTCTTACAGCTGGACGACTTTACATCGCAAACCCTGATTAATGAGAAATGGTTACTTGTGCTGCGTTCCTTCACATCGGCATTTCATTTTCAAGGCCGAAGATACACTACGGTGTACAGGACGTTTATTTGAAGGATATTCTGCATTGCAATGGCGTTTTATTGGATTTTGGGAACAGGAGAGGTCGTGCTAGGGGCACATTGAAAGATTTAGGGGCATTGGACCAGTCCTCCACACGGTCGTTCATGGTTGTCGGTTGCCTTTATTGTGTCGCTTTTCTCTTCGAAGCATATACCCTCGCTACCGCTTCGAACTTTGCCTTTTTCCATTGCGTGCTTTCGGGGAGCCTTAACTCGTTGATCGAGGCGGCTGGGTGAAAAAAAACAAAAAGTTGGAAGTCTGGTTGCGAATCTAATCATTCTCGCGACCTCTAAGCGGAAGTAATGCGGTGGCTGTTCGCCATCGAGGGAGAGGATATAACTTATAGTAAGGCGATCTTGACACATACCGAACGTATTATCGTAGGAGTTATTGTGAACTCCATAAGCGAAAGAAAGAAGGAAGAAGCGAAGGGGAAGGGAGCATAGTTGGAGATACCAAGCATTATCAATACCAGAGCCCGCTTGCGGCGCCAAACTTTCGAACTACCTCTACTTTAACTATCTTTTGCGTGTGAAGTATATGAATGCATGATCATAAAAGTATTCTATCTACCAATCAATCTTATGTATAATGCAGGAGAGTAGATCTATTTACTGTTCCGTAGCTAGGTGAACAGCACCAATGATGCCATCTTACAGGCGCTTATTCTTACTGTAAGGGACAGCCATGAGCGTTAAGTTTATACGTAAGAGAGGTTCTTACATCGTCTTCCAATAATAACTTGCGGCACGGTCTATAATGAGAATTTTAGAATACTCTTGAATAAGAGGTTGCTCGTTTCTAGTTATTACTAAAAAAAAACCAAAAAACCCCACGTAGATCTTAGGGAAGGAAGTTGATGCCTTACTTAAGAGGAAGCACACAATCTGGCAAGCCCCAGGCTTAGTGGTGGGCGGAAAAATTCCGGTGGCTTTTTAAGCACTTCACCTCAGCAAAGTCAACTACTTCATTCACTTCAATCGTGCGCATTTCAATTGATGACCCTACTTACTCAATTATTCAGTTAATTGGTAATTAAAGTGAGGAAATGGCAGAGCACCCTTCATTCACTTTAGCCGGCCTACGTAAGTTTTTACGAGCTAGACGTCTAGAGAGAAAAAAGTGAGATGTCTAACTGAGATCCAACTCCAGTGGCCGTCGGCGGAACAGCCGGGTTTATCAGGACACGTTCGACGCCGTCTCTAGTCGCGGGATTGGGTTTGGGAGCATCATATGCATATTCCGGTATGCTGTTACTTCTTCCCTCTCCCCTTCATATTCCTCATCCACCCTCCTTCCAATCCTTCACCCGCTGAAGAACGGGGGTTATAACTAACGTTTAGCGGATTGAAATACTGCATTACATGCTTTTATACATCAATCCTCTGAACCAATTCATGAAACGATCAAATATACTACCATGGATACTACCATAGGCTTAATGGTATGCTGATACGATATTGCAACAACAGGATACCTCATAAAAGGGAACAAAGACTACGGCACGGAACTCGCTTTAGGAAACAGTATATTCCTACTAGGTTCCGCCGTGCCCCGGGTCATCAAAACGAAGGGCCGCGCTCCTGTGCCATTGGGTTTGTTGGCTGCTGGTGCGCTCGCTACGTTTTACTACCAGAAGAAAGTCCGAGAGTTTCGATTCGGCGTATGATTGATAGTTGGTACTTGTCTTCACGGCTACTGGCGGCATAAAAAGTTTTCTGGATGGATATATGAAAATGACGGCGATGTGTATTATATGGAACGAATTGATATCCCTACTCGTGCGAAAAGAATAACAGAAATGTTACACTTTACTCTTATCGAATTGAGGGTTACCTATATCATATTGTCCGTGGATATTCTTTCCTTGAAAACTCCTGGTGGGTTGATTCTCAAACCCACGTATCCCGTCGTTCTCAGAGGCAGCTTATACGGTGTTACATAAAAAGTCCGTTCCGCTACCCTCACAAAAGTCCGACGAGTTACCCCTGAGAACAACCACTAATGCATGACTGCTAAGGGCTAGAGCAGTCCCCGTATAGCCTATCTCACTTACATATATTGGTAGGCTAGGCAGGTACCTAGAAAATTACGCGGATGACTTGCGGTGAATACGTATTCGTAGCACGCCGGGATTCGCGACGGCGGGTTCAATCCGTATACGTATACGTATACGGATCACATCCGACATCGCTTTCTCTTTCCGATTCGAACGATAATAGTTTCGTCTCGTAAACAAATACGTATTAAAATCACTAGAGGCCTCGTCTGGTGAAGCCGAACTAATTTGCTGGGTACAACGTAGCAGCGCGCAGATGTTAGATGTTATGTGCTATTAGATTTATGTCTCATTTCTAGTACATCCCTAATTTTATTACTGGCCCCCGAGTGGTTGCGGGTGCGCCTCGATCTCCCTAACGACTTCTCTCGTACGCGCGTTATCCACGAAGCTAAGACCGATCAACTCAACAACCTCGTCAACAGTAAAGTACAAGCTCAGTTCGCTTTCCATCCAAAGGTACCGCACATCCTGGAGATTGCTTTGTAACACCTCGCTTAGGTATTTGAGTCGTAGCCAACTAGCGGCATACTCAGCTGTTGACGGAACCGCGTCTCTGGGTGCGTCGGATGGCAGAAACAGGTCGTCCAATTCCGTGATCCGCGCAATTAGACTCGCGATATTGAAAGCCTCGTCCTGACCGATGCCCGCTAGGTCCATCACATCAGCGACAAGCTTAGAAGCGACAATATCTACTAGCGAGCCCACCGTCTGACTCCAAGCCGATTTAGAAAGGATATTAGACCATGTTGCAGCAAGGGCGCGTACGTGCCCAGTAGCGCCATCAACCTGCGCCTCTAGATCAGAAGTGCTGAGACCGTCTTGCTGCAGGAGATTTTGAGAGCCACCTAGCAAGTCCCGTAGTACCGTTTTTTGTGTAGATATTTCTGAGGAATAGGCGCGGGTTGCAAATGACTGGAGTGCTTTGATTTCGTTGTCAAGGCGAAGCATTGCAATCGCGCGAGGTGTCAGATCTTCGCGAGCTTTCCAATTCTTGATGAAGTCAGAGAGTCGTTCTGAAAGGTAGGTAGCGTCATTATATAGAAACCTGAATACGAGATTAGTGGGTTCCTCAAAGAATTTTCAGAATACACTTACATATTTCCACCTGTATTTAAGCTATAGTAATATGGAGACACAGCACGAAACATAGCGAGAACAAGTGTTGGCAGTGAGAATAATCCTCCAGCTGCTGTCGCCATTGGGTTACCGTCGCTCCTTTCGTCTTCGTTAGATAAATAAGACTTTGCGCATATAGGGAGCGTGAACTTACCCAACAAGTAAAGCTGCATCTTCCAAGATAGCCGCAACGAGGGCCAAGACGGATTCGGGCATTGAGGATATGTTATAAGTCTCCTTAAGCGTTAATTCTCGGGTTTGTAAGTTCGATATAGATGGAGTTGTCGTAGCCGGGTTTTCGGGACTTGTGTCTGTCGCGTCTTCTTCGCCCCATCCCCACGCATCCGCTTCGGCAGAATCATCTTCGGCCGGCGGCTCCGTCAATGGTTGTTCGGCGGGGGCCTCGGTCTGTTCCCCTGTAGCATCGTCTTCCGTCCAACCCCATGCATCGGTTCCATCGTCCTCATTTTCCTCCGGCTTTGGATCAGAATCCGGTTTTGACTCTTCTCCGTCGTCCCATGCACCCCAGCCATCATCATCGCCCTGAGGACCAACACCATTCGCAGCTAATTCCTTGCCTTCAGATCGTGAGACTGTTTGGGTCTCAACACGTTCCACTTCTTTCGATTCGCCTAGCCCCCGGGCTAGTTTGATGCGTACCGAGTCTAGTGCCGTTTCTCTACATTTAGATAACCATACCTTGGGTGCGTCACCAACCCATTCCTGTAATTCTTGAAATCCAGTGAACTTGAGATTATGTAAGCGAGCGCAGAATGTCTTGACAGCTTCAGTGATATGTTGAAACTCATCCATGTCCCTCAACGACGCAGGAACAGCCGTATCTAACCATGTACCTATGATTCGTGGAATAAGGTCGGGCATCATCACATTCGACAACGAATACACTAGCTCTTCTGGTAGGCGTTCCGAAAGATAGGTCATTACTTGGTCTAGATCGGAAAATAGAGAAGTGATCATTTTATCTGTACTCCCGCTTAGAGATAAATGTGACTGATGCTTTGTTAGTGGCCGCTCAAGAGTGTCGGATGGTACCCTTACAATCTCTGCTTGAATCTTTCGGGGCTCTTGGGTCTCAATATTAGTTCGCGGGCTTATAATGGCCTCGTCGAGACCGTGCCAGAATGAGGTCATTCTCTGGTCGACTTCCTTATATGCCTTTAAACCTACAACAGCGTCGGCTAGGCTCATTTGTTCGTCTATGAAGTGTTAGGAGACCTGACGCATGGTAGTTGCGACGAATGATAAATACCTTCGCGACTCTCAAATACAGCAACGTTTCCATCTTGGGTATCTATCCTGACTAGAGAGTCCCAGACATGATCGAACACATCATGGACAGCAGACTTCAGCTCAAAAGCCCTTAAGTCTAATATTTTCATGACGCGGCACGACTTGCTAACAGGGATTGCATCTAACGCGGTCCAAGATTCTGAAATCCGTTAGTGAAGGACAACGTCGAAAAGACTGAAACCCTTACTCTCTAGCAAATGGAGCGAGTCTAATATCCTACGCTCATCCCGCGCCTGTTCAACTTGGTCCAATAACTCATTTACGCGCTTGATGCTTTTCAACGCATGGTGGACATCCTGATTATATTGCGCCTCTCGCCGTATAAACTCGACCTTGTCTTCTGCTTCTTGTATTGTCCTTCCCGATACGTCTGGAGCTTGTGACCGTCGAACGATATCATTTGCCCAGGTTCTCGACCGATTTATGTCGTCTTCGAGGGATTTCGCATTCGCGACCCATTGATTCACGTCTGGAGCGGTCTCTTCGTTGATCTTATGAATGTCGGACTAGGGATTGTTAGATCAGCGACAGGAACATAACCGGCGTTATAGTTCTAAGGTACCTCTAGTTTCGTTTTCGCTGTCGCTAACGATTTAAGTGCAGGTGCAAGGTCTTGTAGAGAAATTCGGCGGGAGGACACGTCTTCTTCGGGAAAGGTGCCATGTAGAGAGAACTCGACCAACGCATGTCCGATCTGGTCGCCTTTGCTTTGGGGCATCGTTTATTTCGGTAGGAGGTAGCCACACCAATAAATCTAGCTCTTCTCGCGGGTCCTAGATATTAACTTGGAGCTCGTACGCTAAAGCAGATGAAGTAGCATAGGCGACAACAAAGAATGTTTGCGAATAAGTAATCGGTGTTTTTCGGGTATCGACAAAATCGTATCTGCTCTTTTCTATGTGACACTAACTTCCACCAAGTATTATTTCAAATATGCAGTTTGTAAACATTGCCATCGGGACACGGAGGGGGAAATCTCACTGCATGACTTTCGTGATAGCTTCAAAAATGATGGTACCAAGGTTAAGTAAGCTAAATGAACAGCTGGAGTATTGGAAGAGCTTCAAAGCTGACAGAAATCAAAAACCAAAAATATGTCATTGCTTCTTGTGATTGGTCAGAATTATGTCGATCCACTTCTCGGCAGTCGCTTAGCCACATAGCGCTTAGCGCTTGCTGTAAGCGCATCGCAGCAAATCCGATCCCGCCCTGTCCGCCATCTTACATAGCAGGTGCGGAACGAGAGCTATCCATGCCCCACCGCGGGGTCAAAAGCTGCAGAGGGTAACCTAGGGATTTGATTAGGAGAAATATCGGGAACCGTGCGTACCTAAGCTTTGTACTACTAAGGTTGCTACTAAGGTTACCACTACTTCCACTACTTTCAACCCTTCGCATCATCTGCAATAGCAGCTAGTCTTATCGCCGCATCTTTTTCATTTCTTCACCTCCATCATCCCATCCCGTCCCATCTCATACCCTTACCCTTGACCGCCAATACAACTAGAAATCAGCTTATCGTACGTCTTCTTCGTCCTAGAATCTTACCTGGGCATTACCTAGCATTCTTTGTACTTGATTTCTGCCCAGTCTCTCCCCAACCCCTCCTCTTTGTACCCCCAACGACAAACAACGGCAAACAGCTAGCAGCCTATGATCTCGACTTCCATGCCCGAATATTCTGAACGAAGCTAGCTGCGTGCCTGACGCACTGCAAATCCGTCAAAGTGCCGCCTAGACTTGGTACCCGAACACTGGTCACGTCCGTTTGGTTCAGATCTAAGCTGATCCGATTTTCACCCGGGTTCCATTGGCCCCCCTCCGCTGTGTCACCACACCCTCTTTCACACCCTCTTGACTGTCCAAGTCACCGCAGGTATGTCAGAAGAAGTCAGACTTCATCCGAGATTTTAATTCCCCGGATCGACCCTGATGAGCACAAAGTACTACACTAGCACACACACTCATAAACACATCCGGGTGCCACCCGCTTCCCGTTTGTCGTTACCCACTACCCGTCACCCATCAATTTCCGCAGTCTCGTGCTTCTTCCCCCCCACCTGCTCTTAAATATGGACGCGGGCAAACACAAGGCTTTTAGAGCATCATGATCAGCCAGGCCCCAGCTAGGACGTCTTTCTTAGCCGCCCTCGTCGCTGCTATTGCCATTGTCACCGTCCTCTACCGCAAGAAGGACGGGAATATTGGGTATGAAATTTTATCTCCTCGTAGGATCGAGTTGAGTATGCATGGATGGTGAATAGTGTGCAGAAGCCGGAAATTTCTTCTGCCTCATGCATCTTACGCCTTATTCTAGTGGCCTCTGACTGGATCAGCGACAACAATGACGACGTACCCTGACCGCACCTTGAGTGCTTTGGCGCCGTTTCAGCCACTGTCCTAATCATTACATGTTTCTATCTGCTCATATATAATGTCGCCAACTGTCTTTTCACTCTTTCAAACATTTTATAGATCCGCTCATTTATAACTCACGATCTTACTCTCTGTTTTCCTTTAAATCTCACTCGAATTAGATACTCAACTAACCGGACTACCAGCTATCTCCGATCCGTCTTATCTAAGCCATCCCGAGACAAGATGGGCTCGCAAGGTCCAAATGCGCGCTTTCGTAAGATCCAAAGTTTCAAGACAGATTATGCCCATACGACCATCACCCAGTATGAATCCGAAAGAAGTGGCATGCAAGTAGTCGTGGCGGATCGACAAGGCCCGAAAATCAATGGGTACTTCACTTTGGCTACCGAAATCTTTGATGATTCCGGAGCGCCTCATACCCTCGAACATCTGGTCTTCATGGGCTCAAAGAGCTACCATTATAAGGGCCTCTTAGACAAACTAGCTACTAGGGCTTATGGCGGTACCAATGCCTGGACGGCAACAGATCACACGGCTTACACTCTCGAAACTGCTGGGTGGGAAGGGTTCGCTCAGATCTTACCAGTCTATCTTGAGCACCTAATCGTACCCACCATAACGGATGCAGCATGTCTGACCGAAGTCCACCACATTAATGGTGAAGGCAATGACGCCGGCGTTGTCTACTCAGAAATGCAGGGTGTTCAGTACACCAGCACTGAGCTCATGGACATCAAAGCTCGGCGCCTTCTTTACCCAGAGAATGTTGGTTTTCGGTACGAGACGGGAGGCATGATGGAGGCCCTACGAGTTCTGAGTCCTGAAAAAATACGGAATTTTCACAGAGCTATGTACCAACCACGGAATATGTGTATTATAATCGTTGGCGAGGTCGATCATACTAATCTACTCTCTATTCTGGATGAATTTGAAGAGAGTGTCAAGAATGACATCCCTCCTCTCAATGCGCCATTCCAACGACCCTGGATAGAATCGGCACAGCCACCCGCCCTCAAGGAAACGACAATCGAAACAGTCGAATTTCCTGAAGAAGATGAATCTATCGGCGACATGCTTGTTGGATTTTTTGGTCCAAGCTGCACTGATGTCGTCGAGTCGACTGCTGTAGCCATCCTCTTGGTATATCTTTGCGGATCTTCTGTGGCGGTATTGGAGAACGTTTTGGTGGAGAAAGAAGAGCTCGCTAGTTCCGTCTCGTGCTGGTTAGACACTCGACCAAATAGTGTCATTTGGCTGCAGCCGACCGGTGTTGCCACCGAAAAACTAGAGTTTGTCGAAAAACGTCTAATTTCTTTGATCAAAGAAGTGGCCTCTAAACCGTTGAATATGAAGTATATGCGCGAATGCATCCAAAGAGAGCGGCGGCAAACGATGGCCCAGGCGGAAGAGTTGGAACAATTCTACTCGACGAACATCATCACGGATTACCTCTTTGGTAACCGAGATGGATCGACACTGAGGGACCTTGAACGCCTCGATGAGTATGATGAACTAGAAAAATGGAGCGACGAGCAATGGCGTTCTTTTCTCCGAAAATGGGTTGCCGACGCTCACCATATTTCCGTTCTAGGGAAACCTTCTCTAGAACTAGCTACGAAATTGAAAGAGGACGATACGGCAAGAATCGAGAAAAGGAAGCAGGAGCTGGGCGCTGAAGGGTTAGAGAAGCTTGCCCAGCGGCTCGAGGAAGCTAAAAAACAAAATGAAGTTGAAATCCCAACTTCATTGCTTGAAAAATGGCAAGTCCCTTCAGTCGAGTCGATTCACTTCATCAAATCGCAAACTGCGCGATCTGGCCTGGCCCGAAAACTTGGCGTCTATGAGAATATTGCGCAGAAAAATATCGATTCAGTCTCATCTGATTCGCCCTTATTTATTCAGTTTGAGGACGTCAGAACCAAATTCGTACATCTCGCAGTCCACGTCGGTACTGCGACAGTACCGGTAGAGTACAAACCTCTCCTCTCTATCTTCAACGACAATTTCTTCAATACGCCCATCCAATGTAATGGAGAGTACCTTCCGTTTGAGCAAGTTGTCATGAGACTAGAAAAGGATACAGTCAACTATCAACTGGATTCGGGCAGCAAGTTCGGCGATTCGGAAAGCTTTATTATTCGCTTCCAAGTCGAACCTTCAAAATATGCCAAAGCAATTGAATGGGTCCGCACTGTGATGTTTGACAGTATCTTTGATCTTACTCGCTTGAAGGCTAGCATCGCTAAACAACTTGCTGATGTTCCGGAGGCGAAGCGTGATGGGCGACTTATGGCTAGCGAGGTGGAAATCGCTATACATAACGATCTATCATCGTTGTTGGTAGCGAAACGCGCTCTTGTCAAGACGGTATACCTTCGGCGACTCAAAAAGCTCATTGAGAAGGATCCCCAGGAAGTTCTCTCACGCTTCGAAAAACTTAGGAAGTGTCTCTTCACTCTTGACAACGTCCGCGTCCTAGTCACAGCCGATATCACAAATTGGAGTCTGCGCGATCCTGTTAAATCTTGGGACATACTATCTAAATCGCTTGGTGGCAGCAGCGAGACAATCAAGCCCATCAAAAAACCCCATACTCTTCTCAGCGATGAAGGTCGTAATCCCGGCTCTGTTGGTGCAACAATTGTCCCGATAAGAGCGATTGACAGTTCTTATTCCATCAACTCCGGCAAGGGTCTCGCTTCATTCTCCGACCCGGCGGTCCCCGCTCTTCTGGTAGCTATGCAGTATCTAGAGAGTGTCGAAGGCACATTGTGGAATGCTATCCGTGGGAACGGCTTGGCATACGGGGCTTACTTCGCCAAGGAACTGGATGGAGGATACTTGCATTTTAAGGTATACCGATCTCCACTCGCATCAAAAGCAATTTCCGCCGCACGCGATGCTATTAAAGCATTAGTTGACGGTACCGTTGCTTTCGAGAAGCCGATGATTGAGGGCGCGATCAGTCAGTTAGTACTGGCTCTAGCAGATGAACAAGCGACTATGGCTACCGCTGCCGTACAGAACTATATTGTTGGCGCTATACGGGGCCTTGAACCTGATTACAGCATCAATATGCTTGTAAAGGTTAGGTCTGTGACAGTGGACGAAATTAGAGAGGCTATGAAGACGTGGCTTCTACCTCTGTTCGAGCCCGGGAAGAGCAACGTAGTGGTTTGCTGTGCACACACAATGATAGAGGTAAGTCAACTAAGCTTACGTTATAAATCTCATATACGTCGTACTAAACAAATAATTTAAGAAACTCGAAAACGAATTCGAGTCTCTGGGGTACAAAACGGAGATCAAGCAGCTATCAGACTTCGCTGATGATTACGGCCTGAAAGCTCCTGAAGGAGAAGAAGATGGCGAAAATGATGAGGAAGACGGCTCAGATGACGAGTCAGAAGGGTCAGAAGGCTCGGGCGACTCGGAGGACGATGACTAGAATCATTCGACTTCAAGCGATACGGACCTTTATTTGGACTTGACTTGGTTTGGTTCTATATAAAGGATAAAGCGTGTGGATTATAGACAAACAAATGGAAAATCACGTCAATCAACTTATAGTTGTTAGACATAAAAAGCGATAGGTAATACAGTGTGTTCTTATTTTGGATACGCTCATCCCTCCGAAGATTGTGGGTTTTACTATTGTGCTAATAGTAGTAGGATAATCTACCCGAAATTTCCTAATGAGAGAAATGCTTAAGTGTGACTGATTTATTTAAAGTTACTGTCAATGACCTCTACGCTTTAGCGAGATTTGCTTTAGCAGGACCTTGAACGGATAATCCTCTTGACCCGAATCGACTTCCATGTACAGGACAATCCCATGACTTCTCAACGCTATTCCAACATACCACGCCTCCCATGTGTGGGCACAACGCGCTCATCTTCGTCACTTGCCCATCCTCATCTTTGTATACGGCAATAGGCTTCGACGCCGTTGGGTTTAGCACACCGCCACATCCGGGCTTCAAATCTTCGATGTCCGTAATATCGGATTGCAAGAGTCGTTTGTACTGCGCATTGGCCTCAAGATCGTTTTGGATCATGGTCGGCGCGGATTTCACGACACTGCTTAGACGCTTTGGCGAGTAGAGATCACTCCACGAGTTCGGTTCTCCGGAAATTTCATCCGCAATTAACCGGCCGGCCAAAACTCCGTGGGTAAGCCCGTTGCCAGAGTCACCAGTAACAATATAAATACGATCGTTACCCTGATTCTTCCCAATATACGCCATATAATCTACGGGTTCGAAGATTTGTCCATTCCACTGGTACGCGTTGGTGGGGTCAGCATGGGTGAAGCGCTCTCGGGTCCACTGCTCGAGCGCCTCAAATCGACCCCTCGGGTCTTCCTGGCCCACTTTATGGTCCTCGCCACCCACGATCAGGTAATCATGTTTGGAATCGCAAGGGGTGAGACGCGTGTATCGATACGGATCCGCCGTATCGTACAACAAGACATCATCGATTGAACCCTTAGGTACGCGTAGCGCGACGCAATACGTACGATTCCACTCCATCTGTGCGATGACGCTAAGTTTCTGGAGCGGTACGACAGTGGCCTCGACAGCATGTGCGCAGTGTACCTTGTAGCCGGCTTCAACTTCTACTTCGCAGTGCTTATGACCCAGGCCAAGTACTTCAACACCTTTCTCTTCGACAGACATTACGCGTGTTCTCGCGAAGTATTGAAACCGTTCCTGGTTGTGAAGCCAGTCTAGGATACCATTGAGGTATTTGGTGGGGTGGAAGGCAGCTTGTTTAGCAAATACCGCGCCGCCGCGCTGATCGGGCTTACCATCCCAGCCTTTGATTGTTAGATTCGCGTCGAAAGTGGCATTGATTCCTAGTATCTTGGCTAGTTCGACGTCTTCTTTGATACCCTCAATATCCTTCTTATACTCCTCCGTACCGCACTGATATTGCGATACGCGGTATCCTGGCAAATGGCGGTATTCGCAGTTAATACCCAACTCCTTGGCGATCTCACCGACGCGATTTAATGCCCAAGTGTGACTTTCAGCAGCGACTTTAGCCCCGCTCTCTCCGTGTTTCTTCGCGATCTCGGGATACGTATCATCTAGCGCGTTCGACAAATGACCGCTTGTCCTACCCGTCTCACCGGATAGAATGTCCCGGGCTTCTAGGAGTACGACATCCTTACCGCGCTTGGCGAGCTCATACGCGGTAGATATTCCGGCTATGCCGGCGCCGATAATGCAGACATCCGTTTCGATGTCCTCGGTCAGGGCGCGAACATCCGGTCGATTATTAAATGGATCACCGTGTACCCAGACCGGGTCTGTGATACCGGACGTCGAGTTGAATTGCTCGTAGTCGCTAGTTTTTGTTTTCCCCATGCTGCACCTTGAACTTGAAAAAAATTGGACTTGATTCGCGTTGGGGTAGCGATTCGATTTCCTCCTCCCAGAAATAATTGTATTGAGGCTTCTTATTCCGCGGTTAGGAGCCATATTCAATGAAGGTGATTCATAGATGGTACATATGGTTCCGCTGAGTGGTCGCGACAACCGCGAGAATGCGGTCACCACTTGCTTCATAGACGTCATTCTCACGCAAGACGATACACCAACATACAAATACGGCCTCTCAATTGCATATCCATTCTCATATATCTGCCATTGGAGGCATGCTCATTCTTATCCTTGCTGCATCTTCGTGAGTGGTACCCCTTCATTACGTCACTGTGACGGTTTAATACTGACGATGATTCAGCACTATTATCGACGCGTTGATTTGACGAAAGAACCCCCTTGGTTATTTCTTGGCTCTATTACAACCATTTGAAATAGGCAATTATCTAAGCACGGATTGTTTACGCTTCTAACTTAACTATTAACGGATAACTCGACATTTAAAGGTCACGTTAGTGATGTCATTAGGTTAAGTAATGGGATTTCATTTGGAGCGGACCATCATTATTCTGCCTCAATGAAATTGTCCCCGGATTGGAGTAACAGAAGTCCGAGGAAGGCTTGGAATCATTTTATCAGGTCTAGGTCTCCTTCTTGACAAGCCGGTCAATTTCTTATTCAAGGTGCAAGTTACTCGCAGACAAACTAGGTGCCTAAGTAAATGCCGAGTAACTTCGCCTTTACTGATAGATGACATAAGAGAGTTGTACGTGATATTGGACAGTACAAGTCTAAGCTCATTCGGCAACATCAACGTACCCCATCCAGTCTCTTTCGAACTCGCCCTGGACTTGTGTGAAAGATTGGAGCTGGGCGACATCGAGCTTACGGCCCTCGAAAGCAGCAAGACTCTCGGCCGCTTTGACAATGTTCTTGATCTGGCGGCCGTTGAGTTGGGGCTTGGCCAGAAGCGCCAGTTCCTTGTCGTTGAGATCCACTCCGCCCGGAACACGGTTGCAGAAGTTACGCCAGATAATTCGGCGCGACTCTTCGCTCAAGTTTGTGTAGCGGAGGGGGACGTGGATACGACTTGTGAAGGCGTCGTCAAATGTTGCAACTCGATTAGTCGTGAGGAAAAGAATACCACGGTAGTCTGAAATTGGGTTAACTTTCTTCTGCTCAGGGGCATGGGTACAATTTTGTTCACATACACTCAAGGACTCGTAAGAAGACCGTCACCATTGCATTGCGTTGCAAGTCGTGCAAGCTTCGGCGTTCCAAAAAGACGTCGGCTTCGTCAATAAGCAAAACGGCTCCCCAGGTAGTTGTGACATCCATGATGCGACCCAACTCCGTCTCCAATGAGTAACTGTTTGTTCCTAAATCGCCTGCCGACACCATATAGAGCGGCCTTTGCACGGATTCAGCGACGCACTCAGCAGTTAGCGTCTTTCCAACTCCTGGTGGACCGTGAAGGACCATTACGAGTCCTCTACCCTTGCCTTCGACGATATCGTCAAACCCAGGACCATCCTGGCCCCGGCGCACATGCATGGATACCATAGCCCGTACCGTATTCTTGGTGGTTGGATTCAGTACCAACTGGTCGAAGCAAGTTTCATCCCACTTGGTCTCCGAGAGATTTTCTACGAAGAACTCCAAGAATTTCTTGATGGTGAACGCGAAACCACGGACCGTCGCATTGGTCATTATCAGATCTTCGTCGAGGAGTTCGTCGAAAATTTCCTCTTCGCCGATGTCAATGCCGTCGTTATATCTACGCATGACACGCTGACGCTTGGCTGCTTCGGTGCGGGGCACTAGGACGATGATGGGATTTAGCGATTGCACCGTGCGTTAGGAGGTAGGTAAGGGAATAAGGGCTTGAGAATGCTACTTACAGTCTTCTAGCTCGAAATCATCGCCCGGCTCGAAGCGCTTATAATTCTTGCAGTCGATAACGACACGGCCTGTCAGATTGTATCGAACATATGACGCACCATCCTTCTTGACAGCTACTCCTTTGTAATGCATGAAGTTGTGTCCTGTCAACTTCTGGAATTGACGGCCTCTTTCCAACAATCGCGCGCGGAGGTCCGCAGCCGAGGAGTGGAAGTCAAGGGGCACAATGTTGAGATCTTCGCAACGCATTACGCCGGAATACTGAGGGATACAGAATAGTTCTTTGCGGGTGCCAAATTTCTCGCCATCGTAATCGACAAACTGGACTCTAATGGACAAGCCGGGTTCATTATCGGTTTCATACCAAAAGCCACGAAGCTTGAACGCGCGTGCCTGGCCTAGCACACGGTTGTAGACAAGACTGCTCGGTTTGAATATAGTCCAGAGGTATTCGTAGCTGATAGGTCTTTGTTCGCTGCTTTGGAAACGCTCAAATGCCTTGAAAGCATCCTCGTGTACTCTGTCAATCCAATCAAGAAGAAGCTTCAAGTGCTGGAGTGATGTCTCGTCTTCTTTGAAGCGCTCTGTTCCTACCTCTTCCAGCTCCTTCCGGTAGAAGAAGAGGCAATGCGCAGGTAAGTCAAATTCGACGTCAGCCTGAGCATCAATGGGATCATATGGGAATCCGACAATGACATCTTCAAGCAGTTGCTTCAGAGGCTGAGGGTTCACGTGCAGCCTGGTACACTTGTAGGTGCCGTTCTCTCTAAAGTGCCGTGTTTCTGTGAGAGCGTAGAGCTTCCACCATTTCGAGCTACCGGTGTCATCCTTGGCCTTGCGCTTCTTGTATACCTTATGACCGTCGGAATCGTACTTTTTGTCTAGAAGTGCTAACTCGCACTTCATTTCCTTGGACTCCTCTACTGCTTCCTTGGGTTCCTTCGCCTTCTGGGGCTCTTCTTTAACCTCCTCTGGCGGCGTCGGCGTGTCAACCTTGTCAGGGTGTTAATACGATGATATATGTCAAATGTTAGACATTATAGGCCCCACTTACTGCGTCTGAAGACATAGCGAAGCTTTGGTCGAAGGATCCTTCCTTTGAGTAGGGTTTGTCTGTACTGTGATATTATATCCGTTTCAATCATAAGTCGGTGAGCAATCTGGGGAAGAACTACACGCCATTATATAGGCGCGAAGTCCTAGATTCAATGGTCCCTGTCTATGGGTTATAGCCATGCATAGGTATGACTGGTACAAGTGTCGGCAGCATGATTGGTTGACCCAGGATACCAGATTCGGTATACTGGACTGATCGATGTCCTATAGTCTACGTATCAGGCGAACCACCACAGGGTGATTGGTTGCCTAACATCAGGCAACCAAAACAACATCCACCTTCTTCTGCAGGCTGAGTCCCTGGCCTCAAGGGTGGTTAGCATTTTGCTCATCAATGATATACCTTGGTTAAGGCTATTAAGAACGCGCGAGGAACTCGAGTAAATCGCGTTCCTTCCAGGGAAAATCGCCGTAGACGTTGATGTTGGGTAGCAAAGGCCTTAGGTGCGTAGTGAACTGGGGGTAGCATGGACGGCCGTTTATCTCCTTGGACAGCTTCATACATCTCATGTGGGCCCAAACCGGGGTAGATGTTCTGATACTACTGCACCTATATGGGATGTTGATGGGGTTCCGACTTGGCGAAGGATCGGAACGCAACCACAACATCAACAGAATACATAACATGCTGCGCACTGATGTTTCCTACTCCGTGGCCATAGTTTCAATATCCATACATGAGTCATAGCTTCTATGTATTATGAATTGTTAGGTTAGGTACCCAGGCAGATGTAGATATGCGGGCCAACGTACCCCCACAATGGTGCGCGGCACTCCAGGTGGATGTCAACGTACCAATAGTTTGTATGCGATATAGATCTACTACCTACCTAGGTATTTAGGACAATAAAATGTAGTATGATCTAAATGGTTTGATATGATGATTTGTCACATATTTTGAACTTTTATCAGCAAATATATTAACAAAGAGCCGCAACTTATCATGACGCCGTAGAGGACAAGCACCCAAGCAAGTGTAGCTCAGTGAATATATAAAACATCAGCAGAGCGAATATAGAAGACTTTTAAGATAGTATTGTTAGCGTATATCCTGCTAACTTTAGATTCATTGGGTAGATGAGATGGAAATCCGGGCAAAGTTGGAAAGTCTCAGATACACAATAGACAATAGGCATCATGGTTATTGCATTGCAGCATATATAAAAGAGAACTGCCCTGCCACTTGGATTGGATGTTAAGTAATATTGATGTGTGGAAAATAGAGGATGTAGCTAGTTGATTTAAACCTGCCCAGTATCTACCTCCTATCTAATCAGTAGTGATTTGGATTGAATAATAATGCCGAATAAATAGTGACTAGCTTGAAATCTACTTAGGGTCGAGTGCGGCTATAAACGCCGTTGTTGTTTTGCTGGTTAAAAATTCCATGACCAAGTTGCGTAGCAACAGGTGCTATACAAGGGCGATTTGTGGTTGCGAGTTGAGGCCTTAGTTATCATAATCAGTCACCAACCCTAACATTGTCACTGGGGCAATTACACACCGTAACCAGCGCGTACCTACCCAATGTTTCTCAACGGCGTCTGAATTCTTCACACTTCACAATAATTATATATATCCAATTACACACGAGGGCACTTGCCCGTAAACCGAGGTACTACGTACGTACATGCGGAATTTTCAGTCAAGAAATCGATGAGCTATACACAGAGCGCCGTTTGTCAAGAAAACAGCGGATAAGAGGACGGCGAGATTCACAACCAATAATCCATGGATCTTTTCTTAGTCAGTAACTGTTGCGGAAGTTACTCACTAGGTGTTTGTTCCTTCCATTTTGGAAATGAATTCCTGGTTAATGTGAATTTCCAAAAGCCCTCCGAAATTTCCAGACTGGAAATCGATAATACATGTTCCCCCCAGAACACGGCATATTACCCAACCATTGACACTTCCAAATAAAAAATAATTATCGACAATTTTTTATTTTTACGCGACCAACGTAGACACGAAATTGACTGGTATTTTCACCTGCCGTTTACGATATCGTCGGGACCGCCGTCGCATTCTTGATTCAGTGGGCGCCTCAACTCGCAATATGGACATCTCGGGAACATCCTGCGGGCGATTCGCCAAAGAGCTTGATGCCATTGACGAACGAATTGGTAAGATACTACGAATTTTTTAGATTGAAGTCTTTGAAGTTATCCCAACTACTCGCTCGCCCCTATTATGACGCTCTTCAATTGAACTTACTAATGTTTAATTACAGTTCTTAATGTCATGGTTATGGACGACGGAGCTTCGCTAGAAACGTTAAACTCCTTTCGCCGACAGTTGGGCTTAGGACCCTCTAAGAATCTGATCAGCAGTGGAAAGCCCGTATCAACACCAACGCCCGCCGGAGATTGTTCCAACAGCGATGGCTGCCAACACCAGCCAGCCGAAAATAATGACCTGACCCGAACACCCCACGGCGGTTCAGTTGCGGAGTCGAGCCCTGATCAATTACATACCCCAGACGCGTACCAGGGGAATCGTGCTTTGTCTCGCAACAGGGCTGCGGATATCCCCGACGATGTAAATTGCAGGCTTTGGATTACGGGCCTGCCACCACATTGTACCGTCCAGGACCTACTCCAGGTAATCAGAGGCGTTGGCCCTATATATGCGACGCACATTGTGCCGCCCTCAATCAATGAGACAGCACCGGAGTCGAGCATACATACCTCGGCTGCTTCTCTCACTTTTTTTACCGTAGCCGATACGGAGAAGTTCCTGAGTAAATACCACCCCTTCGTAGTCCAAGGCTACTCCACGACCGTCATCCGACACCGCATCAAAACCAGGCCCCTTGAGATTAACGGCCAGTCTCGGGTCCTAGTTATTAAGGGGCCCCCGGCGATTGTCAACCCAGACCACCTCAACCGGGCCTTCACTCAATTGTGGAACGTCCGATTCAACACCGACTTCATCGAACACCGGCCAGGAAAGGAGTCGAGTGAAATTGTGTGGGGATTTGGAAGCTTCCGCGCACAAGCGCAAGCAGGATACGTTCTCCTCAATAGACATTTCTCAGGCAGAGTAGTCGTCCAATATGGTGACGATCCGTGCGCTTAGGGTTGTCTTTGAGGTGGCGCTTTGTTATGCCTTAGACTTAGAAAGGTAGCTTTTGTACATTTAGGAGTTTGGGGTTGTTAGATACTACTGGGATGAGCTTGAAACTTTAATGATTCATTACTATTTGAAATACACAGGGTTTTCTGCTATCGTGAGCTTCTAGCACCATCAAATTCTCACGGGCTATTATTGTATCGATTGAACCGCTGCTCTTGTAGTTCTTGTAAATAGTGAAAAGAGGTCGTATTGTACTTTGTATAGCAGGATTAGGGTTGTTCTATTACCATCTTACGTAAGTAGGTATTCTCGTGTAACTACTCCTGCCCCTATTTTAACCCCCTTTTATGCCTTAGTAATTCATGACTAAGGGACGCCACACTACCTATTTATCATTCAAAGGCGGTCGCGATGATTTTGAACCGTGTTTCATTCTTGAAAATCTTCAATTAAAATATCCAGCTCCCCTCCCTGCGAGTTTATCTATGAACGCCTTTTAACCTCTATCCAACCAATGCCAGACGAACAATAATCATACATTAGATCCCGAGTCCCTTTTCGCAAGCAAATACAGCATCAGTGTTTTCCTCCAACGCGTTAATAATCAATCGCCAGACACTCTTGTCCCACATAAGGCCAGCATGTCCGACACTATCATCAGGACAGGTGTCTTGGATAATAACGTTATTGACGCCTTCTTCGTCGATCCTGCTGACATCTGGCGACACTAATGAATCCAAGTTAGACATGATGACTGTGACCTTGTTTCCTGACTGCGCAATTTTGCCGGCGTTCTTGAAATCGTTGTACACGGCACCACCAGTCATCATGTCGTCGCAAGCAGGGCAGCCAAGCGCATCTTGAACCACCTTAGCGATGTTCCTGGTGACATCACCGCCGATATACCACAGATCCGTAAAGCCGAAGTACTTCGCACCGTGGATCGCAGGACCGAGCGCCACTACGTGCTCCACAATATCCGAGATACCAGCCTGCGTCATTGGTACATAAATGGCTTGTACGCCACCTTCGGAATGACCAACAATATCGACCTTCGACGCGCCTGTCTTATCTTTTACTTCCTTCACAAAACTGGCAATGTCTTGCGCAGAATCAGCCATCGTCCGAAGACCACCAATCCATGGTACTAAGTCCCAGGCGCCGTATGTCTGGGAGAATGTGCAGTAGCCGCGTCTGTTTAATTCCCATTGAAGCATATTGAGATCGACCTCACGGTTCGCGGAAAGGCCATGGAGAAGAACAACGGGGTTCCGATCGCTTTTGCAGTCGAAGTTGTTGTCAGGCGCGCCGTATAGCTCACTAAGTCTTAAAACGTCAGGAATGCTGGTGTTGATCCCCAAGTCGCGTTGAGCAACATCCGCCGTGACAGGGATTGGGCTTGGAAGAGCACTCGCGCTTAGCGACAAAAAAGTTTGCGCTAAGAAAAAAGCTCCAGACTTCATGGTGGACGGCATCGTGAGTGTTCAGAGGAATGATGACTGATTCGCTCTGGCCAAGATGCTTTAGCTAACGAGCAGCAGCGCGTCCTTATATCTTGCGCCGATGAACGCCATAATTGTTTCCATCGTTGGTTCCCTGGAATATTATTAATTTTAGCAATTTACCTATCCCGGCCATGCCGTCCTTGAACGCTTTCCCAAATGCGTAAGGAGCTTCCAGATTGACCCTTGCTTTTCTTCACCTTGCCGCAATCCTTCTCTGGGGATATTATGGGGGCTGCGCCACCTCATCAAGTAGAATTTGTCTTAAACCCAGGCTTGGTGCCACCTACGTTTACCCTCCAATCGGTAACGGCCGTCTCGGTGTCAACGTGCGATTTCTGCGACCGCCTGTGATTGGCCATTTTCCTTATAGCTTGCTTGCTCTGTCCCTTGCAGATGCTCAACATGCCTACCTGGTAACTTTTGTCTAGGAGCAATTACTTAGGGTCAGGTTTCCCTTTCCTCTGTTAATTAAATAACTTCTAGAATGTCCCAATGGGGTTCATCTTATACACCGAGTTAGTTTACCCTGTTGCAAGCATCGTTTAACTCTGTAACGGGAAGCTACTTTTTCATGCGACCAAACAGCCATATATTTTCGGTGTTCCAACACGCGGGTCTCCATTTGCAAGATAAAGTGAAGAAGCAAATATATATATAATCTAGATGCCGGAATTGAGGTAGACGACACGTATAAAAAGGGGACCACCCAGCCGGAAATAAGAATTAACACCGGATATTTCCAGGACACCGATTTTAATATATCTATGCAAGCAAATAACTGCCGCGATGAACCAAATACCACAGTAATGGAAATTGCAACCCATTAGTTTTCCCGTTCCTAACCTTATTAGCTCTACTGCCGGTTCAAGAGAATTAAGAATGCAGTTATAGACTTATCATTGAGATGATGCGGATAAGATGAGCGAGCAAACATATACTTCGTAACCTACGAGTATTAACTTTGATATTATATAATCGAAAAGATTGCATTACGTAACTGCTGAAAGCCATTTAGGTAAGCTTCAACTATTGTACAACATTACCGAGCAATGTGCTTAGGTAAAGACTCTTGCTTTGGTAATATAAGCTTAAGTAAGTTGTGCAACCATGCTTTTATGATGATTAAGCATCTTGAGTTAATAGTTGGCATGGTTCCTAGGGAGTTTGCATGACTACCATCAATAAAGTATAATCTGAAAGAGACCGGTTCTGTGTGTTGGCTGACTCTCAATGTAAACACATGATCTTGTAAGGATGCTCCAATCCGCAATTTAAGTACCCCAGTACCTTCAAGCTAGGTAGGCACTCAAATATTTACTTTGCAAAAGACTACGATAATACTTCTAAGAGAAACCATGTACTAAATATTTATTCGGTAGTTGTGACTTCGCTTACTATTGATAATTATGAGAGGCTATTAGTTGTGTTGAGTGGCAACTATTTACGGTGCAAATCATATGTACCTTGCAAAACAGAGCATTAAACTTTTTTCGACACAGAAAGTTTTGCCATGATATTTACGAGAGCGAAAGCGAAATAGGATTTGGTAGTAATTTGCGGGGGATTATGGAGATAGTAGTTGGTGATTAGGGTGATTAGGGAGTTAAATGGTGTTGATCCCCTGATTGTCCGACCGTCCGCGCCGATACTCCGGGGCCGTATTGACCGTCTCATGATATTGAAATAATCGGGTGATCGGGGACTTCAACGGATCATGCCAATTTTCATGGTTCAGAGTCATAGTATTTGAAGGATCTCAAATACCTTTCCTTTTCTTGATACTCAGAAATTCCATTCATAATTACAAAAAATCTAATCTTCTTAATTTAATAGACGCCCCGAAGTGTCAACTTTTTGGTGTGGTTTAGCCTATATTTCTCCAATCACGAATACAACCCCAATTCGTTCCCTCAAGAAGCGGCGGACCCCTCAAATCCTTCCTTTCTCGAAAAATTATTTTTCGCTTCCCCATCGAACTCACATCTGCCAAATATGTCTGACCAAGGGAATGGTTCCTCCGAGCGGGAGTCGGCAACACTAGACTTTTCGAGAGACAATAAAGAAAAGGATGTTGAACAAGGAGAGAAGATATCAGAAGGGCAGACGATAGATCCTAATATCGTCGATTGGGATGGTCCCGATGATCCAAATAACCCTCTAAACTGGCCAGGTCCCAAGAAAGTCTTCCACATCGCCTATGTCAGTCTTTTCGTCCTCTTCGCGTAAGTAACGAATCCTTCAACGCTCCACAGCTCATATTTGAATAACGGACGTACGACTCTTCTAGTAGCTAACTTGCTAAATCTCAGAAACCTCGCTGCGACTATGTTCGCTCCCGGTGCAGCACAATTAGCAGAGGAATTCCACATTACCAATTCCACAGTCACTACTTTCACAGTTAGTATCTACGTTCTCGGTTTTATGATCGGGCCTGTGATTCTTGCGCCACTTTCCGAATTATATGGACGTTTCGCTATCTACCAGATATGTAACGTTATCTACTTCAGCTTTACGCTAGGATGTGCGCTCAGTAAAAACGTTGGGATGTTTCTTGCCTTCCGTTTTATTGCTGGCTGCGCGTGTGCTGGGCCGTTGACAATAGGAGGTGGAACAATTGCAGACGTCACATTTCAACAGTCCAGAGGAAAAGCTATGTCAGCTTATATCTTGGGACCCCTTCTTGGGCCAAGGTTTGTGATAATCCTCATATCCAAAGGCATTTTGGTCACTTAAGCTTATTTTTGATTATTTTAGTATCGGGCCTATAATAGGTGGCTTTGTAACCCAAAATATCGGATGGCGTTGGACATTCTGGATAATTCTTATCTTGGTAAGTGCTGCATCCTCCGATGATGTTTAGTGTTACTCTCTAACAAAATTGAAGTCCGGAACTCTCAGTCTTACTTCCATGGTATTCCTAAGAGAGACCAACGCTACAGTTTTATTACAGCGAAAAACGGAGCGTCTTCGCAAGGAGACTGGAAATACCAAGCTCGTTTCCAAATTGGACTTGAAATTGACTCCTCGTGAGATGTTGACTCGTTCTATTGTCCGCCCAATCAAAATGATTATCTTCTCACCTATCACATTATTACTCTCCCTTTATAACGGTGTTATATTTGGGCTTATCTTTCTTCTCTTCACAACCTTCCCCGGCATATTCGAAGGCCAATATGGCTTCAGCCCTGGTTCTGCTGGTAAGTTAAACATTCGAAGCCCTTCTCGTCGACGACTCAGGGGCTCTGTATCATCATTTATGCACCGGCATTAGTCACGAATTACCCCAAGAATAAAAATCGCTGATTTGGTCCTTCAGGTCTGGCATACCTAGGTCTCGGCATTGGAATGTTATGTGGCTTGGCACTGTTCAGTATTGCTAGCGATAAGTTACTGGGCCAGAAAGATGGTAAAACCGCTCCAAAGCCCGAACGACGACTCGTCCTTATGAAGTACCTTGCGCCTATCACCCCAATAGGTTGCTTTATATACGGATGGACTGCGTACTACAAGATCCATTGGATTGTCCCTGAGATCGGAACTTTCATCGTGGGGCTCGGTGCACTTTTCGTCATGCTTCCGTCGCAGACTTACCTGGTAGATTCCTTCGGGCCCCACGCTGCTGCTTCGGCTATGGCCGCGAATCTCATCGTCCGAAGCCCCTTCGGAGCTTTCCTCACTTTTGCTGCGCCGCCACTGTACGCGAAGCTGGGGCTAGGCTGGGGAAATAGCGTGTTAGGATTCATCTGCCTCGCTTTTACGCCGGTCCCGTGGCTATTCTACCACTATGGTGAATATATGAGAACCCGGTTCGCCGTTAAACTTTAGATGTCATATATTTAGTGCGACGGTATCGAGATATAATGGGATTTAACGGCATAGTAACGATTTGATATAGATCAATGGCAAAAGAAGGAAAAGGGTATTTTTAGGGAGATTTGACTACTATTAGCATTAGAACTTTGCGAACTAGCATCTATTACGTTCAAGGGTATGATAAAAAAAAACTCTCGTCTCTGCGAGAAGCTTCACGTTCTTCAAGTTGCTGCGAGCTGTGATGACCGTCCGAACTGAGATTACTTAGAACGGCCGCTAGCCATAAATAGGGATATTGCTCCGTTAGTTCCAAATTATAACATGGGAGTCCCAATATTAATCCACATGGGCACTGACTCACCTACCTAGGTACTTACCTGGTATGCATCCTAATATTATACCTATGTTTTCGTGCCCTCGCTCATGAATTTCGTCGTCTTGTATCTGCTAAACGGCGCGATATTTTTTCCTAGGTAGGTAAGGGTATGCTGTAAATATAGGGCATAGGGAGCTAAATTCCACTGTAATTATAACACCTAAGTACCTATAGCGCATAACTTTCCATAACGAAACGACCAATCAGATTATGTGGCGTTTACCAATACGGTAACCAAGAAAAAGTATAAATTCCGACTAGCCTAAGGCTTGTAGGAGGACAGGGGTGACAGGTCCCATCAGTCAACCTAATTGTCAACTGAAGTGCTAAATATCTGCCTAGGTAACCAATGGCCAGATTGATCAGCTAATATATCCACAGCCGAACTACGTATTGGCCCTATTAATGCGAATATATGTTCGATCCTTTGTATGGGCGATTTATTCCATTATAAATAAAAGGGGTTGTGGTTGTGCATAATTGGCTTAGCTAGCCACCATATTCTTAGGGAGGTATGTACTACCACCGTAGGGGGACATAGCGTCATACGTCCTGTATTTGTAGCGTACCCCTCTAGAACCGCTCTTTTTTTCATCGGCGCTTTCAATTACATTCCCCTTATCCACGAATGCTTTCTCAGATACATATAAGCAGCTCTAAAAATAGTCTAGGAGAAGCTCTGCGAGGTTCGTAGGTAGCAATAGACTTAATTCGAACGGATATACGCAGACTCAGTTGAAAGATACCGTTTCACAAACCGGAATCATACGACGACCCCTCATCCCCTAATTTTTGGTGTAGGCTTCATCCGCGAGCAAATCCCGGATGCCGAACTCAGAGCCCGAGGTAGTCGGTTATTAGAACGCCAATCTTGTCGTAATTAGTAAAAGAAACATGAAGGATACGAGTCGAAATTGATTGCCCCAAACCGCCGCAATATTCATATGACAATGAGTGACCTGGTACGAATAGCTGCTTGTCATGCTTCGCCGGTCTTCCTGTCCGCAAAGGCGACGACAGCGAAGGCAATATCTCTGATTCAAGAGGCTGCAAAGAACAAAGCCAATCTTGTGGTATTCCCCGAGTCTTATATACCCGCGTTCCCCATATGGAGTGCGCTGCGGGCCCCCACCGAGAACCATGATCTGTTCAAGCGCATGGCGCTAGAGTCTATATACGTCGATGGCGACGAGGTGAACGCGATTCGCGCGACGGCAAAGCAATTCGGTGTGCTCGTCAACCTCGGGTTTTCCGAAAAGGTACGCTATAGCAGCGCCACGTTATTCAACTCGAATCTCCTCATCGGCACGGACGGTGAAATCCTCGTTCACCATCGGAAACTTATGCCTACGTTCTATGAGAAGCTTACCTGGGCACCTGGCGACGGCCATGGACTTCAGGTAGCCGACACCTCATTTGGAAAGATTGGAGTCCTCATTTGCGGGGAGAACACCAATCCCTTGGCCCTATATAGCTTCACGGCCCAAGGCGAACAGATCCATATTAGTTCTTGGCCCGCTATTTGGCCTACGCGGCTCCCACCGGGCATCCTTCCCACCCCCGGCGAAGAGATTCCTAATGGAAACGCCAGCGACGGCAAAGCCGCGGTTTCAAGCGTTGCACGTGGCGTGAATTACGACAATGTCGCTGCTAATAGAACCCGGGCCGCGGCCCATTGCTTTGAAGCTAAATGCTTCGGCATTCTATGCGCAGGGTATCTTGGCACCGACGCAATTGAAATCATAACATCTGGGGCTAGTAACCCTAAAGTCGTATCGCAAGCATTACAAAAATCTTCGAGAGGCGCAACTATGTTCTTAGACCCGACGGGGACATTACTCCCTGGATTTACTATCGACTCCAAGACTTCAGCCCAGGAGCAAAAAGACTTCCTCCAGGAAGCTGAGGGTATCTTATATGCTGACTTTGATCTGGGAGATTGTATAGAAGGGAAGCAGTATCACGACCTTGCGGGCGGTTACCAGAGGTTGGATGTGTTTGAGTTGAAAGTCGATCGCAGGCGAAGACAGCCCGTGGTATTCAAATAAGCATGTCTTGGTATTCAGTCATAACCTCATACCCCAAGATGTTAGAAATGCAATTGAATTCACTTCTACGAACAGTTATAAAGTTATTGCCGTTTATAAGGAAACATATCTCATAGTATACACCGAAAAAATCTATTGCGGGCTGACGACCCCTGGTGTGAGATTTTAACGGTTCTCAGTTGCATGAGAACTAATGAAGTGCAACTATAGGATGAGTTTAAATCGTAATAATTTCTGACTCCCATATAGACGGAACTTAGGAAGCATCATTTAATCAATTATCAATTGAACCAAATAAATTCAATATTTCTGCGATAAACTTTCATCAAAATATTGCTGAGTGCCATGATAGTCTAATGGCCGTCGTTGGCGTAAAATGAGGGGTGAAAATAGGGGTATGTTGGTCTAACGAGGATGAAAATAGATATTATTATGAAAAAAGGATACGACATATAGATAAAAGCAAGTATCCATTTGCCTTAATCCAATTAAGTCAATTTGTTTACTTTGCCGCCGTCCCAACTGTCAAGCGACTCCCGATATCACGAAGGACATACATCTGACCCCAAAGGTCGGTGACGTTATAAAACAACCGCCAGAAGTCCATCTGTCGGCTCTTTCTAGCTTGTGCCTCCGTCGACCTCTTATCCGCCGAATGGTTTGCTAGCCTTTCGAACGCATATTCTATACAGCTACGCTCATATTGAGCTATTTCGAACAAACTAGCTTGTCTAGTGACGATGTCATTGTTTCCTAGCGCAGGATCATGGAGTTCAAACTCAGGAAAGTCGATAGAGTTCACGTTAAGCTCATCGCGATCCCGTATAGCGGAACCGTGATCGTTATACATACGACACATAGCTGCTAGATGCTGGCCCGCCGAGTAGCCGTAGTATTTCTCCTGGGTCGTAGGAAAGCAGTCTTTCCCATCCTCGAGTAGAGTGCTCAACAGACAACACACGAAGCTGTAGGTATAGGTAGCTGATGTATGATCCGCCGAGGTAGTGCTAACCCATCGTAGAAAGTGTTCTCTCATCACGCCCTGAGTCCATTTACCTTGCTTCAATAGCGCATTGTCCTCGTTCTGTGTAACATGCGTCTGAAGGTAAATTCGGAGTTCACACGTCATGTTCTTACGATCCCATGGACTTGCTGAGAGAATCGCAGGGTGCTTGAGGGCGCGGGTGACAAATTTCTGCAAGGGTACCAAAACTTCCTGGCGTTCGGCTTCCCCAATGTCAGGATGGTGGCCATCAATCTCCTTAATTGCCCCGGACCCGTTTGTCAATCCGTTAGTACCGTTAGTACCGTTAGTCGCAGACGCTTCACGCGAAGCCTCGTCACTAATGGAGTCAATCACGTCGTCGATAAGTTTTCGGAGCTCCGGAACATGGTTGGCATAATTGATATCTGCTACCGCCTCCATGAACTCATCGACTTGGTAATTCAAGAGCGCAGCCATCATTCCTTCAAACAAGAAGAAGGGTGGGGCAAATATCCGCTTGCAATTACTCATGGACGGCCATGCCAGTGGAATGACATCAAAATACTTGTCTTCTTCCACTCCTTTTCTCGTGAATACGCTTAACCTGAGAGCGCGGACAATGGGACGAAATAATGTACCCTCCACCATCGACGCAGACACTTCCCACTCAGGAGTCCCCTTGAATATGGGAGTCATGAGAAGGAATTTCGCGAATTTTGGTATGACTGATGTGTCTTGGCGTAAACTCGAACCTATGTAGGCTTCCGGCCGAATAGTAGCCGCCCTAAGAGCAGCCAGTTTATAAGTCTCGGTCAATACTGGAGATCTGTAGCTGACTTTCTCGATCCATAGAAATTCTGGGGGGCTGTTTGAGGTCTGCAAGAATGCTACTGAGCGATCGATAGCTGAAGAGAACTTTTCTTCGAAATCCACGAAAAGCACTAGCCGTCGCGCCTCGGAAAGTATAAGAGTTCCGTAAGCAGTCTCTTCAATAGAATTATTCCAAGAGCCATCATCAAATTGTTCTAGGAGTGTCCTATAACACGCCTGATACAAGCAAACGGCAACTTTAGACTGCATTGTTTGATCTTCCAGCGCGGGAAGTTCCCCCTTTTCAATCAAATATACGAATCTCGTAACCGCTTCTACGAAAAGAAGTCTGGGGTATAAATGGGAGAGGTTCTATAAACCTTTCTTAGCTTATATAAATTGAATGATTATACGGAGAACATACCCATTTGTCCTTAATATTGCTGGGTGCTGACCACCAGTAGTTGCACAAAAATTCAATAATGCTGGCTATTTGGGTTGAAAAGTCCCGCGGTACATCCTGGTGAAGTAGTGCCAATAGAACGTTGCAATTGGCACTGAAACTTGGGTCTCTTTCAGACGGATACGTCTTGAAGTGAGATTTCGTCTCAAATCTCTCAATCATTTTCGCTGCGCTAGCGTTTCTCCCAAGTTTTTTCAGAGACAATATTGCTTTCGCCGTATCGTCCACATCAGCCATAAAAAAGGGGGCTGGAGATAATGTTAATTCAAACATCCCTATATAGAAGAGGTTGCACGACTATACCGAAACCGATAGTCCCTCCTTCATTTTCTAGAGCTTGAGAAAGGACTTCCGTCATCTTTTGCAGGCCAGGGCCGTCGAGGTCAGAGGGCGAAAACCCAGACGTTAGCAGCGTGGAGAGAATCTAAAGACGGTTAGGGTTGGAAACCGTGGAGGAGCAATCTTAAATACTAACCCAGCTGTATTCAAAGTACGTAGAAGGATATGCGCTGGGGACGCCACCACTCCCCTTGCCGGCGGCTTGTCCGACGACATGCCTGAGATACATCTCCGCCTTATCATCCCAACGGGATGCGTTCATTAAATATGCTGCAGTAGATGACGGTGACCCCATCATCGATCCTGACGTTGTATGATGAGTTATTCTGTCGAAGTCCACCTTTCCGATGAACGCCTCGAGGGAATGGAATATGGTCGATCGTATGTCACCATAGAGATATTCTGGTTTGAACAGGCACAATTTCTTCGCGCTAATTTTCATTAAATCTTTGAAACCATCGAAGTCAACCCGAATAGAGGGGTCTTCCTCGGAGAGGAGGTCAAGAAGAGTTGGAACTATAACCTCAAAGCCTACGTGGACTGTAGAGGTAATAGACCAAGATTGCAACTGAGAACCTAGAGAATCGACTGCTCTTGATATGCGGCTGCTAGTATCCCGTATATCAAGGTTCTCAAGTTGTAGCGGCTCGGCTCGATGTCGTAAGAGCGACAGTAATGACGCCCCGGTACTCAAGATGCCATCAATCTGTGATGCAGTTTTCCCCCAACTTCCATCTTCCCCTTGAGTGTGGAGTAGAAAATCAAAACATTCGGGGAAGAGCCATTGCTGTTTCCCGTCGATAATCTTGGTCACCAATGAGACCCATGCTGTGTCATATATCGAGCAGCTCATTGACCCAAACCCGAAGACTTGGTCACTACTATCTACGGTATTCTGAAGCAGAGACCTTGTCGCACCATCTAGGTCTTCGCTACTTATACCGGTAGCTCCATTTCCGTTGAGATAATATGATTTGGGTGTATTGTTCGCTGCCATAGTGCTTTTCATGAGAAATGAATTGTCGATATATGATTCTGTATATACACTAAACTATGAATCACCACATGTCACCATTACGAACAGAAGCCCCCATGAACAGTACAGTACTTCGCTGAATTAATATTGTATTCTTTCCTCTCTTGGCCCTGTTCGATTGTGGATCTCGTCCCATTTTTACTATGCCGTATTGGTATATGAATAACTCGATATAGAAACTACCTTGACATTTTAACTCGAGAGATTATCAACGTAGAATAACCGCCCCCAAAAGCAGTGAAACGGGCCTACATGATATCATCATATCATGTTCGTGAGATGCAAGTCACTTTCCCTATAACCTAAAATGTCTATAAAGCTGCAGTAAAGAATACGTTATCCGGGTGCCTTTTCCAGCCATAAGCTGCTTTCTCAAAGGAGTCACATCACCGTCCCAGCCGAGATCCGCTCCCGCTCACACGAAGATATGCACCATTTCGCAGTCGGAATGATGTAAGCGCTAAAGCCAAGTCCCGGAGGCCCAGTGACGGGGTTGTTCTTTCCAACCACCCCTTGGCAACCACTTGACCCCTTGACCATGACACTAGAAATCATTAGAATATTCGTCTTTGGTAAGATCCTTATTGAAGCCATTCCACGGTAACATCTATATCCCAACAGCACTCGTAACCCCTGGATGTGAATTTATGGCGCGTAGAATGGTAAGGAGGGCGGATGTGAGGTTAGGGTAGGACCGATGCTACCCTGCCTTATTCGGAATCCCTTCTGTTCGTCCCATCCCTTCACATGGGTCGGAATGATCACGTTTATTATGCGGGGGCAACGAACACCTACAAGGCAGCCCGGAGACACGGCATACGGTTTGTGTAACTCTATTCACAACGACGCGCATGTTCGGCGAATCCTTCAAGGATAGGGAGGCGACAAAAGAAGATATATTTTCTATGATCGTGTTCGTGGTTTGATTACCCTTAACAAATTAGGGGCATTGACCAGATCAAAGCCCGTTCCTAGTCTTTGGGTCCCCCCTCTCTCCTCGCCTCCACCGCGGGACACGGGACTTTTTCTTCTAACCCACCACACTAGGCCAATGATTTAGGCTATCTCTGAGATCGACTTGAGAAGCCCTGTATGCTTCGATTTCATAGCATATAAGATGGGTCCTACCTTATCCGGTCAACGTCACCTTTTTTTCTTGTCGAAATAAAATTACAGTCTCATAGAAGGCTTGGCAGTAAAGACACCAGTCTCTGCAATGTCGCAGTCGTATAGAACCACGAGGATCTACAATTCAAGAGTTTAGAATACCATGATTTTTTTAGTAGAATATAGTGACCAACAACGTTGAAGACTGGCCCATGTAAAGAGCATTCCGATGGTGGGTTACTATATAGTGCATCAAATCAGACGCGATAGGAGTAGACACAGCGCTTAACTTGCTACTCTCGCTGGAGAGTGGGGTTAACAATCATCTAAATCTAATGCAAATTTCGTATATACATACCATGGATATACGAGAGGGGCGAAATTCTTATGGGACTTGAGTCGCTAGCTTTTCTGTTATGAGATGCCTCTTCGCGTTAAATTAAAGATCTTCAAAAATTTACCGCAAAGAAACTAATGCAACCATGCAAATAGACGACCCTATTTCTTCTCAGGTGCTTTTAACTAGTTTGTATTGCTTATGACGCTCATGAGGAAGCAGAATACATTCCATATGTTCCAGTACGCTTCCTATATTCGATGGGTATTTTCCAAGTTATAATACATGTTGCTAATTAATCATAAATATCGTAACAAAGGCCGCTTATCGGCCTTGAGGGGTCTCCATCCTGATGTAGGAGCTGGGGGTGGCCCGGTTGATGTGCTCATCACTGCCTTCCCAGGTGGTGCTGCGCGGAACTCTACCGGCCTTGTAACTGCTGCTCCCACCGCGGAATGAATATGAAGATGCGGAGCCCTGGCTCTTATCCGCTTTCGAACGCGAAACGTAACGACTCCAGAAAGTTTTGACCGCGGGGGCGCATCCTACTAGAATGGCCACTGCACCTTCAATAGTGCTAGGTTCAGAGGTTAGTATAATTATGGATTAATAATGAGTGACGGAAGAAACCCACAAACAGAAAACTGGCACGATAAATTGGGTACCATTTCCGTATAGAGCTTGCCACTTGTAGTACAGAGCAACCACTGAAGCAACAATACCCCTAGTAAATAACCGTCAGTTCTTATTCCTCGTAACAGCTTCCGGGCGACGTACAGAATACCGGAGAAGAATGTCAGACCCAGACCAATCTTCTTAGATAATTTGAGGTTGAGGCCAATAATAATAGGAATTGGCAGTGAGAACATAATTCCGTCAACAACCACCGAAACAAAGCCGGAGATCACACCGGTCAGTGTGTTTGAGTGGGCGCAAACTTGGTACGCGGGGAATGTGGCGTTACTGGGGTCGATAGGGCATCGCACGAGCGTGAAAATCAAGCCGGCGATATACACCATCGCGGAAATAAGTAGAGTCAACCATGATATGTACCGAAGCCAGCGGTGGATGCCGAAAAGTTTGAGATAGAGGAAAAGAATGGGCGCTTTCGAAAACCATAATGTAGCTTGGACCAAGATGATAATCACGACGGATAGCTACGGGGACATCTCGTTAGCATAGAAAGTTAGCAGCCAAGAAACATAGTTGGCATCTACCTTCTGAAGATATACCAAATCAATGGATTCAACAGGTCCCGTGAGTACTAATGCGATATTAGATTACTGCGCGAATGTTCAATAGCCATGCCAGTTCCTTACTCCGTGTGAGGACATCATTAACTGCAAATGTCGCGATCAAAAAGCACAACCCGACGATGGAAGTGTCTTGAGTACGTTAGTCAAATGTCGCACGGTTGTTGGGGAGAAAACGCACAGTCGTCGGTGGTCAGTTTGCCGTTCGTTGCGCTATAATTGGTAAAGCACCGAGCGCTAACAAGCGCTGTGGCTAAGACAATTAATGTGATGCCAACGCCCTCGGCCGCCTGTATCGTAATCGGCGTCGACGACGACATGATTAACTAGAAACCCGAGCGATACTGACAACACTCTCTTCCGACGAGTAGAAGTAATGAATGAACAAGTCAGACGCTAAGGAAATCTGCGAAAATGGCCGGAGGAAGATTAATGTTTTCAAAGACTCTTGCTGACGGCATCAATAATGAGTCTAACTAGAATTATACAGGGGAGCCTATTATGGTGGGTGACATTGGCTGGGCGGTGAATCCAGCTTCGCTACCATACGATAGGATTGCTACAAAAAAACCCCTAAATACCTGACGATCCCCTACGAGAACATTTCGATGTAACTACATTCGACAGGTTTGACCATGCCTAGTCGAATATCATCCTTTGGCAGCATACCTCATCATTCCGAAGAGGGCAAAGACAGAGATGGTTTGATGGTATAAGAAATTAAGACCGTCAAATCTGAAGGAGGGCGAGTGCGAGGGCAGTGATGATCAATTAAGGCTTGCCATAGCATTGCCACTACACACTATACTGAAAGCCAATGCCCGATTTGCCTGCCGGCTGACTGCATAATCCTTCCATACTACTGCGTGTCATGTCATGTTAGGTAGGTTTTATTATTTGTCTAGGTAGTATCATTTATTTATATATTAATAATCATATCGATACATCATTTAACGATAGTATGTTTTATGTACCTCGGTCTACACTCGTAAATTCGTATTTCGAAGTGTTGGTAGGGATGAAATGCAAATGTTGGAACCGTTTGGAGAAGATTTGAATATTACTTTCCTTTTGGTAAAAACTTGGCATCGTTGGATGGGGATATCTGGATATCTCAACGCTGAAATCGTTATACCCAGGTCGCTCCATAGCCTTAACAAGCATGAAGAAAGGGATCTAACATGGCTTAAAAGAATTATATCCTCTTGCTTACTGTGATTCCATCCGGTATGGTTTAATACTATTTGAACCCCAAACTCCAAGTCCAACTCGGCACCGAAATTACCCAGGAGTGTAGGAGTATAGTATTACCAATCCTGCCTATTGTTAACATACAACTTTACCTTTTATTTTTATACAGACAACTCAACGTTTTTACTTCATTTAGGAACTTGGGTTTGATTGTCACTCTTATTTTCAAGGTGCGTATACTAGGTAATGTTCTCCCCGCTGTCGATACTAAGTCCCTGTCATTTCCAGTCAAGACAAGGTCCACTCAATCAGCCAAATCGAGACTGTGATTCTAGATCCGACGTCATTTCATAAGCCACGATCTCCACAGACCAATACAACAAAATCACTCGATTCGCCATGGCTGATCTCCGAGCGGTCTTACAGAAAACCATCGACGCATTCGTAGAGAACAACACACTTGCTGTGAAGAAGAAGGACTCTTCGCTATTCTCGGCCGTCTTGGCAGACGACTGCGTTCGAATTTATCGACCTCGTTCATTTGTTGAGCGGTACCCGCAGTTCTTCAAAGCTCAAATCACAAATGCCGACTACGAAGCTCAGATGAAGATCGAGCTACAAACCATGCAAGACGTATCGCAGAAAATCACTAGGACTGTAATTGATACAACCGAGCGTAGGGCTGTGATATGGAGCGAACAGACTATTACCACCCCCAGTGGAGCCCAGAACCAGGTCGAATTGCTGTGGGACCTGAGTTTCACGGAAGATGGAACCCGAGTCACTCAAATCCAGGAATTTGTGGATACATTCGAGGCGACCAAGTTGCTGGAGCAAATGCTAAGCAAGGCGGGTGTGAAATAATTGGGAGGGTTGATCATGTCATGAGTGGCTTTTTTTTTTTCTTATTACCAACCACCTAAGCTGCTCCCTCATTCCTGTGTGGTCTTGAATGGTCTCTAATTTACGAGAACTTCTTGGGGTGGTATTGAAGGTCCTGTATGTCGTAAAACCATGTGATTCTGGGCTTCATGGACCCCACGTATTGCGTTGCTGACTTATCGAAGTTGTAATTCATGGGTGCCATGTTCTCTCGTCTTAATAATAAGGTAGTAGACGAAAAAACGACCTTCATGCGTACCATGTGCTAACTGTCCAGTGCAATAAATTTTATTGTAACGCAAAACTCCTCATCGGATCCGAACCCGAAGAGCGGAAAGGTTCCTTTACCCTGACAATTCTGAAAAATGAAATATCAGATTCAATGTAACTTGCTTATGATTTTATATGGAGAGATACATGCATGTGACCCCCTAACGACCCCACACGCAGCCACACGTAAGCACTCGTACTCTACGTTGTACAAGTCAGGTGACAAATAATTATAAGCCAATCAAAAGACCACGCTTATTTTGTCAACCAATCAAAATCCTCCGGTGACCTACTCTGGGCATAGTCAAGGGTACTCCAACCAGGGTCTCGCATTTAACCCCGTCAGCCGCAATGATACCCAAAGTCTTCCACATTCTATCCAATAACAACAATCTTATACACTTACATCTTACGACTAGCCAGAGACCGGTTAGATTTATAAGCGCTTCTATAAATCCTTGTATCTTGGAGACTTTCGACGACGTTTCATTCGATAACTTATACATTCTGATTTCAGAAGGGCCGACAATCCTAGATTGGCTTCCGCTCTCACTGCCGGCAAAGAAGCCTGCCTGATGCAGCCCAAAATGTATCATCGACGGAAATGGATCATCAAGATATACCTTAAACAAGAAGTCCATCGCCTATCTTGTGCCCCATGTCCAATTAGTCGACATCGATTCTCCGCATAGATGCAGAATTCCAAGTTGGGGGCTAATTGACATCAGGGTACTCGGAGGCTTTTCCTTTTTCTCTTCATCCCCTTTTTTATTCCCTAGATAGGTGATATTCAATGCTACGTGGTGACGGTAACCCGGGAGTCAGGTGACATCGGTGCCTAGGCAATGCCATGCAGGAAGCTGTTATGGGAGCTCAAGCTTCGAAATGATGTCCGCATAATTTAGGTACCCGAAAGTTCGAACGACCTTTGTGATTTCCAACACAAAGCCCACGATTCGTTGACTTCTTTCCAGACTCTCGGGTCTTTGATAGTTCATGAGTAGTTACCTTAATACCTAAGACTATCAATCAAGATGTCGTTACAGAGTACCGGGGGCTTCTTAACTCGACTCGTTGAGCTCACACGCTCCGCGAGTATCGAACAGATCGCGGGAGCAGTAATAGTTACACTATTGCTCTTCTCGGTTGTATCTAGAAGAAAGGACACCAATATCGCCAATGTTCCAGTATACGGAGCGAAATCCAGCTTAGAGCCCAAATTAGTACTGCAGTCGAGATTCGTGACCGGGGCACAAGACATAATCTCAGGTGGATACAAGAAGGTATCTACTTTCGAACAACTAGATGATTGAACGACGTTTCAGTTCAGTGCTAAGAATTGTAGTTTAAAGATATTCCCTTCCTACTTCGTCGCTTCGATACGGACTATAACATCCTCCCGATCAAGTATCTTGATGAACTACGCCTTATACCCCCCTCGATTCTGAGTGGGAAGATTGCTACGAGCCATGTAGGCCCCATACTCCCCAGGACAGATGTGCCAGAGCTTTATAAAAGCTAATACGATACAGAATATGCTCTACGAATGGACCGATCTACACTTCTTAGAACGGTCCGATCTCCATGCCCATGTTCTCAGACGCGAGTTAGCGCCAAGACTATCCAAATACCTAGAAGCCGCCGCAGAGGAAGTCGACTATGGCTGGAATATTGATGTGCCCCAAACTGATGGTGAGTAGTCATACAATTGGCTTTTTACCGTATCTTCTGGCTAACCGGCCCTAGACTGGGTAGAGGTTGATATTCAAGCGATCACGCGCATGCTGGTTGCCCGTATGTCGGCGAAAATCTTTCTAGGGGAGCCGGCATGTCGCGATCCAGAGTGGATCAAGATCTGTATCGACTTCACGATGGATGCATTCATCACTGCCTTCGTCCTAAGAATGTTCCCTACGTGGATGCGATCCGTGATCGCGCCATTCCTGCCCGCTAGGTATCGACTGAAGAATCATCGCGCAAAAGCCGAACAAGTCTTAGCTGCTAAGATAGCAAAGCACCAAGAAGCTCGACGAAGAAAGGAGAGGGGTGAGCCGGTCGAAGAGGAAGACACACTCATGGACTGGATGTTGGACAATGGCAATGAACAGGAGACCGACCTTGCTGAGATGTCAAACCGCCAACTGGCTATGACACTTGCAAGTGTCCACACTACATCTACGAACACCGCATCCTTCCTATTCGAACTCTGCGCTCACCCTGAGTTCTTCCCCGTGCTACGGGAAGAAATTGAAGAAGTTGCCAAGGAAGCAGGAAAAGACGCCAAGGTCGACATCAGACGATGGCACCCTCAGTTAGAGAAGATGGATTCGTTTCTAGTGGAGTGCTTCAGAGTTCATCCCCCAATTCTACGTAAGCGAACCCCATCTCCCTGATTCCAATTGGAAATACCGTTCTAACAGCAGTCCCAGTGAGCCCGCAGAGAGTAGCGCTACAGGATTACACGTTGAGGGATGGCACATTCTTACCTAAGGGATGCAGAATCGCATTCGCCAACGGAGAGCACCAAATGGACCCCGCTATCACCCCCAACCCAGAAGTATTCGATCCTATGCGTGCCTACCGCAAGCGACACTCCGATCCGGATCAATACGACAGGAACCAAGCAGTACTTACTGATGTAAACAACAACCTAACATTCGGATACGGCAACCAAGCCTGCCCAGGAAGATTCCTCGGAGTCGCCGAGGTGAAGTTGCTAGTTGCCCGATTTATCACCGAATTCGACTTTAAGTACCCCGAAGGCAAAACGGTGCCGAGGACCTTGTCTGCAGATGAGAATGTGTTCTTCGAGCCTAGCGCGACTCTACTAATGAGGAAGAGGAAAGTCGATTAATTGTTCACTATTTCTTAGTCACTACACGTTGGGCCTCGGGATCTCTTAGAAGACTAGAAGATTGTATACCAGTTTCCCAACGTGTATGATATATCCGGTTGTTGGTTGCTGGGCATGATGGGGTATTTCGAAGGCGGGGGACTCGGTGTTAGGATTTTACATACCCTCCTTCTATTATACATACATACTTGGCGGGGGATTCAATGATAATTATTCCCTGCACCAACAGTCTCTTATAGATGGTAGAAGTCTAACAATAGGACCTCGGCGCTTATCACGACAATAGGGTGCTCGTAAAACCGGCTTTAGCTAGCCACCGCTAGGACCATTCCCAGCAGATAGTCAGAAATGGAATTGCGGGCCGCACTCCGAATAGACTGAGGCCGCTTTACTTAGCCACGGCATTTCCTGCATTTTAAAGAGTCGCTCGGTTGAGAATTCCAATAATCCGCAATACAAGTAAATAGATTGCTAGAAGATGTTAGTGATGGCATTAAAGGTAATGCTATTGTGAATGGAATACCTAGCTCGACAACGTAAGGAGGGTAAATCTCCCGCAATCACAGCGGTTAGGCCTCAAACCAAACAGTTATAGAGAATACCAAGTTCATATACCAGGGTCACGGTAGTGAAAGACGCCCTGTGTAATCCTTCAATATTTATTTCTCGTCGTGGACGGAGTCACGAAGCTGTCTTAGCTGCCTCCTTCTCTGCGGCCTTGGCGGCTTTCTTAGCAGCTATCTGTTTTTCCTTTTCTATCTTCTTCAGCTGGTTCTTGGTCAACTTGCCATCCCCACCTTCACCCTCAGGCTTGGTCGATGACGCTTCTACTACAGGAACAATTCTCTGCACCTTAGAGTTTCCTCCCCACTTCAATGGTCGCGCCGACATGTACAGCTTGACTGTCTCTTCCGTTGCCTTTGCTCTCCTCTCCTGGAACGCCGCGACGTACTCCTGGAGGTACTTTATGCATATTGCCTTGAGCTGGAATGGTAGTTAGCGACCCAACTCTTCTAGCTAATTAGGTATACGTACTTCTCCAGTGAGCAATTTACCTTCCCGGTAGTCTTGTCCGATTTTCGCCAATTCCTATGACTAAGTTAGTACTAGTAGCGCAAATGAGTCAATTCAATAACGTACCTCATCGTCTTCCATAAAGAACTGTAAGTATTGGTATGAGACATCTACGTCGGGATTTCCACCCTTCTCTCTTTGCTCCTCTGCGCTTACTTGGCCGCCAGAGAAGGCGTACTTGTTGACCTTATCTTTAATCTGTTTGGGGGTATCTTTCATGAAAATGGCGGAAGAATCAATACTGGCAGACATCTTGGAACCAGGACCTTGGAGTGCGTCGAGGAAGCGGGAGTGAATTAAGGAGGGTTTAGCATATCGCAGCTTAGCAGCGCAGTCTCGTGTCAAGCGGAAGTAAGGATCTTGATCAATGGCACAGGGGATTAGGCACGGGATAGCGGCCGTCTTCTTCTCATCTTCACCAAAGATGTGCGGGAATGTAGTTGCAAATGCGGTGGCACCCTGTATGCTGGTGAAGTGAATCTTGCCAATATTTGAGCTATGTAAGTGTTAGTTTATAGCCATCACGTGCCAACGAACAGGTCGCAAATGTCCAAGAAAGAGGAGGATGGAGATTCACCTTTCGTCGAAGCCAAAAGTAGCCTTTGCAGTGTTGTATGTGACGAGTTTCGCGAATCGAGTGACATTTCGGTAGAACGCTCCACCCATGAACTCATAGTCGGAGAAGATGAATGTCTTATTAGGATCGAAGCCTATAGCAATGATATCCTGACAATTCGTTCGCGAATAACCTATTACTTCTTCGACGGTTCTCTTTTCGGAGAAGAGGAACTTCTCATCTATTTATCGCTGTGGTCAGCCAAGACCCCCCAAGTAGGGGGATAGCAAGATACGAACCGTCTGTAAGCATGATGACTAGGGGTACGTCAAAGACGTCTTGTAACCACCTAGATAAACGATCTTAGTTTCCCTGTCGACTGAGAACGATATATATATCATTAACCTGGGAAATAGACTAACTTGCAAAAGTCGAAGATCTGGGTGTGTCCGATGTGCATACTGTCACTGCTGGGACCACGTCCAGTATACAGGAAGAAGGGTTCGCCCTAAGAATTGCGATTTAGATATAGCACATATATAATTGACCATCTTAATTTAATACCTTCTCGTATCGATCTAGTATGATGCCGAGATCTCGTTCGCTGAAGACGATCTGCCGTCGCATGAATCGATGCGGTTTGTGGCCAGTCACTCGCTCGAATCGTTCCAGCATCTCATTGTCGATTAACTTGGTACCAAACTCCTCCACGAGCTTTTTGTAGTCGATCGCCTTCACCTTTCCATCTTCACCAACTTCACCCGACACATTCCAGGGGTCGACGGACTGCTTCGACGGCGCGGGAGCTGGAGCGTTTGGGTCGGCTGCGGGCGGGACCTCTTTGGCTGGGGCTTCGAGCTCTGATGCCATATTTGAGGTATAAAAGGTCGTTTCTTCGATTAAGAGTGTTGGGGAAAGGCTTAAGGCAATATTGGTTTTTCAATTGGGCTTTCGCAGAAAACCCAGCGTATTAAAAAGAAGATCGCGACGAAGGAAAAGATGACAGCGTCGCAAATCTCGAGTGAGTCAAATGGAGGGGCACTTTCCGTAGCTTTTTTGGAGGGGCAGGTACCTTTGTACCGAAGCATGTACCTCCGATCTTCCTGCCAAGAAGATTCAAAGTGGACGAAAGTGGATTCGGTGAAAGGGCAGGAAATATGGGTACATATCCGGCAACGCGGAATATCCATTTTCCGCCCAAAGCTCAGCTCTACAGTGCGTTTCAATCAATTTAGTTTACACCTGCTTGCTCACTGGTACCCGTCTGCTTGATCGCTTCATACTCGCTGCGATCCCAATTCCATAACTACCTACACTGGGCATCCTCTTATTTATGAAAACAAAATGACGTCAACAATCGGTATTCCAATTAAGCTCCTAAACGAGGCGCAAGGCCACATCGTCACGTTAGAGATCACCTCAGGCCAAACGTATCGCGGCAAGCTGCTAGAAGGTAGGTCGCGCTGATTTATTCTACATCCTCCCTTTCTATTTAGTATATATACGCTAATATATATATATATATGCGCAGCTGAGGACAACATGAATGTCCAGCTTAAAGACATCACAGTCACCGCGCGAGACGGACGAGTAAGCCACTTGGACCAAGTCTACATCCGCGGCAGCCACGTCCGATTTTTCATCGTACCCGACATGTTGAAGTATGCATTTCGCGAATTCGCATGGACCAGGAATTTTACTAACAACCATCGTACCAGGAATGCACCCATGTTCCGAAGTCGAAACGCTAGAGGTCGCGGTGTTGGTCTAGCCAGAGGACGAGCGACCGTTAGCAGGGCAAGGGCGAGTGGACGTGGAGGACGATGAGCGGGTTTCGATTAGGAGGTTATAATCTCGATATTTCCCGGCGTTTAAGGGGAGAATAAAACAAAAGCAGAAGTTTGGAAATGGCGTTCCGATCACCTCGCGACAAGTACGCATTACCAGAAGCTCCATATTGTGTTGCTGGAAAAGGAGAGCCAGAGAGTAGAGGATGTCCTCTAAGGTTCTGCTATGTTCGATTCTCAAGTAGGCGATCTACCGCTTCTTCATTTTCCAACTCCCTGCTGAACACTATACAGTCAGTGGAATCGTCTTTAGGGAAGTTACCGCGATAGTTTGGATCGATGAAAATCGACAAGATGTGGTAATCAGCCAGGTAGACAGGAGATAATGAAATCGCGGCAGCATGTCTCGCCTTATTAAAGCCAAAGCTCATATGCACATGTCTACTGACTTTTCGAGAGACTAGTGATGTTTCGAGATTCTTACGACATAAATTATATGCTCTAAGAAAACATGTATCAATGACCCACGCAAGCGCGAGCGCTGGGTACAGAATACAATGAGAACGGACCCGAAAAATGAACAAGAAGTGAATTTACAGATTCGAGCATCTACGAAAATCGTCCCCGACATAATCATGGTGAGGCAGTAGAATCCCTCGCATGAGGACATCTGGAGAAGGGCGCAAATTGTCACCCACTAGCCAGGCAAATCACGAAGTCATAGGCAATGGGTTTCAATTGGCTTTGTTTCATTTCATTTATATAGTCACCGCTACCAACTAGGTATCAACCCCTGGTTCCTGGCGCCCTGCACCCGCAACCCGAACATGTCGATATCTCAGATCTAGTAGTCGAGAGCGGGGTGTCGCTCAACGTTGCTAGTAAACCCATGCAGTTAGCATTTTACAGAATCATCATTGTGTAACCAAACTGAGGGGTATGCTTACGGGTCATATTCGTCTCGTCCACCGTACTGGCTGTTGTACAGCTCCTCGGCTTGCTTCTTAGCGTGGTGCTTTGCCTTCTCGCGGTCAATGTAGTCTAGACCCTTGGTCTCAAATAGCTTGTCGACCTCGGCGCCCGCAATGCCTGCTAGGACCTCCTTGGCGAAAGCGTGGTTTACTGTCTTGCCTAGAGGGAAGATATGAGTAAGCCAATTGCTACTATTGTACATGCTGGAATTGCTAGTGGTGTATATGGGCGTGTATGTGGATACAATGCGGAAATAGTCGTCATAGATAACATGTGGTAGGGTGTGGTAGTAAGCATACCTTCCTTGCGTTGTCGGTCCTCGAAAAGCTTCATGGCTTCAAAGGCAGCACCGCCGCCGATAAGCTCGTGGGAAATCTTTGACTCGTGAGGCTGACCATCGTATATCTCGTCACGTTGGCTCTTGGCGTCGTCTTTTGTTAAACTTGTTAGTATGTTGTACACCCGAAAGTAAGACTAGGTTCGTCTAAGTCTAAGACCAACATACCGAATCCGAACATGGTTGCTGATTTTGTTTTGGTGTTGATTTATTTGGTTGTGATAGATTGCGTTGTCTTGAGTATTCGTCTTTGGTTATTGTTGAAGTTGCTAAGTTGTTGAAATAGGAAGAAGAGGGGAGGAGAGAACACGTATTTAAATAGATGTCCCTTACCTACCTAGGTACGATAGAACTACGTTACTAGGTGCATATGCAGCCTTGGTGGTGGCTTCTTCCATCACAAGCTTTCAGTCTTCTTTGTCACCAACTTAGTTTAGCTACATTCATTAGGTACCTACACATACCTAGCTAGGTAGCCATGACATCGATTATGTGGATCTACGGCCGATGTTGAAACTTGTCGGCTAGGCCGGCACCCACTCGGAGACCCTCCACTTGCCTTGAAGCAGGGCACGTAATATCAAGCCGGACAAATAAAGTACAACTTCGTGTTTTTCCTGCGACGATTACCTAGGTACATGGATTATGCCGATGGTGTGAGGTGGAGTAGTACCTTGTTTTCTTTGCTATTTCCGCCATCTGATTTGTTCGTTACACATTAACTTCCAGACCCTGAATATGCTCAATGTCAGGGATCGTGAGACTTTCTTTACGAACCTCCTCATCCAGAACCCCTCATTTGAGACACCTAAGTTTGGTTTGCATGCGGTTAGGAAGTAACATCAAATGCCTAGTCCTGCAAATAGCCTCGTAGAACGTCAAAATGTGTTATGTAACTTTACATGACGAACCCTCTAAACACTCAATGAATCCTTAAACAGCTGAATATTAAATAAAAAGCTCTATATAGCTTGACACTCACCCCGCATCATAATACGAAAATTATCGCAGAGTCGAGCTGAATCGAATTATGCTTCCCCTTACCTTGATTGCACATGCTCACACCATCTGAAGTCATTGGACGCAGGATACATCCTGAAGTGGTCTAGTCTCATTAATGCTGTGGTCCTACTTCAAACAAGGTCGACGCGTCGTCGCCAATGTGAGGTAGCCCACAAGGTTACCAATAGTTTAGCAGAGAATCCCCCATCCAAGTTCTAAGAGCTAGAGCTTCGTCATTTAGACGCCATTGACATCACTCCCGTTTCGCCGTAGAATTTTATTGCCCACTGAAATATTCACAGCCACACTATATTTTAAGGGAGGGGTTTAGCGCTGGATCGAATGTTTTTTTTTTTAAGTCTGTTTACAAGTTAGAACACAATCATGGAAGGTAACGAAGTCGGAACTTGGAATTGCGTATGTAAGTAGTCTAGAAGAGCAGGGGCTGTGCCAAGCCGATATCCGGCTTGGCAAATGCTTAACCTGAACTGCTGGGTCGAGCTGGGTCAAGTAGCCAGGGCAGCCAGGGGCATTAAACGTGGGGGAGCTTCGAGGCGATTTCTTGGCCTATTGACCCATCTAAAGATCGTCAATCACCTACACGATGACACATACACGTGCAGATACTAATATGTGCCTACTTATATCCATGTTTAATCCGCTTTATAATCTTTTATGGCAAAAGAATAACATTTAAATGTCCAAATGTCGCTTTTCTCCTCGTCTAAATGAAACGTGATAGTCATAATAACACACCGCCTTTGCGAATTGGTATCTCTCCTGATGCACCCTGTATTCCCGGGTAGGAATCGTTACACGCGACCTACGCCGTGCTCCCTCCGAATTTGGCTTGGTATTCACCATGCGCCTTTTTCTGTCTATCCCAATCCTTCTTTAGCTTCTTCAGCTGACTCTTAGGTACTTCGCTGCCATCCTTCATCTTTATCGGCAACCCCTCAGCGTCCCACTTGCTATACCGCTCATCGCTTTTAAACATATCCTCTGGTGCAATTTTAGCCTTTGCCCACTTCTCCTCGTCGGCTTTCTCCTTTGCTAGCCTCTTTTCTTCCTTCTCGCGTGCTTTTCGTGCCTCGTTTTCTGCTTTTTCCTCTCTCGCCTTGATCAATTCAGCAGCAGGGACGAACTTGATCAAAGACGGTTGATCCGGTCGATCGTCCAAATAGACGCCAAGATTAGTTAGATCGAAATTCCGGACCCGATCGCTCAGGGCAAGAATTGATTGCTTTACTTCTGAGGATGCTGTTGGGGCTACTCGTCGGAGTTCATCACGTAGTTTAGAAACCGCTCGTAAGTACGGTAAAGCTAATTGTTCTGGATCTCTAACCCCGGTGTTGGCTAGAGAATCGAACTCCTGATCAGGGGATCGGGAGAAAAGATCGGTGAAAGTTTCGGACGAGGGGAGTTCGAGACCTTGCACCTCGGAATAGAAGGTGGTGTAGACCGCTTTATATGGTTGTACGGTCGTTGAGGGGTCAAGATTGGCTGCTGCAGCTGCAGAAGCCCAACCAAGACCATCATAAGGAGGGCTTGCATTCGCATCGAGTCCGAGAATGCCAACTATCTTGGTAATCCATCGCGCGATCGCTTCGACTGCCGGAAGGTCCATGTCGGATTTATGAGCGTTAATATGAACATTGGCTTTTCGAATTACTTCGGTTATCGATCGTAGGACTTGTGCTGTGTCAAATGAATTGGCGAATGCATCCTCCACTTCTTTCTTGGCTTGCTCCAAGTCGCCTCGCAGCCCCTCTTGAGGCTTGTCGTCACTAATTGAGAGTGTCTTGACATCCCCATTGACACCTGCTATTGTACCGGTGGCTTCAGCTAGGAGGGATTTGGTATTTGTGAAGAAATTCTAATATAATTAGCAACGAAAAGAGATATCGGGAGTAAATAGGCTGGCGGCTTACATTAACTGTAGTTTCCCAGTTATCGGCGTGGGTCCGCATATCGGGTGATATTTCGACGCCATCGTTCCATTTACCGAGTAGGAATACTATGCGCATTGATCGTGCTGTGTAGTTGGACGCCAAAGCATCCTTGATTGTCTGGAAGTTCTTTAGGGATTTGGACATCTTTGATCCAGAAATGGATAAGTGACCCATGTGAAGGAAATAGTTGACCCAGGTATGTTCATGGCCATGTTCGCAGAAGTAGGCCTCGCTCTGGGCCAATTCGTTGTCGTGATGAGGGAATGCAAGGTCGACACCACCGCTGTGTATATCCATTTGCGAACCTAAAACATCGGAAGCCATCACTGAGCACTCAATATGCCAGCCCGGCCGCCCATTGCCCCATTTGCTTGGCCAATACGGTTCGCCTGGCTTGGATTTCTTCCACAGCGCAAAGTCACCAGCACCCCTCTTTCCGCCAAGGCTTTTAGATAGTGACCCTTCTCCCTCCTCTTGCAGCGCCTTATCATTACGGCTATCAGGTCGAAGTCTCGCGTATGTATTTCCGCCCTTCTCGAATGCTGCGATATCGAAGTAAACAGATCCTTCGGCCTCGTACGCAAATCCCTTTTCGACAACCTTCTCGACAAACTTGGCGATTTGCGGAACATATTCGGTAACTCGCGTCACAGCATCGGGACGAAGCACGTTCAGAGCATCCATATCGTCTGTGAATTCGCCCTCCATAAATCGTGTCAGGTCGGTAAATATAGATTGGTCGCTGGTATCGATTGTTTCCTTGTATAGAGAATCTAAGTATGGCAAGAGGATCTCGTCGGCGCCCTTGAATACTTGGTTACCATTGATAGCAATCACTGCAGAGGTCATATTGCTTATATGCATCTTTAGCTTTGCTTCGGCATCCCCTGGTTTGCCTTCACTTATTAAAGAACCACCTGCCAGTACATGTCCGTAGGCAGCATCTCTTCGGGGTATGTAGTTGTTCACATCTAATTCGCCCTCTCCTTCGAGAAGTTGGGGGAGGTTATTCTTCGCGTAGGCTCGGAATGCAGCTTTTCCTAGCTCTAGGATCTCGGCGTCGGTATAAGTCTTTTGCTTTTCGAGGTCGAGCAATCGTTGTCTTCGGGCTTTTATTATGATCTAGCAATGTTATGAGTCATACTATACATTGTGGTAGGGAGTCACATGTTTACATACCTTATCGTCGACGTCTGTGAAGTTCATAACAAACTTGACATTGAAGCCATAGTAGTCCTTGAGGATACGGCGTATTATATCGGTCGAGACATAGTTACGTGCGTGGCCTAGATGGCTTTGGTCGTAGACAGTCGGGCCACAGGCGTACCAGGACACCTTGCCCTTCTCAATGGGAACGAAGGGAACTGGACCTCCCGGCTTCAAGGAGTTGTGGACTTTGATAGAGTCCATGGTGGGGTATGTCGCAAAACCTCTGCGCAATAGATATCGAGTTGTTTGAATATTTATGATAGTATGTCTGGTTATGCTGAAGGACAGGAATTTCATGAAGACTGAGATGATATCAAAAATACGAAGAGTTGGGGGGGGCAACGTGTCAATATTTATAAATAATAAGGCTCAGCTTTAAACGAAAAGAACATTTTATTTGAGTCACAGCGATCGGGGTAGAAACCAATGTCGCAATTGGAGTTGCACACCTAAATTAAGATTTGTACCTATAGAAGGTACCCTCACACTACTGAATCTTAGCAGTAATCTCGTGGTTACCTTAAGTTTCGGGCATCTAGGTTCCGATATTTAGGTGCCTACCCCTCCTAAGTTCGCACCATGAGTGACATTATTGGCGCTATCGATAACTAAATGCCCCGCCATCTAAGGTCAAGGTTAAGATTTTGGACAGGGTCCTGTCAGCTCGGAGGTTATTTTTTTTTCCCTTCACCCCAAAAGAATCTCTAAATTTCAATTCTAGCTTCAATAGAATCAATTTGTTTATTCGCAAATGCTTTGGCAATTATTGACTTAAAACATGTGGTAAGCTTTCAATGAAGTGCAATTATACCCTCGATCAAAAGTCAAAATGTCAACAATTTCCCCGTTTCTCGACCCTGGCCCGAAAACGACACCAAATACGCTGGCATTAGCCCACCTATCCCGCGACTGCATTGAACCAATATACCTGAACGAAACCTCGGGAGCCAACGATGGATATGCTGAAGGAGCAGTATTAAACACGCGGTTCGGATCATTCCCGCATTCGACCCTACTCCACAAACCTTGGGGCTCGCAGATACGCGCTTCGGTCGTAGATACTGGTAGTAGAGGGCGAAAGCGCAAACTTGGTGATGGCGCAAATGGCGAAGTACTAGAAAATGAAGTGGGGGACACTGGCGCAGGTGTTGCAATACCCAAAGACCTCAAAACAGCATCGAGCGGCTTCATCCACATATTACCACCTACTCCCGAGTTATGGACGACGAGTTTACCACATCGAACCCAAGTAGTATATACACCCGACTATAGCTACATTCTCCACCGCATTCGTGCACGACCCGGTATGAAAATAATCGAGGCTGGTGCTGGAAGCGGTAGTTTTACACACGCAGCCATTAGGGCAGTTTATAACGGCTATCCTCGGGATACACACGATACCAAAGGAAAAGTACTCAGTTTCGAATTCAACGAAGACCGATATCAGAAAATGCGAAAGGAAATTGAGGACCATTGCCTAGATAAGCTCGTTCAAATTACCCACCGCGATGTCTACAACGATGGCTTTCTCGTCGACGGTGAAAGTCCCGAAGCCGAATGCGTTTTTCTAGATTTACCAGCGCCGTGGAAAGCCCTTCCCCACTTATCGAGACGGAAGCCAACAGCGACTCAAGTTTCAAGTAGTGGGCTAGAGAGTCTTAGTGACGACAGTTCCGAATGGAAGTCTCCTCTTCGCGCAGATCGAACTGCCTATATTTGTACCTTCTCTCCTTGCATTGAGCAAGTTACCAAGACAGTCGATGTTATGCGTCGGCTGGGATGGATGGAAATTGAGATGGTCGAAGTCGCACATAAGAGGATTAATGTGATGCGCGAGCGGGTAGGCTTAAACATACCTACAGGGGAGCGAGGCGCGACACAGACAGCAGCAAATGTTGCCGAGGCCATCACGAAGCTAAAAGAGATAGAATCTCGATTCAAGATCTCTCAGGGCCAACAATTGGATGATGATGATGTTGATATGAACGATGATAGCAAGCCAATCAATGGTCGCGCAAAAACCACTTCACATGTCAATGAAGTCGAAGACGCACCCTCTGTTAAGCCTTGGATGGCCGGAAGGCTAATTCATCGAACGGAACCCGAATTGAAGACGCATACATCTTATCTGGTATTTGCTTTACTACCGCAAGAGTGGACAGAAGCTCAAGAAGCGGCAGCTTTCGAAAAGTGGCCATGCGGAATGGAAAGTAAAGTTATCGGTAGTTTAGACAAGGAAGCACGAAAAAAGGAGAAACGGGAAATGCTGATAGGAAAGAAGAGGAAGAAGGAAGCCCAAAGTAAGTCTGGGGGCGACCGGCCTCCTTCACCGAAAAAAGGCAAAGCCTCCTAGCTGGAAAATTCGAAATAGACATATGATACCCAGACCTTCTTGGTCATTCAATCGAGCAATTGAAGACGCGTCGCCATTCTAGACACCTCAAGAGCCAACATCCACCGAAAAATAACCCCATCATAATTCGCCAGGATGAGGCAGGCATCTATCGCACTCCTATGACAACCGACTACAAAATTCGAATATGCTCCGCGACGTTGAATTGATTGAAATGGCGCTCACGCAATATTCGTAAGAAATGGCAATGATAACTTTACGACCTGCTGCATTCCTAGAATGGATTGCATAGATGGTCTACCAGGTGAGGCGAATCGAATGTTGAAAACCCAATCAAGAGCTTGAAACAGTCATAGCAAGTTGTGATGGCTTGGCAGTTGATGCTTTCGACTTTTTATTTATTTTAAAGAACCCGTTTCACCAACCAGCTTGATCGACAGCATGGCCACGTTTGGTAGAGACCTACGAAACGACCAATGAAGCACGAATCAACAATTACGTCTTGAACGTTAAAAATGACTCAAGTCGATAATAATAATAATAATAATAATAATTGATTTATAGAATTCAGGGAATCGCTACCATTTAAGCTTATTATAAGTCTAATTGCACCTTCACCTTATTAGCAGGTAAAACCCTTCGTTAGCCCATTTCGAGAACTTAATGCAGCGCTATGATGAATTGACAGAACAGAATAGAATAGTATTCTGGCACATTACACATTGTTCTAGATTCATAATAGGGGTAGGGGTTAGCCGAATAGATTTACGCATTTGCGCATCAGCGAAGATCAAAGAAGGAAAGAAGAAAAGGGAGCGACGGCGCCAGTTGAAGATCAGAAGATCAAAACCAAAAGTCAAACCAGAAGCATCATGCATATCATGGTTTGGTAGAAGTAGAGAAGGTGCTAAGATGCCAATAATTATTAGGTAATGGGTTGTTTTAATGAGGCTAAACGCTGTTTCATTAGCGATCCGCTGTCAAGGTTTAAGGAGCCGCCCGGCACATGGCTGAACCCCTGTATCGGGGCAACTTTACTATATCGGGCGATGCTTCTTTTTAAAGAAGGAACGAGGCCGTGTCTTGGTAGGTGCAATATCGAATGCCCAGAAATCCAGGCACTAAGGACCCATCCATTTCAAACTTCTTCACCTCCCAAACCGGGTTGAACCTAAATCACGAATAGCACATCGTCAAAATAGGGGGCAACCAGCCTACCTTTCTGGTGTGATTATGGATTCCATTCACAAATATGGGGGAGCAAATCGAAGCGCTCGGCCCGACGACGTGACGTGTCTGCCATTGCTTTGACAGCCTCTAATATCTATCTACTATTCGACATCCCCGTTGAAGACATGGAGAGGCTAGTCGAGCGAGGCACTATTGTGGTACAGATATTGCAGATCTTAAATCAGATCCTGTCCCCATAGATTCCCAATTGATGTCGAATTATCTCCGGCAGGTTACCCATGACGAAGCACATAATTTTTCTATGATTGCTGGATATAACGTATGTCGGTATCGCCGAATTGCCTTCAAGATCTAACAGCAATGCAATGGAAACTCTCACAAATCTCGCTGGATATCGAAAGCTCAAGGTACCAAAGGGAGGATAGCCCAATGCCCCTAAAAGTACCGCGATGAGGTTTGAATGAAGCTTCTAGTTCAACCTTTTCCAAACCCCATACCTGAATGGTCCCAGGCAGAGTTTGTGAATACCTCCAGCTGGAGAACGCCAAGCTTTTGCCCTGGTAACATTGGCATATCCTCAATTTGCGCGATAGCTACGTCTATCTTGGCATGTTTCGCTTGGAAATGGATCTTGTTCAATGCCAACATCCTCTCATTGGACAATGACTGTCCTTAGAGGATAGGATTACGCGTCGCACAAAGATGATCCTCGACCATCTAGCGTTCAGTACAGGCATCGCGGCTGCGGATGCAACTGACATTACCAGGTTACTATCAGAATATTAGCTTGTACCTGCGGGCTGGGCCAGAAAAGGTCTCCACCAATGTGAAAGCTTCGATCTTGTAAAGACGGCGGGTAGGTATTTTATCAATCTTCGGTGAATCTTCTAAGATATTTACACTTCACACTTAATGCTCTTTTCCTTTACAAATTAGGATAGATCATTCTCTTTTCAATCTGCCCTGGTGGTGCTTTCACTTCTGCCCTGGCGGCCCTATTATTCAGATTTAGTCCCGCTTAAGATACCCCTTAGATCCGACGATAATACTAAGTTAATAACCATGTCCGAACGATCGTGTCCAGTCTCCGGCTCCGTTGGAGGAAAGTGCCCAGCCGGTCATACTGGTTCAACGAGGAGTAACAGCCAGATGGGCCCTCGAGGCTGCGCATTTTCGGGCTACGGCCAACCAGGAGATATTCATGCAGCATTTGACGTATGTGGGACAGTCGATTTTACCAGCGAAATACTAATAGAAATAGATTCCACGAGGTGTTGATGCCGAAGAATGGCTCCGAATGAGGTATGACTTCGTTGAAACATAGACTAACAATCATCAACTAAACCAGTCATATTTAGAGAACGCAAATCAATAAATCAGTTGCTATACAACGAAATTCCGACGGTCCAGGAAATTGACGCAGCAAAGACTCAAGCAGAAATCGATGCCTTCAATGCCCATGAAGCAGATTTACTAGCCGTGGCGTTAGGAGCGCCAGCCAGACAAGTTATGCTAAGAGCGGAGGAAATCGGCCCTAAGACTGGCTGGCTTGATGGTTATCTCAGTTCAGAACACGGCTTTTGCCCTCCGGATTATGAAGAAGCTCATGGCGCCTTATTAAAAACTCTCGGCCGGATATGGTCTGATCTTTGCGAACGAATGCCAGGTTGCTGCGCGAGAGGACGTGTACTTGAGTCTGTTGCAGCGCTGCCTCTCGTGGAAGGCACAAAAGATGTGATCCCGGATCAAGCGTTATGGGCGGCGTTAGTAGCGCTGGGGAGTAAGTTATCCCATATTCTCTAAGTCTAATCATTTTCTCTGCCAACTGCCCTTGGCAGGGCAATTGCTAACATAAAATCCTAGTGCTGTGTTCCATTTACCGCTTCAATTCCAAATATGACGGTAGTGATGGAATCACATCTGCGAAGATTAAGATCAAGAAACCTAACGTACCTATGGGCGATGACCTCGGAGAGGAATTAGTCGGCATTCCCCGATGTATAGCGTTACCGTATTACCAGATCTCACGACGCATGGGCCGCACACTTCCGCATCTCACATTCCCCGACCAGTCTTCTTACAACATCAAAATCAGAGATCCCACCTCAACCTATCCCTATGTTGCGCGTTTCGACAACATAGATCTTCGATGGCCTATGTTCGGCGAGAAAGCCGAAATAGCTTTCCTTAAGGGCTGCGCCGACACCTCAGGTAGGGTTCCTCTCAAGTCACTGCATGTTCAACTGATAGCTGACTTCTGTAGCATCCTTTCAGCATGGGCCCGACGCAATTGCTGCGTGTCAAGAACACGTTATGAACAAGAATGCCGAAGGACTTCTTCGCGAGATGATCCGACTAAAAGAAATCCTGGAGCGCATGCCTAACGCATTTCATTCGATCAATGTGAACCCCAATTCAGGCGACAACTATGTGCCGGTTCACCAGTGGGTTCGTTGGGCCAAATTTTCTGCTCCATTGTCAAGAAGATGTCCAGCTTCTTCGGGGTATGTACTACTAGAAGTTCGCTTCTGCGACATTTAAAAACGGACTACTTAGTATCTTGAATGTCTTTGCAGAATAAATATTAACGTACTCGATAGGCTCCAATTTCCCCCCTACTTGGTGATGGACGCATTTCTAGGCCGAAAAAAGTGAGTTTAGATATAAAGCGGGGGGCGCGATGGGGACACCCTGACTAACGTTTGATAGATACACATCCTTTCTCGGAGCGGAAGGTGTGCATTTGAGGGCATGGTTACCTTCCAACCTTCGAGCGTTCATCGCAGCAATCGAGTACCATTACCGCATTCCCGAATTCGTCAAACAATCAGGTGACCCACGACTCATGGGTGTCTTGGACGGCATCATCGAAGCATATACGGGTGAACGAGGCTTCATGGGCACGCATCGGTATAAGGTTTTCGGTATCCTCGAGATCGCCGCGAAGGCAGGCCGCACGGAAACCAACGGTCTTTCTGGTGCTGCTGATGCGGGCCGTCCGTGGGAAGAAACTCATAAGCAATTCTCGGATGCTATGAAGGAGCGTCTCGAGCCATATCGTGGCAACCTTCCCGTTGAGCCAAACCAAATGAGAGGCACTTTCGAAGAATGCCGTTATGTCACAAGGGTACTTAATCGATCAAATGTCGACGCCGACCCAACCCGATCGATCGCTCTCGTTACTTTGGATATCCAGGATACGGGAATCACATTTATGCCTGGCGATCGTCTCGCCATCATGCCTCTGAACAGCTGGGAAGAATGCGCTAAGGTTGCTGCTGCATTGGGTCTCGAAACCCATCTGGACCATCCGATTGAAGTCACTGGTACTTGGTCTCGCTTCGAGCAACACCTAACATCGGTGAGAAGGGCGATAGTTGCAAAGAAGTTGACAGTAACCGACATTCTACGTCGAGGTCACTTGGCACCTATCACCAAAGAGCTTGCTCTGAAAGTACATGGCTTACTTGCTGCTTCGTCAAATACTGTCCTGCAAGTCCTGGCCACCGACGAATGGCCAGTTCGAGGCTCGCTAGGCGATTTATTGCAGGACGCACTTATGGATACACCAGCCCATATCTGGGATAAGGCATTCACCCTAGGCAATCTCTCTTGGCTGGTGGATCTCGTCTCCATTGAAGTGCCTCGCACCTACTCAATCGCCAGTTATACTGATGAGCTTCTCCCTAGTACCGTTGACTTGGCAATCTCTCGTGCTGAGTACAAACTCTGCTCAACATTCTCTAAGCATGAGGATACAACTCGCGCTGGTGTTGCGAGTGGGTTCTTCAATCCCCATCCACCATCAGACGACATGGTGTCTGATGACGAGATCCTCGTTGGTGTTTCTCGACCTTTAGCTTTCCAACTTCCCTTAGACGGGATGGCTCCCTGTGCATTTTTCGCTGGTGGTAGTGGTATTGCACCATTCCGTAGCTTCTGGCAGTATCGGTTGACCACCAGCGGCTTGTCCGGGGGTAAAAATCATTTGTATCTCGGAGTCCAGTCGCGCGAGAAGTTCTGCTTCGAAGACGAATTGAGGGAGTACATCAACGCGGATTTCATGGAGGTTCATGTGGCTTTCTCTAGGGATTCTCGTGGTCTAGCATACGACCCGCAATCGCGTGACCTAGTTGAAAAGCATATCCCTCCACGCTACATTGATACCCTCATCGTTGAGCAGGGCGCCACTGTCTCCGAGCTTGTTATGTCAAAGAAACAGGGTGGCCTTGGTGGCTACCTCTATGTGTGTGGCTCTGTAGCTGTCTTCGACTCCGTGATGAATGGGATTCGCAAGGCAATTTACACTCATTGCACGGCGACCATGGAAAACGTCGATCTCATCGTCAACAAAGCTTTTGCCGAGCGGAGGTTTATGCTTGACGTTTTCATGACCCCCAAGCCCCTCCCTTGTAACCTCCCAACCATTCCATTATCACGACTTGCTCAACACACGGGTCATAGACCCGGTTCACGAATGTGGATTGGAGTCCACGGAAATGTGTACGACGTTACAGACTTTTGTCCCATGCATCCCGGAGGCACCCAGATTATCAAGTCGAATGCCGGTGTGGACTGCACGAAGTCATTTGATAATCTAGCACATACCAACAACCCCGAGGTTGCCAGTCTTCTCACAAAGTATTTCGTTGGGCATCTTACGCCAAAGCCCGACTACCAAGGAGGTGAAGAGGAGATTTCTACCCTTTACGACCTCTGGGCTTCATACCTGCGCACCACAGTCGAGACACTAGTAGCACACCAAGTCGAAATGCACGAAATCCAAGGAGCATCACTGAAGACATCTTCAGCCCATGATCGTATCGGAACCATGAATATATGGCTTCATGAGGACCTCCCCAGTACCATCGCCATCCGCACCTTTTACGGTTACCAGAGCAGGTTACTTCAAAAGGGTTTCCCTGCTATTTTCGGTGCGAAGCTACAGGAGCTTGTGCTCAAGCTATCCTTCTCTATAGCCAATTCGGGTGGTGCGAACATTCAGCTTCCTGATGTGCTGGGTGCGGTAGCTCGCGCAAATACAAGTTCTGATGCTGTCAGCTGTACCAACGAGATAGCTCTTGTTGGTCAGTTCATTACTGGTGGCGAGGGTGATCTTCGGTTTCAAGAACGTGGTGTCTTCGCCTATGCTGCTAAGAGTGTGGAATTAGATATCGAGTTGCTCGAGGATCTTCGTCAAGAGATTGGTACTGGTATGGATGCATTCGACAGTATCGCTACCAGTTTCGGCTCGCCCGACAGGATACAGGACCCGGATGCCGATGCCAACCGTCTCACGGTGCTCTCCACATTCCTTCTTCAAATTCTTGAGCGCATCTCCCGTCGGTTAGGAATCTTTTACGCCCAGCTTGCTCAATGCTCGGTGTATAGGCCCGAACTTGAGCGCAACCCCGCCAGAACAAGGTGGGCCCTTGTACGACGATGTATCCGTGATGGAAGCTTGTTTGTGATGGCGCATAAAACCGCCGCGGACGTTCTCACGGCGGGTCAGCAATCGTCTTACTACATGTCCCGTGCCAACCCCAACCAGAATGTCGATTTTGACAATGTTATATCGCAAGTTCGGGCGACTCTTGGCTCGGCACAAACTGATCTGCAAATCAATGTACCACAGCAGCCAATCACTCTAAATGCTGTGCACCAAGCGAGAGGAAGAAGTATGGGAGATGCCAGCGCCGTTGCTACAGGGGAGAATGCAATGGCGCTGAAGGCTATGAACAGCTTTGTGGAGAAGAATAATAAAGCAATCAGGAGACTCAGCAAGATGCCTCCCATGCCGATGAATTTCGAGGACTTGCAGAGATCAGTGATGCATAACGGCTTACACACGCCACCAGCAGAAGCACACGAAGCAATGATGGCCATGGGTCTCGGCATGAAAGGACAAGAAATGGCCGGGCTTTCCGCCAGACTCCCAACACCCCCATCTAGTCGCGGATCAAGCCGTTCCCCATCGCAGGTCCGTCAGCCATCAAGCGGCATGTCATCATCAGCAGAGATGCTTTTAAGCAAGCTCAACCAATCCCGTTCGCGACAGAACTCGCTCCACAGCCGCCACAATTCGTCAGCAGGTCATCACTACCAACCGCAGTACCAACATCCCCCACCATCAGCGTCAGCACAGTACGCCCCACATTATCCCGTCATTGGCGGTCTTCCTACACCACCTATGAGCGTAGCAGGTCAGCCCAAGGACAATATGCATATTGCACTAAGCTCTATGATGGCGCAATTAAATACGCGCCGACCGCGTAGCGATATGTCGGCTCCTGGTTCTGTAAACCGGGTAAGGTCTGCATCCAGATCAAGCGCGGGGAGCGTAGCAGGGCACGGACACGGACATATGTCTGTCCAATCGACAAATTCGTTACGTGCCTTCAAACTCCGGGGAATGCTAGAAGGCGAGAGATTTGCACCGCCATCCTAAAGATTGAGGAGCGGTAATGGGGACTAGAGTTTATCGGCGGACGAGGGATTAGGACTAAATATCTGACTAGCCTCAGGGCTCATTTATTTGCTTTCATTTTGAAACAAAAAGGGGTTTACTTTATATGTATATGTATGTATATGCTGGTCATTGCGAAGTCCATTCTTTTTTTAAATATATTTGGTAGAGTAGAATTTTATTCCCCGGGGTGATAGAAAAAATGAGAATATCCGGCGTGCCATTGCAGCGTCGCTAAGAATAGAATTGTTGATTTATTTTACTGCACCTCCGTAAATTGGTCCGCCTAAGTACAGTGGTTAACGCCCCTAATTACAGCATATTGCCTTTCTATCCCCTGTAAATCTAGAAGTGTACATATCCAAATTCACAAAACCTGCCTGCTATACCATATTCTATACCCAAACCTCTAATTCTTCAACCCTCCATCAGTCACCCCGTTTACCCTGTCCATACCATCCACCACCCCATTACCCGTCTCCAACTTCACAAACACATCCAGTGCCCTATCATTCTGCCCCCCAACATCAAACTCATTCGTAAACGCCGCCATCTCGCCGAAAAATTTCTTCATGCGAACGGGGTCCTCATGCATACCATCTTCAGCATACGCATACACGCGACCGAATCTCCGCGCGAGATCCACAACAGCTTGACTACGGCCCCGACGCGCTTCATCAAACGCTCTTAATGCGGAGGGTATTTGTTCGGGTCGTTCCACATGCGCGAAAAGGTAATCGAGTACGGCAGCGTCTTCAAGAGCTTGCGCAGCGCCGTTACCTGCAAACGGTAGGGAGGCATGTGCGGCGTCACCGAACATAGCGACGTGCCCTCGCGCATAGTATGGCGCGTGGTCGTGATCGGCAGCCGTCCATGAAGCGCTTGTATCCCGCGCTACCATGCGTACGATTTGTTGCGCTTCTTCGCTGTAATCGGCGTAGAGCGCTGGGTCGAGGGGTGGGGCTTGTCCGTCTTTTGCTGAGAAAACGGCTCCGCGTACCGCTACACCGGCACTTAGGCGAGTGTTCTTGTTCAGTGGTATGCAGTTGATGTGTCCCCGAGGACCTAATAGGATGGGTACGCTGGTGGTCCATTTAGGATTTATTTGCTTCTTCGCTTCTTCGGTCGGTACCATGGTACGGTAGATCTGCCAACCGTCGTGATTTTTTGGCGACGTCGCTGGATGATCCGCTCCGAGAAGATAGCTTCGTGTCATGCTGTGAACTCCATCCGCGCCCAAGAGACAGTCCACCGCGGCTTCGGTCCCGTCCTGAAACGTCAAGCCGACCCTGTGTCTACCGGAGAGCTGTTCGTTAATACCAACGAGTCTCTTACCGAAACTGATACAATCCCTCGGGATCAACGCGAGGAATCCATCTAGAAGGTCAGCTCGGCTAACTGTCTTCCTCCCCTTTGCCCTACCCAGTTCCGCTACTAGTTGGCCCATATGTGGTCCCTGGGCTAGGATTACTTCAGTAGCCATCTCTTGATTCTCATCGCCCATTGTCAACGCCTTGTCAAAGTATGCTTGTCTCACTTCGGGACCAGTAAGTGCCATAGCCTTTATGGCGTTAAGATGGAGCGCCAGACCCGCGCCGACATCTTTGTAAGCCGGTACCGCCTCGTAAACATGCACATCGATATGAGGTTTCTTAGCTAACCCTGCTGCGAGAGCAAGCCCAGCGATACCACCGCCTGCGATCGCGATTTTTATACGATTGTCGCTCATCTTCGAAACATACTTACAGAGGTGAAGTTCACATAGCAATCATACCTACCTGCTTATAGAATTGAGAGGTCATACTCGACCTGTAGCAATTTTGACTTTAAGGGGTTGTCCGGAATACGTAATAACACGCGTCAGAATTCGAATCCTATAACCAGACCGAGCTATTAACCTAGGATCTTCAAACAAATACAAACCATATAAACGGGCGTGCGACCCTCTATCTAAAGAGGTCGTTGCGTACAGAGTCCTAAATCAACGTAAATATGACGTGCGATATAAGGCGCATGAGAGGAACGACAGAAATTTGCCCGAACCAGGACGACAGCTTAGTATAATAAATTGTGTACCTCGGTACATATTACTGTATGTCAGCATTTCTTGGTATTTTAGGGTCAAGGAAAGATTTCTTTCGAGGGGATGGGCCAAGACCATAAGATAACTCTTTCATCTTCCTTCTTCCCTTGAGTTCAGGGGTAAAGGAACGAGCCCCTTTTCGAACATACCACTTGGTACAAGTCCGTAAATGAACCTCGGATGTTTATTCCCTCATCGTCGTTGGATTTTACCTAAGCACTTAGGAAACTGATTGTAGCGAGAAAACATGTTCGGCTAAAATCTGAAATCGCAGCAAGGGATGTAAGAAAAAAAAAACTCAACAAGGGCGAAAGTACCCAATTGTCATTACCACATGCGAACCTCATACTCGGGATGAGATGTAGTACAAATATGCAAAACTGACAGCTCGGCAGTTTTCCCCCTTAAAAGGAATTCCCCGGGCTGATGGATCATAAGTACGTAGGTACGTACATATTCTAACGTAAAAGGAAGCGAATAAGGCGTCAGGATCAGCAAGGAGACCGTAGCATCGGGATCCATGATGACTGTTGCTTTTGAGAAGATAATCTTATCAGATCGATGTCTCGCCCGTTGGATTGGGATCAGATAAAAATCGCGCGTAAGACAACCTTGACAACCTAACCAACACTAACACGTGGCGTGAGCCGGCATCAAGGACAGCCGGAATTGTTGAGATGAGTTATTAGAAAAATTTTCCTTAAGCGAAAGGAGACGGTAAAGTCAGCCTCATTCCTTGTTTCCGCGGTGAGAAACAATCGGTGAATCCAGGGGGTCGTACGATCGATGGAACGTTTCGAATACTTGAGCAAAAAAATATGATATCGTCTCATGAAAACAATAATAGCAATCATAATGAAAAACCATCAGTGATTGCCATGACGATTATCTAGTCAGTGGACCATATTGAGCCTCATTGCGAACCCTGCCAACCCAGGAACTATACGTTTATAGTATAGTACCAGCTGTATGTAGGACCGGGCATTTCTTAAAACATTCAATGTTCGGTACTACCCAGGTACTACTTAGTCTCATTTCCCGGGGAATTGGTTATGAGGTCAGGGCTGTCAGGTTCAGTTTGATGGTTTTATGTTTTTTTTTATCTGATCGACCCAGTTTTTTATTTTTCTGCCGAGACAATTTAACTTTTCCAAGCTTTCCCATCAAATGCGGCCTTAGTCATTAATGAGTGGATCCATTTCTTTGTTGTCCGACATCGGCCAAAATACTGATCAGATTGATAAACTGATGGATAAAGATTAAATGTACTCCGTGCGGTTGAGTTCAATTTAACTGATGGATTAGATTAGTATCCGCTCGATCCCCCGATCCCCCATTCCTTCCAAAACGCCAAAATGTCGTGTTACCAATAGACGCCGGGATGTAACGGTTATCTCACCGTACTTCATACTGTGCTACCACAGCGAAAGGTACAATCGACTAAATTATTCCATTCAATGTTGCGAAAGCACCTAAGATAGTGTATTTATCACAACGAGTACTACAATTAACAACAGCCTCAAATAAACATCTCAAACTTCTAACGACGGCTTCTGGGTAAAGGGAGGTAACATATGATCGTCTCGGCTCCACCGATCGTGCAAGAGAATGAGAGCGCAACCACACCGCCAATTGATAGCCTTCCATATGACGATTGGTACGACTTGACACCGGTCAGATATGCAAAATTCAATTATAGCAATCCTGCTTATCATCATCGCATCAAACATCGAAATTGGAGCATCAAAGGAAAGGCTACCCGAGATTACGTGACCGGTACAGGAGCCCGATCAATACCTGACGATGCCCATCAAACATCCAAAATGGGATTAAAAGTAGAACAACTGTATTAGTGCCATGGCTACACGTTTAGTTACCAGGGAGCAGGTTAAACTCGGTTCGGCACCTCGAGCCTGTCGGGTCCTCAAACATGTCAAACTCCACTCAAACCTCTCAGCCGGTGTTGCACTTGTTACTTAAAGACAACCGAGGAAGGAAAACGAAACTGGATCGAGGTTAGATCATGTTGGATGATGACACCGTATTCGCATATTTCGGTAGGAGGAGCTCCAATTTTGTGGAGGAGGCAATCCGGGGTAGCGGACAGCGGCAGACGCCAGACCAATGCCACTGGACCAGATAGTCAAGTGATGAAATATTGTGTAATTCTTGACGAGCCAACCAGAAGATGCGTCTTTCTCCAAATATCGATCGCGCGCCCCCGTGAGGAGGCATCACGTCTTTGTTGGCGTAGCCGATGAGTGGAAGCGAGAAAAGATGCAGAAAAAAGAAGCCGATGAGCGGTGCCGTGGCACAAATGAACAAGTATATCCTCGCCCTAGTTCAATCGAGTAAGTCATGATCCTCGTCAAAGAGCCGAAGCATGTCAACCCAACAAGAAAGGGGAAAACAATTCATGGATGTCTTGAAATTGATTTCTGGGCAAGTATCTAAAGTAAGTAACAATAATGAGAAACATTGTCAAATATGTCAAGTACCATAATTACAATGTAATAATATCAGATAATAATAGACAAGGAAAGACATGGATAGACGTAATTTCGGGAAATTGTTGTTGTTGTACGTATGTGTATGTGTATGTGTGTGTGTGTGTGTATGCGTATGTAATTGTGTACGTGTAAGTAACGAAATTTCTAGTGCAAGCGCACGATCTTATCAAGATCAAGCACACGATGACTAAGTACCTAGGTACTTTATTCCATCCTAACTCGCAACTCGCTTGCCCCTGGAATTATGTACCTGAACACAATCACTTACCTCACTCAGGCCAGATACCTACCTAATCATGACTAACGGGACAAAGCTTCCCGTAATATCTGAAGTAGATTGATAATTGGCAATTATTAAAAAAACAACCTTGAAAGTGACACAAACGAGGGAATAATAAGGTCGGCGAAAATCGGAGTCTCCAACAGGTATCTAACGTATCTTAGCTGCTAAGTAAGGTAAAAAACGGCGGAGTATTCAAAAGAAGGTACGGGGTTGATATCATTAGCTTCAAAATTGTACACAGTACTAACAATACCAGACAGCTGATTCCTCCTTTAAATCAGTAGACTGTTCGACCCATTGGAACTTAAAATGCTTGGCAAACGGGCCTAGGTTACGGAGAAATCCCAATCGGCAAGAACCAGGAAAGGCCAGTGCAGCGAGGAAAGAGCTTTTGATGGTCTTTCCGTCCCACCTAACCCACACTGCCCACCCCAAAAGCTGATGCAAGCCAATCTCGCCATCTGATAGGGCTTTTAGCCTTTTGCCCCTTCCCCCCTTGTACCTCCTATCATCATCATTTGGACAAACCCGCAAAACGTTGAAATATTACAAGATCGGCACTCTCTCTTTTTTTTTTACCAGAAATTTTCGTTACTAACCTTGCCTTCTTTACACAAACGACTTCATCAGTGATATGATAAAATATCGTGCACAGATTCGTCCTCACTGGTAATATTAATATTATTTATGAGTCGTTCTTTGTTCTATTTCTCCCTATTGTCATTCGACCTACCTTAGGTGACCACCTCGGCTACTTTTTATATAAGTCGTGGAGGTGTTTTCTTCAATTGACCACGCATCCCACGAAACCCCCCACAATTCCACCTACTTCGAGACATACCCCCTGAAGCAAACAACTCCAACCAGGTACCAGACAGAATAATTTCTCGACAACGCGACGCGTAAAGAGGAAAAAAAAGAAGTTCATTCTCCAAGTCCTAAAAAACCCCTCCCCCACCAATTGCCATTCGACGTTCTGCATTAATACGGCATACGATACCTCGGCAATCAATTAAACCTACCATAGCCGAATTCGGCTTCTCCAACATCAATTCAACATTAAATATCCCGAATTAAAGAAAGAAACACAAAGAAATAAGGGCGTCACCTCCACCTCAGTAGTCATGTCGATCGGTATTGAGCGGTTAGCAATCGACTCGGCGCCTGGCTATGCGTCAGAGGAGGAGAATCGTACCCCTTCTATCGCACCATCTCTTACCTACTCCGACGATTCTGAAGACCAAGATGAGCCCCAACCGCCCGAGGTCACTCCCCGAAGACGACGCGCTTCTACGAGACTAATCGCTCAGAGCCCTGCCGATGTGCAACGAATTACCGGAGAGTCTACGCAACAATTGCTGAACCGATGCTGTGGTGGCGGCTGTTGCATGAACTTACAGAAGAAGGAAGGTCTCGAATATGAGCGTGTTCCGCTTCCTGACAATGATGCCTTCCGTTCATTGGGATTGAAGATTGGCGAGATACCGACTACCTTGACTAAGATTCAAGATATGCCTGAGCAGACCGCTTTTCTTCAATCCATTCGACGTACCTCTAACTCAGCTTCACCGACTGCTTCGCCCACTGACTCGGCCATCTCTTTCGGAAGTCAGGCTAGCTCCCCTACCTTTGAGAGTATGCCTAAGGAGCTCAGCCTCGAGGACCTAGACACCTCTATTCAGCCGCCGTCTTTTGTACAGCCTCACCCACCCTACCATGTCTTCCCCGCCAAGATCCATAACACTCGCGAGTTGACGAGACCTGGTGCCGAAAAGCGCACATATCATTTCGACCTTGACATTACCGATTACCCCCATGCCGAAGGAGTAGACTTCAAGGTCGGAGGTGCTATTGGCATCTCCGCTCCTAACGAGTCTGCCGCTGTTGAACAAGTTCTCGACTTGCTTTTGGTTCCGCGTTTCTTGCGTAGCAAGCCGGTTCTATTGCGCACCACGCGTGGCCGCTGGCCGACTGTATGGGGCGAGGACCAGGCCCGAGAACTAGTTACAACTCGACGAGACTTGCTAACATGGTGCTCTGATATTCAATCATACCCACCCACCAAGCCCTTGCTACGCATCCTCGCCGAGTACGCCCTAGATCCTAACGAGAAGAAGATTCTCATGTTTCTCTCCGCTAGTGAAGGACAAGGCGTTTTCTGCGACTTACGTACTGGCCCCCATATTTCCCTTGCTCAACTTTTGAGTGCTTTCCCATCTTCCAAGCCGCCTTTGGATTTGCTTCTCTCTGTGCTCCAGCAATTAATGCCACGATTCTACTCACTTTCTAACGACCCGCATGATTCTAACGAGGTTCGCGACGAAGAACAGCGCCGCCTTATCGAGATAGCCGTCACCGTTCAAGAGACGCCTGACTGGCGAGGTGGTTGCCGTACAGGTGTCGGTTCCGGATTCTTTGAACGCCAATCGCGGAAGTTATTAGAGTACCAACGTGCAGGAGAACCAGCTCCCCAGTTGTACGTCCCAATGTTCAAGGGGCTTATGGCCAACCCGCTTGCAAAGGAATTTGTGTCTGATGGTCCGATGCTCCTTATTGGGGCTGGTGTCGGCATCGCACCGTTCCGTGGGTTCGTCCAGCATCGCCTCAAGAACGCAAACTGCGCCAATAAGGTGTGGGTTCTCCAAGGTGTTCGAGATTCACTTGTCGACGAGCTGTACGGCGGAGAATGGGGTGTACATGAGGATCGAGTAAAGAAAGTTGTCCAGAGTCGACGTGGTGAGAGTCGCTACGTACAGGACGAGGTCTTCCACCAGGCAGACCTTGTTTGGTCGATTATTAACTCGGTTGATGGACGCGTCTTTGTCTGCGGCAGTTCTAAGGGAATGGGAGAAGGTGTCAAAGACGCGTTGATCCGGGTTGCTAAGAAGAAGGGCAACCTAGAATACGAAGAGGCGAGAAGATTCTGGGGGTTGAAGAGGGACGTCGGTCAATACATCACTGAGACGTGGTGATAAATACCGTTTCCCCTCCCCCCAACAAGGCAGATGGGCAATCCTGATACACAGGTAGACCGTTGCTACTATGAACTCTTTCATTTAGACATATGGGGGGTTTACAAAATTGCGTTTGCTCATAGCGTTTGGTATTACTAAAATTTCGCTTACATATAGAAGGTCGGGCGTTTGCGCAAGCTGGACGAAGCCGAGCTGGTCGGTTTCGATTTATGAGGACGGCGTTTCTTCCATTCACGCTGAGAATAGGGGTGGTTCGCGTGTGAAGGCGTTAAGAAGCCTCGGAAGACACGTGCCATAGGTACCTAGGTAGGAACCTGCAATGCAATGCGATGATTTTTAATACGATGGTTCTTCTCTTTCTCTCTGCGATGAAGCAGACTTGTACATACGAAGTTGCCGCGCTGCATTAAGTATATAGTTATATGAAATGGGTTATAATGCCAACGATGTTTTTTACGCGCGTCTCTATCCGTAGTATCCGAGGGATTACAATTATGCACGGCGTATATATACCCAAACACTAGAAAGCTGTTAAATAGACAATTTACTTTCTTTTCGTCATGAATCTTACATTTCTGCAAGGGATGTAACGAGTTAGTCGTCGTCGGCTCGACACACGATAGGTCAGAGCTAAAGAAAATTGCCCAATCCGGCAACTACCCAGGTACTTCCTCCATGTAGCCTTGTATTGATCACGAAGCTTATTGGTTACACTGCGATGAGAGAGTTTCCAGGGTCCTGGCGTAGTACATTTAGACTGAGTCTAATTGTCTCAGTACAGAAAAGAAACTCCGAAAGTCTATCCATTTGCTTCTATAGCTTTCCTAAGTCTCCACAAACGCATGCAGCTAGATATACCTAAGTCAGTCCAGATGCACTCGCGCCTCGTACACTACATTGTCCATGTAGGCTATATTATGCGATAGAATATACAATTGGATATATATGGGTTATCTCACCACGGAAGATATATGGCACGATCGCATGATACCTACCAGTTAAGTAGTACACCAATGCCGAGCTGTGTAATTACAAGCACAACCAGCACAGCCCCCCTTGGATAGTATCGAATATATTCAGTACCAAGTCTTTTCACCACCAAAGACACCGAGACACCGAGGACTCTTCAATTTCTTCGCGGATATAGAAGACAAAACAGATCATGTTAATAAACAGAATTAACGCAGATTAATGAAGATAGACGAGGCAAGGTAGTATCAACTAAGCGCCGGGAGGAAGCAATTCGTGCAAGTTGCGACGTCAAGCGAGTGCCGAACGCGCGAGAGGCGGCTAATAAGGCGGATTTTATATGAATCGCGGGGTAATGAGGCCGTGAAACGCCGTTGTAGACGTTGTATTTCGTTGCATATGACACTTTATACTTACAGTTTATATATAATAATGATAAAAAGAGCCTCATGGTCGCCTAAGTAATCTAAGAAAAGAACGGAAGAAGGTTGATGGAGAATTTAGAAGGATAAAAAGAAAAAAGGGGGAACAAGTTGTACAGACCTACATAACCTTACCCATAAATTCTAGATGCATGGAAACCAACATACATATGTACATACATATTTCCAACTCACTTGACTCGATAACGATAAATGGAGTGCCTGTTTTTTCATTAGCGTTAAGTACATATAAAAGTTCTTAGTAGTAATGGATTTCAAATAATTATGAAATCAGACCGATATTACTGGTAAGAGGATTATTAATAAACTTATAAGCAAGATGTTTTAGGCTCGGGATGTCGCCATTCGGACCAGGACCAATTGTGCGTCCATCACCACGCCAAAGACCCACAACGGGGGCGCTTACCGAAACTTGATCACGCTAGTACTACAATGCAGTATAGTAAGTTGGAAGAACATAACCTTGTCCGAGTTCTTGCTGTTTCTTAGTCGCGACTTACATTTGTTATACTAGGTACTTCGCTACTTTCGCTATTCAAGTGTGAAAGAAGATTTGTAATACAGAAGTGGATCCATGTTTTCAAGTAACGAAGTAACAACTTGAAAGGTAGCAAAAAAACTAGTAACAATGAGTTAGATACGAATTACCCGGAGATAACAGGAATGTAAGTAAAAGTATCTACCAACAAACGCATAGACAACACATCCAAATGTATGGATGTACTGAAACGGAACCATCAATTTGATACTAGCGCGTCTTAATAAGTCATTACGATTCACGAAAGCAGCAATTACCAATATCCATATGGGTGGAAATAAACCAATGTTAGTGGACCCGATCGATCTTACGTGCGATCTGCATGTATGTAGGTAATGTAGATATGTATATCCAATACGTACATGGTCTTTTTCCCTTGTCCTTTTCTCCTGTCAATCTATCCCACCTGCCTCTCAGGTACAATCCTGCTTAGAAACTCACATACCTAGGTACCCAGGTACATCCATCAATCATGCAATCATGCGTGACCCACCTGTACATCGGGTACTTCTATACATGTAACTAAACTACCCCTCCATCCGCACCTACTTTTTGCAATAGGTTCAATTTGCGTCAGCGGGGGTAAAAAAAAAGCATAGTGGAAGGAAACAACTCGACACACTAAGAAGGTAGGAAAGGTAGGGGTGGTACATGTGTACGGGGCGTAGATAGCGTGCTTCTGGACTTTCCTTTCCTCTTTTTTTCCCCCATGCCTCTGTTCCTCTTTCACTTGCACAGTCGCAGTTGCAGTCACACTTGCCGTTTTGTATTAGTACCTTTTTTACCTTTTATACTAGGCAAACCCATACCTACCCGTATCAAAACCAAGCCAGTAAACTCCGTAGCGTTGCTTCCCGTAAATAAATAAGACCAAGATGCGCCCGCACTTTGTCACTTCAGCCGTCTTTTCCCTCTCTAGACTTAGCACCACTTCGGCCACCACCACTTCTCGAGCTACTACTACTACCACAACAGCTCTTAAATCCCTAGCAGCAACCTGTCCTCAACAGAGACTATTCTCCTCTAGTGTCCTGCAGTGTGATCTAGCCAGGCCCCAGGCAAAGAATCACCAAAGACTTACCGTCTCGACTACTACACCGTCCTCCGCATCTTTCAGTACCACTTCCACAATGGCTACTCCCATCAACTCCAAATCGGTCCTCGAGCTGATCAAGGAACGTCGCACATACTATGCCCTCAGCAAGGACCTAGCTATCTCCAAGGACCGCATTCAGGAGATTGTCAAGGACGCCGTCCTACACGTCCCCTCCTCCTTCAACTCCCAGACCAACCGTGTCCTCGTCCTCTTCGGAGCCGAGCACGACAAGCTATGGGACTTCACATCCGAGGTCCTTAAGGCCATCGTTCCTGAGGACTCTTGGCAAAACACCGCCAACCGTATTGCCCTATTCAAGGGTGGTGCTGGTACCGTAAGTTCTTTCACTCTTTAGCTTGCTACCCAATGACGACATGATTGAAAAAGCAATTGGGTCACCATACTAACAAAGACATCCTTAATAGGTTCTCTTCTTCGAAGACCAGGACGTTGTCAACCAATTCCAGGCCAAGTTCCCGCTATACAGCGACAAGTTCCCGTTGTGGGCGGCACAGTCGGATGCGATGCTACAATATGTAGTATGGACCGCTTTGACGGCCGAGGGTCTCGGTGCTAACCTCCAGCACTACAACCCATTGGTTGACGCCAAGGTAGCCGCTGAGTGGGGCATCCCCGACAACTGGAAGCTCAACGCCCAGCTTGTCTTCGGTGGCCGCACCGGCGATGCCGGCCCCAAGGAGTTCCAGGCCATCGAGGAGCGCTTCAAGGTTGCTGGTGCTTAGGTGCGCTGCAAGACCGTTCCCCGTGTTCCGACTCCATTCGCCTCCTCACTTCTTCGTAGTCGACAAAAGTCATAAACCATTATTCGCGGTGTCGTCGAGTTGCATAAGGGATGGGAAATTCTTAATAGATGTGTTGGATATTTGCGTTTGCTTTCTGCTGTTGTTGTCATTGCACTCAATAGACAAAGGCGAAAGGAGCGGCGGTTCGTTCGTTCGAGCTGTCGTCGCTCTTCATGAGTTCCTTAGACTTACCTACCCCACCTATCCTTCCTACTTACTATAACTCCTCAACCAGGAAGCATTCAACACCTATTAGAACGATAAACCAATAAATAAATAAATCAGTCAAAAGAATGAACTTTTTCAAAAGATAGAGTGATTGCTCAATTAACTAATAATTAAAGTTGGAGTTGAAGTCGATGTCTTTAACGGCGTAGTATTATGTCGTAATCAAGAGCCTCGCATAATAGAGTGGCGTAATCATGTCGTATGCAGCACTCGTACATCGCTCCTTCCGCCGAAATAAGTCAAAACTAAGTTAGCTACCTAAAACTAAAACTCTCTGTCACTTTAACTTTTTTTTAAAGTCTGAGCCGCATCTTGTTTACACCTTCACCTTCCACAAATTGTAACATCGGCGACTCAACCCGTACAACGTATTACCTACGCCGTCCATTGACTTAGGTTATACTCGTCGGGGCAAGACTGGACTAACTCCGTCAATAGAGATGGCCAGGTGCGTGATGTCGAGGATGGATTGCCATGCGGGTTCGTTACGCGGCGAGTCGAAATGGAAACGAAAAAAAAAAAAAAAGAATTTCGTCGAGTTACGTTCCACGCGTAGTACGACGAGCGTTTCCTGGCTTTATCCTCGAGGGGTGAAGGCAAATAAAATAAAGGTATGTATATGGACACAAGGGTTTGTTATCTTGTCATCGATGTTCCTCGTTAGAAGCTTCGCGTTCTGAGAGGAATTATGACCGTTATTCTCGACACTAACAGGTTTCAGGTTTCGAACGACATCGTTGGGTTGGAGCTTGATGGTCGCACCGCTCATAGCGGGGCTAAAAACAGACGGGAGACGATCTGTGTTGAGACTGCTCCGCTATGCCGAGCGTTCGATGACACGGTCTGGCGACTCACGATGGCTTCATTGGAGTCTCGGCAGCGGCCAACTGACCGTATAATCCGCTCACAAACCATGTAAGTTCGCGTTCATCACGACTCACTGAGCGCGTTTCGATAATGACTATACTAACCTTTGTCTCTCAAGGTTATACCGACGACACCACGACTATGGGCGTGAAACGTCATGTCAGCCAAATTCGCGATACATGGAATATCTATATATACAGGCTGTAATTCTGAGGGTCTCCTCTCCTTCTTCCCACAGATCAAGACAGAGAAATCAACATATTTCAAGATCATACAAAATAAACACTACACAACACTCAACACGACATAGCCAAGCCGGCTTCATACCTACTCTTAAGAGTTCACCAACGCCACCACCACAAGAGTCTCATCCATTTCAAGACTCAGGATGTCGAACTACCCTAACAATCCGCAAGGAGGCTCCTTCACTGGCCCAGGATACACTGTGGCCGCTGCCAGGGACACGAAGAACCAGATCGAGTGCCTCGAGATGGTTAAGGCAGTACGTGAAAAGGCTGAACTACACTGGAAAGCCAGTGGTAGCCTACTCCAGGCCAGGAAAGACGAAATGTGGGTATGTAAGTAGAAATCTTCCCCTCCTTTCCCTATGAAAATGAATAACGACTCTTTGGAGAGACACTTGCTGATATTCATACCCATTCATTTATAGTGCGCCGACGTCCTCTGCCCCGTGGCAATTGCGACCTCGTCCTGTACATGCAGGCGATAGATACCAACGCCGGAATCGACCACGAGAGTGAGACCCTCTTTCAAGAACTGCGTAGTAAGTAGTCCCTAGAGCTATTAATTACCCATCTCGACTTTTCATGATAGTGACTGACGCTTGATACTACAGTGGTCGCACACGAGGGTGTGCAGGGCTCCTGGCCAAGAATCGTGAAGTGCGGTGGCGGTGGCACTTCCCGCCGTTTCAGGGTGTGCTTCAGTAGGTCTTCCTCCCCTTTCCCCCTTTCCTACAAACATAACCCTTGGAGAAACAATAACTAACACAATATTCTCAACCTCCCAGTACGTGTCCGCAGCACACACCACGACATGGACTGGAGATTCGTCAACGCCGTCTCCGACGAGGAGTACTGGTCCTCTCCCCCATCGTCTCCTGTGCGATTAGACGAGTCCGGGGATGTGATCATGAAGGATAGGGGCTCCTGGTGGAACCCGTGGGCGGATTAAGGGGAGAAAAAGAAAGGGTGGGGGGATGAGAAAAGTGAGCGAGAAAGGCACTGAAGAGAATCTGCCACTAAGGCTTCGCTTGCGAAAAGGCCGCTGCTGGTAATAATATAGCGTCACAGGTTGATGGGTGCGATATACGGCACCTATCCTATACCCACCTGGGCAGCCTCCTTATGAAGCTTTACAGTAATACAGAGACGGATGTCCTGCGGATAAATAAAATGAAGAAGCGATTATTCCTACACATCACAAGCTACGGGGTATAGTGTGAAATTGAAATGCAGGGAAATTATTTGAATTTCCCATTTTATAGATATGATGCTCAACCAAAACTGTGATATTGGCATCAGTTGCTTTAGTTAGGAAGCAGGCAGAATGAGATTATGGATTGAGCGTACCAGCATTAGGCCGCTTATACGGACTATAGAATTCTGGTGCGAATAGACATTAGGCGGTGCCTAGTAAACCTAGGAGGGTCGCATGTTGCGGCTCGATGACTTTTGTATTGGAGGGTTGAAACGCCCTCTGAATGGTACAAGTTATTCAAGATGCATCCGAGAGCGAACTTAGTAGGATGAATAATCCCTCCGCCACTGGCTCGACCGAGCATTCGCATGATATACTATATCGAACCGAGTCCTCACATATCGTCACAAAGCTCTACAGAATTACGCGGGCGTCTGGTGTAAACATCCACTTGGTGGGTGGCTTCCAATTGAGTACGTGTAATCGATCTCCGCTTCCATCTCCTCCACTACAATCCCTTTCTAGTATCCATATTAGGAACACTCAATACCTCGAACAAAAACTAAGCGGAAACATTCGCTAATATGATTCCATCCACAGTATATCCGTACTATGATACCATCAAGCCATACATGACCGCTCCGCCTATGCACACAACCGTCAGTAGCTTCGGAGTCGGCTGCTATGATAGGATCCTTCAGCATGATCTCCACAACGTTGTGCACGAGGGTGCCGGCACCGATGGTGATCGAAGACTTATTCGCCCGGACCACATCGTCGTAGAACATCGTAAGTTAAATCTCGTTCCGTCCTCATTATCTCTTTCCCTCTATTATTTTCCGCTAGGGTATCCTCAACATATCCTCCCTCTCCTAAAACATCATCTCGTGATCCCTAAGTGAGCAAGCAAAGCCATCGCTGACTCAGCATACTCGACTCCAGTACACATCCAACAACCCCCCAAAGTCCCATCTCCAGGGAAAAGAGAAGAGAGCTTAGAACAAGATCCTGAAGTGGATGAGGATGGGGATACCATAATGACAGAATGAAAAAAAAAAAAAGACCAGTCAACCCCAAAACCACCTAATTGGGGTGCCGGATAAGGATAAGGAGCATACGAGGACTTTTGCATAGGAAATGCTATATGAAGTCGATCCATTACGATTAATGCAATGACGATAAAAGACTCCGGAGGGTGGACCAAGGTCGAAATTGGCGAATAGTGGGTCTTTAAGAAATGATAGCTCTTGATTGGGTGCGTTCCCTAAGCTGAGCGTAGGTCATTTAAGTCAGGTCCAAGGCTTCTTGGAACAATACACCTGAAAAAAAGGAGGGAGATGGAGGAGACATACCACGTTAGACCGAAGAGAAGACCATCAACAGTGCATAATCCAATCATTTCAAGGCCGTAACATCTTTTTACCAGTCCTTAGAAGTATATATACGCCCGCCGGTCCCTGTCTTATGATACATCATCAATACGCGACGCTGCAGCCTCCTGCCGACCAGATCTATCACTACTCCAAAAACGCCTTGTGTACCGTTTTCTTTTTTCTTTTCGTCGTAGTCGTCTCCGTCGCTCGGAATTACGTCGTCACAAAAATGCCGTCCCAATCCAAAGTTGGCCAAAATGGTGAATTAGTGAAAAATCCAAGCTCTAGAATACCTTGAATGGAGGCCGAGATGGATATCCCGTTCGGGTATCTGCTCAAGGGGGCGATCCCAAACCCTTAGAGTCTTGGATAGCTAAGTAAAGTTCCGTCGATTGTTTTTAACTGTATTCTTTAGGGGCTATGACGCTTCCCCCGTCCACAATGATTTGTTTATCGATTTGACTCGCGGTATCACCGTATTCCAGGCGTTTATATGTTGTAATTCGGGCTTCGTTCATATCAATATCGAAGAACCGAATCCGTCGGACATAGCCACCATAACCGCCGTAACCTCCAAATCCACTTCCACCGGCGTAGCACATCCATAGTTCCGGCTTTTTCGTCTCTTCATTGGCTGAAAGCATGCAGTATTCATTTGCATGGTCGCTAAAATTTGTTAGTCATAACCCTGCCTAGGTAATTAAAGGTATCGGGGAAACGCACTGTCCACAGCTGACCATAACCACGCCTTGTTCCACCAAAGCATCGCGGAATCCCGAATTGTACTTCGGAGCTGTGACTCCTTCTCTTAATTCGCCGACGCGAATTGATTCGGCATCCGTGTATTCCGGGAGAGGTATGTGGATAAAAGCGATATCCATATGAATGTGAGTATACTCCTTGTGTTTTTTCTTCAAGCTATCTGATGTTTGCTTAAACCAATCTATTTGGTTCTTCTTGATCCAATCGTAGCCGCTAAATTGTCGCTCATCCGGCGAATACGAATGGGAATCCAGCAAGTAAACCGTAAGTGCAGAATGCTTCGAGGTTCCTTGAGCAAGAATCTCGATATAGTAATTTCCAACTCCGTCAATATCATCTGGTCCGGCTACGGATAATGAGTAAGGTAGTTGTTCGATAAGAGCCATCTGTCCAGCCCTTGGTAATGATCCCTCGTCGTCGTGATTGCCAAATATGGATACGTATGGAACTTTATGTTTAATGAGTAGTTGGGCGTATTTGAAAATTGCGGATTGTGCATCTGGCGCAGTATCGCCGTTAACTTGGTCACCGCTGAGAACCACTAAATCCGGCTTCTCTTCGTCCAATAACTTCGAAACGAAGTCCAATGTTCGCAGATCTGCCAAACAGGCCCCTCCTTCATATTCATCGGGCACTGCATCCCTACAATGACCGACGCCCGTGCTCAAGTGTAGATCAGCAAGTTGCATGATCTTGAATTTTCCATTGTCTTTTATCCGCGGTTGGGGCTTCACGGGTTCGGCTTGGCTCCCCTGTCTCACTGTAATATGGGCAGTTGGTATGTCTGAGCCAGCATCGAGTAGTAATGGTGTGTTCTGGAATTGCCATCCGTCTCGAGCTTCGACAGCATCATCGCCGAAAAGGACGTCAACCGCCGTGACGGCCTTCTTAGAATCGCTCGCGGTCGGTTTCGAAGATCGAAGAACCCACAATCCGGCTGGTCGAGACTCCCATTTTTCGTCTGCTTGGCCCTTAACTCCCGTCGAAGGATCCAGTCGACCAACCGTAACGCCTATAACAACCTTGTCGTCTGATGTAAGTTCCTCCTCCTTCTTCCTTTGGACGTGGACGTATGCGCTAGAAACCCATGATTTTTCTAAATAGAGATTCTTCTCGACCCGGTGCCATCTTTCAGGGTCGAGCTTGCAGGATGAAAATAGATTAATTTTGGAGCATTGTGTAATCGTTATATCGGTGACGATAGACCCGTGGTGATGTTGAGGCATATATTCGTGGACGGCATTAGGGAGGAGTCGGAAGTTTCGGTCGAGAAGGAAGATGATGAAGAATGCGAAAACCGCAGCAGCGGCGAGCTGGGAAGCGGTACGCACCTAGTTGGAGAAGATCAACAATGTTAGCTTGACTTCGATGCGAGGATCTGGTTACGATGTTGAATACGGAAGCTGCTAATAGGGATGACTTACTATCCGTCGCGTCATGGTGTTGGAAATGAATATAACAAGCTAGACGTCGCCGCCGTAGCAGGTAGATAGGGTGTGTTAGCACAATAGCGATGTCTTAGTGATAGGCGCCAGGGGCCAATCATCTTCAGCCATGCGCATCTAGATTTTAAAATCTATTCAAACCGTCAACTTTGCCAAGTCGTCGGTATAATGTCTCCTAAACAATAGAGGGATAGAGAGATAAACGCGATTTGTTGGGTATTATTCTGTATTGTATTGTATTAACTTATAGTATGTTGCTTGCTAAGAAAAATGGAAAATGGAAAACAAGGAAATAAATTGTATCAGGTGCCTCTTGTGAAGGGAACTAGGTTTAGGAACTGACTGCGCTAGGAAGTAACGGGTGCTATAATCTAGACCCCCAGCACCTTCACCCTAGCACCCGATAATCTGGGGAACCGCGACCGCCCACACAATCCATGCCAAGACATGTCTATCCTTTCCCGGATCCAACTCAGTTTGTACATCGATGCGTATCACCACACTCAAGCCTCTCCTACGTGTACTTATGACTGATGTACCTAATGCGGCACCATGCATTTGTCCTAGTCCAGCCTCCTCATTACTTTATCTCAATAATGGATAGCTACAGGTCATCGTTCTCACACCTTAACAAACTCACCACTCAAAATCACCCACCTAACATCTCCAGATATAACACCTCCAACATCTCCGATAGAAGAGTCTAGATTATACATTATTCCAATAAATACCCGCCTATCCAGTTACACAACTCTGCATCCTCACAAGCTAGGTAGGTAGAAACATACATAACAGGTGGACAGTAAGCAGCTAAGCGGTATGTCACAACCGGAGAACACCCTTACATACAGCTACTACATACTGAAATGAACCATTGATGGAGGGATGGATAGAGCCCCGAGATATCTATTGGCTAGTTAAGATAACAATTCATCTCGAAGTCTTATATCCGCCGTATATATTGCCTCGTTAAAAGTTGCATCAGATATTCGGCCACTACCCTCTTCAGCTCGAACGGAATTCCTTCAGATAAGGTACCTACGACTGACCCTAATGGCTGGAAATGAGGCTTCCTATTTCCATGGTACAACCTGCAAATGTCTATGAGTCATCATTCAAGAATACGAACGCCAGAGGTATCTCAGCGCCAGAATGATAGAATATCTACCCAAAGTCACGGTCCTAGGTCTGTGTGCTATGGTATATTGAACTATTTTACAGGCGTTTAGAAGTCTTGCAACCCCTAACCCTCTATGTCTAGCAACATATACCCAACCCACCCTAATCTGCCTAGGTACCATCATAATGAATACCATATACTCCCTAGTCTCTTATCACACAAGTTTGCGATTGATCCTAAGCCTCCACTGCTAATCCCCTCTTCACGACTGTATTCCCATCGAGTGTCAAAAACTCCTCGACGATCCCCCACAATTGTGTTGTTCGATTATAATAGGTATTACTTTTCCTTTTTCCCGCGGTCTCTTCTCCCGTCCACCGCTACAACCCTCTCTCTTAAAGCTGCTTCCCCCACAATCAGTCCCTTTAAGACTGGCCATAACCGTTCGTCTCTTCACGTTTTGGCGTATCCGATCCCTTAACTCCTCCTGATCCTCTGTGCATTCTGTACAACAAGAGGTCCCCCGCCTGCTAGCATGACCACTCGACCCATCGACTTGTCCTTCGCCAGCCTTCTCAGCATCCACAGCATCCCGAAGTCCCCGGACCCGCGCTGTAAGTTGTTCGTACACCGCAACTCTCTTCTCGGCTGCTTCAGCCCTCTCGCGCCACATTTTACACTCGCGCTTCGTCTCTCTGAGCTGTTCGCACAATTTACCAATATCCACATTCTCACGAGCTTCTAATTGTCGCCTCAATTGTATGTTTTCTTCTTCTATAAGCTCAAGGTGCTTCTGTAGGTGGCGAACCTGGGCATGAAGTGTCGAGTTACTACTCCCGGGTCGGGGGCTGTCAGCCACTGCCCTTTCATCATCACTCTCATCATGTACTATAGGAGACAAAGACAAAGACGGTCGATTAAATGTGATGTGTTGAGCAACGGGAGGTTCTTCAAGATGCGGAACCATGCTCCCTAAGCTTGGTGGTTGCCTAAGTTCTCGATCACGGAGAGAAATCTGTGCGGTCGATGTCAAAGGCGCTTTTCTTGGGGCGTAAAATGACTTATCTATAGGACGTAAAGAAACGGAGGGAAACCTTGTTGAAACATTCTCGTGGGTTCCCCAGGGAGGTGTTACTTCAAAGTGACTATGGTTTTCCAGAGGTGTAAAGTGTCTACCATATGTTGGTGTCTCGGTCAGCTGAAAGCCGCCCTCCGAGCGCCGAGGAATCCTCGACGGCGTACCGGCTACTAGAGATCCTCTAGAACCGACAAATTTCGATGGTGAAGCGTTCCGGGAGAATGAAGCTTTGGCGCTACTAGGATCATGAGAAGCGTAGCCTGTAATTCCTGTAGGTACGGGCGCCCAACCAGGAGGTGAGTCCTTGGCGGCATTATCAAACAGTGCAGTCATAGCCTTTACAGCACCTTCGAGCGGCCTCGAATTTGAGCGCCGTGGGGTCGGCATACTCGATCTGTCGGCAGGAATCCTAGCCGATTGGAGGGTGCCCGGTTTATGCGGAGAGTGCCATCCGTGGAAATGTTGGAAGTGTTGAGACTCATGGGGGGTTTCAAACGTATCAGTCTTCTCGGGCGAGAATTTGGCTACTTCCGGCTTCCTCTCACCTATCCCACCTGTGGGTTGACTTTTCCATCTTGGGGAAATTTGCGTCCCGTCTCGTTGGGCCAATAAGTCTTCACTCCGTCGAGAAGAGCCATTGCCTGGACTACGTCTCAGGCGTCTTTCTTTTGCAGCTCTTGCTAAGGATTCTGTGCTAGCTTTACTAACTAAGGCTAGAGCTTTCCACTTGTTAGCCGGGCTCGCATTGCGCTCCTTAGCCGTAGAGGGTGATTTATATGTCGTTATCGGCTGATTTGACAACCACTGAGCCAGGAACCCGGGGCCTCTAGTATCCTCACTACCTTTTAGTGAATATACTCCGCGGGCTCTAGGCTCAGGGATGGTCGACTTGACGCTATGAAAGGTTATTTCGCTGCTAGATATCCCAAGGCCTTGTAGACTCCCGTTGTGGAGTAGCGAAGTTTTCTCATGTACGTTGGCACTAAACGGATCTTCAATATGTCGGGCCTGGTTCTCGGGACGGGGGAGTCCGTCCCTGGCTTTATTTTTACTACTTGTCGACGATCGGCCCAAGCTAAGCCTATTAAGCACATTTTCGACGTCGTATTTGACTGGCAACCGCCCTGACGAAGACTTTGGGTGAAGTTCATAATCTGCACCCGTCGTAGTCGGCGTAAGGTACTTCGCTAAGATTTTATCCCCCGTCCTACGCGAAATGCATGAACCGGACTGTCGCGATCGTTGCCGTCTGACAGTTAACGACTCAATTGGTCCTTCAACGTCATCTTGGGGCTTGGGCAAGCTAATTTCTATCCTAGCGTTAGCATATGACGCTGCATATCAGAAGAAATATTACTTACTAGGCGTTGCAACTGTGCTCCCTATAATCGGGGAAGCATCTCTCCTTTTCAGGTGACATGACGACTCCGGGTCGTCCCGTTCTGGCGAGTTTGTCAATTGCAATGAATCTGAGATCGATGTGATGAATCTAGCTCTGTTTTCTCTGTAATGCGTGTTGTGTTCGTGCCTTCTGGCTCTTAGTGTGCCTAGGGTTCGCATTTGTCGAACCACCTCTCTCCAGTGTATAATCAGCATCTCAGTAATGCTGTTGGCAACGTTTATCTTGTCTACCGTATGGAATGAGCTTGACTCATCAACGGAGGCTTTAGACCTCTCATGTCTACGCTTCTCTTTTCGAGACTTCGGTGGCGATACTGGAAGGAGGACCAATCCAGCCGCTGGATCTGCCACCTTCATATTATATGAGGTTATTAAATCATTGACCAAGAGAGGGCCAAATATTATGCTTAGTGCTTTATATCCCATCAAGTCAGCTGTTGGGAGCGGTCTTCCATTTTCATCTTCTCGTGGAGTATTTTCCGCTATCCGTCCAATGAAACACAATAGGCCAAATACGGCGCAGATGAGCTCCCTCTGGTATTGTGACTTAACAGTTCCAATGGCTAATGCGATAAGTCGCGCGCGAAGTTTGGTTTCCTTCGTCTTAGCGAGCTCGGGATCAGTATGAAGCTGGCTATGAATTGAAACCAGTGCGTCAAACAATGACAACGAACCGAGAATGCCGCCCGGTAGCCCCGCGAGGAACCTCTTGAAAGCGGAGGCAACGTCGTGGACGCAGCATTTGATATGAATAGGAAGATTCGGGCATCGGGTCGTAGTCGAGATGTTGTGAGCGTCTTTGTCGGTGCAGTAGTAGTTATATAACATATCTACTACTCGAACCGAGCCAGGAACTCGGAAGATGCCCCGTGTATCGGCTAGAACAAGTATATGTCAACTATAAAATGACATTTCTGATGACCGTTTGTGAGTCTAACCTTGCTGCACAAGAGCCTGGGCAAGTGCTCGGAAGCATGTGGGCAATACTAAGGAGCAGGGTGTATACTCATGGGGAAGATAAAATAGACTCTTGCCGCATAGCCTAACTAGAACTTGGAGTGCTTGGTCCTTGAACCCGTCCCTCCTGTGATGTGAAACGAGATTTAATGCAGCGTCACCAATACTTCGTCGGCGTCGCAGTTGCCGTTGGTCTGATCGAACGATAATGGTCTGCGTTGAATGGCAGGACGATGTTCGTCTCAACGCTTTTGAGATCCAACTGCCCCTTCGAGTTGGGAGTGACTTGAAAGTCTTGACCTATTAGTATGGGGAATTAACCTACTTCGAGTTCTTGTTAGATCACACTTACAGAATCCACCGGGAAATCTCCAGGTACAAGTAGCCGAATGCCATACTAGGATGTCTTAGTTAGTAAACTCGCCTATTAGAAATAGTTGGGGAGAATTACCCTCCTTGCGAGCCGGTTATACTCCTTGACAAATTCTTCCCTGCTGTCTATCTCCTCGGTTTCGGAAAGCAACCCATGATCGCTGCTAGAAGATGTCCAAGTACCACTCCTGCGTCCGGCGGGCCGGTCCAAAGTACTAGGCAACCGAGAAGAATTTAAAGCTACATGAGGGTTGATCGTGGTCGAGTGTGAGGGTGGTCGCTTTTGATGGTATGGGGAAGGCCGTGAAGACATAGGCCGCGGATACGCGGACGGAGAAGTATCACGATGGTGGGACTGCATCTAAGCAATTGGGTAAGGGGATATATTCCGAATAGGAATGAATAATAACCAAAATATTAAACGGAGTAATAGAAAGGCTTGCAATGAAGAGATCACGATAATGTAAGACTTGGTGTAGAAGAGGAAAATAAATACATTCTAGAATCTACGTGCTATAATAATTTGTTTTTTCAACGGTTTAGGAAACTCTTCGGCTGCATACCTTGGGTCTCGCTTACTTTCTAGGAGTAGGTACGGCCTACCTCTAGGAGGGCACGTATCACGATGATACCTAGGCGTGAACCTAGAATCGATCACTAGAAAGAGCGAAGAGGTTATGAGGAAAGTGGCATGCTTATAGCAATATTGGCGGGAAATTCAAAAAATGATGATATATTGCACTTCCAAGTTTGTGATATGACCATGAGTAAATCCAGACAATTCTGTCTTTCTACCCAGCCTCCCTGTCTAGACCGTGTAATTCTTTCCCCTTCCTAACCAAATATGTGAGGACCATGAGAGGATGGAAAAATGTATGCGGGCTCAAAAGGACTGATCCTTATCAACCACTTTAGTCTTTCGAACGCCATACTCCTGTGCAATGCTTGTCAATACTCTTGACTCCATACCTAACCTCATTGCCGCCCTTTCCAAGGTGTCGTATGCGTCGTTAAAAAAAAATAGTGTCAAGTCACCTTGACCCGTCACGGCCGGGGGAAGTCTTCACGACCCTCGTCACTAGTCACCCCAGTAAACAGGACGTACTTAAGGATGTCGGAAAGGGAAATGATCCCTTTCAGATGCCAATTGTCATCGATGACCACCAACCTATGTACTCGAGATTGACGTAGTGTCACGAAAATCGAATCGAGCCTGTCGTCCTCTTGGCAAGTGTAAATGCCTTGGAAGTCTTCGGGTCTTTTTGTTAATGCCTCTCCTACAGTAGACTTCAACTCGTCGTATACACCGCCCTTTATACACGGTATAACATCGACGGCCTCGAAAACGTTGAGAACCACATTGTTCTTGTCGATAATGGGTATGGCAGAAATATTATGTACCACCATGAGATTTATTACTTCGAGTACCGAGTCCGTCATCTTGGCCGTCGCAAGATTATTGTACGTTCCTAATCCAATCTCTCGCACGGATTGCTTGAGGAGCATCGTGTGTTGTTCTGTATTCACGGCGATGAATTTGAGGATGCGATACTGCGTAATGACACTTACTACCGTCTCCCTCTCGGTTTCGTGGTCGATGTCGACAAGCGGAATACGGCGAGCGCGACTCTTGAGCATGCGGCTGCAAGCTTCGTACAGCGGCCTCGACGGGTGGACAGATATCGTTTCTAACGGGAGCACGCCGATTGCCCTTTCGATGTCTTTAACGGAACGATGCGTCAGCCACATAATTTTCAATCTACTTGCCCCGCACAATTTGCAATTCGGGTGCGACATACCGCGAAGGCTGCTCAACCTAAACTTATCCACATCATCAATGTGTTCAGGGAATTGGCAGTAGTATTGGATTAGATTGATATAATCGGTTGCAGTGAGGAGACCGGCGAATTTCGATTGTTGCGAATTCCATAGCGGTGCGGACACAATCCCTAAATTCTTGCATGTTAGGGCCGGCTCGGGCTGTCGCGGGGGGTACACGGGTATATCGTACCATTCTGAATTAGGATGTCCAGACTCTTCTTTATTAGGAGATCGTTATCGAGCACGATTAGGCGAAAGGATAGAGGAAGAACATCGTAGCTAGTTCTAACTCGGAGAAAGTTGCGCAAGCCTATCTGTAGACACGTAAAGACGGTCAGTAGCTGTCAAAACTCGAGATCCGAGAATCGGATATCGGCAGGCAAGACGGGCACTTGTATACACTATGAAATACAGATTTGAATATCTTACCAGGCCCTGCAACTGTTCTTCGTCTATGGGAGGAGTCATTGGCGTCTCTGGCACAGGTGTTGTGCGACTCCGAAGTTTAGGTCTTAGATACGAGGATGGCTGCACGAAAGGAAGCTCGTGACCTGCTCGAGCCAGCGGTGGTATAGACGAGTGCAAGCCCGAGAACATGGCGGGGCCGGTCGCGGTTGGTGCACATTGTGGCTCGTCGCCTGGCGCATTACTAGGTCCGCGCCTCGAAGGGTCATCCATCGTTGGACTTATTTTTTTTTTTTAACCTCCCTCTTCGGGGGAACCTCCTTGGGGGTTCAGGGTAGGTTAGACGGGAAATAATTGGTGGAAAAGCCCGTGTCCCCGGAGGCGTGTAACTGGAAGTTTGCAGTAGGTGTGAGCGTGGAAAGACTTCGGTGTAGTGAGCTTCAGGGCTCTTCTTTTTGCCGGGGGAAGAGGGGGAGGGGTGGGGAGAGTAAAAAAAAGAGGTACATACCTTTTTCTTTAGGAACAAAAAAAGAGAGTTTGCTATCGGATAGGGCTGCTTGGCAATTGGAGAACTTAAAAACGAGTTAGTCGGAAACAACGGCATCAGAGTTGCCTTGCTAACTAAGACGGGAAATAAAGAAATGGACAGTGGAACACATAGTGGTGATGGTCGAAAGTTGATGAAGATTAGAATTAGGATTAGGATAAGATTGATGACGGTAATGGTAAATGAGGTCAGAGCAGACCAGAGATAAATAAATAGCCTCAGTCTTCTTTTTGTCGACGGGTCTAGACTGGGGGGGTTACGAACCAAAAGGGCAAAAGGTGCTGATAATCGTTAGGTACATTACTTACTTAACGGCTTCAGTATCGATATTTGGAAAGGGAAAATAATTTGTATTGAGGGTATTGAGGCATGTGCAGAGAGTTTGGGAAGATTTGATAGGGCAGTGCTTATAGCTTTATAGCTTATTAGGAGGGCAGCTGCAGCTTTGGGTAGTAGTAGCGACCTCGATTGTCTCTTTTTAGCTGTTTCTGATGTTTCTGATAAGGGTAGCTACATGCGTATGCTGAGAACTTTAAATTCTGATACTTTACTTTGATTTGATTAGATAGTCTATCTATATGGATGAATGGAAGGTCCATCCATTGTTTCTATTCTGTAAAATACTTTGACTACCTACCTAAGGTATAGCGATAGTGTATCTGCTTATATGTGATGTTGTTTAGTTGGAGCGAAGATGTCGTATATATTGTTCGTGGATGCAGTTCCCAATGACTGACTCACTCCCCAATTTCGTAAGTCATTCTAGCACATGTGAAAGATTGTAGCACATGGTCATGCTACATTACTCACCCTCCATTTCTTTTGTTTTCTTATGTTTTCGATGCCGAAATGATGCATTGCCCAGAACCACACATCTATTAACGTGAAGATATACGTCATCTAAATCTTGCGATCACCGATTTCAATGTGATGGAGTGGACATTCCTCCATCATGCACGTATTAATTCGACATTTTCAAGAAAATACAATTTCGATACCATGAAGCCAAAGCGCAAAAAGAGGCAACCCGACAAATGACCTATCATATCGTATTAAAGGCGTGGTGTAACATTACAAAGAACCAATCTGCTTCTAATCGATCAACCAACAAGGTACACACGAGACAAAGGCAGATAGCGTCCAATTTAGTCGTGAAAGAAAAGAAAGCATACAAACTACCCATTGAAGGATAAGAAAGTGGTGTGTTCTTCTTGTCCGAGCCGCCGGACCCGAGCTCACTTCTAAGGCGGCATCAGCATCGGCGTAGGCAAGCAACATTAAGGGCGAGGTTGGCGTCATCGTATGTGCGACTCTTAAGAAAAGGGGGGCGCATAATGATGATAAGGAAGGTAGGCGGCTAGAGGGCTTAAGTAAGATGGACACCTAGATGAGTTGCCGAAGTTTGGTAGTGGTGGTGTTGTTGTCTCTCTTTACTATTTAGAGAGTGAGACCTCATGACTCAAATTTCAAATATTACTGCTGCACTGCTGTCGGCCATCAGCATGAGTCTTCCAACCCCTCCATGAAGTAAAAGAATGATTCGCTGGCTAAGATTGGGAATAGCCTCAAATTAAGAAATTCTGCAGCATTGATGGTGGAAAGAATTGCTTGGCTTCTATTCGTATCAGACGGAAAGTTGCATAGTGCATTAGGTGGATGATACATCATATCATATCTTTTAAGACAAATGACGGATGCCTCAAGAGTCAAAACTTTCTTTTCACAAGCTAAAACTACTGTTCGGCTCAGGGCTGTGGCATTAGTAATGGGAAGCTTAGAGTGGGCAGGCTTGGTGGCTGCTGCAACTACGCAAGAAGCTGTCCTGAACAGGCAGGCATGATGACAATCGGGGTCCTGCTTCTTTCATGAGTAGCGTGGGTAGTGGTGCTTAATACGTCAATTTGCACCTATTCCGTTAATCAATCTGAAGCTCTAAGTTTAGTACCTTCCACTCGCTTATGCAGCTGACATGTATATCTTTATGTAGATATGTACATGTCTACATATGTATTTTACGTTATGCTATTAGCAAACCAGGATGTAGAATTAAGTAATTACATATTTGAGCCAGCTCATAGATCCTTTATCTTCAATTAGCAAATATGTAAGTGTATGGATGTGCAGAACAGAAATACCTTTATAATCTTGTCATTTAGATACCCTTCAGCGTATCGGATAGGTGCAGGATATTACAGTATGTATAAACAGGGCGAACACCTTCTTAATTATACTAGGGGGTGTGTACCCACATAAAGTAGAAGCTCTAAGCCTGGAGGCAAGCTTTTCCCACCGAAACCTCCCGAGTCCAGTTCCACGAGAGGAAAGAAGAGGATTTGATCTACCCCCATGGAACCCACACTAACTGCGGCCTGCACCATTCCTTCCCTGTACGCAACCGCACAGCGCAAGCACTACCTAGAACAACTCCCTCCTAGACCCCAAGACCCCCCAAGCTAACGCTGCAGAAGCGGCAATAGCGCAGCAATTGCTATCATCCCAAGGTTAAGGATTACATATACATAGGGGAGTTTCCAAGTTGAAATGTGACTGGAGGGCCAACCAGGATTACCTCTTTTACCTTTTAACCTTTTAGTTTCCTTTTAGTCTAGTCTAGTGCATGTACCTATCCACGTTCATTACTGTACGTTGGAACCTGTCAAAAACCTCTTATTATCTACTACGCAACAACCGTTTTAAGAACTTCTGGTGCAACTTGCAACTTCGTAAACAATACAAACCACAACCCCCCAATGCAATAGGGTTCAACATCCCTTCCTCTTCCCCTCTCTCATTCCTACAACAACATCCCGCATGATTGAGGAGATGAGATATTAAGATAATTCTTCATCTCATCGTCCCGTTCCGTCGATGCATACAATCCGGCAGAATTATCGCCGCGTCGACCTGCACGAGATAACCCGACTACCCTAGCCTCTCACGAGGATACATCATAGGACCAATCTCCGGGGGGTACCTAGGTGGCAGGCAGGCTTATTTTGGCCCTCACACCAATCTATCAATCTTTTGAACCTATTCCGCCCATCAGAAGCTCAATCGACAACCACCAACGTATTGAATCCGATAATACCTCATTACCAACATCCATCCGTCTTTCCTACTCAATATCATCGTCGGAAACCAAAACAATCATCGATCACGATTCCCGCCTTTTACCCATAGCAATGGGGGCCTGCCAGTCATGTTGCGGAGGTACTATCATACCAACATTGTATCAACCAAAGCTTTACAAACGCTAATGATAATACGTACGATGCAGGCAAATCTCGCGATGGCCTATATGAGCCGGTATTAGCTGATAGCGAACGCGAAGCCGTTGCCGATCTACTCCAATACCTCGAGAACGTATGTTCTACGACTCCGATCCTTCCATCACCATTTTAAAGCTGACCATTTCCTAGCGCGGCGAGACCGACTTCTTCTCTGGCGAACCTCTTCGAGCCCTCAGCACCCTTGTTTTCTCCGACAACATCGACCTTCAAAGGAGTGCAAGTCTAACATTTGCCGAAATTACAGAGCGAGGTACGTGATGCTATCGAGGTGTAGATGGATGCGACATTACGTTATGGAGCTATCAAATCAGGACATCTTGACGTAGCTTTACGAAGCTGTTTCATTCGACTAATCATACCTCAGATGTTCGCGAGGTTGACCGTGATACGTTGGAACCTATTCTCTTCCTCCTTCAAAGCCCCGATATCGAAGTGCAAAGAGCAGCTAGCGCAGCGCTCGGAAACCTGGCCGTTAACAGTAAGTGCAACTCTACGATAAAGTCAATTACGTCTAGTCGTTTGTCTAACGGCATAACCTAGCCGAGAACAAGGTTTTAATTGTTCAACTTGGCGGCCTAACTCCCCTTATACGCCAAATGCTCTCCCCGAACGTCGAGGTCCAATGCAACGCTGTAGGATGTATTACCAATTTGGCAACCCATGAGGAGAACAAGGCCAAGATTGCGCGCTCGGGAGCTTTAGGTCCACTGACACGATTGGCTAAGTCAAGGGATATGAGGGTTCAACGTAATGCCACTGGCGCCCTTCTCAATATGACACATTCAGGTATGCGCCCAACTGCAATTTATTCGGCCCAGGTCATCCTAACAGTGCAATACAGATGAGAACCGACAACAACTTGTCAACGCCGGCGCCATCCCCGTACTCGTCCAACTCCTATCTTCTCCAGATGTCGATGTCCAATATTATTGCACGACAGCGCTCAGCAACATTGCCGTCGACGCTAACAACCGACGGAAACTAGCTGCGTCCGAAACAAAACTTGTTCAGTCGTTGGTCAACTTAATGGACTCGTCGTCTCCTAAGGTTCAATGCCAAGCTGCGCTGGCGCTTCGAAACTTAGCCTCGGATGAGAAATACCAGCTCGATATTGTTCGCGCCCAAGGCCTTAGTCCGCTCCTACGTCTACTTCAATCCTCTTACCTACCCTTAATTCTTTCCGCTGTCGCCTGCATACGGAACATATCTATCCACCCCCTTAACGAGTCTCCGATTATCGAAGCCGGTTTCTTAAAGCCTCTAGTCGACCTTCTAGGCTCTACGGATAACGAAGAAATTCAGTGTCACGCGATCTCAACCCTCCGAAATCTCGCCGCTAGCTCTGATCGGAACAAGGCCTTAGTTCTAGAAGCTGGTGCGGTGCAAAAATGCAAGCAACTTGTCTTGGATGTCCCAGTGACTGTTCAATCGGAAATGACGGCTGCCATCGCGGTTCTTGCCCTATCCGATGATCTCAAAACGCATCTACTTAATCTCGGTGTATTCGATGTTTTAATACCTCTGACGCATTCGCCTAGCATAGAGGTACAAGGAAATAGCGCCGCAGCACTCGGCAACCTATCGTCGAAAGGTATGTAATATTTCTAATTTATCAAATCATTGTGTGGTTTATTAACATATTGTAGTTGGCGACTACTCCATTTTCATCCAGGACTGGACGGAACCGAATGGTGGTATTCACGGTTACCTAAGCAGATTCTTAGCCAGTGGAGATGCTACCTTCCAACACATTGCCATTTGGACTCTCCTCCAGTTATTGGAATCCGAAGATAAGACATTGATTTCACATATTGGCAAGTCGGACTCCATCGTGGAGATGATTAAGCAAATCGCAAACCGACAGGTCGAATCTGATGGCGAATTTGACGAAGATGACGAGGGCGAAGTAATCAACCTTGCGCAGCGCTGCCTGGAGCTTCTCGGTCAGAGCATGTCGAAGGCGCATATAGAAGGATGAAGTGATGATAAAAGAGTTCCCCGACGGTCGTTACCAATTTTTCTTCTAATCCATTCTGCCTAGCTCCTTTCCTATGGGCGGCATTTCACACAGAGACGGTTGGTTCCGGTGTTCGAGGCGTATTTTATATAAGCAGGCAGGCATCTGTATTTCGTCCATGACAAAGGCTGCTTTGATATTTTTTTAGGGAAATGCATATCTTCATTGGGCGGCTCAAGTTGCGGATGGGTGTATTGTAGGTAGTATTCCTTGCCCAGGAATCTACCCTCGCGAAAGCGGAAACACTCAATCTCATTTGTACAGTACGGCGTATGCCGTTTTCAAAAAAAGAAAAACAACGACCGTTCGGTCAGTTGTTCCTAGCAGATCGCGCGTTACTTGTGTGTAAGCGTCAGGCGTGGGATTATTAAATTCTTGTAATTAGATTGCCCCTGTTCCTCAAAAAATGATATCCCGCATACTACCATCATGTTTTTGAGACGCCTCCTTGCAATGCAGACAAATAAATAGTCGTAATACAAGTATAATTAATACATATATACACATGATCTTCATAATGCAGCTTGATCCACGTGAATAGGTGAGAAAGGAGGCGTCATGTTTTAGGTGGATCTGAGGCTGGATGAAGCCCGCTTTCTATCTTCGTGAACCAGTTGAAGGGCCACCAGCCGTTTACCGCCACCTTGGCAACCACTTTGCCCTTTATGAGGGCCATAGGTAAGGGTCCGAAGTCGCGGCTATCCCGGGACCAGGGCAGGTTGTCGCCGACTATGTAGCAGTGACCTTTTGGGACCTGGGGAAGCATTAGTGGTTATGCCTCTTAAGATTTGTGATAGAATAAATTGAGATGAAATACCTGTATCATATTCTCACTCCCCACACCCGGTGAATTTAATAATACGTAATCCCCTGGCATGCCTAATACTCGTTTTATGCCCTCCTCGCCAGCCTTCACGGGGATCGAGTATACGACGCAGTCTCCGACACTTACACCACGGCCCCGTCGGTAGGAACGGTCGGTTACGAACCATTCGTCCATGATTAGGAATGTGGGGAGCATGGATGGACCCCAGCCGTACCCGCAGCTGTAGCCGTAGGTCACGGCGACGTGGCCTAGTGCGAGGGCTTTGATTGTGTATAGGAACACCCGGAATGGATGGCCTAGTATGGGGGGCGGCATTGTGGTGGTGACTTCGGGGGTATAGTTGAGAGATGAGCGTGTTTAAGTGAGGAGGGGAAGTTGCTGATGAGATGTGTCTTCGTTGACCGGTAGATTACATGGCTCTGTCGGTGTGTATGAGATGAATGAGTTTAAGGTGTACAAGCAAACCGTCACGGGTATTGATATCGACGCTATGATAAGTATATCTTCTAAGTCTTCAAGTCTAAGTCTATAAGTGTATGCAATATAGAATTGATAGATCATAAAAAGAGCATAAAAGAGCTTCATCACCATCAACTAAGCTTCAGTCTTGGCATCGAACCTTACCAGACCCCGGTTAGTGGGACGTAATCTGATTGGCTACTAAAACAGAGCTCCAGGTCTTCATTCCCGGTAACGAGAAATTCCACAGGCTTCTGGCCCAGTGTAGAATTAAACTAAACTAACTCAATTGCAAAACGAAGTTTGAAGTTTGAAACTTGCCATTCTTTCTTAAACAGCCTCATCATCTTGACACTTCTCCCGTATGACGAATGCCTTTCCCATAATAACTAACGAGTGAATCATTGGGCACATTCATTGGTTAGAATGGCGCAACCACGATGTTTAGCAAGCTCTTCGCCAGCACGAGCTCTCCATCGAGTTCTAGTCTCAGACCTTCTTAGCAGATCTACAAACCCCTCCTCAACAACAAAAGCACGACACGCGATATCTTCATACTACCTCTTCCCACCACGACTCTTCTCTACTTCAAGCCGCCTACCTTCAAATAGACCCGCACTCTCACTAATCGCGGCATCAAAAAGACAACATGTCCGCACACTCACCACAACACCCCCCCTTCAGCGCATCGACGCCTTCAAAAAACGCATAATCAACGACAAAATCCCCTACCAATGGATCCGCATCGCCTCCGCTCCCCCCGAAAACGCGCTCTCCTCGCCCCAACGCACAGACATAGTCCTCCGCTCCCTAAACCCGAAAACTCACACCTTACTCATGGTCGCCACGCCTCCAGAAACAACCTCCGAAAACGCGGATGAACCGCGCGCCGCTATATGTCGCATAATCGATAACGCAGCAGCTTCAGCGGCAGCAGCTGAGACCGAGCGATTAACCCGGCGTAAGGCTATTGATTCGAAGGAATTAGAATTCTCGTGGAGTATTGCGGGACACGATCTCGCGCATAAATTACGACGACTACGGGAGTTTTTGGATAAGGGATTAAACGTAGAAGTTATTCTCGCGAAGAAGAAAAAAGGACGGACGGCTACAAAAGAAGAAGCCCAAGCTGTGTTAGTCGCGGTTCGGGAAGCGGTTGCTAGTGTGGAGGGGGCGAAGGAGGTGAGGAAGATGGAGGGGAATGTGGGTGGGTTGGCGCGGTTGTATTTTGAGGGTGTTAGTGGGAAGAAGAAGAGTAAAAAGAAGCAGGAGGTTGCTGAGGAGGATTAGGGCGGTGCGGTGGTAGTCCCGTGAATACCGTAATAGGTTGCGACGACTACATGCGAGTGTCTAATATTTGGAGCAGAATAGCCAACTTATTGACCTCAGCTCTCAAAAGCATCATTGGTGTATATTTGCATCTAGAGCAATTGTTATACGATATACCATACACATAAATTCAAGATATAATAAATCACAACCTACGATTGATGTCTGCCACAATGTTTCTATACTCCCCTGTAGCAAGTATCAAAGCACAACTACAAGTTGCGAAAGACAATTGTAAATCGGTGGTGTATTATAGAAGTGCTTTCAAAGCAGGTATATCCAAAAGCTATCCCGGAACGCCGCCGGTGATGCTATTTACCAGGCACGTCCCATATATCATAATACCAGATTTTATTTCCTGGTGCTCTAGCAGGAGTCCTGCGAAAATAACCTCATATTCCTCATACGAATCTTCTATTCTTTCATTACAAAGAAAGATGCGCCTACAACGCTGAACGCAAAGGCTGTTGTCAAGAATCCGGCCGCCACCTTCTCCCCTATTGTGATCGGAGCCATAACCGGCATGTAGTCTTCCATAGGTCGGCCAGCGTTAGGATTGCCAACTGATGTACCGCCTGAATCCGCGGTTACAGGTGCCTTCACTGCCTGCTTCTTGATCATCGTATATTGTATGGCAGACAATGCACTCATTTGCTCGCCGACACCAACCAATCCATCGAAATTGGCCTTTTCTGTCCATTTGAAACCACAAGCCGTACCAGGTTGGCCCTTATACTGGGTAGCAGGTGGTGATCCAGAGCATTGTTGCGCAGCTGCTGCGGCATTTGACTGAACCAGCGGCATGAGCGTATCAAAGGTGAACGGTGCCATTTGTGATGCAGATGCCATCCACCTCATCAAATAACCCTTGAAGCTCTGTTGATCCTGATCACACTGGTTGAAGGATTCGCACGGTCGTTCCACCACAATTCCATCGTCGAAGAAAAAGTCGGTCGTCCTCTTCACCAGACCATCCACGCGCTGCTTCCAGGTATCGTTACCATCTGTAAAGTTGTACATCATGGCACTACCTTGAAGGAAAATGCCAGCGTTATAAGTCCACTGCGCCTTGTTCAATTCTGAGCAACCATCGTCTACACCAGCTCCATCATAAATGTTGAAGTCGGCATCAATAAATTTCACTTGCTCCATCCAATCCCAGACTTTCTCGGCCCAGTCGGCGTACGTTTGATTCCCTGTATATCTTGCTAATCGGGAAGCAATATTAAAAAAGCAACCGTTGGAGATCGAGTTCTTATAGTTGAAACCATTGTTGAATGTGAACACCTGCCATCGTAAACCTCCACCACACTTTTCGGTATCCCATCGAGTCACATATTCGTTGAAGACGGCTTGTACTAATGCCAACCATTGCGGCTGATCCTTCGGTGGATTCGGGAAGTTATTCTCTGTAGCAGTCATTGCTGCCATAGCCCAAAATCCTTGATCGTCGTTTCCTAATGATCTCGTTTGATTCTGTGGCATGTAATCACTATCTTCGCCTGCTTGGTGTTGCATTGCTTGCGTAGTCACGTCGTTATATGTCGAATCACCGGTGTAAAACCAATAGTCAACCAAGGTGCCAAACATAGCTCCCGCTTCCCACCCTGATACTAGTATAAGTAACAGTCATATCGTAGTGGGAGAGTTTACGTACAGAAATATGGATCAGGTAAGTTACCCGGTGTATCACCTGTGTTATTTCCTGTGTAGTATTTCAGTAAGCCGAAGGCGACAGTACTCGCTGCGTCCTTGATGGAGTCTGTTGGTCGTTAGCTAGATGACTTTGAGATCCCGATGGCCTGTACATACTGTCATCATTGAAGTCGACTTGTATGGCACCCGTTGCACCTGCCAGCAGGCTCACGAGGCCTGCCGCGCGAAGCGAAAATTGCATTATATAGAAGGAATGTTATCGAATGGAAGAAAAAGGAATGCAATGGGACTTTGCCCGCGAAAGGACTAGCCTTCGGACTGAGAAGGAAATTCGCTTTGCTCAAGACAACCACATGTCCCGAGATGAGTTACAAGCCGATAGAAAATCGAAGTATATCGACTGTATCCGAGGATCAATAGTCGGGATCGTAACTATTATTCTTGGCAAATCGAACTTCTATCCTCCCAAGTAACACGACACCAGCAAATTCACTCGCGCGGAACAAAACCCAAACAAAGTAAAAACTCGACCAGGAGCGAGGACGAAGAATAAGGACCGAAATGAAGGAAATATCAACGAAAGGTCGCCCGGCGAAACGAAACGAAAATGAGAGAAGCTTCAATCTAGAAGCAATAACGAAGAGAAGTGAAAAAAGTTGAAGGTGTGAGAGAACACAGACTCCCAAGAGAGATGGTTTACCTACCTGGGCAGAGCAGAGACAGGGTATCCAACTCCATGCTCCATAACAATGGTGGTAATAGAGTCTCCATCTCGAAGCGGAGTTACGGCAACTGTCAAACAATGGGACAAGACATAACGTCAATTACCTGGAATTGTCTAAGCTCGGTCCCTAGCTAATAATGTTCTGGGCGCAAAGCTCCATCTTGAGCCGTGAGGCTATGCTAGGTGAATCGGCATGCTGAAACCGTTCGAGTTCGATCTGTGCGGAACCCCCGTCTCAAAGCAGAAGTGACCGGGGTAAGAAGATCGCACAAGAGACGAGAATAGTCTTCGCATTGTAAATCCCGATAGTTCGTAGATCATCGTTCTGATTGATGTGAGAGTTTATTTGATATTATATTTGTTTAATCTTCAACATATGTGGATTGATGTTGTAAGTTGAAGAAGTTGTAAAAGTTGAAAGAGAAGTAGAAGTTAAAAAGTTGATAGTGATGAGCAAAATGGTGGGGAGGTTCCGTCTCTTACCCCTGTAACTGATTCACCTTAGGTCGCCCAGGTCGCCTAAGGTTGGAATAACCAGGAAATAGCCAGGGACCTTAAACGTAACCCCAAAGCTACAATGTATGTGCTTATGCAGCTTCTGACTTCCCGTCTCAACTTCAAAATTAAAAGGGACGATACTTGTATAAATCACCAAGCGACAGTATAATCACATTTGTATGTGGTTACTACTAAGCCACCATGTTGCGCGTAATCACACAAGAGACCTGATATGATATACTCAGGAGTTTGAGTAATCGGATAAGTCGGCTACATAACCAAGTTCACTGAATAATCAAAGTATTCTCGAAATTTTATTGTATTTTCGTTACGACATGAAGTCTACTCCGCGCACTCTATTAAAACCTATCACCTTTTTGTTTGGTATCGAAACCCCTGCAGACCACCGTACCCCTCTAAGCGTCATCAGCGCTTACCATAAACCCTCGGCTACCGTGTGCGAACTGTGAGAATAATGAGATTAGAAATCTTTTGTTGGATCTTGAAAACGGGCGTTTAAGCTTTTCGCTTCTTTGATGGGGGTTGGGCACCATTGGCTTTAGGCTTCTCGTCAGCGTCGCCCATCTCTTCATCCTCGTCCTCATCTTCAAAGTCTACATCGCTACCGTCAAGTTCTTGGGCTTGTGCTTCGAGTATGTTAGCAATTGAAGATATCTTAATATGTTGAATTAACTTACTGAAGTACTTGATGGCGTTGGGCCAGAGGTCATCGCTGAATGCAAGAGCGACTTCTTCACCGTCGGGGAATACCTCAAGCGCATAGGGGTCTTCCTCCTCGTCATCCTCCTCTTCTTCTTCATCGACCTCTTTGAGATCGGGGATCTCGCCAGCCGCTCTCGCAGCTCGCTCCTTCTGCTCTTTCTCCCATGCGACCTTGCTCTCTTCCTCGGATACGTTCAAACCTCGGTAAGAGAACCAGCAGAAGAAGGAAAATCCACCCAGGCCGGTCTTCTCGATCTTCTCCTTCAACGCCTTCTCATCAGGAGTGTAGTCCTTCTCCTTCTTGATCTTAGTGCTGTCTGACGGGCCTTGCTTCTTGTTGTTCTCCCAGACCTTCAAGACTAGGTCGCTGATTCCCTGGGTAAGATCCTTCTCGGGCGACTTCCACTTGATGGGGACCGGCTCACTGACTAGACCAGCATCGCCATCCTTGGATAGGCGGTACCAGAACTTCTTCTCGAGGACCTTGTCTTCAAACCACTCATTGTCGGCGAACTCTAGCTTGATGGATACACTGCGAGGGTCACCCTTGCCGCCGTCCTCAATCTCAAAGTGAGAAACCGAGAGGGATTTCAATGAGGAAAGGAGCACCTCAGAGTCGGTAGGCTGGATGTACTGGTCTAGATCCGGGGGCGCCTGCTCGAAAACCAAGGCCCAGAAGTTGTCGATCTTGGGAATCAACTTGGCTCTCTTCTCATACAAAGGCTTGCTGAGAGCGACTTGTTGGCGGACTAGTAAGTTTGTTAGTATGCATTTGCAGCACTCGAGGCCGAGCCTTATCGTATGCGATGAACCTGTAGCACCCAGGCGTACTTTGAATTCATCGGGTCGAAACATTGTGAAAACTTACTGATCTCAACCTCTACATCTTCGAATTCCTTCTCCAGTTCCATCAACTCCTCGAAGGAAGCGATCGCAACCTCAACATCAGTCTCTTCCGCCATTGCAATATTTAGTATTTATGAAGGTGGTAAGTTAAACGATTGACTCGAGAGGTTTGAAATTTTTGTGAAGATGGCGTGTAGCACAGCTTAAGTATGTAAATAACACAAGAAATTTTCCGTGAAAAAAATACTTGCGATCAAGGAAAAAAAAAATTCTCGTCGATCCAATATGATCTGTCATTGGTTGGCGGGGTTAAAGGTACAAGACCCCTGGCTATTGCACCTATTGTTACCGTCGAAACAAACAAAAAGTTAGGTACCTCTCCGCAATTTGTCTTGGCAAGGGTCTATATCCGTAGTTTGATTTCTACCGATGCCATGGCGCTATACCTTTAGATATCACTGATTAACCTTTAACAGTAAGGTCACTTGCCCAATAGAGATTAACGTACAAAGTCGTACTAAATTTGGACGGGAATTATATCAATTTATTCCAATTATCTCGTCGGATATCAACCTTGAAAGTACCCCTCGAACCCCTCCAATTCTTCTAATGATCCTTGACTCTGCCACTCCAGCTGCTGAAATGGGTGTAAAGCAGCCCTATGCACGCACCTAAGATACCCGCTAGAATCTGTAGTTTAAACATGGCGTAGCCACCGGTGCCTGCGCTCTGTAAAAAGGCGAATAGACTTCGTGAAGCAATGATACCTCCGATGCTTCTGTTCCAAGAGGCAGCTCGCGAGCCTAGAGGTAACCCTAGTTAGTAAATGGAAGCTTAACAAACATTAGTTGCAATGATATGGAGGGTATCTAGCTACTTACGTGGAACTACACCACGAGCTCCAAATCCAAATACAGCGAGGATAATGGGCACTGAGACCACTCCGATGATAATACCGGCGAACATGCTAAACGCGCCGGAGTCTTCTTGCATGCTGAAATCCATAGTGATAAGTATTGGTACTGTTGTGATGATCTGATGACAGCGGCAGTTTTGAACGATGGTTTAGACGATGTTAGTTTTTGTTGTTTCTGGTTCTGAAGAAAGTCTGGTGAAGTTTGAGAAATTAAATATATAGAAAATTGGATTCGAGTCACAAAAAAGCGGTAGCCGAAGTTGGGCAAAATAGGAAGTTGATGGTTGCATAAGTGAAGGACATGTGATCTACTTAGTCATCATGATTTCCTTTAAGTAGGTTATCTTCCTTGCCTACTCATGTAGATAGAACTTCCTTCCTTAGACATCATAATACACATCGTCTCACCCCCATTACTTTGCTTTACTTGTTATATTGTTTTTCATTTACGTACGTACCTACCAACAGAAGTTTTTTTTTTTTTCTCTTCTACTCACGTCTCCTGGAGGTGTTAAAGTCGAAGCTCCGCAGCGCGGAATGACGATATCAACAGCAACGCTTCTCAACGGCTACGTTTAAGGATACCTGACGTATATCACATTTCTATGGGAAGGCCTATTAGGTCTAAAGTCCGTGCGGTGAATGTCAAGCGTTGACCGTAAAATTCTTGTCTCCGGATCACAGCCTGGCAGGCGTGTGACCAATCCAATAACGATTAAAAGAAACCCCCAAAGATTGCCCCAACGACGCCAGCTACAGCTTTGAAAGCCACTGCACCGGCACCACCCATCCCAGCGCTCTGAATAGTGTGGCCATTTTCTAATCTTGTGGTGTGGAATTTATTAGACATTGAGGTAGTGATAGTTGCGACGCGTTCTTGATTGTTTTTCTTAAGTTGGGTTGAAGACACAAGCGTGCTACTAATAAGGATATAAGACAAGGAGGAGACCTCCAGTGACGAATTCCTAAGCTATAAATATTAGAATGATGACGCACGTTGAACGACGTAGAGATAGTAGATATTATCGCCGCTTTAAGAAGGTTTGAACGGTGGTCACTCACTGGGTGCCGACCTACATCTAGCCATTCGCATCTCGTCAAGTATCAAAAGTCTTAGGACAGCGTCAAGGCCAAACAAGTCACCATCTTTAATGCATAGCACCATCAACGGAGAACAGCATCTCATACTCCTAGTGGCCGAAGGAGGGGTGAGAAATTGAGACATGGCTGCTTATAAGCACATCATATATATTAATTATCTGTATCTCGAATCGAGTCCCGAAGGTTTAAGATAGCACGCGGGTAGGGGTGGGTCGATGTAGACCCCTGCGTGTAATTTAAGTGGATCTCTGTACCGAAACTCAGATGCTAGTCGGATAGTGGATAGGGACAGATCCGGGCCCATTATTAGAGGGCGGTCGCAACTAGCAGAAAAATAATTATCTTCGATCCTTATCGCATATACACTCGCCCTACAATACTACGTCGTCGCTGAAAGTCACATCCTTATTCTACTTCTTTCCTCTTTTTACTAACCAGAGCTTGCAAGATGAACGGCTTACCTGGAGCTGGAGCTGGAGGTCCTCCGGGACCGGGACAATATGACCCCAACGATCCTAACATCAAGCGGGTTCGTCTTCCCCTCTTCAGCCGACATCACAATCCATTAACCTAGTTAACGCAGTTAAATGCAATGATGGAGTCCTGCTTCGGCAAAGCCGCCGTCTCTGGCGTAATGGGTTTCGGCATGGGCGGACTCTTCGGAATGTTCATGGCCTCCGTACGTCTCCTCCCTCCCCATTCCCCCCATCTCCTCTCTAACACTAACCTCTAACAACCCCCCTAACAGATGTCCTACGACACACCCTTCCACACCCCCGGCGGTCCGGGCACAACCGCCCAACCCATAACCTCGCTCCCCCTACGCCAACAACTAAAAGTCGGCTTCAAAGACATGGGAACACGCTCCTACAGCACAGCCAAAAACTTCGGACTCGTGGGTCTCATGTTCGCGGGTATAGAGTGTGGGATCGAGGGATACCGCGCTAAGAACGATATGTTAAACGGTACCGCTGCGGGATGTTTGACTGGTGGAATATTAGCGCGAAGCGGTGGACCTACGGCCGTTGCGGGTGGATGTGCCGCGTTCGCGGCGTTTAGTGCGGCGATTGATGCGTGGTTGCGGCAGCCGAAGGATGATGAATAGATGGAAGAGATTTGAAAATGAGGGTGTATAATTAAAACGATATACATGAGGACAGCTCCTAAAGCGGCTTCTCGGTATTGGAATGGCGTTGGGTCGGGGCTTGCATAACATCAGAGGCGTTCCGGTTTCCGCGGGTGTATAGATGAAAAGGGGATTCGGTCACATTCTCCACTTACGATCTCGATGTGTATAGAAGTTATCGCGGAGTAACTACTCTGGTCTGGTGCGATATGCCAATCGATAAACCAGCGTTATATGTGATACTAATGACAATGTTCACAAACGCATCCCCGTGCATTAGAGACTTTTTATAGTCTATTATTAATGGAGTTTAGACGACTCAAGTGAAAGCTGTGTATATTACGTTTACTATGGCAGCTATTGCATACTACCACAATTTACTTAATAGCAGGTCCGCACGTTTCGAAGAGTACTTGACTTGCACCCATGTTGCCAATCTCAAGCCCACACCCATCATCAATTGCTTGTATTAAAGCCAGAATGAAACACAACGATGAATGCGAGTATTAAGCATAATCGCTTAAAATTAACTGTCTACTTGCCTAATAATACCGAATACTAAGGTATGTATAGCGGCAATTCGCTTGATATCTTACATACCGCCCCGTTGGATCGTCCTTTTGTCGTACAAAATTCTTCGCATGCCCTTTATCCTCATAGTACAACCAGGAACACTCATAAAGCCCTTCTATCCCTGCTGATCCTTCCCTCGTTTTATTCATCAGTAACAATATCCGAAAACCGCACCAAAAACCACCAACTCCAAAAATGTTTATTCATTAATTTAGGTCATGGAGAATTGAGGATTCAATTAGGAAGCCTTGTAAATATCGAATGCTCCGAATTCCCAGAACGCATTGGTGAAGGCAGTCGGGTTATTGGCGACATAATCGGTACAATTACTCGGGCCTATAAACAATTAGTAATTGAATTTCTAGAAATAATTATGTCCAAATGAATTCATGAGAACTTACAGCCACTTTGCGCGTAAACATTACCAGCATATTGTCCGCAGAGATCGATATTGACAATAATGCTTTGGTTTCGGAAATGAGAACTGATATCGCAGTCCGTGTTCGGGAAGTCAGCGGTGGCTGAGCCCCATGTACTTGGATCCGGGTTCTGAGCCGTGATATCCGCGGGGATACCATTCCTTCCGAACTGCCAGATTCGAATTCCTTCGTTTCGCCATTCGACCGCCGTAACACCGCCCTGCGCATCGTTGTAGGAACTACCGTAGCTATCGCCAGAGCCTCTAACTCCGCACCCAGCATTGTCGTCGGTGGCATTGTAACAATCTTTTGAAATTGTTGAACCGCTCATGATGCGCTTCACGTTCATTTTGCATTGGTCTGTTGTGTGGAGCGTCATTTGATTGCCATCTGTAGCTTTATTCACAGCTTCCATGACGTCGATTTCTCCGTTATCCGGCCAATTGTTGGGATCGACAAGCCACAACGCCGGCCATGTTCCACATCCGAAGGGTGTGTGCTTCACGTCGAAAATGAAGAGACCATTGTCATATTGCGCCTTGGATTCAACGCGCACTGAAAAGCGCCCAGTCGAGGCATCAGGGCTAGAACTAGGACCAACACTGGTGTCGACCTTCAATACTGCCGAATCGGTGGTCGCATATGTGAGGTTCTAGTCAAATAATTAGTATGGCATGGGGGAAACTGATTAATTCTAGACATACCAACGATGTAGCTTGCTCTTTCGGAACATAGTGAACGAAACCCTGAGCGGGATCGTATCCGGTGAAATAATTGAAATTGTCGAAGAAATTCGTCCCAGTGTCTGGATTCGCGGTTAGCTAAGTTGACAACTTATTATACATATAATTTTGAAGTAAGTAATTGGCGGCATACATTGCTCTGATAAGGAATAATTGAGTGGTGTGTAGTCCGGGTATCGATTAGCCTTGGTGACCTCGACCGGGACGACTACGACGATAACGATGATGATAGCTAGGATCGCCACGACGATAGCCCAGGTTCTTTTCCGCCAGTACTTCGGTTTATACCAGGGTTGAGCTGGTTCGTAAGCCATATTATTTTGTCGGGGCGGATGTGGCAGCTGCCGTTCGGAAGAGTAGTAGCCTGGTGGTGGACCGGATATCAATTCGACTGGACCATCAGCATCTCTCACTTGGAAAGAAGAAGGCACGGGCTTCCTCGGAACGTTGGAATTCTCCCAACCCATATTTGTAGAGATTCTTGCTGCACAAATAAGCTCGTAAAATAGGCACCTATTAAAGTATGCTTGGCGACCGATTAAAGACGGGATGTGAGTAATATCAAACTGCGCCGCAAAGTTGCCAATAACCAGAAAGGGAAAGAAGGTAACTTTTTACGCCCGAGCTTGTTTTTTCTCCTCTTTCTTCTTTTCTGCTTCTAATGAGTTCAAGGACCTGCCTAGGATTGTGGATTTCGAGGCTTCTAGCCGCTGTGTTAATGTTGATGTCTATGTTAAATTGTATTCAGAGAGGGAAAAAGTGGTTGGTATGTGGTAAGTTTTATGGCGTTGCTTGATGTGGCATGTAAAAAAAGGTTGTTGGGCGGTTAGAAGGTTAGATGGACCGACTTAAGTTTTATTCAGGTACCTAATCGAGTAAACGCTTTTGGTTATCACACGCAGTAACCACCAGAATGGCTAGAAGTGGTAGCGACAATACGAGGTTAGCCCCTCGTTTATTCTTAAAAACCCTCCGAGCTACAGATATCCTGCATGTTGTACTTGTACTCTGGGGATGGTACCACCAATACATATGTAGTAGATACAGCTTGAGAGGTACATAACTAAAGCTACCTGGCCAACCAATTCCAACTTTTTACTTGCACACACACTTCTTTCACCTACCAAACTCGCAAAACACCTCCAAGGTAGGGAGAACTGGAGAACCAAAAAAAGAGCTGACGCGTTGGAAGTTCCACGTTCGGTCCGTTCAAGTAACTAACCATGCCGATGACGCCGGCCCTATCTCCCGGGTCTACCTTAGTGGCTCGATGGTTCAGTACGCTAATGATATCAGATATCTGATCAAGTTTTCTTTCTTTGTATCCCTATTTTGATGTTCCTCTAATGAATACAGACGAATACAGATTAAACGCATCTACCCGTTGACGACTATCGACAAACAATCTTCGCCATGATTCCACACAGGGAATATCCTTGCTGCCTAATGAATCATTCCAGATCTCAGGATGCATATCGGTATCGGGTTTTATCCAACAAGCCCGTAGGTACACGTACATGTACCCAAGTACCTAGACATTTAACTGCTACGAAATAGCGTTGCGGGTCCTTGCAGAGCGTTTCGCAGGGGTTCGATCCGCGCTACGATCCAGCACTGCCTCCGCCGATGACGTGCCGCTAGCCCTTAATTGATACTATCTCTAGCCCTCGGTACCCTAGAAACCATCCATTGGGGGCCAACGTGGTTAACGGAGTAAGATGCCAAGATATAGCTCGTGTTCTGGAACCTCTCTGCTCTCCTATCGATACGTATACGATGCACGAACGTACGACGTACGACGAACCAAATAGGTATAGGCGAACAAATTCGACGCGTTGTAACCCGCCAGCATCCAAAAACGACTAGACTCGCGAAATAGCTACGAGAGCATATACTTGCGGATTTAAGGGTACACGGCAAATGGGAATCTGATAACATATGCATGATTAAAGTCACGATAAAACCAATAATTCCTTCCATAATCTCGGGTCTCTATTATATGCGGTTGGTCAACCTGTCTTACAGACCAACAAGGCATGTCAGCACCATACAAAACTGAAGTAGGCGCTGATGCTGCTATACATTCCACTGTGAAAATGGAAACTAATGTCACAAAACACCTCGAGCGCTCGGATGACCTCTCCCAAGGTGGTGTATATGTACAACAGAGAATAACCGGGATATAAGAGTTTTCAATCCTCGTCCTCATCGACTCGAGCACGTTTCGGCTGCCTCGATTCTCCCTCTTGTAATCCGTAGCCTCTTTTTGACGAAGAGCTTTGATCCACCTCAGCCATAAACTTGTCCATTTGGAAAGGATCATTACCGCCAACTTCCTTCTCGAATTGAACTGGCCCTTCTCGCGCCTGTTTTAATTTGAATTAGTAAGATTTAATCATAGAAGAAACATTTGGAGTAACTAACCTCAGCGTCGCCGGCCCCTTTAAACGTCCCCTTACCCAATACCTCACCGAATCGACTCGTTTTCTGGATTTTGGCCATTTCTCGATCTCCGGCTCCTTCATCTTCGTATTCGTCCATGTTTTGACTCGGTCGGTATATACTGCTAATAGCATCCTGAGCGGCAAATAACGGCTTATCATAAGGATTATCCTCGTTGAACCCACTGTCGAAACCACTAGACTGATTAAATAAACGTGAGTCGTACATGGACTCGGCTTGCTGAGTGGGTTTCGCCAGACCAAGCGCAATCTTCTCGGATATGTCACGGTTTTGTTCTCGCGCCATAACCTGGACTCGTCTCTCGGCTCCCATGCGAGACTGGCGGAGCTTGCGCTCTTCCTCTCGCCGCTTCTCTTGGCGAGCCTTTTCTCTTTCGCGAATCTCCGAATCCTCACTATCCGATCCGGATTCGGAGTAGCTATAGCTGCGTGAACGCGAACGAGATCGCGAATCGCGGGACGTCCTTGAGTCGCGACGTTTCGAAGGACCACCGCGTTCTTCCCGAGCCTTTTGTGCAAGCATGCGCAAATTTTCTTCCTTCTGCGCCTTCTCTTTTTCTGCGAGCCTCTGTTGCATGAGCGCTCGTTGCCGGACTTCTTCGCGGGCGTGCCGATCCGCCATAAAGAGCGCCTCGGAGAATTGCGCGAACTTGTCGTTGATCGCGACATCTTGTAATCCTCTTCCATCTGCTGCTAATCGCTTGTCAAGTGGAACTGTGAAACCCTTGGGATTCTTCCAATTCGATACTGGAGGTGGGATCTTCCACATCTCTTGGTCTTCGGCGGTCAATTTTCGCGGTGGTGAGTGCATAACGGGCGGCGGAGGACTCGGGGGGCCTCGCGGAATCTTTTTGTGTTTAAATTTAGGTGGTTCCACTGTAGAATATGAGGTTAGTAATTGAAGCGTCGGAAATATGAATTGTATGCCATTCCAAGAAAACAGAGAGAAAAGTAGAGATGAGATTATACGTACTAGGATCTCTTTGTCTTTCCACGATTTTCATAATACGGTCTTGCTTCTTAGAGTTGTCGCCCATTTGATTTGCCGGTGTATATCGTACGAATGTGGGATCTTTTCGCGATCCAACATTAACATTCTTCGGTTTCTGAGCCGCTACAGCGCCGCTAACCAGCGCTGCGAGAGCTTTCGCTGTTTTTTCTGTTGTTTCCGCCACCTCTTGCTCGCTAGGCCTCTCCAAGTTAATCTCGCCGGCATCTGCGCGTTGTCGAAGCGGTATTAGATCCTTAAATGACGCGTGAACTATTCTTCCCTCGGCGTGTCCCTGTTTCGCAATGGCATCGTACTTGACTTTACCCTGAGCATCGACTTGAATCGCTAAAGCATTGCTTGTATTTGACTCTTTGCCCATCGACAAAGGATATTGCGCGACTGGGATTTCTGGAAAAGCACCGCCATCGCCGAAATCTTCTTGTCCTCGCGGTCGCCATCCTGCTCGTTGGCCGTAGGGCGGTGGTCCCGTTCTTCGTAGGACGATCTGCGATTCATCTATTTGACCGGCTCCAACAATCCGAGGACCGCGTTGTTGGGCGTGCACGGGGATATCTTCATCTTCACCTGTGTACTTCGGCTTCGGTAAAGCAGCCGCGAGCGACGCTGCCATGGTGGGTGTAGAAGTTGTGGTTGCTCGGAAAATGTCAGGCGAAGTTTGCAGGTCTTCATAAGTCAAAGGTGCGGTACGTGCTTGTTAGCTTTGCTGAAATCCTGCCAGAATATATTTAAAGTGGGTCCTTTGGTGTGGCGGGACCGCTTTCCAGCCACAGTTCTTCCAATTGCAAATGAAGTACCTATGTACCCGGGTACTCGCAACACGACTGGGACGGAGTAGTTCTAATGGACTGTGGGCATATCTGATAATATATATAGTTTTAAGATTGAATTGTTCTCTTGCGCAGTTTTCGGGTCTGCTTTTGAGTGCTTAAATAGCCGTCGACCGCGACCTCTCAGACAATAGTCACGCCGCTAGGTACACAGTAGAGCTACGGAATACGGTAAATTTTGGGGCATGTTATAAAGTGCCGTTAGCTATTCGGATTACTCATATCAAAAGACAAGTGCAATAAGTATAAGCCAGCTGTTCTGACTTGCTTGAATTACTTGCGTAAACTATATGACTAGAGACCATGGCGCGTTCCAAAACGTGAGCTTCTCTTGTATAATTGACTTGACTTCCAGTCTAGCTGATGATTCCCACCCTATTTTTGACTCCTATGATACATAAAACGTAAGGTGCCAATGCCAACCGGTATTCCGATATACGCCTCCAAATTGATCTACCCCTATACTCAGATTCATCGTTTACACGTAACCCTTTCGTGCGCCCTAGAATCATGTTAGTAGAAGTCGAGTGATACATAATCGTATTACATACCTGGAAGAAGAATCGGACGACAAAGACCTGCAGAGCACCCATGCAAACCATCATGAGGCATTGAATCAAGCTGAAGTTGACAATTCGAGATTCTGTGCTTCGGACGGTGCTGAAGTTTCGGTTTTCTCTCGTACGGAAGTATTTTTGGTTACGGGCGATAGTGGATAATTGGCCTGACACCTTATATATGGATTCTTCGAGAGCTGATGTCTGTTCGGGAGTCGATCCTTGCTTAGAGGGAAGCTGAGCTCGCACTTCATCCTCAACCTGAATATGGTACGTTAGAATATGCGCCGCCTCCCGAGGAATGGTATACGCACAGCAATCTCAAAGTCGACAAACTTCTCCGAGTAAGTACTCATTTCATTGTCGAAGCAGAATTTGTATTCGCCAATCTCGTTCGCAGTGAAGACGAAATCACCCTGACGCTCCTTTTCTCCATCCAGGATAACCTTATTTCCGGGACCGGTAACTTCGTAGTTTATATCGAAGGAGCCTCCAGATTGGACCTGAAGAAACGGCTGATTAGCTGGGTCGTGGAAGGGAAAATGCGCAGAAACGTACAGCAAAATAGAAAGCAATCTTTGCGCCCTTCTTCTCGGGCGCAGCGAAGAAGCAAGCCTTTTCGTTAGCTAAGATCTTGTATGTTAAAGCAGTCGCTGAAACCAAAGAGACAAAGTAGGCGAAAAGCCCGACCGATAGTAATGTTGGCTTCATCTTGTGATATTATGCGCAGCCGGAATTGTGAAGTTCGTCAAGACTTCTGAACAGCTTGTCGCGATTTGGCTGCTAATCAGAATTGCTGCTAACTGCCACGCTTCAATCAATTCAATGGGTCCACTTGCATGGTCCAGGGGATGGATTATTAGACGGCCCGGCTAAGAGCTTAATCTCGCATGATGTATTTAGGTACTTGGAAGTTACGAGTTTTGATTGGTCAAAAATCGAAGACCTAATCAGATCAGTTTAATTGGCTAATATTCCCACCAAGGACCAATGCTAGGGCCGGGGATCCTTACCAATAGACGAAGCACGGGCTCGGAGCCACCAGCGGGGATTGTGGGGAGCTTCAGCCACATATGTAACTCTATCGCTGTCGTCACAACTAACATTGCGACGATAGCTCGCGACGTAATCCTACCTTAACCTTTTTACCCTTCTACAACTTTAGATGGCCTCTTCGCGACACCAGTTTGTCACGCCATCATAGGCCTCTAGCTCCGAGGTTCTTCTTTTTTTATCTTAAGATTTCTACCATCTCTTCCTCTCATTTATACATGTTGAAATTACATCATAGATACCTTAAATTACCTACATAATCCCGTTAGTCCATTACACTTACAGGCCTAACTTGATTTCCCCCTATCCTAGCTTACATCTCGACGCGCTTAGGTAGTTCATGATGGGGGAGAACACTAAAAGAGCGACGGCGATCGCATCCGCAGGGATAAGAATATCCTCTATTCTTTTCCTACGATGGGTAAGGCTCCATGCTACTAGCCCACGAAGTACAGTTTGCTGACGTTAACACTAATAGGTTGCCTTACCCGTAAGTTGCCATATTAGACAATATGCAGTGACGCGACCGCTCCGAACAACCACTGACGATTTATACAGGCTTTCATTCCTATTGTTTACACATTATTCGCCATCTATACCCCAAGTTTCATCTCGAATTATTTGAACGAGCCTAAATATGCGCTTATTGACGAAGTCGACGTGGTCTTAAAAGAAGATATCGTGAATAAGGATGAAATTGCGAACGGCACTACAGATGAAGCCATCGTGGTGGATGAAGTTGACGTGGAGGAAACAGCTGCTATATTGCCGAAGCCGTTGAACCCAATTAGCACCTTGCTAAAAGGAACACCAAGCCCTAATAGCCTGTTGCTGTCAATTGCCACATTTCTAATCAATGTCACGTGCGTCGCGATGCTCACAGATATGGTGTACTCACCTCGGTGGTTCCACCCTAGTCACGACCTTTCATTTGCGCGTGTTGGGTATGTTTCAGATACAGAGGCGAAATTGCTGATCCGAGAGCCCGATCAGACCAAACTGCCAATCACGGTTCAGGTTCATATTAAGGATGCGAAAGCGCCCTTTGACAATCCTCTATGGCAGACCGCTGGCAGTGTTCTGTCGACTTCTAACGAAACTGACTTTACTTCGGTGGTCACTATTTCCCTAAGCAATTCCAAGCAGCGTGTATACGAATGGACCACGTCGAACAACCACTCTGGCGAATTTACTTCTGCCCCTAAACCAGGGGTTATGCCCGAGCTTTATGATGGGAAATTTACTTTTCTATCCACTTCATGCATTGTTCCTCGTCTGCCCTACTCGCCTTTGGACCACCCCTTGGCTTTTCCGGGAATGAAGCATCTGGCTAAGCTGCTCCCAAATTTGGGCGCGCAATTTATGTTATTCCTAGGCGATTTCATCTACATTGATGTGCCAAAGAGGTTCGAGGATACCGTCGAGAATTATCGTCTCAAATATCGCCAAGTCTATGCTTCCCCTGACTGGCCTGCGGTGGGTCAAAATCTTAGCTGGATCCACGTACTCGATGACCATGAGATCTCCAACGACTGGGACTCAAATTCGACAGGCGTATACAAGACTGCAGTAGACCCTTGGCATTATTATCAAACCGAGGCCAACCCTCCAGTGGCTAAGAAAGCCGGAAGCCAGGGTCTTGTCCAACGTAAGGAAGCCACCTATTTCGCTTTTACTCAGGGACCCGCGAGTTTCTTCATGCTCGACACCAGATCATATCGTTCCAAGAACTCGGAGCCGTTTGATAGTCCAAACAAGACTATGCTTGGTGAGACGCAACTCCAAGATTTCCTTGACTGGGTGCGCCGCCCGGAGCCGAAGGGTGTAAAGTGGAAGATCGTCGCCAGTTCCGTCCCATTCACCAAGAACTGGAGAGTGAACACCAGAGATACTTGGGGTGGCTTCCTCTCAGAGCGTCAAAAGATACTCGAGGCCATGTGGGAGGCCAGTAACCTTGGAGTTGGTGTCGTGATTTTATCTGGCGATCGTCACGAGTTTGGCGCAACCGCCTTCCCGCCACCAAAGGATAGCAAATGGTCGGAGAGTGCAACAGTTCATGAGTTCTCGGCTAGTCCTCTGAACCAGTTCTTCTCGCCTATCCCTACGTATAAGCAAACAGATGATGAGGATGTTGAACTCAAGTAAGTTATCTGGCATTATTGTCGTGTTAGCAGCACACTAATATCAACAGGTATATAAATGCGGGTAACTCCAAATTTGGCGCAATTACGATCGAAAAGTTCGCTCAGGGCGAGCAGAGCAGTTTGAAGTACACCGTCTATATCGACGGCGTGAATAAATGGAATACGGTTATCTTGTCTCCAGAACCGACTCAGCCGGTAAAGGCTAGTGGTGGTTCGTTCTGGGACAGACTACGTAGGAGCATTTAATCCCATCATAGTCCCTATTATAAATGATATACGCGCGCGTCATACACCGGCGTGCTAGGCGTTAGGTAGTCGCGATTGCAATAGATCATGAATTTTTCCGATGAAAAAGATATCTCGTGCCTCGCATTGTACCGTTCTCGGCGTAAATGGTTTCTTTATTCTATTTATATCTACACATTCTATCCCCACTCTATTCTTTATTTTATCCCGACACAGTCTAGAATTGTGTACAAAAAGCTTCGGTCGCATTATCACCAGACATCGTAAATACTTGAGCTGCTGTCAGACGCCGTTCTCCGGCTTGCCGCGGAATGGTCGTAGAGTCTTCTGCTACTTCTGCGTTGCGGTATTCTTACAGGCATTCGAGGTGATAGGCGACCCGGATATCTGATTCCACAATAGGTGTTAAGCTGTGCTTCCTCTAAGTGTCGTAGGAGTTGCTCTGCTGCTCCCCGGTCCATTCCGACCAAAGCCCGCCGCATGCGGTCTCTGATTACTTCGAGTCTCTCCAGAATACCAGGCGCTGTGTAATTTTCATAGTGTAAGTAAGGATTGCCTTCGTTTTCCAAAGGCGGATGGCTTCGGCGGTAGGATGTTCTAGCTGTGGGTGGTGGTGAGGGGAATATAGGAGGCTTGGAGTTGCGTAGTGATGATGTGGTTTGTGCTGCTCGTTGGGTTGAGGGGTTCTGGAAGGATACTCCACGGCGATCGGGAATCTTTTCTTGGCTCGTGTGTTTAGATGATAGAGGGTTTTGTTTCTTTGGATTTTCTTCGTTTCGCTTGAGTGCCGGATGGATATGATGGGGTGTTGGCGACAAGTCGCCTTCAACTTCACATTCCTCGTTTGGAGCGCTCCTGGTTTTGCCTTCATGAATACTAGGTATTACGCCGGATCTTTTCTTAATTGGATTCCTAGGTTGTGGTGACGGGGAAACCAAGACGCCATCTGAATCATCTAATCGGGACCCTCGATTTCTAAACATATCGGCCCGGAACAGATCTATGCCCATGGTTGACTTATAAGTCTGTCTCTTAAAGCTCCCTGCATGGTGTCTTGGCTCATCCCCTAGTCCATTCACTTCTGTTTTTTGCTTTGGAAGCGGTTTGTAGATGTAAAGGCAATTCTCAGGATCCAATCTCTCAGGAATCATATGTGCAAGCTCCTGCTGCATGTCGTCGGGAATACGTACGAGATATGCACGAGGACTCGCAAATTGCCCTCTTCCGTACCCTGCTATTAGGGATGAAGGTGTTGAAAGCGGTGAAGAGCCTGAATTCCCGTTGACCATTTCCGTACTCCTGGTCGCCCGATGATTTGGTGGAGTCATTGGAGATAGTGTACCTGGTTGATTATTATATGATGCACGTGTAGGCCTTTCTTGTCTTCCTGGATGCCCATTCGCACTCGACATCTGCGAGTATGAAGGATCATGGCGATTTGTCCGCAAGTCCTGCATAATCTCCTCCTCGATCACCGGAAGTATATATTCATTATGGAGCGGGCTACGTCCCTTGTTAACAGGTCGTCTTCGTATCGGTTCTTTGACTGGTCTGCCCGGTTCCTTCGGGCCGTGGCCTTCAAGATTCTTATTCCTAGGTAGTTTAAGGGGTTTTACACTGTATGGATGCTCATGCGGCCGTGGATCACTTGGATGTTGCTCATTAGGTCGATCTGCGGGCTCCAATTCGGCTGGGCTATTTGATCGGCTTGTAGGTTCAACTCCTGGTTCGACTTTCTCGCAATCAGAGTTTTGGGAAGTCCTATTGCTACCCCTTTTCTGAGTGGTCTCCTTTGGAAGCGGTCGTCCTAGGGCATCGAAACCCTTTTTCAGGCGTGGATAACGTTTCGCGAAATAAACAATACACATTCCTATGGAGAATAGGACGAAGAATATCAAGAGCAAAATAGATACTACTATTGTTGGTTCATGGGGCATCGGCTTGTTTTCGCTAAGGGTCATAACAAGAATAGCACCAGTAGAGAGGGCGATAAGCAACATGATAATAAAGGGAATGACTTTAAAAGTGATGTCTCGTACACAACTGATCTTTCGAGGATATTTGGGTGTTCCATCACCTCTTTCTAAGTCACTCAGTGGTGAACTTATCGTTACGGCTGTAGCCATGACGGGACGTACCGGATGATAGAATATAGCGTCCCTTGAACTGAGCGACTCGAATCATTTGTATCGTATTTGAATACCAAGTCTTTCTTTAGTAGATAGAGCTCGAACAGATACGTACATTCCACAAGCAGGTCTTGAACCAGTAGTTATTTCGACGCCGACGAACAAAGGTTAGCCACCAGAAACCTCGGAAAAGAGTAGAATAGGCAATATCGAATTTAATTTTACGAATAATTATCTATTTGCATTCTGTAGTCATTATATCGAGTAAATTCTATGGATCGTACCAAGGTATCTGACTTCATGTTGCGTTATATTGTGTCATGAGGGCAAAGATTACTAGTAGGGAATCGTGAATGATTCCGCGATATGAAGAAAAGTTTTAAGAAAATATAACGAATAATATAGCGCGCATAAGACTAAGGGTAAGTAGAAATTATCAGCAGTTGGTTCATAATATGGATATGGTTATAGGTCTTGTTATAGACACTACCTTAGGCAGGTAGGTACCTAGATTGCTGTATAAATAGAGGCTTAGGTTCAAGGCCCCTCTGTATTATGTACCTAGGTCGGTTTTACGGGTACATGAGTAGCCTGGAGGAGGCCGGGCTGTCTGTGTGGCGCAGTAGGGGTGTTTAGTCGCTGTAGCCAATACCTAGGTAGGTACCTAGACAGAGGTTAACTCACCCCCTCTCCCCGCTATAATCCCTTTTGATACCCTCTTCCTAAACCACCTTTACTGCCCATCAAGACCACACATATTCTACCCATTAACTATCATATAATAAAGAACCTTACATCATTAGAGCCCTGCTATATATCTCTTGTTAGCGTCTAAAATGAATTTTAAATCAAGTATGATAAGATGCAGCCGACATTTGACAAGGTTAGCGACTTCGTCTTACCTCTTCAAACGATTGATGAGAATTAACAACACCTATAGTCGGAACTATATGGCTCGCCGTGGCTGGCAACGCCCATCTCAGCTGCGATTTCGAACGCTGGCGACAGCAACTACTAAACCTCGTGCCCAATTCACAAGTGACTGTGTCAAGTTTGAATGGCCTGAATCTAATGATAAAGTACAGCGGACTAACCTGTGAGTAATCTGGTCTGCGTGAAATACATCGGGTTTCAGTGATAGTAACATTAGAAAGCCCCAACTTGTGGTTACGGTACGTTATATTTCTAAGAACGGTATACACAGTACGACTCACCTTCTAAGTGACAATTGCCGATGCAACAGCTGCGTCAACCAGGATACCATGCAGAGGAATTTCAATACTTTCGACGACGTACGCATTCTCCCTTTTATTTGAGATACACATACTAAATGTCATTCAGATCCCCATTGACGTACAGCCATCCCGTATTACGGAAATCCAAACCGGACTTGAAATAGAGTGTAAGAGCTCGTCGTATCCGGATAGCATAAAAAGCACCACATGCTCATTTGAACAGGGTCGAGAGACCATCATAAAAGCTTTTACCCATGGGACTTTCTTGAATTCTACCTCTACAATTCGGAGCGAGATGAAGAGCCTATCGAGTACGTGTCTTTACGGAGTAGGTTGGATCTATTTGGCTTACCTGTTGTAGGATCGAGTATTTCGGGGCACAAGGACCGCAGGATACACAATCAGATTGGCCACCGTCTTTAAAATACGACGACTTCTCTACCGACGAAACCAAATCAGTCGGACGTTTGACAGATTTAATCGTAAGTAGTTGCTCGCATCACGTTCTTGGAAACGCCGTGTTCTTATGAATGCAAATAGAGACGCAGGGGTTTCGCATTTGTTACTGAAGTGCCATTCGACACCGCTGAGCCAACTCAGAAACTTCTAGAGAAGATCGCTTTCATCAGACAGACACATTACGGTGGCTTTTATGATTTCATTCCAGATCTTTCCCTCGCCGACACCGCCTATACAAACCTAGCCCTCGGCGCTCACACCGATACCACTTATTTTACTGACCCTGCGGGACTACAAGCGTTCCATCTGCTTTCCCATCATGATCCTACCTCCAAGAACAATCCAGAAAAAAGCCTTGGTGGGAAGTCCTTACTGGTCGATGGATTCCATGCCGCGAAGATCCTAAAGGAAGAGGACTCGAAGTCATTTGCCATATTGACCGAAACCAACTTACCTTGGCATGCTAGTGGCAACAAAGGCATCACGATATCGCCAGACAAACCGTACCCAGTCCTGGAACTAAAACCAGGCACTGATAAGATGCACCGAGTAAGGTGGAACAACGACGATCGTGGAGTTCTTCCCCTTGGTAAGACGAGTCTAACGCAATGGTATGATGCAGCAAGGCAATGGCACAGAATATTGAAAAGAGAGTCCCTCGAGTATTGGTTCCAGCTCGAGCCGGGTAAAGTCTTGAGTAAGAGCGCACGACCCCAATGGGAATTTTGTTACTTATCTAAGCCCATAGTATTTGACAATTGGCGTGTATTGCACGGCAGAAGCGCATTTACTGGTGTGCGAAGAATATGCGGTGGATATAGTAAGCCGAGCATTCTTTTTTTTTTATTTTCCCCGTATCCATCTGTCTTGAGACCATGGCATACTAACCAGGAACTTCTAAGTCAATCGGGATGATTTTATCTCGAGATGGAGAAATACCAATTACCCACGGGACGAGATCCTAAATCGAGTTATAGGCTAACTAACATCTCGGCCGCTACCGGCCTTGATCGGCATTACATGTTCGGGTATAAATATCCCTTGGCTGACAAGTTCGGTGTTTTGGGGATAATAAGAGTCCACCCATCCAATACAGGCCAACTTAGTATCTTGACGGCTTTGGTTCATCATAGTTGACAATTTATCAACTTGAAAATGTTGTACTACCATATGGATTTTTCTTATTCGCACGGTGACAATATTCTTCCGTTATATCTCCAACGGCGAGAATCAAATGGCAATCGCCTCACTTTCCTTCTCTCTGCCTGATGTCGTCGGCAGAATCTTCTAGTGATACTAAATACTACACAAGAGATGAAACCCAACATACGCGCTTATCTACCCTACTACTACCACTACTGCTACTGCCCCTCAAGGTGTTACCATGTGTACATGTAACTCAGCTTCATTCAGGATCTTGCATTAGGCGCAGCAATCCCAAGCTCTCTCTCTCATGGACGAGCCGCTAAAAACAAGAGCTGCAGTAGTCTAATTGCAGGCGTTCTAGCAAACCAACCTTGGAACTCTCGCAAACCCGCTTCAGGCGGTTAATATACTCCGCAGGCTTGTTGCCAGGGTACAGATCTGCCCCAGGCGAACCCTTGACTGCACCTGGACGTCATTCTCTTCGGCCCGGCCGCATTACGTCGGCGCAATTCGGTACGATTCAATATAGGACCTGCAGTTTTCGGGATATCACGTCTTTAGATATATTTCGTATGGGTGCTTTATTTTTTTATTCTCTTTCTTGCCAGGTGTCGCCTGGTATCTGGTTTTCTTCGGTTTCTCTTTCATTCGGTTGGGTAGAGAATACCATATTTCTTCCGTTTGTCTAGTTGTATCCAGTTCACTGCGACAGCTTCTTTTATGTTCTCCCTTAGGAAATTCCTCTCGCAACTAGCCGCCAAGATGGCTGACATGAGGACGGGTGCTTTTAAGCACGATAACATGGTAGCTCCAAAGCCGGGCCTAGTACTGCCGTTATTTTCCCTCAAGGGTAAAACAGCAGTTGTTTCTGGAGCGGGTGCTGGAATTGGTCTTGCGGTTGCTCATGCATTTGGTATGACCCCTTCAAGTGAAACTTGGCCTTTATTGAAATGGATTTCATCTTTTCCCCGATGGCCGTCGCAAATCGTTACTAATTGAAGAATAGTAAGTGAGATCTTTTCTAATATATCGACATGGACCTCCCTTACCTCGTCGGCGCGAAACGAAAAGATAAAGAAATTGCCCTTGATAAGCCGTTTAGAAGTCACCATCACTCTCTGTTCTGGGAGATTAACGTGTGATAGGCTGAGGCAGGAGCCAACGTTGCAATTTGGTACAATTCCAACAAGAAAGCTCTTGAAGAGGCTGCCAATATCGAATCAACATATGGTGTGAAGTGTGAGTAAATAAATCTCGGCTATTGAGCATCCAACATGCCTAAACCATATTCTCCTCACTAGGCAAGGCTTACCAGGTCAACGTAACGACCTGGGAGACGGTGCGCGATGCCGTTGATGAAATTGTAAAGGATTTTAACGGCCGAATCGACATATTCGTCGCGAACTCCGGCATCGCGTGGGAAGAAGGCCCTTTTATCGACGGCCCACTCGAAACGATGCAAAAGGTGCTGAAGGTTAACGTCGATGGCACATTATATTGCGCTCGAGCCGCCGCGCTGCATTGGAGGCGACAGAAACAGGAGGGAACCACGAGCGATGGGAAGCCGTTAGAAAACTTCACTTATGGCAGTTTCATTGCCACCTCAAGCATGAGCGGTCATATCGTCAATGTCCCACAGCAACAAATGGTATACAACGCGTCAAAAGCGGCTGTTATCCATGCTTGTATGTCGCTCCGTCCCGAAAACCTCGAAGCCCATATTTATACTAATAAATATTCATAGGCAAATCACTAGCTGTCGAATGGGTTGGTTTCGCGCGCGCCAACTCGGTTTCTCCCGGATATATCAAGACCGAACTTTCGGCCTTTATTCCGGCAGAAACGAAACAGATCTTCAAGGACAGGATTCCGATGGGGTAAGTTTTTACCTTTGCTGCTAGTTTTTGAAAGCTGTTTTCTAACTGCGATTGTAGACGAGAGGGCGAGCCCGAGGAGTTAAAGGGTGTTTACCTATATCTGGCATCTGATGCCGCGTCGTATACGAATGGTACCGACATCATCGTTGATGGTGGTTACTGTGTGCCGTAGATATTTCTTTTCCTTTTCTTGCTGGCAGGGGTTAGAAATTCATATTAAGTGGTTGGGCGTTTCTTCGTCGTTATTTTGTGTTATAGAGGAGGTAAGCGTCAGTACTTCTGAGGTTTACCATGATACCCCTTATCGAGATGACGGGATGATTTTCATTTTCCATATTCTAGAATTGAATTGGGAGTATTAGATTCGATAGAAAATAAAGTGTCAGACTCAAAGCTGAGCTATTATCAAAAGAAGGAATCCGGTTGGGCGTCTTAGCTAAGCGTCACGTGTAAGTGCTAATTTGATGCAGATTTGTAGGCGTTTTAGCATTTCAGCGTACACTATCGCCCTAAATGAAGTCATCGTCGGGGCTGAGGATTAGGTACCTTAGGGCAGATAGGTACGCCATAAATGAATTGGTAGGGGACATGTCTAGAATACTCTTTCTGGTGTAACAATACTTTAGGAGGCACGCGACCGGTACTTCGGCCATTGGTTGCGACGTGTACCTAAAATCTGCTCATCCTGACGCAGCTGGCGCATCCTCGGTCAGTGTAGATACCTTATCGCTGATAGGTGAGCTGACTGACTGGGTACATGTTGTAGCTATTCGTTAGGCTGTCTATAAGGCAGACTTGATAAATAACCTATGACTGGTATTAATTACTCATGGTAATATAGTGTATGTCATTCAGACTTCCTGTTACAAACCCATGAAGCGAACGGACTCAACATGTTCGACCTATGAGAGCGGACCTATTCGGTGAGGCTTCTTCGCCGTATTTGTAGGGAGTTACGTTATCCGAGCTGCGAGCAATGCGGACTAAAGATTGGTAGGATTTAGAGTACTTAGGGTACTTTAGTGGAGGCACCTGCTTGTTTCGTAGGGGACTCCGTAAAAGAGTTGCTCCACTATATTGACGTATCAGACTTGATCGATAGTGGATAGGATAGGATTAGGATAGGACGATAGGACCTGGGCAGCAGCTTCAGGCATGGGCATGGCAAGAACAGGTCAGGTAAGGTACAGCAGGTAGGTACTTCTAATTTGGTGTAGCATACAGCATGAAAGAAAGTCACTTCGTCGCTGCTTGCTGACTTTTTTTTCATGCCTTGTTCAATCAATCCCACCTGCACCTACCCTCGGCCGCCTACGCCTAACTCCAACTCCATCATTTTCATTATTATTTCTCCAGTTTCAGCCCTCGTGCTTCCTCTTCCGCTTCTTCTTTAACAATCGTCTTCATCCACGACCGCCGAGTGCGCAAATACATATTCTTGCCGAATTAATTAATCACATTTTATTTCACCACTACTGTCCATCCTTTGGCCTTTGAAAACGCTGCTAGAATAGGTCACTCGCACGCAAAAGCAAAGGCAAAGGCGCATCGCCCCCCAAAATTCACCATGGACGCAGGAGAAGGCCAGGCGCCTTTCTCCCCCACCGTGGCCGAACATCAGCGCAACATCCAGGTCGACAATGCTATTCGCGCTATTAAAGAGAAGAAGCCTCTACCTGAGATTGATTTTAGCATTCATACTATGGAAGATGGCACTCAAGTTAACACCATGGAACGGGTCTGCAAAGGTACGCTGCCCCTGATCTCTGGAACTACCCCGCCACCGCTTAGACAAGAAGAGATCACCGACTGACTGAATGAACGAACATCTAGATGTGCAAGCTCCCGCCACATTCAAGCCTACCGATGAACAATTCTTCGAGGACGAAACCCATACCAAACCCAATATTACTTTCCTGAAACAACACTTCTATCGCGAAGGTCGATTGACCGAGGAGCAAGCCTTGTGGATCATCAAGACTGGATCCGAGCTCCTACGCAACGAGCCCAACCTCCTAGAGATGGATGCTCCCATAACAGTTTGTGGTGACGTTCACGGTCAATACTACGATCTTATGAAACTTTTCGAAGTTGGCGGCGACCCGGCTGAGACGAGATATCTTTTCCTTGGCGACTATGTAGATCGAGGCTACTTTAGTATCGAGTGCGTTCTATACCTATGGTCTCTCAAGATACATTACCCGAAGACTCTCTGGCTCCTGCGCGGCAACCACGAATGTCGTCATTTGACCGACTACTTCACCTTTAAGCTTGAATGCAAGCACAAGTACTCCGAATCTATCTACGAGGCCTGCATGGAATCTTTCTGTGCCCTTCCGTTGGCTGCTGTCATGAACAAGCAGTTCCTCTGCATTCACGGTGGGCTTAGTCCCGAATTGCACACCTTGGACGATCTGAGAAATGTAGGCCACCGAATACTTCCCTCTCTAGCTAGCGTCTAGACCATAGCTCATTACTAATCCGAAATAGATCGATCGTTTCCGAGAACCGCCAACCCAAGGCTTGATGTGCGATATCCTCTGGGCTGATCCTCTCGAGGATTTTGGCCAGGAGAAGACGAGCGAGTACTTCATGCACAATCATGTTCGCGGTTGCTCGTACTTCTTCTCCTATCCGGCCGCATGTGCTTTCTTGGAAAAGAACAACCTACTCTCTATCATCCGCGCGCACGAAGCGCAAGACGCCGGCTATCGAATGTACCGTAAGACCCGAACGACCGGATTCCCGAGCGTCATGACCATCTTCTCTGCGCCGAACTACCTCGACGTCTATAACAACAAGGCTGCAGTATTGAAATATGAAAATAACGTTATGAACATTAGACAGTTCAACTGCACGCCGCACCCATACTGGTTACCTAACTTTATGGACGTGTTTACTTGGTCCCTACCTTTCGTTGGCGAGAAGATCACCGATATGTTGATCGCCATCCTGCACACCTGCTCGGAGGAAGAGCTCAAAGAAGACACACCTATGTCGTCATCCCCTGGCCCACAGTCTCCTCCCCTCGGAGGACCCTTTGCGGATCCCGATTCGATTGAGTACAAGAGGCGGGCCATTAAGAACAAGATCTTGGCCATCGGTCGACTATCGCGAGTTTTCCAAGTATTGCGTGAGGAGTCGGAGAAGGTTACAGAACTCAAGACTGTGTCAGGTGGACGACTACCCGCAGGAACACTTATGCTTGGCGCTGAAGGAATCAAGAATGCTATCAACACTTTCGAGGATGCCAGAAAGGTCGATCTCCAAAACGAGAGGCTACCACCCAGCCATGATGAGGTTCAGAAACATCAAGACGAGGAACGACAGCGAGCTTTGGAACAAGCTTCCAGAGAGGCCGAAAATGACAAGAAGTTGCAAACTTTATCCAGGAGATTGAGCACGTAAGTTTTGGTCCGTCATTTTTCAGTAGCTGTCTACTAATGACTGAATAGTGATCGCAAGCGATGATGCGGTGCGAGTGTGTATCAGCTAGTTTGTCAAGGGATCCATCAATTTGATGCTTTCGTCTAGCAATTATGCTATTAGACTAGTCTTGGCCTAGCAGATTAGGACACGCCGTCGGGGCAGTACTTTTGCAGATTCCTGATAGGTGATATAGGTGAACCTTTGGCTGATTTGTTGTCTAAACGACATCAAATTAAGGAGTAAAAAAGGACTCAAAAGACGCGTTGAGCAGAAAAGCAATGTCAAACGGCTGATACGGAAATGAGGCGAAGACAAAAGGCCCAAAGGTGTTGGGGGGAATGAAGTCTTAATGAATCTGTTACGGAGCAAATTAATGAAAATCGAGCTGATCACCTTGGGATGGTGTTGGCCATTCCAAATATCTCACTTGGCTTTCTTCCATACTATCGTGCTTCACATTCTAGTATACTTATCGTTTTCAGGAGGCCTGTTGTTGTCTTCGTCTCGTATAGGACATTTTTACGTAGATGGACGCGCAAGCAATAGGATCAATGCAGTTGGCAATGGATACGAGGAATGAACAGCATTAGGATGAGATAGGTCAATGATTATCTCCATAACCACTGTTTGAAATTTTAACGATCAATTATTAAGACTAAACCTTACAACTCTCAAGTTGCTGAATTGCTTTCTTCCTTTTCCTTCTGCTCTCTTTTTTTCCCTTTGACTTTCAACGTATGCGAACATCTTCCATAGATAGTATACCCTCAATTGCCCTTCCTTGGCCCTCGCCCTTCCCCTAAAAAATCGCAACCGCATTCGGCGGACTCGCCACGCCGCCGGGGACATTACACGGCTCACTCGTTACGAAGAAACTCCACCGTCCAGCTTTCTTACAATGTTCAGCCAATTTTTCCAGGTCGAAGAGTTCACCTATCGGACATCCCCATCCGGAAAGCAAGACCTCGTGGAGTGTAAACGGGGAGTCTTTGGGTGTGGGCCAGGATTCAAGAGACGGCTGGTCGCCGGCGACGGCGGAGAAATTGGACCAGAGCCAGCGGAGGAGGGGGATGGAACGCTCAATGCCGCCGAATGAGGGCGGGATTATGGATTGCAGGGAGGAGAGGGTTGAGGCGGAGAGGGTAGCGTGGGATGCGGTGAAGCCCGAGCGTATGAATAGGATATCGCCGAATTTTATCGAGGTTCCTTGGGCTGCGAGACAGGCTTGGAGGGAGGAGAGCGGGATGGAGTCACTTTTAAAGGAGTTGTAAGGGGTGAGGGTTTCGGGGGGTTGGGAGAGCCGCCAGCTGTGGTAGTCGACTAGGATGCCTCGGCCTACGATGCCTTGTTCGGTCCATGCTGTTGGGTGTTAGCTCTCATTCATATCTCGGTATGAGAGTAAGGGGGGTGGAAAAGACATACCATGAATACCGTTAACAGTTGTCTTTTTCCCCTCGGCATCAACGCCGTGGATATCATCCATAGTCACTCCATTGTAGAACAAGCGCTCCTTCTGGTAGGCAAAGTGGCGTAGACCGTCCCATTGCGTTGAAACTTGTGAGTTGAATGTCCAGATATCGTCATTGACCACGCGTGGGTCCTTGCGGATTAGTTCCTGGTGGAATAGTTTCCGCGCGAAGAACGACTTCTCGGATTGTGCGTTGAGTGGCCAATTGAGGGAGATTCTAAACGAAGTTAGTAAATATCACTCATTTGGAATAAAGGAGTATAAGAAAAGTTAGTAGAAGTGAGATAGGATCGTAAATATACCTGTGGCCTGTCTTGATCTCACTTTGGGCGGCGGCGGCTACCCGTTCATTAGTCAGTCGATTCAATGTCCCTAACTCGTCCTTGTCGCCGTAGAGACCCCATGCTGAGTAGGTTGGATTGGTTTTCCCTAAGGGAAGCTCTTCGAAATCTGGAATGCCGTTTTCGTTGAGCTTGAATCCGGAGACTGCCGGAGCCATTGTTTTGCGCAGAAACGAGGTATATATTATGGGTTAGTCTTCCTGTTGGTGTAAAATTTCAATCGGATGTTATTATATTCAACTCTCACGGGTTTCACTAAACAGAAATGAAGGCGACTGAATCTCAAATAGTAATACTTTATTAATGGTAGCACGATCGTGATGAGGCGGGATTGTCCCCTGCACCCATTTCCGTGCACATTCTATCTTTCCCAAAATGCTTTTAAGGGATTCCTAGTGAATGACGCCGATCATATGTAACTGAGCTCCCCGCACTTGGACGAAGCCCGAGGTTGAAATAGGTAACAGGCTTCATAAAGAGCTTGCATCTCTACTTACGAGTCGGAGTTACTATAGCTCCCCACAATGGAAGCCGGATAACGGTTGGTTCGCTTGGCGGGTTAATATATAGCGAGTTACGATGTGGAACTCATGACGTTAGCGTGTTCATGTATATAGGCGCTTGGTTACCATACTATCTGACACTGTAGGAGGTTAATGGAGAATATATTGCGAAATACGTCGAAGCTGATAGAACTGAGAGGTGCATCAACAAGATGACCGCGAAAGGGAAATTTCTGGACCAAGGAACCCACCCCTTATGACCTAGGTAGTCACATACGTTACCCAGAAACAGTACTATTCGAATGTAACCCGATAAAGACAGAGGCGAAGCATTCTAATAGATACTGTTTGAAAAGAAGCATGAATCGGTGCATTGGCACACTAGGCTCCCGTATAATACCTAGGGATATCGGGCGATTGGCAGTCTTCCACCGGTCACCGGCGGGATAAAAGCCACTCATGCGGATGCTGTCTTAATCGTATGATGTGTGACTAGGGAAGGACGATACCAAACTTCTCATAGGGGAAATTCTCTAAGCTATCAAGCTGCTCAGCCCAGCCGTCATCGACAGTGCCAAGTTGCTCGTCGTTGCCAATCGGATACAGTGCTGTCCTACCGGCAAGCACTTCCTTCTCTTTGCCCCTGTACTCAGCCGCTAGGCCCGGATGGGGCACCCATACAGCTCTCATGCCTGCGCGCCTTCCAGCTTCAACACCTAGGACACTGTCTTCGAAGACTAGACATTCATTCGGCTGGATCTCGGCAGCGCCTTCTGGTAGTGATGAGTTAATTGATTGGAGAGCGAGTAGGTAGATATCAGGTGCAGGTTTGCCCCGACCATGTTGAACTCTAGGATCATCTCCAAGAACCCGGTGCTCCTCTGGAATAAGATCTAAAACGGCTTTCATGACCGGTCTTGAGGTTTTAAGGTCATAGTTCGCCTTCTCACTACTCGAAGCAAGAGCGATTTCAATCGGCAATCCATTTGTATTCTTGGCCCTCTTGAGATCCTTAAGTAGCTTCTCTACGCCAGGAAGAGGTTCGCATTCTGGAAAATGAGTTCGTTGCTGTTCACTTTGTTCATTTTTAAACTGTTCTCTTGAGATTGGTAATTTTGCCCAATTGTGGAATGTGTCACCGTTGGACGAGCCGGGAATACCCATAAGTTGGGACTTGACAGACCATGGAAGACGGGGCCGTCCGTATTTAGTCAGGACTATGTCCGCGCATAGGGTGTATAAGTCCTCGGTGTTGATAAGGAGACCATCCATGTCGAATAGACATGCCCGGATTGGGGGAAATGCCATGCTCCTCAACTATGTAGCCGGTTGCTCCCGTCGGAGATTAAATGATTGGATTGAATTGTTCTAGTTTGACCCGGTCCGTTGGTAACCGTAGGAGAACTGTGGTGATATTGTTTGATCTTAATTATTTTTCCTTGGATTGAATGTAGCGGCGATAATCTAGAAGGAATAAATGCGGGAAGTATGGTCTGGCTACGTAATAGATGCATGCGATAGACTTTAAAGGTGACATCTTGATGGACTGAAGACCGACGCCCTTTTCTTATTGGATAATATACAGGGAATAGTAACAGGACCCCACATCAATGGTCTGACAGCTCATTGTTAGATTATCGAACCTTGAGAGATATAAGATAAATAGGTGGAATGCAAATCGCCTCATATCCATAATCTTATATGAGGTAGATCCGTGATATTAACTCTTAAAGGGTATACGAACATATGGAAACCCAAGATGGCCAGCGTTACAAAGCTTGAACTTCGAACGGCTTTAGGTCCGGTATTTCGGGATGTATTGCCTTACCCACCCCGAGACTGCACGGCGGATGAAATCCCGGTTATCAACCTAGAGCCTATGTTTTCCGAGAAGCTGGATGACAGGAAAAGCGCCGCGGCTAGCATTAGATCGGCCGCGACGAATAACGGCTTCTTCTATATCAGGAACCACGGGATACCAGAGGATACCATCACACAGTGCAAAAAACAGGTCTTCAATTTCATGAGGCAACCACAGGAAAAGAAAGATGCCGTGAGTTCTCGAGCGCATAGCAAATATTATAACGGGTACCTCGGAAACAAGAAGGCGCAGATCTCTCGTAACGAGACTGCCGATGTCCGAGAGTCGTTCTCGTTCCGCTATCACCCACAGCTTGATCCGGACCATCCAGTGGCTATTTCTGAGATTCCAGAAGAAGTGAGATCATGGATCCGCGCAGAGGAATTTGTGGTGTGTACTTTTCGAGTCATTATTTCCTTTTCGTCTTCTTTTTGTGCGATAGGCGCCTTCAGGTTTATCGAGAAATGGCTGGCTGGGGTAGAACAGCGAATTAAGTCGTGCTTTATCCCGTAGAAACTGACGTCGATATGTATAGTGGGAAGGCACTGCTCATCTTCCCAATTTCAAGCGAGATGTCCTTGCTTATTGGGGTAGTTGTCTGACATTGGCTAGAAAACTCGTGAGAATGTTTGCTCTTTCGTTGGGCCTGGAAGAATGTTACTGGGACGACAAAGTCACGTATCCGGGAGCCGACGGCGTCTTCAATTATTACCCACCAAGAACCGCAGAGGAAGTTCAAAATCGATTTGTCGGTCTTGGAAGTCATACGGATCTGCAACTGTTTACACTTCTCTGGCAAGACAGCATAGGGGGCTTGCAGATATTGTCGAAAGAAGGGCAATGGCTGAAGGTGAGTTAGAAACGGTAGAAGAATTAAGCCATCTGGTGTTGACATTTTGCGAAGGCCCCCCCGATTGAAGGGACTCTTGTTGTGAATATCGGAGATTTCATGATGCGACTTTGCAACGACATATACAAATCTACCGTCCACAGAGTTACGAACGAAAGCAATGCCGAACGTGTTTCCATGCCATTCTTTTTTGGTATGTCGTTGCCTTGATACCCTCGATAAATGATGCTCACTGACATACTAGGCCTTAATTTCAATTGTGTCGAGGGAGTTGTACCATCATGTACCTCGGAATCAAACCCAGCAAAATATGAGCCCATATCTTGCGGTGATTGTAGGTGCTCACATACTTCCCCAAACCAGAACGTCATGGTTGATAGCTTTTAGGGTGCCAGATGAGATTTAAGATGGAGAGGGACGAATTTCTTAAGAAAGAGGAAGCGAAGAAGGCGTTGGCTCCCAGTGCTACTGTGGTTGCTGCATGAACGTCTGAATCATTGACGGTTAGATTTATAAAACCTTCTGAATAAGCTCGAGGACATCGAAGAAAGCTTCGCGATCGGGCTTGAGTGTCTTCAGTCCAAGCCCGACGACCAGCGTACGTTCCTCATTCGAATTACGCCTTGCAACGTGGCTGGCGATTTGAACGGCGTAAAGTTGTGCTAGAGATTCGCGCTCTTCTCCACCACCACCAAACAGAGTCTTCGGAGTTAGGTGGGACATAGGTAGGAGGTTAGGATTGGCCAGGGCCATGTCTACTGAAGCTGATGATGGGGCTGAGAGCGGGACTTGAAGCTATTATAGACTTAGTATTACAGCCTTATGTTAGATTTATTCAAGTATGAATTACCCATTGTGACAGTCTGCCTTCTTGAGATAGAGTAATGAGGATTTTGTCTGAGAAGTGCAGAACAGAAGCTTCAGTGGGAAGTCCGTCAATAGAGCCAATGGCAAATTTCGACTGAGCCGGAAATGGCTCTTCAACGACTCGTGAGGCATCCATGGCTTAATGATTTCGAATTTAGAAGTTGCTATAAGAGAAAGAGGCCAAGAAGGTTCTGTGAAAACGATGACGGTATGAATTGATTGAATTCTAAAGAAATTCACAATGTTGTTCAAGGTTGAAAGTTCTGGAAGTGTAAGTAGTGCCCACTGTTCTATGATGGGCGGGACAGTGTTAGTGCTCGGACCAATATTAGGGTCCACCGATACTGCCCCGCGCTAACCTGATATAGCTTAATAGAAGAAATTCTGCCAAGGCGGTCAAAATTTCAATATCCTTCTCTTAAAAAGTTACCAAGGTACCTTCATTTTGTACTATCGACAACCATAAAAATGCCAAAATTCGTTCCGCGGCAGAGGAAACACAAGGTCCTTGCGCGCGAAAATGCGCAGCAGAATGGTACCCAGGATGGTGGAGTCGCACCCCCAGAACCCGATAGCAATGCGCTGGAGATTCTTCCGGATGCGCAGAAAGATCGTGAAGCTAAGAAGGCTCGGTTGAGAGAGGAACTGAAAGGCGAGATCAAAGTGAGCGGCAAAAAGGCCAAACGACTTGAGAAATACATCGACACTAAACTCAAGAAAGATGAAAATCGGGTACTCTTGGCGGAATTAGCAAAGAACAAGATCGACACGAGTCTATTCTCGAGTAGTCGTAGTCTGGGCCAGGGGAAGGAAACTAAGCGACAGGCGCTCAGTCGTGCGTTAAGGGAACGACAAGCTGGTGTCGGCCAGAATGGGGAGGATATCCTTTTTGAGACGCGAGATGCTCCGATGAGCAATGAGTCAGGGGATGAGGACGAACTACGCTCAAAGGCTAACCCCTCTACGGGCCGTCTTGGTGGATTACCGCAAAATATCTCCAATGGGTCTACTGCGGGCGGTGCTGCGAATGCACAAGCAGAAAAGGCCGCAACTTCTGTGGGATCTGGGTTAAAACGACCTCTTGAATTAGACGACGACGGGCGACCGGTAATACAAAAGAGGCAAAAACGCGGCGGTGTGAAATCTAAGCTTACCGGAAAACCGCAACTATTACAACCCGAACCAGCTTCCGACGATTCAGATGAGAAGCTTGATGAGGAAGACAGTAGCGATGACGATGAGTGGAATGGGTTTAGCTCTGATGTAGTCGGATCCCACGATTCCGAGGAAGAGAAATCAGAAGATGAATCAACAGATCAAGAGTCTGACGGCGAAGAAGAATCTTCTGAAGAGGAAGAGGAGGAGGTTGGAGGTTCACAAAAGAAGGAGAGATCTTCCGCGTTCAAAGCCTGGGCCCACGAACAGCGCAATGCTGCACTGGGGTATCAACCCGTTGATAATAGTAATTCGGTTCTGAACATTACGGTACCTAAAAACTTCAAGCCACGCCCGCTGGAACAAGATCCGTTACCTGCGGAGTTACTACCAACCAAGAATAGCAGGAGGAAAGCTTTCAGTGTCCCAGTTCAAAGGAAGCCTGAGATTCAGGATGCGCGACTAAAATTACCGGTTGTGGCCGAAGAGCAGAAGATAATGGAAGCCATTTACAATAATAATGCGGTGGTAATATGCGGTGCTACTGGATCCGGAAAAACGACACAAGTACCTCAATTTTTATTTGAAGCGGGTTATGGCTCTCCAAAATCCCCTACGCCCGGTATGATTGGGGTGACACAGCCAAGAAAAGTCGCTACCGTAAGTATGTCGAAACGCGTGGGGCAAGAGTTAGGCGATCGATCAGATGCTGTGGCGTACCAAATCCGATTCGAAGGTACAGCCGACGAGAAAACAGCGGTCAAATTTATGACGGATGGTGTACTCCTTCGAGAGGTTGCCAGCGACATTGCTCTACACAAATACTCAGCAATTATTATTGACGAGGCTCACGAGAGGAGTGTCAATACTGATATTCTTATCGGAATGCTGAGTCGAGTGGTTAAGTTACGAGAGGAAATGTCACAAGAAGATCCCAAGGTAGCTCCTTTGAAACTAATCATCATGTCTGCTACTTTAAGGGTCGACGACTTTATAAAAAACCAGACATTATTCCCGACACCACCGCCAGTTCTGAATGTTGAGGGCCGCCAACATCCAGTTACTATGCACTTTGCTAGGCAAACTCGTCATGACTACGTTGATGAAGCTTTCAAAAAGATACTGAGAGGACATCGTAAGCTTCCACTAGGCAGCTTCCTTGTTTTCCTCACCGGACACGACGAAATACAAAGACTGAGCAAAAAGCTCAAGCTTGCAACGGGTGGTTTAAATCCTATCGCCTATCCTAAGGTTCGAATATCCGCGAACGATGCACCATTAGAAGTCGAGGACATCGACTTTGGAGAAACTAACGAAAATGGGAACGACGAGTATGAACCATTCATTGACGAAGAGGAAGAAGACGCTGAAGATGATGCTGAGTTTGATGTTTCCGAGGAGGCCGGTTCAGGACCATTGAAAATGCACATTTTGCCGTTGTACTCGCTTCTGCCAACAAGAGAGCAGATGCGCGTATTCGACGATCCCCCTGAAGGATCACGAGCGATTATACTGGCAACCAACGTCGCTGAAACTAGTTTGACAATACCTGGTATTCGATACGTATTTGATTCTGGACGATCAAAAGAGCGAAAATACAATAGGGAAACTGGAGTGCAAAGTTATGAGATTGGTTGGATTAGCAAGGCAAGCGCAAACCAAAGAGCTGGACGTGCCGGTCGAACCGGACCAGGTCATTGTTACCGGCTATATTCGTCTGCCGTATATGAGCGAGACTTCCCTGAGTTCGGTGACCCTGAATTGCTAAGAATGCCTATCGAGGGTGTGGTGTTGCAGCTCAAGGCAATGCGGTTGCAGCACGTTATCAACTTTCCTTTCCCGACGCCTCCTGAACGGCAGAGTCTTGCGAAAGCAGAGAAACTGCTTAAATATCTATCTGCAATCTCCGAGTCTGGCCAGGCGACTCAAATAGGTTCGACAATGGCCAAATTCCCCCTTCCACCCCGATTTGCACGGATACTCTTAGTCGGACATTTGCACGAATGTTTACCTTACACTGTCGCGCTTGTTGCGGGACTATCTGTAGCGGAGGTTTTCATTCCAGAAAGCCAAGCAATACCTGCTCTAGCCGCAGATGATGAACATGAATTCCGTACCAATGAAGACGTAATTGCGGAAAATCGGCAATCTCAAGCTCGTCAAAAATATCACGAAGTGCATAGAAACTTCCGGTCATTAGACGACATATCCGACGCAATCAAACTTCTCCAAGTTGTGGGCGAGTTCGCGCACGACCCCACCGAGCAATGGTGCGAAAGCCACTTTGTCCGATTCAAAGCGCTTCAAGAGACACAGAAACTCCGACGGCAAATAACAAATTTGCTCCAAAAAGACATCCCCGCATTCGCCAATCTATCATTTAAAGAAAAACTAGATCGCCCAAGCCCCAAGCAAGTTACAGCCCTAAAACAAATGGTAGCTGCAGGTTTCATTGACCAAGTTGCTATCCGTGCGGACTTAGCCCCATCACCACCGGAAATTTACCGTAAACCCCGTCGTGCTATCGACGTACCATATATACCCCTTCAACCCATCGAAACCGACAGTCGCGATCCGCTCGACGGACTTGTATATATCCACCCCTCATCAGCCCTTGCGCACCTTAGTCCACAGGAATGTCCCGGGTATATCGTATACGCGAACCTACAACGCGCCGCAGCGAATCTTCTCGACCCGACAGTCAAAAAACCAAAGACTCGTATGCTGGCTCTAACCGATGTTACGGGTGCCCAGTTAGCGAGCCTAGCGAAGGGCACGCCGTTGCTGGAGTATGGGAAGCCTATAAAAGAGGTCGCGAAAACGGATACTACGAGGGAGTGCTGGGTTGTGCCGTATTTGCGCGCAGAGGGAAGTGCGGGTGGATTAGGGTGGCCATTACCGGTAAGGAAAGTGACGCAGAAGAAAGTGGCTGGACGGGGATGGGTTACTGAGTAACTTGGAAGAAACAGGTGATTATATTGGCGACAGCGAGTTTCATATAGAGGTGTTAGGATGGAAGTACCAGGCTTGGGAATTAGGAAAATAAAATATTCATATCCCAACTTGGGTGCGCACTCTAACCTCTTTAAAGGCATTGGATGGAATTGTATTATTTTAGAATTTATAACGCGTCGATTCACTCTACCTAGCTACATCTCGATCTGATCTATACTAATCGTATCGGTCTACTAGTAGTACAACGGTACCTTTACGAGGTATGCAAATACAAATTTCTAATTTGACGCGAATTCTCATGACCCTCTGCCTAATGCTGATTCCTCTAACGCCCTGAAACCAAATATGCAAAGGCTCTTGATTAGGTATAAAGGTTCATCTTAATCATGGAACTGGCTAATTCTATCTTATAGATAGAATGGTAAATGACCACTCTTCAGAACCGCACTCGTGCCATCCGTCTAGTCGCTCAACGATGCCTACGTCACTTCTAGCGTTCCTGGTAGGGTGGTGGTGGGGCCGCTGACGACGGGCCGGCAGGTGCCTCATGGGCCTGGGTATTTGCTGGTGTAGCGGCTCCCATAATCCGCGTTGCCTGCATCATCATGCCCGGGAAGTAGTTCTGAATGAACGACTCACTTTATCTCGTTAGCATGTGTTTAAAACGTGTGTTTATAAATAAAATGGGATAACTTACGTGTAGTAGCTGTGGTCCGCATTATGAGGTTGGACGATGTTGTGGGCCAGTTCATGGGCCAGCACAACCCACCACCAGATGGTGGCCACAGCTCTGCCCTCTCCAGTTGGTTTATCCGCATGAAGTTGGATGAAGAAGCGAAGGTTACAGAAAATGCTTCCGTCGCGATTGAAGGCGATTGTGCTACCGGCTTCGTCGTAAAAAATGTGGAGTGCTCCCCTGCCGATTGAATACACCTGTCCAACTTCCAAGAGCAGTGATGCGAAGGAGTTAATTGCCCCGTGGTTTGTTGAAAGGAATTGACCAAAGTCAAAGTTTGGGATCGCATTAGATACGAACACACGCATACTATTCGATGCTTCTGCCACGAAATTGAGATCCTTCCCTATAGTATCGTCACAATACGTAGCCTGCTCCTTGACCTCTTGAGTCGTCGGAGGGGAATAAAGCTGGGACGAGTCATGTGCTCTAGTCGACCGAATGGCATTAAGAAGATTTTGTTGGATAACGGCGGGGTTTGTGACCCTGCCGTCGTTTTGGTTAGATTTATTGCCTGAAGACGATTCGGCCGGCGGTAATCTGGTAGGCTCAGGGTTCGTACCCATTAAGCTCTTCATGCTTTCCTCTACTTCAGAGGTGTCAAACCCAAATCGTTTAGAAAGATTCGAGAAAAGGCCCTTGTTTCTTCCGCCCTGTGATGCCCGTGATGCCGGCGGCGGCGGTGGTAACAGAGCATTGTCATCGTCCGGAGAACCAAATCCACCAGGCATACGAGGAGGCGGGGTTCTATTCTGCACTCTCGTAACTTGGCTTTGTCTCTTAAACTCATCTTCTCGTTCTTTTATTCTAGCTTGCTCGGCTTCCAAAGCTTTGCGTCTCTCTTCATCGGCAATTCTGGCCTCGGCGGCCTTTGCTCTCAGAATACGGTCGACGTTGTAACCACGAGCCCTCAAATCAAGCAGGTCGAGCTTGAGGAATGGCTCGAAAAAGAAATAAGCCTGCTGGCTCGGCCGATTTAAGATGAGTTGGCACACGGCTTGTCCTACTTGGTACATGTCGGGACGGCGACCAGACTCGGACGCGACGTACAAGACATGACCATTGGCGACTTTTGCACTGGCTGCTGATCTTGTCTCCGTATGCGTCTGGCTTTGGCCACGGAGCGACCGACGGAGTGCGACACTCCGAACAGCCTCGACAGTCAGGTTTTTCTCAAGCCACTTCGCGTCGTGTTTAATAGCATCGCGTGTGTATCGGCTGTATTCGTGAACAAAGATCTTCGATCGCTCGAGAACGTGCTTCCGAAGCCATACCGCCCCTTCTTGCTTATCACTGTGCGGTCCGATCCTTATGTCCTCTTGGACGATATCCGAAAGAGTGGGAGAGCCAAGAACCATGTAGAAGGATTCTAGTACATCCTCTTCGGGTGCACATATCAAGTGCTCCTTGAACAGACGGTAGCTGATATAGTCGTCGAGAATGGCAATGCTGGCTGGAGTAGCAAGTTGGTAATGCTTGATTGATGTTTCCTCTTCGTCGTTCTCCAACACCTTCTCCTTAGAAGGCGCACTGATTTCCTTAGATGCCAACAACCAGGGCGAGGACTTCATTTTCCTCCAAAGTTCCTTATCTCTTTTAAGAGTTGCGAAATCTTCAGCTAGTAGTCTCAAGAGGCCCAGGTATTTTTCAGGGCTTTGAAGCACGCTAAGTAACCTAGCTGGTTCACTTGATGCAAACTGAGCGATCTCTAGCTTAGTTGGCTCAGTCTTCGAACCACAGGCGGACAGGAACGCATTTGCAGAGCTACCAAAATCGACAAAATCGAATATCTCTCCGTACATAGCCGAGTTACCTAGATAACAATTTCGCGGACTTAAATGAACCACATTGCCACTCTTGTTATCCGTGCCGGTGGGTGTTTCGGAGATCGACGACCTTTTTTTACGTATAACTGGTACAATGGGAGCCCTGCGGAGTTTTGTAATGGAATTGTTATCCAACTCGTTCAGGCGGGTTGCAAAGTATGCGAAGAGGGACATAGCTCCCTGTTGAGTCTGAGGAGGTTTAGAAATCAGACGGTCGACGCATTCAATAACAGGCGGATCAGCCACAACGCCGAATTTCTGCCATACGGTTAGTGATGACCGACAATGCCATAATGAGGGAGCCGGAAACTTACGGGCGCATGACTATGCAGCTCTCTTTTTAGGATGTTAAATCCTAAAGCGGCAGCTGCCTCGTTCGTAAAGCATTGGGACGGGCTCACAAATTGTTGTGGCTTCCCCTGTAAGGGAAGGAATGCCTTGGAAGTTGCCCTGATATCAAAGGCTGCATAGTTGTTGATGTGATGATTGGAAATGAAGTAGTTCATGGAGTGGGCCCTTAGAGTCGAATCCGATGAAGCCATCATGTCTACAAGCTCGGGAGCTGATGGGAAGGGACGTAAGCCGAGGTCAGTCAGAAACTTCCCCTCGGCGCTTCCAGGCCGCAGACCGCCGCTGGGCCATTGGATAATCTTAAGGTTGAGCGGTCGAAGTGGTCCTCTCGGCTCATAAAGCTCAGAAACTTTGTATAGCTGTCGACTTGCTACAGTCGACTCCATACCTGGTGGTCCTGCTTCTGCCGGGCATATGTGCGATCCTTTGAGTTTTCTCATGTCGTCTTTCGGAATGTCTTGTCGCACTGACGCTAAGTATTTGATAAGTTCTACGTGACTCCATTTTGCCTGTCCGGAATTCTCGATTTCCGCCGAACGATTCAGCAATCGTGTGAAAATCGTGTCCAAGTCCACAGTTTTTCGGACACCGATAGCAGTGAGGAATTTGTCCTTGAGTGATGAGCATCCCTCAATCGTAGGGAGATCATCAAAGAGTTTGACACTCTGGAAAAAGGATTCTGTCGGCTTTCTCATTCCTAGTTTAGTCGGCATCACCGTATGACTTTGGAGTAATGATGTGACGGTCCCTTTAGAGCTTTGGCTAAGATTATCCCAGCCCTTTGATAATACTGTTAGAATTCGAATCGAAAATTCCGCTGACTTGGTCATATTCTGCCCATCGCGTCTTGCCGAACTAGTTTCGAGCAAGAATCGAAGCCAAGGAACAATCTCGAGAGACTCCCAGCCTAAAGCTTGCAACTCATTCGAATTGCAGCTTCTAGTAAAATCATAAGGCAGTGTTGTCGGTGGAATCGGCAACCCGGCCGGTATCTTGTTTGGACTTAGGTAATTATGAATGCTTCCAAGGGCGACAATGCCACCTTGATCTTCTGCGCCTTCTTCGATAAGTCCCACTGCAACATCAAGAAGTCTATCTTTACTTGATGGATCAAGCTCTCCTTGAATGGCCTTTTTACCGGCCCATTGTATGAAACTGATGAGCTGAGCCTTATTGAGCGGCTTTCCGGACAACTCTAGCCGTACGTCATCTACAGTGATATGAGACAATAGATCAAAATCGATCAACTTTCGGACGAAACCTGTGGACTCAAGTTCCGATGGAATCACCGGGATTCCATCAACAAACTGAGTAAGTTCTTTCGAACCAAGACGAACCTTGTTTGTAGGGAGTACACCTCGACTACTGTAAATTTCTACGAATGGCTTCTTGTAAGATGTCCAAAAGGCCTCTTCAATTATCTGTGAAACGTGGCCACTGGGCGTGGAATCTCCGAAGGTGAAGGCCTTAAGAATGTGTAATGCTTCAGGCATGTATTTAGTGACCTCTTTAGAGGTATCGGTGGTACTGGAAGTCTCTGCGGCCCGTTGTAATTTTATTTGTAACTCAGCCATCTCGTTCGTGAAAGCAAGGCGAGTCATGATGCCGGCAGCGCGTAGCATTTCAATGTTCCACGTCCTGACCCATCTTGCATTCAAGTCGATCGCCTCTCGTTCTACGGTAGGAATGACCGATGGCGCCGAAATATGAATTCCCGCCCCGGTTGTTTGAGTTGTTGGGAAGCCAATAAATATTCGGCCGCCTTTCTGGCTTGGTAGCACAGACGCAAAGACGTCGGTGGCCTTAGAAATTGCCTTGGAGCTTGTGGATTCCTCCGAGGCCTGGGTCTCATCATATGAAGATGTCAAGACAGACAACTTGGCTACTCTTGGCGGGGGCTTCTTCGTAGCCCGCTCCAATTCGGCAGAAAAGTTAGCAGTGACAGACGTCTTGATCGCGGCAGTAGTTACTCTAAGGAATATGCTGCTGGATGATAATACTGTTATATCTTCGGATATGGTATCTTGGGCTGCTTTTTCTTCTCTCGCCGACTTGCTACTTTTCGAAGTAGAGGCATTTGCGGCTAACCTCGAGAAGAAACTTCGGAGGGAGGTCATCTCCGAGGCGCCATATCCATAGGCTTCACTTTTCGCCGCTGTTGCTACTTCCGGTTTCCATCCGATAGCATTCATAAAAGAAGCGTCGATTTGTGCACTTGCTCGCTCAACGCTTTGCACCTTCATTAGACGCTCTTTGGTGGTAGTCTCAACATCCCTCGATAGGGCAACCCCGGCACTTGGGCTTGTCTTCTTTTGCAAATGGAGAACCTTGTAATCGTCGATCCAGAACTCAATGTTTTGTAGTGCCACAAATGTCAAACTCGTAGCTAGAAACTGGCTGACTGATAGTAGATTCGGTAAAGTAGTCGTGGTGTTTCGGTAATCCAAAACAAAGGCAGTATCCTGCGTGCATTGATCCTCGGGAAGTTGAAGTTTTCTGGTAAAGAGAGCGTTCCCTTTCCAGTAGAAGGCCATGGCTTCCTGACCTGAACTGACGAATGGCTCTTCACAATCGGCGAAGACGCTATAGAACCCCACACCGAAGGCACCGATCTTAGTTTCGTCGGGGTTACCTTCGGCAATTCTCTTCAGCCGTCCCCAGTCAGTTTTTGTGAATGGTTGACCATTATTTTGAACGACAAGTCGGCGGAGGGTGTGGTTCGCGATGATGTGTTTGAGTATTTCGGATCGGTCTGTCGTAGTGGGTAGAGCTACTTGTGTAGAGGGTAAAGTCTCCCATTTTATCTTGACGGTGGTAGCCTGAGCGTCGGCAGCATTCTGGATCAGTTCTCGTAACGTCGTCCACTCGCCCGAGTATCTCGCCAAGACTTTGTCGATTAGAGCTCGAGTATCCACTGTTACGGCTTCCTCGTCCTCGCCATCCCGCAGAGCCGCAGCTCGAAGCCTTCCATAATCCATTGTGGCGGTCGGTAGAATTAGTCTTTATTTACAAGGGCATGATGGTAGGAGAAGAGAATTATGAGCTGGTGGAAGATGAGATAAATAAAGCAATCATAGACTGGTCATAAGTTTTAGTGAACAATAAACGCGTCAATAATTCCCGAGGGGGTTCATCCAATCCGAGAGTGGCAATTGTTGATTGTTGAGTCCTCCAGGGCTGCTGCAGGGACCAGTGGATAAGGCACTTAAGAACGTCAAGTCCGTGTGGTGGGCAAATAAAGACCGAGCTTGTTGGGGCGAATGCTAGAAACAAACGCCGTATGTAGGGGAATCCAAACGAACGTCATCTATGAATGGCGAATGAATGCGTATATGCACGCGAGTTCAAAACAAAGGCAACAGCGAAACTTGCGTATGATTTGTATGGGAGTAGGTAGAAAGTGTAGAAAGTGGTGGATATCGAAGTCGAAAACCCAGAAGATTGGATTTGATTCGTCCTAGTTCGTCTTAGCTTAGCTGATGATGCACGTCTCACCCTGAAATACAGGGATTGATGTGCTATCGATACAGGGTGCAATCAGCACTGGACCATATGTACATAATCTAAACTCCACTAACTCCGCAGTGCATTGACCCAACTTGTGCACGGGAGGGGTTTAGGCATCTGCATAACTAATGTAGTTACTTCCTATTATGAAAGTCAGGTACGAAAGGTGGATGTATGCCCTGAACCAATAAGTACTTACTAGCATCAGCCCTATGGCTTCTCACTACTCGAAAAGATAAATTCTACAGATGAGTACTTGTCTAACCAGTCCATAAGCATAATGGTCTTATGCTAGACTTGTGCAACACAAGCTGCATTATTCACCTCATTGACACCCGCTAATATTTCGCGCAACTAATTCAACCATTCTATCACTGTGTGTTCCGTTTATCTCACTCCATACTCCGCGCATTACCCTCTAAAACAATCAAAACACCGCAGTTAGTTGTTGGTAACCCTGATTCAATATACAATGTGGTTGGTTCCCTGCACCTATTCCCGATCCAATTAACGACCATCTTCTGGAGATCCCTTTTGATGTCTCCGGGGACTTCTGCTCCGTCGTGGTCGTCTGTCCCTTGACCTAGGTCTGTAAGATTCCTTTCCATCTCTTTTTCGTTCGGATCTATCAGGACTGCGGCTGCGGCTGCGATTTCGTCGATAAGATCTTCCATGTCTGTGGTCATTGCGCTCAGGGCTATAACTTCGCAGCCTCCGACGATCGTGCCTATCTTCTCTGTCGTCTCTATCATCCCTTTTGTGCTTAGGATAATCGTCTCTTCTCCTCGGTGACCTAACCCTGTATCTATCCCGGCTGCGGCTGCGACTCCTGCTTCTATGTCGCCTCCGGTGGTGTCTTTCAGAGCGATCCTGTCTCTTTGATGCCTTGCGACTATCATCGACTGGACCCTCTCCTTCTTTCGAGGTAGGTCTAAGATCGCTATTATCAGCCGCACCTCTTCCTTCGCCTACGTCGACGGCGTTCGCGCCCGTCGCCTTTCGAGGGGCAATAGGTAGTCCTAGCGCGCGGGCTAGCGCGTCTTCTTCAGCCTCCTTGATTCTCTTGAGCTCTTCTTTTCGCTCTCGCTCTGCTTTTTCTTGTTCCGTTTCCGTGCCCGATGCTCCAGATCCATCGGCTTTCGCATACCAAGTGAGGTCTCTGCCTTTTGCCCAACGACCAACGGGAGCTTTTAGACTATGTCCGAGGTAATTCTCGCGATGGTTTGAGGTGGCGACATCGTCCCAATTGAAGTTAACACCGCCGCGCGAACCCGTCTTGCGGATACTCGAGACGAGATCCATGACGATTGATTTAGCCGGTGATATATGGTTGACGGTATGATATTTGGTTGTACAGATGTCGATAGCGGCCTTGTATGAGTTTATAGAAATGGATGTTGATTAAAGTTGAAGAATGTAAAACTTGGTCTACGTGAATAGTGGATACTAATACGCAAGGCTGGCACTAAATGTTGAAATACCCGCGTTCTGTCAAACCATCGGGGCAATCGCAGGCGGGGATGCCGTTTCCTTTCTATTCGATTTGGCCCGTGTGCCCTGCAGCCCACCATAAAAGCAACCTTTAGTGGTATTTGGAGCGGATATTGACTTTTCATCGCATCCAATACCACGCTAATTCTGCTATGTACTGGAGAGCAACTCAGATAAACACGCTATGATGTATCCCCCGAGTTCATAGCCTCAATGATTAATCGAACAAAGCCTTAGGGTTTTTCCAAGTAACTTCCAAGGTTCATACATCCTTTGCCTTTGTCATTCAACACCTAACGTCATCGTCCTAACAAATTTCTAGAATAAGTCCATTTTAAAACTCAAGTATTTTTGCGACAACTTTCCAAAAGTAACATCTGAACTTTCCATCCCAATTCAAAGCTTATACTACTTCACCCCACTATTACTAAGGACCTCCAAGCACCTATATTTATCGATAAGGAGCTCTCTAGTTCTCCACTAGGTGGAAAGCTAATTGCCCAGGTGAACTTCTATTTCTAATTCAGTTTCTCGTCACATATTACCTAGGTGCCATCCCCAACTTTCTTGCACATCAACATAGCAATAAAGATGGCGACCGCCAACGAACCTCCCTTGGACGAGATCCAATGGCGCTTCCCACCTGCAGCGCAGGCGATGGGTGGCATCCATTCAAATTCAGTATTATTCTATTTCGCCGAATCGCCTTTCTTCGATCGAACCTCCAATAACGCCGTTCTCTACAACCAAGCCATGTGGAACGAGAGCATGAAACCCTTAATTCAGACCCGCGAACGATTCGAAGGCCGACTGCGAGAGATGTCCGGCTTGGAATTCATCGTCGCCCAAGAACCTGCTGAGATGGGACCCGGTATGGGCACTGGCGTTTGGGTCATTAACAAGCAGACGCGCCGCAAACGAGAACCTGAGGACGAAATCACCGTACATTCCACATACTACCTCATTGGCGAGAACGTGTATATGGCGCCCACGCTAGCGGATATTTTAGGGTTTCGAATGGTTAATACCCTCCTTCATTATCTCTTGTGTGTCCATATGTGTTTTGGAATCTAATCGAATTGTGTAGACTACTATCACCGAGGCTCTAAACAAATGCTTCGCGGCCGCAAACAACGCGCGAACCTGGTCGCCAGCTCTTGGACATGTGTACAAGATCGCACCCAACGTTACGAATACCAAAGCACAAGCACTAGAATCTAAGGGAACGACGCCGATGCCCGAGTCACAAGGATCTAAGGCTATCTCGGAACCAAAGAAGGCGGATCAATCTGCTGTCGACTCACGCTTAGCTGAGCATTCATTCATGGTGCACATGCAATACGGCGGAGATTATATGGATGAGAACCCCATCACAGGCAAGCCCGGTGAATTCCATCTCAGCTCTACCGGTCGCAAGGACAGACTACAGGCACTAGGCCTCCCGAACCTCAACACGACATTCAAGGAATCCGCGATCACCCAGGCGGGGAAGAAGGACGTAAAGCCAGGGGACAAAACACCAAAGACGCCCACGGGTATATCGAAACCGAAACGCAAGAAGAGCAAGGCCGGTGCGACCCCCACTTCGTCGTAGAAAGGCGAAGCTGGCAAAAAGGGTAAAATAGTGAAGAGGGTGAGATTCGCCGACGACGTATGAGAGCGTGGCTTCAGTAGAGTTGGCAAAAATGGCGTTCGGTGAATCAGGAATTGGCATTTTGATACCCCTTTTCTATAGGTATGCTACAGGTCATGATTTTTCGCAATAAATTGATTTCCACCGAAGCCCGTTGTGAAGCGTGATTAATTCAGAGCATCGTCATAGAAACTCGATTGATATCTAAGCAGTATTTATTGTGAAGTATCAAAAACAGGATATGAGTTTACAGTCTATCTGGGTACTCATCCCTACAGCAATTATGTACATACAATTCCACCCGCACATAAGTGTCATCATTTCACAAGTCCCGCCTCAGACTCGACGTTTTTATAGTTCTTAGGCATCCAGGTTGCCCGTTCTTTGGCAGTGTCGTCGCTACCAAAATTCACACCTCTCTTCATCAGGGGACTTTGTTCGAGTTTCTCCCAGTTGTGTACCATAAGCGAGTTCATCTCGCTATTTCTAACCTCTTCGCCGCCACGGGTTCGCATTTCTTTTTCGAACTCAGTAATAAGTTCGGCTTGCGATTTACCTTCTGGGTTGGACAGAGCCTTAACAAGATTGAAGACATCCGCCAAGGAGTGATTTAGGCCTTGGCCACGGTCTGCAATGGGGGATTCATGTTAGTACCTGGTCAATTGCTGCCTAGGGGATTCGATGGCTTACGATAAGTCATAGGGTGTGCCGCATCACCAACGAGTGTAACAAGACCCCCATGATTATCCCATTCATGCTCCGGCAAGCTGGGATCCCAGTTCGCATTGGGGGTGTAATACACCTTATCCAAATCATCGGGAATCAGCTCATAAGCCGTTCGCAACGGATCTTGAAACTTCAAACTATTCTTCTTGGCAGCACGCACACGATCCGCTTTGCTCACCAAACCCCTCTCCTTCTCCTGTTCCTCGACCGAGATCGGTACCGAGATATAATAAGCAAACTCCCAATTCTCGGGATGTTCCTTGTCCGCTCCGTCTAGCAGGGAAAACAAACCCATCATGTTTTCTGGGTGTGGGAATGCGTTGATGATCGGATTCAAAGAGCAAGCGCGGAGACGCACTGCTACATCCCGCGGGTACGACGCCGTTACAAAAGTCGCTGCTAAAGGCAACTTTTTATTCGCCGCACGCTCGGGGCCGAGCAATATGTTTCTCAAACGACTCTGACTCCCATCAGCGCCAACGACCAATCTTCCCGTCTCGGTCGTACCGTCGGAAAACTGAACAGCCACGCTCTTCCCATCGGCTGCATACTCCACACCCTCAAACACCTTCCCATAAATAATATCAACACCAGCCACCAAATCTTCAGCAGCGAAGGCGCGCAGGCGCGAACGTAAGAAGCGAAGGAGGTTCTCGATGGGAGTAGCGACGAGTATTTCCCCCGTGGCACCGTTGTATAGCGGGAAGCGCTCGACGTTTTGGATCGGGTGGTGCGGGTCCGCGAGGGTTTCGCTGATTCGGGACCATTTTGCCTCGCCCAGTACTGTTTTACATTCAGTAAAGGTCTTTTGTTCGACTTGGAACTGATCTTAGGCGGCCTAGGGGTTACTGACGAGAGCGAAGGAGAGGGACAGACCAGTGGCAGGCTAGCCCCCAGTCACGCCCATTTCGCGGCGATAGGACGGCATCTCGCTCGAATAGTTTGAAAGGGATGCCTTTCTATTTTCGGAGTGTTAGTAGGTAAATGGGTTGTGTTAGAGAGTGGAACTGGGACTGGGACTACGACGATGAACGGGGCGACGGGAACGGGAACGCCAACTTACTTGCTTGAGGCCGTTGGCTAGAGCCAGTCCGCTACAGCCTAGGATGTATTAGCACTACCCTAGTGTCTTGGTATTCTTGTGCCACAAGATGAGTTCGTTCTAACCAGCTCCGATGATGAGAACCGGGAGTTCTGCTTGATTACTGTTCTGCGCCATTGTTATTTCCAAGTACTTTGCGTATCGAAAGAAACTGATTAATTGAGGATATAGGAACAAACCAACAAGAACACAATAGGAATAGTATATACTTATAAGGAAGATCCAAGGATGCGGAGTTATTGACCAGATCCATTTACCCTAGCCATCAGGATCCTATAGACCTGTATAACGCAAACACCATTACCCTATTCGGGCTCGCACTTTCAACGTCCTATACAGGGGCATATGGCGGGGCTCTCGCTATGATGTAGAGTTCCATCGAGACCGGTCGATCCATTTGGTAAGTGGGAACATCGCTCTCGAGCTCGGGAACCGAAGCTGGGTCCCCCACCACGCCGCATGGGGTGTTAGGGTCATCCAATGAATTGTCGGTAACATTGTCGGAACTTCGCATCCTCCTCTAGGACGCGAATTATAAAGAACCTACCCTTTTCACTTCCCCGACATGAACGCGAAAAGAATTATATTTCCCAGATACGTCACCGTTATCCGCGACATAGCGAGCTACTTAAATTCGCTATTATAAACATTTTACAGAAGCGAGTGAGGGAATATTCCACGGATCATTCACTCAACGTTTACAGTCCAAATTTTAGATCCCTCAAGCAACTTTGGTTTAATCCCATAACGGCCGCCCGGGTTTATAAAGGTATCCGCGGAGATCGCTCCCTAAAGCGCAAAAACGAAACGCTTCTAATTGGTTTGATCGGATAGTCTTATTATGGAGGGTATTCGTGGAGAACCTCTCATAATCGAAAACACCACCACGGTTATCTAACAGAGGGGATACCGACGATATTATCGATCCAGTCGCGCTATAGATACACACAGTTTTCCCCGCATCCAACGCGTATCAATTACAATTCATAACATGAAGCGACGTTCAGCCGAATTGCAGAGCCGCAAGTTATTTGGTTCTAATGTTAGGTTATATCTTACACACGAGCAGGTGACATCCCCCAAGCATTCTTCGATCATTCGCTTCGGATGGTTGACCTATCAGTTAGCTTAAATGACAATCCAACGAACTGGAGGCGACTTTGAATACAGCCGTTTTATACAAGTGTAGAAAAGCAGAGGAATGTGTAACACCTTGTCCACTTGGAAATCGTTCAAATCGCGGCCTGCCTCAAAGTGCATATGCAGGGTTCATATTTGACTACATCATTCGGAAGGTGACGTGAGCATACGATGGGTATGTTTTCGGCGCAACATAACTCGTACGCATAATGCTTATGGAGATATAGACGTACCTATTGGTTGGATTTGGTATGGAATCATGAGCATTGATTTATACCACCATATCAACGACTCGGACGTTTCAGCAGCCTAACAATGATTTGCTTCCTTAGAGGTTAGAACATATTGTTTACCCTTTTCATTTCGCTAGAACATGTCCACAAGAACAGTTGGGCCAAGAATCGTAAGACATAAGCATCTTACATTGCTTAGTCCAAATGCGCGGTTGCCACCATGGTGTAGGACGCTATCCCTCTCCGAGAGATTATGAGAAGTGGCCAGCCTAGGATTCTCTCGAAATCCAAAAATGCATTTTCAACCTAAAACTTTATAGGGGCAATTAGCAGATACGAAAGATTACACAGTAATGTACCCTCCTCGGAAAGTGTTACGAGTTCTAGTAACCCGTCAATGTGACCATGGGGAAGATACTGCTAACAGCATGAGTATCTGCGCAAAGTGGTGGCATTCGGGGAGTCTTGCTAAAAGGGATAACATGAGGCTGAAATCGCTCGTTATGGCATGTATGGGGGCCTGATTACTATCTCAGCCTGCATACCGTATCACCGAATATCTATGGGGGGTATGAGGCTTAAGAATACGTACCCATGCATTCGTCCGTATGCCGGAGAACCTGAACCAATGGTATTGGATATCGAAATGATATTGCTCGCAGTACATTGTGGAAATGAATCCATACACTCCGAATTGCTGCTGTTTCCGATACCCTCTGCAGGTTTGTATGCATTTCCGTGTGTCAGTCGCGCTACTTGATGCATCTCGGGATGTCGGTATACCGACACGGTGAAGCCTTACCAGTACACCAAGTGCTGACTCGGTGTAAATTTAATGCGAGTTGACGAGATATCAATGAACTTAACTACTTAGATGAAATATTTCGTTTTCCTTTTTATCTTGTTTTGAAAGTTGCGAAGATTTATGAACGTCCTCTTTAAATTTTAAGTGAGACGCGCTACGAGAAGGCTTTCGGGGGTGGTTGGCTTCAGTGCCTAAGCATTTAGGCGCCTCAAGCGCCTCGCGCCTCACTGCTACAATCATTGTGAGATACTTATATACTCAGGATTGATGCGGCTCTGCGCACCCAAAGAGGTGTACAACCCAGGTGTTTTTTTATCTCGTTACCATAGCCCGTATGTCTCGTGTATATAAAGTCACCAAAGGGATCAAGAATCCTGGAACTATGAGTTCTCGTCCAGGATAGACCTTCCTCCTCAGACGCGTCGATTGCGTAGGTATAATCAGTTCAGCGAAAATGTAAGCCAGCTTTTCTGTCTTAATCAATCATCCCAATGGTCATGGACAAGCACTTACGTTAGTTAGGAGACATCCTTCCCTATCCGCAGCTCGTACTATGAACTTGCCATACCAGGACCACTCAGACTCAAAGCTCAAAGGATATGAACACACGTACGATATAGGAGCGCGGATCTGGAGGGATAAGGACCTCTCCGTATACGTAGCTCACTATCAGAAAGACTATTTTGAGGCACAAGCATTTGAGAAATACCGTCTACCTCCGAAAGTTTATCTCGCGCGGAAAAGAAGGATCCAGCGGCTGAAAAGATCAATTAACTTTGTAGAGGAGATCGAATCGGACGAGAGCAAGTTTATTATCTCTCGTATACCAGTGGACGGCATTGAAAGACACGGGAGAGGCCAGTCAGCGGTGAGAGAGACAGGAACTAATCATGACCTCTCAGCTGAGAACTACCCCCCTCTGTGTACCCCACCAGTTAGCCATCGGATGTGTCCAGATGGTATGCATCCGCAATTTGCGGAGGCTGTTTCATCCCATCCGACTCGAGAGACAGAGATGGGGGGTAAAGATCATCAGCAGACTCCACGCCGACGGGCTTCTGTGTCTTGATAATAGCTGGATACCTTTTTATGATGATTGGTATGCGATTTTACGATAGTATGGTCTAGTAATTTTAGCATCATATCAAGGGTGGACAGCATCTGTGTGTGTACTCTGCTTTATTGAATGCTCAGCTGAGAGTTAGAGCGCCACCGGAGGTTCGCACATTACGTACATGCACTACGTCCCCCATTTTAATCAAATTTTCCGTTTTTTTTTTTCTTCTTTTGTGTTATAGATTCTTCCATGATATTTAGTAGAGGAAACATTCTTGACTACCCCGGTTTTCATTCAAGTCCTTTCACCACCAAATTTATCCTGGCTATTGTCTGTACGATCTTGTGATAATCGTAAATCTCTTCAGTGAAAGTTTCGCTCAGACACCACTGCAGAAGCAGGCCTCGGACAATGACGTATGTGAGCGATATGCTCGCTCTCGTCCACGGAGGACCGATCGCATTTGCAAAAGTACATGCTATTATAGGAATACGGGCCCTTGCATGTTTTCACGTGTCGAATATAATTATCTTTACGTGTACCATCGTGGCCACACCTGCAAATATATTGCGGATCGGTCCCGGACCGATGAACGGTCGAGTAGTGTCGCTTTAAGTCGCTCGATTTTTTGAATGACATGCCACAATCGCTACTGCTGCATTTGTATCGGTGTGATGGTTGTGGGGGTGACGGCGTTTGCGTGGGGGACTCGGGGCTATATGGTGGGGCAGGAACGGCTAGTACCCGAGAAGAACCATAAGCCCTAGCACCTTCCAATGTGCTCAGTCCTCCCGAAATTGTCGGCGCCGTATAATTTTGATCCAACCACGTACCGGGACTACCGACTTGCGACACCTGTCTAAATTGATCAAAGGTGTTGGCGGATGCAGCCCAGATCTGACCAGGCCGTAGATCTATGCTAGGATCTGCTGCGTCGTACCCGCTGCGACCCCAGGAGTGTTGGCCATTTTGATCGAATCCTGTACCAGCATCCGTGGTCAATTCATCCTGCGGGTTGGGGTTATAGAATAAAGTGCGAGTGGAGTCCCTGGGGGACCGCGACCCGCTGAAAGACATGCTATCAATCCGCCCTGCGGACTGGATCGCTTATATAGGTATTGATTGCCTGCGTGACAACGTTCCACTGATTTAAATGTAGCGTTGGACACTTGCACCAGAGCCATGTTAGCATTTGCACTCAACCCTATAGCTAGGTAGGTAGTCGAGAGAGAGGCTATCTACTGCCACAACTACCCGAGGACGACTCACCATAAATCCCATTGACTGGGAAGCTACAAGTTGATCTCGAGATCGCGAATTCAGTTCCGTCAGACGGTCGGGACCTAATGGTCGAAGCTGCGGAATAATGATACTGTTGCTTTAGGTAACGGGGAAAATCACCAACCCAGGTTGAGCTGTGGAGGCGAATAGTACAATAGTAAGTCAAGAGATGATGCAAAAGGATGAGGAGGTTAGGTCCGGAAGCCGGTTTGACCACACAACTTGTATTGCTGGAGGCGCGAGGCGCCCATGAGCCTCGTTTCTCTATCATTGTTGATAGAGTTGGGCGTTTTGGAAGGATTGCATTACCTCCTGAGGGCATCATCATCTTTGGGACAGTATATTCGCGGTGATCGAGTCTGGTGAGAGAACAAAAATTAGACCCCTAAAATCCGTGGCTAACGGCGATAGTATATTATGGCTTCCCCGCGCGGTGCACCTGCAAAATTTTCTAATTGTCGTGAGTTTCATAGTCAACAAACCTCTGGAGTGGATCTCTCACCTACGAACTCCTAGCAGTAAGTTGACCGATACCTATGATACAAACCAAACTGTACCTAGGTACTCATTACTTATTTTCGGTATCCAATGCCGGTACCATGTCCTATTAACTATAGGAGTAGGTCCTATTAAGAATGCCCGTATTACTCACTGTTAACGACGTGGTTAGAGACCGCCTCTCCCCCACATTTCATGGCTGGCGGGCGAATTATTGCGTTTTGAGGATATCTTACAGTTACAAACCATATAAAGTCCTCCAATAGAACACCTTCCTGTTGACAGCCACTCACATCAGGAGATTTATCCATTGAAAGCACCTAAGTTGTCCTCCAAACTGGGATGACAAGCACATGCAACTAATGTTGCTGCACATAAGCTCTGGGTGGCTGTGATGATGATAGGTAGTAAATGGACTGGGTAGCGATATGCGGCTTCCGCCAGTTAGGAAAAGGAGAGATACATCGGGTCGGATTCTCAGAACACAAGGCTACACCCCTTACTCCAGGTACGTCCTTCCTCCAAATAGGAATTTATTAAGCAAAGTAACATACAAGTAACTCTCCGTTAGATAAAAAAAAGAAGGCTGGGTAATATACTTGATGGGTGTGAGCAGCCTTGATCTCCGACACCGGTACTGAAGCTCCAGTTACATGTCTGCAAGGTATATGGGTTTATTAAGAAGGCTGTAGTTCGGAATTCTACTTCTTAGCAACCTAGGTGCTCGGTATTTTATATGTGCACCCGGATATGCCTCTCTACTTGAACGGAGAAACTTTTCCAATTATTCGCTATGCTATTTACCTCTACTTATTAGTTAGCGACACTTTCCAATTCGAGGTTTCGGTTCAGATCGCGATTTGGTTTCGACGTCGTATGTATCATTATGTACTCCCCGGCTCTAATATTCATTTGAATGAGACAACCGGCAATTCAGCACTCGGGACCATGCCCCTTCACATTGCATGTTCACATGCTCACATTAAAATCATTTGGACAGTCCGATTTTGTTGCCAACGCCGATTTTTTTCTATATCTTCTACACAGTCAGCGAGGCGCGAGGCGCGAGGCGTACTTAGTCGCTACTATCTGGTCACACTTGGTTGCATCGCTGAGGCTCCGGTGAGCGATGCATATAAACATATGATTATCGGGGTTTCGGAGGAGCCTTGAAAGGTGCAGTACGAGGCACCACGAGGCGCGCCACTTTAGTTGCGCCTACGTACGCCTCGCGCCTCGCAGTAATAAGACACCTCAATGCTATTTACCGACGCTCAAGATTCTTGGCCTCGGACTGAACCGTTCCTGAACGGCCTCGCGGCCGCCACGTATCCAGCCGCCGATGAACACTTAGATTGTGGGTGCGGACATCTGAGCAATAGGGATAATCTAGTTCGAGATCGGTGCTCTGTAGGCGACCCCCGAGCAAGATAGTCGGATCAATAACTAGCCAATTGATTACTCTAAGATACAGAGCTTCATTTAGAATGAAAGCCTAGGAGGGTTGGCTAGTGTTCTTACATACACGTATTCCCTAAGCGGTGAATGTCCACTATTTCACGTTCTCTCTTCTACTAAAAATCGAAGCAATCAAAAGGTTCAGACCAATCATAGCGTACTCGTATGCCTAAATTGGAAGCGCCTAGCATATTAACAGGCATGTCGAAACCATTCTATTCATTCATATTCATACTGCTGGATCTTTCTTTTGCGGGCTCGACGCAAATCTCACTTATACCACACTGCGATGACTTTAACGGAGCACGTCTATCACCGCGTATGTTTCCAAGGTCATAAACATAAGTTGGCAGTCTTATGCATCATGGTTTATAACACTAACCCCTCGTCTGCGTGTTCCTCTTGGCCCTAATCCGTATCTTTCGCATGGAAATCGAGATTTTGCAGATGTCTATCATGATGCAACATTAAGAACAGCAACCCCTGCAAGCTCATTATTCGATCCGGAAGATTATGTGGATGCTGAGTTACGTAATCTGTCAGGGGGAATGATAGTCAATTTATCGATCTCAGTACAGATAGCTCGATTATATCTGCTAAGATCGATGTGGTATGGGACGCAATCTCCATTAGCCTCGACACGTTGCCGGAAGTTGATTCGGTGGAATGGGCTCAGGAGGAACGACTCTTAAGCGGCGTCCCCTATTCCGGAACTCGCTACGGCTAGATCTGTGATATAGTATCTGCCCTCGAGATCGTCCCTGCGAAGGGCTCGACCATGACGGTAAATGGAGAGAACTGCTTCGCGGACTTTCGCGTGGATCCACTGATTTCGAGTACCGTCGCCCGTAGCACTCGAAAAAAGTTCGATTAGTTGCTCGTCCAGGCAACAAAGCATCTGGTTCATGCCTCTGCCGTCGGTATGGAGTTATTAGAGAGGAGGAAGACGTTGGTTCTTCAATTGAGTGTTTAATAGCGACTCCACTCTATACTCTTTAACACACACAGGACGAGGCTCGAAACACTTACAACGGATGAGACAATTTCAAGAAGATCTCCACGGGAGGATCAAGCGGCATACCTGACACGGGGCCCATCTAGACTATTATCTCAAAGTCTAATCTGGCTTTTTACCATGAACCTTGGCCTGCTTGGGGCGAAGCGATGCGCAACTACGGCAAATTCGCCCTTATCCATTCTGACGTCTACAAAATTCTGTACGACATAATTCAGCTTGGCCGGCGCCTCAATCTGAAGACCGTGTAGATCTGTAATGGCTATCAATGCTAAATATTATATTTAATAAAGGCCCCAGGTCGACACCTTGACCTTTGGCGCCGGTTTCGAGAAGCGTGAGGACAGGTGCGAACCGAGAATAGCTTCAATGCTGCCTTCACAAGTGACCAAACCCTCAGTCGCCAGTGCTATAGTATGGGAGTATCTCTTGAAACTTGGATAGAGTGTTGTATTTGGGGTTTGATCTAATGAGTGAATCGTCGCGGTTACGTCTAGGTCCTTAATAAGTAAATATCAAAATTCCGGTCTTTAATCGGCTTCTCGATGAGGCTAATATAACGGACTGTTCTTTAGAAGAGCCTTAGAAGTCAGTAGTTGAGCTGTATGAAGCGATACATCTTGGGAAGTATCGGTAGAGCCCTTATCGCCGATACAAGGACAAAGGAGCTCATGGAACAAAGAGGCTACTTGTGTATGTATACGATGGTTCCCGTAGCAGATACCTGCGATCTCTTCGCGCAACAACAGAGTTGTTAACCCCCCATATGGTTGGTGTTATGACACCTGTATCATCCTGATAGGAAGCCATCACCAACACATGTATGGGTGAGAAATGATAGGCTCAAAAGGAAGCGCTGTAGGTGCTGTAATATACATAAGGCACCAACACAACTCTTGGCAATCTCGTATCCAAGAAAGGAAGCTGTACTGAACATCATGTATTACTATCAAACGGTATAAAGAAGAGTAGCTTTTTTTTGAGAGATGGAGGGGAGGAAGATACGACAAGCAGATCGTAAAAAGATTATAGCTACTCAATATATTACCTTAACCCCATTTTAATATTATAATCTTTTTATTAATATGTACCGGAATGGAATAATAAAACCCTATATTTATATTAATACCTTATCCTCACTTTATATGTCAATAATCTCACCAAACTATTTCATAATTCTAGAAGACATGGAATTTAATTCCTTAACCATCTAACAAAGAAACCATTCCGAAACAAGACTAAATAAGAATACCCCCCAAGATATTTCTTAACTTCCTTCACTGGTATCACCAAATAAAGGAATTATAGATTTCAATAACAATTAATTGATTCTTTAGAACCTTCCTAAATTCAATATCATCATGAACAATACTATATTACCTTTGTAGGAATAACAAATGGTTATTAAAAACCCCCCTACCTGGCTAATTAACTTACATAATCAAATACAAGGAGCAGTCTAAGAAATAATTATTATTGTTTGAATATAATAATAATAACTAAAAACTTTTAAAAATGCCTTAATCAATCTCTAATAATGTTATAAATCCCTAATTAATATTATAAGAACCAAAATTACCAATAATCAAAACTTTATTACAAAAATAGAGTAATTTAAGAATTGAATATACTAAGCCAACATCGATTTTACTGTCAAAATTAATAGAGAAATTATTAAAATCTTTTAAAATACTATTCAAAAAAATAAAATCATTAATAAGATCAAACAAACACTTAAAGATCAAAACCAATTTTATAAAAAAGCTGCTAAGGCTATAATTAATCTATATCTTTGATAAGATAACCTCCATTCCTGAAGCCAAGCTATGGAAGAATGGAAAAGAACTACTAACGTTATATTCCAAAAAGTAATTAATCAAATGATTAACCATTATATTAGATTTAAAAAAATAACCCAAGTTTAAGCAAAAGAAATCCATTCCCTTACCACAGAAATAATTCAAATCACTTTTAAACAAAGAAAAAAAAAAAGGAATATTAATATAAAAGGAATCCTCCAAGAAATTAATTAAAGAAAAAAAGTCTGCTCCAACCTTTACAATATGTCACAACCCGACACTAGGCAAACTTCCATATTAACATCCATTTTAATCATTATCTTTAAAAAACCAGCAATCTCATCCTTCAAGATGTCAAGAACCTTCAATACCCCCAGAGAAACTTATAAAACTTACTAAGATAAAGAAATAACTAATAATAATATTATTTTCTAAAAGGAAAGACTCTAAAAACAATAAGATGTTAAAAGAACTTAGATTAAAACATAGAGATGATTATCCACAATCCTTGGAACCCCAGGTGATGATGATAATAATGATAATAGAAATGATAATAGAAACAATAATGACCTACTTAAGGAAGGCTATAGATAAGGACCTCTACCATCTCCCTCTGAAGGATCCCAA